AAAGATTTGTAGGTGCGGCATGCCGTCCTACTTTTTTTTTTCTTGTGTGCAAAAAGGGTGCGGGGGGAAGAAATTGACTTGCAAAAATCGTGCTTTCTCACAAGTCAGCATTTGTACTTCCCGAACTTCGTTCATCCATTCGGACAAACGCGCAAAATTCTCACGCCCAGCAAGAAAGTGTGAGAAAAAAATATTTTCCCCGCCCCGGCAGGTGCGCCAATATTCTCACGCCCAGGAACACGCCAAAAAAATTTCACACGAAAAAAAAATTTTTTCCCGCCCTGCAGGGGTGGTGCGGCAGGTACATAGAAGTGGCGCGGCAGGTTTACCCGCGCACAAAAAAAATTTTTTTTTCACGCCCTACGCTGGTGGTGCGGCAGGCAAAAAGCAGAAGTGGCGCGGCAGGTTTACACGCGCACAAAAAAAATTTTTTTTTTTTCACGCCCTACGCTGGTGGTGCGGCAGGCAAAAAAAACCCTTTGCTTTTTCCCCCACTCACGCGCCCCACGCACACACCCCACGCCTACAAGCCCACAGGTACACATACTCTTGCACACACACCCCACCGCTTACCACGCGTATTTTTCCCTTCCCAAAGCCTGCGCTAGTCCCATTTTTTGGCAAACAAACACATTTTCTCGCGTTTATCCAACGGTGGTCGTTTTCGTCATCATATATATGATAAGTCGAATCTAATCGACTATCGATGCCCGATGATCAAGCGATGGACAAAAAGTATTCGAATCCTTATCTTGTCGAATAAAAACTTGTATTTACCCATTATCCAATTAATTAATTATCATCATATCTGCTATCCATGTTTGTCGAATCATTCATTACCGTTTTACCATGCATTCCGTTTCAACACCCCTCAATTATTCATCTCCATCATAACAGTATCACAAATGAAGGAGAAAGAAGAAAATCCTTTCTCGGATTAGCTCATAGTGTGTCTCAAAAGTGATGCGTCAAGTTTTCCAAGTGTAATGTTGATCGCCATGTTGCAACACTTTTCGCATTTAAAGACGAATCGTTAATTTTCTTGACCTGCCGATTCCCTTTTCAGCATTTACGCGTTTTGTAATCTTCAAGAGAAGAGGTACTACAGATTAGCGTTTCTATACTACCACAGGCTCTACAGCAGTCAAAACAGTATAAGCGGGCATACAGATTCTCCGCTTTTATGCTGTACGCTAAGCAGCACTAATATGACTGACTGACTGTATGTACAGCGGATGGAGAGACCGGGTTAGAAGTACAAAGACAACGAACAACACACATCCATCATACTGATAATCTCATTCACCATATCGGCAAGCGTAGGTGGCATTCGAGTGCTTGTCAGCCTGAAAGATGTCCTCCAGGCATCATAGGCGGAAGATAGCCATCCACATTACCCTCTTTCTTGCCCTATTGCTTTGTGTTCAAAATGCATTCGCACTTTCACTTTTTGATCCGGGTGAATCCGAACAAGCCGAAGTCGATCAAATGTCAGCCGATCAATCAGCATCTCAGCCTATCTCGTCAAGTTCTTATTCTGTCGAATCTGAATCGAACGATGAAAGAACGCTCAAAGGAACCTCACCAGCCACATACGTCATGCTCGATGAAGCCGCACCACCACCTCCAGATCAACTTGCAGAAGCCGTTCAAGCGAAAGAGTACGATGCTTGGCGAGAACGTATAGGAGGTGAAGAGTCTGACTTATGGTTAAGCTTCGATCAATGGCGAGAGGATTACCTTGCCACTGAACGTGAGAAAGCCGAACAGGAAAAGCAACGATTGGCGGCGAATAGACGTAATCGATCCGAAAAACAAAAAGACACAGCAAAAGTCAATCACGATCAAGCACTCAATAACGTTAATGCGACAGAGACGAATGCTCAATCCGGTGGACCCTCATCGTCTAATCAAGCTGATGAACGATCTACACATATGAATACAGAAAGCGAAAGTAACGATTCTAATGCAGAACATGGATCCGCTTCGCCAGACGAGTTTCCGAATACACCAAAAGGTAATACTGATGCGAAGTACGAACAACCGGCTTCAAATGGTGAAATCGTTCCTTCAGATTCAACAACCACTTCCACTGATCAAGTTTCCATACCTGCGCTTGGCAACCCGACCGATGAGTTGGCCAATTTGAAGCAAAGGTGGAACTTCGCATCTCTAGACTGTGCTGCAGTCGTTCATCGATCTAATCAAGGTGCAAAATTTACCTCCTCTATTCTATCGGAAAAGAAAGATCGCTACATGTTAAGCCCATGTCCTACAAGTTCTGCGGATTCTCAATTTGTGGTAGTGGAACTGTGTGAAGAGATCAAGATTGACACTCTAGTCTTGGCCAACTTTGAATTCTTTAGTCGGATGTTCAAACGCTTCAATGTGCGGGTTTCAAGGAATCTGAATGGTGGCGAAGATGAATGGGTGGACATTGGAACCTTTCGCGCCCGCAATGTTCGAGGCTTGCAAGTATTCAAAACGATCAACCCATCTGGTGATGCTCGATTCTTCCGGTACATTCGCATCGACTTTGTCGAGTATTATGGGTCAGAGTACTACTGTCCTTTGAGCCTTTTGCGTGTGTACGGTCTGACACAGATGGACGATTACGTTCGGGAAGAGGAAGAATTGAGAAAAGCACGAGAAGCAGAGACGCTGCTTTTGCAGGAGGGTGAAGAGGGAGAAGGCGAGCAAATGAACGAAGAAATGATCGATGAAAACCGAGCAGAGTCTCCTAAAGAAGGAGCAGAGAGTACAATAATGCAAAAAGATGTTGAGAGCAGTTCATCACAACCAGAGCAAAGCACGCATCAGCCCAGTCCGTCCAATCCAGGCAAAGAGGAAATGGAATCGCAATCTACTTCTCAGACTCAAAGTGCAAGCCAAATTGTTACTCATGTTCCTGATCGTCGCCCAATATCAAACGATACCGTGCCAGAAAAGAGCAAGGAGCCTACTAAGAGCGCCCCAACCTCATTTCAGGAAACTGTTAGATCCTGTACCTATAAAGACAGAGACATCCTTGATGTTTGGAGGCAACAATCTTGTGACAAAGATAAGGACCACAAAGACTCGGCACTATCGGGTGGAATGATTGGCAAAAAAGAAAAGATGCACAACACATCTGATACAGTTTCGAGCAAGACTCTGGATAGAAGTCATGACAAAAATCAGGACAAGACTCAACAACAATCAGCATCAACTCAGTCTTCCTCAACTCAGGTCGCACCCTCTTCCGTCCAGCATCAGGCATCACAACAGTCGCCTCACAACCAGCATCAACAACAACAGCAGCAGCAGCAGCAGCAACAACAACATGGCGGCAGCGAATCGATCTACCGTACCATTACCAAAAGGTTGAATATGCTAGAAATGAATGCAACCTTGAGCTTGCAGTACATGGATCATTCCCGTCACATGCTACGCGAGACATTTGGACGAATGGAGCGAACACAGCAAGAGAAAATTGGTCAGATGTTGGGCGAATTGAATGCAAGCAACTGGCAACAGATAGAAAACCTCAAAAGGAGACAACAAATGGACCTGCAACAAGCTCTATTCGAGTTTGATCTACACAGACAACAGACTGACGCCGAAAGAAGAGCCCTTCTAGCCCAAGTCCACCTCTTATCCAATGAAATCATGCTCGAAAAGCGTTTTGGTATCGCGCAACTTGCCTTACTGTTGGGGTTATTCGTCTTCATGGGCTTGACTCGTGGTAGCCGAGCAGCTGCACCATTGATCAATCAAGGTATATCTCGCTTGAGCCGATCTTCTTCAATCGTGCCTAAATATGGATACTCTTTCCGTAATGGCCGTCGTCAATTGCACGATACAGCCCGAAGTATGTCTATGAGGTCCAATTCATCTTCGTCGTCTACCTTGCAGAGGGAGGACAACTACGAGAGAGATCACCCGAAAGCCGTTCCCCACAGATCACCTCGATCATCATACTCTAGAGCTTTCCCGAGTCGTTCAGGTCATTCCTCAAGATTTCGTATGAAGCAGTACGAACAAGATAACAATACCCATCCTACTTCTAAGCCGCCAATAGAAAGGACTAAACCAAGCAGACCAAATGTACTCAACCACGCCGTTCGAAGACCAGGTGGCATCAATGCAAAGATGCCTATGCGAAGACGAGGAATACTACGATCTTCTCTAATGCTACCTAAGGAAATACCGCAATCAAGCGAAGCAGATCCTCAATGGCAGTCTACGAGCATGATGAGTAGACTTATCCGCAGATCTAGCATGTGAAGTAGAGTGCGTGATGTCAACTTCATCATATGTACAAACATACTCTCTTATTCGTGTACTTTAACTATACTTTTGCCTATAGAATGGTATGTATTTTTAATTTCGAGATCTAAGGAGCAGGAATGAACCGAAATCTCACATATTGTTTAATATACATTTCATTAGATTCTACAAAAATCATACAAAAGCGAAGACGTATGCTTCATGCGATGACATTCTTTGCTAAATTCCTTGCTAAGAGAAGTCGTAAGATGTCCAGTCGTCGAATAGCTGCTACAGGATCATTTACAGGGTGAGAAGGAAGTTCATCAGCTCCTGTGGCATCAATACTGGAACCATTTGCAGTTTTCTGTTCTTGTTGTTTCTTCTTTTCGAATGCATGCTTCCCTGAAGGTGAAACGATGCGTTCCAGGGCCGTGAGATAATAATCTGCTTGCAAGGGATGAGTAGCTGAAGCTGTCAGAATCTCGTCCAATAATCGCAACAGCTCAAATGACTCTCTAGAAGTGAGCATCGGCTTGTCTGATTGCAAGAAAGGAAGAGAATCCACCAACAAAACGGCACGATAAGGTTCAGGGACTAGATTGCTAGTCAATAACTCCACAAGCAAAGCTGCAGCCGAGCGAAGATCATTTTCAGTGTGCAATCGATGGAAATCCCTGTACTTTGCCAAGAAGAGCAGTCTACTGGTGTGAAAAGATGAATGTTGGGATGGCATAATCTTGTCCACTATCTCAGTAGAAGCGGAGAGAGAATTGTTATCCTCATTCATCTGCTGTGATGCTCTGTTCAACAATGATAAAGGTATTGAGTCTACCATTGCACAGAATGCATCGCAACCTTGAATGATGTAGATTTCAAAGATTGAATCAGCGATACGTTTGATTTGACGTATATCTTGTGCCCGCACGCAAAAAGCCAATCCAGCTCCCATCCGACCTTTCTTGACCATTTCTCCAGCCAAATGTTTGCATATTGCACGAGCCTCAAGTTGCATATTCAATTCAACGCATGTTTCGATCACTTCCATAGCTGTTGAATACTGTTCCAAGATGCGCTTTGAGTCATTGTCTTTGCTTTTTGCTTCCACTCGATCCTGCCTTGCTTGGTCTGGATCGTCGGCTATTTCGTCCATTTCATCTTCAGCCGCCTCCAACATGATATCTTCAGCCCTTTTCAAGCGCACAGTATTGCTTGCTAGCACTTCAGGGTCTGTCAAGGCAACATCGAGGATGATGTTTCGCATTCGTAGTCGAGCTGATGGACCGCAGTGCGAAAGATAGCACAAAGCTAATCGCCAAAGACACTGATCGTCCAAAACGGTTTCTGCATATTCCTCAATCGTTTGCTGGCGTAATGTGTCTTTTCCATTTTTGCTTCTTTCATCATTTTTTAAAGGCAAATCGCTTGCATCCTCTTCCATCTCATTCTCTTCCTCCAAAAGGCCAAGACGATCTAATAGATCTGTCATATGTGCGGCCAGCCAGGGATCGTACTTTTGCGCATGTTTGCAAGCATCGAGAGTGTCTCCTTTTGCGAGAGAAATCAAAAGGTTCTCCTCGGGCTGATGCGGTCCACTGGATTTGACTGGAAATGCATCTAAAAGAATGTTTATGATTTCGGGTATATCGTCTCTTTTCATACCTGGTTGCACCAACAAGCCCCAGGCGCCTAGAACTTCTCGCCAATTCCTGCAAACTTCGTATACCCGCTCTTTTTGACCGATCATCAATCCTAATAGACATCCGAATTGCGCTTCGAATCCATATCGTACATCTTCAATCTCATCTATGTCTTTTCCTCCTAAACCATCTCTTTGCCATTCAGCTTCTAATTCATTCATTTCCATCTCCAATTTGTTCAATAAAGATCGTACTCGTCCGACCCAGCGACGGTGAGAAGCAAGGAAATCATGTTCAAGCGTGAAGCGGGTTGATCGAGGCATGGATGTCAGATGGTCGCAGACTTCCGCTGAAATTTGACGTAACTTAGCCGAGGGGTGTCCTTTTGCAAGGTAGGACAAAAGCGAAGAAGCGGCAGCTAGCATACCTCTTGAAACGAATCTTCTGATACAGTCCCAATAATTATCATGTTCGTAAGGTGTAGCGCTTTGAGCGATTTCCTGTGCTTCCTCTGTTGTGGGTTGAACGTCGAACGAATTGAGCCAGTGTAAGATTTCCTCTCCTACCACACCTGTACCACGACCATCTGCAGGAATATAGATTGTCTCGGCAAAGTGTAAAATGAGCGAGAAGGATACGGTAAAATCTAGATCTGCGCGTTCCATTTCATCCTCTGAAGCCTCGAGTTTATCGATATACTGACGAAGCTTATCACGATAAAGATTTGAAATTCGATGGATATACTGAACGATATGAACTGGAGTGATGAATTGGTTGCCGGAAGAAGAAGCACGTTGTCGTTCCTGTTCTTGTTCGATGATTTTTTGACAAGATGAAAAGATGACTGAAGTTTCTGTTAGCATTGAGATTTTATCTTCGGTTGCCCAATCTCCTGCGAATAAGCCGCGGGCATTTGCCTTTGGACCGGGTCCAACGGTGCCCACTGTCATTGCTTTAAAGATGAGTAGAGCGGTTTGGAACAGATGATGATAGCTGTTAAAGTGGTTGTTGTTCTTTTCTTCTTGCAAACAAACTCTATCAGCCGTGCATTTATTGTACTAAAAGATGTGCGGGCGTGCAAACGCGTTCAGGGCTACAACACGGGTATCATACGAACAAAGTGTGCCGTCCGTGCATGGATGAACAAAGGGATTCAAATGAACCGCTCAAACAGAGGTATCAATACATCTTCTTCCTGAACATCATAGCAGTAAGCATCATACCCAATATTCTACATCATGTTGCGATGGCTATTGGTTCAAAATAGACAAGGAAAGACTCGATTAGCAAAATTCTACGTCCCATTCGATGACGATGAAAAGGTTCGATTGAAAGGAGAGGTACACCGATTAGTAGCACCGCGCGATCAGAAATATCAAAGTAACTTTGTCGAAGTAAGTCAATCTCAAGGGCATCTTTGACGACTTAATAGCTGGTGCTGACATACAACTCCTTCCCGCGGCATTCTATCCCTCTTCGACAGTATCGTAACTACAAGGTTGTCTATCGGCGTTACGCTGGTCTCTTTTTCTGTGTTTGCATTGATGCAAATGACAATGAATTGGCATATCTCGAAGCTATTCATCTTTTCGTTGAGGTGTTAGGTACGTGCGGCTATCACCCCGACCAAGCTCAAATGCGTTCTGATCAACCTCTCCTTTTGAACAGACTCCTTCTTTGGCAATGTGTGCGAACTAGATCTCGTCTTCCATTTCTACAAAGTGAGTCAGCAATTACCTCTTGTCTCTTTTGCTGTCTTTAATGCTCATGTTTCATCATCCTTGTTTCTCTCAGGTCTACGCAATTTTGGACGAAATCTTCCTAGCGGGCGAGATAGAAGAGACTAGCAAGATCACAGTGTTGAATCGACTGGATCAACGTGAGTGTATTTTTGGGCTTGTCACTTTTATTCAGCCACACTAACCAAATCTTCCTATTTTCATCGTCAGTCGAACGACTTGAATGATGACTGATAACCCAGTCAAAGTGAGAGCACTCTTTGTATTTATATCTGATTTTAATGACTTTTTAATATACAGTGTTTCAATGATTACGGAAAGGCAATCTTTACCGCTCGTTCAAGTACCATGATGCGTATGAGAACGAAAGTCGCAAGGGAAACCCAGAGCGCCACATTCGAAGGCTTTCAGGGACATGATCTAGATCCAAATGTGGCCATCTAGACTGCAAAGCATTTTCGAGAGTGATGTTGATTTGCAAAAAGGCCTCCTTCTCTTGCCATATCGCCCACATAGGAGCGTTGAATGTTGCCGAAGTTTCTTTATTGTCCTTGATGATTTGCAAAGCAGTTTGCGCTGAGATGCTCGCCAGATCTTTCACGTTAGATTCATCAGCTGAGGACGATAGGAAAGGCAACAAAAGATGCCTTGGAGGCATGAACGTACGCCAAAAGAGAAATCTATGACCGTCTTCGCTCATTTCGGTTTTAAGAAATGTTCTCATCCCAAAAATGGAGGGAATAATCCCGGCTTGATGGGCAACGCAGAAGAGTAGAATCATTGCGAAAGACTGTAACGAGAATATTGTCCAAAAGCAAATATTTGCAACTTTGCTACGTTTCTGTGCTCCGTATTGTATTCCACAAAGTATAGATGCAGGTGCAATCAATGGCAACAAGAATCGCGGCTCTTGATGTGCCTGAATCGACAAGACGATGAGGGAGAAGGCACTTGTTTGCATTAATAGCTTTTCTAGACTGTAGGAGTCACTCTTGAACATGCGCTCTTTGTTGGAGGAGTTCCGGTACTCTGGAATGCGAAGTAGAAGCGAAAGATAGGGAACCAGGCCTAAGATCATTGGAGCATTGACAACAGTGTGAAGCCAGCGAGGATGTATACCATGTTCAGCGAGGTTTGAAGCTTGCAAATTGTACTTCAAAGCATTGAATGGAACGATTGGAACTCTTTGCATTCCTCTTGACGCTGACGTCTCCAGCGTCAGCGATTGTGAATAAAAGTAAGTATCAAAGAAGACATGAACTGCACTTGTTATGATGAAGCCCAGGATACCCGGAAGAAGCAGCCGAAACCATTGCAAGAAAGGGTTTGTGTGTAATGCCGCTTTCTTCTGTGTAACCCGCAGAAATTGTAGAACGACTGGAAATGCAAAGATTGCAAACGTGAATCGAGAGAAGAACCCTACGGCCCCCAGAATACCAAGTGCTGCTGATATCATAAGCCAGTTTGACGTGTCGGAGGAGGCAATATCCGAACTTTTGGTCTTGTGAGGAGCATCTTGGCATAATAAAGTCAGTTGCCAAACAAGACTGATGCAGAGAAATAGAACGGTCGACTCTACATTGTTCGAAAAAGGTCGGCAACTAAAGCCCAGAACAGCACCTGAGCCAGCATAGATCAGCAGACCAGCTTGCTTTTGACGCTTTCGCAGACTTGGACCGATATACTTTGCGATACATAGATCTGGCACGAAGGACAAGAAGAGAAACGTGAAGCGCTGCACCGCAAAGAATGTATGACCAGCAGAAGATCGATCAAGGAGCTGTAACTTTGTCGCCAAAACAAGAGGAAGATTGAACAAATATATGCTTGCCATTGACCTGCACGGAAAAGAAGGTTGAAATTCCCATGTCTTCAGAGTGTTTACCTGCAATAGGTGTCCTATCACCGGTTCTCCAGATTGAAACCATTCGTCAGGGTGAATGTAAGATGGACTGAGAGAAATTATGATACGTAAGAAGATAAGAAAGCCATACGATGCATTCCATCTGCTGACGACCATATGGAAAGGTTCTTGATGGTGAATACAGCCATGTTCACTTGCAGAGGAAGAAGTGTTAATACGATGTACACTAGAGTGTTGCTCTCCATTGTTCACTGTGTGTGTGTGCTTTATTGTATTTCAAGCTTCGAAGAAGGCAAAGAAAGCAGCACTAATACCGATTAGAGACAGATAGAATGCCTCCCCGTACATCATCTACCCAGCAATACAATTCACGACGCGTGCGGGCGTATGAGTAGATTTGAAACAAGGCACATTTCCTCTATCTTCCTCTTAATGCTAGAGTCAAACGTATTACAACACAAGCTCGCATTGGTCACAAGCATTCATTCCCACAAGAACGACTTTGAGTTCTTGACTATCTGCATTCATTTCTCCTGTTTCTCTGGAAATGGTCTTGGTATCATATTAAGGAGTAAAGCATTCCATACTTGATCAGGATCAAGCAGCACCCTACCTCCTCTTTACAAATCTCCTATTTATCAAAGGTATCGAACGGCAAAACCTTACATCTTCATTCGATCAGACCTTCTATTTAAATTTTCATGATCAACAGCAGAACGTCAAGCTCTCAAAATACACCTTGATCATCTTCAATCATCAAAATACCTCAAGATGAGTGGTAGCACGCCAATAGGTCTCGGTGTCAGCGCTGCTTCATCGGCTTCTTCACTGGCTGCTCCTGATCAAATCGCATCGGGATTCAGCCTGAGCCCTGGCGCAACATCCGATTTGAGCAATGAAGCTGCCGCAGGACACGCTTTCAGCAATACATCTTCTTCCAACGGCGGTCCTCTGTTCGCACCTCTACGTCATTCATCTCCTCCTCAATCATCGCCTGCAACGATTCAAGGTTCCACAAATAACGCATCTACTCAATCACCTTCGACCAGAATTGTTGGAGGATTTGATGGCTCATTGATGGACTCAAATTCAACTGACAATACAACAGCTGATACTTCATCACCAAGCGGACATGTTTCAAGACCTTCAAACGCATCAACGGTAAACGTTCCTACGGCAGGTGCAGGGCCAATATCTGCACCATCGTCCAATACAAGCTTCAATGTAAACGTCCCTTCTCCGTTCATCAATGCTAGCTCGAATACAGCTGCAACTCCAATCGATGAGGTAATTCCAACTACCTTTGACGAAAGCACACTTCGGGCATTGTGTGAATTGGATTGTGGTATGCCATTACTGTACGATCGGATAAAGCAGTCTATGGTAGCCGCCAATCATGCATCTGCTTTTTTCAAGAAGCGTGCAGTGATTGAAGAGGAGTACGGAAGGAGTATGCTCAAATTGGCAAAAGCTACAGGAGATGCATATGGAGCAAGCGAAGCAAAAGCAGGCTCCTACGTGTCATCTTGGCAATCCTTGATGCGGACACACGAGGTGTTGGGCGATAGTAGAATCAGATTTGCGCAAAAGTTGATAGAGATATCGGATGAATTGGCAAATCTTTCAAAAGAAGTAGATAAGAATCGAAAGTATGCAAGAGATACTGGCAATCGCCTGGAAAGGAACTTGCTTGACGCTGAGTCAAGTGTGGAAAAATCCAGAAATCGCTTTGACTCGGCTGCTGAAGACTTGGAAAGGTTGTTGTTACTCAAAAGCGGAGAAAGTGCAAAAGGTGGGGAATTGCACGGAACCAGCTCTTCTACCGGACCTCCCGGTAAGCGTACGTTAGGTAAAGCAATTGGTAAAAGTGGTTTGTTGTTCAAAAACAAGAATCCTCAACAAATTCTTCGACAAGAAGAAGAAATACGCACAAGAACCTCGAATGCTAGCGACGCTTTTCGCAAAGAAGTTCTTTCGACCCAAGGTGTTCGACAGGAATACTTTAACTTGCAATTGCCCAGAATCTTGCGTTCCCTTAAAGAAAGCTCAGAGGAGATCGATAATGGGCTACAATACCACCTTTCTCGATATGCGTTCCTCTACGAGAGTACAATTTTGAGTGATGGAATGTCTATCACGCCGGTCAGCAGCATGGACGGATCGACAGGCTTAAAGTCTTCGGTTGAATCCATCGATAATCGAGCAGATTTCAAGCAATTCATGCAAAACTATCAGGTTCTACATGGACGAGAGTACAAAGGACCTCGACGTGAAGGACCGTACGAAGAAGGTTTCGTTCCTGCAAACGGATCTGGAAGTGTTTTGATGGCGGGTGGAAGCGGAACAGCATCCGGATCAACTTTTGGCAGTGTTGGCCGGCCTGGTCATACAGCCCAATCCTCCATGTCTGCACCCGCTCGTCCTATCTTTGGTGTGCCATTAGCAGATCAAATGATTCGCGATAATGTGGACGTGCCTCCGATATTGGAAAAGTGTGCTGATGCGATAGAACAGATTGGTATAGAGAATAAGGGAATATACAGATTATCTGGAACAACCTCAAAAGTACAAAGGCTCAAAGCTAAATTCGATGCAGACTGGTCTAGCGTTGATTTGCTGAATGATGAAGCCATGAATGATATCAATATCGTTGCTGGTTGTTTGAAACTTTGGTTCCGCGAATTACCTGAACCTTTGATGACATGGGAATTGTATGGAGGATTTATTGAAGCGGCAAAGATTGAAAACGATCGATTACGACATATCCGGATGCACGAACGTGTGAATGATTTGCCTGATGCCAATTATGCAACCTTGAAATACCTAATGGGACATTTGGATAAAATTCGAGCTCAAGAATCGATCAATCAAATGGGTGCATCCAATTTAGCCATCGTTTTCGGTCCAACTTTGCTCAGTCCGCCTCCGCAATCACAGGGAACAGGCACTTCTTCTGATTCTGATACGATGGGAAATTCGGTGGGAAATGCACATTTACAAGATATGTCTTTCCAATGCAAAGCTGTAGAAACAATTTTGGAAAGGTATGAGGCAATCTTTGTCGATGAAGGGGAATAATGCTGCGCATTTCATTGTATACCATTTGGAACTTTAATCTGTCCAATCTTACTTTTTTACTTCTTCTCTTTTCTTCCTGTTATCCTGCCATTGCGATACATTGCTCAATCCAACCTATGTGTGCGTGAGAGAAGAAGGATTCATCCCCATTCTATTGCTTGCCATCAGATCTTCTTGCTGACGTAATACACTGGATCTTCACGTGTATCTTTGTACAGGTTAAATTTAATCTGCAGAGAGTATCAATTATTCCAAAAAAGAACGAAAGTTTGGCCTGAAACGCGTGCGCTTTGGAGCGGTATTATATGCACACCCAAGCGCCGCGCAATTTTTTCCTTCTGATAGTTGTTTGTCCGTATTACGCATATACTCTGCTTCAAAATCGGTTTAGCTTGGAGTGTAAGAAGAGGCGCGCTGCGCTTTTTAACTTTTTTTTCCTCTTTGGCGCAGCGAAGTGCTTTCTGGTAGTGACCACCATCGAGAGGAGGGGGAATTGAGGAAACTTTATCTTTGATTCTTAATCACCTCTTTACCAACACATCTTTACAATTTGGCCAAGAACATTCGTGTACAAGGTCCAAATTCATTTATTGAGCAAGAGGGATCTCATTTCTCTTGTCTTTTTTGATTTCATCTTTTTCTTATCTTCTTTCACCTCGGTGCTCTTTTCGATCACAAGGACGAATTTGGAAAGAAAAGATTTACTTTTTGAGCGACAAAGTTCGCCAACTTCTTCTCAATTTGAGAAACCAAACGAGCGTTTGCATTGGATTCAACTCACACAAGGTTTCTCTTTTCATCGCCAAATCGCGCGTTGAAAAAAGGAAACGTGAGTCAGTCTTTTACGATCCATGTCAACCTCGCAGACGCCAACAAGTGCGTCAATTGCAGCCAAACAATCCGATAACAACTCTTTGAACGATTCATCAAACGGTCAAAGAAATGGCTCACCAAATTCTGGCCTAGACAATACCGGTGGCGTTTCGGCTCGGGGTGGTGCGCCTGTCAGTATGGCAAAAGGACAAGTTGCAAGCGGACAAAATCCTTCTCAAGCCATCAATTTCGGCAATGTGCATGATCAAAACGCAACAGCTTTTTCTTCCTCGCCTGCTGCACCAGCTCAATTGCAAAACGGTCCACCAACGAAATTTGGTACCGTCGCTGCTGCAGATGTGAAAGCTAAAGAGAAAGTTGTTGGCTTTCCTGGATCCAAAGGCGAAGGTGCACCAAGTCCTGCACCACGCACGATGGATTTCAATAAACTCTTCCAGGCTGGAAGTGGTAACAGCAGTAGTAATGCCAACAAGACTGCAACCACAAATACGACAAATGCTCAAGCTTCGAGCCAGGAAAATAACTTGCCACCTTCTCCGTCCGTTACTCGGTCGAATCAAAATGCAATGAGAACCAACAATCGTGTTTCATCTCATTCTGGTCAAGTTCCTGGAGCACAAGGTCAAGGTGCTAACAATTCTACTGCACGCATCAATTCAGGTAACTATGGCGCACATCAACAACCACGCTCACCACATGTGGCAGGAGCGCAAGTACCTAATATGCAACATATGGGACACATGAACGGAAATGTCCAATGGCAAAATCAACAACAGCAACAGATGTACTATCCTCAAATGTATCATCAACCATATGGATATGCTGGGATGCCACAACAGATGCAGCATATGGGACAACCTTGGATGAATCCACAAAACGCAGGATCCTACGATAGTAGCCAAGGGCAACCAAGATCTCCTCGTAATCCTTCTGCCACCAGTGCAAATCAGAATGGCGGAAGCGGTGCACCAGCCAGTACGACCGGTACAACGCCTGGTACACCTTCCGTGAGTTCAGCAACAGCAGGTGTATCTTCGCCTGCTTCTTCCCACAGGAGCATACCCCATACGCCTTCTAATTTGACTTCGCCGCCACCGCATCATATCGGCATGGGTCACCCACAAAATCGTCCACAAACATTTCAAACACCTTCAAATTCCGGTATGGGTGCAATGGGTGGACCGGGTTTCAATGCACATTCGCCTTCTCACTCTTTCAGTGCAAATTCCATGAGCGCAGCTGCCAGACAATTTGAGCCTGGTCAATCAGTGCCAATTCAAAAGCGAATGAGTAGTGCGATCAGAATTGTTGATCCAAACACAAAAGCTGCCGTTGAGTTCAAGTCTACACCCAAGAAGGATGCACCATCAACACCTGGCACTCCTGTTGCCGCACCTGCAACGCCTAGCACGCCAAATGTGGTTCCCGTCATTGCATCGGCTGCAGCTCCATCTATTCCTCCCCCGGCAGTCTCAACTGGCTCACCTGCTCCTCCTGCGCGAAAGACAGGTGTTCCCATCACACCTTCTTCTGCTTCCAGCTTTGTCACTCAAACACCTCCTTCTTCGGCTAAATTGGAGACATCCGATGATTTCATGAAAAAGGTTCGTGCAAAGGCAGAGGAAGCAAAGAGACTCAAGGAAGAAAAAGCAAGGGAAGAAGCTGAAAAGAAAGCAAAGGAAGACCCAACCAAACTACAAGATGTTGCAGATGTAGAGAAAAGTGCTCCTGTCGTGCCAGAGACTAAGCCTACAGCAGAAGCAGATTCTGTGACTGCTCCACTAGAGTCACAAGATCAAGCCAAGAAAGCAGAAGCGGATACAGCAAAAGCAGCACCAGAAACGGCCATCACAACCACTGATGAAAGTGCAAGTGTTCCTCAATCGAAGCCAGATTCATTACCCGCTCCTACTATCTCTACACCTTTCAAAGGATCGGCAGCTGATGTTGAGAGGATGGCAAGAGAAGCTTCTTCTGTCCCTTCGACCCCGATGGAAGGCAGTGCTCCTCGTTTGCCACCCACACCCCGAACGCCTGGAACACCTGGGTTTGCCAACTTGCCTGCTAAGCCGATGAGCTCAATGGGAAGCACGGCTACGCCAAATAACAACGCTACATTGACACCGGGCACTGCAGCAAGCACTTTTGCTGCTGTAAGTGGAGCAAGCAATGGGATCAAATTGGACAGTGAAGCTTTGGAAAAGAGGAAAAAGGCAGCACCATCTCAATTGGATATTGCTTCAGCTCAGAATGAAAGAACGACATCTACTGATGTTCCAATGTCTGCTGCATCTGTTGCCTTGGGCTCTGCAAGATTCATTGACGATATCAGCAAGGTATCATACCCTGATAAGATTCAATCACCTCGTGCTGGTTTGAACGAAACAGCTGAGCCCGGAAAATTCCGCTACGATCGAGACTTCTTGCTACAATTCATGGGAGTATACAAAGAAAGGCCAAATGATCTACCGCCGCTAGCATCAATCGGAATGGACAGCAGCCAAGCAGCCCCATCTCGCGGTCAGCCTGGCAGACGTCCTTCTGGAATGGGTCCACCCGCTGCACCTGGAAGAAGTGGTTCTGTGGGATTGGGACTAGGTTCCGGCTTTGGAGGTGGAAAAGGAGGAATGGGACAATTCAGCCATCCAGGAAAGACGAGCGAAGAACGATTTGCAGCCTCTAACCGGGGTGGAGCTGGATCATTTGGTAGCAGCGGACCTATGGGAGCTTTCAGCGCTGGAGCAAGATCACAACCTCTGTCTAGAGCAGGCAGCGGAAGTAATGCAATTCCATCACGAGAGGCGATGGGAACGGGTGTTCCAAGCGGAGGTAGAACGAGCAGTAGACGTGGAAAGGATCGCAGAGATCCAGGCCGCTCTGGTGTCAATCCACCGGAGAAAGGTGGACCTACTATTCCAGAAGACCAAGTCGTTCCATTGGCTAACTCTGAGAACAGATGGACGGGCAATCGCGGTACAAGTTTGAAAGCTGACTCGCCTGAATTAGTGACCAGAAAGGTCAAGAGTTTGTTGAACAAGTTGACGATGGAAAGATTCGATTCGATCAGTATGCAAATTTTGGAGTGGGCCAATAAATCAGTTGATGAAAAAGACGGTCAAACGCTAAGAATAGTGATTGCTATGATCTTTGAGAAAGCAACAGACGAAGCAGCTTGGTCAGAAATGTATGCTACACTCTGTCGCAAGATCATGGAGAAGCTCGATCCTAACATTCAAGACGAGAATATCAAGACTCACGAAGATAAACCTGTCATGGGTGGACATTTGTTCCGCAAGTATCTCGTCAACCGTTGTCAAGAAGATTTCGAACGTGGATGGGCGCAAAGAGATGCTACTGCAGCTGCTGCCAAGAACAAAGAAGCTGAAGATTTGGCAAAGAAGGCACAAAATGAAAAAGCAGCCGCTGAAGCAAAAGAGGCCGAGGAAAGAGGAGAAAAGACAGAGGAGCCAAAGGAAGCAGAGTTGCTCTCCGACGAATACTACGAAGCTCAAAAAGCCAAAAGAAGAGGTTTGGGTTTGGTTCGATTCATTGGTGAATTGTTCAAATTCTCTATGCTTACTGAAAAGATTATGCATTTGTGTATCCAAAAGATGTTGAGCAACGCAACTACACCGGAAGAAGAGGAAATCGAAAGTCTTTGCAAGCTTTTGACTACCGTCGGTAAATTGTTGGATGAAGGCAAAGCAAGAAACTACGTTGACGTGTACTTCGAAAGAATGAACAGCATGATGAGTCATGCCTCAATGACACCAAGAATGAAGTTCATGTTGCAAGATGTTATCGAATTGCGACAAAACAATTGGAAGCCACGTCATAATAATGCTGCCCCCAAGACGATTGCTCAAATTCATGAGGATGCAGCAAAGGCAAAGAGACAAGCAGAACTGGAGAGCTCCCGTGTGCAAATGGGTGGCTCAATGTCTCGTGGTGGATCAAGACGTGGCCAGCAAAGAGAACAATATGGAGCAGATGGTTTCACCATTGTTGGTAATCAAGCAGCTCCTCCTGTTCATCAAAGTAAGGCAGGAAATTTGTCAGCATTTGGCAAGGGTATCGATAGAAGTGGTTCTCATCGTCCTTTGTCGGTTGGACCTCAAAGTGTGTTTGCACGCAAGAATCAAAAGTCTGATGATGGTAGTAATCCACCTTCCCGTACTGCATCTTCCCAGAACATCTTCTCTTTGTTGAGTGGAGCTGGCGATGGATCTGATGCTGTTCAAAGTGAAGAAGCAGCATCATCTAGTGGCCGACCAAAGCTCAACCTTGCAAAGAGAACTAAGCCTTTGCCTGGATCTGAGGATAATGAGAAGGATGGTGAAGATGCTGGCAAAGAAGAAGCCGAGGTTGAAGATGAGGAGGACGAAGATGAAGATGGCCAAGTCGAAGAGGCAGAATTGTCCGAAGAGGATGCCAAGAGAAAGATTGACAACGATATCAAAGAGTTCTTGGAAGTCAAAGATATCAGCGAAGGTGAATTGGCTATGCAAGGTTTACCTTCATCTAGTAGAAGTCAATTCATCAACAAGATTGTGGAAGTTGTTCTAAACCGCAAGGAAGATGAGGTGAAATTGGTTGGAAAATTGTTTGAGAAAGCCCATCAATCGGGTCTGCTCGATGAAACAATGGTCGAAACAGGATTGAAAGATCACGTCGAATACTTGGATGATATCTCTATAGATGTTCCAAGCGCATATTCTTTCATGGCCATCTTGCTTGTCTCATCTGGACTAAGTAAAGACAAAATTGAATCATTAGCTGCAACAATCCAAGGCGAAGGTCTCAAGCCTCCAAAAGATCGATTGATGGCAAAGGTTGAAGAGTTACTATAGACCAAAACTGTTTCGATTTCTGAGCGTCATCATATCTGGAACATTTTTTCACTTTTCTTTTTTTGATACCATCTCCTTTTGCACAATTCATTTGTCATCATCGCAAAACATTATGCTGTTCATCATTTGTACAGAATCCTCTCTTCCCCGTACGACGTCAATTGTACGACGGATCCAAAATTGTATGCCATATAGAAGGCTTTTAGCTCGCTTACCCTATGATAATTTTACTCATACTCTCGAAATGTTTGTGTTTGTGATCACGTTTGATTGTTGCAGTGAGCTTTTTTTTGCATTCCCCTTGGCGAAAAGTGGGGTACAGATAGATTGCGCTTGGTGGTACGCGTACCGTTTCTCCACGCTGCCCACGCAATTCTTTGGCCTTGATGCCTTCTACTGATTTTGGCTTTTCTTTCGCCGCATAAAAAGTACTTGCTTCACACGCATATTTTACTAGTCAAATGCGAGCGTACTTTTTTATTCTTTTACCTCTATCATGATCAAATTGGCCACATTGATTTCATCAATATGACATCTCACCAAGTGGATCTAACTGGGACGAGGGGTAGGTACTTATATTAAAATGCGTCGTCTTAAATTCAGATCATCATTGGCTAATCATATTCCTTTCATTTGCATTAGATAACCTTACCCCATCACAGTCTCGAGCTCTTTACAGACTATGGCATCGATTCTTTCGTCTTTGCGAGATGCCTGCGGGATCTTTAGGTGGAACGAATGACACTGTAGAGAACAACAAAAAGGCATCTTCAAAAGAGGTTGCCAAGCAAATTTCTACTTCCTCTCTAGGTGAAAAGTCGACTCAAAATGACGCAAAGAATTATGGAAGGCGATCAGAAGACCTTCTTCGTAATTCAGCATCCAGAGCAGGCAGCAGTGCAACAACAGATGCAAGCTACGGTAAGCCGCTACAACGACAATCTTCCAGTGTACGACAAATTGATGAGCGTGGAAGTCATATTCCGAAAGATGATCGAGTGAAGGACGAACTAAAAACATTGGAAGAGGCAAAAGAGATGCGAGAGTTCTTGGAGAGATATGGAGGTGAACGATTACGACAGATCTTTTGGGAAATGGTGAAAGGTGAACATCCAGATGCAATCATGTTACGCTTCTTACGTGCTCGCAAATGGAACGTAGACAGAGCGATCGCTGTAATTGGCAGTACGGCGGCCTTTCGAGCAGATAATGATGTTGCTGCCATCCTACGTGGGGGTGAATTAGCCTTAACGAGCACACGAGGTGGTCAGAACATGCTGGCAAACGGTATCTCTTACATTTATGGCGCAACATCTATTGGCGAACCAGTGTATATCATTGAAGTAGGCAACCATTTCTCACATAATCAAACACAGCAAGAATTGAAGAAAGGTGTCATTTTTCTGCAGGAGACTTTGCAGTTGCTCATGCCTCCGCCTATAGAGAGGAAGGTTGTTATTTTCAACATGAACGAATTCGGAATCCGAAATATGGATTGGTGGTGTGTATTCTTTATGGTCAAGACGATGGAGAGCTATTACGTTGAAACTTTGGCCCGCGTTTACGTTCATGGAGCTCCTTGGATATTCAAGCCAATCTGGGCAATTTTGAAGCCTTTACTAGATCCTGTCGTGCGAGATAAGGTTCGCTTGACGTTCTCAGCAGAGGAATTGGCAGAGCATGTTCCCTTTAATCATTTGCCAAAAGGAACAATGCGAGGTGGAATGGATTGGAAATTCGAATGGCCTGCGCCAGATCCGCATGAAAATGATCTACAACTCGATACCGCAACTAGAGATACTCTGCAACAAGAGTACATGGCTGTAGCAGCAGAATTTGAAGCAGCGACGAAAGAGATCGCAACAATGTACGCACGCGCTTCTTTGATGCGACGAAGGGACACTTCAAGCAGAAGAGGAGGGGTCAGGCAAGACTACTCTCTATCATCAGACGAAGAAGATGAAGATGTTTTGTACAACTCGCAAAGCCGAAGACCGAGTGATGGCACTATACTGGGATCTGGAGGACAAACAAACCCCAACACATCAACGGAGGATATTGGAACGAGTTTAAAGGCAAAACGAGATGTATTGGCTACAAAGCTAAGGGTCGCTTTCTTGAGGCTACGACCGTATATTGTCGGTAAAAGTATGGCGGATAGATGGGGTGTGACCAAAGATGATGGTAGGATCGTATGGAAATATAAATCAGTCGATGGCGAGGAAGAAGAACAGGTCTTGGGAGAAGGAACAACATTGCACGAATTACAACGGAATTTGGAAATGATAGAAGAAGCATATGCTCAGAATCAGGCTAACAATGATATAGACTCTGCTTCTTCAAGCCATCGAAGAACGCCGACTTTACCTTCCGCTTTAAGCTCGAGTCAATTGCCGGGTCAGCAAATGGCCAACACTTCCAATAGCGCTCTTGCTACAGCCCCTCCTGGATCGCCGAACGAGATGAATAGGCGACAACAGAGGCTGAAAAACCGATCACGGCCTAGTTCAGGAGCTTTGGAAGTGAATGAGGCAGCAAATGGAACAAGTCCAAACAGTAAGGAGAACGGGAATGCATCTTCAGCAGAACAATTATCAGAAGCACTACAATCTAAAGCGAATATGCAAAACGATCCTCACGATGCTACAGATGGCTCTAATTCACCTGTCCCTGTACATCCACTTCATCAATCAGCTATTTCGCAAGACAAATAATAGCTTATAATAGCAAGAATAAAGACATTCATCATATCGTTGTTCATAATAGCATTACTGTATAGCACAAAGACTTAAAAGTTTGAAATCACCTGAGAAGTTTGTGCCTGCTAGCCTGACTTATCATTGTTGAACAGGATAACCCTGTTGTGATTGCTGTTGGTGGGGCTGGCCAGGACCATACCACGAATTTGCCTGCCATCCTGAGCCGGCATACTCTTGTGATGAGGGCGGATAAGGTTGATTGTACTGTTGTTGAGACTGTTGAGCAGGCTGAGAAGCTTGATGTTGAATAGAGGGAGATTGAGATGGTGGATAAGGGTTTGGAGCGTAATACTGTTGTGAGGGTTGTTGTTGCTGTTGTTGTTGTGGATGAGCAGATGCGGAATATTGTGCGTTTGCCTGCGGTTGGGTCGGTTGAGGTGTGGCATTGGACTGTGGACCAGAATAGGGATATCCGCCTGTATTTGACTGATTTTGAGCATTTCCATAGTATGGACCAGGAGTACTTGCTTGCACTGGTACTTGACTATTGGCTCCTGCATTGGGGTATCTGTTGACATTTTGTTCCATCATTGCATCAAAAGTTGCTCGCGCACGAACAAATTTATCATTCATCGTTCGCAGTTCGGTCACCTTGAGATTGTAGCGATCGATCAATTTGACAATCTTTGGTCGCATCGTCAAGGATGATTGGTATAACTCTTGCAATTCATCATCATCTGCCAAATTATCTCGCGAAGGGTCCAAACCACGTAGCTTGCTCAACAAACGATCGATATCATTCGCTTGAGCAAAGATGTGTGCTTCCAATTCTGCCTCTCTTTGAATATCTGCCGGTGTAGGATCAGGTAGAAGCTCGACATAATTGACAGGAAAGATACCCGCTTCGCCACGCAACTCTCCTCTCCACCAATGTTCATAAACCGAATCCAGGATTCGAATCACATCTCCTTTTTGGAATGCAAGTTCACCCTCTTCACTGGGAGCAAAATCGTACAAGGCTCGAACACGTGAAGCTGCAGGTGCTTGAGGTTGTTGGTTTGCTGGCATTTGAGAATGCGATGGGTCTGGTAAGCTTTTGTTTACATTGCCAGCAGATGAAGTAGCTGCATTGTTTGCCTTGTATGGCTGTGCTGTGCTTGATGATGATGCTTGTGCTGAGTCATTGTACGACGATTGAAAGTTTGTTCCCCTTCCGCCTTGATCCTGCAAGGATAGCTCCAACACTCTGCGCAATTCTTCATCCTCAGCACGCAATTGTTCGGAAGATGGCTCGATTGGTGCTGGTTCGTTCTTTTGATCTTCATCTTGGAATGAAACACCTTGATTTCTCAACACTTCCATCGTTTCACGTACGATGCCCAAAGTTTCATCTTGACCCCATTCTTGACTCCATTGTTTGATCAGAGATGTAGCTTTCTTCTTTACAGTGATATGTGTATTTCTGTCCAAGATGATCCTTTGAACTGTTTGACAAAAGCTACGTGAAGCCAATTCACGATGAGCAATGATTCCGCTATTTTTCGATAAAGCGTCTGATAAGGTTAAAGCGTACAACTGTACGTTTGCGTTTCGATGAACCAATCTTTTCAGGATTGCTGCCACACAATTACGAGCTCCATTTTCTCCTTCATTTGATACCTTGTCGCATACGTCCAAGTTTAATTGCCAATTCTCGCTCGTCAAATTCTCATCTGTCGCCTTTGCCACGATTTCATCAAAAGGATTTGCAGCCTTGAACATCTTTTACTAGTGCAATCTAGACAATGATGAAGATGACAATCGTTGAGTATTCTGTGTTTCTCTCGCCACCTTGTTCGATGTGGAAGTTACAAGAGAAATGGTTGAATGAAGTTACGTTGCATTCTCATCTTTGCGGCTGTGTATGTGCTGTGCATAACAACATTACGCCTGCGCGTGTAAGGCACAGCCAGTCAAGCTTATTGATGCTGCACTTGCTCAGCGTACTTTTGTGGAGAATCATTCATCCAGCCTACCAACCTAAAAATAGGGTAAGCTGTCAAAGTCACACCGTACACAGCCCACTAATTGATACCATCTTTAAAATGAATCGGTTGTATATACAAGAGTAATTTGTAGCGCTGCGAAAGAGAAAGAGCAAGAGTCGGGATCGGCTAGCTGCTACGAAAAGAAGAGAGAGAAAAAGGTACGGAGTAGAAGACAAAATAAAAAGAGAAAAATGTAGGGTTGTGGTTTATTTTGAGAAATAAAAGTTCGTTTCATCAAAGAATGATGCCAATTCAATAATGTTCATTCGTCTTGTTCGCGAGTAGGAGAAAGCTTCGTCTGTCTTTCCTGCGGCAAGTGGGATTTGCTTGGGCCTAGAGAAGTTTTGGACATTGCGTTAGAGGTGCTGGAATGAATAGGTCGATCAGAAGCCCGGATTTCGTTTGAATTTGTTCGTTTTGCACGCAACATATCCAATGCCAATTGAGACCAAGCACATTGTGGTGGAATTTGAGAATTTCCAACGATTTTACTCAAAGCGTTTAGCCATCTGTGCATCTCTTCATCTGTATCAGCAAAGAAGAAGATTCTTTCACCATCTTTAAACGTGATTCGGAATGATCGTTCAACATGATATGTTTCATCAAATTCTTCATCATCATCGTTGTATGCTTTTCCTCCCGTCTTTTTATGAGGATCATGATTTTCTTCGATGGAAATTGCTTTGCTCAAATCAATCTTGACCGTTGGCTTCTTTGTGATTTCATTGAAACCGATCAAATGTGCGCCTTGAGCTTTCACCGGTCTTCTTCTCCAACTTTGACAATCACCTCCTAATTGGGTTAGCGTACCTTCCATCCAAGGTTGTCCTGCATGCCAACGAGCAGATTCCATTCCTTTGATGCATTCGCTCAAGCTTTCAGGTAACAAAGATTTGGAGATGCCAGGCATCGGAGGCAGATAGAATACCTTCAATCGCAACGTTCCTCTTATCTTGTTGAAGTTTCGAGAGAATTCTGCTGCAAGGGCAGGTACGCGAGCTGGAGTGGAAGCGGCATTGTACATATCTGTCGCAGTTGATTGAGGAGCAGGTGCAGGTGGTTCAGCAACAGCTCTTACCGGTAATTCGACAATATGACATTGTGCCAAACAGTCTTGAGCGATTTGCTCGAAAACTACTTCACTTTGTCCGAAAGCACCTTCACGATTCATAAAAGTCATCAAAGGATCAAAAGATCTAGCTTGATCAGCAATTGAATTCGATGATGTTGCGTAAATGGAAGCTGCACTGCTTGCTTGACGCTTTTTGGGACTGGAAAACAACTTGCCAACGCCACGAGAGAAACTTGGCGTCATTCGATCACGTTTCATGCTAGAAGATGGGCTTGATTCATTTGCAGGAAGTGGAGAAGGCTCCTGAAGATGACTGTCTCTTTGAGCGACCAAGGTCAAATTGAATGTCAAGTTTCGATGTTGGATCAACTCAAACTCTTGTCCAACCTTACTCGGTCCGTTGGTGCGTAATCCAGCAGTAGCAGTTCGAACGACATGAAGGCCATTATCCAAAACACAATAGAATCGGGTTGGTTTTGATGGGATAGGCAAATTGGCTGGTGTGAATGAATCAACCATGACAAATACCTTTCCAGCAACCTTTTTCGGGTTTTCTTTTGCACGATACTCTCGCATTTCTTTGGCATATTCGTTCATATCACTTGGTCTTCGCAATTTACGCCATGCTTTGCCAGACTCTTTCTTTGCACCTTCTTGTTCGGCATTGCTCTCGCTTCTTTTTTCTTGGCCAGCTGCTGCCGGCCTTCCAAGCTCAGGAGCAACAAGACTTGTGAAAGCACCTCGATCCTTAACGTGATACTTTGAATCGCCTTGACGATAAATACGACTGAATTCACGTCTCAATCCTGACTCGAACCCATCTTGGTCAACTTTTGCGTCAAGCAATTGTTTACTGCTAGTACCCGCTGAAGATTCGGAAGCTTTCTCGATTGGGGGCAAAGAAGAGGAAGAAGAAGAACGTGTACTCTCGTTCACGCTTTGATCTTGTTCTTTCCTCATCCTTTGCTCTTCTGCTGCCACTTCAGCATCTAGCTCAGTTGCAAGCCTTTCAAGTGGTGATCGCTGCTCGCCTGAAGCGACTTGCCTGGTCGGTCCAACTTGCTGTGCAGCAACTTGGATTGCTTGTGTAGCATCTTCCTTTCTGGTCATGTCCATTTGAGGCGATTGTCTTCGCTCAGGTTCAGATCGACGTGAAGAGGAAGTCAATGGTTTCTGAGGTTTGGCCACTTCTGCATCCTTCTCAGTTCCTACTTCTGGGGTACGATCAAGCTTCCTTTCTTGCTGCTCCTGCTGCAACATCTTCTCCTTTGCTACACGTTGAAGCACAGCATCCCGAGAGATGTGAGGCCTTCCATTCGTTCGCGGTGATTGTATAGCTTGAGCAGGGGCAACATTTGTTGGAACTGACGGTCCGGTTGCCCTTCCAGCCATCATCCTGTTACTGGGCTTCTCAGGAGCAAAAGTTGAAGTTGTGTTGTCTTCCTTCATCAAAGGACTCCATTCGGGTAGAGAAAGTGGAACTGGTTGCATTTGTGTCGGTTTCGCAGGAGGGTGAGGTAAAGCTTTAGCAGCTTTCATTTCTTCGCCCAATTTTGGTCCAGCAGCCCTTCTGCGTCGAGGAGGACTGTCACAAATTTGGTTGTCAGATCCGTCTTGATCTTCCTCTTGTTGCGTTTCCTGAAGGCGCATTGCAGGATGAGGGACAAATTGTTCTTGTTGTTGCTGTTGTTCCTTTGCATGTCCATCTAGCAATTCGTCTCCCAACAATTCATCGACCATGCTCTCGACACGATGCAAGGCACCATAAGCGCTCAAATTACCGCCACTAACGTCAGAATCGCCCTCAACGTATGGACCATCATGATAGATAGTACCATCTGCTGCAGTACGATAGCTCTTATCCTCACTGTGTGATAAGGACATATCTCCAGCTTGTGGACTTTGAGGCTCATCGATCGAAGAGAGTTCACGGCTATCATTTGATGAAGCATCATTGAGTGCGTCTTGCTGTTGTTGCTGTTGTTGTGCGCGTGATTGCATCTCTTGATGTCTTGGTGCATCCATCAAATCGGGCGTGGAAAACGCCGACGATTGACTTTCTGGGCTTGCATTGACCACCATCAATCTTTCGACCACTTTTTGTGCTCCTAGATCGCTTTGAAGCCACATAGCATCGTCGTCTGAGCTACTGCCACCGCTGTGCTCCCGTTGAATACCGTCACTGTCGAAAGACAGATGACGTTGAGCGCCATTCAAGCTTCCCGAATCGCTGCTTGCGCTTTGCATACTTTCGCGATCGAAACTGCTTTCTCGGTCGAATTCTTGTACGTCCAAAACTTCATCAAACGTAACAGTCTTTCGTCTTTCACGTTTTGTAGGACTTTCCATTGGGCTATCGGTACCTGAGCCGGACTCCAACATTGATCTTGGTCCATGAAGACGATTGGATGTCAACAATCCTTTGGCCGATGAAGGTGAATCCACGGCAGATGCATTCATGATCGACCGGCGACCATTGCGTGGAGTACCGTTGGATGTAGGCGTGCAAAGATCTACTTCACCTTGTCCATGAGCTGTTGCAAGACGTTCTGGTGTTCTTTCGGGTGTTTGAGGACGTATTGTTGCATTTGATGCGTCTGTCTGATCTTCTGTACCGAATCTGCTTGGTTGCAACTCTCTATTTGGGGAACGATTAGCATGAGACAAAGCGGCACTTCTAGCCCAAGCATTATCGGGCAATTCGAAATCGGCTTGTGCATTTTCGAATGTGCCATTTCTGCGGAATGGTGAATTGCTCACATAATTGGCCTTTTCTAGTCGTTTGAAGTTTGTGCTCTTTCTTGGTGAATTTTGTGTATAGCGAACAACATTGCCTTCATTCTCAGCATCAGAGTTTGACTGATTGGAATTGATGCTTGAGTTCGATGTTGAGCGTATGAAAGAGATGGTTTTTGATGGACTTGAAGTGCTTGACTTCGATGGTGTTGCGCTAATACCCAAGCCAACTCCGAATCTTTGCTGGCTATTTGGGGATGCTGCGGACATACGATTGGGAGATTGTCTGGAAGGTGATTGACTGGGCGAATAATTTGATGCACTTTGTGGTGATGAATTTCCACCTGCACTTTTGAAGATGCTATTGCTCACCAATCCATGCGAACGTAATGATCCCAAATTAGCACGATGTTCAGGTACGCGCATACGTGAAGGACTTCCTTGTTCACTTCCGAAATCTGAAGGTGTTTGATCGCCTGTGTCACTTGATGACATCATTTGTCTACGTGGTGATCTTTGAGGAGACCAACCGGCAGATGATGCTCCCAAGATGGCAGAAGTTGTTGCGATGGGTGAAGATGACATTTTGTACGGGGTGAAGGGGATGTGTTAAGTATGATTTGGAGTAAGATTGAGTTAAAGCTGATAAGATGATGATTTGAATTTGATACTATTCAGACCTGCGCATTGGCCTGAATCGTAGTTGAGATTGTATGTGATTATTCGATTATCCAATATCCAATCTTGAGCAGAATTTAGGCGATTCAATGTTGGGGATGATGGTGAAAAAGGTTAATGGTGTGAACAGAAATAGAAAGTGCTTTACCTTCATCCCAAAATTGTTTCATGCGGGTTAAAAGTGAAGGACTGCAAGACGGGGGAAGAGAATTACACAGCTTCTGAGCAAACTTTGACTTTCTGCATCCGATGAAGAGCGAAGTTGCCTTTCTGAACACAGAACAAGATGCAATACAGTTTGACTGCTCTCATGCTATTTACCCAATACAAAGGACATGTATACGAGAAGGTCAATGAACATAATTAATCATAAACCAACATAAGGCAAAACAACAGTACACACGCGTGTGTGTGTGTACATATGTGCATGAAACAACATACGCCCTCCCATCCTATGTTTATCAATCAACAAAGCAAACGCGTTTTCTTCCCCATTCATCATCCAAATAGGCACGGCTTCGATGCCAGGTACATGTGACTGGCTTCATTCAGTCGGATTGAATTTGCATTAGAGTATGCGATGACATGCAATCTTTCACACTTTAAAGTCAAATGAAAAAGGCCGATTGTTAGTTAGCCTTCTAAATCTTGATAAAGTACGCTAAATCTCACTCACTTGACCTTCTCGAGGCGGGGCGCGTTGGATCACGTGTAAGAATGTCATGGCTCAACAACCTTTGTGAGCGCCTCTTTAGGTTCGCTTTGAGGATGGTTACGAAAGAGTCAATTCGCTACCTTCTTTCAAGATGCCAGCAAGTAGATTTCTACGAATGTATTGATTGATATACAGAGCAATTGATGATGATCGCCAGACTAATGTACAAATTCAAATGTGAGGGTATATGCGCTGTAAATGTTGAATCAATGCTTAAATCGATGTTGCTGATGCTAATCCAGTAAAGCTGCCACAGATCAAACAAAAGCTCTTTGTGCATTCATCGCGTCCTTTGCATGGCGGTGATGATAATGACTTTTGCATATTTGGCTTGGAGGATGCCATGAAATTCGTAATGGTCTTTTGTTTTGATTTTTGTTCGTGCCTTATTGGTGAACTTGTTTTCAATCGATGGCTGTCCTGCTTCGCTTCATGCTTTCTTTGGTGATTATGTCTTGATGGTGAACGCTGAAGTGCACCATGCTTGACACTTCTTGGCGCACTATGGAGACTTTTATCATCCTGTCTATTGGGAGTCTTTGTCTTTCCACCAATTTGCTCGTATTCAATTCGTTGTCTTTTTGGTGAAAGACCCTTTGTCTCTTCGCGAATTCGCTCGCTTTTGATTCGCTGTCTTTCCAGCAAAAAACTCTTCACCTTTTCACGAATTTGTTCACTTTCCTTTACTTGTCTTTTTGGCGAAATGTTTTCGGGTGATAAGTCAGAAGAAGATGATGGCACTTCGGGGACAAATTCGGAAGAAGACGAGGGATCTTGCGCTTCTCGACTTCCTTTGCTCTTTCGTTTGAGACTGTCAGACAGCTTTTCAGCGCGTTCATCGAAATAAGACGTATCCTCAAGTTTCTTCTCCCAATCCTTTGCTTCAAAATCAATGATATCTTCATCGTCATCATCCTCCTCTTCGCTAGTTCCGTCTTCCTCATCTTTTTCTCTAGGTAGAATTTGCCATTCTGGTGCAATCATAAATCCTGCCGAGCCTTGAAATCGGAGCAAAGGAGGAACGACAGAATGAGCGGGCTTCCATGATCTTCCAATTGCTGGTATGGGCTCAAGATTGCTCTCTCGAGATATGGAGCTGTCATTTGAACTTTCGCTTTGTCCTCTTCTGTTTCCATATTGTCGTATTACCTTTTCCCACGAAGTGCGTAATCTCTGAACGGAACAATGTCTCATTCGTGACAATTCTTCCAAGTCAATCTCCTCAACAGCTTCTTCTCTTGATTCTTTGCCGCCTTCATTTGTGTCATAAGACGTAATTGAATCCGAATCACTTTCATCATCTTTCCATTCATCAAAATCGGATTCTTCTGATGATTCTGCGGAAGAGTCATATTTGCCTGAGTCAACGTCGATCGGCTCAGGATTCGCGTTCAAAGTCTGATCCCGTTTATCCATTTTATCACCTTCATCAGAGTTCGTATATTGAGGCAATCTTGTTCCTCTATTTCTTCCAAAGCGGGCATTTGCAAATGTTGTCATATTTGCCAAATGTTTTTTGAGCTGTCATTCATACTGGTATTCTTCGTCTACAGCATATATCACCTTTTCGGTTTATGAGAGGTTACGAAGATGATATCCGAAAGAGAGTAGGAATTGATGAAGTGAAATGTTAAATGAGCAAGGGAAAACGGAAGCTAAGAGTTTAATTTACACGTTAGCCTCACGCATTTGATTTTTCCCTCAGACGCGTACCGCGTTTCGTCACAAGGTAACAGGTTTATGTAAGCTGTTATCCTCCTTTTTTAGTTTTACCTTTCACTCCACCATCAAAAATGCCGGAAAGATCATCTTCTGTGATGGAGAGTGATGAGTCACGCAATCATGCATCAACATCATACACATCAAAAAGACGAAAAAGGGAAGAGGAAGATGAATCTTTGTTGGAAATGGAAGATGATGATCAATACGAACAATCACGATATATTCCCTTAAAGCAACGTAAAGCAGCAGAGGCTAAAAGGATAGCCAATCTACGCTTGAAAGGGATGAGAGAAGGGGATAGTGAGAATAACATTTCAGCAAACGACAGAGGTGGCGAAAGAAGAGCAGAAGAGGATAATTCTCATCGGCAAGCATCAGAGGATGAAGACGAGACCGGTGCTAGTACTGTGCAAAGAAGTAAGCAAATCTTACTGAAACAGGCCAGAGAGCTTAGACAACAACAAGAGAAAGAAGGCAAGACAGAAAAAGAAAAACAGGCCGAAGAGGAAAGGAAGATTCTAGAAGCGCATGCTGCAAGAAGGAAGTTGGCAAGTGATATGGAACTGGCAAAAGGAATCAGCTATACAGAACCGATCAAAACATCTTGGCGTGCACCTCATTTTATTCGAAAGCGAACAGAAGAAGAAAGTGTTGCATTACGTGAAAAGTATCACATTCTAGCAGATGGGAAAGATGTTCCTCCTTTAATCGAAAACTTTCGTGATATGAAAATACCACCATGCATCATCGAATATCTTCTCTCTAAAGGGATCAAAACGCCTACTCAAATTCAGATGCAAGGCTTACCGACAGCATTTTCAGGTCGAGATATGATCGGGATCGCATTCACGGGAAGTGGAAAGACGTTGGCTTTCAGTCTTCCGATCTTGATGTTTGCAGTGGAAGAGGAAAAGAAATTGCCATACATTCGAGGTGAAGGCCCATTAGGCATGATCATTTGTCCAAGTCGAGAGCTGGCACGACAAACTTATGAGAATTTGCAAGCAATGGCAGAAGTATTGGAACATGATGGATTTCCCAGAGTAGGCGTCTTACTCTGCATCGGAGGGATCAGCATGGCAGAACAGTATCATACGCTCAGTAAAGGATTTCACATTGTTGTTGCAACTCCAGGAAGGTTACAAGACATGCTTGACAAGAAGAAGTTCTCGCTGGATTGTTGCAGATATTTGTGCTTAGATGAAGCGGATCGAATGATCGATATGGGTTTTGAAGATGATGTACGAACGATTATGGGCTTCTTCAAACAACAAAGGCAAACGTTGCTCTATTCGGCCACAATGCCACAAAAGATTCGCACGTTTGCCGAAGAATCATTGATTGCACCAATCGTTGTCAACGTAGGAAGAGCAGGTGCGGCTAATCTTTCGATCATTCAATCGGTCGAATACGTTAAGCAAGAAGCAAAATTGATGTATTTATTGGAAGTGCTACAAAAGACTGCTCCTCCCGTAATTGTCTTTTCGGATAATAAGAATGAAGTAGATGATATTCAAGAATTCTTATTACGAAAAGGAGTTGAAGCGGTTGCTATTCATGGATCAAAGACTCAAGATGAACGTGAATATGCAATCAAGAGTTTCAAGAATGGCAAAAAGGATGTAATGGTTGCTAATTCAGTCGCATCGAAAGGATTAGATTTCCCTGACATTCAACATGTGATCAATTTCAGCATGCCAAAAGATATTGAAGAATACGTTCATCAAATCGGACGAACAGGTCGTGGTGGAAAGACAGGTTTAGCGACTACGTTTGTTAATTCTTCAGCAGAAGAAGCTTCCTTGTTAGATCTTAAATACCTTCTCATCGAGGCTAAACAGCATGTTCCACCTTTCTTGTTGGCCATTCAAGATACCCAAGGAGGCGGTTCAGGTTGTCAATTCTGTGGTGGTTTGGGTCATAGTATTGCCAATTGTCCAAAACTGGACAGACAACAAACACGTCAACGAGCCGGTTTCTCCGGAGGGGATGGCGGAGGTGGTGGTTACTAGAAAGTGTATACTATTCAATTGTATTTGTAGCTCTATTTCAACAAGATGTGATATAGTGTGTACATTGTGTGAGGACTGAGTTGCGGTAAAGCTTTATTAGGTGATGTGTGAATCTTTCTATCATTGTGTTCCGCTTGTACCATTTGTATGAGTAAAAGTCTTCCTGATATTGTCTCTTGAGCTCGGCAGCACATTTTACAAATACTGTTTGACATTTCCAGTCTACGAATCACCTTACAAATAAAGAGCTTCTGCTCCCGTTGCTATCCTTCCCCACCGCCATTGAATTTCTTGCCTTTGTTACCTAGACGTGTAAAGATGCCAAATGCTCATGCTCTGGGCTCGTGTGTTCCTCACACTGATGTTTCTTTTATTTCTCATCTTTCGTTTTCTTTTCCGATGCTTCTCTCTTGTATCTACTGTTTGGGCTTTTCCATGACTGCCAAATGACTCGGTTGACATCCTTTGGGTCGCCTCTATGTCTAAAAAAGAACATTGATTTTCTTGTTCTCTGATACCTGGCCTGCGATGCGCAAAATATCGCACTGGCCGAGCTTCCCAAGGGAGGCAGCTCAGGTAGATAGAAATCAAAGAGATATCAATTGCTTCTGATAGTTTCAGTAATAAGCTCATCCAATTCTGTGTTGTTTGTTCAATTTGCCAAGCAATTATTGCGATTCGTCCTAAGCCTCAAGATCATGATAACACTTGCAATCTTTGGATGAAATCTGCGTCTGCTTCAGGTATGCCATGTTCTCGATGGTACTCAAGTCAAAGATTATCGTCCAAAAGAGACTATAATCGCACTTCAAATTTCGTATTATGACGGCCCTTCTTAAGATTGTAATCACACGAGTTCCATTTTGAATGCATTGAATCAGTTGCAAAGATCTCGATCATTGTGGATGTTGAAGCCACATCCTTTCTTTGTTTGTGATTATTTTTCTTCTTTAAGGAATCTGTGTGGCATCAGTAATGGCAAAAAAAGCATGTGTCCTTAAGAAGAGCAGCAAAAGTGGGTGGAAGGATGTTTCTGCACTTCAGGTTAAGCGACATGTGGCAACAGCCTTCTGCAGTGGCCTTTTTGTATTGAGACCAGGATGGTGAAGAATATAGCGAGCGATCCTTCATTTTCCGTCTCCTGACGGCACGATCAGTTCGGTTCCAGCCATTCACTCGCCAAAATTGTTCCATTTACACACGTCTGAGATTGGCATCATCCGGATCGCTCAGATCGACAATCATGACGTCATTTTCTCTGAATGGAGCTCCCCGACTTAGGAGTCCAGTAGTTCTATCAACTTCTGTCAAGATTCGATCTGATTTGGTAGGCCATATGATTCCAATTGAGCCCTTGGTGCAGCTATGTATGCTCAAGCATTGTTGATAATGGTTGCAGTGGCCCTGTGCAAGAGCTTGGATATTGAGAGATAGGACATCAACACAAAACTTGTGTAAATCGCACGAGCTTGGACTAGGAAAGATAGAACTACCAAACTTGTGTAAATTTGCGTCTTTCACCAACTCAGATATTTCTCCAATTAAAGATCAGAATGAACCCCAAAAAAGACCTTACTTACCGGTTGAAAAGGTCAGAGTAACCAGGATTTATTACAAAACGATTACTCGTGTCCTTTACCATTTTTTGCACGAAAGGTTGAGCTTTGAGAAAATTCCGTTTGATACAACCTCCATTTTAGCACGGATTTTGAATCTATTTGATAAGATGGCTATGAATGGCTATTGAGTTCCCTTCCAACCTTCTTCATCATGATGATTGTATAATTCGAAATACCAAAATAGCAAAGTGACGCATCTCCATTTTGAGAAATCGTTTCTGTCGACACTAAATACAGAAGTTGACGCATATAAGCATCAGAAGAAGTACTGAAGCGTAAATTAAATCTAGGTGTGCGTATTCATAGCAACCTCCATTGTCGTTAAGAGCTTTGTGCACATCACTGAGACAACGACAATTGCAATTCTAGTTAAAAGGAAACCATCATTTCAATCAACGGTTACCATTAGTCGTTCTGATGCTTTCAATTGCTTTTTTGAAATAATCACATATCGCCTTTTCCATATGACTATTTCAAAAAAGCAATTGCTTTTCGTACTTAAATTTTTCATCAACATGCAAATCATTTCATCATAACGATTATATGAAAATCTGAAAACGCACGATCGCCTAAAGAATCACACTGCTTATTCATTGTTGCAGATGATGCTAGATATGACATGCACTTCTAATCTCCAACCTCCAGAAATAGATACTGCAAACGTAAATAGTCATGTTGAAATGGCGATGAATCGATCACGTGATAGGTTTTAAATTCTGTTCAACAAACTCAAGAGCGATGTGATCAATCGACTTCATGTAACGATCCAGATTTCGTTCAACGATTTATGAATCCAGTTGGCGGACCTTTTGATGTATCGAACCAACAATCACTCAGAAATATAAACATCATCTTCACCATGGCCATCTCATCAAAAAGGCCAAATTAAGAAAAGAACATTCGATATGAGTTATAAGTCTTGTTCTGCTCCATACACATTTAAAGGTGGTAAGCGTTCTTCAAATAAAGACTCCGTTTCTGCGATGATGAGACATTCTCGATCGATGCACAAAATGATGGTATGTATTACAAAGTCGTTCTCAAAATGCACTCGCAAACTATGAAATCTGTTTTCGTTCGTATCTAGTGCGTGTATAACATGGTGATTCATTTGTGCTGCTATTATTCTGACTTTGATGAAGTGACATGATCACTCAACATCCTTCAACCTCGCTCATCATCGATTCTTGTTCGATAATCATAAGCGCAGGGCATGCAGACTAAAGAGAGGAACGTTTATTTACCGTACTGAGACTATCATCAAAGCCTATGTATTAGCTCTGGCTAAAGTGTACTAAAATAGAACCATCTCAAAAGCGTAAAGATTGGACTAAACCATGCGGACCGATATTTGAAATTGAACATCCTTTTTCTGATTGAAAAGGGTCTTTATGACTTTCTCCCCCACACGATTATCGTCTCATTCTCTATCTTCATCATGATATTAAAGAAACACCGTGCGTGCGATGGGATTCTGTCTCAAGAATGTTCCACAAAATAACTCTGGTCGGCGAATACTTTGCTCTTGATCAGAATGAGAAATGTGGGTTTACCCCCTCATCCCGATTGCCAGACATTCATTCTCATGCGAAGGAGGTTGATTAGCGTAGTTTATGCTTCTTTCTCCTTGTGAGAATGACCGCGGAGATTGCGAATAAGAGATAAGGTTCTATTAAGAAAACAAGCACATCTCTCAAGCAGATAAAACAACAACGCACCCTTCCGTCTCTCTCTTCCTTTCATTTTGACAACCTAACCCAAGCCAAAAGACAGGGACACTGACTGTGCCGAGCCCTTAATTAATTTCACATGCACAATGCACGACTTGGGTGCGCGGAACAATTAGGCGAATAAAAATAAAACAAAAGTTTTCAAGCAGGTAAAAACGTGTGCCGTACGTGTAATGTACAATAGAATTGCGACATACATTATTCTATCCATACCCGGGTCAAGTCCCACAAAACTTAATCTGCATAATCTACATACTTACTACTACTGTACCTGTGTACAGCACGGGCTGCTTAAAAATAAATCAAATATGCTTAAACGCGTCATTAGACTGACATGACCTGATATCTGTGCTTCAGGGCAAAGTGCGTAATTTGCTGAATATACGCAAATCGGGCTTCACTGCATCAGTGAAACAGCGGCATTCAAAATAGGCTCCTGTATTTTGGCTGAGCAATTTTATCTCTTGTTTTTTTTTTCTCGCTAAAACATTCGAAGAACAACAGAGCGTTTCCCATCATCATTTTTCGAATCGCTGTTTTATAATTGGAAGACTGACGTGTTGCAGCTTACATTGAAAGGTCACAAGGTTACCCTTTTCGTGTTCAACTTGCATATCGGCACTCATTCAGTCAGTACCTTACCCATTCAAACCCACATCAATACCAAAAGGGCAAATGACCAAGAAACGTAGCAAGAGCTGCACATATCATCTCAGAAGCAGCAGCAGCAGCAGCAGCAGCAAGGCAACCAAAAGACAGAATTCAAAACCACATTCTGCTTCGTCGGTTTGCCGTTCAAATTCATCGGATAAGAAGAAAGACACATCTTCACAGTCTCACTGCATCAATGCCGGACAAGAGACATCTCTTGCCACATCATCAAGACACAGTCATGATGCCAGAAAAGAAGTTGTTGAAACTGTCGATTCATCCGCTGCTGCTCACCTTGCATCGACCCTCACCCATACATTAGGTAAAAAGACTGTGTCTTTACATCGAAAATCTTCAAACAACGAACAAAGGCAAATGGAGAGGAGTACAAGTTCGAATGGAAAGGACGGCGGCAGCAGCAGAAAATACACAACAGTGTGCCTCCCAAGTCCAAATGACCGTAAGCAGAGAGCTCATTCCGTTATCCCTGTGTTGCCTGTTCACTCGTCTATCGCCCAAGCACATGTCTTGAGGGGAAGTAAGAACAATCAAAGGGAGGATGTATTAAACGCCTTTTGCACTAGCGCACTTTGGAGCTCTGTCGATCATCCGAACTGTGGTCGTTTGAATCAAATGAAGAAGCAGCAGCAGCAGCAGCAGCAGCACTACAACAAGCTTGAATATTCATTTTGTCCGCCAATTCAATCCAATTCAAGCCTTTCCGACAACCATCTTTCCACCATCACCATCTCTTCTCAACCTTCCGACGACAAGATGACCTATCCACCACCTCCACCGCCTGAAATTGATCCGGCAGCAACGAGTGCAAGTTACGGTGCTTATCCAACTAGCGGCAACCTTTCTTCAGGTAAGTTGATTTTTTATTTCTATTCAGTAGCGTACTTTTGGTCATTTTGGATGCTAAAGTGACGCGGGGACGTTAGGCGCTAAAAAGAAGGTGTAATCTTTTGGGAAGTGGATGCGCTAGCGGAACATGATCAGAGGCAAAGAGAGAAGGGATGGCATTCATTCAATCACCCTTTTCCCAATCAAGGGCGGCTAATGGCCAGCATTGAAAAAAGGGAAATGGCGTTGGAGAATGATAAACCAGTACGGCATTTTGATTTGTGCAATTTTGTCGTTTGACTAGCTGGCATGCATGCGAACATTAAATAAGCATTCAAAGGGAGGCCCACATATTGGATCACCCTTGCTTATTGTTGCTGCTGCTGTTGCGCATGATTGTCTTTTTCTCAATCAATGCCCACTCGCCCGCCACTCTCCATTCATGCAACTAAAAAAGACGCCATCAAAAGTCAAACAGTGTTTCTCTGCTTATCCACTAACAGAAACAACGCTATCCTGCTGTTTCTTTCCCGCTATCATCGGAAAGAAAGGAAGGATACATCCATCCATCCATCACCACCTGACACGTCCCGTTACCATTCTCGCGTGGCTGTTGCTCTAGATTGCCATTGATTTTGGCTTGAATACGACATACTAACGTCAACTGTTTCTTCCTCTTTCTCTTGCTTTCCTCGTCAACGCGCTTTCTTTGCATCTGTACAACGCGTTCATTCAACGATTCACGTTCTCAATTGCACGATTCTTGATCATCTTGGTCGCTATCATGTCGCACGCCATCACTGCTCAACATCCATCCTCACATACAGGCTATACTGTCGACGAAAATGGACATCACGTTCAACATTTGCCTCCATTATCGGAAGCTTTGCATCCTGATGACGCAGCTGCAGGAGCATCAGCTGATCATTTGAGCGGTCAAAATGCTCATTATGGTGCTCATGCTGCCAACGTGTATGATCCTCATCATACAGGCACGACAGCAGACGGTTCAGCCGCGCACGGTCATTACGATCAACAACAATCAAACAACTTTTTCGATCCGCAAATCATGGAACCCCCTCCGCCTGCAGATGGATCACAAAATCATCATACCGGACTACATGGCAATGGTGCATCTGCAAATGGTAACAATGGATACGGAAGTAGTTCAGCAATCATGACACCACCGCCGCCAGCATCTTCGCATGGGTATGCTTCTTCTCCTTACCAATCAGGAGGTTCAGCACCTTTGTTCCATCGTGCTTCAATTTCAGGACCGGTCATGCACAGTCATTACCCTCCACCACCTGGAAACCAATCTGCCACGCATGGTGCAGATGTTTGGTCTTCAACTTCTGCCACTGCAAGACCGCATACAGCCGATGGTATGTTTGCTGCTTCTCAAATGGGTGGAATGCCAGGTCAATGGGCAAGTGTGTCTGAATACAATCGCGGTCCACGTGGATCTGTGAGCAGTATGTCAGATGCGGCACCTACGTCTGGCAGTAGCAAAGTGTTTTCCTATATGCCAAGCAATGGAGACGATTCTTCTTCTACGGCAGGCTCACAAGGACATCAATCTTCTGGAGGCCCACGTAAGCGTCCTCGTCGTAGATATGACGAGATTGAACGCTTGTATTCGTGTTCGTGGCCAGGCTGTCAAAAGAGTTATGGTACTTTGAACCATTTGAATGCTCACGTTGCTATGCAAAAGCATGGACCAAAGCGCAGTCCAGCAGAATTCAAGGATATGCGTAAAGCATGGAGAAAGAGTAAACGAGAAGATGAACAAAGAAGACAAGCAAATGCAGCAGCAGCAAATGAAGAAGCGCTCACTCGATCCAAGATGGCTTTCGCTCAACCGAATCAACCCTTTATGACCCATACAAATTATCCAGTCAACAATTTCATGCCACCACCAACGTCTGCACAGAATAATGCAAATGCTCTAGGCGGTGCAAGTGGAAATGGACAAGTTCCACGTTATCATCCACAATCTGGCATGTATTCTGGTTATTCAGCAGTGCACAATGGCTCCTATCCTGGCGGAGCACAGGGTCAAGGTGCAGGATCTGGCGGTTTAGGTGCTTATTTGATGGCTCATCGTGGAAGCATCTAAAACAAAAGCCAACAACAAATGGCTTGAATGATGAAAAGATGCTGGACCATCATTGAATCTTTTTTCCTGCTCCTCTATTCTGCTAACAAAAACTGCTTTGCGCTATCGATTCAACCCAAAAGTGTGTTTCCTGTTCAACGTTTTCTTCACTTTGCCCTATTTTCAACGTTTTAACTTTATCTTCTTTACATCCTCACTTTACCAAGAAAAAGTGTTGTCTTTATTTACAGCGTCTATCAAATCAAGATGCTCGATACCTATTCTTTCTCCTCTATCTGTTGGTATTGTTTGTTCAATTATTCCGTCTTTTGTTTTCCTTCTCTTCTATCTCAACATTATATCCTTCTCTTCCTTCTGTTCATTTTTTTCTTAGCGTACCTTACCAATTTTTTTTGTGCAAATGTGATTCTTGCTTTTACATGTGTATCGTGTGAATGATAACATAGAACCCTAAGAATCTTGTTCGGATATAAGATGATGTTCAATACCAAGTATTCTACACAGCATCATGATGTGAGTGGCTGAAGATAGTTTCTAGGAAGATCTAAACTAGAGTATGCACTTTAGCGCACTAAGCTTTTTATTTATTTATTTCGTGTACATGATACATTTTAAGATGCGTCTTTGCATTGAGTGATTTATTGCACAAAACGTCAATTAAAAAACGCGCGAGACTAAAATTAGTAGCAAATGCAAGCAAAAGTTGCATACATTCATTCTCACTTTCAAAGCAGAGTTTTAAGTGATATGGTGTAGAAGAGAAAGCCAAGCAAAATAATCTTGTAATCATGCTCTTATGATGGCACAGCATCATCATCATCAAAGAGCATTCACTTTTTGTATTCATTCTGTGCCTGATATCGAACAAACAAATGCATTACGCACGCGGAGCGCGTGAGAGCGGTATTGTTAAACTAGACGGACATTTCTGCAAATGATAATTTTATTTTCTGTACGGCGATAGTGCTGCTTCTTTTTTTTATGAACGCGGGTGCAACACAGCCCATTTTAAGGTTCTCTATGTTTAACAAATCAATCATTACACATCATCCTCTCTCTCCCTCTCGCCTTCGCATAAATTATCTCCGCCGGAGAACATGGTCGATCTTGGATTCACATTCATTTGCCACTCTCAACCTTAACGTCCATCACATTTGTTCTCTTTGAACAGAAATCCTTTTTTACCGATACCCCCAAGCACAAAACAATCGTAACGAGACACATTCATATTGCATATGAACAAATAGGAGCGGAACAGGAACGAAAATCATAGCTTGCTCACAATTCATTCTGAATTCTAACATGATGACCAGTGGACAGAGTTCCCTGCGATCAGGGTTAGCGGTCTTTTTTCTGCTCATGACTACCTTTCTTGTGCAGTCTGTATACGGTTCAAGCAGAAGTCCTCTTCCTCTCAAACAGCTAACGCATATAAACAATATTCGAGTAGAACGGGCAACAGGACTGTTCAACGAGAAAAGGTCACTAAACTCTTCAATTTCTTCCAATTTAGGATCCATCTCTCACTCAGATCAATTTCGACTTTCATTCGAGGCTTTCGATAATACCTTTCATCTTCATTTACAGCCTACCGAAAATCTCGTTCCTTCAACGGGTGCAACTGTTCGGTATACTTCTTATGATCCAGAATTAGGACGAGATGTAATCTCAAAAGAGGAAACAATCTTTCCACATGATATTCGTGCATACCATGGTGTTGTGATGCATAAATATTACACCGCCAAAAGACTTGCTGAAGATCGGATAGGGTTACGAAGAGATCTTGACTCAAACACATTCTCGGAAACGGAAGAAGGTGTGATGGGAACAGCTTCTATCATTCTACACGATGATGGAACCGAAAGCGGAAAGCCAAGCTTTGAAGGTACATTTGATTGGGCAGGTAACGAACATATTATCCAACTTCCCCTCAATTACCTATCCAGTCGATCTGTTCACGATCCAAACGTGAGAAAAAGAGCGATAGAAGATGGGTCTTTGGTCCTGCATCGAAAGTCCGATCGAATGAGCTGGCCTGAAGCTCACTCATTAAACATTCGTACAGAAGAACAAGATAATCAAATTGGCTGTAATGCCGATGGATATGACTTCAATGCCAATCATGCCCTTCGCTTACCTTCCAGTAATGAAGGTGATCTACCCAGTCCTCTCTCGCCGTTCTCGTTCTTCGCCGTTCCAAATCAACCAAAGCTTGGACGAAGAAGTGTGTTTCCCAATCTACTGAACGGTGAGCTATTTGGCAAACACTCACGTAGACAGGATCTTGCCACTTCGACGAATGGCTATTCGTATCATCAAGCTTTCGTTAAGAGACAAACTGGTGCGGATATTATGGGAGGAACAAATAATGATTCATACATTGATGATATTGGCTCTAAAGCAGGATGTCCAAATGCAAATCGTGTCGTTTATATGGGCGTTGCGACCGATTGTACATACACAGCCCGATTCAGCAATTCTTCTGCAGCACGCATTCAAGTTTTGAACGACATGAATACGGTTTCGAACATCTATAGAACCACATTCAAGGTTGCTTTGGGTGTTGTTCAATTGGACATTCGTGAGTCGTCAAATTGTCCTACTTCCGGTCAAGGTAATGCACGATGGAATCAACAATGCAGTGATGCATACACTTTGGATCAGAGGTTGAGCGATTTCAGTTCTTGGCGTGCCAATCAGAATGCCAACGGAACAGGTCTTTGGCACTTGTTAACGAATTGTCTCTCAGGATCCGAAGCTGGAGTTGCTTGGTTGGGTACACTTTGTAAGACAGACTCATCTGGATCGGGAAATAACGTAGTAAGTGGAACGGGTGTTACTGCTGCTACCGCAAATGAAGCTCAAACGATGGCACATGAGATCGGACACAATTTTGGAGCGGTTCATGATTGCATTCAAAATTGTGCGATCAACGGCAATACGGCAAGACAGAATTCGGGAAGTGGCCCGATTTGTTGTCCACTTTCGTCATCGAATTGCAATTCAAATGCGGCATACATCATGAGTCCTTATGCAACCCAACCTACCACGCAATTCTCACCTTGTTCGATCGGAAACATTTGTACAATGTTGGGACAAGGTTTGGATACTTCTTGCGTTGTGGATCCGTCCGAAAACGGACGCGAGACTTTGAGTGTTCAACAATGCGGTAATGGTATCTTGGAACCAGGAGAGGAATGTGATGCAGGCCCGAATGGATCAAGATGCTGCACAACACAATGCAAACTTACATCAGGATCAGTTTGCGATCCTGAAGGAACAACATGCTGTACTAATCAATGTCAATTCGCCAACTCAGCGACCGTTTGTCGTCCTGCTGTTGATGAAAGATGCGATACTGCTGAAATGTGTACAGGCACTAGCTCCGAATGTCCAGCTGATATCAGAGAGAAAAATGGTGAATCGTGTGGAAATGGATTACAATGTGCTGCGGGTCATTGTACTTCTCGTGATTTGCAATGCAGAGAACAATCATCTTCAAGCGATTTCAACTTTACACAAGCATGTTCTGTCACGGCTGATAATAGTTGTTCGGTTTCATGTGTTGATCCTTCAAGGCCAAACACATGCGCTGTCTTGCAACAAAATTTCATCGATGGGACCGAATGCGGTTATGGTGGATTCTGTCAAGGTGGACAATGCAAATCAGGATCATGGCAAGATACGTTTAATTCTTGGTACAGAAACAATCTCAGAATTGCCATTCCAGTTACGATCGTTGTTGGTGTTTTAATCTTGGCAGTCTTGTATGGATTGTTAAGATGTTTATGCCTGCCTCTATTCGGTCGTGCAACTGGAAGAAAGGTACCTGGAGCCACTGGACCGGTAGCAAGACCAAATGGAAATACACAACCTGCCTACAACAATCAACCGCCACCACAACATCCTTATGGTGCAGGAGGCAATGGCTACTATCAAAACAATGCACCTGCACCTCCACCGCCTACTCGCCAATCGGGCGGATGGGTGGACCCCTATTCGGTCAATGGTCCAATCGGTCCAGAGTATCCTTCTCGTCGTGGTTAAACAAGTATATCAAACGGACAATAATATCATTTCTCTTTTTATAACGACAAAGGTGGAAATCAATTAGCATATATTGCATTTCTCTTCTCTCTATTTCTCTCTCTCTCAATTGTACATTTGCACATCATATATAAATCAAATCTTGATTCATCGCTCGTTTGTTTGTTGGTGACTGTCCACTTCGATCGATTAAAGATTGGGGAAAGGAGCCCTTTTGATCACAGCAACGTCGCACCTGCTAAGATGACGACAGCAAAAGTACAAAGAAGTTGCAGAGTGACTGCAGAAGTTGGTAAGAGTGCAACAGCTGCAGCGATATAATTATCATCGGGACCTAAAGCTTCTTGACCGTCTTCACCTTGACCTGGAGCCGGAAAAGGGGCTTGATAAGTACCTGCCAATGGACCTGAAGATGGCAAAGGTGCAAGTGGGAACGTTGTCGGTGTAGATGAAGGTGCGGTCGAAGTAATGTTTGTTTGATTTCCTGACAAAAGAGAGGTGTGAAGGTATGTAATTCAAATTTCAGTTTTCAGGTCGACACTCCCCGTATTTCAGAATCAACTCACCATTCTGTCCGCTCGCCACTGTCTTGTTATTGCTCGTAGTGTTGTTGGAAGGCTGTGCCGAGGAAGTTTTGTTATCGGCTTGTTGTCCTCCATTTTGATGATTGTTTTGATTATTCTGATTGTTCTGCTGTCCTCCTTGCGCTAAGGCGACATTTTGATCATTTTGCAAGATGAGCGCGGTCAATACGAATATGAAAATGAGAATCTTTCTGTGAGAAGTCGTATGCATTCTGATTGATTGAACAAATCGATGATGGTGATACGGAGTTCAGTCGTGGCTTTTCCCATTCCCCTGATCTAGAGAACATAAAACGGACTTTGACCTGAAGGCGGTGCAAAAAGTGATATATGTCTGAAATTGAATTATATCTCGCTTCCGTTTCCGAAAGGCGTGCGCTTTTATGACTGGCTTTTAAATACCGCGGAAGTAAGGACATAATCCGTTGCAATGCACTCTCACCAACACATACAACATGTCTATTCAACGCATTCTATTCAAAAAGGAATACAAAGTGATACAGAAGTTTCACCTCTCAAACACGAGGCGAATCCCAAGCAATCTTTTTTGCATATTCTCGTTCATTGGAAAAGTGGGTCTCGTTGACCGTATGTCCTAATCCAGCTGCAACTCTAAGCACAATCTCGTTCACTTTAAAGCTTCCCAAGATGTCCACATGATCACCTGTCGTACTTCCACCACGTAAATCTAACGGTTCAGGTTCATGTGCAATCTCATGCGTAATAACCTTTATGCCTGCTGGATTATATCTCTTTCTCTTCCATCCTTCAACGCACATTGCGCCTAACGAATGAACAGAGACTGTTCCATCACCATCAGAGAATTTGACACCAGATCGTACTTGAGGAGTTGACTTTTCGTCGTGTATAGATGTATCAATCCAACTTGTTCGAGAAGTTGGGAAGTCGAGAGGTGTTGAAGTAGTTTGATTTCCGCAATCCAAGCAAGTGGCTGCTTCCCCTTCTGCAATGAATTCGTCACGTTCATATGGTCCTTGTGTATACCAATAACTTCGTTCGGTTTGCTTACCTACTCCATAGATGCAATACATCTTCATGTTTGGCGCATTTGGCAAAGCAGCTTCCAATGGATTGGCCCATGTTTTCTCGATCTGATTGTTCTTCTTGATTTGCTCTTCCGAATACTCGATACCGTCTGAGTAATTCTTTTGAACCATCTGTTGGAATGTCGAGGGCGTGTGTTGTAATAGCCAATTGTAAGCATCACTGGCACTGAGATTGCTTTGTAGGATATGTTGTGTGCTGGTTTCGTGTACATTTGCTGAACCTCCAACAGGGTGCGCTGCATCTCCTGCACCTTGGAAAGCAGCTCCTTCAGGCAATTTGAAAGAGTACACCTTTCCATGGGATTGATCGACCGATGATCCTGGCTCATCATCAGGTGCCCAAGTCTCATTACCCCAAACAGCATCGCCACCTTTGATCAACATCGATGCACTTCCAGCCCATGTTTGGAAAAGCTTTGCACGTTCTCTTCTGCTGAAGAATTTCTCCAACAAGTACGCAGCAGCAGGAGGTAATTCGACCGTATCACGCATCTCACCAGATAGCAAAGCTGCCATTGCTTTTGGCACACCCAAGAATGTGCCTGCAATACTGACAAATGATTCGATATGCTTATCAACCCAATCTGGGCCTCCGTTGCCGTACCCTGGTCCTTCAGCCTCTACCCATTTCATAAAGTACAGAGCGACTGTTGATCCCATCGAGTGTGCGACCAAGACTGACTTCTTACCTGTCAGGAATAGATTTTGCTCAAAATGCAACTTCAAACGTGAGAATACCCGATCGCGGACTTCAAGATTGTGGAACGATAGACGCCAATCGTAGGACGCAAGTGAGAGATGGTTGGGATCATATCCAATCACCGCCAAAGCTCGAATGATCGGATCCCAAATCCAATAACCTGAAACGAAATATGAAGCAGCATCAAGTCCTTCTGCTGGTCGTACTTTAATTCCAGGAGGATCTAAGCCAGTGCTTGGATCAAGACTCAACTGTCGGATCCACATTTCCTTTTGGGTAGCAATCGTACGGACCATTGACATGCTTCCCCATAACCGTTTGCGGAAAACACCTGGTTCGGTAGACCATGATTCAAGACCTGTGCTCACGATACCGGGTAATAGTACTACTGGATGATTGACCTTAAGCCCTTCTTGCCGTAGTCGTTCTCCAACAGCTACTGTGAAATCACCATTTTCTCCCCACTTTCTGGGTACACTGAATAGATCATTTCCCAGCTGTGCTAATTCGGAAGGTATGCTGAATGACGAAAGGTCGAGAGAGGATAAATTGATACCGATATCGCTGAGTTGTTCATCGATGACCCCACGTAGATTCTGAATGTGAGACTCCAAGACGACATGGTGACTTAATGCATATGCAAGAATTGCACCTGCCAAAATACCAGCAATAAAGAACAGACGTCTATACCGCATATAGCCTCGTTTCACATTCTCATCAGTTGCATCATGATGAAGCCAAGGTATTTCCGACAAATCCAATTCATGAAAAGGCGTTCCTGGAGCTTTGATTGTATAACTGGTTCTACGATTTACGCCTCCTTTTGCTTGTGGTCGTTTTGCACGTTCCAATACGATCTCATCCGGCAAGGAGTCTACATCTAATGCAGATCCATCATTCGTTGAAGCTTTCCATGCATCTCTTGTTTCTTGACTGTTTTTATTTCGGATTTTTGACTTTTGAGCTTGATCAGCAATTTGGGTAGAAGTGCCGTTAGCCTGATGATTATCTTCTCCGGCTCCGTCTTGGTTTTGTGTCTTGCGTCTTTGATTCATGATGATGGCTATCGAATCACAAGCCAACAACAAAGGCTGCTTGCTGTTGAGAGTAAGGAAGGAGGAGAAGTCTATCTATTGTTACAGGTAGGAAGGGAAGAATGATTGTATCAGAGTGTGTACGCGGACTTTGAAAAAGTTCAATAAAAAAAGACATGGGAAAAAGGCACACACACTCTCTCGCGGCTAAACTGTTTGGATATCTAAAACCCTACAAAGAGTGATTAGCGTTTATTGTGTTTGTGCGTGAATGCCTTAGTCTTTAGTGGAGGAAAATCCGGCCAAAATAAAAATAAATGGGAACAGGCTAAAGCAGAAGGGGCAAGCAGCATTTATTGTTGATTTGTAAGGGCTCGTGTTCTCTCTCGCCATCATTCAACAATTCTCATCATCTTGATGAAAGATGCGGCAAATATGACAACAAACGATGAAGGGTTAGCAAGAGAGCTGAATAGGAGATTGAACTTGGATCTATCAAATTCATCTACTCCATCTTCAGCTAATTCAATCATATCTGATAATGTGGCAGAGGATATAACAAATGAGAACCAATCTGGACGGAATGGAGTTGAGGCTGAGCAATCGACAAGCAAGGATGAAGAATTAGCCAGGTTCAGAAATGCATGGAAGGAAGAAGTGCTGGGCAGAAAGCAGAGGACAACCTCCAACGAACCTGCTGCTGGAGGTCGTACAAGCGAAACAAACAGAGAGAACGATGCATACCATCCACTCAATCAGAAAGATTGGATTCAAGAACAATACGAAGATCAATTACACGAAGAGGTCACATCCGAGATAGAAGAGAAAGATGACCTAACAGTACTCATTGAATCCCTTGCGGCAGCTGACGATGAAGATCGAAACTTGTCGATGGTTCGATTTGAGCCGGAAGACGAAGAGGAGCCGGTCTATCTGTCGAGGCTACCTGATGAGATCCTGTTGCTCATTCTATCATTCGTTGCAGAACCTCGCGGGCGTAGAGGAGCCGAAATACCTCGACCACAAGCCCAACCTGCTCCTACTCAAAAAGTGGGTGGAAATGTGAGACCGGCTGTTGCAGCTGATAAGCATAACAAGAGCGTACACAATGAGGATCAACGTCATGCTGAAATCGAAGCAGCTGCAGCAGAAAGTAGAAATGCAGAGGAGCACAACGGTGAGGCTGCTGCTGATTCGGTAAAGCCCGCCAAGCCATTAACGAGGAAGGGACCTACTGGTGTCGGTGTGATCTTGGCGGGACCGGATTATATGAGTATCGAAAGACTTGCTCGGACATGTTGGAAATTTCGACAACTGACACGAGCATGGAGCGTTTGGAAGATGATCGTGTATGAGACATTTTACCCGCCTCAAATTCCACAGAGGATATCGATAAGCACTCTCTTGGCAGAAAAGCATAGGAATGATTGGAGAACGTTGTTCATCGATCAGCCAAGGGTTCGAATGAACGGAGCATATATTGCATCTTACCAGTACACTCGACCGGGTGTTCATGAAGAGAATGTTTGGGTACGGGTGATCCATGTTGTTAAATTTTATCGATCGATTCGATTCTTACCTGATGGACGTGTACTTTCGTTTACCACAACTGATCCGCCACAAGATACGGTTCGCAAGATGGATCCAGCATTTTATGCCAAAGGATTTGCGACTGGTAGATGGACTATGCATCCTGACGGATTGGCAGATGATGAGATCTTAGGGAGACCAAAAGGTGCAAAGATTGTGATTGATGATTTGAACGATAAAACACTTTCACGTTATAATTTCCGTTTAATTCTCAAGCTAGACGGTAGAAATCGCGGTAAATGGGATCGAATGGAGATGCTAGAGTATGAGAGTATCAACTTGGTTTCGGGTGAGATTTGTCCCTTGCCAATGAATCACAAGAAACCATTTCATTTTTCACCCGTTCGTAGTTATGGAATTTGAGGGGAATCCACACACAAAGCATGTATCATATAATACAATATCATAGACCATCATCACCTTTTGATTGCACCGGCTATTGGATAAGAATTCGGAAATAGCGTGCGCCTGTTACTAAAGACGCGTATCGTCAGTGTATCTTCTCCACATCCACACGCACGACAGTAAGGCCGTTGTTCCCTTTGATCGGATTGCGAGTGAGAAGATCGTATTGCTTGAACACTTTTACTTCCTCTCCCCGATCATATCATCTTAAGGCAAACGCCAATGCTGCATAGACTCAGACCTGCAATAAGACAGATACCTAAATCAACATTCATACAAAACTCAAGAATTTCACCCTTTTCGCTCCTTTCCCATTCAACCAAGCCAACAATGTCAGTCGGACAAAAAGGACCGGGTCATCCGATGGCAATAGGAACTTTTCCTTCTTTTTCAACTGTGAACTTTTACGCGGGTAATGAACTTTCTCGTGTTTCTTGGTTAAGGAATAATTCAGATTTTCTTAATGACGTTCTAAACAGAGATTCAACACGTTTTATCGTTATGCAAAATTTGAATCCTATGGTTCATGCTTCTTCTCAAAGTGATTCAGGTGATGGTAACCTTGCCATGTTGAAATGGCAAGACGTACGTGAGACTATCAATGAAGCATGCGGCCAATCAGGCAAAGATTCAATCAATATCTTTGGACCTGCTTCACATGGACTTTCGATCGATCAAAATGAAGACGCAAAGACGTTTGATCGGGCTACACAAGGTATGTCACCAACTTCGATCGCATTGGTGTTTCTAGGAATGGACGAAACCCATTTAGAACAAGGTTCTTTACCCGGGAAAACTGCCAAAAGCTCTTCTTCTAGTGCTCCCGCTGGAACGCCAATCTTTGCTCTCTCTTTGAGTTACAGACCTCCAGGAACGCCAGAAGATCAACTTGTTCCTGTTGAACGCTTGGCAGATAAACTTACAAAGGATGGCAAGTTTGACTTCGTTGATACTCGATCCCTTGCACAGGCAGGCAAATGGCCTTTACATAATGCAGCAATGGTTGCTCAAGCAAGAAGTTTGTTAGATTGGAATGAAAGACAACAATTTTGTCCTTCTTGCGGAAGGAGACAATACAGCCTTTGGGCAGGATGGAAACGTGCTTGTGCATCTTCATTGATCAAAGCAACGCAAGATCCTTTGAAGAAATCCTTTATTGAGCCATTATTGATCGATGGTAAATCACTCGAACAAGATGGTAAAGGTGATTGTGCAACAACGCATTCTTTGAGTAATTTCTGTTATCCAAGAACGGATCCAACGGTCATCATGGCAATCGTTTCGCCTGATGGAGAAAAGATTCTGTTGGGTAGACAGAAGAAGTGGCCAAAAGGCTTTTACAGTTGCTTAGCGGGCTTCTTAGAACCTGCAGAGTCATTGGAAGAAGCTGTTAGAAGAGAAATCTTTGAAGAGTCTGGTGTTTCGGTTGGAAAGGTGATATATCATTCCAGTCAACCATGGCCCTTCCCAGCCAATCTGATGATGGGAGCGATCGGACAAGCAATCGAGGGAAAAGATGAAATCCGATTAGACCTTGATAACGAGCTAGAAGATGCAAGATTCTTTACGAGAGAAGAAGTTTTGAACGTTTTAGCATCTTCTACAATGTCAACTTTATCACGACATGAAGTTTCCAAAATGGATGAAACTTTGAACAAGAAAGCATTAGAGCAACAACAACAACGTAAAGAACAATCAGGACAAGAAAGGAAATGGAACGAAAAAGATGAAGGAAGTGTGGCCAATGTATTATCCGATTCCGAAAATAGAACTGCAAGACCCAAGTTTCGCATTCCCGGTCAAACTGCAATTGCTCATGTTTTAATTTCTGCTTGGGCAAAAGGAGAAGCGCACTTTCCCGAGAATACAGCCAATGATTCCAAAGCATATCGAGCAGAAGTGGAAAGTACACGCGGAAGGATGTGATATATAGAATGAATGAATGCATTTAGTTTGATAGAATGAATGACTGATTGTGATTTTAGCATTTCATAGCCTCAATGAAATGTCCCGATCAACGGCGGATAATTCTGTACGCGGAATTCCTACTCGACGGACGGACACCGCATTCAATAAAGGAACAATAAAGAAACAATCGGGGTCTGTAGAAAAAAAAGCGAGAGCAAATGTCAATTTGACGTATCAGTGAATGCCAATCAAGCCCTTTCCCCTCCTCCCCCAACCACTGTCGCCCTCACATTCATTTAAACACTCCTCTCGAGAGACTTTACACATCATGACTAACTTGTTCTCGTTGACATTGGCTACGATTCTGTCAGCTTTCTTATTGATCAACTTCACACACGCATTTGAAATCACATTCCCAGTAGGACCAAGTAGTTCATCTTATTGGGTTGCATGCAAAGAGAACATCCTTCAATGGACATACAACGAAACAGATCCAAAGATCTTCAGTGTTGCATTATTCAATGTCGATACAAAAAAGCTTAATGGAAATTATCAAATCGCAAATTCACTTCAAACAGTTGCAGGAACGGCAAAAGTTCGTCCGAATTGCGTGGAAGCAGGTGATGGTTATTTTGTTGGTTTTGTAAATTCAAGTCAATATGCTCTCAATCATCCAGAAATTTATTATTCTTCTCCAACGTTTTCCATTCAACCAAACACTTCACAAGTTCAATCGCCAACTTCATCTTCGCAATCGTCTATCACTGGTTCGTCTTCTTCTTCATCTAATGATACACAATCGAACGCCTTTGGTCCAGCCAATGCAGGTCAAACACCCACTACCGATCAGGCCAAAACAGTCAAAGGCGCAAAAGATGGAGCAGCTCAAGTCAAGGTCGTTACTGCAATTGCTTTGATCGCTCCCTTATTTGCATGTGTCTCATTGTACCTTTCCATCTGATCGAGATACAATGTTGGACATTACCATATCTGATTCAATTCATCATCTTCCACCTCTTTTCCAAGCATTTTTGCTCTTTGTACAGACCCCTTCTTTCACTGCAAAGATCTTATTCGAATACCATTTATATCCACCACAAAACACTCACGAAAATAAGAACGAAATGAGTCTATTTCTATTTCTAGACAAAGTTGCAGATTTTAGGTAGCGTATGTAATACACGTTGAGTAAAGAGTAATCTAGATGAGACCGTCTGCTTCGAGCAACAAGACGATCGAGTGAACGGCTTCAGCAACGGTCATTTGAGTAAGGTCAACACGTAGGTTAACTTGATCATCCGATGGAATCTCATAAGGATCATCAACGCCTGTGAAACCCTTGATTTGACCTGCTCTTGCTTTTGCGTAATTTCCACGTCTATCAGTTGCTTCACAAACTTGCAAAGGAGTAGAAACGTGAACCAAGAAAAAGTTACCACTTCCACCTGTCTTTTGAATTGTTTCTTTGGCTGATTTACGTGAAGATTCGAAAGGTGCAATTGGGGCAGCAATCACTGCTGCACCAGCTCTTGTCAATTCAGCAGCAACGAATGCGATTCTTTGAATGTTCTTATCACGATCTTCACGTGTGAAGCCCAATTCGGAACTCAATTCAGAACGAACAGTTTCACCCAACAAAAGTGAAACACTTCTGCCTCCTTGTTCGTTGAATTTGACTTGTAGGGCACGGGCGATATCATCTTTACCGGAGTTATACAATCCTGTAAGGAAGATTGTGAAACCTTGTTTGGTCTTGGGTGGGTATGATTCTCTCAATGTTTTCACAACACTTTCATAAGAGAACCAATCTGGGATTGATGCACCTGTACGAAGTCTCTTGCGCAATTCTGTACCACTGATATCCAATGTCTGTGTTCCGGCTGGCACTTCATCGATTGGTTGATATTCATCAGTTGAAGGCAAATAAGTCATCATTTGGAAAGGTACCATTTCGATTCCTAATTCGCCTGCATATTTGGTAACCAAACTTTGTGCGTCGTAAGGGCCATAGAAGTCCTTTCCTGTACTGTCCTTACCCGGACCTGCGTGATCGCGTCCGACGATAAAGTGTGTAACACCAAAGTTCTTACGAATGATGGCATGCCAAACAGCTTCACGTGGTCCACCCATTCTCATGGCCAAAGGCAAGAGAGCCAATTGAGCCATTCCGTTGGGATAACGAGGCATCAAGCTTGTGTAAACACGAACACGGGTGTAATGGTCCACATCGCCTGGCTTTGTCATTCCGACGACAGGATGAATCAAAACATTTGCTTGGCGTTGACGAGCAGCACGAACGGTCAATTCACGATGGGCACGATGCATTGGGTTACGTGTTTGGAATGCAACGACTTTACGCCATGCCAATTTGTTGAATTGTTGACGAAGTTCGGCAGGTGTGAAACGTAAAGCGACGTAATCGTAATATTTTGGACGAGAGACACATTGAACTTTACCACCAATGTAGACATCTTGAACATTTTTGCTCAAATAAGAAATTGCAGGATGAGCAACATCGTTTGAGCCGAAAACGTGAAGAGCTTCAGCTTCTTTGTTTGGCTTGTACAAGTCACTGATTGTCAAGATTGCCAAAGCGTTATCATCACGAGGATCACGAAGAGTGATTCTGCTTCCTGCTTGTAATTTCAATGCTTCTACTTGTTGAGATGAAACGTCCAAAGTGATTGGCATTGGCCAAAGAGCACCGTCAGCCAAACGCATGTTTGTAACTACACTTTGATAATCTGCTTGACCCATGAAACCCTCCAAAGGTGAAAAACCACCGTTTAAGATCAATTCCAAATCACATAATTGACGTTCGGTCAAAATGACATCTGGCAAAGTTGAAGCTTCTTTGATTAATTGTTCTTGAATTGGAGCGTCACGAATGACTAAATCCTTCAAAATGCCTCCATGTGGTGCGTTAGCCATCTTTACGATCTTTTGTTGGAAGAGGATATGATGATGGTAGCTGAGAAGTTAATCACCCTGACAAGATATTCGAATTCAGATTTCAAGAAGATTTATTTCTATATTTGGCCAATGCGTCATTGTGAAGCAAAAAGAAGAAGATTAGAATGATAAAAGATAATAATCAGACAGGGAGAATGTGCCCAATCATATACACCAATCGGAAGAAGCGAGTAGAGCACAGTACATTAGTGCACTCACTCTAATGTCCTTACGGCAAAACACGTTCTACACTGCAGCTTGGTTTAGCCGCGGAACTCAACTTTTCACGCACCACACGACAGTGTCTGATTTCCAAAGGGTTCGACCCCAGTGAGCACGCAATATCTGCAGCATGCACCGCTACAAAAATGCCGAATTCTTGATCACATAATCAACCTTTCTTCCGTGATTGTGAAATCCATCATTTCTTGGCAACTGATGACGAACAAAGGCCGAGAAATTCACAAAAACAAAGCGTTTATTATACAGTGGAATGCGTATATACAAATTGCTATCAAGAATGCGGAAAGGGTAAATTGGGATAAAAGCCTTCAGTAGACTGTGTATGCGAAGGAGGATAGTTTGGATTGGAAGATTGATAGGGTTGATGATGTGGACCAGGGCCGTGAGGAGCATATTGTGTAGACGGCATGCCATGCTGCTGCTGATTGTGAGAATCAAAGGGTAGGTATGCCTCTGATGATGCCATTGTGATTGGAGCGTTTGAAATCTGCTCGATTGGGAGATTCTCATTTGATGAATTGCCTAAAACGGTGAAGTATGTATGCGTGAACGATAACCAGCGTTGGAAATCTTCACCCAAAGGCATATCTGGCCAGAATGCATCAAGTGATTGAGATTGCAATTGTTCTTCTGCCGTACTACTTTCCGCTTGTGACTGATTATTGACAGCCAGATTACCAGTATTGAACGAGCTTGTATTTGCACTTGGGCTATTCATATGGCTTGCTGGCGTCGGTTGTCTTAATCGACCCAAAGAAGGAATACCGTCCAGAAGCGAAACACCACTCTTGCCATCAGAGACCGAATTCGGGTGGAGTTTGGATCGAAGTGTATTGCGTACACGTTCAGTACCGTACATTCCCATTGTGCCTATTTCAAGCTTGTTCTGTAAAGCAGCACGTAATCCAGGTTCTTGTAATCCAGTCTCAGAAAGATCCACATTGATTGTCGAAGACAACTTCTCCAGGATTGCAAGATGTTGAGTTGCGGAACTCCATGTCTCGGTCATCTTGATAAACCAGCCAACGATGTCACACAGCTGTCTTTTTGCTGTTTTACACAAGGTGCTATCGATCGAAGTAGTATTGGCCAAAGCAATAGTTGCAGCACTGAATAAACAATAGACCGTACTACTTGGAACCTTTCCCAAGGAAAACAAACGTTCATAATCACAAAACATTTGCCAGATCGCATCAGTTGCTTTGCTACATTCTGCATGACTGTTGATACCAGAATGCTTGTCAGTCGGTTTGAGAATATAAGGTCTATGCAACAAAATACGACAAGCTTGTGCCCACATTTGTTGATGGATGATGTATGGGAAGAATGCCTCCCCTTTATTGGCATACCATCGTAAATTCATCGGCGTTTGTTGATCCCATTCTTCCAATTGTTGATGCAAATAAGCAACCGTACTTTGCCAATCTGGTTGATCCTTTCCAGGCACACTTCCAAAGGCAACAGTTTGTTTCCCTTTGATAACGTTGTATTGTGTTATAATGTATTCAGACAGTCTTGCCAATCGACAGCCATGCGTAAAGTATGTTGCCATATTGAGAGGTTTTCCATTCGTCTTTTCCGAAAATGACTTTTGCGGTAGAGTCCAAACGTTCTCCTCTCCTTCAAAAGATGGTAATGGACAATCTGATTCGGCATCACGTAACACTGGAGGTCGACCCAATTGAACGGCCATCATCTTATCAATCACATAGATAGACCAATAAATTCGTCTTCTATATTCATCTTCCATCTTTGTGAATGAAGAGCCCATGATCTGCGCCATCTCTGTTTGACGATGTAAGCCTAAATCCATCACCATCCTACATGCCGTCCAACAATAATGTGCTGCTTGACTTGGTCTTCCAGCACCTGTTTCACGTAATGATAGGAATGACATAGCCGCCGTTGATTCAATCGTTGGATTCAAGATTGCACTGATATGATGATAGTGTGCTCGAACAGCAAAGATTGTACTGATTTGACGGGCTGACAACGTTGTTTCAGATCCCGAATCCAAAGAACCTCCTTCATTTGCACTTGCCCATACCAGAGCAGCGAGTGAACAGATTGAATTGAACAAAAAGGGATGATCATTTTCGCACATCAATCGAAGATCGTCCACAGTTGGATAATCATGTCGTAAAAAGACGGGCCAATGCAACATAATCACTGACCAGAAGACGTTGAAAAGTTTCGGGATGATTGCATCAGGGATTGTAGGTAATTCCATTTGCTCTGAGACTGAAATTTTGCCTCTGCTAGCTTCAGCTTGATGGTCATCAGTACCTTTTTCAATTCGCTTTCCAGTCGACTTCGAACCTTGAGACTCTTTGCGTTTGGCATCTTGCCTCTCTCTGTATAGCTGTGCCAGTACAAGATCAGCAAGCTCTTGTCCTTCAATGTCAATGCTCTTATGAAGACGTTCTGCTAATGTTGCATTTGGATGTTCGACACTTTGCAACGGCTTGCTTTCACGTTGAAGTGATGGATCATGATAAGAAGATTGTTGAAATGGTGCTCTGATGGGGTCTGAGCGTGGATAATGATCCGTAGATGGGCCAGGCATTCCATCTCTGTATGAATGTGATCGCGTGTACGGCTCAAGAGGTGGCGCCCGATACTCATTCGAAGTACTCGAGCCCTCTTTCCCATAAGTATCTCTTGGTGCATTGAATGAGAACGATGATCGTGATGGCTCTCCATATTCGCGTGATCGTTGAGGAGAAGGCAAATAAGGCGGAGAAGTGAAACTTGAACTACTTCCTCCGCCATATGAAGTAGCACGGAAATGTTGTTGATATTGCGGTTGATGTCTAGACGGATCAGATTGTGGACTATATGCTGTTTCATTACGAGAAGGTTCAAAATTATCTCTTTGCATGCCATGTTTCTTTATTGAACCTCTTGTCGTTCCTTTTGCTGGACCACGCTTTTTTGCCTGTCCATAAGAACATTCTTCTTCATTCTTTTTGCACGTCTCACAAGGGTTTTCACCATTACACTTTACCCTACGAAAGCTACAAGCTTTGCAAGCCTGTTGAATTCTTCTTCGTTTCTTTTGATCATCAAGTTGAGGAGGTGAAGGTGGTACGGTAGCGCTTGAAGATGAAGCTTGCATGATTCCATTTGAATAAGATGATGGAAGTTGAGAAGTGGATGCGGAGGAATTGGTGGAAGATGTCCTTTGCTTTTGTTGTTGTTGATCAAATCGATAAGAATCAAATTGTGTATTTTCATCATTTGAACGATAATATCCTCTTCCATTTGTGCTTGGATATGCATTTGATTGTTGATTTGCCATCTTGATCAGGTTTTTTTTTTGCTAAGATCGATCACTTGTGCCAAGCTCCGAGCGGATGGAAGGAATATTCTGTGGAGAAAAGAACGGAGTAACACTGCCAATTGCGTTTTTGTTTGGATAGCCTTCCCAGATTGTGCTTCTCTGTTGAACGTGCTCGGACATTGAAATCTCACTGATGATGTATACAATTCATTTTCGCGCACGTTTGAAAAGTTGCTTCAATGTCACTTCAAATATGCTTGTGATCGTTCCTCCGAATCGAATTAACACACAATCCGAACTGCGTACTTTTTCTTTCAAATCCACCTCAATCCACAACCTTACTGAAACCACAATAGCTTCTTTGAATTTGTTTATGATGTCCGATTGTGTGAAGATGTAAGGAGGAAGAAGAGTTCTTTTTGTCAAGATTGTCAAAACGTGTGAAGGATAACATGCAAACACACACACACACCAGTTACAATCATACCTTTCATGCAATGCACACTAAAGTGGAAAATCATGCATCCATCCTTTACATCACGGCATCTGATTTAATACACTCGCCGTTAAAAGTGAAACACTAGAATCTTTTATTTTTGAGGCGTATGAAGTACAACACTAGTCACTTTGGCTTGGACAACTCAACAGAATGAAAAAGCCCGCGACCAAATTATGGGGCCGAAGATTAAATTAAAACGTTCCCGAGGCGGAGTAAAACACACTGTTCACATACCATGCTTCTTTCTCTCGCTTTAATCAGCTTCTATTGTTCTCAAGTACCTGCATCGTGTTACTAAGTTAAGGGAGCGAGCGCTTCCATCCGCCGGCATATCAAAATGCTATTTATTACAAATACTCTTTCTATATTGATTAATTAAAACAACTCCAACCTAACCTTATTCTTCGCCACCTCGTGCAATCGCATCTGCAGTTTTAGCAACATCTACCATCTCTTTCACATCATGAACACGAATGATATCTGCTCCTGCTAGAATGGATGCCGTACAAGCTGCCGCCGTACCTGCCATTCGATCTTTTGCTTCTGAACGTCCAGTGATTGTACCTAAAAATCGTTTTCGACTTGGACCAACCAAGAGCGGGAACGATTTAAGAGATAGATTCGGTTCCAATGAAGCTGAAGAAGGCTCCTTTTGGGTTGCAAGAGGAGGTGGTGAACTACTTCTGCTTTGACCCACTCCTCCATTTCCGCTACCATTACGAATCTTGGCTAATCCACGTAAAAGTTGCAAATTACCATCCGCATTCTTTGCGAATCCGATCCCTGGATCTAAGATGATATTCCATCTTGGCACTCCTTGACGTAATGCGTTTTCGATCCTATTTTCGAGTTCCTTGCTCACCACTCGAACAACATCATTTCCTGCATATTGTGCTAAAGAATTCATCGAGCTAGAATCTCCTCGCATATGCATCAAGATGATCGGACACTCGAATGTGCGAGCCACTTCAAAGATTGCTGGATCACGTACTCCTGCTGTCACATCATTAATCATCGTTGCACCAGCTTCCAAAGCGGCTTTAGCTACGCTAGCACGGAACGTATCGATACTGATCGGAATATCCTGATATGCAGATCGGATTGCTTTGATCACAGGTACGACACGCTCAATCTCTTCCTGTTCGTCAACCTCTTTCGCATTGGGTGCTGTACTCATTCCACCTATATCCAGAATGTCCACACCTTCTTCAATCATTGCTTTGGACGTTGAAACTGCACTTTCTACGTTGAGATTATTACCTCCATCAGAGAATGAGTCAGGAGTAGCATTGATGATTCCCATCACGTACGTCTTTGTTCCCCAAGTCCAAGCAATCTTTTGTTTCTTGCCCAACTGCAACGGCAACACCCTTCTCATATCTTCCTGAACATACCCTTCCGAATTGATCAAGATGGAGTGTAGTTGAGAGATTGTTCTAGACGTGCTTGGATGACGATAATCGGGTAGAACGTCCATCAGAGGCTTAAGCACGAATTCACGCTCAAGAATGCCGGCATGCGGAACGATGAGATCCGATGTATTGAGCTCGATACGATCATAGAGCAAAATATCCAAATCAATCGCTCGCGGTCCTTTGATTGGAACTCCATCTTTGTCCCTTCCTATCTCCTTCTCGATCGATTGACAAAGTCGTAAAAGTGAATGCGGATCCAATTTAGTGGCGATTCGACAAGCCCCGTTGATGAATTTTGGCTGATCGATGTAGTACTTTGGCTCGGTTTCATACAAGAAGCTCGTATCGACCAATTTGCAGTCTTTTGATGCGCCTAGCAGAGCGACCGCTCTTTCGATATTGGCAAAACGGTCTCCTACATTAGACCCCAAGGCGATTGCAGCAACGTGCCAATCATGATCCAATCCATTCACTTTTGTGAAAGCTGCACCTGTGGCTTTAGCTGTGAAGCTGGCGGACATTGATGCAGGTGTGATGATCGGCTCCATAGCCTCTTCCTCATTGACCGATTCGAAATATGCACGATCACGTTCCACTTCCACTCCAGCACAATCGGCAAACATGATTGCGCTTGGCTTATCCACCCGTACACGAATCCTCTCAACTCGATTCTCACGAACAGCGATTTCTGCAATACTCAAGGCTAATGACTCGACTGTTTTGTAGTTCGTCCTTTGAACATGCTCTGAAATGGATCTGACAATCGTTCGATAGTTTTGCGGTTTGGTGACCATATCAACAGTAGGCGTAGGTACGGCTGCTTTGCTCGATCCGATCAGGGCGGCCTGACGCAAACGTTCCAAACCTGAGTAAACTTCCAGGTTGATTCGTACAATCTGTTTATCCACACGTTCCCAAGGATTGACACCCAAGATTGTGCTGATACACAAATCCTTTACGAATACACGATCATGTTGAGCCCAATAAGACGATCCAGAAAGGCGCAGAGAAGCCTGTTCTTCAGCAGAAGCAGCGATCGAACCTTTGCTTTGCGGTGCATATACTTCTTCCGCATTCCTTCCATCTGTGGTCACAAAATCTGATGCAGTTCGAATGATTTGTACTCCTGCCGAATCAGCATGCAAAAGTGCTCTTGGCTTCTGTACTCGTAAAGTGACTTTGGGTCCTCTGCAAGTAAAGATGCATACTTTTGCCAATCCTTCTGCCAGTGCTTCCAAACTTCTGTATCGTTCGCCTGAACAATGAGATTCCAATTCTTTCGTCAAAATACCATAATGGATGCTATGGGGTAAATGATCAGCTTTGCCTGCTTTCGAAACATCTGTATGAATTTGCACATCAATCTTGACCGGTTGTGGTTTCACACGCTCCCAATTATCCACTCCTACTAACATGCGAACCGATAAACCGGTCAAGCAGATCGAGTCAGGTAAGACTTCCGCATGAGCAGATTGCGAGTCATCTTGCAAGCCCATTCTACCAAATTGTAAGAAAGAAGATGAAGGGACCGAAGAGAAAGGATGAGAGGGCATGATGTAGTGAGTGTGTTTATGCAAAGATACAGGCCGAACGAAAGGAAAAGAAGAGAGGATTCGTTGTGATAGAATTGATCGAAAAGCGATCCTGTGCATTTGAAAAGTTGCGGTATTCTACTTCTAATCAGACATTTTGTATTCGTATTCGAATAGTTGAGCTGACGATCATGACCTTAAGATCTTCATTTTGGCGGAGTTGGTTTCCTTCCCAAATCTTTTCTGCTCGCACGGTTGTTTGTCTTCACGTGAGAGAGTGACCCCAGCTTCTGCCCATTAGACTAAGCGAGCATTATTGTTCTGGCTGCTGGCCGCACTTGATTGCTCGACACGTATACTGACTGAATCTGAGAAGAACCAAGCGGAAATCTAAGCTTGCCCACAGTATAGAATACGCCGCCGCTTTCTCTTGCTGTCCAGAAAGGCCTACACGTATTACAGTTAAGGCTGGCATTTGCTGGGCGGCGTACCTTGGCTGTCTTTATTGTGTGCGTGCGTGCGTGGTTATTGTGCAGGTCTTCTTAAACCGTCAATGTGGAAGAAGATTGCGCTTCAAAGGTCTTCAACCAGCTCCAACTCTTGATTACGATCATCATACACTCTTTTACTCGGAATCATTGCCCATCATGAGTAGTGGATGTAAGTGTTTGCCGCAAGCTGACAATCAATCAAAATCAATAACTAACCTCTTCCATCTTTCCATTTTTCAGTCCGATTCTTGTCGCTCGTGCGACCTTTCATGTCAGTCTTGCCAGAAGTGGCTGCACCAGAACGAAAGGTACCGTTCCAATCGCGTATCGCATGGACAGCAATCGTTTTGGCCATCTTCTTGGTCGCTTCACAAATTCCATTATACGGTATCATGTCTTCCGATTCAAGTGATCCTCTATACTGGATGCGTGTCATTTTGGCTTCCAATAGAGGTACATTGATGGAATTGGGTATCTCTCCAATCGTAACATCAGGTATGATCATGCAACTGCTCGCAGGTGCAAATTTGGTTGAAGTTGATTTCAGTTTGAAGGAAGATCGGGCTTTGTTCGGAGGTGCACAAAAGTTGTTCGCTTTGATTATCTCTCTCGGTCAGGCAACCGTTTACGTTTTGACCGGCCTTTACGGACAACCCAAAGATCTCGGAGCAGGTGTTTGTCTTTTGTTGATCTTGCAATTGGTCGTTGCAGGTTTGATTGTGATTTTATTGGATGAATTGCTGCAAAAAGGATACGGTTTAGGTTCAGGTATTTCGTTGTTCATTGCAACAAACATTTGTGAATCAATCGTTTGGAAAGCCTTCTCTCCTACTACAATCAACACCGGTCGTGGTCCTGAATTCGAAGGTGCTTTCGTGGCTCTTTTCCACCTTTTGTTCACATGGCATGACAAGAGCCGTGCATTGAAGGAAGCATTCTATCGTGAACGTTTGCCAAACGTGATGAACTTGGTTGCAACTTTGTTCGTCTTCCTCGTTGTCATTTATTTGCAAGGCTTCCGCATCGAAATTCCCGTCAAGTCTAACCGCTTCCGTGGTCAACGTGGTACATACCCTGTCAAATTGTTCTACACCTCTAACATGCCAATCATGCTCGAATCTGCCTTGACTTCCAACGTGTTCATCTTGAGTCAAATGTTGGCCACAAGATTCCCAAAGAACTTGTTTGTCAGTCTCTTGGGTGTTTGGGAACCATTGGAAGACAGTCAACAATTGCATGCCGTTAGTGGTTTATCGTACTACATCTCTCCACCACACACTTTGAAGGCAGTCGTTGGTGACCCGATTCACACAGTCGTTTATATCGCATTCACCTTGACAGCATGTGCTTTGTTTAGTAAGACATGGATCGAAGTTTCTGGCAGTGGACCACGTGAAGTTGCCAAGCAACTCAAGGAGAATCAAATGGTCATGGCAGGACATCGTGAAGGAAGTATGTACAAGGAATTGAAGAGAGTCATTCCAACTGCTGCTGCTTTTGGTGGTGCAACAATCGGTGCACTTTCCGTTTTCGCTGATTTGATTGGAGCTTTGGGATCGGGAACTGGTATTCTACTTGCTGTTACCATTATCTACTCCTACTTTGAAATTGGAATGCGCGAAGGAGGTGGCCCAGAGATGGCCGCTATGGGCGATATGATGTAAGGAGGCATCACAGAGGAGGCGAAGCAGGACACAACATGCCGAGGAAGGTTGTGTCGAAAGTAGGAAAGTGACTTGAAAAAAAAAAGAGGATCGATGAAGTGCGATCTCAAAAGTGCACTTAAGAACAGCAAATACTGAAAGGGTGGAATACATCTTTCCTTTCTATTTCATAACCAACGAGTTCGTTATTTTATTCCACGATCCATGAGGATGGGAGAATTAATTCACTCTGTACATTGACATAATTGCAAAAAAAGATATATTTGTAAGATCCATTTGAGTGATTGATGGATTGGGCCACATTAATTATCTTGACGATGTTGCGGAGATAAAAAAGTAACACAAAGGCTAATCATGAGAAATAGAACACGCCACTACGCCAGTCTAATTTAGTCACAGTACGCGCGTCATTGATGCATCAGCAAGTATTCATACATCAATCATACTCCTTTCCCTTGCCACTACCATCAAAGGGGCCCTTGAAGACATCGTTACAGGCCCACCAAGTACGATTTGGATGCTCTCTCACCTCTAGTACAATCCCATCAAGATGGCTGACGAAGCTGCATCGCGTGCTTTGTTGCTTGATAGTGGAACGGCCGAGGCTGTGACAGTGAATCAAAGAGCATTGATTGATAAAATTTTGGCAAGGTATAGTAGCGAATTTACCGTATTTCGTGAATTGATTCAAAATGCAGATGATGCAGGAGCAGAAACGTGTGAACTTCGATTCAACAGTCAGGATTATAGCTCAACTTCCAAGGAAGCTCTTGAGGTACCAAACCTAAAAGCAACATTGAGAAGTTGGATGTTCAGAAATAATGGAAAAGCATTCAGTGGAGATGATTGGAATCGGCTAAGGCGAATTGCTGAAGGGAATCCTGATCCCGATCGGATAGGTGCTTTTGGTGTAGGCTTTTACAGTTTGTTCTCCATATCTGAAGAACCAATCGTTTCTTCTGGCGCCGAATTGATGGGCTTCTTTTGGAAAGACGACAGTCTGTTCACACGCCGGGCAAAGTCTCCTAATGCAGAAGTATCTCCAAATGGTCAACCTTGGACAACATTTCACATGCCATTGCGTGAACCAGCTCCATTCTCTGATTCCTTCTTGGACCTATCACGATTTCTGGCAACTTCGCTTACTTTCACAAGTAATGTCAAAAGGCTAGGCCTATACTTTGACGATCGTCCGCTCTGTCGACTTCATAAGGTCTTAGAACCGGCAAAGGCTCTAACTATGCCTTCCCATTTGAATGCAACAAGCCCACGAAAGATGTTGAAAGTACAGTCAATGGATACCACAGCAATGCGTTTGGACGTAGAAGCGATGAAACTTGTGACCGATCTAGCAGAAAAGCCCAAACCAGCTCTGGTCAATTTGGCTTCTGCGTTCTCAAAGACAGGAGGTGGAGGATTAGCAAGTATGCTGCAAAGCGCTTTCGGTAGATCGAAAGAGAAGGAGCCCAAAGTGATCACACCCGTTACGCCTTCGCCGGCCATTGATATTGCGTCCAAGGCTGCATCTGCTTTGACTACGACTTCGGCTACCGTTCACGTCAGAATAGCAACAGCAACAACAGGAGTGAGCGTAGATAGAGCTTTCGAAAGGGAAATAGAGAGAAGCACGAAAAAGCCACCTCCAAGGGTGACGAAGTTACAAGTGATTGCACAGAACAAACAAGAATCCGAAGCAAGTAAAGAAGCCAGTCATGGAGGTGATATCGCAGAAATCTTCAAAGGCATTGTCCCTTCCCTTGATACCCAAGGACACGTCTTTATCGGTTTCCGTACAAATCAAACAACAGCATTTACTGGTCATTTGGCCGCACGATTCATTCCTACGGTCGAGCGAGAGAGTATCGATTTCGTAGACAAGTATTGTGCACAATGGAACAATGAGCTATTGGCTATGGGAGGATATGTCACACGAGCTGTATACGAAGCTGAGATGGCTGAAATTGGCAAAATCTGGACTGAAAAGTTAGGAGCAAGCCGACCCAAAGACGACGATCAAGTAGCAAAAGATCTTTTGGAGAGAGCATTGCATGTTATGCGATTCTTCACCTTTCGTCGTTCTACTCCTTCTCCGCGTGTCCATGATGCACTCGAGACTGCATTCTTTGGCTGCGCTCGTCAGAATACTTTGACGTTGGCATCCACTCGTGGTGTCAAGCATTCAGCATTGGTCAGATTCCCAAATGCAGTACTGGCTGACTTTGTGAAAGACTTGGCCGTTATTCCGCCTTCGCACGTCGAGCAAGCTGGCGATTTTATCGCTCAGGTAAAGAGTAGGGGACTCGTTCGGGAGATCACAATGGATGACGTTTTTTCAGAATTGTCCGGGCGTGCTCTTTCGATCGAGGAGATGATCTCATGTCTCAAATGGTGGGTCACTGTAGCCAATCATCCAAGTTATGATCCTACACTGCTGCGACAGTTGTTGAACAATGCCTTGGTTGACGTTCCAGCATCAAAAGATGGCAAAGAAGCTAGCGTGCAGCAGCTAGCCGGTGTCAAATCATTCTTGAATCCTCAACGTGTACCAACGGATGTGCCTTTGCCGCCTTCCTGTCTGACGTATGAGGTGTCAAAAGCTCTATCATCTCAAGATATGTCTAGAATATTTGGTTGGGGTGAGCTAACGGTTGCTCAATGGGTAGAGCACATTGCTGGTCTCAGTCGTGCAAAAGATGCAGAGTTGGACATAAACATTCAGCTCTCACCTCCGTTTGCGGAAAAGGTGATGGGAATTGTTGCTCGAGCATGGGGATCACTACCCACTCAACAACTGGAATTAATCCATGCTACGTTGAAAGACTTACCATGCATCCCCACACGTAAAGGCATGACCAAACCAGGGGAATCATATTTCGCAAATGTCTCTTTGTTCGATGATCTACCAATCGTCTCATTCCCAACGCAAACACAAGTCAAGGGAAATTTGGAAAAGGCTTTAGCCGCCTTGGGTGTGAGAAGACACGTGGAATTGCAAATGATTTTTGATCGATTGGTTGCTGCAGGTGATTGGGATGTTACGCAACTGATCACATACCTTGCTTCCAACAAGGATACTTTGAGTACATTGGAGTTGGAGCGTTTGACAAAGACGGCCATGTTCCCAAAAGCAGGAGAAGTTGGACCGCCAGGCAAAGATGGAAAGCCTCGTATCGTTCGATATCGAGCCTCACAATTGTATGAACCCACGGACACGCTTAAAGCACTCAAATTACCCTTACTGGATTGGCCAGGAAAAGTATGGAGAGCAAATTCTGAAGAAGCAAAGTTTGCATATGAATTGGGTCTGCGAAGATTCCCACCCCTGGAAGAAGTCTTGCGACTAGCATCATCGGCCAATGAAGATGAGCAAGTAAGAAAGAAAGCATTTGCATATTTGCTCGAAAAAGTTCCAACTACATACAAGAATACATACTCGCTCAAATCGGCTGCCTCATTCGCATTCGTACCGTGCACGACCCCAGAAGGAAAGATTGTTCTCAAGAAGCCTACCGAAGCATTCACAAATAAAGAAGCTGTCATTTTGGGCTTCCCGTCTGTCAGTGATGAGGTTGGCGTGATGGATGTGGCCAAGCTGGGCTTAAGAAGTAATCCTTCGAATGCTCAAATTGTTGCTAAATTGGTCAATGAGCCTAGTAGGGATATTCAGATCGCTCGTAAAGTGTTTGAGTATCTCTCCAGTGTTACTGAGCTTACAATGTCAGATTACAAGCTTTTGTCAACCGCTTGCTTTATCCCTGTCAAGAACAGCTCAAATACAGCAGCAGCAGCGGCTGCTTCGTCCTCTCAAGGTGAAAAGACCGACATCATTCTCACAAGACCTGTTGAAACCTACTTCGGTGACAAGTCTACAAACAGTCAATTGAAGGATGTCTTGAATGAAGTTTTCGTCTTTGTGGACTTTGGAGAACGGGCATCAGTATTCCTGCGAAATTGTGGTGTTTCAAAAGAGCCTAGTATCGAAGAAGTTGCCGTTCAACTTGTACGTGATCCTCAAAGATTCTTCCGTATCGCTGGCGTGGAGAATTACCTGGGCATCTTACGTCAAATTGCTACCAATTGGCAAAGAATACCCTACACCCTGCGTAACGAGATGAAGAGGTCAAAGTTTGCGCTTGCTTCAAAGAGAATCTCGGTTGCCAAACAATCTCAATCGAATGGTAAATCCGGAGAGATTGAAAATCTGATGGACGCTGATCTCGATGAAGATGACAATGATGAACAAGGAGTGTTGATTCACGATCTTAAGCGGCCTGATGAGATTGTCATTGTCGATGATGCTGCTTCACAAATGCTCTTCTCCGAAGTCGTCTTTGCTGTTCCGCATGAGGACTTGATCGAAGCAATGATGGCCGAATTGGGAGTAAAGCGGTTGAGTACATTGGTAGAGGAAAGGTATGCCGCTGCTGGACAAGTACGATTTGATACACAACGATGCGCTGAAGTGGCCGGAATTGTGCTTGAACGTACGCCATTGTTCATCTTTGAGAAACGACAATCATCCAAATCAGAAATCCGGCGTGATGCAGAATGGCTCAAAAGTCATCTACAGGTAGCACAAGTGGACGGAAGAGGGTTGCGATTGACAAGGCAACTTCGATTTGGAAGCATCAATGTGAGCAATGAGCAGAGATGCAGTGCAATGGCAAGTTTGCAGAGTGGCAAATTGACTTTGTACATTGCCGAAAATATGGATGTGGATTGGTACGAGGTTGCAATGGCATTGGCTAAACATCTGCTAAGTCGACAAACTTTACCAGACATGTTACTTTACATGACTATCCTCTCAACCAGTCTGCGTAATCTCAAAAGACGTGGTTTCCATGTGGACAAAATTCTTTCTCAACGCAAAGCAGAACGTGAAGCATCAGAACGTGCAATGCGAGAGGAGCGTGCAAAGGCTGAATTGGAAGCTGCTCAAAGGCCTAGTGAAGGACAGATTAAGCAATGGACAAAAGATATGCTTGCCGTCTTCCCAGATGCTGATCCTACATATGTCGAAAGGCTGTTACGGGAGGCAAAGACCGATCATGTGGTCAATGCGACCAACTCGATGTTAGAGAGACCCTATCCAAAGGCTCCACCTAAGAGACCATCAGGATTCGGAGCCGATCCGATTAATGATTCTAAAGCAGTCGCTGTCGCAGGCAAACAAGATTCGTCTATCGCTGCACCACAGCCTCCTACAGACTTTGGCGATGCTCGCGGTTCAGGTTCGGGCGGAGGCTTTTTCAGCAATTGGCGTAATCGTTTAAAAGGATCAGAAGGAGACAGTGGAGGTCCAAACTTGCCTGGAGGTTGGCAACCAGGTCAAACCAAGCATCAATTTCCCGAAGCGCTCACGGCTGCTTTACAAGCCTCTTCTGCTGGACAAGTACGTGAGAGTATTGCGGGTAGTGTGAATGCTGGTAATACGACAAGTCAAGCCACTGCACGTAATCCCAATGCGGGTGTAACACCATCAGCGAATATAAAGAGAAGAGTTCTTTCTGCCATTGATGCTTCAAGAGGATCTGCTCCAAGTTCGTTCAACTCTCCTGGACAGTCGATCGAATCACAAGGACATCAAACACGTGTAAAGGAAGCACAGAGCACGTATTGTGACACTACTGGGGTGGCAATGTCGTTGCGTCTTGCTGGTCAGATTTCCAATATGAACGTATACGTATCACCTGAACTTGATCCGAGTTCGACTTTGACAAATAATGGGCAGGCGATGCAGTTGTTCATCGATCAAATTATCAAGCCAATCATTAGCGTTTTTAATTTGGATATCAAGAGTGTTCACATTTTTGTGGATGTTAGCGGTCCAAGTATTGCCTTTAATCGTGCCGGACAATTATTCCTCAATTTCCGTTATCATTTGGTTTGGTTTGATGAAGAAGTTCGTCAAGGTCAATATACGAACGCTCTGATCAGCACTTATCATTCTTTGGCACATGAACTTGCACATAATCTTGTTGCTCAGCATGATTCAGAACATGAATTTTGGTTTAGTAGCATTTGTGAACAGTACTTCATACCTTTTGCAGCCATTGTTGCTCAAGCTTCTGCAGCATCTTCCGGCACCGCAAATCTTCAAATAGAAGCAGCATGAAATCTAGATTCTTCCCTACTCATATTGTATACTTAACGGTCAATGAATCTATCTTATCATTTGAATCTCATGTGTGAGATTGTAGACAGCGGGTGCACGTTATGATATATGATTACGCTCAGAAGCTTTCGAATTTTATATACGGATCCAGCCAAAAACCTAGAATTTTTCGAATCAAAATGTGCAAAAATTGAGGTAAATAAAATTCGTATGTGATTCGAATTGAAAACCCAATTTTGTCAAATCAGAAAATGGCATAGGGATTCTTTCTGAAAAGCTAATCAGGCAAAAAGGCGAGCTTTATTGGCCAAAAGTCACGTGGTACAGGCTTGAGGCAATGCCATACGAATACGAGATGGTCAACAATGCTTATGCATCACCGTACTGCAAAATCCGCTCGCTCGCTCGCTCGGAGGAAAGTCACTGCCTATAAATTTCATTAGGGTTTGATCAAAAACTTTACACAGTTATTGCGATGTAACACAGCCAAAGCAGTGCACACAAATGCAATTTACGTCAATGAAAACAAATTGATAGGGTTAAACTGATTGCTAGTAAACTTAAACACAGCAACCTTTCGGTTTATCTTCGGTGTAATCCCCTCTTGCTTGGCGCTTGTGGTGACGGAAGCCATAGCAAGTCGCAGTGTTATTATCCGGAGAATTATTGTGTTTCATCGGTAATTTACGTTGACGCATTACTTTGTTTCATCAGTAATTTACGTTGACGCATTGAAAGGTATAAGAGGCACACTTTTTCAATCGAGTACTTCCCTTTTCTCCCTCACAATCATTCATCTGACAGAATGAAAACCCTTCAAGCCTTTCACGTTTCAATCACTCTCAGCTTCATCTCAATCTTGCTGTTGTGCCGTGTAGTCAACACTGCTGCAATCTCATCTCATAATCATGCACCTGATTTATCTGCAAATGGCTTCATGACATTGTTCAAGCGCGGAAAGAATTGTTTGGTCATAACTTGTACAGACGATCAACATTGTCACGACAAGGACTGTATAAATGGTTGTGCTTTAGATATTGAAAGATGTCATTCAAATGATGCCTCTTTGAATTTACCTTATTATCACAAGAATTTTGGAAAAGATCCAAGCGAAAGAGGAAAAGAAAAAGACAAGAAGAAAGATTCAAAATCAGGGCAATCTTCTTCATCCCGCACTTCACCGCCACGCAAAACAAAACACTCATAAAACACCTTATCAATTATCAACTCATCACACTTTTCAAACAAAATGATATAGCTTTAAACAATGACCATTAATTCATGCACCATGAAAGAATATATAAATAATACAGTTTTGGTTGATTTGCTTTCCCATAAGGGACCCCATTATATCGTGAAAACCAGAAAAAAGAGTAGAAAATGAACGCATCAATAAGTTTAAGCGTATTTTGCGCCTGCATCAGCATTGTTGATGTTCAAATTGTTCTTTTCTTCTGATTCGGTGAAACTATTCTGACCGTTTGAGTCACGATCATGTGCACCGAATGCGTCTACATTTCCAGCATGAGAGTTAGTGAATGATTGAGAGTGTTCGACTTGCAATTCGGCAAGTAGACGTGGTCCTGCATTGTATCTTGGGCGCATTTCGAACAAGCGGTCCATATGTTCCAATGGAACACCCTTTGTTTCAGGCAAGAGGAAGAAGACGTATGGGATAGAGATCAATGTCACAACGCAGAAGATCAAGTAGAATCCCCATCCGATGTTAAGGAAAGCACGTGGTGTACCCATGGAGATGGCAAAGTTGTACAACCAGTTTGAGGCTGCCATGCATGCCATACCCAATGTTCTTGATTGTTGAGGGAAGATTTCTGAACCGATAACCCATGGAGTTCCATTCCATGTGCAACCATAACCTAGTGTCCAGATATAGAAGCAAGCAAGAGCGAAACGACCAACGTCAGTCAAACCTTCACCAGCGTGATCAGCAGGCTTGGCAACGGCAATGTAGATAGCAATGGCAAGCATAGCCATACTGCAGATTGAGGCACCTGTCATTAAAATTCTTCTACGACCCAAGTTATCGATCAAGAATAAGATCCAAACAATTGCACCACAAGTCTTGATAACACCAAAGATACCAGTTGTTAATAGACCAGTGTTTGCACCTGTGATACCGAGGGATGAGAAAACGGTTGGCGAGTAGTAGTTGATTGCATTGATACCGGTACCATTTTGGAAGACGAACATGCTTGAACCCAAAACCAAACGCCAAAGAACACGAGAAGTGCCGAATGTTTCACGGAATGGTGCCCAGAAACTATCAGAACCCAACAATTTACGTTCTTTGTCGACTGCGGAATGCATTTCACGTAATTCTTCAACGATGTATGGATGGTCACCGTCCAAGTTACGGATTCTTGACAAATTTGTCGCAGCTTCTTCGTTACGATTACGGGTGAGCAACCAACGTGGAGATTCGATCAAGAAAGGAGCACCCAAGACTAACAAACCACCTGGGATGATTTGAATGGCAAAAGGAATACGCCATTGTTCAGTATTAGGGGCCAAATTGACCGAGACACCATAGTTGATGAAGAAACCAACCAAACCACCAATTTGCCATCCGATTTCATAAAGACCAACAAGTTGACCACGAATGGCTGGAACGGCAATTTCGGAGATGTAAATTGGAGCCAAGTTTGATGCTGCACCGATACCTAAACCTGCCAAAGCACGACCGCCAAAGATTGGACCAAGACCTGTTGATTTGTTTGCGATAACCATGATGATTGCACCGATTGTGAAAACGATTGCGCAAATGGTGATACCCCATCTACGTCCGATAAAGTGACCTAAAGGATAACCTGCGAATGCACCAAAGAAAGCACCTGCTTGATAAGTTGAAACCAAGTTTGCCTTCGTTGATACATCCAATTTACCGAAATCATTATCGAAACCTTTTAGAACGATTGCTCCACCAACGAAAGCAGAGTCATAACCGATCATAATGGCAGCACTTGCAGCGATGGCAGCTAGCATCCAAATGCGCCAATTGTACACCTCTGGCGGTGTTGGCCTATCTTCGATACGCTTTAGGCTGACCATGATGAATGTATGTGAGAAGTGGTGAGATGGATGGAAGGAGGTAGTTGTTGTTGTTGATCCTCAGATGAAGAGATGAGGAGGATGAAAGGTGGGGAAGAAGGGATAAATGTTTTCCAAAGAGATGCTTGCTTTTATGCTTTTTGGGAAGAGTATTTGTGTATAGAGTGAAGAAGAGGAGTAAAGCTGTGTCTTGTTGCGGGTCTTGTGTGTATGCACAATGAGCAAAAAGGGCAAATGACCTTTACTTCTCCAAAAGCACGTAGGTGGATAAAAGTTTGTTGTCCTACTTGAAAGGTGGCGCAAGACGACAAAGGTGAAGAAAGCCGGGGCTGGTGGGGTAACAGAAGCGGGGAAAGGATAAGAATGGCAAAATGCAGGAGAAGAAGAGAGTAATAACGGTAGATCAACGGCCCCGCAGTATGTTTGACGAGTAAGAATTCGACTCACATTAAAACGAAAAAGAAAAAAAAAATCGAGTCTAGAGTGAGAAAAAAGAAGGGCGAATGCCGTTCATGTGCCTTAATCTTACGCAATTAAAGAACGGCAATAGATACACACTTTGCCACTACGCCACTGTGAGAGCGCGCGTTCAGACTTTTGATTCAAAGCCCCGGCTCTGCCTTTACAGTGCATTAGTGCCGTGAGCATTGTTACGGAAAAACGTTTTTCCCACTCGGCTTCGCGCTTTTCTTGAGTGGGTTATGAAGCCAAAGCCAGGACAGCCATTCGGCAAAACATTTATCCCTACCCCCAGATCAACCCCGCGCTTGATTATTCATAAGGCACATGACATTGGTTAATTTGCACCAATTAGATCATTGTATGACTAAAAAGGCTAAGTGCTGTCATTCCACATCCATCTCCGATCCGATTTGGAGCCTCAAGATCATGTGAAAAGGTAAAGAGAGTCATTTGATTGCGATATATATAGAATGAACGTATACAGATTAGACGGTAAAAGTGAGCCTGCAATTTTACCATTGCCCTTTTTAATGCCCGAATATGCGGAAGACTAGATACATCAGGGAACCTAATGCTCTAACAGCCGCAAGTGCTGCCGTACTCCAGAACAGGACAGCCAAGTAAGGATTGGTAGATAAGTGGAGATCATCCTTTGTGAATTGTAACCAGAAATTGCTAGTGAAGACGATGATCAAAGCGGCGTTTGACCCTAACCAGAAAAGTAAGAATTGGGTACGGAAATTCTGTTGATTATCCGTTTGTTTGACTGATTTTGATCGATGTTGTTTTTGTTCAACAATCTTTTGTGCTAAATCGGCTTGAGCATGTTGCCATAATTCATCGGCATCTGCTGAACTTGTGGGAACTTTTACTTCTACCACTTGTTTTCCTTCTTTTGTTTTATCTTTTCCTCCGCTTGCTGATCCGAGATCGGAGGATGCCGCATCACTTCCTTTTGTACCCCAACTGACATCGTGTAAATTGGCCAAAGAATAGATGCTCAATACTGTGATGAAGAATGGCGTTAAGAACATATACTGAACGAAACTTGTCAGCATGTGCCAAGGGTCCAACATCCATAATGAAGATAATACGTAAAGCACATAGGTTGCCACGACTGAGATAACGATCGATCGAATATTGCTAGAGGAGACCAAAAGGTGAATGATGTGCGAAGTTGTCCAACCAGAAGAATCGAACAGGCCTACTTGATTTAACTGAACGTACAGAGTCCATCCCACGCAATACAGAACCAAGGCGAACAAACCAGCGAACAGTATAATACAGCCAAGGTACATCGCTCGGAATCCTTGAGGTCGACTTCCTAAACTTGCAACAACGACAACGACGACCAAAGCGATATACACATTCAACACGATATCCAACACTGCCTTTCCTTGACCGGCAAAAGGATCATGGTTGGGATCAGAGGTGGCAGATTGCATTAAGAAATAACTTGCAAGGTACCAATTTGCCAGACTTGTCCAAGTAAAAGCCAATTGAACAAGGTTGTAGATCACTTGCAATTGTAAAGCACATTTACGCAAGAAACTTTGTCCACTGGTCCAAATACGTGCGAAATGGATCAAAGCAAACATGCTTGCGAACAAAGAACCATTCAACCATCTTCTACGTTGAGCGATCAATTCTGCCACACCATCAGGAACATCAGTCGTTGCTTTGGCTGATTTGACATACTTTAAGATCCAAGGTTCGCGTGATTTGACCACCAATTCGAAACACAAAATACGATCTTCGGCCAAGTACAAATTGTTGATGAACGAACCACCTTCCAGTTGACCGTTGTGCAACTGTTCTCCCTTGAAATAGGCTTCCAATGGTCTGCCCTTCAACGCTTGCCAACGGTAGGCAGAGAACGCACCAGGCAAGACACCAATGAAACCAAACACAGATTCTAAAGGCTTGTCCAAGATGTTGGACATCTTGTATTCGAAGTTTTGAGCGGCGACCAAAGGATTGTACAATCTCCATCCTAACGAACCGACATCTACTGCGATTTCACCACATGCACCAGCGACTTTTTTGTTCTTATCGAACGCCTTCCAGAGGTGATACAATGAACGATCGGTCGGCATAGTTCCAACATCGAGCAAGATGGTAACGTTTGGCTGCAATTGTTGACAGAAAGCGTTGAAGAACCAACGATGACTGTTGATCTTCTTTTGGTTCTTCTCTTTCAAACAGAAGACTAATTGAATCGGACAATCGGACACCTTGATACCACCTTGTGGATCGACAATGACTTGTGTTGTAAGTTCAAAGATATGACCAGTCACTTCTTTGTCCAAAACGTGATCTTTCATTGCTCCTTCTTGGAAAATACCATAACAACTCAACATTTTCAACATTCTTTCATTGGCCTTCTTTCGTCCATCTCCCACGATGAAAACAACGACTTTCTTCCAAGAATTTGCACCCCAAACTTTTGATCGTGTTCGGGTTTGCAGGTAAGCGATATTGCGAATGACCGAGCCAAGTGTGCGGTATAACAATGCTTCATCTTCATTGTAGCAAGTCATACAGATTGCCAATTCGATTTCACGTTTCATCAAAAATGGTCTCAAAGTGAACCTATCTGCCGTCCAATCGTTTGGATCACAAGTTGCGGCAGAATAACGCATCGTTCTAAATTCTTCTCCTTGAGCTGCTTTGCAAATGCTACGTGGAACAGGAATATCTAAGACCAAATTTCCATTAGTCAATGCAATCTTTTTCACCGTTCTTCGTCGTAACAATCTTTGTCTTGCATTTTCATAACCGCCTGAATCGTGATTAGGCATGTATGCAGCACGCTGTAACGGATTGGCGATCATCGTTCCCGGTGCCGCAATTCCGACCCAACCTCCAACAAAGTCACCTTCGGGCTTTTGGTTGAAACCATCTCCACTGTAAGGAGATGGGAAGCCGTTGTTGGTATAATTGTAAGATGATGAATTGTTGTAGTTGTCCATCGATGGCATCCCATTCATGTGGATGGTTTCATAGCCTCCATTATGACCGTCAGATTGAGTGAGATGTACTTCACTACCATTGGCATAAGGCAGAACAGGCCTTCCATATTGATCAAAAGATTGTTCACGAGGTGGATAAAAGCCGGTATTAGAATCTGGATAGGCGGATTTGTTTGCAACATGCATCATGCTATCGTTATCATGATGGTATCCACCATCTGTTTGCGGCATCTGAACATGGCTGGATGCCCAATCTTGTTTCTCCTCTGGATTTTGTGAGTACAAAGAAGGAGTAGAAGCATTTGCCATTTGCCCTGCCATGCCATAAGGTGATTGTTGATTATAATGACCGCCGCCTGTTTGATGATGAGGCAAAGATAGACTTGAACCTATACCTGTATCGTAATTGTTGTTGGATTGGTAAGCATCTTGGGTATGATAGCCATTCCCACCACCACCACCATGATTTCTTGAAATACTGTCGCCGCTTCTTTGACGCAAGCCGCTGGATTGATCGTTAAATGAAGGTTGCGCTCGAACTACACCGTAATCAGGACTTCTGGCCGGAGAAGGTTGAGCAGGTGTATCGTAAGCGGCAGGTGTTTCGTATGGGTTTGGCATATTTGTTGGACGACGACGAGGAGAAGGAAGTGAATGTTGTGAGTGAGAGGGTTGTTGGTATTGATAAGGTGAAGAATCTTGCATGTAAGAAGATCCATCATGTTGTTGCTGTTGTTGATCATAAGGATTATTAAATCCCCTTTGATGTACCATCCGAGACGGCTGCCGCGTCGGTTTGACGGGCGTATGATGAAAGACGGGCGTTTGATTTCCTTTGTCTGCCATTTTCCTGCAAAAAAAAAGAGGGTGACTTTCTCTTTTGAGCGGTCTTTGAAATTCACAAAGGAAAGCGGAGCGGAGCAAGAACAAAGGGCTGATTGGTATAAGATGAAGCGATAAAGAGTACTTGACCAGTCAAGTTGTTCTCTCAAATATTGTAAAGTGGGGTATCGAGTTGGGATTAGGATGGGAGTGATGGGTAGGTTGATGAAGAAGATGGCAATGAATGCATTCTTGCGGGGTCTTTTTTCGTCTAAAAGTGTTAAAATGCCTTTATTGTATGCGTTGATTTGCCAATGGCATCATTTAGCAATTCGGCAGAGAATATGCTGCAAGATTCTGTACGCTTAAATGTGTGCTAAAGAGTAGAATCCCCTTTCATAAAGTGCCTGAATAAAATGCAAATCTATTGTTAATAATCCTCCTTTAGCCTTTTTAACATTTCAGGCTAAGAATATTCCATCTCGGGAAGCGTCAAAAGGGGGTTCAAGCGGGTGTTTTATTTTATTCATTAAAGATATGAATATTGTCACGTGAATGATCGCGAAAGATTGTTACATAAAAGCGTGTTCAAGGTGAGCGTGTAAATGAACCATTCTCCCCTTCCATCAAAGCGAGCATGACTTCCGTTTGTTGATGAATTGATTGTTATGTCAATGTGTATTCATGATAGAGTACAAAACGATGATTGGGCACTTTAACAGGTAAATCGCGTTATTATTTCCTCAGGCACGCGTCTTGCATTGAAGAGAAATCTGTGTGTTGTTCTTTTCTGCGCCACCACTCATACATCAGAGAACAACACTGTGAGGATGCCAATGAATGCATACAATGAATGCATACAATGAATGACTGTTGTGTTGATCTCAATAGGAGAGGGGATAGTGTAAGATGAAAGAGCACTCCAGGGACCGGATCCGTGTGTGTATATGTTGAGCAGAGAGGGGTCCGTCCGGATAACGGAACTGCCTGCATATACAACAGCACTTTGACAGGTAGTGCATACATACAAAGAAGTGTATGTGTATACCATCATAATAACACATCCGATGAAAAGATGATGACATTGATGATATGAAGGACATCAAACAAAATTGATCACCGAATGATAATATTGGCAAAAGACGGCATTCCCCAACAATGTTTCCTAGAGCAGCACGTTTCGATTCGGAACGAAGCAATGATGTTCCAGGTCCAAATACATACGATCCAAGTACGCCTGAGTCACATTATAAACGAGGAGCGATGTTCGAAAAAGATGCTAGATTTAGACAACAAAGGGCAAGTCTTTCCTCCGTAAACAGTGCTGCATCCCCAATAGCATCAACGAGCAAAGTTCAATTGGACACTCGTTTGGTCAGCTTAGAAAAGGAAAAGGTAAAATTTGAACAAAGAGCTATTAAAGCAGAAGAAAAGGTAAAAGAACTTCAAACCGATGCTCAAACTTGGTCACGCGAAAAGAAACAAATGCAAATCGATCATCGTCTTTTATCGCAAAAGTTTGAAAAATCACAAGCACGTACTACCGGACAATCACAACATTCTCTCGAACTACAAGATTTGAAGCAGAAATTACAAACCAGTGAAGCGAATAGAATAGAAGATCAAAATCAGCTCGAGCGACTCACTTTGCGATGTAGCCGGCTAGAAGATGATAAATGGGCAACGCAAGAGCTTGCTGACGGTTTGCGAAGAAAGTTCAAAGCAGCTGAAGATCAAGTGGAAAGATGCAATGATCAAATGGATACATTACGATTCTCATTCGATCAAGAAAGAAATGCTATGGAGCAAAAAGAAGAGGACCTATTTCGAAGGATAGAGGAAATGAATGACAAATTGAGATTAGCAGAGAATGAACGAGAAGCAGGACGTTCACGAATAGCAGCGCTGGAAGAGGAAAACTCCCGCTTACGAACACAGAACGACAACGATGATGAAGAAGACACCGTAGATGTGAGCGCTCTGGAGAAGCAGCGGTCTGCTTTGGTATCTGTTTCGTTGCGTTTGGCGAGCGAGAATAGTCTCCTCAAGCATACGTGCTCTCAGAACGCTATCGAGTCAAGACATTCTGCAATACGAATACGAAGGCTTGAGAATTCTCTTCGAGGGAGAGATGATGAATTAGCACATCTCACAAGCACTCTAGCAAATCTCAAATCAGAATTGTCTATACACGAGTCGCGAATGATTGGTGGTGAGATTGATCACCTTCATGACTTCTTCCACGAAAGCATTCACACCTTAAACGATCGAGATCTGCTCTCCATCGTGAATGAGCACCAAGAGCAGCAAGAGACTCTACAAGAACTTGATCGACAAGATGCTCAGCTCGCAATTCGAGAGCAGAGCATTCATCTTGAATGGAAACAAAATATAATCGAAAGGCTGCAAACGGAACTTGAGCAATCCCGATCACGTCAAGCAGAATTAGAGAATGAATTGGGAGAAAGTGCAGGCCTGCAAGACAGTCTCAAGTTCTCGCATAATAATCTAATGGCACTTGAAGAAGCTTATGAAGCAAATTTGCAAGAATGCCAAGATCTTCGTGAAAATGAAGATTTCCTTAAAATGCAGATTGATCGATTACACGATGAAGTTCACCTGATTTCTCAAAGGATGCAAGGTGTGGAAGGTATGGACGATCGATTGTATCAAGCTTCTTTACGTGAAACAGGCTTACTGAATGATCGACAGGAGTTATTGGATGATTTGGCTAGAGCTTCAAATTATGAAGCAGCATATTATACCATCCGAGCAGAGGCACAAAAGCTACTTACTCGTTTGAGAGATTATGATTTGGACTCAAACATGTTTACCAATATGAATGCAGCATTAACATCACACAAGAATCCAACGCAAAAGATTGCTTATTTGGACAGAATTCGAACGCAATTAGATGAGACGAGAATTGCCTATCGATTGATGGAACAAGAACGAAACAAATTACACAAACAATGTCGTGAATTGCAGGAGTCAGACAAAAGTCCACAGATTGGACAAGCCCCACTAGCAACGCAAAATAACAATGGTCAACCTCTGGATGAACGAGAAGCGGCGAAAAGAGCATGGCAAGCACGACCAAAGACGAGAAGCTCACGATCATCGAGGCATAGTGATTCTTCCTCACGCTGGCCACAATTGCGAGAGAGACCTTCACGTTCGAAGTTGTTGCCAGCACACAATTATACAACAGAGGATGTGCCACCTATTCCCGCGCAGTATCACCATTTAGACGACGGTCAAAGTGATGCAGGTGAAGGCACTTCTTTGCTATCCAACGGGACGACGTTATTTGAGCAATCACAAAATACCACATCCGTCGACCTTGGCGAAGCGCCTAAGAGACGTTTTCTTCGACCGCAAAAGTCGAATGGGTCCATGAATGATGCAAACAGAGCCTCTCCCGTTGTTTCTTTGCCTTCCATCGATGCTTTAGCATGGGAATTGGATAAAGAGAATCTCCTTGCCAATTAGCATCAGCAATGTTAGGCAACACCGCCTTCTCCCTTTTTATGGAAGCATTCACTTTCCAGTATCTTTCGGAATAAAAAAATTCCAATGTACGATCACATACCCTTACTTATTTGTACAATATACACTCTTCTTTTTTGTTTAAAATAAGCATGACCTTCTTTCCAATGATTAGTGACAGGATGATGTAAGTGTACAATTGAATAGAGGAAACTTGATCCACAGAAACACAAGAAGGAGAGTCGCGGCAATCTCATATTTTCAATTTCCATCCTTGTGATTGAAATAATAAGGCGATGCCTAGACAAGTTAATAGGTAAAGCAATAAGACAAACAAAGCAAAAGAATTGCTAGCAAAGATTGTTTGTATTGAAATGTTGACTAAGCCGGTCAAAAGATTTGCAAGCAAAAAGACGGTAAATGCTTGAGCATTCAAAGCATGAAAAAGGGAAGGCGTCTTTGCTAACCCGGCTTCAGTCGTTGGACTTGAGCTGCCGCCATTATACGTTCCTCCGTCACCATTCCTTATAGCTGATTTGCCTTTCTTGACTGCAGAAGATGATTGACGCATAGCATTCTCGTCTAGCGGCTGCAGCAACACCATGTAGATTGCAACATATGCTAGCAAGAACGAAGTGTTGTATGCAACCACCCAAAGAACATATGGAAGATTGGCTAGCCTTCTACTGACTTGACCTCCGGTTGCAAAGCTTTGCAGGTAATAAGCACCCCACCACAGGACAGAATAGCTTATCAACAGCATGGCAAGCTTATCCGTCTTCTCTTTCTCTCGTGAAGCCGTCAGTCTTCTATAAGCAAGGTATGGATCTCGTGGGAGAATGTAGTGCCCTGCATCAAGGCCTAGCAAGAAGATGGCCAAATATCCAGGCAACGATGTCAGACCTTCTTTGTTTTGTGCAATCAAACCGATCCTGCTAATATTATTCGAGCTTGCCCAAAATCCTAAGCTTGTCATTGATAGCAATGCTTGATGTAGCACAGACAAGATGAGTCCAATCGTCGAAAATCTTGCTATTTTCGCAAACGGTCTCAAGACAGTTCCAAAGAAAGGCAAAAGAGCCAAAGTGATAAAGAAGTTCCAATGAACGCCGTATTCCGAAACGTGCTCCGGATAATCCACACCTTTCACCATGATGACGCGAATACCACCCAAAAGAATCATCGGCAAACTCTTTCGAGCATCTCGCAGCAATTGAAGACGCATCGGCTTAAATCTTTGACTTGGCGATCGTAATAGGGGTGCTGCCGAGATGATGCCTAACGAAAAAACAAAAGATCCCACACCTAAATCCATCAAACTTGTTCCCCACGTTTCACATTTTGCAAACTCTCTCGGGAACACTTTGAAATCGACAGCTAGAATACAAATGATCGTCATGAGCATCATATGCGATCGATAAACTGTCAAGAATGGCTGATTACGAGGTACAAGTGCGCCAACCTTGATCGCTTCTGTTGCAGATCGTTCACTTGCGAATTCATGTTCTTCTCCCGGCAAAGGTGCTGCTGAGCGGGCAAGAGAAGGCGATGAGCGATGAACGATCTTATTTCGTGCAGGTGTGGTTGGTGGAGTGAGAGTGGTAGAACGAGAAGCATCGCTGCTGCCTGGTGCTTCAAAGCGGGTCGGAGGATGTGCAGAAGCAGCTGCAGCTTCGGCAGATGAATCGATTGAAACACGAAATGGTTCGGCTACGATAGATGTATGGTTTTTGGCTTCTTGATCTGCACTGATTGAGAGGCGCTCCCGTTCTTCGTCTTCATCTTCTTCATCGTCAGATTCTTTCGACCAATGCTTGGATTTTGGTTGTGTTCCATTTGGAGCTTCTGTCGAGATTTTGGCTGGGTGGAGTAAGAGGATCAAGACGCTCAGACCGGCAAGTCCTCCATTGAGTAGAATCAGATGTTCTGCAAGAACAGTACAAGCCAATACAATTGGAACCACCAAAACAATGAATTCAATTGACCAGGTCTGCAAGCGTTCCGATAGCAATGATGAATTGTCGTCTATTTTTCTCTTCCTAGAATCCTTCCCACTCTCTATATGACTTGTCAGCCCTCGATTACGTAGAACTGCCCATAAAGTGTAGGTTGTTAAAGCTGTTATGCTAACAGCATTTATTTGAAATATTGATCCACCTTGTAATTGCGAGACGAAAGCCTCTTTTGCCTCTTTGTAATCTTCGTAAGATGTCATCTTTGAGAGTGAAATCTATTGAGAGGTATCGTGTTTGTTGTTAGTCTATATGTCAATGTATGACCCCATCTTTACTTGTCATGTGATGATGATGATGATAAAAATGAGAAGAGGAAGTGGTTGAATAATAATGTCGGAAATGGTTCTTTTTCTTTTAGCGTACTTGGCTCCACTGCAATTTGATTTCCAAAAACTGCCTCGGAAACGCTTGGACCTTTTCTAGAAAGAAAGACTAGCGCGTGAGTATATAAACTTCTGAGGCATGCTATGAGTGTATCGTGTTTTCTCTCCCCTCTTTTAACATTCAATCTATGTCATGTCATTGTCATTGTATGCTATTGAATTGCTGATATGCATTCATTGTTGCCATCTTCCTTAAGAAGTGTCATTGCAAGAATCGTAATCAAATAGAAACAGCTGTTACCTTACTCGACGCGTCGAATTTGATTTGATTGAACGAAAAACAACAACACCCAACACTAGAGTGATAAAGTGCCTTGCTTATTGATTATTCCGAGAGAGCATATAAAGTGTTCCTTTTGATGCAATGCATGAATACAAACGCATATCGGCGCAATCACTTCCGTAGCAGCAACTAACATCGCATCATCTTCCTCTTTTGAGTGTATCTCGATCTTCCTTTCCACCTTCATCGCCAAGATTTGTAACCATTAATACGGCTCGATCATTCACATCAACTCAACACGCTCTATTCTCACAGCATTACGGCACCGAAAGCGCGGCGCTGCACAGACAACATTCTTTCCCCGTCATTCTTATTTCGCTATAACCCGTATCTTCTGAGTTTGTTGCAAATTAACTCAACATCAACAAAACGGCAATAGAAAATTCTTCAAATAAAATCAAACAATCTAGTCACAACATCACGATCGCGGCGAAAGAAGGGAAATAGAGGAGGCATCTCAAGTGAGAAGAAAGCAAAGATATCTGATCGACGGTGTCCGCTCTCAATCTTTGTAAATCAAAATGACAACTCCACGTAAGAGCGGTTTGCCTGTCTTTGCAGCTTCCGGTGATACATCCGTAGATGGATCAAACACTGCCCTTCCAAAGATGATTGCACGAAAATCACTCGTGGGACTACGTCAAGCATCTATAAATGAAGCAGAATCCTCTACTACGCCAAAGAGATCATCTATACAAAAGAACATCATCGAACCAACTCCTACTACGCAAAAGATGAAACGGAAACTTGAGATAGGTGATGAAGTAGTGGCAGAAGTGAATGGTACACGATACTTCGGCGTTTTACGACATTTGGGACCGGTATCCTTTCGAGCAGGCGAGTTTGCAGGACTTGAATTGATTGGAGGAAGTGAAGGCAAAGGAAAGAATGATGGAAGCGTTGATGGTCGTCAATACTTTGCTTGTGAGCCAAACAATGGAATGTTTTGTCCGGCCGCAAAGGTAAAAGTCGTTTCTTATGCACCTGTAACAGAAGCCACTGCTCGTCCACAATCAGCAATGTCATCCAGATCAGGACGATCTTCGGTTACCGATGATGCCAACAGACCGCCATCTGTCACGCCTGGCAGACCAAGATCCAGTATGGCCTATTCTGCCTTGCCCAAGCCTGCTGTGACTCCTGGCAGACCAATGTCTCGAACCTCGATGGGAAGACCAGGTTCTTCATTGTCACAGACGCCGACTGCGAAAGTACCTCTTCCTCGCATGTTACCTCGAAAATCTTATGCAGATGGACTTGCTGATGAAGAAGGTAGAAGGAGAGCAAAAACATCAGCAGAAGAAGCTGCCAAAGCTGAAGGTCGAATCACTGAGGGTAGTCGAGCTCATCAGTTCCTCAACATGAGCGCAAAAGATTTGGAGGCAAGAAGACTCAGAGGAGCAGCAACGCCAACGACAAACATGAATGGTGGTAGCCCATTGAAAGAGACACTACTGGGTGCTCACAAGACTGCACCAATCACCCCAAAGATTCGTACTAGTATTGGTTCCTCACTGCCTACTGCATCCTTGGCTCATGCTACACCGAAAGCTACAGCAAAAGGCCGATCATCTCTGTTCGGCCATGCAAATAAAGCTACAATTGCCAACGGCAAGATGGCACCGCCCTCCGCTGCCAGTCCTGGCTCTCCTGTACAAAGAATACCAAATGCACTCGCTCCGCCATCTGCAAGCACCAACTCTTCCAGCACTATACCACGTACACCCCGTCGATTATCAAGCGCAAGCGGAGGTACAAGCACTGCAGTTGACGAAGGTGCCGATCAAGATGGAGCGAAAGAGCGTAATAGAAGTTTGTTGGAAGCTATGGCTCTTTTGACGCCTGCCCAAAAGGCGAAAGATATTTCTCCCTCACTTGAAGAAATTCCAGCGTTGCCAAGGGATACCGATTATGATCCTGATAATGTGTTCGCAGGAGCAGGGCTAGCATTAATGCCTGATGACGGAGAGATGGTCAATGGCAGCTCATCCGTGGATACTGCTATGGGACATGCAGTCATTCCGTTAAGCCTGTATGAAGAGAGCAATATGGAAATCACACATCTCAAAACAGAATTGGCGCAATTACGTTCTTCAATGCAAGAAGCAGAAGAAAAGGCAAAGAATGCGCAAGACATTGAATTGGAACGAGCAAAGATAAAAGCACGAGAAGAAGAACGAAAAGAAGCAGAAGAAGAACGGAGAGTAGAAAAAGAAGATGAACGAAGGAGAAGGAAAGCTGAACTTGATACAAAAGAAAAAGAATGGAAAGAGAAAGCAGATGGCATTCAAAAAGAATTACGCAAATTGCAGGATGAACATATGCGTGTACGGGAAGAGCACGAAAAGACAAAGACCGACTATGAGTCGAGATTGAAGGACAACGAGACATTGGTGGAAAAGCTAAAGAGTACTGCGGGAGATCCTAATGCAAAGAGTAATGAGAGCTCTGGACAAATTCAAGCGAAAGACTTGGAACTGTCGCAATTGAACGAACGTCTACAGAGATTGGAGAGCTTACGCGAGCAAGAAAAGGCTGACCTTCTGAAAGAGATTGATGAATTGAAAGATGCAGGACAAGAAGCACTTGATTTGTACGATCGAGAACAGGCGATAAGCAATGAGCAAATAATTGATTTGGAGTCGAAAATGCATTTATTGGAAGCAAAAGCGCAAGAAGCCATCGCTGATGCCTTACGCGAGCGTGATGAAGCCCTGCAAGGAATGACTAATGGCGGACTTTCATCGGTTGCCGAGATTGGTCAACGTAGTCTGGAAGAACAATTAACTCAAGCACAATCGCGAGCTATGAAATTGGAAGATCAATTGAGTGAAGCAAATACGATCATGCAACAAGAACGTGAAGAGCACATCAAACGAAAAGATCGATATGCTGAGTACGAGCAAAAGTTCAAGAATGATAAGGCTAAGCTTAAGTTGCACATCAAGCAGCTCGAAGAAGCAGACTCAGAAAAGCAATTACGAATCGATAAACTTGTGGAAGCATTGGAAGAGTCTAGATCTGCTCTTGAGAGTGAAAGGAGTGAATTGGAAGCTTTGCGTGCCGAAGCTATGATCATGGGCGAAGGACCTGATGGAAAAGAAGTCAAAGCATTAGAGAATGGTCGATTCGAGGCTGAGATTGAACGTCTCAACGGACTGTTGGAAGGTGCACGATCAGGCAAACGGGAAGCGATTAGACAAGTTGAAGAACAACGTAAAGAAATTGCCGATCTTCATACTCTACTCGATGATGCACGATCTCATTTGGAGAGCGAAAGACAGGGTACTCACAAGTCGTCTGCCAATCTTGGTGTGCCGGCGAACAATCGTGCTTCTATGGATTCACAACATGGCAGTCCATACATGGCTTCTCCTATTCCAGAATCAGAAAGTGTTTCTCCAATGATGAATGGACAAGGTGCATCTTATTCACCTAGCATGCATGCTTCCAAACGATTCTCGACTGCCAGTACGCAAAGTAGACGAAGCTATGGATCAGGAATGGGTGGTAACAGCATGTCCTCTTCCGAAGCAATGGCAAAGGAAATGTCAGGCTTGCGTTCGATCGTCAATACGCTCAATCAAGAATTGACAGAAGTAAAGGTGACAAGCAAACAGCAAGAACGTGAATTACGTGCTCAAATTGAACACTTGAAGAATGAATCACGAAGATTCGAATTGCTTGCAGCAGATCAGGGTGCCAAATCTGTTGATAGTCAAAGTTCTGCCAGTGTTGAAGAAAGGCTAGAATTAGAGACGAAACTACGTAATGCCGAAGAAGAAATCGTTCAACTAAAGAAAAAGGTGCAAGTGATTGAAAATGCAAAGCAAGAAGAGATCGAAAAGCTTAACAAAGATATTGCCGAATTGGAAGCATTGTGCGAAGCAACTGTTTGGAGACGTGAAGAGCAAGAAGCCAGAAGGGAAGAATTGGAGAGAAAAGTTGGTAAATTGCAAAGGCAATTGGATCGTTTACAGCAAGGTGGATCGTTGGATACTGCCAGTTTAGACGATGATCAATCCAAGTCCAAAGAAGTGGTCAAGAATGGTGAAAAAGAGCCATCACGACACACTGAATCGATGAGCAATGGAAACTCCAAATCTTCATCAGCACCTTCTCAACATTCCCGCGAATCATCCGAGAAGCACACAACAGAAACGCCCGAAATTCCAACTGCACAAAAGCAAGCTCCACAACCTCCTAATCAACCCGCACCTCCTGCTCCTGCACCGAAGGCTAATGCTACTTCGACGACATGTGCTGAATGCAACGAAGCCGGCCATGCGATGGACGATTGTCCTTATTTGAACGATGATGTCTTGTTCTGATGAAGGCTACCTCCACAAATAATAAATTGTATCATATGTTCACAAATCCAGCAATGAGATTAAATATCAGCACATTATCGCATTGAGATACTACTACATCCTTGGTGCATTGAGCTTATTCTGTCCCAGAACCCTCTCTACGGAAGCTCTGAAAGCTTCACTATCGACACTCTTTCCCATTCCCGTCAATCTTTGTTTCTGGACTTCCTTCTGCCGCAGAATGCGTTTTTGTTCCTTTCTCTCGTTCAAAGCTTTCAATGCATCTTCATCCAAATCTGCCAAATCATCATCCTCATCTTCATCTTCTTGTTCACGTTCTAATGATAAACAAGCCGGATTTCTAGCAACGAATTCGACCCAAGGACCACGACTGATTTGTGCAAGAACGCCAGTCGTTGTCATTCCACCTGTGGCAGGAATACCACCTCCTCCACTGAATGTCGCAGCCGAACCTATAAAGCCCGATCCACTTGTCGCACTTGGGGGTGCACGTCTTGTTGGTGCTTGAACCGGATCGGTCAACATGACAAAGGTGTAGTTTGTGAGAGTTTGTAGGTGAGCAAGTGTATACGTTGAAGTTGAAAAGCTATGAAGGGTTTCTTTTGATGGATTTGATCCATCTTCTGTATTTTGAGGACTTAGCTTTTTCGTCATATTTCGTAAAGAGAATACCAGGCCGTATACCAATTTTGCTTGTTCGGATAAAGGTAAGATGGCATTCTTGCCCCCTGCTTTATTTGAATTATCAAGCGTATTGGCGGAAGAGGAAGAAGTATTACCTGTGTTTTGTGTATTTCCTGATCCTCTATTGTGATAGTATGACCAATCAGCATGAAAGACAAGGGTACAATGTCGATCATAGATCCACAAGGACCATACCTATTAAAGCAGAGAAGAGTCATTTGTCAGATTGCACATGTTTCCCTCTTCTCAACCATCGATACATACCCTTGGCTGACCACTTGATCCTGACATGATGACTTCTTATGGTATTTGCAAAGAAAGAAAGCATATCAAGTTCCAATTTGTTGATCAATAAATGCTAAATGCATGGACCAAGCAGAAGGTTAAATCCCCGCGCTACAGCAGCAGAACCAAACAAGTGCAGTGCATTCTTCTTGTGCGTGTCATTCTCACACGTGTGAGTGCTCAAGTGCTGCTCTCTGTAGAGTGCAAGCACGGAAACATGCTTCTCACCTTCTTCTTCCATCTGACCACCACGACAGCATAACACATAATGACGAATCTAACACTTTATACAACAACAGCAGGTGAGTATGATACACGTAATACGTAGAGAACATTTCGCTGACAATCCTGCCTTGTTCGACCTTTAACAGTGCTATTGCTAGATGTTGATGGAAATCGCCTTCTCGCCAAATATTATCAACCTCCTCATGCACCTGCACCACCCCCAGCCGGATCAACAAATGCTACATCAACAGCCGCACTTCCCGTTCATAATGCACACGGGAATCAACCGCCTCAATTAAGTGCTCATAATCCATTCGGAACATTCAAAGAACAACGTACATTTGAAAAAGCAATTTGGGAAAAAACACGTAGAGCATCGGGTGATATCATCTTGTTTGACGGACATTTGGTATTGTTCAAAACTTCTCTTGATGCAATCCTTTTTGTTATCGGTCCAGCCGCAGAGAATGAGTTGATGCTTTCAGGTTTGTTGTCATCGCTAAACGATAGCATCACCATGCTTTTGCACGGAGGTCAATTGGATAAAAGAGCAGTTTTGGAGAATTTGGATTTGGTCAGCTTGGCCGTCGATGAGACCGTAGATGATGGGTGAGTCAATCAATGAGATCTGTAAGCAAGGAACACCAGCTAACGATTCTTTTTCCCTTCCAGAATCATTCTTGAGACCGATTCGACTACTGTTTCATCACGGGTTTCCAGACCACGACCTGATGCTACAGATATACAGATCAACGAGCAGACAATCATGAATGCATACTCGAATCTCAAGGAGCGAGTCACACAGAGGATCTTGCAAGGAGGGCTTTAATTTGTTCGCTCATGTATTCAGCACCTCAAATATTATCTCGACAATGTATACCGTTTAGACCACGTGATCACAAAAGAAGAGCTCATAAAGTATTAATTGGTATACGAAATACAGGTGAATTGTTCTGGTTCTGAAATCATCTACGCATAATCGTCCAGCATAAGAAGACGACCTGTTCCGGCCAGTCGAGAAAGGCCTGAATCAGTTCTAGGTCTTCCGTCATTATTTTTCTTCTTTTGATCGGAATCTTCATCATAGAACGAATATCCACTAACGCCAGGCGTTTCATCATCTCCCAAATCATAACCATTTCCTTTGTGTTGATGACTTCCGATCGGTAAGCCGGTACGAATATCACATTCACGACCTTGATGATCGATGAAGGTATGAGTAGTTCTTTCATTGGCAGCACGATAATTCTCAATCAAGATTTTCTTCATCGTGCGTAAATACCATTCCAACGTTGTTAAGAATCTCTTTGTTTGAAGATGTTTACTTGCTGCACAAACCGTGATTGCATCATCTTTGATGATATAACCCAATCCAAAACCGTCCGGAGCAACGGGACCGAAGCCGAACAACCGTAAAGCGGGATTACCACAATTTGAAGTACTCAAAACGGTATGATTGAGAATTTTATAACCTTGATCAGTGAATAAAGCAGGCATTTGAGATTCTTCGTATTTTCCTGCTTTGATCAATTCTTCCGTGATACATTTCAATCCGTACAAATGACGATCGAATCCATGTCCTGTAGCACATGCTTTACTGAGCTTTGTATGTGCATCGCATGCTTTACGTAACCGTTCAATCTTGTTGTGTGAAGTTGTCTCAGGATCGGCAAATGCTTTTACGAAATCCAAAGAAGCAGGTTGAACGGTTCGAATCGCTTCTGTTCTTCCGTGCAAAAATGCTTTTGTCATTGCGGGCTCATACGTTGTTTCACAACGACCATACAAGGTGAAATAAGCAGCTTGGAATGCCATTTGCACAAAAGCATCTGGAGAAAATTTATGACGAGTGATGAAATTTTTACCGAAATCATCAAATTCCATAACTTGACATTCATTTTGACAAATCAAATCGGATAAACGTGTTTCACCAAATTTGATAGCATTTTTTAATTCTTGATCAAGATTCCATTCTAGCTTCTTTGGCGTGGTTGCACGCATGATTGCCTGTGTCTTTTCAACGTCATCCGATTGTCCTGATCCCTTTCCGCCTCCACGAGCATAAGGACTTGTTCTGGCTTGGAATAAACTCTTTGTTGCACTATGAATCGATTTGGCAAATCTCATAATCAATTCCGTATACACATCCGCAACATAACGTAAAACCGTATGACCATCAACACCTGTATGTTCAAAATTGATACCTGCAGCGCCATTTGCACAAACGATGATTTGTAATTTATCATACCATCTGTTTGTACATGTGCCCACTTGAACGCCATCTTGTAATTCGTACGTACCACAAAGCATATTTTTGCATAATTGTGCTGCATCTTCAGGTTCCGAATCGTCCATGCAAACGACAAACAAAGCAGTATCGATCACTTCTAAACAACGGGCATTGTGAGCATGTCCTTTTAGAATATCTCTGCAATGTGACCACGTCTTTCTGTTTTCGGTTGATAGAATTCCAACTGCTGCTTGTGCAACGTTGACAGGCTCCGTTTGATCTGCATCTTTTACGATTGATGCCAAGTTGGCCAACAAGGCTCTTTCTGTGAGAAGTGGTTGATGTTCTTCATCCAAAGCGTCGAACCAATAAAATTGACCTCTTCTCATTACGACGACATGTCTAGCATTGGGCGTAGAAGACATATGACAGCCGTCTTGAGTAGGAATACGTGAGGTTCCGAACAAACGTGTATATTGATACATGTCCAAAGGTGTTCCACGAACAGAATCCGGTTCCAAAACGCCATGACGTAAATCATGAACGAAAGTCAAGCTTGCCAAGATTAAACTTGCTGCTCTCATCAATTGATTACCACGTGAAGGTGTTGGATCATCTTCCAAGATGAAGAAAGGGTTTAAATTGAGTACGACTGAATCACTTGTGCTCAAATAACTTTCATCCCACCATTGTTCGATGTATGATGCTTTATCTTCTGCGTATTTCTGTAATTCGACTTGCAGTTTTGGACCTTCGTTTTGTAAGAATTCTTTGACAACTTTTTCAGTACGTTGAAAATCTTCTTTTGATTGAAGTGCTTTAAGTGCTAAAAGGTATCGATCACAACTTTCTTCTAATTTTGGAATGGGTAACTTTGGCAATTCATGTTGTCTTGCAAACGTTTTACCGCCTCCTTTACCTTCTTCTTTTAAACCTTTTGTTTTAAGTTCGATCGTTGTTGCATTTTGCTTACCTGCTGCCGATTGTGTTGGAAGTGGACCTGATTGACCTCCATTTGCACCAGGTGCAGGTGTTGATTCAGCCGTTGCTGCAGGTGCCATGTTTGGTTGGTTGTGAGAGAGAAGAATAGATGATGAAAGTGCAATGTATGCTTATCTTTTTATATCTCTTTCGATCGGACAATCCGTTCCCCCCACAAAAGATTGATCCAATGATGATGAAGGGAAAAGGGTGAGCTTGGCACTTCTATCAATACCCCAAAAGTGCCTCTTTCTTGTGACTTTCGGAATAGCCGTATTCAAAATGCACACCCCCGCACGGCTTAAATGCCTCCACACTTTTTATTAATCGTAAGCGCGGATCCTTTCCTTTTGCTCGCTGAACCAAACACTAGGCACCGCTTCTGGGCCCAGAAACACTCATAGACGTATGTGTGTGGCTTTTTGGATGCCACAATATCCGAAGCAAACACCTTCTCCAACTTCTTCATCATACTCTTCGGAACTTCCGATCAAGGTCACGAGCAAGATAAAAAGAATCAAATATACTACATCATACATTTCAAATGGGGAAAAAGTACGCAAAAGTATAAAAAACAACAACAAAAGAATTGAAAAGAAAAACTTGTAAAAATAATTATCGGTAAGCTATATATATAATGAGAGAGAGAAAAAAAAACACCATAGAATGTGAAATAAGAGGAAAGATTCTTGTCGGCCACTAGTATACAGATATGATTGCCCCCTTTCCTTCATCATAAAACGTGACCTTTGAACCTAGCTTCTTTACGCATGGCCATAGCCGTTGAACCTGCAACAGCATCAGCGGTAGCGTTTGCAGAATTGATATCCTGTTGATCAAGAGAAGTAGAATTGGTTTGAAACATTGATCCTAATTCAACTCCTCCCATTTCATGAATTGAAACATTCTTTGGTGATCCTTGTTCACCTTCAATAGTTCCATTTTCAGATTCGCTTAAACGTTGTGCACATCCACCTGCTCCAGCATCGTTACGTAAATGTCGTGAAAGTGCATCAGCTCTTGCAAATGCTTTTCCGCAACTTTCACATGTATGTGGTTTAACGCCCGCATGTAACTTTTCATGTCTGCTCAAATCAAAACTTCTTGCAAAGCTCTTTCCACAACCAGGAGCACGGCATTGATAAGGTCTTTGTCCTGTATGAGATCGAATGTGTCCATTCAAATTGAACTTTCGCGTGAACGTTGAACCACAACCCGGAATAGGACAAACATGAATCGCTTCATTCTTTCTTCTACTGGCACTTGCAGCTTGTGTTGCACTCGTAGTCACTTGTTGAACGATCGGAATAGCAGTTGTGTTATTGCCGTCCATCTCATAAGGTGAAGCACCCATGTCTTGTACCCGATTGGGATGTAATGCGGCATAGGCAGGCGAATCAGTTTGTGAATAGACTTGATCGGAAGGCGAGTAGCGCATACTGCCGTATCTGTTCATCATCGCTTGCAGTTCCTCTTGCGATCGGGGGTATTGCGAACCATACAGATTCAAATGAGGTGCAGTAGAGAAACCTGCATGAGCGGGAACGCCCGTATCAATACGTGCCAAGCCATTTCGATTGGTTGCAGATGTTGGGGGTCCCATAGACGACATTCCTGGTTGGGTATTGGGTGGGGCTAAGCCACCATCAGGTGCAGTAATGCGAGTCAAAAATTCATGAGGATTTGACATTCTTGCTAATTGAGAAAGATCTTCAGATTGTGCCAATCGCGAATGACGTCTACCACCATGTGCACTTCGACCTGAATGAGTTCTTTGAAGGTCTGTAAGCTGCGTACCTTGCTGTTGAGCATTTTGGAAAGACATCTGATGTCCGCCCGAGGATACCGAAGCCAAAGAGCCAGAAGATGCTGTTCTGCCATGACCGGGATACGGTGCTGCACTGCCTCTTCCACTTAGGCTTTCACGTTGACGAACAGGACCAGAAGCAGGATTTTGCTGATATTGTAGCATCTGTTGATGATACATATTATCTGCATGTTGTTGCTGTTGCTGCTTTTGCAATAATAAAGGATCCATGCTTGCATTGTTGATCGTATTCTGAATTTGTTCAAAATTTTGTCCATGTCCTGTACCATCCTGCAGCCCGAGCGCAGCCAATTGTTGCATTCTTCTCTGTTTAGCAGCCTCCGTTGCCCAATCAACACCAGATTGCATCGCAATAGGTGTTTTGTCTGTTACACCACCTGGAACCACAGTATATGGAGGTGGTGAAGGAATATCATCACCTTGCAAGACACCGTCTTCCTTGTAAGACAGACCGAAATCTGAATTGGATCTTTTGCGTGGACCAGTCTCATTCACGCTGCCCGAATCACGTTCTGCTTGGAAGCCCATATCCACATCAAGGCGAAGAAATTTGCGTACACGATCATAGGAGTCCTGTCTTTTAGGATCTTGTTGCTGAATCTGGTGAGCATCACCGGTAGAGGAAGAAGGTCGTTGCTGGTTGCTGCCTAAAGAGGCTTGTTGATTCGCCAAGGCAGCATAAGGCGCAGCTTGATTATCACTATTCATGAACGATTGTGAAGCATTTGTTCCATCTACCATCCATTCTTGCTGAGATTTTGATGGGAATTGAAACCCTCTTCCACCACTACTTCCAGATTGACTATGCTGATTTTGCTCAAAAGGTACCGATGAATCGTTGATGGAAAGCATCGGAACGGGCGCATCATTGCCTGCACCTGGAACAGCCGTCGGATCATGTGAAGGTAAAGAATACGTGTATGATGGAAAAGAGGCATTTTGTTGTTCTGCATTTCCCACTTCTGTGCCATCTTCCTCAAAAACAGGAGTAAAGTAGGGCGCCTGCAACTGCGATTTCTGCGGCGCAGATTCATTTGACAATCGAGATGAATCGCTCGGATGAGAGACCAATACAGAATCGTTGATCGTCATTCTTTGTCCTAAAGTTTGCATTTGCTGAATTGCTGGATCTCCTTCTCCGTTAGGCGATGAAAATTCTGCACTTGATCCAAAGGATGAAGTTCTTGTATGAAGAGGTGATTGAGTTGGACCTAGCAAGGGACTCGCTATGGGACTTATTATTGATTCGTTACGTGCTTCTCGATAACCGGATTCGTTTGAAAATGCAAAGGTGGGTACGTCGTTATTCTGTGAATTGCTGTCAACGTTTGCAGGTGTTATAGTTGACTGTCGATGTTGCTGTCTTTGCGAATCTTTTCCTGATGTTTGATTGGTTAAGACGGATTGCGAAAGAAGTGCTGCGTTGAGGTGATTATAGCTATCTGCCGTATCAGGATCGTAGTGGAAGCTGGGTATAACAACGGCCTTTTCTATTCCAGGAGATTGATCATCAAAAGCGAAATCTATTCCGTCAATCTGCTCTCCTATTGATTGTAAAAATTCCTGTTGATCGCTCAAAACGTCAGAGAAGTCTCCCACTGAATTGTAAGAAGGCGTGTAAGGTCGATTGTTTGGATCAAATAGATCAGTATTCGGTATCGATTCACTGTTGGATGAAGAAAGAAAAAGGATCAGCATTTAATCAAAAGAGGTTTTTTCGATTTGCCATCTTACCTTGTAAGCGTCACCAGTGGCGCAGAATGAATTGCTCCTGATGTCGAACCTGTTTTTGAGGTGTGGAAAGAAGGAAGAAGAAAAAGATGAGAGGGGCGATGTGGTCAGTCCTGTGTCCGATTTTGCCTTTTTAAGTACGAATGGCAGTGTTCTATTGGGGCTGCAAACGGATTTCTCGAATGGCTTTTTTCCAAACTATTGAAGCTAGGGGCAATGGCGATCAAACACGCCTTTTGGTAGCTCTTCAATGTGGATATGCGTAACCCAAGGGCAGCCACTTTGAAAAGATGTTCGCGTAAGATGGCGCATCTTCAAAACAACAAGTTGGCCAAGGTTTGAAAAACCACAGCCCTACACCCCCTCTTTCGACGAAGCCGTCCGAGAATGGTCCTGGTTTCATAGCCTCGAAAGGTCCCACTTCGGTGATTCGTCTCCACTTTTGTGGTGAAGCGAGGTGCACGATTGGAGAGATCCCGAAACAAGTTGGCCGCCATTCTGCCAACATACATGCAGCAAATCAATTGGCGCCAGATGCATCAAGGACCTTTACGTCGCAAATTGTCATGCGGATATAGAATCCAGCCGACCAGATCAAGATCTGAATGAACCACAATTTGAAACGGGAAACACACAAGTGTCTCTCGTGCGTGAGTCGATCTTGTTTCGCCTTCAGTCGGCGCTTCATTTACGCCATCTGGAAAAACAAAACATTCGGCGAATTGTTCAAGCACAGCCAATAACGCCCAAAGTCTTGACAACGAGTACGCAATCATTTTTGGGAACGTCATCAATTGTGGTAAATGGGTGAAGCGAAACCGAATCCATAAATGGCTCGCTTAGTCCATCATCTGTTCGCCCCATAAATGCTCGTCTTCGTACGAATGAATATCGAATATGACCCTCCCATTCGGGGCTTTCCTTACACTACACAAAACACAAAACTCATACTCACCCCATTGTGCTTCCGGAGTCATCATCTCATTTCCCGTCGTCATTGTCGAGTCAGTCGGGGCAGAAGTGAAACCCAATTGTTGTAGCATCATCGTATCTCCCATTGCGGCAGGCGCACTCTGTATTGTTGATTTTGACGTCATGCTCGATTGAGAATATTGGGATTGCGTATGAATGTCATCCATCTTTCTTAATTGTTGTAATTGTTGTATCTGTTGTTGATTGATTCCATATATTTCATGACCGTAAATGGATTGCTGTGAATTTGAATCGATGTAGCCGCCGGATTGTGATTGATTTGTGGCTGTATTACCACTTCCTACACCAAGCGAAGGCTGTGAAGAATTAAAATATTCATACGTTTGTGATAAATCCGAAGTAGCACTGGTCGATTGACCATTTGAATGTTGACCGCCAAGAGAAGAAGAGGACATTGAGGAAGAAGAAGCGTTCCCTTGACCGTCCATTGCGTGTATGCGCGGATGATATCTATGTCCTTTGGACGATGCCTCTCCACTCGCTCAAGATATTTTGATTAGACGAGGAACTGGTGGAGCAATTTCGGTCCAAAACGATCCGCTTTTCCCTGGACTGTCAAGAAAGAGTCACAAAGAGGCGGTGTTGCGATAAACGATCCAACAAGATGAACACTTCGCCACTGTTGTTTAGCAGGACAATGGAGAGATGGATGCACTTATTTATCTTGTCGCGCGATAATTGAATAAGTTTCGATGATGATGATGATGAGGTTGTGAAGCGAATCCTATGTGTCTTTTTTCAGGTATAATAGGAAACGTCGATCGCTGTTTGGTTGATCTTTGTTAATGATGAATATATTTAGCCAAGCCGGAATAAGAATGAAGAGGAAGAGACTACCTAAAAATACGCACGCCGGTCTTGTTTGTGTAGCGGAGGGACCGAACGGAGGACAGAGTGTGTGTGTGCGTGCAAGCAAGCAGCAAGATCAGCAAGCATGCCTAGTGCGCTTCAAACAAAAAAAAAGGAAAGTGTGATTGAGTGAGTGAATGTGTGCATTTTAATTAAAAAGAAAGGAAAATTAAAGCGGTGCAAATGTGTGCGCAAACGCTTCTCATCCAAGCCAACTATTAAAACGCTAATGTATGCTCAATCGATCAACCACCATTGTTGCATTGTACTTCTGAAAGATACAGGTGTGATGCCACACTTACATCTCTCGTACGCTCGCTGATTAAAATACTCCGAATTAAATGAAATCATTGTTCATTGATGCAACAAGATGTCCGATATAGATTATACACGTTTTTGTTAGCAACAAGAATCGATTGAGAGGTATCAGTCGGGAATGTCGCCACCGTCTTTTTATTGGGAGATGGTATCCCTCTTTTCCATATGCTGAGTTGCAGAAATGTTGTCAAGAGTACAGAAAGCGTTCCTGCACCAAAGATCAAAAGGACCGGTCAATTTTAAAATGTATTTTTTTCCGCGGCTATCCAAAAATCCCCTTTTGTGTCTCTCATTTATATTTCCATCAGGTCTTGTGCTATTTTTGGCAAAGGAAAAAGCTTCGATGCAGATCTGCTATTGTTCAATGAAGTTCATTTCCCGTTTCCATTATTTTATATCCCCACATTTGCATCTCTTCAACCTGGTGTACCCGCCGCCGGTTCAAGCAAAGAAAAACAGTAACTTGCTTGCATTTCCTTGCCCTCTTTTGACGAGGGACCACCCTAGAACCAAAGAGGGAGGTAGATTTGTTGCTTGTAATGGACTTGACAGGGAATTCAAATTCAAATCAGGAACAAAAGAAAGCAAAGGGCGTACGTACAGAAGTTTGACGTTGGATGTAGAATGTGTGAAGTGCAGTACCTGTGTATTTGGTTAACATGCACCAAGTGGGCGTAGTCATGCATACATACATACGTACTAAATTGGTGCAAAAACAGGGACCCGCGCCTCACTTTACGCGCACTTACGCTGCGCCGACTCGCCGAAAAAGCCGACTTGGCAGGTAACTTGACTGCCTGGAAAGAGGTATGCAGGGTTAAGTATCTGCACACCTTTGTTCCACAACGACCGGCGAGTAAAACGTCCGTTCAACCCAACGGCATTGTACAAAGTCACCGAAAACAATGAAGCTTAGTAAGATTCATTCTTCTCTCAACCGATCAAAGTCCGATAAGATTAACAATCTCAAATTCTGACAGTTGACTCGGTATGACGTAATCAAAGTGGACTTTTATGTGAAATTGTGACATTCAAAGGAAGAAAAAGATACATAAAACGTATACGATCAAAAAAGACGACAAATTATAGTCTCTTATTAAGTAGAAGATCGAAAAAAATGGGACAGATAATATTCCCGTAAAGGTCATGAGAAACGATTCCGTTATGAAAGAGAGAGAGATCAGAGAATCATCGCCTTCCTTCAATTAAGTGGAGACAGATGACGGATATAAATTTGCAGAGGGAGGGGAAATTTTAGTCTTCATTGGTGAATGGATCAGTATTTGGAACGACGACCGCTGATGCAAGAGATCAACAATGGAATCACTGCCAAAACTGAAGCGCCTCCAGCAGCCCATGTCATCCACAATGCATTTCCGTAATTAGCATCCAAGCCGGATGTGTTTTGTTGATCGGCAAGACTGTGACGAACTTTGTAGATAATAGCGGTCCAAATTGCTGCACCGACAAAGAACAAAGCTGCACCTGCCAATGCCAAAAGGGCACCCATCAAAAAGGCAAATCTGTGTGCCAAGAAAGCGATCAAGAAGGATACTCCGATCACCACAGTTGCAACAAAGATGATATAATTTGCAGCATTTGAGAATCTTGCTAGGTAGCTTGAATCTTGGAATGTGGATGCAGAAACGGTTTCAGAGACGAATGAACGGTATTGTGAGCTGATATCGGCTTGCAAAACGTTCAAAGGTTGATATTTGTATCCGAAATTTCTGCTACTGCAAGCGATTGTTTTGAAATTTTCGGCACCGGCACAAAAGCTGTACAAACCCCATTTGTATTCATTCTTTACACCATTTCCAGCCAATTCAGGAGCTGCTTGATTGGCTGCAAAGATATCATCTACGTTTACGTTTTGATTGTTTGCATTTGTTCGCAAGGCAGTCTCGAAACCGGTTGTATCCAAAGAAGTAATGTAAATGTTACGTGCTACGATATTTTGTGAAATTTGTCCCATATTGACCAGAATACCCAACACCATGGCCGCAAAGGTGAGGAATTCACCTAAACCGACACAGAAGAATGCTACCATGATTGGCTAACACACTCTAAAGAAGCAATGTGAAGAAATGATGAACGAATTCGCGATGGATGCCAAATGGCAGGTACCGGGTTAGGGGAAGAAGGTGGATGGTGATGGTGGTAGGTGTGTGGAGCTTTTGAAAAGAAAAGGATGACGAGATCTTATCTGAAGAAAAATGAATGAAGGAGAGAAAAATACACACCATAGGCATACAGTGTCAGTCTGAAAAGTTCAGTGGAGAAAAATGGCATAATGCGGAAAGCGAAAAATCAATTTCAGGCTCTAGCGCGGCGCAAAAATCTTTCTGTTCAAACACCCGATATGCTGAGAGCAAATGCGTTTTGGAAAAGCGGTGTGGAACATACAGAGCGTACACAGCCTCTACTATCAACCGGCTCAAGGAGGAGTATTACAACTTGACTGTGTTTATGCTCCTATTCTCTTCTTTTTCATCTGCATTGAGTGTATCTTGTTCTTGGCAAGTGAAGAAAGCACCCGCATGTTTGACCACTTCAAATCGATTTAATAGTGACGCTGTGGCTATGCAATTCGGGATATATATTTTGTATCGCAGACTAGGAAGAAGGGCGCACAACATACACGCCCTGTTTGGCAAATAAAAGTCCGACTAGAATCGTCTTTTTTGGCCTGCAAGATGCAAATCAGCACACTAAAACAACCAAATCCGAACAAGGAAGAGGGAGGGAGAATATATACTTCAAAGGTTGGACTGGTTTTACCCCTAAGCAAGGCAAAACAACAGTACAGCTCAAAAAGGTGGAGGAAAGGCGTGCAAGCTGTGTTTGTTGGAAAAGAGAAAGCGCTAGATGTTATCTATACGCGATTCAATTTAACTGACTGGTAAGATGCAGTCCTGTCTGTGATCTTTCTTCTTTTGGCGAAACGAGAGCATTACAGGGCCCCTTGTTGAAGGCAAAGTGATGCCACAGGAAATCAGCATGCAATCGTGATCGATTACAGGCACAAACATGTGGCCGGTTTAGCACGGCACTAGTCACCATTTTACCCTACCGCGTGCGGGTTCAATGAAAAAGTGATTGGTGTGCGTAAAAAAATCGACGTCATTTTACCTAGATTGCATTATTCTGATAAGGAAGCATTAGCTCATGAGAGGTGTGAGCGTAAGTGTACAGACAGATCTCAAGATGGTCACCCCAACCTTGGCTTTCCGGCTTGGTCGGCGAATTAAAAAGTATAATGGTGACTAAAATCTTAACCTTTTCTCGATCCTCATTTATTATTTCACATTGGATCTTTGATTGTTTCCGCTCTGACCCTGAATGAGATTTTAGACAATCAATTCCTCTGTCATGGGAATGTGCTCCCCACCGATGATGATGATGCCAATAAGCATGCTCAAGGAGCAAGCCGAGCTCTTTTTAAAGTTTGAGAGCCGATTGCGGTGCCTCCCGCGCCGCGTCCAAAGAACAGGTTCAAGCTAATGCTTGTAGAGGTGATGTTCTGTCAAACAGCCACACGTTATGCCCGTGGTTAACACAAGCAACGGATGTCTAGGCTGTGCGTGCGTGTGTGCATAAGTGCGTATTCTCACCTTCCACGCGTTTGCTTCTACTGTGGGGACAAAGTAGTTCAAATGCATGTAAGCAGAGCTTATATTCTTTACCGATAGAAGAAGACATTTTTTGATTATTCATACACCGGCGGCGGCCTTTGAGCCATGCATTGATAGAAAGAACCCCATAGGTCCCCATCTTATTTCGCCCGATTTTTCCTCTCCCATCACAGAACTCCGGTTCACGCATTCCGTTACCATCCGGCAACTTTTTTCCTTTCTTATTTGCTGTATTAAGCTTTTTCCTTCAAAGCCGGAGAATTCTAATTCCATTTTTATGAGGCGTAAAAAAGGGAGAAAGACACATCAGTCAGCAATCGAGGCATCTGTTTGGCAAGGATTAATCTACGCGCTATAAGCAGAAATAAAAAAAGGGCGTTGGATTCCGAATCAAAAGACGCCTTGCGTAAAAGAGGCATTTGATCAGTCTTTTAGTTGAATATATGCATGCATGCACTTATCTGGGTATGTAAGCTTCGATAAAGTTCAACTTTGATTGGCAGTCAATTACCTTCTCATTAACCACGTATACCTACTTCCTTCTTCTTAGCCATCCTCATCTAACGTCACCTTTACGACTACAACGCTTTCCGAAGCAGGCCGTCTGTCTAAAATCCCGATCGGAAACTTCTACTCTTTATTGCCATCATACGCCTGCGATCTTGGAATAGCTCAGCATTCAAAATTGCAGAGACGCTCGGTATAGGCACCACTCTTTGAGTCATATCCATCATCCATCCAACCCAAAGTGGTCTCTCTAATCAACATCACATCTAGCCGCGTCGCACACGCGCGACGGGTGGATTATCATCACACGATTACGGTCTGACATCCAAGGTGATCGTGGCAGAGGATGTGGACTTCTTTTCATCCTAGGAGATCGTCCAACTGGAGTCTAGACGATCAAGAGAGACACAAGGAAGCGGAAAGAAGTACACATCCAAAGGACCAGCAAACGGCATCCTCATCTAGAATCCCAGAACCTACTTCGCCCATCTTCCGTGCCAATGACTTACATCACATTGACGGTAAGGGAAGGTTACTCCAACGCACCAAAGACCCTCGCATCAAGACCACAAGAGCACATCCGTCATTGTGGCAACTGCAAATCGGAGAAACGAAGTTAGATAGGCGAAGCAACGATGCTAGCATAGAAGAACCAAATGGTCTTTCCACAACATCATCCTCTCCCGCTTCCTCGAGAAGAGCAACCTTGACCGAAAGAGCATCTAGTGCTTCTCCACCGTCTCCCTTTGGAATATCTCACAGCGATTGCTCACCGCCTAGTACGCCTCCTGATACACTTTCAAGTGGTGGCTCAAATGTACCGTTCAGCTCAAGGCGACACTGGAATCTACTTGGCCAAGATGGGAGTGAAAAGTCTGATAGAAAGATCAATGACCCCATCGATACACGACAAAGTGTGCCAGCACCTGCTGAGAGCAATCCAGTCATTCAAGCTTTGCCTAAAAGTTCTTCAAGGAATGACATCTTTTCCGCCTCTAGTCCAAGCATGCGACCTGCTCCACGTTTACCTTCTGTTCCGGTCGACACGACTGGAACGCCTACTCCCGCGACACGAAGACAAGATTCGTCAAAGAAGTCGAACAGACAATCTGGATTCTTTTACGGTTCACAATCTGATGCTTCATCTTCGTATCCTTCTCCTGTAGGACTACCTGAGCAGTTGCCAGTTCAACCATCGAGTCAATTATTGAACATCGATGATTCGGATCGGCCGGGCTATGGACGTTCCAATACAGAAGAGCGGGAGCGAGAACGTGAGAGGATTCGTCAAACAAATATGGAGATCGAATTCCGACTTTGTCCTGTGAAAGAATTGATGTTAGGAGAAGGAAGACATTCAGATGTTTATTTGGGCGCTTATCGAGTCAAAGAAGAGGTGAAGAATCCTTCCTTTGAGGTTGACGAAGATGAAGATCATGAGTGGCGATTATGTGCGATGAAAAGACCACATGCTGATAGACAATCACAATTGCTTGCTCTGGAAGAGGCATTTGCCTTGCGAAGACTGGGACCGCATCCGAATATCATACGTTTGATCAAGATTCGAGACGAAGTTCAACTTTCTCGACCAAATTCTCCAAGGATAGATGAAAAGCAAAAAGCGATAGAAGTACAAAATGAACGTGTAAGTCAAACAGGTCAAGCAGGACTAGGTCTTGGATTGCCAAGCAACTTCCTTGCGCCGACTTCTGTCAGAGCAAGAGCGACTAGCGATGTGAACGCATTGGAAAAAAGCCTGGAAAAGGGAAGATCACAGGCCAATACAGGTATGCTGCATCATCGCAGAATGATCAGTCAACCGGAAAATTCTAGTGAAGGCGTTGTTCAACCAAAAGTGAGGATTGTTGCACCCGATGCAGAGGAATCGCATAGTCCGCAGATCGATGGAGGTGCAGGAGTATTACGTCAAGCTGAGACAGACACTTCACGAAATGACGCACCACGGTTGTTGATGCTATTGGAACTTTTGCCTTTTAGTCTGTCATCATTTTCTCGACGCAACCCTGAATTGGTCGATTACAAACAATGGCGAACGTGGGCGTTGGAATTGGCAGGCGTTGTGGAATGGATGCATTCGCGTGGATGTATTCATGCTGATTTGAAACCGGAGAATATCTTGTTGACTTCTGATCTTCATGTGAAGTTGTGCGATTTCAATTCGGCATTATTCCCAAATGCATCTACTCCATTAATGGATGGCATTGGTCTTGGAACTCCAGCTTATGGAGCACCAGAACTATCGCGATCTCTCAACAAATCATCTGATTCCAGCAAAGGGTTCAGTTATCCTGTTGACATTTGGAGTTTAGGTGCGATCCTATATACTCTGGCAACGGGTACCGAACCTTTCAGAAGGGCAAGATCGATGATTGATATGGTTTATCGCAAAAGGGTATTCTTTGAATCAGAAGAGAATGATCGTGTTGCCCGAATGAGTGTTGCAGAAGGATCCAGTACGGCAGGTCCAGCAAGCTATTATTCTGGTACGATTGCAGGTAACCAAGGAAGCTTACCGACAAGTCGCAAGAGTAGCATCCGTGGTAGAAAGAGTGACGGCTCAGGCATGGCAAATACTTCCACATCTACACCTTTGCGCTCACAAGCATATAGTATGCACAAACGAGCTCCGAGCACAGAAAGTGTCTCGAGTATTAATAGTAGCATGGTCGTTTCGAGTGCTTCTGGCATGAGACCTTCGATACAAGCAATCAACATTTTACTGGATGATAGGACACCAACAGGTCTTTTGACAATTCCTGGATCACCGCAAATGGCATTGAGAAATATTGCTGCTGCAAATTCCAACGAAGGAGGCAAGCATGCAGGAACGTTTGCGACTATCAATGGACACCATCGTGCATCATCAATGGGCAAAGCACAAAGCCATCAATACGCTGGAGGCACACATTCACGCGGTCAACAAAGATGGAGTAGTCAAGGAACAGAACCGCACGATGCCGGACACGGTGCAAATGCATCTCTTGTTTCTCCGCGAACAAATACGACGTTGGACCTATTGGCACTCCGTCCAGATTCTTTGAGGAGGACGACATCCTATAATGGTCAAGATACAAATGCCAACACATCACAACCTGAAGCACAATCTCAGGAACGGGAAAGTGGAGAAACTCAAATGGAAAGAACCACGTCAAGAGAATCTTTATCGAGCTTGAATGGAGAGTCGCCCCGTGTTTCAATCTCACCTCCATCCTCCCTCTCCAGAAAGACTGGCGAAAATGCTGAATTACGATTAGCAGTAGCCGCTGCATTTGCACGATCTACCAATTATGCACCGCCTTCAAACTCAACAACTTCCAAGAATACCACAATCAAAGATCTTCGAAAGATGAGTGGAGACATGTCCTCTTTCTCACTTCAAGATCGCAGTCAAAGCCATACTGGATATGGACACGAACAAGAATCGTACGAAGAACAAGAAGATCTAAGGGCATATCATGATGGAACGCCTGCTCTGCTCTTACCTGGCGGTGGTAGATTGCCTGATCAAGCAAGAAATTTGCTCGAAAGGATGCTAAGAACTGATCCTGCTCAACGTCCAACAGCGTCGCAGGTTCGAGCTGTTTTGGAATCTCTATGACATAAAATAATGCAACCTTACTTGCTATATATCATCTTTTCCTTTATTCTATGCTTTCATCTTCATCTCCGTAAAGGTTTTTACTTTCAAATATTTGTACTTGTATGATCAATGTATCAATCTCATAAAAAAAGATGACTGTGGTACATAAGTGAGAATAAGTAGGGGACAGAGGGATACAAGGAATACACAAAGGTCGCCAAACGTTCCAGACGAGACAGCAAACACGAACACTTATTCGCCTTCTTTCAAGATACCCTTTGCACGCAATTGATCCACATCTGGTCTAGAAGCGAACTCCTTGCCGAGCTTGTCCTGGAAGAAGGGGGATGGTATAAGTATGGGTATTGAATTATCGAAAGGTATATATGCTGCACTACTCACTTCCAATTGACTTCTTTCCAAATCGCTCATTTTGCCTTGTAGAGCAGGAGCTACATTTTGATCTTTGAGCTGTTGTACGGGAATGGCAAAAAGGAGTAAGCCAGACTGTTTTGCATCTTAATCGTCTCTCTCTCTCTCTCTCTCTCTCTAATCACTCACAATTCCACGTCTTTCCAATTCTTCACGTTCAGGTCTACGTTCTAAACGACCTTCAAGTTTATCTTCCAATTGAGATTTTTGTAAATCTGCCGAAGCTGCTTGCAAAGCGGGCGCAAGGTTACCAGCTGTGGGGGGCGGGAGAGGGAGGGTAAGTATAAGTTGACTGAATCGTGATCATCTTCTGATAACGGGAATAATTACTTTTGAGAATGTTCTTGTCTTGCAATTCTTTCAAGTCGCTACGATTCTTGAGCAACTTTTCCAATCGTTCTTTCTCTTCTGTGTGATGGGGATCGTTAGTCGAAGCTGTGGGGAAGGACGGAGGGTTAGATTACTTGATTAATTCTTTACCCTCTTCTTTGTTCATCTTCTTACCCATGATGAATAGTACTGCTAGGTGTGATGATGGTGATGGTGGTAGTTATGATCATCAAAACACACCTCCTCAATTCGTATGACACTCTATTGCAAGCCACAACGACGACAACGGCCCGAGACCTTAAGGCGCGCAATGAGAAGGCACTTTATCAGTGTGAATGCACGTAGAAAGTACAAGTGTTACTTTAATCGGCGGACAAGGCATTTCAATCGCACGGGCCAAAAGAAAGAGCATTTATTATAGAATACATGGCAATGACATTCATGGACCTGGCAATCGTAAATCATTATGAAGAGAGCAAACCAACTTGACATAATCGCAATCACAATTCTCCATCGTTAGAAAACCATGTCGAATCAAAAAATCGATCAAGACTAAAGCGCAATTCGGTTTGAATTTGCCTTGTTTCATTAAGGGTAAAATTTGATCAATATCCATCAATTCGAATGATTCCGCTTCTCCATCTATGGGTTTAGGTTGAAATGAATCAGGTACTAGAATATCATAAGTATATTCCACTTCTGGCTGTCTCCATCCTAAAGGCGTACGATAAAAGTATGAAATCACACCATTTTGTTTCATCGCTGAACGTGCCAAAGATTCTTGCATTCCTGCTTCTTCTCCGCATTCACGTACCATTGAATCAAAAGGTGAATCTCCTGCACTTATTCCACCTGCAACGGAATTATCCAAATAACCTGGCCAAGTTGATTTGTTATGTGCTCGTTTAGGTACCCATATTTTATAATTTGATGTATAAGCAGTAGCATGAACTCCAAACGTTGCCAAACCGAATAAAGCACAAGCAGAACGTTCCAATGCAAAAGCTTCTTTTCGATCAGGTCCATAAATGCTGTATAATTCATTTCTCCATCCTTTTAATGGATCAGGGAATATATTTCGATCACGCCATGATTCAACGATTTGCCTCAATCCTTCCGTTCTAGCTTTCTTGGTCTGTAGTGAATCATTGAGCCAGACCTGTTTTCTATCCTGTGAGATACAAATCGCATCTGTTCGCTTTTGTTGTATATCATCTTGGAGTGCTTCTACCACAGATGGAGGCAGGAATCCGATCTGAACGCCTTGAGGAGGTTGACTGAGAAAGAATGGCGTCAAGCTGGTGTCTGACCATGGATCGTCATTATGACATTGCTGTACGACAGTAAGCAGATCCATCTCCTTTGATTATATATGATATTGCTGAGAGAAGTGAACATTCTTATCGTCCCCACGCTTAAGTGTAGCCCCCACTAATCTCACTCAATTCACGTGTACGCTATATCCCTTAAACCCGTTACAGCCTCACAGGGCCAGTATCAGCATCATTGATGGAAAGAGATAGAGCAAGTCCATCCGTATCTTTTACCTATACCACCTCCCCCTTGGTCGTCAACAAAATAACATCAACGGTTAACCTTACTGGCCTTACGGTCCTCTGTATCCGATAGATTCCCCTTTGGTCCTTCGTTTATTTCCGGCTTTTGAGAATTTGCGCGTTTAAGACCCTGACTGACTGACTGGCTGCACTGCACACACAATTGGGGAAAGTTGGGAAAATGACGTGCTTGACAAAAAGAAAAAATTAGTAATTTAAGAAGAACCGAAAAAAGCGGCACAAGAGCTGTATGACTAATTTATATCCGCTCTTGCCTGATCACCATCATCACTTCCTACTCTCACTCTATCCTAATCATGGCTGCTGCAACACAAGCCAGCATTGCCACTTCGGCTGTTGTGTTCGCTGGTGGTTTGGCTGTTGGTATCGGTGGGGCTTTAGCACTCTCTCGTGGCGCTTTTGCTCCTTCCACCAAGCCAAACAGAAAGACTGGCGAAAAAGCTAGAAAGGGATTGAACTTACCAAACGGTCAAGCTGTAACCGCAAAAGATGTTCCTGCTTCTGAGGTACTCGATGGCGTTGACCAAAAAGGTGCAGGACCTGTTGGTGCTCAACCAAATGGGATCGTGAAACCCGTCATTGCAAACAGCAAGACAAATAAACCCGCTCCCGTTCTATCAATCACCGGTAAGGAATTGTATCCTGAACCATCGAACAAGAACCGTGTAAGCGATTTGGAAACTCGAATGAACCCAACCGAAGCCAAACGTGAGAATGCTGCCGCTTCTGAACAAGCAAATGCTCAACTTCCCGTCTGCTTGACAGGTTCACCTCAAAGTAACCTTTTGAGCACAAGTACCGGTCAAATCGATAAGATCGCTTACGAATCAAGCTCAGCTGTTTTTGTCTATGAAAGTCAAACAAACGCTGGCTTTGGCTCTTACTCTGAGAAAGAAGCAAATGATGCACAACGTCGAGGCAATTCTCATACCAAAGTGGTTAGCATGCAAACTCGCGCAGGTGCAGGTGCTGCCATTGCTGGTTACCTCTCCGAAAATGGCAATTCATCCGCTCAAAGTACCGTCGATGGCAGAGTTGTTTCCGCTTTGACCAACGCAGATGGTTTCTTGGCAATGGCACCTTCTCTTGCCAACTTGGCTGCTGCAACCAACAATCGTCGTCTCGTTTTGCAAGTTTCAGCTGCTAGCCAAGAACGTGAAGTGATTTCAAATAATTATTCTTCCGTCCTTGCAGCTGCTTCAACTGTCGGAGAGGATATTTCCGTCGTCCTTTCTGCAGGACGTCAAGAAGCTGTTGACATCGCATCAATCGTCTCTTCACCTTCCATTCAAGGTCATGTGGCACACGTCTTTGATGGCGCTTTCGCTGGTCCCCAATTGGCCAAATTGAACGCTCCAAACAAGACTGAAGTCAAGTCAGCCTCTTTGTCTGACGCTTTGCAAGCCTCTGGATATGAGAATTTCATTTATCAAGGACCTGAATCTCCTTCCGTCTTGCTCATTGTGCCCAACGGATCTCACTTCGAAGCTGCCAAGACAATCTTGTCTAGCGCCAATGAAGAGATTCAAAGCACTTTGGGTTTGATCGCCGCACGTGTGATCCGTCCTTGGAGCGATGAAGATTTGTTGAAATTGATTCCTTCCAGCGTTGAGACTATTCATGTCTTGGATGAAGTTCGTGTTGCCGGTCTTACAGGCGTCTTGTTTGAAGATGTTCAGGCTACCATCATGTCCAACATCCTTTCAGCCAAAGGTCCAACTCCTATCGTTCAACCTATCGCTCTGCACTCTGCAGAACATTTGAGCGCCGGTCATTGGAGCTTGTTGCTCAATGCAGCTGCCACTACCGCTCACAAGTGGCAATTGGATTTGGATACGATCAAAAATGTGGAAGTCAAATCCCTCGAAAGCGATTTGATCGATCAAGCTACTAAGCTTGTCACTTTCATCGATCAAGATCAATCAGCTACTGCCACAGCCGGATCTTTGTTCGCTCGTGTCTTCCGTGACCGTAATGGCAACGTTCATCATTCTCGTTTGTTGTCCCGCTTTGACAACTTTACAGCTGGCGGTCTTGTTCGTCATGACGTTCTTCTCACTGCACCTGAGAATTCCGAAAGCGCTGCCCAATACCCATTGCAGGTCGTTTCATCGGGTAACCAAAGTAACGCATTGGTGATTGGTGATCTTGCCGCATTGAAGGGCTACAACGTCTTTGAGTCATTGAAGGCTGGCGGTGTCGTTTTGATCAACGCACCTGGCTTGAACGGTTTGGAATTGGCATCCAGGTTGCGTGCTGAGGATAAGCAAACGTTGGCAGCAAAGAATGCTCGTGTCTACCTATTGGATGCACCAAAGGTCGTCGATGGTATTCACAGTGCCACAGCCAAGGCAAGAGGTGGCAAACATCGCATGGCATCGAATGAGGTGCCCAAAGAAACCGCCGCTGTTGTCCTCTTGACAGCCGTGTTGAACAAGTTTGCTCATTTCAACGCAACTGCTGTCAAGGCTTTGCTTGGTAAAGTGCTCGGAACGGCTCCTTTGGGTGACGAAGGCGTATCGGGCGTTGTTGATGGTTACGTTTCAGGCTTGCAATTGGTTGCATTCAACAGTGAAGAATGGAAGAACAGTCAACCAGTGAATGAAGTGGAAGCATCAGCTCCTGTTCGTCCAACGCAATTCCATTACAATGCCTTCTCTCCTTTGGCAGACGCTGCTAGCTTGAGTGCTGATCCAAGTGCCGCTCGTGCTACATGGACTTTGCCTGCTTGGCAAACAATGTTTGGTGAAGCGTACAATACCGATCACAAATCTTTACGTCCCGATTTGCCAGAAGATAATTACGTCTTGACCGTAACGGAGAACCGTCGTTTGACTCCTCTCGATTATGATCGTAACGTGTTCCATATGGAACTGTCTACTGCTGGTACTGGACTCAAGTACGAAGTTGGTGAAGCATTGGGTATTCATGGTTTGAACGATGCTGATGAAGTTCGTGACTTCATTTCTTGGAGTGGATATGATCCAGATGAGATCATTAGCGTTGCAAGTCTTTCTGACCCAACACGCTATGAAAGTCGTACCGTATTCCAAGTATTACAACAACGTCTTGATATCTTCGGTAAGCCTGGCAGAAGCTTTTACGAGACTTTGTCTAAGTTGGCAACGGACGTTGATGAAGCAAAATGGTTGCGATTCGTTGGTTCAGCAGAAGGTCAAAGTACGTTCAAGAAATTGTCTGAGATTGAAACTGTTACGTATGCAGATGTTTTACGAATGTTCCCAAGCGCACGTTTACCTTTGGATGTCCTTTTGACTGAAGTTGAAGCTATCAAACCACGTCATTACAGTATCGCAAGTGCACAATCTTTCGTTGGTGATTCCGTTCATCTTTTGATTGTTACCGTTGATTGGCGTACGCCAAGCGGTAGTCCAAGATACGGTCAATGTACACGTTATCTGGCCAACTTGAAGGTGGGAGAACAAGTGACTGTTTCACTCAAGCCAAGTGTGATGAAACTCCCACCGTTTACCACTCAGCCGATCGTGATGAGTGGTTTGGGTACCGGAGCTGCACCTTTCCGTGCTTACATTCAAGCAAGAGCCGTTCAGAAACGTCAAGGTCATGAGATCGGACCGATGATTTACATCTTTGGATCACGTTACAAGCATGCGGAGTATCTGTATGGAGAAGAGCTTGAAGCGTACGAGAAGGATGGAATTGTGAAAGTATTGACTGCATTCAGTCGTGATCAAAAGCACAAGATTTATATTCAAAATCGAATTGAACAAAATCAAAAGGATATTTTGGATCTTTTGATTCCGGAAAAAGGAGCTGGAGAAGAACGTAAAGGATTATTCACCCTTTGTGGACCAACTGATCCTTTGCCAGACGTTCAAGAAGCTTTGATTAAAGGATATATGTCCAAGACTGGTAAATCCCATGCAGACGGTGAAGCATGGTTAGAAGAATTAAAGGAAGAGGAAAGAGCAGTGTATGAGGTGTACTGATGTGGTGCCTTTTAAATATGGATTTGTTTTGTCTTGTTGCCATTCAGCCAGTAATATTATGATTGCTTTTCTTCTTTAGCCAGAGAGTGTTTTGTTGTAACCGTTGGCGTATTCGGCGGCTTTTAGCCGGGTAATTTGGCTTGAGTTGTACACACGGACCCTGAGTGGTGGGCGTGTGCCAATTGGGCGGGTAACCTTATTTTCCGTAAAAGCGGCAAGGCGTGTGTGGGCAAAAAAGGCGGAGAAAATTAGCCTGGCAAGTGATTGGAAGAAGTATAAATGCTTATAAAAGGACTTGAATACATGCACCTCTTCCATCTCTTTGTTCCCATCAAACACGGTGGATGAAAAATATGGCAGAAAAGACTGTGCTACCTATCCTACACTTCAATGATGTTTATCGTGTTCAACAAACATCAAAACAAGGTACAATCTCGGCAGATCAATTCGCAGCAAAGATTGCACAAATACGAACAAAATGGGGAGAAAAGAGTCGAGCATTAGCATTCTTGGAGGAAGAGCAGCAGCAGCAGCAGCAGCAGCAAGAAGACAAGGCAGTCGAACATATTCAACATAATTCTACATCTACCTCTGATCCACTACATGGCCTAACACTTTTCTCTGGAGATGTTTTCAATCCCAGTATCGAATCAAGTGTAACACGTGGAGAACATATGATTGAAATCTTGAATGCAATGTCGATCGATTGTGCATGTTTGGGTAATCATGATTTCGATTTCGGTTATCCACATTTATGCAAATTAATGCCACAAACAAATTTCCCTTGGACGTTTTCAAATATCGCAGACGTTCAACATACAGATCCACAACGTGGACATGAAATCGAACCACAAGAAACGGATAAACAAGTTGATGGTACTTTACGAGCTTGGGTGACGGAAATGCATGGAGGAGTTCGGGTTGGATGTATTGGTTTGGTAGAAAGAGATTGGATTGCAACCGTTCCTGCTTTTCCACCAAATTTTCGTTATAGAGGAATGGTAGAAATTGCAAAACAATTATCCGAAGAATTACGTGATCCGAACGGACAACATAAATGTGATTTGATCGTTGCTTTGACTCATTGCAGATTACCGAATGACATCGATCTGGCAAATGCTTTGGGCGCTACTAGCGATTCACCGGAAGATCAACATGGTGTCGATCTTGTGTTGGGAGGACATGACCATACCTACTATATTGGCAATGGGATCGATAAATACGAAGGAGAAGAATGGGGAACATCTATGCCAGGAACAGAAAAGGACAAAGGATGCATGCTGATAAAAAGTGGAACAGACTTCCATGATCTAAGTGAGATTGAATTGCAATTGAGCGAACCCAAAGAAGGTGTAATACGAAGACGGAGAATCGTTGGTGCAAAAGTACGACGTCATAAAACAAAGCCAAACGATGAAACGTTACCAGAATTAAAAGCACACATTGATGAATTGATGAAACGTGTCGATCAAGCAACCGGACAACCTGTTGCATTTGCAATGACTTCTTTGGATTGTCGAATGGACAAAGTTCGTACGGACGAAGCGGGAGTAGGAAACTTTATCGCGGATATCCTCTTGCACAGTTATGATGATGCTTTACGTCAACGTGATCAACGTGGCGAATTCGAAGAAAGAAGGGCAGATGATGCACGAGAGGTAGATTTAGCTTTCATTTGTGGCGGTAGTCTACGTGGTGATGAAGAATTTGGACCGGGTATCATTACTCTACGTGATATTTTGACAATCATGCCATTTGAAGATGCGGTGATCGTTAGAAATCTTAAAGGGAAGGATATCTTGGAAGCTTTGGAGAATGGTCTGGGCGCATACCCAAGCCAAGAAGGTCGTTTCCCACAAGTTGCCGGCATTTCTGTCGATTGGGATTCAAGTAGACCGCCAGGACAACGTGTGGTGGAAGTAAGATTGCTCAAGGATGTGCACTTATTCGATGAAGAAGGTAAAAGAGAAACTCCGACAAACGCATCTCCAGCATTAGAAGGAGGTGAAGGAGCAGAAACGTATGCGTTCGAACGGAAAGAAGAAGGTGGATATTCGATCGAAGTGAACAAACCTCGAATTCGTAAAGGAGAAAAGTTGGATCCTGATCGAATTTATCGAGTGGTCACGCGTGAATACATGGGTGATGGTCATGATGGTTATGCGGCATTGGATCGAGCTTGTGGAGAAGATTTAGTCGATCACGAAAACGGTAGCTTGATGAGTACGCAAGTTCGTAAGTTCTTGCTTGGTGCTTCATTGATTTGGCGATTGAAAGCATTCCGTGATCAAGCCAAAGACGATGGACTTTCCGTTGTTGGTCAAAGAGATACACTTTCTCACAAAACCAGAAAAGCCATCGAACGAGCTCATGCTCTTTCTGATCCACCTTTGCCGTCTTCAACAATCAAGAATCATCCTAGTGCTGTACAGGCTACATCTGCTGGTGCCGAGAGTGCTGATGCCAAAGGTGGTTCGGGACAAGCGACACCCAAGAAAGCAGGATCACGTAGGGTGGTTGTGGATTCCAGTCCAGGTGCTTTTAGAGATGCGATGCATGTAGGCGCAAGTGAACATCATTCTCATTATGATGCAGCTTCGAAGCATTTCCGTGATTCTCGTGTTCCAGCGAATGCTCGATTACGTTCTCCCTTATCAGCTTCTTCAATGCGCAGTGATCGGATTGATCGTTCGATTGATTCAGTTCTAGCTGGAGATGATGGCGGTGGCGGCTTGACGGGAGATGATTCACATTTGAGTAATGGCGAACTTTCTGCAGATGAAGAAGGACAAGATTCGAGTAACTTTTTACGAGAATTGCGAAGACGAAATGAAGATGAACTTGCAGAAGTCGGGTCTGTTTCTTCTTCGGGTGATATGGAGTCGCCATCAGCTTTCCGTGCTCCTACATCAGCATCCACAATGATGGGTAGCAATGATGATCTTTTGATGGCAGGTTCTTCTTATTTTTCACCAAAAGCGATCAGAAGACATGTCGAAGTTACTGCAGAAGATGGTGCTCTCTTGCGTTCATCAGAGGGAAGTTTGGCCATCATTGCACCTATGCGTGATGGTCGTTTGGTCGATCTTGCAAGGAGTAAAACGAAGAATGCAAAGAAAGAATAGAAGGTGGATGTCACTAACGCTATGATCCATAAACATTTGTACACTTTATGCAATCCATAGACTAATACTAGAGATGATGAGAGGAAATCTGAGTCAATAATTGATGCACTATCACAACACACACGCACGCCACCAGATGAATATCGTTTGAAATGATTGATTGCAAAGCAGGTACATGGCAGCCAGCGAGCTGCAATCCAATGCCGACATCCACTTCCAATCAAGAGTCGGAGACGTTCTTGAAAGAGAGAAAGCAAAAAGAAGACAAAAGAAAAGGAGGAAAAAAGTGATTTGAAAAGAAAGGGCGCGCGTCTCAAGGCTTGAGTGTAATGCCAAGGACACACATGGTAACGGTGTTGGCAAGCCAAATTGAACCGATTACCTCCATTAAGCAAAAAGAAAGTTGACGTAAAACATCTCCGAAGAGATGGATGTAGACGTCAATCTACATAGAACAGATACTACACTTGATCTAAGCCAAAAGGCCGAAAAGGTGAGGGAACAGAAAGAAAAAGTTGCAAAACATAAAATCAAATTATATACTCTTGCGCAACAAGCAAAATTACGCCCTGGCTAACTGCGCAACGCACAAGCCCATTTGACTCAGCATTTGAAAAGCACGTGCAATTGTTTGCAATTTGAAAACAATTTTGACACGACGCGTTGTAGATCAGGGGTAACGCGTCTGAAACACTATACGCGGATTCAATGGATACACACGCTACAACAACAATTAAACAAGCATTCCCCTTGCATGCATGATAGGATGTGAATTTCTGTAACGATCGAAAGTTGGTATGAATGAATGCATTTGATCAGCATTGACACCATACTTACCTCTTTAAGCTCATCGGGCATGTACATGAGCTATTATACATACAATAGGTATATTATCAAATCACCGTAGTTGATGCATGAATGAAAATGCAAGGAAAAGCAGGTACAATGATTATTTCACCGGATCTATCTCGATCAAAAAAGAGCTTGACATCGTAGATCATTGGTATGTATGTATCAAAAGGGTTTCTCTCATCCTTACTTTCTTTTATCCGTTACACATACATTCCTGTGTGTGCCAAGATAAGGTAATATGATATCTGGATAGAATATTTCCATTGGGATCGGTGTTTGCTGAATGTGAAATGGTTGTGGCTATAAAGTGAACTTTAATTGCAAGAATTAAAACGTCATCTGGCACGTCCGGCTTTAGGAATGGGAATCGGACGCGCCGACGCAATAGAAGTGCGTCGGGGCAACAAATGTCATTTACGCGTCTGCTTGGTGTTGACTGAGTTTTGCTCTGAGACCAACACGGGTAAAATAAGAAGAAATGATATTATAAACCTTAAATTAGGTAAATTGCAACTAATCTTCACACGCTTCGGATAACATTCAATTGAACAAAGGAATAAATGATGAACCTTGATGAATATTTGATCCTTTGTTTAATTGAATCGGATCTCTTTGCAAAGGGTCTTCATGAGTGACCGTTGCCTCGGTTCTCTGTAGATAAATGAGATTTGACTTCATTTGACTAATTTAGACTTTATTAAAGTCTATACATATATTGATTGCAAAAGAGGTGATCCTAGTAAACGCCCCGTCTGTACGCCTATTATTAGCGTATTAAATGCATTTACCCACCTCTTCCTTTGTCAAGCATGGATCTCCCCGCTTTATAATATTATACACTTCATTCTTTATGACGTTGACATTTTCATCTCCGCCGGTGCTCTTTAGCACGCCTAAACATGTAGGGTGCATTTGACACAAGGAGGGGGAACGGTTGCGTGTGTGTGTGTGTGCTTCCGGTTCATAATTGCACTAAAACCCAACGCGTCTTTACCAGAGCAAGCTAAAAATAATGTATGTACCCTGGTGTGTGAAGTTTCTTAAACGTGGGGAGAGAAGGGGTTGGGCCAGCGAGCGATACAATCCAAGTCAAGTCAAGCCGTTGAATCGAGTTTTAATTCGTGGCTGGTTTAATAAAATCCCGGCGTTAAAAAAAGGGAATTGTTTGAGTGTATGCGGTGCGTGCATGTTCACCTGCATATCTTTTATTTTGCATTTAAGCAGTTTAGCACCCTTTTCCATGTAAATCACAAAATCACAATTTTATATTATTTTTTTTCTTGCAATCGAATTATCCCCTCACCCACGACGATCGAAAGAATCAAATTAGCTTTTCATTGCGCGGACGGATACGTTTACCCTTCGATCGGGCTAAGAAATAGGACCCTAAATTGTGATTGAACCCTCAGGGAAAGAGACAGCACCACTTACATGATCATATGAAAGAGAAAGCAGTGTTATTTGTTACAACTGATGCATTTTCGCCTTTTCCCGTCGGTCAAAAATGTGATTTGAATGGGAAGGATGGTATGCATGCATAGAAGCACGCACATTACGAGTAAAATTGTGCCAGGCGCTGCGCCCGCTTCTAAGCAGCAGCAGCAAAAAGCAGTGCGGAAGAAGTTATTCAATCCTTTTTAGGGGCACTACATCCCGCTTCTTCCAGTGGAGAGATATGTACTGCATCGGTTCAACACACTCACACACAAGAAGAGTACAACTATATGCTGCTGCTGCTGCTGCTGCATGGTGCTTTCAAGATAAGACTTCCTCATAGATCGAGACTTAGGTTTCGATTAATCGTGGCTTTTTGCATGGGTTATGTCTAAATGATTAACCTTCTTGCTCTGTGGTTAAACATGCCATATCTCTCTCTTCTCTTACTCCGATCTATTTGAATACGTCGATCTAAGCAATCAATACGCCGCTTCTCTCCGCCTTTTTGGGATTAAAGAGGCTTTCTCCGTACATAACTCAAAAACACAAATTCAAATCTGGAAAAAAAGAAAGAGGCCGACACAATTACAAACTCGATCTGAACTTTTAAATAAATTCACCATCATCACCATCATCCAATCTGTCAATGTCAACGCATTGATTCCTTTTGCAAACCCTTTAACAAAGACCAAAGCGTCAATCTTTGCAACTTTGACCGCTTTGTCAAATTACGATTCACTTACGAGCATACACCGCTTTTTCCGTTGTTTGTGGTATTTTTAGGACCGCCGTTTTAAAGCCTCAATTAAACGTGCATGAATGTCAATATTGTCTGTTACAAATCAATCAGAGTAAACATCAACAAGCAAGTTATCATTCCTTTCTTCGGCTTGCCAAGACACCTTCATCATCGTCTTGATACAAACGGCATTCCGCTTATTATCTTTCACCTTTATCAATAATATCGAGCAACAAACCTTCCGCAATCCTCATTTAAGCGACATCTCTTGATCCTTCTCTTTTTCTGATAGCATTCAAAATGCTACAACGATCAAGACCGGCACATATGGTGTCAAATATGCAAAATACAACACAAGATCCTTTGGAAGATCATGATGGTGATATTCTCATGATGAGTTCAACCTACGATAGCAGCAGTAGAGATCATACGAATGATTCAGATATTCCTTCTTCATCAAGTATGGCAATGAAGATGGGCATGTCTTCTCGTGGATCGGCTGATTCCCTTGCATCAACAGCATCTTCTTCTTCTCTCAATCGGGAACCAGAACTTTCACAATCCTTTGGATCGACAAAGAGTTATGATTTGATGACACCTATCAAACCACTACAAAATTTGCAATCGTCCAACGCAGCTATCAAGAGATTTTCAATCGCAGCTTCCCTAGATGCTGCTACAACTGCGGCCATTCAAGCCAAATTGCATCATTCTCCCCATATCAGCCCACGTACAACATCGGATACACCTTTACGCCGTGATGATAATCAAGTAGGAGCAACACAATCCCCATCTCAGGAAAGCCAAAAGAAATCTTCTTTGGGCTTACACCTCAATGGCTCTGATGTAGTCCGTAACGAATTCAAGCGAAATCCGCCACCAGGATTGGCCGGAAGATTGAAGATCAATTTGCCAAGTAATCCAATGCAAACCGACGGTCCACTTACACCAGGCGGTCATGCCGCAATCGGTGCACGGGATGGCGCAGCAAATGGAGGCTTCCCGATGAGCCCTTTTGAGCCACCAACTCCGCTTTTGATGCCACAAGATCAACAAGCAATGATGATGTCCATGAGTCCGATCAATACCACTCCAACGCAAAGACCTATCCTTGCCCATCGTCATTCAAGTGGAAGGCCAATGCCTTTAGTCATGTCACCGTTGGCCAAAGAGCTATCATCGTTGGGCATGCGAAAGACAATGAGTTCAAACTCAAAAGGATCAGAGGCTAGTTCGGTTGCGTCTTCACAAAGGAGCGTTATTTCAGAAGCATCTTCTGCCACTTCAGCATCAACGCTCTTGACGCCACCGTTTTCACCGTATACACAATCCAAGAACATTTCAACCGAATCAGATGTTTCTTCTCTCAACGTTGGAATTCCAACCACTCCTTTTGATCCTTCTCAAAGATCTTTGAGCGGAGGAAGTGCTTCAAGTGCAGTCAGCACCACTGCTGTTGCCTCTCCTTCTTCGGGCAATGCAAAAGCACCAAGAACTGTTTCACCACGACCCAAGCTGACCAAATCCGTCAAAGCGGCACCTTATCCATCACCTGCCCGTGAAGACAACAAAGCAGGTGCGGCATTCATGAGTATCACACAATCTCAACCATCTTCAAGCTACTTTGAAGCGCCACCAAAATCCGCCGTGGCTGCCACAGCTGCTGCAGCATCACCTTTGGCACCTTCAATCTTACGTGATGTTGTCAAGCCACCAGGCCTTTCATCCAAGCAATTGGCGACTCCTTCTTCAGCAAAGATGGAAAAGTGTTTCTCAGAGCCTGTGCCAAGAACAGTATCTGCACGTCATTTGGCAAGTCGTACATTACATCCAGTCTTTGCACGCAATTATGCATTAGGAGATGAATTGGGTAGCGGTGGATTTGGTTTCGTTGTTGGAGCAACTAGAATCTCGGATGGATTGCCGGTTGCTGTGAAGTTTATCTGGAAAGAAAAAGTTCCTAGTCATGGTTGGGTTAGAGATGATAAGTTTGGCGCAATTCCAATGGAAGCTTTCGTTTTAAAGGTTATCGATAGTCCATACGTTGTAAAATTTGTCGATCTCTTTGCGGATGGTGAATTTTTCTATTTGATCATGGAACATCACGGTTCACCGTGGAAAGCACCTCAAAGTGGCGAAGATCAAGGAATGGATGACGAACCCGTTTTGCCAAACAAACAGGAGGATTTGACGTTGAAAGCCATCAAGCCAAGCAACTCCAAGGCTCAACATCTTTCACCCATCGACACCAAGGCTGCCTTGCCTGCTGACAATGGACCAGCACCCTCTCCCACATTTGCTGTTTTCCCGCCTGGTAGTGATGTACCCTTGAAGAGCGAGGAAGTCTTATCAAGCAGCCCAACGGCAATGTCACCATCTTCGGATAGCGGTGCAAGTGAACTCTCAGCTTACTCATCAACAAGCTCTTTGCGACCAGCACCTATGGAACGTAGATCGTCTTGTGATTTGTTTGAGTGCATTGAACAACATTCAAGCTTGTCAGAAGACAAGGCAAGATGGGTTTTCGCACAAATCGTTGAAGCAGTTTATGATTTGGACAAACGTGGTATCTGCCATCGTGATATCAAGGATGAAAATTGCGTGGTTGATCGTGATTTCAATGTGAAGTTGATCGATTTTGGATCTGCAGTGATCACTGATCCACGCAAGCCTATGCCTTACTTCAACCGCTTCTTTGGCACGATGACATTTGCATCAAGTGAAATCCTTCAAGGAAAGCAATATCGTGCACCACATGCAGAGATTTGGAGTTTAGGCGTCTTGCTGAGCATCTTGCTCAGTGGTGAATGCCCATTTGCCGATCCGCAAGCAGCAATTCGCGGAAAGATTTCCAAACCTTCAAAACCATACAGCAAAGAAGCAATGGATCTTTTGATCGGATGTTTACAGGTTGATCCTGATAGACGAGCAAACATTCGTGAAGTTCGACAACATCCTTGGGTACGTAAAGCATGGGAACAACGTAGCGGTCGTTCAGGTCGTGCATTTACACAATAAAAAGCTCGCAGAATTGACAATATGTCATAACATATATACCCATTACCATTAATTTTCTCTCTCTCTTTAATCTACTTTTCTCTCTCCCTTTCATCTAATCAGCGTCATCTCTCCTCACATCAATTCTCTCTCTCAGCACACATTGTTTTTATTTTCTCATCGTACTATACTACCTCAGTTGATCACTTTTGTTTCTCGATCTTTATCTTAACTGTATCATATATGGCATCAACCTCTTTTACTCTAATGAGACACCTTTCAATTGCTTTAATCATTGTGCATTGTGTGAGTCTGAAGATGGTGGAATGACTGAGAGGGAGTGTCACGTGTCCCTTACAATTCTCCCTCCCAGGCGTTGGCGCGTTTGCAGTAATGAATACGCGATAGAAGGCGACAAGAGTGCATCCAAGCCAATGCATGCATGAATGTCAAAAGATGATCACACAAAAGTGGATGAATTGTACTTGTATCACACTTTTAACTTACGACAGCCAACTACTCTGACATCATGGCTGATAAACTTGGAATCCCGGTCAGACTGCTTCATGAAAGTTTGGGACATGTAGTCACGATCGAAGTCAAGGGTGGAGCAACATATCGTGGACAGCTATACGAAGGTGAGCATGAGAAAAGGAGGTGAGAGAAAAGAGAAACTGAAGAACCATCGCTAACCCATACAATCCCTCTTGCAGCGGAAGACAACCTAAACGTAAGCATGAAAGAGATCACAGTTACAGCTAGGGATGGACAACAATCAAAATTAGAAACTGTTTACATACGTGGAAGTATGATCAGATTTATAATCGTTCCTGATATGTTACAACAAGCGCCAATGTTTAAACGTGTCGGTCCAAATGCAATGAAAGGTCGTGGAATCGGTAGTGCTCGTGGAAGGGCAACGATTATTAGAGGTAGGTTGTGCTCTTCATCCAAAAAAGTGAACATCACTGATAAATCTTCTTCCTTTTGTCATTTACAGCTCAAAATAGACGCGGACGAGGAGGAGGCAGAGGCGCTCCACCGCCAAGTGGACCAAGTGTTCGTCGATAAAAGAAACAGAGGACATCGTTCATCCTATCAGCATTGTATACTATATCCACAAAAATCGATAAAAGGTTACGCATCATATTGAAAAAGGTATTATACATGAAACAGTGTAGACTTGATTGGAACTTTCTACTTTGTAGGCGTTCGCATCAAACGCAAGATTCGTTTGAGCTCACTTTGTACTTCTTCTACTGCAGTATCGTGAGAGGATGTATGTTTCTCATGTTCTCGTAATTGCTCCATCAATTCGTTTACCGGTCCAATAACCGATCTTGCAGCTTTTGCACGTTCTTCTTGCAAATCAGCAATTGCGACATGAACTCTTTCGCCTTCCTTGTCCACTTCTTTATAACGCCTTCGCATCTCTTCCAATGCTTCACGATTTCTTTTGGCCGTTTCTCCATGCGTCATTCGAAGTTCTTTCATTTCCTTTTCCCATGCCTCTCGAGTTTGTTTCCAGGTGGTAGAAATTGCTTCGTATTGCATTTCCGCCCTTTGCTTCGTCACACGTTCTTCGCCTAATTCAGCTTCAATTTTGCGTACTCTAGCTCCCCATTCTCGACTACTTTTGCCCAACTCTTTCGCTTCAGCTTCCGCCTTTCGTGCACGTTCTAATACTTCTTGATGCTGTCGATCTTTACGTGATAACATTTGACCTGATGCTTCATTCTCAGCTCGCGATCTACCTAAAGCATCACGAGTTTCATCCAAAGATCTTTGCAAAGAGGTAACCGTACGTTGACAAGTACGTAATTGCATTTTGGTATCATCCAATGCAGAACGTGCTGCATTCAATTCATTCGTCAATGATTCAATCACCTTGCCTGACCCTTTTGGCGTTTGACCACCCGATTGCGAAGAAGGAGCGAACTGACCTGGACTGGACGTTACTGGTGATCCAAGAACGGCAGTGTTTGCCAGCCTTCTATTCTCACTGGCAATCGTTGGCGAAAGGAAACCTTCTCCGAGTGCAAGCTGAGATCCTTTTCTGCCTTCAGGTACGGTTTCAAGACCAAGTTGATTGTTCAAAGGAGACTGCTCTGGTGTGCTGTATCCGTTTGTTAATCCCAAAGAATTTGCGTCTTTTCTTCTTCTTCGATTGACTGTCATGCCATTTCCATTACCTGGTGTATCTGCTGTATTTGCGATATCAGAAAATGGTTCTTTGCTATGCTCACTCGGATGATTGCTGTCAGAAGATTGAAAGCTATCTGTCGTCCTTTCCATTGAGGATGCTCTAGATCTACGCCCACCGCCGCCTATTAATGGCGATAAAGAGGCAGCACCAACAGCAGGTAATGAATTTCGACTACGTGGCGCTCGGCGTGCGCCACTAGAAGGTGTTTGTGTGCCTGATTTTTGCTCAAGAGAAGTGATGATGGCCGTCTTTTGACGTATGATATGCTTCAATTCGTGTACCTGTGATCGTAAAGCTGCTTTTGAGATGCTTGAACCGTTCAAGCTATCATCCCCGGTATTTGCATGACTGCTGTGGAATGTAGCATCACTTCTTTCGCTCGATCGAGAGGGTGATCGTTTGGTATGAGCAATATGATTTGTGCCATCTAGAGAGATTCGTACCTCTTCTGGTGATTCAATCTTGGGGAATGCAGCTGCATTTGTATGGTGAATAGCGAGTGGACCTCCGCTTTCACGAATCTCGTCAAGTGCCTCCAATATGCTTAATGATTCGCTCCAAGGAAGTTTCTCGCTTTCGGTTTTGGAAGTAGAGGTTCCTATTGCACATTCATCTGCCGCCCAAAGTAGTCCTTTCTCTGCACTTTGTTTCCTCATCACGATTCCTAGCCAATGTTTCTTATCACGTTCAGCTAATTCGCAAAGCTCGCCAGCTTCGATTCTTGTCATAGCTATGGGCTTGTACAGCAGAACAGCCTTTCCACCACGAATGGCAGAAGTTGCTTCCCGATGCCGTTCAATCTGAGGGCCTCCGACGTAAATTGCATCTATTGCAGGATGTGCGTGTAATTCAGTTGACGTGCCAAATGCTTCTACATGTTTGACTTTTTTGTCATTGCCCTTTTCTAGTCGAACATGGGTATCAGCAAATGCTCTTGCTTCTTTCTCGATTGTAGAGGCTACTGCAATGATTGTGTGCTTGATTAGCGGTTTACTCGAAGAAGAGGCTGTTGTTTGATTAGATTGCAAATCTGCTACGAACTGAGCAGCATCTGTTCCACACCCTAGAATTCCCCATCTACATGTAACAGCATCACCGGATTTTGTCATTGTCGGTGATTACGAATCTTGTTCATGAGGATTGCGTGGGTAAATGCTCAAAGGTGAATGGCTTACAAGTCTTGTTGTTTTTGATTTTGTTGTAAGGTTCGATGCACCTTTTTCCGTCCTCCTTTTGCAACGACCAGCGATGCTGAATGACAAAGTCGGAAGAGGAGGATATTCCTAGAGAGGATCCTGCTTTGATGTGATTGTCTAGATGATGACCTTGTTGTTTAATAATAAAAAGCACGCACCCCAATCATTACCACGTTGAATACAAAGCTTATATCTTTAAACCCTAATTCTTGTTTGCTTCCAAATACAACAACTGAAAGGCATTAAACCAGTTAACTTTTGACTTCATTCATTTTCCGCTACCTTTTTCGCACGGGGACTAAGGATTACACTCTGGATCCGCCTCTTGCTGGGTAAAGATTCAAATTTCCCCCCTTGAGCGGAGCGTAGAATGGGGGTGAGTGAGGCCTGAGCGTGAATAAGAGACAAAAACATGACTTCGCGTGACCGTTCACGAAACGCGTTCACAACACACACGCGCACGAACGTACACTTGTGTGTCTGTACAAATTACGGAGCCACACACGCAGGCTTATAAGACAAACAGTACGGCACCGCACTCGCTTTTATGACATTTATTGGCAAATAACACAAACTTCAGCACACGGCTTCACATTTCCTAGGCCAATCCATCTTGCCAAATAGCACGACCATCAATCCAGGTAACTGATTCTCAATCAGTAAACCTTCGATTCGTATCGATTGCCGGTATTGAACGGGTATTTAGCGCCAATCACATCATTCACTTTTCCAGCAAATGCGATCCTAGCCCAAAACACTCGAGCGACATACGTCAAAGATTGGCCATACAACATCAATCTTTTCAGTCCAAGAAACTTTCTGGAAAACCTTACTGCTCCCTTGCCAACCTTGCCACATGTTTTGATGCTCTTCAGCTTGCACTTTAAAAGGATCCAATTTTATGCGAATCCATATACCTTCTCAACTATCATCGTCTTTCTCCATCCCTTCTCTCGGTTTTTCCTCAAGTAATTTGATCTAGCAAATACATCGTCACTCCCCCTTCTTTTCCCCTTTGCCGCTGGTGCTGGCTCATTGCACACCATGTCCCGGCCATTCCATTCAATGTCAAATCATCATCAATCTTCGGCATCAAAAGGATCAAAGGACACAAGTCAGAATGAGTATGGGCCATCTTCAGTTCAATTCCCCAAACCCGCTCATGCGAGACAGCCGTTTGGTAACAAGAATACGGCAAACTCACCTTACAAAATAACAACAGAGGAAGTTGAAATGATCTCCAATGACGGAACAAAGAAGAAATCTCCCATTCTTACCAAAGAGCCGCCAAATCCGAAAGCAAATACTCCCAAAGTGAGCACAGGACGCCAGGAAGGCAGTGCTCCAACGAAGACTGCTTCTCCAGGTAGCAGACATCAATCATCGCTTCCGCACAGCAACAGATACCTAGCACCATTGAGCGGCAGTCAAAATATTTATGGAAGATATGGAGCCAGCGCGTATGCTGCTCATGCTCCTTCACCTTTGAGTCATAATCAACATCAACAAACCGAAGAGCAGGAAAATGAAGAAGAGATTCCGCAGAAGCGATCAACAGCTGGCGAGTCAGCCCTCCTATCTCCAAGTGCTGTCAAAACGCCACGAAAGAGGGCGATCCCTTTGGAGGATGTGCATGCTCGTAATATTGTTGGACGTAATACCTTTGAAAATGCCAAAAGCCCTAATCCTCACAAGAGAAGCAAGTCTTCTCACAACGGTAGTAGTACGGCTGGCGGCAGTACGAGCACAAGTCTTGGTATTTCTGCTGCGATTGATGAAGTCCATCTTGAGGAGAGTAGTACGGCTGAATCAATCCCTTCCACAAATAGAGCATCTCTCAAAGACAAGAAACCCGCAACATCTACGGTTGCCAAGACGATACGAATTGACAAGCAATCCCGCATCTCACCTAGTGATCGTATCAAACGGGAAGAAAACAAATCGCTAAGCACGATGGAATGGCGCAAGAAATTCTTGCGTGCCTTTCCCTCCTTTCGTTTCTATCTCGATGGTTTTGACCAAGCAACGAAAGTGGATGTATCCAATACCATCGCATATTTCGGAGGTCAACTGGAACCTTTCTTCTCTAACACAGTCACACATTTGGTCACTCAACGTAAGTTCAGTATACCTCTGGTGGACGAACAAGGTGAAGTGATTGGAACGCAAGGTGAATCGCTTGTGCACACCGAAAGTGCGACAAGTGCATCAGCCTCGGGCCGTTCTTTGATGGGTGCTGGTCGTTTCTCGAGATTGCCAACACTGCGAAAGAAGAATGCCAATGTGCCTCTACATTCAGAAAGAAATCCTTTTGATGAAATGGGGCCTCCCGTATCTGCCAATGATATTCTTGTCAAAGCCAAGAATTTTGGAATCAAGGTGTGGACGTTTGAGAAATTCAAGACAGTGATGTCAGGCTTGAAGGGAGAACATACGGTAGACAGCAAAAAGCAGCCAAATCTTTCGCAAATGTTGGCGAAAGAAAAGGTGTACGGCACACAAGAGCGTGATCCGAAAGCAGCACGATCCGATTATCACTACTTCTCCCGCAATTCAATTTACTTATTGGTCGAAGACGCAACGGCTGAACATAGGCCAATTATGGCACAAGAGTGGCGCAAACCAGCTCGTGAGGATGAAGAAGTGCCATGGCCAGTCTTGTATGGTGAATTGGAAGGTCGTTGTCCATTCACCCGCTTTCAACTTGCTGAAGGCCATCAACAACGAACACGACCGAACAGATTCGAGACGTTGCAACGATCAGTCTCACTCAATCATGTTCGAAAGCAGAATCGTAATGCAAGCTTGAGTCCTGCGCCTTCAAATGACAGCCGCAGTCGTTACACTATTGCTCGAGGTGCAAGTCCATATCCTCTTGCCAGTGGTAATAGCGTTAGCATTGCATCTACCAACCTTACCAGCACAACATCTGCAGCACCAAGTCATAGTGCCAATGCATTAGGATTAATGTCTCCCTTCCATCCTTTAGGTCGCAAAGCACACCAAGCAACTGCGATCGGAATGGGCAGACCTTCATCTTTGCCACGCAGCTTTGGTCAACATTTCCCTGACCCAGCTCAACAGCAAGACCAAGCTCGGGTATCAATAGTCAATCGAATGCTGGGCATCACGGATACTCGTTCTGCAAGTGAATTAACAAAAGCAAAGAAGAGTATGAATCCGATCTCTCGAACGATTGCGCAAACGGGTGGCATGCGCCGATCTGCCAGTACGGGAACAAGATTGCAAGAGTATCAAAGAGAGAAACGTCCGGGATACTGTGAAAATTGTCGACAGAAATACGAAGACTTTGATGATCACGTTTTGAGTAAGCGACATCGAAAATTCGCACAAGATGACGGCAACTTTGACAAGATTGACGAGCTTCTCTTGCGAGTGTTGCGACCGATTGCAACATGGGCCCTACGTATCTCCACAAACGTTGGCGGTGTGAATAACGAGAATGATCAGAATATGGGAGATGAATTTATCGAAGAACCGTTTTCTGACATTGATAGCGAGCAAAGTCCTGAGGAGAAACATGGCTCACCTGGAAGCCGCGTTTCGCGAGAGCAAAGCGTACATCGTACACCACAAATGTTGAATGACGTTGTTCAATCATGGCAACGTGAGGCAGCCAACACAACAGGAGACGACATTGATCAAGAAGATCAAGATCTGATAGAGCTGGAAAGACATGTGGCCGAAGCAGCGGCTGCTTTCCGTATTCGAACGGGAGTCGATCAGCATCGTTCACCACAATATGGTACCGATGTTGGAGAGGACACGGTTGGTACATCACCCAATGCACCTAGTTACGGAATTGGAGTGGGAACTGGCGGCATGGATGACAGCATGACGACAACGATCAGCCCACATACGAGTCCACAAATGAAGCATCGTGAGGTGCATCAAAATCAGCATGAAAATGATATTGCAAGCCATCATTATCACACTACAATTCATCAACAAGATGAATTCGGAACACACACTTGAACCGGAAATGAAAAGATTCAGTCAATAATAATTGCACCTATCAACATACCTACATAAGCATCATTATTCTCACGTCTCTTTATAATTCTACATATCTTCATATCTCACGCAATCCTTCCTCTCGCACACAAAACACCGTCTCGAGTACTACCTACCTAGCATTTGTACCATCTTTGCATTGACTTTTTCCCATACCATTCTGTGTAACCTATCGTTGTTTACGCAATCATCTAACATTCAATTATCAAAAATAGTGGTTAAAACAATAATGAATTTTGAGGTAAGGGAAAAACATTTATACATTTTGGGGAGAAAGGGGTAAACGAGCACGATCAAACGGTTTGCTGTCCTGGCAATGCATTGAATTGAGCTCTACCACGTCCTCTTCCACGACCACGACCGGAGGCACCACCTCTTCTGCCTTCACGTCTTGGTCCGGCTCCATCACGGCCTTCGCGACCGTCACGGTCCTGAGCACCTGTTCTTCCTTCTCCTGGACCTGCACGATCGCCCAATTTACCGTCCAAACTTCTTTCGTTTTGTTCGAGAAGAGAATTTGCTTTTTCGGCCAATTGTTGTGCCAAAACTTGAACTTTTGAAAGTTGAACGCCATGTAAAACTATATAACCTCCTTCTTCTTCTTTCACATTTCCGATATCCAAACTTGCTTGAATTTCTTCATTCCAAATCATCACGCTAACGATCGATTTGACTTTGGAGATTGGCAATTCAAACATTTCGGCTAAATGACGTAAGCTTAAGCTCTTGTAATAATGTGCATATGTGAAAAGGTATGTGCGTAAACCTTCTTCTTGAATCTTGCTCTTGAGCATTGAAATCACTTCGTCATGATCAACCATTAATTTCCAGATCTTGATCTCTGCAATTTGCTCTTGAGATTCTTTCCAGTTTCCATTTTGCAATGCTTTGGCTGCTGCCATCACATGATCTCTTGTGCTTTCTGCTGGTCCTGAAAACACTTGACGATCGGTGAAATCGAGCATTTTGCGGAATGTACGGGAGATAATGTTACGTCTTTGATCTGCCTCGCTGTTGGCGCTTGCAATGTTTGGGATCTCGAGCAACATGCTTCCAACCAAGTAGATGCACTCGAGCAATTCCAAATTGATGTGCATGTGGAAGGGCAATTGGCGTTGACGGTCAAGCTTCTCTTGTTCAGGTGTAGCATAAGGATTGGCTCTTGAGACACCTTGAGCAAGCAATTCCTTCACCCTTGTTGAAGCAAAGATCTCTTGAAGAGCACCTTGAGATTCACGAATTAATCCTACACGGAAGGCACACACTCCCAATTGAACAACGACACGGTTGTACAAGATTTGCGTAGCCGCGTCTGCCATCCCGATTGAATCTTGCAAATGTGACATCAAGAACATATCACGAGCGATGTGGTAATCACGACGTAGTGAATGATGGTAGATGTGATACAGCATAGCACGTGTACGAAGTCTCTCTGTTTCCAAACCAGCTGTCTTGTATAGTTGAACGCACAAAGATCTGATCAAAGCTGAAGCTCCATCTGCATTAGCAGCAACCTCTTCGGGTGAAGGGCATAGACCAGATTTGGATTTGTTCAATGGTTCACCAGCAGATGCGCTTGCTGTTTCGAGTGCTTGAATGATGTTGTCTGGTTTGGCGTAGATGTGATCAAGTCTGCGCATCATAATACGACTCAAGGTGCCGGGCTGGTCAATGGTTTCGATGTAGTTTTGGCTCAAGATGATTGTGCGGTAGAGAAGCTTCTCATCTCTCAATCGGTCAACGTATTCGGTGGTGTGAGGGTCGATGTATTGCAAGCTCTTTGTGAATTCATCGTCCAAACGCTCGATGAAACTGATCAAACTTCCACGTACTTCGACAATTGGTCCTTCGTCGCCTTGGTTGGGCAGTCTGTCGATTTCATCGTCGTAATCTTTGGTGAGTTCTTTGACTTGGTATGTTCGGTCTTGATCCAAAATCTTGGTGAGTTGTTCGACTTCCTTCAAAGCACTGTTCCACATCTCGATGTTCATGTAAGCAGCGGCACTTTGGTTGTAATCGAAACGGGCGGCCAACAATGCCAAAAGAACTCGAATCTTTTGGTATGTGGAAACGGCGACACCCATCAACTTTGTCAAGATTTCTATTTGCTCTGTGCGATCGGTCGACTTCTTACCACGAGCTTCCATAACAGCAGCCAAACTCTTGAACAATCCTTCACTGGTATATGTGACAGCTTTTCCACCACGGCCAACAGTCTGGAAATCTTCATCTTCTTCTTCCTCAGCTCCAGGAGCTGCTGCCTTTTTGGCCTTTTTGGGTTGAGCAGGTGCGGCTGCAGGGGCAGTCGTAGCTGTGTAGTTTGCTTCGAATGCTTCGGGATCTTGACGATAAGTAGCGATGGCTGCTTCGTGATCTTTGACAACCTTTTTGAGTTTCTGTTTCATACCGTTCAAAGCACGAACGTTTGGTGCCTTCATCTTCTTATCAGCGGTTTTCTCTTTGGCGAGAGAGTCGTTCAAGAAGTCCTCTAGAGTGACAAGAGTTTTGTAGTATACCGGAGGTGTAGGTTCATTGACGACTTTGAGACGATCGGCCAAGCGGTTCAATCCGTCGAATTCTTTCGAGATAGCAACCCAATCATCGATTCTTGATGCATTTTCGATCGTACGTGCAACAGCATCAATTTCATCAACACGCTTTTCGCGTGCACTCTTGATAACTTTTTTCACTTCTTCTTCACTTTCGCTATCATCACTTGCGCCACGCAAGAAACGAGATTGTCTTCGTACTGCTGGACCACCTTCTCCGTCATCTTCATCTTCGTCACTGTCATCGTCATCTTCTGATTCGTCTTCATCTGAATCTTCTTCTGAACTGGAATCGGAGTCGGCTCCTTTGAGGAAAGCAGATTTACGTGCAGGTTGTGCGCTTGTTGATTCTTTTTGAGCACCTTCCTCTTTCTCGTAATCTGACATTAACTCTTCCTCAGATTCTGATTCGGATTCTGAATCCGACACTTTACGAAAGAACGACATTTTCGATTGTTGTTTTGGAGGAGTTGAATCAATGAGTGATCGCGTTCAAATTTCCCATTCTTCCATCGATATGTTCGTTCACTAATCGCGAACGCTCCTCACACAAAAGGACGAAAATTCTCACGTGTCTTTTGCCTGTGTCTTTCCTTCGCAGCCTTCTGTTTAAATGCGCGCTAGGGCTATTGAATAAAATTGAGAAGAAACCTTGAATTGCTTGCTGGTTAATTGTCAAACACGTGGCGTGTAATCAGTCAAGGTCCACTTTTAGTCGGTCGCATTCGGGCTCCCGGCTGATACGCCTGTGCGCGCGCGAGAAGAATACAAGCATATAGGCGGGCGGGCGTATGAATGAATGGAAAGCGCCCATGAACGACGGTACAGCTAAACACATTGGAGAGTGATCGCAATCTGCAATCCCATCATCCATCTTTGATCACCTAGACATACTGCACGATGGCTACACGTTTCACTCCTCGTCTGTTGCAACAGGTTCGTATAAGGGCTGCCTCACATTTGAAAAGACCGCTGGATGCTGACCCACTTCTTTCTCCCATCATCTTTTAGACCACTCGTGGTTATGCCACACAAGCCGCCATCAGACCACCAATCGCATTACACGGTTTGGCCGGTAAATACGCATCAAGTGCATTCGTTGCAGCAGCACAAAAAGATGCAAAATCTTTGGAAAAGTTGGAAGCCGATTTGAAACAGATCAAATCTCTTATGGGCTCTTCAGGTGCAGAATCGAAAAAGATTAAAGAATTCATCGAAAATCCAACACTTTCTTCCGCTGAAAAGAACAAAGGTTTAAATCAACTTTTGGGCGGTAAAGAAGGTGAAATTACCCGTAACTTGTTCCGAGCTATGGCCGAACATGGTCGTTTGGGAGAAACTGAACGTGTTATCGAAGGTTTCTTGCAATTGATGGGCGCTCATCGTGGAGAGGTTGAAGTGGTTGTTACAAGTGCAACTGCATTGGACAAACAAACTGCATCTCGTTTGGAATCCGCCATCAAACAATCTCAATATGCCAGCAAAGGAAAGAGCGTTAAAATCACACAAAAGGTCAACCCAACCATTCAAGGTGGTTTGGTCGTCGATTTCGGAGACCGTTCAGTGGATTTGAGCGTTAGCAGCCGTGTTAACAGACTCAACACTTTGTTGCAACAAGGTGTTTAAATTGTGGGATACGCATATGATACTCGACTAAACATCAATCAATAAAGCATAAACTAGATTTCCAAGCAGCGTGAGTTGGGTAATAAAGATATGCCATTGTTACTGGATTGTGGAGAAAAGAGTGTGATAGTGTGCTGTTGGTAATGAGGGAGATAAAAATGATGAATGTGTGCTATAAAACAGATGATGGATACAACTAAAAAAACAAGCAAGCAAAAGAGAAAAGGACTACGAGAAGAGGAATTGATCTATCCACGAGATGGGATAGCCATTTCACCACTTTTTCGTCCAAGAGGTGCAACGCCAACCGAGCCAGGCAAAACGCTTTGTCGTCTGCGAGGCAATGCACTTAATCGACGAGCACGAGCAGCAGCAGAAGAGCCAAATTCATCATCTCTGCTTGATGAGGATGAGGAAGATTGATATTGTTGTGCGGCAGCTGCTTGTTTGATTGCTTCACGGGCTGCGCCTGCTGCTGCCGCTCTTGCCATGATATGAGAATGTGAGGGTTGTTCTTGTTTTGCAGTTGTTGTTGAACGTGAACCGACGATTTGATTATCGGTTGTTGATGCGAATGGATCATTGTTGATCCCGCTAAAGTTTGTCACAGTTGCAGGTGCAGAAGAAAGAACCTTTTGAACATCGAGTTGCTCGGAATTAGCAATCGCTGCACTTGCAGGTGAAGAAGGAGGATGAGAGCGTGTTCGTAAAATTTTACGTAAGAATGGAGAAGGTAAAGACTCTTCATCTTGTGCCAAAAGAGAAGCAACAGTTGGAGGTCCACTTGGAGCAGTGTGATGTTTGGTGAATGGAGTAGAGGCAATCGGACGTAAAACCGAAGCAGAAACAACTTTTGCCGGTGAACTACGTCTGCTGCGTAGAGGCGTACTTGCCCTGTTTTCTTTGTTGACATCATCACTGCCACTACTTCCGCCAACCGCAATCCAAACTGATGCATCTCTCATGGAAATGTCCGAATTGTCAAACGGATTAGCGCCCATGATCACACATGGGGAAGAATGCATTCGATTTGCTGATGCTCTTCTGGCTGCTAATCTTCTCAATCCGGCTGCTGCCACATTGTTGCTCTCTCCATTGGAAACGTCCCTTCTTGTTGTTCTTTCACTTCTTTGTGAGGTTTGATTGATTGTTTGTGTGGATGCAGAAGCACTTGATTCAGCCATTTGTGCGTGTAATCTTGCTTCTGCTGCCGTGAGATCTTGTTCACGTCTTTGGATTGCTTGTTCTCTTGCTTGCATTTGCATGTTTAACAAAGCCATCTCTTCTTCTAATACTGTGATTCGCTCTTGCTTTTCTCTGAGAGTTGACTCTTTGGCTTCCATTTCTGCTTGTCTTTGGTTGAGTTGCGTTTCACGTTCATCCAAAGCAGCCTCACGTTTACTCAACGTGATACGATGGTGACCGAGTGTTGAGCTGCGTTGTTCTTCACGTCTTCTAGAGGCTAATCGGATAAGAGGATGTTGCATCAGTGTGCGTGTTGTAGGTCTCTTTGATGGGTCCAAGCATAGCATTGAACGAATCATGTCTCCCAATGTGCGGGAGTATCCTCTTGGCAATTCAGGAACATGTCCTAATTGAATCTTGCGTGTAAGTTCGGCTTGTGTAGTTGCATCGAATGGAGGTCGTAATCCACACAATTCATATGCAACACAACCCAAAGCCCAGATGTCTGATTTGACATCATAATGAGCGCCAGCAGCCAATTCAGGGCTCATATAATACGGTGTTCCAACATACGTGCATGCGAAACTATGTGCTGCAACTTCTTTTGATAAACCAAAATCACCAATTTTCACCGTTTGTTCACCGTCCAAAAAGATATTTTCCGGTTTAAGATCACGATGCAAAATTACACGAGAAGGACTTGTAGGAGCATTATGACAAGCGTCTAAACCTTGAATCATTTGAGAAAGGTATGAGAGAACGACTTCTTCAGTCAAGAGTTTTTTGGTCTTTCTGCATTCTCTGATCGTTGAACCTAGATCTCCACCTTGACAGTATTCCATGATGATGTACAATATTCCATTTTCACGGTCCACAAAACGTTCTTCATATCGAACGATATTTTGATGAGTGAGCGTTCGTAAGATGTTTACTTCACTAACGATCATCTTTCGATCACGATCTGACATACGTTCAAAGTGTAATTCTTTTTGCGCGAAAACCTTTCCGTCTGTCACCCTTTTCACTTTACGAATCACACCAAATGTTCCTGATCCGATGACACCTATTGGTTCGTATGCGTCCAAATTGGAAGGAGATGCAGCACCTGATTCGGTGCGAGAGATAGGCGGCATTGTGACGAATGAAGATGGTCCGAATGAATGCTGTTGAAAGAGGCGGCCCTTTTGAAGGAGGCTTTCTTGAACCTGAGCCGTTGAATGTAAATAGGTTGAAATCTGTTGATGGTGATGAGAAGGAGGATGAATACCAAAGCCAAAAACCTTACAAAGTTCCAGACTTTGAATCTTGAGTGAATGGAAAACCGGTGGAGGTAGACTGTTTGACAGGAATTGTGTAAAAAGTTTAAATTGCCGAATAAATTACCGGTCGTCGAAGCTGAAGTTGTACTTTGAATCCCAGCCTGGCTTTGTCTTTTGTCTTATCGGGCAAGAATGACGTACCCTGATTGAATTGGCAAGTTTGTCTAATTAGTCTTGTGTACCTTACTTTTTCAATGAGGCTTATCGTGCTTTGAAGGGAGGGAAAGAGAGATGGAAGTATGTATGAACGGATGATGTAGATATGATGTATCCTATTCATAAGGATATCTCAAACCTTAATCAATGTATGTCCGCTTGACTTGCCTTTTCTTGTAAAGAGCAACATCCGTGTCTTGAGCAGCAGGATAGAATGTGAACTGAGAACGGACCGAATGCATCAACAACGAGACGGAAGAAGTGCCAATGTGTGATGTAGAACATCAAATGTACTTTTGTATGCACAAATTAAGAAGAAGGTAGTGGCTTTAAAAAAGTGTAACTTCCAAAAGTAACACAAGCGCATACGGACAGTCTTTTTGAATTTTATGGGATGCACGCATACAAATGTTGCATCTATTGGCTTTCCTAGTTGGGATAGATTCTCGCTCAATAAACTATACGCCCGCCCGCCCGCCCGTACAAGTAGGTTGTGTGATTTCTCCACATTGACAACCAAGTCACACAAACCCCGGGCCAAACGCGCACAACGCGTACAAACACAATAACACTACTAAAAAGATCAACACTCTCTCTCGATCAATCAATCAACAACCCTTGTCCCTTAAATTATAGGCTAAACGTCATATTCGATTGAAATGAAAAATGACAATATGATCGATTAAAGTGATAAAGTTACATCATCGTACGAGATCGAAATCAATCGCTCTCGCTACTATCATCAAGAGCAGAATTGGTCATTTGACTAGTGTGTTTCAAAAGTGATCCTTCTTGCACTTCTGCATTTCCACCAATATAGCCCAAAGCATCCAACCTTCTACGTTCTAACAATGTACTCTCTTTCACTAGGCTACCTTCCCCTCCTACCAAGGGCGGTTGATGATCATTCGATCTACGTCTTCTGATCGGCACAGACGGCGGAGGAAGTAGCATAGATTGCGTTCCTGAATCATGTACATTTGCAGCAGCAGCAGCAGCGGCATTTGCACGAACTTTGCTTTCCACAGTACTGAAACTGTTTGGTCTTGATCGCATTGCCTGTTCTTGAATCTTGTTGATCGGATTGAAAGGTGCTTTTGAAGGCATGAAATGCGGTGAAGTACTGGGTGAGCCTCTGGATTGTCTAACCGACGTACTTGCTTGTGAATCCTGACTTTGTAGTGATGGTGACCGACGTGATTTCGGCGTAAATGTCAATGCTTCCGTATCATCTTCCTCATCTGATGAAGTTGGAGGAGGTTGCAAAACGCCTAGCTTAGGACGAGCTGGCACAGTTTGCGCTTTAGTAGGAGTTTCAGCTTTCTCTTCCAATGAGGAAGAGGAAGACGGCGTGGAAACATCTTCACCTTTTTGTGTCCTTTGCAATCGAGCTGATTCGCTCCTTCTCTGTTCAGGAGTAAGAGCATGCTCCGTATAATCATCAAATGCGTCTGCAGTCCATTGAGCCAAGAATGAAATGACTTTTTTCACCTCAGGCAAAAGAGCTGACATTTGCAAGTATCCATGAGACCATCCTTCAATGATACGCATTTGTACCCAATCATCCACATCTTCCTCTTCTTCTACCATCGTACTGCCAGACATGCGCAGCTGCTCTCCAAATCGTGCTCCTCGTTTCTTTAATGCCATCTGTCTGGCCAACTTTGCTTGTCGAATCCTTCCTGCCATCACCACTGTATCATCACAAATTGGATCTTTCTCACCACAGGTAAACAAGACCGGAGGAAAGTCGGCTAAATACTTTGCCGGAGCAACAATTGGAGATAGGTAATAATCATTATCGAAGTCTGGCTGTCGTCTCGGTCCGATATAGAGAATTGCCATTGCACGCATCATACTTTGGGTCAAAATACGATCTTGGAAGTAGCCTGCCATACTCGTCATCGTCAATCGTGTGTTCACCGTCGTACTTTGAGCGGCTTTCTTTTCATTTAACTCCAGATCCATCTTCTCCGTTGCTGCTTGTAGCTCACGTTGCTGTGCAAGCCTTTGTTGATGTTCCGGATCGTTCATCGTACTTGCTTGTCTATCCATCTCATCCGACTCAATCCTTCCAATCCAGCTCGTTTGTGGTGTAACATCTGGTGATGATTCGGCTTCTGCCATCCTTGCTCTTTCGGCCAAGTGCATTTCTGCTTGATTAGCAAGAGATGTATAGCTCTTGTTGGGCTTCACTGTTTGTTGTGGCACTGGCGTTTGAGATCCGCCTGATCTCGTTTTACCTCTCAACCGATTTCGGGCAGATAAATTGGAATCTACGCTATCCTTGCCTTCATTCTTTCCTCTCATCGGTTCGATCAATTGTAGATTTACCTCACTTTGGGATCGCAAAACATTCAAATGATCCGGTTTCATCCAACTGGTGAATGCAAAATTGGTAGCAGGGTAATTGAGAATCAGCGCAATTGGTCTTGGTAAAGGTGGTGGTGCACTTCCAGGTCCACCAGCAGCTTTGGCAGCATATGCAGATTTGATATGAGCTTGTGGATATTCCAAAATCTTCAGCATCACCCCAAGTGCCAAATTGCCACCTGCACTATCACCTGTCAAGATTGTTCGAAACGTTGAACGACCTGACATGCCCAACACACTACCCTTGCATTCGTGTAAGCTGCGAAAAAGATCAAAGCATTCCTCCAAAGCGTAAGGGTAAGGGTATTCTGGTGCTTTGCAGTAGTCCACAGCCAGGATTGGACGTTTATGTTCTGCTGCAAGTTGCCTTAGCCGGTCTTCATGATGTTCTGGTCCCATGCTAACGAAGCCTCCTCCCACAAAATCGATAATCAGTTCGTCTTCCTCACGTAAGAATCGCAATGGCTTATAGTAGAACAACATTGCTCGGATAGGCCTTTTGCTATGTGGACCTATACTTGGTCGAGGAAGGAGAATTGGTTCAGCTATTGATATTCGATGAAACGAAAGCCATGTGACAGCTCGAATGTAGGGATTGGAAGTCTTGTTCCATGTTGCACGCAAGAAGTCAACAGTACAAAAGGCACGATATTTGCGTAGCTTCTCATCTGCTTCGTTGGCATAGATGACATAGTACAATGACATCAAAACAGAAGCGATATCCCGTAACCATTGTGGTCTGATTGACATTGCACTTGCAAAGCCAGCGTCCAAAGCAGTATTGATCCAAGTTGCACGATAAAATGAACGTGAATACATTCTTGCCAAAGGTTCAGGCGCTCCAAAGCCTGCAACTGCGTCTAAATGTCGAACAGCATAAACGGAGGTCAAAGCGAAAACGAAAATTTGCCATGGTGTGAAACGTTTAGCATATGCATTCATTCGTTTCACAAATGGAATCTTGCCTGGACCATCTCGTGGTCCCATACGTATAATCCATCCCCAAAAGGATAGCACGAGCAAAACTTGAACTCTCTTTAATCGAGTTGAAGGTCTGCCCAAAAGATGGTCAATCATGACGATTTAGTGATGTGGTATTGCGACATATGCTGTAAATGCGGTGTTCCTTCCGATTACGCTTGCTTGTTGTTTGGGAGAGTGTTATTATACATGAACTTGAAATGGAAACTTGATGAACTCTATAGGTGGTATGGGTGATGGTAGAAGCTTACCTACAAAGGGATGATCTCTCCATAATACCTGCTGTTTGCCTTTTGGCTTTCACGAGGTACCCCGTGCTGATAATGATGCTGATGCTGCTGCTAATCGATAAGACACAGCATGCACACAATATAAGCCGGCTTTATTTTAAATTCTCCTAAGCGGTATTACACATTCAGCCTAAGTGTATCCTCCCCCCTTCTGGCAGGCATGCAACAACTGATATGCCGCACAAAAAAAGCCGTGCCTGACATACATCATTACACGGCAGACATCGTGGCTAAAATTAGCGCGGAGAATGGTTAAGCCTCTTTAAATAGCCTCAATAGCGTGAGACCGCGTAATTATATAATCAATCTCAGCAACAATTTCCGTTGAATTGATGTCATGTTTGGCTTGATCATCAGAGCAAAAGATGGTAATTGATCGTCAGGAGGACTTTTTTGTGACAAGCATGCTCAAATCTTCTTGATAAATGATAGAGCATCCAACAAAAGTTGCTGCCTTTTCAGTCATACACACAGAAAGTTATTACGCCAAGTCAAGATGTACACATTTTTCCCTTTTTCATTCCCTTCCTCGTTAGGGAGGTAAAGGCACGCAATTTACGTTTCTGCAATTCTTTTGAAAATATAGAGGAGAATGAATACCCCTCCGACCCGGCTTTCCATAAATATCTGCATCTACCACTTTATAATAAATTTTTTCTTTCCCATCTTTATCCACTTCAATATAAATAGAAAGGAAAATTAATGGCAAATGGGAATAAATACTTCTATGCTGTACGAAAAGGAAGAAATCCCGGGATATACTCTACAAAAGCGGATTGCGAAAGGCAAATAAAAGAGTTCGGTGGTGCAGAATATCAAAGATGCCAGACGTGGGAAGAAGCACGGGATTATGTTCAAATAACTGGCTTTTATGCTAACTTACCTGTATATTCTTCACTATGTAGAATAGCAATCACTCAAAAAACTCCCGCAGGAATCCAAGCTGAAGAAAGTAAGCAGGAAAAAGCTGTTCACTATATGCCTTCTCGGCCAACACGAAAAAGAAAGGCAAGGGAAGACGATGAAGAAGACCGGGTAAAGAAGAAAACAAGATCTAACCGCCAACCGCCAAAGCTGAAGAAGTAGGGCCAACTCTTCTTGGGTTATATATCTCATAGCCGTGCTCATTCCTTTCTTTTAATCTTATAGAATCACTTCATTACGCTTTGACCCCGCGCCCGCATACGGCACCGCTCCTTTGTTCTCGAAAGAACGTATCCTACCTTAACACCATCTTATACTGCATAAACCTGTTCGTTTTCTTCAGAGAAGCTCTGATACGAGTCGCCATTGACCTATCACTCAACACCGTTATAGCCTTAAGTCCTCTACTTCGAATCTAAAACATTGGAGCTCTATGGGAAAGAGCAAAGGTGGTTTCTACGCCGTTCGTAAAGGGAGGGAACCCGGTATATATAACACGTGGGCTGATTGTCAAGAACAAGTGACAGGATTTGCTGGTGCAATTTTTAAGAAATTTCCGGCATATGAAGAAGCAAGGAGGTTTATTGAAGAAACTGGCACCCGCACATTTAGGCCGGAAAGGAACAACTTCAATTACACTAGCAATGATCACAATGGAAATAATCCGAACAGGAGATACTTTCAAACTTCGCCTGAGAGCAGTACAGCCAGCGGAAGCGATACTGAATCAGCCCAACGGCCGCCAAAGAGAGAGATACTTCAGATAGAGGATAGTTCAAGAACTTTGCCGCCAAAACGAATATGCTACGATACCAACAAGATCCCGGAATCAAGCTCATCAATAATTGAAGAAGTGGAAGTGTATATAAAAGTGAGAAAGATTGATGGTGGCGAAGCAATGTGGAAGCTCTGTTTCCCCGATTACGTAAAAGGTGCAAATGAGTATTACAGTAGAGGTGGATTAGAGCGAAATTCTCTTCGAGCAGGTTTGATGGCAATCCTTCGTGCGGTAGAAAGTCAACTTGATCCAGAAGCTAAACTTCTCATCTTTACAAATAACGAAATTTCAGTCAAATGTATAAAAGCGTGGAATAGCGAATGGGAAGAAACAAGTGTTAGTTTAACAGAGGAAAGTGATTTGATCAAAAAATGTTCGGATGAGATGCGAAAATGTCCTTATTCGCCTATTCTGCAATATGTCAGTAGCGAATCTTCATGTTCTGACCAACCAACTCAGCCTGATATAGGGTGGGGCGACTTTGAGCCATTCTTATCGGACGATGAAGATTTCTCTCAGATGGTTCTCAACAAAGGGAAAGGAAAGCAGGCTTAAGATCAAATATCGATGCGAAATATATTATTCCGAGCAATAAAGGGCAATCAAAAAGAGCAGTACTTATTGAAGCGAACGATCCCTCTGTTGTACTACAGTCGGTCACTAATGTGCGATGATTTCGTGCTTCCTGTATTGTTATCATCATCCTTCTTTTATTAATAACTATAGGCTGAGGTTTGCCGAAACTGAGTTTGAAAATATAACCAGAAAACTTTACGCCGAATGCTGAGTAAAGGAGAATAAAGAACTCCCTACTATGGCTATTGGTAGAATACGAGTAGTCTGGTCAAAAGCTGGTGGATTGACTCAGTATTTCAATTCAGCTCCGTGACGACGATCATAAAGAACGAATGAGGCCTAAATTAGCCGCCTGCTTTAAATGGAAGAGAATAAATGAAGCAGAGCTTTTTTTACTATTTTTTACGATCTTCTGTTTTCTTCTTTAAGTCTAGATGCTACATCACTACCATCATCTCTTTCTCTTTTAAACCCACTCAAATCCATAAATCGTAAGCAATCTACAATGAAGAAAAAAGCTGGCTTTTACGCTGTTCGTGTCGGCCGTAAGACTGGAGTATACGATAATTGGGAAGAATGTCAAATGCTCGTTGACGGTTTCAGTGGCGCAAAATTCAAGAAATTTGAAACAAAAGAAGAAGCAGATGCTTTTGTTACTGGCAAGGACCAAGACGAGGATGCAATCCAACAACCAAAGGTTTTTGAAAGCATCAAAGCAGCTTTATCCGCTCGTCAAGATGAAAATCACCATAAAAATGGTCAATCAACTTCCAAGGAAGTTTTACCTTCAGTTTCTTTATCCGATCATGAAATCGAAGTGGTAATCACTGTCTTGAAACATCACGGCTTTAAAGAAGTATGGGTCTGGGAAACTTCTATGGATGGATTTAAGAGCGAATACGAGACTTGTACGATACACGGTGCAGAAGAACCAAAACAACGAGCAGGTTTGACGGCAATTCTCCGTGCTTTAGAAAGTTGCCCTAACAAGGAAGCACGCTTATGTTTCGACAGATCCAACGGTATGCGTCCCTTAGAAGATTGGCAAAAAGCCTTGATGAAAAACAAATTACGAGGTGATGATCCGATCTTCAAGCAACACAAAGACTTGATCGAAGAATGTAAGAAGGAGATGAGCAAATATACTCATCCGCCTAAATTTGACTGGACAGAACCTTCCCCAGAAGAGTTGAGAAAGCTTCATGTTTTTATGAGTCTTATGAATCGTCTTCATGTCTAATGGCGGTATATTAATCTTATCATGCTTCTAGTCATTCAAAATTACGACGTTCATACTATTCTTAAACGCAACAAAAAGATCATTCATTTTATAGAACTTCATCAATCAGCTGAGACTCTATTGCCATCAAATAATATTGTCATGATGTAGTCTAAAGCACCTCCTAAAAATTTCATCCTTTTCAAATCAATTGGTAGTAGACTTCCCGCACTCCTGCACTGAAAGTGTAGCTGAATTAGCGTGCATAAAGACTGGGCTAGCGCCTAGCGGTTAAATCTCTTACAAATTACCGTTAGCGTTCCTTTTGCTGCCTGATTAACTCTCTGACACCATCACTTCATCCCTCCAGCATCTTTAAGTCAAGGGTGAGCAAAGCTGTTAAGCGGTCACCTCTGGCTTTCCCACAAAGGTGAACTTCTTGTTTGCTCGAATCGGCATTGGCCGTTTGGTCAAAAGCAGCAGCAGCAATAGAGGCGGTGGTGGCATTTGGTTGAGCAAGAGAAACATTTTCGGATTAGAAAGATTCTTCAAACGTATAAAAGAATCTTCTCAAGATCAGGAATCAATGGCAAAGGGGCCAAAGGCAGGATTCTACGCTGTTCGAACAGGAAGGAAACCGGGAATCTACCCCACCTGGGCTGAGTGCGAAGACCAAGTGAAAGGATTCAAAGACGCTAAGTTTAAAAAGTTTGAAACGAAGGAGGAAGCGTTAGCATTCATGGGAGGAGATAATGGAGCATCAAGTTCGTCGTCAAAAAGCGGCAACATTCCTAATATTCCAAGCACTTCCAAAGCTTCCAACTCAGCCCTAAGTGAACTCTCTTTCGCTTACGTTGATACATCTACCGGCGAGGTTGTGAGTAGAAGTGACCCCTCTAACGGTGCTCCTTCATCAAAGCGGAGGAGCTCTGAACATCATGAATCTTCTACTAAAAAGCCTCGCTTGTCTTATCCCAAGTCAAATATGCCTGATCCTATCACTCCCGAAGGTGTTCGTGTGATTGAAGTGTACACAGATGGAGCGGCTTCCGCTAACGGAAAAGGAGCAAGAGCAAAAGCAGGATGGGGTGTATACTTTCCAGAGTATGATCACTTGAGTGAAAGCCGTCGATTGGATGGTTCGGAACAGACGAATAACAGAGGAGAACTGATGGCAATCATTCGTGCTATCCAGCTCAATCCTGATCCTAAAGCTCAGTTACGCATCTTTACCGATAGTCAATATTCCATCAATTGTTTGACCGATTGGCAGTTCAAATGGAGGCGAAATAATTGGAAACGTGGAAAAGATGAAGATGTGAAGAACAAAGATTTGATCCGACTTTGTGAATTTGAGATACGCAAGTGTGCGCATAGACCTATCATCGTACACGTAAAAGGTCACTCATCCAACAAAGGCAACAGAGAAGCCGATCGATTGGCAGTCCTTGGTGCTGCAATGCCTTCTATACCCCAAGACGAATGGAAGAATTACGAACCACCTCCTTCAGATGATGAAGATTCATCTCGTGAACGAGAAAGAGCAGTACAGTTCTGGCAGAACGCGGGATTTTCAAAGGTAGATGCGTTGAAGAGAGCGGGAAAAGAGGAAGATTGAATTTGGCCATGTGATTTGTGAATATGCTTCAACTTTATACCCCCATCAATTGTACGATATCATTCAATAAATTTTATATTTTACCCGGAAACTGTGATATGTTCCGCTTTACTCGGGTCTTTCACCTGCATGAAGGCGTAATAGCCGCAAATGAGTTTCATGCGTGGTATATAACAAAGCCTCATCATGAAAGAGCGGGGCGGAGTGGGAATATATGATTAGCATCATGACACACAGCCTTTTTTGGACCTTGTTTTCGTACATTCATCACTTCGACAACCACAAAGCAATGAAGAAAGACAAACGCAAGTATATCGAAGTACAAGATGATGATGATCAATCGCCAACCAAGATGCAAAGAAGGGATTCAGGCATCGCAGAAAAGAAGCAAGAGGAGGATTGCGTGATTACAGTTTACACAGATGGATCAGCTCGAAAGAAAACGGAAGGATCAGAATGTTATTGTGTTGGTAGAGCGGGATATGGAGTCTACTTCCCGCCTTATCAACTTTCGGATAAATCATTTTCGAAAGAAACCTCCTTTTGGGGTCGAGTTGCAGGGAAAGAACAAACTTCAAGAAGGGCAGAGTTGACGGCAATCATCCGGGCCATTCAACTTTGTCCTGACAAAAATGCTCAATTACACATATTCACCGATTATAGTGGAACGTTGGAAATAAGATCAAAGTATCGCAAGTGGTCGCAAAAGAAGTCAAGAGCAGATATGGACCTTTTAACTGAATTACGTAGGGAGATGTACCTACGCAAACATATTCCTACCATCACTTTTGTCAAGGGACACTCGGGTAATCATGGCAACAATGAGGCTGATAGTTGTGCACGGCAGGGAACATTAATCAAGTGTGAGAAAGACGGAGTCAGAACAACCCTGAGGGAAGTAGGCGGGAAGATCACAAGAATGGTAGAGGTATTGGAAGCGTTGTGAGAGCGTAGGAAGAAGATCATAAATTTATCCGAACTGTAATATTTAACAACCGTTATGCTTTGTCTTTTGATCATCATCGCCTATTTATGTATCATATGTACTTCATCTATTGTTATCGCCTTTGCTTTAAGTCGCAGCCAGTACAGTTCTCATATGTTCATCGGCACCGCTTATTAATCATCTTATGGTCAGTTTGCACTCGTATAATACGGCGTACTATCCAAACATCTACCCGTGTGATTATTCCTAAAGTCACCTTTGGCACCATTCTTGAAAAGATAAATAGTAGAGATTATTGAAGAACATCTCCCTGCTTTCCGCCATATCAGACAAAAATTTGAACAACTTATCATTGAACAATTTTCACGATGGGAAAAAGAAGCAGAGACGATTCGGATGATGAAGAAGAGGGTCCTACGAAGAGATTCAGACATCAAAATTGCACTTCTGCCCAACCTAGAGCCATCATTAAAGTATACGTTGACGGTTCTTTCTGGAAGAAGGAAAATGGTGAACGTACAAAGAACATGCATTGCAAGTGTAAAAGAAGAGCAGGATATGGAATCTACTTTCCGGAAAGCAAGAGGAAGAATAAACGTTATTACGGTCGATGTCCACAGAAAGTCCAGAAAAGCAGTGATGCAGAATTTTATGCAATCACTCAAGCTATCAGATGGTTCCGTACCAACGATACACGTTTACATATCTTTACAGATTGCCTCACTGCAGTCAACGTCAGTAAGCAATACCAAGTTTGGTTGAATGAACAGCATAAACGTAAAGTTCACGTCGAAACACTGTTCGAAGAAATGCAATCGTGCAAATATTTACCAAAACTGTCATTCGTCCGTGGCCATTCAGGTGATGCAGGCAACAACAAAGCGGATAAATTAGCTAGAAAAGGTATGCGAAAGGGATGCGAAGGAAAGTGTGTTTGAAAGATAGTCTTTTCTTTTTCTTGTATGTAGCATATTTCTTGTATCATTTAACAAACCGATCGGCGGTCTTTTATTTTATAAATTTGGCATCATTCGTGACCAACGGCGCCGATTGATCTTCCTAAATGTCATTTCGGTTTCTTAAGAAGGAAGGGTAACTATATTGGCGTGAAATTTTCTAACGAATGATCTTAATCTCGTAATTCCTATCTTGATTTCATCCTTCCAGCAAGCTCATCGATATTATCAAGAAAGCTCAAACAGCAACCCAGTCACTAAAGCAAGAATAAAAACAAAATAGACTTAGACTAAAAAGTGAAAGACGTTTTATTTAAAATGTCTGATGTATTACCAACGAACTCTGTTATAGTAGTGTATGTTGATGGCTCTTTCTGGCAGGCAGGGTTTGGAACGCCAAGTAATCTTGAATGCGATTGCAGGGTAAGGGCAGGATATGGAATTTATTTCCCAGCGGATTACGAAATGAATGATCAGTTTCATTCTGGTCGAGCACCACACTATGTTCGGACAAATAATGACGCTGAAATTTATGCCATTATCAAAGCAATGGAATTATGCGAGAATCGAGATTCAAGATTGTTTGTTTATACGGATTCACTCAATACGGTCAGAATGGTAGAGGAATACAACATTTGGCAACGCAATTACGGTTACGGCTATGGACCTGTACTTAACAAGCTATTTCAAAATATGGCTTTTTTCAATACTAGACCAGAATTGGTTTATGTTCGTGGTCATTCAGGCAATCATGGGAACGATACAGCACACGAATTGGCTCATCAAGGCATGCGAGAATCATGCTGTCATCTACGCTGCATCAGATAAACGCCAAGTCAATCTTGTGGTATAAGAATGATGCAATATTCTTCAGCCTTTCTAAACTTTCGGTTCCGCTTTTCTTAATTTCCCCTCCTTTCATATTTTCCTAACATGATATATTATTACTGGCGGGCCCGAATGAAATCTTTATAAAAAACCGTTGGCCTTTGTGAATCTTTAAGAAAGGTATGGATCAGCAAATGTGTCTGTGTACCATGAGCTGAATATGCAATCTACTTTCCATCCTTTCATGAAGAAGATAAAAGTTTACCCTTGTGCGAATCATTCACGGTGATGTACCATAGAATTGGGTCACCTACATTAACTGCTAAACATGCAGCGATGACACTTGTAGCAGATTGTTCTCACACAACCCTCATCATTCAATTGATCTCAACACTATAAACACTCGTACCAATCATTCGGCTCATGGCTTGACATATATGTATATCGTTGTTGATTGACTGTACATGTTCGCGCGAGACAATTTTTGAGGGGATTGGGGATATGGGGATAGCGAAACAGAGAGGGCGAAGAAGGGGGAGAGAGATCATCACTCTTAAGCGATGGTTTTCTTGGCAGAGCGTGCCAAATGAGCGGCATGTTCTGCGTAAAGTGTTGCTGAAGGTGCAACTTCGGGCCACAAACTTGGTTCCAAAATGGCGTATGTCCTTGCCAATGCAATGTAGGTGGCTTGGATGAAGTTTCCTTGGGTGGCAGTTTGACCACTTGCTTGTGAATAACAGTCTTCAATACCGGCTAATTGTAACATTCTCTTGGCAGCAGGAGCGGCAACGATACCTGTACCACGGGGAGCGGGAACCAAACGACACATGACGGAAGCACATTTGGCACTGGTCTTCATGGGAACGGTGTGGGGTTCACCAAGATTTGATTGCCAGTAGCCTCTTCTAATCGGCACACAGTTCAATTTGGCAATGTTGATGGCAGCACGGATGGCGGTTGCAACTTCTTTGGCGCACTTGACACCCAAACCGACATGTCCATCGAAATCACCGACGGCAACGAAAGCCTTGAAACGTGTACGTTGACCTGCACGGGTTTGCTTTTGAACGGGCATGATCTTCATGACTTCATCCTTCAATTTGGGCAAGAGAATGTCAATGACTTGGTATTCTTTGATTGGCAAGGAGAACAAGTAGATTTCTTCGATTGACTTGATCTTTCCGTCTTTCACCAAACGACCGACAGATGTGACTGGGGTCCATTCTTCCTTTTCGTCTTTACGACCGCCACGACGAGGTCCACGGCCACGACCACCGCGACCACGACCACCGAATCCACCACGACCACGAGGAGCTGCGTCAGCCATTATGATAATTTGATTGTTGTAAAAGTGAGGTTGATGTTGATGGAGACAAGGTTGAATTGGAAGGATTGAGTTTTTTGACTGAGAATATGCGCGCAGCAGCAGAAAGCAGCGCTTAGAGTGAATAAGCTTCTTACCCAGTAGCCGCACTCACGCGTTTAGGCACAATTGCCCTTGATTTACTGCCGCGGGCTGCTGGTCACGTGTATTGATTGATTGACAGTCTTCTTGAGCAGCAGCAATTCATTTTGGTTCTTACACGTGCTCGTCAAAGCATTCCACTCATAATACCATTTTGGCTAGCGTGTTTTGCTTATGTACGTCACTTTGCAGACTGCATTTGTGCTGCAAGGTTGAAATGTCAAACGAATAATAAAGGCCGTACTCCGTTATTCTTAAAATTCCCACCGATTTTGCACTACTTCTCCACCTTTTTCATTCTTCCGCATTGATGAATACAATGATGAAGAAAGAGGCAGTGCAGACAAACAGTAAGAGCATCACCCTAAGGTATGGTAGAAAGGGTCTCGTCGGGACAGTCATTTTGTTCCAACTCCGTTGATTCGATCTCTTTGGTCATCTAGCGTAAATCAACAAGCCACATCTGAACAGGATAAATATGATATGTATTTCATTGATTGATGTGATTGACAAGGTGGAGGATATTCCTTCATCAAACACCATCACAATCACTCCTTTGTGTATCTAGCATATTCAGCCCCTCATGTCTTCGGGCTATAGTGAAAGGCACCGCGTGCCAACGGTGCAGGAATATCGTCAAATCGAAGCAGAACGTGAACGTGCGGCTGAAGCCAATCAATCCGAATTACCACAATCAGCATCTGATGAAAAAGCACCAGGAATGAAGAGTGTCGAAGAAAATGATGCCAGCAATGGCGGAGCAGAAGGTGGTGTCAAAGATGAAACGGATGACGGCTTCAAATCATCCGGTGGTGGACAAGAAGAAAAGGAACGCATTAAAGCTCAAATGGCACCACAAAAAGGTGGTCCTGCTCAAGGATTTTCTGCAAAAGGTGAACGTTTGGTACACGATCCAGTCACTGGCGGAAAAGTCAAGATTGCTGATGATACCAAAAATGCAGATACAGATCCATTGAGATTGGACAGTCGTTATGCAGGCGGTTATTCAACAAACAAAGTTGACGCCAAATCCAATCATGAATCTCATCATGTAAACCCTAAACCTGCCGAACCCACAAACATCAACTTGCAAACCTTCCCTGACCCTATTGATGATGGAACGTTGAAGAACATCTTGAGCAACTTTGGCACACTCTACATCTCTCTTGGTGGTGCTTTGGCTGTCACTTGGTTCTTTGTCGCTTTTGGTGCAGGTTGGTGGCGCTTCTTCTTGCGTACGGCTATCTTGATCGGCGTGGGAATTGGAGGTGCATCAGCTTTGGGTATTGCCAGTCGCAAAATCGAGAAAGAATTGGACAACATTCGTATGCATATGCACACCCAAAGAGGCAAAGATAATTCACCTCCTTTTCCTGAATCCGTTGAATGGCTGAATGCTGCAATTGCAGTAGTTTGGAAACAAATCAATCCTGAAATGTTCATCCCAATGGTCGATCAAGTAGAAGATATTATGCAACAAAGTTTACCCGGTATCGTTGATGCAGTCAAGATTAGTGATGTCGGCCACGGAACCAATCCTTTCCGTTTTATCGCTTTCCGTGGTTTGGCTGATGTGATGGGTGACCCAAAATACCCTCGTGACGAATGGATCACCCAAGGTAAGAAGGTTGAACCTACTGATCAAGAAAAGAAGGAAATGCAACAAGCAAACAAAGAAAAAGTCGAAGGAGACGAAGACGGTGATGGTGTTCCAGATGAAGATGAAGCCGGTGATTTCTTGTGTTATGAAATCTCCTTTTCATACAGTGCTGAGCCCGGCAAGAAGACCAAGAACGATTACATCCATCTCCTCTTGACTTTCTTCATCGGTAATGATCTCGTTCGTTTGCCATTCAATGTCTGGGCCCAAGTGGAAAAGATTTCAGGTACAATCCGTTTGCGTGCTCAAATGGTGCAAAGTCCTCCTTATATCCGTAATTTGACTTTCTCATTGATGGGTGTTCCTAACATTGAAGTCAGTGTCATCCCAATGACGCGAGCATTACCCAACGTTTTGGACCTTCCTCTCATTTCCGGTTTCGTCAAGAGTTCAATTGCTGCTGCAGCAAATGAGTATGTCGCACCAAAATCAATGACTATGAACATGGCTCAAATGTTATCCGGAGATGGAATCAAGAAGGACACCGATGCAATGGGTGTTTTGGTCGTTCATATCAAATACGGTGAAGATCTTTCAGCTCAAGATGCAAACGGTAAATCTGATCCATATGTGGTTTTGTCATTCGCAAAATTCGGTAGACCTCTTTATTCTTCAAGAATCATCTTTGAAGATTTGAACCCTAATTGGAACGAAAGCGCTCATCTTTTGGTCACAAAGGAGGATCTTCGAAGTGATGAAATGTTGAGTGTGCAACTTTGGGATTCCGATAAGCGAACGGCAGATGATATCGTTGGTCGTGTTCAACGTAGAATTGGTGAATTGATCAAAGGTGAAACTCTTAACCAATTCCACGAATTTGAAGATAGTCTGATGGGTTTCGAAGATGCAGACACGATGCAAGGTAAATTGGTCTGGCGTGTTGGATTCTTTGAAAAGGCAAAATTGAACCGTGCTTTGATGCAAAAGGATGACGACAAAACTGAAGATGGCAATAAGAAGACCGAAGAACAATCTCAAGCTGAAAAAGAAGCAAACGAACGCAAGGCAACTTCTGTTGATTCTGCTGAAGAAACTGATGCTCTTCACTGTCCTCCCGATCCAAAATGGCCTTGTGGTATTTTGAGCGTTCATGTTCATCATATTGTTGGCTTGGAACGTCGTGATGTCGAAAAGGGTGTTATGGGTAAAGAACGTGAAGGTACACAAGGTCAAGATGTTTCCGCTTCAGGTGAGACACCAGAACATCTTCCAAGCGGTTACTGTGAAATGATTGTCAACGATGATATCATCTTCAAAACTCGTGTCAAGCCTTATACCAATATGCCATTCTACGAAGCCGGTACGGAAGTCTTCATTCGTGATTGGACAAAGTCTTCAGTTCGTGTTTGTGTTCGTGATGCACGTATGCGTGAACATGACCCAATCATGGGTATCGTCGATTTGAAGGTTTCGGATCTTTTCAGCAAGAGTTCTCAAACATCCGGTCTTTACAGTCTTCAAGATGGTGTCGGTTTCGGTCGTGTTCAATGCAGCTTCGTCTTCAAGGCTGTCAAATTGGATTACCCAAAGAACATGTTGGGCTGGGATACTGCAACGGTTGAATTGTTGTCCAACATCGAATTGGAAGCTGATGGCGAATGGGATGCTAAGCTCAAGAAACAAAAGATCACAGTCACAACTGGAGACGATACACAAAAACTTACCGCAATCGATAGACAACCCTCGATGAGTGGTGATTCTGACGAACCGTTGGCAAGATTACCTGTCTACGACAGATACTCAAGTCAATTAGCCTTCACGATCGGTGGAGGTGGTCTAAACCCTTTGAACGCCAAACCAGATGCAGTTGCAATCGTTTCTTTGTGTGATCTTGTTGATGATGAAGAAACAGATTTAGAAATTCCAATCTTGGCCGGTAGCAACTTAGGTACCCTTTTGCGTAACCACATCGATGACTTCACCGCAAGAACTCACAAATACGAGCGTGTAGGAACTTTACGTGTCAAGGTTCGTGTCGATTCAGGATTGGATTTGGATCACGAGAAGCTAGCAGTCGGACAAACAGATCGCCATCGTTTCGAAGTTTACAACAGATTAGAAGGCATGCCAAAGCTTGCCGAACAGAACTCACATGCAGCCGATGACGGTGTGATTGACAAGCAAGAACAGAAATCAATCGATCGCGCCAAGCGTGAAGCTTTGCATGCTCGTCATCGTGGTGTGATGGGTTACAGTGCCGTTCGCGGTGGTGTTTGGGCAAAGGACGGTGTAAAGGAAAGAATGCGTAAAGCAAGTTATAAGATGTTGGGTAAGAAAGAACGTGATCAAACTGTAAAGAGTGAAGTTTGATTGGTATTTGATTGTATATACACAATTTCTCTCGTACGAAAGTCGTTGAATTGATTGATTGCATTAAAAGTACACTTGTGATGAATATAAAAAGATCAATTTCTCCAGATTTTTAAAACTTTATCACGACCACCACTGGCCACCTTGTCAGCGGCGAAGTCAACGCAATACACTTCGTCACTGTGACCGGGAAGATCTTGTCGGATTTTGAATGTTCGCAGATCCCACAATTTCAGAGTGGAATCTTTCGAAGCACTGATCAACATTCTGCTATCGGCACTCCATGCGATCCTGTACACACTAGCAACATGACCACGCAAAGTTGCAACAAATTTACCCGTTCTAGCTTCCCATAATTTTACCGAATTATCAAAGCTTGCACTTGCGATCCATTGACCGTTTGGCGAGAAACAGACATGATTGACCAGTTTTTGATGACCGGTCAAACGTGCAATCGGTTTCTTGGGCGTTGCTGCTCCCTCTCCATTATCGAGATGAGATTGTGGTGGCCAAAGGTATAAAGTATGATCGTCTGATCCACTGATTAATTGTTCCGCTTTGTTTCCCGCAGTTGCCGCTTTGAATCTTGCTTCGGCTGCTTTTTGAACTTGTTGATCCAATTCTTCCTCCGTCTTTGCATCTGTCTTATCAGCCACCTTTCCAAGATGATCAAATGGCCCAGTTCGCAATACCCAGTCTGTACTGAGGGAAAGTGTGTTGATCCAATGAGCATGCTCGTTTAAGGATCGTATCATCTTTCCATCTTTGGCATCCCACACTTTGATTGTCCTATCTGAGCTGGCGGTATAGAGCAATCCTCTTCCACCCCATCTAACAACATTGACACTTGCTGTATGAGCACCTAATGCATACTGACACAATCTAGACGTCGCATTCCATACACGTACAGTTCCATCTTTACTCGAAGAGGCCAATCTTGGCTGAGAAGGATTGAGATGGATGGGTTCCCATGCCAGTGAAGTGATCCATTTCGCATGCCCTTTCAAGACGTGTCCTTTGGGAGAAGCATGCCGTAGAGAACGCATTTGAGCTGAAGTAAGCTTTTCCGTTGAATCTCCCTGTTCTGCTCGAACTTGATCACCCGTCTTGGATCCCCAAGCAAGTCTTCCCGTCTTTCCTTGTGTAGAATCTGTAGCATCCCATATCCGTACTTCCCCATTCATATCTCCCGTTGCCAGTCTTCTTTCGCGACCTTCCCATTCGGCACATAGAACCCAACCTGCATGTCCAGTCAGGGTATGTAGAGGTAATTCTGACGTCAGATCCCAGATTCTAGCAGTCTTATCACCTGCGCCTGTGACCAAAAGTGTACCACTGGGCGAAAATGTTGAGCATAAGATCGGAGATGCATGTCCGTTGAGCGTTGTTGAACATCTTCTTACGGGCCGTACTCGGAACACTGCTTGTGGTTCAAAGACTACATTTAATGTATCTTCCTCACTCAATCCCATCTGCTGTGCTTGTTTCGTCATCAAGACATCTTCTTTAAGGTTCTTTGCAATTGTCAAGCGTGTTTGCAGGTTAATGGGTATATCCTTCCTCTCTCCATTTTCGTCCAAAGCAACGTGAAACGCAAATGGTAAATCTTCATCATCCTCCTCGTCTGAACTTTCGTCCTCTTCAGCAGCTTTCTTTCGTTCTTCTCTTGTTCTGTTTGCTTTCTTTTCAGCTCTCATCTGTCTTCTTAGTTGATTGACAATCATGTTCATTTGTCCTGCTCCCGTATCGGCAGGCAAAGAGATCACCGGACCAAGTGCTGAGCCGTTTGAATCACGAAATTGAACGACCAAGGTAGCCGAAGAAGGTCCTATCCGACCGGCTTCGGCAAGTTGAGCTGCTCTAGCATCCTCGGCGGCCTGCTCTAGACGAGCTCTTTTGGCACTCTTTGGAGGGACAAGAGTGGCCATTGTTGGTAGAGTTGATGATGGTACTTGACAAAGAATTGCTCTATCACCTTCTTGCCAATTCAGACAGATAAAGTGCCTCTTTCTTTTCACCCTCGTTCGGACAATAAACTTCTCAAAAAAATCCGCCAAAGACCAAAAATTCCAAAGCACGTGTAGGCAAAAATTTGACTGACAAAATGCGTAAAGATTTTCCTGCAGGGCTGTAACGACGCGTGGGGGGAGTTGATCCACTTTAAAAGGCAAAAGAAGGAAAATTATTATGAAATTCTCCAGAGCTTTTCTTTTTATTTTAGATCACTTCTATCATCAACTCCAACCAAAACAATGGCCAAAGGGAAAGAGCCAATCATGGCTTCACAACCCGTAAAGGGCAAAAAGAAGTCTAACGGAAGGAATGCACTCCAGAATGGCAAACCTGGCGAATCTTCTTCCATGGCAGTCGGCAAAGCTAAAGCATCAGAGGATGAGCTGCTGAAGGATGAATTAATGCAATCTCTCAATAGACACGATGCTTCTTTCACTGCTCTTCTTTCTCTCATTCCCGCAAATCTTTACCTTGCTCCTGAATCTGATTCAGAAGCAGGTTCTGAGATCGGCGAGATCTCCTTGGACCAAACTTCCTCCAATCCGTTGAGCAAACGAAAGATTGCTGAACTTACAGCCGAAGAACGTAAAGCACGGATAAGGGAAGCCAAAAGAGCCAAACATGATCCAGAAAATCAAAAGAATGCCATCCAGATACAACAAGAACGAGCGGCAAAGAGAGCCGAAAGACTTGCAGCGCAAGAACGGGAAGAAGAGCAAGATCTATCACTCAACTTTTCTATGGGCAGTGATTTGATGATGAATGGCAACGAAGGCGCTGGGGATACAGACGATGATGAGGATAGCGAAGAGGACCATGATGAAGATGACGATGATGATGGAGATTCGTATGAGACACTACCCACCAGCACCAAAGGATCAGAGGAACTAAGCGATAAACCCGCAATCCCAAGCCCCCTGCCTGGTGCAGGACCACCAAACATTCTGGATTTGCGAGCACGTCTACAAGCAAAGATTCAAGGAATTCAAGCCCAAAGACGAGCGCAAGCATTGGGTCAAAACAGCCATGGCGAGATTGGTGATGATGAGAGCATTGCTAGCACAAAGGATGAGTTGCTAGAAGAAAGGCGCAAACAACGCGGTGAGATGCGTGATCGTAGACGTAAGGCCGCCAAAGAACGTAAACGTGCTGAAAGAGAAGGAACTGCACCCAAGAAAGGTAACGGTCAAAATGCAGGAAATGACAAGAAAGGTACCACAGCCCCTCAGCTCTTCGTTTCACCTGTTAATGGGAAGAGCGTTGCACCGTCAACTTCTTCGCTGGCAAACGTGACCGATTCAAATGACATCGCATTCTCTTCACTTCAATTTGATGGACAGTCTTTAGACTCTTTGAAAAAGAGCAAGCATGCTTTACCATCTGATCCTAAAGCTGCTCTTGCCATCTTGGAAGCACGCAAAAGGAAGGAAGAGGCACGAAGAGCGAAAATCGAAGCACGCGGAGAGGATGCAGAAGGAAGCTCGACTAAAAAGGATGCAGAACAAGCAGAAAAAGATCGAGCAGAACATATCAAATGGAGTAAAGCTGAAGCAGCAGCTCAAGGAGTCAAAATTCGTGATGATGAAGCTCTTTTGCGAAAAGCGGCAAAGAAACGTGATAAACAAAAGGCAAAAAGTTCAACAGAATGGGGTAAACGTAATCGCGATTTGGCTTCTCAACAAGCAGCTCGTCAAAAGAAACGTCAGGATAACATTGCTGCTCGAAAAGATAAAAAGGGTGGCGGTAAAAGCGGCGGTGGCGGTGGAGGAAAGAGTGGAAGTAGCTCTTCCAATGCACATTCTGCCAAATCAAAAGCTTTGGGCTCAAAGAGAAAATCTGGAAGCTCCCGACCCGGATTTGAAGGGAAGGGTAGATCGTTTGGCGGTAAAAAAGCTTCAAGTAGCGGCGGAGTCGGAAAGAAGCAAGGAAGAAAGTGAAGCATTTTGTACATAGAGCATTAATATCAACACTCATGAGATATCGCTAATATGAAAAGATGTGTGTGAGTATAATACATAATGTCCAGAGGGCCGAATCTATTCATCTATTTTGGCGATTTTTTGAGGTGCTTCTTCATGGGGAGAATCGGCGGATCTTTTAAGATTGGGCTGATCATCGCCATCCTCCTCCTCTTCTTCCTCTTCGGCTGCCCACATCTCCTTGAGCTCGTCTGCTTCAGCACCAGGAAAGAGCCAGATATGAGTATCACCTAGTCTTTGTGGCTGGACTTCGCCCCCTTCCTTCGTTGCCTCACCGGGAGCAGGAGTCTCTTCCTTGACAGCCATATCTATTGCCGCGCTATCTTGACCAACAACTTCTTTGGATGGCTTGGGTAAAGGCAATTGCCAATCTAATCTTTTGCATAAATAATCAACAATCTCATCCCCATTACCAAGCAACTGAATATCCATAGCCAGATGAGTTACTGGCGTTCGATTGATCAGAATGACCGGGGTAGAATGAGGTATATGTCCTACCAATTCGCTCACTGGCGCAACTCTTAATGAAGTACCCATTACGATCAAAAGATCTACCTTTTCTCGATCCTGCACCACGCATTGATCAAACTCGCCTGAAAGCGCCTCCCCAAAGAAGGTGATACATGGCTTTAACACACCTATCCCTGGCAATGCATCGAGCTCATCATCATCATCATCATCGTTGTCGTCTGCTTTCCAATTTTTCTGGCTCTTGCCTGACTTTGCTTGCTTTTTTGCTTCTTCAGCTTCTGAGCACTTTGGACATTTTGGCACCCGTTGTGCAAAGATGTCTTCTTTTATGTACGATCCTGGAACGGTGAACGTACATCCGGGCGTTGTACAAGCAGCTTTGCTGAAGCTTCCATGACAATGCAAAACCTTTTCGATCCCTGCAGCGTCTTCCAATGTATCTATGTTTTGCGTGTAATGTCGTAGTAACTTCTGCTTGTCCTCCAAAAGTTTGATAAATCTATGTGAAGGCGAAGGCTTGAAATTCGATGGAAAGATTTGTTTCGCAAACGAAAAGAAACAAGTAGGATCATAAAGAAAGAACTCTTTATTGAACATATCTGTTGGATCGGATAATGCTTGTGCGTATTGAGCATCTCCATGTTGCAATTGTGCGTAGATACCGTCTTTAGAGCGAAAATCGGGTATCCCACATGAGGTAGAGAGTCCAGCTCCCCCCAATACCATTATTCGCTTAGACTTTTTGATCAATTCTACAGCATCGTCTACTGTATTGTACTGCTTTAATTTCTCTCTCCTCCTTAGAACTCTGATCAGAGCAGATTTCAGTAGTGCTGTTAGGTATGGAAGTGGAACTTGATCGGCTTCCCGCAATTGTTTGGGCAGAAGAACACCAAGAGCGATGAGGAATGCCTTCATCCGTTTCTCCGAGATGCCATCAACATGAGTTTGCATGAATAAAATCAATCCATCCTTTTTGAGCTCGACAACCAATTCGTCTATTCGTTCGTGCGGATAAGTGATTGCAGCTTCATCTACGATACGGTCTATTTCGGCTTCATCTGTTGACTCTGTGTCGGCTTCATCTTCTAAGGCTTCCAATTCATCCGAATCACAATCCAACGTACTCAGTTGTGAAGCTTGTGCAATCGCTTCATCGGTTTGAGGGGGTGCTGCCGGAACGCTTACGCCATTTTGAGAGAATGTCGTACGATCAGCTTGTTGTGCTATCGCATCCCCATTGCCCACCTGCTCAAGCTCGGCCTTCTCCATCTTCCACTTGAAACATCAATTGTTCTTTCGTAGATGAGATTCAGGAGCAAGATTCAGAAGATCGGGCAGTGAGAATGAATGCGCCTTTAATGCAAAAGTCCGTGCGTCTTTGCCCGACGCTAGCAAGATCTTCACTTCTTCTCTCACCTCCTTCTGGAAACTGTTCGATGGTCAAATAAGAATGATAACATTAATTCTGATGATACAGAGTATTGAATACATAGGACGAATGTATGTACAATGAACGATATAAATGGGACGATAGGACCGCACTATTGAATAAAATACAAGGATATCGTTATGTCAGAGCACAGGAGATATGTTCACGATGACTTAGCGGCCAATTTCGATAAAAGACTCTTTTGCTTCTTTGAACTTTCTCCCTTTCCTGACTTTTGATTGACGGCTTTCGCACCTGCTCGTTTTGTTTGAGGAATAGATGAAGTTTGTTTATTAGAAGCTTTCGTGTTTTTGCTACTTGGTTCATCTTCGTCAGAAGAAGAGTCATCAGACGAAGATGAACTATCAGACGATGAATCATCATCATCGTCTTCATCGATTTGATCCTCAGATGAGTCGCCGTCATCCGTTACCTTCTTTCCGTTGATGGCTGGGTATATAGATGGGGTTTGAGGACTTGAAACTTTAATTTTCGAAGGATCCAAGGCGGACAAGCGGGGATAGCCGAATGAAAGCGAAGAAGATGCTTTGTTATCTTGCTTCCCTTTTATGGTATCACCCTTCTTTGGAGACGATGTTTTGGCGGGCGCAGCATTGGAAGCTTTCTTCTTTTCTGATTCGGACTCGGTTTCGCTTGAATCGCCCGATTCGCTGTCACTGTCGCTATCAGAGCTGTCATCAGAATCACTCTCTGAAGAAGATGAACTTGTGTCGCTCGAATCATCATCGGCATTTGCCCCATTGGACGTTTGGTCCTTTTTGTTCTCAGCTTCTTTCTTTGTCGATTCTGTTTTTGCTGGTTCAGTCTGTGTTTGATCCTCTTTCTTCTTCTTTGCCTCTTCTTCGGCTGCCTTTCTCTTCAACTCCTCCAATTCTTGCCTGTCAGATTCCTTCTTTGCCTTTATAGCAGCTTGCTTTCTTTCTTTTTCCTCCGCAGCTGCTTTGCGTTTAGCAGCAGCTTCTTCTTTCTTTGCGGCAGCTTCTGCTTCCTTCTTTGCCTTCTCTTCAGCTTTTTGCTTTGCTAGCTCGTCTTTCTTTCTCTGCTTCTCCTCCGCCACAGCCTTCTTCTTCTCTTCCGCTTCTTGTGCTTTTCGCTTCTTTTCTTCATCGGCCTCTTGTGCCTTTCTCTTCTTTTCCTCTTCGGCTTCTTGTGCCTTTCTCTTCTTTTCCTCTTCGGCTTCTTGTGCCTTTCTCTTCTTCTCTTCATCGGCTTCTTGTGCCTTTCGCTTCTTTTCCTCTTCAGCTTCTAGTGCCTTTCTCTTCTTCTCCTCTTCAGCTTCCTGCGCTTTCTTCTTTTTTTCTTCTTCAGCTTCTTGCGCTTTTCGCTTCTTTTCCTCTTCTTTCTTCAACGCTTTCTCTTCGGCTTCTTTTTGCTTCTTCTCGTCTTCTGCTTTTTGTGCTTCTTGCGATCTGAAATTATCAAGCCATTCACCAAATTTGTTGCGTGCATCCAACTCATTTGATGTCAATTCAGCCTTCTCTTTCAACTTCTCATACCACTCTGTCACCTTCTCCATACCGCCTTCGATCACTTTCGCAATTTCAATTTCGACAGGCTGAGGTTCTTCAACCGAGTCCGTTGCCACAGACTTATCTTCCACACCACTTTGAGCCTTGGTCGATTTTCGTGCCTTCTTAGCACCTTTCTCTTCGGTTTTGGCTGGTGCGGGTGTTTCATCCCCTCCAATGGCCTCTGTGCTGGTCTGTTGAGATTTTCTGCCTTTGGGCTTCTTAGCTGTGACTTCAGCGTTCACGTCCTGATCAGGTTTGACGTCATCAGCCAGACCTAATTCGTTTTGCACTTCAAGATCTTCTGCATCGGTATCAAGTGACATATCCCTTTCCACAATCTGATTTGGCGAGGATTTTCTCTTTGCTGCCTTCTTTGGTGCTTGTTTGGCGACATTCGTCTCTACCTTTGGTGCTCCTTCTTCACCTGCCTTTGCATTTTCTTCAGGTGTAGGAACTTCGATGGAAATATTCCAAGTCGTTGGTGTATTTGTGCCAGCTGCCTTTTTGGCATTGGCAGGAGTGTTTGGCACCTCACTTTGAACTGCCTTTGACACACCCTTTCTGCCTGCTGCCTTGGCTGGTTTTGGCTTACCATCCATATTGGGCTTCACGTCCAAAGTCAAAGGATCTTCAGGTTGCGTACCTTTGGTGATCGCCAAAGAGACGATCGCTTCAAAGTCTTCTTTTTCATCAACTGACATTGTCTTGTTTGAGAATTGACATGTGAATTGAATCTGATAATCTTTCAAATCTGCCAATTGTGGCCATTTACGACGAATAAAATCCAACGTTTGTTTCCAAGATTGTCCTTCTTTCACAACACGCAGATAATGAACACTGCTGATCTGTGTGCATGTGATCAGTATCACACCAACGTCATCTTGACTCATGGTCACATCATTACTGCTGGATCTGGAATTACGTGCTCCACTTTGTTCATTCTTGGGCGTGATTCCATTCTTGTTCAATTTTGCCTTCTTGGCGTTAGGAATAGGTGTGGATGGCGTGGGCGACAAAGTCTGATCAAAGTATGCATTTGTGCTTTGATTTGGTGCAGGACTTGGAGAGACTTCGTTTGGACCTTTTCGCTTTCTTTTCTTGGCCGAAAATTTTGCTGAATTATTGCCATTCATTGTAGTCATTTCAGATGAGCCAACATCTACTTTCTCTCCACTTTTCCCTGCCTTCTTTTGATTTTTAGGTGTTGCCTCACTCATTTTGATCAAGCATCTGAGAGATAGATAATTCAATCAGAGCAAATCAATTCACCTCTTTTGAGAGTGGATTAAATAGAGGAGGTAGATGGATGGGAGAAGTGAGAAGAGAAAGGTAAGATGGTTTCTCAATAATTGATGGTTCTTCATTTACGCGTTTCTTTCAAAATTTCTCAGGCTCATTTCCGTTGCAGGACCTAAAGCTCCGTTCTCCGCGTAAGAAAGCTTCCCCCGAACCAAGATGGGAATTTTGGCGTCGAGTTTGCAGACCTTATTACACAAATGAGCTCGTGAAAGGATAATACATGTTCATTTGATGACTTTGAATGAGCTCTTGAAATCAAGGTATTGGTAAAAAATGAGTGTTAATAATACAAGATAGTAATAAAGTCGAACAAAAAAGGCTCTACGCCTGCAATCAACCATTATTCGATCCAACGGAACTACTCCTAGGTCGATTAATCGTTTGACGCAATGAAACCGGCGGCGGGGCAGGTTTGCCCGATCGAGGTTGAATTGTCTTTCTCAAAGGATCATCCCTTCGGCTAGCTGGTCCCATAGGATTGTGATTGGAAAGTGTACTTCCTCGAGGACGAGTCGACGCAGCCAAATGACTTGCACCACCCCCAACAGAAGATTGTGTATTGATACTAGTTGAGGATGCAAGAGTTGATAAGTGACTTCTTCTTCTGTATTGGGTTTGAGTCTGAGCAGGATCTTGGTCCAAAAAGTCTAGTGAACCATTGTAGTGCTCTAAGTTCGGAGTTTGAGCGCGAACGGAAGGAGGTACATACCCGTTTGAAGCCGGCATCGAAAGGCGTGAGGGTGGTCTTTGCGAGGTTGATCGAGACAAACCGTTAGCAGGTAAAGGTATAGCACTTGGCGTTGACTGATCTTCACTACTTCTACCAATCACACTTCTCCTTGGTGTCGCAGCAACAGGCGATCCATCTTTCGGACCGATACTGGAGGACATGCGTGAAGCAGGTCGAGGGATCGCACTTGCACCTCCATCGGATGGAGCAGTTCGAGTGGCCGTTTGTACAGTTGCTTGCAGTTCTCTCAGATTCTGCAACAATCCTGCCATCTTCTTCATACTTGAGCCTTGTTGCTGACCTCTAGAACTTGGAGCTAATGTTGATCTACGTGCTGGCATTGCTCCAGCAGCGGTAGAGCGTGAAAGTCCGATAGATTGACGTGCTCTTAGCTGACCGGAGGAGGGGCTAGAGCTCAAACCATCACTTTGTACCTGTCTCACATCAGATGAATCTCTCCTTGCATGCGTAGACGCCGCCAATGAGGATCTTTGAGACAGCAATGTTCGCCTTTGCGCTGACGATGTTGTGGCCGAAGCACTAGATGAGGACGAAGGTACGGTTTGCAAAGGTGAAATGAAACCAGTTCTTGAGCCTGATCTTTCGTGAGCGCCTGCTCTTGATGAAGGTCGTTGGTAAAGAGCTCGGTCAATATCGACGGAAGAACGGCCTGACCTTACCGAATGTATCTCAGTAGGCGTACGTGTGGTAGGACGGCTGGATGTAACACGTTCCTGCCATACTGCCAACTCTTCCTTGACTTCTTGTAGTTCATCTTTCAGCCGCTGATTTTCTTCTTCTAGTTTTGTTTTTGCAACAAGCTCTTCTTCAAGCATGGCAGTACGTTCGATAGCACGATTGTATCTTGACTCCATATCTGTGAGCGAGGAGGCAACCATTCTTTCTGCATTCTCCAATTCATCATTATCCAATTCCATATCCCGAAGCTTTGCCTTGTAAGCATTGTGAGACTCGCGCAGAGTGGACAATTCACGATTCAGTTCTGCCAATGTCTTGTTATGATCTGATAATGTCCTTTGATATTTCCCTTTCCATTCATCCACATCACCTTTAAGCTTTTCCGCACGAACTTGGGCATCTCGTGTACTGTTATTAGCAATCGTTAGTTCGATTTCCATCTCCTTTTCTAGTTCTTTCGAACTTTCCATGTACTCTTCCAATCTGCCACCCATATCCTTGAGCGTTGACCTGGCGTCCAGCGCTTCCTTTTTCCACCATGTCAGCTCCTCCTCCTTGCTCTCGAAGCGGCTATACGAAATGAGACTGTCAGTGACTGTTCCAGGAATGCTATTGAATGCATATACTCACGGCACATCGGAATCCTCATCCAAGGCCATCTTGGACTACCAATCTTGACCTGGATATGTGATGGTGGTCATCAGACTATAAGCAGGTCAATGCGTTCTCTTGTGTGTATGCATGTTGTTCTCCAACTTTACTAATTTAAGCTGTGGGCATTATGGGTGTGCGATTTGCTATGAACCAAACGCCCTGTTTTGTGATACAAATAACACACGGTCATCAATCGATTAGCGTTAAATGATTAATTTCGCGTACCTAGCACGTGTTCTATGGGAAAATTGAAGATCTTCCTTTTGGCACTTAGCATCACGTGTTTTTTATCCAGTTTGAAGATCATCTTTCTTGCCGGCGCAAAAGAGAGTGTAGGCTGCGGGCTTAGAGTAAAGGGAGAAGGCCTGTGTAAAGCGTCCAAAATGCGCGCGCAAGGCCTACAAACCACAGGAAGTTTACCATTTTACAGCTTTTCAACTTCATCCCTTTCTCGCCACGATCACCAATACAAACCGGCTGACAGTCATCAAAATGGTAAGTGTCGATCCATCATACAGTACCACACCGACAACTACACCAATCAGACGGAGCTTGCGGATGTTGAAAAGAGATGGGTGAAGGGGAGAAAAGGGGATATCTTTAGGTTATGTTGGGAAATGGATTCAGCAATGAAACACAACGCCCTTCTTCATGGCACTAGATTCATCCGCAAATGCATCACTACAACAGACCGAAGACAAACCTTACGCCATATCTGTCTCAGCTTGAACACTTTACTTACCCTTCGACTTTCCTCTCTCCTTCACACAAACAGCCAAGCCAAAAGAGCTTCAAGACAAAGGTCACTTTGGCCAAGGCATCCCGCCAAAACCGCCCAATCCCACCATGGTTCCGCATGAAGACTGACAACAAGATCCAATACAACAAGAACCGTAGACATTGGAGACGTACTAAGCTCGGTATCTAAAGAGCTTTTTCCAACACAAAACTTGTTCTGTTCAGCAATTTGTTCACACTTTTGACATTATGGTGAAGGGATATCATACAATTGGCGTATGATGCCAACGACAAGGTTCAGTTTCGCCAGTTCAGTACTCGATACGTGGTTTCTCTTTGCCCTTTTTGTCCCAAGTGTGACATGTACAATTTCATGTTTCCATATGTGGCATCCCAAAATTCATCTTACCCGCATTACGCACATTATGCTCGTCTGTGTCCGACAGAGAAGGGATATTGAAGAAGGTCTGATGCACTTGAAGAACACAGATTGCATCACTAGTTTGCGATTGATTGATTGTGTGATGCTTGAAAAGTAGACAGAGATCGCTCTTTATCAAATCGCTCCCATAAAGCTTCGTTAAACGTGCAAATGCACGAATCTTCATTACCGAGTTAGATACATGAGTATTAGTACAGTACACGTTCCGATCACCACGCCCATGATTACACGATCCCTCTGTCGTCTACGATGAATAAGTCTGATCAGGTTATTCAATCCGGGAATTTGACTTGCAGTATTTGTCAATCTTGAAGTCATGTCCACCAAAGTGGACCGTTGTTGTCCCAGATCAGCGCGGGTAGCATATGCTTGACTGGAGGGGAGTAAGAAGAATGTCAGTCATGCTCAGTGAAAAGCTGTCAGAGGCTCTTTTGATCAACTCACTCTAGTGTGCCATCAATCATCTGATGGGAATTGTCTAATCGGGATCTTTCTGCCAATAGTGCATCTGCATCGCTTCCTTGACGAGCTTTGTAGCTTCTGTAAACCAGTAAGAGAAGAAGACATTAGCAAAATCTGAATCGATGTGGCTTCCGTATCACCTTGTTCGTGAGGCCATACCAGCTGGCTTGTCCTATGGTGCTACTCACTCTATATCTATCTTCACACTTCCCAGCAAATCCCTACGATCTCTGGCTTGTTTGACGTTTGTTTTTGATCTTCTATAATCTCTTTCAAAGTCCAGCAAAACCTCTCTGTGCCGCTGTAATGTATGCTGCTGTGATGCTGATGCTTGAACGATTGGATCATTTAGCGAGTTTGATAGACTGTCCACGCTTGACGATAGCTATTTCCAAGAAAGAAGCAGTAAGTCAAACGCTCAGAATCCCATAACAAGCTCTCTATCTCACCTCTGCTAATAGCCTTTCGATCTCTTGTTCCATCTGTATATGGTCTTCTCCTTCACTCTTTACGCCATTTCGCCTACCCTCTTCTGTTGCTTTTCCTGGCCATGCTCCGTTTGCCTGTCCTGCTCCTGCTATATTGGCTGCAATACGTGAATATTGATTCAAAGCAGCATCTAATCGTACCTCTAAATTTCGTATTCCTCTTCGTGTGACTTCCCAAGACATGTTGTCAAGATGGCTGTCACTTTCAACTATTCTATGCTTGCATTGGATGCATGCTAACACTCATGTTTCTATTTTTGCCTCCACGCAGCTTATAGTTTAACGCTTTGGTTGTGTTGGCGCGTGCCTGTCAGTCCGCATTGAGCACCCGTTGAAAAAAGTAACACACTGCTATTGCCTACGGTTAAATGTATCTTTCTCCGCTTTGATCTTCTTTTCTTCCATCACCATCTATTTATGTTCATTATCAGCAATGTCAAAAAGACCTAGTCCTGGTGTGGATAGAGCACGCAGTCCGCCAAATAAGGCCGTGTCTGTTCCTCCGATCCGATTTGCAACAGAACAACAGGACAAAAAGTATCAGCAACAAGCAAACAAAGTTGCAACAAAGCAAGGCAAATCGGTAAAGGTAAAGCAAAGATCAAGAGGAGGAGGTTTCTTTTCTTGGCTTTTCCGACTTGCATTCAGGTTGCTCTCGTATTATACAGTCTTTTGCGCTTTGTTCACTTGTGGATCGCATCCGTTCAGCTTTGATTATTCCACAAAAGATCAAAGAGCAGTCTGTCGCAATTTAGCACATGCAAAGATTCGACTTGTACCCATCGCTACACCCATACTCAAAGATACATATGCTCATATCGATCCGTATGCGGGACCATACATTCGTGCAGCAACACCTGTCGTGCAAAAAGCATATAAGATCTCCAAACCGCATTATATTCGTGCATACAAGTATGGTAATGCATTGTACAAGAAACATGTTGATCCAGCTCGCAAACGTGCTATCAAAAGGGCACATGCCTATGCCGATCCTCACGTAAAGAAGCTGCAAAAGGAATACAAGAAGCAAGTTCAACCACACGTTGACAATTTGCACAAAACCGTCAAACCTTATCGTGATATTTACACACGAGACGTTGCTCCTTATGTCAAACAAGCTCATATCCAAAGCATTGCGGCAGCCTATGCATCTCATCATATCTATGTGCATCAAGTTCATCCTCACATCTTGACTGGATTCAAGCATTCACGTTCGTTTTATTTCAATCATTTCCTTCCTGCTGTAAGACGTGCTTATGTGCTTTATATTCAACCGCAACAGGATAAGATCACCGCTCGTATTTTTGGATACACACCTGATCGTACCGTCAAAGTGGAGAAACCAACGCCTATGCCAGGTAGCAGTAAGGAGAGTGTCGCGAGCGTTGTTGAAACTGTACAAGAAACAGTAAAGAGTGCAGCATCAGGACCGATTGAGACAGTGAAATCGGCAACAGAAGCAGCTTCATCGTTGTTAGCTGAAACATTTGAACAAAGTGAAGGTGATGAAGATGAAGAAGATCCAGAAGAATTGGATAGACAATTGGACGCTGAGGTTGAACAAGTGACTGCAGAACTAGAATCTTGGGAAAAGGGTATGAGCAAATTGATTCGTGAAGAGACAAGAGCTCACAAGCAAAGAATAAAGCAGGGCACATTGGACGATGCAGGTTTGGAGCAAGCAAGAAATGCAAGTGTGGTTTCTGTTCGTCGTTATTTCCGCAAAGCAAGAAAAGCATTTGAGAAAGTGATGGAAGATGTCAAGTTTGAAGTAACTGTTGATGACTTTGAAGGATGGGATAGAGGCCTTAACGTACGTGTGAAGCTTTTTGCTCAAGATCTCATTCAATTGGAGAAGGAAATGTTGACCAAAAACACACCAATTCCTGCCGAACCCGAAGCTCAAGAAAGTGCTGCAACTGAGCCAGAGAATGCACACTTGGTTGAAAAGCTAGCAGCTCAGAAGCCATTGGTCGCCGAATCTCAAACATCATTCGAGACAGAAACGATATCCGAGGTGATACAAGAAGATTCTCCAGCAGAGCCTATCGTCATCGCACCAGAATCATCAGCCTCATCTTCACCAGAAGTCGAAGCTGATTTGTCGGGAACCGCTAAGTCATTTGAAGATAAATCTACAGAAGAAGAAGCTCCGGTCAGTGGATCTCCTTCCGAAGCAGAGGACCCAACATTTTCCATCCTGCCGATCGAAGTTGCCGATGAGAAAGGAACACCAGCAAAGGCAACAGAAGTAGAAGATGAGAAGGAGCCTTCGTTCTCCATTCTGCCTATCGAGGTTGTGGATGAAAAGGGAACACCCGCTGAGAAGAAAGAGAAGCCAGCTCATGAAGAGCTATAATACCGAACATTACACAATCATTTATACTATTTATTTAAAGCATGCATGAAAAGAATTGGAATTGCACAGGATGAGAATGTATAGAATACAAATGTGAGAAAAAACGATCATAAGAAATCGTGATGAAACTACTTGAAACGTTTGTAAGAATGAAGTTCGTACTCTTTTTGTCTGCGATTGAGACCTTTGAGATTGTTCTTCATCACATTTTGCTTCTTTGGTTCGATCAAACCACGTTTTTGGAATGCATGAATACGGTCTCTTAGCAGATTACCTTCGGGTTTCAAACCTCTCAAACTTTCTGCTAAATCTTCGCCTAATTGAACTTCTTCTTCGGGTTTTTGCAACTTGAACATTCCAACTTTTTCATCTGCTCTTCGTTGGCGGGCCTCCTTGCGTTTGGCAATGTTCATCTGATGCTCTTCATCCACTTTGAGTAACTCTTGACGTAATGCACGCAATTGTTGTAGTTGAACTCGTGTTCGTTTTGATGCTTTCACCTGTTCGCGAGCACGGATTTCTTCTTTGAGCTTCTTGGCCTTTGCACGTTGTTGTTTGGTTTTACGTTTAGCAAGCTTCTTTGTTGGAGCTGTCTCATCGTCATCTTCTTCATCCGAACTCTCTTCTTCATCTTCAGCAGCATTGACTTGCATACCAATCAATCGTTCAACACCATCTTTGGCTGTTAACGCTTGTGCTTTTGCTGCTTCGTCCCACTTTTGCTTGTATTCAAGCTCTTGTCTTTTGGCTTCTTCTTCAGCTTGAGCTTTCTGTAATGCCTTACTCAAGAGCGCTTCATGGGCCTCTGCTGCAGGGTTGTACGACTGACCTTGATTGGGAAGAGGAAGAGCAACATCTTTCGTCCTGACTTCCAACAGTGTCCCGGGTGCTTTGCTCGGTTTGTTACGCTTCTTTGCCTCTTCTAAAGTGGATGCTGAGCTCTGAGCTTCTGGAGCGGAAGACCAGACATCGTAATTCTCCTCTCCAACTAACGCAGTCGGTCCTCGTTGTCTGACTCCCTCTTCATCGTCTTCGTCTACAATCACACCGAATGCACCTTTCACATTCCTACCAGCAGTTCTTCGTAGCTTCTCCAGATCTTTTCTACTCATTCCGCTCTTCAGTGCTCGTTGCTCAGGCGTCAATCCACTTTGTGAACTCTGTTTCCCGCCCTTTGGCTTCGTCAATGCATCCATTACTCCTCTTCTTGCCCTTCCGATTACAGGTGCTGATCCTTCATCTTTTTCTCGTAAGATTGCCAAACTCTTCAAAGGCTTCTTTCCTGCTTTCTTTTTGAGGGAATCATCACCTACCCGATCTTCAACGAAGAGTGAAGATGCATGAGTGTTTGAAGTGATAGGTGCCAATCCCAGCCTTTCAGCCGCTCTTTGATTCTCAAGAGAAGCTTCCACGCCCGTTATATCGATATTCTTTCGCCATGTTGACTTTGTCTTACGTGAAGGCTGCTTTGCTTTTGGCATTTTGGCTACGATTACTTATTTGTAGCACAAGTGTATGTCTATGGCAAAGAAGATGAATTCCTGACTATGATCAGAACATTAACGCATCTTTTGGCTTTGAACATTTTTCCAAAAATTCTTAAACACGTGCAAGCGATCTAATCGCTGTTCTGGGTGTGTTCTTAGGCTGTGCAACACTGTCTCAGCCGACAGTCTGTTTCACCTGCCAGGCATTCTCTCTCGTTCAAGCGGGAGGCGCGTAGTATGCATGAATGAACGCCAACGGGGGGAGTGAGTGAGGCTATGTACAAGAAACTGGATAAGGTTTCCAACTTTGAAGCTGTTGTTTGTTCTACACACAGACACACCATCTCTCCTCTCTTGAGAACCATAGACCATCATATCCCATTATTGACACAAAGACATAATCAGGCATCATGTCTAAATTCATCGAATACGCTATGAAAGTTCCAGAATTCGTCAAAGGATTCAGACAAGAACGTCTTTCAACAATTCGTCCTTTATCGGAATTCTTTGATCATCAACGTATTTCTAGACCAGCAGATCTCAATGAAGCAACACAGAGAATCACTTATAACACCCGACACTTTTCGGGAAATTATTTGATCATTATCATGCTTTTGGCTGTTTATGGATTACTAACAAGTCCTTGGTTCTTGTTATCGGTGATCTTCCTTGTTGGTGGATTTACTGCAATCAACAGATTTGGTGAGTAGTTGTGCTGTAAATGGAGATAAGCGATGCTTCAGTCAGCTAATTGTTCTTTATCTATTGCAGCACCCGAACCAGTTCAAGTCGGAGAACACGTCATCACTCAAAAGGGACTCTACACAGCATTGTTTGTTATCGGCATTCCCATGCTATGGTGGTCATCTCCTTTCTTGTTGATCTTCTGGTTGATCGGATCGTCTGCTTTTGTTGTTTTGGGACATGCAAGCTTCATCGAGCCACCAGTATCAAGTGAATACTCAGGCGTTGAGCAAGTGTAATGCTCCCAAAGCTGCCCATCTTCTAGAGGAAAGCATCAATGTTAATTCAGTATCATAATGCGTTTCAAAGTATAGAACAGCATGATTTTGTTGGGGGGATGTACTCTGACAACATGCTTTGCCAGCCTCGACGAAAAAGTCATAAGATGTTGAACATTTGCATGCCCCAGATGGTATGTAATTTTCGGCATCCGAGTGGGATTTTGCCCAATGTAGAATATGTATTCATCATAATATACCTATGAAAGGATATTTTGTTGCCCTTTGTCTGATTGTGAGCTGCCGATGCTGAATACCACAGCCAATAATTTCATGATGAGCTTATTTTTATGACAAGCTCAGCATTTATTTTCTAGCGTGGGCCAGATTTAGGCTGTGTGAGAGTGCAGTGCAAGATTATGCAACTGTATGTACGCCCCCACTGGCCTGAGCGTTTGATTGCAATCAGGCCCGGACAATACCCCTTTTGACTTTTGACAATCACCTTTAATCGTGCCTCTGACACGCCCTCACCTAATCCAATCACATCAAGAGGGCTGTCTGAGGCACCGAACAAGTCATCAACCAGCAAAAATGCCATCTTCAACGCCTCCTCTCGCAACGACACTTTGTGAAGAGCATTTATTGTTCTGCTTTGACGTTTTAAACGATCAATTGACAAAGAAACAAAAGAATGGAAAGACTGGTTCAAGTTTGGATGATGTGATATTGCCTGCAGCATCGGAAGAATTTCCTCTTTTCATCACTTGGAATACCGTTACCGGTTCACATACCAGATTACGTGGTTGCATTGGAACTTTTGAACCTTTACCGTTACGAGAAGGATTAGAAGAATATTCGATCATTGCAGCATTCAAAGATAGGCGATTCAATCCAATCTCGCAAGCCGAATTACCGAAGTTGGAATGTGCTATTTCACTTCTGACAAAGTTTGAAGAATGTCAAGATTATCTCGATTGGGATTTGGGAACACATGGAATTTATATAGACTTTACACCACCGTCATCGTCTTCCACAACAGGTTCTAATGGCCGTCGAAATGGCTCTCGTGGCACTCTCACAGCAACGTATTTACCTGACGTCGCTCCTGCTCAAGGCTGGACGAAAGTTGAAGCAATCGATAGCGCAATCCAAAAAGCAGGATATGATGGCAAGATTACGGATGAATTGCGCAAAAGCTTACATGTTCGACGTTATCAAAGCGAAAAGGCTAGCTTACGTTACGCCGATTGGAAGGCTGCCAGAGAATCAACATAGAGTTCTACAAACGCACTAATCAGCAACCTACAACTCTCTTCTCTCTCTCTCAATTGTGTGCATATAGATTTCGATCATGAATGATGACTGATGATTTTCTCGAAAAGATGATTTGAGAAAGCAGCAAATGAGCCCTGATTCCCCCTTCCCTTACCGGTCAACATGGCGGAGATATCTTCCTTCTGAAATGTCTCCAGTCCTTATGCTTCTTTGCGAATTGCAAAGTATGCTCTGACCTAGATCAACTTCCCAAAACGACCTCCTCATGAGCCGCTAGTACGAGCTTACATCTACGTGTGCACAGATACGGGTCGAACATTTGATTGTAGTAATGCTATACATTTCTATCATCTTTGACTTTCCCCATCTCCCTTTCCACCATCCTGTGAACCTTTAGCACGTTGTAAAGCATCTTCGACTGCATCATGAACTGCTTGATTGCCACCTGGCGGTTGAGCTTGAGCCTTTTCTGGATCGTACAATTCGCGTGTAACAGTCATCAATTCGTGTAATTGATACAATTGTTCATCCGAAAGTTTACCAAATTGTTCCATATCCAATTGTTTTCCTCTAAAGCCATCTGCACTACCTGTTTGCGTTTCGATATTGTCCAAGTATACTTTCCATTGGGTTAAAAATCCTACAACCTGTAATGGATTATCAATCCCTGCATGCCGTTTGAATTCATCTCGAACGTATTGATCTCCTAAACTCTTCATTTCTAATGGTAAGAATTTATGACCTTTCATTATTCTACGATAGAGTGGTAGTGGCGGTAACAAAGCTGCGGCTGCTAAACCTACTTCTGATGCCACACCTGTAGGACTTCTACGTGGCCTTCTCTGTTTATTGGATGAAGTGGAGGAAGATGAACTGGACGCTGGAGGAGGTGGGACATTGGTGGATGTTGGCGATGCATAACGAGCGATAGTCGATGGTCTTCCGACCCTGAGAATCAAATTGGCTCTCATGTTTGCGAGTGACAGTTGGTGATGAGCGAGAAAGAAGTGATTCGAATACAACTTCTTCTCCAGAAAAATGCGGCTAAATGCTCCACTCATTCTTCTCCGGTCAGTCGCCGATTTGTCAGCAAGGGAATTTGCCTACGCGCTTTAAGCCTTTGAATGCAATACTTGCTGATTATTTAATTTTTAGGTTTTCCGACTTTGGCTACAAAAGTTCCAATCAAAGCTGATTGCACCTTTTTACCACAATCATATCTCACATCTCATCAGGAAGCCTCTACGAAAATGTCTCTATCTCGTGAAATGATGAGAGCCGCATTTGGTGGTGTAGTGATTTGCGTTGCAGGTTATGGGATCATGAAAGGTGAGTAAACCAACACATCATCCCTCCAACAAAGTGCTCATCATTGTCTCCTCAAATAGCCACGAGACCGACCGACAAAGATTTTTACGATAGCCTTTCACCAGCTTTGAAGAAACGTGTTGATGCACAAAGATCACAAGATGATCGTCATAAAGCATATGCGGAGCAGTTGAGGGTAAGTAGGCAGATCGAGAGATGATCAACCATTTTAGACGTTTGACTGACTGAAATGAAAACATTTCCACAGAGAGCACAAGAAGAGGAAGAATCGCCACTGGGAGCAAAGAAGTCGTAGAGCAGCTCGAATAGGCTTTTATCATGTACTAGTATCAACAAAATTTGCAAATCTATTTACACAACTCACACAAAACGGTATCCTTCCAAAAAGTACACGATAGATTGCGATGAGATAAATATAGTACAATAAAGAGAGAATATGAACGGGATGCAGGAACGCAATCAGAGTATTCCCGCCTGGTTCTTCCATGCAGAAAGTGAATCTTTGACAAATCGCTCCAGCCGATTGGCAGATTTAGCATAAACCGAAGTGGGCGGATTGTATGTCCTACAATTATCAAAGATCAATTGAGCATCATAAAGCAAATCATCAATGGTTGCATATTGATTGTTTTCCAACTTTGTTTCCATTGTTGAAAGATCCATAGGTTCTTTGATCACTTCATAATAATCCGGTACTTCTTGTCCGTTGACCGGATTGGCAAACGGCCATGCAGCTTGATGGTTGCTCATCTCTAGCACTATATGACGCATAAGATTATGATGCGGTCCCCTACGTGGCCTTCTGCTCAATTCATCCATTTCCACCGTCCATGCGCTCTCTCGTAGTCCCGGCACTTTGGAAGGATCAATCCTGAAATTGGCAGTGGGATCATTGCTCTCATTATTCTCTTCTTGCTTCGGCTTTGGTTCACGAAAGACGTCCAAACCAGAACGAACGACGTGGCTTTTGGAGATGGATCGAATCTTCTTTTTGATCAACTGCTTTTGTGCAATCAGCAGCTCTTGCACTTTCAGATATTCGATCCTCGGTAACATTGAACATTGCATCAACGTACCACCTTCATAATCTTTGATGTATCCCACCCAAACACTTCTGTCTAGACTGATCTCCTTTGTGAATCCTTGTTTCTTGAAATATCCGATAGCATAATTATCTGCATACGTCAAAAAGTGCATCACATCACTAGAACTTTTCACATGATCTTTCAAATGATTCATCAAGTGTGATCCATAACCTTTCACCTGTTCAGTACTTGTGATAGCACAAAACACAATTTCGGCAAACCGTCTATTATTGAACGGTCTGTAGGTGATTCCTCCAACGACTTGCAAGCCTCGCTTGACGATTCCCATACTCCAGTGATTCCTGTCCATTACCAATCTAGTGATGTACTCTCGCGGCATCTTTGGCAATTGTCTCTGGAAGATGTTCTTTAACCCGGTCAAGATAATATTCGATTCAGGTTTGCCATCATTCGTCACAACTCGGAATTGAATCAATCCTGACCTTTCTTCCACTACTGCAGGTCGTTCTCTGAGCGGAGGCTCAGCGTCATCCAAGTCGTCAGCCATCGCTGTTGGAGCAGGAGCATCTGTTGGCTTCAAACCATTTGTACCAATGGTTTCGATATCAATGCTTATACCTTTGGCAACCCTGTCAATATCGCTATCCGTCTGCTCCACTGGCTTGACAGGTTTACCCGAATCATCTTGATTCACATCTTGTCCATTGGTCTCTTCAACCTCTTCTGGTATGTCTCCGTTTACCGGTAAGCCTTTTTGTGACTGTGTGGGCATCTTACCATGCCCTTGTCCTTCTCCATTAAGGGCTTTCGAAGGTGTTGCAGCGCGAGATGCTGTTTGAGAGCGTGATTGCATACGCCTTCTTTTGTGAGATGGACTGTCCAAAGATACAGATCCTTCACGAGACGGAACTGAAGGCTCAATGCTGGACAAGCGAGTAGATTCTGCCGGCGATCTAGACTTTCGTTTCAGCGAGTTGAAGCCGTTCTTCATTGGCATTGGCGTAGAAGCTGTTGGTCCAATGGGAGCCAATTGTTTCCGAAGTGATGAAAGATCTTCGTCATCGTAAGCAAAGTCGACTAGCTTATGATGATCTTCCAGGATCTCATCCATGCGAACAGCTACTTTAGCACGCCGTATGAATTCATCGTCGCCTTCATTTTCGTCTAAAAGGCCATGACTCTCCAGCGAATGGCCGCATTTACAAGTAGTCCATCCCCAATGGTTCTCATCTAAGTTACCGGCAGTCGATGTATTGATCCCAAGTGATTTCACCTTCAGCCCACTCGGTGGTCGTAACCCTTGACAATCACAATCTAGACTTTGAGCGCGTGAAGAAGATGAAGGTGAACCTTGACAAGGTGAATGTCTTGCAATTTTGAACTTTTGTTGAGATGTTGTGAGCTGATCGATCTCCTTTACACCTGACGGATAATACCGTAGCGATCTATTGCTTCCATTTGACGGCATCTCGAAAGAAGCGTCTTTCGATGGCACCACAAAGATGACGGAAGGGATGAAAGAGAATGGGTGTGTTGATCTTTGAAATGCACGCACACCTTAGCGTGTTGATCTTTATGCAGCAGCGTAGGGCGCGACTCATTTACAGGAAATCGGAGAAAATTTGGACAAGCTAATAATATAAGCAACCTTCTTCGCAATCATCTTTGTATTCTGATCAACCTTTGAAATTGCATGGCACGACCTGCAATAAGAGCCCTACAGAGGCCTCTGATCGAGCAGTCTGCAAGTAGCTTCAACAATAATGCTGGTCACATCCTGCATATTCCGCTTCGCAGATGCAACGATCAGCCTATAGCAGGCAAATGCTGGACCACACCGTCATGGAGGGAGCTGCATTCAGCATCTCAAGTATATGAAAACGAGGCCGGTCCTAGCAATTACAAAAAAGACACATCTCACGATAACACCCAGCTTCAAAACAGACATCGGCCCAAGAATGAAGCACGAGTGACTCTTCTGAGACGTGAAGTGAATCATACTGACACAAGACCAAGCGCGGCAGCAGAATTGCTTCGCGAGGTTCTAGAAGCAGAGCAAGTATGGCCCTTGAAAGCAGATGGATATCAGCCAAGAGAAATTGTCGAAGTGCTTAATATTTTGAGAGATCGACAAATGAAAGAAGGAAGATGGCAACGTTTGGAGTTACTACAACACATTGAATTCATTCATGATGGCATACGGAATTGTCTCCATAGAGTACGTCAAAAAGCCAAATCGAAGATTGTTCGTGAATCTCATTCGAGCCAGATTCAATTTACAGAGGAGCATGTGGAGAAGGATCTAGCCAATCAGTCCGATGTAGGAATGTGGCAATCTTTACTGAAATTGAGAGCTTTGAGGGAGCTCTTATCAGGCTGCCGCCAAGTACCGCTTCGGATTCCATCGGTGCGCGATAATCTCGATGTAATTGAAGCGATTGCGAACGATCCCTCTGTGCCGGATCGGAGGAGCAAGTTTGAAAAGTTATTGCAAGACATTGAGCGTGCTATCCCGCCTTACAAACGTTTAGAATCTTCCGCTGCTACTGAGCTGTTGGAGGAGACGAAAATGGAAGAATTGGCAATCGACTGGAAAAGTATAAATCAGTCACAACGGGAGAAAGGCAGGACGTTTTCTGACATCCAGAAAGCTTACAAAGATCGTGAGCTTTCAAAACCTCTAGGATCGGTAAGAATGTTTGAAGACGTTTGGAAGGTCATGCAGACTCACTTGATACCAACTTCGTCATGCTACAGCACCGCTTTAGCTGTTGAGATCAAGCTAGCAACATGGAGATCTGCAAAGCTTCGGAAAAGGTCACAAGGGGAAAGAGATGAACTCGATCAAGAAGGACGAGATGAACTCGAGTTAGTGTGGAAGCCGGTGACCGATCTTCTCGGAGATCTACATGCGCGAAGAGAACTACCAATCAGGATAATTAATCAAGTCATGTGGAGCACTGTACGTCATGATCCAAACCATTCCTTTCCCAACTTTGATCAACATTATCAGGAGACGGACGCTTCATCCGCTAAATTTGTATGGCCCGCACTCGATAGTGTATCGGCAGTATACGACATCATGCGAAATATGCTCTTGCAAAGGGAAAGAATCCTTGCAGCTCCGCAAACTGGAAGTTCTCAGCAGCGTAAAAAGTATCAAAAGCTGCCTGCGAGATTGCTCGGCGATTTGCTTTTGGAAGATGACCACATCCCGTCCTCATGGACGTACAATTTGATGTTGCGCTTTTATTCAAGTAGAGGTGACATGAAATCAGTCTTGCAGGTCGTTCAAGATATGGATAATACCACTATCGGAGCAAATAATGAATACCCAAAGATATCCATGGTCACCTTTGGATATATCTTTGATGCATTCGCAAAGCATGGTGTACCTTCCCGGTTGGTACAGATTGATCGCAAGGCGCCCGAGAAGAGCATATGGAGTGTTGATGAAAATGTTGGGTATCATGACAAATATGGTTGGAACATGGACAATCTTGATGTATTCTATGAGCGTTTTTTGCTCTTACATCCCGCTGAAGCTTCTCAGCTCAGCCACAAAGGTAGCGTAAAGGATACGGAAGCGACTGACACTCATCCGGTGACTATCCTTGATCGTGCCACATCGCTCATCCAGGAGCAAATGGCGTATCATGCAGATACAGTCGCACTAGCACCTTCTTCGCAACAACAATTTTTCATCATAACTGCTTTACGCAGAGTAAGCGGAGATGAACCTGAATGGGTTATCAGCCAATTTGTTCGTTTGGCTGCAAAATTTGATACCATCTTTTCAGAAAGTGCATGGGATGCAAATGGTTCTCCAATCAATGATGAAGGCTGGACACGGTTCCGAATGACGAGCAGAATCGAAAGAATCATGGAAATGCTGTACGAAATGCGTGATTCTGAGGATGATGAACGAAAGGGGATGAAGTGGCAAACGAAGTTTCAAGAAGAGATAAAAGCCAGAGTGATTGCTAGTCAAGATGAGATAGATTGATGGGTTAAATGTGTATTTTATGTACAATATTATTGCTTTGCCTCTAATGAGCTGAAACTTGATGCGATTCTGGGGCTTTCCAGCCACCGAAGTGTCTACTCATAACTGAATCGGGTGTCTCTTTTTTGGCCTTGGCAACTCTACTCGATTCTTGAGATCGTTGAGGAGATTGACTAGCACTGGATGGCTTGGAAGATGAACCGCTGCTTTGACCTTTCTTCAACGCCATCGTGGTGTACTGTGAGTATGTAGTCCGACTTAAACCAGGCTTGGACTCTTGAATAGCTTTCTTTGTCGATACACGTTTGCTAAAGGGATAAGGCATTGTCAGCAAGACTAAACAGTAGAAGGGTGAGAGAAGGAATATTCACTTTAAGAAATCAAGTCTTTCCTGAACTTCTCCCAACTTTTTAACACGTTTTCCTTTTGTGATTGGATCAAGGTTGGAGTTATGGATATCTTTATGCGCATCAACAAACTTTTGCAACTTTATGATTTGCACTTTGGTTCCAAAGTTTGACGCTTTGACTGGATTTGACGTTCGGCCTCTCAATTGCTTACCTGAACCTACTCCGCCTTCGATGGAATAAGCTGGAGGTGCAGGATGTGCTGTCACAAGAAAGGCTGCGAGTACCATTGCAAAGATTATTATTTCGTTGAAGACAATCTTAATCATCTTATCTGCCGTTGTCGAAATGGATGAAAGGGAAAGCTACGAAATTTACCAGTGGGCTCTATAAATAAAGTAGCATTGGTTATGAAAGTTATCGACGTTTACCACTCATCGGGTCGTTCTTGTGCGCCCTTTCTGTTTGTAAAGGCTTGTTCTTTTGGGGCGTTTTCCATCCTACGAAATGTTGGCTCATGATCGAATCAGGACTGGCTCTTGCAGCAGCATTCGGGGATCGTTGCGTCATTCTTTGGCCCCCTCCCTTCACAGCCTGTTCCACCGGTTCTGCTAAATCAGAAATTTTCTGTTTAGAGTTTGAAGCTGAATCATTTGCTGCTCCCATAGATTTTAATTTTAGTATATGCTTTCTAGTTTTATTTCGATATGTGCGTCCTTTTAAATCGGGTTGGTTCTTTTTGATATCGGCCATGATCGATTGGCGTTCTCTGTCAAAAGTGAGGAAACGGTCAATTAAGAAAGGTAAGACACTAAAGCACTGAAAAAGGTTGACTCACTTTAGGTATTCCAACCGTTTTTGAGAATCAACGTATTTTTTATTGATCCTAGGGTTAATTTTTCGACCTTTCTCGCTTTCCAAGAGCTTTTCATGATTTCGTATAAACTTTTCAAGTTTTATGATTTGTAGATGTGATGCATTGTTGGTTTTGGATTTCCCCCCTTTTGCTTGCGTACTTTTCCAGTCTAATGCTCTCACACATATAATGCAAGTCGTCCAGAGGTACAAGAAAGATAACAACTTTCTCATTTTGAGTCACTCTAAGACGAGTGGGAGGAAAAAAGCTATCATCCAACGGTTCAGTAAACTTTATGTTGTCAGACAGATACGCAGACTTCATGCCCCGACCATCAAGCCCCAACGCTTCTTGTCAAACACAGAACAGCCTCCGATAAAAGGATCTGACGATGATATTGATCAAAAGAATAGGTAACATGACAAAAATATATACAAAGTCCAACAAAATCTATCTAGGCGGGAACACGATGAGCGATGGCAACGGCCAAGTCATCGTTGTGGCTAATACTGACGAGGAATTTGACTGAACTCAAATCAAATGTGCTTGGCAAGTGTTGTTTGATCGAATCAGCCAAACGAACTTGTGGTGCTCCTGTTTGAGAATCGGAAACGACTTCAATCTCGTTCATCGGTGCTGCAATTCCACGAGATGCAATTCCCATCGATTTGAAAACGGCTTCTTTTGCACAGAATTTGCCACAGAATGAAGCCCGAGCATCAGGTTGAGATTTGCAATGTGCAATTTCAGCTTCAGTGAAATTCTTTGCGATAAAGTTTTCATTGTCTGCTGGGAAACTTGAAACGCTTTCGCAATCGATTCCGATTCCAGCCACATGAACCATCATATCCGACAACTTCTTCTCTTGTGTCTTTGCTTCAGCACTCTTTGCCAATCTGACGCTGCTTGTCTTGCTGGGAGGAGCTGCCAATGGTTCACGGAATGCATACGAACCATTGTGTTCAACTGCACGGGCGTTCAGGTTCAACAAGACCTTGTCTTCCAACTCATTGGTGTATGGAGCAGCATCCTTGACTTGAACCAAGTCGTTACGTGTCAAAGCAGAGTGCATCTTGGCATATGTCTTGGATTGACGTCCAGAACGTTTGCCAGCATAGACTGCCAATTGATCAGCAGTCAAGTGAGCCAAAACGTGGTTCGGATGCAAAACCATGGCAATACCACCAACTTGACCGAAACCGAAACTGGTCAAGAGACCGACGTGCAATTCACGAGCAGGACGTTTGATCGTTTGAGAGGCATACAACAGATAACTGAAGTCACGCAATTCTGGACTGATATCATCTGCGTTACGGTTACCTGGAACGGTAGCAGTTTGAATAGATTGAATCAATCCGTTCATTGCCCAACCAGCTGCACCACCTTTTGCGTGACCACACAACCATTTTTGTGCGATCGCAGGAACAGCATTGCAAGGAGTACGTCCCAAGTACTTCATCAGTTGATGGTACACATGACTTTCGTTCTTGTCGTTTGCCTTTGTTGAAGTTCCGTGCATGCTGATGACACCAATAGAGTCTCCTGTCAAACCCCATTGTTCCATAGTACGACGAAGAGGTTCAGCTGAACTCAAGACACCGTGACCAGGAGCAGGAATGGAGCGACCTTGCTTATCAGTGTGTGTAGAGACGTGGGCAACAACGGCTTGAATGGGCAAACCGGCTTCGATAGCGAATGCAGCTGTGCAAACACATTGAACGGCTCCACCTTGAGATTCCATGAAACCACCACGTGTTGTGGTCATTGGACGACTCATTTCACTTGGCTCACGACCTGCCAAGCTATCTTCTGTGCTTGACATGGTGGCTCCCATGTTGGCGAATTCAGTTGCACCTTCTTCGCTCAAATCATCATTACCACCGACGAGCATGAATTTGGCTTTGCCTGATAAGATTGCTTCAGATGCAACTGCCATGGATTGCAAAGCAGTAGCACATGCACCAACAACGGACAAAATTGGACCACTTGAACTCATCAACAACAAGTTACACCAACCGGCAACAGTGTTGATGAAAGTCTCTTGCAAGATGTCCTTTTGGACATCCATGTTTTGACGACGATCACGGAACATGGCAGATAATGATTGTTGACCACCCATACCGCTACCGATTGAAACACCAACCTCGCTAACGTGAGCGTATTTGTACAACTCATAAGGATCAGTGACACCTGACATTGCCAAAGCTTCAGTAACACAGACAAGTGCCCACAAAGATGTACGATCGATGTTTTGCAAATCTTCTGGGATACCGAAACGGCCAGCGTGCCAACCGGTGGGAATTTGTCCAGAAACTGCACGTGTGAATTTGATGGCCATTGGGATATGGATACGTGCTCCCTTCTTGAATTGGACGAAAGATCCGCCATTTGGTGATGGCCAAACGTCAACACGTTCTCCGTGCTCCAGCTTGTACTTGGCACCTTCTTCAAGAGAAACATCCAAAGGTTCCAAGTCATGTTGGATTTCAACTTCTTGAACATATCCCTTGCGTTGAGGATCGTAGCCGCGGAACAATTCAGGTTCGACAAGACGAACACCAGAGTGAGCCAAGATTTCTTCTTCATAGCGTGTCTTGACCTGTGCATCAGTGACTGTTTCTTCAGACTTGGCATCAACCCAACCAACGTATTGCTTTCCGTTCTTGAGTTTACCATCCACAAAGCGAATCATACCCATCATCCATGCCATTTCGATACATCCTTCGATGGTGAAGTGACCATAAGCTTCCATCTCCCAACGAGTACGAGAAGAACCCCAAGGACCAACTTCAGCGAAACCAGTGATGACCAAAGTCTTTTCCAAATCAATGTTTGCATTTGGAGAAGCCATACGTACGATATCCTCACGTTGATCAAGTTTGGGGAATTCCCAACGGAAGTTGGCACGAGGTTCAACCTTGACTGTTTGATGTAATGCTTCGGCGGCTGCTCCCTTGATAACCTTGAAATCGGCAGATTGTTCAAGAGAGATTGCACGACGACGAGCGGCTTCATCGTACACCTTGGTACGGATAGCAGCCAAACGTGTAGCAAGATCAGGTACACGAGTGAAACCACCGGACAAATCAGCCACGATCGGTTCAACTTGTGCGGTAGCAGTCATGACAGGGTGCAAGCATCCCAAAAGATTGAAACCCATTTCAATGGAAGAGAAGGTACGCATACCTTGCTTTTCGATTTCTTCTGCAACAGCGTTGTTGGAATCCATCAATCCAGTTCCACGCACCCAACCGATAATGCATCCTGTAATACTGATGTATTCAGACCAGCCTTCACTGACTGAACGGTTTGCCAATGTTTCCAAAGCAACCTTGCTCTCAGAGTATAGACCACCTCCACCCATTTGACCACGATTAGGTGACAAAGGATTGATGCAGACGGTAGGACGTGTACGGAAGCCTCGACTTTCCTTGGCTGCTTTAATGTAACCCAGCAAGCGAACAAGGTTGGTCAACATAGCACGATGAGCCACTTCACTCTTGTCACTGATCGTATCGAAGCTACCGGCATCAGGAATAGCAGCAAATGGAACAATGCTGTCCAAGTCCAAAGCCAAATCTTCGTAGATGTAGTTAACCAAAGCTTCTGTGTCACGTTTGGAAGCAGCGTTCCAAGGAACGATTGTCAATTGAGATGATTTGGCACCAACAGATTGGTAAAGAGATTGGTAGAAGGACACTTGCTTACGGCTGTATGAGCTTGTTGTGATAATCACACGAGCACCACCAGCCAAAAGACCGCGAGCAACTTCCAATGCAATACTTCCACGACCTGCACCTGTGATCAAAACATTTTGACCCTTGAAAGTGACACCATTCTTGGCAATGTCTTCCAAGATTGTCAAGTAGACCTTTGTCAACTTTTGGCTGACAACAAAGTCGGTACCAACACGACGTTTGATTTGCAAATGAGGTTGACGATCAGAATCGACATTGACTGAAAGATCAACAGGCAATGCGCGAACGTTGGAGCTCAATCGACGAGTACGTTGACGTTGGGCATTGATACGGCTGCGTGGGTTGGCAGTTGGACCAAGACTCTTGAAAATTTCTCCATAGATAGACTTGATTGTGCTCTTGTTGAAACGTGAAACAGTGGGCTCGTTCTTGATCAAAGTCCATAGACGGGACATTTGTTCACGCGCGGCATCGATGTCTACTTGAGGTCCGGCACGAGTACCGGCAGCCATCTCTTTGACGTATGCCTCCATCTTGCGAACGCCGACACGCTTCTCTTCTGTGTAGATAATGTTACCTTTACCGTCGACAACTGTGTGAGGAGCAGTAGGAGCGTACACTTCCTTGAACGTAGCAGGTTGACTCAATGCTTCACGACAGTTGTCGATCAACATTTGACCAAATTCTTTGGCCAATGCATATGTTGGTCCTTCTTCAGGGTCAACGGCACCGATTGTGTATTCCATCAAACCCAGCAAGGTTTCATCGGCACGCGACATGAGTGTGAGTGATTTACGTGCAACTTCACGGTCAACAGCAGTCAAGCGACCAGCGAGGATATCGCACCACATCAACAAAGCATCTTGACGAGACCAATTCCAGTAACTTGCAAAGTTTCTTGCCTTACGAGCATCAAATCGAGGCAAGATGGCCTTTGTATAAGCTTCTCCATGTTCTGCAGAGATTTCGTCCAATTGATCGCGTAATTCTTGGACCTCTTGTTGGATTGATTCTGCCAAACGACCTGCTTGACGACCATCAATACCGATATAGCGTTCCAAGATTTGAATTTGACGACGAGCGTGGTCATTGTGACGAGATTCAAGTTTCTCCAATTCTTCACTGCTGATGGTTGCACCACCACCGCCACCGCCGCCGCCTCCACCAGCTCCAGCTTGGCTTAATTGCAAGCCTGCAGAAGAAGCGTAGGCTTGAACGGCGGAGTCGAGCCATGCTTTTGCTTCAGGATCGCCACCAAGACGTTTGGCGGGTTCTTGAACAATACCGAAGAGCAAAACGGATTCTGTTCGTCCAGGACCCAAGCCCCAAGTCTTTTGGAGATAAGCCTTTGTAGCAGCCATGTTGAAGCTACCTGGCAATTTACTACCAACCATACGGGTAACAAGTCCAGAAGTGTATTTGCCCATAGTTCCACTGTAGCCAGAGTTGAGAGATGCTCCCAATTCTTCGACTGGTAGTTCTTCTCCACGTTCGGGCATACTGCCGAATTCTTGTAATAGGTCGGCTTGAATTTCATTTGCCATCACACTCTTACCGCCAACGAGATCTTTAATACTCTTGGATGGTGTGATATCTGAGAGAGGCTTCTTGAGCTTTTGTGCCAAAATGCAGCGAACGACATCGAATGCGTTGAGAGGTGCATCTGGTACATCTGCTGCTGCTGCGCCACCAGATGGTGCGGCAGCGGGTGCAGGGGCAGCAGCAGCAGGAGCGGGAGCTGCGGCCGCAGGGGCAGGTGTTGTGTCTGGTTGTGATGATGGTCCAGCTTCTGCTGAATCGTCTTCCATGTCCGCATAAGAGTAGTAGAGAGGCTCTTGATCCTTCGAGTGACACAACATCACACGACGTTTGCCTTGTGCTTGATCTTGACCGGCATATTTGATCTTGTGTGTTCTGCTTGCCATTCCGACTAAAGTAGGACTAGGGCCGAATTCAACCAAACGTTCGAATGAAAAAGGTTCCTCAAAGAAAACATCTTGTGTCTCAATCCAACGAACACAGCTGGCAAATTGATATGCCAACAATTCGATCAAAAGAGTACGACACAATTCTTGCTCTTTGTCCGGCGTTCCCCAGCCATCCTTCTCCCAATTACGAAGAATTTTAGCCAAACGGGTGGAGCCAAAGCGGGTTGCTTCATAGGTTAATTCAGTGTATTCTTTTGTGAGTTGGAAGGGTTTTGCAGTCAAGTTTGGGATATATTTGCCTACCAATGTTCTTGGTTTGATTGCACCAACACGCTTAGAGAGGTAAGAGCGGAATTCAGCTACACCTCCTCTCAAAACACTTGAATGGAAAGGTACATCGATACCAGGCAATGGAATTGTGGCCTTTCCACGTTTTGGTTCGATACGACCTTTAGCTGCTTCTTCCTTAGCAACGGAATACGAAGCATCTACGATCTCGGCCAACTTCTCACGAAGCTTAGCCGGATCTGCTTTTTGTAGGACAGACATGATGAGTTGCTTGTTTATCCAAGATAGGATAGCAAGCAAAGTAGAGAGATGGTGATGGGAGTCAAGGTTCTTTCTATGGTATCATCAAAGTTGGAATCTGTCACAAAGATTTGATGGAGCGTGCACAGTGAGGGAAACTTTGGGAGCACGGGATAGAGGCAAAGCAGACAATGAGAAGGCACCGAAAGTGTATTAGTATTCATTACCGCGGGATAAAGCATTAATGATAATAATATTACAAGGTTGTCTAACAACCAACACACAACCTCAAAAAAGAACTTTGGGGCCCAAAAGAGTATCACCAGCCAACTTCCGAACAAAACGCGGTTGGGGTAGAATCGCACGGACCCTAGACGCGAGAATTTTTTTGAGAAATTTTTGGGAGATTTTTTGATTTTAAGGAAAGAAAAACAAGGAACAGGCACAATAACAGTATTCGGATGTGGCTTCAAGCTCTATGCATTGGTTTGAATTAGCGGCATAGCCGATTTTTAAGGTTGTTCTCCACAAACAAAGCACACGAACACAGTGTTGTTGTGTATGTATTTCATTACGCATATGGTTGATGTTGTTGTGTTGCCTCTATAGACAGTAGTCTTCTCCGGTAAAATTGCGAAATCGGAATTGCTCAGTGTGTGTTTAGCACTGTGTGATGGGGTTCAGTGAAGGGCATACGCATGGAATAGATCCGATTGTGTGTCTGTCCTTTGAGCGAATCTCAACATTTGTATTAACTTCTATACACGCTTAAGAAGTTTTGTATTACCCGTGCATGTATTCGTTCGAATTAGCGGATCATTGGGGAATTTTTTGATGGTTGGTGGACAAAGCGTATTTGGAAACTTAACGAAATCATATCCAGCCGTTATCTTTATCATCTTGTCTTTCTCATTCACCATCATCTTCAGCACTTCTTTGTCTTTTTTGTGCGAATTTGTAGTCACATTATCCCCTAAAGGTCACACCGAACAAACATTTCATTGCAGAAGACTTTCAACTCCTCCTGCAAAAATTGATGTGGCCAGCAACCCATTAAATACCTTGATTACAACAAGATGACAACACAACCCAAATTACCCGCTGAGGCTCGTGCCTTCTCTGATGACAGCTATGTGGATGTATATAGCAGCTCATCTTCAGCAATGGCAAGTCCAAGCAGTGGAGATGCTCGTAGACCCATTCAATTGAGCACAGCAAATACCCAAGTCCGTATTCCTGTTCCTGTCACACCTTATGAAGCATGGATCGCAGCTGTCATTCTACGTGATGAATTCCACCGTGCTTTATCAAGCCTGCAGAATGATGCAGAACGTGAAGTTTTGGACAACAAAGAAGAACCTGCCGCACAGCAAGTGGAAGATGACGAAGAACAGGATGCAGAACAAGCAGCTCGTCTACAGGCAAAGCGCAAACAACGTGCAACAGAAGCTAGAATTATCCTGACTGCCAAATTCATGGGCTTCTTGTCCGCAAAATTGGAAGGAAAACTGGCAAAATCCAATTATGAGAGCAAGGTATTGGAATGCACATGGAACTACTTTAACAAGCAATTCTTGGGCGAGCACACAGACATTCACAAACTGACTGCTTCCCTTGATATTGACGTTAGAACATCTGTTCTGCGTTCGTTCTATGAAGCATTCACCTTGCTCGAGACTGCTGGTGTCGCCTCGCCCGGCATTACTCTGCCAGCTTTGTTCAATGCAGTTGACAAAAGTGAAGCGCAAGTCTTTGCTCTTTTCGGTGGTCAAGGAAACAATGAAGTCTATTTCAACGAATTGCAAGCACTCTATGATACCTACCGTCCTCTTGTTCTTCCATTGCTAGAAACTGCCACTGCCCAACTTGAATCATTGGCTGAAGAAGCAAACACACAAGGCTTTTCAAGCTACTATCTCATGGGTCTTGACGTTGTCGGATGGCTGTCAGGCAGCAAGCCGCGTCCTGCCACATCATACCTTGCCAGTGTTCCGCTAAGTCTTCCTTTGATCGGTTTGACACAATTGACACAATACTACGCTTCTTGCCGTTCTTGCGGTCTCACACCTGGAGATTTCCGCAAACGCATTGCAGGTGCTACAGGTCACAGTCAAGGTATCATTTCTGCCCTTGTCTTGGCCACCAGTGATTCTAACGAAAGTTTCCGTGAAAACACATCTAAAGCACTGCGATTGCTCTTCCACATTGGTAAACGTGGTCAAGAAAGTTTCCCAGAATTGACAATCGAACCTGCTTTGATCAACGATGCCATTGAAGGAGGTGAAGGAGAGCCCACACCGATGTTATCGGTCACTGGTCTTACCCAACCTGCTCTCGAGAAATTCATCAAGGCTACCAACACACACTTGGGTGAGGGTCTCAAAGTGGATATATCTCTTTTCAACGGACCACGCAACTTTATCGTTACTGGACCACCTCGTTCCCTTTTCGGTTTGGTTGGCAACTTGCGTGCCAAACGTGCAGAGCAAGGTGTCGATCAAACACGAGTTCCATTCGGAAAGCGCAAGCCTGTATTCAACATGCGTTTCCTTCCTGTTGGCGTTCCATATCACTCAAGTTACCTTCAAGGTGCAACAGAAAAAGTCGTTCAACTTGACTACAAAGGTGCAGATGGAGATGCATGGAAACCATCCGACTTGTACGCAAGCGTCCGCAACACCTTTGATGGATCCGATATGAGCAAATACGATACCGCTAAGGATGGATCCATCGTCAAGAGCATTTGTGATCAAATCTTCACGCAGCCAATCCACTGGGACAAAGCAACCGATGTCAGCGAGAAGACAACTGCTTGCATTGACTTTGGTACTGGTGGCTTGTCTGGTATTGGTGGTCTTACTGCACGCAACCTTGAAGGTCGTGGTGTTCGTACAATTATTGTTAGCGGTGTTCACCCCAAGAGCGCTGAATTGTACGACACTGTAGAATACAAACGTGAGAAGATTTGGGCACAAGACTTCATGCCTCGATTGGTCAAGACGCATACCGGAGAGATCAAGATCGACACTCCTGCTGCACGTATGTTAGGCAAGCCACCAGTTGTGATTGGTGGTATGACACCAAGCACTGTTCAAGCTGGAATCAATGCAGCCGTTGCCAATGCCGGATATCACATCGAATTGGCAGGTGGTGGTCAAATTCGTCCTCACATCTTGCGCAAGCGTGTTGAAGAGATTCAAAGCCTTACCGAACCAGGTCAACCATTAACACTCAACTGTTTGTACATCAATCAACGTCAATGGAGCTTCCAATACCCTCAATGGCTTGAAATGCGTCGTGAGGGATTCCCACTCAACGGTTTCACTGTTGCTGCTGGTGTTCCTTCAACGGAAGCTGCAAAGACCATGTTGGACGGTTTGCGGGATGCAGGTATCGAACACGTCACGTTCAAGCCAGGAAGCACGGATGGTATTCGTCAAGTTTGCAATATTGCAGCTGCCAATCCAACAATGAACATCATTTGTCAAGTTACTGGTGGTCGTGCAGGTGGACATCACAGTGCAGAAGATTTCCATCAATTGATCTTGCCAACATACAGTATGATCCGTAAATACAGCAATATCGCACTTGTTGCCGGATCAGGTTTCGGAAGCGATGAAGACTTCTGGCCTTACTTCTGTGGTGACTGGAGTATTCCATTTGGTGCTCAACCTATGCCTTTCGATGGTGTTATGTTGGCCTCTCGTATTATGACTGCCAAAGAAGCACATACCAGTGATGCCATCAAGCAACTCATTGTTGACGCACCCGGTGTTGATGACAAAGAATGGGAAGCATCTTATGATCGTGTCACCGGTGGTATTTTGACCGTGACTTCTGAATTGGGTGAGCCAATCCACAAGATTGCTACTCGTGGTATCAAATTGTGGCAAGAGTTGGACAAGAATTTGTTCACACTCAAGAAGGACAAGCAATTGGCTTGGATGCGTGAGAAAAAGGACTACTTGATCAAACGTCTCAATGCTGATTTCCAAAAGCCATGGTTCCCTGCTCACCGTGATGGTAGCGCTGCTCAAGATCTTTCAGAAATGACATACGAAGAGGTTACACTTCGTCTTGTTCGTCTCTTGTTTGTTGCTCATCAAACACGTTGGATCGATGTTTCACTACGTAACCTTGTTGGTGATTGGATGCGCCGATGCGAAGAACGATTTGCAGGTATCCACACTGGTGGTGAAAAATTATCGATGCTCCAAAACTTCTCCGTCTTGGACAAAGAGCCACTTGCATTTATCGAGAAATTCTTTGATGAATACAAGGATGGTCGCAAGATCTGGCTAGCAGCTGAGGATGTTAGCTACTTTATTCAAATGTGCAGCAGACCAGGTCAAAAGCCAGTTCCATTCATTCCTGTCTTGGATGAGAATTTCCCAGTATTCTTCAAGCGCGACTCACTTTGGTTCTCAGAAGATTTGGATGCCGTTTTTGACCAAGATCCTCAACGTGTCTGTATCTTGCAAGGTCCTGTTGCTGCAAAGCATTCCAAGATTGTCAATGAACCTGTTGGTCAAATCATGGGCAACATTGAGAAAGGATTGATCAAGAGACTGTTGGAGCGTTACTACAACAATGATGAAGCCAATGTTCCTTCCGTCGAATACTTGAGCAAGACAGCACCAAGTCTGGAAGCTGCTGCTGTATTGGCACGTCACAATGTTGCTACTAGCACAAGTGCCAACAGTCGTGCTTTCCACATTCGTCAAAGTGTTCCATCCACCAATGATTGGCTTGAGATCTTGGCTGGCTCCAAGCCAACCTGGTTACGTGCTTTGCTACGATCTGTTTCAATCGTTCAAGGTCGTTCATACGCTGACAATCCAATCTCTCGCATGTTGACACCACGCAAGGGACAAACTGTTGAGATCTCTTACGCTGAGAATGGACAACCCGTTCGTATGGTGGTCAAAGGAGCTGCACGTTCTTTCGGTCACCACGATTCTTCATTCAAAGCTGTCGAGATTGTCAAAGATCCATCCTCTCCACGTATTGACGTGACAATGTCTGAGGAACGCCAAGGCGAAGCAGTTCCACTCTTGTTGCAATTCAACTACCGCCCTGATCAACCATTTGCTCTCATTCACGAGATCATGGAAGGTCGCAACGATCGCATCAAGGACTTCTACTGGCGCTTGTGGTTCCATGCAGATATGCCCACAAAGGAGGTTTTGGCCACTCGCCGCGAACACATCAGTCCTGTTGCCAAATTGGACTCTGATGCCATCATTCGATTCTGCCAAATTGTTGAAAACCGTAGTGAAGCATTCCATTTGCGCGGTAAAGCACCAATGGACTTTGCCATGGTTGCTGGCTGGCAAGGAATCATGCAAGCCTTGATTGCAAGTACGGATGCTGATCTTTTGCGATTGGTACATTTGAGCAATGCATTCAAGATGGTGGATAAGGCCTCTCCTTTGCGTGCAGGTGATATCTGCCGTGCAGTTGCTAATGTCCAAAGCATCAAAATTTCCGAAACTGGTAAATCAGTTGCTGTTCGTGGTGTCGTCATGCGCAAGGATGAAGACTCTGAAGAGTTCAAGCCAGTGATGGAAGTGGTCTCCAGCTTCTTCTTCCGTGGAAGATTCAATGACTTTGAGAATTGCTTCGAGACCGTTTCTGAGGACTACAAGGTTCAATTGCAAAGCGCTGCAGATGTTTCCGTTCTTTTGGCCAAGGAATGGTTCGCATGGACTTCTGATGAAGAGACTTTGAAGCCAAAGACAAACTTGGAAATTCATGTTTCCAGCGATGTTCGCTTCAAGGACAACAGTTCATTCTCTTCTGTGGATGTCACAGGTACAGCCTACGTTCGTGATTTCCGTGATGATTTGAAGGCAGTTGGAGAGATCAATTACTCTGCTGATTCTGTCAGTCACGGTAATCCTGTTGTTGAATACATCAAGCGTATTGGTGGAAGTTCAACTGGACCTGTTCCATTGGAGAATGGTTACTCACTCATCACACCTGGAACATCAGCATCATTCAAGGCACCAGCTACCAATGAACCTTATTCCAACGTTTCAGGAGATTTCAACCCTATTCACGTCAACCCATACTTCAGTCAGTTTGCCTCATTGCCAAGTACAATCACGCATGGAATGTTCTCATCAGCAGCAACACGTAGATTCGTCGAAGATATTGCCGCTGAAGGACATCCAGAAAGATGCTTGTCATTCGAAGCATCGTTTGTTGGTATGGTGTCGCCTGGTGATGAATTGCAAGTCAAATTGCGTCACATTGCTATGCACAACGGAAACAAGGTCATTCAAGTACAAACTTTCAACCAGAATGGAGAAAAGGTGTTGGAAGGTAAATCAGAAGTTGCCCAACCACCAACCGTTTATGTCTTTACCGGTCAAGGAAGTCAATCGGTTGGTATGGGAATGGATCTTTACAACTCCAGTGAAGTTGCCCGTGCATTGTGGGATGAAGCAGATGCTCACATGCGTGAAACATTGGGTGTTTCTATCTTGGAGATTGTGACCAAGAATCCATTGAGCAAGACTGTTCACTTTGGTGGTGTTCGTGGGTTGGCAATTCGTGATAGATACATGTCTATGACGTACGAATCAACGGATGAAAATGGCGTTACAAAACCAATGCCATTGTTCCCCGAAGTGAACTCCAGTTCTCAAAGCTACACATTCCAACATCCATCTGGATTGCTGAACGCTACCCATTTCACCCAACCTGCTTTGGTCTTGACAGAATTGTCTGCTTTCCGTGATATGCAGAGACGTGGATTGATTGTGGAAGATGCACCATTCTGTGGTCACTCTTTGGGAGAATATGCTGCCATCAGTCACACTTTGCAAATCACTGATTTGGTTGATATCGTCTTCTTGCGTGGATTGACCATGCAACGTGCCGTTAAACGTGATGAACAAGGACGATCCGATTACGGAATGGTTGCTTGCAATGCTGCCCGTGTTGGATTGAGTGATCAAGCGTTATGTGAAGTCGTCAATGAGATTGGCAAACGACCAAACTGTTTCTTGGAACCGATCAATTTCAATGTTGCTATGGTTCAAACTGTTGTCGCAGGTAATCTTTTGGGATTGCGAACGCTTCAATTGACACTTGACAAGATTGCTGAATTTGCTTGATTTCAAAGCATAGCAACAAGTCTACCAACTACTTTTTTGTACATAAATTTTATTACCTGTTTTTTCTCTTCTCTTTTCCTTACACATTGGGCATTTATCTCACGTACAACATCCTTCTTTTTCATATTTCTCTGTTTCCTATGACGATGAAGAAAATTATAATAGATGGTTACCTATCAATCAAGTTGTGTGTCTCTGTAAGTTTGATAGATAAGCAAACGGTCTACCCGCCGCGCTTAAGAAACCGAAGAACCGATTGACAAAAAAGCACTAAATTTACGCCACTTTCCCCCACGAAAAGATTTCAAGGTTAAGTCGCGTTCCTTGGCTGTCAAACTTTAAGAGCCAAGACGGTCAATTCGCCGTACAAAAATGAAATGCCAAGACTTTTTTTCAAGATAGACGTTCGGTTCGGTTAATGGGACATTGTCGTGTGTCCGTGTAGTAACTTTTGCATACATATGGATAACAACACAATAAGAGTATGTACGCAAAGATAGGCAAGTTTACGGTTCTGCAACCAAGGGAGAGGGAGGCTGAATTATAACCATGCATACTTGGTAATGCCAAGACAGTCACTTCCCCACGACTTTTCTTGCTGTCTTTATGTGTGTAGGGGATAAACGTATTCATTGTTCCTTTGACATCAGAAAAGCATGAATGAGATTACAGCTGCTAGGAACGGATTCGGATTTGATCTATTCCGTTCTCCTCATTCGCAAGAAGATACAACGATTTGCCCGAAAAGCTGTGGCGTTGTGATGCGCTGCGCTGCACTGCGTAAAAGTCTGCCAGTTAAAAGCGGTGAATATGAACGCAGGAAAATAAAAAAAAAAGACGCTAGCGAATCTCGGATATTGGAAAAAATGCAAAAGTAAGGCGTAATATCGGTATCATTTTTTCCTTCTTCATTCTCCGCGCCATTTGCTAACAATTTTAGAATAAATTGTTGATCACGCAATGCAGGGACGAATTGAAGAGAAAGAGAAATGATATGCATGAACTTGCTTATCTTGTCTCTTATTTCGTACCTGACCACTCTTCCTCTTCTTCTTCTTCCTGTCAAATATGGCCTGTCTTACTTCTTCGTTCATGCATAAGAGCAAATAACTTATAATCAGAACAAGAATTAACCCCACTCTTTCTCTTTTACCACCTTCATTCCCAAACACTGAGGTCCTCTTCTTTACCACCCTCATTGTCCCAAAAAGGACCTCAGAAGGTTTCACAACAGTCAAAATGGCGAATTCCATCACCAGATCTCAGGACGAACAGAGGTCCGCTTCTTCTCACTCTGGAAGTCCAGATGAGAAGAAAGCAGGTGATTTAGACTTGATCGAAAGCCGTACAACTCCAATGGATCTAGAAGGACAAGCAAAAGACAAAAAACATGGAGGAATCATAGATGATTCAGGTCAGAAGGAGAATCTTCATAGAGCTTTAAGCGAGAAACAGATCAGTATGATTGCAATCGGTGGCTCGATTGGAACAGGATTGATAATCGCAAGTGGGACAGCATTGGCTCAAGGAGGACCTGCGGGGCTTTTAATCGGTTACTTAGCTATGGGTGCCGTTTGTTGGGTGGTTATTACGGCTTTGGGAGAAGTTATCTCCTTCCTTCCTTTAGCGGGGTTCACAGGGACGGCTGGAAGATATGTCGATCCGGCAGCTGGAGTTGCTCTAGGATATTCCTACTATTCTTTGTGCCTGTGGCACAAAGGATATGAATTCACAACGTTCGACCGCAGGTCGAACGTTGCGCACAAAAGAAAGAGATGATGGATGTATTGAACAAAGAAGAGAAATGAGAGTAATTACAAATTATATACACATGACCACGCCTTTGGCGTGGTCATGTGCGAGCGCACAGGGCACCAAGAACACTACCTTTTTAAGTACTTACTGATCGTGCCTAACCAGACGAATGCATCAGCATTGCTGATCTCTTATTGGAGACCAGATCTTTCAGGTTCAATCTTCATCGCAATTTTCACGGTTTTCATTATTGTATCAAATTTTTGCGGCGTGCGTTTTTTCGGACACTTTGAATACTGGATGTCGTTCGCAAAGATTGTCATCTTGACAGCGATTATCTTGGGTGGCTTTATCATTTCATTGGGCGGCAATCCATCCAACGAACGAATTGGCTTTCGTTATTGGACACAAGGAAGAGCTTTTGTCGAGTATAAAGAGCAAGGCGCTCTCGGCCGTTTCTTAGGAGTTTGGAGTACGTTAACATCCGCAATGTTTGCGTATTTGGGCAGTGAATTGGTCGGTGTCACAGCCGGAGAAACTGCAAACCCAAGAAGAGCCCTGCCTCGTGCAATCAAGATGGTTATTTACCGTATTTTGATCTTTTACATCGGTGGTGTGATTGTGATCGGAATGTTGGTCTCACCGCAGAATCCAGGATTGGTCGTCAAAGGAAAAGCAGCAAAAACCGCTGCAGCTTCCCCTTTCGTTTTGGCCATCAAAAGCGCCAACATTAATGCTTTGCCTTCAGTTGTGAACGCTGCATTATTGGTTTTCACACTCTCTGCGAGTAACTCCGATCTTTTTGTGGCTTCGCGAACCTTGTTCGGCCTCGCAAGAGATGGCTACACACCATTTTCCAAATTCCTGCAACGTACCAACAGATGGGGTGTTCCATATGTGTGCTTGTCAATTTGCTCTTTGTTCTGCGCTTTAGCTTTCTTAAATGCAAGTTCAGGTGGTGCAACGACGTTCACCTATTTGACAAATACCGTCACAATCTTTGGAGGAATCGCATGGTGGGGAATTCTGGTTACACATATTCGTTTCATGGCAGGTTTGCGTGCTCAAGGTATTTCGCGCAAAACTTTACCATACGCCGCACCTCTTCAACCGTATGGATCGTATATTGCCCTATTCGTTACCTCGCTTGTCTTGTTCTTCAAAGGTTTCAACGTTTTCTGGCCTGTATTCGATTATCGTAACTTTATCACAAATTACATCGGTATCCCAGTCACTGCTTTCATCTTCCTTGGATGGAAATTCTATCACAAGACAAAATTCATCAAAGCATCCGAAATGGACTTTACGACTGCAAGAAACTTTGACATCTTAGATACCGTTGATGTGGAAGAAGAAATTTCTGTCAAACAGGCATGGCAAGACGAAGAGAAATGGTACCGTAAACCATTAGCGGTTAAACATTTGGTTATCTGATTAGATGAAATTGGTCATTTTGTATACATTTGTAGCACAAATCATATTTTTATTGAGCTGAGGTCCTACTACTGGATGTGATGATGACTATATACCCGACGGCAAACGAAAGTCGTAATAATGCAACCTCATTTCTATATTCTAGTGAGCGAAAAGACATGGTAGAGTATCACCAAGTCGAATGAAGTCTCAAATATTTGTCTACGATAAAAGAAGGTATTTTATCTCATCTTGATGATCAAACTTTCGACTCGCCGCGCCTAGAATATAAGCGTATAAGCCTCTTTCAAGAAAAGAGTGGTGATTATAATTAAAAGAAAGAATGAAAGAACTAAATATAGCTTATACATATGATCATGCCGTTCCGGCATTGTCATGTAAGCGTAATCAAGAGTGCACGGAGCACCCAAAACATCATCTTTTCAAGTACCGTGTGACCCCAATCAGCTTAACACATCAGCTTTGCTGATCAATAGCGACAGTATAACTCAAGCCACTAATAATTGCTTGCTTCCATGCACTTCCAGAAAAAGATATCGGCGCAGCAGTCACACGATGCGCCTGATCGTAAGGAAAATATAGCAAGCGAGAGACTGGATCTATAATGGCGAAAAGATATTGAGCAATATTATCGATTCAAGTGAAATTTTGGATATACGATTATGACAAAAGAAGGTGTTTAAGCGGTCAAGACATTGACCGTAAGACCGATGCTATGAACACCATTTGAAGCAACGGCAAAGTAATACCAGAAACCTGGAGGTACGATACCATTATCGTTGGGAATTGCAAGCGTGACTGTATTGCCGGAAGTGTTTTGTACAGTGAGAGGGATACGACGTTGATCGGTATCGATTGAATGGGTAGAAGATCCCATTCGTACCAAAACATGTGTTAAGCCGGAAGCTGAACTCAAGTTGACTGTCAATGTTCCACCCGGATTGACTCGAACTTTCTCGGCTTGTTGTTGACTGGAGGTGATGGAGTTGACCGTTGGACGAGAACGAAGGTTTCCATTCGAATCGAAGAGGTAAGGAGGTGTATAGAATTGAATATCTTGATGATTTGCATTATTGCAATTTCCTCCCACATAGCAAAGACCACCACCTCCGCTCATCACACGACCATCAGGTAAAAGCACAGTGCTTGAATGATAATTACGCGGGATGGATGCAGGTGCAACAGTTGTGAACGTCTTTGTTGTTGGATCAAAGATTTCAGCTTGCAAAACACTTTGAACATCGGTAAATACTTCTGCATACGATTGACCTCCTGCGATAAAGATTTGACCATTTGGAAGAACAATGGCATTATGGAAAGAACGTGCATAGTTCATACTTTGAACTTGTTCAACGGTTGGAGAAGCATTGACACCGTTCAAAGTGATCAAATGAGCAACATTCAATGCGTTATTATCAGAATAACTTTGTGCACCTCCCGTTGAAAGAATCTTGCCGTTATCGTACATTACACTAATACCGCACATTTGATCATTGTTACTGTTTCGTACGCCTGCACTTTGAACGCCACCTGATCCGGCTGTGCTATACCAATTCATATTCTTACTGGGGCCTGCTTGGAATACAGATCCACCTGACCAAGCGAACAACCAAGCATGATTATCCGTTCTCCATGCACCTGCATTATCGTATGTTGTTAACATCGGTTGAACCAAAGCTCCCGATAAAGGTGACCATTGATTTGTAGTAGAATCGTAAACTTCACCATCTTTCATTGGTACGCCATCTTGACCTCCAATACCACCCGTGAATGAACCACCGATTGTAAACGTTTTACCGTTTGACAAAAGGACAGAAGATTGATAACCTCTGCCCATCGTCATATTGGCAGCACGTGTGAAAGTGTTTGCAAAAGGATCATAAAGAGTTACTGCTTGATCGGTATCACCTCCATCGATAATCAATCTACCGTCGGGTAAAGAATTCATTCCGGGGCAGAACATGTTGTGTTGAGTGTTTGCGACTGTGAATTCACCTTGAGTGTTTGAAGTAATATCAAAGCTTGCAAATGCAGTTTGATAATTTGCTGGACCTCCAAATGTTGATGGACTCCAAGAAGCAAACGAAAGGAATTCTTTCACGGTTGGATAAGCAGGTACCAAGTAAGCTGCTACCGGGTTCACATCTAGCGGGATCACATTACCCCATTGACCATTAAGAGATGCCAAAGCTTTATTGTTTGCAGTCGTGTTTGTAGCAGTGACCGTTGAGTAATAATTGCTAGCCTTTAAATTGGGCTGATAAGGTGCACCTTTGATATGACAAGTTCCTGGTTCATAAACCACATTGTAGCATCCTGGTGTAGTACTGCAAATTTCTGCACATGTTTGAATATCTTTTGCTGCAATATTTGCCAAATTACCAGCATCATAGTTGGAATTTGGACAAAGGGTATAGACAACATTATTCTTTGCAGTGTATGAAGTGGCACCTTGGGGGCACGGTCCATTAATGGGAGCATCGTTCACGACTGTGTAAGTAGATGCAGCTGAAGATGTGGTAGAAGTGGACGTTGAGGTAGCGGTAGTAGATGTGGAAGTTGCTGCAGCTTGCGTTGTTGCTGGTGATGATGAAGGTGGAGCAGAGATCATTTGAATGGTGTCGAATTGAGCACTGATCTTCCAAGGAGCGGTATTACTCAATGTTCCCTTGATATGACAGTAATTGTATTGATGATCAAAGACGGCATTCTTGCAGTTGTTATTGTTTGCAGTACACAAAGCAGCGCAAGCGGTTGCACTTTGAATGTTTGGAATCACTTGAAGACTATTAACAGGGTAATCTGAATCTGGGCAAACAGAATACACAGCACCGTCTGTGCCGATGAATCTGTAACCTCCAAAAGGACATGTTGAGCCGACGTTTTTTCCGCTTTGTGGGGTATATACCAATCTGATCGTATCAAATTGTGTGTTAACTTTCCATGGCGCATTTGCAGCAAGAGATCCTTTGATATGACAATAATTGTATTGATGATCAAAGACGGCATTCTTGCAGTTGTTATTGTTTGCAGTGCACAAAGCAGCACAAGCGGTTGCACTTTGAACATTTGGAATAACTTGTAAACTGTTGACTGGATAATCTGTCAATGGACAAATGTTAAAGATTGATCCTGTTGCGTTAACATAATTATAACCGCCAAAAGGGCATTGTCCATTCACACTTGCTCCTTGTGATGGCGTATAAGCAAGACGAATAGCATCAAATCGAGTATCATACAAGAAATTGTATGAGCTTGCATCAGGATTGCCTTTGATGTTGCAATTTCCGTGTGCTCTATCGAAAACGGCAGTTGTGCAACCGTTTGTGTTTGAACAAAGAAGAGCGCAAGCAGCATCGTCTGCAACCACAGGCCATTGCAGACTGGGAACGTCGTATTGTGATTGATAGCAAAGTGAATAGCCTAAGTTGTTTGCAATTATTGTACCATTGTTACCGTTTGGACAAGAGTTGATCGGTGTCATATTTGCAGATTGTCTTTTCTTTTGCATGCCTCGAGTTGTAGGCTTTGAAAGAGTGACATCACTTAAAAGTACAGTGACTAGCAAACCAACCAGCAAAGGTTGATTGAGCAAACGCATTTCTCCAAAAGCTACCATCTTGGAGGGAAAGATTGGAGGAAGGAGAAGAAAGTGGGTTTATCTTTCTGCCAAACGCGTGAGAGTATGTCATCTTTTATACGGTAGGAAAGCATCCGTCTCATGCTGGATTGGTTTTGAGATGGAAGAATCCCGACTCGGTGATTGACAGAAACTGTCTCAGAAATGTTTGTATGCATGAATGAATCAATGGTACGATGCAAGATTCGTTCATGATGAACAAGGGTCGATGACAAGCATTCAGGCTCCATGTCGGTCAATGAAATGAGTTCTAGAATGACAATGGTTCTTGCAGGTTTGTTGTGCATACAAACAAACAAACAAACAAAAAGCACAAGCAGGGACAGCGTCAAAGGAAGGAAAAGAAAAAAGAAAGAAGCAAATCTTCTTCTGAGACAGGCACGCACTGTACACACAAACAAATTAAAAAGCTGTCAAATGTCAAGTCAAATTTTAGCGCCTCAACTCTAGACTCTTTTTTTCTGTTTTCTTCTTCGGTGAAACAACACTTTGTGCAATAAAAGTCCCGCGTGAGCCACTGCACTATTCCTAACGCGCAGATTGCCGCTGTAAGCCTGCCCTACTCGTTAAGCTTGCTCGCTCGGAATTTGTTTGTTTGTTTTTCCATGCATGCAGGTTCCAGGGCGGCTAGCAACGAAGATAATTGAATCGGGACGTCAAGCCACAGAGAGAACACTTCTGTTATTTTGTGTCTAGAACATTAGAAAGAATCTTCTTTATAACAAATCGGGCGATCTCTACCCGAACAGAGTCCCGAATACCTCTTTCCGCGGATGAATGGATGTATCATGATGAATGATGAAATTCAAATGTTTGTGTGTGTGTAAAGTATGTATACATGATTGAAAGAAAGAAGCAAAAGAAAGTCTGGATCAAGCAAATATACCATGCAATGCTTTAATATCTTTCGGATTCAATTGTCCAGCATCCAATCGTTTTCGACTTCCACCACTCGTCGTGCCTCCTGCACCACCGCCAGAAGCAGTCTTTGAAGACGTTTGAATGGAAGATGCAGCTCCCGTCGATAATGTTGGCGAATGTAATCCTGCGCCTACATTGTTCATCTGTTTTGTGGAAGCCAAAGTGGGCGTAATCACTTTTGCTTCCGCTATTGGATCTTCTTGTAACGAATTTGCACTCTTACTCGTACTCATTCCGCCACCACTCGATTGACCAGTCACCGATCTGAACCTACTTCCAAACGTTGAAGATTTACGAGGAGCAGAATTGCCACTCTCAAATGCACTGGCAAGTCTTGAAACATTGGACGTTGGGCCTTCTTCTTTTCCAAGCGTGCCAGTAGAGGAAGAATGGCTATTTTGCCCTGTGGATCCCTGTGTTGCATTGAGCGAAGACATGCTATGATTGCTCACCGAATCTCCTCCTCCTGGCGTACCTTGACCACTTCCATCGGTATTTGTCCTTTGCAATCTGGAGAATGCCGGTAATTCATTGCTGGACCTTGCTTTCTCTTCTTGATGTCCTTCCAAAACAGTTGAAGGCGTTATGGTGGATGCACCAGATTTACTTCCTCCACTCTCACTTCCTCTACCAAAGATGCTGAATCTTTTTCTGCCGGATGTAGCATTTGTGCTACTCGAAGGCGGTGGACGTGAACCAGAGCTGCTGCCGTTTGTGGAGAGCGTTGATGGTCTGCGTTGCGAGGCGCTGACTGGTGCTGCGGCCTGTGCAGTCGTGCTTGTCGAAGTTTGACTGCTTTGCGTTGATGATTTTGAAAGTGTTCCAGTCGAGAGGTTTGACGTACTGGACAATTGTGGTGTAGAATCTCCGGCCTGAGCAGTGTCCAAACCTGACATTCCCAAAGATCGTTCCACTCGATGTGACTTCTTGCTAGTTTCGCTGGCCTCCGATGCAATCGATTTGCCTATCGATCCTTTTCGAGAAATCGAAGGTGAGGCAATCGAAGAAGCTCCACTGCGTGGATTGTTTGTCTTTTCTCCTTCAGGAGATCTGGGTAAATGATCTCCCATACCTCCAGTAACTGCAGCTGTCGTTGGCGTTTGAACATTCATTCCCGTAACTTCTGCAGATGATTCTTGTGTTGCTGAAGATCTGGTAGAAGAGATACTTGATCTTTGAACCCATTTTGCGATCGACATTACCGTTCGTAAAGAGCGAATTTGTAATGCTTCAAATCCACTCATCGTCGCTGCTTCGTACAATGCAACGGCTAATCGATGTCGCTCCAAAGGCGGTAATGATCCCGCCCCAACCGCACTGGACTGTAAACTACTACGTCTGCTCATGGAAATACTTCCTATCACGCTTCCATGTCCCATACTACCAACTCCACCAGCTGTTGGTGGCACTCCTGGACTCCGTGGAGCTAAATCGCGAGACATGACAACGTGTGCAGTATGCTTTGCCCATACCTCGAGATCTTTCATATCATACACTTTTGAAACGATCAAAAGAGCAGCAACGATGGCAGGGTGTTGCTGCAATAGTGTGCAAACGCATCTTGTATAGATGAACGTTAGCAGTGCCAACATCACCGGCGAAGGTTCGCTGATGTGCAATTCTCGAGGTGTAATTCTCGGGTCAGCATAGGTTGCAAGACTAGAGTGGGCAATTGATGTATCATTTTCGTCCTCTTCCAAAAGTGCGAAAAGCTGATCTCCGGCCGTACTTGGTCTACTGCCTTTCTTGGATGATTTTGATATAGATCCATTCTTGGCTACTTGTTTTGCCTTTCTTTGATATTCGCGCATCTTTGCCGCAAACCATGGCCATCTCTTTTCCAGGATGATCCTATCACATCCTAACCGCATTCCGTCTGAGCAGACGATCTCAAAGTCGCCCCTTCCTCCCAGTGCCAAGATCGGATCGCCTTCATCATCCAGTGGACCTATTCCGCTTTCCATAGAAGCGCTATAGCTACCAACAGTGCTGCTGGCCAATTTCTGCAAGCCCATCTGTATTGACGCCAGGCTCATTTGCTTTACTGGAGGTTGTGTGATTCCCCATGCTTCTAGCTCAATGAGCAAAACATGATCCCAATTTGTCTGTCGATGGTTATAATCAGCGACAAGATCACGCTCCCTATGTCCAAATACGACCAACCGATTTTGTAGCGGCCACAACACGCCTCTGTTCCACGAACCTGTTGATAGAAGCGGTCCAACATCCAGCCTGTTCCACGTCATCGTAGGTAGATGTAGCGCCCAAATGGCAAATGTTTGCGATGTATTTGCCAAGTATGTTCCTGAGATAAGCATATGCGATCCTAGAATTGCGCCCATCGGGAAACGTAAGCCGGGCGGTAGACTGACTCCGGACATGGCTTGTGATTGATCGTCAATCTGAATGCTGCATGCGTCCGGTGACTCCTCCTGTTCATCATTGGGCTCGAGAGATACCACCTCCATCTCTCTTTTCACATCGGTAAAGTTGTAATTTGTGTACACATACACTGGCAAAGGCTTTAAGGATCCATTCGGTGTCCATTCCCTATAGCTCGTCGGTAAGGTGCTAATGCTCTGAGCAGACAAGAATGGATTCTGCTTTGAGGAAGATGCTGCATTCTGTTCTGTTGCGCCATCTGAAGGTTGCCGAGCGCTTATTGGCGATTGTAAAACAGTTGATGCTTCCTCTACCTTCCAAAGAGGCTCCACAGCCAAACTTCTGTAACTTCCTCTTTGCTTTTCGTATGGCTGTCGTAGAATCCACTTCTTCTGCTTCAAGTCCAAGACGTTGATTTCTTCTACATATCTGTTTGCCATATCCTGACCGCCAATGATGATGAGCGAATCGACAGTGGTGGAAGAAAGGTGAGCATAACGAGCCTGGGGAAGAAGACTTTCGGCAGAAGTTGAGGGCGAGACGATATCGAATTCCCAAGTGTAAGTCTTCAAATCAAAAGCGACAACCTCGTTCAGAACGCAAAGCTCTGATTCATTTCCATCAACGTATCCCATTCCGCCAAAGATGATCAACTTTCCTTCCCACAGATTACACGAATGGAAATAACGCGGTTGTGGTTTTGCAATGTCTGCCGAAGATGATCCTGCTGCCATTTGTCCATCAGGCACATCTTCTTCTTCCTCTTCCGAAGAAGCAAATAACTTTTTCCAACGTAAAGTAGACATGTTCAATTCGTATAAATCGTTCATCATTCTTCGCGTAGTGACCAAACGACCTCCAAATAAGTATAATCGCGCTTTTGTTGGATTGGGATCATCGACCAATGTCACTGATGCTCCCACTAAGGGAGGTGGAATATCACCTCTGCATGCATGCCAATGTGCTGCCAAGCTGGCCAAAGGCGCATGAGGTGTAGATTGAGGTTGTGAAGAAGATGTTGCCGGCATGATCGATGTTTTTGGATTGATGTTACAAATGTGTATTTGTTGAAATGATTGCTGTTATGTTAATTCGCATCACAGGCAAACGTGCCAATTTCGTTCGTTCGAATGAAGGTTGTGATACGATGATTAGAACATGTTGTACTTCCGACAGCGAATATGATGTGTAAGAGTGAGTTTCGTGATTTGTTCGCCTAATTGTGTCGAGAGCTCTCAGTCTGATTGAGATGGAGGAGAAGTCACTAGAATATGCTAGAGGTGAAGTCGAAAAGAAAAAAAGACACACGAAATGATGCTAAATCGGTAATCGAGGGACGGTGATATTTTAAGTGTGTGAGTGTGTGTGTAATAGCTAAAAATGGCCGCTTTTGAAATTAAAGTGTAAAGCCAAAAAAAAACACACAAGGCGGCTTGGCTTTGACCTTTTTTTCTCTCTCTCTCCCCTGAGCGCGGGTACCCAAGACAGGGTAACAGAGGGTAAGAGGCGGCCGTGCGGTTGGGATAGCAGAAGAAAAAGGAGTTTAGTGTGTGCGTGTGTGTGTGTGTGTGGTTCTATATGTGATGTGCTCTGCATGCATGAATTTGATGCAAGCACTTTACGCGAGAGATCTATGTATTTGCAAAGCGGAGCAACACGGTAAAGCGTTCGATTATGAACAACAGACAGGATGCGCGGTCACAAGCTCAAAATATAAGTGTCGCAACGAAGCTTTTTATGGCAGGCTACCGAACTGATAAACATTGCATAGCGCAGTTTTAAAATTTGGTTTAAAAGTGGGTGACCGTTTTAATGCACAGAGTATTGAGTGGAAAAAGGTCATGATTTGCATAAAATACTCATGCATCATAAGATTCGGCAGTTGTGCCTGCTGGAACTCTAGCGAGGATGTCCACTTTTAAGAGGTCACCTTCTTCTGTCATTAGCGTAAACGGAATCATAAGAAGTTCAGAATGATTTTCCGATCTTCTCTTTTTTGGTCGGAATTCGAAAAGGATGTTCACAATCAAGGGTGAAACATAATTCCACTCCGCCTCTTCTCGATCTCAGCAAGCGAAGGGCGGCATTTCTTCCTTTGGATCATCAAACCAGAATTGTGGTGTAGTATGCATGTACATTACGTATACAGAGAGCAGCATGCATTCACGCATACATACAAACAATTGTGGGAAACTTATGGACGAGCGGGGACGAAGAGTGAAAACCACACCATTTCCTCATTCTGCGGGTCACGCACAATACACTACCGAAGGATGCCCGTACTCTGTGCGGTAATTTGAACAAGTTGACTTTTCCGAGTTGAAGCAATGAAATGATGGTGGTATTGCGGTCTCCTTCCTCTTTGATGAGTATATGCACAAAAGGGAGCTAAGGCACTTGAAATTAATATCAAAAATACGGCTCCGTACTTGTGAGGGACCATTATTTGACCCTTTCTCATCGTGAACAGGTTGTTGTACGAATTGTTGTGTTGAGTCTCCCTCCTGCTCCTCATGATCATACGGCTAAAAGATTTGATTCAAATTAAAAGGTTTAGTCTGGTTTCAGACACTAGAAGTATGCTATCCTTCTCTATCGGCCAACACATTGATCTACGCTAAAATGACAAAACGTGAAACGCAAATCTTTCGTCAAGAGTTGCTTTGTGTTCTATCTGATAAGCATATGACCACTCACTGCATATTAGAGCAAGAAACCGAACAATTCGCACTGACGTTAGAGGTCGTTCTAGTCTTTGATAGCCTTGACGCTAGAATCTCATTGCTTGCAGCCGTAATGCAAGAATCGATTTCCGGGCTCTAGTGTAAGATGGATTTGACTGACTGACTTTACACGTCGTCGCGTTTACACACACTTCACACGCTGTTGCTTGATTGCTTAATTGACGCGTTGTTCCGCGGCAAAAGCAACACACAAACCCGAGATTTGGAATCCAACACTTTCATGATCCATCATCTTTGAATGCAGTTGTCGATGCTGATCGGGAAGAGCCTCTGCATCATATAGAGCTCACTCAAACTACTGACACACCATCATGTTCGGCGATCTGGGGCTGAAGCTAGTACAAGAAGCACGGGCAGCGGAGATCAATCAAACATTACCGCCTTACAATGATGAATTGGTTCGATTGGTGATGCTAGAAACACGACAATTACAGACACACATAAGTGGGTTATTGCAAGAAGCGGGAGGCGTACAAGCAGCCGAAACCGAGGAAAGCTTGGCTGGTCAACTAATCACCCATCATGCTGCCGCACAAAGAAACAAAAGATGTTTGTTGGCTTATCATAATGTTCGTTTGCAATATCTTCAATCCATCCTATGGTCAAAAGGTGGTAGCTTGGAACTCACACTGAATCACTCGATTGAATCCCCGGCCCGGCTGATGGCACATGAAGCAGACAAGACAACGCTCAAATCTCGTTGTAGTATGGCAGAATTAGCATTCGTTCGACAATATGCAGATTTAAATCGAGCATACAAGAGTGAATTTTTGGACGTGGTTGATGTTTCTGCAAGTTTGGGTAGAAGTACAAAAACGGATGATATTGGACCGATAAAAGAATTAATGGTTTCAATCGTTTCACATGTTGATGCAAAAGACGTTCAAACGGAAAGAGGAAGTATCAGCTTGCGCAGGGGAGAAAGAATGCGAATACTGAGAAGTGAAGTTGATGCTTTGATCATGAGAGGGTGGGTAAGCGTTTTGGACGAGTAGAGGAAATTACGGAAGATCGATACTTCATCCCCTCTTTGGAAATTGTACACTATATGCAAGCAACATTGTACCAATATCAATTGCAATTGTATTCTATGAATTCGGCTTCTTTGGAAGAGCACATAGAAATGATAAGTCGTCATGTTCTCAGCCCTTCTCTCTTAACTTCAGAAACTAAGAACTCCCTTATAAATCGCCACGCTTCAATCGAATCTAGGGTCGGTGCCCTTCTTTCAATCGTCAGTATCAGCACGATATCCATCTGATGGACCTTGCAATAAATCGTGATACAGTGATACCCGGCTTTAAGTGGCACTTAAGTTGTCAGTTGTAGTGCCGATCATCAGATACGCGACGCGTCCAAGCACAGTTTGAATACCCGAGTACATCGGTGCAGTGCATTAGAAAACACTAACCGAAAGAAGCATTTCTGACACGCACGCACGCACGCCCGTTCGATAGTGCCTGCTTCGATGAAATGGATGCTATGCGGGCGGACGGATTGAGTGGGTGTAAGTCAAAGAGACACGCTTAAACCCGATCAAGAAAAAAAGATAATGAGGGGAGCGCGCCACACGAAATAAAAAGAAAAAATGTCAATTGAAGAGATAAAGAGAGAGGGCGTTTAAAATCGGGTCCGTTAAAATCAAATAAAACAAAATCTTCGCTCCCCTTTTCCTTCATCCTCCATCAACGAGACGTAACTTTTTGTACGGACTCTTTCTTTTCCTCCACTCACACAAAGATGGCGTTTGGTAAAGAAGCTCGAATTATTACTTTATTGGTGATCGATGTGGCTTTCTTCTTATTGGAAATCATCGTCGGATATGCGGTCGGTTCACTTGCACTCGTTGCCGATTCGTTTCATATGTTAAACGATGTGATGTCACTCATTGTTGCATTGTATGCTGTCAGATTGGTAAATCAAGGAAACGAAAAACGTGATCCACGTTACTCTTATGGTTGGCAAAGAGCGGAAATTTTGGGTGCTTTGATCAATGGAGTTTTCCTTTTGGCACTTTGCTTTTCAATCTTTATGGAAGCAATCGAACGATTTGTCAATGTTACCGAAGTTCAAAATCCAAAACTTGTCGTCATCGTTGGCTCGCTTGGTCTTGCTTCTAATATCGTCGGCTTGTTCTTATTCCACGATCATGGACATTCACACGGAGGACATTCACATGGACATTCGCATGGTACAGAAGGACATAGTCACAGCCATGGCGCTGAAGATGGACACAGTCACTCACATGAAGAACCACAGCAACTCCCTTCGTCCAGTCCAATCGGCAAGAGACGTACACACGATCGCGAACGCTCGGAAAGCGTCAGCAGTCTATTAGGACATCCCGCTGCAACACGGGCTTACGTTGTAAGAACAGCTCATGATCTAGGATACGATGCAAATGCTGCAGGACCATCTTCTCATGATACACATGAACGTGAAGCACTCTTGAACAACAAGAAACAACAATCAAAGAATTACGGATCTTCCAATGGATCGCATGATCATAGCGAAAATGGAATCTCACACGATGATGATTTAGAAGATGGAGATGGAATGCGCTTACGTGGAAAGAAATCTGGATTCTTGGCAAGACTACGAGGCAAAGATGCAGATGATACCAAAACGAGCAACTCGCATAGCGGTCACAGTCATGCAGGTCACGGACACAGTCATGGTGGAGGTGAAGGAAGTATGAACATGCAAGGTGTCTTCTTGCACGTTTTAGGAGATGCTTTGGGTAATGTTGGTGTCATTGCTGCTGGTTTGTTTATCGCTTTGAGCTCTGCTTGGTGGAGATACTATACCGATCCTGCAATCAGTTTCTTGATCACAATCATCATCTTCACTAGCGCTTTACCTTTGGTCAAAAGTGCAAGCTTTATTTTGTTACAAGGTGTTCCGAGCGCAGTTCCCTTGGATGAAGTTCATTCTTCTCTACTTGAAGTCAAGGGTGTTTTGAGCGTTCACGAATTGCACATTTGGCAATTGAGTGAATCAAAGAATGTTGCAAGTGTGCATGTCTTGATCGACGTGGATGAAGCCAATTTGACCGATCAAGCTGCCACTTCTGCTGCAAGTCAACAATTACCAGAAACGACTACCATTATCGAAAATGGCGGTGTAAGTCCATCTTCTCGTTCATTGTTGATTCCACAAGAACATCGTTACATGGAAATCGCTCAGCAAATCCGTAACAAGCTCCATAAATTCAACATTCACTCTTCCACCATTCAACCTGAATTCGTTCGAGGTGGAATGCGTGGAGTCGCACGAGCACATGGAGTGGAGATTGATGAACATGTCACCAATGCTATCGGAAAGCTCGTTTCCAAACAAGGTGAATTGGTTGAACGTACAATCTCAAAGAACGGTTCTTCTGCTTGTTTGATTGCTTGTGGCCCTGATGGAAACTGCGTCGAATCTGCTTGTTGTCCACCAATCAGTGCAAACGAAGATGCCCCAAAGTCAGCCAGCAAAGCTCCTTCAACCTATGAACACAGTCATGATCACGATCATGCATAGAGATCCAGTAAAGATATTCTTTTACTATTTTATTACCTCGAATCTCGTAATGCTTTCCTTTGCCATGTAAATTTAATCTTGCCTCGTCTAACGTGCAATTCACGAATGCGAGAAGGTATATCGTTCTTTCAATGCGTTGTTTTAATACAGGATGTGTGACTATTATACAAAGTAAGGAGCATCTCCCCTCTTTATTGAACGATCGCCGCTCTTCGCGAACCCTCCTTGGCCAAAGATCTTGCCAAACGTTCATCGACTTGTTTACGACGATCATCTTCATCGAGTAAAGATTGTTTGAGTGTAATCTTGAGTACCTTTAATCGATCTTCAATCTCTTGAACTTCTTGAGATAAATTTGACAAAGTTTGCATTTGTTTTTCTCGATCAATGTCGAATTCCGCTCCACGAACGATACTCCAATCCGCGTGTCTCTTACACTTTCGTTTCGAATATCCGCAGATTGAAGGTACAATGTCCGCACCTTCCACCTCTTCGCCTTCGTCGATTCTGCCATCCAAAGGCTTTTCTTCGCTCAGGATTTCCTTCCCGGCTGTGCTTGCCGACCAATTCTGGAACCGTTCATCTTCCCAATGCAATCGTTCATCATATCCACACCTTGGCTGACCACGATTAGCAGCTGTACCATTGCTTTCAGCATTCGTTGCAGATGATTTTGTGGATTTCTTTGCTTTTCCACCTTTCTTGTTCGTCTTTGCTGTCGAGCTCTCAATTTCTTCTCCTCGAATTGGTTCCAAGGTAGAAGCACGATCTTCGGCCAGATGGAAGAACTTTGTCCGGGATGCCAATACGTCAAGACCTCCATTTACCGCGTCACGTTTTGCTTGAATCCGTTGTAGCTGTGCGTTCAAACGTACGATCTCCTCTATTTGCGGTAAGATGATCGATCGTTGTTCTTCCAAATCCACAGAAGTCAGTGTGGATGCTGTCCCATTACTCTCTGTTTTGACGAGTGATGCAATTGATTCTGCAACACTTTCACCTAGCAGAGATCTTAACCAATTCGAACGAGCATCATTTTGCTCTGTTGTCCAGATCACAATGCCTTCCCGCCTCTTTGCTGAGGCTATGCGCGGTAATTTGAGCATCTTTTCTGCTAAAGACTTTTCGTAAGCTGTGCTTCTGCTAGCTGCTTTGCTCACTTCGTTCCCATTCACATTTGCTGATCCCGTCCCATTGACAGCTTTGATCTTTTGAGAGGCAACAATAATTCCACATCGTTCGCTACAATACCTTGAAAGAGGACGCAGAGCTGCATGAGTACATTCGTTTCGAATACATTTAGGTTTCCAAGTCGTCCTTTTTTCTGTTGATCTTTCACAATTTGGACAAATGAAAACGTCCACCAATTCTGCTTGTTCGTCTTTCATTTTCATACAAATTGTATGATACCAATCATCACATCGATCACACGCGATCATCATTCTTTCTTCATCGTAAAGAGATCGACAGATACAGTATAGCTTTGTATCAGATTCTTCTTCTGCTGTTGGAGCGACGGTCAGATCTGGCTCAGGTGTTGCTACAATCGAATCTTGTCGTTCAGTCTTTGCTCTCTTATTAGCTGTGTTTGTCTTTCGAACTTTCTTTACTGTGTTTGGGGCGCTTTGCCTTTTTGTCTTCTTTTTCGTGCTTGGCGTAACAGTCGGAGTTGCAGCTCTAGAAGTAGACGAAGATGGTGGTGGTACAGAAGAAGAAGGTGAACGATGATCTTCTTCTACAGCCAGAACGGCTGAAGAGGCTGAATCGGATTCATGCGTCATTTTTGTCTTTTTCGCAGCAGGCGGCTGTGTATTGCCAGGCGATAGATCATCTTGCCTTTGTGCATTTATATCATTTCCCTCCCATTGATTTGCTTCGGTAGTACTGCTATTTGCTGTCCCGTGCGAAGAAGTGTTGATGTCATGCATTTCCCTTTCTCCTCCGCCTTCTTCTTCTGTTCTTAACGGACCGGACATTGGATGTGAGGACGATATTCTTTGCACTCTTTTTGGCTTCAAGAAGACCCTACCTTAATTCCATATCAAACAACTTGCCAATATTCATCCACCTTCCAACCCTGTGACCGAGCAAGATTGATGGGTTGGTAAAGAAGACAAATGTTTTATCATATGACATGCACCTTTTAATAATTTACGCGTCAATCAACACTTTTTATCTGCATGCTCGTGTCAGTCGTCCGCCCTCACCTCCTTTAGGGATATATCGTAAAAAGATCGCTTCCCGCACCTTTCATCCAATTTCAACACGCAGCGCAATCGTGGTGGGTCAAGCTTGCTTACCACGCGCACTTTGCTTGTAGGTTGGGGTGGGGCCGGTGAAATAGGTAGAAATACAGCCGAATAGTCAGAGTTTGTTTTGCTGGCTTTAGCTCTCTGTATTTGGGCTGGGGTGGGGAAAAGAGAGTTGAAAGAAAAGGGGGGGGGGGGAGAAGAGGTCTGAACTCCACTATCACAGAATATGAGAGTAATCCGTGCAGAGGAAGACAAGGTTTAAATGAATAAATTAAACAGCGCTCTTTTAACAGAATACCATCATCACATATCACATCCACAAACAACCAATACAATACACAATGTCTGCTGCTAAATTCGATGACGCCGTCAAGATTGTCGGTAGTATGCCAAAAGATGGTCCAGTTCAACCAACACAAGATGATCAATTGAAATTTTATGGATTGTACAAACAAGCTACCATTGGTGACGTTAACACTTCTCGTCCCGGTATGATGGGTGAGTAGCATGAGTTTTGATTGAGAGAAAGCTTGAATGAGTGTATTGACAGCAATTCTATCCTTTAGACTTTACCGGAAAGTACAAATGGGACGCATGGAAGAAGAATGAAGGATTATCCCAAGATGATGCTAAATCTCAATACGTTGCCGCTTTGATCGCCATTCTCGAAAAGCACAGCGATCAAGAGGATGCCAAACAATGGTTGAGTCAATTGAAGTAAAGTAGACTTTCTTTGTTTTTACATGCATGTAGCGTAAAGGGAAAAAAATAATAAGATCTTTCATAATTATCATACAAGCATCATATTGAGAGGATATTGCCGAATAGGCAAATGAGATATACTTCCACGGGGATTACGTTCAAAGCTCAGATGTTGCCGCCATGCAAAAGCTCAAAGACATTGTCTACTGCCCTTGATACTTCCTGTAAGGTCAGACTTCTTATAGTCGCTATTTTTGCCAGGATGTTATGACTTCGTAGACTACATTTGTTGTTCAGATTGCCTGCGTCTTTCCTGCTCTGTTTGGCGTTTAATAGAACAGACATATTGCATCTTTCGAGCCAAGCTGACTTCCCTTAAATTTTCCTAACACTCTTAAAGAACAGTTCTAAAGCAGATCGCATTCGCTACTCATGAATAGATATGAAGTGCTACAAGATACGAAAAAAGTCTTTTGTAGAAAACCAACCGTTTTGAATGATGATGATGACATCTTAAAGCTTTTGCATGGCGGCAACGTCTGAGCTTTGCACGTAGTCATCGAACTCTGCGATCTCTTCTTGCAACTCATCCAAAGATACTTTTTCGTCTTCAACAACCAAAGTGATTTGCAACATGTTAACACCGTATCCGACTGGAACAAGTTTGGAAGCACCCCAAACCAAACCATCCTTTTCGATCGAACGAACGGAAGCTTCGAGTGCCTTCATGTCGGTTTCATCATCCCAAGGCTTAACTTGCAATGTAACAACAGACTTGTGAACAGTCTTACCCTTAACGGCTTCCTTTTCTGCCTTCTTTTTGTTGTATTCGGCAACACGTTCTGCCTTGACACGTTCAGCTTCAGCATCTTCATCGTCGTCAGAGCCGAACAAGTCAACGTCATCGTCGTCATCGGCAGCAGCACCTGCAGCGGCGGCGGCACCAGCAGGTGTTGAAGCACCAAAGATACCAGAGATCAAAGAGGCAGCCTTGGCCTTGTCACCGTGCAAGCCAGGGTGTTCGACACCGTAGCTGGCAATGTGTTGGTACCAACGTGCAACGTGAGGGTACTTCTTTTCGAATGGCAATCTGACGGCATCGTAAACTGCGACATCAGCTTGAGATGGGGTGTGGCTGTAAGAGTGGTAAGAAGAAGGACGATGTTAGCTTTAATTGTTCTTTCAATAATCCATAATCCCTTCCCTTCATCACTCCCTCGCCATTCAAGTCAGTATGATTGGTAAAATATGGTTTCTTCAACGCAAAAAAGGCGCGGGGTCTTAAGCCGCTGGGCTCGGAAACACGGACCAAATCAAGAATATCATCTTTCCAACAACAGTGTAGAGGGGCGAACGATTGCCATCACAATATCCATCCCATCTCCAACGAAAGTCATTATTTGCCAAAACTGTAACCAGTTACTCACCCATCAACGAAAGAGCGATCGCCCAAGAATTTCTCCAAAGCGGCCAAGTTGGCATCGGTGGACATATCGGGAAGGCCGGCAGACATTTTGTATGTGTGTGTTTATGAGGGTTTGCTAAACGAGAAGCGAGTTTATATGATAGGTGGTTGGTAATGAGGAAAAGTTAATTTTTTTAGAATCTTCTCAAGATTCTTACTGTGTAATGCGTGCACGCTTGCTTGCTTAACAAAAAAAAGACAAAAAATTTCCTAACAGACGCACGCTTAAAGGAACGAATAACTAAGAAGGTTTAAGGCTTTTTGGCCACCCACACTGCTCTGACGCCTTTTTGTGGTTAATTTGGCTTAAGAACCGTGCGCGCTAGAGAAAGAGCAGATAGGCACGTGTACTTTCGAGAGCTTATTCTTGCAAGTCACTTTCACTCAGCTAGATGATGATGATGATGATGATGATGAAATCGAATGGCATCGTGGAGATCTGGAAAACGAGGGAAATGAAATGAACAGTGGAGAAAAAGCTGATTGGACGTTTACTGGAAAATTTTACAGCATCTTCAACAGTATTGGCCTGGAATAACAGCCGGGCATCCTGAGGATTGGTGGGGAGTAAAAGTGCATATAGTCAGCGCATATTCCGGTAAATACCCCTCTGAAGCCACTCACCACTTGTGTCCATGTGCAAGGGACAATCGTTCGGATCTTTGCAGCATCGAATGCAAATTCTGCCTACATCTGGCTCAACCAATTCGACATATGAAGCAACTCGAAAAGGAAGAACAATCGAGTCAATATTTTTGGGGTAGTATATCACTTCTCCTTGCATACTCACAGCCTCTGCAACTACTATCTCTTGGGTTACCTCTTCCTCCATCACCTCCATTTGAATCGTATTGACCGCCACCATCGCCGGGTACTAAAGTGGGCAGCTTGTTGGCATTAATACAGCCAGTGATTTGTTTGTAACGTAAATTGCCATCATTGTATCGCTTTTCTACGAAATGCGGTCCATTCGTCCAGAAATCATTTGGAAGTTGCCATTGTCCATCGTAGGGTTGCGTGCACCACGAATTCACCAAATCATTCGATCCATTCTCGCTTTCACCGATTGTCATACGAGATTTGGGTAAAATGAAACAGTATGTGTCTGCATCTTTTGCTCGTACGACCAGACGAGAGTCAGCGAGAGATTGTTGGAAGAGCAAGCCATTGAGAAGAGCCACGAAGAAGAGAGAGGAAGTATGAAAAATCATAATTGCGATTGAATGATTGGGGAATGAGAAGTGCGAGTTTGATAAAACAGGAAAAGATGTGCTGGGCTTAAATACCATTCGCATGCAATTCATTCTTACCTCAATCCCTTCAATTGGATCAAAGGAATCGCTTCCGCCGTCCCTAAAAGACTTTCATTATGAGTTTCAGCCAAGAAATGTATACATATCTTGCCCTCTTGAAAAAGCGGATGTCCAAATTCCACAGTTAATTTAGATGTCATAGAGGTGATCAAATCAAAGCAAAGCCAAGCAAAACACGAACGGCGCCGTGAGCGTCTAAACATCAGTCAACTTGCATAGACTTTACGGCAGAAGATAACCTTTGATATAATTGATCGCGCTATTCCGTGTCTATATGAGCGGGGCAGTATCATCGGGCTTCCATATCTTGGCGAAGGCTAAAAAGATTGAGTAGCAGAACTTGCTGGCCTGGAAATATTTCCGATGATGATAAAAATGCTTGTGTTCCACGTGATCGAGCGCGGTTTTTACATGGTGGTAAACGCAGATAATGTACATTAGAATCACAGCTATACGCGCCGTCCACTTTAAGACTGATTGCACGCGTGTGCTTCGTGTTGACAATTTAATAGTGTGGTGTTGATTGATGTTCTCTCTCTCTGAATAATTAAACACTGCTTAAATGCCTAAGAGAGAAAGTGTTGATCTTGGTTCTTCTCATTGAATTTAATGCATAAGTGTGCCTGCAATAAGCTCCACAAAACCCCATCATTGTGACATATCATCTTCTATCAACCATCCTATTTAGCAAGTACAGACAAAACAATTTGCTTTGATCTTTTCCCCATTCAAGCTGCCGACATTTACACTCTATCCTGTTCTGTTGCCCACTTCACACAAAGCGCTGGTCGCCCTGTCTATTTTGGGCAGCTCAAAGAATAAGCAGCAGCAGCATCAGCATCAAGAAGGGCGTAGAAGTACTGGTGCATACAAGCAACATTGCAGATCGATAATCATGTTTAAACAATTAAAGAATACCGGATATAATTCCATTTCACCATCACAATCTACCACCTCAACATCATCTTCAAGTTCGATTTCAACTTTGTCAGGTTCGCATTCATCAAGCTCTGATTTGACGAAAGCAACTTCCACAACATCAACCGGAAGTAGACCGAACTCACCTCATCGATCCTCACAACAATCTGCTTTGCATCTTTTACAACAACAAAGACGTCAAAATCAAACAGCGAATGGGAATTTGATACAAAAGTGGAATAAATCAAATACCACTACAAACAATAAAGGTGGAACACCTGTCAGTACGCCAAAGAAAGGTGTAAGAGCTTCTACGACCAATACAGCACCTACCTCCAACACCACAAAGTTGCCCAACACGGCTCGCAAAAAGGTCAAATCGGTCAAAGCGGTCGGTGGTGGTGAGGGTGAGAAAGAAGCAGAGAAAGTGGAAAAGGAAGATGGGAAGGTAGATCAAGAAGAAGGAAAGGTAGAAACAGAAGAAGAGAAAGTAGAGGAAGCACCAGAAGTCAAGAAGGATGACGAGCAATTGATCGCTGCTGCTGATGAAACAAGCGTCATGGAAGACAAAGAGGAAGACAAAGAGGAAGAGCCAGCGGAAGATGATGAGATGGACGCAGAGGGAGAAGTTGACGAAGACATCACACCTGTGCAAATCAAAGAATCACAATTAGCCGATCCCCAGATAAAAAAGGCAACAGAGGAAGACGACGCTGAGACAAGCTCCTCCAGCACACAAAATGTGGTTGTATGCGTTCGTGTTCGATCAACAACCTCCAAGAAAGGAGAGGAAGAAGCTGCCATGTGGACACTTGATGGTGATCTAAATCGTATCGTTCCTACCGAACAACACCCAACACTTGCGAAGAGAAGTACCGCAGCTGCTACTACTGGTGATGCAGCAATCGCAGAAGACGGATCGTATGACTTCCGATTTGATTCCTTAGTCTTGCCATCCCAATCTGCAGACCAAATGTATTCCGAACGCATAGCACCTGTAGTTGATGCTGTGGTAAAAGGATACAATGGTACTGTATTTGCCTATGGTCAAACAGGAAGTGGTAAAACATACACGATGAGTGGAAGCGAATCGGAAAAAGGTGTGATTCCCAAAGCTGTTGGACATATTTTCGATCACGTTGCCAAGATTACATCAAGGGAATTCTTGTTACGAGTTTCGTATTTAGAAATCTATAATGAATCACTCAACGATCTCTTGGCAGCCCTACCTTCCACCTCGGCTTCCGCTACAATGCAAAATGCCGGTTCTTCGCCCGATGACTCTAATGGACGGCCAAGCTCACCGATCAAAGGTGGATCTTCACACATGGTAACCAATGGAAGCAGTAACGGTGGTAATGGACTACGAATGTTCGAATCCGCCGGTCGTGTACAGATACAAGGCTTACGGGAAGAGATCGTTACAGATGCATCACAAGTGCTGGATCTTCTAGAGAAAGGTCAAAACGCACGCCATCAAGCAGCAACTGATTGGAACGAACGATCAAGTAGAAGTCATTGTGTTTTCATGTTGACTGTGGAAAGTAGAGCAAAAGCAAACAAATCATCAAACGTTCGACTAAGTCAATTGAACTTGATCGATCTTGCAGGTAGCGAACGTGCTGCGACTGAGAAAGAACGCAGAAAAGAAGGTGCATTTATCAACAAGTCGCTTTTGACTTTGGGAACTGTGATTGCGAAGCTGTCTGAACAATGTGCATCAGGAAAGCAAGAACAGCATATCCCATACCGCGACTCAAAGTTGACAAGGTTGCTACAGTCCTCGCTAGGTGGAAATGCTAGAGTTGCCGTGGTTTGCACCTTGAGCCCCAAAAAGGAACATGCTATTGAAAGTTTAAGCACGCTTCGATTTGGTTCACGATGCAAGATGGTCACTACACGTGCTAAGCAAGGAAGCGTGGTGGATGATAAGGCCTTGATTGCGAGATACAGACGAGAGTTGGAAAAGTTACGAGCTCAACTAGAGGTTGGCAATACGACGACATCCAACGAACAAGCTGTTGCCCCTGCTCGTGTTCAAGATGATGAATCGATCAAAGCATTACATCAGGAGCGTGAAAAAGCTGAAAGGGACGTCAAAGCGATGAACGATCAAAGAAGTGAACTCAAAAAGCAGATTGAACATTTGACAAGATTGATTTTGACCGGCAAAGATGTCGAGCAAGGTCAGCAGCAAGCCGCAGTCCCGGAAGAGGAAGATGAAGGCGATAGAAGCAAGCGCATTCGTGCTGCACGAAGGAGTGATTTGGGTACTTCTAGCCCCAGTAAACGCAATGTGGCAAGATTCCCCAACGGTATCACTTCTCCGCTGACACCGGTTCTTTCTTCTAAGATGAACTCCAAAGAGAACGGAATGGGCACTCCTTTGGCTTCAAAGCCATTCGCAATGGAATCTGAACTTGCTCAAATGCGCAAAAGTTTGTCAAAAGCACTGGCTGCCAAACAAGCATCCGAGGAAGCCAGACGAAAAGAAGTACAACTTTGGCAAGCAAAAGTGAGTGAGCTTGAAGAAGCAAACAAAGAGCAAGAAGATGAGCTCGATGAAGCAGAAGAGGCATTCAAACGATTGCAGACCGAAAGAGATGAACATTACAAACGAATGCAATCAGAAAGAGACGAAGCTTTCAAACAAATCCAATTGGAACGTGAATCGATGCGAGCACAAGTACATGAAGAACGTGAAGCAAACCGCCTATTGAAACTCGTCGCTCAAAGCCGCACTTCCGATCTGACCGAAGAACAGAAGCGATCAATTCTGGAAAGAGAAGCAGAGATCAAGAAGCTTCGACAACAGCTTGAAAAGGTGGAGAAAGAGCAAGAGGTTTTCCAAAGCAGCAAGGCAGACCATGACAAGCAGATTCAAGACTTGCAGGAACAGCTCGTAAAAGCTCAAGGATCAGCTGGTGAGCGTGTTACTGAATTAGAAGCAGAGCTTGAAGCTCTTCGGGCTTCTTCTGCCAATGCTGATGATGACGATGGACAGAATGATGCCAGTGCAGAATTCAAAGATGCTTCACAAGGCGAAGTTGAACTTCTGAAGGAGAAGCTACGGATCACAGAAGAGGAAAAGCAAAAGCTCGAAAAAGAAATTCAGCAGAATGCGCTAGACAGAGGTCAAGAAGATGCAGAGCGTGACTTTGCAGATTTGATCAAAGGAGGAGAAGATGCCAGCGGAAATTCTGCTGCACTGCAAAAAGAATTGCAAGAGCTCAAAGAGCAATTGAAAAAGCAAACACAAGAGAACAAGGATCAAAAGACTACCATTGAAGAATTGAAGGCAAACAACGGAAGCAAGCCATTGCCCGTTCCAAGTCTCTCACCTTCTTCCAGCGCCTCACCTTCAATGAACGACGATCTACGAACATCAATGGAGCGTCAGCTGAAGATGTCAGAAGAACGTTGCAAGGCATTGGAAAAGCAAATGGAGCTCTTGTCGAGAAATCAATCTATCCCAAGCCCACCAAGTTCAGTCTCTTCAGCTTCTTCTTCTCGTAATCCTACCGTGGTCGAATTGCAAATCGAAAGTGATATTCAAAAATCACGCATTGCCAGCTTGGAAAGACAGCTTTCAGAAGCAAGAGCCCGTGTACAAGATACAAGTTTAGGCAGCATCTCCTTGCCTGGAAGTCCATTGAAATGGTCTTCTTCTTCTCAATTGGCTTCTACTCGCTCTAATCCTGCAACGCCAAATAAACGTGGTTTGGACAACGTTCGTGAAGAAGATGACGATGATGGAGATGAAACGATGATGTTACATGCAGGACCATATTCTTCCGCTTCTTTGAACAACAGAAGAGGAAGAGGAGGATCAATGCGTGACTACAAACGATACAGTGCAAGCCGAACAAGCTTTGGAGGAGGTGATTTGGCAATTCCTTCGCGTTCAACAGAGGAGCTTGAACGTCAACTGAAAGAAGAACGCGGAGAGATTGAACGATTGAATGGCGTGATTGCAACTCAACGTACGATTATGGCTGAATTAGAAGCAAGTGTGGCAACATGGAAAAAGAGACTCCGTACACAACAAGAAATCATTACGAAATTGGTAGAAGCAGCAGGTGTAAAAGCTTCACCTTCTCTTATTGCACAGACTCAAAGCTTGGCTGAGACACCAATGATGCACAATAATGGCAGCAGAGGATCTGGAGCCGACTTGAAAAGAACATCGTCCAATGCATCCACAAGTTCTGCAAGTTCAGCGCCATACTATGGCGCACACCTATACAATCGTCCGCCTGCTGGATTGAGCGGTGCAGCTCAAGGGCTTGGATTGGGTTCTTCTTCACCCACGAAGGGTACAGCATGGTTGTCGAGTATGCCAGGCATCCGACCTGATCCCCTGCCATTACCAGATTATGCAATCAGTGCAGGCTTATCATCACCGAATGGAAAAGCTGCCCGCAGAAGAAAGACGATTGAAAACGAAATTGAATCCTTGAAAGGAAGTCCAAGGGTTGAACATACAAAAACACGATTATTGGAACCACAACAATCTACCCATTATCCCACCCCACCACAATCTTCTCATCATAATTTCCCTTCACCACAAAGATTAAGTAGACCCTTACCCGTCCCTGGTTCTCCGCCCAAACAAAGACCTTCGAAAGATTGGTACATTTGATTGATTGCTCTTCACACATACCCTGTACATTTGTTCTTTATAATTCAGTGATGCATTCATGTTTCCTTTTTGAGAGGTGTGTCGATAAGAGAAAGATGAAAAGGGCAAGGTATACCGCGTGGGAAAGAAGAAGTGCGGGAAGAATGAACTTGTTAGCGTGGGGGGGGGTGAACACGCATACGATAAATGAAAAAAAAAAAAGTTGACATTTCAGAAGAAACACGAAAAAATAAAAGTGAACATCTTGCCAAATTACGAACATCACCTACAAACGGAAGAATGGCGACTGATGAACTTATTGCCGGGTCGGTAGCTAATGCAGAACTTGCTGGAGCTGTTGCTGGACCCAGCAGCCTTGCAGCAGGTGCAAATCAACAAACCGATTCACAACAACAGCAGCAGCAGAGCAAATCACTTCGAGGTAATGCAGGTGGTGCAACATCTTCAATGATGATACGTAGACGAATGACGCATATTCCAGCTCGAAAGCCAGTCCTGTTACGACTAGCAAACGGGAAGCTGAAATCCGTTGAATTGAACCCAGGGAAGAATGTTTCTTTGGGTAAATTTGGAACATTTAAAGCAGATGACATCATAGGATTACCATTTGGATTAACGTTTGAGATCACAATGCCGAACAAAGGAGAGATTGGAGAATTGAAAATGGTAATCAGTTCGAATGCAGAAGAATTAGAAGACAATCAAGCAACAAATGAAAAGATTCAAGACGGCCAAAAGAATAATCCTCAAACGATGACATACCTTGATATTCGTGCATTAAAAGAAGGTGGTGCAGAAGGTCGTGATATTGTTGAACAACAAGTGCTCAATAACTCAACATTTGCACAAAGAACAAGTTGGAGTCAACAAAAGTACATCTTCCGAAAAGAGGCAAAGCATATGCGTCTGTTCACACCCGTTCCACCTTCACTCACAAATGTTGTCAAATATCATTTTGATAAATTTGATCGTGATGCAAGTGACAAACTCCGTGGTCTACGTGCCGATTCGCTGGCAAATATTTTGAGCTTAGCAGGTGTTGCTCCTGGAAGGCGGTATCTCGTTGTGGATGGGATTGGTGGTCTCTTGGTCGGTGCGATGCTCGAACGTATGGCCGGAGAAGGAAGGCTGTTGCTGATCAACGATTCAGATTCCCCGCCTCCTCTTGATCTGATGGCTCAATTTGATCTTCCCGTACAATTTGTTGATCCAGTCTTGCGAACAATCAATTGGGCAAATACAGAATCAGATTGGCAATCATTCTTATCACACAATGAACAAGATCATTCAGCAAGCGCAGAAGTATCTGAATCCAATACAGAAGCTGTTGAAGTAACAGCGATCGGAAGACCAATGACAGATCGTGATCGTCAACGAATGAAAAAGAAACAAGCAATCGCATCCAACCTGGAAAGGTTACGGAGCGAATACTTTGATGGAGAATTTGACGGCTTGGTTGTGATTTCGAAATACGAACCTGTTTCAATCATCGAACGTGTTTTACCACGTCTGGCCGGATCAGCAAATATCGTCGTTCATAGCCCATTCATTCAAACACTAATCGAAGCACATGCAGTTTTACGATCTCATCATTCAATTATCAATCTAAATGTTTCTGAACCATTTCAGAGAAGGTATCAAGTTTTGCCTGGCAGAATGCATCCCGAAATGATGACTTCTGCTACGGGTGGGTATATCTTACATGGAATACGGGTCCTGTCGGAAGAAGAGACAAACGCTGCTGTGAAGAAGAATCAAGAGGCGGAACAGGCCGAGGTCAACGAGGAGAAGGCATCTATCGAAGGAGAAACAGAACAAGCAAACAAGAGGCAGCGCACGGAGTGATTGGCGACTTCTCAACGAAGTCAATATAACGAGATGAAGGGCATTTGATTTGACCAGCTCCATCTAGACTTCGGCAAAAATTTCTGACGTTGGGCAGGATGTATTATTCGCATCGGGCTCAGAAGAAAGGAGATCCACAGCTTTGGGCGAAGATTCGCTGGGGGGCATCCTGTACGTTGGCTCCTTCGCTCGCCTTCTCAGGTGTCTTGGGTAGGTCTTCATTACTACTGCTCGCCTTCTCAGGTGTCTTGAGCAGGTCTTCATTACTACTGCTAGCCTCGTTGATTGGATCGTCGACAACTCGTGCATGCATCAAAGGCACGGACGGATCGTACACAATTCCCAGCGCTTTCTCCTTTCGAATGCCGTCAATTCCCTTGACGATTTCGTTCAATCTCTCCTTTTGTACCTTAAGTGCTTCCGCATTAGAAGCGTCGCATCGCCATTGGACGTCAAGGAAAAGCTGAGTGTAATCTTCGTGCAAGAAGTCCGGTCCAGGTAGAAGGTTTTGCAAGCAGACATGTTCCCAAACACCTTCTTTGGAAAGACTTAATTTGTACAACATTCGTTTATATCGCTTTGCGCGGTCCAATCCATCTTCAGTCATTTTGTGCTGTTCCAAAACCCATTCTTGACCTTTTTCGCTGCCATTAGCAATGAAACCATCTTCAGGATCCGAAAGCTTCTCTCGCACATGCGGAAGGAAAAAATTATGCAATGCAGTCTTGGCATTTCTGACTGTCTCTTCTTTACGACATGGAGGCTCGGGAATGGATGTGAAAATGATTTTGGAAGGAGCGATGATTGGGCTCAAAGAGCGAAGACGCTTTTTCGGTCTTTCATTGTCACCGTAGTAGTATTCTTGAAGGTCCTGCTTTGCAATTGGTAATCTTCCTGGCGGCTTGAAAATTTCCTGGCTTACCAAGCGAGCTAATTTCTTGTGATGTGGAAGAACGTTGAACATTTGTCTCGAAGGAGACAAAGATGCCATCAATTTCGGATCGCAGCCTGTAGTCTTCAAATCTTCTTGCAATTTATTGATTTCGTTGCCTGCGATTGCACTTCTCATGAGTTGATTCAAATGACAGCCGAACCGGTCAAATGCGTTGTAGATTGATTGGTTCATATCAAATTGCAACAACGGATCGAGGATTTCAATCAAGTTCATCGGATCGATTTTTGGGATTTGCACGGCTTCATTCTTTGTATTGTAGTCAAACATCTCGAATGGTTTAGCGCTCTTCATTGCCAACGCTTTTACTTTCAAGCGTTTGTTGATCAGTTCTTCCAGACATGGTCCATCAAAGAGAATCAATGGCTCATACTGATCTTGACGGGGTTGACTCAATTGTCGGAATAATGCCTTGCTATGCTTTTCGTCATCATCTCGAAGATCACGATAGAATTTTAGTATGGCCTCAGGAATTTCTTGGGATTGTACGGTCAATTTTTGCTCAATGTATGCGCCTAATTGTGCACGATATCCATCTGGAGGCAGCCATCTTTCAAATTTTCCCAAAGTGGAACGCATACCAATGATTCTCGCTTGCCATTGTACCTTTCTGTAGCTGTTTATATCACAAAGCATTGTATTTGAGTTGATTGATGTGATGATGATGAAAATAAGAACGATTGTGTGTTTGAGAAGCTGTTCACGGCACCGTAGAGGGTTTAGGATCTGGTTGTGGCTGAATGCATTCAATTAAAGCGCGTCTTTGTTCACCAATGAACCTGACTGACTGCACGGAAATTTAAAAGCGGCTTTTATGATAAAGTATGCACAACAGCGTGTGACGCGCGACAGCAGTGTTTTTTACTTGCATATGCTAATAAACAGTATTCTCAAAACTTTCTCCACTATTCAAACATCATAGATACCATCAATACTGGCAAAGGGAAAGTAGCAATGAGTGAAGGAGGTTCAGCAGTGCATTCAAATGGAGTAGCAGGTCCTTCATCTCCATCCGCCTCCGGCAAACGACAATCATGCAGGCATTTGGAAAGCAGCTCGGAGAATTTAAAGAGATATGCTGCCGGTTTACGATGGGGTAGAAAAGTACGAAGGGGAGAAGTACGCAAAGACGAGGATGAAGAAGGTGACCAATACGATAACAAACGGAGAAAGTTACTTGCCTATCCAAGCTGTGCGATTTGCAAAGCATCTTTACATCGACCTTTTATGTGCTTAGAATGCGCACTTCCGGCCTGTTTTCTCAATCATGTTGAATATTCAAGCGATTGTCAAAGACAGCATTTACGCAAATCAGGACACGAAATCGCTTTTGATATTTTTGATGGAACTTTATATTGCTCGGGCTGTGAGGATGTTGTATATGATGACAAATTTGAAGAGATCGCAAGCAAGGAAGTCAACCGTTCTGTCTTACGAAGACGTGTGGATCGATCAAAAGGGCAGAATGCAGGAGGAGAAAATGCAACGACACTTTGCAAAGCTGCTCGTGGAATGTACAATCTTGGAGCAACATGCTTCATGAATGTTATCCTTCAAGCATTTCTTCACAATCCGCTACTTCGAAATTATTTCCTATCAGATCGACACAATACCGCTCTATGTCCTGCTCGAGAGAATTGCTTGGCCTGTGAGCTGGATACACTATTCATGGAATTCTTTTCTACCAGCACTCGAGCTGCACCTTTTGCTCCAACCAACTTCCTATTTTGCATCTACCTCGCAAGAGAATCGACCGAGCTGTCAAGTGGAGCCGGAGAGCATGATGCACATGAGCTCTTCATCGCTTCACTGAACGGAGTACATTCGGCTTTGATGGCAGTAGGAAGAGAGCCCAGCAGTCGATCCGATAGACTACCTTTGTACCCGTACGGCGATCAAGCACATGGGCTGGCTGCCAGTCGTAGCGGATCGGCAAGCAATGCAAGTGAGGATGAGTATGGCAATGGAGCGACATTCAGATTCACTTCGGATATTGTTTGCCCTTGTGTGGTACATCGAACATTCTCGGGTGTTTTGCAAAGTGATGTGACATGTCAGAGATGCGGATGGACTTCTACAACCCATGATCCATACTTGGATCTATCGTTGGACATTCGCTCAAGTCATGCCCGTTCTTTGTCGATCCCGCTGTTTGAGACGGAGTTAGATAAGAAGAAGAGCAAGAAGCAAAAGGATCGTGAGGAAAAGGAGCGCAAAGATCGAATCCAACGAGAAGGAAGTGGACTGGACGATGAACAGACTTTGGTCGATTGTATGAGACGGTATTGTGCAATGGAAAAATTGGCACAATCAGATTACAGTTGTGCTCAATGCGGTGTGCCGTCACAAGCTGTGAAGCAATTGAGTATTTGTCGATTGCCACCAGTGATGTGCATCCAATTGAAGCGCTTCGAACACAATACCACGACAGGTTCAAAGATTGAAAATCGTGTTCGCTTCCCGCTAACATTCGATATGAGCGAATTCTGTACAAGCACGATGCGAGACGATTTGGAACAAAAGGGCGATCCAGAAATTCATCTTTATGATTTATTTACCGTTGTGGTTCATGAAGGCAAGCTCAATACTGGACATTATTATTGTTATTTCAGATGGAGAGATCAGTGGTTCATTGCAAATGACGACAACGTGCAACCGGCAAAACTGCAAGACGTTCTTTCCTGCAAGGCCTACCAACTATGCTACAAACGACGGATGTTGCAAAACGTTCGACAGGGGCTGTGATGCAGAAATGCAATGGGCACAAAGTCAATATCCGATCCTTCCAAGGTTTCACGGATGGTATCTTGACCATGGGGCTGAAGTGCATAGCCTGGAATGGGACCTCTGATTGCCACTGGCTGTCTATATAAGTGGCCAAATTCGACTTTAGCTTCACCTTTCCCACCACATCAGCGAAAGACAGAATGAATCTCTTTGGCTTGGTCTCTTTTGTTCTTATTTTCGGGTGTCTTCTGTCTCAAGGCACGGCTGCAGACGCATCGAGGAATGTGGCAACACGAAGACCACCACCTGCGCCAAAGTCTCTGCAACGAGTAGGAATGACCCAAAGTGATGTCACTTACAAGCCACCGGAAGCAAGTAGAGCTTCAGCTTCTAATGCTCCAAGACGAACATCAGTGAGACAGAGTGAATTGATAAACAGGCAATCGCCTGCAAGTCGACCACAGCATAGAAGGGTTCAAAGTCTCTCCCAAATTGAAAGACCTATCTCTGCTGAACAAAGCAGACAGAGTGGTGGTCTTGCCACTCATCAACGTAGCGGTTCCAGCGTACAGCCTAATACCGCGCCACAAAGGGCAACTTCAGGCCAACTATCTCAATCGAGAAGGCTGGACCGAAGTGCCTCAGGATCAGTCCGTTCTGTGAGCGATTTGAGAACGCCAGTAGTGGGTCAAAAGGTGAGCGGTCGACGACCACCACCGGCGATACGAGTAACTTCGGATTCTCAACGATCACAAGCTCCGCCTTCTGTTTCTCAAGCACGACCATCTGGACAACACAGTAGAACGCAAAGTCAAACTCAACTGGGTCGTAGCACCTCCATGCCTCATACTGCTAGCCAAGTAGGTCATGGTGGAAGTCATCAACGCAGTATCTCAGGTGTACAATCAAGCATGGCGGCATCAAGAGGTACAACTTCATCTGGAGTTTTGCAACAATCACGACGGTTGAGTCGAGAAATATCTAGACCGGCATGGCGTCCATAATGCATTTTGAGGTGTAGCTATTCTTTATTGCCTGTTCGTTTCTGTCATGTATTGTTTGTTATAATTTATTCTGAATGTACATTTATTAAGAGCAGAAATCGAGTGAGAACGGTGCTGCTTAATTATTGCAAATCTCGTCGTTGTGGTCAAGGATGTTTTCAAAATAGTGGAACGTGCTTGGTTCGTGGATTGATCGTTTCAAGCTTCTATACTCTGAGCCCCGTGTGACCATTCTAATATCACGTAACAGATCATTCAGCTTGCCGAATCGGAAGGGCACGGAGAATTGCTTTCACAAAAATTTTGGCCCCGTGTTGTTTATCAACCACAAATGAGATTGAAAGTACATAAAACGCACAATTCAGCAGACGTTCCACATTGACTTTCAGCCATCATCTTAACACAATAGTTTGGTGAAGATGAAGAAAAGTTTATTTTTAGCTATTATTTTGGCAGCAAGCACTTCTTTAACGAATTGCTTGCCGGCCACAAATAACAATCAAGCGTCTCGACAAGTTCAACGTGCCACTCAAGGTCGTGTTGTACCGCCGCCAGTATCTTTGGGTAGAATTATATCTCCTCAACAGAGAGTAAGTGGGACTGGCCCAACAAGACATTCTCCTCGATTAGCTGCTCAAAGACAAGCACCTTATCATGCTCAGGGAAGTCCTCCTGCTGGTCAGCAAGGGCAAGGTAGTCATACTACTGGTCAACAAGTACAACATACACAAGTAAGCATTCATCCAGGCACGGCACCAGCTCCGGCAACGAGAGGTCAAATTGCACAGCAAAGGCGATTAGCCCGTGAAGAACAAAGAGGATTGCATCAAGTGTCCGATTTGCAGACACCGCAAACGAGAGGAAGAACAAGAAATACTCAGCCACAGGCTAGCTTACATGCAACACCTGCTCCTCAACAAACTGGTCATCAACCTGCACGTACGCCAGTTCAACGAACAGCGCAAGTAGGTGTGACACCAACTCGTCAACGTGGAGTTCCAGAACATGGATTGCGTGAGATACCTCCAGCTTCTAGACGAACTGGTGGCCATCAAGCTGCTCAACGTCCTACTGCTGAACAAAATCCTCCTCCCGAGCATAGAAGACCCGGCTCATGGGTGCAAGTCGAAAATCCTCCTACTGCAAAATCAAGGATGTACCAAGCCGGATTGAAAACGCCTACGAAAAAAGAGTGAGATGTGTAGAAAGTTATGAAGGGACTTATACTCTCGAATGAGAGTACACCTGCTCTAATAGTATAGAATTTAAAGGATCCATCATGTGATATATACTTCTTGTTTCATTCCAGACGAACTTGTGTGTATTTTTGTTACTACTGCGCGACTTGCTAAACTTGCGTATTTTGGGGCCATTCTCTCTATTTGTGTTTCCTTTCAATTGTATGTACAAGATGGCAGGCTATAAATACGAGAGATAGGAAACTGAACAACTATATGTTGCACATTTATCTTTCTTATCTCATCAAGATGAAAACGTTTCATATGTTTATCCATTTATGTCTCTTCCACTTCCTTTTTGGCCTTGTTAGCTGCGCAGCGCTACCCTTCCTGAGCCAGTCAAGAATATCTCCAAGAAAAGAATAAGCGGATATGGTCAAAATACGATCACTCAAATCAAAAAAGCTTTTACACAATTTGACAGTCTTCTTACACACTTGAATTTAGCATTATCACCAATTTCACATCATGACTTAAGTACAAATTTCATTGTCTGTTTGTTGTTTACTAGTGTCGGGGCTCTTGTTGTCATACACCACAAAAGGGGAACATTTATAAAGGAAAAATACTCAATCAGCTCTTTGGCTTCGTCCACCACATATCAAGCCTCTATGAAGTACAGTCTTGTAATCTTTGTTCAAGTATTGCTAAGCTTGTACGTCTTCCCAGCTCATGCTCAAGAATTTTTTTCTGATTCCGCAAATGAGATGAAGAAGCGCTCAAGAGGAAATGAAGGAAGTAATCAATCAGCTTCAAATAGTGCTAGACCTACTAGAGGTTCATCTTCAGCAGCCAGTAGTACATCAAGTGGTACATCGAGAAGTACATCAAGTGGTACATCGAGTAGCACATCAAGCGGTGCGACGAGTACTTCGGCCAGCTCCACGACCAGTAGTTCAGCGAGCGGTTCAACCAGTAATGCAGGCGGATCTACAAGCACTTCATCCTCAGATGTACATCCAATTCAATCTACAAATCAGCGTAGCCAGCTTCGTACAGCCAGATTTCCAACATCCAGGGCCCAGGCCGGAAATGCTGGCAGCCAACGTCGCCGACCGGCTGGTATTGTGATTCGAGAACCGTCTACCACTTCACGGCTAAATACAAGACCACATCGATCGCGAGACGAAGAATATCGATTGAGAGTACGTGAAAAGGCTAATTTTGCGAGGAAAGCGCATCATGCACAACATTTGAGAAGTAGTAGATTCACTCATCCAGATCGATACACGCAACACATCTCGAATAGAAGACGTACGCAAGATCAAATTACAGCTCATATTCGAGCACGGCAATCTTCGCAGTCTCAAAGTGCTGCCACTCGTTATTCAAGTCGAATTGCTCGTCATCGCGAGCGGATTTTGACAGCAGATACACCTTCTACATCTACTCAACCGCCTTCAAGACAACGGTCTTCTAGAGCTAGGCTATTTCACAGCGGGTCACAAGATCAAGTTGTACCCGATTTTCATACGCGACAAAGCACGAATCAGCTTTCAGGTCGTCGTCGTGGCCGTGAATTGATTTCCACGCCAGCTGTAAGAGTTCCAGATGCAGAACGGTTACATCCACAAGCAAGTCCCCATATGACTCCATCCATACCCACAATCCGCGAACAAAGTCGTAGAGAATCAAGAACTAGTCGTCTAGCTACTGCCTCCTCACAACAACCAGAAACAAGTTCTTTGCGACGTTCAAGAGAAGATTTAATTATCGTTCAACATCCGTCACATCCAGGCAGACCAATCTTTGGTGTGGCTTATGAAGCTCCATTCGAAGAGGACCGTAAAGGCAAAAAGAGAAAGACGGATTAAAGTGACTTTGTATATCACTTGCGTCCCGTGAACAGCCTCGTGGCGTAACGTTTATTTAGTTCGGGGATATGATGTACATTTTGAACACATCATGAGTCATATAATGTACATAAGGAACTTTTAATTTATAGCAAACAATTGACTCTCTAACATACACTCAAAATGAAAGGCTATCACTGCTATTTGCTCTTATGTTTGACTCAAGTATTGTTCATCTTTATGCTTAAGCCAGCAAAAAGTGTTCCAATCTCAGCTACAATCCATAGGACACTAGATGAAGAAGATATGCCTCGATCAACAGTCAGGATGGCATTCGGTAATGGTGGATCAACACAAATTACAGCTCATTCGTCAAATGGAGCGATTTCATCAATTCATGATGCAATAGACTTACACAGACAAGTAAAAAAGACGATTAGCAATGTTCGTAACCTTGTTCGATCAAGGAAGCAACAGCGTATACCTCCATCTTCTGCAGGTCGTATGAATGCATATCACCCTTATGCAAGAACAGGAAAGCCTGTACCTTATAGCACAGGTCATATGGAGGACAACAATCAAAAGCAATATCATCCTCACTTGCAACATACTACATCAATGCCATCACATGAAATACATCCGCATGAAGCGCATCCGCAAGCAATGCATGAGATAAGTTCGGGTCAAGGGCATCAAGCAAAACATCAAGTTCTTGTTCAGCATCCTGGTACGGACCACCAAATGCCACACTACTCAATGGCAGCCGAAGCCCCTTTCAGAGGCAAATATAGAAGCCAAAGAGCTCAACATGTTCAATAGTATTATCTTTCACTTGTCAACGTTGACAATGTAGTTCCACTTCCAACCAATTTGACCTCTAATTCCTGTTTTGCATGATAAGAGTGACTACTGTTTCATTAATGGGCGTTTCTCCGTTCAAACATGTCAATGCGATGCAAACAATGACAACAAATTGATACACAATAGTCGGAGAAAGAGTTTTTTTCTTCATCGCCACACGCCATTTATCCCCTTCCTTTCGACCAAGCGTATAAATGGTGTATAGCATCACTTGGGCACTGTTCAACTTGTCAACATGACAATTTGTGCTTTTCTTTCACCGCTATTTCGGATCGTGTACGCAGAAGGCTGAAGACGAACACAAAGATGAAGGGGCTTTAATTAGAACTCATACACACAATTGCAGTATAAAGGGAATTCTAGCAACTATTTAATCGACGTAAAACTCGCAAAACTCTTCAGTATATTTTCAACCTTTACTGTCTTCACGATGAAAGGCCCCAAGTTATATGCACTGGCTACTTTGCTTTATATCTCCTTGTTTCTAACACTTGAGCTGGCACTGTGTAGCTCCCTTCCTTCCGCCTCTGGCGTACATCACAGCAGTGATGACGAATCTGACAGTCTCACAAAGCCTTTGCTGAGCAAATCACGGTCTAGAAGTAGTAGCCCTTCGCCACCAAAGCGATCACCAGCACCTGCACCTGCACCAGCAACTTCAAAAGGAGCAAGTATTACATCGGTATATGCACATCATAGAGCATTGATGTATACGGCAGCATCTGAAAGATCGAAACGTGAGATGCATGCCCGAAACAAAAGAAGACAAAGGCAATTTTTCGAGTCAAAAGCTGCTGAAAGAGCAGAAAGAACAGGCATTTCGCCCTCTCGTGGTCGCCGGTTCGAGAATACTGCTAGAGCTGTAATGCCTCCTTCTCCTACTGGCTCACATCCTAGTGCATCATCTTCAAGCAATTCTGCGGGAAACACATCAGAGCACTCTTCTCATCCTGGAACTAGAAGTGATCGTCTGCGTGGATACATACCACCCACTCTAAGGGAAGTGGGAGTAGAGCCTGCGTCTACACAATCAGGCCGTCAGCAAGCTGCATCATCATCATCACCTGCTGCTGCTGCTGCTGCTCATGTAAATGGCAAAAAACCAAGTGATGGCAGTCCACCAACATCTCCTTCCCGTCACAGTCCCAAACGATCTCAAGGCAAATAAGAGAACATCATCATTTGAATTAATACTGGTGTCCATCCTCCCTATCCTCACACAATGACCCCGTCCATGAATGTATACAGCTGCATCAAAATTCTTTTTGAAGTGCATAAAGAGAAAAATACTACAATTTGTGACGAGGTAGGTATACTCTATCCTGGCATTCGATAAAGCAGTGAGTGGTGATTAGTGTATTTATATAGATCATGGCCCCATGCTCGAATTGCGGTGCCAAATAAATGTAAAGACTGCGACTTTATCGTTGCTTTTCTTTTGCTGATAGATCAATCGATCCGCGCGATTATACGAATCCTGTCAATTATGATGGTGGAGCTTGAGATGATTGCTCGCTGATCACGTCTTCTGGTGTGGTGGATCCAGCAGTAGCGGTTTCAGAGACTGATTTTGCGGCTGCCTCAGATGCTGGGACGGCAGAAGCTTCGGTGGCCTGTTGTGCTTTCTGTTCAGCATCCTCAGCAGGACTGACCTTTTCCCATTCTTGACTGCTTACACTTGGAGCTGGATCTTCTTGTGCAATTGCTACTCCGGCTGTTGATCCTTTTGGTCCTTCATCATCAATTTCTTCTATGTTTGCGCTTGCTTGTGATGCCAAATCGGCAGCTCTTGTTGATCCTTGAGAGGCGGCAGACAAACCCTGATCGAGAGAGACCATTTTACGAATGTAAGCCATTACCTCTTGTGGAACGGCTTGTTGATAAATCATGAGTAATTCCATTGGAGATGGGTATGCTTTCAAAGCTTTAAAGAATGCGGCTGCAGCTTGTAAATGTTGTTCAGGTCCTTGAGCGGCTAACAATTCACCAATTTGAACGTTTTGTGAGAATGTTTGTTCGTCAGGTGCAGTTGCACGACTGGTTTCATTCACGATATTTTGTAAGAATTGTTCTTCTTCTTTTTCACGTCTTTGTAATGCTTTCTTTGTTTCTTTTTTTGTTCGTTTTGCATCTTTGCGTAACCTTGATCGGAATGTTGGATCATTTCTACGTTTATAATCAAAGTATACGGCATAACCCAAGAAACCTGTCAAAAGTGTGATACCAGTTACGCTGGCGACTGTGGATGCGTTTACCATATTGATAGGTGTACCTGTTGAGTTGAGATGATGGTTTGATTGATTGTTTCCCTTTCTTCTGTAAAAATCTTTTTGTATATGCACGGCACTCAAGACAATTTCCCCTCCATATACGCCCGCCCTAATCAATTCACGCTAGACTGACTATAGGGTAGCACCGCATTTCACGCGTAAAGAGAAGGAATTTTTCCCATTTCTGCTTTGCCGCATTTGAACGAGTTGGGTGCTGCTTTGCAAGGATGGCTAAGGGGTGTCAATATCATCTGGTTTAAACTGATCAACTAGATCAAGTTATCGATGTGTCTCATTGTCATCTTTTCAACTATCAACTTTTCGATCATCAAATTTATCATCCAAGAAGTGCCGGCATATGAGGGGTTCTGGCCATGGTATGTAGGCAATAAAGGGTTACGGTGTTAAGGATTGAAAACTCCACTTTGTGTGTGTGCAGGCATTAACCCTGCTTGCTTGCTTGCTTTTTGCCTACGCGTGCGTGCCTGGCTTAAACGCACACCAACACATTATTTTGGCAGGAGAGCACTCTATCGCTATCGGCCCGTAGGTGAACGTGCTTACCAGAATAAAATTACAACAAGTTTGATTTCATTAAGAGGTAGTAACAAAATACAATAACCATTAACATCTTCAACCATCACATTTGGTGATCATGGATGAGCCAATGATCACACCAAAAGCCGATTCGGCAAATCGGTCAGGCTATTTACATTCTAATAACAAGGAAGATACCGATTTCAGTCAAGCTGCTAGAACTGCTATCCCCGTCGGTGAAACAGAACAAGAAGCAGCAACGATAGAAGCAATAGCAGCACGTATACCTAGATTACGCGATTATAATGATCCTTCACGTTTAACCCCACTAAGAGCACATTATCTCAAAAAAACATTGGTAAAATTGGAAATCGAAAAGGAAATTCAGCTACTCTCAAGACAAGACGCTCTTTCTTTGCTCGGACCTCCATTCAAACCCTCCAAACAAACTCAACAGGTCTCCCTTCCTCTTCTGCGGTTTTTATTTCATCACTTCGTTCTCACTTTTCCTTTTCTCAGATCAGCACCGCCAAACTTCTTTGCTGATAAGGTTCAAGTGTTTGTGGACCGATTCGCAGAACGCAATATAAGCAGTACAGATGATCGAGATGAAACGACAAAGCGAAAGAAGCTTGGAGGAAGGATGACCAAATGGTTCGTACTCTTGATGAGTGCTGCCATCCATGTAAAAGGTGGTGATGGAGCAGAAGAAATTCTGAAAATCGCTGATCATGATCGGAATAGACTCTTTGCCGCACATGATCGTCGATACAAAAATAAGAATGGAATTTTGGACGGAGGAGATGAGGCAGGTGCATTCGATGTAAATGTCATCGGTGTAAGGACAAGAAAGATAAAAGCAGGAAGGTTGCAAAGGGGAAAAGCACATGACGAATTCATTATACGGACACGACAGCCTGGTGGTAGGGAAACATTCGTTAGCAGGCGATATGGTGATTTTGCCAGATTGGCAGATACTCTTCGACTCGAATTTCCGGAGGAGGAGATTCCAAGACCGCCACCCAAAGACCGAAGGGAGACTGATGTAAAGTCACCGGTTCATACAGCTGAGAGTAGCCTAAACGATCCAGAGACTGATGATATTCCACAAATCGGTTCACTCAATCTAGATCCCAGAGCTCCATCTCCCTCAGATCGATTAGCATCACGAGATAAGCTTCTGCCTCCATCTCCTACTCCAAACAGTGCTGATTCGACAATTCACAGCGCCCGAAGTTCAACATCGGCAGATAGTGGCACACGTTCGATCATGCCTGGTCCGTTGGCAAGAGAGAGAAATCGATTGACATTAAGGGCCTATCTGCGATCGTTGCTCAAAAATCCCCATGTAGCAGAATCCGAAGCATTGATATCATTCTTGCTAAGCGAGCCGACAACATTGACGTCAAACGAGGAAAGCGATATGCTTGCACGAGAAGCACTAGATGCAGTGCGAGATGATGAGGCCAAACGATTTACCGATGAAGCCAATAGACGGGTAGCAGAATTGCGACATCATCTACAAAGCTTCAAAGAAGATTTGATTCAGGAAGATGGTTTGACAAGGATATTTGGAACGATTAAATCTACACCAAATGTGGAAGATCTGCCGGAGAAGTATAGAGCGCTTTTAGCATGGGGACGGATCAGTCTGGCCAGTACACTATTTCACATGTTCGTCGGTGGAGATGCATCAAGCGATCTGTTCAACCAACTGAAGCGGATACATGGCCTGATGCCTTACTTTATGCTTCGTGGTATTTTGCGAGTTTCCAATCCTGTTTCGATGATCAGAGGTGTTTTGGATTTATTCTTAGCTCAACCTTTCGGACAACGCAGTTTGGCACAAAGGATGCTCACATCTAACATTCAAGAAGAGATCCGAGAATTGAGCGAAATGGCATCGCGAATTGCTATCAAGGTGGAAGATGATGTATTGTGTGAACGGGTGAGATGCTTCGTTTGTGCACCGTATGATCTACAAATGGAAATGAGACAAGAAGCCGAGAGGGATCGATTGGACATCATTACTGTCATTTTGAAAAGTGATACGCTTCCGGGTGCTTCTGCAGACGTTCCACCACCGCTTCCACTTACGCGAAATCAAATTCATCGTGTTGTCCGAAGCAGTCGTGCATACGAACGATATAAAGAGTATCGCAAGAATTTGGGCAAGAATGATGTGGATGAAGGACCAGATGCGGTTGACGATGATGCCTGGCTTTATGAGGATTTGCATGTGCTACTCAAATGCTTGACACGATTGCGGGATAAGGAGCAGTTGGTCAGCTTGTTATTCGAGGGTGTCACATCGGAACTTTTGAAAGATATCGTCACGATCTTTTATTCTCCTTTGGCACAAGTGTATAAAGCGGCAAATATCGCTGACAGTCTTTCGGATCTGCAAGCGTTCATCAATGACCTTATTCGAACAGTGGAAGGCAATGAAGATTTGAGTTATACAGACCCGCAGAAGACGGTACAAGTATTTATCGATTTGGTAAGCCGACATGAAGGTAGATTCTATTCTTTCGTTCATCAAGTACATTCAAAAGGAAGTGGATTGTTTGACGGATTGATGCATTGGGTTGAATTATTTATCAACTTTATTCGTGGACCAGAAGATGGCACCGTTCCTGCGCAAGGAACAGTGGCAAAACGTAGAAGACATGGAGTAGGTGAAGTGGATTTAGAGGTTTGCTTACCGGCTGGAGGACAGGAACGCAAGCGGGTCTTGCACGAGATTGATTGTGTTGTAGTACATGCCTACAGACTTAAATTGATTCGAGAGCTCAAGCTGAAGGGAAGACTAGCAGATCGAGAAGTACGAGGAGCAGCAAAGGTTGCCGGATCTTCTGATGGACAAGGTGGCTTTGGCATTACGGATGATACGGATGAGGATGCATTCATGGGCGCTTTGGCTGAAAACTTCGGAGTAGGAGATGCATTTGCTGATGAGGTGAATGAAGTGGAAGCGGAAGAAGAAGCAGAAGAGGAAGATGAACGAGAAAATGAAGAAACCGATCAAGATGATGAAGATGACGAACACTTTTACGAAAGTTCAATGGATGAAAATAGCAGTCATGAAAATTCACCTTCTTTCAAACCTGTTAGTGAAAGGAAGCCAAATTGGGTTCCACCTAAACCAAAACGATCCGTTTCCACTTTGACGGCCAAAGCTGCCGATAAGGACTTGCCGCCCATTCCAATCGACGATCAAGCAAAAGCGAAGAGGAGAAGAAGAACGCCCAGAGCGCCACAATTAGAGGTGATACCTGAAATGTTGCCATTGTTTATCGAAATGGTGCGACCACTACTGCGACCTGCTCGTACGGCCAGTGCAAGCTCAATCGCTTCTCCAATCTCTGCCGCTGCTTTACAGAATTCGATGCCAACAATAGAGGATGAAGATCGTGCTCCTTCTACTGCTCGTGTACCTGGAGGATGGTTTAGTTGATGATCAAGTGTATTTGTACTTTTAGACTCCCATCGCAGCAAACCGAATGACAAACGTGTATACGATTGATTGATTATATTGGACAATTGACGAAAAGTACAAATGTCTGATGACATTGGTTCATGAGGTGCGAGGCAAGATATGCAAGAGAGAGAGAAAAGATAAGAAAACATCTATAATGATAAAGAAAAAAGTTTGAGGGTGCACATCATGCACCATTGTGACCGTTTGAGTTGCCGTTTGTATGTAGCGGAGATTGTTCTGAATCTATATCGATGAATAATTGATCTCCTTGCCATCTAGCATGTACTTTACTCAAATCTTCTACGACGAAATCTGCGCCTTTTTGCCACATTCTGTTTCCGTCGTGTGTTGTTTTAAGGCCGAGCACTTTTGCGCCTGCGCTCTTTCCACTTTCAACACCAGGAGGAGCATCTTCTACGACAAGGCAACGCTTGATATCCACATTCAAATGTTTCGCTCCAAGCAAGTATGGTTCTGGATCAGGTTTACCTTTCGAACATAAATCCGAAGTGATGAAAACGTTTGGTGGAGGGGCAACGTTTGCCGAAGCGAAGCCTAATTGAGCATAAGCTTTTGTTGCACTTGTTACGATTGCCCAACCTGCTCTTCGTTTAGGATCTTCTTTTTGACCTGAACAAATTTCATCTAGAAGAGAAACAGCGCCTGGCATTGCAACGATTTGACCTTCTTGTTTTCCATTCTTTTTTGCATCTTCGGCAATTTGTGATATTCTTCCTTCGAACGCTTTTACTTCTTCGGGTAATTGTTCATCAGGAATTGAAGGAATGAATCTTTTTAAATTTTCCACCGTTCTCCAGCCATGACAAGTTTGTAAAACGTAATCATAATCTAATCCATATTTGATTGCAATTTCACCCCATGTTGCATTCACTGCTGGCGTTGAATCGATCAACGTTCCGTCCATATCGAACAACACAGCGTCCACTTCAATCGTTTTGACAGTCATTTTTTCTAAGTCGTGATGGTGGAGTAAGAGAGAAAACGTGGCCCTGCGTCGGCGTGTTGAACGGGCGTTTGCAGGAAATGTGAATGATGAAATGCAGTGGTTTGCCAGAATTGGAAATGGAGTGTAATGTTTTACTGGGTATCTTATAATGCACAACTCTTCCTGAGGTGTTATGACGGACCGCTAGAGATTATGTTGTGGTGAAGCCCGATTTAAGTGAAAATTTAAAGTATATTCAGTCATGTTGTTGCAATACAACAACAGTCTTCGGCAAGTTAACATCGGTGCTTTCGGTAAGCCGACATTTCTTACAAGAGTTACTGTCTTCTCTCTCTGTGTTTTCTTCGCAATTCTTTCTTTTATGCATTACGCCCACTCTCTTTACTGAGACTTTTTCCTCGGTTGAATTAGCCGCATCTTTGTTCGCATTGACCAATAAATAATTGGCGCATTTCGTCAGTATACCACACGCGCTTGTAATAATATATTTTTGACACTTCCCCGAATTTTGAAGCGGGCAACTTTAAGCTTAGTCTATCGTGCGGATAGGGGAAAAGTGCTTTTTTTCTGTATAATTGTTACGAATTTCCGACTCCGATCTACCGAAATGCCTCTTCTCCCTCTCTTTCCCCCCCGCGGCATAAATCTTGATTTACATCATGCAAACCTGAATCTATCATTTCAGGCTCAGAGTGAATGCAAATCTTCGGTCCTCACGCCGGTTTCGTAATGCAAGTCTGCGTGTAAGAATTGCTGTTGAAAAGACGACTAATTCCGGTATTAGAGAGAAGAAAGAAAGAAAGGCCGTTTATGATTGTTACCTTGATGGTCTTCATTGTTGTTGTTGCATGCTGCTGCACATAGTATAATCATTATACAATGTGTATTTGAAATGGGATGTATGCGAGTGAAAAAGAGTTTATTTTTATATACATCGGTCAATTCTCAACACCGATACTCCGAGCACACAAACATTGGCTAGCCCTTTGACTCTTGTTAGTCTGGACAATTTTACACTAATACAATCATCAATTCCCGCTAAAAGGCTTTTGCTTTCTCTCTCTTACTTCATTTCGTACGCCGTTATGGGTAACGGCTTTATTCATACAAAGCAAAAGACTGTTTTAATGAGCATGAATTGGAGTGTGGCCTATAAATGCAACAAAACGTTGTGTGGGGCATGAATTCATAATGAAATAGAGATCAATGGTGTAATGCAATAAACATTCTCACCTCATTTCGGCGATTAAACGAGATGATAGAAATTGTGAGAGAGATAGAGTATGCCACAAATCCATGAATCGGTTCCGAGTAAGAAAAACATATGCGATCGATAGCCACAAAATTGCAAAGAAACCTTCTCATTCAATGCAGTGCAGCATTTACTTACAATGCCGATATCGTCAACGGTTAATTTCTAATTTACCCGCAGGTTGCATACAGTCAGAGCAAGAGAATCGACAACCACCTTCGCATCGAAGAAGCCTGAATAGCTTTCATGAAATATAAGCATCTGTGAATAATCCAACGATGAGCAGACAACAAAGCATTCTTCGGACCCGAAATATCTACATGTTGTCCATGTGGCACTATGCCGAGAGACTCTTTAATCGCTTGCAACGATCCGTTCCCTTATGCTAGACATATTTCTTCTGTCTTATACCCACAATAGTAAAGCACTAATGAGATTAGCAATGGAGAAAAATGAATACAGAGGAAATGCGGTCTAAGATGGAATTAATGGTAGATGAATAAAAGTATAGATGAAGAAAACAAAGCTCGTGTGCCTCTGCTTTCTTTTTGATGTGCCGTTTGAGAAGTATGATAGGGAAATGAAATCGTTCTATAGAATTAAATCTCAACTGCAGTAAAAGGCATTGAGCTGAAAAAAAGGCTTTCAATTGTGCTGGTATTATGACTAGATCGAAAGCCAAATGGGATTACCCTAACTTTCGTGCAGTAACGGGTGCGATACTAGTCTCGGGTAAAACTTCCATGTACAAATGCATCAAAGCACCCATCAATCGTTTATCGGAAGTTGCAAAAGATTCAGTCATATCCGCTTCAATTTGACGCATCTCTTGTTCTTTAGTTGTAGTAGAAGGTGACTTTGTTTGAACTTCTTTCGTCATCGAACTTCGGTCACTTTTACGTTCCGATGCAACCGCTTTAAGTGCATCGGCTAAATCTTTCCATCCTCTTTCTTGTTGTCGAAGTGCAGAAAGGGAAAGTTTGATTTCATCTTCAAATTCACCTTCTTGCATTTGAACGATGCCCGAGCCTGAATCTCCATCGACGAAATGGCCCAATAAACTTCTTTGATCTTTTCGGGATCCTTGTTTCCGTTCATCACCGACAGAGCCGAGATGTTTGCTCGGTTGTCTATCAGAAGATAACACTTCTCGGTTGCTTTGCTGCCCTCGGTCATCTAGTTCTCTGCCATCCCCTACGACTGTCTGCAAGCTTTCATGACTGCCAGCCCTGCTCATATTGACCGGCGTATTTCCCTCCGAAAGAGCGATTCCAAGAGAGTGTCCCTTTGTAGCACTCCCCAACCTAGTCTGACTTGAGCTACTTCCACTGGAGCTGGAAGACTGCTGCATAGAAGCTTGCATGGAAAGAGGTGGCTGTTGTACTTTACGCAAATTTCTTGCTGCTGAACGAAGACCGATTTGCACATCATGCAAGGTTGCATACCATTCTTGTGCTCTAGCCTCAAACGTTGCCAACCTTTCTTCATGATCATCAACTTCTCTGATCCTACCACGACCCGACGATGATGATTGATCGGCGGCTGTACTGATGAGACTTTGCAAGCAATCGGCTGCTTGTGATAGTAGTGAAACGATATTCTGTGAGAGCATTCATTCTCTGTCAGCATTTCCTATCAAACCTTTCAACATCCCTCTCAGATACTCACGCTGTCGCAATCCTGCAATCGTTTTACCAGCCTTTGTGCTTTCTCATTACGGCTATAGATTTCAGTGTGCCTCCTTTGCATGTCCACCTTTGCTTTTTCTGCTCGTACTTTTCCGATCATCTCATTGAGATGATCAGCGGTAGACGGTTCAGTAGACATTCTTGAAGGGAGGAGAAGTATCAATGCTGGACTTCAAATAAATCGATCTCTGATTTCGAATGAAATGGCGATTCGTGTATATGAGCCTCATTCCTTCATTGCGATCGATTTGTTGGTGTGAGTGAAAGGAAGGGTACAAAATATGATTTGTTAAAACGTTCTAGAACCAATCGCAAGTCAATCGCGACACTTCTTCTTGGCGTTCCTTGCTGGCTCCTTTTAGCGATGTTGATGATGATGATATTGTATAGGTGATGATAGGAGAGAAAGAGAGCTTAATGACGATCTTGTGTGATGTCTCCTCTTTTGAATATATGGGGTGAGAGCAAGAGGTTCTTGTAAAATGTTGAAATGAAGTCCGCAAGTGAAATGAATGAAAACAAATCGCCGCCGCCAAAATGACGTGTGTGTGTATTTGAATAGGTGCAAGAATGAAAGGCAGGCACAGTGTCTCCTTCTCTCCACCTCGTTTAAACATTCTAGGGTTGCAAAAGATCTTGACTTTTGTTGTGTCCGCTGATTGAATCTTTAGCGTTGAACAGCGGTGTTTGAGCTCAAGATCTTAAGGTCAGGCCTAGGCTCGGGTTAAAGTGCCTCCATTCTCTCACGCATTGACGTCAAGAATTCAATATTCCGTATGGGCGTACGCTAATGGCCTGAACAGCAAAAGACGCGTGCGTGAATGGAAAGAGGGCCAAAGTACTGAAAATGTCACCTGTAAGCCAGATGCAGATTCAAAAGCATAAAGCCAACAAGCAGCTCAGATCGAGAACAGGTACTCCTGCTTCGATCACAGTTCACATGCACATTTTGCCGCGTCTTTATTTTTGGCAAGGAGAATCGATCGATTGTCGGACTTTAAAAACGTCATCACAGGAGATCTGCCTTTTTTGTATGTACTGCACAAACATGCAGGGTAATTGGCACTCTACAAGATCTTGGCTTTTTCCCAGGTAAGATGAAAAATCATTTTCCCACCTTTGTTCTCGATGGATGATGATGATCTTGGAGCATTGTATACACCGGATCAATGTTTCCTTACAAAACTCCGCCATGGTTGGTTACATTTCAAATTTGATCAAAGGTTTCTATCATACAAGTTGTGCTGAGGTGAGAATTAAATCAATGTCCCGTTGGAAATTCGATCGTAAAAGTGAACACCGAAACAATGGATAACGTTCTCTGTACATACTTCTATGCTTTTACAATCAAAGTGAATGCCGCTTCTATCCCCATTCGAAAATGAATTGTATTGTGTTGGAAAGGGTCCATTCTTCTGGAACCATACCGAGATCGAGCAAAGGCAGAGCCGAACCTTGACCGCGGGTCAAAATTCAAGCCACAGGTTGGAGTACATTTATGACAGTGAATGACATATGTGGCTTTCGATCAATACACTACGTACGCGCTGCGCTGCGCCAGCGCCTATTCTTAGTTTGTACACACACTAGAATCCGTTGAAGCTTTGTTCCTGTATTTCTCTCCACTTCGCACAATGCCTAAAGTCAGGAAATGGTCGATGGGTAAAAAAATAAAGTTTGGCCTCCATCGGTGATCACTTTGAGTTGATTAGGTTTGAACGGCTTTCCATTTATGACCACATATCTATTTACACGTCAGTGGCTCGCATCTTGATTGTAGTACGGTATCATCTTTCAGCCGGACATCCAGATCGACACAAGTATCTTCATCATGGGAATTATGTATGCATTGGACAATTTACTCTTGCACCTGACGACGGAAGTGCAACAACAAATAGACATTATCGAGAAAAGATGTTAAACCGTGATCTTGAAGAAAGCCAAAGTATAATCGTTTACGAGCACATAGCATGCTCAAATGAAACAAAGCCTTGTCTTGTTGTATATCTGCATCAGTTCGACAGCCTGGACAGGGAAGCGATCCTTTTTCCGACCCACTGATGAAGACGACATCATATTCTGAACCGATCCCATAATGCATCGTTGAGATTGTAACCTCCCTCTCTGGTTCTCTGGGAAGGTAAGCTAGCTGTTCAGGAGCATAAGCATGACATTCGCGCAGGAATAGATCGAGCGGATGAATGTCATTCGTAATACGATCATCGAAATCTTCCAATCGGATCAAAAGAGATCTGACGTTCTGCCAGCGTGCTCCTGCATAATCAGAAGATGGATGTGGTGCATTGTGATTGACGTCGAAGTTTGGAGGCGGAGAAGGCGATCCGTCTGGAGCTAGTCGTGTTCGAAGGACTCTTTCTTTGTATTGCAATTCTTCCAGTAACGACTTCACCGCCTCATGTATTAGCCCTCCCCGCATATTGATCCAAGCGCTGAGCCTTCGCAATAGACTGAGGTATTGTCGATGGTGGTCAGACATGGGGAATCGTCTGGGATCGTCCTCCAATGCATTGATGTAATGGTCGATCGAATCAGGTCCCGGTAAATTTTCGTAGTCCGGCTCCATCACGTCCCTGCATTTCGAAAAGACTACCAAAGATCTTTCGACAAGATGATGTAGGTTGGGATTCTGAATTGCGCCAAGAAACGAGAGAATATCCAAAGCCTCATTGCTGCAAATATCTATGTTTTCCAGACCCTGTCTCATGAAGGAATGTTAGTGATTGGAAAAAATGCTGCGTCGGTTATGATACCCACCATAACTCTGATGGGACAGTATTCACCACCTAGGCGATTTCTTCTCGTCAATGCATCAACTAAAAAACGAACATTGGCATTCGTTCTTGTCATAATTGCCACCTGTCGGATGAAGAAAAGTTAATGCCGTAAACGTGTACAGCGGTATCGTTGCTCTACTTACTGAACTTAAACTTTCTCCCCTACCTCGATCCTCAAGATGAATCCTGTCTACCTCTTCTTGGATAAATCGTGCTTCTGCTGCAATACTGTGAGATCCCACCGCGACGGGCTGGTATTGTAATCCTTCACGGTTGAAATTGAGTAGATGACGGTTGAAAATTCCATATGCGACTTGCTGGATATTGGAAGAGCTTCTCCAATTGATTCTGTAGTCTACATGTTGGTATAGTGCCCCCACAGGCAGTACTCCTGCCATGAGTTCGTCTGGCGAAAAGGAAATTGGAGCGCCTGTAAATGCATAAGCCGTTCGATCAAGATCCTCCAATCGCCCACCTTCAGTTTGTGCAATGTGATGATCGTTACAGGCTACCATCAATTTGATCGGATTCCCCTCAGCGCTCATTAGTGCTTTGAGGAAGCGCCGTTGCTGTTCAGAGCTGTTCTGAAAGTCGTCTATAACAATTAGGCCAATCTTCTCCGCTTTCGTGATATGACGAGCGTGCATATTGACCAAACGCAGACCAAAGATGACCAAATCTTCAAAGTCGTACAAACGATTATGTCGCAAAATTTCGTCGTACCATGGAAAGAAATCAATTGCAGCGAAAATTTGCGCTTCTGTAAATCTTGCAAAGATGTCGTCCACGAGGCGAAAATCATTGATCTTGTATAAGCGGATGATCTCTTGCAGAGTCAAGGCAAATGCACCGTCATTTTTACAAGTTCGAGCTGCCAGTATCGCACTTTCCAAGAACTCAAAGCTTCGAACGCCCAATGTTAATTCTTCCACCATTTCAATTCGTACTCGCTCTATGTCTTGATTCCAGATATCTTGATTTCGCTCGTAAAATTCATCATTATGCTCAAGGCTTTGCAATAGCTCCAATAATCGCTTTGCTCTTTCTTCTGAACACACTTCTGCCATATTTGGTTGATCGATCAAGTGCCCATATGCTGCCAGCCATTTTCTGCATGTATGATGAATTGTTGTGCAAACAGGATCAACGATTGGCGGTCTTTGTTGGGCAAGTACAAGATTGCCCTCTGCAATGACGACATCTAATCCTTTCGCGAACTTTGCCATTAGATGTGACGTTGCCGTATTGAAAGGAGTCATGCAAAGAGCCTTCATATGAGTGTGATCATCTCCATTTTGCGCATTTAGTCTGATGTTAATTTCACGAATCGCTTGAACAGTCAATTCGAACGTCTTTCCTGATCCAGACGGTCCGACGATCAACAATGGAAGGTTGGGATCTGCATCACCCTGTTCCACGGCATCCATGATTGGCAAAGAGGGGAGAATGTGGTGTGCAAGCAAGATGGATGCCGTGAAGCTCCGATACTAATCACGATTGCAGCACACTTCTTCTCGCAGAATAAATGCTACTCCCACTTCACAATTCATTTGAGTGTAATGCGAATAGAAATGTCAATTGTCAAAAATACAAATGTGTAATAGTGAATGTATGCGCATATATTCTGCCCTCACACATACTTATGGCTTGGTAGTCTTCTCAGAGTCAACATCTTGCAATACTCGATCAGTTTCCTCTTTGATGGCTTCATCCTCTGCTGCCCTCAACTCTGCATCTTCTGGTGTTTCGCCTTCTCCCAAAGATAGCGATCGGTTCAACTGTGCTGACATGTCATCTACCAAACCCTCCGACGAAACTTCATCGAAAACCTCTCCAGATTGCAAATCTTCCAAAGCAAACTGTTGCAATCCGTTCTCGTGGAACAAAGAACCTCCAAGCTTTTCTTCCAACCATTCGATCGCACCAAGATCACAAATGAGCTTCTTGCGTGCCAATACCTCATACGCATGCAATTCACCTGGCTTTTTCAAATCTTCCTTCTTTTTGGCTTTATCGTGTGCGTCCAACGTCAGGTCAGCCAAATTGATCATCTCTATTCTTGGAATATTTCCGCATGCAATTGCAAACGATTGAACTTCTTTGCCATGTTCCAAATCTTGTTCTTCTGTGTAAATCGGATCAGCGGCGGAGAACTTACCAGTCTTTCCTAGTTTCAAGGATGGACGTGGTTCACGTGGTGCTGTAAGGAAGAGGGCATCATCCCATCCTTTGCATTTGAGCTGTTGTCGGAGAGGGCCGGTACTCTGAGGAGGTGGTTGCCAATATAGGTTCTTTACCACATGCAGGTCACCCATTCTCCATCTCAAGGATAACGCCGATCGAAGCGCAAGCTCACGTACTCTTCGGTTGAGCTTTGTAGAGAAATCTCTCGGTCTAGGCCCATGTGCAACACCACCCTTTCGCAACAAAGGACTACTTCTTGTACCACGACGTGCTTTACCGGTTCCTTTTTGCGGTAGAATCTTTTTGCCAGAGAATGCTATTTCACCTCTTGTTTTTGTGGAAGCCGTTCCTTGGCGTAGTCCATCAAGATAATACACCACTGCCGAATGCAGGATATCCTTTCGTGGAGCTGTGTTGAAAACATATGAGGATAGCGGGATATATTGTTTAAGCGCCTCTCCCTTTCTGGTGGAAGGATGTAGATAATTCATCTTGACATGGACCAAAGATTCGTCAACTGGATCGGGAGAAGTTGGTTGTGCGCCTTCGACAACATTTTCAATCGTTGCTGCAGGAGTATGTGGAACAGGATCCAAAGCAGGACTAGCATGCATCATTCTTTGAGCTGATGTGGAAGCTGAGGGTGATTGACATGCTGCGATTGATGTGGCATGCCTTCTTGCCGTACGCGGCACAAGTCGTATCAAGCTCGTCATGTTTGTTGTATATCTGGTGTGAAGAGATTAGGCTTTATGACGATCACAATATCTTTGATGACTTTTTGCGAAGACACCAAGCAAATATTAATTAAGAATGGTTATATAATCTCAAATTATTTCCGATCAACTTCTTCCAGGAAAATATTCGGGCAATCACGTGTAACAGTCAGACTTTTCGCAAAAGTGAAAGTGAGCACGTGTCACGAAAAGTGCAAACGAACGCAGCGGCAGGCTGGGTGGACTACGCGCCAATCGAGGAAAGCAAGCCTACCGCGGCCGAGTGAAATGCCTTTTAGGCTGCTTGATTCTTCTCGCTTCACCTTCAAGCTTGAGGTGTGCGTAGGCTGTCTTTCAGGCGATTGAGCAGTGCGCGCAGTCTTTGGCTTATAACTGAATTTGAGATCACAAGAACGAATTCAAGATTGAGCATCTCTATCCTTTCTACCTTTAGGACCGACACATATACATCAAGGTAAGCGTCATGATGAGATATTGGAGAGCATGATGATGGATGTTGGGGCGACAAAGAGCGGTACGAGCGAGAACTACGACTGGGAGACATGATGGGAAGGAAAGAGATAAAGAATATCGAAAGGGTTGTAGAATGGGATATAGGATCTGCACATCAACAACATCGACCCGACAAGACGTCACCAACTCGATTACGCTCACGACATTCATCATCTGCCTTCTGTTCACCCTTTTCGACCACATACTGATCCTATTTTTTCCCTTTTCAGATGGCTTCGGCACCCGCAGTTTCTTGCTTTGGCAAGAAAAAGACAGCCACCGCTGTGGCATATGCCAAAGAAGGAAAAGGTTTGATCCGCGTTAACGGTCAACCTTTGAACATCATGGAACCAGAATCTCTTCGCTGGAAGATCTACGAGCCAGTCTTGGTCGTTGGTGAAGACAAGTTTGCGTGAGTAGCAAGTGTGTTGCTTTTTCGTATAGCATCGCATCTGACTTTTTCCCTTTCTCTCTTTCAGTACTGTCGACATCCGCTGCCGTGTTTCTGGTGGTGGTCACGTTTCTCAAGTTTACGCTTTACGTCAAGCCATCGCCAAGGCTTTGGTCGCTTACTACGCCAAATACTACGATGCCGCCTCTGCTTTGGAGTTGCGTCAATTGTTTGTTGCATACGACCGTACCTTGTTGATCGCTGATACTCGCCGTATGGAGCCCAAGAAGTTCGGTGGTCGTGGTGCACGCGCACGCCGTCAAAAGTCTTACCGTTAATCGGATCACGACGGTGCAACGATATACGTGCAAGTTGGCATCCTTTGTGTTTACTTGTATGCGTATACAACCTTTTGGTATGCTTTGACTGAGGGAGAAAGAAACAGGTCGAGCATATCATTTGTACAATTATGACGGCACGGTCCTTCATGATCGATGACGGATCGGTCACCACACACACACACATTCACATTTTGCATCCAATCATACACACACACAACTGCATATACATTTGGGACACATGTATCTGTTTACTCTTTTGATGTCGCTCATCTTTGAGCACATCATAAAAATGAATCCCAAAAATCAATGGCATCTTATGATTCTGAGATGAGATTGAATTGAATGAGTAGAAAAAGATGATCACATAAAATGAGGGGAAACCATCAACAACCACACACACCACCTACTCTTCTGCAAGAGCAATGGCTATGTCCATCACGTGCTTGAGCACCACCTTTCTTGGGCACATTGGCGGGATCGTGACTCTCGCTGCTAAGTTTAGAAGGACTTTTTCTTCTGTGAGAAAGTGCACCACCACCAGTAGAGGCAGGCGAACGATTGGGAGATCTTGGCGGTAATTGACTTGAACGAGCAGGAGAAGAAGGTGCAGAAAAACTTTTTTGACGACGAGGAGGAGAGATTTTTAAATTCTTGAACTCAGCTACTAAAGAATCAATACTCTCATTGCTACTTGAACGATGTGATGATGGTGGTGGTGAACCAGTTTCACTACTGCTTGAGAAAGTAGTAGAGGCACGTTTGATCATCATTTTGCCATTTTCACTGACAGGAGAACGTTTCCATAAGATTGCTTGATCGGAGTATTTGAGAGGAAGTACTCGTGCAGTGATTTCGGTAAAGCTTGGGTTGAGTTTGACAGCATCGTTGTCTGCTGCAACGGATGTGTACATGAGTACATTGATAGATAAGATCAGAAGCAAAATCATTTTGGAGAACATCTTTGATTACAAACAAACGCTTGAAGGGTTTGCTTGGTTTTGGAAGCAAGCTGTATCTGTGATAAAATGCTATTTATATACCTTTTGCCTCTAACATTTGACTAAGTCGAACTTGCGTAGCATGAAATTTGAAGTTCGTTTATGGACGACGCCTTTGTTTATCTTGACTCTATGAGGAGGGGCTTTGGAAAGCAGTGTTGGACTTAAAACGATCGACACAGCTTCACGGTTGTCACTCAATGAGAAGAAGCGTTGTTGAAATATACTTTTTTGGCCCCGACTAGCACTCGTATGAGCCTCGAAAGACTGGTATGAGTTCGACTTTATGAAGTTGCTCGTCCCCGTCACATTGCTGCGGGGCTCTACACACGAACACACTCTTCTTTAAAATCATATCATAAAATTGAACTTGTGTTAGAAAAATGACAGAAAGGTGAGAGAGAAGCACTTCTACATGGAAGAGAAAGGGGAAACACAACAAAACAAAAACGGGGCAATCATTCATGCTTGCGTTTTCGGGACGGCGTTTTCCAACCGCCAAAATGTTTAGACATAAGCTCACCTTGCGGATTTGTACTTTCATGACTGGTAGCGGAAGATGAATGATTCGGTGAGCTACGTGGCGGAGCAGCAGCATCACGACTTGCTCCATTAGTTGTAGGATGAACTTTGTGAAATGCAGAAGTGGGAGATTGCGTAATCTTATGTTGCCTTACAGCATCTGGATGATCGATAATGACTGCTGTTTTGCTTACTTTGCGTGCGATGGGTTTTCTTACAGGCTGAGAAAGGTGTGACTTTGATTGCATCACATGATCTTCAGCTGTAAAGCGGCTTTTTGATCGATCATCTCTAACCTGGACTTGGCCTTGATGAGGGTGAGCAAGAGCGGCATCTTTTGTTTGTCTTTGTTCCTTTCGATCTTTGAGGTATTGATATCGATTTGCCAAGTTTTCTGGTGTTGATTTCCACCCTTTACGTTGACGTGAGATTGAATTGACTCTATTACGTGCATTCGAATGTTCTTCTGCTTCACTTGCGCCGAAATAACGTGATTCACCATGACTTGTAGGAATACGAATAAAACGTGATTGAGATGCTAAATGGACTCTTTCAAGTGGGACAGCAGAAGTAGAAGCAGAAGCACCAATCACGGATCGATGATGGCCAGCAGAAGATGGTGTATTCGTATTTTGTTGTTGTCCTTCTTGCACTGCTTTAATAACATTGACAAGCATGCACGATAAGAACAGGTACAATAAAGCGTTTCGTACGTAAAATGTATGCATCTTAAAGCACTTATCAGCGGATATGACGACGTAAAGCAGGATAAAAAGACATGGAAACTGCAAAAGATATAAGATTGAAAAGACATAAGATTGAAATGGTTTGAAAGGCACTGCAATTTGATATAAGCCCCGCCATGCGCTACCCAGAGTAAAAGCTCATACACAATTTCATGCAATACATGACAATTCTACATATCAACCTTTGAAAGACGTTTGCAAGCCTAGCACGACTGAATTTGGTGCCTTTTCCCTTGAATCAGGTTGATAGACATGAACAGTTTGTTTGTGTTTTGGCGCATTCACTCCTCCTCCTCCCATTAATTTGCTTGCCTGTGCTCGATCTTGTCGTTGACGATTTTCCATCTTGACAATCGAATCAAGGACTGCTTGCCTTGCTGCTTGATTTTCACGTCTAAGTCGACTGAGGTCTCGTTCATGAGAGGGATTGACAGTGTCCCGTCTTTCGAATCTTTCTGCGCTTAGTGAACTTGGTTCTGGACTTGAAACTGGAGCTGAATTGGCAATTTTCTGGTATACGATGGTGACCGTGAAACACAACACTATCAGACGAGAGAGTACAAACATGATGTCACTCTAAATCTCGTCAGAAGAAGGATCGGCATCTCACGAACGAAAAGATTGGACTGTATTAATAGACATTGAGGATGAAGGCGCAATCATCTTGGCTGTTGGTAGGAGTCGGGGAGACCTAAATTTCATCATCCAGCCCAAACAACGGGGATATAATTCATATAGCTAATGTGCATTGTGCAGATTGCATGGAAAATAACGATACAATTTCAATTGAGGGGTAGATAACATATCTGCTGAGGAAAAAAGCGGTACAATAGAGAAAACATAATAATGCTACAAAATATATATAGACGAGAGTATTTCATTGATTTCATCATTTTTGGCAAGCTCACAGAGCAAAGCCGATATCGCCGTGCTGTCTTTGATCAGCACCATCAAAGGCAGATGCACGAAGGGTAGAAGAGCTACAAGTAGAATCTCCTGTTCCAGGTCTACGTGGAGCATGTAAAGTATCATTAGATGCAACCGAACGAAGTGATTTTCCGGCTGCAGAAGATCGTAAAATGCTTACTCTTTGATTACTTGATCTTTGAGCAGCATTGGATAAAAGTGTATGTTCTTCAAATGTGAGTCCTAAAGCATCTCCTACAGAACAATCTTCGTTGTTGTTTGTAAATCCATGGTCTTCTACCGTCTTGAAACCTTCCAATCCAAAATCCAATCCTAAGCCCATTGCGGAATCATGTTCCATAGCGCTGGCCAAAAGCTTTCCGCTAGAAGGTGGCGTCTTTGGATGAACGTTGACAGGCGCATTCAAATCAACGCTTTGACGAGCACGAGATTTGGTGGGAATCTTTGGACGATGAGAATCACGTTTGGAGTTATGCTTTCCTGATTTGCCTCCACGTTTCTTTGGCTTATCTTCTTCAACGTCAAATCCAAGTCCGATTCCGTGCAGGTCCAACGGCAAACTCAAATCAAGTTCCAAATGTGGAGAGCTGGAATTTTGAGCGCGAGGATATGGTCGCATTGGTGTAGGCGAATAACCTGGCGTAAGATTCTGACCGCCAGAAGGAGAGATTTGATTTGGAGAAACACGAACAGGGCTGTCTTTGTTGGGCGAAGCATTGGCGAGGTTTGGTGGTGATTCTGTTGAATTGTTCATGGTCGAAGATGTCTTGCGAACGTTGAGTGGACGAGTTCCGGGGAACACACTCGAAGCCATTGGAGCTGGCGAAGATTGTTGGATTCCAAAAGCATTATCCGACAATCTTGGTGTATCACAATCATCTTCATCAGCTTGTGCATCTACGCCAAAAGAGTCCAACATGTATTGAATCTCTGCTGGAGCACTCAAGTCACTGCTGATGCGTTTCTGTGTCGCTTTCTTTAGCAAAGACAACGAATTGCCATCTTGAGAATGATCTACGCTCGTGTTTGCCGTCATCACGCTTGCCAAACTTTGACCTGAAGAAAGAGATGCCAAACTGTCAGCAAATCGTTGACTGTCACGGTTGCTCTTGCTGGAGGTAGAAGATTGAATGCTGTTTGATTTGGAATGCATCGAAGCGATAGAGGAGAATGTAGAAGTTGATCCTTCAGCAAGTAGAGGAGCTTTGTTTGGAACACGGGGAGAAGCTAAAGAAGCAACTTTTGGTGAGACAAATTGAGCACGGGTAAAGCTTGTCGAAGGACTTATGCACATTATTTGTGCAGATTCAACACTTCCTCCTTCTTCATCGCTCGAATCGCTACCGTCACGATCGCTTTCGGCATCCGTACTGTTGCTCAACAAGCTCATCGTCGAAAGTGATCTCGAAAATCCAAACGGTTCATCCGTTGTACTTGTACCACTTTCACTTGCTGCACTTGTACTAAAATCACTCAAATCCGAAATTGTACTTTGCGTACGTGCATGAGTATTGTTACCATCAGCAGCAGCGTGAGCTTTTGCAATAGCATCAAGTGCGCTGACAGAATCCATATGAACGCTCTCGTTGTTGGGTTTATCACCGTCTTTTTGCGTGACTGCCTCTGTTGCTCCAGGGAAGTAGACATCAGACATTTCCAAACTTCTACGTACGCCAGGGCTAGGAATCTCTCCATTGAACGTGGCATATTCGTCTGCTCCTAGATCTGGCGTTGGAGGCATCACGTTCACAACAACTGGTGCTTCCAATCTTGGCACACCCATGATTGTTGCTCCGCTGTTTCGATTGGATCTACGTCTACTTGCGCGATCTTGCGAATTGTTGGGGGAGTACAAAGAAGCAAGTGGCGATCTGGGAGAGCTGTCTGGCAATCTTGGACTGAAGTTGACCAATTTCGGGGATGAAATGCCAACCACCGTGGGACGATTACTCAAATTGACTTTTTGCGCTTGTTGTGGAATCGCACCGTCGTAGCTGTTCTCGTCTTGAGCAGGAGGCACGTTTTCTTGATCTTCATCTTCGATACTCGTATCAAAAAGACCTTCGGGCGTGACCAAAGAAGGTAACTCCGAAAACAGAGTTGGAGACAAGATAGCATCAACACTTTTGCTCCTTCTACGTTCGCTCTTTTGTGTTTTGGGCACATTCATCATTTGTTCCAATGATGGCAAAGGAGGTGCGTTGGTAACTTGGAATTGTTTGACCTTTTTGCGTGGAACCTTGCGTTGTGGAGCGGGAGCAACGTTGATCTCCGGGCTATTCATCTCTTCCTCGAGTTCTGGTGTCAAGACGATTGATGTATTGGAACTGCTTGGCGACATTGAATTATCGTAAGACGATTTACGTACACCTTTTCCAACACTGGAAACCAGTCGTGCTGTAGTCTTTGAAGCAGAAGGCAAACGAGCATGTGCAGGTACGCCATTAGAAGCTTGCTTTTGCGATCGTGCAGCTGCCAATGCCAACATTTCCGTTTGATTATATCCATCGCCCCATAGGATCGATTTGGCTTGTTGAGTTCTTACTTGAACGGTGCTTGGCGTTGCTGTGATCCTGCGTACGTCACGCAAGCTTGGCATACTGGATTTGCGTGCGAGCGTGTTGCGAAGTTTGAGCATCGTTTGGCGGGAAGAAGAGTTTGATATAACTGGAGTGGTTGAGCTTGGAGGTAGAGGAACGGCAAATATGTCGACGGGTGAAGTAGGTGTACTGTTTGATTCGATTTTATGAGAGTGAGGCTTTTGCGAGAATGCATACCCGGCTTGATCGAAAGTGGTCACATGAGCGGGAGCGCTGGAAGGAACATCCCAAACGGGACTTGAAATTGTCACGGGTGTCTTGTTTCCAACTGTGCTCGCTTTGCTATTGCTTCTCTTTCGAGTGAACAAGCGAGAAAGTGATCTTGAAGAAGAAGAGCTACCAGAGTTTTGTGAGCTTTCATGCGGTGATTGGCGTATCTGTTCGTCATCTTCAAATACGCTATTGTTGGATGTTTTCCGTTGCATATCCACGGGTGTCATCACACCAAAACCACGTTCCCAAGCATCACTTTCATCTTGATGAGTTTCGGGTAGCGTGAATGCGGCAAGTTCAGGTGTGCGATTGGCGTGTGATTGTTTAGGACTTTGTCGTGATGATGCTGAAGTGTCTTCTAGATGATATCCATACTCTATTCCCATAGCATAAGCAGGATTGAGAAGAGCAAGACTGGCTTTAGATACCACGTTAACTTTACTCTTTGTTGGATTACGTTTTAGGTCGTTCTTGCGAGACATTGTGAGAATAGGTGAAATAAGGCGATTAGGATACGCCAGAAAATGGCAAAAATGAATGTAGGTGCTAGATTGAAGCAAGTGTGGTGTTGTAGAGGGGGAGGAGATATCGATAGTTGATGGTGGTGACAATGATGGTTTATTCGATCTCAGCAAATTTTGTCAACACATAACAGACCGGGTCCATTTTTGGATCGAAGTGCATATCGCCAAGCGTGTCGATCATGGATCATAGTACCCTTTGAACGGGATAAGTCCCCTTTTTGCCATCCTTACAGAGTTCATAAAATGTATGTAGATCGTCAAAAGGCCTTGCTTCTATGCCTCGGTGAATTGAGATTGAATATGCAGATGAGGAGCATCAAGAATGCGCTTGCCTGCCAATGAAGACCTCTGTGTGTTGCCAAAAGAAGTAACATGTAGGGAGGCGCCACAATGTAGTCATACACAATAGCCAAGACAGGAACATAAGCAATGCAATCAATGCGAAGCTGAGACTAAATTAGCGTTTTATGAGTGTGTTATTCTGCCTCCTGGCTGCCAGACTGATCCTTCACAAATACACTTACCCATTTTGGTTAAGGCACGCGCATATAAAATACAAGTAAGGGGTAACGCCCTGGCGCGTAGGGAATGAATTTGACAAAGAGACCAACACACTTGAGCATAAACGACGCGACGCGTATTGGGAACGCGTATATGATTAGAGAGCTGGACATGGTGATCATGGCTCGGTCCCGATTGTGTATGTAGAATAACCCCTGCTACGATTACCAAGCGGATAGATATATTTGATAACAAGCAAGGAGAACGAAGTGGGGTCAGAAGTGCGATAGAGACCGTGAAGAAAGGTAAAAAGGGGTTAAGGATTAGGTCACCATTGCTAAATTTGACAGGTGGAATATTGTTTTCAGGAACAGCTTCGGAGCAAATAACGGGCTCTCTGCTTATACAATGGGATTATCAAATAAGTCTGTTTGATGCTTTTAGCGGTCTCTTTAGTCTATCAATTTGAAAACATAGTAGTATATTCTTCAAGCTTAAGAAAGAGTTAGCTTCTGTGGTTCATTACCACTGACGATCTCTATATTTTTGTATATGATGCTAGAGCTTATCCTCGGAAGAGACGATTCAATTTCGAGAGAGTATTCCGTCTAGGAGGGGATTAAATACATTCGCACATCTCCTCTTCATAGTGCTTATGGCTGAGTATGTCTTGAAGTTGTGCTTATTTGTCAAATACATTTATAGAGTCTTCTATGGCTTCCTCTCTTTATTGGTTGATCACCATGACCTGAAAAAGCTTTTTAAACATCTTTTAGCAAGCACGCAAAAGATTACTGCACCTGCTTACGTAGTCAATTGCACGGCTTCTTTTGTGCTTTAGCGCTTACACCTTCCCAGCGTGTGAACAAATAGACTGTAGCGATGTGGAGTATTTTATGCCGTACATGCATACAAGCCAGGTAACATTGCCGTCTATGGTGTAGAGCTTATGCTCTGGTTGATGCTGCTTACCCAATTCGTACATACGCAAACGGGATTGCTTAAAAAAGTTGACAAAGCTTATTTCTGCTGAATTGATGATATAATGACAGCGATCCGATCATAAACAGCATACATACGTAATCCATCCATGTGAGGAACGTGCGAGAGAGAGATGAATTGCATTCTATAGTGTCTATTTTCAGTACGGCTTCTATCATATTTTAGTGGAGTAATACCCTAGAATGGAGGAGGGGAACCCTATATGCTAACAAATTGAAGATGTTTTCTTCATTGTTTACAACCAGTCACTATCAAATACACATTGTGAGCATTGGCTGGTAACATTGAAATACTGACAGCATATACTCATACTCTCTCTCCTGCTTCCAGATGTCTTCCTCTTTATTCGTTCGTCAATCTTTGAACTCCAGAGCAAGCGCTCGTTTGGGTTCTGTTCGTTTCGCATCCAATGGTAGTCGTTCTCCTCTAAATTCAGGACCATCATCAGTTGAGGTGAGTAGCATATAGAGACCAAGATATACCTCCAGAGCTAATTCTTCCACGTTACCTCCATAGACCGCACCGCAAGCAGGATCAGAACGTGGAAAGACAACACAAACCGTTTTACCAATCACTGCCGGTTTATTGGCTTTAGGTGCATTTGCATGGTTTTTCACTTCAAGTGATAAAAAAGCAATCGTACCCGTTGGTGTAAATCAAGTTGGCAGTCCTGATAAACTTAAATCGGGTAGCGTTGCCCGTGCACAAGAACAAATTCAAAAGAATGCAGATGATGCAACTTCTCCTCCCAAGAATTAAGCAATAAGCAACGACTGTTTTGTTTGTGTAGCAATGAACTCTTTCTCTTCTCTCAAATGCAATTTGTAGCAAATCTCTGTTTCTTTGACACGATAAGATTGAATGAGTTGCAATAAAGCTACAAATGAATAGAAAAAAGAAGAAATGTTCACTGACGTGCTGAGAAGAGGTATACCTAAATGTTCAAATGGGTGTGGGAGAGGGGTATCAAGGTTGAAGGGCTTGCAGCTTTGCTGAGGAGATCGGTTCCAAATCAGCAGCTTTGGAGGCTTCTATCTGTGCATCACTTGAGGTAGCCAAATTGGGATCATTGTACATCCCCAAGCCCATCTGTTCACTGCCGCCGTCTCTTGGGGAGGGTGAAACGGGCGTAAATCCTAAACTGCTGCTCGTCAACCCTCTTCGCCATGGTTTTCGTTGTATTTCGGGAGAATTTCTGCCTGATTCTGCTCCTGAATCATCTGCATCCGTATCTGAATAGCCAAGTGCACCATCCACTCCAACATCATTTGCCCGTGCAAGTTCATGACGATAATTGAACTTTGGCAAAGGGCTGAGATTCATTGATGATTGTGTTGCGCTACTCTCTTTTGCTGCTGCTGCTTCTTGACTTGCACGAACTGTGCTAACCCTTGCAAACTTTCCGCCCGTTCGAATCCATTCTTCTTCCGCTTCTGCACTTTCTCCTGATATACTTCTTGCTCTGTGTCGTAAAAGTGTATCTGCATCATATGCGCCCGGTGTCAAGAGAGGAGCCCGAACTTGAAGTGATGGAGATTCAGGTGCTCCATTATTTGATGCTGCCAAAATGGAAGCGGTAAGAGGAGGTGGTAACGATTTGATTCCCGCCTTCTCTCGAACTTCTTTTACCCTAACCCTTCTCCTTCTGAAACCTAACGTTCGAAAGATTGCATAACCAGCAAAATCCGTCAAACAAGCAATTATGATCGGAGCAATAATTGCAAAAGCGATCAATCTACAAAATTGCGGTATAGGTGCCAAAAGCGGAGGTAATTCAGGATCAAGCCATTGCCTATAAAGTGGTTTTGAATCATATTTTTGTTGAGCGGCGGTTAATTGAGCAGGAAGAACACCTTCAGGTAACATTTTTACCAATTTTGCATGAGCTGCTTCAATTGCTGCACTTGCTTGTGATCGTGATGAAAGACCACCAACAGCAGCAATAGCACCAGCTGGATTACCCACATTTGCACCGCTCATGTTTTGATGATCTTGCTGCTGGATGTGTGAACGCTATGATCGCTTTTTCCCTTTAGCTTTGCTTATTTTTTGTGATTGAGTGCGTCGATAGCGGCGACGGGAGGCTGCTACCGGAAGCCCGTGCGTTTGAATAGCGAGATGGAATCGGAATGAGAAGGGAATCGGATCGTCGAGATAGGAAGATGATGCTGGAAATGAATCTAATCGTGCAACATGTCAATTTGAATCCAAACTCCATCAAGAGTTGTTTGTGTGTGCTAGGTATGTGATGTTTGAAAGCTTCTCACCAATACAAGGTGCATATATTCAATCAAACAGGTAGTAGGCCTGTTGCCCACATTAAGAACAACGTGCATACACTTTGCTGCTTGCGCGGGTCAAAAGGCAACAAAGTGAGGGGCGTATTCAATAAGAAGGCACATCACCAGCACACACGCACATATAATCTCCACAACAAACGAACGGGTTCATATTGTAAACGGGAAATCAAATATTGCAACTCACTCACTCTACCATAACATGCACAACTAAAGAGTTTCGCCGTTAACGACAAGACAATTAAAGCACAGCATCTTCCCCAAAAACCCTCTCTGGGAACGTTGTATGCAGCATAATTTGTGGCTATGCTTGGCTTGGCTTCCAAAAAGCACTTTCCAGCTTAAGCGCGCTAAAACCATGCAAGACAAGCCAAAGCAGAACTCTAAAATCGGCCCGGCGGCTTACATACAGTACAGGTGATAGAGGAAAGACAATGATCATCATCTCCATATTCTCAACATCATCACAATCACACTCAATATGGCTCTCTGTATCAACTGCGTATCCGGCGACGTGATCCCGGGTACACCTCGCGGACAAATTCAGAAAATCGGTCCATACGATACATATGTCTCCAAACCATCATCTTCAGAAAATCAAACTGGAAACGATAAAGCTGTTGTCTTGTTCACAGATGTTTTCGGATTGGCTTTGACGAATATCAAATTAATCGCTGATATCATCTCTGATCGTACAGGAATCACCACTTTTGTGCCTGATGTATGTATTCGGCGCGATAATCGAACAGAGAACACTTACTGATGCATACACCCTCCTCCAGCTTTTCCATGGCAAACCAATCGATCCAGCAGGAATGAGTATACCAAGTTCCGCAACCGAAATTCGCGGTAAATCGTTCGTTTCCAAAATCACAACAACGGCAAAGATGTTAACTTTTGCACCTTGTAAGTGAAGAGAAATGCGGGATGTGTATCTAGCAATGCTGACATCTCCTCCCTTCCAAAGGGGTATACCGCAATTGGCCAACGAGCAAATACAATGATGTAGAAACATTCTTGTCCGCTTTGAAGGAAACTCAAAGTGTCAAGCGGGTCGGAGCATCAGGGTGAGCTGATCCTGATGGGATGGTTGACGGGGGAAGAGAAACTGATTTCCTGCTTCTTTTCTATAGATACTGCTACGGAGGCAAGTTGGCAATCGATTTCAACACAAAAGGATTGGTGGATGTGACTGTTGTCAATCATCCAAGTTTCGTCAATGCGTCTTCTTTTGCTGATTTAAAGGGACCTATCCTATTCAACTGCGCTGAAGAGGATGATATGTTCCCTGTCAAAACTGTTGAACAAGTTCGTGCAATGTTGGATAACAATGATAAAGCACCAAAACATGATTTCAAAGTTTTCAAAGGAACTGCACATTCTTTCTGTGCTAGACCTAACCTTGCTGATGAACACGTCAAGAAGGGCTTCGAAGAGGTGAGTAGGGGGTGGAATAGCACGAACGACTCATTGACTGACAATCTCTCTCTCCAGGCAACCTCTCGTACAGCAGATTGGTTCAAATCACACTTGTGAACGGGCGTCTGTCCCACGTTTGTTTTCTTCTTTTGTACCTATTTCATTCTAATCATGGATTCGTAATCGTTGCATGGAATATATATATGATGGCCTAGTGACTGAAAATTACCATGTTTCACATCTTGCAAATGCTAGTCGTTCCAAAGAACTGGTACATCAGCCAAAGAAAGCCATCAAAATCGTTCTTGGACGCATAAGCCTTGTTGAACTTTATCCTGTTTAAGTAAAAACGGAAAAAGTTCATGAGGTGGCTGTCCTTGCATCTGAAAATTATAAAGGTAGAAAAGCAAAAAGTTCAATGATTATTATTTGGCTTTTGAATAATAATTTTTATTTTGAATAAACTTCCCGTCTGCCCGCCCGCCTACACGTGTGTTGGATCAGTTACACACAAGTGCAACCCGTTAGCGTTGCCTACTCTTTGAGGGGTTGGTGTGCAGTGTGTTGATTGACCAAATAAACACTCTGTCAAATACACAGCTCTAGCGCCCACTCTCTGCGAGAAGTTTGTCATGCACGGTCTTCTTCAAAGGCATCTTTGTGCAATCAACAATCCTCCTATCAAACCCTCATCATCCTCTAATATCACCCAAACATGTCATCATCAGTAGAACCAGTGGATATCGTAGCATTACGTAAAAAGTTCGAAAAAGCCGGACAATCACACGTTTTTCATTTTTGGGATGATTTAAATCCTGACGATCAAGGTGCTCTGGTTGAACAATTATCAGAATTGGACGTCGAAAGAGTGAATTCGGTTTATAAACGTGCTTTAGAAGGTGAAGAAGAAATGAAACAATTAGCAAACAGTAAATCAAAAATTGAACCTCCAACACCGGAAAGTACAACAAGTCTCGCACCTGGATCTTCTGAGGAGAACGGTTTACGTGAATTCGGTTTAGACGCAATCGCTGCTGGCAAAGTGGGTGTCTTGTTGTTGGCTGGCGGTCAAGGTACACGATTGGGATCATCAGCACCAAAAGGATGTTACGATATCGGCTTGCCATCTCACAAAAGCTTGTTCCAATTACAGGCGGAGCGTATCCTGAGATTACAAGAATTGGCCGGAAAGAGAGCACATAAATCTGGCAAAGATGTTGTGATTACATGGTTCATCATGACTTCAGGTCCTACAAGACAGCCAACAGAATCATATTTTGCACAAAATTCCTACTTTGGACTTGATAGCAAAAATGTCATCTTTTTCGAGCAAGGAACTTTACCATGTCTAACGATGGACGGAAAGATCATGCTAGATGCTCCTCACAAGGTCGCAACGGCTCCCGACGGCAACGGCGGCATTTACAGGGCTCTCCGACAACATCTACATAAAGGATCAAAAGACAGTGTCTTGTCGATTTTAGCCGATCGCAAGATTGAATACTTACACGCATATGGAGTAGACAACTGTCTTGTCCGAGTTGGAGATCCTGTCTTTATCGGAGTGAACGTTCAACGGGCACAACAAATCGCAACCGATGGTGGCAGTCCTCATCAAACAGGAGTCAAAACAGTCAAGAAAGTTGATCCCAAGGAGAGTGTGGGAATCGTAGCAAGGCGCGATGGTCATTGGAGTGTGATCGAATATTCCGAAATTCCGGCAGAATTGAGCGCAGCAAGAGATTCTTCCGGTAATTTGCTCTTGCGTGCGGCAAACATTGTCAATCACTTTTACACTTCTGCATTTTTGACAAACGATGTTGAAGCAATCGAAGCAAAGATCCCGTTCCACATTGCACGCAAGAAGATCCCAACGATTGATCTTGAGAGTGGAAAGACTGTCAAGCCTAGCACGCCTAATGGAATGAAGTTGGAAATGTTCATCTTTGACGTATTCCCACATCTTAAATCGGATTTGGTGGTTCATGAAGTAGAACGACCATCAGAGTTCAGTCCATTGAAGAATGCACCAAACACAGGTGTGGATGATCCACAAACATCAAGACGCGATCTGCTGGCTTTGCAGAGATCTTGGTTGCAACAAGCAGGAGCGACGTTTGCTGAAGGCGTAGAAGTGGAAGTCAGCCCGTTGGTTAGCTATTCGGGAGAAGGATTGGAAGCTGTCAAAGGACGACACTTTGACAAGAGCACTGTCATTGACAGTCTTTAGAATGTATGGTGGAAGAGCGTTGGACAGCATGTCATTTTAGGTAACCTATCAAATATATCATCATCATTACAGAAACGAATCATTTACAAGAATGAGACCGAGGTTGTGAAATTGAGGGTATAGATTGGTAGCGGGCGGCTACTTTCTTTTGGAGATCAAAGCTCTCTTGCGGACCCATTGTCCAACGGCTGTGTGCATCTTTTTGATGCTTGGGTAAAACCAAATCATCGCTCCAAAATCGTGAGGGTGTTCGGGCTAGAGGGAGAAGGGATGATGTTAGTATGCAATCTGTCGTGCTGCTATTGCACAGTCACTCACCATTATGAAATGATCAACATCTCTTCCTGCAGATTTGATGTTTCTGACAAAGATATTTGCTTCTTCCATTAAAGCTTCTGCCCCTCCATTCGTGACGATGACAGGAGGAAGTTTAGAGAGAATACTAGAATCCCAATGAACCGGACTGATCCAAGGATCTTCCGCTTTTGGTAAACCTCTCGTTTGCAAGGCGTTGAAGCCAATTATGGTGTAATCGGGCGTAAGTGCACAAGTGTGAAGTTTGTCTTTGTATGCCTGTCGTTTGAAACCCTGCATGTCTAGCCATGGAGAATGAAGGATCAATCCTCTAACGGCTGCCGAATCCTCTTCAACTTCTTGCAAATATTTCCAAAGAGTTAAAGCAAGATTTGCACCTGCAGAATCTCCTCCTATCAAAATGTGTTCATAACCTAATTCACGTAAATGTTTCCATGCAGAAAATGCTTCGAATAATTGCGTTGGATATTTGGATCCAGGTGCAAGTCTATAATTGATGGAAAATACGTCCAATTTTCCAAATCTTGCTTGTAATCTGGCCAACGTGAGTCCTACAAAGATATCGCCTGCTTCCAACGTGATGTATGCACCGCCATCTGAGAAGGGAGAGGAGAGTGAGCTGATCGTGTATCGATCCAAGACACCATGTTCAACACTTACGGAAATAGAGTAGAACTGGGGTCTTTCTTGTTGCTTTTTGTAGTTGACCGTTGACATACTTTTCTTGTGGGTTCAGGTACCACAGTCCAGCAGATCTTTTGGTGATCTCTTCCGGTCTTAATCGAACGGGAAGGCCGGTATCATCAAAGGTGAATTTGTCTTTAGAGCTTGCGTCAATTGTTTTGACTGGTGCTGGTTGAATCCAAGCAAATCTTCTACACAAGATCCAATCTCGTAGTCTTGATGGTGTTCTGGTATTGAGAGCAGGTTGACAGCCTACTTTCGCTAACCAGAATAACATCGCTCTTGCGGTAAATGTTAACATCCATTGTATTGGGTTTGGACTCACTTTTGGATTTTTAGACCAAATCAAAACACCTTTACAGAACCAGACCGGCGCCATTCCAGCCGTGTTGGCCAAAGTTAAAATCAAAGCCACAGCACCACGTACGAACCATGATACACCGCCCATCTTGCAAATGAATGAGATGGTGGAGAAGAGTGAGTGAAAGAGTGTACTTTCTGACAATCTACTTTTACCCCGCATTTCTTTTGTAGGTTCACCATTAGCGGCCTAAATTAGCGCAACGCGTTAAATTTTAAGCCGGACCGTTGCAACCACTTTTTGTGCATTTTAACCGAGGGTGCACAAATGGATACTATCGTTGCAAGAAACGGTACTTAAAGAAGAAGTCATGCTATTGAGATCGATATTGAAAAAGAACAAAATGAAAAATAAAAAGGTGAAACAAACAAGTATGCTAAAGAAGCAATGAATTCAAGATGAGCCAAACTTCTTCTTCATTCGTGCCCAGATACTGCGTGGCGGTCTGGAGATTGAACTGTCTTTGCGAGTCATTCCAGCAGGACAACTATTACCAGAACATCCTGGATCGGAAGCGATTGTCTCTGGATGAGCTGTACAGTGACTTCCATCGCAAGCTCCGCATTGATGCTGTAACAGTGATGGTGTCAGTGTAAACTATCCTTTCATCAAATACTACATTCTTTCAGCTTACAGGACATGGAGTTCCGCTATCACACGGTAATACCTGAGAGAATGAGATTGTACAACGGGTTTAGCGGATAAAAGACAGTAACAAAGAAAAGCAAGTCAACTCACCTTACAATTGTCGGCAATTGTTCTTGGTGACAAATTGTGCTTTGCAAGGTGTTTGTGCCAAGCATCCCAAGGATCTTCGTTGTGTTCAACATATACTTCTTTGAATGCAATTTTTTTGTACCTTCTTTGCTCGTCAGCTGCCAATATCAAGCCAAAATTGAAAGAGATGAGAAGTGCTGAAGCAAAAAAAACAACAGACTTCATGATGAAATGACAGGAAGCAAGTGAAGTGATGATGGTTTGGTAAAAAAAGCAATTGTTTGGAGGCATCCTATATACCTTTTGACAAATACAGTATGAGGCAGTGTATTTATACATTGGCAGTATTGCAAGGCTCGCTATTGGCATTAAATGAAACACAATATACAACATGCGTAAGTCAACCGAGAAGAAAGCGAATTGTTGCTATTGCGTTCCGCAATGAACACGATCCTGATCTCTCTGACCGAAGGTAGAGCGAATGCTTATCTTTGCGTACCACAACAGACTAAAAAGAATCAATCACGGTATATATTGTAAAATAGAGCTGTGCAGACAATTATTTACAAAGTGTAGCTGAGAGAACATCGCTTTGATGTGCTGCAAATAAACAATCACCGTTAACAAAATTGAATCTAGGATGAATTATCTACCATACAGACAAATTCCTTCTCGTTGAAGATATTTGCACAAAATCCACATCCAGCCTGCCAAGAGTGAATGAGGTACGCAAATGCACAGGTTCAACCGTTAGCCGAGGATTTGCATCTAGAGAGATTCCCTTTGTACTCACAGGACAACCTGTAGGTATCGCATTTGGATTACATGAAATTTTCTTGATATTGTTGAGAAAGTATAGAATTAGCATTCCGATCATCCCGTAACAAATCTTACCACACTCACATTGCATTCACTTTCTGGTAGCTTTTTAGTCATGGGTTTTTGTTTGCGCAACTCTGCTTGCGTGGGATATTTCTCATTTTTCACTTTTGATGATGCTTGCACCAAGACCACCAACAGAGGAAGGATAGCTGCTACGTTGAAAAAAATCTTATGCATCTTTTGTTGTCGTATAATGGCTGGTTGTCGGGAAGTGTAGAGAGAGTGACTGACTTTATACCTGACGTCTTTCCTTGTATCATTCATCCCTCCTTAGATCCGCACGTACAAGCCGCTTTTCTCCCGAAGATCACCGAGGTCTACTCTCACAGCATCACTCAAGCCTCGAGCACTAAATGGCTGACACAGCAATCGCATTCACAGCATTTCATCTTTATGTTACAACATTCCAATCAAACGTTGTCCCCTGTGAAGCACCACTTGGGTACTTCTTGGTTGATCCCGTAAACGTTCTCGGAGCAGGAAATTCACTTGCCATCGGGAACGAAAGATGTCCAGAATTCGAAGGTGGCATTGGAATCTTTCCCACTGCTGCTGCTGCTGCTGCTCCTGCTCCTTCTCCACTTCCATTCCTTGACCCATTCACTATCGGAGAAGATGGAGGTCCACTTGCAACTCGAGGCGCTGCTCGGGATATAGGAGGAGGCAAAGCTGCCGATACACTTCTTGCAGCTGGAGAAGGCGCTGCTGGAGGTGGTGGAGGAGCAGATGGCGGTGCTACTCTGCTTGGCGCAGCAGGAGCCCTTCCTGGAGGTGCAGGAGGAGGTGAAGCTGGCGTTTGAGCTGCTGGTCTGCTCGATGGAGGTGGAGGAGGCGCAGCTGCTCGAGATGGAGCTGGAGGTGCTTGTGCTGCAGGTCGGCTTGGAGGTGCAGGTGGTGGTGGCGCAGCTGCTCTAGATGGCGGTGGTGGAGGTACCGATCTAGAAGGAGAAGATATCGATGCAGATTCCGAAGCTGGTGATGGACGAGATGGGGCTGGAGGTGCAACAGGTGGAGGAGGTGGAGCCGCAGCTGAAGGACGAGGAGGTGCGACTGGAGGCGCTGGCGGTGGCGGTGGAGCTCCTGCTGGTACTCGAGAAGGTGCTGCAGGTGGAGGAGGAGGAGGAGCAGCGGGAACAATTCGATTCGGTAGACTGGGCGGAGCTCTTGGTGGAACAGGAGCAGCGCGAGGTGGTGGTGGAGCGGCTCGAGGAGCAGGAGGAGCCGATCTTCCTGGCAATGTTGGCGCTGATCCAGATGATGGCGGCGGTGGAGGTGGTCTAGGTGGTGCTGAAGACGCTGATGCACTTGGTCTTGGCGGAGGAGCTCTCGGAGCTGCTGGAGCTGCACGAGGAGGTGGTGCTTTTGCTGAGTGGGGGAGATACAAATCGTTAGCCTATCGAATAGATTTTTTAGCAACCTTGCCAATTTGTACTTACGAGCAGAAGGAACGGTCGGAGGAGGTGCTCCTGATCCACCACTAGGTCGTAACTTTGGCATGCCACCTGCAAATAAACCACCTAATCCTGGAGGGCCTGCAGCAGCAGCAGGTGGCGCAGGTGCTCCTCCACCTCCTGGTACCGGTGGTGCCCTTCCAATGCTTGGAGCTGCACTACTACTTGATGCATTTCCAGCAACGGTAGGTGCGGATCTATCATTCGTTTGTGCCTCTGGAAGGAGGGGAGGAAGTAGTGATCGTTAGCATGCATTTACAGAGCAGTGGTCCATCAAAGAGGGGGGGATTTGTCGTTGTTGCCTTTGTTGCACTCACTTTTTAGCTTTTTACCATTTCTGATGGCATCCTGAAGAGCGCCATCCATTGTGAATAATTGTCTAGATGATGGCTGTAAAAGCAAGAAACGGAAATGGATTCCATCAAGTCTATATGAACCGTGCATGTAGCCAAAGGCGGAGTCAAGAGTAGTTTAGGCTGTGTAAGTCTTTTGCGCACCCGCGCGTATGGTTGTTTGTCTTGCTCTGCTTCCGCGCTAGAATAAATGCAAAAGCGGTGAGTTGTTGTTGTTAAGAAGATTCTTCTCATTCCAAAATTGTCACAACATCGATCACAATTGAAATCATGGCAACTTTTATCGAAGCAGAAGCTGGTCCTTCAACAATCCCTGAACAAAGCGGAACAAAATTATACGAAAGATTAACACAGTCCAGTGCAAATCGAAGAACGTACGAACATGATGATGAACGCAATTCAGACGATGCAAATGATGATGAACTATTTGATGAATTAGAGCGAGAACTAGAAGAAGAAGATGAACGTGGTACAGGAACCATGGGAAGACTACGGGAAGAACGTATGGAACAATTACGAAGCCAGTGAGTGGAACTGGTGTAACAGTGATTCACAGAATACTTACATTCTGTTCCCATCTTTACAGAATCCGACAGGAAGAAGCCATTAGAAATGCACCAAAGGGAAGCGGACAGGTCTCAGAACCTTCGAGTGAAAAAGAGTTGATGAGCGTCTTGGCCGATAGAGGAGGAGAACTAGGTTCTGGAAGCGGACAGCCGATCATTGTGCATTTTTATCACAAAGAATTCCGAAGATGCGATATCATGGAAACACATCTTGACGTACGTATACTAGCTAAATATTTTGCAGTCGAAATGAATTAACACATTTCCTCCGAACTCTCTCAACAGTCTCTCGCTGCTCAACATCCAGAAGCGCTTTTTCTCAAAATATCCGTACTTTCTTCACCATTTTTGGTAGAAAAGCTTGGCATAAAAGTACTGCCTTGCTTGGTCATCTTTGGTCGAAAAGTCAACGTGAAAGATCGAATCGTTGGATTTGAAGATCTGGGTAATTCAGACGGATTCACAACCCGCACACTTGAATGGAGACTGGCTCAAGGAGGTGCCTTGCATAAACATCAATCTGAACCGGACCATCAGCGAGCCATTGGTCTTGGACCGTACATAGCACAAAGAAGTGCCGCCGATGATGACGATCTTGATTGGGATTAAGATTGTTTGTGTAGTTCATCATCCATTAACATGTATAACTTAATAAAAATCATTCTTTTATCACTCGGATTTGGTGGAGACAAATGAATTGAGATATTCGAGATGTATGTATGTAAGAAACAAAGGGTTTTTTTCAATGAGCACCATAGACTCCGCGATGATGCTAGCGCGGGCGAAAAGAGTAATAGAAAAGCATATTAAAGGGTATAGACAACAGTGACCATAAGAAAAGAATACGATCATTCAATCAACACCCAACAATACACTCGTGTTGCGAAAGAACAGCAAAAAGCGCGAACGCAATTCGAATGATCTTTCTTCAACACAGATCCGCTTACTTCTTCTTGGATGCCTTTTCGGCAGCCTTGGTGACCTTGCCCTTTCCACCAACAGCGGCTTCAACGGACTTGATAACACCGACAGCGACGGTCTAAAAGTAGAATAGAAGAGGAAAATGTTAGTATGTCTGTTCCTTATTACTGAATCAACAATAAAATACTCACTTGTCTCATGTCACGGACAGCGAAACGACCAAGAGGAGGGAAGTCTGAGAAGGCTTCAACGCACATTGGTTTGGTGGGAATCATCTTAACCATGGCAGCGTCACCAGACTTGATGAACTTGGGTGCATCTTCGATGGATTTACCGGAACGACGGTCAATCTTCTCCAAGAGTGTGTCGAACTTGCAAGCAATGTGTGCAGTGTGGCAATCCAAGACTGGTGCGTAACCGTTACCGATTTGACCAGGGTGGTTCATGACAATGACTTGAGCAGTGAATGATGCACATTCGCTGGCTGGGGAGTTCTTGGAGTCAGAGGCAACGTTACCACGACGGATGTCCTTGACGGAAACGTTCTTGACGTTGAAACCAACGTTGTCTCCTGGCAAACCTTCTGGCAAAGATTCGTGGTGCATTTCGACGGACTTGACTTCGGTGGTGACGTTTGATGGTGCGAAGGTAACAACCATACCTGGTTTGATAACACCGGTTTCGACACGACCGACTGGCACAGTACCGATACCACCGATCTTGTAAACATCTTGCAAAGGAAGACGCAATGGCTTGTCGGTAGGACGGCTTGGAGGTTCGATAGCATCAATGGCATCCAAAAGGGTCTTACCAGTGCTCTTACCAGCCTTGGTTTCCTTTTCCCAACCCTTGTACCAAGCCATGTTGGTGGTGGCTTCAATCATGTTGTCACCGTGCCATCCAGAAATGGGCACAAATGCTACGCTTTTGGGGTTGCTTTATTTTTGGAAAGTTAAATGAAAGGAGAAGTAATTGTTAGAATCATTGTGACCGTGACGAAAAATGCAAATACGGAAATACTCACTAACCGACCTTCTTGATGAAGTTGGAAACTTCCTTGACAATTTCGTTGAAACGTTCTTCGGAGTATTTGGTTGTGTCCATCTTGTTGACGGCAACAATCAATTGACGGACACCCAATGTGAAGGACAACAAGGCGTGTTCACGGGTTTGACCGTCCTTGGAGATACCAGCTTCGAATTCACCAGTACCGGCGGCGATAATCAAGATAGCACAGTCAGCTTGGGATGTACCTGTGATCATGTTCTGTAGAGTGAAAGGAATGCGAAGAATCGTCAGTGAATACGTTCAGAGGATAACGCGCAGATATATTGACTGCGGAAGATAAGACCAGCGCGCGAGTAGTGCACTACAGCAGTGTTGATCTTCTCTTCCGTGTAGTTCATCAATAAAATCTTCTCGTTGGCTCAGGCTGTAGAGCGCGCGCAGCAAGAGCTTCTCGTCATCATGGAAGATAGGAGTAGCAATTGCTGGCAGGCTAGACAGCTCAAAACCCAAGAAAGAAGACAGATTGATGATGCAATCAAATAAATGGAAACTCACCTTGATGAAATCTCTGTGACCAGGAGCGTCAATGACGGTAACGTGGTACTTGGGTGTCTCGAATTTCCACAAGGCAATATCGATGGTAATACCACGTTCACGTTCAGCCTTGAGTTTGTCCAAAACCCAGGCGTACTTGAAGGAACCTTTTCCGAGTTCGGCGGCTTCCTTCTCGAACTTCTCGATGGTACGCTTGTCAATACCACCACATTTGTAGATCATGTGACCGGTGGTGGTTGATTTACCGGAATCGACGTGGCCGATAACGACGATGTTAATGTGAGTCTTTTCCTTACCCATTTTTGCGACTGATGGTGTGACGACGAGAGAAAGAGAAGGGGCTAGGGTCAGTTGCTTTGTTCGTTGTGATTGTGTATGGTTAATTTGATTAGAGGTAATACTCACATACTAGAGATTAAAAACAAAGGTTAAACTAATCTGGAGTGGTGGTGGGAGAAGAAGAAAGTTGGGTTAGGAGGTGGCGAATAAGTACAACGTAGACACACACACTCACACTCGCACACACACTCGCACTCAAAGCTTATAGCAGGGCAGAAAGGATGGAAAAAATCTTTCTCGCTTTTTTTTTCTTCTCCTGCGCCTGCGCAAAAATCGATTCAAACGAGGCACGCGCACTGATTTTTTTCCAAATGAAGGAGGGAGTCTCGTATGGGAGGAGGGCGTAATTCTTCTTCTAGCTTCTGCACTGCTTGCAAAAGAGGTTCAAACAGTAAAGTATAGTTGAATAAATTCTATGTTGGGCACGAGTGCAGTCTTTTCCGAAATTAAGAAGAAACGCATCGAGAAAAAATTTTCTTCCCCTTGCCTAGCTTGCTTGCTGCTGTGCTGGCTGGCTGGCTGACTGGCAAGGATAAGTGTTTGTTCAACCTGTAAGCCAGACAAGACAGCCTTGCTGGCGTTCGATTGCACTTTTCGCTAGTGCTGCAGCCAAAAAGTTTATAAACTTCTTCGAGTTTTCAGTCAAAGGCACTTCGACACTTTGCCTGTCTGCCACGTTCTACTCCCTTCAAACGCAAGTTGAGGTAACCATACCTTCGCGTAAAAGGATGCCTGCCGCTGCCATTAGCGCATAAGGTTCGATTAGATCACGTGGAAAACAAAACTGCTTACCTCATCTTGTTCAACTTGTGTAGTTATCTAATCACTCTCGAATGAATGCTATCTTTGCTTAATTCACAACTGAATGAAAAGGTTATAATTCACCTCAATACCCTCGATAATGATGAAATGGCAGCAAAAATGCATTGTTGAATATGTGTACAGTGAATCGTTAAGGGATACGTTACAGGGTATAAATGGATCTTTGGATGAAATTAGAGCGATGGTGGAATGTCTGGCGGGAATCGATGCTCATTGGCAAATGTTGCTGAATTGATGCAATAAAAGCTCCATCCCGACTGTCATCCTTAAAGTAAGGCGTGGTTTTTGGTAATCCGAAAAGACAGAGAGGCAAGCAAATTGTTGAGCTCGATGGATCGAACACAATCTGCTCATTCTCAAATGGTCGAGCTTGAGAGATCCCTCGGATGCTCACCCCATGTGCTTCAGCAAGCAGGACAGGTAATGAGAGATCCATCCTATGCTAACCACTTTGTGAAAGGTCGAAAAAAGTGCATGTTGGGTGCGATTCGCTACATGACTTTGCTATAGCGTCTCTCCAGCAACGAGCAAGAGGGCAGAGGAGAGCACGATTCCTGCAACGATCATCTTACTTGCTCGATTGGCAGCAGAAAGTGCGCCATTTGCTTGTGTCTGCGTGCCTTGTTGTTCGGCGCTAATTGTCGCTCCGCTCGTATTGCAAACACCCCAAGGTCCCGTCACAGCCGATCGACAATGTTCTTCGGCTGTGTATTTATAACACAAGAGCATATTGTTAAAATTGTTCGTTCGACAAGCCGGTTCGCTCAATTGAGAAGCATCACCGTTTGATGTGCTATTAGCGGTAGAAGTTGAATTTGAGCTGGTAGTATTTTGACCCCCTCCAGATGGATCTGATTGGGATGGCTGTGAAAGATCTAAAATCATTCCACCTACTGCACCGCAACAATAAACAGTCACATCGGCGTAATATGATGCACATTCTCCTGCATCGGTCACCGGAGGTAAACCGGATTCTTGTGCAAGGGTACATGTTCCATTAAATTGACCTGACTCGTTTGCCACTTTTGATAAAGAAATTTGATCTTCTATGGACCATTTATCCGTTTGACGTTTTTGAAATAAATTATGTGAGTATTGAATATCGGATCGAACGACTGAAGGGCCAGCGATGCCTCTCGCTATCAATTCACTAGGAGGCGCCATGGTTGATAGTGGAGAGTTGGTTTGTTGAGTAAAGAAGGTTGGCTCTTTATACTACTGTGATTGAATTGCAATATTATAAGCATTCATCAGCATTTGAACGATGACAATGATGGTTTGAATGAAAGATCGCAGTTAGAAATCGTTGGCTTGGCTATACGGCTTGGCTGCAGTTGCGGTGGAGTTGGTGTGTGTATGTGTATTGTTTGGTTCTATCTTTTGACAGGGCCCACTTCAAAATTGAATCGCATCTAGAAATGGATCGCATCTCACCCCAAAAGAGGAGGAAAGAGAGAGAGGGCTTCATCACCAAAAAGATTCAATCTCCTCCTCCTCTTTGAAAGGCGGGCTGAGTATGCTGTTCATGCGGACAAAGAATGCATGCATTAAAGATGCAATACTCGGCCAGTCTATTTTTCCAATTACGCGTGCCAAGATTATTTTCTTGGCATCGATTAAAATTCACGGCCGGCATCAAAGGCACGAAATGGCAGGAGGGGGAGCCGAGAATGGCATATTAAGGCTCACTAAGTCAATTGTGCACACGTTTATCTTCTCTAAACACGGCGCGCTGCACACTCACACTCAAATTATCCGGCAATTGTCCGAAAACTTAGAATTTTGCAGTGATTATGTAATTTGTGGTGTACTGGGTTACCTCTCCCAGTGACATGGTGATCAATTGACATAAGTCATCTGTAGGATGGCGGTGGAATACCTCGCACACAGGTAGAGACAGTATGGCCATCGATGGATGTTGTTGGACAGTAGACTTCGCGCAAATGTGCATGTGTCGATCGAAAGGCAATTCTGAGTTTGCATGAACATTCTACTATTCATGCGTCGATGTCTGGTACAAAATGTAATGATTACCTTTTTGATATTTTCCACTTTCATGTTGCCATCTTCATCCTAATCAATCATCCAAAATGATTCCACCAAATGATGACGACCTCTCCCACTCTGTCATTCTACCAAATCATCCCTTCCGAACATCCACACATGAAGCCATGAGAACATTGTCAGCTGGAGTAGGCAAAGGTTCAAACAAAGCACAAGCAAGACGATCAAGCCATACTTCTGTCACCTTGCAAAGTCAATTTCGAAATCCATCAACTACCTCAATCAACCTTGTGCAACAACAGCAACAGAGATCCTCCATTCTTTCCCCTCAAAAGTCAGCACCTGTCAACGGTGGGAATGTCGAGCATGATCTTGTTATGGAATCTCCACCGACGAATACACCCAAGACAACATTTGCAAGTCGTCTATCACGGCTGTTCTTGTGCGGTGGCAATCCTGCATTGTATGAACAAGAAGGTGCGATAGTATTACAAACCGTATCACCGGCAAAGAAAACGCAAGTCAGACCATCATTGAAAAGAAGAAGTAGCTTCTTTTCCCTTTCTGCAAGAAATCCAATGGCGCTCGAAGTAGAGTATGAAGAAGCATATACTACAAGTTCGTCCCCAATACAGCTCACAACACCCCCAGCAGCAGATGATATTCAGCCAATCCCGCAACAATCAACAGCCAATGTTAACAAAAACATCCCCACCGATAATCTCCATGAGACACAGGCCGAAATCATGCAACCAATCCAACAGCTTCACGAGGGTGTCAAGAAAGAAGCTCCCAAAGAATTAGCATTGCCTCGAGCGCGCAAATATGATACGGTGCCTTCTTCGGAAGCATGCGAGTATACAGGGCGTAAATACTATAATGCAACAGAGACGCAAGCTTCTTCTCAGCCACCACTACCACAACCTCAAAAAGAGGAAAGACGATTGTTTCAAAAAGATGAAGAACCTCAGGACAAAGGCAAATTGCCTTTACCGGAGATGGCACACCGCAGAGAGAGTGCCAGATCATTACGATCCTACGTCTCATCAAGCAGTCTTTACTCTGCCGCATCTGCACAAGAACGTGCTTTTGTGAATACACCTGGGGAGATTTCACTCGCTGATGATTGGGGTATGGCAGCTTCACCATCACGTTCCATCACATCTACTCAACTTGGTCAAAGTCCGTTTATGTTTGATTTGCTCGCAAAGTTTCCCGGTCTCAGTAGCTCTACTACTCAACAACCTTCTGGATTACGTCATATGCTGGGCAGCGAGACATTCGTAGAAGAGGAAAGGGCCAGAACACCTCATCCGCCAGGCTTCATGCCTGACGAAGACAGTGACACAGAAGGAGCAGCATTTCAGCGAAACAGTATGTGGCAGAATGCTCGCAACGATACCCCTCCAGCAAGATTGAGAAGAGAAGGCACAACAACGATGTATGAAGCGGCATCGCCAACTTCTTCACTCTCAAATTCCACTCTGGAAACGCCAAGTCCTCCAATCGCAACAATGAACCGAAAGCGATTGGCCGTGTTGAATGGAGTACGACTGGAAAACAACTTTGCCGCACGTATGGCTTCGATGGACAATGGAGATACGGATTGGCGTGATAATTTGATCGGATTGTATACGGATGATGATATCGTTGTTCCTTTCCCACAATCCTTATCTCAGCAACACCGACAAAGCGTTTCGAGCGCCACTGATTCGTTTCATTCAACAAATCCATATCAAGCCACAGAGGACAGTGAGACGGAAAGCCGCTCTGCCAATCATAATAACAACAAGCCCGGCATGCACATCTCTGCAGATCACAGCAGACTATACGAAGGTGCACCTGTCCCACCGCCAGATGTACCCTTACCTCCAATCCCTGCACATCAAAGCATGGAAGCACACAACCTCTCAAAAAGTCAACGCACCATTCGAAAAGCTTCATTGGGACGTCATCGTGGAAATAGTGATGCAAGTGCCCGTTCAAATGCAACCATGAAAGCAGGCAGTCGTTCAAAACATTCCAGGCGTGCCTGAGCGTAAGAAAGAATTCTTTTTTGGACTATATTTTATCCTCACAACACATAACACATATTGATATTGTTCACATTAATGTAGATATATAGATAAGAATACAGTTTTTTTTCCTCCTCGTTCTCAACTTGCCTGATTGCGCCAACCCTGTTGTCCAAACCAACCCGAATCCCCTAACAAAAATTTATGAGAACAAATTTGATCCATCGTTGGACGTAAACAAGGATCCAAAGATAAACACTGCAAAATCAAATCGGCAGCATCGTCCAATTTTCCGCCTCCGTCACTTTGTCCGTGAATGTCTTCTTGACGACGTAAGATCACCTTTTCTTCCGTGAGTGTATGTTCGGTCACATCAACGATTGGTCTTCCGCTGAATGCATCTCGTTCGCCTGCTACCAAAGTTGGATCTTGACCGGCATGCAAGTTGATCTCTTCAATCGCTTCAGCTTTGCTTAACGGACGTCGTCTATCTGTCAAAACGGTATATGCTCGTGTACCTTCTTGCAATCCTTCCATGGCTTCTTCTCCGTTCCAAAATGGACAATCCCCACACAGTAAAACATAACCCACAACACCCAAAGCCCAAACATCTTGTTCTTTTCCACCATACTTTTCTCCTCGTAAAATTTCCGCAGCAGCATAATCCAAGGTTCCGGAAAATGTATCAAACAACCTATTTGCAGCAGCTGCTGATCCGGTTGAACGAGTATGAATATGAGCCGCACTTCCGAAATCGATTAGCTGGATATGTCCATTTCCATCCAAAATCACATTCTCATCCTTGACATCTCTGTGCACAATGTTGTTCGCATGCAAGAATCGTAAACCGTCTGCCAGTTGACCAAAGATACAACGGACATGTCGAGTCGTAAGGCCGTGCGGTTGAGATTCTACATAATCAAACAGATCTTGACCAGTTCCAAATCGTGGCATGACCATATAGTAAAACTCGTGATCTTCAAAGAAATCCACCATCATACACAAAGACGGATGACCAACAGTCACAACGCACTCGCCTTCTTCCGTTTTGACCATTGTTGGATGAGAGATCAAAGATTTGCAGCCAAACAACTTTTCCGCACTCCATGCTGGAACGTCCACTGGCAAAGGATAAGCCAATCTACGTAATTGATCCAAAACATGAATTTCTACCGGAATCGGACCTAAAGCTTTATGTCTTCTCCAACAATCTGCCAGAATTCTACTTTTGATGATATACTTGATGGCAAATTCAGGTCCGATTGGTTCACCACTCTTTTCATCACGTACACGTGCCTTTTTCACCAATCCATATGCTCCACGACCAATATCATCCACAATGACGAAATCTTGTATATTCCTTTGTTCACCTTGTGGTGGAAGTGGATAACCGGCCAATTCAGCAGCCATATCTCTTGTAGGCCAACGAAGATTTCTACGTAAATCAACCGTTTCTTGAACATCCCTTCCGGATTCACTTGGAGCAGGTGTGCCACGACGAGAAGGTGGTCTGGAAATTGCCTCATGAAGTGCACGCATTCGTTCTGCCATATCATCGCTTAATTCTTCGTCTGATTCACTACCTTCTCCCGCTTGCGACAATCGTTCTCGTGCATCTTCCACATCAAATTCTTCATCACTTTCATCCTCCTTCACGCTGTCCAATTCATCTCTCCCGCTTTCGACTGCACTGCTAGAGCGAGGTTGACGATTGCTTGATTGACGAATCATCTCAGCTAGAATCAAATCATTCGGTTGATTGAGGATGTTTTCATGTGGGAGTGCTTCCACGGATGAACTCATAGAGGCAGGCGTCATGCCAAATTCTCGATCACTAATCCGTCTTTTGGGATTGCCAGACACTGCACTTCGACTTGTGTTTGTACGTGATCGCAAATGAATGTTCTCCGCCAAATTTGCATTACTTTTTGATGCTGCATTAGCAGCTGCCAAAGACATCAAAGTTGGATCCAATCCTTGTTTTGCAAGATATCTACTCCATTCTTCCGTTGTTGGAGTACGCAAAACATTCATGCCGGCCAAAGATGTACTCGATCTTGCAATCATTGGTCTGCTAGATACACGATCTACTCCTTCAGCGTTTATGTTAGGTTCACCGCTTGACCGACGTCCGAGATGCTGGGAAGGTTCCAAAAGAGCAGTGAGAGCGCTCTCCCGAGAAAGTCTATCCATCTCCAACTCGAAAGGCGAGGTAGGAATATTACCTTCTGATCCGCTCGGTGTCAATGGTGATCGAACGCGAGGTGAGCTGAGTGGTTGTTGCAACAAAGACAGAGCATCAGGAGAAGCATGAGCAATCGGTGATCGTTGTGTGGGTACACGATCAGAACCAGTGGTAATTGCTGAAATAGATAACTCCATCGGCTGTGTGCGTGGTGAAATTGTTGGTAGAGACTCTCCCTGACTTAGATTGGAGAAAGCAGTAGCGGTAGATTGCCAAGAAGTCACATTGGCAGGTGAAGATCGCGGCTGTGGATGGACCAGAGGCACTTCATCTGCTGCACCCGTAATATGCACAACTGACGCACGAGGTGTATCAAGAGCAGAATTTGCTGCAGCGATACGAGCAGCGGCCAACTCCTTTCGTGCTGCTGCCCTTCCTTGACCGTTTCCAAACTGTAAACCAGACGAAGAACCAACACTTTGCGATAAAGCAGATCGACTTCGAAGAGCGTATGATCCAGTATGCCGACGAGGTTCTGGTGGTGGAAACTTAGGCGAGTCTTCTGGCGACCGTTCTGACTGTGCAGCTGCAGTAAGAGTCAAGGTACTCAATCGTGATTTGTAGTCTTCCGATTGTCCAACTGGTTTGGGTGATTGCGATAGAGGTTCCGTTTGATTTTGTAAATTTGTGGGAGAGCGTGTTAGAGATGCAATCGTGTCGTCAGCCGTTGCATTGGCTTCCATTTCGATAGTTTGATCGCTGGCTGCTGTGCCTTGCACGGTTGTATCTCTTGAGTCTACGTCCATTTCATCTGCGTTTCCGGCAAGCAAAGAACCCCTTCTGCCCAGCCCTTCGGCCTCTCTCCGCTTTCGGATATCGAAACCTCTCCCTATCGATTGTATTCTTTGAACGCGAGGTCCTATCTGTGAATAATCATCTTCGCCAGATTGGATACCCAATCCTGTTTCGGTGACTGTCTTTTCACTACTGATACTACTGACAGCAGCGTCCTCTGAAGTGACAGTAGATGATGAGTGACCGCCGATTGTACTGGTGGATGATGTATGCCCTTCATCGGAAGTCAAATGACGCATGGAAGATCCTGCTGAGCTTCCATTTGAGCTTGTTGAATGGCGATTAGACAGTGAGCGAAGAGAGAAAGCTGCAGCTGATGAAGACGAAGTCGACGTTCTGCCAGGTTCGGAAGAGCGATTTGAGTCGTCATTTGTACTATTTGAAGATCGTCTCCATGGGATCGAGGGTGGTGATGGCTCTTTCTCAGCATAAGGCGATTGAGTCAATTCTTGTTTGTGATCGCCATCTTCCGGTGAATCAGACAAGGAATTGCGGAATTTGGATCGATTGTTGTTGCTACGTGAATCGAAGCCCCAACTTCCGGATCTTTGAACACCGCCGACACCGCCTAATTTGAGAAGAGTCATATCTTCATTTTGTGATAATTGTATCGAGTCTCGTCGGTGATCTCCTTCTTGTTCTTCAGCTTTTTGTTCATCTGGTTCTATCTCTTGATCGATTTCGTATGCTTGATCTCTTTCACCATCTTCAATTTCGTTATCTGTTAATGATGATAAAATGCTGCTTTTTGGCTTACCAAAGAATTGTAATTTAGCACCAATTTGCTCAAGCGGCATTTTGAGATATTACAAGTCCAGCTTGGGGACCTCAAAAGCGCATCGAGAGGTATTGATGATGATGACAATGTGGTATAGGGATGAGTTGATGATCAAAGGAGAGAGAGGGGAGCTTTGCAATAGCACGCGTAAGATAGAAAACGTTTCACTTTTTTTTTGTTTTTTGTTTGATTAGACAAAGGCACAGGTATGATATTGCATTGGGCGCTTGAAGGAGGGGGGGCATTGTGCCTACAGTTAAGCAAGCCAAGCGCGTTGCCGATATGACAATGCGTCGGCGCCTTGAACTTGCTTGCAGGAAATGAGATCAACGCACATCCAACAACAAATTCCACATAGAAATTAGTAGCGAAAGGAATCAATCTTATGGAAGCCATACAAATCCGAGGCCAAACCATTCTATTTCATCAATTCAACATCCCAAACTGTAATGAACGCGGTGTATTGTTGTCCGCTCAATTTCACCGAACAATCCGACACTGTTCCTGTCCGCACGGCATGCAAGAAAATGAGCTAGTGCATGGAACCCAATCAAATAAATTGCATCGTCCCTACATTAGCTTACCAACAAAGTTTACCATTTCAGAATTTGTGATGATGGTCAGGCATTCTTGCTTTCTCTTGAGCACACATCAGACTCAATCTATAGGGTAAGGATATGTCATCGTTTCGATATGGGGATAAAATCAGGTGTGTTCCAAAAAATAAATAAAAAATAAACGACAACTACAGGATTCGAACCTGTGCGGGCGGAGCCCATCAGTTTATTCCCCTGTCGGGATTGAATAAGTAAGTCTGAAACAATTCAAGACTGACCTCGTAACCACTTGAGTAAGTTGTCAGTTTAAGAAAAGCCGAGATTATGGTGAGTACATGAATGCTGCAGATATCCTCCTCCCGAAGATGCGAATGAGGGCACTTCACCTTCATCGCATAGACCTTTTCCAAAGCCTGATGGATGTTACTGTTCACAAGTGCGACTATATGCTGTAGATCACACTTTTCTGCAGTTGCTAAACGTCATGACTAACTTCTAAACAGCCGAAGAAACCTCAATGGAGCCTTGTTACGCTTCTCACTCATACTACATTATTGGCCTTTGGAGTATTCTTACAAGAGCCATCTAAAATTTGACCACTTATTTCATGTTTGGAATAAACACCGAGATCCAGCTCATCTTCACTCGAATTTAGAATATGCTTGCAGAAATATATCATTTCCAGGGTACATGTACAACGAGAGAGAGAAACTGCAACAGTTCACTGCTCGTAAGGTGAAATTGTTCGGATGCCGTCCAAAACCGCATTTTGTGTTGGTTTCCACTTCATGCAATACTTGACTGCAACTGCCATGAGCATAGCTTTCATGGAACGGACATTGCTTGCGATTGGCGTAAGGAGAAAGAGAGAGTGGTGATTTTGAGATATGCAGAGTTGCTAGAAGCAATTACGATGTTAATGGCGTCTTCTATTGCAGCCTTTCATAGATCGCAAGTCAGGCTCTTAGAAACCAGGGGTGATCATATCCTTGGCAATCGTTCTTGCAGCCACAATACCACCGCCAAAAACCAAAAGGGCATAAAAGATATTGAGGTTTCCATCTACTTTATCTTGCGCCATAATTTGATCGTGCCAAAAGCGTTGTAAGAAGTTTCTTCGATCACGTGGAGGTGCACGATGTTGTGGATTCAAGAAACCTTTTTGGAAATCAGCCATATTGTATATATTTGTGTGGGACAGAGATGGTGATCGGTGTGTGGAGTTGAAAAGAAGATGATGAATTAGATGGTGACGCACAATGTATGCGCGGATAAAGGGAAAAAAGTGAAATCCACTCTAACACGTGTTGTTCATTTTATCGCCTAAGCGTCAAGCGCCGCGCAAAAGATGAAGAACGCTAGAAAGGCACTTCTTCTTCTCAAAGACAACAATCACCCTCTCATTTTGGGTCAACATAATAGACATGTAAGTATTCCCATCAATTCCACCAAAACCAATGATGAACCAATACTGGCACCAGGCCTAGCATACAATGCGGATAACATCCCGAGCGATTCTTTAACAACAACTACAATATATACGCTAGATCGCTCCTGAAACCTTTTTTTCCGAGGATATTTATTGGGAAGCAGGTACTGACTACAATGCTTTTCATTCTCTAGCTGCAAGGATGTCTATTCTATCCAGATCAATAGCCCGAAATGCTTCAAGGATAAGAGGAAACCGGTCTATATCCACAATGGATACCGAGAATGTTGCTCATTTTACACGTTTGTCATCACAGTGGTGGGATCCTCAAGGAGAATTCGCACTGTTACATGCAATGAACCCAATTCGATTGCAATTCATGCGTGAAAAGCTGAGAGAAGTTGGTGAATGGGAGCAAACACGGGCATCGGTGGAAAATGGTCGGAACATATCTGTCCAACAGCCCTGGCTGCAAAGTGGAGCCTGGCTATCCGGACAACGGACATTGGACGTGGGATGCGGTGGCGGCCTTTTGAGCGAATCATTGGCAAGACTGGGTGCGAACGTGACTGGAATAGACGCATCCTCATCCAATATAGAAATGGCAAAGATTCACGCTTCACAGGATGACAAATTATCCCAACAGGCTTCCCTAGATTATCAATCGATCATGGCCGAAGATTTGTTGGCAAAAGGGGGCAAAGAACAATTTGACATTGTCTGTGCGATGGAAGTCGTTGAGCATGTCCGTCAACCGGACTTGTTCTTGAGAACGCTTGCTGATTTACTCAAACCAGGCGGTCACTTGTTCATGTCCACGATCGCTCGTACTCCATTATCCTACTTTCTCACAATCTTCATGGCCGAAAACCTTTTGCGATTCGTAACACCCGGAACACACAAGCACAGCCAATACATCGATCCAGATGAGTTGGTCGAACACTTTAGAACACAAACACCTTGGATCAGCGCAGGTGAGACGACAATGTCCCCAAAGAGGTTACAATACGAAACCCGTGGGACTTTTTACGTACCTGGTCTAGGTAAATGGGTTCTGGCACCTCGTGATTCCAACAAAACAATCACCGAAGCAGCAAATTACTTTTTCTGGATAAGAAAGCCGCTCTAGCGAGTAACACTGTACCATAATCAAAAGCATATACCCTTTTTTGTATTTTTACTACTATTACCAGCATGAAATTGTATAAACGAAATTGATAATTTCGATACAATCTGAAAAAAAAGAGAAATGGATGAGAAAGAGAGAAAACAAAGAAAACCATGACGATGAAAAGAAAAGACGAATGACAATGACGAAGGGTATATGGTATGTCGTGATTGCGTGTTTTTGTACCTTTACCAAAGTTGTGGAAAATTTTTAAGAAAGCGGGGAGAAAAGTCCATTTTTTCATGATGTTTGTGCGGTAACCGGATTGTCCAAATGTTTCGAATTGGGTGGAGTGGGAAGATCAGGTTCAATGGCGGGAATGTCGGATTTGGTGGTGGTTGGTGGTGAAGTTTGTGTCTCAACAGGAGGATTCGTAGTCTCTTCGGTATGTGTTGTAAGTTCTTCAGCAGGTGCAGAAGTGGTGATTGCAGTCGTTGGGCTTGCCTTGCTAGCCGAAACGCTTCTTTGACCATTTTGCTCTTTGGCTTTACGACTTGGAACTGTTTTACTTCTTCTTACGCCAACTTTTGTAGGCAACGGGGTATCTTCTTTCTTCGTTCCACTACGTATTCCAACTTCATGAATCTCGCCTTTAGGTGATGGCGGTTCGCGTGCTTTGCTTTTGCCTGTCTCTGCAATAGGTTCTGGTTGAGCATCAGCCGTTGCCGGTCGCTTTGATACTTCAGGAGGTGTTGGCGTCTTTCGTGATCGACTAAACAAGCCTCGCCTCTTTGATTTGCTCTCATTCGTGGTCGATCTCCTTGCCAATTTAGCACCACCTCCTTCATGAACTATCAATTCGCCAAACTCCTCATCACTATCGCTCAATTCGGCAACATCTGGCGCCAAAGGCTCGGCGGGCCTTGATACACTGGTCAAATCTGCTGATTCGATATTCGTCGGTGCTGGTGGAGAGACTGCCAGAACGAAGTGATCCTGATGTTCGATCAGGAATTGCAGTACTTCCACCGCAAGCTTGTGTTCGTTTGCATCAGTTAGATGAGATGGATGAGAAAAAATGCCCGGTTGAAAGATGACTGCCAGATTGCTCGCCGGCATCAAGTTGATATCGCTCTTTCGGGCAAACACAGCCAAAAGATCCAAAACATACAAAAGCAGATATCGATTCGCGGGTGGCATAGATTCCGTTAATAGCCTGTATGTCTTGATAGCAGCTGCATCGTCCACTGGCTTACGCGACATGACATTTCGAAACTCGTTGTACAGATCCAAAGGAACGATTGGCTCTGGCATCTGATTCAGGTATCTTCTGAGCACGCTCGCACAATCATGAACGCTGTAATTATCCCATGTTAGATGTTTGCCATAACGAGGTGCGGTATCAAAGATTTCTTGCAATTCTCTCATCCGCTTTTGCGATCCTGCGATTCTGAATACACCTTCGACCTCTGTCGCATTCTCTTTCAGGAACAGACCTGTTTTTGCAACAATGATGGGCACATATCCCCATACGTATTGTTTTCCGTCTTCCCCAGCCATGGAGATTGCCACGCTTGCATATTTGAGAGATTTTCGCAAAGGTTCACCAAAAACAGCATTGAACGGCTTTTTTTGTGATGATGAAGAAGGAGAAGGTCCTTGAGTCGGAGAAGACCCATTTCCTGCACCTCCACCACTACCACTGCCTAATTTACCTGATTTTGTAAAATTTGACCACCATGATTTCAAACTTGCTTTTATCTTATCCTTCTCGCCATCTGCCGAATTTGATTGGGTCATACTTTCACAGTAAGCCCTTTGGGGGATGATGGAAGATGAACGAGTGGAATAGACGTGCACAAGCTGAATGCAAGTGTTACCGTTGGGCTAATTGTGTTATGACTGGAAGAGATGATGTCAAAATCGAAAGATGGAGCGGCGTTTTGCAATGATGAAAGTGAGAGATACGCGCCAAGAGATGCGGTCTTGATAACACAATAATGATGAATAGGTTTCGAGTGTTTAGTGATTGTTAACGATTATCCTTGCTGAATTGAGCACGATTTCAAGGGAGCCAATCCTGGCTATGTTAAGAAGACAATGATGATAGAAAGCAAAAAAGGGTTTTAATTATTCAAAAAAACAATACACGCACACACGCACACACAAAAAGGTGACTTTTGCCTTATCGGTGCATATCTTTAGGCGGAGAAAGGCAGAAAAGCACAACAATTACACACGCATATATGCAGCAGCCTAGTAATACGCAAATAGCTATTACACCGCACACCCGCAGGCACAGCGACATCATCATCATTCATACACATACGGCATAATACTCTCTCGATTGCTCAACAGTTGGCGGCTGTGCAATGCATAAAAAATGATTTCATTGATTCAACAGTCATGCAAAATGAGAACAGGATGTGTGTGTTTTGTAAGATATGATGATGAAAATTAAATTAAAAAACAAAAATCCGCTAATGACAAGCCATGCATTTTATCAGTATCCTGTCGAGAGCATACTCTACAAAAGAACAACAACAACACAAACACTCACACACACTCTCTTAATTCACCGAGTCTTGTCTGTTTATTACGCGGCGCGCACACAGTACATAGTAACGCAATCGTGTTTTTTAGTCTTATGTTGTCAGTCTCAAATCTTGATTCAAGACAATATGCGGTAATTCGGGCAGGCTAGTGTGCTGTGATGTAGATCATGTTTAAAATCTTTCTTTTTCGGCGTTCTTTAAAGAAGCTTTCTTTTTTTTCCCAAATAACAACTCAACAGTCTTCTCTTCTTGTGTATGTATCTTGCTTCTAGCGCAGCCACAAAATGATGATTATAAGTAAAATACAATAAAGATGGAAATATTATACAGCTTGCTTGATCACGTTTTATCCAATCGATCCAGCATATCGGCAATCTCATCAATCTCATTACGTTCATTGATTCCGATTCCCGTCTGTTGTTGTGTTTGTGATTCATCAAAGCTTTGCATGCTAGTCGGTCTTCGTGTAGGCTCCAACACTTTTCCATCTTCATTCCATCCGGGTGCTCGTTTGAGCATATCCTGCTTACGTGCTTTCTCTCTTCGGTCTGCGTTTTCCAATACGAAGTGCTCCAAGTTAAACGGATAAACAAAGTATTCTTGTAGATTTGGTGGAAGTGGATGAAGATTGTTTGGTAGAGTGATCGGTGGTGGAACACGAACTGCAGGTGATTTGATGAGTGGAACACGAGAGCATGTTGCATAGAGGGAGGATACACCAGCGTTGTTTTCTTGACTCATATTCCCACCACTGCCATATGCACTTCCTTCTGCTCCATTACTGGATCGTTGATCAGCATATGTTGTCACCATGAGTGTTAGTGGTGAATGATGTGGGGAAGGATTGAATGATAAGGCTGCAATGCTCAATCTACACTGCCATCCAAAAATAACCGTGCGCTGGCTTGATACACTGCACGCGTATTGGCTTACCTGTGAATTGCACAAATAGCCGTCAGAATAGCTTCAAAGTGCGGCTAAATTATCCTTCTTCCCAACCTGTGCAATATACATAGATCTGATTACTCTATCTAACGCTTTGTCATTAATTTCAACCCTCGGTTCTCCGTCAACAAGAGAAATGCAGATACCCTTCCTTCCATTGATGAATAACCCTTCTTAAGCATATTTGCGCGTTTGCCAAGAACTGTTTGTCTCCTACGTCTGAATGTTCCTGTGCTGCTGCACCTGTCACGCTAAATAATATTCATACAGTGCAATTGTAGCCCGTTGTCTAGACTTTTGGCACTTCCCGCTCAAAAGGGTGTTGAGTATGAATGTGTGGCTGATGAAGATCCCCACGGAATTCAACCTTCAACAGAACACAAAACGGCGGACAGGGCGGCGGTAGGGGAATAAGCAAATGAACAACACATGTCAGAACATCTAATAAACTCTTGTTGCTCTAAAGTGCCTACTATGCCAAAAGTCAGGTACATGCATACATCTGAGAGAGAGAGTGTGTGTGTGTTTCTATGTTTAGAAGGCTTGACCATGTTTATATAAAGAGACACTGTATCCAGCAAAGATCCCACTTCTAATCATCATCAATCCCCCTCCCCTAACCCCAAATCATCCCCCAAATATGCGTATCGCAATCATCTTCGCCGCCGCATTGGCCTTAGCTTCCAGTTCAGCAATGGGCGTTTCCCAAAGCCTACAAGTACACTTAACAAACGCCAACGACTACTGTTTCATCTTACCTTCTACCAAAAAAACAATCGGAGAAAGTGAAGATGGTGGAAATGGAGCGAAATCTTTTTGTACAAAACCCGTTGGTGGTCAAGGTCAATTACCCACCGGAACAGATGCATGGAAAAATGGTCCAAACTTTTTGAAAAAGAATACGTATGTTCAGGTCACAGGTTGTATTCGTACTTCCAAATTTAGCACCCTCGTAAAAGGTGACGGTGGCGGTCAATATGACTCAAACGGTGGTGATGGCGGAAAAGGTAATCCACGTAACTCAGTTTGCAACGGTTACAAATCGTGAGTATAGTCCGATGGATAACATCTCTTTCTTCACACCAATACTTACTCCTCTCCTCCCTCCCTCCCACCACACAGATACGTCGAAGTCGTTGAACCTGATAGCGGTCGTATTTGCATTCGTTGCTGCAACGACAACAAATACTGTCCTTTGGACCGTGACACACAAGGATGTGCTTCCGTTATCAAGAACGGTAACTACAACGGATGTTAAACATCCTGTTCCCTATACTCACTGGAATCGTTATGACATTTTCGTTTCGCGTGATAGTAGTAGTACATGAACATGTGTGATGCAAAAGGGACGGGGTATAATATGTGCTTCTGAGCCGTTCTGGAAAGGAAAGCTGTAAGAATGCTTTTGGGTGGGTGGGTTTGTGATACTTTTACAGAGAAATACTTCTACGTTGCATAGCGACAGAATGAATACTAGCCAAAGAGAATCGTTGTCCGTCTTGCGAAAAACGTCTTTGCAATGGATCAATCGTAAGTTCGATTAATTCTTTTCTTGGAATGTTTTGCAATGGGTCCAGCATTATAGCATTACCGAAATCTGATCGAGCGTAAAGCAAAGCTTCACCACGTCTTCTGGCTAAGTCTTCTTCATCAATGTGGTTAGCACCGTCTTCGTCTTGTGACTCTTCTCGTACATCTTCGTGCGGAATACTGCCATGAATGCCACCAAGCTTTTGCAAGATTTGCTTGTAAGCACGACCACGACGAACATACGCTCTCCAACGAAGACTGTCAAGTTCTTGCTTAGTAGCACGGAATGCTCGCGTACGCAATGATTGGTGTTGAGTGGTACACAAATGATGCCAGCGTTCTTCTTCTGCAGTTGTCAATTGACCAAGCAATTCCACTTCACCTTGCATTCCTGTTCGAGATCGAGAAGTTTCATCTTGACTTGATCTTCGATTTGCGCAATTCCCAACGGCATCAATCAATCCCAAAGCAATCGTACATGCCGTTTGTGCATCTTCAAATCGACCTAAAGCAGACAATGCAACTGCTCGATTGATCAAATCGCGTGGGTTATTCGCTCCTGCTTCGAACGCTTCAAGATAGAGAGTTTGAGCTTTTTCAAACTCTTTTGCCTGTAAAGCCTCGTATGCATGCATTGAGATCTCATCCACAACCCGTGTACGCAATTGAACGCCAATCTGAGTGATCTGATCCACTTCTGTCGAGCTGAATGCTTCTTGTTGTCCTTCACGCAAAGGTGCAAAGAGGATACGTGAAAGATCGCGATTATAATTCTTTATTATGAGCTTGTACAACACTTCCGGTCTTATTTTCGACAAGATGAGCGTATCGTGCAATATGGTTTCACTCCAATCCATACTCAAAGCTGCATCATCGTATGATGTTGCCAATGCATTGAGAGCTTCGTGCAGCAAGACCATCCACCCTACTTTTCGTTTTGTGACCTTTGATCGAGCCTTTTCAACCCAAACAGGATCGCCTGTCAAATTACCATTCTTGATCTCGCTCTCAACGTACGAATACACTTCTTGATAATCAATCACGCCAAATTCGGATATATGCATACTTTCCATTTCGTTTTGTTTGATTTGTTGTAATTGTTGTAAACGTGCAATCGTTGCACTCAGAGTAGGAGTATCAAGTTCACTTGCTGTCTTTTGCATTTGTGATCCAACCAAGATCACACTTACGCCTAAAGCCAAATCACGTATTTCACCTTCAACGCTTCGAAAAACTTCTTGAAGATCGTGTTTTTTGGCAATGAACGTTCCAATTTGTTCATGCGTATAGCCATTCTCGATCAAGCCAATGATTCGATCAGGTCCAAGGATCGCCATACGAAAGTGGTTCAATTGTTGTTTGGCAGATTGCAACGTAGCAGATGCGAATGCATCCAAGAACAATGACTGGACGCATTTTTGAAGATCTGCGAGCGTTGCATTGCCTTGTGTTTCCTGATCATTTAAGTTCAAACGATCAAATGCTGGCAAATAGGTAGAATTCATATTCCTTCGAATGATGTTCAATTTCTTGCAAGGAAGCGATGGTGGTAAGAGATGAGAATTGCAGCAAAAGCCCTTTTTTGTATTTTTGCACAATCTAGAATGCACTCTTTTTTGCCTTGATGGGTCTTTCAATTTTGCCTGAAATTAAGGCCCCGATTAAGCACGTCAACCGCCGCTTCCTCTGGGGTGTGTATGTGTGGGGAGGCGCAAAAGAAGGATAATAATATTATGAGTGCTCGTGTGATATTCTGGATGGTGGTTTTCTTTATATCGGGCCTTTCTTTAGGCAAAAGACGGAACGCCGCCTTGAATGGGATATTGATTGCCAAGAAAAAGATGGAAAACGGTCTTCATCCTTTTAGGAATTCGGCTCGAATTAGAATCTTCCTTGTCATCCCTTTCAGATTCGGATTCATGCCTGTTTGTGTTTGATTACACTTTTGACATGGTTGTTTTGAATCATCCATGGCTTGTGCGTATTTAGGCGGACGGTCAATTGTATTCCATGCAATGCATTCTTCCTTTAAAGCGCGGTCCGAATGAGCTAAGCGTGCTGTGCTGTGTGCTTTGAATGGGTACCGTTTCGGGTCTTATTATCCAGTTTATAATCCGCGGCGTCCGCATTTTATTAACTCGATCCTTTTTAGCCACAACGGATGGCGTCCTATTCTTAATCATGGAAGCCATTTCATTAATCGGAATTGCTGCCGAATCGATCAGGTGATTGAAAAATGGCAGGCCGCTCTTAATGAATGCAGCCAACACATACACTTATCACAACCATTGTGGCTTCTTTTGGGATACACAAATGAACATTCAATAAAAGAACACAATAGGCTATTCTTGGGATATCAAGGTATGTGAGAAAAAAAGAAAGAGAAAGAAGATGAATGGAAACGTGAGAAAATGAAGAAGAAGAAAATAAAGCAAAATGTGTTTATATATATAAAGATGAAGCATCGATAAAGGTGCTGCCTATCCACCACCACGTCAAAAATAAAATAATAGAAACCTTGGAGCCAGCCAGAGAATGGGGGTTCGATGAGGCACACGCTTTTTTATCCGAATCCAAAAATGATTATCCTTTTACCATCCTTTTCTCTTGGCAAAAGTTTTGTTGAGCAAAATCAAAATTTGATCAACGTCCAATTGAACGTATTCCAAATCCAACAATTGAACGCCTTCTTTTTGTTTTTCAAGAATATCGTCCAACGTCAAGTCCATTTCAAGAATCGCACGTTCACGTCCTTTATAGTTCAGTGAGATAACAAAACTTCCAGGTTGAGGTGAAGCAATAGAGAAAAAGATTGCCGCTCTACGTTCTTGTGGAACGCTACTACTGGCAATCACGCCGTCTTTTTCCATTTGAGCATGTGTGAACTTGAACGGTCCTTGATTATGACTCTTTTGTGGTTTCTTTTCTTTTCCGTTCACGCTCACCACACCTACACCTCCGGCAGGTTTATCCTTTCCACTTCCACTCGTCATACGTACGTTTTGCAAATAACTCTTGTATGTGTCCAATTGACTTCTCAAGTAGTTATTATGACCAACGATTGTCTTGTACACAGATTCAAGCGATCGCATTTCTTGAATGACCTTTTCGCGCATATTACCCAAATGTGCCAACTCAGAAGCAACTTCATCAGTCATGAGCGCATATCCATCTCGTCTGTCCACAACCTTGAGCTCTTCCAATTCACGCAACATTTCCTTCACCTTGATTCCCTTTCGGACCAAAGTGGCATCTTTTGTCGTTGCCGCTCGTTCGGCGATTTGCGGTAAATTGATCGGTCTCTTATCGGCAAGTTGTGGTATACTACGGATCAGCTGTACGAAAATCGACTTTGTCTCCATGTACAAAATATCATTTTGTGTGACATTGTTTTCCGACATGAATGCTGTGGTCAGATCTTGAATTGGTGTTTCCCATCTGCTAAACAGTGGCAAATCCATCGTTCTATTCTCCTTTCGTGCCACTTGCCCTGGCGATCCTCCCAATTCACCTATCAAGATGCGCAAATGATGTTTCTCATTGGGCGCCAAAACATCCAAATGCTGTTGAACCAAGGAATGGGTATTGTACAATTCATTCAAGGTGATTTGAATTTGCAAGTCTTTCTTGGACAGAGCCATGTATTGATCCATTTCCAGCGTATCATAGAAATCTCCAACATCGCACAATGCGTTGAGGAATTGATTAATCTTCGTCTTGTTGTTCTCCACAAATGGGTTCAAGGACATCATGTATTGTTCCTTGGCGTAACTTGGCTTGTTGGCCAAATTTTGCAACATCTTGGCAATGAGAGTGAGTGTTCTTCTCGGGTGCTTGGCGGGTGGTCCGTCGACCAACATGTATGCTTGTGGAGTAACGATGGCAGGATTGATGAAACGAAGGAAGAAGAATCCACCAATCAAACTGCAAATTGCAAATTCGGTAGCGTCAGGGTACTTGCGTTTGGTCAAACTGCGAATTTGCTTGCAGATCCATCGGATACCGTATGGAACTTGATCGATCGAATTGATAATCGTTTGTAAGAACGAGTTGGCGATTTCCATCAACATTGTCAAGCGAGGTGCAATGATTGCTTGCACATCTGCATTCTCTTGTGCAACCTCGGGTGCCACTCCTTTGGGTAGATTGGGCGGTAATGCACCTGTGTCTTCTTCAATTTGGTTAATCATTTGTTCGTACACTTTGAGAGGGTTCACTTCCAAGTTCAAATCCTTGTGTTCGATCAAAGAATTGATACGTTCAGCCAAAACATCTTTGAGGAAAGATTGACCGGGTCCACGTCTTGTGTAGGTTGTCATCATTCGAGAGACAGGTGTGTTTGCACGCAAAAGAGATCCAAAATCGGTAGCCGTTTCAAATTGGGCAGAGAGGACGGACTGGAACATAGTGAGCAATAAATGCTCTTCGCGACTCTCGTATTGGTTACCATAAAGTGTGAACATGACCGTTTGAAGAAGTGTGTCGATTTCAGCCAAGCTGACAAGTCTGCAAAGAGCGGCAATGTGACGAGGTTCAGATTGTAACAAGAAGAACAAATTTCCGTATTGTTGCATCTTTCTGTCGTCCAAAGCCGTCCCGATCTGTGATTCAGTTTCTTCCAATGTACTTGCAACTTCTGACTGTTCGTCCAAAGCCATTCGATTGGCAATCAAGAGTGCAATTCGGCTGTCCAAATAACGTACATCTCTTTCCAAAACGAAGTTCTTTTTGGACTGAGCAGAGATTCTCCCTTTCAATTCTCTCAATCGCTTTTGTGCTCTTGCCAAATCATCTTCCACTTCAACATCTTGTTCGGCCGCCATACTGTACAAAGCTGTAACACTGTATCTGTTTGTATTTCTGTTATTCATACTTGCAGCCGTTAATCTTCTGCTAAGGTTACTTGAACCACCTCCTGCACCGTTTGACATTGAACCAGGCGAAGAAGGACCTCCAAAAGAGGCACTTGCGCCATTTTCATACATTGTCGTCATCTTTGATTGCAACGAGGACGGATGTAGTTGTGAGATAGAATAGGAGCACCAAAAAGCGGATTGAAAGGATCCTTTACGCCTCCCGTCTTTATCTTGCCTAATATGCCGGCTGCTTTGTAGATTGAAGCGCGGGATAAATTACGAGGGAGATGATCTTTTTTGTTCAATCCTATCTCGATGCAATTTCCACAAGGCAAAGAGATGATGATGGAATGAATTTAACCAATTTCTGTTTGTAAAAAGACAATCTGTATGTATTTTGTCTGGGACACATGCACAATCTGTTTTAATGGGTTGGCTGATTTCTCTTGTCTGTCTCTCTCATTTTTACTCGACTGATAAAGTGTTACTGTGGTGCACTTTTCCTTCGAAATAGGCTAAAACACAAAGCAAACAAGAACATAGTCACGCACATACGCCCTTCCGTACATTTACTCTTACACACACGCGCGCGCGTTTAAACTCCTAAAATGCGTTCCTTCTCCTCATCCCAAAATATCACCCACGGACATGTGAATATGCGCTGCGCTGCGTATGCACCGCGCATCCAATTTGCCAACGCCGCGCTGCAATTTACTCCGACATTCAACGCGGCTTAAAGAGAGAGAACAAAGGGTTATACGGCGCCGTGTAAAGACAGTCTCTTCAGCCAAAAAGTCTAAAAATATGTTTTATCAAAATTACGCTAATTTATAAAGATAGAAGCTAAAGAAAGAATTTAAGCGTTTGTTTGTCGTTACCGTGTGAGCAGGATCACTTAAAACCTCCCTGCATACATCTTACTTAACGGCTTTGATCACGGGATAGAGAGTGCTTACCGAAAGAACAAAGGGTGAACTGATAAACTATGTCATTATGACAGTACCGTTGGTCGGGATTGAATATTCACGCTCTTCTTGTAAGGCACAACGGTACCGAATGCTTTTAAAGCGGTCCGAATAGGAAGAGAAGGAAAGAACGTCATCCCTTAACGTTCATTTTCACAGGCCCTTGAACGTCAAACCTTATCAGCTAGTCTGATCGGGAGCTCTCTACACGCATTGACATTTTGATTTGTCTCTCATTGGCTGCTTTTAATCATACATATCACCAGTCACACGAGCTAGAAATCAACTCTACTATCCTCTCCAATCCCTTGACATCCTCTTGATCGAATCCTTCCACAGCTTCACAATCTATATCTAGCACGCCTACAATCACCTTCTCCCCATCTCCTCTTCCTTGCCATTCGATGGGTAATTCAGCTCCTTGTTTTCCTTTATGTGCTCGTAATCCATTCACCTTTTCTCGTGCCACAACGATCGGAACAACAATTTCCGATTGAGAAGCAGAATCACATGCGATATGACCTGGATAATCATCCGTTCTGTCCACTTTGACTGTTCTGGGTGGTAAAAGTGCACTTGCATCTGCACAAACGCCTTTTCCTGGTACACTAAAGATTAGTTGACAAGCCGGTAATCCATGGAATGGTCCAAGTAAAAGTGTTGGCTTTTTGACTTTTGGTGGAGAGGGTAACAGAGGTGATAGCAGATAGAACCCTGCCCAATTGACCTTCTTTTCATCCTTCCATGGAGCAAAGCTGTTGAGTGTATGATAGATCACTGAACTTGCATTGGACAGATTGGAAACCCAAGATCTTTGATCGGCTAGAAGGCTTTGTAGTTGTGAATATAGATGATCGTAGAGATCTCCTTTTGTCTTGATGTGATCAGGCAAGAATGCTGCGTCTGCGTGAACCATCTCGACTGCCTGATTGTTGATGGTTGGATGGACACAAGATGAAAACGTTCTCAAAAAAGATCCACAACGCTAAGATTAAGAAAAAACCTTAAATCCGGCTCTAGTGTCATTTATGCAAAGAAGCACGTCAGATATTCGCGATTATCTAATCAATCTCCCTTTTTACAGCTGCTATTGCATCTTGGCTTTCTTCTTTCTTCCCCGCATACACCAAAACATCTCAGCTGATCATAGCGCAACACAAAGATGCTATTGTGGATACTGTGAGCATACCTGGAAGGAGAAAATAGCATTTACCGATCACTGACGACCTTCCTCTTCTTGATGACAGAGCGATCGGTATTCCCATTGCAGGTCTATTCTTCTTTGCAAGATCAAAGGTAAAGAAAGATCCTCGCAATCAGGCATACGATCCAAAGACAGGGCTGGGTAGAGGAGCACCAGGATTTCAAACAAACATCAAACGAATCGCAGTTCCACCAGAAATCATTGCAAGGATACGAGCAGGTGAAGAAGTAAGCGCAGAAGAAATCACTCGAGCACAAGAAAAGATGCAAAGAGAAGAAGCAAAAGCAGCAGCGGCGGCAGAAGCGGCTGAATCACCATCAAAGAAGAAAAAGAAAGGAGGGAAGAAATGAGAATGCCATACAAACACGCAAATGATTGTACGATTTTGCTCATCGAATAGTGTAATTTGCATACTTGAAGCCTAGACTTTGACAACTGATCGGGACCTTCTTCTGCGCTAGTGATGCTTAGCGTGAATGCTATCATTTGCCAAGATTATCATGATCACCATCAGGAGGGATTCCCATTGATCGATTGATTCCAGAAAAGCAAGTCTTGTTTGCAATGATACTGTGCATATATTCTTAGCGAAGTGTTGTTGCGTTTGTTGTATTCTTTACGCGTGCCTGCACTAAAGAAATGATTTATCCCAATGGACATGCACGCACGCACGCGCAACTTCTCTCCACTTTTGGATGAATGTGTTATTTCATTACCACAACATCTATCACAAAAAGAAGATGCACTCTCTGATAGTGAATCCTAAATAGAAGGTATATCGGCCACTCATCAAGAGAGGCTGGAGGCACATATGCACACAGGCTGTGTTGGTAGAGTCTAGATGACGTCTTTTTACTGTTGAATTTTAAGTCAAGGCTATGTATTCCATTATCACTCTAAGGCCATTCTCATCACCACCACCCTTTTCTTTTTCCCTTCTTCTTTCTTCTTCTTCTTTTCTTTCGATCATCACACGAACAGGTATTCGCTGTGAATCGACTTCTTTTAAAAGAGTTCTGATCTGCCTGCCGTGCAGTTAGATCGTCTCTTCCAAACTTTAAAAAAAAACATATATCAAATTTAATCCTTTCATCCGAGCAGGTACTCGGATTCAAACACGGGAACAAGGGACCATTCCTCTAGTTCACCAGAGGAATTGTGCAAAGATGGTCTCTCGCTCTCATCCAAAAACAGGAGGAAGAAAGGTAGCCATCGTTGCTAAGATCGCATTAGCAGCTATCCTACTCGTTGCACATACTCAATCTTTCGCACAAGCAAGACCTTTTGGCGATGTACAAGATCGTGAATTGAATGCGACAAACCTTTCACAAGGAACGACGCAAGAGTTACTACAAGAATTGGTAAGCTCATTACAATCACATCAAGATCAACCTAGATCGGACGGTTACGTTGGCATTCATCCTCTTCCGCGTAAGCGTTCAGTTGCCCCACAAAAACGACAAGGTGCATTGCCACAAATCGTTCCAAATGTAGCAGCTGCCGCTTCTACTGCTGCACCGCCGCCCGCTTCAAAAGCAGATGCAGCGCCAACCATTCAACCTGCTTCAAAGGCAGCACCTTCTTCCAGTGGTAAACCCTCTCCTTCTCCTTCAAATGATCCTGATTCAGATTCAGATTCTGGTTCAGACGAAGGTGCAAGTGGAGTGGCTGCTTTGTTTAACCCACACAATAAGCTGTTCCCGCTGGCGATCGCTTTGACCATTGCGATGGTTTTAGGTGTTTTGTTGGTTTTGGTTTCGATTGGTAAATGTGTTTCGCATCGTCAATTGGCTCGTGATCAAAGAGATGGTAAAAGTAAGTATAGTACAAAGAACAATGACTTCATGGTGGCATCTGCGGGAAATTCGGACCTTGGACGAAAGAGAACATTGGGCAAAAGTTTACGTCGTGCTTTAACAAGAAGTCGTCTTGGCGGTGGTAGCTTTGCACGTCGTGAACGTGAAGGAACGGTGTTGATTGATGTTGGCGATGAAGTGTATGCTGTGACACCAGAAGTGGCAAAAGAATACGAACGTGAACGCAAGAGTTGTTTGAGTGGTTATTCAGGCAGCAGTGGCGGTAGTTCGGGAGGAAGTCGTCTAACTTTCCCTGCCAATCAACCTACACCGCTACGACAAGCTTTGTATAACGCTCAATTGATCGTAGCAGCAAATGAAGCGGAAAAGGCCGGTGGAAAACCACAAGCACCCCGTGGATTCGATATCAATTCTTGGCGTAGAGATTCAGTTGGCACAAGCAGTGAAGGAAGTTACTCGGAATACGATGAAAAGACCTTACACGGATCCAGCCACTACAGTAAAGGAAATTCTGCCTTGCCTCCCGTTGATCCTCTTCAACGTTCGCTCAGTCAACGTTTGGCCGATGGTTTACGTGCATTGACACATGGTGATCAGAACACTGGTGCTAGCCGTGAGAAGCGAGCATTTTCATTTGATTCGGAAATGCAAATGCCTGGCGCATTACGACAAGCACCTCTTTCTTCTACCGTCCCTGTCTTAACCCGTGGCGGTGGCGGTTGGGCCGTTCAACGTCAACAAGGTAACGATCAAGATGATTTCAAGCCAATGCGTAAACCTGTTCGACAACAAAATAGTGACACAACTTTACGTGATTCTGCTTTATCACATGAAAGACACAATTTACGTGATGACGGACCTACTGCAGCAAGTGGAAAACGTCAAAATGTGAATGGTGGTGGTGGTGTGCCATTGAACAATACGGCCAATGGAGCAAGACCAAAATCGATTCTAGTGAAAAATGCACAACAAAAAGCAGCAATGGCAGCAAGAAGATCGGCTGGTGGACCAAATGCAGTTGCGGCTACATCAAAAGGAGATCTTCAGCGTCGGGCTACAAAAGTAGCCAGCAGCACTTCGCATGGATCACCAAAGATGTATCAAAACCGTACATTTGCCGCTGATACAGCAACAGCAACAAAAGGTACAGCTACAGGTGCAGGAGGAACACGTAAGCCTCTCATTCTTAAACCTGAAATGCCAGCTCGTGGAATGAATGCAAACGGTGGTCAAGCAGGTGAAAAGAAATCGAGTGATGGTAATGCAGCACCGGCAAATACACGTGAACTTTATCGTCCTTTGCCGATGCCACCTTCTTTTGGTCCAATCGATTTGGGTAACCCGAAGAAGTGATTTCATGTTCTATTTTTTCTTTAATTCATATTTCCTCTCCTCCATGAATGTGTTTGTGTGTGTGTCAGTAAACTGAGAAGCGCGGGGGATTGCTAGCGTGAGTGTATGCGTGTTTAAAACGGATTTCGGCCACAATTTCGCGTTTGTGAGAAGAAATAAACTTTTGTTTCCTTTTTATCATCATCTGTGGAGAGATCATCTATAATCATGCAAGCTTTGCGGTAGCCTTACTCACCACAACGTCAACATGTTCACTTTAACGGTGATTCACGATACGATCAAAGTGTTGGCATCACAGCTAAACGCTGATGTGATTGCAAGTTTGACACATAACATCAATGCAAAATACAGTAATCGAATCTTGCCAAACGTCGGTTTATGCGTTGCTCATTTTGACTTTTTGGATGTAAGTGAAGGGCATATTCGACATGGAGACGGGAATACATATTACAAAACAACTTTTAGGCTGGTTGTCTTTCGACCTTTTATCGGAGAAATTTTGGTTGGAAAAGTGAAATCTTCCGATGAAAATGGCCTTCGAATCACGATGGGATTCTTTGATGATATTCATATCACGCCTGAAGGTATGCCACAACCTTCTGCATACGATCGACAAGAAGCTGCTTGGTTTTGGGTTTGGTTAAGTGAAGAAAGTGAAAATGTGGATGCAATTTTGGAAGATGCATACGAAAGTAAAAAAGATGAACGTTTTTATATTTACAAAGATGAACTTGTTAGATTCGTCATTGATGGTGACGAATTCAATGAACCTGAACCGCCAGGACCGAATGCATGGAAAGAGTCTAATGCCGGTAAAGCACCAGGACAAACAGGCACAGATGCAATCACTGTGGATACGAGTAAGCGTATTGCGCCATATAAAATCAAGGTGAGTGTCACATCAGAGGCATTACTAGCGAGTACGACTACTGATCCATCCCTCCTCTTCTCACCACTCCCAGGCATCCATGTCCATCCAAGGCACAGGTATGGTAAATTGGTGGAGCGAAGCACAAGCTGTAGAAGGATCCGAGTAGTGCGACATACTGTATATCATCCCAATCAAATCTGTATATGTATTCGAATGAAGCTTAAAATTCTGTTCAACTCGATCATGTTCGAGGCAGAGTGCGTGATCGAATGTATGATGAATGCTATATTCATCAGGTTGCGAATGGTAGTTGCCCCTCACGCACCACTTCCCCTACACGCGCCAAGAAATGCTGAGTTGTGTGTCTCCACCTTTAATGAAATTAAGTATGATCTACAAACAGAATGAATTACCCTTTTTCATTTCCGCAACGAACTCCTAATGACACAATGACAGAAGCAGTCGAAGGGCAAACGAATGGTGATGGTGGCAATCGACGTGTTAGCCTGGAAGGATTAGGGCATGGTCCGGCAGGTAGACAACAAGATAGGTTTACATCACTTTCAACTTTAGGCGCTCAAGCACCTTTAAGTCCAACTGAATCTCCTGATGGATTGAGGAGTGATTGGATCAGACAACCACTTGAGGCGATCAAAGAATTGGCTAATTTGCTTGGCCCAAATGTAAGCCAAGATCATGCTCATTCCAACGGCACATCCGACGTTGAACAGAGAAATGGGATCGTAGCTGCTACGACAATTGCGAATGAGCAGACGCCACTACTACAAAACAGTCGTATGGGAGAAAGGAGACAAAGCTCTGCCCCCAACGGAGGCAGGAAAGGGAAGTACATCGGCGGAGGATGCTACTGTGATCCTTTGGGCAGAATAACCACTATGAATGCTACTGAAACATGCCAAGATGAATCTCATTCTACGCCCACGACAAGAAAACCGGATTGTCAGATGTGCAATGGTGGAGGAGGTGCTTGCTTTGCATATGGAAGCGTAGTACGTCCTCCCAGCATCTTTTCTACTGCAACACTGACGCATCATCAAAAAGGTCCTTCAGGAATGACTTTGGCTGTTTTGGCTCAGGTTTGTTTTGCAGTTTTGAGTTTATTGGCGGCTACCTTGGCTAAACATCAAACAGAGCGTGGACAACAAAGACGGTTTGATGCATTACAGATGCTGATAGGGCAAGCAATTCTCACATTCGTCATCAGCCTGACAACATTGCTCATCTTCTCCAGAGAGAAAGTCAGTGCCGTTTTTGGAAGGAGAGGTGCGCGGTTATGGCTATGGATACGAGCATTGTGTGCATCAACGACAGCAATTCTTTTCGTTTTGGCTGCACAGGTATTACCGATTGCGGACGTTTTATCGTTTGTCTATTTGGCACCGATCGTATATAATTTCACTTCCCATCTACTCTTTACCTCAAGGCATCCTTTCCGTGCACAATTGGTTTCCCTTTCGCTATGGATAGGATTGGTGTTGATGGTACAACCAAACTTCCTATTTGGCAATTCATCACAAGATGACACGTTTGAGGATGAAACTGTTGCAGCATTGCCTTTAGACTTACCTGCTTTGGTCAATGCACAATTGCTTACGATCTCTGTTCGGGCTGGCTATGCTGCTTTGACAGGTTGTGGATTGTTTACCTTGTTCACAATGGCAGTATTCGATGAGACAATCTTCAAGAATTCTCAACGAAAAGTGTCAACATATCAAACCATTCTGACAAGCAGCTTTATCACAATCGTAGCCGGAATATCGGTCCGATTCGCCATTACGAAAGATTGGGATATGATCAACATTTCCGCACTTCAAAATGGAAAATCAATCTTGCTGTTCGTAAGCATTGTAGTGATTGGATTTTTTGCCAAGATTTTACAAGATCTTGCATTGATCAGAACGGGAGCTTGTCAATTTGGCTTGATAAGCTTCTTACAACCTCTTCTTTCAACAGGAATCGATTTAATCTTTCCAGATTTAGCAAGTGACGTTTTGTCTCTTGCAGGTTGTTTACTCATCATTGTTAATCTGGCATGGATTGCTTCTCCTTTTGATGACGAAGAGGAAGAAGGGCATTAGTATCACTTTTATAATTCATGTATTCTAGTATTCCCCGCAATAATTGAAAGATCTTCTTTTTGTCCACAACCCACGTGATCCGGTAATGATCATGATCGCGTTTGGCTTTCACACAGTCAACTCGGATGCCGGCTTTTTGTGACCGCTGACGTATGTGTGCGCTTGCATTGAATACAACTTTGTATTGGGTTGTATTCTATTCCGCAATACAAAAGAAAAAGTGAATCCCCGCAACCGTTCAATAGGCGAGTATCACTCAACAAAAAAATAATGATCCAGGGCCTGTTCCCTCGCTCGCTTGTATTTCGCACGAAACGGGCATTAAATCAGTCTGCCGGATGGAAAAAAGGTGGAGAATAATTGAGACAGCAGTGTAAAAGGCATCGTTTTTCACAAACGATTCACGAGCAGACTTAAGCGCAAGTCAAATAGGAAAAAATCCCCGCTTTTTATTTATTTATTTGGTTTTTACCTGTTCTCCTGTGGTGCACCCGATCCACAAGCACAAACTATGCGTAAGCAATCCGGCTTTAGACACACACAATGAATGGATCATTCCCCTCTCCCCTTCTAGAGCGAGGGAGGTTGCGAAAATAGGCAGTTAAGGCAGAGTGGAAGTAGCGAGCAATCATGCACGCAACTTATGTGTTTCTATTGAGCATCTATTGAAAGCATTTGATTCCCCCCCGAAGATATAAAGGTGTATGCATACATTGTCATTCAATCTCGTTCTTAACTTCCATCACCACATACACACTTTTAGAACCCGTTTCTTTTTACACACACACACTTATAAACATGTCTGACTTTAAAGCTGAACCACTTTTCAAGCAAATCGAGGAGGGCCTCGCTGGTATGGATGACAAGGAAAAGAAGGACATCCAAAAGAAGGTGAGTAAATGCGCAAAGGAAGCGCGGAATGAGAAGAGGGCAGCAATTGCAGTAGGGTGATTTTGAGAGACTTGGTGATGCTCAGAGATAAGGGCCATTCTGTCTCAGCCTTGTGACGCTGCTGCCTGCTTCTCTGTGCTCTCCTGCACACTAGATAAAACGTTAGCTTATACTGACTCTATCCATCTCTCTACCTCTCAGACCAACGGTGTCTTCGAGATGCACATCAAGAACTCCGGCGGTAAGGAATTGGTTTACACAATCGATTTGAAGAAGAACGCAGTCGCTTACCAAGGACCCGTCAAGCAAGGCACAAAGGCTGACGTTACCATCAACACAACCGATGACGTCTTTGTTGATATGGCCGATGGAAAACTTAACGGTCAAAAAGCTTTCATGTCCGGTAAACTCAAGGTTAAGGGTAACATCATGTTGGCTACCAAGCTTGACGGTGTTCTCAAGGCCCAAAAGGCTAAGCTCTAAACGAGTTGCAGATCAATTTCATCCGCTGCACTTTAGGATGCATTCTTCTTGCTTGATGAACAACATCAAGTAGCAGAATATGCTACATCTTTGTACTGCTTTTGTTAATCTGCTCTAAATTTATCTTTTATTCGCCAATTTGTGCTGCGAGATATTGTCTGAGAATAATCCTCAAGAATAAGAAGCGAAGATGAACGAGTACTGAGTATACAGAATTCACTGAGTCTAGGTCTAAGATAAACACACACACACCAAACATTCCCAGCTTATTATTTATTCAAAGAGACAAGAGCTGTGCATATATACATTCAAGAGTATGATAAGCAATCAGCAAATTTAAAGACCTTTACCGTTAATCTTGAGCAATTCAACTTCGAAAACCAAAGTAGAGTTTGCAGGGATGACAGGTGGATAACCGTTTGCACCATAAGCATAATCAGGAGTGCAAGTCAATTTTGCCTTTTGACCGAGAGATAATTGTGGAACGCCTTCATCCCAACCTTTGATCACTTGTCCTACACCGATCTTTGTTTGGAAAGGTTGTCCACGTTCAACGGAAGAGTCAAACTTTTGTCCGTTGAGCAAAGTACCGTGGTCTGAAAGTGAGCAAACAAAAGAGGTTAGTGATTGATTGTCTTTACAATTAAAGCGAGATCAACTCACAGTGCATGGTGACTGTATCACCTTTCTTTGGAAATGTTTTACCATCTCCTGGACTGACTGAATCGACTGTGACACCCATTTTTGTTATGATATAAAAGAAAGAAGAGATTTGTTGTATGTATTGTTGGTGGCAATAAAAGAAGCTTTGTTGAGAAGTTGAATGTTGTGTCATATACCATTACAATATAATGTACATTACTTCCGTCAATAATGAAAACGTTCAAAAATGCACGGACACTTCTCGCTTTAGTCAATGCCACGTACGTACTAAGTAAGTCTTCTTCCCGCAAACTCCACACAGTGCTCAAGTGCATGCGCGCGTTTGAATTGACTGTCTTTCTGCTTCCACTCTCTTCTTTTCGTTGGCACTTCACTCCCGCACCTTCTTAAAGAAATCGTTACTGCGAGAAAGTTGTAGTATGGCATTGAAGACTGTGAGATAATATTGTGAAAGGCATGTATTAAATGAAGAGAAGGAGAAAAGAAATTGATAAAGAGTAAGGAACGAGATGTTGATAAGCGCACTACAAAAGATCCCACGGGAATAATTCAATCAATCTGTGTAGTACAAAAATCCCGCTGATGGAAGCTCTCGAACGGCTCAAATATCTCCGTATCCAGGGCTGAAATAGCTATCGATGATGTCCTTTTACACGCCATTTTGCTGATTGAAGACCCTATCAATTTTTGGCTTTGCAACATCTGCCCTTTTCATCGCTTCATTTAATTTGCTATCTGTATATGCTCTTCTTTCCGACTGTTGATATCACAACATAGATTTGGTTTTGTGGAGATAGTCAGGAAAACGATTGAAAAGGCTTTTGAAACCCAATTCATACTCACCGGAAAAGGTGTCGAGCGTACATTTTGAACCAACAATATGCTCATTGCAACGAGCATAAAGGAAAAGTGATTTCTTGAAACCATGATTGCTAACTTGTCTCGAATTGTATGAAGGTGCACGGTGGGATAAGGACAAGGTTGTTATATATGCACTTGATTTTCTAAAGAACAATTTGTTATGTATATCATCTTTGCTATGAAGAATGTGATAAGAAGCTCACAAAGAGTCTATTTGCTGTTGAGAAAAACAAAACGAGCACATTTCAAGAATGGGAAAGGGGCTGTACTTGTACTTCACTAGAACGTCCTTTCTTTCTTACTGAAGATGTGATAAGGTATAAGGAATGAGAAAATGTAAGAGACATAGAATGTAGAGGGGAGAGAACGAATCAAATTAAAATAATCACAGGAGTCAATTGTGAGCATGCTTATTGCTAGGAGGTGTACAGAACGGTATATTCAATGGCAAGGGGTCCTCGCTCAATTTGGTACAATTATTTCCCCTCTCGCGCCTCTTTTAGTTCTCGATTAAATAATCTGTAAAGTGAACGCGTAGAACGCTTTAATCACAAATCTTTTGTTCCTTTCATCATCACTTGTCGATCAGGAACAAATAAACAGACTGGTGTCTTCCTCAGTCAAAGATGGCGACCGGAAAGGATGTTCGAGATATATTTGCAATCTCACAAGGGCAATCTTCCTCCAGTACAAGCAATGGAAATAGGAGTAATACGGCAAATCGAAACAATGCCGGAACGTCCTCAAATCCAAGTAAGAAGAAAAAACCAAAAGTGGATGGAATCTCGCGTGAATTGTACGCACTTTTAGGCGACAACACTCCAAGCTTGACATTTGCACAAGGAGGAGGGATTGGTTCGGGTAATGTCGGTGGAGAAAGTCAAGAATCAGGTAGATTCATGCCAAAGTTCAAAAAACGTCCACAAAAAACACAAAAATGGACTTTTGCACCTTTTCGTAATCCGGCTAGACAAGACAGTCTGACATTACGTCATTGGCTTCCCGAACTTGAACAGGAACAGATAGAACAACAATATTCACAAAATAAGGAGCAAGGTAAAACGGGTGATTTTGACTTGCCATCGGGGGAAGCGGATGACATTCCTAGGATTTACAGATTTTCTGATCAGAACACCGATTCGGGCGTCTATCGATATTCAAACGACGAATACCACCAACACTTACGCGATGAAGATTGGACGAAAGAAGAGACAGACTACTTGATGGACTTGTGTTCTTCGTACGACCTGCGATTTGTGGTCATTACAGATCGATACGAATGGCCCGGGAAAGAAAGATCGATGGAAGATTTGAAAGCGCGATATTATGCCATTTGCAGACGATTGATCAGATCACGAATCTCTACAGATGATATGGACGCTCGTCAACAGCTTGTGTCCACATATTCATTCGATCGTACACGAGAAGTGGAACGGAAAAAGCACGTTGCCAGATTGTTCAGCAGAACACCACAACAATTAGCCGAAGAAGAAGCACTTTACGTAGAAGCAAGAAGGCTGGAACAGAATGAAGCCAAATTTGCTGCTGAACGGGAGGAGCTACTTCGTCTTTTGGGTGGATGGGAACGATTGCCGAACGTGCGTAGCGAAACAGTGGCAGCTGCTGGTTCTGGGGTTGGTGGAGCAACACCGGAAGAAGAAGCATCAGCAGAAGCAAACCGTAAAGCGAATCGTAAGCGTAAGGCAGCAGGAGAAGTTGACGAAGATGGATCGTCATCTAAAACTGGAGACAGCGCTTCTACACCTTCAGGACCTCTCACAGCTAAGCAAAAAGCAGAATTACGCAGCAAGCACTTTGATGAAGTACATAACATCGTCCGATTTGATCCACAAGCTGCGGCCGCTTTGGCGAACAGCAAGCCACCTTATCCACACTTGACTGGAACGCCATCGACATATCCACCTGTCGCACAAGTATCGAACAATTCTGCTGCTTCACATGGAGCCTACCTTCGTTCGACACGTATGTTAATGCCAAGGTCAAATTTAGCACTGAAAACACAAGAAGCATTGGCAGAATTACGACCTCCGATCTCGTTGCGGTTAACGTTCCCAACGCAATCGAACTGTGAGAAATGGGAAGGCGTTGTTGGAGCGGTAACGAGTGGATTGGAAATGAAACGTCAATTAGATCGTGTTCAATCGGAATTACGAATCGCCCAAATGCGATCACAAGGAATAGCGCCACCGCCAACGGCACCACAACAAGCAGGTTCTGTCAGAGCGCCAAGTGCAACTCCTTCGAATGCCAGACGTCCTAGCATAGCTGGCAGAAGTGTAACTCCTCAAATTTCCGTTTCAACGGCTGAAGGCACGACAGAACCATCTGCACCGATTTCCTAAAAAATTCATGTATCATTAGTGTAATTTATAACCCGAGTGGTTGACAGATGGAATTGAGTTAGTGTACAAGCATGAGAGATAGCGAAAGAGATGGAGCATCGAGTGTGTGTAAATGATGGCATAGTACAATTCTCTGGCGGCATAAAATAGTCAAAAAAAAAGGCTTGGTATATTTTGAGCATGGCGAAATTATTGCCATTGATTAAAAGGCTGGTAGTGCTGCTGCTGCTGTTGTTGTTGATTCCACATTGGCTGTTGGCGAGTTTGTTGCTGCATTCCAGTCGGCATCATCGTGTTTGCAAAAGAGCCAAAAGGGTTGTTTGCATTTGGGCTAGGTTGTTGTTGTTGTGCAGGAAAGAAGTTCTGTTGTTGTTGGACGGCAGCATATTGACCTCCGAAAGCTTGTTGACCCATCATCTGCGGATTGAATTGCTGCTGCTGTTGTTGCTGTAAATGCAATCCTGTCGGCGTGAATGCCATCGCGCCTAAGCTTACACTTCTTTGTTGATCACCTGCACCCGCAAAGCCAGCCGGTCCAAAAGGTGATTGTGGAGCGCGCTGCTGCTGCTGTTGCTGGAAGAAAGGCGAAGAAGAAGTGTTGGTTCCATTCACAGTATGTGACATGACCATCGGACTGACGACCGCCTGTTGTTGTGTTGCAAGATGTGCCCAAGGATTAAGTTGTTGTCCCGGTTGAACCATTTGATAAGCAGGCTGAACGAAAGGTTGAGCAGGTTCTTGTAACGACAACAAATCATCAAAGACGCTTGATGATGCAGTCGCATTTGCAGTTGCCCTTATACCACCTTGATGTCCATTTGTTGTGCCGTTTGTAGCTGCATTGTACATCATACCATTCGTACCATTCTGCATACTTATGGAAGCGGAAGAAGAACGCGGAGGAACGCTTGCCACTGGAGGTGCTAAACCATTTCCGCTCGCAACAGCATCCCGGGTGATGGAGGCAGACGAGCCGGATCGATTCGGAAGAGGAGGAGCCTGTAATGTGGTGGTGGAAGCGGAAGACGAAGTAGCCTGAACGGCAGGAGCAGGTGAAACGGAAGCAGCTCTCTGTGCGTCTGCCCAAGTTGACGGAAAAGGTGAGGTACTACTTCTGCCGGTAGACTTGTTCGCGCTTGAAGGAGTCCCTAGAGAATTGGCAGGGAACTGTTTCCGACTACTATCGCCGCTACTTGTAGAGCCAGTCGGATTGGGTGAAACGTGCCATTTATCTTTGATGGGTACGGGAGGAGGATTTGATGCATCCATAAATTTACCTCGATATTTATCAAAGATAAACCTCTCCAATTCACTATTTTCGCCTTCTTCAACGTTTGCTGGCGGTCGATTTCGCTTTTCGTCAGGATTGAATTTCATATTTGATTTTACATTTCCATTCTCCCGCATTCGTTCAACTTGTTCTTTCGACCATGTATCAAGCGTTAATGATTTCACTTTACTTATATGCGTTCCCATCTTTCGATGAACGCCCGCACAATTCATACACAAGAATATTCCTAAACTCCAACTTGCCCATCTTGGATACCTTCCATTACAATCTGCGCATGTATTATTACCTGGTTGTTTTGATATATCTTGTACCTGTCTTTGATAACGTTCAGAAGCTGCTTTGGTGTTCATCCTGGGCAGCTTCTGTTGAATGAGAAGAGCAAAAGGTTTTGTCGCACTAGTCTTTAAAAGCAGAATCCAAGTCCAGCTCGGATTGACGGTTGAGGTATTCTCGTTGATGATGGTAAATGGGGGGTACAATTCATAGAGATCGAAGTGGTCCCTGCGAATGATCGGTTTAGTATCCTTTTGCTTCATTTCCATTTTATTTTATTTTTTGTCGGCTTTATTGACAGTACACACTAATACATTATGTGCGTCCATCTCTCTCCCGCCCTGTACTGTCACTGTGTGCGTGTGTACACATCTACTTTGCATTGCATTTATTGCCAAAGCGTTGCGCTGCGTATCGGGTAACAGTATAGTGAACGGACGCGTCTTAAGGTTAAATTTGCACAGACAGCGGTAAAGCTCCTATAAACAGAAATCTCTCTATCTTTATAGGCCGAGCTTGGCATAAAATCAATTCACCGTGGTCACAGACACAGGCAGGCATATTTCAATCTTATCATATATTAATCAAACTAATACATAATTCACGTCCAAGATGGGTCTCTTGACGTTAAATTTACGTAAAGATGAACGAACAAGATCTCGAGTGATAATAAGTTGAAGTGGCTCATGCTCAACCGCTTTACGTTGTAATAATCCGCATTCCGATAATGCCAACGTTAAATCTTCCATACGCAAATTTGTCGCTTCCGATAAACGTTCCAATGATGTATGCAAAGTAATTGGCTCATTTTCATCAATTTTGAGAAGTGGGTGAGTAGCTGATTGAACCGCATCATTTTGAGATGAGCCAGGATCAGACACTCCACTTGCCATTTTCTTCTTCAATGGATCCTCAACAAGGGTTCCAGTCAAATCTCCACCTTCAGAAGATGGTCTACCTCTCTTTCCCGTGGTTTTTGTTGTAGCTTTCGGTTGTTTGTCACCCGGTAATGCTTTTCCTACAAGAATTCTACGTATCCGTAAACATTCATCTTTTTGACGTTGTTGAAAGATGGCCAATGTGGCTGCATTTGGTTGTGCTTGTTGCTTGTTTGCTCGCGAAGATGATGTTGCAGTATATATAGGAGGCAAAATACGTCCTTGAACATCTTCATCTTGATCATGAAAGAAGAGAGCCAACGTACGCAATGCGACTGCAGACCAAAAAGTCAAATAACCCCTCAACCCCAAATCAGACAACGGTCTTTCCGGCGTTCCTGCAACGGAATTGATGGCAGAAAGATGATAGCTGAATTCGATCATCAAAGTTCCGAAACCATGCTTCTGAAAAGGTGGGAATGTGATAATGCAAGCCAGATTATAATCATCATAAGATACCTTTTCTTTTGAGAAATATCCCAAAACGTGATCGAATTGTGCTGTTGCGTCCGTCAAAACATAAAACACAAAAGGCTCTACATCAAAGTAGATGGTCTTGTGATCAATAAATAACTTTCCAAACAATGACAAATTTTGACAATAAAGCTTTTGAAGAGACCCGTCCACTTCCCAAATCGTATGAGCTCCACGTTGATAGACCTTTTTACCCGGGGGATGAGTGAGATTGCATTGTCTTTTATGTGCTTTAAAGCCAGGATATGTTCTCATATACTTGAAACAACCATCACAAATCCAAATCGATTTAGCAACAGGTTCTTCATTTTGTATTTGTACACGTGCTTCACCATTCGTTGTTGCTTGTAATGCGGGCGCATGTTCAGCACTATTGGATAAAGCACCTCCATGCCGTAGAGGAATAGATTCTACCAAACTGTCAGGGTTGAGAGTTGATGTTGTTGATGTGGTTGTTTCGCTTCTTGAGTGATTTTTGGTGGCTTGTGTAGGATTGGATGAAGATCCTCCTGGATTTCCGTTTGCGGTCGTATTTGCCAAAGCTGCCCATTCTTCTTCATCAAATTGGTATGGACTATAATACCACGTCTTTATATCGTATGCTCCAAAATGAACTCTGTCAATGTTACGTTTCCTTGTCAATTTTGCACTTGGTCTACGTGATGCTGCATGTCCATTGGTTGCAAGACCTCCATGATGACCGGAAGAAGATGTAGGAGAATGCAAAGGTGAATCAATTACGCCAGGTGATGATGCTGCTGTGTCGATGCCGGGGATATGTAGATGTGGTCGATTGGATAGTGATTCTGTCGTGTCTTCCCGTTTGTGTTTCCCATTTTCGATATGAGTCGAAGGTATGGCACTCATCTTTGACAAGGACACGGATGCTGATCTCCACGGTTGTTTCTTGTTGGAAGATCGATGTTGCCGGGCTGTCCGAGTGCAGGTAGAAGAATGAGATACCTTGAATCCAACGTTACGTATCGCTGTATACCTTTGCTTCCTATCGCACACCCTTCTGTGTTGCCTATGTCGTGTGTGATTTGTTTGTGATCGATTCGGTTTTAAATGTGATCAAGAAGACCTAGAAAATCATAAAACCTAAACTTTGGGGAAATAAATAATTTTTCTTCTTCTGCACACACACGCTTTTGTTTGTATACGCAGCCTATAGCCCGCCCAGGCACACACACAGGTCGGTTGATTCATTTGAGAAGATTGTGCTTGTATACCTGCCTGCCTGCACACACACACACACGCATACAAACACGACAGCGCGTTTAGAGTAATTGATTGATTGATTAGATGGATTCCCCTTTTTTGACAGGCAGGAATGAATGTGTGTGTCTCAGTGGAGGTTTTTTCCCGCTTTTAAGGGCTTGCATGCTATTCGATAGCATACAACCGATGGGGTTCTCATTCATACCACGTTCCCATATCATAATGCAGTGAGGGATCTTTTGGCTTTTAACCTCTTCACACCACCTTGTGATCCTGTCCGCAAAATGAAGGTCTCTAATGGCGCTCCTTTGCTAGGCTTAGCCCTGCCCATCTTGGTATCCGTTCAAGGTCAAAGACAAATGCCATTCATGCAACAAGGTTGGCAAGAGAAATCCATCTTTCAATCAGATAATGGTGCAGGTCGATTCTTACACATTACAGATATGCATCCTGACAAATACTATACACCCGGAGCAAAGATCAATGATGCATGTCATAAAGTAGACGATAAAAAGGTTGATGTGGAAAAGAAGAAAAAGAAAAAGAAGAAGGGCAAAGATCAGAAACCAGACGTAGCAGGTCATTGGGGTTCACCTGTAAGCGTTTGTGATGCTCCTCAACAACTCATTTCAGCAACTATGGATTGGCTAGCAAAGAATTGGGGTGACTCTACTGGCGAGAATGGTGAAGGTGCATCAGCATTCGACTTTATCGTTTGGACAGGTGATACCGCTCGTCACGATCTCGATTTCACTCATCCACGTAATGCGGAAGAGATTTTTGACTATAACCGCTGGGCGTTGGAATTGTTTGAAAACAAATTCCCAAATACGCCAATCATACCAAATATCGGCAATAATGACATCATTCCGCACAATATCATGTTTCCTGGCCCGAATTCAATGACGCGAGCGTTTCGCGATATATGGTCAGCACATATCCCAGAAGAACAGCATGAACACTTTTTGAAAGGAGGATATTTTGTTAAAGATGTTTTACCGAACGATTTGGCTGTTTTAAGTATGAATACGCTTTATTGGTATGATGCAAATGCTGCTACACGTGGTTGTAAGAAAAGACATGAACCCGGATCGATTCAATTGGACTGGCTCGAACATCAATTATCCGATTTACGTAATCGTACAATGCAAGCTCATTTGATCGGTCATGTGCCTCCAACAGCTGGAAATTACTTTTCAGATTGTTATGATCGTTATACGGATATCGTATTGCGATTTCAAGATACGATTGTCGGGCAACATTTCGGACATATGAACATCGATGCTATGTTCTTGCAGGAGGACTTCACGATCGCATCCGAATCAGCCAAAAGCCTCAAGCTTGCTAGAGATCGAGATGATGAAGGCACGATTCATATTGCCAGTATAGCCTCCGATCTACGAAAAGATTACGATCTAGTACCTACAGAGCAAAAGACCAACCTTGATGCATATTTGCCCTTTTTCGCATCATCTGCTGTCGTTCCGACGTATTTGCCCACCGTTCGTGTCTGGACATACAACAACTCCAGACCATCGGATTGGGACGAAAGCAGACAGAGGAAGAGCGACGTCCCGCGTCAATACTTTTTGGAAGAGCAATCCGTAGAGCCACAGGCTGGTGTTGTAACAGAGGAAGACTTCGACTCCAAGCAAGAGCGGGTGAAGCCAATTGAACCACTCGGAAGAAGTCATCGTAGACCGAGACATCACAAGAAGCACAAGAAAGGCCATAATCTTCCTAGACATACATCTCCCGATTCTCCTTCGCGTAAGAATAGCTATTTGACAATGTTAGGCTACAGTCATTGGGTTCTGGATCTGGAGGAGCATAATAATCGCAGAAAGGACGCTGAAGAGCGGGGTGAAGAACCGCCAGAAGGAGTGGATTACCAATTAGAGTACACCACCTACGATGAACATACGCTTTGGAGCGATTTCGTGGATAATGGAGGACGATTTGCCGGACATGTTCATCGACCGGTGCCAAAACATTTGTTAGACCGGGAGGTAGAACGCAGAGAATCAAAAGCACCCAAATCACTGGAACATACAGGGCACAAGATTCATTTACCCAAAGCATTAAAGCATCTTACCGATTACAAGATGCCAAGTGTCACGGTCGAACATGTCTTGGACCTAGCCAGAGAATTGGCAGGAGATGATAAGTTATGGAAAAGATTCAAAAGTCGAATTTATACGGAAAGTGGAGCGGATGATTAGCTTCCGTAGAGGGGTGGTGATAGAAGGAGAATATGCTGTAATCATGCTAAATAGATTGAATCATATCGACCCGATGATCAGATCTGGAGCCGTTAGCAGAGAGAAGTGAAAGAGCAATTTCCTACATCATCAAGACTGAAAGAGTGTGAATGTCTCTGCCGTCAAGCTTTCGTTCGGCGCCGCAGAAAAAAAGAGGGCTCTGATTGATTTTCCTGAAGCCGAAATGAAGCGTGGGCGAGAGTGATGCTTGCTTTTGAGTGATGAAGGCCAACGGGCGGTATTCCACTCAACGGTAAATCAAACGGAAGACCTCTCTTGAATGAAGAGAAGGAGGAAGAGCGGTCCGGTCCTTCTTTCTCTATTGCATAACATCAAATTTGTCGGCGTATCCGTAATATAATGCATTCGCCACGCCGTTGCGGAGTAGCACTGCAAAGGTGCTTTTCTGTAGAGTAATATGCAATGCTACTGAAAGGAGAAAAATTTCCCCATTTTTCTTATGCATCAAAAGACAACCAAGATATCGTGTATTTTTTTTGATGTTGAATCTAAAGATCAATCTTTACGATCAAAAATCATCTCCCACAAACAAAATGGACGAGTCTTACGTCTTTCCACCTCCATTAACACTTCTTTGTCCACCTTCTGGCTTGTTATTGGAAACAACCTGGTTACCTGCTTTTCCATTGGTGCGTAATGATCAAATGGGCGCTGAAGAGATTCCACCCTCGCCTTCGCTTTCGATGGGAGGAACGTCTTGTTCAAGTTCAGGAAGTGTGGCAACAATCAGTCCACATCAATCTGCCTATTTGCCACTGCACACAATCTCCAATCGATCACCATACAGCAACAAAGAGAAACATAGTGAACATGGTAAGCTCTTCTCTTCAATAAGACCGGATTCGGACGAATTTGTACGACCGGGTAATCTGGAAAACGGTGCATTTTCGATCAATATTTCTGCCACGTCAGCAAACGCAAACATCACATCAGCACAAGAAGACAAGATGCGTGAATTGATGTTTGCAAAAGGTTTTTCATCTTCAAATGCAAGTAGAACGTTGAAGTTGGACAATACGGCTGTGGACAGATTGCTTCGCTTTCAATCCTTAGCGAATAGGATATGGAACGAAAGTGATCCAATGCTAAGCTTTCCATTTGAAGCCAATGCAATTCATGAAATCCCATTCAAAGAGCCCGTCAGAAAAGCGTCAAAGGCAAGTCTTTTCGGAGGTGGTGGTGAATCATTCGTTTCCTCTTCTTCTTCAACGAACACTGCATCTTTTCGTTCAAAAGTTTCGCAAAGTATCGTTTCAAGTTCACTTTCCCCGAACAAGAAGCTCAAATTGCTCGAGAATAACAAATTGGGACTTTTACTGCGGCCACAGAAAACAAAATCTAGAGGATCGCCGTACGTGTTTGAAGAAGATGTCAGGTACGGTCCATCAAAGAGTCCATCTCCGATCTTTTTAGGCGAAGCAGAGAATGATGTATTGTCAACTTGGGGTGGAATGGCAAAAGCGCTTTGGGGAGAAGATTCAATAAAAATGGAAGAAAATCAGACCTACCTGACTGTGAAACAAATTCAACAACAAAATGGAATTCGATTAGACAAAGGGACTCTTGCACAATTAAAAGATTGGGATACATTCTATACAACATATACTCTTGCTTTGCTCAATTTCAATGATATGCCACCTTCACCCAAAGGTGTTCCGGAATTCGATGCTTGTCCAGATGCTACGCCAACGTATTCTGGTATGCTCTATGCACCCATCCCGAAATGGGAGGGTATCCGACTGCAGTCATTCCATCGGTTGGGCGTGTTGAAACAAGACAAGATCGTTCGTGAACGTATAAGTGACATTTTGGACGAGATGCGATTCCTGCTACCTAAGCTCAAGATCTGTTTGCGATACATCGACTACGATGATATCTATCATCATTCAAGGGATTTAATCTACCGTGATGCTCAAACAGGTAGAAGGCAATCAGTTTGTGCACATACCATGTTGAATCGTAACTTGGGAATGCAAGTGTACAACTTTCGAGAAGATTGGCGCTTCAAATTACCCGAGAATGAATTCTTGATTGAAGATGATGGTCATACAGCTTACGATGCTCATATTTATCAACCATTCAGGATCGATCATTCGATCAAGCATTATAAATTTTATACTGGAGTACCAATATTGGCAGCAGATGGCTTACCAATGGGCGTCTTGAGCGCCTGGGGAAAGGTACCAGGTCGCAAGAATGAAACGCTCAATTTGTTTCTACGTCAAAACGCACGAAAGATTGGAACACTTCTGGAGCTTGGTTATTGTATGAACTTTGTGGAAAAACTGGAACAAATGAAGTTGATGTACTCAAATTTACCAAAGCACCTTCCTCTACTCTACGACCATTCAAAGAACATAATCTATGACGTTGGTCCTTCACATTCAACTCGAAGTGGATCAAGAGAGGTTTTTGAAGTTTCGATTTGCGCAAGAAATGGATTGTTCGTTGTTCCATTAGAAGGTGAGAAAGTGTTCTCGATTTTGGTCTCGATTGGATCTGTGACAGACTTCAATTGTATCTATCTTGCTGCAATCACACTTCCTTGGGCAAGTTCAACGGAAAGAAGGATGGATATCTTGGCATACGTTAACGACACAGACGAGCCAATGCAGAAGCTCTCCTACACATTCCATGAAAAATTGTTCGATAGTGCTTCCGAGCCTTATATCGTTCTTCAGTCCACGAATCCTGCTTTGGATCCGCAAATTGACGGGAAGGAAATGCCACATGCGCCATTCATGAATGAAGATGAGTTCTCACTCAACCGTGAAAGAGTGGCTGGAATCTTTCTTGCGATCAAACGAAACGGAAAGATGGGATTCGTATTAGGAGCACTAGTAAAAAGCGAAGATTTGGTGATCGGCATTGAAGATTTACGATTTTTACAAGCTGTTCAAGTTAATATAGAAGAGGCTCTAACTCATTTCGGTCATGAATATCAAGAAAGAAAGAAGTTCCCATTCAAAGGTTCACAGAAGAAGAGAGACCATAAATCAAAAGCTGCTTCACAAGATTTAGAACGATGCAACACTGAAGCAAACGAGCAAAAGATTATGCGCTCAAGTTCTCTTACTTCTGTGAGAGAAGGAAAGAAGACCGTTCGAGGAAACCGACCACCATCTTATGATGAGAGGTATACACGTTTGCCTCCTGGTCAACCTTCGCAAAACTCATCACCCTCAAGGCTTCAAGAGAAGAAGGATATGAACATGTATACGATTGATGAAACAACATGGGATGTTCGTATGCAAAGCAGTCAAAGTACAGATACGCCAGGCACGAATCGAGATGAAGAATTAAAACGAAATCGATTGATTACAACACAAGATGCTGCGCTCATGGATAAAATCTCAGCTTATCGAAATTCATTTGAACATCAACAACATCATGCAGGACCAGAGCATAGAAAAGCACAACAAATAATTGATCTTTCATCACAGGAATTGACTGTTTCGTCCACTTCAGGTTCGTTTGACCGACTTGATGGATTCTTGAGACCTCCTTCTGTTGGTTTGAGTCCCAGTCCGAGAAGAAATCGACCAAAAGCCGCTACTGTAAGCTCTGCAGAGGCATTCAAGCACATGAAATTAGAGCAATAATGATTCCATCGATCACAACTTCAGCACACGACCCACGAATCGTATTTCAGTTTCAACCGTTCTCCAAATTCAATTCATTTTGTACAAATACAAATTAATCTTAGCTATAAAACAATGCCGTAAATTAATGATATAACTGCATCTTGCGATAGATACCTTCCAAAGCCGCGTTTTTCTGTTCTGCCACTGCCTGGCTATTGCTTGCCCTTTGAGCGGATTACATCAATGATCCAATAGGACTTGAGAAGCCACGACCGACGAAAGATGGTGCAAATACGACACTATGACATGTATTGCTCAACTTTGTCGGCGATATCTTCTAGCCTTCCAATCATATCAACGTCCGGCTCTGGTTTACGTTTGTGAGAGCGAATGACATCATTCAGCAGTGCATGTATGATAACTAGCTGTACATCTTTCCCGTTATTGTTGTGATTAGGCGATTTACTTGGCTCGAACCTTGTCCGACGTTCCTCTTCCCGTTCTACATAGGCTGGGAAAAGCCCTTTGAGGTGTTTTAGATTTAAAACACATTTATTTGCACCGGCCTTACGTTCTGCACACTTAGAACATTTTATCGAACGATGACTGATGATAACTTGACATGCATTGTATGCGTGTGTACTGCAAAACGTACAACGATTTTCTCCGTACACATTGACGAGGAATTGTCCCTTATCGCCTTTGGTAACATTTTGGTCTGATTGTGACAGAGTAGGTTCGGTGTGATTGGTGTCAGTCTGACTTGACTGTGGTGATTTTAGTTGGGCTCGATTGGCATTAGTCTGGGTTGACTGTGACGGTCTTGGTTCGGTACGACTGGTGTTATTACTCGGTCTTCCAGCCGGAGCCCGACTTGGTGTAGTAACTTCGGATGTGCTTGCAATGGAGTTTTCTGTACTTTGGAGAGCATCGGATTTCCGCTTACGTCCTGGAGGCATGATTGACTAGGTCAAGATGATGACGGTGGTGGATGTCAAAAGACACACTTTTAACTTTATTCTTATGCATGCATGCAAGTCGCGTTCTCAATCTAAACTTAAACGCGCCAATTCACTCTAGCAGCAAAACAAGAATCATAAGTATCATCATTCCATTCACAGTCACATCGAGCCTAGCTAGAGAGAATACCTTGAATCACATGAAGTGCTTCAATCAATTCATTGTCATAATGGCGTCTCGCAATTAGTTGCAGATTGACCGGTGCACCTTCAAAGTCACCTTTGTTCCATAATTCCACCACACGGCTTGATTCGAGACTCATTTCTTTTGCTTGTTCTTCGTTGGTGTACTTTTCCTTTCCAGTTGCACGAATTGGAGTAGGAAAAACGCAACCCGGCCAATCCATAATGTTCCAAATTGATGTATAATTCCAGTAGAAGGCAGTATCGTGTGAACAAGCTGGACCGACGAAACAAGGAGCCAAAATTACATCCAAATCAAATTTATTGAAATGTTCGACAAATTTGACACGGAAATCTTGTAAGTCTGCATTCTTTCGCGCGATCTCAAAAGCATCCAACGGCTTCTCTCGAGTTTCACGTAGTGTATTGGTCGTCAGTGAGTACTCTGGCTCACCACCATCCTTCAAAGCTTTACGTAATTCGGTATAGCCTGTAGGGTAGTATAAAGAATGCAAGAGCTTGTTACCTTCTGCAACATTGTATGGCGTGTAAGGAACCAATTCAATCTTGTCTTTTGCTTTATCGAGCAGCTCTCTTGCCCACAGCAACGCATTTGTGACAGGTGGCTGAGGAGTGATATGACCATCATTGAGCACGAATCCAACACGAAGCTTTTTTGGGCTCGCATTGACGAACGAAGTTGGCCAATTCCAACGCAAAAGTTGAGAGTCTTGTAATTCAGGTTTTGCGTCCAAAATAACTTTCATGAAATAATTGATTCCTTCCAATGAAACAGTCATTGGACCACCACAGCATGCAATGCTGATGGGAGCAGAAAGAACGCCAACGGGCATTCCGGTCAAAGGTACAATTTGTGAACTTGGTTTGAAACCCCAAATACCGCAAAATGCACTTGGACCACGAATTGATCCGCCAATGTCCGTTCCTAATCCTAAGATTGATCCTCGCAATGCAATCAATGCTGCTTCTCCGCCTGTTGAACCACCCGCGCTCAAGGTGGTGTTGAACGGATTCAAAGTTCTGAACATGAACGATGTGCATTCTAAATGCATGATTGCTTGAGGTTGATTCGTCTTGACGTAAAAGATGGCACCTGCTTTACGTAGGATTGAGATCAACAGACAGTCTTCCTTGCTTTTCTCTTCTCGAGTTGAAAGGAAACCAGTCGAGGCTGGATGACCTTTGAGCGGCATATGATCTTTTACACTGATGGGCAAGCCATGAAGAGGTCCAAGCGGCTTGCCTGTCTGTTTGAGATGTTGATCTGCCTTCAAAGCAGCTTCAAGTGCTTCTTCCTCAAAGTAGTCCACCAAACAGCCTGTCAATTGATGAGCAATAACGGCACGTTTACAAAAAGCAGTCGTAACGTCAACAGAAGTAAGTTTACCCTCAATCATCTGTTTGACCAAAGTGGGCGCATCGTATTTTTCCGTAATAGCAATTTCTTCCTCGGTTAAAAGTCCACTTTCACCAATGATTGCTGTTACATCTTTTGGTGCGTTAGATACCACCTTTTCATCTAACCAACGACTCCTTGGAATTTTGTCTGAGAGTTCTTTTCGCAAAATTGCTCGTCTTTCTTCAAAGCTTGCCGTTCCACTTGGCAAATCCAAAGCTTTGGGATTAATTGGTATGATTTTCAGATCTGACATTGTAAGTTGATTTGTTGAATCTGGTAATGAAGAAATAACTTGATTGAGTATCTTTGATGACGGTGGAGGAAAAGAGTAGGTGCAAGAATGTGGGGTTGAGCATAATTGCACGTCCAGAAAACGGCGCCGGATTCCCAAACTCCGCATGACCAGAATGAGTTCTTCTTCTTCCTTTGCAAATGAGAGCACTTCTGCCTGCTTTACACGGGTAGAAGAATCACATGACGACAACGCACACAATCATACACACATTCTTCTTCGAACAAATGTCATTGTAATGAATAAAAGAGTAATTGATATACCGTACAAATCTCATCAATTCGAACACTTTCCTCACAAATGATCTGCATTTCGTTCGAACCGACGGAAGGTGTAACCCATGAAAGCCAAATCTTTGTTATCAGTTGCCGAAGAGACGTCTGTTGAAGGCAATTCAGGAACGTCATTATAATCTTCCACAGGGAAGTAACTCGTATCTGTGATAGATTTAAGAGTTGGAACGAATGGTGCTTCAATGTGACGAATCGAATCGAAATCAACACCGGCAAAGAATGGATGTTCTTTGATCTCCTTTGCACCTCCGTTCAATCCTAATCTATGTTGAGCGGGACACAATAATCTCTTGATCAAATCAATCGCTTCATGCGACAAATGAACATCATCAGGGAAGGCCCATTCCAATCCCAAAATCTTCTTGTACGTTTGATGAGCATCATCACTGCAGAAAGGCGGATAACCACACAAACATTCAAACATAATCGCTCCCAAACTCCACCAATCACATTCATGTCCGTATCCTTGTTGCAAAAAGATTTCAGGTGCAATGTAATCTGGCGTTCCGACTGTTGAATATGCAAGCTTACGTCTGTTTGCTTTCCAGGTTGCAATTTGATCTTTACTGCTTAACGTCAATACGATCGAATTGACTGCGACACTGTTTCGTCCGCTCTGCTGTTGATTTTGCGGGCTGTTGCTATCGAACAGCTTTTGGTAATAAGCCGAATCGTGCTGCTTATGGAACCCAGTCGACAAACCGAAATCGGAAAGTTTGATATGTCCTTTTTGGTCAATGAGAATATTGTCAGGCTTGATATCACGATGGATGAAACCCAATTTGTGGATACCTTCCAACGCAAGAACACATTCTGCCATGTAGAATCGCGTTACATCTTCCGAGAATGTATCGTACTTGATCAACATGGTCATCAAATCACCACCTGGCAAGAACTCCATCAAAAGATACAAGTACTGCGCATCTTGGAAAGAGTAGTATAGCTGCACAACCCAAGGAGAATTGGACTCTGCCAAAACATCACGTTCTGCTCGTACATGTGCCAATTGATCTTTCTTGAACATTTCTGCTTTGCGAAGCGTCTTCATTGCATAAATCTTTCCGGTATCAACCTTTTGTACCACTCTCACTTCACCGAAAGCACCTTTTCCGATCACCTTGACGGTACGGAAATCATCCAGTCCCAGCCTGGTACGACGTAAGCGCAAGAACCCGGATTCTTTGCGACCTAGAGATGCCAATTGACGGTGTTTGCGTTCTTCTGAGATTGGTACTCCGTCTGGTGGATTTGTCAATCGCTTTTCCACCTCTACACGTCTATTGCTTCTTTCGATAGCTTGTTCTACGGCCACTTTGTAGAAATGCTCCAATTTCAATTTGGCACCCGTTGCAGCATCAAGTGTTGTCTTGGACATGCCTTGTGTACTTCTTTCAAAGTAGACATAATCTGATCCTTTATCACTTGCACTAGAGGATGTTGCATTGCTTGGTCTTCCACTGCTTCCCACAGGTGGGGAAGAAGGCGAGGTAGGTTGAACGCCTTGCATTGGAGCAGGACCTTGATTATTGCTACTTGTTGCACCAACACCGCCACGTCCTGGACTGATTCTTCCTGCACCGTAGTTGGGACTGGGAGAACGATTGATCGAATTTCCAACTGCACCTGGGCCAGGACTTGTACCACGATAGCCAGGAGCGCCATTACCTCCTGAATGGGGTGCCTGAAGGTTGTGTTGTTGATATTGCGTTTGTGCTTGATGTGCGGCTTGAATTTGTTGTTGATGAATCTGTGCGGCTTGAGACATTGCGGGATGTTGTAATTGACTAGGAGGTTGTTGTGCTTGTGCGGCCAAAGCAGCGGCTTGAATTTGAGCTTGCAAAGTTGCCGAGGGAGAATATTGTTGATGAGGGGATTGTTGTTGTTGTTGCTGTTGTTGTTGATGCATTTGTTGTTGTTGTTGCTGCTGAGCATATGCTTGATTATTAGCATATCCTCCTTGCTGCTGCTGTTGTTGAGGGTAACCGTATTGCGGCATTCCGCTTCCACCGCCCATTCCACCGCTATACTGACCACCACCTCCTGATTGAGGAGCGAATTGAGCTCCATAAGCGTTCATTGCAGGTTGTTGAACGTGTGGAACTTGTCCCTGCATATAGCCACCGCCACCTCCGGCCCCACTGCCAGGAGAAGTACTTTGGCCATAAGCGCCGTTTCGATACGACATTGGTGGGAAAAGAGGGATAGATGCGAAATAGAGGGGTGAAGGGGTTGAGTTTGAAGGGAGTGTATTTCTTTCTGATCGATCGTCGCCTGTTGACAGAAAGGGGTGAAGTTGTTGTACTGACTCGAGGATGAGGAACAAGAAGATCTCTTTGTAGTACTGACTGACATGAAAGCTATGCTGCTCAATCTGAGTTTGAGTGTCGCGCTTTTCATTAAAGAAGCACTACAGCAGTCTGTTTTTTACGCTCGAGCACACGCGAGTTTATTCATTTGACTGCAACTTTATTCCCAGCACAGCACTAACCAACCACACGCGCTTTGCTGGACACTAAGACGGGGAAAATGTGACAAATAATATTAGAGCGTGTTATTCCCCTCGCCATCATCACTGACGTCAATCTTTCCAAAGAATGAGGCCTTTGAACTCTGCCATACCTTACTGCTGAATAGACACCTGCCCTAATCTTCACGGTCAAAGGAACTCTAAGTGGATTGAAAGAAAGAAAGAATACACGCTTGTTTTCTAGTTATGTATTGGGTCATACTTCGTAATTTACAGCTTCGCACGACTTTTTAGAGAGCAGAGATGGTGCTAGTATCGTAGTCTTCGTCAGATTTGGAAGTTGTGCGCTTGTCGAGGATAAGGCGTAAACGTTTCATTTCGCCTACATCTAATACATCATCTACTTCGCGGTCTAGTTCAGTATCGATACCAATAGCTCGCAGGGCTGCTGTGACACCTGCAGCATAATCGACGCTTTCCAAGAATTTCGCTAGCTTCCATAAGTATTCCCATTGCTTACGTGCTTTTTCCAAATCTTTTTCGATTGTAAATGTTCGATACAGCTCGACGCAATGTTGTGGTAGGATTGCTGCCATTCCAGAAATTATACCTGGCGCTCCTAATGCCAAAGCAGAGAAGCATAATAGATCCGTACCATTGAAAGTTCGATTTTTGTATCGTATTCCTGATTGCGCCTTTGTTGTGAAATCCATTCGATAATTTTCATCAAAGACAGTCGCATCATTGCCGTAAGCCACGTCTTCAAACCTACTGAATGTCTTGCCTTCACTTTGCAAATTCCACGAGCAATACATCAGGGGAGTGTCCATATTTTCAATCTCTTGATGCGATTCGAAGAAATCCAATCCGATTGATCCAAACATGAACATAATAGCATGGCAACCTAAAGCTTCATAGCCTTGACACCATTCATCGATAAAGTCGTGTAAAACAGGATGAAGACCTGCGATGATTGGAATTCTTCCCTTTGCGGCTTCTAGATATGCGTTGACGACTTTTTTATGCTCAGATGAGTCAAAGTCCACACAATCAGGTTCTTCAAATCCTCCTACTTTACCTACCACCAAGATTGCACTAACGCCAGCATTTACCATGCGATCAACGATGACTTGAACGATATCCAAGTTGATTGTGCCATCCCTGTTTCTCGGTGTAGGCACATCAGCCACGACACCATTTAAACGTTCAACCATATCTTCAGGATTTTGCTTCCGTCCACCTAAGAAGAAATTTCAAAGATAATGATGGGAAGAAAGAGAGACTTCACACTTCGTACACGACTGCTTCTTACATCTTCCTGAAAATTTTTTTTTCTGCTTCACAAAGAAGGCTGAAGATTGACGGAGTATGAAAATGAACGGTATTAAAGCGGCACGAACTTTCTCGGCGAAAGGCCGTATGCAAGAACAATTATTTCTTGTTCTCAATATATAAATGATATTCCTTTCTACCGATCGGTACCTTTCCTACTCATTTGTATGACATTGTTATTCTCAAATTTGGTTAATATACATATGTTTTCTACAGCTTTTCCCCATTCCACATCATAGTCGAGACTGTAAGCGAGAGGGAATTTGATCGCTCGCCAGCTCGCTCATTTCCGCATTTGCATCGCGCAAACGTTGTCTCCAATCATATTCCTCAACCGGCTTATACAGCCCGTCAGATTGAAGTCTTGCCAAATGTTTTGCCGTGATATCCTTGACTGTTTTACAACCCATCAAAGCCATAACAAGCTTGAATTCATCGTGCAAGATATTCAATGCAATTGATACGCCTTCCTCTCCTTTGTATGCCAGACCCCAAAGTGGGATTCTGCCTACCCAGCAATAATCAGCACCAAGTGCCAATGCTTTAAAGATATCACTTCCACGTCGAATACCTCCATCAATATGAACTGGGATTCTACCTCTGACAGCATTGACAACTTCGGGTAAAGCATCCAAGGTAGCAAGGGTACCGTCCAATTGTCTTCCACCGTGATTGCTAACGATGATTCCATCTGCACCATGTTGAACGGCCAATTCTGCATCTTCAGCAGTCATGATCCCCTTCAACCAAATTTGCATTTTTGCATGTTGCTTGAAATATTGAATCTTTTGCCAAATTAATGCTGCATCATAGGCAATTCTTTCATCCGTTGTAACCATACTTTGTGGTTCATCAATTTCGGGTATATTGGGAAACTTGAGTGTTGAGGGAAGACTGAATGTATTTTGAAATTCGTTCAGCCTTCTGCCTAGCCAAGGACAATCAACAGTGATGAACACAGCTTTACAGCCAGCTGCTTCTGCTCTTTTTAGAACGTTCAAATTGATATTGACATCTTTGAGAACACATAATTGTTGGCAATAAGCAATTTCATTCTGATTGATAGTCTTTGCTTGCTGACATACTTCTGCTGTGGAATAATTTGACCAAACTGAAAGTGCCATATGAACACCTTTACGGGCAGCAGCACGAGAAGTTCCTACTTCACCTGAAGGATGTGCTAAGGCATGATTGGCTGCCGGAGCGATTCCCATAGGAAAAGCAGACATTTTGTCTAAACAAACAGTACTTGTATCAACATTTGTCACATCGATCAATACCCTTGGCCGTAATCTGTATCGATCGTATGCTAGCTTGTTATCGTCTCGTGTTAAAAGATCCATTGAGCCTCCTGAAAAGAAACCTGCTACCATTCTTGGTAAATTTGCCATCCCTTCCTTCTCCAAATCTGCAATACAGTGTACCCGATCATCATATACTGCAGAACGATTCATTTTTGATTTTAGGGTTTTTTTTTTGTGACCAACGTTTCAGCAACGTACAGTACAGCAGAGTGGAGTAATCGACACAGACTATAGAGTTGATTTCCAGATGTTCAAGCGATATAACCCTATCTCTTACCCACACTGAAGTGCTATCTAGGTGGTAGTGAAGAGAAGAATGACTACAATAAATCATTGCTTGATTATCAAATGTACGCCGGCGGTCCTTACACTAACGCCGGCGCACGCACGGTTGCAAGTGTTGTGCATTCTTATTAGTTCCGCGGAACCGTTCTAATTACCCACATGGTCCTTATCTTTTACCTTTGCTTCATTCATCGGTGACCGTATCATGTGCGTATAAATGCATGCATGATGAGCTTGTTCAAAGCTGAGAATGAAAAGAGGCTTGTTACCATTCAACGGTCCGAAGTCCCTTAAAATTAATAAATTATATGCATGTACACGGTGTTAAAGTATGAACTATAATTCAATCTTTTGATGTGCGTTTGGCAAGAATGCCACGTAGCTGCTCCAACTCATTCTTTGATAACGGTAATGTCGGCTCACGAAGAGGACCAGCATCAATTCCAATGATTTCTAAACCAGCTTTGACACCTGCAGGATAATTGACGCTTTCCATAAAACTTGCCAGTTCCCACAAGAATGCCCATTGCTTACGTGCTTCTTGTAGGTTACCGTCCACAGCCAATGTTTTGTAGAATTGTGCACATTCTTCTGGTACGATCGTGGCAATTCCAACGATGATGCCTTGAGCTCCTAATGCTAAAGCAGAAAAGCATAATGTATCCCAACCATTGAACGTTTGAATATCAACTTGTGCAGTTTGTTGTTCGTATACCAATAAGTCGACTTGCTCTTTCGCATTACCAGATGTGTCTTTGAGGTATTTCAGATTTTTGATTGTTCCCAACTCTCGTATTTGTTCTGCCGTAAGATGAACTCCTGTAGCGCCAGGCAAGTTATAATACATCATTGGAATATTGACATGATCCGAAATAGTTTGATAGAATGTCTTGAGTGTGTTAAAAGGTAAAGGATCATAAAAAGGTGGAACGACCATGACTGCATGTACGCCTATCTTTTCACTACTTTGACAATATTTGATCGTTTCTTTTGTCGAATTTGTTGCAATACCTGCAATGATTGGAGTTTTACCTCGAACGGCTTCCACATATGCTTTTACGATCGATTGATGTTCTTCGAATGACAGAGCTGTCACTTCTCCTGTTGTACCAGTTGTCACAATTCCATCAACGCCAGCTTTGAGAATACGTTCTGCAATGGGTTTTGCCATAGCTGTATTAATTGTTCCATCTTTGTTCATTGGCGTAGGCACAGCTGCCAAAACACCTTTTAATTCACCAACCATGTTTGTAAAATAAAGATGGTAGGAATGAATGCAGAGTGCTTCTCCCCCACAATCATGAACCAGCCATATGCAAGCCGGACCGTTGGCCGTTTAATATCAACCGTTGAGCTTAAATTAGCCTAATTTATTCGCACAGAATACCGAACATTGCACTTGACTGATGCAGTGCACTAAAATAAAGAGTACTTTTCGTCGGCAACCGTCCAACTTGGAGAGATGATTAGTGGTTGCAACATATAGGTTTCTATTCACACTGTATATCACATTCGGCCCTGTAGTCTAGTGGTTAGGACAGCAGATTTTGAGACTACGCAATAAAACGCGCTTATACAATCTTCTGTTAACCTGGGTTCGAATCCCAGCAGGACCTTTCTTTTTGCCTTTTGAGCACGCTAACTGCCGATCCAGCATTTCTCATTTTTTTTGACTCTTCTGGCAATCACTCCATTTTTTATAATCATGATATACATTTTTATTGAGCTAGAAGTACATTGCAATTCATACATTATGTTCCATTGCCGCCACCGCCACCACCAAGCAATGCGCTGAAGTCAATATTGCCGAGCAAATTGCTATCGTTCTCATTGTTAGATGTTCCTCCATCTCCAGATCCGCCGCCTAAGTTGTTTAAGAAGCTTAGATCGACACCCTCAAATTGTTCCGGATTGAAGTTGAGTAAATTGACATCACCCAAACCACCGTTTGCCGCATCATTGGAACCATCATATCCCATATTCAAACTTGTTCCAATATCTCCAAACATGTTGTCCATCGTATTTGGATTAGATGCATCTTTATCGTTTGCGGTTGTATCCATCGGATTACTCAAACCAAAAGAAGAAAAATCAAAATTACTCAAAGCATTTCCATCACTGGGTTGAGAAGTGGTGGTAGATTGTCCATCTTTGTTGGACGCAAATGTGGATGAGCCAGAAACGGCTGCTGTCAATTGTGCCAGAAGAGCGGCTGGATCGGTCGGTAAAGCGCCCGTACTTGGTTCAGAAGCAGGAACGACAGTTGATGTTGCTGGCAGCGGTACAACTTTATTTGCCGGGCTTTCATCCGTTAGATCGATCGCATCATTGTTATTCGAGCTGCTGTTTGCATTTGTTGGTTTTCCTGCCAAAGGTACATCGTCATCTTCGTCATCATCATCCAGCACAATAGCATCTCCACCTTCTTTTGCGGCGGGAGCAGGTGCTGATTGTGCTTGCTTAGCTGCAGCCTCTTCTGCTGCTTTGGCTGCTTGTTCATCTTTGATTCGTTGTGCTTCTGCTGCTTCGGCCGCTGCTAGTTGATCTTTGATCCTTTGTTCTTCTTGTTGTTTTGCTTCTCGTTCAAGTGCTTGTGGAAGTGCTGATTGCAAGGAGTGTCTTGCATGGTCTACGATGAATGCTAGCTGTGACGTAAGCGCTCTATATCGTACACATTCCCGTTCTAATGCTTCATAATTGGGAACAGTCTTGCCAATGTTAATAGGAATACCACTTTGACTTGACAAGATGATCTTTTCAGGTTGTAGGCCGAATTGCTGTAGAATGATTAGCTCTTCGCCTGAGAAGAGAGAGGAAGGATTCGTTGTGACATTTGCCGGGATATCGGCTTGAAATTGTATCCTCGTTTTGATCGATTCCAAGACATTATTCAGCCGTACACGAGCACGTATTGCGATTCCAATCTGGATCAGTAATGCTTTGAGTGTTTGATCGATCGCACGAGCTATTATTTTGATATTTGCATTTTGAAACAGAGAAGAAGCCAATGCGTTTGCTTTTTGTATGGATGTATCGCTATCCTGTTGTGATGATCCGTTTGTGTTGGTCATTGGCTGTGCTTCTGCCATCGATGTATCGATTTCCATCGCCATGGCCAGATTCACAGCATTGATTTGATTATTGCTGTTGCACTTTCTTTACGTCTCCATTGTTTGATGTGAGATGGTGGCATGTGCATTCTTCTCATTTTCATAAAAATACGCGAGTTTAACAAAGGGAGTGCGTGCGGTCAACCTGACGCGCACTTTTACACCAGCATGCATTCTCCTTACCTTTCAATTACTCATGAAGGAAATCTGCATTCGATCATTGTCACACATACAATATGGAATTCTTTGACAGTTGTGATTAAATAATATCTGAAAATAGAACATTCTAATGAACTGATTAATGAAAAACAGATTACGATTTGTTTGATCAGCAAATAGAACAAACGCCTCGGTGCTGCGCCCACCTTCTATAATCCCTACGCCTTTCGGACTGGAACTTTAGAATGATGAGTTGTCATTTTACGCCCTTTTTAAACAATGATCGGGTTCAATGCATAATTGTGCATGCATCTCTCTCTCTCTGTAGTCAACGCCAAACAGGACTGGGACCGTTATTGTATTCGTTGGCGTATTTCTCTTTCTCTGTGTACTTGCCCGAAGGCGCAGTGCAGCACTCATTTATTCTTACGCCGTGCGCATGACTTGATTGCATTCTTTAGGTTCCATAAATCAACGCAAGTAACATAATCCTTACTTCTCTCTTGCTTGTTTGCTTGTAAAACACACAAAGGGGGGAGGGAAGAGAAATGATCAAATAAGAGCGCCGCCCCCTTTGTGTCGGATTTGTGACATCATCTTTTGGGGCAGAAAGGGGGGCTTTTTTGTTTGGATTGCAGTGATGAGTTATATAGAATATGATGACTTTTTCGCTGTTCTTACTACCCAGTCTCGGGCCATCAAAAGAGTACACAATGAACAAGGTCACCGCTACGCCTTCTCTTTTTTTGTTGAAAAAGGGAAGAGGAGCAGTGCAAAAATGCATTGGCGTTTGACGCCCTTTTTTGTTTGATTAGAATGAGATACTGATCAATTGCCTAACAAACTATATTAATGCACTTCGCGGCTATTTGCGGTACACCTATGCAGTACACAATTAGTGCACTATATCACTTTCGTGTACACTTTGGGCGTCTTTCTTTTCATTTCACTCCCTTTAATCACACACTTACACACACACACTAAACTAAAAGCTTCATCTCGGACAACAAAAAGCAAAAAACTCCTTCTCCCTCTCTTTCGGTTTTTCATTTCATCTTGCCTCCTCTCTTTGTGTTGATTCTTTGATTGTCTTGTCATCGATCGCATAAAGAGAAGCAATTGCGAGAGGCTAGCATGCATTGTTAGCTTACTGGAGGTACAAGAAACAAAACCAAAAAAGGGAACGTAATTTGGACGTAGCTGTCACGCCTTACCTTCCTCCTATCCGTCTTAACAAGATAGGAGGGTAAATAGATTAAAGGCCAACCGCAAGCAAGGTTTCATCTTCACGCCTTTTTGTCGTGGAGCAGGTCACCTTCATACTACCTCAATATCAATCTCTTTTTTTTTCTTTGGCCGAAACCAATTCGACATCTCGACTAGCATCTCGGATAAACTATCGACTGAACGATTAACGGCACTTCAACAACTCAATAAAATACAAAAAACAACTCTCTCTGGAGTACATCAATCTCACAATTGAAATACCAACTTCATGCTCAAACGTCCGCTCTCACATACACCAACGCCAACCAGATCAACATTTGAAGAAGCAAGTCAAACGTTGCTTCCGATCGCATCTACAGTTTTGACATCGTTATTTTGTAATTCTCTGGTAACATCACCACTTTTATCGCCGTCACCTTGTGTCTTTGGTGAACACAAGGTTGACCAAAAAGATTTATTTCACCAACATCCTATCAAGAGACAAAAAATCTCTGAGGAAAATTCATTCAAAATGGATAATTTTGCAGAGGCAGGACCGTCAAAGCAGCCTTTCTTGCTAAGGGCAGATGCTCCAGGCTTGCAAAAGAGTTTATCGACAAATACATCAAGCAACAAACCTCGCAAACGTCCTGCCAAGCTTGCACTCAATCCAAACACACCTTCAAAGCGGAGCGGAGAAGCTTCTCCTGGCAGTCGATCTGTACCTGCATCGCCAATGGTAGGTGAGAACAAGAACGAAGAAGCAAATCGACAGGGTCCTACAAACGATCTACGGGATACACTCTGTGGTGCACCAAGACGGCGGCCAAGCGTACTGTTTAACAATCGTACTCCTGCGTTACCTCTGCTCGACATTCCCGCCCGTTCTCATTCAATATCAAAAGAGTCAAGCGTGCCCAATTCTGGCCCTCCAGCGATTTGGCAAGATCCATCAGAGCATATCCTATCAGGGAAGGGCTCGTCATTGCAACATGCACGTTCAGTGTATGCATCGGGTCCGATTGAAGTTTTGCCAGGTCTCTTTTTGGGTGACGAATTCAACGCTCGGGATGAACAAGCATTGGCAAGGCTGGGGATATCAACGATCTTGAATGTTGCCAAAGAGACAACACTGCCATGTCAAAGTGATGAAAGTTCGCACGATCTTGGTTTCTTGCGTCAATCTGTTAATCTATCGCGCGGATTGGAGAAAAGGTTGACGTTGAACGATGAAGCTGCTACGCCTACGTCGTCTCGACCACCGGTGATGAATCTAACGCAGAGAATAGGTGCAGAAGCGAAAATGACGGACTCGCCTCCAATGAGTGCAATCCGTGAAAAGTTTTTCACGCCTGTGACTTCTTTTCCACCCGTTCTCATGTCTCCAGCACCTCCTCAAATATCTCAACAGCCTCCCAGTACCACATCCTCGAGACCTTCTTCACTTTACCTTCGTAACACTGCCTCAACGCCAAATCTGAACATCTGCTTCCAGAATACACGTAATGCAAAAGTGTTACCAGGCGCATATCGTTCAGGCACGGATAGCAGTAGCGATGAAGAAGAGGAAGAGACTGGTGATGAAGAAACAGAGGAAGGAGGTGAAAGTGCAGCAACGAGCTCATTGAATTCACATCTTTCGACAGCTCCATCGGAGGGAATGGATTCCCTTTCGCCTCATGATGAACGAAAGCAATTCTCACCGTCCGATTTCAGCGTTACAACGCCATCAAGCAGTACATTCTCCCGAAAATCACCAGCGATGGCCAATACGTCAATCTCTTCTTCTTCTTCAACAAGTGCATCTTCTAGCGCTGGTAGCTATACGATCGCATTGCCGAATGATGCAGTTGCTTTAAGTGTGCCTCCAAGTCCAAAGTCTAATCGAACATGGCCAATTCGGTATATCAAATTACCATGGACACACGATGAGACTGATTTGGCAGGATTGTCTTCTACGGGCGGCTTTGTGACGGGATGTGCAATTATTGCAGATGCTCTGGGGATCGACTTGCGCACAGGAAGGCTAACACCTAGAGTGATCAACTCCAAAGGATCAAGCGTTCACGATCGCAGAAGTGGCGTTTTAGTTCATTGTCAATGTGGTGTGAGTAGAAGTGCAACTTTGGTGATCGCGTTTGTAATGCAAGCAGCGGCATACGAATACGATTTCGAAAAGACACGAGATTTGACTGGAATGCATGATTGTTATGAAATGGTGAAAGGATTATCATCGAGTATTTCACCCAATATTAGCTTAATTTATCAACTTGTTGAATGGGAACGATTATTGTCAAGTCAAGTTGCTATGCAAATCGATCAACATACCGCTGTTCGACCGGAAGTGGAACGTGCTGAATTGGAAAGAGAAACGGGAAGTGCACAACATGATCATACCGCTGGACGGAATTTGACTGGAGTAGCCCAAATGACTGAACGTAAATGGGGCAAAGAAGTGATGGGAGAAGAAGATTGGATGAGAATGCGAGCGGAAGAAGAACGTAAAGAACAAGAAGAAGAAGCGGAAAAAGAGAAGAGATTGGAAGAGGCTAAAGCCCGTGAAGCAGAATGGAGAGCAGCACAAGGATTAAAAGCCCCATCGGGTAAACTAAGACCGAAGGCATTGCAATTGGCTGTTACGCCTCAGATTTCTGCTGCTTCCAATAACGGTGTGGGAGGAAGACGTAAAAAGCCTTCACCTTCGCTCACACTTGTTTCGAGCAGTAAGACGAATGCTGATCGTGCATTAGGCTTATCCGGTGCAAAGACTGCTGTTACACTTCTCGCTCCTACGAGTGAAGAAAAGGAAGATTCACGTGAAGATGTTCAAATGGCCGGACCAGATGATCATGTAAATGAACCGCAAAACGTTCAACAATCACGAAATTCAACAATCTTTCCTTGGCTTAAAGGTCAACAACAAGCAGCAGCGGCAGGCGAACGAAATGCACAATCTGAATCTTCTTCTCGTGTTAATTCTCGTCCAGGGAGCGGATATGGAGCTTCTTCTTTTGGCGTGATGGGACAAAGTGCAGCCGAAAGAAGGATAAAACATAAACGTACATTCAGTGCAGAAGTTCCCGATTGGAATTCACGTCAATCGGTTTTAAGCAGAAGTAAAACTCATGATGCTGCAAACAGGTTGAGCACTTTGAGCGTTTTGGCTGCTTCTGCTGAAGATACTCCGCCAAGTACTGCGGCTTTGTGAAACAATCAATTATAGACTTTTTTCATTTATTATCCTCTTAGCAATTTTTCTCTCTATCTCTCTCTTTTTGATTAAGTTTTCGAATCAAAGACACAAATGTACAATATTTTCTACTCATTTGGTATTGCGCAATTTTAATATTTCAATTTTCCCAAAAAGGCACATACATCATTGAAGATTTTAACAAAAGAAAAGAGCTGGAAGGAGGACCATGCAAAAAAACAAAAGATAGAACTGCAGCACCCAGGATTCCCGCGTGGTCCCCCACCGCAGTACTGACTAGGCGATATCGTGCTTGACTTCGCAGATCGGACGGGATGCGGTACTTTCACGGTTCTATGGCCGCAGATATGAGAACTAGGGCGTGTTAATAATAAGTACAGAAATTATATTGATGAAGAAGACTTGATGTTGAATCGCTATGATGATGGATATGCATAGCAAAGCATCCAACATTTACCAGTATGACATCTTAGATCCGATAGACCAAGTGATCCACCTCAATACTTCCCACGCCCACACATTGTACACTTAAGTAATGGTATTCAATCTCATTGGTAAGCAGGTAATACGAGACTACAGAACGATAATTTTTTCTTTTGTTTTCATTTAGTAACTATTTTCACTTCTTAGCAGTCAATTCTTTAATCTTGTCCACGATAGAAGGATCAGCAAGGGAAGAAACATCTCCCAATTGATCACCTTCATTACTGGCAATCTTGCGTAAAATTCTTCTCATAATCTTACCTGATCGTGTTTTTGGAAGATCAGGAGCGACAATAATACGCTTTGGTGTTGCAAATGGACCGATATTCTTACGAATAACCAAGACTAATTCTTTTGTCAAAGAATCATCAGTTGCACCATCATAATCACCCTTCATTGTAACGTAAGCGCAAATTGCTTGACCGGTAGTTTCATCTGGCATTGCAACAACTGCTGCTTCTGCGACACCAGGATGACTGATCAATGCACTTTCAATTTCCGCCGTACTGAGTCTGTGTCCTGAAACGTTGAGAACATCATCAACACGTCCTTTGATCCAGATATAACCATCTTTATCACGAGCTGCACCATCTCCGGTAAAGTAGTATCCCCTGTAAGGATGCAAATATGTTTCCAAATATCTTTGATGATCGTTGAACACTGTACGTGCCATACTTGGCCATGGATTACGAATTGCCAAAACACCTTCAACTTCATTTCCAGTAACTTCTTTGCCTGTTTGTGGGTCCAACAGGACTGGATCGATACCCCAGAATGGATTTGTTGCTGAACCTGGTTTTGTCTTTGTAGCTCCTGGCAAAGGTGTGATGATAATACTACCGGTTTCTGTTTGCCAATATGTGTCCACAATCGCACATTGTTCACGACCAACATGTTTGTTGTACCATTCCCATGCTTCAGGGTTAATTGGTTCTCCTACACTTCCGATCACACGCAAAGAGCTCAAATCGGCCTTATTGACGTGCTCTTCACCCAATCTACGCAAAAGACGAATAGATGTAGGTGCAGTGTAGAATTGTGTGATCTTATGTTTGTCCACTACATCCCAGTAACGAGATGCGGTTGGGTAGACGGGAGTGGATTCGAACACCAAAGTGGTAACACCATTCATCAAAGGACCATAACAGATGTAAGAGTGACCTGTGATCCATCCGACATCGGCCATACATGCGAACTTGTCATTCTCATGAACATCAAAGACGTGCTTGACCGTTAAAGCGGTACCCAACAAGTAACCTGCAGTAGAGTGAACGACACCCTTTGGCTTTCCTGTAGAACCGGAAGTGTACAAGATGAACAAAGGATCTTCTGAATTGACTGGAACGGGTGGGCAGAATGCACGTTCACGACTGCAAACGTCACCCCACCATTGATCACGACCTTTTTGCAATTGAACGGATTCGTTCCCTGTACGTTTGACAACGATTACGTGTTCCACTTTTGGGCATTCTTTCAAAGCAGCATCAACGATACTCTTTGTTGCGATTGTACGTCCACCACGTTTACCTTCATCAGTTGTGATTACAACACGGGCTTCACAATCAACGGTACGGTCACGCAAGGAATCAGAAGAGAAACCTGCGAAGACGACTGAATGGACGGCACCGATACGTGCACAAGCAAGAAGAGAGACGATTGCTTGCGGGCACATTGGCAAGTAGATGATCACACTGTCACCTTTTTTGACACCCATCTTTTTGAGTGCGTTTGCCAGTTGACTAACTTGGACGAGGAGTTGGCCATAAGTGACTTCTTCGTGATTTCCTGGCTCATCGGCTTCGTAGATGATAGCAACTTTGTCGGGATTCTTGTATGCCCATCTGTCAACACAGTTGTAAGAAGCATTTAATTGACCTTCAGGGAACCAAGCAACGTCACCATTCTCGAAGCCACCAGCACGAACGGTACGGAAAGGCACATCCCAAGAAAGCATTTCACGAGCCAATTTACCCCAGAATTCGTCTGGGTTCTTTAGACTGGCAGCATGATCTGATTTGTATGTTGAATCGTTTACGTGTGGTTTTGGGTTTTGAGTCAATCTTGGAGCGATTGGGAAAGATTGAACTTCCCTGTATTCAGCCATGATTGTTGTGTGAGAAGAGGAGGTATAAAGAGAGAAAGGTACAAAAGAGGATTAGCAGGAAAAGAAGCAATAAAAGTATCCGACTGAATCCAATTGTGGTGGTTAGAATGAAAGAAGCAAGAAAGAGAAGAGTTCTTTTTAAGATACTTCTCCCCACAAGAATATCATCACGTATGCCAAGGTTGTTCATCCGTCATAATTAACACACAGAATGGGTTAGTGCGGTGATTGGTGTACAAAAAGAATACAGACGGTGTACCCGATCCACAAAAAATAAAAGAGACGCGGGGTGGAGTAGAAAGGGTAGAGAACAGGTTTAGTGAGTGTTAACAGCATTTGGGCAGTGTATACATCAAATCAATTTAAACATATTCTGCCTTATGACCTGTGTATTGCTAATTCATGTTCTAGGCTAGAGGATATAAAGGGTGGCTTCAAAAGCAACTCTTAACCCCGCAGAAGGTAGAGTGAGTGTGTGGCGTGTGATCACTCTTACTCCTTATTCTGTTTCGTCTTTTCCGAAATAAGACCACGGCGGTACCGTTCATCAAGCTCGGCATGTCCTTTGAGTAAGAAGAGTACTTTGACTGTCGGCTATTCCGACGCGTATTAAATGATGTGCTATTGGCTATGCTCGATATGCACTTATTCGCCATTCACAGCGAGATCCGAACAAAAGAGAGGTGAAGATTTGATACGATCGTCATGAAGACAAATAAGATCAAATGCCGTCAAATCCGAGAGTTCCACGTGTGAATGGGATCTTGAAGACGGACTCGGAAAGATGGAATTAAGGGAAGAGCACGTGCGCATAAAGACATCTTTTCATGCTATACGCTAAGACTTGCCTCCACAATTGCATTAAAAGTTGGAACATATCCTCCGGAATTTGAGAAGAATTGGACAGCTGGATGGGGTCAATCCAACTTCAATCTTAACCACCAACACCCCTCACAAACAACTCGCAAAAATGCAAAATCCAGCACAAGAAGTCGAATCTGTAGTAAAAGCATTGGTGGAAGCAAGAGATGCAACCGAACAAGCAATCGCATTAAGAACATATTATACTCCAAATGCATCTTTTGATCACCCTTTATGCTCAGTAACAAGTGGAAAACAATCAAGAGACCATGGATTATTACAAATCTATCAATGGTTACGTTGTATGTCAAATTCAACAATCGTCGTGCACAGTAAAGCATTTGACGCTCAAAAGAATCAATTATTCTTAGAAGCAACGCAAACCCTGCGTCCAACTTTGGCACCTTTTATTGGCATTCCAGCAAGAATCTTTGTCGTTTTGCGCTTGGTAAAAGGTCATGACGGAAAATACTACGTCTTACGTCAAGAAGACTATTACGCCATCCAAGAACTTCCAGGAAAATTGGCTTACTTTGGAGGTCCATTCATCATCAATACCGCAAAAACGTTTGCCGGATTCATGTGTTACCTCTTAGCACTCTGGTTCGGAATCATCTTGGGCTTCTGGAAACCACGCCCGATCGCACCAAAGAAGTGATCTTAGATACAAATACAACAAGCATAAAAACACATTGATACCTATTATACAAATTTTCGCTCTCTTTTTGGATGAGCAGACGGGAAAGATACCGATTGTACACACGCATACATTCATGACACCGTTCTTTGTTCTTCTTGAAACCTTTGTAACGTCCTTTTTGGAAATGTAGCACGGCATGTCAGACATTTATCGCGAGGTTCACAGAAGACTGAAGGGGGTGAAAAAGGTCAGAATGTGAATCTAAGAAAGGAATGGGGAGTGTGGCTCTACTCACTGCTTAAACACACGGAACAAACGTATCCAACGTCAACCACTCGGCCGTGGCAGAAACATGCTGCTCTGAAATCGACATCATCGTTGGATGGCAAGCGCATCTGATCGCGTATTGCAGGAGATGCTAGAAATGTCGTCTGAAGAGAAGAATTAATGTTAGGACGTCCATATCGATTCAAAGCACCACTTGTTAACTCACCATTAATGTCTGTAGCAGACCTTCGACGAGATCTAATCTATAATACGTTCCTTTGGTCAGATGTGATGCTTGCTGCAAGAAGACGCTATCCTGACCTCCCAAGATCTTGCAAACATCGACTGTTACGCCTTTCTTTTGAGCTCCAAAGATGCAATTCATCATTGCGACATATTGACTTGAACTATCTGGAGAAGCAGAAATGACGAGAATTCTACTTTTATATCCTCTTCCTGCATTCGCTTTCGCGCCTGCCGAGCTAGATTTCGGATCTTCTTCTATTCCCGATGCTGCCGATGTGAGCTGTCCGATTCGATTGATGTGACAAAGACATTGTGCTAAGGAAGAAACGATTCCATGCGAAGGAGGTCGTTCGACATCTTGCTTTCCATCCTGTAAGGCAGTCTGTACACCGCTCATGACTGCATCATCGATAATCTTGAAAGGTTGATAGGTATTTGCATCCAAACTGGATTGTAGCGAATTCGCATGAGAAAGAGAAGGCGTATTACTGAAGATCAGATTTCCATTTGTCCTTCCTGCAGCGTAGACAGCACAACAATTGTCATGTCTTAACGCTGAATGAGCATTCAGAAATACACAAACGTCTTGTGTTGCTTTTCGTAAGAGTTGTAAACCGTTTCGCTTTCTTGCCCAAACTGCTGGATCGACATCTATAATCACTCCTAATAGATCTGGAGGCGTTCGTATATATGCTGCATCTGCATCGGAATGACTGGTGATCAAATGGGTGAATCGACCTGCATTACTGCTTGCCGAGCTTCTCTGTGTCATGATGATGCCGATGATGGCATGAGTCAAGTCACTCAGCAAGACAATCCTTTGTTGTTGGAAGTTGTTGTGAGGAGTAGCGAACTTCTCTTTTTGTGTGTTCACACGTGTGTAGGCTGTACGCATTTTAATATGCAATGGCCGTGCGTGCATCTCTTAATCCAACACAAATTCGAGGCGGACGACAATCACTCTAAATCTTCTAAAAGGATCTTGTCATTCAACCAAATCGTCCCAACGCTATCCAAGAATATACTCAATCATCGCTCCTACCTAAGAGAAATGATACATCGGTGAATCGAACTGTTTCCAGATAAACATGGATGATGCTGATGAGGAGGCAGCTTATCGGCGTCAATTCGAAAGCGTGGTAGGAGATGTAGAGGACGATGGAAATGTACCAAACCTGACCGGATCAGGTTCATATACCACACAAATGCTGGATGTTCTGGGAAGTGATGGAGAAGATGAAGACATTCAAGGGTATGACGTAGAACCCAATCTACCTATAGACGAAAAGAAGACAAATGGAAATGGAAAGACTGCTCCACAGCTGCATGACAGTGACGGTAATGTGACGATTGATGATGAAATAGGACCACGCAAGACAACAAATGGAGATCTTTCCTATGTCACAGAAGATGCATCTTCAATTTCATCATTCTCATTACGCGCCCAACGTCCTTGGCACTTTCCGGCACCACGCAGATTACGCATGCTCAGAGGCGATGAAGGCAATTCATCGCAAGAATGGAGTAGTCAAGTTGGCTCAACTAGCGCACAGTCTAGCAATGATGAAGTTTATCGGCTGCCAAATGTTGCTTTGATGCCTTATGGAGAGCCAATGACCGAAATATCTTCTACGAATGGCACACAACAAGTAGGCAAACCGAATCTAACACAATCTTTTCTGCGGCTTTCTCGACTATGCATCTTGAACGATCGAGAAGGTAATCCTACAGTAATGGCAGTAGCAAGTGGACAGATAGCAGTCGGAACAAAGCAAGGCAAAGTGGGACTCTTCGATCGCAGCAGAGGCTGGACAGGTGCAATCTCAGTAGAAGGATCAGTGAGCGCACTCGCTATTTCATCCGATAAGACGTACTTGGCAATCGGAACCAGCACAGGACATATATACTTGTATGAGATGACAAAACTCCATGCACCTTCTCGCCATGTCGCTCCGGTAACAGCGCAAGCCGTCGCAGCTGGACGTAGTGAAGGTCACTTGCAAGGATCACGAATTCTACAGCTGTCATTTGTTGGAACTCGACATACCGCGATCGTGTCTGCTGATGAGCACGGACTGAGTTTCTATCATAGCCTAGGCAAGATTCTAGGTGTTTCAAGTAATGACACTCTGCGGATCTTGGGACGATATCCAGATGTATTTGAAACAACGAAAAAATCCACAACATTGGCAATGGCAGCTCTACCACTCGGCATGAAGGAACATCAAAGTGATGCACATAGCTTCGTCGCTCTACTTACCCCTTCCAAAATGATTCTCGTTGGTCTCAAGCCTTCAGCACGAACATGGTATAGGCGATTGTCGCCCTCGCGAGATAGTGCGGAAGAGCCAATAAGCGGATGCTTGGCTTGGCTTCCGTCTACGATAGCATCTACTGTTTCATCTGCCACTTCGCCTTCTGGTCTAGTACAGCCGACGCTTGCATTCAATTTCGGACAGCACGTCTACTTTATACAGCTCGTTTCTCGAGGACAAGAAGTTGTGGTTCAGGAATGGAAGAGTTATTCTCACCCGACACCGATCGAGTCCATGCAATGGTTATCACACGAATATCTAATATTCTATGCAGATCAAAAGATGTTTTTGTTTGATCTTCGGAAAGGGATATGTACGGAAGAACAAGCAATCCTTCAACCTGTCTCTCATCGTTGGATTCCTACAAAGATTGGAGGTAGGGAGACACTACCATCGCTAAGTGGCAGCTTCAAAGCCCACAAAGGTCAGCTCTTCGTGCTTACGCAAAATGAGATTGTCGTTGGGTCACTGGTCTCGTGGGCTGATCGACTTCTGGTGCATGTCTCAAATGGTGACTCTTTAGGTGCTATTGAGCTTGCAACTGAGTATCTACGTGACCCAGCCAGCAACGGATCTAGAATTGGTCTTCCAGAGTTCTACAAAGATCAAAAGCCAATCATTGCATCCAGATTGGTTGAGTTGATGAAAGCATCAACTGCATATGCATTCTCTGAAGATCGAATGAAGGATGATATTGCTCATTATGCCCATGGTGTGGATCGGACTCCTCTCTTTCAAGGTCTTGCACGTGTATGTGCAGAAGCTTGTCTGGCATTGCAAGATTTCTCGTTCTTGTTTGACGATTTGTATGATGCATTTACGGAAGCAGGCATTGAAGGAATATTTGCCGATCAAATGGAACATTTTATCGTTCAAGGTCAAATCAAAGTTCTTCCGATTCCAGTCGTTCAAAGGCTTGTTGCTTTCCGCAAACGACAAGAAAGGTTCGATTTAGCAGAAAGAATTATCCGCAATGTCGATCCTGCTTGTCTAGACTTGGATCAAGCAATCACCTTGTGTCTCGAGCATAAGCTGTATGATGCTCTCTTTTACGTCTATACACATGCATTGCATGATTTCCTTGGACCTATCGTTGAGTTGATCCCTCTCGCTGGTAGACAAGATGGAGAGGCATACAGGATATTCTCGTATCTCTCTGTCATCTTGATAGGCAGAGCCTATCCCGACTCACAGAATTTACTTGAAGACGGAGAGGCACGTTCTGCACGTTCGACTGTGTATGGCTTTCTGTTTTCAGGAAGATGTATTCTTTGGCCAGAAGGACCGGGAGGACAGCTTGTGCTTACGCAGGAAAACGATTTCGATGAGCCAACATACCCTTACCTACGGCTCTTTTTGAAGTTTGATGCGGAAGCATTTTTGGACGTTCTGGATATCGCACTGGAAGATGCTTGGTTGGACGACGATGAACATTGGTCACGACAAAAGATTATTGCAATCCTTTATGATTTGGACATTGTCGCATTGGAAGTGAAGTCGTTCATCGCAATCTTCATTGCAAGAAATGCGCCCAAATACCCTCAATTCATCCAACTAAACAAACAGCAGGTCAACAATTTGATCGAAACGCTTTGCATATCCACGGAAGATGAGCGGGCAGATGAAATCACCGGAGAAGAGGCATCGAAAGCTGATCGTCAATTTGCAGTTGAGTGTCTTCTGAGCGCCTACAAGCCTACTCAAACGGACTCTCTGCTGGCAAAGTTCGAGCATGCCGGGTTTACAGACATCTTGAGGAGAGTCTACCGAAGCGAAGGAAAGTGGGATAAATTAGTGGAAATGATGGTACAAGAAGCAAATGAGTCATCGTTTCAAGAGCTTAGCGAGATTCTGCGAAGGGGAGGAAAGCGGAATCCAAAAGTCGAGCAGGTCATTTTGCAAGCTTTACCTACTCTTGTTGATGTTGATGTGGAAAAGACGGCAAACTTGGTACGATCTAGATTGACAAATCGAACAACGGAAGCTATCTCGATCTTGGATCGATCACCTCATCGACAATTGGCATTTTTGGACGTGTTCATGGCCGATGACAAGGTGACGGGAAAGCTCGGACTGGCAATTCGATCGCAATATATCTCTCTTCTCAGCTCACTCGAGCCGAATAGGGTGATCAAATGTTTGGATTCTCATCCGCCAGACTTCTTTGATTTAGAGTATGTCATCGAAGTGGCAAAGGATGAAGATGTTTTGGATGCTTTGCTATGGGCTCAAGATCGAGCAGGTCACACAGAGAAAGGATTGACAGAGATGGGCGATGCGCTGACTGAACGAGCCTTAATCCTGCGAAGCTCTGATGAAGATGCTGACGAATCGCAAAGTGAAGAACAACATTTAGCAAGAGATCAAGTGCAGAATTTGACAAAAATTGCCGTTCGTATCTGCACCGAACATTCCGATGAAGAATTATGGGTAAAGATGTTATCTGTCTTGATCCGCTTTACGCACAATGTTCAATCCAAGCAAAGTGCAAAAGCTTTTGCTCGTACACTTTTGCAGGATTCACTTTCAGCATTTGTTTCTTCGACAAGTGCAGAAAGTGTATCATTCTCAACTCTCTTTAGCAGATTGATACCTGCAAAGGATAGTACGTATGCAGAAGCAAGGGATATTACCAATGCCATGACAGAAGCATATCGTGTTCGACAAGAATTGCTTGGCATTACCAATCGATTGTTTGATCGGGATGTGTTCTCGGCCATGCAAAGACTCACCAAACAACGCAGACGTGGTTGGAGGCCCGCCTCTTCCGGTATACTCTGTCCGGGATGTGGTAAACCTTGCATCGGAGAGAATAGAGGCAAGATAGGTGCAGTTGGACATGGTGATGAATCTGAAATCGCTTCATCACCATTCATTCCGAGACACAGAAGTGAAATCAACCATTTACCACCTCCACCCAAAAGCCCATCCTTCCTGGATCCTGTTGTCAGTCCAAGGCCGGACAAAGGTAAAGGTGTACTGAGGGATAACGATCTTAGCAGTGCAGCAAGGGGTTTGGTCACCTCAGCAGCAGAAAGTGAGATGTATCGATCTGCTTCAATTGATTCCCCATATACCAAAGCTACGAATGGGGACCTTCCAAGCATACCCTCAACAAACGGTCATTCAGACTACTTTTCTGGAAAGGGATATAGCTCTGATCCGGTTGATACTTTCTTGACCACACCACATATCAGTACGGATCATACGATTCACTCATCAACTTCAATCGACAGCTTGCACAATGCAACACTGAAAGAAGAGGAAGAGGAAAACACACTGGGCAGTGTTGTGGTTTGTTTCAGTGGCGATGTTTGGCATCGTTCGTGTGCACCTGCAGCTTTGTGGCAAGAAGCTCACTAATGCTTTCATTGCTGATTTTTTGTACTACTAATGGAATATTAATCAATGCATAATTGAAGAAAGAAAAAACAAATAACATTTTAATCAATTACGCAATTTACCCATGAGTTCTTTTTGGAAATCTTGTGCTAGTCGTATCTTGTCCAAGCTATCAACACTGCGTAAAGTTGCAACGATATCCTTTGTTTTACCGAAATAAACTTCTTGTAATTGATTACGCATCTTTGCTTCTGAATCTTCAATCATCTTTCCCATATTGACGATGTGGGATGAAGGATCTTTGACTGGAAGGTCGGCATTATATTGTCTTGTCAAACTTCCGGCTAGCTGTAAATTGGAATTTGTCTCCTTTCTTCCGAGTGATAACATGATCGTGGATGTGAGTTGATACTTTGATGATCGAGTGCCTTCAAACACTTCAAATACATGCAGTGAATCCCAACTGCCTGGAGTTCTTTCTTGATCATCAAGAGTTTTCTTGAATAAAACCACTCCTGCAAAGCCTGAAGATCCTTCCAATTCCCAAAGATAGACGGAAGATAAACCACCATCATAGTACAGTTGTCTGTAGGTATTAAAAGCTTCATTCGCACGTATTTCTAAATCACGAATCTTTTGTGGTGGTTGCGTTCCATCTTGCAAAGGAGGATCGTATTCGTTACTCCAAGGAGATCTGAACGAATCGCCATCCCGATTATAATCACAACAAAGGTATTCTCGATTTTGTGCTTGTTTATCGTATTTTATCCAACTTGGTTGATCGACTGAAGCAACCAATTCGTCCGTTAATGATGGACATAACTTAATCAATGTTTCCAGATTTTCATTTATCTTGGCAGGTGGTAGACGTCGTAGCAAATCCAACGAAAGTGTCATAGGATCTTCCGCCATCTTGACAGCGGGTAAGGATGGTAGAAGTAGAAAGCGTAATGATGGCGGGGTGTGCGTGTGTATGCGTGTGTGTTGGTTTGATATCTTTAGCTGGCGGCGTGAAGGGGCGCTCGAGCCATTAGGGTGGAGAAATCTAAGAGTGAGAATTTTTATTTCTTCCGCTTCTTACCAATCATCATAAAGGCTGTGGTAATGTCGCTAAGATCGGCAAGTGCTCTAGGGAGGCATGTCATTTGCCGATCATGTGAATCTTATTCAACACTGGAGAAAGCGATTTATCCTGCGGTCCGAAGAAATGTCATAAGAGGCAATAGCGGAGCTTCATTACAAAAAAGATGGAATTCATCTACCTCTCCAAAGCCATTGGGTGAAAGAATTGCTGAGAAGTACAATCTACCGATCTTCAGAGTCAACTCAGACCGTCTTCAGCTAATCGAACAACCGAGCAAATTCTATGAAAAGCTCTTGGATATAATACGAAATTCAAAGAAGAGAATATTCTTGGCCAGTCTATACATCGGAAAGACGGAGCATGAACTCATTTCTGCACTCTCTTCATCGCTAAAAGAGCGAAAAGAGCTAAAGGTCACAATCCTGGTCGATAGGCTACGTTCAACACGGGAAGGCGATTATCGGGATGGAGAGAAAAGCACTGAATCATGTGCTTCCTTATTGGCAGGACTTCAATCGCAATTTCCCAATCAAGTAGAAATTCGGGCTTTCAGAGCGCCGGATCTGCCAGCTTGGCTTGAGACTTTGGTCGGTAAACGATTCGTAGAAGGATGGGGACTACAACATATGAAAATCTATGGAGGGGATGATTCAGTGATGATCAGTGGAGCCAATCTTTCGAATGACTATTTCACCAATCGGAGGGACAGATATTTGTTCATGGACGACAAAACTGTCAGCGATTATCTGTACGAGCTTCTCATGACAGCTTCACGTTACTCATACTCCCTTCGAGCGACTGGAACTCCATCTCAGCATGCATCCTATCAACTAGATTGGGACGAAGGGGCACGACTAGACATGAAAATTGACGAGCAGCCTACCGGACCCACTGGCTGGAAGAGGAGGATGGGAAGTCAAGTGGAACGAATGACGTATGAATGGAAGCAACGTACGGAAGCTGCTCGGCCTACGGACTCTGATTCGATGGACATTGTTCCATTAATCCAAATGGGACCGATGAAAGTCCAGCAAGAGACAACTTGTGTACCCGAAGTACTCTCTTATGCGAATGAACGACCGAATAGTCAATTGTACTTTACTACTGGCTATTTTAGCATCAATCCACAATACGCTGAATGGATCTTGAAAGGACAGTTTCAAAGTGAAATGATCACTGCATCTCCTAAAGCTAATGGGTTTTATGGATCAAAGGGCGTTAGCAGACATTTACCGGCAGCATATACTTGGCTCACGAACAGATTCTGGGATAAGCTTGTAGCCAAAAATAGACAAGATCAAGTAAAGATCAATGAATGGAACAAACAGGGCTGGACGTATCATGCAAAAGGAATTTGGTTTTCTCCCAAGGTGGACAGCAAACCTACGCTGACTTTATTAGGCTCGTCTAATTTTGGAATTCGATCGGCCAAGTTGGATCTCGAATGCACTTTCCTCATCGATGCTCATCGAAGTTCTAAACTGCAGACTCGATTGCAAGAGGAGATCGATGAGCTAAAGCGTGATGCGAAAGATCAAGTTGGCCAAGAAATGTTCGAGAGACCAGAACGAAAGGTGCATTGGGGTGTCAAGGTGGCCGCAAGGATTATCCGGCGTATGCTATGAGGAATCTAAAAATATATCAATATGTATTATTAAACAATCACCACAAATGTACATCATTTTTGCATTCCTATGCGTTACGTTTTGAAACGACTTCATCGCGAAGTGTTTTGGAGATGAATAGATCTTCTGCCAATTCTTCAAATTTGATATCTGGACCTCCTAGAGAGAACTCTTTCAATTGCTCATTATTGAATCCATGCTGGCGTAAGTATAGTTCATCGACTAACATCTGTCCACTGAACGTTTTTGCATCTTGTTCCAATATTCTGATAGCAGCCTCTGCAACGATTGAAGGACTTCTCCATCTACGTTCTTCAATCTCTGCATTTGGACTAACGATCTTCATCGCACTTGTTCCGATGAGAGTGTACGGCCAAAGTGTATTACAGGCCACCTTACCGAACGTTTCGGCTGCTAATGCATAAGTTGCAATGGACATGCCGAGCTTTGATACGGAGTATGCTGCGCCTACTTGTTTGAATTGTTCGCCTGAATCTTCTGATCGATTTGGTGTAAAAGGTTGAAACAAGTTCATATGCAAAGGAGGCGAAAGGGTGAGAATGTGTGGATTTCTACCTTGTTCGGCCGATTTGAGAAGGTGAGGTAAAGCAAATCTTGAGACTAGCCAAGTTCCCTTTACGTTGATTGAATTCATAAGATCATAACTCTTTGGTTTTGCATCAACGGTAGGTGCCATATTAATTGCAGAAGCATTATTGATAACGATATCCAAGTTGCCAAATTTTGCGATTGTTTTTTGAATTGCATCTTCTACTTTTTCTGCATCTCGAATATCAACTTGTAATGGTAATCCACGAACGGAGTCATGTTTGTGCTGTTTTCCGATTTGTTCGATTTCTTCAACGGCTGTATGAATTGTACCTGGTAGCTTTGGATGTGGTTCTGCTGTCTTTGCTGCAACTGCTACATTTGCACCTTTACTTGCCAATAACTTTCCGATCTCTAATCCGATTCCACGAGAAGCTCCTGTGCTGTTTGCATGATAAGTATAAGGGTGGTCAGTATGATTAATCCCAAAAATAGAGAATGTGGTTCCACTCACATGAATGCTGTCTTGCCTTTGAGTGATAGAGCCATTTTGAATAATGATGATGAGAGTCAAGCTCGAGCAAACATCATCTTCCCCGCCTTTTATTTCATTATTCGGTTCATTCGGTTTCAACTTTTTGATTTTAGTTCGGCCTCGGACAAGAATTCTAAAGCTATGCTTCTTTACGCGTATGAAGGCGTTACGCTTACTTGAACGCGTTTCTCTTGCTTACGTACTCATGAACCGATGTCAAAAGCTAATCAACAGAAGAAGGTGCGAGAGGTCCAAGTTTGATATGGTGTGAATAGATCTGATTGTCGGCATAATTCCTCTTGTCCCAAGCCGAGAGGCAGTGCATCTTTCATTCGCATAAAATGCAATACTGTAAGAAGATCAAGCATGAATGTTTGCTGTACATACAAATGCACATTAAATCGGCATTGACAAGGTACCTCCTTCTTTGCTGGCTGTTGTTTTAGGTTGTTCCTCTTTTTATAATTGATTATGAGCTAATTTTAACAACCACGGGCCTGAAGTTTAGCATCACGCGAGTATTAGAAAAGAACAACACAAGCAAGCAAAAGAAGGGAGACTTTATGCAGCGGCTTTTGACGCTAAGGCCACCTATAAATGCGTGAGGTAATGAATGTGTGTGTCTGTTGCACTTCCAGCAGCAAAAAGTAAGAGTGGCGGCGGCCGCGTAAAGAGGAGAGTGAATGAGTGAGTGAGTGTGCAACTGCTTCTATCTTCTTGCTCTTACAACCAACGGAAAAACAACATAGAGGAAAATATTGCTTGATCATAAGCATATCCCAAAGAATCGGTCTGTTCTTCATAAATGCCAGCAAGTTAAATTTTGCATAACAACCAAACAACCAACCAAACAGCAACGACGACTGATCAATCTTCGTCTATCTTTCGTTCAAATCACTTTCACTTTTTGTCCATCACTTTAATTTCTTTTGCCTTTCTTTTTATTTTTCAATCTTTCTCACTAACGACATCAATACAAAAAAATCAACATCATCATGACAGAACAACAATCAAATACAGGAACAGGTGACAATCGTCATCGTCGTACTGGAAGTCGCGGTGGAGGAAATAATACAGGAGGCGGAAACGGTGGTAGAAGAGGTCACAATCCTTCAAACTCATTCTCAGGTGGCGTGAAACCTACAAGGAGTGGCAGCGGAGGCGGTACCAACAATAGAGGAACTTCCGGTAGCATACATGCTCCAAATCAATCAAACAAACGTACCGGAACAGATTCCAACACCACTTTGGACAACATTCAAAATCTCATTCAAGATCTCAAAGCCAATCCCGGTAGCGCTGAAAACGAATCAGAGCTGTCAAACATCGGCAGTCGGCTAGCAGCTCAAGAGGAACACCTTCAAACTCAATTGCAACAACGTTTAGGTGGACCTCGCCAAGGCGGAATGAATAGGCCATCACATGGAGTATCTCAAAGCTTCAGCAATCGTGCTTTGCCAAGTTTGGGTGAAGACGTAGTCGCCGCTGATGATGCAATGCAATCCAGACAAGGCGGTCCTCGCTTTGCCGGAAATGCAGCTTTCCAAAGCGCTGTTGCTCGGCATTCGGCTTCTGGTAATCAAGGCCATCAACGTCAACGCAGCTTGCAAGAACGTTTCGCAGAGATGGGCTTTCCAGCTCCAAGTGCAGGCACAGGCACAGAGGGTGTAGGAGAAGAAGGCGATGACGGTAGCAGTATTGCCGATTTCGCAGGCACACATGCATTTGATCCTACACGTTCTTACCAATCCCCTCCTGCTCAGCAACAACGCGGTCACCATCAAGGTAGCTTGAGTATGGCTGGTTTCGAACCGCATCGTCGAAACGATTTGGATTTATCAGCTTTACGTGGAGGTCATGGTCATACAGCCAGCATGGGTGGCGGTGATCTCTTCAACGAGAGCATTGCATTGCAACAACAGATCGAACTTCTCCAACTGCAACAACAACAACTCTTACAACAACAGATTCACTTCAACCCTTCCACCGCTTTGGGAGGTCAACCACAAGGCGGAAGACCACAACCACAAACGCCCATCAATCGTCTCGCAGGTCATCGTAGAATCCAAAGCTATGCACCACAAACAGGACCAATGGGCAACTTTGCCACAACTGGATCCAATCTAGGAAGTTTGGGAGGCGTGCAAGCTCAACAAGCAGCCAATCAACTTCCTCGTGGTCATGGACGCCGTCATTCAGTTAACGTTCTCAACAAGAACGCTGGCGGTGTAGGTCAAGCTGCACCTGCTCCTGCAGATGGGTCTATTGGCGCTCTTGACTACAACTTCACATCTCCTCCTGATCAACAAGCATACAGCGTACCTCTTGCTCAACCTCAACAACACGTCGCCCAAAGCGGTCACTTCAGTCACCCATCCGTTCAACTAGCCTCCCTCTCTCCTGAATACCTCATGGCAGGAGGTGGTTTGGTGAACTTGTCTGCGATGAACTTTGGCGGTGGTATGGGTGACCTCGCTGATGGCTTCGGCGGAGGTGGAGGCGGCGGTGGCGGTCGTGGACATGGTCGCTCAGGCTCGCAAAACTGGCGTATCAATGGAGGAACACCATCACAGATGAATGACTTGGCAGCTGCACAAGCTCAATTGATCAATCTCCATCAAATCCGCGCTCAAGCTGGCGGAGGCGGTGGCCATGGACACGCAAAGAATGCTTCATTCGGAGGCGGCTTCAACCCTGCTTTGATGGGTGCTGGATTCTCTGCACAAGGACCACTCAGTCCTGCAGGACCTCAACGTAAAGCATTGTTTGGCTCTTACCTCCCTCAGGCTAGTTTGCCTCCTCTTTTGGCAGCTGGTAAGATTGTTGTGGGTGTCTTGCGTGTCAATCAACGCAACCGTTCAGATGCCTATGTTGCAACAGAAGTGCTTCAAAGCGATATCTTCATCAGCGGAAGTAAGGATCGTAATCGTGCCTTGGATGGCGATGTTGTTGCTGTTGAATTATTGGATCCTAACGAGGTTTGGTCAATCAAGAAGGAGAAAGAAGACAAGAAGAAGCGCAAGGAGGAACAAGGTCAAAACTCAGCACAAAACATGTCAGCCACAAGACGACCCGACAAGGCAAAAGATGATTTGGAAGTCGAAGGAAGTCAATTGCGTTTGATCGATGATGAAAATGAGGCAGAAGATGCACCACCTGCATTGGCTGGACACGTTGTTGCTATCATCGAACGTACACCAAACAAGCTCTTCTCCGGTACCATTGGTCTTTTGCGTCCCAGCAGTGCGGCTACGAAGGAGAAACAACAAGCAGAGCGTGCCGCCCGCGAAGGCGGCGATGCGTCCACATATGACTCTTACAATGCATCACAACGCCCCAAGATCATTTGGTTCCGTCCTAGCGACAAACGTTGCCCGTTGGTAGCTATCCCTGCCGATCAAGCACCAACTGAATTCTGGGACGATCCAAAAGCATATGAGAACAGGTTGTTTGTTTGCTCCATCAAGCGTTGGCCTTTAACTTCTCTGCATCCTTTCGGTACGCTTGTGGAGGAATTGGGTGTGATTGGAAATCGGGAAGCATTGTCTGCCGCAATTTTCAAGGAGTGCTTGAGTATTGACGAAAACTTTAGCGATAGTGCTCTCAAATGTCTTCCACCTCTACCTTGGTCTATTCCTGAACGCGAATACACGACTCGACGTGATTTCCGTAGCAATCGTGTGTTTACTATCGATCCACCAACAGCAAAAGATTTGGATGATGCAGTAAGTGTCGTCAAGTTGGACGGTGGATTGTATGAGATTGGTGTACATATTGCCGATGTATCATACTTTGTCAAGATGGGTTCTGCATTGGACCGTGAAGCTCGTAAACGTGGTACTTCGGTTTACATGGTCGAACGTATGATTCCCATGTTACCTCCTACGCTCAGTGAAGAGCTTTGCTCGTTACGTCCAGGTGTGGAACGATTGGCATACTCTTGTGTGTTTACGATGAACAAGGATGCACATGTTATTGGCACTTGGATGGGCAGAACGGTGATCAAATCATGCGGTCAATTGGCTTACGGGGATGCACAAGAGGTCATTGACGGCAATCACCTTGATGCCAGTAAGCTTAACACACATCCTGCTGCAGACGTAGAAGCAGACATTCTGATCCTGCACAGCTTAGCACAAAAGATGCGTAATCGTCGATTCGAGAATGGTGCCGTTCGAATTGATAATATCAAGTTATCTTTCCGTTTGGATGAGAATGGTATGCCGACTGATACGACTACACACAAGCAAAAAGAAGCAAACCGTTTGATCGAAGAATTTATGTTGTTGGCCAATATGACAGTTGCCCAACAAGCGGCTGCAGGTTTGCCAGATCTTGCATTGTTGCGCAGACACGAAAAGCCTCTTGAGCGAAGACTTGCTGGATTCGAGAGACGTGCAGAACAGATGGGCTTCAAGATTGACACAAGCAGCGGTGGTACGATCTACAAAAGCTTGCAAGCTATCAAAGATGACACAACCCGGAAAACTTTAGAAGCATTGATTACCAAATCTATGTTACGTGCCAAGTACTTCTGCACAGGAATGGTGGATATTTCCAAATATTCCCACTTTGCGCTCAATGTGCCACTCTACACCCACTTCACCAGTCCAATCCGTCGTTATGCCGATGTGATGGTACACAGACAATTGGAGAACATCTTGACTGGAGCCGAAAAGTTCCCAATCGATTCAGAAGGAATGGCAAAGATTGCACAACAATGTAACGTCAAACGTGATGCAGCTAAATTGGCTCAAGAGCAAAGCGATCATTTATTCTTGTGCTTATTGATTCACGATCTTACAGTTCGTTATGGACCCGTCATTCGTCAAGCAACGATTATGGGTGTTTTGGATGCTGCATTTGATGTGATTGTCCATGAATTTGGAATCGAGAAGCGTGTCCATGTTGATCAAATCCCGGTCGAACATCATTCTTATGATGAACATGATGGTGTTTTGAGTCTGTACTGGACTCGTGGAAAGGATACGATTGAATGGTTGAACGATCGCAACGATGATTCTCATTTGAAGGCTATTCGTGCCTATGCACAACATCATGCACAAAAGCAAGAGATGCGTATGGCAAGTCAAACGACCGATGCGGAAGCCGCATTATTCGAAGATGATGATGACGAAGAATTAAAAGAAGCACAACGTAAAGTTTGGAGTGGAGAAGATGCAGAAGGAAGTGAACAAAGAACGAAAAGCTTCCAAAATAATGAAATTCCTTGTCAAGGAGCAAAAATTTCCACAACCGGTCATAGAATTCAAGAAGTTAAAGAACTTCAAACATGTCCTGTTGTTATTACAGCAGATATGGAGAAAGCACCTCCAGTTATCAAAGTGTTTGCTGTGAACCCTTGGGGACATGAACATGTTGATGAATGAGGAATCAAACACAAAAATACAAAAATGAATTGTACAGCGCCGTTTCTTTTTGGCTGCCTATAATGACCAATGAATGAATGAATAAATTATTTTTTTTCTTAGATGTGATTATACAAAACTTAAAAGAAATCTTTTGTGATCTCATTTCCTGCCCATGCATTCAGAGCATTGACCCATTGAGAGACCAGAGGGAGAGCATGCCAAATTTCACGGGTGATGGTCGGACCGGTGGAGCGGGAATGAACGTACCAGCCATAAACACAGAAATCTGCATGAGTTGGTTCTTGATCACCTTCAAGCCAAAGAGGGACGGTGGAAAGACTTCCGGCTGAGGCATTATGACTTTCGCGTACGGCAGCAAGAGCATCTTGAATTGGTTCTAAAGCAACAATGCAATTTTGAATTTGTTGATCACGTTCTGCTTGTGTCATTGCACGCATCTTTTCCAATTTTTGTTTACCAACTTTAACTTGTTCAAAGTAAATCTTTGATTCTCCGGTAAGGCTGTCATGAATGGGAGGTCTTGTAAGTGAACGAAGTTGAGCGGCAAAATTTGATCTTCCCCATGCATTGAGAGAAGCAGCAAAAGGTCTTGAAGACGGAAAAGGGAACAGAGCATTTCCTTTTGGATGATGATTTGCTAGCCAATTTGCAATCAACCAACTATCTTGTAAATGTGTTCCATCACTGAGTTCAAGAGTTGGAACGGTTGCTGCATTATCTCCTACACGTTTTGCCAAATCTGTACGAACTTGTGTGAACGTCAAACGTTGACGATCATAACCGACATCCAACAATTTCAAATCCATCAATGTTTTAACACAATGTGGACTGAATTCTTTATTGTGTGGAGCAGAACTTGTTAAATCGTACAAAACCAAACCTCCGGTACCTGCGCTTAAACTTGATTGAGTGACTGAATTAAAGTATATTCCATGTGCAGATGTATGCGGAGGTGTGTCTAACAAAGGAGGTGTACCGATCGCAGTCGAGCGAAGATCATCGATTAGTGTTCGATTGAAGCCGGCTGTTGGTTGATGATTTTGACCGTCTACTGCTCCATCAAAGCCAGAATCAGAAGTAGCTGCAGAGCGTAAAGGTTGCATTGTTGGTGGAACATCTTCGGCGGTAGAGACTGATGAGGTTGTTCTATCTCCCGATTCAGAGGATGACATTTTCTGTTGGTGTTTGTCTGATGTTGTTGTTGGTGGTGGTGGTGATGGCATACAGTATCCTATCAGGGTTTCATTCAAATCATTCGAGATGCACACCTTAACACAGCAATCGCACGGACCTTAAGAACAAAAGGAGTGATCGGCGTTCAAGTATGGAGTGTTAAAGCCGGCGGCGGACGGCAATTGGGCACTAGGCTGGCTGGCTGCGTGTAGAGCTTAAATAAAATCCGGGGTTAAGGGTTAAGACACTACAATCATCATTCATCATCATCATCATATTGAAGAGATATACTATTTAAGCAGGCACTTCACTGGCCCATTTCGAATTCAAATTGGTTGAATAACGTTTTTCACCAGTTTCAAATCGAACATACGTTTGAACGCCATCTTGAACGTTTTCTTCGTTAAAATCAAAAATACGAGCACCATGATTCCAATTATCATAATCATATCCACCATAACCTGAATGTTTTGCAAAACAAACTGGTACAATTTGACCTGCGGATGATTTGAGTGAACTTGGTGCACACCAATCATTACCGTGATCGTGACCGCTTACGATGCCGTGTACGTATGCTTTTCCTGCTTTGCTGTTCATGAATGCGTTCAAGAATGAGCGGTCCTGACCTGTGTATGTGTCTGAGGGGGAAAGAGTGGCTTATCAGTATTTTATTGACTCTTCTGGATTCGATGACTGTACTCACCTTGATCGCTTTCTTGACCTTGCGATGCTAATGGTTTATCATCATTCAGGCCTTGATAGGCAAGACCTTTGTTGGTATAATTAGCAGGCGTTTCATCCGGCACTCCACCAACATGATCAGCATAAGGAGGATCATTCTGGGTTGTGTAATGTTCATGAACGGGAATATGAACAAAGATTAATCCTGGTGGAACGTGACCCCAAGCTTTTTCCATCTTTTCCGTTTCGCTTGTAATCCAATCTGCCACTGAATCATCTACCCAATCATTTACCGGTCCATATCCTTGTGATAGCATCTTTCTACCGGCACGAGAATCAAAGAACCAGAGCAAGACTTTTGGAGCAGTTTTATTGGGATCAACAGGACCAGCCTGAAAGATTGGAATCCAATAATTATCCGTTCCGTATTCTCCTCCTCCAACGTTTGCCGGTGCTTTACGTGTGTAACTCAAAGAAGGTGCATAATTACGTTCGATATCGGTAATGCTTCCATGCGTTGAATATTTTTCATTATCATGATTACCTTTTGTGGTTGAAAATGGAATTCGTTTATCTTTCATTGGACTTAAAATTTCACGTATTGCACTTTGAACGTCTTTTGTATTATTTGCTGCTTCTCCACTGATCATATCACCAAGATGAACAACGAAATCCGGCTGTTCTTGTGAGATGTATGTTCGAACAGCATTCCTTGATGCACGGGCAACATTGCTTGCATTTCCCGGAACGGTTTGATCGTCCAATAAATGCGTATCAGTGATCACCATCACTTTGAAGGAGGAGGAACTTGGACCTTGGGATGGAAGCCGTGATGTGCAAGGCTTGAACTGCAAGAGCGGGAGGTTGGCAGGGTATGGGTGACCTTTGAAACAGTCATCACTGCGAGCCATTAATGTGGACTGTGATAATCGTGTAGGTGCACATGCAACCAATCCACACAAAAGTGCGAGAAGGAAGAGGACAGCAGCCATGACGGAGAAGGATGAGCGGTGGTAGGTGACGGGAGAGAAGGAGGAGGGTTGTTGCCACTTCCACCTCTACCTTTTACAGACCAATTCTATGCATGTTTCAATGCACTGAGAGTCAGGAACATCGATCCATTTGAGGATGTTTTAGACCACGTTCCTTAAATGACGCTAAAGAAATAGTAATGCTTAGTTCAAAGGCCAAATTAGGATTGCAACAATGGGGGAAAGCACGGATCCTCGGACCGTTTTAAAGGAATTCGATGTTCCTAGGAGAACGAAAAGGAAACACTACCAAGCAATCGGACCCGAACTCGAATGGTAATGAGCCAAGGCCGAATGAATCATTTCCCATGTCTGTAGTCAAGCGCCCCCCCTTTCACACAGTCTTTGCGGGGGTTTAGGGTTTTAGTGCATTTTTAAAACGAGGGCAGCCTCCACCCTCTCCTTTCTCCGCATTACGAAGATCATCTTCACCACCACAACCACACAGAACAACATGCAAGATCCAGTATACGAAGTCACAAGTGTGATCAAGGGAATCGTTCAAGCTCAAAATGCAACATTACAACGTGATACACTAAGAAAATATTATGCTCCAGATGCAAGTTTCGATCATCCGTTTTATTTGGTAGGCTCAAGTGCATCTTCAAGAGAGACTGGAATTTTACCAATTTATCAATGGCAAAGATGTTTGTATATTCCGCAAGTGGAAGTACATAATGTTGGTGAGTGCAGCAGAGGGTGGTTTCGCTGAGTAAAAGAAACTGATTCGGAACACAATCACACAGGATTTGACAAAGAATCAAACAAGATCTTCTTGGATGTAACGCAAAGATGGGTACCTACATTCTTGCCAAAAGCATTATATGCGCCAACATTGCGTTCTATCATCGTTTTGTACCTACAACGTGGAGCAGATGGACGATTTTATGTCAAACGACAGGAAGATTATTATCAGCCACAAACGTGAGTATGATTGTGTGAAGAGTCGGAACACATACTCATTCCCCCTGACCTCCTCACAGATTACCTGGAAAGCTCATACCCGGCTTTGATATCGTCATCCTGCTGTCTAAGCGCATTTGTACTTTCATCTGCTTGCTTTTGGCACTGTTTTGCAGAGTTGTATTTCGACATTGGCGACCGGTAGCACAATAAAGTACACAATCTGTATAATACATAACATTCTTACAAATACAGTATTGCTCATGCAATTTGGTCCAAACCTTCATTGGTATTTCATAATTCAAGTACTCTCTTGCAATGTTTGCTTCAAGCAAGAAACCAAATCCTTTCGCACGCCTTTGTGCTAGAAGTAGGTTGTACACCTCCTTTGTTTCAATGTGTGAGCCTGATGCAGGCTCCTTTCGGTCTGGCATTCTGTCTTTCATGAAGATTGCGATATATGTTTATCGAACGATGATGCAAAAGTTGTTCAAGGATACTCCTTTTTTGATTTCCTCCTTTTTCCATACTTTTCCATCCCATTTTTTCGATGTTTCTTCGCATAGCCAATGCGTTAGCCTTGCAGAATCATGCTGTCGAACGACGTTTCCCCATCCACACGAAGCGAGAATTGCACGAAGTCTGGCATGATCGCAATATCGACTGTTTTGCACGCATGCCAGCGGCAAGACCAGGAACAAGAGCCCTCTTTTATCGTCAGGTAGGTACTTGTGTGCATGCAATAACATTCTTCCTCGGTCTGCTAGATCACCAACGAAGTTCACCACTAAGCTTAATGCAACAACGTCAAAATTTTCGCCGTTGCTTTTGGTGGGTGTCGGATAATCGAAAAAATCATACCGCAAGACATGATCGTTGCGTGGATTTATGTCGATGCTGATCGTATCAATCCAATCGTACTTATCGTACGCCGTTCCTGAAAGTGCACCAACGTCCAAAAGCCGTAGCTGTGATCATGATAAGGATGTATTTCTGTGGTCAGAATCACTTCTTCTGATGCACCCCCTCCACCCTACTCACCTTTTCTTTCCCTCTGATCTCCATCAATTGTTGAGCACACCATTTCCCAGTTTCCCCTCCTCTCTGCTTATCGCCTCCGAACAAGCTAGCATCTTGATAAGCCTGCAAGCCACCTAACGCTTCCTGCTGTTGCAAGATGACAGCTCTTTCCTTTTCGTCTTGCGTTTGAGCCAACTTCTTTTCAAGTGTATGAAACAGTGCAATTTGAGTCGCATGCATTGCCGTCGTCTTCGCTTTCGTTGGCTTTTCGCCAGTGACCTTTGCCGAAGTGCTCGACTTGTCTTTACGATTCTTTATTCCTCCCCTCTTCCCACGCGGTCTTCGTAGTGGCTCCCTCTTTGCTTTCTTGGACGTTTTTGGTGTCCCTTGGCCATCCTCCTCGGCCATCTTTGATTAGATGGTTGTAAGATACGCAAACTTGAATTTCTAGAAGATCGGGGCAAAAAAAGTTTAAATTTAATTTTTGACCGAAGAAGAAGCGTGCAGCTAATGCATGCAGTACGACGCGTATTGATATCATATCGAACTTGCTTGACACTTTTTGCTCGTAAGTCGATCGAGTTGGTATGAACTTGATCCTGTGCAGTCACGAGTGAGATGTATCGAGCAATACTCACTCAAGCTTTTTCATCTCTATCTCTTCAGAAGTTCACTAAGGGACTCAGCTCGCTTCTAGCTCAATTGCGTGATCTTCTTGCGCCGCCCCCTCTTATACAAATTCTGCTATAATCATTTCCCACATTGAACATCACAGAGTACCTTAACAGTCATTCTCATGTCAAAGACATCACGAATCGGTCCTCATCTCGGTCTTTGAATCGGCATGGCTGTGTCTAATTGATCGGATAAGCTCAGCCTCGCTTCAGCCTTGATAAGAATGTATTGAATGTATATTACCTTTGAGAATGCAATTGCAGTGACTAAACGCATCACAAAAACTCGGCTTTAAGAGTTAGAATGACTGCACATATAAGCATCTCTCAATGAGAAGAGAATGCTGCTCAATAAATCACATATCCCTTGCTGTGATGTTTTTCGTAAGACACAATATCCTTCTCTTATTTCTCTTGGCATGTTTGGCTTTGTTTGTCACGGCCACTCCAGTCAAAGAAGACAAAAAGGTTAAATCACCACCTCGTAGCCTGAGAACAATAAAGACACAAAGGTCCGTGTCGGAACGAGATGTATGGTCACCAAGAAAGTCAGCAGCACAAAGTACATCACCTTCATCTGCTGGAAGCCCTGATTTTGAAGCGGGATCTCCGACGATGTTTTCACCCAAGAGTCCACCAGGAAAGAATCAATTTGGAAAAAGTGTTACATCAATCGGTGTAGACACATCTGACATCTCACCTGAAAAGCAATTTTCACAAGGTCCAAGGTCATATGGCGTTATCATAAGATCAGCATCAGCTGAGCAAGTGGGAAAGCAAGGTGTCTCGGAACGTTTTTCTTCTTTAGGGAGAAGTTCATTACATACAGTCCCATCGCCGAACCGTTCAGGACCATCCTCGCCGAACCCTTCTGGACTTTCCTCGCCAAACCGTTCAGGACCTTCTTCGCCAAACCGTTCCGGACCTTCCTCGCCAAACCGTTCAGGACCTTCCTCGCCAAACCGTTCAGGACCTTCCTCGCCAAACCGTTCAGGACCTTCCTCGCCGAATCGTTCAGAATCTCCCTCGCCATCTTTACATGTCGTTCGAAAGAAGTTGATAAGATCATTAGCTTTCAGAAAATCGGACGATACGATCATCAAAGCTTTAGTGGCTAAACATTCAGAATCACAAGGTTTGCCAAACGGTACACTTTCTCGCATCAAAACGAAATTGTTAAGAAAACAATCTTCGTTTTCTTCAAATGAAGGTTCTTCTCATGGTAGTTCTAGTGGAAGGAGCAATCGTTCAAGAGGCAGTAGCGGCAGTGGCGGTTCAACTAACGGCAAGAAAAAAGAAAGACGAATTTATCTCAAAAGACCTTTTGACAATCTTGGAGATCAAACACCAAGTCCAAAATCTAGTATTTGTAGAAAACCCGGTTGCAATCACAAGAGTGCAAAAACGTGCAATCGAAAAGCAGGAAGAAGGTTTTGATTCTTTGTCATCACTTCGGAAAACGGGATTGCAAACCATTGTAACCGTCAGCTTTGTTTCATGGACATGCACGCTAATGCACAAAGACGAGCTAAAATAGCATACCATTTCAGACATTTGACATTCAACAACAAATAATGCTTCTTCTCTTCCTTCTTTTGCACCCACATGGCTGGCATGTTGTTGAATAGAATCAATGTATACAGTACGATAGGGGTCGGTATAGCAATGATATAAGTACATACTTTCATGCTCCCAACCTTCTCATCCCACCACAACTCTAGTCCTACTCACAAAGATGGTTCTTGGAATGCGTTTATTCGGCGGTGGGCCAGTGGCAGAGCTAAAAGTAGACTCATACGAAAGTCTAAAATCCGAAACACTTGAAGCCCAATCATCGATGGATACAATGATCGAACGTTGCCAGCCTGATGTACCAAGTGTGTTACAAATCTTATCAATCGGAAGAGCATCATCGTCATTAGTCAAAAAACTTCAATCACTATCAGATTTCACTCAAAAATTGACAATCAAACCATTACCTGTTCAAGAGGATGCGAATGATTATTTGTTGGTGCTCAAAAGTGTACGTGATAAAGCAGAAGTGATTGTGACGAGAATGAATACTCTTTATGCACCTATGGAAGCAAGAGGAGCATTAAAGTATGTCAGAGCGGATATTCAATCTATCAATACGAGTATGCGAAGTATAATAAACGAGATGAAAAGCGTCTTTCCAGAGCAGTTTCACACTGAAGTTGGAACTATTGTTGAAGATATAAGCAAAGCACTGGATCAACTTCTAGCAAAGTATGGAATAGAAGAGAGCGAAAAGCAGGAATGAAGAGGGACTTATATGTTATTTACCGATTTTGTGGAAGTTGCATTACCGATTATCCGAATGTATCATCAGCACAGACAAAGCCAATGAGTATTGTACCTTACTTTGATTGGAAAGTGGCTGATTGAGGTACGAGCTTCCCGTCTTTTCCGATGATGAATAGGAGAGAGTTGCCTCTCAAATTGCTTCCGATAGTAGGATCGGAAGGGAAGGAAGGCATTTATTGATAGCGAGGAATATAGATTTGTGGGGGAACAGATGTACGCACCATGCTGTTACTCTGCATTGTGAGAGTGAAAAATGAAAAGTCTTGGCAAAATAGATTCGCGCATATTTTCATTTTCTTTGGCACTTTGACAGCTTTCCCGTTACGCGCATACTGTCAATCCACCGTTTGAATAAATGCGTTAACGGTTTTGTACCTGATCTTAATGCCAAGCCACATCATCCTTTCGCTTCTTGTGTTCCCGATTGATGTAAAAGCCAGCCAATATGTGATTGATACGTGCGATAATACCAAATGACCCTTTCCTTTGATCCACCGTCATTTCCGCTTTTTGAATCGGAGAATCGCACTTCCTTTATCGGAAGGGAGAGCTTTTCTTAGATACATTTCCTCTGCGTTTTCCGGCGGTGATTGTCATCTTTTGCATTGATTTTACCATTACCCCACGGGGCTTTGTTTGTTCCCCACCTTTGTATCAATTATATATAAAGCGGGCAACTTGTTTCTGCTCCTTCCCTTTTCTTCCTCAATCCACCCTCGCCAGCAATTCCATTCTTACAATGTTGGCTACCAATCATCACTTATATCAAAGCGGTCACGATGCAGAAAATGTCAAATCAAACCAAGATGTCGAATCGTTCAATAGCGAGAACAAAGTTCAGCCTGGTGCTCAATTGGATACCTTTGATGCCGCTCAGCCAGGTCAATTAGCCACTGATATGCATGGAAAAGAATTACTTCACTTTGACCCAAAACAAGAAGCAAGATTACGCAGAAAAATTGATCGTTGGGTCGTTCCAACGGTCGCGTTGCTTTATCTTTTCTGTTTCATCGATCGTGCTAATATTGGAAATGCTCGTTTGGCAGGATTGGAACCTGATTTAGGAATCAATCCAAAAACATATCAATACAATATCCTTCTTTCTTCCTTTTACATCTCGTATATCGTCTTTGAAATTCCTTCAACCATGCTGACCAAGATTATTGGGCCCAAAATTTGGATTGCAGCCATGGCTGGCCTCTTTGGATTACTGAGTATGTGTACTGCTTTTGTCAAGTCGTATGGCGCTGCGATCGCCGTTCGTTTTTTGCTCGGTGTAGCAGAAGCAGGAATGCTTCCTTCTATTGCATTCTATCTATCAAGATTCTACAAAAAGGATGAACTTGCTCTTCGTTTGGCAATGTACATCGTCATGGCACCAAGTGCAGGTGCATTTGGAGGCTTGCTCGCTTCTGGAATCCTAAAGATTGATAGTATTGGTTCCATCGAACGTTGGGAAATGATCTTTTTCGTTGAAGGTATCATCACAATGGGTTTGGCATTTATCAGTTATTTCACTTTGACTGATAGCATCGAAACGGCAAAATGGTTATCGGAAGATGAAAAGTACATGGCAACTGCTCGACTCAAGACTGAAATGGTAGGTCAAACAGTTTTGGTCGATAAAGCAACCTCAAAAGCAGTTTTGCGTGGTATCTTAGCTCCAACTTCAATGTTGTGTGCTCTGATGTTCTTGTTGGATAACATCACCGTCCAGGGCGTTGCATTCTTTTTGCCAACGATTGTCAAAACTCTTTATCCCACCAAAACTGTCATTCAACAACAATTACTCACAGTTCCACCAAACGTTGTAGGTGCAGTTGGTGTTCTTCTTTCGGCTTACATCACAACCAAGATTCGCGTTCGATTCCCATTGGTCTTTGTTAATTCGTTGTTCATGTTGACGGGATATGCAATGTTCTTGGGATCAAAAAACTTGAATGTTCGTTATGCAGCTAGCTTTGTGACATGCATAGGTGCATTTTCAATGGGAGCCTTGCTCCCTGCATGGGCAGCAATCAACACAAACAACGACAGTGAAAAAGCCGGAGCGATTGGTGTTGTCGTTATGTTTGGTAATATGGGAGGTTTGGTCGCGACTTGGTCTTATCTTTCAAAACATGCGCCTAATTTCGTTCCTGGAAACGCTCTCAATCTAGGTGCAGGAGCTGGAATTGCTTTGTTGAGCGTTATTCTATTCTTCTATCAACGTCGTGAGAATGTGAAGCGAGAACGTGGTGATTATGATCATCGTTTGCAAGGTAAATCAATCGAAGAGATTGAACTATTGGGATTGAATCATCCAGGCTTCAAGCTTCGTCATTAGATAAGATCGGATTGAGGAAAGTTGATTATGTACAGTAGCATATGTTTATGAAATGGATATGAACAAGGGTTACCCAGGCCAAACTCATGGTGACAGACCTTTCTCCTTCGCTTTAAGTGCAGAAGCTTCGAAGCGTGCCCTATAAGCATCATTTGATTGTTGATATCTAGCCATTCCAGCTTCTTTGGAATGAATTTCTTGACGTGCTTTCATACTATCTTTAGCTGCGTTTGATCGTAACTTTTTCGCCAAACGAGGATTGCCACCTGCTGCTTTGAGATAAGCTTGACTGGTTGCTAAACCGCCTTTTCGACCTATTTCACTAAAAGATTTTCGCATATGTTCTTCATTCTCGAATGATCGAGTTCCCGCTCGAAGCTTCTTTGGTGCTGGCCCAGTGGCAACACTCGTGCCGCCGCTTAGATCGTGAACGTTCTTTTGGCTCACAGTGGCAATTCCGCCATCTCTTTTGGGAAACGGTAATTGCGATGCTGGTATGTCTTCACAGAATGTCAAAAGGATCTCTAACGTACTTGATAATAAGACGAATAAGACCAGCTTCATTCTGTTTGTTTGAAAAAGTTGTAATCGCATGGGGAAGAAAGGAAGGAGCAACTTTGGGTGTATAAATACCTTTATCCACCTTGCTCAAATCTTGACAGCCAACGCCACTCGGAAACAATCTGTCGACCTTGTACAATTGTTCAGATGGCGGCAGTCTGGGGCGGCATGGGGCGGCTGTGTTTGATGGAGATTTTTTCAAACTAGGTCACCGCCATCTTAAATTCGCACACGCTCCGATCTCAATCCAAACCTTTCAAGATGGGATGCAAATGGTTGCTGCTTTGTTAGGGGTAAAAGCGTTTGTATTGACACACTATATGAAAGACTCCGAGAGCTGAGTCTAGGCATGAAAAAAAAAAAAAACTCTACGAATGAGATGCAAATTCAACACAGCTAAGTCTAAGACAAAAAAGCCTTTTTATGCTTCTGTTGTTTCAAATACTCTTCAACGGCATTTATGGTCTTCTGTCTTTTTCTTGCAAAATGCTCCCGTACTCCTTTTCGGATAGCCGCCGATTGACGTTTGAGTCTGTCCACACTCTTGTTGTTATAATTGTACCCCTCCGTACCTTTTTCTGGGATGTAAACCTTCTTTTCAGCAGATTGTACAATGGAGCTTTGTCCGGGTGGGGCAAGAGTGAGAGTCAGGTCCAGCTCTTCTTTGTTGTCTGTTGCTTCCACTCGCTTGCCAAAGACGGCAAAGAGCAAGTTCAGAGGAACTACCAAGCTCAACAACCTCATAGATTGGAATTGCAACATGCTGCATCATGGTCGTAATAGAACAAATTGAATTGCGTAGGTATGCTTCTAAACATCATCGGAGCGTACAACAAAAATGATATGATATACGCAGCCTATAGCACAGCTTCAATATGCAACGCAAGACCAATGAACATTACTTATTTCATGAACAAAGTATACATAGACGAAGTAGGTAAGGATGCATTCTGGATGGAAGAGCTGGCTCACAATACTATTCCCTCTACCTCGTCGGATTCTACCCAATTTTCACGGTCGAGGCCGGGGACCATGACCATGAGGACCGGGTGGTCGAAGATGCAAGCCTGGAATATGACCAACGTGTGGAACATGAAGATGTGGTATATGCGGTGGACGAACGGCAGCACCAACCATATGACCGAGTAAATGACCTGCTTGATTCACCTTTCGATGAATTTTATGTGCTGCATGTTGAGCGCCACCAACTGCTACCGTTCCAACTGCTGCTCCAACGGCTGCAGCAGCGCCTGTTTGTAATAAATGACTTGAAGAGCTACTTGATCCACTGTGATACTGAGGATATTGATTGTATGCAGGCTGTTGAGGATATCCTGAAGGTGGATATGGATGATGTGGATATGCCGTTGGTGGATATTGAGGATGATAGGATCCAGAAGGTGCAGCATATGGCTGAGCATAAGCTGGTTGATAGTTGGCTTTATTCTTGTCTTTCCCAAATCCGGCCATTGTCTCGAATATGCAAGTGAAAAGATACACAACAATCAAAGCAGAGTGATTGAGGAAAACTCGCATGATGTGTTGAGAAAGAAAAACAAGAATTGTGTCCAATGACGACTGCTTATGTAGTATATTGATCGATTTGCGTGATCGATGAATGTTTCTGAGGCTATGCATATACACCGATCACAGACAGAGCTCAGATATGTACGCCCCGTTGACACTTGATCATTCTTCCGTCATACCATCCTGAAGATAAAAGTACGTCGGCGTTCGGTACAGCAAATGCATATATCGTCGGACTAGATCGCGTCAACGGCTTTGGCGTACGCAAAACTTCTGAGCGTGTGTAATAATTGTGTTGTAGGCCCGTGCAAATTGGAACTCGTCTTACTCAGTCCATAACCTCCAATAATGTGGCGGTGATGGATCAAAGTGCATTTCGTCAATTGGTGTCATCGCAAGGGTCTGGAGGCAGTACGAATGCAGGAAAATCAAAGAGAGTGCTCGGTAAAGGTCAAAAGCGTACAGGATTGGCAAGTACATCAAACAAGGACGAAGATGTCTCCTCTAAATTCATACCAAGAAAGGTGGGAAAGAATGCAAACTCAACAGAAGAGGATGAGGAAGAGGAAAATGAACGTGCTCGGCTGAAGAAGTTATATGCAGAGAATTACACCGATCGAGCAGCTGCTAGAAGATCAGGTCAAGAAGAATTGAACGAATTTCATGATGTTGAAATGCTCAAGAAAGATTTCGCAAAAAGGTTAGGAAGTGCAAATGATGAATCAGAACGTCAACAGATACGTGAACAAATGGCATTCTTGGGCGGAGATGCTAAACATACAGTCTTGGTAGATGGTTTGGATTTCGCACTTTTGGAACAACAACGGGCAAAGATGAACGGAGATGATGATTTGGAGAATGCATTTCAGTCAACATCATCTTCTCAAAGAACAACAGAAAAAGCGCCAAGTGCCGGTATAGCACATGCGAAGAATGACAAATTTAAACCGATAGGCAGTAGCAAACCTAAAGAGGAAGAAAGTCCAGAGTATATCTGGAGAAATGGAAAGAGGATGCGAAAGAAGAGAAAAGATAGGGACACATCGGGAAAGGATGCAGAGATGAAGGGCAGTGTGACAGAGGTGTCATCGGATGGTGCTTCTACGCAATCCAAGAGAGCAAAGGTGCCAAAGAAGACGAAAGAGAAGGCAGAAAGCTCCACTACTGCAACAGCGCAGCTTGATGAGGCAGCTGAAAATGATGGTGAAAGCGTACCACCGAAGGCACCTGAAGAGGGTGCCATAACTGCTTCGAGTAAATTGCCATCTTCGACAAACATCCAAAGTGCAATCGATCAAGACAAGAAGGAGGTAAATGCACCCGCCGAAAACAGCGATGAGGATGATGAAGATATATTTGCGGGTGCCGGAAGATGGGATGGATTAGCTGAGGATGCAAGCGATGAGGATGGTGCGATATAGACAGCTAGACATATTTGATGTATCATATCTTGTGTACTTTATAAGACAATGCAACAATGGTGAAAGGAAAGAAAGAGGAAGTGTGTTTTGTTTGGAAATGATCTGTGCGTGTGCATTTGGAAAGGCGCCGGCGCTAAAAGAGAGTCACTTTGAGTTGAAGTCAGCTTTTGTACCCGTCACATCACCATCCTCTGCAATGGCTACGGGATCGATTCCACGATCTGTACGATGGAGAATAGATCTTGATGGAAAAGGCTTGCTGCGACATGAACCAGAACAATGGTCATCAGTATTGACAGAGGAAAGAAGACGATATGCAGATCTGAAAAAGAGAGTTTTACGTGCTCCCGATGGAAGTTACCCGGAAGGGTTTGGAATGGAAACAAACATTGGGCAAACAAGCAATGGACCAACTCCAGTAGATGTCAACAACCCACTCAGTCTGGCAGACGATAACCCTTGGCATTCACATTTTGCCAATTTGACAACTTTGGAACAAATTCAAAAGGACGTCATTCGTGCGTTTCCAGAAGAAGAAGATCGTTTCAAAAGTGGGCCTTTGGGAGGGCAGGAGAAATTTGTTTCTCAGTTGAGCGCGATACTTTTTGTTTGGAGCTTATCAGAAGAAAATCTCAATGTTGGATACAGACAGGGAATGCATGAGATCGCCGGTGTATGCTGGTTGATTGTGAAGGAAGATGCAGAAAAAGGAATGCAGTCGCCCTCGTCCTCAAGGCAACTCCTCGTTCAGGCTGATGATGTGGAAGCTGATTCGTTCGCTCTGTTTCAAACGATCATGTTTCAGGCTAAACGTTGGTACGAGTGGAAGTCGGTAGGATCTTCAAAGCTTCCTATCCAGCAACATTGCGATATGGTCGAAGAATCGCTCGCTTCAAATGATGTTGATTTAGCACGTCACCTCAAACGACTTGGCGTATCAATGTCCATATTTGCCATTCGTTGGATTAGACTGCTGTTCCTGCGGGAACTTCCGCAGGATATAGCGATCGAAGTGTGGGAAAGTTTGTTTGAGCTGGACCCTTCGCTTTTCCTCGTGGATCATATCTGCGTTGCATTAATTATTCGAATCCGCGATGTCTTACTAGCCAGTGATAATCCAACGGCCCTTCGTGCACTCCTCAACTATCCTGCTGGATCAGTCGAATCCGGCGAATCGGTACGAGCTTTAATGGACGAGGCAAGACAGGCACATCGACAGCATACGGCCGTGTTGAGCGGGAAGGAAATGCCATATACTCGTAAAGTTCCCGGTTCCTGGAACGATGCAGATCTTGCTTCTAGAAGTGGGGCAGCTCCTTTCGGCTATACAGCACCAACGTTGACTGAATTAACAAGAGGTATCTCTGCTCAATCGTTAGGAGCAGGCTTTAATAGAGCAATCACAAATGTTCAACGTACGGTAAATGCTGCATATCAAGCACATGCTGCGCAAAATACGTCAAATGATGGTTTCCCTCCTTCTATGAATGTGATCAGTGGAAGACGAGAGGTAGCAGCTGATCAAACACCTAAGCAACAGCTGGAAAAATTGCGAGCTGTGAATGGACAGATGGGGAAAACGATGAATGATATCATTGATGTTTTGCAAAAGCGATGGGCAAGAGAGATGGAAAGTGAGACAAACGCTGCGAAAAACGATGCGAAGCCTGCAGAAGAAGAGCAACAATTGAGTCTGTTGGTAAGCTTGACGGCTTTAAAACATATCAGGGACGTCCTGTCTGGACAAGCAGTAGAGTTTGACCCATCTGTAATGCAATTAGGAAAAGAAGATACAAATGGCAATGAAGCACATGCACAGCCCTCCACCCCATCAACTTATCCACCTACTGCAACGTCAAAGGGAGAAAAGGATCGTACTTTCGGAGCTCGCTTTCAGCGATCTGTAGATGACATTCCAATTGCTTCTGCATCGGCAAATATACCTCCTTCTACATCGAATACGGCCTCACTAGACGAATCGAAACGTGGAAATGCTCAAAGTACCAAAATAGCCCGTCCACTGGCTGCTTCCAGTGCGGTATACGATCCTCTTGGTGTCGGAGGTAGTTGATTGAACAGGAGAGTGTCATTACGACAGGAAATTAGGAGTGAAAGGATGCATTGGAACGTATGAAAAGGAGGTTTTATAGAATCGAGCGTGGAAGATATTATGGGAGTGAGAGGGTGGATTGGACCGCAGAAGATTGAATGATCGCATACAAAAGGATGCGGGATGGTCATTTCTTCGACCAATCCTTCTGGCCCAACAAGTGCTTCACGGCCGCAAAGCCTGCTGGAGGGTTGTCTTTGGGCACCCTGGTGTATGTGGATGTGTATCACGGTCAGCAACACGATTAAACAATCTTTTACTGCATTGTTGCACTCACATATGACCTGATTCAAATATTTCTGCAAAGATCAAGCCGCGTTCCTCAACAAAGGCGCCAGCCTCTTTGCCATCAATGTCGTATAAAGGTGTCCCAGGAGCCTTCGAGAAGCCTGTTGAACCTGCCCAAGTCATATTTTGCAATGCCAAAGCAGTCATATTTGTCATCACCCTTGCATCCAGCTGGAAAGGGAAGATACGAAGTCAGCTTTAATGCAAATTGTTGAGCAATTCAGTTACTCACATTACCGCTGATCAGCATAAACTTTTTGCTGTTTTCAATTACTTGGGCCAGCATGCTGTGCCTTTTATCAGGAATACTGTCCGGAGGAGGACTTTGATCATCATGCAAAAAGACGTAGTTGCATTCATCCCATCTTTTACGCGGAATATTGATGTAGTCTTGCAATTCTCCATTATTGAAGAACTTATCCGTATAATCAGTATAATCACCGTCCCAAATATCGGGCTTTTCGACGTTATAGACATTGAAGATTGTGTTTCGATCTGAAGCACGAGCTGCCATCATTGTGTAAGGCGAGCATGATTGATCGAATTCTGGCAAAGGACCTTTAGGAGGATAATGCAAATTACGTTCAACGTAATCAGTAAGATTGCAACGAGCCGCTTCATCCTTAACATCTTGTACATCTTCTGCTGAGAAATTGAGAGCGACTTGATGTTTCACAACAAAAGGGTACACTGGAGGCTCGAGCATGGACTGATCGGTGATGACTCCGTCAACGATTAAAGTTCCTTGCAGTTGAGATTGATTCCTGGCTTGGAGCTCATGCAATGTATAACTTAAATAGATTCCAGCATACGATTCCCCGGTGATCCAAAGCCTTTTAGGTTTAAGTTCTGGAAAGATTTCATAAAAGTTATCTAGGAAGCTTGCAAATTCTTTTCCAATCTGCGTCTCATTTGTGAAATACGTTCTGCCTTGTGAAAAACCAACATGAGCAGGTTGATCAACATAAACAATGTTGGAGACTTTTGTCCAAGAATAATCACTCGGCTTCGTTGTTTCACTTCCTTTTTCTTGTAGCTTGAAAGGTCCATTTTCATGAACCATCCCAAACATGGAACTGCAACCCGGGCCACCATTTATCCAAATGATCAAGTCATCACCTGCATTAACGTCATCCTTACCCCACATCCAAAAGAATAACGAGCCGTTCTTCACAACATCGCTTTCGATCGGGATATGTCCTACCCAAGAATTTTTTGTCTTGAAATGAAGACCGGGACTAGATGGGAAGAAGGGCGATCAGTCGATCAATGTCACGGGATACGCCCCTTTTCTAATAGCGGTACTCACATTTGTGTTCCTACTTCGAATTTTTTTGCCTTTTCACCAGCAAATGATAAACTTGATTTGCATTCTTTACAGCCTGCACTTGGTTCAACGCCGTTTGGAAGGGAAGCTCCGCTTCTTTTATAAAATCTTGTCACAAAAGAGGAAGCCCTTTGACCTTTATCAAATAGGTTCAGTTCTCGGTTTTTAAAGCTATTGAAAGCCAAGGTGCAGCTTGAGAGATAAACGGTTGCAATGGCAATGGCAAGAATAGACAAGCGCATCTTTTATTGCGCTAGACAGTGTTGTGAATGAAGAACTGTTCGGAGATGTATTGTGAAAAAAGGTGAGAGTGATAGCTTAAAGGTTAAAGTAGTGGAATCGACGGAATCACTTATTCTGAGAAAGTCATTCAATATGTATGGATTCAGAAAAGCCTATAGGAGACATGATTATGCGTTTAGAAATGTATAAGTTTCTTGAGAGGAGTCAATGAAATATGGACGTTTTTCTCATCAGCGCAGCACAAATAAAGGAGTTGAATGTTTACATTTTCGTTCAAGCTCTCATCGTCATCGAGAAGTCAAGTCAAATGATGAAATTGATCAATATTAAAGGTCACTACAGGAGTATCGGAACGCTGCAAGATGAAAATCAGGGACAAATTATCCTTAAATGTCCAAACGAAATGGGAATAGATAAGAAAAAGTCGTTCATTGTCCATGGAGACGCCTCTTCGTTCACTTTTGAGTCCAGTCTCGCTTACCGATCAAGTGCAACAAGGCCGTATATCCGTAAGGAGGTTGATCGTATGGAATCATATGGCCAGATTCGTAGACTTGAGCGAATGTAAGACCACGTTCTTCAACAAAGGAACCGGCTTGATAGCCTTCTAGATCGTAGAGAGGAGTCAATGGTGGTTTACTGAACCCAGTTCCGTTGTTCCAGGTCAAGTTCTGCAAGCCCAAAGCGGTACCGTTGGTAATGATCAAAGCATCCAGCTGAAGTAAAGAGAAGGATGTAGGCGTCAGTATAAGTTTATCTCTCACCACAACATCGAATACTCACATTGCCGTTCAGAATTAAAAATTTCTTGCTCTTTTCAATCGATTCGGATACGTGGTTGCTCTGTTGATCGGGATCCTTATCTGGCCAATTGCTATTATCACCATTGTAGAAGATTGTTTTGCACGAAACCCATTTCTTGTGAGGTGCATGGATGTAGTCTTGTATAGCAACATTATCAAAGAAGGTGTCATGATGGTATAGAGCTGTCCAAGTATTAACTTCTCCAAGGGGTGATTCATTTTCATCATAAGGACGTTTGATGTTATAGACGTCAAAGTCCAGTCTTGCTTCTTGGGCTCTCATCCTGAACATATTGTACGGTGAGCATGAAATGTTGAAGTCTGGCAAAGGATATTGAGGTGGATAATGCAGGTTTTGTTCGACGTAATTGGTTGTGCCGCATGAATCACCTTCGTTCTTAATATCTTGGAGATCTAGATCAGTAAAGTTCAACGTTTCCTTATGCTGATTAGCATATTGATAGATCGTGCACTCTCGAGACAGATACGTGCTGGTGACGACACCATCAACAATCATTGCACCTTGCAATTGCGGAGTCTTGCCATCGTTGTATAGCTTATGCATCATTCCAGGCGCATAAACTCCTCCGTATGATTCTGCAGCGATCCAGAGGTTCATAGATTTCAATTCGGGGAATACTTTCCAGAATTCATCCAAAAAGGCAGCAAAATCGGATGCAACTTGGGTTTCATTGGAGTAATACGTTCTTCCTTCTGAGAAGCCAACGCCGGCAGGTTGATCAATATACAGCATATTTACACCTTTTGTCCAAGACCATCCGTTGGGATAAGGTTTATCTTTTACACTTTGATGCAAGAAAGGGCCATTCTCTTGTACCATTCCAAGAAGTGATGTACAACCCGGACCGCCGTTGAGCCAGATCACCAAATCCTCACCTGGATTGATGTCATCTCTACCCCAAAGCCAAAAGAAAATTGAAGCATTTTTCACATTTGGCGTTTCAAACGCAATTTCACCTGCCCAAGAGTTCTTTACCTTGAAATCAAGAGTAGGAATGTTGTTCCCGACCTCATACTTCTTTGCTTCTTCTCCGGCAAATGAAAGACTGGATTTGCAAGTTTCACAGCCAGCGCTTGGTTCAACGCCTGCAGGTAATGCGGGACCTTTCTCTTTGGTCTTCAGGCCAGCATCTATGAATTCACGCCGTAACGGAGGACTGAGTAGGTTCCTTTTTACAGTTGAACCGCTGCCAAATTGGGCATAAAGGCAAAGATTGATAGCGAAAGCCGCAAGGATAAAGTTGAGGTTGAAAGAGCGCATCCTGGAATGAGTGGAAGGGATGGTTGTATACAGAATGGTGAGGGATCACCACTTTATATACATTTGAAATTCATTTGCGGGCATACTCGAAATTGCAAAAGATATGAAAGTATGTGAACTTAAAATCCCTCTTTGATTGCCTTAAGGCGCCGCTTGAATCCGTCTAGCTTGTTCTTTGAATACATGCGGAGATGAAATGTACGGAGCGCCGAGGCTTATTGATGACTTATCTCATTTGACAATGTCGATGACCTTTTAAGGAGTTTCAATTGTCGGTCCTAGTTTATCCGCGTTTGCTTGTCTACTGATCTGACATAGGGGACAATCAAGTAGATCTCGGTACCGTTCACAGGAATGTAAAATTAATATTCACGCTTCATAATACAATAGTCAATCATATGTTCTGGGAAGAACGATTCGACACATTCTTCTCTTAGAAATATACATTATTACAGATGAGAAATATTCTATAACGTTGCGAACCCTAGAAGGAGCAGGTGAAAGATAGGTAAAAATATTAACTTCAAGGTACACAGTGGAGCGTATCCCTGTGAAGATAAAATAAGACTTGCACAAATGATACACAAGCAACCTCACAGAGCAAAGGAAGAATTTTATTGACTCCAGACTCGAAATTCGAGAGCGTGAGAATTCGGAATGGTAGTAGGGAAGAGAGCGATACTCCGCGCGAGCTCGGTAAAGACAGCTCGTGTGGCTTCACAGGTAGACCGGTTGCCTGAGGTAGGTCAAGGTGATCCTTGGGCGTTCACTACCAATATCTTTTTCATCCCAAACCATTTGAAAACACTGAGCAAACACAACATACTAATAACTTTTTGACAACAGGTACAATAAAGTCGGGGTATACAAAAATTAACATGATCAAAGCTTAATCAGCAACTGTTTCGATGTCAATCTTTGCTTGACGCTCGCTTTGTTGCCAGTCACCTGTACTGAAAATTCTATCCATATCTTCCAACGACTTACGTGCAGTTTCTGGCAAGTAGATTGCAATGATGGGAAGCCAGAGTGCGTTGAGAACGGCAAAGATGATATAAACACGATATTTGATATTCTTGATTGCTGAAGGTGTGAATTTCACCACGGCAAAGTTCATGATCCAATTAGAAGCCGTACTTAAAGCACTTCCTTGCGTTCGAATACGCAAAGGTAGAACTTCTGACGGAATCAACCAAACCGTTGCCTGGAATCCAATACTGAAGAACAACTCAAAGATAAACAACATCGAGCTTGCGGCACGACCATATATCTTGTCACTATTTGGCTGTTGTGTTTTGTACACAAGACCCGTTTGAACGACCATGACAGCTGACATACCTGCAATGCAAGGTAACAACAACATCTTTCGACCAACGACATCGATCAAAAAGATGGAAATTGTACTTCCCAAGATCAAACACATATTCAAACCGCCTGCCATCAAAGCTGAATCTTTGTCTGATAATCCGATTGACTTTTTGAACAAAGTGCTTGAATAATAAATCAATGCGTTTATACCTCCAAGTTGTTGTGCTGCTTGAATGAAACATGCCAAAAGCCATCTTTTACGTGTTTGCAATGAATCATCACTCCATCCGCCTCCGGGTGCAACTAGACCACGCCAGCCGTGAACACGATCGGCTTCACGCTGTTCATGATCCAGAGCTTCTTTGATTTCGTTGTATTGCTTTTCAACCTGGCTTTCTGTTGTTGAAGAGTTCAACAATCTTGCAATCACTTCTTTTGCTTCATCCATTCTGCCTTTTTTGATCAACCATCTTGGCGTGTCTGGAATGACGAGAGCACACATAACGATGAAAATGATAAAAACGCACTGCAATGCAATCGGTAAACGCCAACAGATCGAGTTACCTTTCAAAGAAGGAGCACCAAAGTTAAACGCATAATCGATCCAATACGAAATAACGATTCCGCAATTCAACACAGTCAAATCGATTGCTACCAATTTACCACGTGAAATGGCTGGACTGGTTTCAGCTTGCAAAACAGGAACGGTTGCATTGATGATACCCATTCCAATTCCGCAAATAAGACGACCCAAGATCAAAACTCCAACGGATTGTGCAGCAGCTTGAGTGATTGCACCCGCGATCATCCATTGAGCACCAAAGATGATCGTCATCCTTCTTCCTAGTTTTTCTCCCATAACAAATGTTGATAATGCTCCTATACAGCAACCAATCTCGTAGAGACTAACGATGTTGCCAATCATATTCTCACTTGGATAATTGAACGTCGAATTGAACGAAGGTGCTTCTACCAAACCACCAAAGACACCATTGTCATAGCCTACCAACAAGAAACCAGTAGCGCAACAAGCCGTAATTACGGACAAAAGGTAAGGGCCACGAAGGCCAATGTCAAAAGACATCATCTCTGCAATTGCTTTGATTGAGTGATGATGAGAAGGAAGACGAAAGCCAGGAGATCAAAAGCTCCTAGTCGTCTTTGAATGAGAGATGCGGTCAGATTCTTTCCCCTGTCACATTTTTATACCTTCTTTTCTTCATCAGGCACGGTCATATGAACTCAGCGGGGCAAATATGGTTCGGATTGTTCGGCTCCTGCTTTGTACGAATCTGGCGTCGAAATTGGGGGCTGAAATGAGGAATTGAAGCGGGGACGCACATCGGCTGAAACTCGCCTCGCCTCAATGCAGCTGATGAATGGCAAGTAAGTAGTAGTATGTGGCAGAGCTATCGGCACGGCCAGTGAACAGCATCCTTTTCGCTTTCATCAATCCGTTTCTCATCGCGTCGTTTCATTTCAAGGGTATAGTGACGCCGTCGGTTACCTCATTAATTCATCAGTAAGAAGCTCGCTTTCTCGGCACAGTAAAGTTGATGAACCTCTGGCAATCAACCTGAAATTGTGGCTTGTTCCTATCACGAAGAAGTGATTATCACAATTCTAAAGGTGACAGTAAGACGATGTATGCGTCTTATGAAACCAATCAATGCGGTGAACAGAAATCGTTCACGTTTGTGCATGTCGTATGAATAAGATACCCGGACCTAAAGCGGGGCCGCGTCTCTGAGAATTCATATTACCGTCACGATTTCCATATGTACCGCACTATTAATCGCTTGATGGATAGCATAGCATCTGAGGATATAGATGATGATGATCATGATGAATGGCTGTGAATTGACTCCACAAAATACACCAGAGTGTTACACGCATGTATGTACGTAATTTTTGGACTAAAACAAACCCTAGCACGCCATAATGTTGACAGCAAGTTGTTGTCACCTTCTCTATTCAGCCCAACAGAAATTCACGGAAATCCTTCCGTTTGAAAGACCAGAAGAGATTAAAGTTGTTAATGCTTAGAAAATGCGCGCGCAAACACAAGACAAGGACGTGCAAAAGTAGTGCGTGCGCTTTTATGCCTTACACAGCACAATGTGGGCGAACGTTTTCAATTGTGCGGCTAATATAAATTTGCTTAACGCGCTAAAATGCATTAGAGAGCTACAGTAGTTGCACTTTGAGGTTCGATATTCTTCCAATATATTCAACTTCCCGATCATTCCGAAGAAGAAATGCATAATACATGATTGTTCAACACCTTTACTTCTCTTCCACCACCGCCTCTTTTCTAAGATAGACCGAACGGAAGCTTATTTTAAGCTCTTTTTATCAGGTCGTACATCGTGATCGAGGTCGGATAATACGTTCATTTCGGATTGAGAAATTCGTCGATGGAATCATAAAAGACAAAAATGGGAACCAATCTCGACACAACAAAAGACCTTGTTTCGCTCTTTGAGCAACAGGCTAAAGCAACTCCAAATGCTATCGCTTTGGAAGATATCGACAAAAAGTTGACATATAGCCAGCTAGAAGAGCAAACACGCTTCTTAGCCATCGAATTACAACAAAAGTATGGCGTCAAAAAGGATAGCTTGGTGGGCATCTTGATGGGCAGATGTGCAGATTACGTGATCGCAAGTTTGGCAGCATTACGTGCAGGCGGTGCTTTCCTCGTTCTAGAATTGGCATATCCTGAAAAACTCCTGCAAAAAGTCGTTCGGGACGCTAGCCCCAACATCATCTTGACCCACTCCAAGCATGCTAGCAGATTGCCAAAGGGTTTCCCAATCAAACAACTTGATACAGAGAAGATCGTGGAGAGCAAACACGACCTCCAACCATCCGACAATGATCTTGATCGATTGGCCTTCGTTTCTTATTCTTCCGGCACAACCGGGCAACCCAAAGGAATCGCTAATCCTCATCGTGCAGCTGTTGGCTCTTACGCTCTTCGTTTCGGAATCTCGGATCTCAATCCCGGTGACAGAGTCGCTTGCAATGTCTTTTTTATTTGGGAGATTCTAAGACCGCTTATTCGAGGTGCAACAACGGTTGCTGTACCCGATAGCGTCAGTTACGATCCAGAAGGCTTGGTGCAATTCTTGCAAACTCGAGAGATCGTTGATACACTCATGACACCGACATTACTGGCAACAGTCTTGGCGAGCGAGGTAAAGAAACTTCAATTGCCCAAACTAAAATCTCTCTGGTTGAACGGGGAAGTGGTGACAGTGGATCTCTGTACTCGTGCGAAAGCCGTCTTTCCTTCCACGCATTTATACAACGTTTACAGTGCCAGTGAAACACACGAAGTTGCAGCAGGTGAAGTCACTGATTTAATCACAAAGTCGTCTGCTATCAAAAATGGTGTCTGTCCCGTTGGTCCATTGCTTGATCCCAAAAACGTTTTCATTGTCGATCCTGAATCGGACAAATTGGTTGAGAATGGCTCAGTGGGAGAATTGTGCGTTGGAGGTCATTTGCTAGCTCGTGGTTATCTCAATCTCCCTGAAGCCACCGAAAAAGCCTTCTTGCCAAACAAATTCAGCGCTCAAGGCGGTCGATTGTACCGTACCGGTGATGAAGCACGCATCGTTGAAGGATTATTGGAAATCACAGGTCGTATTGGTGGCTATATTAAAACGCGAGGCTACACTGTTCAACCTGGAGCAGTAGAAACGGCAATTACCAAAAGATTGGCCGTTCGTGCTTGTGCTGTCGTTGGACATGGTGAAGGAATTGAAAAGCGTCTTGTGGCATACATCGTTAGAGATGTTAATGCGACCAATCGTCCTTGGCCCAATATTGAGCAACCGCTCGGTCATAGTCCTGAAGCACGTAGATTCTTGACCAATGATTTGGCTCACTACATGGTACCTTCTATTTGGATCGCTCTTGACAAATTGCCAACTCATACAGTTTCAGGAAAGATTGATACGAAAGCCCTACCCTCTCCACCTTTGACCCGACCTGGTACGCCAGTAGCAGCAAGCGCATCAGGTGCTAGACAGATTCGTGTAGAGACGATTATCGAAGCTTGGTCGGCTGCTTTGAATATTCCACGTGATGCGATCCATATTGGCGAAGCCGACTTTTTCGATTTGGGAGGTCATTCGCTTGCTTTGGCTGATTTAGCCTCTAAATTGACAAAAGCATTCGGTTTTCAAGTTCCTCTTTCGGCTTTAGCAGCTGATGCTTCTCTGAAAGGCCATCTTGCAGCCGTTACTGCAGCCAGAGATGGACACTTGGCAGAGTTGCAGTCCGATTTACCAGCAATCATGGCTGCTGATTCCAAGTTAGAAGATGAAATTCGTTATCGTTCCTCTTCAACGCCAAGGCACCGTCTATCAGACGCAAAGACGGTATTGTTAACGGGAGCAACAGGATATTTAGGCGCATTCCTCTTGCGCTCACTCATTGCTTCTTCTTCTGCAAAGATAATTTGCTTAGTACGCTTTCCACAACCCAATGAGAAATACAAGCCTGATGGATTAGCACGCATACGAAACAACTTAAACGACCTCGGATTATGGAATGATAATTTGTTGGATCGTATGGAGATCTTACCTGGGAACTTGCCACAAACTCGCTTGGGACTTTCTGAAGAGCACTTTGCAGAATTGGCAAACAGGGTTGATATTGTGATCAGCTGTGCTGCAATCGTGAATTTGGTATACCCTTACGCAGCTTTGCGAGCTGCTAACGTAGGAGGAACTCGAGAAATTCTTCGTCTTGCTGCTTTAGGTGGCGCAACGGTTCATCATATTTCGAGTAACGGCGCTTTGCCCGTCACAGGTAAGCCTTGGACAGAATCAGCTCAAATCACAGTAGATGAAGCTGTTCAAGATGTTCCAGATGGGTATGGCCAAACCAAGTGGGTGGCGGAACAGCTCGTTCTAGAAGCAAAAGCGAGAGGGATACACACTACAATCATTCGTCCAGGAACGTTGAGTGGATGCAGCGAAAGTGGCTCTTCGAATCCATACGACCTGCTCAACGCAATTGTCGTTGAATCTCTACGTCTAGGCAAAGCACCCGTTGTCGAAGGATGGAGATGCGAAATGACACCAGTCAACTACGTTGCCCAAGCAATCACGGCGATTTGCGAGTACGACGGAGATGGAAGCAAAGATCTGCAAAGTGTTTTCCATCTTGCTGATCCTAAACCGCTTCTAGCAACGAGGCTGTTTGACTTGTTCGAAGCTTCGGGCTACAAGACAGAAAAGCTACCATGGAACAAATGGAAAGACATTTGGCAAGAGAGTATCGAAGAGAGGAACAAAGATACCAAGCTTCCATTCACTGCCGACATTCTCAAAGGAGGAATGCCAACTACTGAGGGTTTGACAGAAGCACCTTTGTTGGATGATGCAAAAACAAGACCTATTCTTGAAAAGATGGGATTACCACGTCCCAATATTGACGAGCAGTTGTGGCATACCTACCTGCGTCACTTTTATGCTCGAGGATGGTTACCAGCACCTCCAAGCGATGCTGCCAAGAAGGAAGGCGGTCTATCGAACGGGTATACCAACGGAATTACGGGACTAAATGGATCGACAAAAGGGAGACTGGCAGGAAGAGTAGCAGTAGTGACAGGAGCATCATCTGGTATTGGAGCGGCAGTTGCAACGGCTTTGGCGCGTGAAGGTGCTAAGGTAGCCATCGGAGCAAGAAGGAAAGATGCTTTGGAGAAAGTGCAAAAGGGTATGATTGCAGCTACTTCAAACACTCGTTCAGAGAAGGATTTCGTTGCTATTCCAACGGATGTGACGGATTCGAAACAAGTTGAAAGATTGGTTCAAACTGCGAATGAACAACTTGGCGATGTTGATATTGTGATCAGTATTGCTGGTGTGATGTACTTCACAATGATGGCAAACGTTCAAACTCAGCAATGGGAACAAACTGTTGACGTGAATTGCAAGGGTCTCTTGCATTGCTTGGCAAACACTGTTCCAAACATGTTGAAGAATGGAAAAGGACATATCGTTGCCATCTCTTCCGATGCGGGAAGAAAAGTGTTCCCGGGTCTGGGAGTATATTCGGCGAGTAAATTCTTCGTTGAAGCCACATTGCAAGCTTTGCGACTGGAAACTGCCGGTAAAGGACTACGTGTTACAGCTGTTCAACCTGGAAATGTGAGCACAGATTTGCTCAATATGTCAACAGATGCTGAAGCATTGAAACAGTATGGTGAACCTTCTGGTGCAAAAGTTCTCGATGCGGAAGATGTTGCCAATTCGATCATTTATGCTCTCACACAACCTGAACACGTTGCCGTGAATGAGATCCTGATCGAACCTCGGGACGAACCGATATAGAATGGATGAAATTAATTATAGAATTTTTATTGTATATACGATGATCTATGGGCTTCCATGTAAAATGTGAATTGAGTAAGATATGTTGTCTATGATTCTTGTTCTTCTTCGGGTCTAACATGTCTTCTTGAGTTTGCGAAATCGGAAGGATGATCACTTTCATCGTATGGAGCATGAGATGTACTATGTCTCCAACTTGCATGATCTTTCCAATGTTTCCGATAATCAAATGCTCCTTCTTGTGATGGTGTTTGAGAAGGGCGTCTTGTAATTCTGCGATTTGAACTGCTTGATCGTTCGCCCATCGGTGGCTGTGATTCAGGGTGATGGGAAGTAGATTGGGTGTGTGCTTCTGGTTCAAGGGTATCATGAGCGATGACGTCATTCCTTCCACGAAGACTTTCTTCTTCCCCTTGCAATTTTACAGCTTCTTTTGCACTTCTTCTGTCCAAATAGGTTCCAACGAAGGGAATCAAGCTACTATGACCGAGAAGGGAAGAAATGATGAGCGCATATGTAATAGGAGTGATCAACGTCAACACTCTTTTTACGCTTTCGTTCTCTTTTTGATCTTGTAGTTGTTCGATAACGAGAGTCATGTAGAATATCGCACCTGCACCTATTGGACCGAAATAACCCATGAAGACTGCATCTCCGAATGCACCACGCAATCGAGGCATGAGTCGATGGAAGACTACGAGTCCGGGCAATCTTCGTAGAAGTAGAACTGCAATGCCCAAGATGATCAATCTCCAAACTGTGACACCTTCTTGTGCCATCTGTACAAATGATGACCAAGGAATCGTTGCACCGAGGAAGAGGAAGAATGCGGAATTGAGGAGAAGATCTGTGACATTGTACAACTCTTCATCTTCTGTTTCACGACGATACCAATCGTCCCAGGTGAGAGCATTGCCAGCAACGAAAGCCGAAAAGAGATCGTCTAGATCCAAGTATCCTCCAAGACCCGTTGTAAAGATACCAACGGCAATTCCGTAACAAAGAAAGCCTTCTTTGTCGATATAATCATGTCTTGTACTGAAACGTAAGATTCTGTTTGCCGCTACGCCAACAATGATTCCGAACACGGCACCCAATCCAACTTGATAAATGCATGTATCCACAAACCAGGATAATAGTCCTTTTCCTGCGTTGTCGGATTTGAGTAAGTTCAAAGCCAAGAATAAGAACGGATAGCCGAAACCATCATTTGCACCCGATTCTGCCAAGATCAAATTGCGTAACCAAGGCGAAACATGTTTGTCGGCGAATGAACCTTTTACCAAAGCGTTACTCAAGACAGGGTCTGTTGGTGTTGCGCAAGAAGCGATGATGAGAGCGGGTAATAGGGATAAATTCGGTATGATTGCCATCAATAGTCCTGCTGTGATTAGCCAAGTTGTTCCCATTACCAACGTCAAAAGGATAGAAAGACTTTTGACTTCATTTCGTAAATATTTGTGTGGTAATTGAATTCCAACCAAAACCAATTGAATTCCCAAAACAAGTCTACTTAAGTTATTTCCAATCGAATCCAAATCATCACGTAAACCTGCATCGTCATTTGGATCAACTGTTGAACGTAAAAGTTGAGCTAATCTTTCCAAACCAATTCCTGCAAGAACGGCTAAAGGTGCTTCATTCATATAAAATCGTTCTTTGACCAAATAAGAAAGTGATCCATACAAACATAAAAATGTTCCTAATGCTCCTGCGATCAGGTTAAAGTTTGTTGGTTGCAATTCTATATTCATTGCTGATAAGGAACTACTTTTTGCTCCGTTTTATGATCGTGAGAAGAATCCTTTTTCCCTTACGATCGTGGGAATGATTTCTTCTGTCTTTATGATTGTGGAAAGGATGCCTTCTCTGTTAGATAACTTTATTTTTTAGCATTGCTTTACTCCACTTATGCCTCCTAAAAAGGGTTGGACCGCTACTGAAGTGTCACGTGCTTCAAAGGAGGAAGATTGCCTCTCGCACCACTTAATTGGTAATTAGCGTACTCGCCTTGTTGCATGAAAAGCCACCAAGATCGAAATGTTGATGCAGTGTGTTAAACGCGTCTAAACGATCAAAGGATATTTGTACTGACTGGACCCGTTTTAAAAGAGGCCGGAGGATTTAAAGAGGATTAATTATTGTCTAGCCTGCCTGGGCCCTTTGACAATGAACAAAGCTTGCTCTTTAAATTCAATCACCGCATCTTCATTCCAGATCATTTGCATATTCACTCATGATCTGCCTTACATTCATCTTCTTATTGCTGATTTATGCGATCTTGCAATTAGACTTTTTGACAATGGCAAAAGGCGAGTGCATTACCATCAAATAAAAACAAAAAGCTTAAAATCCATCTATGTATGCTCCCAATTCATCCATCCTTGGACGGGACGAGTAAGACCCTCTTATGCAGCCTTTTTTTTATTAATCTAAGACGAAAATCTATGCAACAATCTGTTTGGCAGTATTCCCACTGAGTGAGATTGTACCTACTTGAATTCTCATTGGCAGACAGAATTCACACAATGGATACAGTGTAAAGGCAAACATCTTCCCATCCATACCACCTTTCATCCACCATTCGTCACATTATCGTTCTTATCCGATTGAGGCACTGATTCTTTGCGAGCGTTTCGTTTGCTCGAGTTTCAGTGCTGAAGTCGTCAAGATGGCGTTGGATTCTTGTTCAAGTGGAAGTGCAATAGAGAACGGATTGCAACGAATCAACCTAAACACCAAGCAGTTCAATCCAGATCACCATGAAGCAAAAGCTCGTAATCAAGGAATAGAAAATTTCCCTAGTCAACCAAAGATCGTTCACAATCCAGCCCAACCAGCAGAAAACGATAGTGTAGGATGGCAAAGATTTCTTGCTGCTTATCAATCAGGCAAATGGGAATCATGCGATGATGAAAAAGAAATAAGTTCAACTGATGATTCTCCTTCAGCAGATCTTACGATCGTCTATGATTCACATGGAACTCCAATGGATAATAAGGATTATTTCCATCATTATCATCACCTTGCTGCTCCCAACCTTCCGCCAATGAAGAGGAGAAAAAGACATGAAGCATTGTGAGTGATTCGGAAGAGACATACTCTAGACCTTGCAGATATCTGATCCCATCTTCCCTTTCATCATCATAGACTACGGCATGGTATCGTAAAATCACATTCACGACAGCATTTACAGCGGTATGCGGAAATGGCTAAACGTATTTTCGATTGCGATATGGTCACACTTTCGTTTGCAAGTGCGGATGAGAGAAACATCATCTTTTTAGCAGCAGATGGTCCTCCTATAAGTCAAGTACCTACTTGTGCTAGCATCTGTTCTCACGCACTCTTGCTTGAAGGTGATTCGGATATCTTCGTCGTTCCGGATATGGCACAAGATTGGCGTTTTGATAGGCTGTTTGGCAAAGAAGGATTTCACAAAGAAATGACGTATAGATTTCATGCTTCTGCGCCAATCCTTCTATCTTGCTCAGAGACACCTTGTTGTAAGATGAGCGTTTCGCCTATTCATGCAGGTCGATTCAGTATCTTTTCCTCAAAGCCTCGACCTAATTTTGACAAGGAAGATGCAAAGATTTTGTTGGATTTCGCACGTATGACGCAAGAAGCAATGGAGAATGAATTCTTGAACAAATTTGCCAGTAGAAGCAGAAAGCTTCAACGTGATTCTACAAGAATACTTTCCAGCCTGAACACTTCACTCGAACAGAGATTACGCTCCAATGCAACCGTTAGAGCCGTTGGCTTGCAAATGCCAGGGATGGGTGACCTATTTCCTCTAATGCCAGACGATAAACCGATATCGGCAAATCCAACAAGCCCGGTGCTGGGAGATGGAAAACCGGTGTATGCCAGTATATTGGAGGATGTCGAAGCAATGCAAGGTTTTCTCCAGGCGATTCGCTCAAGTCTTTCGGCAAAATCGGCTTGTTTGATAGACGGTTCCAACTTATCGACCAGTCCACTAAAAGAAGAAACACATTCGACCACCAGCGAGATAGGAAGCGATGACGGTAAACATCTTGAGATTGGAAGGAAGGAAGAAGCGATTTCCATGGTTGCGATCACGGGTGAATCCGCTTTAGTCCCGCAAATGAGAGACGATCGTACCTTTTCATCTCTTGAGAGCTGGTTCGAAATGGCAAAATCAGACACATCGCGGAAGCAACCGCATTTATTACAACTTGGACAAATTTCGCAAGTTGAACCGATTAGAAATGCTATCATAAATCGTACAAGGAATCGACGAAGCGGAAAATGTCCTTATGGCGTTCATGGAGTAACGAGAGATTCCAAGGATGAATTACCATGCTGTTGCATTTTGTCAACAGAAGATGCCGTAAAGCTTATTGAGCCTATCCTGCCAAGCGCTGTAGCGACTTGCTTGGTCATTCCAATCGTTGCTGAAAATGCTATTAATCTCAAAAAAGCACCATTAGCAATGATGTGCCTTACATGGGATCAATCCGTTGCAGTCAGTGCAATGGAGCTTGACTTTTGTTCCATGTTAGCAATTCACCTCGCAGGTCTAGCTTGTCAGGAACAAGCTTCTGTTATCAGCAATGGTCAATTAAACCTTATTCGGATCATGCAACACGAATTACGTACTCCATTAAATGGAATAATGGGCGTTTCAGAAGGCCTTCGGGATGGCAAAGATGAAGCATTTTTCGGAAAGGAGACAAAAGCCAAATGGTCAGCAAATCTTGAGCTTGAACCCGGAATGATGGCAAGGAGAAGTATCGGTGATCCGACAACACCTCTTTCAGCCGGATCGAAAAGGTCTGAAGGAAATGAGGTAATCAAAGCGGCAAGGGTTTTGGCTCCTCAACTGGAATCAATTCATGTTTCCAGTATGATGCTAAAAACGATTCTAGACGACATTCTGACCTTGGATAACATGTTCGATGGTTCAAGCGGAGCAAGAAAACAAAAGCCTGAAATGCGCAACAGAGATTCTTTCAGATTGTTTGAATTTGCTGAAGTGATTGAAAGTGCTTGTCGGGAAGAACTTCGATATTCAGATCTACAAGCGATGCGGATCTTCCGAGCCGTCAATACAGGAGGTTCTTCGGCCACGCCTTCGGAAAGAACAAAGACCCCAACATCAGGCTTACGAGGTACTACTTTAGCAGCAACTGCCGGATTGATGGAATCAGCGGAAAGACAGGAGGCAAATGACCTGATTGACAGCGAAGATCCAAACACGCCAACACATTCTTCTGTGTCGCCCGAATCTCATTTACAGCCAGAATTGCTTTCGGGTAACCTTACCATGATCACTCTACCGCCGTCTATCACTGTCAAAATCGATGAAAAATTAACAAATACACCGATTGGAAATAGGGAAAAGTTACACAAGATCGTGGGAAGGTTAGTGAGCAACGCAATCCGATTTACACCACAATCAGGCTTAGTAGATGTTGAAGTACGTCTATCGTCTTCTTCACATTTGACTCATCACGTTGAGGAGGTACAGAAAGAGGGTCTTGCGCAGAATAAGAACGGAGAAACATCCACTTCTATTTGCTCTTTGCCGGGAGAGGGGATAAAGCTTCTAGAAAGGATATCTGTGGATACCTATTGGATTCAATTACTCGTGAAGGATTCGGGTATTGGTATGCGAGATGATTTCCTACAAGATAGCTACCTGAAACCGTTTACAAAAGCAGACGGTTTCACTCAGGGTATCGGATTGGGGTCTACTGTTGCGTTTGCGTTGATCAAATCTATGGGCGGTGCATATACTATTCAAAGTAGGATCGACAAAGGCACAGAAGTGAACGTGTTCTTACCCTTTTCAAAGAATGGCAAGACTTTCACCAATCCGAATCCTGAGAACGAACTTAAAGTTGAAAAAGATCATCAAAAAAGCATCTTTACCACCGCGATCTTTGTCGGATTTGAAAGTGAACCAGGAACGAAGCATGTCAGTGCAATTCTGCAAAATATCATGGAAAAGAACGGAGTGCAATGTATACAGGAAGGAAGCCGGCCATCTGGAGGGATAAGGCGGACTAATAGCAGATCTCCCCCTCAAATGAAGGATCGCCGATTATACGTCATTCACGAAAATGCACTTTCCGCATCTAAGGCCCAATTGCCTTCAGATCTTGGTCAGTCAAACGTATATTCGATCGTTATTACTCGAAATGCGCTCAGACTAAAGCCAGAACCTGAATCGATGATGCTCGTGAGAAGTGGACCACACGTTTTACTCATTCCCCCTTTTGGTCCCTCTACTTGGGATATGTTGGAACAATTACTGAAAGTTCCTATGGATACGAGCATTAGTAGAAATGGAGCATTCGAGCTTGCACAGGCGCCCACAAACATAGATCTTTCCGGTACAAATCGGCCAATTGTGGATAAAGCAGCTCTACCATCGGCGGAAGAAGAACAGGGAGATTATTTCTCACAATCTACACCGGTGGCTGAAACAGATCAATCTCGAGACAGTCCTGTAGAAGAAGGAGTCTCCCCTTTCTCCACACTTACAACGCCTCGAGCCAATGCACAATCTTCTCCCTCAGGCACTGTACCTGAAAAGAATCCGGATCGCAAACTTCCCGCGATCGTGAAAGCCATCAAAACGCCATTTTCTTTCTCCGTTCTTGCCGTTGAAGACAATCCGATCAATATGCGTTTGCTCACTACGGTGTTGCGTAAGCTTAAAATTCCATTTACAGAAGCAAAAGATGGGGTAGAAGCTGTTGAGAAGTTTAAATCGTACAAACCATCAGTAGTCTTGTTGGACATATCTTTGCCTTTGATGGATGGCTTTGATGCTTGCATAGCCATGCGAAAGTACGATTTACCCATTCGACCTAAAATCATCGCGATCACCGCCATGAGTACTGAGGAAGATAAATATCGTGGCCTACAAATTTGCGGAATGGACGAATGGCAAACAAAGCCTGTAAGCCTTAATATGCTAAAAGCCAGAATCGCCGAATTGCGCCAGGAACATGAAGACTCGACAAAGTGAGGAGAAGAGCAACAATTCATACAACATCATTTATATTTTTAGTCCCCGTTTCATTTGGTTCACCTGTCGTCTTATCTGTAATTTTAATGACTCTTTGGCAATAGTTGACGTGAATGACATTTATCTGCAAGTCAGCCGTTGGACTGGGCTACTTTGTTTAAAGTCTTGATTTAATGTTGGTAGGATCGATATCCACAATCATAGGTCTGGTCATCGATATAGCAAAGCGGTCAGATATGCAGATTTTTGAAGAATTGTCAGCCATACTCACAAATTTTTTACAGAGTACTTTAGTCCAACTTGTAGCCAAGCAGGTGATTGGTATCCCAGCCAACGCATCACAGTTAAGATGGGTAATTTTATGACGGATTCAGCCACGAGCATTTTCGTATTCATCTCTACCAAAGCAGCATTGAGTAGAAGCGTTTGGGAATGTCCTTCTGCTCTTTTGTCCCACGTTTGCAAATGTGTACCGTATGCCTCTGTTCGATGGGAAAAGATGAGTGAATGTTCATCAAGTTGGTACACGGCACGTTTCTATACTCACCATGAATATGACCGAAGCAGTGCAACAATGGTCTCAACTTCCCCTGTTCTAGCTGTTCTGTTAACTCTTCACATCCTACATGCGTTTTCCCATCTGTAATCACGTCTAATCGGCCAAGTCGATGAGGCGGTGTATGTGTGAGAAGGATGTCGGAGTTGCTTACACGATTGTATAGTTCTTTTGCTTCTTGACCTCGTTTATAATTCCAAGCCCAACCACCAAATTCAGGTGACCAAGGACTTCCATATAATGTCCAATTCTTTTCACCGATTGAAAATTCTATCTGTTCATCCTCAACGTATTTATTGCGTCCATTAGGCTTTGACTGTGATTCAAATCGAGTGATTGCTTGTTGAATTTGATCTGGGCTAGCATGAGTGAAGCCCAATTTTGCATGGATATTCTTACCCTTTTCTGTGTACCAACTTTTTCTATCATCTAACCCGAAATCATGATTACCTCCGATGATGAACTTGTAGCGGTGAGGTAGTGATCTGCAAATATGATGTCAGCGCACTTGATTCGAAACTGGTAATGCATCTATTCAACTCACCCTAACCATGCAAGTTGTTCTTCAAATGCTTTTGTTCCTCCAATATCTGTTAGATCACCAGAATGCAAAAGGACATCCTATCAAAAGGACGAGGTCAGTAGGAGGCACTGCGGTCATGCTTGCAATCCACTTACTCCTTCTGGTACTTTTGGTTGCGTGCTATGTGTATCACTAATCACGATAAAGCGTACAAAACCTTCCGGTTTAGCCGGAGGATTATTGTTATCATATTGACTGTGCCATTGAATCTGATTATCGGAAGTGGAAGGCATTTTAGAAGATCAATCTCAGATTTGTGTTGTTGACGTCAAAAGAATGTGAGTTCGGATGAATGCTGCATGGCAGGCTTAGTGCAGGCCGGAACGGTAAGGTGAATCCGCGTCTGATTAAGAAGGCGTGGGGGGAATGATGCATTAAACGCCAAACCTGCAAGGCGTGTATTAGACAAGCAACATAAGCCAACCGGTCCGATAAAAGGAGGCGAGTTATACGTAAGAACGTGTCTTAAATGCACCTTATCCGCGCCCCACAGATCCCGAGAAAAAAGAGAGGGGAGCATTCATCCAAATCACATCCTTATTTCTCATCCCTTTAGATTGTTTACCATCACCTATCATTGCTCATACACGATGGCAGTTGCTGTGGAAACACAACAGAGAACGGTCCCATTGAATGGAATGGATGATTCTCCAACTCACACGACAGGATCAAATATCAATTTGATGGCTGTCTTACATGGCCCAAATGATTTACGTATAGAAGAAAGAGTAACATCTGCTCCTTTACAAGATGAAGTACAAATCCATATTCGTGCAACAGGATTATGCGGAAGTGATCTTCATTATTATTGTCATGGAAAGAATGGTCAATTTGCACTTCAACATCCAATGTGTTTAGGACATGAATCAGTTGGTGAAATTGTCGCTTTTGGACCAAGTTCAGCAAAAAGCAAACAACTCAAACTTCAACAACGTATAGCAATCGAACCAGGTCGTAATTGTGAACAATGTTCTTATTGTCAATCGGGAAAGTATAACCTATGCAAAAATATGCGTTTTGCTTCAAGCGCTAAAACTGCTCCTCATTTACACGGAACATTGCAACGTTTTATCAATTGGCCAACAAGATTATGTCATCCTTTACCCGATCATGTTGATATGCATTCAGCAGCGTTGGCAGAACCTTTGGCTGTCGTTTTGCAGGCATTCAAACGTTCAAGATTCGTTAAAGGTCAATCTGTTTTGGTGATCGGAGCAGGTGCTGTAGGACTATTAGCATGTGCGGCATCTAAACATTTCCAAGCTTGCAATACGTCAGCGATTGATGTTTCACAAAATCGTTTGGACTTGGCTAGCAGTTTAGGTTGGTGTGATTCCACTTATCTTAACACCAATGCCAATCAATTCGCCGATGAAAAGGAACTGGTACAACATATCAAATCGACCCTTGAGGGAATCGATCAAGATGGTTTTGATGTAGTGTATGAATGTACAGGAGTGCCAACTTGTGTTCGTTCTGCTATTCATGCTGCCAAACCTGGAGGTGTAGTTTGTATGATCGGAATGGGTCATCCAACAATGACTTTACCAATGGATGCTGCAGCATTACGTGAAGTGGATATTGTGGGTGTATTCCGTTATGCAAACATGTTTCCACAAGCCATTGAACTTTTATCCAATAGTCCAGTAATGGCTTCTTTGCATAATGGTAAACCAATCGTTCAAGCAATCCTTTCACACAAATTCCCACTTTCAAAAGCAGATCAAGCATTCGAAACAATGAAAGCTGGAGTATCTGCGGATGGAAAAGGTGTGATAAAAGCAATGGTTGTAGACGAGTGATGATCAATAGAGCATATCGATAGATTTTCCATTCTGTCACCATTTATGTACAATATGATGATTATTACGCCGCGAAGAAGAAGAATACATATATTTTATTGTTTTTGCTATATACGATATGATACAAAGACTTAATCGAACCCATTCACGGCTACTATTGCTTCCCACAATTCATCCTCAGCGAAAAGAAGCATTCGATAGCGATCTGGGCATGTGGAATCATTTCCTCCGCTAACTTTGCCGGCCCAACAGAAATTGGCCACACCGTGACCGTCTGGTAGTCGAATTTTGCCGATGAGTCTGCCGATAGGTTTTTGATTTGATTGTGTGTGTGCTTTTGAGAATGTTGACCAATCGATCGCATAAGCATGTACGCCATCGCTATGACCAGCCCAAACGTTACCTTTTTCATCCGGATGAATGCCATCAGGAGCGCCAGAGCAAGAAGAATGAGCCACTAATTGACGTCTTTCAACGTCCACGAAAGGATGATCAGGTGAGCATTTGTCTTTTTGATAGTTGACTGGATATGCATAAATGCATGCAGGTTTGCCTTTATCACAAACGAAATGCGCTGACAATTTGCCTGATTTGGGGCAACGAAGATGCTTGAAATTCAAGCGACCAGTGTCAGTAGTGACCAGAGCACCAACGCCTGATGTTGATGGGTAGTTGGGATCAGGTACAAATGTACATCCATTCGGTTTGACGTAATCGGAATCCAATAACGTAACTTTTCCCGACTTGGGCTGCCAGCAATACACACCATTTGGAGCGTATGCATGTTCGCCCGTTTGAATATCATGTCCACGTTTGAACAATTGTTCGACACCATAATCCGGATCAGTGAAGAAAACAGCGCCAGATTGTTGATGAACGACAACATCATTCAAGCTTGAGAATCGTTTGCCTTCGAACGAGTCCACCGTGGAAGATGTAGAATAATTCTTTGGATCATATACGACCAGAGCAGAATGTACGTATGCTTGTGTTGGATCTTGAACTGCGGTCAAATCATGTTTGCCTTGCTCGCACCACAGCACGCCTTCTCTTCCATCATCGAGAGTCCAACGGGTTGCTCCGTTTGGCATGATCATATCTTTTCCCAAAGACTCTCTGACTGTGATTTGACTCCATATATGCTCTTGCATATGAACACTTGGCTCACCGGGGTAGACTGGATCGTTGGCTTTGGGCCTAGGCAAAGCATTGATGGGAAGATGTACAACGCATGCATATTGATCGTTCTCTTTGCCTTTTCTCTCGTACCTGTTTGAAGATAAAATTACTGTATTTGAATCGGATAGGTAGATTCCTGCTTCATGGAATAAAGCCTTTCCGTCTTGTGTCTTTAGCAACTTTCGCAGATGTGGTCGTTGTCCGATCAATCCTGCGAATGTGTCTGATAAAACTTCAAATCGAGCACCATCTTTGCTTCCATTACTCATTTCTGTTTGAGCGATAAACGTGGTAGATTGTTTGGGAGATGATGTTCTACTCGTTGGAGAAGTAATCGTACCGAGATGTGAGGATAAGATTGTTGTACTCATTCTTGATTGTGTTTTGATAGAAGATGATTGTGAGAATGATGAAGAAGGATCATGAAAGTTGTTTACCGAATGAGCAGGAGGAGGGCTAAAAGAATCCCTATAAGATCGGAGATGAAGTGTCATTGTGTTGTACTGGAGGGTTTGTTTGAGTCCGGTCCTTAATGGTTGTTGTTAGAGAAGAGAAAACCAACAAAAGATTGCAGTATGAATGCGAAAAGAGGCGTACCAATTCTATACAGCCTTTACGCCTAAGATTGCAGAGTTAAAAAAACAAGATTGCCGAACACACAGACACAAACTACTTAGAGTAGTTCTGCATTCATCGGCCAAATGTCAGTGTATTAGGTACAATACCCCACAGCTCTTCTTCAGCCCGATTTAACACACAAACGCCGTGTCGTGCCTTGCCCTGCAAAACACAATTAATCATTGAACACCGCCGGCATAATTGCATGCACAAGCGTGTGCAATAGGATGTTCCGGTCCGTACTGCATTGAAGCTGATGACAGCGTGAAACCTGTGTCTTTCACCCGGACCGGAAGGGATGCCATCAAGCCTCGTCATTGTGCAACATAAGGAGTGGCGCTCCAGGGTCAATGATGGCACAAATCAAAGCGCGGGGTATACGCTCGCTTGATTAAGAGAAGCAGGACGTCATGCTGTGAGTTGAGCGCTTGCAATGCTTAGTACAACGATCAGAGCCATTCAATATGATCCTAAATGATATCATTTGTCGATTACGAAAAGCACAATAGATGATAATACAAGAATTGAAAAAAGAAGTGGAAACCCAATGATTAAGAAGAAACTACATCGTAAAACTCATTATTAAATCTTTTGATCCATATCTGAATCACCCTCTTGACCTTGACCATTTGGCATTTCAACGGCAGCTTGTTTATTTCTTGCTCCTCCTTCCATACGATCAATATGCCAACCATCAACGGCAAACGCTTCATCCATCTCTTCTAATGATTTGCGTGCAGTTTCAGGCAAGAAGAAAGCGATGATTGGTAGCCAAGCAGCATTAAGAATGGCAAAGATGATGTAAAATTTGTAACGAATATTCGTGATAGCGATAGGTGTGAATTTGACAACGGCAAAGTTGCAAATCCAATTAGAGGCAGTTGAAAGTGCACTACCTTTTGTACGAATGCTGAGCGGTAAAACTTCTGATGGAATAAGCCAAACCGTTGCTTGGAATCCAATACTGAAGAACAGTTCAAAAATGAACAGCATCGCACTGGCAGCACGACCATACACAGCATCTGCGCCTGGCTGTTGAGTTTTATATACCAAACCGGATTGCACTGCCATGACAGCAGACATACCGGCAATGCATGGAATGAGCAACTTCTTACGACCGACGTTATCGATCAAAAAGAATGAAATCGTTGAGCCCAAGATTAAACACATATTCAAACCGCCGGCAAGCAAAGCTGATTGTTTGTTATCCAATCCGATACTTTGCTGGAATAGTGTACTGGAGTAATAAATCAATCCGTTGATACCACCAAGTTGTTGTGCAGCTTGAATGAAGCAGGCCAACAGCAATCTTCTTCTGGTACGCAAAGAGTCATCCTTCATACCTCCTCCGGGCGCGATCAATCTTGACCAACCGCTTACTTTTTCTGCTTCATGTTGTTCATGCTCCAAAGCAGATTGAATTGCAGTTAATTGACTTTGAACTTGGAAAGAATCTTTTGGTTCGTCCAGCAAACGTTCCAAAACAGCAGCTGCATCTTCGATTCTTCCTTTTTTGACCAGCCAACGGGGTGTATCGGGAATGATTAGTGCGATTAATGCGATGATCACGATGAAAACACATTGAAGTGCGATTGGCACTCGCCAGGCAACTGCTTTAGCCGAAACGCTTGAGCTGTAGTTGAAACCGTAATCGATCCAATAACTTAAAACGATACCAATGTTCAACACAGTCAAATCAATTGCCACCAATTTACCTCTTGAGATTGCTGGACTTGTTTCTGCTTGTAAGATTGGAACTGTTGCATTAATGATTCCCATTCCGACACCACAAATGATTCTTCCTGCGATCATTGTACCGACATCCGAGGCGGCAGCTTGAATGATAGCACCAACGATCATCCACATTGAACCAATGATAATCGTACCACGACGACCCAAATAATCACCGATGATAAAAGTGGATAGAGCACCAAAGAAACAACCAATTTCATATAAACTGACGATATTACTGATCGTGTTATCATCTGGTTTGTTGAATGTGCTTTGAAACGAAGGCGTGTTTACCAAACCACCAAAGACACCATTGTCATAACCGACCAATAAGAAACCTGTTGCACAACATGCAGTGATGAATGCGAGCAAGGTTGATCCTGATAGACCGACATCGTATCCGAAGATACCGTTGCTAATACGAGTTGCCTTGTAAGACATAATGTGTGATGAGAGTGAGAGACACAAAAGAGGGAACAGCCAAGACAGGCAAAAGGTGTTAGAGGGAGAAGGAAATGAATCCTGTCATCTGGTCGTCCTTTATAAGGTTATTTGAGAATGTTGGTGGTTGTTGTGTTAGATGCACAAAACGATTAGGGACCGGATTTAATGTCAAACAAGCGTACCTGCAGAGTCACAGTGTGTTGGCTTATGTTTTCATCATAGACGCGTGGCGTGATGCCTTTTCAGTGCAAGATTACCTGATACCCGATTTTCATTGCAGAAAACACTCCACTTGTACCGTAATCTGAGTTGGGAAGAGAAAAGAAGAATGTCAATATGAATTCTATTAGGAACGAACATACGAAAAACGCAACAAAATAAAGAAGCCACAGCTCTCGCACGAAAAGCGCAAATGCACCGGGGCCCCACAAAATGATGAATTGCTCTTAGCTACTTTTCACTACGGTCCGGATAAAATTGACTGACATTTCTGGCATTCGGATCCGTCGGCACGTCCATCTCAACTCATTTCGGTATATCCAACATCCACACAAGAAAGAAAACGTTTTGATTATGTCATTTCATCACTATACAAAGGTAAATATAAGCATGGCATCTTCAGCCACGACCAACGAATGGCATATTAGTCGCCATGATCGTTTGATTGAGAACGTTAACTTCTAACGGTAAGCTTGCAAGATAAACAACAGATTGTGCTGCATAACGAACGTCCATCATATCTTCCTTTTTGATCGATCCATCTGCTTGCGGATGGCCTGTTCCAATCGATGCACTTAATGAGCTGATCGCATTACCGATATCAATTTGTGTACATGCGATACGATATTGACGTCCATCCAAAGCGGTTGATTTTGTCAATCCTGTGATTGCGTGTTTTGACAATGTATAAGGTGCAGAATTTGGACGAGGTGACATGGATGAAATAGATCCATTGTTGATGATTCTACCTCCTTGTGGGTTTTGCTTTTTCATATACTTGAACGCTAAGCTTGTACATTCAAACGGAACGCTAATGTTGATATGCAACAACTTTTGAAAAGCCTCAAAATCAATTTCATCAATCGGTCCATTCGGTTGAGCAATACCGGCATTATTGAATAAAAGGTCAATCCTTCCAAACGTGTTGAATGCAGATTCAAACACTTTTTCTGACGCTCCCGGTTGCGTCAAATCACCTGAAACGATCAATGTTTTCCCTTCTGCTTCTGTTGCCTTTTCAATCATTTTTGCAGTTTCTTTTAATTCGTCTTCACGTCTTCCACTTAACACACACGTCCAACCTGCTTCGGCCAATGCGATCGCCGTTGCACGACCGATGCCGGATGATGCACCTGTGATTACTGCCACGCCCGGTGTTGTCATTTCGAGCTTGAGTGATGATGATGAAGAAGATGTCATTTTTAAGTGATGGTTGGGAGTACAATCTTGGATGAATGCGTTTCTTATATGTGTGTACCTGCATTGCCCAGTGCTTCCTTCCTTTGTTCCGGTCCGGTTTGAATTTGACTACGCCCACAAAGTGCAGCGCCCACACCGTCGTACGCTTTGTGTGAGTGGGGGACGTGCTGTAATGCATATATTTGCCAGCACAAGATTGACTCATTTCTTCTCACTACCATCACTTCTTCTCTTCAACAATGGCTAATTCTTCTATTCCACCTTTCGGTGCAATCGCACTCCTTCCGCTCGATAGCGCAACAGCAAAAGCAGGTTTGCAATCATTCAAAGATCGTATCAAAAAAGATGCACCAAATGTAAAGATTCAATCAGGCGCTGATGAAATCAACGAAGAAACAAGAGCAATCATTTGGTTAGACAATAGTGCAAATCAAAAAGATTTATTGGAAAGCACATTAGCAAAACATAAACAAATCGGTTGGATTCAATTACCAATGGCAGGTATTACAGCTTATGCTCCTTTAGCACAAAAGTACTCTGATCGTACTTGGACATCAGCAAAAGGTGCTTATTCTAGACCTGTGGCTGAACATGCATTGATGCTCGCTTTGGCTTTGTTGCGTAACATTCCTTTACGTACACATGCAACTGCTTGGGGTCCTCCAAAAGCATTGTCATTGTACAATACAAACGTATTGATCTTGGGCGCAGGTGGAATTGCCATCGAATTATTGGCTTTGTTGGCCCCGTTCAAGGTGAATGCCACAATCTTACGCCGAAAAGCAGAACCGTTGAAAAAAGAAGAAATTCCAGTAGGATGGAAAGGTGATATTCAAGTTGGCTCTTTATCTGATTTGGATAAACATGTTGTCAACACGGACGCAATCTTTGTTACATGTGCACTTACACCTGAAACAGAAGGTTGTTTAAACAAAACACAATTTGATAAAATCACATCCAAACAAGCTATCGTCGTCAACGTAGCACGCGGTGAAATTATCCGACAAGATGATTTGGTAGATGCTGTTCGTAAAGGTAAACTCTTTGGAGCAGGTTTGGATGTTACCGCTCCTGAGCCTTTACCAGAAGGGCATGTTTTGTGGAATTTGGAGCTCGATCAAGCGGATAGTGAGGTAAAAGATAATCAAGGCGGTGCAAAGCGTGCCAATGTGATCATCACGCCTCACGTAGCCAATACCGTTCAAACACTTGTTCCTTTGTTCAGTGATCGTATTATCAACAATGTTCAATTATGGCAAAAGCAAAGCAAAGGTGACTCATTTGAAGGTCTTGTTGATCCATCCGCTGGTTATTAAGTTGAATCCTTTCTCGTAAGATCTGTATATACCATCTCGAATGTGAGTCAGTCAATAGAAATGAATGAAATCCGTTGGCGCTTTTGATGCTTGAATCGGGGGTGGAGAGAGTGACTCCGGACTGCTGTAGTGCCTTGAACCGGTTGCAAAAAGCCACGCGACAGGCGAAGGAATGAATGACATGAACGCTAAACACAAATTAAAGCTCGGGCACGTTGACATGTTGGTCATTATAGCAACCCATCATCTTCATCCAAAATGACTGAACAGGCATCAACAACTCCCTCACTTGATCCTACTCCATCAATCGCTCAGAATGCTGCTCCAAGCTTATTCAACTTGCAAGGCAAACATGCTTTGATCACAGGTGCAACGAGAGGAATTGGTGCTGCTTGCGCTTTAGCATTGGCACAAGCTGGTGTACGTTGTTGTCTGGTGGTCAGACCTGGAACTCAAACAGAAGCCGTTTTAAAACCTTTACCAGGATCAAATCATACAACAGTTGAAGCTGATTTGAGCGATATGCAACAAGTCAAAAGTATTTTTGATCGTGCTCTTCCTTTGTTGGAAAACAAGATTGATATTTTAGTAAATTGTGGTGGAATTCAACGTAGAAGTCCAGCAGTTGATTTTGCAGAACAAGATTGGAATGATGTAATCAATGTCAACCTTAACAGCGTCTTCTTTCTTTGTCAAGCTGCCGGTAAACACATGATTCCAAAAAGGCAAGGAAAGATTATAAACTTTTGCAGTTTATTATCTTATCAAGGTGGTTTAACCGTTCCGGCTTATGCATCAGCCAAAGCTGCAGTTGCAAATCTTACTCGATCACTTTCCAACGAATGGAGTAAACATAATATCAACGTTAATGGAATAACACCGGGTTACATTGCAACAGATATGAATGAGAAACTACTAGCTGACCCAGTTCGTCTTCGTCAAATTTCTGAACGTATTCCGGCTGGCAGATGGGGAAACCCGGATGATTTTGCCGGTCCAATCTTATTCTTAGCAAGTGAGGCAAGCAAGTATATCTCTGGTGAAGTTTTAGTTGTTGACGGTGGCTGGATGGGCCGTTGAAGTCGATTTCGAAAATAGAACAAGTCGATCCGAAAGAGGGTGGACAAAAACGAATTGATTTTACAATCTTGTCTATAATTCACTACCATTTTTGATCGTACAAAAGCGTGTTGCTCTTAATCTGTATCACCATCGCCATTGAGTATATGGCTTCGTAGACACGGGCAATACCATAAGCCTTTCTGCTATCCCCTCTGGCTGACTGAATTTTGAGGTGCTTTCTTAAAAACGGAGTAGAGTTCCTGCAGGAACGATTCACATTTCCGGCGGGCGGATAGACAGGAAGAACGATGATGGTAGCATTTCGCTCGTTAGCAATTCGAGGAAGTCAGCGCGAACAGCTAACATGGATATCAAAAGTGACGCATCAACTTCCGTTTGAGAAGATCGATCAAAGATCTAACCTGATTGCCGATTGACTAATTCAAGAAATAACGCATTCACACCTCTGCATGATGGTAGATGATTGTTCATTGTATGTCAGATGTCCTACAATTCTCGTATTACTTCATGTTGCTCATGATTTGATGATCATTTCTTGTCTTCGATTGGGAAATCGGAGCCGGTACGATCTTTCCATTGAGAGCGAATTTGATCTGCAATCAAGTTATCTTTTGCTTGTTCGGTTGCGGTTTCGTTATCTTGTGGACCTTGATTCATTACACGTTCTTGGAACATATCAATACCTTTGTCAAGGTAATCTTCTTTCTTTTCACCTTCCGCACCACCTCCACCTGCATTGTTGATGGCATTACCGATGCCTGATTTGTCGTTCTGAGAGGATGAAGAAGGTCAGCTTGAGCAAAGTCATCAAAGTGGCAATCTTCTACTCACCTTCAAAAAGTTGTTAACGGCGTCCATTTTGTCAGATGACGGTTATGAGACTAAAATCATGTTCTGAGGTACATCTTTTTATATCTTGTCATCCTTCTCGAATGCAACTGTCATTGATCGGGTGATAGGTCGTTTGATACTTCTCTTCCTCTCTCCCATTGCCCTTTTTAATATACGTCAAATGTTGCCAATTACGTTTTGTTATCACACGCTAAAATATATCAAAGTAGAAATCATTAGCGTTTGTGTATTGTCATACTTGCATGCTACTTGCATGTATGCATTGTATGACATGCTAAAACACTGCCACCAACTTCAACTTGTGGAGGAATCCCCTCCTGACCTTCACTACTTGTCATCCTCGCACAGACAAACACAAACGATCATTCTTTTAATCTTGTCATCCTCGCACAGACAAAACGGTCATCCGTTCTTTTGTGCTTTTTTCGCCCGCTATGCCGCTTTCTTTCTTTATCTTGAAATCCTCCGAAAATTTTCGGCTTTCGCGATCGCCAAGCCCATCGTTCAACGCTCTCCGCTCCAAATCCAATGGTGATTTTAGCTTAGCAAAGAATGAGATTTCTTCTTTTCATCACCAGAGAGCAAAAAGAGCCTTAGGCACCGACGTGTAAAGTGATCTTTTCGCGCAAAGTCTTTTGCTGTTGAATATTAGTGAAAAGAGTTCAACGTTCCTTCAGCATTCGGATGATCAATTTCGCATTTGTGCTCAGAGCGGATGACGTGCGGGGTGATCCGTTGAGGTTCATGCTATCACCCTTTCCCCTTCTCTTTGTGGGGACGGTACGCGCAGCGCTTCGACCATGTATCATTTCAAGCGGAGTTTCAACCCGTTGGCGTTTACAACGGCTCAAAATATTGGGCAAAAAGATGTAGAACCGGAGGGAAGTTGTGCATGTTTTTGTTTTCAATCGGAGTTTCTGAGTTGTTTTGAATGAATTGCACCGTTATTGCTCACTTCTTATCTTCCAATTCGATCCACCGGAAACTGTGCTTTGGATCAACTCTCTCTCCTTCTTCTTCCAAATCATCATGATAGTAGCGCAAAAGACGCAATGTTTGGAACTTTTTGGCAAGAATCTAATCAAACATTTCAAATTGATGAATCGTCAACGTACTTCCTCTACGTTGCTTGTTGGAGAATGATCTATTTTGGATTTTGGGCAGGATGGTTTTTGGTCGTACTCATTCTGCACATCTTTTTGACTACTCCCAATAAACGTAAAACGTCAATTTATCGTTTACACTTGATCATCTTACCGCTCACGATCATCTTCAATATCGATCAAATCATATTTTGGTACAAGTCCTTCAGCTACGCTTGGCTCGAACCAGGCAAGGGGCTTGGAAACAAGGCTACAGTGAATTATTTGATAATTACGAATGAATTGCTGATACATCTTCTGCCTTTGCTGGCAGAATCGACGCTCTTACTTCAAATCGCTTCCTTTTTTCCTCGACCACTCTATTCGACTCGGTTTCGATTTGGAATCTTTACACCTTTTGCATCTTTGTTAGCAGCTCGCTTGACACTCAGCATTGTCAGTGCAACATTTGTCATTCGAGCTTGGAACACAACAGAAACAGTTTCCAACGATCCTTTTCCAGTGATCAAGTACACCCAATGGTTGGAGAAAGCTCGAATTACTGCTTTGAACGAATATATTTTGGGTATGGTTTATAATTCGTCTGCATCTGCATTTCTACTGTACAAAGCGTACAACTTTGTTCGTTCAAGCAAAATCTCAAATCGTTCTCCGATCGAACGAAAATTACGATTTTTAACGGAGGCTATCTTTATGTGCTTCTTGCCTCCTGCCGCATTAACGATCGCAGGAGTTTCGACGAGAATAAAACATTCTTCCGTTATGAGTACACGACTTTATCAACAACAACAGATCACTTCTGGACTCGTCAATGCTTCTGTACTTTTTGCTCTTCTTGCAACGACTTGGTCAAGCGTACGCACATTTGCAGACGAAAAGATTGCAAGTCAAAGATACGCACAAAATGAACGGGAAAGCATTATATTGGTTGGAAGTGATATCGATAGTGCATCAAGCAATAATCACATCTTTATGGCCCACAACAATCTTTCGGTAATGAGGCATGCTTGAAGGAGCGAAACTCCGACAGATACAATCGTATCACTTTCTCACCTTCGCAATATGCTGGACATGAAGCTGACTGTGAAAATGGAATTGTCACTGTGCCAAGGCCTCATTTCGACGTTGATGTCACATCACCTTGAACATTCGGCCTCCGTGAAATTACGGACGCCGCATACATTCAGGGGTTATGGTTCCGTGTGCGATTCATTGCTCCTCATCAAACTTCTTTTCGGCTTGCTTTGTCTTTAAATGAAGTTTTCTTGTACGCACAGACGATTTTGTAAACATTCCGAAATTCCAGTTTGGCGTTGTACTTTATTCTTTTGCTTGTCTTTTACCACCATCATCATCATCAATCTCTATTATTAACAACAATGAATACGTTTTTTAATACTACAGATCATCTTTTTCACATCGATCCTGTCGAAGTTTACGATTTACACAAATGCGTTTGGCGTTTGGTGTGCAATTCAAGTTGGCTTGGAACGTTTACGATTACGTTTATCCTGTTCATCTTGCTCTCAACGAGAAGACAAAGAAGATCGATCTTGTTTTCGATTCAATGCGCTTTGATTATTCTAGCAATTGCATACAATTCAAGTGCTTTGGCAAATGCTGATCTACGTTTCAAGATGGCTTGGATCAAAGAAGAAAATCGAAGCAAGTATTGGAGCATCGCTCGATTGGACGTAGCAAATTTGAGCTTAGAACATTGGATCACAATCCTGGCAGATGGAAGTTTACTCTTTCACATCATACCAACGTTTTTTCCTGCCAAGCACTTTAACAAACAACAACGATTGATTTACATGTTTCCATTCTTGATCATCATGACGGCTAGAGTTGCACTCACGATTGCCAACTCATACTTCACCTGGGCATCCGAAAAAGAGATCGAATGGGTTCCAAATCGCTCGATTCCATTGCCAAGTGGCACACGATGGGAAAGTCCGATGGACAATACGGCAAAAGCTGAATATGTTCTCGCGGGTATTTATGGGATCTTAATTTCGGCTTTCTTGCTCTTCAAATCTTACACAATCTCTGAAGCGAAATCAAAGATCGACAACGAAGTTTCTGGACCAGTTTACCCGGTCAATATTGCTTTCAAGACTGCAAAGATGGTTCAAGAAGCTGTACTAATGTGTTACACACTACCAATCGCTTTTCGATTCGTCGTTGTTGGACTCTTGGATTGTTCGCACAAATATTGTTATGACCGCGAAATAAGTTTGACGATCATCAATACTTCAGTCATTTGTTCAATCTTTGCAACTACATGGTCAACAATTCGGCCAATTCGTTCAAAGGATGAAATCGAGAAAGATCGTGAAAATGCTCAACAAGATATGAACCCGGCTTACAAATCTTTTGCTTTCAGTGGCGGTGATGTTCAAGAAAGTTCAAATGCCGATACTTTGGTCAATTGATGGTCTTCACATCTTCTTCTATCGATTCTACTCATCATCTTGACTCTTCCAACTTCTTCCCTCCCTCGCAACAATGTATATAGTACGAATTGGTGATGTATTTCGAGTGGCAAAAACAGTTTTGAACGTATTAGAGAGACGCCTTCTTCGATTTCAGTTTGCGTACTGTGTACCTGATAAAATACCACAGTATGACAGATACGGCAAAGGTACCAACAATGCCCGCGCCAACGTATCCACTATTATCGTTTGCTGTTCTCCATGCCAACCACCACCTTCCCGCTAAGCCACCGTTACCCGTCTCTTCTTGTTCATCAGCAGCACGTGTGCATTGGGAACACTGTTCTCCGATCAATCCCATCAAAACGATCAAGCCAATTGCAAAAGCAACAAGAATTGAAAGCAGAGTCAGAACTAGTGAAATTCTTGATGCAGAAGCGTCTAGTGACACTCGATTAAGCTCGTTCGTCACCTTTTCTGGTTCTTCATTCTCTCGCTTTTCGTCTGGAGGCGTTTCATTGGGCTGCTCTTTTTTATCATCATCCTTGTGAATCTGTATGGGTTCTTTCTCGACATCGTTGCCTGTCGTGTTTTCCGGTTCTTGCCGCTTATCCAGAACGTTGACGGTATCTTGCAGTGCTCCATTTGACTGTATCTCTTTCTTATCTCTCCAAATCGCTAATCTTTCTCGCCATCCTGACTTCTTTGGAAGATCTGGAGCGTATGCCCAAATCATCAAACAGCTGTCCGCCGAATCGACCAGCGTCATTCCTGCAGTGAATAGCAAAGCGAGTAAGATTACACTCGCATCATTAGAGCTATCTTCGGTTCCTGCATTCTTCCTTTGTTGTTGCTGCGCAATCACAGCCACACTGAGTAATGCTATCGAACTTGCTGTATCAAACCCTAGTCCAAATAGAACCCCCACCGGATACATTTTCCAAGGTCGATCCACGCTACGCAAGATTGGCATGGCTACTCTTGTGATGATACCGTTGAAGCGGTGATTCTCTTCTCCTGGGTTGACTTCTTCATCCTTGGCTTTCTTTTTGGCAACCTGTAGCCTACGTACAGTCTTGTACAAGATGACAGCATTGATACAACCGATCAAGATCAAAAATGAGCCCGAGATCGAAGCACCAATAATTCCACCAACATTTCCAAAACCATCAAAATTGTTTGCTACTCCAGCGGAAATTGCAATGGCTACCGTTGCTGCAAAAACGATTGTCGAATGACCAAGGCTGAAGAACAGACCAACGGTAACAGGCCTACGCATACATGAGATCTGTTCATTGTCTCCGTTCGGGCTCGAGATAGTGAGCATTTGTGGAACTGATACGATTCGACGAATGGCGTTATCGATGGCTGAAATGTGATCAGCATCTAAGCCATGTCGCAAGCCAGTAGTCCAGGCAACTAAAGCCAGGCCGAGAATGCGATGTCCATCTCCCGGTCCTTTCAAGAAAACGATTGCGGTAATAATCCAGAGCAAAGCATTCACGAGAATTTCTGCCAAGATTAATAGAATCGTTCTGGCCATCAAAGATAGCTTCTTCTCGCTCCTCTTCCTCCGCTCGACCGCATCGAGCACCTCCCTTACCGCCATCATCTCGGAAAGTCTAACGGACACCAATATCTATATTTTAGTCCATGTGATGGTCATCATAAAATCAAGTAGATTGAAGAACGGTACTGGAATGAATGAATGAATGCATGCAGGTCAAAACTCTAAAAAAGGCTTGGCGCTGCAGTCGGGTAAAAAAGATAAGAGAAATACTTTTTAGCGTGATATTGAAAAAAAGGTCCCGAATTTGTATTCATTTCATTTCATTGATTTAATATACGATCTTGTATTGCAAACCATGCCAATCCAACAAATCCAATAGTCGATGAAACGAAAGAGATCCCAATCCCACCTCTGTAGATGAGTATTTTATCACAAGAGGGAAAGAATATCAGAGGTAAAAAGCCCAAAGGGTTCATCAAACAACCAAACGTTAACGGTTGAGCGACAAAATGCGGCAGATTTGGAAATGCAGTAGAAGAACACAATAAGATTGTTCCCATCATCACTTGATCAAGGTGCAATTGCATAATTCGATTGGGTGCTTTAACCTTGGCAAAATCACGTAAAATTGAAGGAAACATTTTCTGTAAAGCCAAAACCCATCCTAACAGAGCAGCCGAAGCAAGGGAGATCGCACCCCAAACTGGCATATACTCAACAGAGAGACATGTATCACCTGTTCTGATTGCTTGGATGGCCATTTGTGCTTTGTATTGAGTCAATATCCTTTGTTGTTCCATGTTCACTAGGTGTGGTATATGATGACATTGATCAAAGAAAGACGCGTGACAAATCAGAACGAACGCTTTCACACAACATAGACACACACTAGCATACTATAGTGAGGATGCTGCATACATTCTCACGGACTGCCATGGCAGAAGCATATTCATATCAAAGAGAGACTACTAGTATCCAGCCAATCGAGCGCCAACGATACCAAAATCAAGAATGGTAAATAACGAATCCAAGATTGTGATCCTGTCAGTCTTCCAACCACGCCAATGTCCAACGATCCAACGACCACTTTGTCTTGCATAAAAGAAGTTCAAAGCAGCTTGTGATAAATTTGCCAAACCTAATGCTGTCAAACAAAGAATATCAGATGATACAGCGAATTGGTGTTGAGTGGTAGTCAATCTTTGCCCGCTACTCTTGCTGCTCAACGATATTGCCAATGGAACAAATCGTAGTAGGGCCAAAATTGCATATCCTCCATTGATGCCACCTAAGTAACGCATAATATCTGCAACGCATACACACACAAGAAAAGCAACTGTCAAACATGCACCTTTATAAAATCTCATTGCCTATTCTGCTCACCTTGTGTATATTCATCACCTCCGCCTGTTCTTTTAGACGCAGTCAAAGCTGGATTGGTTAACTTTTCAATCATCAATTGCGGTCGAAAGGTAAAATTTAAGAAAGCCATAGAATGCCAAATCGCATTTCCTGCAAAAACACCGGTACGAAAACCTGGTGAGACTAAGAGCCGTAGAATGTCAGACATGATTGATCGAGAGGAGGGTTAGATGGTTGGTCGGAATGGATAAGGATATGACGGAGCATGCATGCACACAAGACAAGCCTTTAGCGCGTTCAGGGGTGAGCCCGTCAAGCCACTAAACAGGATGAAAACCGGTTCATCTCATTCCCACGGGTTACAATGGATATGATCATATGGTGGTGAGATAGGAGATGGAAGTGTAAGGCCAGCTGATGGCGTACTGAAACATAAGACAAACGATTCAGCCTAAGAGATGTAAGCTGTACAATTTGTTGGGATAACGGACGTCCCCTTCAGACCCTCACTTCCATGTCTTGGCAATGAGTAAATGGCTCAACGCGGTGATCATGCCCTTCCGATCCGTTCCGTCTGAGTTATAAATGATGCACAGCTTGAAAAAGAAGGATGTATGCGGTATTGTACGCCATATTTAGAAGTTTGAGTATTAATGTTTTCCCGCTGAACAAAAACATCACACACGTTCCAATACGCCACCAATGACAAAGATGCAGCTTTTCGCTTAATGAAGAAAGCATACACCATTGTATGAACTGCACTGTTACTGATTTTCCGACCCTTACATAGACTGTACTTTAACCCTGCGGGGTTGATGCGGGGATGCAAGCGTTTCAGTTAAGGCCGTTAACGTTCAACCTCAGCTTATGCATCTTTATGCCCCCCACGCTTATGTTTATTTCTTGGCACTTCCCAAAAAATCATTTCTATATCTAATCAAATCCAATGCCAAGAAACGCTAATCGATGTCAAATTCTGCAGAATCTTCGTTTTTGCATTGCTCATTTGATTGACAGCCTTCATGTTCCTGCCAGTGTATTCAAGCTACATTTCTCTTATATTCAGACTCCTACTTCCTACCGCAAAGCCGCAAGATAATGAACGGCATACTACACAGTTCACAGGCGGTGATCATGGCGGTGAATGCAGATTTCCACTGAGAATCTAAATGACAAATAAGCGAATTGAGGCGTTGAGAGAACCAATCGTACGGAACATTGATCAGTATAAACCCCGCTCAGGAGGAATCTACTAAAAGTCTTGGCCATTCGCTAAAAGACTTTGATCTTGCCTCCATATACCGCCTTGACCCTTTCAGAAATATATTTATATCTCGGAAATGAACGGTTTGATAGAAGATATTCATTTAATTTATGCATTAGTGTGTAGTTTAGGAGTTGATTCAAGAAAGCACCCCATGGGGTATACATAAAAGCTGGAGCATTTTGATTGGATATCGGTAAGATTGTTATTGAATTTTACAGAATAAGTGCTGTATCTTCATTCGGATCTCCTAATTTATGCGAAGTCTTGCAGAAGTAGTTCCTGCAGTGCGGAGAAAGGTACGCCGTTTTGATTATGTGCGGGGATCAGAAAATATAAAAAGGGCGTAGTACATTTCACTGAATTACCCCTCGTTCTTCATTCTCACCTTTTCCTCCTCATCCCTTACCATTATGACTTCTATTCTTCGTTCTGGTGCACAAAACTTCCGTGACCTGTTCCGATGGAAGGTCAAAACAACACATTATGACGAAAATGGTGATGAAGTGGTTACTTGGACCAAACCTTCTATGCCCCCGAACCCGATCCGTCTATTATGCATGTTGAACGCAATCGGTTGGGGTGCTTATTTGATTGATTTCACGGCTTGGACAGCAGATGCTTTTGATTTCCATGCTCTTTCCATTCAAACCACTAAACTTTCCAAACATTTCGACGTTTCCAAAACCAAAGTTACAGAGGCCATCACGTTGACCCTGCTCTTGCGTTCGGTAGGAGCTGCATTCTTTGGTGTTGCAAGCGATTACTTTGGTAGAAAGTATCCTCTCGTTTTGAACATGTGGCTATTGGGTGCTTTGCAAGTTGGTTCGATTTATTGCAGAACATTTAATGAGTTTTTGGCGGTGAGGGCACTCTTCGGTCTGTGCATGGGAGGAGTTTATGGTGGTGCAGCAGGTATGGCACTCGAAAATATTCCAGCAGAAGCTCGTGGTTTGTTTTCAGGTATCTTCCAACAAGGTTATTCGTTAGGATATGTTCTAGCTGCTTGTGTCAATCTTGGAGTTGGGGTGCAACAAACACATGGACAACGATGTTCTGGGTCGGTGCAGGATTATCGTTCTTGAGTGGTTTCTTACGTTTAGCATTCCCTGAATCAAAACAATTCATCGAAGCAAGAAAGCAAGCCGGCCGTGGAAATGGTTTGCAAAATTTCCGAAACAACTTTGGAAAGATGTTGAAAAAGGAATGGAAGGTTTGCGTTTATTCGATTATTTTGATGTCATGGTTCAATTGGTTCAGCCATAGTTCCCAAGATTCTTATACAACGTTCATGTTGGTAGGTAAAGGACTGAAACCTGACGCTGCTTCTCGCGCTTCTATTTTAATGAAAACTGGAGCTTGTGTCGGAGGAACTATATGGGGTTATTTGAGTCAAGCAATCGGTCGTCGTCGAGCAATGATTCTTGCTTCTTTGGTCTGTTGTTGTTTGATCCCTGCTTGGGTCTTACCTACTTCCGAATCTGGATTAGAAGGAGGCGGTTTTATGTTACAATTCATGGTTCAAGGAGCTTGGGGTGTCGTTCCAGTTTATTTGTCAGAAGTTTCCCCTCCTGCTTTCCGCGCAATGTTTGTTGGTTTAACCTATCAATTGGGTAACGCAATTTCTGCTCCTTCAACACAATTGATCAACGCTCTTTCCGAGAACAACTTTGTCAATTCTGCAAAGACTGGTTTGCCCGTTGAAGCTTATGGTCCTGTCATGGCAATCGCAACTGCAATCATTGCTATCGGTCTAGCAATCACTGCTTCAGTTGGACCTGAAAAGAAAGGTATCAACTTTGAGAATGCTGCTCCTGCAACTGCGGTTGAAGAAACAAATGTTGCTAAACCACAAAAAGCGGGAAGCGATATTGAACATGGTACCGTTGATGAGGGATATGAAGATGACAAGGAAAAGACTAATCAAGGAGACGTTCTTAACGTTCAACTTCGCGATGCATAAGACGTCAATTTATAAACGTTAAAGTTGCTATCCATTTGATACTCTATCCTGACATGATGATGTAATCGTAATCGCTTGCGATGCCCTGCTGACTAAAGAGTGCTTGAAAAAGACTTTGATATTAACAGATTTGTGAAAGATGGTAATAAGAGTTGACTTGTTGCAAATTGTTTGTTATTCATTTGTTCAGCCCTCGGTGCCGAATCACGGCTAAACCGTTAGCGGTCTTAGGGAGGACTCTCGGATGCACGCCAACTGCTAATTTTGAATTGGGAGCATTGATGGAATAGTGAAGCGCGTCCCTTGGAATGCAGGCGACCTTTTCTTCCTTCTTCAATGGCTTCCTCTTGAATTGGGAGATTGATCATCTGGACCTTTAAGCTTTAGTAAATTTTCATAGCTTTTCCTCCTTCTATACATTTGGTTCTTGATACGCAATTTCTCGATATAGTCTTTATCTTCTTCTGTCCCTTTACCTTCCCTAACTCTCTTACGAATCGCTGCTCGATTTATGGCAGTACTTTCAGACGATGGAGATCTAGATAGAGCAAGTTCTTTACGTCTCTTTCTACGGATAACATTCCTTGCTCTTTCATCTTCTAATCCTTTTTGGTATGTGTCAGGAGCATTCATCTTTAATTGTGCCCTTTTTAATCTTCTCTTTAGGTTATAATCTTCAGCTCGTTTTCGTGGCTTCCGCTTAGCGGTGACTTCTGTGTCAGGCTTTGATTGTGTCTTATGCTCAGTCTGCACAGCAATACTCTTGTGTGGCCGAGAAGGCTTCGGCTTGATGATTTGTGAATGAGGGACGTTTCTGAAGTAATGCGAAGTTGCTGAACTATCATCTTCATTCTCAAACGATACTTGGAGATCTTCAGGATTCATCTTCAATAAATGTTGGAAGCTGCTAAAGCTATCTGCTGGTTGTTGTTGATCCGAGACAGGCTGACGAGGAGGTGTACTTCTGCCAGGACTTCCACGTTTGTAGAGCGCTGTTATTACAGGCGAACATGAATAAACGTCAAGCATCAATATTCTACAGAGAGTAGAAAAAGCCACGAGGATGAAGAATTCCATCATTGACAAAATCAATAAAAGAGATTAAAGATATTGTAAAGAAGTAGAAGAAGGCTGACATGCTTCGAAAGAGATTTCAAAAGTGTATTTCGAAGCCAGAGAGCCCCGCGAAAGTCATATGCTACGGAAGCACGTAATATTGAATGACATATAGATTTCACGATTTCGCCTTCTTGGCCTCTCGTTTTGCTTTCTTGTATTTTAAGTCACTTATACTCAACTTCTTAACATATGCTTTCTCTTCTTCCGTGCCTTTGCCTTCACGAACGTATTTACGAATTTGTGTTCGTAATGGAGTAAAATTGTTATCACGTAAATTTTGTAAAGCCGGATTTTGTTCCCAAATCAATTGTTTTATTTTCATATTTTCTTTTCTTCGTTCATATTCTTTTCCTATTTTTGCTTTGACTTTTGGATTCGTTCGAAGCTGTTCTGCTCGCTTTTGTCTACGTTTCATATTGTATCTCATTCGCCAAGCAGGTAATTCGTTCTTTCCTTGCTCTTTGATTGAAATGGTCGGAGAACGTGTTTTTGCACAACTTTGATTTATTGAAGATGGAGTCCCAGAGGGATACTTTTCCGAATTCTCGTCGTCAGAAAGTTCAAAAGGAGGAGGCGTATTCAAATCAAGCATCAGCTTTGGCCTAGCAGTCTTGAATCCTTCCGTATTTGATAGGCTTGCGCCATTTTCATGCAAATCACCTCTTTTCTCAAGAGGGTGCAAGGCGAAAGTGTTCGCAGTGGTTACTAAAAGGGTAGCCGCGAGAAGTTCGTGTGTGCATAATAAGATCAAAAGTACTTTATTCATAATACCCGCTTACTCGATATGGCAACAAAGATGATCATTTACGAAGGATCGAGTGAGACTGACTTTTTTCCCCATAAAGATAAGGGCCTTTAAAGGATAGGAGTGCTCCGCTTTCGATCAATCTTTCATGAGAGTTTGTTGTACGCAAACAGAACTCAAATACACCAAACAACACGGAATTATAAGAGTTCAGGCTGTGTAAAAGTATACACAGGAATTAATTTGACCCTACATTTGATTGTTTGCTTTTGGCAGTCTTTGCTTTGTGGTCTTTATCTCGTTGACGTAGGCGAGCAACAAATTGGTATTCATTATCATCAGCCGTTCCCATCCGTACTTTACGTCGAAGCTCTTTTACTTTTTCATCATGTTTTCTTCTGGATACCTGATGACGACTTAGCAGTTCTGGATCTTTTTTTATTCGTTCCATTCGATTTCTACCTCTTTTTAAGTATTCTGCATATTTCGTTTGATTATTTTTACGCATGTTTGCCATCCGTCTTATATATTGTTGTGCTCTGTTTGATTGACAATATTCAGAAGCTTCTTTCCTTGGCTTATATTTGTATTTTGGAGGCAAGTGTTCCGACGTTTCTTGACCCCCTACAACAGAAGGTGAATACATATTTTGTGATTTGAAAAGGGTTGCAGTCTTTCTGAATGGTAGCTTTAATAGATCGTTGGTTGCAATATGTGTTTCAGACGGTATATACGAGACCTTGAAATCTTTATCATATACAGCTTTTTCCTTTTCCACGTCTGTACCGCTTCTCCTAAACAGATACGTGCTAGATACCGCAGCATTCAAGTCTCTTCCACTTGTACTAGATCCTAAGGGCTGCGGATGGACATATATAAGCTGCACATGAAAAAGTAAGTAAAAGACAAGAAAGACTAGTCTCATTTCCGATGATTATAGTTGACAATAACAACTTACACAGTAGCTACCGTGCAAAACATGTTCGAAAACTATATGCAATAAATAAAAAGCTTACACAAAGTTTCACGAGCAACGGTTTGCCCCGAGAAATTTGCAATACATAGGCAGTAACATGTACAGAGCAAAGAGTTGGACAGACAGGTTCCGAATGAAGGAGATGACCACACATTCACTGAGAAGACAGACACCCCTAACTTAGTGATCTGCAGATTGTTTTCTTTCCTTCTTTTCTGCCTTTCGTTGTTCTCTGCGTTTCTTGTTGTATGCTTCTTGCGGATCCTTTACAGTCCGCTTATAGTCTTTTTCTTCTGAAGGAGTAAGCTTCCCATGCCGACTTTGATGTCGAAGATAAGCCCTGCGCGATTTCCACATTCCGGGAAATGATTTCTTACTGCCACGACGAGTGCCAAAAACTCTTTCTTTCTTATCCAATAGTTCATCTTTGCTCTTGTGCACTTCTTGTATTGCTGTTGGGGCTTGCATTAATCTGGAAAGATCTCTACGCGGTTTGAACATATCTGTTCTTGCCTTTCGTGTCGCCTTCACGGCGTGTAAATCAGGAGAGTGTGACCAGACATGTTTATAACCATGCTTGGGTACGCTGATCATGGCGCATTCTTGGTTAGTAGAGCATATACTCTCAGATCGATGAGAGGGCTGGCCATGCTCAGGTTGTCCTGAAGTTGTTCCTTTTTCCTGGCCTCTCTTGTAAAGATGCCTTTGAAGTAGACCTGGAATCTTATAATTCTGTGATGCCGCATACGCTTCATTTGTCCATCTCTGGCACATAAATACCATCGCAATAAGGAATAAAATATCACGCATCCTATAAGTTGATGGGTTCACAATGAAAGTTATAAAGGTAAAGAGTTGCGGATGACAAAATACGAATTAATCTGCATTCGTACAACAATTGCATTCGTGTAGCCCCGTGATAACGCAAGGAATGCTTTAGTCAATTGTCAAGTAAAGGGGCTGTGGTTTGTATGACAAACAGTAGTTTTCAAAGAGTATAACAAGCTTGATGACACCGGAAGATAGTTTACACGGTCCTGCACGCATTGTTGTGCAAATTAAGATGAATTTTACAAATATCTATTCCTTTTGCAAAGTTGTGCCTTTTTTCTCTGCTTGTTTTCTCTGATAGCGTTCTTTGTCAAGCAGCTTCTTTTTCTCGAGCAGGTCAAGTTGTGCCTTAGTTGCTGTTCCTTTATGAGCTTCTTTTCTAGCGATTTGCACTTTATCGTCCTTTCTTTTGATACCGGCATCTTTCAAAATCTTTCTATGTTGTGTGAAATATTGATTCTTCTTTGCAACAAACTCTAATTCTTCTTTGGTTGCTGTTCCCTCTCTTTTCTTTGCTCGAGCTTCTTTCAGTCTACGATCGTACATCGAAGTACCATGATATCTTGACAATCTTTTATCACTTTGGCTTGCGTATGCTAAACGTTTCCGCTCTCTTTGAAGATATGTATCGAGCGCCTCTTTGTTATTTTCTCGCATGAATTGCATTCTCTTACGAGTAAGCACCGCTGCTGGGTTTTGACTGTATTGTGATTCCGCTTTACGAGGTCGATATACATACTCTTGGTCTTTCGAAAGTTTAGCTTGCAAGACAGGAGGATTAGTTAAGCCTCCTTGCTGTTCTGCCAGAGGAGAACTGCTAAAAGAAGAGTGGCTTGGAACATATTCTTCATTTAAATCGATATCCAAACCCTTTTTTGGTGAACTGTGATGTCTGTTAGAGCTGCTGTCTTCGCCTGTTGAATTGCATAGAACTATGAAGGAGCTGAACAGTGCAAAGAGAAAAAATCCCATGCCATTTCCTACTAAGTATTTATAGGGTCTCATATCGGCGTTTGATAGTATATGATGATAGTAAGCAGAACTTGAACGCATTTTTGCAAGAAGAAAGATCACATCTTTGCTGTTTCTGAAGTGGGCAACATATAGCGTAACATAAGCCGCGAAACTCGAAGTGTGGCATTGAATATCGGGTCCATTACTTTTGCTTTGCGTAAGAATGGAAAGCCTTAACTGAATACTATTTCAGCCCATACTGGCAACCAATGCTGCAGTGCAGATTACCTAAGTTTAGAAGTGAACTTTGTGTGTACAGGCATCAAATGTGAAAGGAAAGTAAGTAATGTACACAGTACGACTAATCTGCTTTGCTATTCTTGCGACGCTGATAAGACTCCCTTCTGATTCTATTGTGGCGATTCAAAATCTCCTTATCCTCTTCTGTTGCATTGCCGGCGCGTATTCTTGCACCTATAAGCTTCAAATTCTCTCGTCTCCTCTTTTGTGAAGGATACGAGGAAGCTTTTTGTTTTTGAATTTTGACAAAGTTATGCTCATCCTCTGTGGCTATACCGAGTCTTATTTTCTCTCGAAGATACCTATCTCTCACATTCCTTGGACGAACTGAAAACCCAAACCTTTCTGTATCTCTTTTATCTTTTTCCAACCGTGGCTTCATACGTTGCTTCTGCTTCTCTAAATGCTCGCTCATTGTTACTTTTGCTTTCCCTTCGCGTATACGTGCAAGTTTTCTTCTACTCTCTATAGCCATTTTGTTTTGACTCAATTGATCAACTGGTTTTCTAGGACGATAGATGTATGTTTTGCCTTCAGCTTTAGAGACAGAAGGCGAGGCAAGAGTATCTTTTGCTTGATTTGTTTTCTCTTGCCCATGGCCAACGGTAGGGCTATCCGTGGTAGCATTTTTGGCAGTTTCGCTCACCGAGCTGTTTCCTTCGACATATGGTTCATTCAGATCAAAATCAAGTCTTGGCTTCTTTTTCACATTCTCACTCGTCCCTATGGCGGTATTTTCTGAATCATGAACACCATAAATCCGCTGCATTGCGATGAATAAAAATAGAATGAAGGAGACAACCATCATCTTGCGTCGATTAGATGCGGGTATTGTCAAACGTGGGAGGAAGAGGTACACCAGTATATCCTACAAATTTGACCCAAGGCACACATAAACAAATGGCCTTCAATGCCCCGGCCTACACACTCATTCAAATGAACTCTACCTAGAAGGGGCTTATGTGAAAATTGAATGTTTACTTATGGAAACGAACATAACAACCAGCTACTCATAGAAAGTTCTCGTTTTTTGCCAGCAATAAGTGTTAGTTTGCATCCTAGCTTGGGCAATTGGTCTTATCGCACAGTTCAGACAGGATTGGATGATGATGAAGAAAGAAGTGATTACAAAACGTTCGGTGGACGTTCCCGTCTGGCCTGCTCCCGACCGTTGCCGGAACAACGGCTGGATGAGCGCGACGCTATGATAGGGGAGGCGGGTGGGTCTGAAAAAACTGTTTGTGACAGAAAAAGACCCACCAAGAGAAAGAAGATGATGGATGAAGAAGAGAAAACTTTACAGGACATTCTGGTTATTACATTTTCTATTTTGTATTGCGCCTTTTGCATAGGCCAACCCTATAGTCAAGGGCGGCCGCCCTCGATTCTAGTGGCACTTGCGACAAGCCCGTTCAATAGAATGTTTTCAAGCCTCATCAGAATTCAGCTTCCGCTGTTTTCTTCTCTGATACGTTTCTTGATCAGCCTTTTTACGTTTTTCCAAAGCATTTAACTCTTTTTCATTTGCCGTGCCCTGTCGTGCTTTTTCCCTTATTGCTTTCATATCGTCAATCTTTTTCTTCTGTGAGGGACTAGCAGAAAGTTTTTGTTTTATTTTTCTTATATATTCACGTTCTTCATCCGTTGCTATACCTTTTCTAATCTTTTCCCTAATTCTTCTTTTTTTCAACGTAAATGGTCGGTTTGAATAACCAAGTTCTTTGGTCTCTTTACGATATCTTTCCATACGAGGTTCCATGCGTGCCCTTTGCTTTTCCAAGGAAAGGCTTAGCGCGTTTTCATTTTTGCCTTCTCGCAATTTTTCTCGAGCGAGTCTGGCTTTTATTGCTTTCTTGTTCGTACTCAATTCGTGCAATTGTTTCCTTGGATAGTATACATAAGGCCTTCTTGGCTTCAAAGAGGTGAGAACGTCACCTTGCGATGTAGGCATAAGAGGGTCTGCTCCATCGTTCTCAGGAGGAGAAGGTTCTCTGGGAGGCGACTTGTTGAGGTCTAAATGAAGTCTTGGGGTCTCCTCACTATTGGTTCTTTTAACGAAAATGTTTAAGCCTTGCCAACCGGCGGCATTATGAAAAAGAAGCATGAAACCAAAAAGTTGTATCGTTTTCATATTGCAAAAAGAAAATTTTAATGGTATGAGGGTAAGTTAAATGAGGTTTGCTGCTTTTCGAGAGAACTGGTTGAATGAGTAAGCAATATTGCCACAGCCTGGCTCATTTCTGTGTCCCAATTCCACTCTTACAAGCCCCAGCGTTCAAATTACACAGCAATTCTAAGCAGAAAGAGGCTGCATTACACTTCCAGTAATTAAAAACATTCACTGCACTTGTCAAAAACATAAAAAAGATGAAAGATTTTGTATTGCAGAAATTCAAGCTATTGGGACGGCATGGATTTATCTTTGGCATCCTTTTTCATATGATACCGTTTCTTTTGGTATTCACGATCACGAGCTCGCAGTTTTTGAACTCGATCGGCTTCGTGTGGTGTAGCGATACCCTTTCTGACCTTATCACGAACAATTGAGCCATACTGTATTCTGTTCTTTCTGATTCGAGGTTTAAGTTTACGGGATTGTGTTTCAGTCTTTTTTCTCTTCTCCACGATAAAATGATCTTCTTCAGTTCCATTACCTTCTCGAACTCTTTTGCGAGCTTCTTTGATTCTTTCGCCATTCATTCGAACCCTTTCAGGAATTGGTTCTTTAATGTTGCTCAGTTTCAGCTTCACTGCTCTTTCTCGTCTCCTTTCATTCTTTCTGTTCAAATGAGCACGATATAGTCCACCTCCCTGATCTCGCAAGAGTTACATTGCTTCTCGTTGACGTTTAGCTCTTCTAGTCTGCACATACTCTGAAGGCGCTTTGCGTGGATGATATGGGACTGTTGCAGTGGCGGCAGAAGGTCCGATAACGGTATTCATGACAGAAGTAGATAGAAAATCACGCTCAGCACCACTACTTTGAGCAGAAGAGTCTTCAGGGATGTATGGTTCGTTTAAATCTAATTCGAGTCCTGCTTGTCTTTTGACATGTTGACGTTCAAAGTTGCTGCTATCAGTTACGCCAATGAAACTCAAACAGCTGGCTAGAGCAAGCAAGACAGTGAAGGCCATAGAGCATAATGGAGTCATAATATTGAAAGTAGGCACAAGATGGTATCACAGATGTATAAGTTTATAGCCGTTCGAGCATAATGTTTGCAGTTCTTGTGCGGCTCATGCGATACAAATGCTACTTTCCGCGGATAAAGAGGAAAGCCCCGAATGTGATATTGATAAGCAAACACAAATCCACTACAGAGGTCTAAAAAGGAAACGAAAGGTAATCTCTATTTGCTCACGGCAGCTTTTTCTTTATTTTTACGAGTTCTGACTCTCTTTTTGCGATTTTGTTCGTGCCGTCTGTTTTCATCTTTACGTTTTTCCAACTCAGCAAGTTGAGCAGGCGTTGGATTACCTTGCGCAACTGCAAGTCTTGCTTCTTGAAGTCTGGCTTTTTTCGCTATGAAGGTTTTCTTCGCTCTTTGTTTTCTTTCTTCAGAGAATTTCAGATCTTCATCTGACGCTATACCTTGTCGAACTCTTAGAGTAATTTCTCTTGATTTGATGTTATATGATCGCATAGAAGCCCCTAATCTACTTGTCACCTCCTTATGTCGCTTAGAGTGCTTCCTATCATACTCTCTCTTCTTTTCGAGTAATTCGATAAGTTCTTTACCACCTTTTTCTCGGAGTTGTTCTTGCTTTTTTCGCTTTCGCCTTGCCATTGGCGTTTGACTGTATTCTCCAATCGATTTCCGCGGCCTATAAACATATGTTTCAAGAATTGGCGACGTCATATGTTTGTCAGGCTGACTCTCTTCAACTTCATAAGGTTTGTTCAGGTCAATGTCCAGTCTTGGTTGCTTTTCTGCGGGAGCTTTTTGAGAGCCTTGACCACTGTTACTACCCTCGCCTTGCATACCAATAGTGTGTCTAAACAGAAGTGACAGTAATAAAGAGGCAGTATATAAGTGCATCTTTGGAAAAGCTTTCTGACCTATACGTATATTTGGTTGATAATGATATAGAGAATAAATTCCAACGAGCCCCCAAAAAAGTGATTATCTATAAAATTAAGGTATTCTTTTAAAAATTGTGGCAGTGATTGGTCGCGGCTTTATTCATGTTCGGCGTACTAGATACGCAACCATCCCCACTAGATTAAAAGCAATCACAGCACTGCCGCTCCATAAGTTATAGTATTCCGAAGCTACTCTGCATGGCTTGTACACGATCCATGGACGTTTGCAGCAGTCCTAGTAGCGGTATTTTTGACAAGAGCAGAAGGTTGTTGACGCCATCATTACAATTCTTAGCAAGAGATCTTCAGGAACATGGAACATGTAGCTTGTTCGGATCAATATCAAGTTATGCTTGTTGTGAGCTATCTTGATATTTAAAATTGCTACTTACTAGCTTAATTATGGAATGCTAATGGTCTTTTGCAATATCAGCTACACCAATGAGGCTTATGCAGCTGATTACAATGGCTGAATGCTATCTCAGATGAAAGAGTGCATGATTGTTCGAGCTTTGTACTATTCGAAAGACTTACACAAACTCTACAATCTCCGGACAGATACAGTTGGGTCTGAGAGGGCATGAATGTAAGTAAACACAAACCCACTATAAAATCAGAATTTGACTCTCAAAGTATAAGAATCCAATTAAGCTCACGGCGGGTTATCTTTGTTTTTACGAATTCTGATTCTCGTTTTGCGGCTTTGTGCATACTTTTCGTTTTCCCATTTACGTCTTTCCAACTCAGCAAGGTGATCAGGAGTTGGATTACCTTGCGCAACTGCAAGTTTTGCTTCTTGAAGTTTAGCTGATCGAGCCCTGCCGCTTTTCAATGCTCTTTGTCTTCTAAGTTCAGAAAATCTCATATCTTCATCTGACGCTATACCTTGCCGAATTCTTGCAGTAATTTCTCTCGCTTTAACATTGTGAGGTCGTAAAGAGACTCCATGTTGCTTTGTCACTTCTTTATCCCGCTGCGAACGTTGTCTATCATATTCTCTCTTCTTTTCCACCAATTCAGTAAGCTTTTTACCACCTTCTTCTCGCAGTCGTTCTCGACGTTTTCGCTTTTGTCTTGCCGTTCGTGTTTGACTATATTCTCCAGCCGATTTGCGCGGCATAAAGACATATGCTGCCCGATGACCGTTTGTAAGATCTTGCGTCGTCACATTCTCTTCTGGCGGATTTTCTTCCAAGATGTAAGGTTGATTGAGATCGATATCTAGTCTTGGTTGCTTTTGTGTGTGAGCATGCTGAGAGCTTTGACCTGTACTATTTTCCTCGCCTTGCATGCTGACAGCGTGTCTAAAGAGAAGTAAAAATAAAGAGAAATGATACAAGTGCATTTTCGAATAAGCTCTCTGACCGATTTGCATTGTTCGTTGTTAATGATATCGAGAATGAATCTCAGCAAGCTCCATAAAAGTGATTCTTAAAAAATCATGGCAGTGAATGGTTGCGGCTTGAGTTATATTTGGCGTACGCATACGCAAACAATTCAGGTCACAGAAGCATCCACAACACTGCCGCTCTTATTTTATATGCATTCTGAAGTCACTTTGTGTAGCTTATACACCATCATTAGAGCCGTCACAGCTAAAGTAGGCCTAGAAGCGGTATTATTGATAAGATGAGAAGATTAATCACACTCATCGTTACAGCTCTTAGCAAGGAATCTTTCGTAACATCAGCTTGCTAGGATCAAAGTCTACTTTTACTCATCATCAGCCATATTGATGTTTAAGATTACTGTTTACTAGCTTGAATATATAATGTCAATGATCTTTTGCAATATCAGCTACACCAACAAGGCTCATACAGCTGATCGCAAAAGCAGAACGCTGTATCCAATGAAAGAGTGCATGATCAATCGAGCTGCGACCTTAACGCAAGACAAAAATTCTACACAGTCCCGACAGCTAGAAGCAACCCTGAAAAGCGATCGACGTAACTAAACATAAATCCGTTAAAAATATAATCTGACTCTATAAAGAACAAGAATTTTATCACATGGCTTACGGCAGCTTCTCTTTCTTTTTCTTAGGTCTGCCCCTCTTTTTGCGGATCTCTTCATAGCGTTCATTTTTACGTTTACGTTTTTCCAATTCGGCAAGTTGAGCAGGCGTCGGATTACCTTGCGCAACAGCAAGCCTTGCTTCTTGAAGTCTTGCTGTTCTAGCTCTATCGCCCTTGAATGCTCTTTGTTTTCTCGCTTCAAAGAAAGCCAAATCATTTGTTGATGCTGTACCCTGTCGGACTTTTACTGTAATTTCTCTTGATCTAACGTTCTTCCTTCTCATAGAGACTCCTAATAGTCTTGTATCCTCGTTCAGTCGCTTTGCATATTGTCTTTCGTAACTTTTTTCCTTTAAAAGGAATTCGGCAAATTTTTTACCGCCGCTTTCTCGAAGCTGTTCTCGTTTTCTTCGCTTTCTTATTGCCATTGCTGTTTGACTGTACTCTTCAGGCTTTTTGCGCGGCCTGTAAACGTACGATGAAGGTAAATCATGTTCATGTTCCTGCGACTTCATTTGTTCGTCTAGCTGAGACTCTTCTTCACTGATGTAAGGTTTGTTGAGGTCAATATCCAGTCTTGATTGTTTTTGTGAGGGATTTTTTTGAGAGCCTGTAGTACTACCATCTCTTGCATACTGATAGCATGTCCAAATAGAAACAATATTACAGAGAAATGATACAGCAGCATTCTTGCCAGGACCTATTTGACAAGATGAGGGTTGAATGTGAACATGACATCTGCTAAAGCTTTTCAAGCACTGAAAATTGTAGCAGTGCTTGCCGGGGCTTGAATCTTGCTTCGAGAATACGCAATCGTCCCAAAGACGAAAAAGCATCCACACAACTGCCGATTCAGATCCGTATGTATTCTGAAAGCGATACACGTGGATTATACATGCTTGTTGAAATCATGTTTATGCGCGGTGTCTTTGACAAAAGTATAAGATTTTTCATGCTCATCAGCTCTACTAGTGGCACATGAATCGTCTACTCAATGTCAATAGTTGCTTTTTGCTCGGCATTATTGTTCGAAGTAGCTATTTACTGGCTTCATTATGAGTGCGAATGATCTTTTACACTACCAGCTACACTATTGAGGCTCATCCGGCTGATCAAAACAATCGAAGTAGTGGAATTGCTCAAGGCAATCGCTGAATGGAAATTCGAAGGAAGAGGGCCTGGCTGTCCGGCCTTCGCTGTTAAAGTAATACACAAGCTCTACACTTTGCTGACAAATATAAGCTCCAAACAGAGATAGAAATAATTGAACACAAATCCACCATAAGACCAAGATCATACTTTTCGAATTACAGGAATTCTGTCTGGTGGCTTACGGCAGCTTATCTTTATTATTTTCAAGGCCGGCCTTCTTCTTGCGGGTTTGATTGTATTGTTCATTTTTTCGTTTACGTTTTTCTAATTCGGCAAGTTGAGCAGGCGTCGGATTACCTTGCGCAACGGCAAGCCTTGCTTCTTGAAGTCTTGCTGTTCTAGCTTTATCGCCCTTGATTGCTCTTTGTCTTCTCTCTTCGAAGAATGCTAAATCTTCTTTTGACGCTATACCTTGTCGGACTTTCATTGTAACTTCTCTTGATCTAATATTCTTCGATCGTATAGAAATTCCAGAAAGTTTTGTTACTTTGCTATATTTTTGTGAATGTTTCTTATCGTATTCTTTGCGTTTCAAAAGGAATTCAGCCAATTCTTTACCACCTTTTTCACGTATTTGTTCTACTCTCTTTCGTATTCTCTTTGCCAATGGGGTTTGACTGTATTCCCCAACTGATTTCCGCGGCTTATAAACATATGAAGGAGATAAACCATGTTCAGGAAGTTGCGATTTCTCATGTTCTCCTGGTTGATTTTCTTCAACAATGTACGGTTTGTTGAGATCGATGTCGAGTCTTGACTGTTTTTGCATGGGAGCCTGCTGAGTTTCTTGGCCTATACCACTACTCTGGCCTTGCATACTGACAGCCTGCCCCAAAAGGAGAAATAATACAGAGGCATGAAACAGGAACATCTCCCTTAAAGCACTCTGATCTGGACGTACTGTTTGTTGGCAATGATTTGAAGAATAAATGTCAAGGCTATCCGTCAGAGTGATTCTTTGAAGAATTGTGGCAGTACTGGCGGCGGCTTAAGTCATGCTTGGCGTGCACCAGATACGCAAATATTGAATCAAAGAAGAGAATAATGAAATGGAGAAAATGATACATATGAAGGAATCTCTGTGAATAAGAAAAGTAATGGAGGTAGAAATGTTACAAATGAAGGAATCTCTGAGAATAAGAAGAGGAATTGAGGTAGAAATGTTACAAATGAAAGGGAATCTATCATAATAATTAATGATAACGCCTGGTCAATTGAAGTCCAAGGATGGCGGCAAAGATCAAGACGAACAAGCATGAAACTGAAAAGATGCCATCTTGTCCGTGCAGTGAAATTGCTGCATTGTGTTGTGACACTGAAAGCACAAAGAGAAGTTATCAATGAATCAGCATTCAGCTCTAAACATTAGTATACATCGAAGGAGGCTTATGCGAGCCCCTCTTTTTCTTGACTTTCGTACGTACTAGATCTCTTGTGGCCTTGTTGGGTGTGTTGGACGTTTAAGCTTGCGCTTGTTTTGACATCGTTGGAAGAGACACCTTTGCCTTGTGATTCGTGTAGCGTACGCAAGAAGTCATATCCAAGCTCGTACTGTTGAGGAGAGAAGTCAATCAGCAATTATCCTTCCATTCTCGCAATTTGACACACTTACAGAAATGTTTTGTGGATTGACAATGTTATAGTCATCATACCATGATTGATCTGCTTCAGGATGGAAACCGATCAAGCCAACTGATCCTTTACCGAACGGAACGATTACTGCGCTGGGATCTTTGGTATAGACGTATCTACCCAAAATCTTCGCGCCTTTTACGTTTTTATCGATATGAAATTGACCGCCATCTTGAAAGTATTGCCAACGATCTTTGACTGTTTGACCTTTCTTTGGACCTGAACCAAAAGTCCAATCTGTCAAGACGATTGTATCATTTGTAGATGAAGTTTGAGCGCCAGGTTGAAATCTCTCTCCGCTGGTATAAGAACCTTCAGGAAGAAGACCAAAGAAAGTTTGATTGCTCTTTGGTCCTCTGGCAAAGAAAGCGCCCAAACAAAAACCTGCATAACGACCGCCACCTTTGACGTAATCTTGAATAGCTTCTGTATAACCTTGAACTTTTAGATAATCTTTATTTTCATCATCACCACCGCCTGGCCAAGCAAAAACGTCCAAATGACTCAAAGTTGCCGGACTGATATCATGATCTTCATTTGGACCTAAATAATGAACTTTATATTTCATTGGAGATTTTCTCATCAAATGTGCCACTGATTCAGCACAATAATGACATGAAACTGGACCTCTATAAACCGCCGCCACCGGTCTCTTTTCACGAGGAGCGAAGAATCGACCACCTTTTACCATGTTTGTCGTATGATGTGTGTTAATCTAGAAGATGGTATGATGGACAGATCGACGTTGACAATAAAGCCGTTTTATATTTCTTTCCGAATGACAGGGTGACAGGACGTAGTTGTATGATAGGGAAAACCTTATCCCTTGCAATTCAGGCTTCTATACATCTTTTAGCGTATTCGAGAGAGGAATAACGCGTCTTGTCCTGTGAGTGAGCTGATTTGATGCTGAAAAATGAACGAACAACTCTCTCTGTTTGTGCTTTGCGCGCCTACGGACAGAATTCATTCCCTCCTGTCAAAAAGCGGACAATTTTTTCAAGCCTTAGCTTATTCGGAATTTTGCCGCCGGTTAACTCCTTAGCCTTTTACGTCATTAGGGGAAGGGGAGTGGGCTACAAGGCTTGAAAAGCGCCATTGTTGTCAGTAGGGGAGGGCAGTAGGCTACAATACAAGGCTTAAACAACCCCGTTGTTCTCAGTAGGGGAGGGGAGTGGGCTACAAAAGGCTTGAATGGCCCCCGTTGTTGGAGATTTACATCATCCCTTGTCACATAATATCATCGTACTTCGGCATAAAAGGGTTTAATCTCAGCATCATACAAGAAATTCATCTGATAAAAAGTTCACATCAATGACGGGGTATCCCTCCTTTTATGGCACAATTAGTGGCCGATGAATGCTACATGGGAAAGCACTTAGGAGATTTGCGAAAGATGTATGCCTATATATAGCAAGCGTTCTAAAAATATTTGTACATCAAAAAGTGATGATCTCATATAAAAATTTAAAACTCGGCACCGATCTTGATTTGCAGATTCTGTACCCCATATAATACGCCAAAAAAAATGTGATTAGGAGACTAGGCGTAAAAACGCGCCAAAATTCAATGCCGAGGAAGCCGGGATTGAAAAAAAGATCAGAGGATAAAAGGGGAAACGGACATCTGTCCCCGAGCCCCACTTTATTGAATTGTACTCGGGTACGCTTTACACAAACAAACTCCTGGGAGCATCCTGTTAGCCCTAGTTACACAAACTTATACTATACAAATCCTTTCTTGACTAATCAATCATTGCGTACTCTTTTGTGTACTCGTTATACCAGTATATGATCTGATTCGCTTCTTCCGATTGAGAGAGAGAAACATGTGTTTATGCTTAGCTGACACCTTTTGTGGCTTGTAAGCCTGCCGTCGGATTTGCGTTGAATCATAATGTATCATACGGAGAATTGCTATTTGACTGGCAGCTGCTGCACTTGGACGCGTTCTAGAATTAATAAAATTTGAAACTACGCTCGAGTATGCAAACGTGCGTTCGTGGGTGGTTGTGCGTGAATGGGCGAAAAGACAACGCACGCAGAGCACTCGGGATTTTAATTAAAAAAAGAATATAATGTTAGAACATTACAAGCGTAGGCTCAGTCTTTCTCGGCATAAAATAAAGCGGATCTATTTTTAACAAGAAAACATCAGACATTTACGCTGCCCTAAACCCACTAAAATTTGCCGCCGGTTAGAAAAAGATTTTCAATTTGACTCAATTTTTACCCCCTTTTTTGCCGAATTCAAATCGATTTAGTCCTATTCAATAGAACACATACAAAGTCGCATATAGAACCAGATCTTTGTTTCAATCGGGGTACTTGTCATATAATATATACTGACTATCTGCCTTTTATTTTTACCGCTAAGCTAAATACAACATTCCTTAAACATGCTGTTATGTAAAGTGAAAAGCACGTAATGCAAAAACATCTAGATTCCCTTCAAATTATTTCTCACAAGTCCTTTAGTGGCCGTATAGATGCCCCTCTTTTTATAATTCAATTTCACAAATACCGAAAATGAACACCGCCACATCATTAGACCAATATCAACTTAATTACATCAATCTGACGTTGATGAGAAGAAAATAGAGAGAAAAGAGATCGAGCTAGCGTATTAAATGTCTTTTTCGGCCTGACCCTTGCTGCTAAAAGGAATGATCTATAAAAAGCAATCTACCTAATTCATGATGCGAAGGCGTTGAATTGATTGTGAGGATCTGTGCGTTAAAGTGATCCGAAACCTGTCAAAACAAAAGAAAAAACAAAAAGGGAAAAGAGATGAAGGTACCAATTTTTATAATTGAGGGAGCGTTCATGCATGCATCCTGTGTGTATGTGCATGAGAACAGTGCCTCTTCTCTATGCATGATACTGTGTCTTGATGTGCCTTTCAAAGTCTCTTGATTTTCGCTTGATCATTTTCGGCTTACATACTTTGGCTCAGGAACGTTGCTACCGTCCAAAAAAAGAGAAAAGAAAGGGCGAATCAAACAAACAAAAGTGTAAAATTGACTGAAGATATGGGGAATGAGCCCAATTGCCGAGTAAAAGTTAAAAATTGCATCATATCATACAAAGCTAAATGTATTTTTGAGGTACATGAATATATGTATAAAAGTACTTAGTTTCGTTCCTCTTTTTATTACCATATCCATCTAAACCCCACTTTTTGAAAAACCTTTTTTTTAACCGTTGATACGATTGATCTTCCACCAAAAGGGCTATCAACTATATCACAACATTCATTCGCCATGGCGAACTTTGATCGTTGTGCTTTATTCGCTGAAACGCAACGTGAAGCACCTTTACCACCTGCAGGCGTTGAAACATTGCCGGATCTATTCGAATGGCAAGCAAAGCAAAGAAAGGATGCTACACTGTTCTCATTTTATGATGGCCAAGAAACACCAAGAGTTGTTTCATACGAACAAGCATACGAACAAACACTTTCATCTTCACATAAACTTTGCAAACTTTTGGCAAAAACAACGGAACCTTATAGTGGCACAAGTGTGATTGGTATTTGGCTGGAGAAGTCTATCGAATTACACCTTGCCATCTTGGCCGCTACATTCTCAGGTTCAACTTGGTTACCATTTGATCCTGATGCACCTTCTGCTCGTATCACAGCATGCTTAAAGGACAGTCAAGCTCAATTGATCATCTGTGATCGTGCTCATTTACAATTGGCATACGAAGCAACCAATGAATTATCCAATACAAACGTTGTTTTGATTGACGATATCCTTGATTCAACACAGGCAACAACTTCCACTCCTCTCACAAGACCATGCAAAACTCAACCACATGAAGCGGCATATATGATTTACACATCCGGAAGTACAGGCACGCCGAAAGGGATCGAAATTCCTCATGGAGCAGCATTAACGTTTGCATTAAGTGAAAGGACAGTATTGCAAACCGATCAAGAAGATATCGTTTGGCAAGGGTTCAGTCCCGCATTTGATATGTTTATCGAAGAAGTGTGAGTATTTTATTCCCGAGTGGAATATAGGGGGGGGTTTAATTGTTATTATTATTATTTTTAGGCACAAAATGGAAACCTCCTTTCCATTCGATTTGGGCCCTTGTTTTTCTTTGTTCCAAATTCCCAGTCTAGCTCGCTTCCTTTTTTCCGTGTTCTGTCAAAACAACCTCCGCCCGCCGGTTCAAAACGAGGAACGCGTTGCGCAGAGCCTGACATTAGCGCGGGCCCCAAACGCGCAATGGGCTGAAAAGAAGCTTTCATTAGCGTAGCCTGTCAAAAATGTGGTTTTTGGTGTGGTTTTTGGTGTGCAAATCACATGGTTTTCCACAAATCGAACGAGCTCAAACCTACGCGTGCGCGTGCGTGCCGGGCTTAAATCAATCCGAAAGAAGGCAAAGCACCCTGCGCGCCTCGCATAAATTTCATTTTAATGGACCCGTTCTAGACCATGCCATACTTTGCTCCTTTTCTGAAACCAGGTCGTGTGCCGATGATGCCGGATTTTGATCATGATTGCTGACAATTATTTCCCCTTTTTCTTATTCACAGTTGGGTAAGCATCGCTGGTGGTGCACATTTGACAATTGGTAGCCGTGAAGAATGCAGAGATGTTCCAAGTTTGGGAGGAGCAGATGGATTATGGGCACAAAGAGGGGTCACTTTGGTCAATGCAGTGCCAACATTGATCAATATAATGACTTCTTTGGATGATCAATGTGGATTACCTCCTCAAGTACGTTTATTGAACCTAGGAGGTGAGGCTTGTCCTCCTGCTTTGGTAAACAGATTATGGCATCAAAATTTGCAAATTATCAATACATACGGTCCATCAGAAACCACAGTAACCGCAACATTCCAAGAATTATTCCCAAACGAAACCGTTACGATCGGTAAACCACTTCCGTCATACCACGCTCTCATCCTTCCAATCGCCGATGACCATGAAGGCCCTGGACCTGCTCCAACTGCACCTCTGCCAATCCAAGAAGGAATAGAAGGTGAATTGGCAATCGGTGGATCATGTTTGGGTAATGGTTATGTTGGACGACCTGAACTCACGGCTGAAAAGTTCATCAGGCATCCCTTCGGATCAAAGGAAGAACGTCTTTACAGAACGGGCGATCGTGTTAGGCTTGATGCAAAGCACAATTTGATCTTCTTGGGTCGTATCGATACCCAAGTCAAACATCGTGGATTCAGAATCGAACTTGGTGAAATCGAATGTGCATTATCATCCCATCCAAACGTTCAAACTGTTTCAGTCATTCTTTCATCCGTCAAAACACGATTGGAAGCTTATGTTGTCAACAAAGGCGCCAGTTCCATTGATATTCAAGAACTTCGATCCACTTTGACTGCCTTGCCGGCGTACATGCAACCTGAAGCATACTTTTTCCTCAAAGCAGAAGAGATGCCCAGATTGCCAAGTGGAAAAATCAACGCAAAAGCATTACAAGATGTTTCAAAACGAATGGCAGAAATTGAAGCAGAATCGAAACAAGCAGCAGCTTCAGAAGCACTTGCACAACAACCCGATATCGATCCTACTTCCGATCTAGGCATCTTGCTAAGCTTCATGCAAACAGTCTTTCCACAAGCTCCAGCCATTCTACCAGGCAGCGATTTCTTTGACGATCTCGGTGGACACAGTTTGGCTGCCGCTATGCTTGTCTCAAAATTGCGCAAAGAATGTCCAGAAGATTGTCCTCTTCGTGGAATGGGTTTGCAAGATATTTACGTTTGCCGAACGCCAGAGAGTATGGTGAGCAAATACTCCATCTCCTCCTCCAGCGAAGACCTCGAAGCAGATTTGGAAGAAAAGGAAGATCCAATCGGTTACAATGCTGGTGGACCAACGGGTGTAATGACAGGAGAAATTTGGCCTGTCTCTCAAACTCGTTTCATCTTGTGCGGTATTGCTCAAATTCCAGCTTTGATATTCCTTTGGTTCTTGCAATCTGTGCAATTCTTGGTCCCTTATTTGGTCTTTATCGCCATGCATGATTCGGTAGATGATATTGGCCTTGCAATCGTGGCTACTTATGGTGCATTCGTCGTTACGCCTTTCTTCTTGTTCGCTGTTGCTTTGATCGGTAAATGGATTGTGATCGGAAAGACAAAGCCAGGAGAATATCCGCTTTATGGAGTTTACTACTTCCGTTGGTGGTTCGCCTCCCATTTGGTTGGAATGGTGGATTTAGCCGTGATTGCAGAAACTCCTTTGATCAGGTTCTTTTGGCGTGCTTTAGGCGCTCGTCTTGGTGCTCACGTTAGCATTGGTCAAGTCTTGGTCAATTGTATGGATTTGGTCGAAATTGGTGATGATGTCGTTTTAGCAAACGGTGTTAATTTGACTCCTGCAGTTGCTGAACGTGGTAGATTGATTCTCAAACCTGTCAAGATTGGTAATGGATCAAGAATTGGCTCTAATTCGGTCATCGAAGGTGGAAGTGTCATTGAGAATGATGTTGAATTGATGCGCGTATCCATGGTTCCTGATGGAATGTGTATTCCAGCAGGTCAAAGATGGCATGGATCTCCTGCCCGCTTCCTCGATGCATCTCATGAACTTGGTTTGGAACGTCGTACTCGTCCAAGTCGAGCTCGTGTTTTGGCAACAGGTGCTGTGATCTCCTTCTTGACTACTTTCATCTTACCCATCATCTGGTTCGCACCTCAAATTCCAACAATGATCCTCTTCGAATTTGTTTATTTGCACAACATCAATTACCTTTGGGCTCAAATTGCAATTCTCGCCATTCCCGCCTCGTTTGCCTACCTCGGTTTGGTCTTCTTGGAGATGATCTTTTTCCGTTGGGTCGTTCTCGGTCACGTTAAAGAAGGAAAGTATAGGACAACTTCTGTCTTTTTCATTCGCAAATGGTTCGTTGATCGTTTGATGGCACTCAGCTTGACTATTCTATATCCCGTCTATGCAACTTTGTACGTCATTCCTTTCTTGCGTGCTTTGGGTGTCAAGATTGGAGATCGCGCAGAAGTTTCAACAGCATCAGGTATCAACTTCAACTTGACGGAAATTGGTGATGAATCTTTCGTTGCCGATAATGTTTACATTGGACCGGTGGAAGTCAGAGGAAACGCCATCGAATTGCGCAAGACTGTATTTGCCAAACGTGCTTTCGCAGGTAACAGTTCAGTCATTCCGCAAGGAACAACTTTGCCATCAGAGACATTGGTTGGAGTATTGTCTGTTGCACCTGATCCAGATGTTTGCAAACCATTATTGGCCGGTCAAAGCTGTTTCGGATCACCTCCAGTCATGATGCCCGCTCGTCAAGCCGCCAACATTTGTCATCCACCTCATCTCTTGTACGCTCCAAAAGCAAGTCAAATTGCTATGCGTTTGTTCATCGAAGGAGCTCGTATCGTCTTGCCTCGTGCGGTAGTCATCTTTGGAATCGGTTTCGGTTGTTCAATCTTCCGTGTTGCCTATCAAAACATTGGTATTCCTGAAGCTGCTCTTCTCCTGCCATTCTTCCAAGTGTTCATGTTCGGTGTGCCAGCATTATTGTTCACCGTCTTATCGAAATGGATCTTGATCGGACGATACAAGACGGCAGAATGGCCTTTATGGAGTAACGAAGTTTGGAGATCGGAATTCATCACTTCAACGTATGACTGCTTGGCAGCCCCTTCTTTCACCAATCAATTGACCGGAACGCCTTATTTGGCCATGTGTTTCCGTCTTTTCGGTGTCAAGATTGGAAAACGTGTAACACTTTTGCACAACGATATCACCGAGTATGATATGGTCACAATCGGTGATGAAGCAATCATCAACAACAATGCAGGTGCACAAACGCATTTGTTCGAAGATCGTGTAATGAAGATTGGTCCAGTTACGATGGAGCCTCGATCGGTATTGAAGTCATACTCCATCTGCTTGCCAAACAGTCGTATCAGCGAGAATGGTCAAGTTGGAGCACTTTCTTTGGTCATGAAAGGTGAATCAGTGCCAACAAATGAAGCATGGGAAGGAGCTCCTATTGCACCTCGCCGTAAGCGCCGTCGTGGCTTGTTCACATCTGGAAGGGATGCAAGCCTCAACGACAAGACTACTACTGCATCACCAACAATTGCTTCTTCTGCTTCTTCTTTCAAAGTTGAAACAACAAGACCATCCGAAGTTCCAACTCCTACATTTGCCTTTAAGCCCGGAACAACGTTGAACATCAATCCTTCCAATACGACATTGGTTGAAGCTTTACAAATGTCAGATTTCGGAAGACCGCGTGGAGATGGTAGTCGTGCTTCAAGTAAATTCACCGAAGCAACTGCTACCCATACCCGTCAAAGTAGTCGTGATACCCGTTTTGGATCGCGAAATGAATCACCAAAGCGTGGTCAACAATGAATAAAAATTGTACATATATATAGATTAACATCAAACGCTCCTTTTTATTGCCCGGTAATTCGCTCTTCTGTTTCTGTCATCTTGGATCTGCTGCATTGTATATAACTTACAGAATATCATCCTATAATATCGTCGAGAAGAAAGATTGTCTGAGAGAGAAAGATGTGAGGAGAAAAGATAAACGCGTTGGGCGTAGCGAGTCTAATTTAAACTTTTTGAATACAACACAGAGCATTCATTCACCTTTCTTCACTCACACGAATGCAGGAATTCGGAGTGGTGATCACAGTGGAAAGGTGAAACAACTACGACAATGATCGGTCCATCTCTACCAGATCAAGCCTCAGATGGTAATGGGCAACAATCTGCTGCCTCCACTTCACGAAGAGTGATGGGACCAATGCTACCCGATAGTAGCCAACAATCACAGACATCTGGAGGGATGTCATCGGCAGCAAAGGAGTTCATAGATCGACAAGAAAGGATACGACTTACCAATGAACATGGCCAAAGTGACTCTGGATCTACAAGTAAGCAGCCAGAGCAGCGTCCAGATTGGATGTTAGCACCTCCAAGTGCGACTGGAATAAGCGATATGTTCAACAAAGATCCTACTGCTGCATTAAAGGCCAGAGGGTTCAATCAATCCGGTAATATGAGAGTACAAAGGACAGCAACCATGCCAACAAATCCAGATGATATCGATAGTGCTTCTTGGACAGAAACGCCACAAGAACGAGCAAAGAGACTATATGAAGAACAGATGGGGATTCGAAATGTGAATGGAAGTGGATCAAATTCTCACCTCGAAAGTCAACAGCTTGAGGATGACAGAAGAAGGGAAGAGAGAGTCAAGCAAGCTGTACAGGAACATCAGGCTTCCAGAGGTCCGTCATTGTTAGAGCAACATCAAGCAAAACGAAGGAAAGAACTTCGTGACAAAGATAGCAAATCGGATAGAGATGATCGACACAGAAGACAGCATCACAGCAGGCGAAATAGAACGTCTGATGATGAAGAGTCTCGCAGTAGTAGGCATCGCCGACATCGTCGAGAGCGATCTCAATCTGTCTCGGATGATGGAGAGAGCCATTCGAGGTCACGCGACAAGCATAGAGAAAACGACAGATCTAGTCGGCATGGCGTAGACCGTCATGATAGGCATGGATCAAGACATCACAGTAAACATTCATCTTCTCGGCGTTCGCATCGATCTAGATCTCCATCCGCAGAACGTGGCTCAGAGCGAAGTAGAGCCTCAAAACGGGAGGATAAGGAAGTCAGGAGAGAAAAAGAACGAAAGAAGACAAGGAGAGATGAAGAAGAACGAGAAGAAAAGCGAGGTGCTCCAACTATGATTTGGGATCGGGAAGCGGCTCTCAGTGTGGGCGGCCAGCTGATGGATGAGCGAAAACGAACGGATTTCATTAAATCTTCTGCCACACTTTCAGATCGTTTCGGACAAGGCAGTTCGAGGTACATGTGAGACGTGCAAGTGCGCAGCAATGCTTCTTACGCTTTACTGAACCCAGGAAGTGGCTGTAACCTGCAGATGATTGGTCACACTTCATCTTTGTAAGCTTGTGTTAATGTATAGTAGAATATTCGGGGCTCATTGGTTTCAACGCAGATAAAGCTAAAAAGTGCTCCGTAGGTATATGTCTGCTTCGGCTTCTCTTTACGATCAATCAGCTTATCTAGTGATGAAATCGCTTCTTGTACCTGGGGTAATCTTCACTTTTGTTGCGACTTCTATTGTCAAATGTTCCGGCGAAGGAAGCACTTCTCATCCTAATCCTGCCATAGGTGAATCATCATCCTCACATGGTTGGATTGACAATGTCTTGGTGGACTCTTCTCCTTCTGTTTCGCAGAACTCTCCCCTTACTTTTGCCAATGAAAGGCACGAGGGGCGACTGGCACCTACTCGTGTTACATCGCCATCGTCATCCGGCTGGGTGGAGAGTGTACTCAGAGATTCTCCTGCCTCACACGACTTTCTACATAATTCTATACACTCGCCATCGGTAGCGACGGCTGTTCCATCAGCGCATCAAGGCGAGAAAGGCGCACCAAGAGGTAGTTCGGCGACCCTTCCTTACCCTCACGGTACAGTCATAAAGAAGTACAATCCAAGAGAAGGCGATTTCAGAACAAAGGAAGCCAGTTGGAGAATACATGATCATGAGAGGAGTGTCAAACATTCAAATAGAAGCGTCATGGGAAAAGGAATCAATGAAGACAGCCCAGTAAGCTCGAACATTCCACCTATTAAATGATTTGACACATTGACTCACAGAAATCATTCCTTGCAGAAAATGCATAAATATCTCGATGAAAAACGAATTCGCTTTCATTTGGACAATTTAAAGGAAGATGTTAGTATTAATTCATACGAAAAGGGAGACTGTGCCACTGAAACGTTTTTTTGCTTTAGCATCCAGTCAGGTATGTCCGCGAACTTCACAATGCAAGCATATGGAAGTATAACAAAAACGCTGCAATCCATAAACGAAAAGCGATTAGAATGTTTCATCAAATGCAACCTAAACCAACATTCAAACAAATGGAAGACGCACATTTGGAACATAGATTGCATTTATGCAATTTACGAAGAGAGAAGTATAAACGCAGACAAGCACGAAAGAAGAATGCAAGAGATGAGCATCCGCACCGTGATCACGAATAAGAAAGGGATAGAGCATTTCTGACCCAACAGTCGATGGTGGCAGTAATTTCTGACAAAGCAGTCCGAGGTATATGTGACTACACAGCAATTTCCATGCACTTTCGGATAAAGGCTCTGAAACTCGAATGATTCATTTCATAAAAGCATTCGGGGCTCATGATTCTCAATGCAGATGATGAAAGAGGATATCTGTAACTACATGCCACGTCATGAACTTAACCAACTACCGATAAGTTCTTGCAATGAAATTACTTTTCGTATCTGGGGCATTCATCACTTTTGCTACGACTTGGTCTGTCAAATGCTCTGGCGAAGGAAGCGCTTCTCACCCGAAACCTGCATTCGTTGCATCATCATCATCATCCTCATCTGGTTGGATCGACAATGTCTTGATTAATCATTCTCCTTCTGTATCGCAACCTTTTTCTTCTGTTTCCGCCAAAGAGAGGCATGAGGCGCAGCGGGCATCTCCCCATAATTCATCGTCATCATCATCCGGCTGGATTGAGAGCGTATTGAAAGACTCTCCCTCTGCCACGAGAGACTCTCTGCAGCATCCTATACCCTCGTCATCGGAAACAAGAACAGTTCCAGCAGCTCATCAAAACAAGCAGGCCGTTCAAACTGGTACTGTGGCCGCTTTTCCTTACACACATGGCATAGCTTTAGCAGCTTCTGATCAAGGCGGACAAAACAAACAAAGAGACAGTTCGGCTACCCTTCCTCACACTCATGGTACAGCTTCGGCAGCTTCTGATGTCATGAGACCTATTCGAAAATACACACAAAGAGAAAGTGATCTTAAATCAAAAGAAGCTAATTGGAGATTTAATGATCGTGAGAGGTGGATCAGACATTCGACGAGAAAGGCAATCCGGAATAGAATGGAAAGGAAAGGATTAGTGAGCTTCAAGGAGCACTGTTTGAGGATTTCCTTTATTGATTTACACCTTTATTTGTTTACAGAAATTGGATAAAGAATCTGATTCACAGAGAATCCGCTTCAATTTGAACGTGTTGAAGAAGAATGTGAGTAATTCTACTGACAAGGCGATTTATTATCCTTTTTAAACAATTTAATCTCTACTCTGCTTAGAATCCGGTCAGGTACAGTCGAGAACTTCGCACTGCCAGTGTATGGAAATACAATAAATCCGCTCCACTCCGTCAAAGCAAGGTGATCAAGAAATTTGATCAAATCCAGCCAGAGCCAACAATTGAAGAAATGGAAGATACACATTTGGAACATAGATTGCATTTGTGCAATTTGCGACGAGAAAAGTATAAGCGAAAACAAATACGACAGAAGAATGCAAGAGATGAGCATATCTGACCCTGACTCCTAATGATGATGATGATGATGATGGTAGTCCGCGTGTGTGTATGTGTATTTGCGGAGTTAATTTAGACTTTTTGGTTTCAACGATTACGCGTATGAATTCAATCCGAGGCACTTTACCTGTCAAATTTGATCGCGGAGTGTCGGCCTTCTTAATGATAAGCGCTACCGAGATAGAATCTCAATGATGAAACAGCCTCTTCTTCTTCTTCTTTTGACACCATCATAAGAAAAAGAAAAGATGCGTTTACTCGCTCCTACCTTTCTAGCCGCACTGGCAACGTTTGGATCCCTATCCGCCTTTGCAAACGGAAAATCAACGCAAAAATGTGATTCTTCTAGCTTCTCATCCTTGTTGGGTACGCAAAGTATACCGGGAGCAGAAGTGATAGAAGTAGAAGCAAAAGAGTTGAAAAAGTATCACTCTGTTTCTACGCACCCAAGATATCAAGATGCCGAGATTGATGCATGTGAAGTTAATCTCTACTTCATCAACCCTGGAATGAATTCAACCCGCGTTACGGTTTCGGTTTGGCTTCCGACTTCTCTAGATAAATGGAACGGAAGATATATGGGAACTGGTGGTGGTGGTTGGCAATGCACAATGGGAAAACACGCTCTCAATTATGCTGTTTCAAATGGTGCCGCTGCTGCAACGACTGACGGAGGCTTGCATGGTGAACCGTTCTTGACCGATTATACTCTCGTCACTCCAGGTAATCCTGACAATTTCCTCTTGGAACGATTAGGTCATCGTGCAATTCATGATATGACTGTAGCTGCAAAAGAGGTGATTGAGCAATTCTTTGGTCGGAAACCGTCAAACAACTACTATATGGGATGTTCGACCGGCGGTAGACAAGGTTTGATGGAAGCAGCACGTTACCCGGAAGATTATGATGGTATACTCGTAGGTGCACCAGCTACCCTATTTCCAAAATTCGCAGTCCGTATTTTGGCCGAAACAGCAGCAATGAACAAATACAACACATATCCAAACGCATGTGAATTTGAAGCTATTCGACAAGCATCAATTGAAGAATGCGATCATTTGGACGGAAGAATTGATACAATTGTTGCACGACCAGATTTGTGCAAATTCACAGCACAAAAAGCGGTTGGAAGACCATTTGCTGATACATGTGAAGGCAATGGAGAAACAAAGGAAGTATCTTATGAAGCAGCAAGAGTCTATCAGATTGCCTTGTCTGGCGCATATGACAACAATGGCCGTTATATCGGCTCCGGATTCGATATCGGCTTTGAAGGTACTTTGGCGGGCATCTGCCCTCTTTCAGTGGTGGTCGATAAAGCAAGCGGTAAGAGAACACCTGTACCATTCCCTTTCTCCAGGCAATACGTGGAGGATTATCTACTCAAAGGCATGCAGAAGGTTGATTGGAAAAAGGTTTCTCTGGAAGATTTGGCTGACTGGCAAGAGCAAAGTGAGCGTGAATACACAGGTATACTCGAAGCTTCTGATGATTTGAGTCGTTTCCGTGATCGTGGCGGAAAGATTATGTGGTACCACGGACAAGAAGATCCAATCATTCCAACTGGCGTTTCGTATGGTAAATGGGATCAAATTCGTCAAAGGATGTATCCCAGTTCATCTATTAGCGAATATGTTGAACAAATGCAAAGCTTTATTCGATTTTACGTCGTACCGGGAATGTCACATTGCAATCCTGCACCTTCACGTGAAAACGGTCAAGCACCTTTCGTTGATGAAAGTACGATTGCTCAATTGGTTCAATGGGTCGAAGAAGGAAATGCGCCAGAACGTATGCATGTCTCTCGTGTTACCGATCCTGTTCAACGTGAAGTTTGTCAATGGCCACAGAGACCAAAATATGTGGACAATGCAAGCAAATTGACATGCGTTCAAGACAGTCTGTCAGTCTTTGGACGTTTCCCACCTATTTCAGATTGGCCAACAAGGTTCATCGAAGTTTTGCCTAATTACCTTTTCTTGCGTACCAAGAAAGTAGCAGGTGAATTGTAGAAAGCTTGCCAACGAGTATTCTCGAGGCGGCTATTCATATGTATATCGTTTCGTATCATGCTATTGCACTGCCCAAAATCAAACAAACGGAAATAAAATATTAAATGAGGATATATTGTGTGATTATACAATGACAAAATATTGCTTTGAGATAACGTTCGCTGAGCTTTTAAGCTAATGCACCCATAGGATCATATGGCGGCAAAATTTCAGTTTCTTTATTCACTCCATCAGTGAATAATTTCCAGAGATGGGAAGGCATATGTTGTTTACGAATGACGACTTGATAAACGAATTCATCAAACCATTTATCAGACATGACCATATATCCTTTATCGCCGCGATCAGGACCCCAACTATTCTCCACGCGATAACGAACAGGTTTGTTGTCTTCGTCAAGATGAACGCCAGTGATGACCATTGCATGTGTCATTGAACTTTCACCCATTTCAATTCTTTCAGCCTTTGTAAGACCTAATTTGATACCAAACGGTAATTCGAAATCATATACGTCCGGATCCATGATACCGCCATTACTGAATTGTCCAACATCACAGCCGAAGAAGACTGGCAATCCAGCTTTGATAGATTTGATGACCGAATCCTTCATTTGGCTTGTACTCGTGTTCACATACAATACCGGTTGACCACCCCAAACGTTTTGCAATCTATCAACTGTTACCAATTTGTCATATGGACGACGAGGATCATTCACCAATGAGCAAGCACCTGCAGGATCGAATGAGCCAGTATACTTGTCCAAGAATTCCAGAGGAGTTGCTTTGAGACGATGGAATTTCTCATCCTTATCATAGTATTCAAACGTGAACTTTTCGTCCGGCTGAGGTGGAACACCCAAAGCAATAATCATGATCCGGTACACTTCTGCCATTTGAGCATCTTTACGCTCCCGAACAACACGTAACGCCTTTGCTTCGTTTGCGTGTGGGTCTGTTTGCCCAACACGAAGAAGAGCACTAATTGTTGACTTTTTCAATTGACGTAATTCGAGGGCATACTCACGTAGCTTGAGAGTGAGCAACCAGTTAATTTGACTTGAGTTGGAACTGTTGTAGCTCTCAGGATAGATTGCCTTGGGTACGATCCCGTACTTTTTGATCAGATTGGTCACCATGTCCCATTGACCGCCGTCATTCGTAGGAGCGGTTTTCAAGAAGCCAAATACACGATCGTCCAAAGCCTTATCGGCCAATTCAATGCTGTTCTCCAAGAACGTGTTGCTCTTTTCAAGCTTATCCCAGAATGCAAGATAAGATTGGCTTAATTCAAATTCTTTTAGGTTAAGTTCTTTGATCACTCGCAAGCGAATCACGTTGGTGGTCGCGAATAACCAGCATCGACCTGAGCTCATTTGATTTGTTACAGGGGTGCCTTGAGATGGAATCCTGTGACTGAAAACGTGAAGGTCTTCTGTTTCAGCTTTGCGATTACGTAGATTGTCCTTGATAGGTCCATTGTGCAATGTCATCGTTGCTAATTGGGTGACAGGGGCGTGTAAAGCTGCGCTGTCCCAAGCCTTTAATGCTGGAATGGTAACTTCTGCATGAGTTGTATCATGATCCGGAACGACAGCATGACTTTGACCAAGACGTGCAGATTGATGTGCTTGTGAAGTATAATCTTGATTGGAATGAATGGAGGAATAAGCCTCTGCTGCAATTCGATGTAATCGATCGCTGGCATACGTACCTCCTTCTCGGGAAGAACCTATCTGTACATCGCATACATCACTTGGATGAGCGTGCGTAGTTGATGATTGAATGGATGCATACTTTTCTGCCTGTGTAGCAGGCTGAGCCGTTGTGGGTTTTGAATTGGTAGAACCCATTGCTTTAAGATTGAGAGGGAGATGATGGTAAAGAGGAGTGATTGTAGAGTAAGGAGGTGCATTCGTTACGTGTCCGGGGTATGAGTGTACGTCTGTCTGATTGGCGTTCGTGTGACCTTATCAGTTGGCGAGGATGTGCATATGAGCAGTGTAAAGCTAGCTAAAAAGAAACGCGATTAACACTTTCGTTCCGATAAGCTTGCGCCCGCTAAACAAACAGCCCATCTAAACCCGAAGAGGTGCATAAGTCCGTGGATCATTGTGATTAGATAATCATCACTGGATTCCATCATCTGAAAAATGTAAAGAGAAGCACTGATCAGACCTTCATTACCCTTATTATTGTATGAGAAAACGTAATGATTGCATGAACAACTGCTCTGCTTATATAAGCTGATCACTGACCCGGAATACTCGGGTGATCATCATGGTATGAATCTGACCCTTTTGCCGGCGGTAGGAGTTTTTTCCTCCTTCATCTTGATAACGCTAATGGCTTTCTGAAGATCGATCTGACTTGCTGCTGTAAGGTCAACTGAAGCCCATCAAGGGTGCCTCCACACTGATCGAGACGATGTTGTGCTGAACAGTTTATTGTACAATGACGACAAACAACATCAACGTTCATATGCATAAGCTTTTAACGAGAGAGAGGAGGATCAACACAGCATCATCGGGTAAGTAAGTAAAGGATATCTTGATTCAACGTGAGTTTTGAATGCATGCATGTTAGCGAAAGAAGAGAAAAAGACAATGAATCAAAAGAAAACTTTTTTTTTGGTTTTCATTGAAATGGGGTGGAGAAAATTGTAATGACATTTTACTCCTTGTGCTCTTGTGCTGATATACCGCGCGTGTCTTGACAAGAGGGTGACGACGAGGCGCACGCTCTGCACTAGATTGCATGCATGCATTTATCCGCTTTGGCACAACACGACAGCTGTGTATTTGTGTGCGCTGCGCGTAACGCCTTACAACACAGCCATTCAGGGCTTAAGGCTGTAAAAAGAAGAGAGTGCTGTGTTATACGACAATGAGCGGAGAAGAAATGCAACGGAGGGAAAACACTTAAAATCGGAATCACAATCCCTTCTTTTTCCCCTATTCACCACCATCATCAATCAAACCTTCTGAAAAGCATCAGAAGCATACTAGGAACCTGATATCCTACGTGAGTATTGCGTCTTTGTATTGACGAGAGAGTAACAACAGATCACCATTCAGCATCCAAGCATCCGCTTTCAATGTGATGTGGAGGTACTGGAAAGTGAACCCGACTCGTCTTAAAGATTCTTCTATGCTTGTTCTCATATACTAACAAGACTTTCTCTATCTTTTGCTCTCACAGTAAACAAACAACTATCTGAATTCGTCACGAAGTCAAGAAATTAGCCAAAATGCCTTTCACCTGCAGGTAAGTAGTAGTAGGAAAATCTAAGAAAAGCTAGAATCTGTGCTAATCTTAAAACTTCTTTTTCTTCTCAGTGATATCATCAAGATCTTCTTCGCCATCTTCGTCCCACCAATTGGTGTCTTTTTGGAGAGAGGATGTGCCGTTGATTTCTGGATCAACATCTTGTTGACAATTTTGGGTTACATTCCCGGTATCATTCACGCTTTGTACATCATCTTGAAGTATTAAAAACTTCGCATACCTTGTACGTTAGATGATTATCGCTTTGCTTTTCCAATTCATACCATCGATCGAGTCGCTACCTTAATATAATACCATTACGTCTCATCACAAATCATTTTCTATAAGAAAAGAGTGGATGGAAAGTTTAGAGCGGAGGGATATGCCCGTTTAGCCCGTCTCTTGGGGTAAGACCATATCGGCGTGATCTTGTCATCCTTTGTTTGAGACTTTCAAAGCTTCACGTTCAGCTTTCTCTTGAGCATATCTCTTTCTGGAATATAACGCCTTTGCTCTCTTTTGTTTATTGTACGTTTCAATTTGTTTTGGTGTTGCTTTACCAGATTTGATGGCTTCCATGATTTTATCTCGTGATTTTTTACATGCTTCTGCACCCTTTTGTCTAAATAATTTTGCTTTCAAGGCATTTTCTGGTAAATTTAACATTTGTTTTCTTCTTTCTGAAAATCGTTTTGATGATTGACTTGAAAGTGCTTTCGCACGTTTTTTTGCTTCACCTTCCAAAGCTTGTCTTCTAGCTTTGTTCGACTCATTATGCTTCTTCCTTTTGGAAATGTAAGCATCGTAATTTTCACTTTTAAGTTTTGCAAGATCCATACGTTGAACCACTGCACTGTATGTCATACTAGGTTTTTGTTTAGCATACCATTCAGGTGACTCCCTCGCTGGAACGACAGAGTTTTGGTAAAGCTGAAAAGGTGCAGTCGGATGAGCCGAGCTGTCTTGTGCTCTAAACTCTACTCGGCCAGTATCATGCTCGGCCATTTTCGGAGATACATGAGCATCATTGTTAGTATGAGGTGAGTGAGGAGGAGAAAAGATATCGAAGAATGGACCTGCAAGAAGAGAATCCCAATCGGGCGAATCGGGTCCTGCTCCTAAGATTGAGAGTAAAAGGTGGAGTTGAAAGAAGAGTAAATATAAAAACATCGTTGAGTTGCTGAAAAGGTACAAATAAAGTTCGGAATTTGCTAATTAGTATATAAGGAGAAGCAGGAGAAACAGCTTATCACCTGAATACGTTTTCAATGGTCAACTGCATACACGTTTTCACAAAGCCCCTCGATATGTTTATAAGACATATGCAAGCTGGAAAAAAAGTCTGACTCATCTGTCAAAAAAAAAACCCAAGTGAATCAGCTTGGCTTTTCTTTGAGCTTCTTTTGATACTTTTCAGTCAACTTTTTACGATCTCTTGCTTTGTTGCTTTCAATTTTCCTTCGTTTTCGCTTTTCGTAATTTTCTTTCATCTCTTTCGAGATCGTTCCATCTGCAAGTCCTTTCAAAAGTCTTTTCCTATTACGTCGATTGTATTCTGCAATACTTGCTTTATATTCACGATGCTTTTCCTCATTTCCAGGCAGCCTCAGATTTTTACGAAAATTTTCCTTCCTCTGGCGTGCTCGTTCTTTTAATTCTTGAGATTTTTCTGCTTCTGGAATTTTCTTTTTTGTAGGATGTAGGATCTTATTTTGAGCATATTGTAGCCGTCGTGACACATTTTTAGGATCTTCGAGAAGTTTACGTTTAGGTTTCTTTCTTTCGATTCCTACTGGAGTCGTTGATGACTTTTCGATTTGATGTAATGTAGTAGGGTCTATGGCATGTTCATAAGCAGGAATTGGAGGAAAAGAAGCAAATTGTGATTGGAGATCTTCTTCTTGTTGTACTGGTTGTATAATGGAAGTATCAGCAAGCAACTTATCCCATTCTGGAGATCCTGTTGCAATAGCGAGTTTCGTGATGATTACAAAGTATGAAACGACCGGAAATACAATGTAAGCTTTCATATTGGTGATCATGAGGATGCGAAAGGATGGGGAGCACTTCTAGCAGCTAATTAAGTTTCTAGAGTTGCAAAGTTCACAGCGCCCCGGTATAGATCAACAAAGTTAATGTGTACAAGAATGCAAGCGAGACTATAGATGTCGAGAAAAACCAAGTGAATCAGCTTGGCTTTTCTTTGAGCTTCTTTTGAGCCTTTCCAGTCACGTTTCTTCGATCTCTGGCTTTGTTACTTTCGATTTTCCTTCGTTTTCGCTTTTCGTAATTTTCCTTCATCTCTTTCGAGATTGTTCCATCTGCAAGTCTTTTCAAAATACTACTCCTATAACGTCGATTGTACTCTGCAGTACTTGCTTTATATTCACGATGCTTTTCCTCATTTCCAGGCAGCCTCAGTTTTTTTCGAAATTTTTCCTTTTTCTGGCGTGCTCTTTCTTTTAATTCTTGAGATTTTTCTGCTTCCGTAACTTTCTTTTTTATAGGACTTAGGCTCTTATTGTGAGCATATTGAAGTCGTCTTGCCACATTTCTAGGATCTTCGAGAAGTTTACGTTTAGTTTTCTTTCTTTCGATTCCTACTGGAGTCGTTGATGACTTCTCGATTTGATGTAATGTAGAAGTTGGGGGAAAAGAAGCAAATTGTGATTGGGGATCTTCTTCTTGCTGTACTGGTTGTATATTGGAAGTATCAGCAAGCAACTTATCCCATTCTGGAGGTCCTGTTGCAATAGTGAGTTTCGTGACAATGACAAAGTAAGAAACGACCGGAAATACAATGTAAGCTTTCATCTTGATGATCATGAAAGTGGGGGTTCACTTCTTGCAGCTAGTAAAGTTTCTAGAGTTGCAAACTTCAAAGCGCCCCGGAATAGATCAACAAAGTTAATGTGTAAAAGAATGCAAGCGAGACTATAGATCAGCGTGCTCAAACTGTTTATTACCTTGAAGAATTGTTTGTATACAATAGTGATATCTAATTCCCACTTTTCGGGCTTGCCGCCACCGTCACTTTTGCGGCCTGATCGGCAGCTTTTTGACGTTCATAATGCCTTCGAGCGCTTTCCTTCTTCCCCTTCTTTTGATTTTCATAAATTTTTATGCGCTTTTCACTTGCTCTACCTGTACGGACATCATGAGTCAGTCTGCGATAGTATTCTATACTTGCTTTCGAACTTGCTTTTCTCAGCTTTTTTAATGAATCAGCATTCTTAGGATCTTTAAATGCAATCTTTTGCCTTTCTGCGAATCTTCTTTGGGAATTTTTAAGTTGCAGCCTATCTTTTTCTTTTTCTTCTTCCGTGTAGCTTGTTCTAAGGTGTCGGATCCTTTGATTCTCCCTTTCTCTGAAAGCAAGATATTCTTGAGGATTTTCACTTTTCAACTTTGCTAACCTTTCACGCTGCTTTATCGCCTTAGGCGTTTGGCTCGCTTGCTTTTTTGCAGCCCATTGAGGAACTTGTGCTGTAGCCGGAATACCTTCGGGCTCGATCCGTTGTTGAGCAGGAGTGTCAACTGTGTTAGTGTTGCTAATTGAAGGAGAAAATAAATTCTCGATTATTGGACTTTCAAGTATTGAGTCCCAGTCCGGAGAGCCAGGTCCCGCCGCAATGACAAAAGAATCTTTGTTACAATGAAATATAGTAGCAATATAGCAGATTGCAAGATATGAGATAAAAGTGAAAATCATGTTGCCTATGAGTGTTGCAGAATGAGAAAGACAAGTTGCAAAGAGTGTCAATCTATGATGCAAAGTATTAATACACAAAATACCTACAGCAGACACTGCCTCATTGCCACATAAACTTGTGTAAAGGAACTCGTGAAAAGTTGACACAGCCAAGAAGGCCAACGGAAATGCAAGAAAGCTTAAGGAGAATGCATAGCGATCGAGCAAAGGCTGCCTTTAAGATCATTTCTTCGTAGTCTTAGTATTCCCTTGTGGCATGGCCTTTCTATCTTTGGAATTCCTCTTACGCTTTTCATATAATTCTTTTCTTTGTTCGGACGCTCTTCCGTCCACTACCTCTTTTTTGAGTTTAGCCATGTAAGTTTTGTTGTCCTTTGAAATTCTGTCTTTATACTCTTGTAGTTTTGATTCATTTCCAGGTTCTTTAAGGACTTTGAGTCTTGCATGATAGTAATCTCTGCGAGATTTGAACTTTTTAGTCTTTACGGTACCCACTGGCTTTGTTTTTGATGTCTTCACCCTTCGCCTTTTTTCTTGTGATTCCATTTGCATGGCTTGCTCATGAGATAGAGGACTGGCATTCTTCCACGCATTACCACTCTTACGCCTTGCTTCATGTGGCTGATCTTGTTTCAAGGTGCGCTTTTTTGTATACGTCCTAAGATCTGGGATTCCAGTATCTCCCACCGGATCGACTACTGAAGATGGTTGAACTGGGTTTTCTGCAGTTGCAGGCTCAGTGCCACTCTCAGGAGAGCTGACTTTTGTGATAGCTCCATCTGCCAGTAACTCGTCCCAATTAGGCGAGCCAGTTCCATTTGACATCCTGAAGAGGATGCCGAAAGTCGCACTGAAGACAGAGAGGGCAAACAGTTTTCGCATCTTGTTCTTGTTTAGATGTTCAACATAGAAAAGAGTTATTTTACTACTGCGATTTTCAAAACAGTCTGAGCTTTTGCAAGATTTGTGTATGATGAAGTTAGAATTTATTGGCTTTTCGGGGCTTAATATAGACACATTACTTGTGTAATAACAAATCCAAGAGCTGAATTGTGGCCGTACAGTCCTAGAAGGTGCTTAAGCTGCCGGTGCATCTATTTTTATGAAACTTGAGAGTTCTTATCAGCACGTTTGTTTCTTTGTTGTCTTACACGATCCCTTTGCAAAAGCTTTACATAGCTTTGCTGTCGTTTCAAAGATGCTGTTCCTGAACGTACTTCGTTTACTAACTTTTTTCGATAGGAGAGATTTGCTTTTTTTCGCCTTTCGAGGAATTTTTCACGCATTGCTGCATTTTCAGGCAATTTCATTCTTTCCATTCGTTTCTTTTCGTATATAGCATTAGTTTTCTTCATTCTTACTCTTCTTGCTTCCTTCTGTTCCTCTGTGAGATCTGCAATACGGAATATTTTTTTTTGCTTCCTTTGTTTAGTATTCTGGTCAGGACCCGGGCTCAAACTTGACGGCTTAGCCTTTACCGCCATGACACGAACATGCTCGGGCATCACAAATGGAAAGGACTTGGGCTTCAAAACAGTATTTTGTTCAGCATTCGCACTGATTTCCGTTTTTGAGCTTGAGTGTTCTATTTCTTCATGCGGTATAAACTCTGACTGTGAAAATGGATACAACAATTCTTCATTGATAGGTACTGAGAGTATCGCATCCCAATCTGGGGAGGACGAGCGGGATTGAGGAGAGTGTGAGGTTGACTGAACGCAGATTGGAAAGAGAATAGAAGCGAAGATAACCAAGCAATGACATGTACGACTGTAATTGAAAACCATAATGGCTCAGTAGAACATGCCATTCGGTGACAACAAAGGTTTTTAGAGATGTTTGTGAAGGCAAAATGTTCAGGTTCGCTTGTAAGTACTTACAGATTGTACAGCCGGCATTGATATATCCATCACCTCTTTAAAAGTGGTTTTCGGGGTTAAAATCATTTATATCCTCACTTTTCATTTGGGTCAAAGATTGCGTTATATTTACCTTTCACTCTTATTTCTACTCTCCCCGACTGTCATAGAAATGAAGCTGTCGAGTACCTGTCAATGGATTCTTCTTTGTACGCTGTCGATTCTGTCTGGGGTCATTCAGTTTGCTGTCAGCACGAGTGATTCCCAAGATCATGATCCTGTTTTTGGTTGGATTCCAGAACATGAAAACATAATCTCACAGTCGGACTTGGAGCATTTGAGAGAAATGCAACGTGAAGTAACACCGTTAGATCGTACAAGGTCGCGCAATCCTGTTGGTACCGCAGCTCATCAATCTGTGCAAGGAAAGAAGAGCAGAAAAGATAAAAAGGACAAAGCAATCGCGAAAAGAACTTACAATGTAAGACGATGGAAAGGGTGAATATAACGTTTCTATTTTATACAATGGATTGCAATTTGACAGATCTTGTCGCTGTTCTCTTTACAGGTTGAGCATCGAAAAGAAGAAACAAGAAAATAAAATTGTAAGTGGAAACAGATCATCAATCTAAGTAGAACGAATGAGTTTGAGACTAAACACCTTCATTCCAGCGAGTAATGCGACGTAGGTTACAAATGATTAAGGTGCGAGAAAACATTATCTCCGGCAATGCAACAGAACAACAGAAGAAAGCATATCAGAAATACTCAGGTCAGAAGAAATACAAAGCGGCTTTAGACCAGGCTGAAGCACGCAAGTCCGGCAAAGCATAGCTTTTGTAGCTAAATGTGTATTGAAGGCATAATATAAGGAGTTGAATTGTTTTCGTATGCAAAGTTACTCGACCATTCATACATAATTCACTCTGTCATCTTTCATCCTTCATGAAACGAAAATGCAAGTGCTCACCACTTTCTACATTCTAGTATTGTCCCTTTACTCTTTTTCATGCTTTGGTGTGGGTGATGACACCTTTGACTGGTGGAAAGATGAAAACAACATCTTGCCAAGCGAAGAATTTGCCTACTTTCGACAAAGCAAAAGTAGAACAAGTCTAGAAAATGTGCAAAACGAATCTCCAGCACCGAATATCACGCCAACACATCGAACAACTTCCTCTCAAAGCTCCAAAGCCCAGGATTATCATTCACGTAAGAAAGAATATTGGAAGCAACGAAGATTACATATCATGCACAAAGTAGGTATTTGCAGATGATAACGGCTAAAGCAAAGGCATACTAATTGAATTAACTCTTCTCCTTCAAACGATTTAGGATCCAGCAAGGCACAAAAAAAGCCTAGAACGAAGAAGAGAACTAAATAAAGGCATCTCTGCCGAAAAGAGGGAAGCGAGATTGGCAGTCCGACGACGTCAATGGGAAGAGAAAAAGATGCAACAAAGACCATTGTGAGTGTCAAGGACATCGATCCTTTACTCTGACTCTCACACCTTAAATCTGACCAACAGGACATATGAAGCTTTTATCAACGAGAAGGAAAGGGTAAGTAGATACTTGATAAGTATAGATAAGATGAAGCTTAGCATTCCTCTTTTCGTTGCTGTTAGAAAAAGATTGTCAATCACCGCTATAGAACAAACCTAAAAGCAAAAGCCGAAGGGGGTATACAAAAGACAATGCCCAAATCCACAAAGAAGAAAGCGATGCCTAGCGGAAGTAGTGATGCGAATGACGCATGACAACTTCTTTTTTTGTTTATCTCCCATCTAGTGTCATCGCATTGTATTGCCTTTGCGCTTGATCATGCTAATTGCACAGCCGATATAGCCCCGAGTGATCTCGTGGGATGTCTGCATTTAATGTTCGCAATCATTCTGCTTATCGTTCTTCTCTTTGATCACCATGCATGCAATATGATTAGGCTGATTTATGTTCTCCTTTTAGCTCTTACTTATGTCAATTGTGTCAAAGATGATATTTTCAATTGGCTTCAAGATGATGATAATATTGTCTCATCAAAAGATTTGGCAATCATCAAAAGGACACAGAAAGAACAGGAAGAAGAAAGAGGAAGGCATACCAGTAGTCTGAGTGGGGCTACAAATGTACCGTCTTCGGTTGGAGCAAGAAATCAATCACCTCAAATTGCATCCTCAGTCCAACAAGAGGCAAAAGATCAAACAGTAAGTAGTACCTAAGCTCACTAATACGGACAAGTCTTACACGATAGTATTATGTCCTGCAGATAAAAGGTCGAAAGAAAGAATATTCCAGTATAGCAGAACAAAAACGAAAATATCGTTTACACGTTAAGCAAAACGTGAGTATTACAGAAGGGATGCATGCTATAACCAATTGCTTAATCAGATCTGCTTGCATAGAATCCGATTCAATATGCCCGAGAAAAAGAAAGACGAAACACTAGAAGAAGAAAAGCATATGCAAATTTGACTGATGAACAAAGGAAGGATTTCAACGCAGAAAGAGTTAAAAAATGGAACGAAAGGAATAAAGGATTGTTGGTATCATTCTAAGATGATGTATGCATATATGAAAGATGGTAAGGCTCATCTTCTATGCTTACGCCCCTTCCTATAGAACAGTTGAAGAACGTCTCAAGAAAAGGGAAAGGGTAAGCGATGTGAAATTTGCACGGCGAGCTGGAATAGATTACTGATAATTTTCTGTCGTTTTAAAAGGAGAAAATGTCACAAATCAAGTACGGTATAAAGCTTCGAGAAAAGATCTTATCTGACCTTGCTACAGAAAATGATCATATCCAATATCGAACAAGATTTGGAATTGGAAATTATGAGAATGCTTTGGTGGAACGTGCAAAGAGAAAACAGTCGTCAACAAAAGACTGAATGTGCATCAGGGCTGGATTACTTGTTCCCCGGTGTATGCATTTACGCTTCAAATTTCTTAACCGGCGGCAATTTTTAATTTCTGTATTTATGGCGAAACGCATGTCAATTCCGGCTCCTCTTTTCATTTAGCGCGTTTCGTTAACAATTCCGTTTTAATTTTTATATTGTTTGGCGTATGCACGATGAGCAGCAGTAGCGCCAAGATGTATGGAGTTGCATCAACTGAGGGGGAAGAGGCAGTGTTGTTCTTTTTTTCTAAATCAGAACATGTCAAAGTGATCCATAACGATCGGGGAAAGACAAAGGGAATCCTTCATGCCACCATCATCACCCCGCTATCATGTCAAACATAAGGGAGGAACCAGAACAATACCCACCATCCTCCTTCAATACCTCTACTAGAACGAGAAAGGATAGCACAAGCTCAAACTTACGATCAAGAATATCTCTCTCGCTCAAACGAAATGGAGGCAAGAACAATAAAGAGAAAGATGGTGGTGATGGTGCAGCAGATGGACAAACAGCACGCAAAAGTATGTCGTTACGTAGAGGAGAAGTAGGAAAGAAATCATCAAGGCCATCACTCAGTTTAAATGGTCATGAGAGCACCAGTAGTAACGATGCAGGCACACAACAGGGCAAGCAACCATTAAGTCCGACTGCAAACAGTAACGGGAGTACAAATGTTACCACTTATGAAAGCCAAGCACCAACACATAAACGGACCACGTCAAATATATCAAAGAAGCATCGCAGAAATCAGTCTGATGCTCCAAGCATCTCAGCAGTAGCACCCAAATCACCTGCACCACGTCAACAATATCAACCAATCATTGTCGAAAATCCTCTTCGATCAGTCATGCCAAAAATCACACAATTCTTTGTCGTTTCTGCCTTTATTTCGATCGTATTGACAAGGTTTGTTCATTGGTTTTTAGCATTATTGCTCGTATTCATCCTGGCATATGTTTTGCGAACACAATTATCAATCGCTGCTGATGACAGTGAATGGACAAAAGCAGAATCAGCCCGAATTGCTCAACAAGAAACTGATGAAAAGCGTAGCGAAAGTGTTGAATGGATGAATGCTGTCCTCAAAACTGTATGGCCTTTGATCAATCAAGACTATTTTGTACCGTTCATCGATTTGATGGAAGATGCTTTGATGCAACAAGTTCCTGGCATCGTACATGGCTGCAGAGTGGAGGATCTGGATCAAGGTACCGTTCCTTTGCATATACAATCCTTCAGCTTACTCGACTCGAGCGAAGTTGCATTTATTGATGGAGCTACAGCCAGTGAAATTCACGATATGGATGTCGGTATGGAGAATCATGAAGATGTGATGAAACATGCAGAAGATTCTGGTAAAGGGGACATTGGCTTTGATGTGGGCGAATTTGTCAATTTGGAGCTCACCTTCGCTTATCGATCGCCTGCCGCGAGACGTAAAAAGATGAAGAGTAATCGAGCTGACGGAGTTATGACTGAAGAGGAAAGAGAAGCGCAAGTTTCTGGATATCAATCCGAACTTCCGATCGATCAGATTCATATGCTGATTTATATGGCTATAGGACTGCAAAAGATTGCCGCCGTTGAAATTCCGGTCTGGTGTGAGGTTTTGGGCATCGAAGGAAAGATGCGATTACGATTGCAACTCGTTCCAACCGCTCCCTTTGTCGCTCATGTTGCATTCACTTTTGTGGGAAAGCCAAAGATTGAAATCTCTGCCAAGCCATTGGGACGTAGAATGGTGATCGATGCAATGCATTTGCCAATCATTTCATCTTACGTATTGCACTCTATTGAAGCAGTCGTCAAGAATTTCATTTCGCCTCACAGCTATACGGTAGACATTGCCAGTCTTCTTGAAGCACAAGATGGACCACGTAATGTGTATGCTCTTGGTGTGGTTGTTCTTATAATCCATCAAGGTATCAATCTCCCTGCAGCAGATGCCAATGGAATGTCGGATCCTTTTGTCAGCGTTTCATTTGCCAGAGCGGGCAAGCCATTGTTCACTACTCGCGTCCTTCTCAAAACAAAGGATCCTATCTGGCATGAGATGGCAATCTTACCAGTCTCACCTGATGAAGTACGTGATCAAGAGCGATTACGCATGACGGTCTTTGATGCCGATCGATTCTCGGTAGATGATCCATTAGGAAAGGTGGAAGTTTCGATCGATAAATTGATCAATCGTGCACTCCAACATCATAACGAGGAAGGTAAACCAAGTTTGATGGAAACACAAACAGAAGATATCAGACCAATGCGTAAAGGAGCAAAAGTTCAAGGTAGATTAAGCTATAGCGTTGGCTTTTTCCGTTTATCAAAACCATCGCAAGGAAAAAGAACAGCTGGTAAAGCAAACCTTTTGCGACAAGCAGCAGATAGACATGAAGACACTCCAGTCAGTGGTGCCTCTTTGAGCGAGCAGCAAGAGAAACAGCTTCCTGTTCTGCCTGATACTCCTTCCACTCCACCAAAATCTTCAGATCCTAGCCAGGACAAACACAGGGATGATCTGTATCGCAATTATACCACACCATTTGACAGATTTGTCCATTCGATCGGATTTCCCTTGGATGAAAAGGTACTTGCACATCGTAAAGAGCGTAAAGATCGCGTAAAGAAGCTCACAACGATGATGGAAGGAGAAGCACATGCCACATTTGGACCGCCAAGTAAAGTATGGAAAACAGGTATCCTTGCCTTTCACATTCATTCGATCGAAGGACTTGGATTTGAAGGACCACAAAAAAGTTGGTCGAATAGCAAAAGGTTATCGCAAAAGCCACAATACGCAGCAGATGAGGACGTCTTGGGCGAAGGAACATCAAAGATGCCAAATTCTTATGTGCAAGTTTTGATTAACGATGAAGCTGTTTATCGAACTCGTACGAAAACCTTTAATCCTCAACCATTTTTCAATGCTGGTACGGAAAGAATCGTGTCTGAATTTGATACAGCTCGTATTGATTTGGTCGTACGTGATGCACGTCAAAGAGAAAATGATCCAATCTTGGGCGTTGTGGGAATCAAGTTGAGCGATGTGATCACCTCTTCTTGTCGTGTAACACAATGGTACACTTTAACCGGTGGATTGGGATACGGTAAGATTCGACTTACCCTTTTATGGCGTTCTGTGGAACTCAACATTCCTGCTCAGCTTCGTGGATGGAATGTTGGTGTGATCGAAGTGGCAAGTTGTTTTGTGGGCGGTGTAACTGCATCTCATAAAGCCGTGACAGAGAAACGCGATGTGCACATCGCTTTTGAAACAGTAGGAGGCAGAGCGGAAACTGAACCTGTCACACCTGAAGTAGACGAAGGCAAAGCAGAACACGGTAGGGATGCATTGAGCTACAAGTGGGTTTTGACAACTCCAGTGCGAATTGCAGTAACTCAAAGATACCCTAATTTCCTCTATATGCATCTTCGAAGCGATTCAAGAGTGCCAGGTCGCTCACATCGAATTGCACATGCGGTAATTCCGATGAATCGTTTGGACGATAATACGGAGGTACGGAAAAAGGTTCCAATTTATGAAACTTCTGATTGGCAGCAATTCGAACAAGACGTCTTGCGAGATATGACAAAAGAAGATCAATTGGCCGAATCGTCAAAGAGCGTAAAGAAATTGATGCCTATTATGGAAGAAATGGTGGAAGATACAAATGGAGAGGCGGCTGGAAAAGAAACAAAAGATGCAAAAGGTGATTCAGCTTTAAAACAAGTTGGTTATTTGGATATCGTCTTGGTTTTCCATCCAGGTTTAGGACCTGAACATCGTTCAATCCTTGCAGGCGATAATGAGTTACGTGCTGCGTTTGAATGTTTCCAAACATTGGTCGATTGTGGTCAACGTCCTCAACCGAGAATGCTCAGTGTAGCACGAAAGAGAAAGTTGAGTACGGTTGGACCTCGTCAAGCAGCAGGCGTGGTCGGTTCAGAGTCAGGAATGATCGATATCTCAGCTGCAAATAAAGAAGCCAACGATCTACGTATTGACACCGATGCTGCTCGAGCAGAGGACAAAGGGAAGGGCCGCGTAGAAATTGAGGAAGAAGATGATGATTTCGATTCAGACGAGTTGGAAGGTGAGATTCCAAGTGATAATGACGGAACAGTGGAAGATGATGATGGCCTTATCGAAGGTGATACACCCGAAGGTAGAAGAGCAAGAGCGCGCAATTTACACAGACAACAAAGAGGTGCTGCTCAAGTAAAATCATTCCGCACCCTTCAATGGCTAAAGACGAATGCCGAAGATGGAGTTGTTCGAATGAAACGAATTGCAAAGAAAGAACAGAGTAAACGGATCGCAAAGATGGAAAGTGAAGGCGTAAGTCATTTTTAATATGTACATATTAATACCGGAATAACCTATACATCCTTTATGATTGTTGCAATGTGATCTAATGAAAGTAAACCTAAGCCTTGATAAGACCTTGCTTGATGAGATATTCAGTGATCAATTTGACGCTATCTTCGATCGAAATTGTGCCAGCATTGATGTGAATTTCTGGTTTTTCGGGTGCTTCGTATGGGGCAGAGATACCTGTAAACTCTTTAATTTCTCCTGCTCTTGCCTTTTTGTATAATCCTTTAGGATCCCGTTTTTCACATTCTTCAACGGATGCATCAACATACACTTCAATGAAAGGCAAAGAAGGCTTGTATTCTGCGTGCAGCTTACGGGCTAGATCACGATCTGCTTTGTAGGGTGAGATGAACGAAGCGATTGTGAGAGCTGATGAAGAGGCGAACAAGACGGAGACCTGATTGAAGTGTGTGTGTGTTTCATGTCAGCTTCCGATATCCTGTCAATATCTCTGCCAATCGTGCTCTGAACTCACCTCTGCAATACGTCTGATGTTCTCTTCACGATCTTTAGGACTGAAACCCAAATCTTTATTCAAACCAAAACGAACATTATCACCGTCCAAACGAAAAGCAGCAACTTTTTGATGTAAAAGATGTTGTTCTAATGCGGTTGCAATTGTTGATTTACCACTGGCCGATAAACCTGTTAACCAAAGAGTTGCGCCTTTTTGTTCTAAAAGTGAACATCTTTCATCGTAGGTAACGTGTCCTTCGTGGAATGTGATATTGGTTGCCATCTTGTTTTGAGTATGTGAATGTTATAAAGGAAAGTATGTGTATCCCCCCATCTAAGAAAGTAAGAAGAAATCATTTCTTCCCGACCGTGCACGAAAATTGAATTGATATGCACGCCGCCAGTATGAATCGCGCGTGCCGATAAAAAGCACGTCATTCAACAGCATTCCCTCGGAATAACTTTCTTATAGATACGTGGTGCGGGAGGATTCAAGATGTACTAAAGATGATGGGGTCAGATTAATCATGTATGCGACAATATACAAAGTATAATTACAAATTAAAAGTGGTGATGATATTTGTACAATATTAATGAAAACCCACAACATTCATGAAAATGATCCAAACGGATTGCCCATACTACCGTCAAACAGTTTAGAAACATCTGGCATGGACTGCAAAACGCTGGCAACATCCCATTCGATATCCAAATTGGCCAGGGCTGGATTGACGTTGGTGAGAGAGTCGATATTCAAACCATTACTTGGCGTTTGTGTGGTAGAATGGGCATATTGTTCTTCATTACGTGCTCTTTTTGCAGGCGATCCATCTGCTGTCTGTTGGTTGCCATTCGGCTGCTCACCGCTGGGTCTTTTCAGACTGCCGTTTTGACGCTCTGCATCTTCGAAGTTCTGCACCAACTCGTCCAACAACTGTAAGCCTCGATGTGCAATCGTGCTGCGATACGACAAACCCATCAACACCTCTCTGGCATCTGATGCTTCTTGACGGGATGCGGTCAATACTGGCTGATTGTGTAAAGCATTGCGTCCCTTCACCTCTGCTTCTTTGCTCTTGTCTCCAAAATGTGACAATACAATCAAAATCGCAGCCGCGACAGCTTGATAAGAGATTGTCCACATTGCTCCTACCTGACCTTCCGGTCTTCCTGACGGATTGATGGCACGTACATGCTCCAGCACTTGACGAGCAGCTTCTACGCACCTTCCTTGTGATGCTTGAATCTGCAATGTGCTCGGACTAGGATTCAAAGAGCAAAATGCTCGATGTAAAACAAGAATTTTGTGCGAAACCCCAATGTTGATATAACGTTTCAGAGCCAATCCGAATTTCAGAGATGGGAAGGGCGACTTAGGTTGCGTAGAAGGCAGAAGCTCTAACAGCTGAGTCTCATAAGGCTGTACATGATCTTCAAGCCTTGCTCCAGCTCCTTGACGGTGTGGCAATTGATCAAAGAAGGTGTATACAATTTGCGCCATCTTTGCCGTCAGTCGTAATTTCTGAACCAATGTCAGATCCGATTCATCATATCTTAAGCGCAAATGACCTTGGTCAAGCTCATCATCGTGAACATTGACGGGCAAAGGAGTATCGTGGTGGCGCGGATTGATCATAGAAGATCCACAGAAAGGCATCGCCAAATAATCTTGCTGTACGAGACTCCACCAAATTCGCTTTCCCACCTCCAAACGAATGATGCGTGATCGCCAATCGAGAGAGTTATCCTTAATCTCTCCACCTTCAGAATGCAGAAGGGCCTCGATCCGTGCCGACTCGCCGGCCAGGTGATGTAAGTTGAGCATTTGCGCCGTTTTGATGCCGATAGCCAAATATGTGCTCAACAGATTTGAATCTGCAACATTGTGTCCGGTGACACAAAGAATTGCCAGTGCTTGACATGTATAAAGACTTGGTTCAGATAGATAGTTACCAGCTTCCAGACACTTTACAGCAGCGTCCAACAATATTTCCGGCAAAGGCCGTTGACTGATTCCACAGATATGCTCGACATCATTTTGAGGCATTTGATGGACGGCAATACTCTGAATCACAAAGAACAATCCAAGCCAAAGGGGATCAACCCATATCCAACGATCTGACGGCTGCAAGGTCAGGAACATCTCATATTCTCGTTGAAATGTGGGAACATGAATGCATGCATGCTGCCATGCGATCACATCTTTGGCAAATGTAAGCACATAATCTAGAGCTTTGAGCGGTAACAATGCTGCTTGTATTCGCTGAGAGAGCGGCTCTTGTAAGGGCTCTTTGAGAATGTTTTCATGCGTCTTGGACGCTGCTCCAGTCTGCGTTGATTGATTGTGGTGATGTTGCTTCAGAATGCCACGATGACGGTCTCTGCCAAGGGCAAGGTATTCAAACGTCAGAGCAGTATCTGCCACACCTTCTGATGACGTTGATTTATGCGCAAGACGGCGTGTTGGGCTTCCGTGCATGATTCTGGAAGACGATGCAGAGATTGGCGAAGCTTCATTAGCATGATCGTATGTAGATGTCTTGGGAGACATTTTGCTCATGCCATTTGATCGACCGTAGTGTTCAATCGTACGCAACCTACGATCCAGATCGGAGACTGTCGCATTGAGAGACTGTACTTGTGAGTAAAGGTCCACACTCGGCACGCCACTTGCAATACTTGGAGGCTGCATCGAAGGCTGGAAGTACGTTGATGATGACGATGGATGCCTACTGAGAGAGTTTGGATCTGTCTGTTGTGCATGAACGGGTGAATATTGATTCATATGAGAAGGTCCCACTGGTGTTTGTGCCGTTGCTGAATGTTCATGATCCAAAGAGCAAAGATGACCGGCATTCCTTTTGATGCAAGGTTGACATGGAATCTTTTTGTCGCATTTGATCTTTCTTCTTGCACATTCTGTACAGCTCCAAGTGGGTCTTTGACTACGCTTGTACATCCTTTGATCTGCCATGACAGTATCTCTCAATGGTCAGGGCCGGAGTTATGTATTTGATGCGTACATAAGGAGTACTTGCCAGCTTGCCAGATCAAAAGAAGAATGAAATGAACCCTATGTTGTAGTATGTCAACCGTGTTGTGGTAGTGAGAAGTCGAGAATTGAATGCATTGTAAGGAAAGCAGTTTTACAAGCTATTCATGCAAGTGTACCTTATCTCTTTGTTTCTCAAAAACACTGAACACATGCATTCTGCCTTGCAATCATTGCACTATGCGGGCGGTGTTGTGGGGGGGATGCTTGGAAGAAAGCTTATCGTACAATTATAGTAATGTACAATCGGCCCTTCCACCGACGCGTTCAGGGCAAAATTGACTCTTTCGGTCTTTCGGGCGGCGGTTAAATTGTCGAAATATTTACTTGACAAGTTCGGAACATTTTTATTTTGTGTTTTTTTTTTAAATTGCTGTTTTACACTCCACTCAAACCACCATTGCCATGATTGCATTGTAAGATGAGAGGAGGGTATTCGAATCATAAAAGGCAGGTGGGCCATACTAGACAAGAAATCACCAAAGGTCCCAGAATCGATGCTGGAAAGTCGGGTCATCTTGTTTGCGGCTTCAATCTTGGATCACAACAATGTCAATGGCGTTCTCACTCTGAAGTAGCACTCAAATTACACAGGGCTGATCGTCATTTGCTTCTTCCAGAAGGAGGTATAGCCGAGTTAGAAAGGATTGATCCAATTCTCGAAGAAGAGAGAAAAGAGAAAGCAAGACGGGCCCGAAAACGCACGGCTGATGACGAAGCAGAAGAGCAGGCAAAGTGAGTAAATGTATGCGCTCAAGGTCTTCTTTTCAGTAACTAATCTTTTCTTCATCCTTACAGTCAATTGATACCTGGCCTGAACATTCAGCTCGATAGTCCTGAACTTGTTCAAAAATGGTTGGCCGAACGAAAAAAGAGATGGCCTACAAAGGCTGTGGTAGAGCAAAAAGCATTGCAATCCTGGGACGAGAGACCTGTTCAATCATCACACAGGAATAACAAAAGTGCATCTGCCCCTGCTGCAAAGCCTAAGGCTGAGACTAATGATGACTCCTCAAGCAATGAGTCATCTGACGAATCCGATTCTGATGGGGATGATGATGATGCGGGCAAAGTCGAAGAAAAAGCAAACATTGCACCGTCCTTTGAAGATAACGAATCCGACTCCGATTCATCCGGCTCAGATCTGGATCCAGAAAAGGATGCAATTTCCTCAAAAGTGCCGCCACCCGGACAGAGATATGATTTGGACGAGTCAAAGCCTAAGCCTCTTTGCCGTTTCTTTCAGAAAGGAACATGTCGCAATGGAGAAAATTGTTCACATCGTCATGAAATCGGAGATCTTAACCCGACAGAAAAGCAGTCAAAGAAACGTAAACGTCCAAAAGCTCCTTCGCCAAATCCATTCGAAGCCCCACATCTGTTACGCGCCCTTTTGCGGAACGAGATTGCACAACATATCAATTACGTCGCCCAAGTGATTCGTTTCCTTGTCCGCAACGAGTATTTGGATCGATTTGAAACACGAAGCGGTGATGCTGCAGAGCAGAAAAGACGGAGAGGTTTGATTGAAGAGATCAAACGAGGTCCGACGGGTACGAATAGTGTTGTTGATCAGCCGCCCATCGCTATGGCTCAACCGCTGAATAAAGGTGGCCTACCCATAACGGAAGGAACATTGTACCGTCCGCCATCTCCGGAACTGAAACCTGTTGATGAGCTATCACTACCGCCGCAACCTGACGAATTCGCATTGATGGACCCTTTACGTGCACATGATGCAAAGCCAATGAATCATGAACAATTTCGTCAAATTGCACTGGATGTAGGCATTCGTGCTTCACTTTTGGAGAATGATCATCATAATGCCCTTCATTCGGTTGAAGCAAAGCTGTCCAAAGGTATGATTCGTGCACTTGAAACGCTGGACGCATTACCTTCTTACAATCATCGAGCATCTGCATTGGAATTGATCTTGGGTGTATCTGAACAATCAGCATTGCACAGTCATCAAGTTGGACCGACGTACGTCCGAGGTGATAGGAGGGCAAATCCGATGAACGGACAAAGTACGAGTAATGGTAGTGGTGCCAACGGCGGTGGACCTTCAAGAGTGATTGGAGAATCGGAATTGTTCAGGCTTGGTTTACGTGTCGGTCCCCTGGAAATTCAAAGGATTCGTCAACTTGCAAGTCGAGTGAGCAATGTGATCGGAGGTCCTTCATTTGAACTTGATGATGATTCTGGACAATTTGAAGGGGATGAAGACCAATTCAAGCCATGGTGGGACGAAAAGACTAGACATGAGATGCGAATCAAGAAGCTACACAAAGAAGGAGAATGGAGAGATCAAATGAGAAAGCTAGGCTTAGAGGTAGACTAATTTGTAAAATTTATTCATGCTGTATTATAGTACATTGTGCAATTCATAAAATCATCAAAAGATCTTGGACATGGCTCCTTGCAAGGCGTTTGATCTGCCTGCAGTTGATTTGGGCGGTTGTGTATCTTGTTTTGTTGATTTGAAGGGGCGATCCTTCTCTGGATGACCATCTTCGTTCTTTCTCTTGGTTGTATCTCTCTGTTCCCGCACATCCCGTAAGACGGCTTCTCTTTGTCTGAACGTGTGTTGACGTGGTTGATTGAGAGTTTTTGTGTTTGTTGAACCGTTTGTTGTATCAGACTGTTGTTGTTGTTTTTGCAGCTTTGCATCCAATCTAGCCTGCTTATCCCGCATGACTCTGGCTCTTTCCACTTTGCGTAGGTAGTCCTTTTGTTCAAAGGTGGACTGACTCAATTCCGCCCGCACTCGAGAAGCTCTTGAAGCCCTCTCGTTTGCCAATTGTTCGCTCAACATGCCCCATTTGAAGCCGCTTAAGTACTTCATCGTCCAAACTTCGTCTCTCCATCTTCTTGCAGACATCTTCCCGCCAGCCTTCTTACCGCCTTTTCCACCTCCACTGCCACCAGAAGCTGCACCGATAGGATGAGCGTTCAACATATCAGCAACAGTTTTTGCCACTTTCTTTTGAGCGAATTCAACCCAACCTTCTGTAAAATGAGCGGATTTTGCTGCTCTTCCCGTCAATCGTTCACCACGTTCTTTTTCACGTCCATCTTGTAAATAAATTCTTTCAACATCTCCAAATCCGCTTAAAAGATGTCGAACTTTTGCAACTGTCATTCCATGTGGTATTCTGGAAATGTAAATTATTCCTTTCTTACGTTGCTTTTCTTCATACTTTTCCAATTCTTCTCGTGATAATGGTTTTACTACAGGTCCACCGGTTGGTGGAGCAATGTCATCTTCGTCATCGTACTCTTCCTCTTCGTCGTCTTCATCTTCTTCGTCCTCGTCATCGTAATCATCCTCTTCTTCGAAGCCCTCATCGTCCTCAGAACTCTCATTCTCATCCTGTTCTTGATCAAGATCTTCTTTTGAGGTGGAGGCTTTTACTGTATTATCCTTCCATCTGCTCGTATCAAATCTAGGGTCGACAATAGAAGACTGAATAGGAATAGGTCAGCACTCACGTTTACCTCCCTCAGCACGCCAATAAATTATTCTTACCTTCTCTTTGATCGCCATTTTGCGAGAATGTGACAAAGTGGAAGTAAGAATGAGGCTAAAATTAAAACTTCAAAAATTTTTTCAGCTTTTTTTTTTATTTTATCCGCGGAGACATTTAACAAACGCGTTTACCTATCATGCCTCAATATTCACACACAAACGACTTTTGCTATTACAGAATGAAGGAATATTTTGTAGAGTGACTAGGGTACGTCTCATAATATCTATTCTTCATGATCACGTAATTCTCGAATCTACACAGCATGCGAAACATCTGCACTTGCTAGACTTTCTCGATCATCAGAAAAGATCGTCGTTCCACCTGGTGCAACGATGCCCGGATGATCATCAGGTAACAGTTCACCTCGTGTTCCAAATGCTTTTCGTAAGGCAGGACTAATAAAGCTTGCAAATGCTTGTGCACAATCATGCATTTGATTCCATTCATCTTGTGAAAGTGTGCTATTGGCTAATGCTGAGCCTGTTTGGGTAGGTGTGGACTTGTTCACGTTTGATCGAGTAGAAAGAACCAAAAGCAAAATTGCATGAGATGGATTGTATGGTGAAATTGGTGATTGTGTTTCAGGTGCAAGTGCACCTAAGGGCAATAGAGGTAAAACCAAAGTTGCTCCCAATTCATCTTCGAGCAACAAAGGTGCAACATCTGGTCCTTCAACGTCAGGCTGTAAAGGCATTCCAAGAATGGCCATTGGCAATGCAATTCCCTCCTGAGTATCGGCTTCATCCTCAACAGCAATCGCAGCTCCGTCCCTATCACCGTTTGAAGTGGTAGAGTTGGCAGTCTGCATGCTTCTAGAGCCACTGTTCGTTGCTGCACCTTCGTCGCCAGCTGCTGAAGCTGCTTTCTGGGCTTGTTCATCAAATCTCGTCAGAGGCGTAATCTTTGATCCACCTGCAGATCCTGCCGCACTACTACTACCGCCGCCACTAATGACAGATGGACCGGTTGAGGATGCAATCGCTGAAAATCTACCAGTTGCAGTTGCATGCATTCGTCTTACTCTGGCTGCTTCTTCAGTCCAGGCTTGACAAGCCCTACCTCCCAAAACACGAGCACGCTCATCACGAGTAAGGTTGATGGGCAGTGAATCTTGTTTAGTGGCATCTTCATCCTCTGATTTGCTTTTGTCATCTTTGTATCGTTTTCCTGCATCGATTGACATGAGTGATGCTAATCCTGGCTGTCTCTGTCTCTGTTGACGTTCGACTTCGTTCTGGGCTCGTTTGACAGGCGTTTGTTGTACTTTTGATGGTCCTGCATGATCTTTGGAGTTTGATTGAATTGCATCTAGATGTGCTTGTGCATAGAGTGCTCCACTTTCATTCAAAACGATCAATGCGATATCAGCAGGCGATGATCTTGATGCTAGGATAGCCTCTAGCCCTGAATGTATCGCCAGTGGTTGCAGCATTGTGTAGTTGTTCCCTCGAACAGTTCTATCCTTGTAAGGATTGAGGATCAGGTTGAAGGAGATAAGAGCATCAAAGCTTCGTTAGTCATTTTTTCGAAGAAGTGCATTCATAAATGCCGCGTGTAGCGGGCGGGACACCCACTGCATGCAAATCTCACTCTTCCTCCCGCGTCTCGCGCTGTGGGCGAAACGCTAAACACAATCATCCATTTGCAAATGGGTGCAAGGTACGAAAGAATATGGAGCATAGGAAGTATTGCAGATATGAGGGGGCACAGTATCTAGCTTCACCCAAGAAAGTACATTCAACAAACAAAGATCAAAGAAACCGTGACAAAACAAGTATCGTAAGAGAAGCACGTCTGAAAATTGAAATATTGCTAATATAGAAAGATTGAATTAAACTTGACAAAGGCTTCAAAAAGATACGAACAAATGCCTGTGATGACTTCGTCGAGTATACTTCAGTGAAATTGGAGTGAAATGTAAGTGTATCGCAGAGCTAATCCCACTTTGCTGAATGGCCATTTTGCGTCCACATTGCCCCGATGTGTTTATTCAGTTGAAATATTATCATTCTTTAACTCATTCAAATAGGTGAAAAAGAGCAGCTTATCTTCATCATCTCACATCTGCAGCAGTCGCCTCAATGCAATTCCGCTCTCTGCTCGTTGGTGCGATTTGCATTCTTACAAGCCTATATCAGGTAGGATCAACGAAAAAAGGTGCCACATATTCAAGTGAGATCAACACAGCATTGGTGCTCAAACGATCCTTGAGTTCTGATGATTCAAAGGCTGTCAGCAAAAGCGCTTTATCTGAAGATCATGATGTCCGTAGTGCTGCAGCCACTCTGATGGACATTTCTTCCAGTCATACACCCAAACCAATTGATGAAATCCACGTTCCGCAAAAGGCGAGAAGTTCAAGGAAGAGAAAAGCTTCGGAAATTGCTCAAGCGACTACTGTTCCCATTTACTCCAAATATTCAGATATACCAACGTCTTATCGAGTTTTGAGTCAAAAACGAGGTACAGTGAATAAAAGGAATAGGATGCATCAAATGAAAGAGAACGAGCCAAAAAAAATATGCAGAATTTTTGGCAAAAAAACGAATCGCTAACAATTTGCGATATCGAAAAGCACGTGAACTTCTTGGAGGAGGTGAAAATTCGAAAGAAGGAGAATATAATGTTAGATCAAGAAGATTAAAAAAGAATCCAGCAAAGTCCACGCTTAAGAATCGTAAATGGATGGCAAAAATGCAAAGAGAAGATCCACAAAAGTTTCAAAAGACAATAGAACGTAAAAGAGCTTCTCAACGAAAGTTTTGGCAAAGCCTTATTGCGGAAAAGACAAAACAAAAAGGGCAAGAAAGTGATTGAAGTGAAGAAAGAGCATTCAATGTCACATTTCTCTTCCTTCGATCGAGTGTGCGTTGCGCTAAGCCGCTCCGCTTGAAATTGCGTCAGTGACGTACACATTAATGTGATTTCCCCCGCGGAAAAGCAGGGAAGCACCCCTAAAGAGCAAGCAGGCAAATATCTCATTCATTGACGCGGGGTTCGCGATTTCATTTTTTAAGTTTATCTGTCCGTACTATCCGTCAAAGGCATAAAAGCACTGTAATACATTATTAATCAATTTAAACACGCATATAACCAACAGAACAACACTTGTTTGTCTTTATACCTACCATCCTTTACCTCAAAGGGGCTTGTCAGGATCATGTCTGCCCATCAGCAAAATGGTGATAGTCATGACAATGAAACGAATGATGAAGTAAACGAAACAATCACCCCAATCATTACACAATTCTCTACTCATGAACGATTTGTCCGATCGGCAAATGTAAGTCCGACAGTCTCAAGAAGCTCATCACGCAACTTTTTACGTACAATGACTTATGATGGTGCATCAAAATTCTCAACTTTACCTCGTAGATTACGAGGCATAAAGTCTGGTTCTTCATCTGCAGGCTATCAATCAATTCCTGGACAACATGCACCAAAGATGTCAAGATTCAAAGTATACGATGACCAACGCTTTCAAGAGGATTTACAACAAACCGGTCAAGGAAATGGAGTTCGAGTCTGGTATGAATCTTACACAACAATCGACTGGATCCACGATGCGGTCAAAGAATCTTCTCGTCTCCGTAGATTGCGTTCGATTAAAGGATATCGAGGCATCTTGCTCAATCTTTGGGATCGTTTGCAAGGTTGGCTAATCGTTACAGTGACTGGTGTTATTACCGCTTTGATCGCAGGTGGAATCGTAAAGTCTGAAGCTGTTTTGTTTGACTTGAAAGAAGGATATTGCAAGCGTAATTGGCGTCTGGCAAAGCGCTTCTGCTGCCCGTTCGGTGATCAACCCGACTGGGATGGAGGCGGTAGCGTTGGATTCGCACCGAACAGCATGAATGCAACATCTTCACCGGCATGGTCTTATAGGAGCCAATTTATGACTTTGTCATCTGGATCTTCTGATCCAACGAAGGGTCTCTTGACTGGAATGGGAAACCGTATGTTAGCAGGTTGGTCTGCTCCAGTTGCCTCAAGTCCTGTTTGGCGTACGCTATCTCCAAGTACGGAGAACGAGAGTTGCCCTGGTTGGGTCACTTGGGCAGATAAGTTTCATCTGGCTGGAAAGTGGAACTTTATTGCAGAGTATGGTGTCTACATTCTTGTGGCAATTCTTTGGGCATCTATCGCATCTTTGTTGACGATCTACTTGACATCCTCCGAATTATACGCGAAGAACAAGACAGAAGACGAAGGACTTGCAACCGAAAACTCCCAAGTACATGAACCTGTCACACCATCGCATACTCAGACGGTAGATGAGTACACTCCTTTGCTCGGTAGTGCTCGTCCTGGCGATGATTCAATGGATAGAACGTACAACAGCAATGCGCCCCCAGATATTTCAAACAAGAATGCATTGCCCACAAAGATCTTTTCGCATTTGGCCAGCGAAGTACGTGCACGAGAAGCGTTGCCACCGCGAAAGGTGTTGTACTTCGGCAGCGGAAGCGGTATATCGGAAGTTAAGTGTATCTTGAGTGGATTTGTGGTTCACGGTTATTTAGGATTTTGGACTTTGTTCACTAAATCGGTCGGTTTGGCATTATCAGTCGCATCCGGTCTCTCTTTGGGCAAAGAAGGTCCTTTTGTTCATATCGCTTCTTGCGTTGGCAATATCGTTTGTCGTGTTTTTCCGAAGTATGAAAAGAACGAATCCAAAAGACGTGAGATCCTTTCTTGCGCTTGTGCTGCCGGTGTTGCCGTTGCTTTCGGTGCGCCTGTCGGTGGTGTTTTGTTCAGTTTGGAGGAAGTTTCCTATTACTTTTCTTCAAAGGTCATGTTCCGTTCTTTCTTCTGCGCTACAGTCGCTGCAGCAACTTTACGATTCTTGGATCCCTTTGGAACGGGGAAGATTGTTCTCTTTCAAGTAACGTACGATCGTGATTGGCATTGGATCGAACTCGGTTTCTTCATCGTGCTAGGAATATTCGGTGGCGTTTATGGAGCATTGTTCACAAAATTGAATATGATTTGGAGCAAACGTGTTCGTGCCACTTCATGGATGTCAACCCATCCATTGTATGAAGTGATTATGATTACCACAATCTCCGTCGCTGCAAGTTTCTTAAACGATTACACACGAATGGGAGGGCCAGAATTAATCGCAGATTTATTCAGTGAATGTCATGAGCATGAATCCTTAGAGGGCTTATGTGTCTCAAAGCCATCAGAAATCGGACCTTTGGTCACTTCTGTTGCATGGGCGATGATACTCAAAGGTGTGTTGACTATCATCACGTTCGGAATCAAGTTACCGGCAGGTATTTTCATTCCTACCCTTTGCGTTGGAGCCTGCTTTGGTCGGATCGTAGGTCTATTGGTGCAATATATTCAATGGACCCAACCCGATCTTTCCTTCTTTGCATGGTGTCAAGCCGACAAAAGTACAGCATGCATCGTTCCAGGCGTTTATGCAATGGTTGGAGCAGCGGCATGTCTGTCAGGCGTTACACGTACTACAATTTCACTTGTGGTCATCATGTTTGAATTGACGGGAACACTGACGTATGCTGTACCCGTGATTCTAAGCGTTTTGGTTGCACGTACGATCGCTGACGGTTTGGAACATAAAGGAATCTATGATTTGGTGATGGACTTTTCCGGTTTACCATATCTCGATGCCAAAGAAGAACACACATGGCAAGGTGTTTCGATTATTGATGCTGTTGATACCGGAATCGAAGTGATTTCGTTGGATGAACAGAATACAGTACAAAGTCTTAAAGAGAAATTGGAACGATTAGCAATTGTGACCAGCAACCCTGATGGAGGTTTCCCTATTGTAGTGGATCCTTCACGTAGAGCAGCAAGGATGGGCACGAGTGGATTTGGCAACAATGGCGGAGAATGGAGTCCTTCTAAGCCTAAATTGGTGGGATACATTGCAGCGCAAGAATTGGAACATGGATTGAATAAATTAATCGAATATGATGATGGCAAAACACCAATTTCAAACCTGTTTTGTACGTTTGATTATCTGCCCAGACCTGATCGATCTGTCGAAACGGCTCCGCAATCTGCTTTACCAACGCCGATGGAACGATCTGAAAGTGTGGATGGCGCAGAGAGTATTCGTAGTCCAAGCGAAATTGGAACGGATCATTTTATGCGTGATTCAGTCTTGTTGGCTTCAATGGATTCACCAAACGATTTGAGCATCTTTGTCGATAAAGCGCCGATCACATTGACAACCTCAAGTCCGTTAGAATTGGTACAACAATTGTTTACAAAGTTGGGCGTACGATATTTGATTGTTCTTCATGCATCCGATGGAACGTTAAAAGGAGTCATTTTCAAGAAGAGATGGTTAGCATTCTTGCATTCGTTGGAAGAAGGAGAGAAGCATATTTGAATGTTCATAGTCGCGCACACAAATATGTCAATGAATGGTAATGCTTGAAATTTATAACGATTGAAATGAATGGTATGATATGACAGATGCAATTAAGAAGCTTTTTTAAGGCAAGATTCAACCTGCGCATTTACTGGCTAAGCAAAGGGAATGAGAAACGATATGAAGACAAAAGTGATGTAAAAATGATTAGGAGCATAAGTGTCCATTTATAGAGCTCCTAGAAAGGTAATCTAGAGAACATAGCACAAAGCTGCCAAAGCACCAACACCGAAAGTGGATGCGATTGCAGTGAGAGATGGCTTTTGGAAGATGGAAGTGGCGCTGCTTGTGTTGTTTGATGCGGCTCTGTCGGCTCCATTTGTTGGAGAACTTCCTGAAGTACTTCCTCCTCGGTTGGAACCACTTCCACTTCCGCTGGTTGGCATTGTTGAAGTTGGTGCAGATGGTCCTGTGCTGGAGATAGAGTATAAACCGTTACCCAAAGATTTTTGTTGAACACAATCTGAAGAAGCTGCTGGTGGATGTGCATCAGGAGTGACTGCTTCACCTTGACGGAAAGTGGATCCACCATAGATACCTTGTAATGGAGCGTCTTCACCTTCGCATGATTCCCAGATACCAGCAGTGTAACCTGAAAGACTTGGCATGTTCCATCTGCATCCCATAACATCGTAAATATGTTCACCTGAAAAGGGGAAAGAAAAGGGGTTAGTATTAGATTCCACTCTTTTTTTTTAAAAAATCCTAATTCTGTACTTACAATGAGCAGCAGCTTGATCACCCCAGCAAGCACGAAGGCAGTATTGATCCCAAGACATAAAGTTTGTCCATTCACGGACTTGTCTAGGTTGTCCATTAGAAGCTGGATTAGCGGTTGTAAACATGATACCACCGATTGGGTTACCCAAATCATCAGCTCCGTGAGGGTCCATTTCACCTCCAGAGTCACCCATTGGAATACCGATTGAAGTGAAATCACCGGTACCTGAAACTTGAACGTAACTTGGAGTTTTCAAGAAATGAACACTTGTTAATGTTCCATCAGGAATCAAACGTGTTCCGTGCTTGTTGGTTGTGCAATAAGCAACAGCAACACGTTCTGTTGTACCAATGTCACCTCCATCAGGAGGACCCCAAATACACCAATCATTCACATCATTAATCCAAGCCGTTTGACATAGACTCTTTTGATTCCATTTACCGGCCGCACATCTGTTCCAACCCGTTTGTGGTTCTCCTCCGTTTGGCAGGGAAGGAACACGATTTGATCCCATATATTGATCGGGTAATTCATCAAGAGAATATGTTGGCTTTGGTTGCCATTGTGTCCATGCTTTTGTTGGTTGACCAGCTTTTCCTGGAACGAGTGCTTCTGGATCACCTTGTGCTAAAACAGATCCTGAGATTGCCAAAGAGGCTAAAGTCCAAGTTAGGATTGAAGCCATTGTGTTTTATATTATGATGATAAGATCAAAGGTAAGAGACTTTGATGAGGATAGGTGTTTGAATGGAGTGGTGGCGGTAAGGAAAGAGGAAGAGAGACTTTTCAAAAGCTTTAAAAAGGATCTTTGATTAAATTGAGTTAATGGTTTACTTATCTTTGTCTCTTAATTTCAACATACGGAAATGACCCTATTACCCTTTCGCGAAAACATGCAAGTAAGATCTTCTCCGCTTGTAGGACAGGGTCTAAAGTATGCAACAGATCAGAACATAATAATTCTATTATTAGGATCAAAATAATATATCTCACCCGTAGGCAGAGCGGGCGGCTTCCTCTCTCGCTCTTTCTCTTCTCTCGAGCAGTAGAAAAGAGCTTGGCGTGCATAGTTTCATGTTACCACGGAACACCGTCAGGGCGGGCAAGCGGGCGAAAGAGAGGGAAAGATGAGAATGATGATATGAAGAGATGCTTCGATGCATGAACGGTGTTCAATAAATTTAACGGAGGAGGAGGAGCGTTTTAGATGCCAAGATTTGTTCTTTAGATTGGCGAGTTGTTTGGTGTTATATGTATGGCCTTAGTGGCTTCAAGTTACCAATCGGTAGGCAGTGTAACAAACCTTGGCATGTTGTTCCAGGGACGTTGTATGTGGTGAAGAAGTGAAATGTCTTTTGCTTTGCATACTCTTTTCATTGCATTTAATCAGCCTAAGACTTTTTCAATCTTTGTTTAGCCTCTCATTAATGCAAAGATAGGCGAATAAGCCTTCTCTTTATTCAACGCGTAAAGTCTTGGCAAAACGTTTTAAAACCCGGGCTGGGCGTGTTTCTTAGGCAGAGGTGAAGTGTTGTTCTTTCTTTCTTTCTCTGCATAATATTCATTATTTTTGTTCCTATGAATATTATCTTTGGCATCTGTCAACATGAGTTTGACATGCACAACGCAGCGCAGCGCGCAGACGATGATATAATCAGCACAACAACATTTTTAGATTTGTCTTGGCTTGCGTGTGCATACTAAACGGCCTCCTTTCTTCCGACAGTCTATTATCCAAATCACGGGATCAAAGTCAAACGAATCAATCTTCTCGTTTCTGAACAACCATGGCTACCAGTAATGGTAAATGGGGAAAAAGATTGATATCATATGCTGAAATACCTTCTTGGGCACACGACAATGATTTCATCTTGAGTGGTTATCGAGCTCCAGGAGGAACAGTAGATGAACTAAAGAATATAAATGCAGAAACGAAAGTAGAGCTAAGTACGACCACTGCAACGAATCAAACAAACGGTACGAGAAGTCGTAAAGTCAAACAGCCAAATGGCACACCCGCCAAAGATCAATCTCGTATCATCGAAGAGCACGACTCATTCTGGAAATGCTGGGAAAGTGTTTGGCTATATTTGCACAATGAAACAGTCAACATTCATACACATCTGTGGGGTGCAATCGTAGCGATCATTGCAGTTGGACTTCACATCCTTGGCGATTATGAAATGATTCCAACTTGGTTACATCCAATCACTCATCATTCCATCTTTTATCCTCAATCCATCAACCCTTTACCACCAAGAATAACAAAGACGACTGGCTTCTGGCAATCTCTGTTCTCGGGATCGGATACAAAGCCTGCAATCACTGCTCCTTTAGCATTGAATGCCCTTATAACGACCCCTGGACATGAATCTTTGTTTCCTTGGCACGATGTTCGAGCACGCGATAACACATACGCTGATTGGCTTGGTTATGCTTCTTATCTGGCAGGTGCAATCACTGTTTTAACGTGCAGTGCAACTTTCCATACCTTGCATTGTCATTCGGAAAAAGTGTCAAAATCGTACAATAAGCTCGACTATATCGGAATTGTGGCAATGATCGTTGGAAGCTTCTTGCCAATGATTCATTATGGTTTTCATTGTCATCCCAATTTGCAATTATTGTATAGCGTAATGATTGTAACTTTGGGAGGTGCGGCAGCGTATACTGTCTTGGCCCAAAAGTTCAGTTCACCGGCTTATCGACCAATTCGAACAAGCGTTTTTATTGCTTTGGGTTTGAGTGCCATCTTTCCGGTAACGCATATTTTGGCAATGTATGGACACGAGACCGTTACACGTACGATGGGATTACATTATTTAGTGGCAGGTGGGGCTCTGTATATCGTTGGAGCATGCATGTATATGGCAAGAATTCCCGAAAGGTTTTCGCCTGGAACATTTGACCTTTTTGGAGCATCACATCAAATCTTTCACATTCTCATCTTGTTTGCCGCTTTTTGTCATTATATCAGCATTCGAAGGGCTCATGTATTTTGGCATACTGTTGAAGCAGTCACTTCTGGTCCTGGTACCGCAACTGAAGCTGTCTGTCAAGCTTTCGAGATTCTACGTTTTTCAACGACAAAACAATAGACTGCAATTTTGTATATTATTAAAAATGCAATCAAGCCTATAGATAACATTTTGCATATCGTGATTGTCAAATGCAAATGTACACATTTTTTTTTGTCTGTGGCTAAGCGAAAAGCGGCGGTGAAAATTTCAAAATGTTTGGATTGACTTGATCCTGTCTTGAAGAGTTTGCACATCCGACCACCTGGTGTGCTTGCTATTCAATTCACCAATCGAAGATGTTCTTCTTGCAAAGATGCTTCACTTTTTGCTTCATCGTTGTTCTGGTACATACAGTTTGTGTCTCCGTACATGCTTCTCCGGGAAAGAAGACTGCCTCTGTCAACGCTTTGGTGGGCGTTCCTTTGCCGGAAACCAGCAGGGAAAGATCAAAATCTCTTTCTTCATCATCTCCTTCCTCATTGCCGGAACGAACAGCGGCAAAACGACCGACGTTTGATTTGAACAGAACTCCAAGTCCTGAACTGGAGGAGGGTGCACAATCACCAAGTCCACAATCGTCAAGAGGCGCGAATTCCAAAAAGAATGCTCTTTCTGTAAAAAGTGTAAGTTAGACTCTAGACAAGAGCTTAACATTACACAATTTCTGACCTCCTATCTTCTTTTTTTCTCCAAAGATGCCCAAAAAGATTTCTTCTCAAAGTCGAAGTGCAAAACACAGTCAAAGATTCTATTGGAAACTGAAAGAGATGTATGTAATACAAAGAATGAATCCTTGACGAGCTTTGTTAACGCAATCAATCCTTTTTTTTCTATAGGACTGAATCCAGTGATCCAATAGAGGTAAGAACGCACCTACAGGTTTTTCGAGAAATAAACACTCATACTAATGTATCTTTTCATCTCTTTTACAGGCTCGATATGCCACAGAACGCTTAGCGCATCGTAGAAAGCTCAACACCTTGTCTGCAAGGAAACGGAGAGCTGCTGAGCGGGGAAAAAAACGTATGCAGAAAGATAGAGACCAACAAGATTAATCGTCACAAAACGGAGTTTGATCGAAAACCCCGCTATATGCAATCTTGAACTCATTCACTCAGCCGTCATTGTATCCGTTTATCGTGAAGAATTCATTACGCCCGAAGAACATTTTGTGTACGCACAGCCATTCGTCCAAAGATGATACGACAAAAGATTAGAATGTTCTCTCCCTTCACACAGCTTCAATCATTTGCTTCTGTACCATGAAAAATGTCGAGCTCTCTCAGTAATCTCTACCTCTTACTCATTTTGATCATCCCAGTCATTGGTGTGCACGCAGGTCCTGAGAGGTACTCAGTGTACCCAGCTCAAAGCACATTAATGTTCAAAAGACAAGTCAGGGATGGTAATGGTAAGCTCATTGATCTGAACAAAGAGCCAACTCCCGAGCCTGACTCAGGAGATATGTTAGAAGGAGGCCAATTAGCATCGATGGAGCTAGCACGGAAGATGAGACCATCACACAGAGCCAATTATAAAAGAGTGTACCGCAAGGGTGCCGGACCACCTGTAAGTTTAAATGAATTCCATCGTCATACCAATGGATGGTATGTCTGAAAAACCTTTTCTTTTTAGCCTGGCCTTTCTGAAGATGAGAAACGCTTATTTCGAAACAAAGTCAAGCGGGAACAACAACGCGAAAGAAGGAAGTTGTGAGTATTTAAAATGCTCCTAATTGTCGTAAGTTGCGAGCTGATAGACAAATATCTTTTCGTTTATTTGTACAGCATGAGAACCAGCCCAAATGAGCCCTATGCTGTTGCCCTTATCGAAAACCATAAGAAAGCACAAAAGAAACAAATTCTTCAGCGTGCAACGTTATTGCAACGAGTCAATATGGGACTAGGTACTCCAGAGGAAAAAGCAAAAGTTATACGTAAACGAGCAAGAGACCGTTTGTATAATTATCGCCGCCGGTATCCAGGCATGGACTTGTCGAAATTAGCAGAATTTGAACGGAGCATCAAACCAGAATAGGTAGAATGGCTACTTTTTAAGTCAATCAACAGTCACTGGTGTATCGAATTTTGATATGATAACAAGAGGTCTCGCGATCTTGTCCAATATGCTTTCTTCAGAACTTCTCAAGCTGTGAAAAATATACTTTTGTGACTAGACAATGCAACGTTTCAATGTGTAAGCAGTGCCCCGAACATAAATAAAGCATAGCCCTTTACCTCGGGATGACATAAGTGTAAGATTAGCTGTTCACTTTTTCAATTCAAACCTCCAACAATGCTTTCATTTCATCGCTCTTTCCTGTTTTTGATCTTCATGAATTACGGAGTAAGAATAGTACCATGTCTTCCTATCGCAATCGATCAGCCATTCCTGGCTCGAAGACAGGTCCGTGAAGAAGGAAGCAAGCCTATCGATTTGAATAAAGAGCCTTCGCCTGAAGTTATTATTCAAACCACAACATCTGCCTTAACTTCACCTGCATCTGTCCCTATCACAGCTAGCGATTCAAGGCAAACAGTTCCTGATCCAGCCGTCTCTGTAATACCAGGGTCCGCGCAATCTCGATACAAGCTCACAAGAAAATATGAACGCATGAATATCCCAGTGAGTAGTGTGTGCACTTCATTCTAACTTCTTACACTGATTCAAGCCTTCTAATCCAATTCATGCTAGCCCGGTCTTAATGAAGAAGAAAAAAGGAGGTTCAGAATTGATGTCAAAAATGAGCGAAGGAGGAAGAGAAGGAAAGAGTAAGAATTGTTCAAAGTGATATTTGCAGAAGACACCTCACACTAACCCTACTATATTCTCTAGAGTCAAAGCTTCTACAGATGAATCGGTACGCAGCATCATACGAGAACGAGCTGAGCAGGCAGTGGCCAGACAAACCGCTCAGCGCAGACGAGATAGAGCCCATGTTAATGTAGGATTAGGTACGCCAGAACAAGAAGCTAGAGTAGCAAAAAAGAGAGAAAAAGATCGTCTTTACAATCGAATGGTACGAAATCTTCGTCGCAAGGAGGAAACGAAGAAACGGAAGAAACAAAAATTATCAAAAGCTTCCGATCAACAAGAATAATGAATCCTCCCGTTTGTATTACAAGCTGTGTCATATAATGTAAACTTTCAAGTTTCCTCTCTCCCGAAAGCAATGCATGCATTCGAATATTCAGCCACTGGAAACGCTTAGAGATTCAACGTGGGTCAACAAGGGACAAGCATGTGTTAACAAAATACCTAATGAGCAATGTGGTCCATCTCGGGGCTATTGAAACGACTTCTTATTTGCAGTGGCGTGGAAAAATGCTATTTAGTTGTGTCTTTCGTCCCTTCCACCATTCAATTAGTGTAAAGATGACATGCAAATATTTTCAGTTAGCGGTTTCATCTTTCCTAGTGCTTGCCTCAATACTTCACAACACAGTCACTGCTACACCAACAATCCTTGACAAGAAAAGTCAATTCAAATTTAGTAGCCCAACAGCATTTGTTCAGATCTTCCGAAGACAAGTGCGTGATGACAAAGGCAGATTGATTGACCTAAACAAAGAAGCAACTCCTGAGCCTGACCTACCAGTTTCGCATGGGCAGGACAGCAGCACCGTCCCTAACCTTGAACATTCCACGACACTATCTTTATATTCTCCAATGCTGGGTGGTAGTAAGGAAACGTCAAGGTACAGTTTCCCTAGGGCCTACAAAAAGATACATGTACCCGTAAGTTCTTGAAATTTCAGAACGTTGCAAACAGACTTACTTCTCCTAACTATCTGCTTGCATTTCTATTTCAATTTAAAGGAAGGCCTGACTGCCGAGGAGGTAAAGGAGTTCCGTTCTAAAGTGAAAAATGAACGAAGGCGTGAAGCTACAAAAAAGTGAGTTTTGGATGATATTTGGTTTTCTGACAGTGACATTTAACCAACCACCTTTACAGAGCAAGAACATCAACTGACCCTGCTGTACGCAAAATTATGAATGAACGCCGTGAAAGAAACCTCGTGACACAAAGAAAATATGACAGGAATATGCGATTAAGGGTCAATTATGGCGTTGGAACGGAAAATGAAAAAAGAATCATTGCAAAGAAGAGGGCTGCTTGTCAAAGGTACTACCATGTCGTAAGGAAGCCAAAAAAGGAAGCGCAGAGACAAGCACATATTCAGCTCCCGGAGCCGAATGCTTCAACATCTGAAAATCGAGGCTAAGAACGGATGATTGGATGGGGCTTCATGAAGTAAGTCGCATATCTACACAAAAAGGTCCATCATTTGTACATTGCTTCAGAAAAATTCAATATAGACGGGGGTGAGTCTACTTGACTTAATAAACAACATCACAATTTTTTTCCGGGCTACAATGTTACATTGGTCAAAGTTGCATAAATAATAAAACTTTTAGATACTTTCCATCATTTCCACATCATCCAAGAAAGACTAAATGATGACAAATTACACATGTGTCCTTATGTTAACCATTCTTTCTCTGGCATTTCTATATGATGTCCGAAACAATCAACAAACTCTCTGTAATGATAGTGCACCATCTGGAACAGCACTAGAGACAGTCTTCTGGCTCAACGAACAAAGATCAAACACAATTCTTCTTCGAAGACAAGTACTTGACATTGACTTGAACAAAGAGGCATCTCCTGAGCCAGAAAGAGAAGCATCACCATTAGGTCACAATGAAAAAAAATCTGCACTTCAGGTACCACAAGCGTCTGCCACTACTGCTCGAAAGACACGAAGGTATAAAGTCCCAAAAACATGGCGAAAGATTGATATACCGGTATGTATGATGTTCGTTAAACACATGTGATCATGTGGTTACATATCTCCATCTTCCTCTACAGAGTCACCTAGTCGGGGAAGAAAGGAAGGCATATCAAGCTCAAGTCAGATATGAACGAAGAAGACAAGAAAGGTGAGGTCAAAGATAGGTTCTTGGAAGGTCCTGCCCCTCAGAGCTGACGATCTTACACCTCCATTTTCAACAGGAAAAGAAAGAGAGAGGCTAATATCTCAGCAGCTATTGAACGCGGAGAGACTGTGCCCTCTTCAGGGAGGTATCGAGTATTAAGAACATGGAAGAAGATTCAAGTGCCGGTAAGTTTGACGTTTTTGAGCTTTTGACAAGCAGATGATTTGACAGGTTCATGATTCCCTGCCTTTAGGATGGTTTATCACCCGAGGAGAGTAAAGCGTACCAAACAAAGGTCAAAGCTCAACGCAAACGGCAAAGAATAGAGTTGTAAGTTTGCAGGCATGCCTCATCCAAGATACTTCCAGAGCTGACCTGTCCGGATTCCCCTCTTGACAAAACTTAGAATGAAAAATAGGGTTAGAGAAGGAACAGCTACAGTAGCAGAAAAAGAAAGCATTGATCGAAAAATTCAACATTCTCGTCAATACTATCAATTAATAGGCAAACCAAGAAGAAAGGAAATGAAGGAAAGAAACCAGAGATTGATTCAAGAAGCAAAGAAGCGTACTCCCCATTCTGACAATCAACAGGGTTCAAAAGAGTGATGGAAGCAAGTCGCAATAGTCATTTCCCTCCAAGAGTGTATGCGTATCAGACTATTCCTGGCATATGAACGCGCTTAAGCCGAGCAATTGACAACGTATGCATTGTTCGATACGCTAAGACCATTTTTCACTCTTTCGACGATCTCATTGCAATCAAGACTCTCCTACCATCTCCCTCGCTATGCTTTTCCACATGCTATCAATCTGTCTGTAGATTTGACATCATTTATACAGCACTGCTCGGCGCCTTCCATCGACACATTCCGGAACCGTAAGCATATGCCCTTTACGCCGAACGGAATCGGCATCTGAGCCTGTTAAACATTCATTATTGGTCACCTCGATTTGAACCTCTTTTCAATCACTATCACCTCATCAACCTTTAAAGATGCCATCTGATCTACAGCACCACCGTCCTCCTCCACTGGTATCAGTCTCTGGAGCAGTCGTGTCGTATATCCATACCATATGTGGCTTTTTGGCATTTGGAGGCGCTTTATTGGTGGGTCTATCACTGCATTATCATAAAGTCGTCAAAAATGGAATAGCAGGATGGCCAGAAGAGTATTGGCCAAGTGTAAGCGCAACAATTGGAGATTGGTATCCAGAAAGAAATCTATTCCAAATCGGAATCGCATTAATGTCAGGTCCAAGATTTTTGCTCGTCTTCCTTTCGTCGATGCTCGTTTCTCTTTCAAAGCCCCATTCATGGCATGCAAAAACGCTTTTGGTTACCGGAATCGTGCGCACTTTTGCTTGCGGAGGATGGGTCTATGTGACTTCCTCTGACGATCATGACGTACACGATATAATGATGGGATTATATCTCATCTTAACGCCGCCATGGATGTTCATTACCAGTGGAAGTCTTGCACAACAACCGAACAAGGAAGCTCTGATGAGCACTTCCAAGAACAAACAAGATGCTCTGGCCGAAAAAGCACGCAAGATGCGAAGGTTGGCTGCAAGTGCATTTTTTGGCATGATACCTTTTATGATCTTCTTCTTCTATCGACACAAGGTACTCGAAATACATGGTGCATATACCCATTACGCTTTCTTTGAATGGGGATTGATTATCTTCGTGAGTAGGCATGTAAGCGGTTTGCATTGGTAAATTTCTGACCTTTTCCTCTTTTTTCAAATGACAGGATCTTCTATACGATTACGCATCAATGTATGATTTGAGCAGAATCGAGATTCAAATTGTCGAAGCAAGCAATCCAGCAGTCACAGCTGTCGCCGAAGAAAAAGGCGCAAACAAGATGTTCGGCGGTACGTGGCTGGTGGGAGGTACGAAAGAGGCAGTTACGTCTGGAGCATGGAGTACACCGCCATCTTCTTCTGTCAATGGTCTGAAGGGAAAAAATACAAAGTATGCTACCAAGATTCTTCCTTGATTGCTTGTACATTACTGCAACATACTGACAAATGCACTTCTTTGTCTCCATTACTACCTTTAGGCAAACGAGTGCCAGAATCCAGCAGGTAGATAGACCTGGCGAAGTATCTTTTGTTTCGGATTCTCTTAACTTCTTATCTGAAGCTTACTTGTGTGCGTACATACTGTAAATCTTCCTCGTAACGTCTGCTGACTTCCTTTCTACGTACCTTCAGCATTCTTATTTTGGACCTCCGTGACTGGACTGCATGCCGAAATCTTTTTTTTCAGCGTTTACAACATGGGAGTAGGCGGGCATGAAGCACTGTTGGTCATTCAGGTCATCGCATTGGCAGTATCACTCTTGCCGCCTTTCCAAAGGCTGCTGGTTGGTGAAGATACCAGCAAAAAGTTGACCAGGAAATCTGGCGATCTCCTCAACGTTCATGTTGGAAGGCATCGTGTATCTGTTCTGATTGTAGTCTACATGCTTTGCTTGTCTGGATTTGCTTCTTGGATCTTCGATGATGCATTGACGAGGCTCATTTCTACAGCATTGAGTTGCAGTGGATTTACATATTTGACGACATTGGAATGGGGTAGAGCGTGGGAGACAAACGACTTGGATTCCAAAGCGCTCGTGTGGATCGCGGGTTTACTATTGTCAAGTCTAGCAAAGTATGCCAATCACAGCAATAACCCTGCTTGGAATTTCCTCAAATCTGACAATGGAGGCTTGAATGCAGTAGCATTGATCTTAGCTTTAGGTGCAATCGCTCAACGTATAATTAGCTTGCACAGACAGTACAAATTCAAATTGGAGCCATACAAACCCCGTAAGCGAACAAGCGGGGCAGACTCTACAATTGCGATTTTGAGTCTTGGAGCGTTGATTTTTGGATATCACGTTTTGCTTAGTGACTCTGGTACCTTGATCGCATGGACATGGACTGGATATCCGGTCAAAGGACCAATGGCTATCCCTCATGGACGTTTGATCTTGCTGGCATCGTGTATTGCTACGATACTATCCATCAATCGACCAAGCCTAGCTTTGCAGCCCTTGTTCTGGGTCTTTGGCTCGGTATCTCTCTTTGTGGTTTGGGCCTTCGAAGATTGGCTAGGATTTTTGGGAGCGATTGGAGTGGCCATTTTCTTGCCTGCAATCGCATCGCCTCTTTTGCAGTATACCATGCAAAATCATCCATTCAAGATCATGCTTGGTGCCTGGTTTGTGGCGGATCTATTGGCCTTCCTTCAAGTACTCACAGCAGCTTATGCATTCGTGCCTGGAGGCAAAGTGATGCGTGAGCATACAGGATTGATGATGGCCATCATGATGACATTCCTCAGCTTAGGATTGTGGAAAAGTCGTGCTTCTGAAGACCAGATCAAGACAACATCCAAACGCACTCGAATGCTTGGAACTGCTGCTTTGAGTTTGTTGGCTCTCAGCGCTCAACTCGTACCTCTATTTCGAGCCGTTGAACCACAAAGCATCAAACCATATCATCCCTCTGACCGCGTCTTCACTGCAGGAATTTGGACGATCCATTTCGGACTTGATCAATCCATGTGGGACAGTTCCCGTCGAATTGCAGGATTGGTGGAGGATGTGCAATTGGATGTGATTGGTCTGTTGGAAAGCGATACACATCGTACTGTGTTTGGAAATCGTGATTTGACGCAGTATCTCGCCGAAAGACTCAACATGTACGCTGACATAGGGCCGGGCCCCGACAAGCACACCTGGGGTGCTGCACTCTTATCCAAATTCCCTATTATCAATTCTACTCATCACTTGCTTCCATCGCCCAATGGCGAACTTGCACCTGCTATACATGCAGTCTTGGATGTTTATGGAGTGCACACACATGTGATCGTAAGTCACAATGGTCAAGAAGAAGATCCATACGATCGTGAATTGCAAACAACTGAAATTGCAAGAATTTTACGTGAGGCATATCCACATCCAGCCGTATTTTTGGGTTACGTTGTCACAAAGCCACATGCACCAAGACCGAATCCGTACGAAATCTTATTCAAAGACGGTCGAATCTTTGACGTTCATCCTGATGATTCAGATCGATGGTGTCAATATATCGGTTTCCGTGCACTTGAACGGGTTGCATATGTGCGTGTTTCACGATATACAGTCACTGACACTGAATTACAAACGGCCAAATTCCGCGTTCAAGCACCTGGAATGCCGCCAATCGATCCAGACAGGGATGTCTTACCGTTTCACACAATGGTCGCACCTGTTGAAGGAACAGCATGGGCTTATCCGACCAAGTTTATCGATCCTCCTTCTATGGTATACGATCGACACAAGTACAGCCCATGGTATTGGCCGTGGTATTATCATGCACAAGAAGCACCGCAATTGGTGTTGTAAATCTGATTATTTGGAGAATTTAATTTTATTCTTGTACATCATCATTCAGAGAGGTGTGTATGATTTCCCCGGAATTATAACCTTCGGAAAAGCCGTTCTTTTCTCCACATTTTTTTTCCGTTGGCGCGTTTGATTTTATGCATGCATATGTAAAGACCCTTTTCCGATTACGATCTCTCGTCAGTGCGTTTGGAACTTTATGCATGCTCAGAGAATGATCCTTACGGCTTTTGTAATCTGGCTCACTGCATCGGAGACCCCGAAAAGGTCTGATTGATAGTCTTTCTTTGTCGTGGAGTGGAGGGAAAGGTGTACACAACCTTTCATCTTTATACTATCATCACCACTTCCAGCCTAAAAACATGGATCCATTCAATCGCCCTCAAAAGCCAGTCAGTTGGATGCAATACCAACGTGACGCATTCAAAAGCGGAACACAAGAAGGTCACTTCCCTCCATTCAGTACGGATGCAAGTAAATTAGAAGCATTGGCACATGAACGTCTTTCACAAAATGGTTGGTTGTATGCTTCGAGTAATGCAGGTTTAGGAACAACTCATTCGGCCAATCGAGAAGCATTTAATAATTGGAAAATTGTACCAAAGATGCTTCAACCTAATCATGAACGTGATACACGTACTCAACTATTTGAAAAAACTTTATCTGCCCCAATCGCTTTTGCACCTATTGGTATAAACAAGATTTATCATCATCTTGGTGAATTACCCGTTGCAAAAGTTGCAGGTGAATTAGGTTTACCCTATACACTTTCTACTGCTGGTTCTGTTCCTATCGAAGATGCAGCAAAGTCAAACGTGGTCGGCGCACAACAAGGTTATAATGAAGGATTAGGAGCTCAATACGGTGATGGCTTGCGTTACTATCAATTGTACATGCCACACGATTGGGAATTGGGAGCAAATCTGTTGCAAAGAGCGGTCGATAGCGGATATGAAGCATGTATCTTCACAGTTGATACTTGGAGCTTAGGCTGGCGACACGATGATGTAGCAACGAGCAATTACGCATTCTACAAAGGAATTGCCGCCGATTTGGGTCTAAGTGACAAAGTGTTTATGAAACGGATGCGTGAACAAGGTATCGATATGAACGATTTGCCAAAGATTGGAGAAAGATGGGTAGACAGCTATTGGCACGGCGTTCCATGGGGTTGGGATGATTTACCAAAGATTATCAAACTTTGGAAAGATATCAGTGGTGGAAAGCCATTCGGTGTAAAAGGTATTCAAAGAGCAGAAGATGCAGAACGATGCATCGAAGCAGGCTGTGAAATTATCTGGGTTACAAATCATGCCGGAAGACAAATTGATGGTGCGATTGCAAGTTTGGACGCTCTACCTGCCATTGCCGAAAAAGTGAATGGAAGAGCAAAGATTATCTTTGATTCGGGAGTACGTTCAGGAAGTGACATTTTCAAAGCATTATGTTTAGGAGCAGATGTCGTTGCTCTGGGTAGACAGTGGATTTGGGGTCTATCTATTCAAGGTGAAGTTGGCGTTCGTCATGTTATGAAAGCTATCTTGGCAGAATTCGATATCGTGATGATGTTGGCAGGAGTAAAGTCTATACAAGAAATAAAGGAGAACGGAAAAGATCTACTCAAGTATATGCCAAACGGCGTGGATCTTGCTCTAGCAGCAAAAGCAAAGATCTGAGTCTGCACCATCAACTGTGAGAAAGAAAACGAAGCGTTTCTTATTATTTTGGAAACCTCGGATACTTGACACCGATAGATTCCTTTCCTTCAGCTTTCATTCGACGATGATAATTATCTCTACTTTTCGCTTTCATTTCTTCTTTGTGGTTTTGATAATATCTTTTCGATCGAATCTTTTCTTGTTTTAGATTTCTTTTACGACGAGGCTTGTTCACATATTATGAAATAGAATCAGTGAACTGGCATATAAACATCAGCGAATTTACTCACCTTTGGCTTTTCTTGTGCGTTTTGAGTGTCTCCTGTGCCTGCTGGAGTCTGCAAGTGAAGAAGTGGGTCAGCATTTCCTTGCTCAAATCTTTATCCCACAATTTACACACATTACAACTGTCCTTCGATGACTTTTTGCTACTCCTGGAGCGTTTCCTCTTGTTTCCTTTCTTTTCAGGTGGATAGATTGTCGGCTCACCATGATGTTCGATAGAGAAAGGATCATAATAAGCATCATGATACATGCTTGATGGCGACATTGAAGCTTGTTCGGTTGAGAAATCAACATCAGAACTTGTCGAAGCTCTCTTGGCCAGAAAATCTATCTGACTTGAAAGAGATAAAATGAAGCATTTCTGGAGGATGATTAATGCGAGCAAGAACACTATTCGTAGTGATATCAAAAAAAGTTTTCTCATTATGATATGGTAAGACAGTTGTGATGAAGAGGGAATTCTGAACTATATAAATGTCATTTCGGGCAATGCAAACACAATCTGACAACCGATTCCTTTTTCAGCGCTACGGGGCTTGGTTTGTGTGTTGTTGGTCTTCTTGCTGTGGTACATTCATAGTTTTCAATTCTCTCGCAATTCGTTTCCTCTCTTTCAACTTTGCTGCATTCTTCACATAATACCTTCTATGACTTGCTCGACGTTTTGATGTTCTTTCATATTTGCGTACAAACTCATATTCTTCCTTTTCGAGCTGATCAGCTGGTCTACGTAGAATTTGGAATCAGCACTGCTTTTCTTTTGCGTATGTACAGCATTTCAACTTTACTCACTTGTTTGTAAGCTCTTCATATCGTTTAAAGTTCTGTTCCTGTTTAAGCTTGGTAGGCTGAGATGATTCTGACCTTGTAAGCTGTGAAAAATCTCTGGTAAGTAACAGATCATATACTCACCGTCATCTTCCGTTTATCTATGAGTGGCTCCTTCTTCTCTTTTTTCATTGTAGTCTTACCGATTGCCTGTGAATCAAAATATCAGCAATTTGTACAAGAACTCTGTCGGGATGTACTTACTTGCTCTTCATCATTGTTTTGTTCCTTTCGAATCTTTGATTGGCCGACACCAAGATGATTTCGGTTTAAGGTGGTTTTGAGCTTTTGCTCTTTCGGAGATACTCACTGTAGAAGACTTCCTTGTATACTTTCGCTTTGGCTTACTGACACTTTTTTCACTTGTCGTTCTAATCGGTGATGTAGGTCTATCCGGGATAGGAGAAGATGGCGGTGGAGTCCATCGAGTTGGATCATGATGTGATGCGAATGGGTCATAGTATGCATCCTGATATATGTGACCTGTTGACCTTACGGGACTGTACACCTCAACAGAACTGGATGAATGAGTAGGTGAATGTGGATATGGTGTTCTTGCCCTTTTCCACATTTTAAGTTGCTGAAAATTAGGATCTGGTTCTATAGCCATGTTCCCGACGCAAAGGTGTTGCATCGCAGTGAACATAGCCATGAAAAAGGCCATCTTTTGCAATTTCATCGTAAGACTTGTTTGCTTGATGAGGAATAGATGACATTTGAAGTTGCTGGATAAATTTGGATGCACTCTCGGCAGAAGAGGCAGTTCACCAACGCAATCAAACGGAATTGTGATATCAAGCCCCGTCGATGCTAAGACCATTATTCGAACCAACTTTTGTCAGACGAGTATACACACAACAACTAAAGTAATATATTATCGAAACAAAAGTAAGAAAGTGAATTAGAGGTAGATGTCGAGGGTTGCTGAATTGACTTCAAGACCATGGGAACCTTTTTCCAAGTGTTCATCGACCAAAAATTGTAATGGCATGTTGACTAAACCTCCACGCCATTCACTAAGTCGTTCTTTGATATGTTGTAAAGGCATATTCAGATCGGCAACATGTCCTGTTCTTGGTCCACGTGCAACAAAGAATTCATGGTATTGCTTCCAAGTGCGAACTTTATCCGTTGGTACCACTTGGAAAATTTCATCAGCAATCTCTGTGTTCTTTTGAGCCTGTCCTTTCCATAATTGTTCCACTTCATCTCCCAATGGATCTTCTACCAACTTTTCCCACTCTGCATCCTTTCCACTTAATGATCGCGAAGGGTCAGGGTTCGAGTGTGGAGCTGGACGCATTGCAGCGGTGGGGTATGATTTGGCAGTCTCAGGTGTGCAATATTGGGGTTCGACCAATCCCAAATGTTGACGCCATAAATGTCTTCGGAAACTGGCGGCAAATCGTGAAGCCATGTACTTTTCGCCATTCATTCGACTTTCGAACAAATCCAAATCGTCAATCACCACAGCAGTTTCACTATCACCGTATCCTTTTTGAGAACGGTCATTGAGATTTGCGCTACCGATCAGAACCTTACGATCATCCACAATGATCAATTTGCTGTGCACATATATTTCTTCCGTAACATAAGCCTCCTTTTCTTGTGCTTCATCTTGCGTTGGCCATGGTTCATCCTTGATCGGCTTCTGGCCATGCAAAACATTTGCTGCAATCGAATCTCTCACGCTTCCATCTTGAGGAGGTGTGGCAGCCTCGAACTTTTTCAAAATTTCCATGGCTTCCTCAGTTGTTTGGGGTAATGGGACTTGTTGAATTCCTTTGCCTTTTTCTTTATCATTGTCCTTTCGATCTTTGTCATCTGCAACACGAATGGATACTGTTGCTTTTTTGCTCACGTATCCTTCTTTACCAAGGAAGATTCGAGCTGCCGCAACTTGAGCTTCGTGGAAAGTGACCCCACTCTTTTCTTCCATTTCACGAACGTGAGCTGATTGGATTCGATCGATACCTCTCAAATTGTAGAAGCTGATGTATTCGCTTGCATCAACTCCTGCCTCGTGGCACTGTTCCATAATACTCTTTCCGCCACGAGAGATTGACTTGTATTGCCATGCCATGATAGCACGAATTCCGGCTGCTTGATCCAATTCTCCAGCAAAGCACGGAATCGTAGGAATGATGACAATGATTTTGAATTTGCGTTTATCGCGTGCTGCCGATAAAATTCTTTCAACCAAAGCAGCTCCGATCATATTGACGACTGGGGTACCTGGTTGCGTTGCAGTAACAAAGAATTGGTTTTCAATGTAGATGCAATGATTTGCTTCGCGGATCATCTCAATGTATGCGTTCTGAATTGAAGTCTCGGTCAGCGTTCCATTGCTCCAATCGGCACAACTTCTCACTACTTGAACGTCCATATTTTGCACCGATTGCTCAATACCTTCGGGTTGCGTAATCATTCGATGTTGCGCATGCCATGGGTGACGGAAGATTTGACCAGCTGCATGGAATTCTTCCGTATTTGGATGGGATTTGATCGCATCGTGCTCAGGTTCTACTTCTTCCAATGATGGTGCTCCATGTGGGAAGGCTAGCAGAGGGTATGTTTTGTCCTTGGGATATTTTAAGTCTTTGATGAAATTCCATCTTTCGATGAAAAGATGTGCTGTATCTAGAGATGCAGGACCATGAATGGAAACGTGTACATCGTGCCACGGCATACGAGCAACAACGAGAGAGCTTTGTTGATTGCTCATATAATCGTCAACATGTTGGAAATCTTCCACTCTTGCGTTGTTGTAATCTTGACCTGGGAATAGTGTATAGTCGAGCATTTCTCCAACGTGAACGTCGGAGAGCGGGTGGGTTTGCGTGTCCCATCTACCGTAACAAATATCCAAGCCTCCCACACATGAAGTTTCATTGTCAACAACAACCAACTTTGAGTGATGACTGAACTTCATCGATATTTCTCCTCCCATATGATCAGGATGACGCAAAACACGAATATTTTCATGAAGTGATTCCAGTCTGTGCTTAGTGTATGCACTGCTCAAAGTCATGGCTTGGGTGACTTCTTTGTATACGATGACACGAATTTGTACGCCTTCTTCTGCCTTCTTTTTCAAGAGCCTGTCCAGTCTATACTCCTCAAATAAGGCAGGTGGACGACGAAGGTACAGCTCCGGGCTTAACCACCAGTCCAAGATATAAATGCATTCCTTTGCATTCTCCAAGATTTCCGAAAGTGCCCAAAAGTAATCATGACCATCAGAATACCACTTTACACTATTTTTATTTCTGATATTTGCGAATGAACGATAACGATGAGAATCGCAAATTTCTTGACGAATGCGATCTTGTTCCTTTTCGTGAGCTTCATCATGACGATGATTTGGGTTTATTGTAGTTTCAATCGTTACTTTTAAACGACCCAAAGAGGCTGCCATTACCTCTGGGTCCATATGCTTTTTCAAAGTATCTTTCAATCCCATTTTTAGAGATGCGGTAATGGGTGTGGGAATATGAAAGTTGGAGAGGAGAGAATGAGCCCCACTTTATTCGCAACGTGGCTTCTTTCTTCTAGCCCGTGCGAGAATCTCGATGTTTTGCATGAGTTTAATCTGACACTAAAAATATCAATCCCGATTTGCCCTTTAACAGCGCGGCAAGAGTACGGCAAAAAAAAGACACCCGCTTAGGAACATGATTGCTATTGTGCCTAGGCTAGCCTTGTGACCGGATTTAACAAGCCTCTCATGATAGACAGATATGTGATGTATTTATCTTAAATGTCCCAAACTTGATTAGAAACACAATCCAACAAAGTGACAATGATCATTCTTTAATATCTTAGATCAACCTAAATTGAACACGCTTTTCATGCTGCTTAACTGTAATCTTACAGGATAGCGTTGCGACACGTCTTTCGTTGCATCATACCACCAACAATCTTCTTGGTCAACTTTGGCTTGTAGGAGGGATTCGCTATCATCGCCAATTGATATGTCGGGAGATAGCCCCTCCGACCGTAAAAGGGTACGATTGGATGAAGAGGCAGAGGAAGTGGATGATGTTGTCCCATTAGAGCAGGATGAGAACCAAGGTCAAGAGAATGAAGCAGGACCATCAGATGAAGTATTACATGCGGCAAGACTTGCAAAAGTGATACAGCATCGACCGAAAGTAGGGCTACAGACATTGAAATTTGCTCTAGCATGGAGTGCAACAAACATAATCGCAATCACACGATCGAAAAAGATTACACTTGTTCATCTCTTGGCTCCTTCTCGTGCTTGTCACATCCAAACACCAGAAAAGGCCAGCATACTAACGTTCAGTCCAGATGGAAATGCATTGCTGGCAACCTTTCCGGAAAGTGCGACAGTTTCTCTATGGACATGCAGCTCAAATGTGCTCAATGATTGGACTCTGCGTGGTGAATGGAGACAATTGGAAGGGAAAGTTCTTGATGTGAAATGGCTAAATGCGGGCCGTCCTCGCACCCCTTCTAATCTGTCGAAGAAATCTTCAAGAGGGCCACAGATGAATGACAAAAATGTTATTGTTGCGATTTTGGTAACCGACGTTGGGCTTGTCAAGATCATCCAAGGAAATTTGCGACCTTCTTCCGACTTACGAACCTTTCAGCATAAAATCACACTTAACTCGCATCATCGACTACAACAGATCAGTATAGGTCTTGTACCCGACGAGTCGCTGGCAATTTTGGCATACACCCTCCGCTATTCTTCAAAGGCCAACCTACCGCATGCATCCGGAGCTGGTGATGCATTGGATATGTTCTTTGATGATACAGAAGGATCGGATCCATCTAGCGGAAATGCAGCACCCAGCGATGGACAGGATCAAATTGAGCTTATGGAAGTGAAGATTGATTTACACCCCACCGATGATTCTCTGGCACTTCAATCAAGATCTTTACCGCCAGTCTTTACAGCAACATTTGATGGGCCTTCGATGCCTAGTACGACGTATCTGAATCAACTAGCATGGGTGGATATTGAAAGCACTGGAAAAGATGAAGGTCCAATTATGCAATTGTTTGCGTCATTCTTTACTGATTGTAAAACAACTTTGCGAACATGGAAGATCAGAAGGGAAGAGACAACTCGCCTGTCAGAAGCATTTGCAAAGCTCGAATCGGCAAAGACTACTAGTACCTCAAGCGATGAAGAAGAATGGACAGTTCAAGATTCTGTAGATCTCGTTGTGGAGAATGAGCAACTTTCTGACTTTACGTCTTCTGCATCGATGGAGAATCGATTGGTATGCACATCCGTTGCATCATCGCGCTTTGAAAAGATTGAGGATACGCCAAAAGTGGAACCTAAGTACGAGGTGTTGAATATGGAGACGATGAAAAGGAGGTCGATAGAAGGAGATGATGGCCTCAGGACGAAATGTAGAGATAGCCTGTACAGGCCTGCAGTCTCACCTCATGCAACGATGATAGCGGGTATCGGAAGAGGTAGGATCGTTCTTGCTTCAGTCACAGGATTGTTGGATGAAGCAGCAGATGATGTTTCATTGTACAGTGCTGCAATTTTGGACGGTCAAGATCTTTCAGATATAAGCAGTTCTAGAGCATTACCGCCGATCGCTCAAATTGCATCACGTTTGAAACTGGGCCAGAATCCCTCGTTCCCACACGCACTGATGCTTTTGAGCTTGCAAGCAAGGCGAGAGAAGGGCAACGACGTTTCCCGTCACACAGAACGAACGATGCTAGAGCTTTCATCAGCATTTCGAGTAGTTGCTGCTTCTGATGCTACTGATGGATCTTTTCAACTATCAAAAGTTTGGGCAATTGTTGGGCAACTGAATTGGGTAATCAGTACTCTGGAAATGACAGCGAGACAAGCACACCTATTGGATGTCAAATTGAACGAATCGTCCCCTGAATCAACAGATGCAGCGGAGCAGGAGAACGATGACAAAGAGTTCGAATACATGGCAGAGGAAGAGCCAGACATGCTTTCGTTATTGACACTTGCCATTCCTAGACAATTGTTCGTCAAAACGATTGTCAAATTGGTTTCATTTTACAATTGGATGGACGGTACGATTGCGGGAAACAAAGTTGATTCAAAAGCAGCTTTCAAAGCTTTGGCAATACAGGCCCAACGACAAGCACAACCTGCGGGTGAATTGATTGCTTCGGGAGCAGCTGAACGTACGAGTGAGATGATGCAATTAGCCCATACAAAAATGCGCGAGATGATCTTGCAAAGTGGTGTGGATGTTTCGCAATTCGGTCGCTTTTTGCGCTCGTATGATAGTGACACAAATGAAAATTCACAGAAAGATCGTCAGCAACAATGGTACACCATGCCAACGGCACCGATGGAAGATCGGAAACGGTTCGCACGTGCGCTTTTGTCTTCTGAATCCATTCAAAACATGCTCGATCTATTCTGTCCTTCTTCAGATTGGACTATCCCACCTTTAGGAGATGAAAGTTTGGATATATTCAAATCAGAAAACGTTTCAACAAATGTTGATTTCTCTGAAAGTAGAATGGTGAATCATGACATCTTAACAAGGATGAAATCTTTATCGTCTACCCGTCGCAAGATCTGTCTCTCCTGTCAAGGTCAAACACAAGCAGATGTTTCTCGTGGTATTCGGTGTGTTTGTGGTGCACATAGTTGGTGGAGTAGCATTTGAAAAGGCAAAAAAAAAGATGAGAATTGCATTCTGTACAAATCAATACATTGTATTTTTAATTTTCATTGGATTCAACAATTGTGGAAAACACATTTTATTGACTATTGTGAGGTTGGGTGTAAGCTGGCAGGTCGTATGATTGGCAAATCAATCAGCCTTGCCACGAACAGGTTGTCCTTTGGTTTGGTTCAATTCGTCGGATAAACGGTTGTATTCTTCTTGTTGTTGACCAACTTGCTTTTTGAGAGTGGCAGCATCTGCGCTACCCGAACCGCTCGAATTCTTACGAACTTGTTCCAATTGAGTTTGAGTATCGATCAATTCATTGACCAATGAGTATGTACGCGAAAGGATCAAAGAGCAAAACAAAGTGAAACCGCACAAATAACAATTTCTTTGAGCGAATGCCAATTTGACCAAAAGATCATGATGAGCTGAATCACGAACGCCAAGGGCTTGTTTTGCATCCCTTCTATCTTCCATTACGCGGAGTAGTTGACGTACTGCATCAACAAAGAAGATTGAAACAAAGATGATTGATATCTTGATGCAATACAATACTTGACCGACGATTGGATTCGTACCAAAGAATCGGAAAACTGCTCTACGCATCTTGAAAGGTAGAGGGAAGATTCTGTGAGAGAGAGAGGGGTGTGCTGTTAGTACATTGTCTTTTCCACCTTCAAAGCCATGCTAGTACTTACAAAGCCAAGAAGACCAAAGCCTCAAGACAAAGGAGCATGAATGTGAGCGTGTAGTGTACCGTCATACTGGTTAGATCGAGGATGGAGAATTGCATAAAGGGTGAGAAAAAAGAGACAGAAAAGGTAGAACCGATTCCTTAAGCAAGACCAAGATATGATGAATAGATTGTTGTTGGTCTAAAGGAAGAATGATTGAAGTTAAGATTTGGAAGATTGTCACCATTCAGCAGTTGCCCTCCTCCACGCGCTCTGACGTATTTTCACTGCAAAGCTGGCAAAAGAGGGCAAGGCAACACATCAATAGAGACACGTCTATCCCTTAATTGCACAGCATTGTCACTTGCAAGTTTAGCGTGGAAGATATTCGCACGGGCCAAAAACAAACAATGAAAATATTCTCCGATCTTCCTCCACAACAAAAACAGAATATATGCTATACATGATGAGAACAACGATCTTGTGGACACCATGTCAAACATCGATAATGATGCACTCACAATACATCAAAAGGATCGACATGGTATACCTCTAAATGCAGAAGTAAATAAAGATGAATTAATAAGAGATTTCATAACCCCAACAGAAAAGATATTCCATCGAAATCATGATGATATCGTTCAAATACCCAAAGCAAGTCTCAATGCTGTAGAAGAAGAATGGAGAGTGAGCATCACATTGGATGATGAGGTCGCAAAGCAAGAGAGAATTGGATCATGGGTAAAGTCATTGCCTTCAATTCTGATACCATATGGAGATTTACTGCACGCCAAAGGAAAATGTAAAGATGTGAAAAGAATACGAACAACGGCAACACTTGAATGTGCTGGAAACAGGAGAGAAGATTTGAGCGATCAAGAAAAGACCGAAGGCATTCAATGGTCATCAGGTGCAATTTCAACCGCTCATTGGTATGGCATATCAATCCGTGACTTGCTCATCCAGGTTGGAATTGAAGACCCTTACAAGCATCACAAAGACTTGTTCTCACTGCAACCTTCAGAATCAGACATAGCAAAAGATTGTGCAACTTGGGCAACAGGTTTGCATATTCACATGCTCAGTGCTCAGCCCACTTCCGAATCAGATCAGCCGACAGGGGAATATTTCGGTGCATCAATTCCGTTATCTGTTGCCATGCATCCTCAACAACAATGCATCTTAGCAACCCATCAAAACGATCAAATTTTAACACAATCGCACGGATTCCCGCTTCGTGCAGTTATACCCGGTCATGTTGGCGCAAGATGGGTAAAATGGTTGAGAGGGCTACGAATAAGCACAAAACCCGAAGATAGTCCACCGATGCGATTGGATTATAAACTTCTCAAACCTCCAAAGGATGCCAGTGAAGAAGAAAAAAATGCATGGAAAGCCAAGATTTCAGGTGAAGAAAAAGATGAAGATTTTAGAAAGGCTGAATTGAGCAAGGAAGAGCCTATGCAAACACTGGGCGTTGGCAGTGCAATTGAAGAACCAAAGAGTGATAGCAACGTCAGTCTAGATTCGGGCAAGATTACTGTTCGAGGCTATGCGGTCGGACAGGATGGCTCACAGATTGCAAAGGTGGAAGTTACTGTACTAGCCCAAAATGAAGAACAGGAAAGATTATCCAGTCTACGTGATCGAGCGGAGAGTGGCAGAAAAGATCAATGGATACAAGCAACGCTTCAGACAGATACATCTGCTTCACGCAGCAATGAAAATGTAAGCTGGGCATGGAGTCTATGGGAAGCACAACTGCCCGTTCCCTCTGCGAATAAGGACAATGGTTCAGCCTGCTTTGCCATTGTTGCTCGAGCTAGTGAGTAAAAGGGTGTGATGATTTGCTTTTGGACAATTTATACTGACTTTTCTTTAACCACTTACCTTCAAGCAACCACCTCTGGTGTCGAGCAAGAGAAAGAATCCGATTGGAACGTCCGCGGCTTCAACACCAGGTCTTGGCCTGTCATTCGAGGGTTGAGGATTGATGAAAGTCAAAAATGAGTCTATGCAGGGCAGTGCCTCGAGACTCACGGCCGTCTTTCAAAGGCAGATACAATCAACACAAATCGGGGCTATGCAATCCTAAATGGTCAAAAATGTTCATCTGGATCCAGACACTGAATTTTATCTTCAGGTCTTCATTCAGAGCCTCTTACACAAGATGAAGGTTCTTATCAGATACCCAGCTTTTGTACTTTTATTGATTCAATTTCACATAAGTGCAATTTGCACCAAAGACAATGCTATTTTATGGAAGCGTGCTCGTGAAGGTTCCATCGATCTGAATCGAACGCCATCGCCAGAGCCGAGTATCGATTTGAATAGATCCTCACCAGAATCACCAGTAAAAGATACCGCAAGCACAACAACGGTGAGTCGCAATAGAAAGAGCTTTGGAGGGACAATGATACTGACTGTTATGATATAGAAAAAGACTAGGAAGCGGAAGAGGGAGAAGCCATGGACGACAAATGAACAGAAGGATACAGATCAAGCCAAAGAGCGGGTAAGAGAAATTAAACTTTTAGATTAAAGCACATTCTGATAACCCTATCCACAAACAGGAAAGAGTTCTTGAAATAAGAAGGAAAACACAATCACGTTATCGTCGAAGGATTTGGGGACGCATTCGGAGTGGGAAAGCACGAGAATCTGATTTACGCATAAGAGAAGGAGCACGAAAAAGTTATACAGCATGGCAAAAAGCAAATCGAGAAAAGATGAATGCATATCAACGAAAATATTCTGCAAAAAAGAGGAAATTGAAAGAAGAAGAAAAGAAAAAGGATAAGAATGATAAAAAGGACCCATCACAATGAACCGATTCGCTATTTCATGCTTGTGTTCAATTGAAGATTTTTGATTGCATTTGTCGCTTCTATGCCCCGACTTAGTCACCCTTACGTAAAACTTGCTCTTCTCTTTATCCTTCCTCCGAGCATCCATCACGCACAATGAAGTCTATATTACACATACTCCTGTTACTTCTTTCATTCGGTATCGCAAACGCACAATGGTCACAACCGGTAAGAAGAGCACTAGATCCATCAATAGACTTGAATCGGACGCCATCCCCGGAACGAAGTGCTAGCCTAAACGAGCCACAAGAACCTGCTTTACAGTCCACCGTTGAGGACACAGCAACGACAAAGAAACCTAAAACGGCCAAAGCATTAAGGCCAAAATCAAGTGGAAAGCGTAAATTGTATCCTACAAAACATCAAAGGTTAAGACAAGCTTATCTTAATCGATTTGAACTACATCCAAATGATGAAGAAAAGGTGAGTTTTGCTTGAAGCATATTTGTGTGTTAGACAACCTTGCTAACCAATCGCCCACAGAGAAAATCGATCGAAGAAGATTGGCAAAAGAGCGTAGAAGAACGACGGTTGATTCATCGTCGAAGTCAACAACGCAGATGGCAACGTATTCGCGCAGGAAATCCGACAGAAGCTGACTTACGAGCCAAGAATAGAGCACAAAAAGCTACTGACGTATGGAGAAAAGCACATCCAGAAAAAACGAGACAGTATAGACTTAAGAAAAAGGAAAAGGAAAAGAAGGAAAGATGAATGCATCTACCCTCTACTGTCTCTATATGATTGGATAGCACTCTCACCGTTGATGTTGACCTTTATGCACATTACACAAATACGATTGAAGCATAGTTTTAGCCCTGTAGAATGTAGGAAACTTCAGAAAATTAAAATACGCAATCTTGTATTATCGCCTTTTATTCCCTTCATTCCATGGTCATGAAGTACTACACGTTACTATGTTTTATGTTTCTTCTCTCAAGCCTTATAGAAGCTTCATATGACCGTATACAGAAACAAGGTTTGAGTCCTTCGCTAGATTTAAGAGTAAATGATGATATCCCTGATCTGAATGTCACTCTATCTCCAGAAGACGATAATGATGTAGGGAATGTCGAAGATATGCCTTCCTACACTCCAAGTCAGTCACCAAAGAATAATGATGATAGTGCTAAACCGACGAAGAAGGTAAGTGCTTTACTTCTTCTGCCACATGAGGTTGCTTATCGTCCTTATGTACTTCGCTTCACAGAGAAGACGTGTGGAAGTGCGCAGCGCGGATACAAAGCGTCGTAAAGCCGAATATGAGAGGAAACGAAGATTAGCAAAGAAGTACGAATACGAAAACAGATTTAGTCTTGGTAAAAGTACAGAAGAAGTAAGTATCATTCATAGAGAGAGAGCTTAAACTATATCTGAGAGATTTTTTATGTCCTAGATTGCAGCTATCGAAAACGCAATGACAGCAAGTAAAGCAAAGAAGAAAGCCTATAGACACGATTATAATCGGCGTATATGGAGTCGAATCAAAAGTGGACAGCCAACAGCTGCTGATCTAATACTGAAAGAAAAAGGCCGTCAAAGGAAGGCAAAATGGGATAAAGAACATCCTGAAGAGAGCAAAGCGCAATGTCAACGTTGGTATTATGCAAATCTAGAAAAAGCTAGAATGAAACAACGAATATACAGGCTGAAAAAGAAAAATGCCAATCAACTTCAATCCCCCAGTGCACCATCAAGGTGACTTACCTAAGCTTTGTCTCGGGGCTGTTGATCGTATGCTTTTAACATTCCAATAAACTTTCTTTGTTGCATTGCGTAAATTGAAGTAACATGGATCTTCCTAAAAATTGGCGTATTGCTCAAAGGGAAAAAACGAAAAAAGCAAAATCAGAATAAATCTTTAGTCTATGTCATTCATCATCTCGTCTCGTCATTATGATACAATCTGTATTTTCATTCAACATTCAATTTCTCGGTTTCGTAGCGTTCAAGCGGAGTGAATTACGCCTATTTTGCATAACTTGCGAAATGGAAGATCGATGGGCATTTGGACGTGATCGTAATAATTCTTGTTCTGCTTGAATATCTTTCACTTTTGTCAATGTATGGGTTTGTTCGGCTAATGCCATTTTCACATGACTTAAACCTAATCCAAAAGAAGGATTGGCAGCGTGTGAAAATCGATTTTGCACAGCTTTATTTTGTTCTTTTCGCATTGCTTCAATATTCGCTCGCCAATCCGAAATAATTTTCTCTTTTCTCTCTTCTTCCTCTCCTTCATCTTCGTCATCGCTTGTAGACTTTGTCTTTGGAGAAACAGGATTGCGATAAATACCCAATCTAGGATCAAGAGTCCCATAAATGTGACTATTCCGTGTTGCTGCTGGCACATTGAATTGCGGTCGAGTGAATCGTGAATCCAAAGCTCCATTCATAGAAGGTTGTGCTAAAGAAGGAGAATAATGTGGACTTGTCCATTGAGGTGTTTGGAACATTGATCCGCTCTGTGCTCTTGGCGTTGAGTTGGCTGCGGTAACAAAACTTGCAACATATCCAAACGTTGGCGTTTCCAAACATATACTTCCTTCATCGTCATCCTGAGAGCCATCATTCCTATCCATAACGGGACTGGTATAACTTCTTTTCATAACAGAAGAATGCAATGCCATATCATCATATGATCCTTTTGCGGAAGATTGGCTTTCATACGTATTCACATGCATTTCGCTTCCGAATCGTCTAAGGCTTGGTTTTTGTTGCAATTGTGGATTTGATGTCATCTTGCCACCACGATAAAATGCGTTATACTTTTCGGGAAGTGTTGGTACCGGTGGTACATTTGCCCCACTTTCTGAACCAGTTGCCGTACTTGGTCTTCTACTTGTACGAGCGCTGGCCGTTTGATCGCCTGCTCCAAATTGTTTTGTAGTGATTGCATCTGATGAATTTGTACTAGAATAACAACTTCCCCATACTTCACTATTTGCGGATGCGAATGAAGTTGGACTGCTTAATTGGGACAATCTTTTGTCAATCGGGACAGGGTCAGGGATATACAAATGTTGAGACTTGATTGATCTTCTGGTTGGTTGGACGATAATAGGACCGATTGGACCTTCTCGACTTGAAGTTCCATCGGTGGAGTGAGATGCATTTGTTCCTGACGCAGAGCTTACAAAGCTGCTTGTGCTACTAATGCTTACTCTTGTAGGATCAATTGTTTCGTCTTCATCACCGGAAGAAAACATGTGTTGATCGGATGGCAGAGAAGGAAGAGTTGAAGATATGCTGTCTTGACGTTGATGATAATTGTCACGGGAGGATGAGGAATGCAAAGATGTTTCGCTTTGATGTGCTAGCGACTGAATACCTAGAGCGTTTGTATCTTCTATGCTTAGTCTTTTATTGTTCGTCCGAGTCTCTTGTGAGTCGATACTGACGTCATGCAAAGGGAAGAATGTTTTGGCAGAACTCAAAGATGATTCACTGATCCTTCGTTGAAGTCGTTTCACCTCCAATGGGGCGGCTGTAGTAGTATGGTAAGTCGGTCTTCTGTCCGTCATCGAAGGTCGAACGAGCCCTTTTGAAGATGTTTCTACCTCTTGAGCATTTTTGACTGCATTTATGGCCATTCTTGTTTCCTTCTTTGCATCACAAGTACTTTGAACTCTTGCTCTTCGTGCTTGACGGCGAGGTGGCAAGGGTGTAACTTTTTCATGCTTGACACTATCACGCTTACTCGTCCGATCAGAAGCGCTGTTATGCTCGTTGGTAGAATGATGATCTTCACTGCCTAAATCAAGTCTTGCAATGGATAAAAGACTTTCTTCTGATCGATTGTTCTTGAACAACGACGCATACCGTCTTGCGGCTGATGATCTTCGAGAAGAAGAATATGTATTTCTGGAAGCCATGCTGCTTGGCAATAACAGATCGGCCGACAAGCATTCCATACCTTCTCCATCTTCTTCCACGCCTTCGTCTTCGTGTGATACTGAAGTCAAGAACTCGTCACTCAATCGACCAGTATCTTGCTCTGCTGTCCATCCAAATGGTAAGGCTAAGATCTCATGTTGCACTTCTGGCTCTTGGAAATGTTTGTTGGACAGCTGTTCATCGAATGAAGGTGATTTTGATCCTGCGTTCACATCTGCCAACGTATAGCTTCTCTTCCTTGCGCTTACAGATTTGTATAGGGAAGGTTGTCTGTATTGATCTTGACTTAATCGCGGTTCATCCGAAGTACTCGCCCTGCCTCTGTTGGGATACGTTAATGCTGATTGCATATCCTGCTCGTATGATGGTCTACTATTTCCCTCGTTTGATAGCCTGCCTTGTCTTGGGGCTGTCGGTATGCTCAAATGTGATTGTGAATTGCTTCTTGGTTCACTGTAATCGCTAGGGATTGAAGCCATACGCTCATGTTCAATGTACTCTGGTCTGGTTGGAAGTGATGTCGAATTTGCACCTCGCAGGAAATTAGTCGATTGCATCAACAAGCTCTTTGTTCGACCATGATTGAACGGAACAGAAGGGGATGTTGGACGTTGACGAGTCTTTGAACTTGAGACGGTCGATCGCCTTGCTTTTGTATTATCAAAGAATGCATTTGAATCGTGCATCATATTTTCTTTTTCGATACTTTCGCTTGCTAATTGTTGAAATTGTTGACTCAACTTCTTTTCCAACTGTTTCTTCTCGTTTAAAGCTGCCAGTGCACGATGACTTTCGGATCGATGGGTAGTTGAAGATGATGCAACTGAGCCGCCTGATTTGCTTGCCATTCCCGTAACGCTTGAAGATGCACTTGAAGATGATTTGTGGTGGTGGTGGTGAGATTGTTTGTGGTGATGTTGCTGTTCTTGTTCTTTTTTGAAATTACGCAAAGCGTCCATTAAATCTTTTCTTTTTGATTGTCTCTTTCCTGGAATTCCGTCCAATGTGCCATGGTGGTACCCATTCTTTGTTGTTTTGCTGCTGGTTGATGCATGTGACATCGTCTTTGCTTCTCTTCCATATAGACTCTCTAGTGCATTTGTCACTTCTTGTTCCCTTGTCCAACCAGCTTGTGTGTAATCTATGCCGACCATGTTGAGTATGATGGAGAGTGTGATAAAGGGAGAGAGTTGGTGAGAGTGGTTGCTAGGAAGGAAAGTAAGAGAATCGATGTTGATGGAGATCTGTTTTAAAGAAAGAAGGTCACGCTCGATCCGATAAAGTGGTTAATCTTCTCGCTGTTATCCTTATTTATGTTAAATGAGTGAAATGAAACGGCTTCATATCTTGGAATAATGAAATGAGCTTCTTTCTTGAGCCGATTAGGAGAAGTTGCTTAAAATACACACACACAATCTGCATGTAAGCCTGGCTTTGTTTGCGCAGGGGTGATTTGTTTGTGTGTTCTCCTTGCATTCTGTGTAATTTGTTCAAAAAAGCTTAAGGAACCGCTTTAAAGAAAACTAAAATGATCAGACAAGAAACACTTCTCTGGTATGATGCCATACTATGGGGGAGGAAGTGCATTTCAATTGTTAAAAATACGCTAAACCGTTTCAAGGAGGAAACCCAGACAAATCTTGCTTAAATTTCTAACGGCGATTTAGCTGAAGTTGAAAAAACAAATTTCACTCTACAAACACGGCAGGCAATGCAGCTTGCAAGCAAAAGCAGAGTTTTATTGAACTTTATTTCCTTTCTCACGCATACTTTTTGGCAGGGTCTTTGTGCCGTCTGTGTTATGCAGCGGATACACACGCGTGCGAGTTCACAAGCAAAGCAAAGCAAAGCAAAGCAAGCAAGCCTTCCGTCTGGGCCGACACATTGCACACATTGCACATACACAACATCGGGCATGCAAATGAAAGGGGGATGAGAAGAAGAATACATACATACAAACGTACGGTGTATTAAAGCCGAGCCAAGCAGGCAGGCAGCTCCCTTTTGAACACGGATAGTCTGCAAGTCATCGGGCTGGGTTTGAAATGTTATGTTGTTCCTTCCGTCTGGCTCGTATCACGATAAGGAATCAGAAATATATTACTCACGAAAGGATTCGAAGAAACGTGCGCATATTCACCACCCACCCACATTGAATGCATCGTAGATCCGTCAGCTATGGCATTGAGAGCTTGTACAACCACACAATCTCGTCTCGCTAGGTGATCGCTTACTATCTCATAAAGAAGCAAGGGGAAAGAAGTCTTGAGAAAGGTCTGCCTGCACAGAAACTCACATTCGCTCGACAAAAAGCAGCAATCAGCGATCATTACGCTAATGTATGCGCTAGAATTACCCCTTACTCTTTTTCTTTCTTTACCGAAACTACATCATCAAATAGCGCAACGCGATACAAACAAAAGAGGGTGCGGGGAGCTGTCAATCTACAGCTTTTTTGACAAAAATCAAATTGATAGAAACTGTTTGCAGTAGATACAACGAAAAAAAGGTCCTACTTGAGGAATTTACCTTGGGCAACTGCCTTTCCGTCTTCCAATGTACCTTCCCATGACAAATTCTCTTCAAAGAATTTCTTATCAGCTGCATTGTTGAATGGATCCAAAGATTTAACTTCATAACTTTCCAAATCAGGTGCAACTTCCAAGCATGGCTTATAGTCTTTTCCTCTGCAAATCACCGTTCCAGCAATTCGGCTGTTGTTGTTCTCTCCATAAACACATCCTGCTCCCATGACGTATTTACGTGATGCTTCCAAACGATCAAAGAATCCGGAAATTTGGTTGGAACTCATGAAAGTCATTGTCAATTCATCGTTGTACTTGAAGTCAAATCTCCAGATTGAGTATCCTTCTTTGTCAAAGTTCTCATAGAACCATTTCAAGAAGTCTGGGGTATCCAAGTTGGAGTATTGACGTTTGGCTTCGTCCAAGATGAATGTACTTGGTGGAAGAGAAGCACAAGGATGCTTTGGTGGTGGGGCTGCCTTGGGTGTGTCATCGTCATCTTCTTCTTCAGCTTTCTTCTTAGGAGCAGCTTTTTCTTTCTTGGGTGCTGCAGCAGCGGCGGCGGCAGGTGCAGCCTTTGGCTTTTGTTCTTTGACTGGTGGCTTGAACTTAACGTTCTCCTTGGCGAGTTCACAACCCTTGTAGACGTCCAAAACGGCAGGTTGGTGAATGATTGTGTTGTAGTAGCGGACAGTGTTGGGGTACTTGTTGCGGAACTCTGGTCCCAAAACACGCATGAATGCATGTTGCAAATCACTTGCCAATGTCAAATCGGCCAAAGTGAGACGGTGTCCGACCAAGAATGTCTTGCTCTTCAAGTAACCTTCCAAGTAGGTGAACGAACGCTCAAAGTCAGCCCAGCATCTTTGTTCAACGTTCTTGTTGTATGTTGCAGGCTCAGCAGTGGCGCGCATCAAGTTGAAGAACTTGTTGAAGATCTCTTCGTCAGCCCAAGAGATCCATTGTTCGACTTGAGCGGCGGCTTCCTTTGTGGTACCGAGCAATTTGGAGTTGTCAGAAAGTCCAGCGACTGTAAATTAGAAAGAGAGAGAGACTGGGTCAGTATTATGGTCCAATATAACTCTGTTACTCCGGGTAAGAATCAGGGCATTGTGCTAGTTGAAATCCTCGACATGGATGATTTAGACAGGGATAACTGTAAAAGTGATAATCTCATCCTTTGAAAAACGGAGTGAAGGTAACGCAAAGGGATACTTACTGTAACGAGCAATTGCACGACCTTCGATCAATTTGAAGCCATCAGATCCAGCAAAAGTAGGAATCTTTCCCATTGGCCATTGAGCCAAGTATTCTGGCTTTTTGCAATCACCATTCAAGGCTCTTGTCTCTACAAGGTCCAAAGAGCCACCGTTGATCTTGGCAGCAGCCAAAGAACGGCTAACTTTTGCGTGATGTTGAAAACCGTAAATCTTTCCAAAGGAGACCATATTGATTTGGTTTTTGATAGGATAGTATGATGGAAGAAATGTTAAATGATTATTTCTCGTTTTTTCTTTTCTTCTAATCCAACATGCACAGACTTTTGTTTGCAATACAACAACTGCGCTTATGCGTGGCAAAAATTTGACTTTCTAAACTCTTCTCTTCATCTTTTTTGAGTATAAAAACGCGAGGCGTATGGGCAGTCTTTGGAGCACAGCTGAACCAAACACGTGCTCTTTGCAGATAGGCCCATTCCCACGACCATGACCTCTTCGTCATAAGCAAGTGACTCACACAGACTTCACATCAAGAGAATCGGCCAAAATGATAAATTATGAGGGAAACGAGTTTTAGGTACATCCCATTATACAAATACGAAGCTCTATAGAAATAGCACATAATTAAGACAGCAAGAAAGCAACTAGCGGAGGGTATAATTTAGACATTGCGACTACGCTTTGCACGATCTCCGCCATCTTCTTGTGTGGTAGCGGTTGCATTCACGCCATCGTCTTCCTCTCGTAAATGCACCTTGGGATCTTTTCCAGCAAATGTCTTGTTATCATTCGCTCCCTCTGTACCTTCTACTGCCACGCCTTCAGCACCGTCCGTTCCATCAGCGAGACCGTCTTTGGCCGAAGGGTCGAGGTTAGGGTCAATCGCTTCATTGTTAGCCTCTTGGTGTTCTTCTCCTCCTTCCATGCCTTCCATTTGTTCGCCGTTCTGTTGTTGGTGTTGCTCTACTTCTCCTTCTTCATCTGTATATTGTTGTAGATGTTCTGGCTCGTCAAGTGGTTCGTCAGGAAGGCCTAATTCAGCACGCAATCTTGACAATTCCTTCTTGTGTGCTTCTAATCGTGCATTGAGATCGCCCATTGCTTGGTCCATTAACAATTTCTCCAAAGTCCACTTTTCGATATTGCTTGCTTCGTTCTCTTTCAATTCTATGATATAACGAACGGCAGAATTGATAATAGCTGTTTTATTGATACCTTTCGCATCACAGCCAGGCACCATGGCGCCCAACTCAGTGATACCATTACTAATTTGTTCACGACGTTTTCTCTCAACTTCTTTGTGTTGATCTTTACGCAGTCGTTCAGCTTCTGGTCCTGTATCACGCTTTGCACGACCTTTGCCATTTTGATCTTGTAGATCAAGACCTGTCTGAGCTGCTAAGCTTTCCATTGCAGCTATGGCAGCTTGCGTGGCATTCTCGTTGCGGTAATCGTCCGTAGTTTGATCTCCTGGAGGCTCCGTGGTTTGGGCCAAAGAGTCATCAGGATTGGTTTCATCGTATTGATGTTGGTCATGCTTGAGTTCTTCTCCTTTCTTGCCTGTTTGCTCTGCATGACCTTCTGCTTGATGCTCACCTTGGTCACCGTGCTCGACTTGTTGGTTTTCGCCATTGCCATCTTCACGATGCTCTCCTTCATCTTGATCACGCTTAAAGGAAGAGGCAAAAGAGGTGAGAGCAGAAGCAGCTTGACCTAGATGGGGAGGCAAGGCTGCCAAGATGCTAGATGCATCCACGCCTGATGTGTTGGAATAATCTCCATTTGCTCCTCCCTCGGAAGCACGAGCAGCTGCTACGATGCTTGCCAATTGTTCTTGATTCAAATTTGCAAGGATCGAGTTTACATCACGATCCATACCACCTTGAGCGGCAGCAGCTTCCATATCATCGGCTTGGCCTTGATCGATATCTGTTTGGATAGCAGGGTCGACTTCTTGTTCAGCAGTCTCAGCAGCGTTTTGCTGTTCGTGTTCTTGAGGAGGTGGTGGTGTTCCTGCCATGTTGTGATTAGGTCTATTCAGTGAAGGAAGAGAGAAGTTAGTAACAGGATGCTAAGGTGGATGCATTATTGGGAATGGCAGCCACAGAGACGACATGAAATCGATCACGGCTATGCACCACGCGACAATGTCACACTGAATGATGGGATGAGTAGCAATGCATTGAAGATTTGATCGCAATCACGTGTGTATCATTCGTGATGATGGCAATGACGATGGATTGATGGTTCTTTACTCACCTTTTCTTATCGAATTGAATCGTTCAATTTTGTCAAAGTAACACTTTTTGTCGTGTTGGTCTCCTTTCTTTGTTTAAGCTCTGGAGAATTGAAAAGGTCCTCGTGATTTGTCTTTACGCGGGAGATATACGAAGGGGGCGCGCTCTTTACACGTGAGAGGATGGATGAGGGTGGCGATGGAGTCAGGTGGTTTATTCTCATTCAGGTCACGCCGCGCAAGTGAAAAATTCATTTACACCAAAATCACAAGGAGACTGGGAATGTGCCGCTCTTCACACACCGCTTGACGGATGCAGAATTGCAAGCGCACAAATCAAATCCTCTCGGTTGAGACACGTGGCGCATACAGAATTGCGCTGTGCTTGGCTGGTTGGCAAGGTGGCCATGTTGTCTTGATGGTGGTGACGAAGATAGAGGATTTTCTTTTTCAATGGAGAGTAGCAGGAGATGGAAGCAGACTTCATCATACACCTTTAAAGCGGTGCTAAGATCATCATATCTGTCATTATCATTAATACCAATCAGCCAACCATGGTGGCCCTGGAAGTCAATTGGCTAGCTAGCCATAGGCCCATTCTCTCGTTTACGCGTGCTTAAAGGATTTCCTCCCTCTCTTTTTTTGATGCGAAGAAATAGCCTTGGAGAAAAAAAAACACACGACATGCCAATTTGGGCATTAAAACAGTCTGCAAAATTCGCGCGCCTCGTGAGGGCAGCGCCTGTAAAGCGTCGTTCCATCATCATTTCTTCTTTGATTTTCAACTCGAATTTTCTCTTACGGACTACCATATATTCCTATTTTACCAGATTCGTTCAAGATGGTGAGTATTCAACTGGAGAGCGGATCTATGGAAGGCGATGAAGGGCTTCGATCTTTGCTTTGGTAGCTTCGACTCATGAACGATGACTCTATGCAATCCAGCAAAAGAAGGATACCTTTTCGTGCATTCATTTGCAACGCTAGCCAACCTATAGACACTCTTGCTGACCCATTTCTCCCTTCTCTCTCTGCAGTCTGACACCGAAGCAGCCCATGATCAAAACTTCGAGACCGCCCATGCCGGCGCCTCTCTCACCTTCCCAATGCAATGCTCTGCTTTGCGTAAGAACGGTCACGTCGTCATCAAAGGACGTCCTTGCAAGATCGTAGACATGTCTACCTCTAAAACCGGTAAGCACGGTCACGCAAAGGTGCACTTGGTCGCCATTGATATCTTCACCGGTAAGAAGTACGAAGATATCTCTCCTTCTACCCACAACATGGACGTTCCAAACGTTCAACGTAACGAATACCAATTGGTTAACATCGATGACGGTTTCTTGAACTTGATGAGCAATGACGGTTCCAGCAAGGATGACGTCAAAGTTCCAGAAGGTGAAATTGGTGAACAAATCTCTTCTCAATTCGATGATGGTAAGGATTTGATGGTTACCATTGTTTCAGCCATGAACGAAGAACAAGCTATCTCCTTCAAGGAAGCTCCTCAAGGCAAGTAAGGGTTGTGAAAGACCTTGCTTTCGAGATGAAAGTTGTGGATAAGGTGTGGGAGGGTTATGCGTTTCTCAAATTGGATTTTCGATGTGTGGCAAGCAAACATCAAGAGTCAGATCAACAATAAAGATCTACAATGAATTTCATTCTTTTCCCCTTCTCCCAAAAAGAGGTGTATTTGTGGTCGTCAACAATCGGCTTTCTCGTTGAGTTCGTCTTTTCCTCCTACTCTTTTCATTTCCAATCACTTTCTCTCAAAACTTCATTTTTGTCATGTTCCCATTATCATTCTCATATTCAAAATTATCGCATGGGTATCATTGCAAGTACTGTTCTTTCGTCTTGTGTGAATGCGTGTGTGCGTTTGGTCGGCATTTGCTTAATTTAGTGCAGAGTGTGATATCGTCGCCTTGATCGACTTGAGATCGAAGCCTTATGTGCCCTGCAAGCCGAGTATTCATACTTTTAAGTATGCGATAATCAGTAAATGCGCAGATCACAAGATACCGTGAATGAACGAATAAGGGTCAGATCAAGTACTTTTACGAGAATGAGCTTTGTTTGTGCCATGAAGCTTTGCTTCGTACGTTTGACCAACGCATTCGAGCTTTGATATCAGAGAATCTTGTGACGTTAACAGAATATTTCACAAAGAGATTTCCATGATTTTTTTAATTTTCTATTCCAGGTAGTCCAGCCTGTTTGTTGGGATATGATCAGTATCTTTAAAGTGACTTTTGTGATCTTTCGAATGATCTACTTCGTCGTATTGTTTGTACGTGAATGCTTTTGTTCATAAAGTATGATGCTTGCCTCTTTGCGATATGCAATAGATTCACCATCACTTTAAGTGCAACATTCCCGCCTCCTTGAATATTTGAGGAGTGTGATTTGTTTAAGATGTTTGATGAAGATATTAAAGATTCCTAAAGATGCGGTCTTTTCCTCATTCAACCTCAACTTATCCGATTTGCGATGAGATCGTATTCTATCTCGCAATGTGAATATTCATTCAGCACGTGCTATTTCCATTTTCACTTTTGACAATCTTCCAACATGGAAAGCCGGGGTAAAATCAAGATTCCCGACACGATTGTTCTCGGCATGCTTCATGTTGTTGCATACCGATATGCTAATCTAAGCATGCCGATGGACATCCGTCAATTCAATTAAAACTCGGAATGCTCGGTAACGAAAAACAGATTAATTATCCGAGAATCCGTTTAGCGTTTTGCATTATTTCCACGGAAGTCTGCATTTCCATGGAATTGATAAAAAACGATTGAGATCTGTTCTTCAGTGCAGCAGCAACAGCAACAGGAAATTAATTCCAATTAATACCGATAAAAAGAGAAGGAAGCCGCCATTCTATTCAGGAACATCAACAGACATGATTCTATGCATACGTCGTCGTCGGATTGAACGGGCTCCCTTACGTCCGAATGAAAGAAAGGGGATTGTGTATTTGTTCGGTAGGGTACACACACGTCAAACATTACCTCGTGGTCTTTGCATGTAAAGGAAGTCACCGAACATGGCTTTTGAAATGATCGATACACGTGTACCTATCCCCCACCTTGTGTGTGATCACGCCATTTCCCTTTCTTTTTTTCTCTTATCTGCGCTGCATAGCGTGCGCACTTTTCGGCAGCCTTTGGGAATTTAATTTGAAACGCAGCCTGCGCATCACTCCGTCAATGTAAGCAAGCAGATCAGGAACGCAGCAGCTGATTGTACAAATTGCCTTGTCAATCGTCGGCAGAATGCTACAATCAGTATACCTGCATACGTTTTGAAAATTGTATTCAAATGCAATTGCGGATAAGGTGAAAAGCCATTGCATTGGTATGTATGATAAGCCATATTGGGAAAGTGATCACACTGAAAAAAAAAGTATTCTTCGCTTGATAGCGAATTGACCGACGTAATGTCAAAAAAGAAGCAGTCAAAAAACGGTGACTTGAAATTGACACGGCGCCGAATTGAATTGAAATCAAATCAAAGACAACTGAAACAAGTCTAATTCGGGTCAGAATAGCGTATTGAACTTAAATAAAAACGTACACGCTAATCAGAATGAAAGCGGGGGAATAACACTTTATCCGCAAAGACGTTGTCCTACTCTCAAAACGCTGAGCTAAAGAGGCGCGCGCGCACACACTCATGCTGAGCACCTTTTTTAAACGAAGGCGTTCCTGCTAAATTCTTGAATTTATTCGGTGCCTTGACCTTTTGCCAAAGTGACGAACGCATATCTCTCTATCTCCGGACTTCCATGACAGGTTATGCATATACGGCAAAAACGTCATTTGTGTATCTTGCGCGAGAATGATATAATCTTCTGGGTACAATCTCGAGGAATTTCATTTCCGACTTTATGTGAAACTTGATTAGCTTATTGAACAATAAGATTGTTGTTGTTCTTGTTCGGCATTGAGGAGATCACAAGGTTCGGACTATACACTAAACCAGTCATTTTGCGGCTCCGCGTGGGTAAAGAGATCTGAACCTATTTAATCTTTTTACGCTATCTTTTCACCCTTTTTTCCCCCACTTACATACACTTCATTCATCCTATCTGAATCCGAATCTTTTTACGCCGATTTCATGATCGGTCCCTTGTTCTCTCCCCCCATCCTAATCTTTCGAAGGGAAAGAGGAGTATGCTCTTTGACCTGCGCAGCGCCTCGGGTTGGTTAGTGAAAGAAGGAAGCATTGAATTAGTGCGGAATGAGAGTACAGTAGCCTAATCCCACACCATTCACATTTCAAACCAAACACTGACAAACCGCATTACATGCGGAATCCACCGCAACACTGCATCCACACGCAGAGCATGCACATTATCGCCCATTGCGCCACCCCATCAGACACAAATGCAATTTTTGACTGTTGATTTACTTGATTTCGGTATTCTATCTGCTTGTTCCTACATTGAATGAAATGATAAAGTGCATTTCAAAACGTGTGTGTCAGTTTATCTTTTTCGCTTCCCTTTTGGCGTAGATTTTGAAAAACAAGATTTATCGGACTAGTGCTGTTGTTATGGATGTGATTCTGTTCTGTCTTACTGTTGTTTTTTACCCCGAATGGCCGAGCAAAATGATCTGACAGATTGATACACACAATATAAAAGCACACGACGAACATCTGTTTTGGGTTCACAAGTAAGCCACCTTTTTAACAACAACATCCTCGCCATCATGGTTCGCAAATTATCATTCGATGGTCAATCAAATGACATTTATACTTCATCAAAAGAACAATCAAACACACGATCAGAAGCACAAAAAGAACGTGTTTCGACTGCATGCACTTATTGTCGATATAGAAAGGTGAAATGTGATGGTGGAAAACCTTCTTGTGGTTTTTGCATTCATATGGGCCGAAACGAATGTGTTTATGCAAAAGTGAGCGAAGAAGAAAATCAACATTTACGTAGACGTAAAAGAGAATTACGTGCAAGAAGAGCAGCAGAACGTATTCGTGCCGAACAAGAACAAAGAGCAAACTCTCAAAGTCCTTCTTCGAGTGCATTCATTCTCAATAATCTCGATTCATCTTCACCACAAATACCAACAAAACGTAGACGATCATCTGTACCCAAACGATCAAGAGAAAGATCAATGGCAGGCAGCTCAGTCACTTCAACGCCCAACTTGTTTTCCAGCTCAGCACCACCACAAATCAATCAAGAATTCCCTCCCGAGATGGCTCTTTCAGGCTTGCCTGCTGAATTGACAAATACATTTTCACCCAACTTCCTCAACCTACTCACGCCTCAATCCAATGCAACTGTTCCTAACGTCAACTCGAATATCGATTTGGGCGGCAATATTGGCGGAAACAACTCATATACTTTCCCTTCAACGTCTATGGCCATGAACACTTCCGCGTTCGACGTCAACGCTCCCAATCTTGACTGGGCTTATGGTGGCTTATCATCAAGTGCACCTACTGCTTCGTCATCATCGTCAATGCTCATGGATCAAAGGCAAGAACAAGAACATTTCCATCAGCTCCATCAAGCTCAAGACGATCAAAAAGCACAAACTGCACCGCCACATTCAATCTTTGCCCTTGCTGCTTCCAACAACTCTTTTTTAGGCTCAATGACGGGCACTTTAGAAATGACAATACCCGATTTTAAAGGACCAACACTAGCAATGTCAAACTTAAGACCGTCAAATGAAGTACAAGTAAAGACTGAAGTAGAAAATAAACCTATGAATTGTTTTCGGCAGCAATCCAAGGAAGATCCACTGAATCAGGTCGGACAAAATGATCCATTGTTCACGGATATGCAAGTTGAGGTAGAAGATTTCAATATGACTTCCAGTCATAGTTCAAGCAATGTTTTAGAGCAAGACATCACAGCTGCTAAGAGACGATTTTCCAATTTGACCGAAGAAACACAAGCAATCTACAGTCTTTGGCCAACGAGTCCATTTCACCCGGATCAAAGCAAACGATCAAGCATTTATTCTCCCAATGAACCTTCAAGTATGCCCGAATTAAAGAGATTCTTATGCACAACAAATAATCCTTTTTCTTTTAATCCAGTCACACCTTTAGCAATGAGCGTTAATTCAAGCGAAAGAAATTTGTTTAATTTTACTAACTTTGCTGCTGCTACTTCACCATCTTCTTTGTAGAAAATTTGTTTTCGTACCATTTTTCTTTGTGTATGTAGTCGAATCGGTTCCGCTTTATATTTACCAATTATCAATGGAGTTTGATTTCCCTAGAAAAGGCTGTCAATTGTTTGTTGATCTTTTCGCACTTAAGAGCATTTCGATCAATTTCGGATTTAATCGCAACGAGTCATGCAATGCGGGACTTGATTGGCGGCGTAAAGAAACGCCAGCAAGTTACGCTAAAATCCGCGCGGATAAGAACGTTTTCCATCTTTCCGAGCTTTATTACCGATTTCCCGATTAAGCTTAAAGTCGCATGCATGCATGCAGGAGCACACACATAAATGATCAGAGCTAGAAAATTCATTTAACCCCCCAACTACCGTATTCCGCGCGACAATGAATTCCCGCTGCACAGCTAAAAGCTAAAGTCCACCATGGCTAGCACGTTGCGGCGCTAACTTCAAAAATCTTACGATTATGATGCTTGTATTAGTACAATTTTGTATACCCTCTACCCCTCCAATCATCACAGCCTTGTGACTCCTTCTTCAATTCGATGAAGTAGTCTGCCGATGAAGTCGTGGGGGAGAAGGGGCTTATTATTGAAAAGTGACGTAATTCGATCTTGATTGCCATGAAGGAATGCTAAATCAATCAAAAACATCCTGTCCCCGATCGAAATGGTTCCTTCTGATTCGATTGATCGAATAATATTGCGTACCTTTGTGTAAAGCAAAATGAGATCTGACCAAATTGGTAGCTTATCCTCGCACAGACAATGAGACAGTGATTGTACCATAAAAAGCTCAAGTGCGACTTCCTCTGCTTTGCTTTGCAGGTCCTCGCTCCTTTCATCAAGGGCTCGAGAGCCACCATAAATGATGTCCAGAGCATCTTTGATCATCGGCCTATCAATCGATGTCCGAATTTCAGCCGCAAGCGACTCGGATTCTTGTTGCCATGAACGAATTGTCGCAAGGGAAGTGTGAGACTTTAGTGGAACGGATAATTCCACTTGTAGGCCCTTCTGTTGCTCCAATAAGCTAGCACATCCGTGTGGATCTTGCTCATGACTTAATGAAGCCAACCGTCTCATAGCAAACATTGTTTGGGTATCCAAGAGTGTGCGTCTATGATGCTTGTTAGTCTTGACATCAATTGCTGCATGCAAATATCGATCAGATGCAATTCGGATCGTGTCAATTTGGTCCACTTCCGGTAGCACACATGGCGTTTCTCCCTGATTACTCTGTTCTCCTCCGTTGCTGTTGAGGAGGATATCAATAGGTGTGTGAGAAGTTTCGCCGCTTCGGATATCCTTCACGCTTAACAGACGTGCCTCGACAGCCAAGATCCAGAAATGTCGATAGGCTTGTAGGTAAGCTCGATTATCTTGCGCATTGATAGGATACAAAGGAAAGAATGCAATCAATAGAGCGGCTATTGCAATGTCCGACGAACCTAACGTATATCTGCCTCCACCCAAGAATAGCATCCCCATTGCCATCGTAGAAGCCATATAATTTCCATAACGCATTTGGTCCGATTTGAATAGTGTTTTACGGATCAATTTCATAATCTCTACATCCCCTGATCCTGCAGTCACAATCGCAAGGCTCGTTAAAGTTGTATCAATAGCAGAACGCAATACTTGTTGACGAACTTTGTCAAAGAATGTGATCGGCCTTACCTCTGCTTTTGATTGGATTATTGACAATTGATTCAGTAAAAACTCTTTAGCTGTGTGATCATTTGAGCCAGCAAATTTGAGACCGACGGCAAAAATTGCGCCTATACGCATATTGTACAATGCTGATTGCACACTCTCACCCACGTCTTCGTTTCTGTCTAGATCGAATTTATGAAAGAAGGGTGGCAAAGTAGATTCTAGCCACCGTTGCGTTGGTTTGATGTCATCCCACATGATCAAAGATCTGCATAGAACGCGAATTTGCAATATATCCGGTCTGATTTCGTTCAATTCAGCAATATACTCGGGCAAGGCAAGTTTTGCAGCAATATCTGCTCGATTACTTCGTAGATATATGAGTGCCAACGCGATTGACGCTGGAGTGGTAGTCAAAGAGATGTCTGGTCGCCATTCGAATGCAGAAGAGTTTTTTGAATTCTGTGAAGATGTCTTTCCATTCTTGTCCGAAGCTCTTCCACCTGACGAACATTGCTTTATCACATTTTCCAGATGAGGAACAATCTCCCGTTCAATCTCGACGCTCGTCTTGTGTTGTCTTCCTTTGCCCAAACAAATCAGTCCTAAAGCGAATCCTGCGGATAAGGAAAAGCTTTCCCTGCGAAGCATTTGATTATCATCCGTCATGACTAGATCGGTACTCAAAGCACGCAAGGCCATCCGACTTGCCCATGCATCGTAACTACCCAAAAATACAAAACCCAATCCGACCAACGCAGCACTCTGCTCAAGCATTGTAGTCTTCAAAGGCTTACTGTGTGTCGGCAAAGTGTGAATCAAATGAATACTCATCAGAGCCTTGGCCATCACATCACACGATCCAACAAAGCTGACCGCGATTCCCAGCAAAAGGCCAATTGTGGTAGTCAGATGACGATTGCTCAAGTAGTGATGAGCATGAATCTTTCCCAAGTTGCGTAATTGCCCTTGTAGTCCCAAACCAAATATGAATCCTGCATGTCGAGAATTGAAAGCGCTGCTTGTTTGACTATAGATCCAACTAGACTCAACCTGTACTTCTTCTGTTGCCAGCATCAAAGCTGCCGAAACGCCATTATGAAATTCGGGCCATTCCATTTCCGCACTTTCAGCATCAGGTTCTCGATGTGTGACGATGCAATGACACAGCATCTTGATTCGTAGACAGACCGGGGAAATCTTTAATTGTTTCGCCATTTGAATAGGTTGTGAGGAAAGCAAAAACATTGCTCGTCCTACACTTGTTGCCTTTAATCGATCAGAAACGCTCACAAAGATACGCTTTTGTTGTTCTGCCATCACTTCTTCATCCATCTGGTTGCCGGCCGTATTTGACTCAGCTGGACCTCGCGTCGCCACTGCTCTGTGAGTCTGCAAAATGTTTGAAACGTCGATCAGCCGATGATCTTTATTAAATAATTGAAAGCATATACCAGGCAGTTTGGGTGCATCTCCTCGTTGCTTCCTTGCACTCTCGGCACTATTGTTGATTTCTTTCCGTGATCTGTCGCCTTCAGCCTGTACCTTTTTCGACAATTGGAGAGCTAAGTCAGGTCTGCCAACAAGGGTATATGCCTTTTGACCCCACGAAAGAGGCGGATCAGACCTACTGACATGGCAAGCTTCCAGCAAGGGTAGTGCGATGGACAGCGGCACATTTTGTAGGAAATCTTCGTCAATGTTATTGGCCAACATTGCCTCAACCACTCTGTATGATCTTGCATCTGTGGTAGAGCACACACGACCGGACATCAGTTTGAAAAATGCGGCTGGTAACTGAAATGCTTCATATGTTGACCTTATTCTGGCTGAACGAGGTCGAAGGATGGAACTCGGCTTTGAAGTGCTTTGATTGGTCATGAAATTACGCAAGTCATCATAAATATCGAAGAGTACGGGCTCATCGTTGGCGGCAGTGTCGTTCTCTGCGTAATGGTCGACCCCGATCATTGATGACCAATACCTGATCCAGTTAGACCACTTGCATTCAATTGCGATCGATAGTATGAGATGTGCAACCCTCTCTAGATCGCTCGATATCCGTCTCGTATTCAATCGCAAGTCTTGGGCAATCATGTTGAGCATCACTGCAGCAGAGACATGATCCACATCCTTCTTCAGAGGAGCATCTTGCCACAAGTGACTGCAGTATTCTCGATCGTTGCTTGGAAAAGAAGGGAGAAGAGTGCTATACATCTGCTCTTCTTTTGAAGCAGATTGTAGCATGCGATTCCAGGCAGTCTCTTCCCTTGCCGGTGAATCATTCTCAGTCATTGCTCCTTGGATGAATATCGAACAGAACGATTGCCATAGCGCCTGTCTGGTCGTGTGCTTCTCCGTTTGCATATCCTGCGTCCTTTGTTGAACCCTACTGGCTTGTGTGGGATTTAAGTAGACATGACTTGCATCAAGTATATCTTGTATCAATTCATCACCTTGGTGAGGCGCAGATGCAACATGTGGCTGGAGAATCTGCTCGAGCAGATCTCTATCTTTGTGCACTTGGACTCCATCAATCGATTGTATCACATGTCGAATACCATCCGCCTCTTCCATTTGAATTTCAGCAACTTCCTGCCGAGGTGCATTAGAGACTGTCGGCAAGCCCAAGCCATACAAATGGGCATGTCCAGAGGACACTCGAGAACGCTCAATTATCGAAGCACCCGGTCTTTGGCCAGCATTCATCGACATCCTCATCGATTGCCCAGCAGCAAAACTGCTCCTCGACTCCAGACGCGATGTTCTTCGATGAGATGGGGTCCTTCCTCGCGTGGCAGATGAAAGTCGTGGTCTCTTCGGTAGGTCCCCATTGGCATGATTTGCGCTTTGCGGCTCATCCGTCAATGTGGGCTTGATACGGAGGGAGTAGAAATGCACTTTCTTGTCGTCGTCACTAATTGTGACAAGAACGTCGGATGCGGGTGACTTTTTCGACTTTATTTTGTGAACATTCACTATACGCTCTTCTATTGAGTTGAACAATTTTGATGATTCTTTCATCAACGTATAGGGTCGTGAGCTTGCCCTTCTCGCTCCTTCAGATGCTTCAAAGACTTGCACAGGCTTAAGTTCGTCTAGAGGTCGCCTTAGGTAGAAAAGATTCGGAAGCGGCTCATCCTGAAAGATGGCGTCCAAATCGAAGTCGCGATCAGCCTGCAAAGATCTTTCATGTCTTTTTCGATCTTCCCTCTCTGATCGCCTTTGAACAAAGATTCCGACATCTAGCACAACTACTTTCAAAACCTCAAAATCCAATCGTTTGACGTATTCTTGACCTGTATGGGGAAATTGAATGATCATTGAAGATTGCAGAAAGATGCAAAGAGCACGTTGTGAGCTCCTTCCTTTTGTCTCTTGCACATCAAACCACGCCCAGCAAGCCCATCGAACTGATTTCTCAAAGCTGAATGTTCGTATCGCTATTCCGGCTACAGACCATATCAGCCTATTGTCATTCCAGTACAGCTCAACTTCCCTTTCATTGTGATCCCTACTCTTGCCGTGCGTTGTTGTGCGTATTCCATTACACTCACCAGCGTTATACTCTGAAAGTGGGGTGTTCTTCGAGTATATGCTACCGGTGTGACCAAACGAAGCCCTTAGTTGCTTCAATTGCCATGATTCCGACTGACTGCCGGAAGGAGGAAGGAAGGCGTCCAACTGTTTCTCGAAATCATCTCGTGCACTCTGCGATTTGGACTGACCCTTTTGCGCGGTCTGGTCAACTTTGGAAGCTCTTTGGCATAGCAGCTCCCCTCTTTCGATCTCCATAGCCTTTTGGGTTGGGTGGTGGTGGAGAAAGTGTTGTTCTTGTGTTGAACGGATTTAAGCATTCAGACGCGACCGCACGCGCCGAGCGCAACGTTAAGATAAAGTGATTCCAAACAAAGTCGGACTCATAGCCGACGACACAGATGAACCATAAGGCAGCTTGGTATTGACAGAAAAACAATCGAAAATGAATCCCGATCAACTTCTTGCAATACCAACAGCAGATATCACCTCAAAAAGGACCACTCCTTGGTGAAAGTGTTGGTCTGTGTCTTGACTGCAGCCAAAAAGAGTAACGCGCGTGAGCGCAACAAAAAGATAGGATTCTCTGGAGTAGCTGGGAATCGAACCCAGGATCTCTTCCTGAAGAGTACTTTTGCAGATCTGATTGAAATGCGAAGGAAGCGCAGTAACCACTTTGCCACTACCCCGGATATATCTGAAGCCCGATAAGTTACTTATATATACTAAACGTCTCTATGACTGACCATATGAACAAGGATGGGCGGGTAGTGTAGATTATGTTAGGAAGGCTTATAGTTCATGGTAACTCTCGGAACACAAGCAGAAGACCCTTCAAGTTCATATTGTGTTAAAGCCTTTTTAGCCGTACATACATTTTCACGAGCTACCTTCCTTGTTTATGATTTCCTCCTCCTTTTGATGATCATTTCGATTCTTTATAGTTCATCTCTTGTCATTGTACCATCTACCAGTTTTGACATTCCGTATTCACGTTGTCTCCTTCTTGAATTCTATCATCCTTTACAATTTAATTTAGAGACTGAAAGAGTAGTCATCGGATTTTGCTATAGTTTCAATTAATAACATAATTCCAAAAGATGATTAATAGTCTTCGATTCAGGGCAGAAATTCAGCTGTCAACGTATTTAGCAGTATTTCATCACACTTTATCAATGCTTCATTTTCGATGATGAATCTATGACATAATTTGAATACTGTTTAAACAACCTTTCTTTCAAGAGACGGTATCTTTAGGCTAAGTTCAAAATATATAAGTATAGAAAGGAATGATCAATAGAACAGAATAATAGAGAATCGCTTGAATCTTTGCACAGGAGAAAGAAGGCCACTTAGGGTTAGGATATATATATCCTAACCCTAAGTGGGTTTTGTATTTTATCCTAACCCTAAGTAGGTTTTATACAAATACAATACAAGATCGTCATGTAGCCTTGTACCAGATACAATCCGTTTCAATAGAACAGAATAATATTTTAGATTAAAATGAAGGTTCGAAACTATAACCACGGATATCTATTCAACGCTCTTAGTGAGATCATTGTGGTAGATACAACTTCGACCGTTTGTATGTATCTTATCCGTAAACTGTCACATACTTGAGAGCATCTTTATTACCATCATCTTTGTCCTGTCTTGTCAAAATGACCGTGCCAATCTTGATAACAGTCCCTTAGGTCTGCATTACCTAACGAAGAAGTGATGCAAGAAGCTGCACAAGAAGTGCACTAAACCTGAGTACAATGGAGGAAAAATAAGCACTCCTTATGTCCTTTGATTCTTAAGCATTATGGCTGAAATGGAATTAACTTTAATGAAGCGTACAAAAAGTAGTACGCATTATAGATTGAGAAAGAAAGCTTTGAGGCAAGAATAAAATACAAATGGTTACCGAGCATGTAAATATATAAGAAAAGGGGAGAAAACCGATGATTAAAGAATGAAGCGAGACACTGCAGAATAATTGAATGAAATAATTGAATAACTTCTATCTTTAGACCGACTCCTCATCGAAACCAAGATGAAAGCCAAGATTGTCCGTTTTGGTTATTACTGGAAGTATCTTGATTTAATTGACCATGCGAGGCTAATCGTTCGTACGATCCTGTTGGACTGGAACCTGATCCAGAACTGGAATGTGTCGTACCATCTTGTGCTGAAAGAGGTGTCAATAATCCTCTATCTGCCAATGCTCCCAAAAGAGCATTTGCAAGCGAATGCGTACGTCCAGAACCACGTCTTGCTTGATTGTGAGCAGCACTAGTTCCACCTAAAGCGCCCGAATCAGATGGCCAACCGGATCGTAAATCAGAATAAGGGGGTGGACTTGGACTTCTTGTATGTGAGGCAGATGCATTCTCCCCATTATTTGACGAAAACATATATGGGAAATAGCCAGCATTGTTACTTTGTTGCCTTCTTCCTCTTACCGTTTGTGTTTGCGATGATGAGCCAGAGCGAGATGAATCCACTCCTTCTTCCTCTTCATTATTAGCAGTTCCTAATGCATCCAAAGAGTGCAAACTAATGTCCAGATGATGCGGTGTAGGAGGATTATGAGGTTCATCGTCGCTTGATGACATTGAATCCCGACGAGTCGTTTCTCCGCTGTTCCCGCGATGGTAAGATTCCGACGAGGATGTGTGATTGAGAGGTGGAAGCATTTGTCGATTTCTCCGGGCACGAGCACGTCTACTCAAAGACGATGAGGAAGAAGATGGATGCAAATCCTCTTCTGATCGTTCATTTGGTGGAGTTAGCGGTGGAGGAGGGGTGATATTCCGTGGAGGATGTAGAAGGTCATTGCCGTTCTGATTCGCATCAGAGGATCCGCCTTGTCCTGTTTCGATGAGAATACTTCCTCTTTCTTGTCCATAAGGCGGAGGTGGGGCCAAAGTGCCTACCATTGGTGCAAGTCCCCATTTCTTCACGTTGGCTTCAATGAATACAAATCCAGCTTGCCCAAGATTGACATGAACCTCAGCGGCTCCATCTGCTGCAATTGTGGGAAATAAGTTGTAGCGGTGCAAGCCGACAAAAGCGTCTTCCAGTCTTTTACCGTTTCTTGTAAAGAAGACTGTGCCTGAACGAGGTCTGAATCCAACTCCAATCACGTCTCCTTGAACGTATGCGGGCCCATACGATTGAGCGGCAAATGGATAATTGTGACATTTGAAGCCATCAGCCGAAAAGTAGCCAACGGAGAACTTACTCCAACCTGGCATCCTGAAGCTTGGATACGGTTTTGTAGCCAGACCAATAGAGATGTTTGTTGCTTCAGGCTTTGTAAAGATCTTTGTCTCCCAATAGTATACTTCATTGAGCTTTGGAAGAGGGAGATTGCTTTGCACTGAGCATCCTCCTCCCTCTTGTGGTGCCATGCCTTCGCCATCCGCTAAGAAAGAGATTTCCGTTCTTCCTGCGACATAAACACTAGGATTGATCTCGTAGTCTGGATCGAAGCTCCATGCTGATACACCTTTTTCTTGGATGCTCAAGAATTGTGACAAGGTAATCTCTGATGCTTGCGAACCGGGAGGCGAAGATAGAGACCAATCCTTTGCGCGAAGATATCCTCTTCGTGTTGCATCGTCAACAGTCTCGAGCCATCTTTCCTCTATTCCGTCCAAGCCACCGAGACCTTCCAACTCTTCTTCCCTTCCAACGTCAAGAGGTCCATCCCCATCCGTCAGGGCGATCCGCGCTCTACGGCGAACGAAGATGACCAAAATCACAAACGTAAGCAGAAGTAATAGAAGCGTGGATAGCAGGACAAGCAAAGGCAACAAAAGCGCCAATGTCTCATCTGAACTTTCTGGTGGACTAAAGATCGGAGGCGGACCGTCACCGCCTTCATTTGTGAGCATAAATGAAGTGGGACTGTGAATCCGTCCTTGATCAGAGCGTGAGCTAGTTGTAGCGCTCCCTTTGACGCTATAGGCTGGCTGGATTCGATTAGCAGCAAGACGTTGCTGGAGATGATCGACCAGAGAAGGTGGAGTGTCAGATTTCAACAGTCTAGGATGATCATTTCTCTCTGATGTGGATCCCCTAGATATATCGACATTGGTTGATCGATATTTCGAAGAAGAATCGATTGAGCTGGATCCATCGTGATGATCAGCAGGCGAAGGAGGTTTATTCCAGAGTGGCACGTCCACTGCACCTTCATTGCTCTCTACCAAACCCAGAGATTCCAACATATCGTCCAAATCGGCTGGCCAATGACTTTGAGAGCGTTGTTTTTGGTGTGTTCGTTCAATTTCCAATTCCTTATCTCTCATTCGTATTCCTTCATTGTGTATTAGCTTGTTGACACTTTTTGATTTTGAAGGAAATGGATGATGAGAATATTCCTCGATCGGTGAGACCGAAGGACCAGCATTGAAGCGTGGTTGACGTTTGACCATCTTTTCGTCAGTTTTACAGAAGGATCATTCGATTTGGCACGATTGAATGTACTTCCTTATCTGTAGTCTGGATCGATGTCTCCTTTTCTTGTGACGAAATGATTTTAAGAATGGCTGTGGCACCCAGCACTGCCTTTCCCTAATCTCTACGAAACATCAAACGAGTCTTGGTGGCGAAGGCAGGATGAGATCAAATGTCCAGTAAAGTGATCCTATACCTCCAAGTTTTTGTTAATGATTCGATTCTTGTAGTAGTAATGATGATGGTGATAATCTGGTAAAAGGATGCAATCACCGCATATATGTTCACCCTTATGCGTCCAAAACGCAAGGGCGATTACGCCGCCTTCTATACGCAGTGCACACGCACACACACGCACACACACTCACGAGGTGAACGTATGTATCGCTTTGATATGCAGGCCCAGTACGGCGTTAGAATTGGGCACTTTATCAGTCTTTCCCCTGATATCGGCGTGTTTGCATTTTCTACTTTGTGTCCATAAAAAGAAAAAACACGCCCTGTATGCAGTGAGTGCTCATAAGCAATAAAACGCCTGCACTACTGCCTTTGCGTTTATTAATAACACAGCACAGCAGCTTATTCAGCAAATAAAAAAGGGCGCTAGTAAGGGGCTGGCTTTTGCTAACAGACGATCATGGCGATCTCGTATGAGTATAGTAAGGGCAACAATCTATAATTGGCCAGATTGCTTTTGGCACTTTCTCTTATTTTATATATAACAGCTCTTATTGGTACAAATGTGACATGTTTGTGAAGAAAGTCATTGATTGCGTACTTATGCCGTTACTTTTTTCTCCGCATTTTGGTTCCATCTGAATGTCAAAAAGTGTCATTTATCAGTTTCAGGGTCGCACTCCTATTCAAACCCCACGAATAGAAAGGAAGATCGAGAAATCGTACACAGAGAGGGAGACTGATGCGATATAAGTTGATGCATGCAATATCTTAGCACTTTTACCATTTTGCATGATTTTGCAGATTGCGCCCCTTTCCCCTTTTTATATTGTTTAATCCTGGGGGGTATGCTATCAAGATCATATAACGAATATAGTTGAACACAGAGTGATGCATTCTGAATTTATCTAAAATGTGACTTCAATTTTTGTTTTATGACTTAATCCTACGGTATATATTTTTATTGATTTGTTATATTGATTAAAAAACATTTTCAAAATTCAGAAAAGACAGAGAAATACATAACATTTGAATTGAAAGATGTCTACGAGAGCTTCACACAATAAAAGAGAAAAACAGTGACTATTACTCCACGGAGCTTTGATGTTGAAGGTGCAAACCTCACCAACCTTTTCCAACGGACGCTTGCTTAGCGTTTCACAAACTTAAGCCAGTATTTTGGTACAGCAGTCAGATCTGTTTCTTATCGGGTACTTGTGCAGGCGCCAAGCGCAGGGCAGGGCCAACGGTATTCTTGTTAGACCAAAAATCAACACGAGGTACTTCAGACAATAGCGTGAATAAATGTTGGATACACTGTATCTGTATTGTAATGCTGCATATATACTATTGTTCCTGTTTGACTCCGTGACTCTGTCGATGTACATCTGGTTCGTACCGCAAAACAGTCATTATCTCCCATCAATGATTGCTAATTAATAAAACTTATTTGACACGAGAAGGCGCTTTATGAGTCCCAGTACGTGCACGTTTAATACTGGAGAAGTTTGGGCAAAGAAATTACTTGATCAATTCAAGAGGCAACATTCTTCATCAGATCAAAAACAATACCTTGCCAATCAAGATGATGATTCTCAACCCACTTTCCAATTCCAAGAAGTCAATTTTGGTCCAATTTGATTTGCCATTCTCATTTCCCTAATTTCAATGAAATGATCTTGTTCGTAGGTTTGTTCTGACAATTGCTCAGCTCTGCTCAGCACAGACACGCATGTACCCCACGCATTGTGGCTGAATCTTAGCGTATATACTGTAAATTAAGGTTGCACTACAGCACACGTCAAATCTTCCTCTCCCTTCAATCATCATCATCATCTAAAATGCCATTAAAGCACAAAATCGTAGCCTTGGTGTTTAATGATTATGAAGTGTTGGATTTGATGGGACCTTTGGGTTCAATCATTCCACGCAGTGATTATTATACAGTTGAATTCGTTAGCTTGTCAGACAATCTCAATTCATTAGACGTACAATCAACTTTGAAAAATGGCATTTTAACACCAGCAAGAATTTCAATCGACAAATTTCTAGCTCAACAAGAACACTTTGATTCAATTCTCATTCCTGGAGGCGTGGGTGTCTTACCATTAATGGCAGATCCAATGGTTTTACAAAAGATTGGAAAGTTGGTGGATCTGGCATCAAATGTTTTTACCGTTTGTACTGGCTCATTACTATTGGCTGCTACCGGTAGACTCGATGGACGTGAAGCAACTACCAATAAAGTACGCTTTGATGCACAAACACCTGGCCGTATGTATCGATCATTTTTACATCTGTTACTGTACTGATTCTCTTTCCCATCTAACCAAAACTCCTAGTCCCAAATGTACTTTGGAAGAAGAAAGCCCGTTGGGTAGAAAGTGGAAAATTTATCACCTCTTCTGGTATCACTGCCGGTATGGACGCAGCGTTTGAATTCATGGTACGAACATATGTAGTACCAGAAAATCGTACAACAGAGCCACAAGTTGTTCATCCCAAAGGTGATCTTACATGTCCACCAGGTCATAGCCGTACAAAAGCGCGGGAACATGCACATCGAACTGCTCACTTTTTAGAATATCGCTGGAACACCAACTCAGAAGATGATCCTTTCGCCTAGATGTTTTGGTGAAGATGATGTATTTTATACAGATAGTTCTAGAAGACCGTCTCTCAATACAATGAGTAGCAATACAATGACTGTAGAAATAACGACTCTAGAAAAATCCTCACTTGCAAGTGCTATAACGAGACACAACAATGAAGGAGAGTTACCAGGCAACTGTAAGACGATAATAATAGAGCTCTATTCGACAGTGCAATCACAGCTATTCCCAAAGTACTGTCATAGCCGACTTTTGACCGGTCCACCGGGATTCTTTGCTGCATCTTCGAGTGCTTGCTTGAAATCATTAGGTAGATCGACTTTTTTCAATGCTTTATAATCATAACAAACGCCAATCTCTTCTGCACTTGCTACTTCGGCTTGTTGAGCGATAGAGAACAAAGTTGTTTGAATGGTAAATCTACCTCCCTCTAGAGGTAAGATTGGTTTCCTTCCTACTAGGATTGTATCCGGATAAAGGACCGGCCTTCTAAATCGTATCGCAAGTGATGACAAAATGATTCCTACACCTTTTCCTTTCACAATATCATCATGTCGCTCTTCTCCCATTTGTTTTGAGACTAAGCTGAAGAAAAGCATTCGATTCGATTCGATGAATTTGGAAAAATGAACATTGTTCACATGTTGAAATTGATCGTGGTCTCCCCATGCAATGATTTGTGGCCATATGCTTGCTCCATGAAACCCATCTTTAATCAACCTTTCTTTTCCTTTTCCGATCAAATCTGCTATTTCCTTCTCATCTAAGTGACCCGGTCCAACTTGACTTGGCCCTGCACTTTGTTGAGCTTTCTCTTTTGCCTTTTGTGACATTTGTGATCGTGGATCTTAAGCAAAAGTCTTAATTTTCCCCGCATGCATCTTTTTTCCGGTGCATAAACTTATCTCCGACGCGTCCCATACAACAACATCATCACTACTGTCAAAAAGATAATTTGATAATCTCATTCCAAAGTGGGGTATCAGAATGTATACATATATGAAAACTTTCATCTACGACTGCCACCACCGCCACCAGCAGCAGGCTTATCTTTATTCAACAAAGATTGGAAGAAAGACGATAAAACTTCACTTTGTCTATGTTGCGGTGTTGGACTTGCACTTCCAGATCCGGCCCCCGCACCCAATGGACTTGTAGGTCTACTGCCCATCCCTCTGTCGCCAGAAGCCAACAAAGGACTTGATTTGTCCACATTGACATTCTGTCTCGTACTGATTGATGGTGCATCTCCTCTTTGCCTTGCTGGATTCGTGGGCTTTGCACTAGGCTGTACATTCTGTCGAACATTCTCATCACTCATACGCTCTTGCATTATCTTTTCCACACTTGGTAAACTCAAGCTTGAGCTTCCCATCGGTCCAACCACTCCACTTCTCTGTACTTCACCCTTTGATACTCCTGTTCGTGCATTTTGACCGCTACTCTTTGTGCGAACATCGGAATCTTGCTGTAGGGTAGCATAGTATTGTGCCAAAAAGGCTTGCTGATCGGGTTCTTTGACTCTTGTGTGCCCACTAGTACTTAAATTACCACCTCCGATCGCATTCCAATCTTCAATGATATCTTCATACAGCTTCACTGCACTACTGATCTGGCCAACGTCACTTCCAACTAGCCCTGGCAAATCTCTTCGATTGATTTCTTGCTCGGCCGCTTCTTCTGCTTCTGCCGAGCCTTGGGGCAAATTCTTGTTTCGTCGAACTTGTTCCACTTTCACATCCCACTCCCATCCATTTGCAGTACTTTCACAGTCAAAACCTTCTCGTAACGCTCGAATCTTTCCAAAACTATCCCATCCGGACGGCACGATCAAAACATCCCTCTCCACTGTCGAAGCTCTATGTCGGAAAAGGAATGCGCTCGTGGCAGAATGATGTCGATTAGAGGCAAACATGCGATGCAGCAGATATTCCCGCAAAATGTCATACGATTGCGATCTTGATTGCGCAGTGTAAAAGAGTGCTGCTCCATACTTTAGCGAAATTGTGCGTAAAACTTGCTGAATGTAATCAAGTTGTTCTTCCTTGAAATTTCTCTGCCTTTCTAATTGTGTGATCGTGTCGGCTTTTGTACATACTATCACGATAGGAACACCAAAGTTGTGACTCAAACATCCTTCTGGAAGCGGAGCTTTCTCATCATCGTCCAAACCAGTAGGATTGGAAACAGCCACTATCGCACTTGCTGTTGATGTTTCACCTACTTCCAGTTCTTCCATTTCGGGGATGGTCGTATTGCCGACAGCTTGAGGCTCAGTATAGGATCGGATATACGCCTCGATCCCCTCCTTCATTTCATCTAGAATCACACGCTCTTGAGACCATTGTCCCTGTTCGCTGGCAGACGACGATGCAGCCGCTCGTTCCACTAAATCCCTTATCACTCCAAGCCATTCCAAAAGCTGTGAAAGAAACGTCCATGGCGCTTCCCAGTCGAGCGTGATGAGAAAAAGTGAATCTCTCAATGAAGCAATCGATGGTTTCGGGTGAGTATTGACAGTAGCTCCTTTTGAGCGATCCTGATTTGTCTGCCTTTGAGACGATGAATTTGCAGATTTTACAGCACCTCCGTTGACTTTTGTGTCTTCTTTTGAGCTGGTATTAGGCAGAAAGGCAAATGGCAGTAGCGAATTGTGTGCGGGTTGTGTTGAAGAGACTTGATATACCCCAACTCTTGCAACTGTGTCCTCTCCATCATCATCGCCTACGTCAAAGTAGCCATAGCCCAAACCCAGATCAGCCGCTGCGATCCCATGCGAGCTTACCTTTTGTCCATTCGCGGCCTGTGCATTCGAGCCTTTGTGTTCATCCGACACATCAATCGTATCAGACAAGAATGAAGAAGGAGAAGATTGTGCTAGATGCGATAAAAGGGTTGACTTTCCCGTTTGCGGCTGTCCGAAAACGATTATATTTTTTACTGGAGTCGCTCTTGAACTTTGAACGCTACTCAAAATTTCTCCCCAAAGATCTTCTTCTGTTTGTTCATCAGCGGTTGAACCTTTGCCCGGCTCTTTTATCGATCCATTTGCTCTACCGTTTGGTTTACTGGTCATAGGCGTTGTGGGTATACTGTCATAACTATGACCGCCTAAGCCAGAAGCCGCAGGAGCATCTGTCGATGTTGAGGTAGATGCCATGAAGGACTCTGTTGAATAGTGTGACCTTCTCTATCAAAGTTGTGTGTGCATCAGAGGAAGACTGGTGATGGGTATGGTACGAGGTAAAAAAAGAATGACAATCGAGTGTTGGTTGTCTGGTTGATTGACTAGATTATTCACGCGTTAATGGATAACCTTTGGCACAAAACCCTAGAACTGCTTTTGTGATCTTTTTGCTTTTACTCTAGCGTACGCGTGCCAATGTTGCGTGTATGCAGTCTAGTCATACACGTTTGGAAGATTAAAACTCGAAATTAAGCATAAAAAAGTAACACATTTCCCGTCATCATATTGCAAAACATGACCAGCGATAGCGTACCATCGATCGCATATGCAGAACCACCAGAGTTGGATCATATCGTTCATTTGGTATCACCAGGAAAGCTAGGAGAAGCAGTTGAACAATACAGACAATTAGGTTTCAGTTGTGAACGTGGAGGTATTCATGCTGATGGATTAACACAAAATGCTCTTATTGTTCTCACAGATGGTGTATATATTGAGCTTATTGAATTTTTGGAAAAGCCATTAAAAGAACATTCAAACGGAATTGAAACTTTACAGGAATGGAAACAGAGGCGAAGTAAGCATTGGTGGTGGGATAGAAAGGTTGGCTGGATAGATTGGTGTTTACGTGGAGGAAAACAAGATGCCAGAGTGGAAACAATCAATAAGGTAAGCGGTCAAATTGAAGAAGAGAGGGCAACAGCATTGAAGGAAGAAGAGAAAGAAAATGCAGAAAAGCAAACAATTCCTCAAGACGGAGTAAAACCATCACCTTTGGTACGCTACAACAACTCTCAGCAAGGCGGAAGGCGGGCTCTTAGTGGGAAAGAGATTCGATGGAACGTCACTTTCCCCACACTACTAAAAGACATTCAAAGAGGCACGTTTCCATTCTGGTGTGAGGATATAACGCCTCGTTGGTGGAGAGTGCCAACTCCTTCTCCCCCTCATCCAAACCTGACCCGAGGACTTTCAGCTTTAACGCTTCTCTATTATCCAGAAAATTTCCCATCAAGGCTGGCATCTCTTCAGCTAATCTTATCTTCCAAACAGATTGCTCAGCAAGGTTTTTCACAAATCGCCAGCACAATCGTAGATACTCGACCACCTCCAAAGACTGAAGGCAGGACAGCCCTGCCTGATTCATTCGTCGAATTATACCTTGCTACGCCTGAAGGTCCTCTATTGCCAATTCGGATCAAAGCAGCAGATGATCCAGCAGAAGTCGAATGGCTAGAAGAATACGGAGAAGGCTTATTCGAAGTGGAAATCTCTGTTGCTGCCGAAAAGTTACCCTCTACTGCTCCACCAGATGGCATAGAACGGGAAACTGCAAAATTAGGTTTCGGCAGACTACGATTACACCCAATGCGTGTTAATATACCTCCATAAAACTGTAATCACACCAGGAAATGCAATTCATCTATAATATTCATCGTCTGACACATTTTACCATCTCGTCAAATCTTCCACTTCTCCAGACATTGATTCCTTCACAACACGTTCTCCGCCTGTCTTGATGCTCTCTGACTCTGTTCCCGCCCAATCTTTCCATTCTTCATATCCCACTCCATTTCCTTCGTAGACGTCAGGAATGGCATTCCGCAAAAAGCGTCCCACATGATCGTTAATCTGTACAAACTCCAGCAAGAATCCATCGTGACCGTCAGGTGATCGAATAGTGACAATTTCACTACCTTGAATGAATTGATGCAATAATTCTTGCTCGGGAGGTGCAAAGAGACCATCGGATTCGACAGAAACTACCAGAACCGGAGGAGCTAAAGCTCCTTGTCTGTACGTCTTTACCGATAAAAGTGATAATACTCTTTGCAATGCTTCATCATCTTCCTCGCCTTCTCTTGGTAATCTTTGTTCTCCCACTGTAACCTCTTCAGCTTGATCTGCTGGATCGCGTTCTCTTGCTAAATCAGCCATTTCGATCGGTTTGGCTGTGAGGGGTTCCGTGCCTGCCGTTCCAGACAAGCCCCAATGAGCTCTTCCTCGAGCTACATCATGTGTGTCCATCTTTCGTGTCAAGTGAATGTAACAATTTGCATCGAATCTTTTGACGAATTTATCTCCTTGGTAGCGTAAGTAGGATTGTGCACTGAATGGCTTTGTTTGCAATCCTGCTGCCTGTCCATTTCCATTGCTCGTTGCATTCGAGAAGGAAGTCGTGTTCACATTCACAGCAGCAGGCGGTAGTGCTGCCTCTGTGAGAGAAGTCATCGAAGCGCCAGCTTGTTGTCCCTGCACTCGAGGGCTCTGATTGCCTTCATTGTGCATCATAGCAGCTTGTTGTGCAAGGCTGGATCTACGATCTGCACTCGGTCTACCTACATTCTGAAAGCCAACACCTCCTCCTTTACTTGGTCCACCAATCCGTCTTCCAAACCGGCTCTCAAAGCTTTCTCTACTTCTGTATGTTAGTAAAGCGGCCATTCGTGCTGCTGCCAGACCTGAACGAGGAGTTTGCGAAGGGTGATAATACCCATGATCGAACAAGGGATCGCTGTAAATTGACTGACGTTGTGCTTCTGCCCAAGAAATGCACCATGCACTATGTCTTGCAGCTGTAGCAAGCGGAACCAAAGCTCGGATATACGATTCTTTTGGAGAGCTTGGAGCTTGTTCGTCTGCTTTACTTGGTGTACCATCTGGAAAACGAACTGGGAACAGTAGCGGCCATTCCAACACTGACATACCACCCATCGATCCTCCAACGACAGCTGCTATCTGTTCAACACCCAAGTAATCAAGCAACTGCTTTGTGATACGTACATCATCGCGAACCGTTGTAGCAGGAAACTCTGGTCCCCACCATCCTTCTCCGTTCCATTCGGGAGATGATTCTGCTGTGTGTCCTTCTACCTTTGTGCATGGTCCAGCCGAACCGTATGGCGATCCCAGTACGTTGCTGCAAACGATGAAAAATCGAGTGGGATCAAACAACTTTCCGGGTCCCAGAAGTGGACCCCACCAATCCTCAACATCTGCACTACCTGTTAGAGCATGACACACGACAAGCGCATTATTCTTCTTTTCAGGATCGAGTTTTCCCCAGGTTTTGTATGCTAGAGGAATGTTGTGTAAAATAATACCGGACTCGAGTGTAAATGTTGGAAAGCTTAAATATTGCAAGCCAGAAGAAATTAGAGAAGATTGTGGTGAAGTTGGACCGGGTATAGGATATGGTGTACTGCTTGTCGAAGCGGTAGAATTATCGCCATTTGAATGATTGGCAAGCGTCATGATGACTATAGATAGATCATGAAGATTTGCTTTTAAAGATGAAGGTCAAAAAGTAGTTGATAGTATTGGAAATGTGCGAAAGTATACAAGCTTTTTCAACAACTAAGAATGCACTGAGTCAAAAATAAAAAGCCATCCTTTAGTGGTGTTTCGGAATTGCGCCATACCGTCTGCTTCTTCCGACTAAATACGCGCTAGCTATGGGCAACAAAAGTTAAATGCAGCCAGCACGTGTGACCAAATTTTTAATTTTTCCTCTTTAGCAGTAATCAAATGGAAGAAAGGTGGGCCAAGCTGAATTCTGGCTTCCTCCTCATCATATCCTATTCAAACAACCCTACAGGCGGAGAATTGACAGGATGTCTTCGCCTAGCTCATCATCTTCCTCTGTGACCTCGGATGAGGTAGGCCCATCCACACCAAGAACGGTTCATGCAGAAATGACACCGCTGGACAAATCAATCAAGAAAGATAGATCGTCCGACATGATGTTATCCTCAGCAGATGATTGGAAGAAGCCCTATACATTTCACACTCTCAGAACACAAAACAGATTCGAGAATCCAAGCGAGACAGAATTCGAACATCCCGATTTACAAGCTCTCGTAGCTCCTCATATCGAATCATTCAATGCACTTTGGGCAGCCGATCCAACAGTCGCTTCTCCAAATCAAGATGGATCATCTATGGCTAGCAAAGCTGCATTGGGAGAAGGAGTGGGTTTGCTAGAGAAGAGCATGCGAAACATACAACCTCGGGTTATCTTTGATGCTACACCAGAAGACATTGCACAAGGAAAGTTTGGAAACCGCCTTCAATTCAACATGGAATCTGTCACGCTATCCAAGCCAACATCTTCAGAGAAGGGTAGATCGGCATTGCAAAGTCGTATCTATCCGACAGAATGTCGTGAAAGGCTGATGACATACAAAGCACGCATGACAGCAAGGATATCGTGGAGACTCAACGATCAGCCTAAACAATACGAAGAAAGAGATATGGGTATGGTGCCAATTATGGTCAAGTCGAATCGGTGTAACATTCGTGGAATGACCAGCAGACAATTGGTTGATCATCGTGAAGAAGCAAATGAGCTAGGTGGCTACTTTATCATCAACGGAAATGAGCGATTGATCCGTTTCCTCATTTTACCGCGTGCTAATCATGTTGTGGCCATCGACAGACCTTCGTTTGCCAAGCGTGGTCCCTCTTATACCCGCCTAGGTTGTGCAATCCGTTGCGTTCATCCTGATGAACTTATTGGTATCACAAATACGATTCATTACCTCGACAATGGAGGCGTCACCCTTCGATTCAGTATGCGAAAGCAAGAATACATGATCCCGATGGTGATGGTTCTGAAAGCGTTGATCAATGCCACAGACAAGGAAATCTTCACAGCCCTTGTACAGAATGATGTTGACAACACTTTCTTGACTGATCGTGTCGAACTGCTCTTGCGTGGATTCAAGAGCTACAATCTATGGACAGGAGATCAATGCTTGGAGTATTTGGGTGCCAAGTTCCGTGTCGCAATGAATCTGCCGGAAGACTACTCAGATCTACAAGTTGGTGCTGAATTGATTCGACGCAATATCTTGATCCACCTTGATTCCGCTCGTGACAAATTTGATCTTTTAGTGTTCATGATGCGCAAACTATATTCCCTCGTTGCTGGTGAATCATGCGTCGATAATCCGGATTCACCTCAACATCACGAAGTTCTGTTGCCAGGTACGCTATATGGCCAAATCATCAAAGAACGCTTGGATGAATACTTGACACAAATTAGAACTGAAATGGTGCGTCAAATGCGATTGAACCCCAAATCGGTCGACTTTTACAATAACGGTTGGGTGTCCAAGGTTGTCGGTCGTGTGACACCAAACATCGGTGCACGTTTAGCCAGCTTTTTGGCAACCGGTAATCTCTCTTCGCCTTCCGGTCTAGATTTGCAACAAACAAGTGGTTTCACAATCGTTGCTGAAAAGTTAAACTTTGCTCGTTATATTGCGCATTTCAGAAGTATCCATCGTGGTGCTTTCTTTGCCGAGCTTAAAACGACATCCGTTCGTAAGCTTTTACCTGAAGCGTGGGGATTCCTTTGCCCTGTGCACACACCTGATGGATCGCCATGCGGTTTGTTGAATCACTTGACACATACATGTCGATTGATCACCCGTACAATCGATGTTTCTGCCATTCCAACCTTACTAGCTGATATGGGAATGATTGCGCCATTTTCGTCAAGCATTCATTCGCGTAAACATGTGGTCGTACAGCTTGATGGACGAATTATTGGATATGCAGCTCCAACTCTAGCTCATCAAATGGCAATGGCTTTGCGTATTTGGAAGACGGAGCAAAAGAACCGGGTACCAATTGATCTTGAAATCGGTTTCGTGCCTACCAGTAAAGCAGGACAATTTCCAGGATTATACCTCTTTGCCGGAAGAAGTAGAATGATGAGACCCGTCAAATTGTTGCATAACGGTTTGCAGGACAACGTCGGATCGTTCGAACAAGTCTACTTGGATATTGCTTGTCAACCTGATGAAATTGAAGTTGGACAATCAAGCCACGTTGAATATGCTCCAACGCACGTTTTGAGTTTGTTGGCAAATATGACACCTTTCTCGGATTTCAATCAATCGCCACGTAATATGTACCAATGCCAAATGTTAAAACAAAGTATGGCCACTCCTTCAACTGCGATCAATCATCGTACGGACAACAAACTTTACCGCATTCAAACTCCTCAAACGCCCGTTGTTCGTCCTGCCATGCATGACAGGTATAACTTTGATGATGCTCCAAGTGGTACAAATGCAATCGTTGCTGTAATCAGTTATACTGGTTACGATATGGAAGACGCAATGATCTTGAACAAGAGCGCACACGAAAGAGGATTCGGATATGGTACGGTCTACAAGAGCGAGATTATCGACCTGACAGATATGGCCGGTAGCAAAGGAAGATCTTCGCGTAGTATCTCATTGCACTTTGGATTCGGACCAGATGTTCCTTCATCCGCACCCAATCGTAGCAAACTTGACTTGGATGGTCTTCCATTTGTAGGTGACCGGGTCACCGCAGGAAGTCCGATTTGTGCCATTTACGACGAAAATACTGCACGAACCACGTTCAAGAAATACAAGACGGATGAAATCGCTTACATTGACACCGTTCGTATTATTGGAAGTGATGGATCAGACGGAGGAATGGCAACCAAACTTCAAATCACATATCGTATCCCACGTTCACCGGTGATTGGTGACAAATTTTCCAGTAGACACGGACAAAAAGGTGTTTGCAGTCAAAAATGGCCAATGATCGATATGCCATTCAGTGAAAGTGGAATGACTTGTGATGTGATTATCAATCCTCACGCTTTCCCTTCACGTATGACGATCGGAATGTTAATCGAAAGTATGGCGGGTAAAGCGGGTGCAATGCACGGAATTGCACAAGATGCAACCCCGTTCACATTCTCAGAAGATGATACGCCTGTTGCGTACTTTGGTGAACAATTACGTGCGGCAGGATATAATCACGTTGGTCATGAGCCAATGTACTCTGGTATCACTGGACAAGAACTTCGTGCTGATATCTATTTGGGCGTGGTATACTACCAAAGATTGAGACATATGGTCAACGATAAATTCCAAGTTCGTACCACTGGTCCTGTCAATTCACTCACTCGTCAACCTGTAAAAGGAAGAAAACGTGCTGGTGGTATTCGATTTGGAGAAATGGAAAGAGATGCCTTGTTGGCTCATGGAACGGCGATGTTATTGCAAGATAGATTGATGAATTGCAGTGATTATAGCACATCGTATGTTTGTCGAACGTGCGGTTCATTGATTTCGTTGGGATACGATCAAGATGCAAACTTGCACGGAATTCAAACGATTGACATTCATTCTCGTTCTACTGGTGCTTTGGGTCCTAATGGAGAGCATTGCTTGGTTTGCCGTAATAATCGTGCAGAGGAGGAGCCTGACAGAGGTGCCTCGAATGGAAAGCTACAAGATGCAGTCAAGCTGCCGAAATCATCTCTACTACACCAAGGAGCAGGAGATTTGGACATCGTTGCTGTTCCGTATGTGCTCAAATATTTGTGTGCTGAATTGGCCGGAATGGGTCTCAAGATGCGTTTCACGATCGAATCATAAAACATTTGTACAAATATACTTTACTTCATTTTGTCTTGAAAAAATACAATCTAGATTACGAAATGCATGTGTGATGATACAATAGAATACAACGAGCAAAAGCAAAAAGCATGAAAGCTTAACGTTCAGTTCGAGGGATATCTTGTCGTATGAACTTGTCGGGTCCGTACATTGATGCCACTTCCAGGGCGTTGGCTAGGTGAACTTGTCATTCGAGAATGTGTCGGAGGGGGAGAGTCTATGTCATACGGCGCTGATCTAGTGCCATCCCCATTCGAATTGACTTTTCGTACTTTGTTATCGGGTGCATCCTCGACATCTTTGGAACTCCTTTTCAAACCGCAATGCTGCATTAATGCTTTTGAAAATTGTTCAACAGCTTCACGCTCCAACTTTTCAGCTTCGTTGAATGTTGCTTTTCGCTCAAAGCCAGGCGGTTCTTTGCCAGCAAATGAAGGAGAAAGAGGAGATTTTGGACTGTTGGCTTGATTTGCAGATGAAGTCTTTGCCGGTGAAGGCGCAGTACCTGCAACCGATTTCGAAGCAGCACTCTGGCCAATCTCAGCAGATGGCATCAACCGTACTTTGGAACCTGCTGAGCCTCTTCGAATTGAAGGTTGAATTGAACGAGCGATCGTGTTCGCTTGTGTGCGTGCTTTATGTAACATTTTCTGACCTTGTGTCGATTGCATGCCCAGTGGTTTGACAGAAGAGATATTGTTTCGAGATCGGATGGCAGGAGTTTCTGCTACGATACGTACTTGACCTGCTTCTTTGTCCGCTTTCAAAGCTGCAAATCTTTCTTTCATTCGTTGTTTTGCCGCTTCCACTGCTTCGAACTTTTGTACAACTTTTGAATGATATAATTCTCTCCAAGAAGTGAAATCGGCCAATTTGTACACATTTGCCGAATTGGAAGTGTATAATTGCTGGATATCTTTGAAATCTCGCAAACAATGCTTTTTCCATATTTCTGATGTATGTTTGATATACTCTGGTGATTCTTCTTCTAGACTCCATAATTTTGATGCTGAGCATTGCTGTAGAACGGATTTAACGATCGGATATGGTGCTTCGCCAAAGCTTTCAAAAAGGTGGATCTTTTGCATGATTACCCTTCTTGCCATTTCTGCCAAGGATACATCCATCTTTGATCGCGGCCGTGATGTATCATCTTGCTTTGAGTTGTCGTCATTGTGTGGAGGTTGGAATTCTTCTTGTTCTTTATGCATGAATGACGAAGATGATGGTGATTGGTGGTCAGAAGCGGTCATACTAGATTCTGAACTCATACCTAGCATGTACGATTGATCATTTGAGCCACTTCCACCTGCTCCCATCATACTGCCAGGCTCCGGTGATTTACGCCAATCCTTCATCGTGGTAATTGCCCTGATCCCCTTCCGTTCCCAGATAGTTTTTGCGTGAATGTCATTTGCTATAGGAACAAAAGAGAGAGAGAGATCGAAAGAGTCTGAACAACAAACGATGTGTTTGCAATCGTCAATGATGGATTTGATGATAGGAAGCTTTTGGAAGTAGCCGGTTATGATCGGAGTACGTTCGATAAATGCCGGGCGTTCAACTTTTTTTTTTGCATACACGCAAAGAGGAAATGCTTAGTCATCAACAAGATCATTCAATGCAATCAACTCGCCCTGCACAATATAATTTTAGGGGACTAAAAGTGAAAACAGGCTTTCCTCCCTCCGTGCATTGCATATGTCTCATAGTGCACGCCAGCCACGAAATTTAACGAGGTGCCGTTCGATTCAGCCCTGAAGAGAAAAGAGAAAACAAAGGCAATGGGGACATAAGCACACACTACGCCCAGAGTTGCAAAGGCGCTGAAGAGGCTCGCGCGTGGTAATAAAGAAAGTTATTAATAGACTTAATACACTTTTACTGAACATGCCGAATACAAAGCGCGCTTCTTTAGTTGTATTAAATGATTGATTGCATCATTAACCTGTTCTAGCGGATTAAGTGAGGAATTCGGAATGTACGGCAGCATTTGGTGTGCATTGTTCCTGCACTGGGATTCCGTGTGTGTGTGTGTGCGTGTCTCCTGCATTACACGAATAAAATAGGGACACAACAAAAGAAGCAACAAAAGTTTACCGCTTTAATGCGGCAAACAGACTGTTCAAGTGCTTCTTTTTACGTGTCGACAAAGTACAACACTCTCTCATTTCGGCTTCTTGCCAAGTTTTACTAAGGCACGTATCCTAATGAGACAAATCCACTTCTAATTCTCATTGTCATCATTCTCTCTTTTGATTCCGTCTCCCTTTCTTTCAAGCAACGACAAAAAAGGCACTCTTTTCTCCGCAATTTGGAGTAACGAGAATAACTTTTTGTCATTTAAACAAAAGCACGCTCATCGGCTTTTTAACTTCCGTTCCTTCATCACGAGTTAGACTTTCCTCCTAGATCGGAGGTCTCTTTTTCTAGCTCAGCAAACGTAATTTGACTGCCTTGAAGGTAATCGAATCCCGTACATTTACAACACATCTCCTTCATTCTATCACTGTCTCGACGACATCTTTACGGCCACATAAACGCCGCGACCAACGTGCTGCAGGACGGTACCGACAGAAAATTAATCAGCGGTACATCCTGTGAAACGCCCCCTTGATCAATTCTTAAACACAGCATCTCCTCAATTCCCATCATCATCTCCCGACATCCATCACGCAAAGATGATGTCTTCATCCATCATTCGTATCGCAATCTTTGCCTGCCTTGCCTTCTGTACCTTGGTCTATACACAAGCTATTGGTAATGGCCGTCTTTTGGTCCAAGTACAAAACACTGTCGTCACTTGTGGATCAGCAACGGTACAATGGGTTTGGACAGGATCAGCTTATGATGAAATGACTCACGCTATTTCCATTGCTGTCGTAGAGGCTGGCAATAATGACGACAGTGACGATTCAGGATTCAACAAACGTAACATTGAAGGATTTCAACTTACAGAACACAAACGAACCATCAAACGTCGATCTGCAAGCAAGATGCAACGCTTACAAGCCCGTAGAATGGCAGTACGAATCGCAGGTGGATCTAACATTCCATTGAGCGTTCAATCATGGACATGGACAACTGTTGCTTTGGCTCCTGGAACGTATCAGCTTGCAGTTACGATTCTTAATACAGGAATCACTGTAATGAGTGATCCCTTCAATGTAGTGACTGGGGACAGTACGACGTGCTTAGGTACAACATCATACCAATCCACAGACTTACCTGATTCCACCAGTACTGCACCAAGCACTTCGCAGACAAATCAAAGTACAAACACATCTGCTACCAACACAGCAGCTAACACAAGCGCACCACAAAATTCATCATCCACAACGCTACCTGCTTCAAGCTCCGTCGCAGCCACAAGTCCAGCCTCGAACGACTCACAGCAGCAATCTCAGGCTAACACAGACCAAGGTAGTCAAGGTAATCAAGGTAGCAGCAATGGAGGAAAGATTGCCGCTGGTGTTCTTGTCCCCATCTTGGCGATCATTGGAGTGATTGCATTCTTTTACTGTTGCCGTAAACGCAATATGAACGAATCTGCTGAACGTCGTCAAGGCTGGTCCGAGAAGGCTATCACATTGCTCAACAGAGGCTCCAGCAAACGTAGCCAAACGCATGTTCGTAATATCAGTCAGCCAACGAATGTTATTCATTCTGCTGGACTTACACAACACAATGCAGATATCCGCAATGAAATGGTAGAAGCCAGAGAAGGTTGCACACACGAACCAAGAATGCAGGCAAACGGTGAACACTGGGTCGATTTGGCTACCGATACAGATGCTCGTCCAATTTCGTCCGATCACATGCAAGATATTGTTCGTATTAGCATGAATCAAAGCCGTGATGAGCCAATGGATACTTCACTGCCAAGTACACGTACTGAATCTGTTTCAACTGCTGCCTCTACATTACCTCCCTACCTAAGAGAGGTAAGATCGCCTGCGCCATCATTTGGACAAGATGCAAGTGGACGACCTTTGGTTTTTGCAGCAGGTGCCAAAAGAGCTGAAGATGACAGAAGATCTTCGCAAACATCTACAGTGATGCATGATCTCAGTCGAAATGGATCGGTGACAAGTAACGCAACAGTGACTGTTGGACGTAAAGACAGCACTCGTGATTTGACCCGAAACAACTCAAAGAACAGTATTCGACGCAAACCTGTTCCTCGTATTTCAATCTCACCAGATCAAGTTGAAACGGTACAATCACCTCAAGCAATTGTTTCTGATGAACATGGACCTTTCGCTGATGACAAACAAGTTTCTCCGTTTGAACAGGTAGGCGAAAGTTCTTCGCAACTGTTATCGACAAAGACGCTTCTGCAAAGTGCTCCACCAGTCCAATCTCATTCTTCGGTTGGATCTGGAAAGACGATTAACCATGAACAATTACAAGAGAAGTTAAGTGGAGATGAAGAAATTTTACAAACACCAAAACATTCTAGCAGAGCAGATGTTCCGGAAAGCGTACATCCTTCACCCATGAGCCTTCACGAGTCCAGTCCGAACCTAGACCAAGAAAGTAGAATACCTACTCTTTCCTCTTCTAGGCTACGATTCGAAAGCTCAAATGAAGATGATGTGCCAGGAATTGCGCATCCTACGGCCGAACAACGTGAAGCGTGGAAGCTAAGCATACAATTGCAAGAAGAAGATCGTGGCTTCAGTGTCAATTTTCCTTCGCCGCCTTGAAGGATGAGTAAAGGAACTTAAAGAAATGTTTTTATCAAATTTGTCAAGGGTGTATTATATATCATCATATCCGAGCGTTCGATCATTTGATCAAACCTCCCAAGAGTCTTTCTTCTCTTTTTCTCTCTCATCACTTTCTTTCCTTTTTCCCCTTCTAGCACTTTTCGATCCTTTTCTTCGTAGATCGAAGCCGGATCAAAACCAAATCGTTCATAAATTTTGGACTCATAATCTTTTGTGGCTACCTAAACATCATCTTGCCTGCCTTTAGGGGCATTGACAATTTTTTCATTTTTTTTCTGTTTGATGTGACTTGATGTCCATTTCAAATGAAATCTAATCGTTTATTCGAGCTCCAATGTTGTTGTGTGTGTGATGATATATGCTCTCCACTTACAAGCGCAGAGATCATAAGCTTAAGATGAATTTATAATGCAGAGTTATACAATGTCAAATCTTGGCTTACATCGTCCATCTCATGTCCAGTCGGGAAGATCAGGATGACGACGGAAGTGGGCGGTAACGGTCAGAAGGAGGCGCCTCTCAGGATCGCTTGCGTTCAGATCGATTGTAAGCATGGAATGGTAGAGCGGAATAGAGACAGAATTCTAGAATTGACGAAAGGGTAAGTGTTATGGACGGTATAGAGGTAGTACAGGGTGAAGATCATACGCAAGTTGCTGATGCTATGTTCACTTCGTACAGCTTGAAACGCGGAGATGTTGACTTGATCATGTTGCCAGAGATGGCATTGTCAGGATACATCTTTGATAAAAAGGAAGATATCGCACCATTCCTAGAAGATCCTAGTAAGGGAGAGCAGCATTCACCTTCCCTTGCTTTGGCAGTAATTCTGGCAAGTCGATTGAATTGCTATGTTTCAATAGGTTTTCCATGTATAGGATCTGCATTTCAGAAAACTCAATCATCGGATCAAGTTACATATCAAATCACGAAACCATTTGACGCAAGACAGCAGGACATTCTACCAGAGAGGTGGCCAGAGCCAGCAGCATTCAATGCTTCTATGTTCGTCGATAGAACCGGCAAGATCATTCATACGTTCCGAAAACACTTTAATTATACCAATGATAAAGTTTGGGCAACCGAAGGACCAGGGTTCGAATGTATAAAAGACGTACCTCTACTCGGCAATGTTTGTGTGGCTATCTGTATGGACATTAATCGTGAGTTAATAGGCGATGACAGGTTGAAGAGATAAAATTGTTAATAGCTGACCTGGATCACTTATTCATCACACCTTCATCAGCGTACGATTTTCAAGCCCCTTTTGATGCATTTGAGCTGGCACGATTTTGTCAAAAAGAAGAAGTTGATACACTCCTGATGAACATTGCATGGCTAGCGTCCGATCAGGAGGAGAGTGAAGATGAGGGTGAAGATCAAAAAAGCAAAGAAGAACAATTGCAATATGCCCAACTTCAACATATGTCTTATTTAGCGCAAAGACTATTACCACTTTTCAAAGACCAAGACGGACAGCCTCAAAGACGATTAAAATTCATTGCATGCAATCGGGTTGGTACAGAAGCAGGTACTGTATTTGCCGGGACTTCAGTTGGCATGCAATTCACTCCTGGATCAAGACCTTGCGTTCAGGGGTACATGGGTAGAGAAGAGGGAATGATGGTGATTGAAATGTAAAGATAGATGATGATGCTTTCCTCCTAATTGTAAGAATATGCCAGTATGCTCATGAATGTCTGACGTCCACGTGAAGGAACGCGCCTGAGAAATCTCCGCCAAGTAACGCGTTTTTGTATTTGTTTAAAGGTGAAATTTAAGGTTTTGCATATAACAGAGATCCATTCAATTGGTAACTAATAGAGATAGATTCAATTTCAAGCTAAGTTTGAATCGGTCTAGTTATAAAGCTTAGATCTTGGGTAAGTCTTCTTTCTATTCTTTTTTTCTTCATTTGTGTTTTTATGTTTAAAGAAGTGATTGATCATCTTTGATTCTTTTAGCGTATGCATATTTTTGCATTCTTTAATTATTTATGGCTTGACTGACTATGTGTGACGCGTATAACCTGTTTGTTGGTTGACTTTAAAATCGTGTGCTGCTTGCATTTCAGGGCATGCTATTTGCATGGTGGGTGGTTGTATGCATACTGTTGTTAATCCTCTCTATCTTTTTATCCAATCAACCATCCAAACTTACATGCAAAGAACAATCGTCATTTAATTCTCGGCCATTTAATCCTCCGATTGAACTGTGATGAATTCAACCCCTCACACACTCACACACGCTTGAATATTGAGTGCAATTAATTTTATTCAGGAGCCGATAGGAGTCAATTCATTTCACCTTCTCTCTGACTTTCAACTTATTACGTCCCGTTATCACTTGGCGTATCGCGTTTGATCTACAAACAAGCCAGCCTCATCATAGCAAAGCAGTTTCAACAAGTAGACAACTTCCATCAGTCTGCAGCTGTCGAGTTATTGGAAAAGCTCCGTATATCTGCATGATGTATTGAAACTTTTACAGAATATCGTTATCGGGACAACTTAGGACGCTCTTTTGTCACACTCATATCGGCAATCATGACGAACGTCCTTCATCATCCATCAGAACCGCAAGGCATATCGCCGTCACATCAGATCGCCACTAACACCCCAAAGCTAAGCAATAGCAAACGAAACAAATCGGACAAGATCCCAAAGCGACAACCAGGCGGATCGCGACAATTTGACAGTTTGCAAAACTTACTAGAACAAGCAGGATACAAAGAAACACGAATCTTTACACCAGTCCATAAGAAAACCCCACCTTCTCCACCAGAAACATCCGCATCACAAGCAGGCGCTCAAAGGCCACATACGATCGCAATACCGATCGAAGAAAGTAGTATGCCAGCAGAATCAAGCGCATCGACTTCCTCTTCATATACCCTAGCATCTGATCAAAAAGATGGTGATGAAGAGTATGTCAACAATCTAAAGGCAATCGCTGCTACATCTTCTTGGTTTCAATCTTCGTGGATTCCATCAAAGCAGAACAAGAAAGAACCAGCTTTGAAGAAGAAACAAAGCGAGCCAGCTATACATAGCCTTCAAAGACGCTCCAGTGCATGGTCTTTATGGTTTGGCGGATCTGGCAAAGGTATTGAGCAGGCTGATGAACAAGTTTCACCGAAAGAGCGCGATGTATCCCCGGCTCCTGTCTCAGAACCACCTCTCGAGAGACCACCACTCCGACATGCATCTTCTACCAAAGATCTATGGCAAGCCAGCATGAAACATCATCGTGGAAAAGAAACGGGAGGGAGAAAAGTATTGCATAAGTGCAGATCGGTATCAGCCAAGAGCATGAACGATGCACCTTCGCCAAGAAGGAAACAAATGATGAGACAACAAAGTTATGATGGTGCACGTGTGGTTGCTGGAGTTGGCGTTCGAGCAGCATCGATCACAAGCTCAACGATTGATTTTGTTTCATCCAATAGCGTCTTTATGCGATCTGAACCGAGACGGGTCAGTTTGCGACAGGCTTTCGGTGAAGATGCTGGTGATGACTTGAAGTCGAAAGAGGTGCAATCACCTCCAGCAGTCGAGCCGCAATACATATCTCCTACAAAGAAGGAAAACCGTGATAGCGTCAGTAGCTTTGGAGACGTGGAAGAACTATCGAAAGAGAGCGAGGTGCAAGAAACGGTGGTAACTCCTACAGAAGCCAACACTCCCTTGAATCTATTCTCCACCGTTGCGACTCCGCTCGTGTCAAGAGATGACGCAGTTGCTATGCGTAACATTGGCTGTCTCGACTTTGAAGCTGGTAGACCTGATTTGATATCAAGCAAGAGCGATGATGTCTCTACCGCAAATCGAATACGCAAGATGCGTAGCGTTGACGCATTGGAATTTGCACTTCAACGTATGCAATCTGCTGAACGAACGTTTGGCAACAGCGGTATTCAACGTACGGCCATTCCCGAAAGCTCTTCGATTGAATCGTTCACTCAAGAAGATTTCGCCAATGCAACTTCAACTGATTTTGACATTCCACATGCCTTCGAGGAGGTGGGAAACGCTATCGAACAAGACGAGGAAGCCGTTCCAGTCAGATGTCTTACGCCAAGTTTGATGATCACTTCGCCTACAGGTGCTCGGCCTCCGCAACCTTTGGTTTTGGATGGTATTGAATTTGAGCCTAGAAGTATCTCTCCCAAAGCTGCTGTACAGACAATTAGTAGACCAGTGCCTAGACGAGGTGGATGGAAGATCATTGCACGAACAGACTCTAGCGAGAATGAACAGCCAAAGCAATCTGTTCCCGCTTCAGAAGACAGTAGAGGCCGAGCTACAGAAAGTAAGGAACTCAATGGCGATCAGATCAGGAGACCTACAGCCAGTCGTAGAGGTGGTGTATCACGTCCAAAAGCAATTCGACCACATGGATCAAAAGAACACCTTCAAGCTCCAACGCTACGAAAGAAAGCCGCTACCAAAAGCTGTCATAATCTTGGTCAATCGGTCAGATCAGACATTCACAAGATCAGAGCAGCAACGGGAAAGCTTTCTGGATCCGAACAAGTGCGAGCTTTGCAAAGAAGTGTTCAGAGACGTGAACGTGCTGATGTCCAATATACAGAAGTCATTCCTTCTTCACCTACAGAAGTGGATGATGATGATCCGTTTAGCGATTTTGTTGCATTGACTCAAGAGATAAAATCAAGAAGCTCTTCTAGATCATTACGATCCATGAGCGAGTCTCATTCAGCACAAATCGATCGATCAAAAATGTCACCAGTTCCGTTCAATCAAAAAAGTCGATCGCCACTTGGAGAGAATCGCTCTGAGAGCAATTCTTCGTCGTCAGATGAGCCATTGAGGATGGCAAAGTCATCTATCTCTACCCATGAGAAAGCAAAACCAGCTTCACAAATAACCGGAGGCGTTGGTTTGGCATGCCTTGTAGATCTTAATCAAAAGAACAAGACATTGATCGCAAAAGTCATTCAACCCAAAGTAAGACAATCAAGTCTTGCAAATCTTTCCAAAAACAATTTCACAAGTTCGAAAAACGAAAACAAAATTACCATGGATCAGCATAACACTTCATTCGGAATGATCGGAGACGAAAATGTAAACACTTTACTAGATTCTCCTACAGCTCGAGCCGGTTATCGTGCAATCGCAAAGAGGCGAAGCACTGGTAATCTGCGATGAAACCCTCCCAACCCCTTTCACCTTTCACAGGACTATATACCACTTCCACACATTCATTCGACCACTGCATCTGTCCCCACATTCATTCTTTCTCTAGAAACAATTCACTCATATCTCGGAACGCTCATTTCACACTCACTGCTTGCTATAATTTGCATTATACATTCATCATTGATTAATACTGTGTTGTTTCGGATTATTAAAACGTAGTCTTTACATTGCTAAAATCCATTTCTGGATGAGCAGATTTGAATTTTTCTAAAACTTCTTGTTGTTTTTGTTGATCAGAAGTTGGCAAACCCATTTGCTTTTGACGATTATCAAACATCATCTTTTCCACCATTGCTCTTGTTTCTGCATCTAAATCGCTTAATTTGCTATTCTCAGGTACAATCTTGGTTGTATCAATCTTTGGCGCTCCCTTCAAAACGTGTGGCCACCATTGATCTTTTTGCGCTTTTTCCAAATGAACGTCCAAGATACCATCACTTACGCTCCAAGTGCTATCGTCTTCTTTAATCAAATTGAACAGTTCATCATCCAAAAGAATTGCACCTTTCTTGATTGCCACTTTGAATGTAGAACGCTTCAATACAACGTCCAAATCACGAGCACGTATCTTGTCAGGCAAAGGCATCGTCAATGTGACACTCTCCAACGTTTGTGCCCATCGGTACGGCAGACTGTCTTGTTCCTCTCTTTCAAAAATTGCTTTACCTTGATCATATGCTTCCTGCTCTGGCTTGCTCAATTTATCATATTGCTCTAATGAGATCTCATGAAATCTCTTGATAGATGACGCAGAAGGAGTGATCTCTGTAGCATCCGTCATCTTCGTTGTTGCATCTTCGCCGGGATTTTGTTTTGTCACATACTGATCTCCACCTTCAGTACTGCTGCTGCTGCTAGCACTGGCATGCGAATCTCTTCTTCCCAAATCTGTGAATTGCTGCGTTGTAATTCCTTTTGGTGGGAAATTTGATTGTCCCTCTAAAGCGTGAAGAGGTAGCTTGTGTAGATCCGGCAACGTTTCATCTGCATGTCCATTTTCATCCACTGCATCCGAATGAGCTGTAGCGACCATTCTACCACGGAAATAAGCTTCATCACGAGATTTACGCTTCTGTTCTGGATCCCAAAATTTGTGGATATCCGTCTTCACTCCATATGCTTGTGGACTGATTTCGATCAGCTCACCTTCGTGAACTTGAATGTTTGGAATCTCGTTCGGTTTACGGCCTTGTAAGTAAGCAATAAGACAACGCAATACGGAAGATTGTCCGATGATCAAGACGTCATCTGTAGCACGTTCCAGCTCAAAAATGATTGGCTCAAGACGAACAGATAAATCGTGATAGCTCTCAGCTCGAGGGAAACGATGAGAGTAAGGCTCTCTGCGCTTTTTATCCCATTCGTCCGGGAATCGTACCTTGATCTCGTCTTCACTCAAACCATCAATTACACCCGGATTCAGCTCGCTCAATTGTGATCGTTCAATCACCCTATAGCCACGATCTGCGAACGGCAATGCAGTATGCGACGATCTCCTTCGGGCAGACACCCAAACGTCCAATGGTCTGCCTTCTTCTCCGGGCCCTTGACCTGGCTCGCTCTGATCAGTAGTTGGGATTCCAGCTTTGGCCCGCTCGATGCTTTCGTCTGCACGTTCGCTGCGTACTTTGTCAACGCAATTCACCAACTCCTCTGCGTACTCCCATCCAAGACTGCTCAAATCCGCATCGGCCTTGTATAGATGCTCGATAAGTGCTTCTCCTGCTCGAGCGAGGTAAATTGTACGCTGTCTATTGTGGATGTTCATCAAGAAAAACACGACCCGTGATTGGAGATATCCTTGAATATTGTTCACATGAATCTTCTGACCAACGTTGACCACTTTGATGTATGGGAAGGAAGGCTGCTCGATTGGTTCGTAATGCGCTTCATGATTCTTGATGCGCTGCTTGAAGTCCGCGATGGCCTTTTCCGAATTCCAAGAACGATAATCTGGACTTGAGATCTTGACTCTTCGGATATTCTCATTGACAATGTTTTCGTCTGTGCATATACTTTCGATGAACATCACATGAATGCCCATTCCACCATATTTTTCACGAATTGCTGCCCGTCTTGCTAACAGACCGTTATTCGCATCATAGATCACCACTTGTCCACCCTGAACTGTGAAATAGTCTACTACCTGCTTATCAAATTCGTCCAGAACATGTTTTCGTAATGCCTCTGTTTCAGGTGATTTTGGACCAGGTTTGAAATAATCCGGGGGCACTTTATCTGCTCCACCTAGGATCTTTCTTCTATAATCACCCAAAGAGTATACACCGCATTTTACACCTAGCCAACGTAAATAACGTTCAAGAGCATGTGACATATGCGTCTTTCCACGAGCAGGTAAACCAACGGTTGCGATCAAAATCTTACCGGCATGGAACAATTGACCCGATTCGGTCGTATACAAAGGAGCGGCCATGGTTGGATAAAAGTTGGCCCAAGACAGCCTCCTTTTAGAATGAAGAGATCGTATGAGGTGCACGGATGACAGAGGACCAGAGAGAGGTTGACAATGAGATGAATGCTGTCATAGAAAGCAAAATTATCAATGCACACACACCACTTTTGAAGCTGCTGTGGAGACACGCGCTGCGCCGACGCCTAGGCCACCCGCCTATTGGCTCAACTTCATCCGCCCCCCCGCGCCCTCTATATGAGCTTCACATCATGCACTTGTAAAGTCAATATGTTAAGAGTGATGATTGGAAGTACTTCGACAAATCAGCTTAAAGTTCATGCCGTCAGTCATGTTGGTTATCCCTCGGTCAATCTAGTCCTCATCAATAATATTGATGAATATATGTAGTTGATCCGCAGTCCTTTCCTGATGATTATCTTAACTCTTCATCGTGGCTTTTCTTAAAGGAACGCCGTTAAAACGCCTTGTTTCAATTTTCAGGCACATTCTTTTTTGTCTCCAGATCAGACAGGAGGATCATCGATCGGTTTACTCATTTTCCAATACTCTTTGCGCTAAAGATAACTTTCGCGACGTTGGCGCCCGGCACAGGGCGGCGGTTTATGTTCAATGATCATCGGCCTTATCTATCCCAGCCCCCCTTTGAGGCGCAGCGCAGCGCGGTTGAATGTATGCAGGGTTGGCTAGAATTGTCGGTGTGCTGCTTGTGTGTGGGCCAAGAAAATTTGAGAAAAATGGAAAAGATGAAGTTGCACAGGTTTAAGAAGAAAATACGGCTGGTACTTAATTTGTACAGGCAAAGTGTGCGAACAAAAAAGAAAGTATATATGAAAATGGATTCTCCTCTTCCTATATTCAATTCCTATTCACCATCAGCGTAAAAGCAACAACCAAATCAAAGATTATTTTAACGACATCCATCGCCATATTAAAGCAACCCACCTAACATCAATCTCTACCTAACCTCGTCAACACTGCAAAACTGTGTTGGCCAACTTCTTCCCCCATTTTACCTTCGCTCGCCTCCGATGAGCACCGACGACGATTCAGATAATAGTAGTAGTAGTGGACCTCCCCCATTAACGTCGTACCCTTCATTTTGGCAAAAAAGCCAAAAATCTAAACAAAACCGCTCCCGGTCATCATTTTCATCAGGTTCTGCACAATCCAGAATCGTTCATTCTTCAATCAATTCTCGTTCTTATTCTCTATTCAAATTTCATCCTACTCTAGCTCCTGACCGGGAGCCTGACCGTCCACCGCCACCATGACATCGATTTATGCAACTTCACCTTCTTCAGCCTTTGCATTGCCCGGCAGTGCAACTTCACCTAAAGCACACATGATGTCCACTTCTCCTCCAAGAATGACGCGCAAATCTTCATCTGGCATCGCATCTCCAAGAAAGATTGGTATGGGTAGCGCTTCTTCTTTACAATCAAATGGAGCAAACGTTTATGTTCCTCCTCTTCATCTGCCAAGAGGTCATGACTCGAGCGATGTTGCTGCTCTTTCAGCCTCTTTGGATGAAACATTAAGCTTATCAAGAAGCTTAAAGAGCATTCAACTACATTCCACTTCACCATATAACGCCCATAATGGAGCAGGATCAAGCACGATGCATCAAACAAATTCAGGCAAAACTCTTGTTGAACAACCTCACGACGATGAGCCTATGGGACCTTTTGAAGGACCTGAAAAATTACTTGAATTATGGTTTGCCGATTCTCGAAATGACGTCTTGGACGGCGGATTGATGCGCGTAGACCGTCAAGTATGGGAGAACATGTTGGATATCGTCAAATGCAAAGTGTTGAGCGTTATTCAAGGCGATGACGTAGATGCCTACCTGCTCAGCGAATCATCCATGTTTGTCTTCCCCCACAAATTGATCTTGAAAACATGCGGCACAACAACTTTGCTTCTAGGCTTGGAACGTTTGCTTTCTATCGCATTTGATACACTCAAAGCGGCTGACAACCCTACCCCAGCAGAAAGTCTCAATAGCATGGAACTTGGCAAATTTGTCAAACGATGCTTCTATAGCCGTAAATCGTTCATGTTTCCTGAACGTCAAAAAGGCCCACACCGCGATTGGTTATTGGAAGTGGGCGTTTTGGATGAATACTTTGCCTCAGGATCTGCCTACACGGTTGGCAAGATGAATGGCAACCATTGGCTTTTGTATATGACATCGCCTACACAAGGAATGGATGCAATCGGAACCGTTGCTCGTCCGCTACGGCTTCCCTCTTTGCCACGTCCAACACCGCCTGCGGATGAAACGTTGGAAATTTTGATGACGCATCTTTCTCCGGCTTCTTGCGCTCGTTTCGAGTTTCCGGATTCGGTCGCAACGCCTGATCCTGCCAAAGTTGCATGCAATGAAAAAGATCGTGGTCATCTTTTGGGCACACAATTGAGCTCTACTTTGGGTTTAACACAATTGTTCGATGATACAATTGTTGATGCTTATGCATTTGAACCTTGTGGATTCAGTGCAAATGCTATCGTCAAGAATCAGGCATGCAAATCCACCGAAGATGGCTACTGGACCGTCCATGTGACACCAGAACCAGACAGTTCTTACGCTAGCTTTGAGACCAATATCGCTGCATGCAGAGACGATAAAGGCTTGCCTTGGCTTGTGGCTCGTGTCTTGAGCATCTTTGAGCCATCGAGATTGAGTGTAACTTTGTTCACTTCCTCAAACAGCTCTTCTCCCGCTCCTTCATTGCAAGACATCAATGAAGATAATGATGGATACAAAAAAGTGATTGCCAATGATGGAACAATAGTCTCAATCTCTCAAAAGCAAGATCAGTCTGACATCTTACACGCTTTACAGTTGAAGAACTACCGTCGTACAGATCGTATCGCATACTCTTTCGATGAGTATGATTTGACTTTTGTCAGCTTTGATCGAATCGATGCAGTCTTTCCACCACAGTGACATGTTTTCACACACTCCCAAATGTACAGATATGCATAGAAAGATGTTCCTTTCCGATAGAATTGCAATCTTACCATTTTCTACCTGTTTATAAGACGCCGCCCATCTTCTTTTCTCCATCTTTGTATGATGACGACCGACTATGATTTATGAAGAGCCATGTATATATGTGCAAATATTTTATTTAAATCTTTCTATACAATTTTCTGATTTAAGCTTGTATTCCTGCTAATTCATCATAGCCAAGGGCGATATTTAGGTTTTGAATGCATTGCGTAGCTGCACCTTTCAACAAATTATCAATTCCTCCAACAACAACAACTCTCTTTCCACTTGAATGAACTTGAATGCCACCGATCTTGATTCCATGCTGCAAGGCAATATCGTGAACTTCGGGAACTTTGTTGACCAATTCAACCAAAGGTCCTTGTCCAGCATAAAATTCTTCGTACAACTTCTTTACATCTTTTGCCGTTACTTTTTCACGTAAAGGTGCATTTACGGTTGCCAAAATACCTTGAAACCAAGGAGCAACGGCCGGAATGAATCCTAGATCAACATTTCCATTTGCCGCCAATTTACTCAAATGACGACTTGCTTCACGTTCATGAATGTGATCCGTTAGACTGTATGGACGAACGCCTCCTTGTAAATTTTCTGGTGATACTTTTGGTACAGTTGCTCCGGGTGTTTGACTTTGTCCAGACGTTCCTGAAGGTGCGGCCTTTGTACCCGCTCCACTATAGCCACTAATGCCGAATACTGTCGGTGCAGATTGTGAATCCAACATTGGGATCAGAGGTGCAATGAGCGATTGGATTGCTGTTGCATAACACCCTGGATTCGAAATCAATTTCGCATCACGAACAGCTTGACGTGAGTATAGTTCTGTAGGATATTCAAACAAGTTCAACTGTCAGTCATTCTCTTCTTAACTTCATTTGATTACTATTGTATCTTCGATTGGAAGTAGAAAAACGTATGAGATAGGTAAAGAAAGTTATGCAGTGATTTAGAGGTAAATACAAAAACAATGGTATTCGCTCAATCACACAGATAACCTCCTTCCCACCCATACATTCTCAACATCTTCCTGCATCTAGCTATGCTGCGTGCCCTCCTCTTTCCGCTTATCTTGCTTACTGACCTGGTAATCCATACGTCCAATCGTCTTCAAAACGGTAATCTGCGCTTAGATCCACGATTGTGGCGTGTCCGTTTGGTCTGTTCTTACCACCCTCTTGAACAGCTTCAACAAAAGGTTTGCAAACGCCATTTGGCAATGCCATAATATAAGCATCCGGTGGTGGTCCGTCCAAACGACCTTGTTCAAGTTTCTTGATCTCTTCAACGCCAATGTTGCTATAGCGAACAGGTTCCTTTTCGTATCCTGGAAGTTCTCTTCCTGCCAATTCACGCGAGGATACGTGAGAAAGTGTAAGGTTAGGGTGCTTGTTCAAAATTGAAACCAAAGCTTGTCCAGTATAACCACGAGCACCGATCAATGCGACACGTTTTGGCTCAGAAGTGGTTGCAGACAAAGGACCTACACGTTCAACTGCAGTAGCATAGCCTCGCTTTTGTTGGTTTAGTCCAACGGAAGCAATCGATCGTGCAGACGTTGAATAAGCTCTTGTAGCAGTTGGGCGACTGGGAGCGGCACGAAGGGGCAAATATGCTCTCTCCACTCTTGCTTTCTCTTCAAGGCTCTTAACAACATCTTCCACCTCGGAAACATCATGGATACCGTAGTAGAACAAGCTGCGTCCGTTACGTGTAAAGCTTCCATCAGCACGTTCGTAGTGCCATGCTCTGTTTTCGTCATCTGCTCGTGCTGTCCAAACGAGGCGCTTGTGATCTTTGCGGATTTGGTTCCAAACATTGTCATTCACGCTGTTCAACACTCCATTGCGTGTTGCTACCAATTTTGTCAAAACTGGAACCTCTCCTTCAGGACGTGATACAAATGCGACAACGTCGAATGGCTCATCTCCATAGATGGTGTAAGGGCTCTTTGATAATTCAGAGAAGAATTGTGCGACAGACTTGCGGCCTCCTTTGATCTCTTCGTCATTGTTCTTGAGCAAATCACGAAGGCGTTCTGCACCGACACTTTCGATATTGTCATGCTTGTACAACTTGTATCCACGACGGATCAAAGTTCCTGCACCGCTATCTGTGAACAATTCCTTTTGCAATTGGTCCACACTGATGATAGCGACGGAAGAAGAGCGAGGTAAATGATCAAGCAATTCCTTCATCTCTCGTAGCTTCAATTTTGTACCGTATTTGACCCATTCTTGTTTCATCAAATCATCATATTCTTCATCAAGATTGATCGTTTCAATCAAGTCGCCAGTCTTGCCATGGAACAATCCTCCCTTTTCGTTCAAGTATACAATCTTGAGGGGTTCCAATACCTTGGATAGCTCACTAGCTGCAACATCTGCATTCACGTTGAGAATTTGTCCATCTTCCGTCTCAGCAAGAGATGTGAGGATTGGCAAGCATCCTGCTCTGATAGCGCTTTCGATAGGTTCCTTGTCCACCTTTTCAATCTTACCCACCAGACCGTACTTTTCCTTGTCCAAATAAGATGCGGTAAAGGTACCCAAAGGAATCGGACGTGCACGAGAGCCGAATGATTCTAGCTTTTCGACTAATCTTTGGTTTTCTTCTAAGAACACTTGGCGGGCAACACGAAGGGTACGTGGATCGGTGATACGGATACCATCGATGTAGTCTGGTTCAACACCTTCCTTCTCCAAGATTTCGTTCAATTGTGGACCAGCACCGTGCAATACGATTGGGTACAATCCAACACGATGCAAGAAGCTCAAACTGAGAGCTAATTCTTCCAATTGATGTGTTAGAATTGCACCACCCACTTTTAAGACAGCGAATTTGTTAGCAGCACTAAAGATGCGTAGATAACGTTCAACTTCTTTACGAGAGGCAAGCGAGTATAACAAACGAGTAATTGTTTCGCGATCAGAGATTGTTTCATTTTGTCCTCCTGAGCTGAATGAACGAATTGTTGAAGTGGAAGAAGATGCAATCGCACCACTTCTACGAGCGTTTGCTGCTGGTGTAGTTGAACAAACAGCTGAACGAGCTAAAGTAGAATGTGATCGTAAGAAAGCATGGCTAATTCGCGGCTCAAGCCGTGCTGCCATTCGATGTGCCATCTTGCTTTGAGGATGAAGATGATAGCAAGAAAGTGGATCAATTATCTCCCTTATCCAACACAAGCACTAAAGGATGACTCTTTATCTCTATTTGATAGTTAGGCTGCTAAAACCGTCACAACGCGACACGCACGGCTTGTTTAATCGGCACGCATGCACAGCCAAGGTGCGGCTAGCCCGGTACCCAGAGTACACAGCCAGAGCCTTGCATGCTCTTCAATCTGATTCTGTCAGCTGTGACATGGGCAGATAAGATTGTGGATATCGAAGCACACAGACACAATTATTGTTTAGCTGGAAAGCAATGACAAGATGATTCCTCTATGCTCATTACTAAGCCAGCTTGCACGTCAGAAAGCATTAGGGAGACACTTCTTTGGATCCTTTTAACAAGATGTCCAATCATCACTTACACCAACCCTACCCCACAATAAGAAATGTGGTACAATTAACGAAATGAGTCAAGCTGTATTGAGTCCAGCATGCACATCGTAATGAGCTTACCACGTGCTTGACCGTGACCTTATTGTCGCGTTGGCTTTGCTTGTCCAAGAATTAATCGGCGCGATCTGTTTCTTCACGTGTTCAAACAAGCGCAGCGGCGAGTCCAATCTTCCAAATGCTAAGCCCTGAGAAACAAGCGTGTGCCTTTCTGCTGACACTTTAAGCACACATAACCGATAATAGAGCAATTTGTATTGAAAAAGTGAATACAAATTCAAGAAAGTACTCATTGGGGAATACAAAAGACCGAACTTCTTATTTTAGAGTGCGCTCTGAAGCCTTTTGTGTGAGCTCATGCACGATCGAATAGAGAACAAGTCTTCCTGGCAAGAATTAACAGTGATCATCAACTAAATTGACAACCATCTGTTTCACTACGACACACACCATAACCACATCATATCAATATGGGCGATTCAGTTGTTTACAGGGGAGAGTTATCAGGCCACAAAGGCTGGGTTACAGCAATTGCAACTTCAGGTGAAAACCCAGATTTGCTTTTGACAGCTTCTCGTGATAAAACTTTGATCGTTTGGCAATTAACCCGTGATGAACAATACGGTTTCCCAAAAAAGATCTTGCACGGACACAACCACTTCGTCAGTGATGTCACAGTTTCAAGCGATGGTCAATTCGCACTTTCAGCTTCTTGGGATAAGACTTTACGTTTGTGGGATTTGAACACAGGTACAACCGCAAGAAGATTTGTCGGTCACACCGGTGATGTTTTGTCAGTAAGCTTCTCAGCTGATAACCGTCAAATCGTCAGTGGATCTCGTGACCGCACAATCAAATTGTGGAACACTTTGGGTGAATGCAAATTCAACATCCAAGAAGATGGTCACTCTGAATGGGTCAGCTGCGTTCGCTTCAGCCCTAACCCAAGCAACCCAGTCATCGTCTCTGCCGGATGGGACAAGGTTGTCAAGGTGAGTATCGTGGATGAACAGATGCATAGAAGGGAATTGAGAGTGGTGGGGTATAGAAGATACAAGCTTGCAGGGCAGGCGAGAGGAGGGAATGGGTGCGCACAGAGATGATCGTCATTAATATTTGCTACTACGGAGAACCGTATAGTTCGATGAGAATATCTTTGACCACCAAGATCGCTGAGTCGCGTTGAAGAAGAAAGGGATGATATCTATGCAATTCACAAGCTTCAATATAAGAGTATACCTTACTGACAGCTTCTATGCATTTCATTCTTACAGGTTTGGGAATTGTCTAAGTGCAAGCTCAAGACAAACCACTATGGTCACACCGGTTACATCAACACTGTTACCGTTTCACCCGATGGATCTTTGTGCGCTTCAGGTGGTAAGGATGGTATCACCATGTTGTGGGAATTGACTGACGGCAAGCACTTGTACTCTCTTGAGGCCGGAGATGTCGTTAACGCTTTGGTTTTCAGCCCAACCCGTTACTGGTTGTGCGCTGCTACCGCAAGCTGCATCAAAATCTTCGATTTGGAAAGCAAATCAATCGTCGAAGACATCAAGCCCGAATTCACCAACGTCGGCAAAGATTCTCCTGACCCAGAATGCTTGTCTTTGGCATGGTCTGCTGACGGTGCTACTTTGTTCGCTGGTTACAGTGACAACAAGGTTCGCGTTTTCACCGTTGGTTAAACGTGATTGGTAAATTCTTGTTTGTACGTCTTTTATACTATTCCATCATGCACTCTACCATCACTACCGTTCTCATTGTGTCAAAATAGCAGCCATGTTTCACCATTATCGACTTTTAAAATGAATACCTCTATTTGAGGGTATGCTCTATGAATTGTTTGAGTAAAAGTACAATTGTGCTAATAGTAAGCATTGTTCATTTCGGCACCGAGCGTCAGACTTTTTTGATCGGCATGCTCTATTGCCCATCCTAGTACCCGTTTTTGTCCTGCCATAAAAATAGGACCATAAGACGTCAGTATCAAAAGCTCCTTTATATTTAGAACAATATATACTCACCTTCTCTATAAACTTCGATGGTATGCAAAACCTCTGGCCGTACATTTACATTCTTTTTCGCCTCTTCGATCATTTCATTTTGTAGGCCTTGCAACTTTTTCTGTGCCATTTCACTGATGATGCCATACGCTTCTTCCTCGTACATTTTCCTTCGAATATCTTCCCTTTCCTCTTCCCCTGCATCAGGTGCAAATCTATCTATGTCCTCATTCTCTTCTTCCGGATCAACGTTTGCTCGAATCACATTAATAACTTCTTCGAGTAAATCTGGTGGACATTCCTCTTCATACTTCCAATAATGAAGTCTTTCTTTAGTATCGCTGGCGTGAGTTGCTCCGTTGGTCTGCTTTTGTCCAAGTTTCAAACAGACGGTATCGTCATTCATCGAATCATTAACGAATCCATAAGAAGCCAATAAGCTCTCATTCGATTTAGGTCCATACGAATTGAATACCTGACAATCCTTTCCTGTTCGGTTGTGTACTGTGAGCGTTGCACAATCTTGTTGGATATCTTTCTGTGCATTTGCACGTTCGAATGTCCATGTCACTTTTGCTTCTCGTGAATGATTGAAAAGGTCAAAGCATGGTATTAGTATAGGTGCTGAATCATGCGCTTCTATAAGACGAGGCGGGAAGGCTCGACTTCCGTGGACTGTTTCGGCCCATCTCCAGACTTTCAGTAACGGCCAGCACATCTCGTCTTCGCACCAATAAAGGTCGTCCCCTGTGCCTCTCTTCCATTGTACACGTTGCTCTTCTGTGATATCGGGTGATTGAAGCGAGGTAGGAGATACAAATTTATCCTTTAGATGTTCGATCCAGGCTTCACCAGAAGATGAATTTTCTAGCTTTTGTAGCATCCATTTTCCTATTCTTTCGCATGTCTCTCGGGTCTCTTGATGCTTTTGAATGGCATAATTGAACAAGGGCGTGCTTTGTAGTAATATTATTTCATCGATATTGAAATGAATAGGCGTCAGAATTTCTTCGGGTAGCAAGTTGACATATGCTGCATGCTTGAGGAAAGAGTTCACATTTTCCGAATCGAGCTTTGTTCGCTTGCTAGACCTCTCGGTATCTTTCCTGTTTTGGCTGCCTCTTTCTTTCCGGAATGACAAAAGTAGCTTATGCAAGACCAGGTATAGCAGAATCCACTCTTTTGGAGAGACTATCTCGGAATCGTTCGAATCGTCTTGCTCCTCAGCAGCCATCAAAAGATCTTCGACCTGCTTCTTGGCATTAGCAGTAGTGATACAGGACTTGACTGGCACATTTACGGCTACTGCATCGGAATCTATACGTTCAGAAGCAAAGGGCGATAATCCCATTTGATTGTCTCTTGCAAAATAGATATCATCATGCACTTTCCCGCCTTCTTCTCCAAGCCAAGCAAGTAAAGCGCTTAATTTTACTTTTTCATTTCCTTCTAGAGGCTCTGCCATATTCTTTTCCGGATCATCTCATGATCGAAGTGATTGTCACAATGCAATAAAGTCACAACCGCCTTTTTAAAGAAAATCTTAATTTTCTTAAAATGGCCCAAGCGTTTTTCATAAAGCGCTTTCAAACTCAAAATCCAGCACTTCAAGCAGTGAGTGGGTGTGTTTGTGGGGCGGCGAGGGTTATTGAGTGTTACTTTTACAGTACGCGCTGCACTGCTGCTAAAGAGAAAAGAGCAATTGTATGTCAGATTCTCATTCACTCCTCCCGCCATCACAAGGATCATCATTCAGGATGAATAATAATATACAGCAACATGAGGATGAGAGTCTGTTAAACACAAACGGTCACACTCAAGCTACATCAATCCCAGCACCACCACTTCAAGTTCATGATGCTGTTCACGCAAACCCAACAGCTCCTTTGGTTGCCAGTTTACCTCCAACAGGTCAAGCAGCTGGACCTCAAGTAGCAGCAGCGCCAGTCCTTCTGAACGAGATGAAGAACGGATCAGCCAATCCCACCTCCTCTGGAAAGGGTGAAAGATTGCAGTTGATTGATGAAGATCAAAAATTCAATCCATCAGTAAAGGAATATTTGTCAAAGTGGGGTATAGAGGATGTAGGATTCAATTATGATTTATGTGCAGTTGTTGGAAGTCAATCTACAGGTAAATCAACTCTGCTGAACAAACTCTTTGGCACAAGCTTTGATGTGATGAACGAAAACGAAAGAAGGCAAACGACAAAAGGTATTTGGATGTCTCACGCACAACATGCGCCAATCTTAATTTTAGACGTTGAAGGTTCCGATGGTCGCGAGCGTGGTGAAGATCAAGACTTCGAACGTAAATCAGCTTTGTTCAGCATGGCTTCTGCTGAAGTTTTGATGGTGAATATGTGGGAACATCAAGTGGGCTTGTATCAAGGTGCCAATATGGGCATGTTGAAAACGGTCTTTGAAGTGAACCTAGGTCTCTTCCAAGCAGCAAAAAGCAAAACCCATGTAGGAAAAGATAAAACGTTGATCCTATTCGTTATCCGTGATCACATTGCTCAAACCCCGATGGAGAACCTATCAAGGACATTGCTGGCCGATATGAATAGGATTTGGGATTCACTATCCAAACCGGAAGGGTTAGAATCGGTATCCATAACCGACTTTTTCGATTTTGACTTTACCAGCTTACCACATAAGCTTCTGCAACCCGAAGAATTTGATCGACAAGTGCTTCAGTTGCGTGGCCGCTTCACGGAGCGCAGCTCTTCTCAATTCTTATTCAAGCAGCAGTACCACAAACGTATTCCAGCTGACGGTCTTCCACGCTACCTTGATACAATTTGGGAACAAGTTATGACAAACAAAGATCTTGATCTGCCAACCCAACAAGAGATGTTGGCTCAATTCCGATGTGATGAAATCGCCAGTGCAGCATTTGCAACATTCTCAAACTCTGTCAAGCCTTTCAGGAAACCGCTTGAGACTGGTTCTATCGTAGATACGTTAGGAGCAGACATGGCTCAACATCGAGGTGTTGCTTTGGCCAAGTTTGACAAGGATGCATCGCGCTACCATGCAGAAGTGTACAAACGTAAGCGACTAGAACTTTTGGAGAAGTTAAATACTGCTCTACTACCGCTCTTCCTCGGTCAATTGCGCAATCTACACAAGATTCTCATCGCCTTATTCAAGAAAGCAATTGTTGATCGTCTTCGTGGAGAATCATATGATTTCGGACAAGTTGTCTCGGAAGAGCGTAAGAAAGCCCTGACCAAATACAATGCTGCTGCATCTCTTATTCTCTTGCAGGACACAGACTGGAGCGTAAAAGAGGAATTGAGTCAGTTTGAGGAAGATGTTGACAAGATTGCTGATCAATGCCGCGCTGAAGAGACAGTCAAGATGGTCACGCAAATTGAACGGTCTTTGAAGAAATCAATCGCTGAGCCTATTGAACTTGCTTTGTCTAAGCCTGGACCGGATATGTGGGATCGTGCATTGGACGCATTCCGAGTAGCATTGGACAAGGCAGAATCAACATATTTGGGCAAAGCAAAAGGATTCAATTGCACGGAAGAGGAAAATGCAATCGCACTCAACTCGCTACGGAGAAAATCTTGGCTCGCATTACGCAGCAAGGTGGACGAGCAGACGGCTGACCCCGTGCTTATGTCAAAATTGCGTGGATTATTTGAGGACAAGTTCCGTTACGACGATCAAGGTATTCCTAGAGTTTGGAAGCCTGATGACGATATTGACGGATTCTTTAGCAAAGCAAGGAATGATACATTGGCTTTGATACCTGTGTATGCTCGTATTGAGCCATCAGATCCATCAAAGAATATCACTTTGCCTTCTACAGCAGAAGATCCAATCCATTCGGCTGTTGTCGATCGTGGGGAAGATGAAGAATTTGACTTTTCCGAAACACTCAATATTTTCAGCGAAACCCGCAAAGCAGATATTGAAGCACGTTTCCGCAAAGAAGCAGATGCATATTATGTTGAAGCAAAGAGAAGTATGGTATCATCAATTGCTCAAGTTCCAATGTGGATCTATGCTGTTATGGCGGCTTTGGGATGGAACGAATTCATCGCAATTGTTCGATCACCGATTTACTTTACTTTATTGCTTTTAGGTTTGGCAGGAGCTTATCTCGTCTTCAAATTGAACCTTGCTGGACCTTTGATGAGCGTTTCAAAAGCTGTTGGTCGGGAAGTTCATCGATTAGCAGATGATCAGCTTAGAGCGCATTTCTCTCAACCACTTCCTCAACCTGCTATTTTGGCCGAAAAGCCTTCATATGCAGATAAACCTTCTTCTTCAAACGCACCAGCAGAAGAGATTGAATTGGAAGATCGTCAAAAGAAGATTGATTGAAAGGTATTTTATTTATAATGCATGTATTCATTATCAATCCTATCATTTGCTTAGACTATCCGTTAGAGAGAAGTGTTGATCTTGTTGTAAGCACATTAACACGCACCTCCGCCGTACGCGTTCACGCGTATATTGCCGCCATTTTTTACGTGACTTTGAAGTGTTGTTCTCGAGCTCAGCGTACGTAAGGCGGCGGCCTTCGCATACATGCACTCTTCTTGCCATCATCCGTATACTCAACGAGGATCAAATTGGGGGACAGGGTTATAAGGTCAGAATGGACGATCTAGAGTTCGATGACTTTGATGAATCGGCTCTTGAACTTGTTGATCAAATCGAATCAAATTTTGCACGAGAAAGAAACAATCAAACGACGAACAATCATGCTTCTACCTCTAATCTTACGGTGAATACAGCACCAAAACATGTAAATGGATCTGTACCTCGCAAGAACGACTCTCCAAAATCTCCCGACTTCAGCTATGACTTCGACCTCGAAGAAGAGATGCTCAAGACTGTCGAAGCAGCTGAGAAACAACATCAGCAAGTGCTACCTCAATCGCATCCGCAACTGCAACCTACAATAACAAAACCGCTCATGCCGGGTCCAAGTTTGAAGAGAAAGCCTTCTGAAGTGCAGCATGGACCTACAAGAGGAGGCAACAAGCACGTACAGCCCACACCCTCAACATCGAGAAACATTTCAAACGGCAATGGGGCAACATCTAAGCCCTCGGGTTCGAATATGCGTCAATTAAACCTGTTTGGGGACATTGTTCCGCCACAGCCAAGTCAAGGTGTTCTGATTCAAGCAAACAAAGCAAATAGCGCGATTGGAACGGCATCACAATCTGCTGCAGCGCAAAAAGCACAAGATGATATGCGAAAGCTATTGCTTGGCCCGCAAGCCAATTCGAGCAATGCAAATGGCTCTCAATATTACGGCAAAACGAAACAGTGGGATTTCAGTCAACCAATGGTACGCGCCAAACGCCCCTTCAAAGTAGATCCGGATGACTTTGACGAATTTGCAGACGAAGATTTGGATCAGGCTTTGGGCGGCATTGATGATAGCAACGAATTCGATCTTCCTCCACCTCCTACTGAACCCGAAATTGAAGGCTTGAAGCAGATGAAAGTAAAGATCGACAGAGAGGCTGCAAAGACATGGATCTACCCAACAAATAAAGAAAGACGTGATTATCAATTCAATATAGTCCAAAGGGCTCTGTTCAATAATGTCCTTGTGGCACTACCCACAGGTCTGGGTAAAACATTCATCGCCGCTGTCGTGATCTTAAACTACTACAAATGGTTTCCCAACGGAAAGATCATCTTTGTCGCACCTACAAAGCCACTCGTCGCTCAACAGCAAGTTGCTTGTCACGGTATATGCGGTCTGCCTTGGGATACGGCTATCGAGATGACAGGTGAAACAAAGGCAAGCCTTCGAGCAGAAGAATGGCAATCAAAGCGAATCTTTTACATGACACCTCAAACGTTTGAGAATGATTTATGTTCAACGGCAATCAATGCAGAAGATGTGGTTTGCGTGGTGGTGGATGAAGCACATCGTGCTACCGGCAATTATGCATACGGAAAGGTGATCCGGCATCTGATGGTGAGAAATCCATTCTTCCGAGTTCTTGCTCTGACTGCAACGCCTGGAAGTAATTCTGAAAAAGTGCAAGAAGTTGTCGATAGCTTGCATATCAATCTCATCGAAATTCGTCAAGAAGATGCATTGGACATTCGAAAATACATTCACGCCAAAGATGAAGATCCCGTCGTGGTTCCTCTCAGAGGTGTGGTGGCAGAATTGCGTGACCAAATGTGTAAACTCATGAGGCCACATCTCGATGTGTTGGTGGGTGCAGGCGTTTTGGCACAAAAAGATCCTGTCGCTTTGTCTCCATTTGCTATTCGTTCCATCAACAGGGATCCGCGTAAAAGAAGTATTGTCACTCAAAGAAAGTTATATCCGTATATAAAAGACCTGGCAGAATTGGCGCAAGCTATGGAACATCTCATCAAATATTCAGTTTCAATGTTTGCTGAAAAGATTCTCAATTTGCAAGGTGGAAGCACATCAACTGGCGCATCTACAAGCAATAAACGTCAGCAAATCAAATATCAAGCCAACACAGTCATGAATCAGATGAGGCAAACATACGAAATATGTCAAGATTCAGAAGGATTCGTCCCACATCCAAAGATGGACTATCTTCAAAATGTGATCGCCTCACATTTTGCCCAAGATGAAGAAAATGGCGGCAATGGAACAAGAGTGATGGTCTTTTGCTCTCTTCGAGAATGTGTTATTGAAATTGTGGCTCTTTTGAATCGTCTGCCTGGCGTGAAAGCAACGCAATTCGTTGGTCAGGCAACAGATAAAAAGGGCAATAAAGGCTTGCGACAAAAGGAGCAAGAAAGAATCATTGGAGATTTCAAAAAGGGTGATTTCAATGTAATCGTTTCCACTTCGATTGGTGAAGAAGGTCTAGATATCGGTGAAGTTGATTTGATTGTTTGTTACGAAGCAGTAAAGAACTCGATTCGAACATTGCAGCGCGTTGGTCGTACCGGGCGTAAAAGGGAAGGCCGAGTCGTCGTTCTGATGTCGGAAGGACCTGAAGAAAAGAATTGGCAACAATCAAAAGATCAGTACAAAACCATTCAACATGACATTATTCGAGGAATCAATCTGTCCCTTTACGATGATGTGGAACGTCTTGTGCCTCCAGACATCACTTCTGAAGTCCGCTTTGAGAATGTGGATCAACCACCTTTTGAACCCAGCATGATTCGCAATTTGACAGCGTCACGACGAAAGGGAGCAGGAGCAAAGAAACCCAAGCGAAATACCGATCCCATGCGAAATGTACCCAGCGGTGCTTCAATTTCTTTCACGAAAGTCAGTGATATGAGAAAAGGCAAAGGAAAGGGCAAAGCAGGTCGTGTGAGCATGCGGGAGGGAGATTCCTCTGGAGACGAAGCCAGACAATATGTGTCAGGCAAGGCCATTTTGCACGAAAGTTCAAGTTCTGCTGAAGATACTGATGCAGAGCTGGATCGAGAGTTGAATTTAGACTCACCATCGCCGCCACGACGGGCTAACGGAGTAGGGCATGGCAAATTCGTTGATCTTCTTTCTTCATCTTCCATCCCCAAACAGCGTGGAAGAAGTTTGGGTTCTGGGAGGCCACGCGTAAGCCCAACTCAATCTGAAGCTCGAACAAATTCGCGGGAGGAGGTACCAAGTCGAGAACCCTTGGAATCATCAGGCGGCGCTTTTACAAATCAAATATCGAATAGCACTTCGGGAGAGGTGAGTGCTGATTCCCCCGCTGCATTGACGAAGAGCTCTTCACCTATCGTCGTTCGTCGTCGTGCTAAACCACATCCTCTTATCGCTCGTCTGGCAGAAGAAACGATTGATCTAACAGATCCAGAAGATGATGTGGTCTCATTACCAGATTTTATTGGACTTTCGTCGGATGAAGAAGGTACTGGAGTATGTGATGAATCACCAGCCCTGAACCGTCAGAAGAAGAGAACATTTGTACGAAAGAATATACCTATATCCGATTCATCCGCTTCCAATTCAAGAGACACGCCACTACAAAAACAAATGGGCCCTCCTGCTGCTCCAAGATCTGCTGCGAAACCTACGAAGGAAAAGAAAGGCACCTCATCCAAAACGGACAAGACCAAGAAGGGTAAAAGGAAGATCGGCGGTTCCCCAAACAGTCGAAGACTGTTTAACATGGAAGCTGATCGTTCGACAGATGAAGAAGTTCACGGTGAAAAGGATGAAAATGATGAATTGGACGATCGCTATCAAGAAGATTCAAGTGATCGTGAACATGTGGGTGATTTCATGCCTACACAAGCTATCAAAGGCTATCAACAACAGGCAATCTATATGCAATCATTGATGTCGCAAAATGCTCCTGCTATCTTTGGTAATGGGCGAGGGAAAGCGGGTGCAATTGGCCAAAGGGGTGGAAATCCTGCTGATTCGTCGCCGTACGTTCCTAGATACAGACAACAAATGACAAGCTCAAATTATGGCCACAATGAGGATGACAGCACGAATGAATACGAAGTTGGTTCTTTTGTTTGCTCCGATGAGGAGATCGTGTACGAGAGCGGATCACAAGGGCCCGGGAATCGATCCATCCTGTCAAGTCAGTGAAGAGATAGGACACCTTTCAAAACCAGCGTCACCTATAAAAGCCATTTTCTATGTATATTACGATAATATCCATGTTCCACACAATCAATTCTGTATATAAGCATCAAACGGGCCAGATAATTTGTGCAAAAATAACATTCTAGCACAAAGAGATGCACAAACAATTGCTGCGCATATATTGGTGATTGTTTAACATGAAGAATAAGAGCCACATTATTATTGAAGAAAGTAGAAAATACGACTCATGCTTTTTGGGGATGTTGACAAGTACACATGGATGGGAAAAACGAGACAAAATAATGTCGTCAAAAATGAAAATTCAGAGAAAATCTGACGAATACCCTTTTTTTGTTTAGAAAGAAATCATGGTTGCACGGAAATGTTTTTTTCGTGAAAAGCGTTAGCCGTAAAATGCGATTTGTGTTTTTTTTTGCATAAAGTGTTTTGTCAATATTTGCACTGCAGGTGAGGTGCAAATATATTGCTCATGATCCATCCTTCACTGAAAGCTTGCATCCCAATTCAGCGTAGGAGCCCTTCATTGATCTGAGCCATTCTCCAGTTGAAACACTATTTAGGCAGCCGTGCGACCACCACGTCCACCGGCAACACCTCCACGACCAGTGCCACGTCCACCCCGTCCGGCACCTTGACCAGAAGAGCCACCACGAGCGCCACGGCTAGCACCGCTTGCGTTTCCGGAAGCGTTTGCATTAGCAGGCTTGCGTTTTTCTTCAATAATAACAGCAGAGCCATCTTTGCCAACCTTTACACCTCCTTCTCCACTTGCACGAATTGCTTTACGTGCTGAATCAACTGATGCAAATTCACCGAAAGCGACTTGTTTGGCTGCATTTACTGTGCATTCTTTCATCGGTCCAAATTTGGCTTCTAGAGCAGCTTGTAATCCTTCACTTGGTAGGTTTTCAACAATAACGTTCTTGATGAACACATGACCGGTTTGACGGGCTGCGTTACCGTTGTTGTTAGTATTGTTAGAAGGACGAGATGATTGTTGAGCTTGTTGGTTTTCGCGTGCAGAAGAGATACCGCGAGATTCAGAGTTGACTGTTGATCCCCACTTTGTGGCATTGGAAGCCGCCAAATTAGCCCATGTCTTTGGTGCAGCGGGAGCAGCGGCGGCGGCAGCGGCAGCAGGAGATATGGAAGGAGCAGCATTTGAGTTTGTGCCATTCAAAGCGGGCGTTGGGGCTTTAGGGTTAGCAGCGGAAGTTTGATTGGCTTCCATTTGACCGCGTGTGACAGGTGCTTCCTCACGTTCAATAGTGGTGACCTTTTTGTCAACTCCGACTTCGGAAGGTGCGGCAGGTGTGGGCTCTTGTGCTTTAAGATCACCGACTGCTTGAGCTTCTTCAACTGTGTCCAAAGGTGCAGTGCTGATGGAAGTAGCTGCAGTTTGGGCAGCAGTGATTGCAGCAGCTGAAGGTGCAGTGACACCAGGTTGAAGTTCTGCTTGATGAACAACATCAACACCTCTTGCGGCAGCGTCTTGCACTTCTTCTGTGATTGCTTCATCGATATCTTGTGCTTCCTCTTCTACTTCTTCGTCGTCTTTGAGGTAACGGAAGATATCGTTCAGAACAAAGTAACCATTTGGTTGTTCGGCCAAGAAGAATGTTTGAACGAATTTACGCCAAGCACCGCCATCGTTTGAGATATCACCAAGAACTTGAATGATGATACCGCCTGCAGCAGATGCTTGACTGTCAACGTTTGAAACAAATACCTTTGCATTTGAGAAGCCTAAAGAGACGATCTTTTCATGAATTTGTTGTTGTCCGATGCAGAGAGGTGCTTCTTCCTGTTCGGTACCATGTACTAATGTGGAGCGTTTTGAATAGAAACAATGTAACTTACTTGGATCATTGTTCAAGAATGTGTAGTATTGTGGAACGAATAACCAACCTACTTCTGTTGGAGCAGCTGTTGGCTTTCCACTTGCGTTAGGAGCTGTAGCAGCTGCCGTAACGGCATTGCCGTTTTGAATGGGCGCGGTACTGGCGGACATGAATGTTGATGAATTCAACTTTAGAGAGGCGATGACAGTATATGATTGTCCAATCTGAACTTCAGTCGAACGAGAAAAAAGCTTTGAAATACTTTATAGATGGTGGAGGATGAAGCCTTCAAAAGATGAATGAATGAATACCTGTGCACCGCATGCACGCACTTCTTCGGCCTAAAGCTAACAACATACACAACACTTTACTCTGCGTTCGGTTCTTCTGCGCGTTCCTCACTCTTCTCTATATGCACACTGTACATTGTAGTAATCACACTCTCTTTCTCTTTTAGTCATCTTATCATCAAACATCAATTATCATATAAATGCCTTCAATGCTATCAGCCAAATAGATATGAGCTCTGCTTGTGAAATCAACATTCATTGTAAGCTACAGGCAATCTTCCTAACCTGGAGAATCACGTGTGCGCGAGCATCAAAAGGTGTGCATCTTGTACGCGTGTGTGCTATAAGCCAGTCTAGGCATATGCCTGATTAGTCTAATGAAATGAAATTTGATCGTCTGTGCTTAAAGCAGCGCTTAGACGATAGAACAAAGGGTTGCGCAGCCCAGTGCAAATGCAGTGAATGGCCTGTGTAATTAAAAAGGTAGATCATTCATTATTGGTAAGCAGTAGCACATACCTTAGGCTTCCTTCGTCTTAAGCAACAACTTCTCCTACCTTTCCGTTGTTCATCTCGATTGTGATTGAAAGACACTGTTCAATCTTGTCATCAATCAAGATGTCAAATCCACAAGCAGCTAGAGCAGCACTTGAAAAAGTATTTCAAAGCTTTAAAGATCAAGCAAGAAGAGGTGCACGTCAAGCTGGAAATGGAGGAGGCGGCGGCGGTAGTAGCGGTGGTGCAGGACCTAATCCACCAAATCTACGAGGACTATTAGGTGGTGGTGCAGGACTGTTCTTATTGGTCGGGGGTGGTTTTGCAATCAATTCAAGTTTGTTCAACGTTGATGGTGGACATCGTGCAATCAAATATTCTCGACTTGTTGGTGTTAAGCCAGAGATTTACAACGAAGGTACACATTTCCTCATCCCTGGTCTCGAATTAGCAGTCGATTACGATGTTCGTGCCAAGCCTCGCAGTATCGCCAGTCTAACAGGAACAAAGGATTTGCAAATGGTCAATATCACTTGTCGTGTTTTATCAAGACCAATGGCCGAGCAATTACCAACAATTTATCGTGAATTAGGAACAGATTATGATGAAAGAGTTTTGCCAAGTATCGTCAATGAAGTTCTCAAATCAGTCGTTGCTCAATTCAATGCATCACAGTTGATCACACAACGTGAAATGGTTTCCAGACTAGTGCGGGACAATTTGACAATTCGTGCAAGAAGGTTTAATTTGGCATTGGATGATGTCTCTTTGACACATGTTGCCTTCTCGCCAGAATTCACAAACGCTGTTGAAGCAAAGCAAATCGCACAACAAACAGCTTTACGTGCCGCCTTCTTGGTCGATAAGGCTTTGCAAGAGAAACAAGAAACAATCGTTCGTGCTCAAGGTGAAGCTCGTAGTGCAGAATTGATTGGTGAAGCAGTTAAACGTAACAAGGGCTTCTTGAAATTGCGTAAATTGGAAGCAGCAAGAGATATTGCTACCGTTTTGAGTAACAGTAATAACAGAATTATGCTTGATGCTCAAAGCTTGTTGCTCAATGTTGCAGATGAAGATCCAGACGCCAGACGCAATCAAAAATGATCAACCAAAGCTCATGGAAATGCTCTCGCCATCACTTTCCCAACCCTGACGGCTTTCCGTCCCTGATCCGTCAATATGTACAGTGTAAAGTTATCAAGATCTCTCTTAAGATCAACAAGCAAGCCACCCCTCTATGCTAATTCGGCTAATAAAAATGATTAAAACTTCAATTTTGTGTTCGTGAATACTCATCACTCAGCATTGTGTCTGTCGAATTTGTTGATTATTGGTAATTGATAGGTATACAAATGGCAGGATTAGCACATGTCTTTTCTACTGTACAGGTATATTACATGTAATGTTAGATGTTGCATTAATAGTTTCTCGGACGTTTGACGGGCAATCCGTATGAATCGGCTTGGTGCAAGTAATCATCATTATTTCCCACAACTCCACCACGTTGATAAGCAGGCTGTTGCTGTTGGTCCACATTGTACAAACGAGAAGGACTTACTTTGACGTTCGCATGATCGTAATGGCCATGTACCAAACTTGACTCGTTCGAAGGGAGTGTGTGATTAGACGAATCATGCTTTGAGAGGAGGTTCATTTGACTGGAAGTGAGATCGCCAAATTCATCAGAGTATTCGTCTCCTTCTGGATGTTGAACGGTGTACGGCAGGGCGGCGTTAGAGTTGATCGTCGGCAATGATTCACTCGCCGCCGCCGTCGGTGTTGGTTGACCATCTCCATTATTAATTTTCTTACGGCGTAATTCTTCTCGTTTCAAAGCCGCTTGCCGTAGTCTCTCTTGTCTTGCAGCCTCACCGCCATCCGTCTTGTTCTGTAAGACTGAAGATGTTCCATGGACGTCTGTCGGAGGCTTTACAATACCATTCGCTTTTTGGGGTACTGCATTGGGCGGCGAAATTACAGTTGACTGAGGCGGTGTTGCTCCGTTATTGGAGCGGCCGTTGCCGACATGAGGTACTGTTGATGAGGATGTGTTTGGCTTAGTTGATGAACCGCTAGGGTTTCCCAGACCCTCGGCACGTTTGAGTGTTGCTGGATTGAATGGCGGATCTGGAGCTTTCATCTTGGCTACATTGCTCACATGCTTTTTGTCGTACAGACAATTGCCTGTAGCATTGCCGAACAATCGCAAGCATCGTTTCAATGCGTCTGTTGATGCTTCTTTGTAAGCTTTTTCCATTGCAGCTGGGAGACTCTTCATATTTTCTGCATTACCGAATCCACAATCTTGATGGAATGCACCACTGCGAATTGTAATTTTTCCTGTACACATGATACAAACTGTCCATCTTCCACTTTCATTCCTTTCGCGAGACATTTCTTGAAATGATACGATTTCAGATGACCAAGAGTCATGTCCAAAGATTTCATGAGCCAATTCTATAGCTTTGTTTGCCTCCAAATAAGCCACTTTGCCTCCCATCGGACCAGCTCGGAGAGAAACATACTCTGGTCCCAGCTTTTGTTGCAACTTTGATTGGATTCGGGCGGCCTGTAAAGCTGGATGCTCTTCGTACCTTTGCATTTGATGATTGTTGATATTTTGAGCATGTGCTCGCTGGGAAAGCACTAATCGGTTCTCCTCATTTTCTTGTTCATCAAGGTCGACATCATCGTAAGGAGAAAGATTATTCATTGTTGCGGTTTTTCGGACGTGTCAAGCTCCGCCGATTGTAACTTGCAAGAGAGAACTTCTTTTCACTTTGCCTTACGTTTCTTCGGGCTGCGAGAATCCAAACTGTGCGAGAACATCAACGGGAAGAAAAACACGAATGAGGCGTTTCACACACTTCACGGTGTGATGCGTGTGAGCGAGGTTTTGAATGTGACAACGGTAATGGATGGCGGTTGTGTGAAAGGGAAGAGAGTATGCACTTCCTTTATATGCTGAGTGGCCTATCCAAATTTATATGCATGAAAGTGTTGATCTTTTTGCAGGCTGACAGGAATGTACTCTCTTAGTGCAGCGCCAATGTACATTATAACAAGTCCTTTTGTTTTGTTGTGTGTTAATCTTTGTAAGGGAGCGTGTGGCTATACGCGTCCGGTCAGACAAGCAGGCGTGAGTGAAGTGCATACATTCGACGGCGCAAAGCAAGAGGTGCGAGAGGCCTGATGATTGTACGATTTTTTGTCGGAGAAAAGGATGCATGATATTAAACAGGGACATCCGCGTACAAGTGGGCGTAAATTACAATTTTGCCATTGCGATTCGTTTCCTTTCCTACAACCACCTTTGTTGTACGTCACTTAACATTCTCCGCTTCTGCTTCGGCGGTAGCTCACTACCGAAAAGATGGCAGAACGTAAGGTGTTAAACAAATACATTCCACCGGATTTCGATCCAAGCAAGATCCCAAGACTTAAAAAGGGAAAAGATCGTCAAGAAGCGATTCGATTGATGGCACCTTTTAGTATGAGATGTAACACATGCGGAGATTACGTTTATGCAGGTAAAAAGTTTAACGGAAGAAAAGAAACGGTTCAAGGAGAAGTCTATTATGGCATCAAAATTTTTCGTTTTTATATTAAATGTCCGACATGTTCATCAGAAATCACATTCAAAACGGATCCGAAAAATACAGATTATACCATCGAACATGGCGCATCGCGGAATTTTGAGCCATGGAGAGAAACAAAGGAAGGCACAAACGAAAAGGCGGAAGAAGAAGATCCTTTGTCTCGTATTATGAGAGAAGAAGGCGTAGAGGAGAGTGATGAAGATGAAGATCCGATGAAAGCATTGGAAAAAAGGCAACAAGAGGCAAAGCGGGAGATGGAAATTATGGACGCTTTGCAAGATATCCGAACACGAAATGCCCGCATAGACAGAGTTGATACAGATGAAATACTTGCCAGACATCTGCAGAAAGGCAAAGAGAAGGAAACTAAACAGAGGACGCTGGACGATGAGGAAGATGAGGCTTTGGTGAGAAAGTACTTTGGCAAAGATATGGCAGCCGCACCAGCCCTCTCACAGGACAATGGCAAGAGACCTCATGATGAAAAGAGCGAAGAAGAAGCCTCTCCTATCACTGGAATTTCTGTGAAAAGAGCTAGGACGCACCTCAATGGTACCGATGCTGGAGGTGAAGACAACGATGAAAAAGAACCTGAAGTTTTGTCGTTACTGTCAGATGCAAATCGTAACCAATTGTCTTCGGGATCATCAAAAACGGCATCTTTCGCCTCCTCTGTGCCTGGTAAGTCATCAATACCTACCGCTTCAGCAAAAAGAAAGAAGGGTAGTAGCATCTTTGGCATAGTGAAAAAGAAGACATGAACAATGTCCCTTTTGTAAATTATACTGTACAACAAATACTCTCATTGTATTATTATATGACAAATTCTTATACCACACAAACTTTGAAACATATATAAGGGTATGCATTGCTAAGTACAAGATCGATGGCATAAAATACACGCCTTCGTTGCTATACATATCTGGGAGAATTAATGATACAAAAAGTAGAATGCACACCTAATAAAGACAATTAAGCTGAAATCCTTGGCAAAGGTACAGCAGAGTTTGATTGCATGGTAGAATTGATGGCGTCAGAAGAAGGTGGAAGGGAAGTTCGTAATCGATTATGTGCTGATGATTGTTGTAAGACTCGCTCAGAAGAACTGCTAGGCAAGATCATTGTTTTGGATTTTTCTGCTGTTTTACTTGATTTTCGTTGCCGATTCTCATAGCTTTGCCAGGGTAAAGGTTCTTCTCTTTGAGTTGACCAGCTTTGTGAAGTTGTTAGATCACCGTGCTTCATGTCTTCTTCTTCTGTCTCGGATGATGCCATGATTGTTTGATTTGAGTCATTATGACTTGTAGGATGCAGCGAAAACCAAGCTTGTTCTACGTATTTTGTCGTCCAGAATGCTTTGGATCGAACATCTCCCATTGAAGCAACTGTACAAGCGAGTGGCTTATTTGCTTCGTAGATTGCATTTGCACGCTCGTTGCCCCAAATTCGAGCTGCTTTGAGTTGTTGTTCGTTCCAATCATCCAAATCAACGCTACGTACTTTACTCACACTTACGCCTAAGCCACGATGAATGCCTGAACATTCTATACAAATGAAGATGCAACAAGGCATCCCGTTCAAATTCCAACTTGCCCATCTTGGATCAGGTTTACGACAATCAGCGCATTGTTTATTTTGAGGCAAAGATGCAATCGCAAGGATTTCTCGTGCTCTTGCAAACTTATTCGATCCTTCATCAGAACCTTGTTTGTTCATCAATCGACCTTCTTCATCTGCCGAACCCGGACCAATTGAGGATGGATTACGAGATGCAGCAGAAGAAGACATCGTCAGACCGTTAGAATCGCGATTGGATGAATGTGCTCGGCTGTGGAAGCCAGATCCGCTATTTGCTGAAGATGAAGATTCTGCACCGTAGCTGCTATGAATCATTGCTTCAATCCGTTTATCAAATTCGGTATTGACGTTCAAAGATGAAGACGAAAGGGATCTACCATCATCAGTGGAACCAACGTTTAGATGGGAGCTATGTCCGAGTACGCCGGCCATGTAGCCAGAAACGGGAGTATTGTTGGAAATTCCGCGTGAATGACGATCATTTTTGGAAGGTGTGAAAGGTAAACCTTCTTTGGAGTCAGTATATTCGTTGCCTTCATTGGAGGAAGAGCCTGCGTGATCTCCTTCCGATAGAGCCAGCAGATGACCCCGCGATCCAAATGCGTGCATATTTTTACTATCACGTTTCGCTTTGGAAACCTCATCACGGTGCGTGGAAGTGCCATTATTGCTGCTGTGTCCATATCGATTGAATAACCTTCCACTAGCAGCAGAGCTTAAATCTGTCAAGCTTTGACTGAATGACTTGTGTGCCCCAATCCCATTGACGGCAAAAGGAGTTAATGCATTATCAAACACATGTCTCATTCCATCTCCAAATTCTGCAGCAGATGTACTATCTGTTGACATGCCAAACGAATCGATAGCCTGAGCAGCAGAATGACGTGCAACTTTATCGATCTGACGAATAGAGCTAGTTCCATTGATCAAAGATTCGATTGCAAAGCTGATTGCGCCAATCCAACCTCGCATATCTTCATCATTGGAAGCTTGGAAGAATCTTCTATTTTCCCGTGTGATCACTTCAAATGTGAATCTTCTCTCCACACCTCTTGCTTCACGTACGGTTGCAAAGCGTAAATCGATCAAAGGTTGAGAAGGTTCAAGAGTCATTGCTTTTGCATCTTTCCAATGTGCAAATTCTCCCAGATGTCCCGATCCAGATAAGACAACCCAACATTCACGCCAATTTTGCGATCGTGAAACCGATTTAGGCGCATCTGAACCTCCCATTCCCTGGATTGGCTTTGTCATTGCCCAAAGGATACCTTCCTTCTTTCTCTGTGGTTGTGAGGTAGGAGCACTCAAGAAGGCTTTTGAATCAAAAGCGGGTGATTTTGCATATTGCTCCGTATTTCTTGGACTCGGAACAGAGAATGTCACATTTGCTTGGCCATTGGCAGACGGTCTTTTTGTTTTGGGTGAAACAAGTGCTTGACTAGATCCTACTGTGCTCAAATCCAACGTGATCGGCCTTTTATTGGGACTTTGTCTGCTTCCCGACATGGAAATACTTCTGCGTGGGGATGCATCCCCCATCATTGTTTCAGCTGTGACAATATTCACATCAGGTATGACAACCTTTTCATGCGCCACTGGACTTTGAACAAGGTGATTACCCTCAACGAATAAGCGACGTTCTGAATCGTGCATAGTAGGCGATTTGGAGAAAGAGAAAGATCGTAAACGTGCTTGCCATTTATTGCCTGATGAAGGAAGCACTGGTGAAGCTATACTACCCATCGGACTCTTGCTTTCCAAAGTGCTTTGTTGTCGTGATTGCTTGGATGGAGAATCGTTTTCGGTTGTTTCGAAATTGCTAGCAGGAGGTATAGGACATGAAAACGGTTGACGAACTGAAGATGATTGATTGTGAGGTGAGGGTGAGGTCAAGTGTCCCACACCAATGGATGTCAACAGATTTTTCAACTTGTGACCTGTTTGACGTGAGTTGATTCCAAGTTGATTATCCGATGGAATATCGGGTATCGGTGAAGGTTCAATGCCCATTTGTCCTTCGCCCTCTCGACTGAGCATAACACGTTGATGTTCGGCAATTCTGCGATCAAGATCCAAGCATCTTTCTAGTGCTGCATCTGCTTTGGCTTTGACGTTGATCATAACCGTTTGTGCAGTAGAATCAAAGTTACGAAAAACATTCTCAGCAGAGAAATCTTTGCATTGCCATCTGCAAAGTGAGAGCATATGACTTGCGACGAGAATTTCTGCTTCACCTTCATGAAGTGTACAAATACTTCTATACATTTCAAATCTGGAAAGATCAAAACGTAATTGACGCCACTTTTGCTTCTCGTCAAGCTTTTCTTGTTTGATCATCGCTTTATCAAATCCGATGGCCTCCGGTGAATACTCGTTTAAGACTGGCTGAGTATTGACTTGATTGGAAGATTTGCTCGATAACCATTTTTGTGTTGCTGAGTAATATGTTTTGCTTTCAGTGTCAAACGCTTTAAGCTGTCCGACCAACTCTCTGCACATATCCACAACTGCACGCATAGGTGCAATCACATGCATCTCCATCATAGCAATCGTTTGTTCTCGTTTCTCACGTTCTGCTTCACGAGATCGGAAAAGCCAATCACTCGATAAACGACCAAAAGTTGCAGGCATCAATGCTGCCATATCTTCAAATGTATGATCGAGTCGTACTTCTGTCACTTGTAATTCTTCAGTGGCTTGAGAAACATCATTTGCAGCTTTGAGCATACCTTTTGCAACCCGTTTCAAGTTGGTTGTTCGTCTTTCAATATTTTGTATAGCAGCCCGGAAGATTGGAGAGTCACTTTCTACATCGGCCAGTCCAAGCTCTACATGATTGAGATCAGACGAAGAGAATTGAATCAAAGCTTTTGATGTATTCAAGGGTACACCTGGACTTGCGAACAACTGCTCGGATGGATTCAACTGTTGAGGAGCATGAACGGCAGCATTCTTTGTCGCAAGTAGCGAGGAACGCGAAAGTCTAGCCTTGAGCTTCATTTGACCTTCATCAACAGATTCAGAATTGGTACGAGATCGAGTTGCACTTGGTCTTGGAGAGCGAGCAGTAAGTTTTGGATCTACTCCTTCAAGACCCAATCCGATCGCTTGTCCATTAAACAATAATTCCTCTTGTTGTGCTTTTTCGCTGCTCGGGTCCTTTTGCGGAATGTCCATCCAGACAAACGTCGGTTTCTGCTGAGTGCTTCTATCAATTGAATATGCAGATCTGCCAATGAGAAATTGAAAGAATGCAAGAGGTTGAACGGTTGACTGTATTTTATCCAAAACAACAAAAGCACAAGCACACTTGACTGCATTTTCGCCTGATTCTTGTATTTTGACTTCTTGTCCATTTGCTGTATCTTTCCAACTCCATTCGAAATCCGTTGGTTTTGAAGTTGTGGATTTCTGAACGGGCACCCAATCAATACCTTCCAACTTTGCCGATGATTGCGAAGAAAGCGGTCCGTTTAATCCATTTTGACGGATCCGCGATGATTCAATAGCTTCACATAACTTCTGAGCAGAATTGCAAGAAAGAAAAATAACTTGTTTTTCTGCAGTACTTTCGCTTGTAAGTGAACTAGACCGTGGTCTTCGTGGTCCCGCAGGTATGGCACGATTGGATAAAGAGGGCGAAAGTGGTGTCATACTGTTGCTGGGGCTGTGTAATTTGATTTGCAATCGAATTTTCAATATAACTTCATCTTTCCAGCCAAATGCCATACGTTCTGCTCCTGCAATACGTGCAAACGTTTCTATCGGACTAACAACTTTCAATAGCAACTTATTCATTTCACCTGCTGATTCCATCGTTGAATCATTCACCCAACTATCCTGCGTGTAATCGTAATCGCCGCTTACGTCTTGATTTTCAGATGTGTTTCGTGATTCGATAGTGTGAAAATGACCTGCTCTGCCTTCGTTGGAAAACTCTTGTTCTGCATCTCCCATATATTCTGTTGGTGCACTTTCTAGCCTTTCCCAGCCACTGTCTTCTCCACCGATCGATGCACTCCTTGCTTCGACCCGATTGATGATGCTTATCGGTACGGTTTGACTTGAAGCGGGTGATTCTCTTCCATAAGTCATACTGCAAGGACGAAGGCGATATGTACGTCGAACACGAAGGATACTACGTACACTTGTAGCAGCAGCTCGAATCGTTTCTTGTTCAGTATTGTCCATCGAAGGAAAAGGTTGTGAATTTGAGCATATACTTTGTGATTTGGACGTGGTTGATTCGACAATAGAATGACTTGATGCTCTACGTTGTTCGCCCGCAATGGATCCATTTGAAGTACTGATAGCGATCAAATCGTCTGTATCATTCATAGATGGTGCGATGACCATTTGATGTTGATCTCGTGTTTGAGAAACATCAGATCTGCTCAAGTTACGCAAGCCATACAACCCTTTCCTTCCAAGATCAATCATTGCGCCTTTTGCTTTCGCTCCAATTTCAACAGATCTTGGCCTTCTTGATTTGACTTGCTCTTTTCCAGCCATCGGATCTCTGAAAGAGGAAGGTGGACAAGCAGTATTTGTCTTTGATGAACTTGAGGCAGTGATGCCGGAGATTGTTGAAGATGCTTCATCTTCTCGTTTAGCTTGTGATGTTGTCCTTGATCGGGAAGAGGTTGATTGATTGGCATGATCGATGCTGGATCGTGCACGAGGCGTTGAACTTATCTTTCGTGATCTTTGTAATTCTTCAAAAGTGCATTGTGCTGCGATTCGAATGCCAAGGATTGATAGTTGTGATGGATCGTTTAGCAGGATATGATTACCACCAGCTGATTGAACGTGTTCGTATAGCGTGTTGGAAGACGAACTGGTGGCCATGATCGGCTGTTTGTGTTGTGTGATGATGACGGGTTGATGATGGAAGTATAGATTAGATGATCGTTTTCAGAGTTGATAAAGGAGCACGAACCTCTCCCAAAAGGGCTTTATCTCTTGGATGTGTTAAGGTTGATAGGTATGCATTCCTGCCTATTAGCGTTTTGCAATGAAATCGTCCCCGCACTTTTTCTCTCTCTCTTTTCTCCGAATGGTGATATGCTTAAAATGCTAAAAGAGGACCCTTTGCTCGTTCCTATGGAATCCAATAAACGTCTTAAACAACAACAACAAGGTTTAAAATATAAAATACTCGGGCCCTTTTGCTGTTGTGACCCCTAATGTCAATACAATAATCCCTTTTGGCTAAAATGCACTACAAAAAAAGATCAACACACACATTACATACCCCTGAGTAGATTTAGCGCGTTACGTGTGTTGAGGTGGAGTCACAGCCACGGGTAAAGCGTGTTTGATTACTTAATCAAAACAACTCATAAGAGGTATCCCCCACCCTGATTGATTTACGCTATTGGACAGGTGACATTCTCCTTTCGATTGACAGTTTCCCGAATCATTCATGCAGCGATCCGAGCGTAATAGAATAAAAATCAATATGTCAATCCACTCATAATACCATCACCTTCATTCTTGTCACTAGTGTACATTCATTTAAACGCATATTCAGCTTCTCAAGCGGGCGCGTTGTGAAAATAATGTTCCCGATCCGATCAAGCCTTATTTTTCTTCTCTTTTCTTCCATCTGTCTATCAAAAAAGATGTCTTCTTCTTCTTTTCCATTCACTCCACCAAAAGAGTCTTATGAAATCTTTGCAACGGGGTATTCTGGTGCACTTGTTCCACTGCAATTTCAACCTCCATCTAGCATACAAATCGTAAAAGATGGTCAATTGAACAATCAGACAGGAGATTCACCTTCTTGGATCACATTCACAGAGGGGAAATTTCCCTTCAGTAAAACACTTGGATACGTAACGAGTGAAGCGGCACACAACGGAACCGTATACGTTTTGCAAAAAGACCAAAAAATTCTTCCCGTTCCTTCTTCCTCTTCTCCACCTTGGAAAGTGATCGGGAACAAAGATGGATACAGTACTGCAGGTGGCGGTCCAGTAGCAAGTTGCGTACAAGGTCAATGTCTGTATGTAGCAAATTACAATTCAGGTTCAGCTGCTGTTATTCAATTGGGTAAAGATGGCATCCCAGTTGAACAAAACGGTCAACCCGCCTCTGTATTTCAATACAAAGTCAATCAAACCGGTCCTGTGACCACAAGACAAGATCACAGTTATGCACATGATGCAGTTGCAAGTCCGGATGGTAAATGGGTTTACATTTGTGATTTAGGAGCTGATCAAATTCATCATATCGAAGCAACACAAGGGCAAGATTGCAGGCAATCTATCAATCAACAATCACAATCTACTCAATTGGGAAGCGGTACAGGTCCACGTCATTTGGCTTTTTATCATGATAAACAAACGAATAAACAGTATGCTTACCTTACAAGTGAATTGGCAAGTACACTTACTGCGTTTGAACATGATCCTGAAACAGGCGCATTGAATATCATCGGAAAGCCAGTTCTGAGCGTTCCAGAAGGTACGCCTTTAGGAGGCAATCAAACTGCCGGTCCACAAAGAACGACAGCCGAATTAGCAATCAGTCCAGACGGGCGATTCGTATATGTTTCCGATCGTGGAGATGATGTTGAAGATCATATAACAATCTATAAACGTGATCAACAGGATGGAAGTATCCAATTTGAGAAATGGGTAAAAAGTGGCGGAAAGATGCCAAGGCATTTTTCACTTTCGCAAGATGGTCACTTTTTCGCTATTGCCCATCAAACGACTGGTAATGTGGTCATCTTTGGACGTGATCCTCAATCAGGCGATCTTACAAAAACAGGAGCAGAAGTTGATGGGCTTGATCAAGTCGCATTTGCAGGCTTTGTACCAAAATAAAATACCATCATAGAATATGGAAAGGATTCATTCATACACTCATCTACTATCTTTCACACCTTTTCATTTGTATAGTGCATGGAATGTTATCATCTATCAACATCATATCAACATGCCAATATGGGCAAGAAAAGGGTACTAATTAAACACGATCGATCTGAATATACTGAATTTGTGTACGACTACTATTGCTTGTGCAATCAGCTTCCAATTGGACCTTCAAGGGTGGGAGCAATTCTGCGCTTTTTGCGTGTAGCATCATTCGCTGTTGAAGGGCCTTCGCTGCTTGAAATACCGCTTGCATCACTTTCCATCGTTCCAACAGAAGCAGGGATACTTCCTATCGCACTTGCAGGTACGACTGGCGGATCAATTTCACGCATCGATTTGGAGTCTCCTTCCGTCGCATTGCCAGTTGCCAATCCTAGTCCCAACGATGGACTCAATCCGTTTCCTAATCCACTTCCGCCACCTGCCAAACTACCACTTCCACACACATTGCCAGACGCTGAAGGAGGTGTACCATGAGATCCAGCAACAGGAATCGTACTTCCCGGCAAACTTTGCGCGCTTGCTCTACGTAACATAGGTGAACCAGAAAGTTTTGCCGTTGGAATAGGTGCAACAGGTTGTTGTAATGAAGGTTGTGAGGCATACGTATAAGGTTGTCCTAATTCACCATAATCAAATACAACGATTGAACAATATCCATCTGTTGAACACATCATTAACGTTTGTCCGTCAGGTGACCATGTAAGATCCGTAAAGCTTGCATAATGCATATTACTGAAACAACACAACGGTCCACCTTGTTGTGTATCGTAAATCCAAACCGAATCGTGTGTTGCAACTGCAAAGATCATTCGATAAGGTAATCCAATCATACTTGCAGGTGGTGCTGAGGCGGTAGATTGCTTGGGTGTGGTGTTCGCATCTCCACCTTCACTCGTTTCTTCCACATTCGAAGCACCATTTCCACCGCTCACAGATGCACTCGATGCCACTCCACCAGCCACAGAGGCTGCTGAGCTTAATGCAACAGTCTTTTGCTTTCCAGCCTCTAATGGGATTGTTGGATGTGGTGCGATTCCATCTTCTTCAGAATTGATTCTACCAGTAGACCCTCCTCTTCGTAACTCGTATAAAATGGGTGAGAACTTCACAACAAGCGTTGCAGTCTTGTGGCCCGGCAAGTGAGCAATAGGTGCATTGCTCTTGTGCAAATTGCCGCGAGCATATAGGTACACGGTACTCCTTTGTGGTCCAGATGCTGGTGGTGGTGGATGTTGGGCAGCAGGTTGATTTGGCAAGAGTGGACTTCCGGGACTAGCAGCTTCACGACCTAAAGATGCAACGGTTGGACTGGCAGGTGATTGCATCACATTTGTCGATCCTGCTGGCGCACTTGTACTCTCAAAGATTCCCGTTGGCGTTACCAACAGTGCACCATCAGGACTGAAGCTCAACCTACGGAAGAATCCACTAAAGCTTTCATCACCATACAAACGCATTCCCAATCTAGCCATCGATCCAGCACTGGAAGCTTGCAAAGCGGCCATTCTTTGTTTCGGCGAAGGTGGTGCTCGAATAGCAGGCAGGGGTGGTGCTGGAGAAGGTGAACGTGGTGTAAAACCACGATTGCGAGAGGCTGAACGTGAGGCACTACTTCCAGGTCGTTCTGGAATAGCTTTTACCGGAGTTGAGCCACTGGCAATTTGAGCGTTATTGATCAAGCTTGGCGGATAGGAAGGAGCTAAAGAGGTTGCACTTGTTGGAGGTGATCCGATCTGTGATCCACTAAAGCTTGATCTTCGGCTAGGTGTCCTTTGAGGAGGGTTCATCGAATGTGGGTGAACGGGTGCCGGGCTTTGATGTTGCGTTGGTGTAGCAGCACGAGGGTTTTGACCACTGTTTGAAGAAGCAGAAGAAGGCGTTTGTGCGATTGCATTCGCACTGTTGCCTGTTGGAGCTGAAGATGACGCAACATTGGGAGCAACGATCTCCAATGGTGTACTGCTTCTCTGCGTTCTCTTGCCAATCGTCGATCTTCCAGCAGGTGCTGCTGCATGTGGGGGCTGAGACTCACGTTCGCTATCGCTTGCATGACTGCTGGCCCTTCTCTTGGCAGAAGGTCTGGACATATGATCCCAAATGAATTGACCGTTATTGCTTGCATTTCTACGATGTGTTAGATCCATCTTTGTATTTCTACTGACTAGTTGCGTTCCCGTCAAATCGTTCACGCCTCTGCCTTGTAATTGATGAACATGCACAGAGCGATCGCTACTCTGTGTTGCGATGTACTCGCTCAATGGATCCCAGGTTACCCCTTGAATGTAATGATTATGTTCAGAAATCTCACGTATGACTGTTCCATCATTCACATTGATGATTCTCGCAACGAAATCTGTGCCGCCAACTACCAAAGCATCACCGCTTGGCGACCAAGCCAAATCGTAAATTTCAGAGGGGGACGCTCTGCACATAGTACGTAAACGCCAATGTTCTTTTGCGAATTCTGCATCTCCGTCTTCGTCAAAATTTGATCCAAAAGTGGAAGGAGGACCGTCTGAAGGTAACCAAATCAAAACCATTCCATCATCTCCCGTTGTAGCTAAAAGGTCTTCTTTTGGACTGAAACGAACACAATTTACCACTCCTCCATGACGACGCAAAGTTGCACGATATTCAACACGTGGTGGATGTTTAGAAACCGTTCCAGATACTTGTGCTGCAGCTGCCAAAGCTGCTGGTGAAGGAATGTTGGGATGTACCATCCAAATACGTGCATGATTATCACCTCCAGCAGTTGCAAAACGCCAACTTTGTCCTTGTGCACTTAGTGGGATGGAGGAGAGTTTTGATTGTGGTGTTCCATTGATCGTTGCTGCTGTGGCTGGAACGGTAGAAGGGCCAGGTGCAGCATTTGTTTTGCTTGGACCGGCTTGATCGCTATCAGGTAACACTTTTCCGTATTCTAAACCTGCTGCTTGAGCACGATTATGTTCCAATACACGACGTAAATGAGCGGCAGAGATTGGTTGAAAGGCGCATGAGAAGATTGGTTGGGTATCATGCCAACGGATTTCAAACGTTTCGGCACGCATCTTGAGTGATGGTTGGATGAAAGGTCATCAGATAGCAGATTGAGCGAAAACAATGAGATTTATGACTTGCTATCAATCTTCTTTGCGGCCTTTCTTAAGCAGGCAGAATTGGACGATGTGGTTGTCAATGAGAAATAGAAATCGAGAAAGACAATGTTAAAGTCTCGCGTTTGTAGTATTTATTCTTGATGAATAGATGTGGGGCTTGCTGGCTGCACTCGTTCTTGACAATAAGAATGATGATTTTCGATGTGACCGGATCAAAGAAAGCACAAATTGAACATTCTTTACTCCCAAACGATCACAAAAAACTTTGTTATAAGAATGAAATCAGGTAGTACTACTACTGCATACACTTTTGTATTGCACTGCACATTATCACTCAATCCTATACAAATGCGCGGAATTTATATGTCTTGTACTGTACAATAATAATGTGTCACAGGCTAACACTCCCGTTTTAAAAACAAAAACAAAAAAAGCGTCTGTGCGGTTTAAAATTTGCAGTTGAAGTGCAGTGAAGTGAAGAACGCGTTGCTAGAGTGAGTACGCGTTATCAAGCTGATGATTCATTATTTTAGCTTGACGTGTTGGACTTTTTGATTGTCTTTTATATAAGCAGGTATGCTCTTCCCAAAACAGCACATCCACGAGCGGAGGAATATACAACTTCATATCCGCATTTGCCAGGATACCGTTTATGCAATTTCAATAAAATCATAATTAAACAAATGGCCCGTCGCTTTACGAGCCGATACACGCCTACAGCATAGAAGGATAACGCGGAACATATACGGCCGAAGCATTAATGCAGTATGTGCAGAATGGACTACAGCGCCGGCGCCTATTCGGACCAAGTTTAGCCGGTAAAAGAGAAAAAAGGCGGGGAAGATGAAGAAGTTAAGAGCGAAATACTCATCTTTCTTCTCCATCATCAACATCATCAACCACAAGCTTGTTCATCATGTCCTCCTCCAAACAACAAGTCAACTTCGACTTAACTGTCGGTCATCAAGATCCAGATCAAGCAGTCAACTGGAATCGTCGTGATTTACTGTTGTACGCTGTTGGTATCGGACATGGAGAGAGAGAACTAGATTATACCTATGAACAATCTCTTGGATTTAGAGCATTTCCCACTTATCCCGTCGTTTTGGCATTAAAGGGCACACATCAAGATACAAATGTGTTCTCTGAAATGATTGGCTCACGCGGTGCAATGCCGGGAATGCCAAACTTGGATCCAAACACAATCGTACATGGCGAACAAAGTATTGAAGTGTTACACGAAATCCCGCTCATCTCTGGAGATGGATGGAAAATTCGTAAACGTGTCGTTGCTGTTCATGATAAGGGTTCAGGTTTGATCATGGAACAAGAAGCAAAATTGGTCAGTCCAGTAGGACGTGTACATGCCATCACAAGAGGAGCAACATTCTATCGTGGTGGTGGTCAAGGAACAGGTTATTCCAAAGATCTTTCACCTAAACCACAAGGAGCAAAACTTCCAGAAGGTAAATCTGCTTCTTTTACATTACGCGAAAAGATTTCTTATAATCAAGCAGCTCTTTATCGTTTATCGGGTGATTATAATCCTTTGCATATCGATCCTTCTATCGGTCAAAAAGGTGGCTTGGGCGGTACGATCTTACATGGTTTATGCAGTTATGGATTTGCTGCTCGTGCGATCTTGCGTGCCGTCGTTCCAACTGATGGTGAACAAGGTAAACCTGCTGCTCAATTACGCTTCATGTCTGCACGTTTCACATCTCCCGTCAAGATGGGACAAGAATTGGAAACTTCCGTTTGGATCGTTGGAGAACGTGATGGATTCACAGAAGTTGCGTTTGAACAACAAATCGTTGGCGGTAAGAAGAGCTTGGGTGCAGGATTTGCACTTGTTCGAAAGGTGCCAAACGTCACTCAAGGTAAGCTCTGATTTGTGTATATGATGAAAGACTTTTCCAGAATTGTCACAAAGAAGAAAAGGTACTGTACATAAAATGAATGCTATATTTGCTCTTTTGATGAAACGTCAGCTCGCGTCTGCTATACGATCACAATGCTTCCTTGCATTTGCAAAGCAGGGTGAGCCGTCCCAGGTGAAGATTACGTTGTAGATCCGCTATGTGAAGCTTCCTCCGACGGCGGCATTGAATCGTCAGATCGTAATGGGATCTTCTTTGAGCCTATGCCCATTCTACCTACACGGCCTCCTTTGGTTTTACTGGCTGCACCTAGTATCTTGGTTGAGGGAAGTTGAGAAGCTTCTTTGATTTCTTTGGCAGATCTTCTCACAGATTTCGGTGTCGCCTTTTGTTTTAGTGACCTTCGCTTTTGCTTTTGTTCTGTCCTTTCTTTCAGACTGGTGGAAATCGTACTCCATTGGGTGTTAGACAGAGGCAAAAACCGCTGCAGGTTGTTAGTCATCCGTTCTTGCTCTTCTTCTACATTCAGGAATTAATTCAATTAGTCAACAATATCAAGCTACACGTCTGCAAACGCAACTCACCATCATCTTGTTCATATACGCCCGGATAAAGAGCTTGTCTTCGATCAACACATTCAACATCATCGTTTTCCTGTTCCATGTCGTTCCTCGTAGACTGTCTCCTATGGATCATTGGCTTCACATCCGGTGCTGTGGATGATTCCGCTGCCCGCGCTCTTAGTTCCTGCTCAACAATGTGATTCGGTACCATTTGACCGTGGTAGTATACACTTTGTTGGGGCGGACTGTAGCTAGGCTGCTGCATTCTAGAAGGAGGGTATGGCATTGGCCTGATCATCCATGCGGTGTTCTGTTGCATTGGTGCATACCCGTATGGCTGCATCGGGCGCGGCATTGGTGTTCTTGCCACTGGAGGAGAAGGATCGTATCGCCTATTGATCTGATTCGTTGCTCTTGGCTGGGAGCTTTCCCTTTTTGCTGGTGGCTTCACAGGTCTGAAACACAATTGTGTTTGATTTGTCCATGTGTTCTTCTTCAGACCCACTCTTGCATTTTGTGGTCTTTGATAAATGCCATCGTCCTCCGCTTCTTCCTGATGAGGTTCCTCCATGAAGCTGTTCTGTGGGGATGGTTGAGATGCATAACGATTTGATTGATGTCGCATGGTATCCCTTGGATCATTGCAAGAATTATCTGAAATAGAAGAACTCGAAGCGAAAGCATTCTGTCTCGGTGTATCATTCGTGAAAGCGAATTTCGGCTGCAAATTTGACAAATTCTGATAGCCTGATTGATGCGAAAAAGATGGCCGCTGCGGTTGTGACAGTGGCGGTCTCATTCGCTCTGCCGCAAGTTTGGTTGTTTTGCCTATATGCCCATTGAGATTCACGGGAGGAAGATGATTTCGACGAGCCGAAAAATCTTGGGATGGAGTATTTGCACGACTGTGGACTTCTCTCAAAGGCAACGAAGTTGGAGGTCGACGTGGTTCAAATGGCCGTTCGGCATTGTTCAACCGCACGAGCTCCTGTCTTATTCTCAGTAGAAGGTCAGTATTATCTTCGTTCGTAATCTCAAAACAGTTGATCTCACCTTTCTAGTTCCTTTGCTGCTTTTTCCCAGCTTGCGCTTGGTGTACGATCCACTTCTTGACTCATGCTGGAACGCGTTGATGACGAAGAGATTGAAATACTATCATTTGCGATAGCATTTACTCGCCCATTACCATTCTGTTCCTCTTCATCGACATTTGAGCTACCGTCTTCCTCATTGCTGCCTTGGTCCACGGCTAAGTCAGTATTCCCACCTTCAAAGTGCATCGGCTTGCCATTAGCTCCATCGTGCCAAAGATTAAATTCGTCAATTGCAGAAGAGAAGACATCGCCCATCGTTTTGATACAGTGAGAAAGCAAGAGGTTTCGGGATGGTGGTAGAAGCAAAGTGACTTAAGAGGGAAGTAGACTGTGCAACGCATTTATCTGAAATAACTCGCAATTGTGTGCATACATCCAGGCATAACTTAATCTCAGACTTGATTGCATGCGTACACCTCCTCAACCCAAAGTTGACACTCACAATCAAATTGAGAGAATTCAATATCAAATACAATCTAGATATCCGAGTAAATGCATTGCTTCATTCATCTAGCCATAGCAGTCCAAGGACCACAACCTCCTTGCACTCGATCTTGCCAATGTATGCGGGTATACTGAACGACTTCATCAGCTGGCGAACGTCCATACACATCAAAAAGGTAATCTGCAGCTTTAACAGTGATTCGATCGTCATCAATTGCTCTGACAGCATGTGCAACAGGAACAGAACGGTTCATTCGAATCGCACGACTGCCTGCTGCGGCTCTCGTGTGACAAACGATAATCTCCAAAGCTTCCAGCTCTCGACAAGATGTTAGAATACCACGTAAGACGTTCTCAATCTTGGCCGCTTCTAAATCCCAGTTCCCTCTGTTGAAGGAATGGAACAAGGACGGCATCAGTAAATATACGCACTTGACAATGCATCACGCAAGAGACTCACTTTGGATACAGGCTCACCGCAACAAACTTGACGCTCTCCAAATGGAAGAATAGAGGCAAAGTCCATCTACCCAGATCTGGACAAACTATATGAATTGCATTGATGCAAAAAGGCTTATCGATCGATTGTGAAGCTGGTTCAGTGGAATAATGAAAACCATGATATCTTCCATCGCTATCTGCTTGCATCCATGCAACTTCTTGTGCTGATGTTTGAACTTCGTGCAAGAGCTTATGAGGGGAATCATACAACAATTCGCGCATGATTCCACACCACAAGTATTTCATGTGTAATCGAACGATACTTTTGCTATCATTCCAAGGTGCTTGTGATGGGCTTTGCTGCGAATCAAACAAACTGAAAAAGATTTGTGCCCTTCTGGGATCGTTCAAGATTACCGTTCGATAAAGATGAGGAGCCGCTAATTGACACATTGTATGAGAGGCAAGGCAAACCGATAGTAAACTTGAAGATTTCTTGTTCCACTCTTCATTTTCGTCATCATTTGAAAGATATTTCAGGATATGCTGGACAAGCTCTGGAGGCAAGCGACAGCCTGTGGACGTTTGTTCGTCCATCGTGATAGTGTTGAGAATTCGTCAAGGTGCAAAGGGAATGTGAGTGGAAATATAATTCATACTAAATCGATAAAGTGAAAGAAATTCATTGCGTTTCCTGTCTTAACATTCAGAATCTTATGCAGGAAGATCTCGAAAGCATTGCACCTCCATTGACCTTTGATGCTGAGGTTCAGCACGACTTGAGGATGAAAGAGAGAGTACCCCAGATCATTCGTGCATGCAAGTCACTTCTTTATCTGCAAGCCGATAAGGTAATCCCGGTACCCTCACAGTCGTTGGCGCGTTTAAGCATTGAACATTGGCACACGCTTGACCTTCACGTGCAAACAATTTTTTTGGAATTTAGCGTTTTGGAAGATTCTTGTGGTGAAGTTGATTATGCTCTCACTTGACACTGTCACATCACCTACAGGATCATTACCAGGCATGCCAGCTCCTTCATTGCCTCCGAAAAGGCAATCGAAATCCAAAAGTGAAGCAGAGAGCTCGACCAAGACAGCTACCACTTTGGATAAACAGCTGTCTGCTCTGTTTGCAAGCTTGTCAAATAGTTCCGACTTGAACCCTTTGATCGATTTGACATCAATATTGCGGCAACATCTTGTCGAAAAGATCAATGAGAAACATATCAATTCTCTTCGAAAAGGTGTTCAATTCTTGGTCAGATCGTTCCAAGCCCTTTTGAAGGAAGATCGGATATCACTAAGAAATGTCGACCTTGATGGAAAGGTACAATTAGGGTCTGAGAGTGGGAATGGACCAGAGCATCAAGTTGCGAAATGGCTACAAGATAGATGGAATGATGCCGTTTTGCTTTTGAACCAGCTGCTACACTGTGTTGATGAAGAAGCGAGACTCTTAGCACTTCACTCGCTCATGTCGTTGCAAAGGGATGCATCCTCGTCTCTGACTAGGGAGGTAGAGAGGGATAACGCAGATGCTGCAGAAGAAGTCTCAGAAGTAAGAGTACAATGGTCTCAATCACCATGGGACTCTTTCACGCTCTCTGTCCTCACCAATGAAGGAGGTGAAATCGAACAAGACGTGATCGGGGAGTTTACCGAAAAGTATCTGCAAGAATATGATGATGTCCGCTTCGCCTTTTGTCGGAAAGTCTCAGATTTTCTTCAAGGTAAAGCAAGTGTAGATCCATCTCTTCTTACAAATACGCGCAGAAAGGCAGCAGAGTTCATGATTGGTGTAACGGCCATCCCTACCAAGGATGAGCACATCAACACCTTTCTCGTACCAGAGATTGTGAAGAAGAAGAGAAAGGCATCTGCTGTCAAGACGAATGGTAGCAAGAAAGGCAAGAAAGTTGATGACGAAGATGAAGAGGAGGAGGAAGAGATGGACGATTGGTTTTCCGATAGTGATGATGAGGGCGGTAAAGGAAAAGTCAAGAAAGAAAAGAAGAACACATCACTCAAGAGCACGGCTTCAGGATTAGGATCTGCTGCTCGTTCTGCTGCTGATGCAGCATCCACAAGACAGAGGCTACGTCGCAATCCACCTTTTTATCTTGCTGTACAATCATATACAGCTCAAAAGGCGGCCTTTGCAAGAGCTTGGATATCGATCGTCTTGGCAACATGGGTAGGCAAATCGAATGCTGTCATGCTTGGAGGATCTTTGGAAGTGACGATGAAGCATGAAATTTTGGTTCGCATGCACGTTCAGATTATACCTCACTTACCTAAACCAAGCCTTTTGCACGATTTCTTGGTTGATGCTTTGGATGCTGGAGGTGCAACAGCTTTGCTGGCTCTAAACACTTTGTTCACCTTGATGACAAAACACAATCTCAACTATCCCGCATTCTACACTCGATTGTACGCCTTGTTACTTGACGATCCGCCGTTCTTGCATGTTCGATTCCGATCAAGATTCTTGCGACTACTCGATACATTCTTGTCTTCTACACATCTTTCCGCAACTTTGATCGCTTCTTTCGCTAAACGGCTATCTCGAGCAGCTTTGCGAGCCCCGCCATCAGCGATCGTGGTGGTAGTTCCATTCGTCTGGAACTTGTGCAAACGACACAAGCGTTGTTTGAACTTGATCCATAGGAACTTCAGCGAAGATCGTTTCGATCAAGGACCAGCAGGAATAGAAGACCCATACGATGCTCTAGAAGTTGATCCGTTGAAGACAAATGCAATCGATTCGTCTCTGTGGGAAATTGCTGCAATGGGGTCTTTGTTGGGCGCTTCTTATCAAACTACAGCTGGGGTGATGGACGGTGAAGGTCAAGCGCATTACTTGGCAAGCGTTTCTTCCCTGAGTAAGATTCTGGCTGAGCCTTTCACGAAAGAAAGATATGGCTTGGAAGATTTCCTGGATCTTACGTATACCACAATGTTTGAAACAGATACCAACAAAACCCTCAAAAGACGTGAAGGTAAAAAGATTTATGAGCCTGCTGTGGCTTCTGATCTTCCAAGGAATGCGAATGGTAAACGTGCCCTCACATTCGCATCTGGCGGTACTGAGTATGAAGATGCTCAACAAGTAAAGAAGACCAAGCTGGTCGAAGGTGAAGAAGAACAAGACGTGGAAACCGTCGAACAAGAAGATGAAGAGTTACGTGAGGCACGTCAAGCGATCAAAGAGGCGACTGAGAAAGAGCAAAGCAGTGTGCTTAATCGTATCTTTGTCTTTTAGATTCATAGAGAGAGGGTATCGTTTCGATTGCACTATTGTACACTATGCATTACATCATGATTAATAATTTTACAGTTCCGCACGTATTGCACGTATGATAAAGAGATGCTCACGTCCAGCCCGACGAGAGAGACAAATGTCTGCAGTGAGTCCATATGATGATAGTTGTTCAACAAGCTCTTCAGGTTGGTTTTGCTTGATTGCGACGAAATAAAATCGTCCTCCATTTGGTGACAATAAGTGAGGCAGTTGTGGTAGTAGCTCATCCAGTAATCTTCTTCCCAACGATCCACCAGCCCAACTTCCTTCGATTGACGCTTTCATCTGTGCCATTTGTTCTTCTTCCTCGAAAGTAGGAACGTAAGGTGGATTGAATAATAGTACATCTATCTTGCCTTTGCATCTTTGCATAAGACCATCGAGAGCATTCATTCGTATAACCGACAAACTGTGGCCTAAATCATTACGTTTTGCTGTCTCTGAAGTGGCATCGAGAGCTATCGGATTAATATCGGTACACAAGAAAGCAGCCGAAGTCCCCTTTTCAGTAGTTTGTGATTTGAGTATATTTGCCATGAATGCGCTCACACATCCACTTCCACATCCAATTTCAACAACCAATCGTGGATTTTGATTTTGTAGTTTATCGGCATCTTGTTCTAATGCATCTAAAAGTGCAAAAGTATCCTCTGCCGGTTCATAAACATGATTAAGGTATGGTAAACTTGTCAAATGGCTCACATCTGGGGTAGGGATCATAGTGAAAAGGTCAAAGCGTGAAGGGGGAAGAAGAGGAGGAGAAGAAGATGTAATGCACACACTTTCAAAAACCAAAAAAGAAAAAGCTTAAATTTTTGTCCTCACGCTAATTTTCAATCACATTAAAGCTTTTTTTGGTTGTTTGCCTATTTGCGGTCAAGCCTCGAGCGGGCTTTGAGTACCTGCAGCTAAAGGTAATTGTGCTTTGCTACGTTGAGTATGCAAATAACTTTTAACTCTCTAGTGGTGGTGAAAAGGAATTAAATTGTACAGGGATGCTGTAAGCGCTGTGTCATCATGTACTAAACCGGATGGCTTGTTTAAAAAGAGGGTGGTAATAAGCCGCAGACTTGTCTCCACATACAGACACACACAAGTGGAGAGCTGCTGCTGCTGTGACGCGCTATTGATCGGGCTATAGACGTCACTAGCTTTAATCAATTGCCTCATTTTGTCCGAATAAACAAACGGGAACAGCTTTGCAATGCCTTCCCTCTCGAAAATTGTATTGTTGTTCTTCAACCCTTTCAAAAAGAAGATGGGAAAAATGAATGCAGTCAATGATCAGGGAAAGAGGCCAGTATCATTCCCACAAAACAATAAAACATGTCGGGTGACAAGGGATGAAGAGGGCGCTATCTAGACGAGGTCAAGTACATTTTCTCTCTAAAGAGGCTTTTTTAGCTTTAAGGAAATACGTCAGCATGCTTTAAGAAAAAGTGTACTTTACAATGCTGGCCTTCCACCGCCATTAAGGCGGAGTTGTGGCGAAGAAGAAGATGATGATTGTGTATGCATGACGAGGTTAATAATGTTCCCCTTTGGCCGGCGCGGTTCATTAAGGCGCAGCGCAGCGCATGTGCATGCAGCAATAGAATCAATACAATTCTAAAGGGGAATTGTATTTGTTTGCTAATACTTAATTTGTATTGCATGATGAAGTATAATTAATATTCCCTTTTTTTTTCTCTTCGCGTCTACCTTTCCGCACATCGTCGATCGTCAGAGGTGTAACTCCGAAATCGTACGGCTTAATACGCCAAAAAGGAAGCACCCAAGCAAACAACAGCGAAGATTGCAAACAAAATTCAATTTCTCTCATTCTCGACATTTTGCTCACCATATTCGACTTTTACTTTTTCACTCTATCGGTCGTCCTTATCATCCGATTGGCTTGACTGCCAGGAGCCACAAAGGTGAAAAAGTTGTTCGTCATTAACACAAGGTGTTGAATGCGAACAATTTTACCACCCCAGTGGAACGTTCTCCTGACTGCGTATTCAATCATAACTTCATTTTCGTGCCCGCCATTTCAACATCGAAATAGTTTTCGGGCTTCTTTTTCATTATCTCATTATATTCATCTGTCATTTTAAATCGGAACAGCAACTTTATCACATCATAAAAGGACGATAACCAACATAATTTTCAGGAATCGTTCGACTTTCACTGCACGACAAAGTACGATCATCGACTCAGTAAAAAGGTCCTTGATCTTGAATAAAGCGCCGTCAGGATGAGCGTAAATGACTTGCCTAAGGGCAATCAAAAGCGCAAAGTACTGATCTGTTTATTACGTTTGGATTTGCGCATTCACGATAACCCTCTCTTTCACTATGCACATGTTGCATCACATCAAGATTTGACAGATTCAGCAGACAACTACAACTCAGAAAAATCTCATGATGAAGACACCTTAGCCTCCACAGCTGATTACCTTATGCCAGTATACGTATTCGATGAAAGGGAGATCGAGCTCAGCGGTCTTCCAGACTATCAAAGGAAAGGGCCTGAAGCGCGCACTCAAGTTTACGGATTCTGGAAGACTGGTGGTTTCCGTGCACGATTTATCTCTGAATCTGTTTATGATCTCCGACTTCGATTGCGTGAAGCTGGTTCCGATCTATTGATTCGCTTTGGTCGACCGGAAGATGTGGTTGAAAATTTGGTAAAGGGCTTCAAAGAACAAGGTGATGAGGTGGAGGGTGTCTGGATGCAGAAAGAAATGACATTCCAAGAGATTCAAGTCGAAGGAGAGATCGCAGACCGATTAAAGCGAACAAATACACCCTTGCGATTCGTTCACGGCAAGACACTCATTCATCCATCCGATCTTCCTTTTGAGATTGCAGATACGCCAGACGTTTTCACTCCCTTTAGAAAGCGTGTTGAAACTCTAGGACCGCGCATGGTACGTCCCTCATTAGCAGCCCCTTCAACATTCAAAGCCTTCCCGCCTAAAGTTCCTTCGATACCGGATTATGCTCTCGATGTTTCGTACGAAGTTGATGTAGACGGTCTCTCATCTCGCGTGCCCGAAAGTCAAGAAAAGACAGAAGGTCAAATTTCCTTCCACGATATTCTCCGTGGCTTGCTTCGACCGTTGAACGACACCGCTTTACCATACTCTCTCGAAGGATCCGCGTTACTGCAACAAAGACATTCAGGGTCTGCATTCCCGCTTCGAGGAGGAGAATCATCGGCTTTGGAACGATTGGAATGGTATTTTGTCCGTGGCAAATCTGCTGACTCATCCAGATGGGGCAAAGCTGATCCACCACCAGTAGCACGGTATAAACAAACAAGAAACAACTTGATCGGACATGCTTACAGTACAAAGATGTCTCCCTTCTTGGCATATGGAAGTATCAGTCCTCGTGTCATCTGGGAAGCATTGAATGCACATGAACGCAAATTTGGTGAAGATCAAAATACGTACTGGGTCAGATTCGAGTTGCTCTGGCGTGACTACTTTTTCTTTGTCGCTGAAAAGTTTGGCGATCTTCTCTTTGACATTGGTGGATATGAAAAGGCCACCGATCCAAGACAAGCAGAAAAGAAGATGCAACCCGGTTGGTGGAAGATGTGGGATCCAGTCAAAGATGGAGCAGATCATCATATTACAAGATTATTAGAAGGTCGAACGGGAATACCTTTCATTGACGCAAACATTCTAGAATTACGTGAATCCGGTTTTATGAGTAATAGAGGAAGACAAAACGTTGCTAGTTTCTTGTCAAAGGATTTGGGTTATGATTGGAGAATCGGAGCAGAATTTTTCCAATCTCATTTGATCGATTATGACCCTACGAGTAACTATGGAAATTGGCAATACGTTGCAGGTGTAGGAAACGATCCGCGTGCAAGTAGACAATTCAACTGCATCAAACAAGCAAAAGACTACGATAGTCACGGTGAATACGTCAAGATGTGGATCCCTGCCCTTCGAAATTTGCCGGTCGATATTCTTCATACCCCTTGGTTGATGGATGCAGACGAAAGACGGCGTTATGGACTGAAGACGACAACCATGGACGTAACGATGGACGCTTATCCTATGAAACCAATCATTGAAAGCGAGTCATGGAGAAAGCATTACGATCGTAAAGAAGGTGTAGGAAGCAAAATGTACGGTAATCCACAAGAGAAAGTCAAAGACGGTAAAGTGAAAAGGTACAAAAAGCCAGGTCAAGCTCGTAATGCGCCCCAATGGTATAATGATACTCGTCAGACGGGCGGTAGCTACGGTTCTCCACTCCCTCCTTCATCTACCATGGCGCCCAATTTCCTACCACCGATTGCGCCTCAACAAGGACCTCATGGTTATGGTGGACCTCCGCAATACTACGGTGCTACGGATTATGTGAGTGCAAGTGCGAGTACATATGGTCCCACAGCAAGTTATGGAATGCCGGCTAGTGGCAATGAACGTGAACGAAATGTGATCCCACCTCTACGTGGAATCCGTGGCTCGATCGGTCCTGGTGCTTCACATGTCCCACTACGTACCGGATCTCCTGGATCAAACTCTGGCTATGCAACACCAACGAACAATAATCGAGGATCCGGTCGTGGATTCGTAGGTGGCGTTTTGGGCGGAGCTGCATCAACATTTTCCAATAATGCTCCATCTCAATTGAGCGCTGCTGATAGAGAAACTTCTTGGAGACGTGGTGGTGGAGGAGGCAATGGAAATCATGAAGGAAATGGAGGAGGAAATAATGGCAATGGTAGATCGTGAAGGAAATTTATTTTTTGGAAGCCAAACAACATTGACCATCACCACCAAAAAAAATTCAAGGCGAGCCAGCAAGCAATAGCAGTAAATCAAAAATCTTCTTCATAAGCAATCATACCTATACTTCATGGAACCTATGTATTGACTATTAGGATTAATGACCCTTTTTTTGTCACTCTTTTGCACATCAATTGTCATTATCATAACAATTAATAAAGGCCTTCTTCATAGTGAAATATTCATAACACACCGCAGCATCTTTGCCCTTCTTCGGTGTGGCTGATCGATCTAAAGCTTGATAACACTTATGCTTATGGTCTGGAGTGTGACTGACGTTGGCAAGGATCATATTACCTTTCCGCCAAATGCTCCGTCAATGTTGATTCTTTTCTGCTAATCACTCTGTCTTGGTATAGGATATTGATCTTCATAATCTGTCGACAGAGAGTATATAACATCTACAAAGTCCTTCTTCCGAAAGTTGAAAACGATAGAGCGGTGAGAAAAGAAAGAATTGTTGTCAAATGGATGCGAATGGGAAGTGTTGCATACAGGGTGGGTATCGTATTTCATCTCTTCTTTCCATTTGACCTTTTTTTTTTTGGATGCACAAAAATCTTCAAGCATCTCCATTACTGTGATTAGCATGAGAGTGACCTCCTATACCTGGAATATGACTGGCAATCTTGTTAACGAAACCTTGTTTTTCATGATGATGCGTTGATCCATTAATTGTGGATGCTTCATCAACGCTTTGTAATTTTTCATTACCAGTTTCCGAAGCCATTGCGCCGCGAGTGCCACTTGAACTTCTTGGTTCACGAGAACGAGATCTGGATAAAGAACGAATTGCGTTGCTTACTGCACCTTCACCACGACCTCTTGGAGATTCTTCACGATGTTTCATATTACCTGCGCCTCCACGACCGGAAGAATGAATTGCATGAGCGTCACGTTTAACAGCATCAGCTTGTAATTGATGTTCTTTCTTTTCCATTTCTGCGTATTTAACACGATCTTTTGGATCTCTTGAAGGAGAACGAACGTTTCCTGCTCCTCCACGACCGGCACGAACGTGTTGTTGATTTGCATGAAAAGCAGCGGCTGCTTGAGCTTCTACTGGTTCTTCCGTCGGTCTACCACGAGAAGGCGAACGAACTGCATTACCTGCTCCACCACGACCTGTGGATGCGAAAGTTTCTCTTCCACGTTCTTCGTGAACCATGGTTGTTGATTGCGTAGGTGTGTATGTGTGTGCGTGTTGAGATGGTGGTGGAGAAGTGGAATATGATGTTTAAAAGGTAGACAGTTTGAACGAGAGATAAGAGAAGAGTTACCTGAAGATTAAATCATGCACGCTTTAAAAAAGGGAAATAACAATGGAGTGCAGTTTACGAGATAAAGAATTTTATAGGTGCAAGAGAACTTAAGTACACTGGTAATATGCCCAAATCACGTCAATTATACCTTTGTGCAGATAATTCGCCCGCAAACGTCAGCCGGGAAAGTTCAGCCTGCGTAACTTGTCCTATAACCGGGCAGCGTACCTTAGCCATTGCTTCCTTTTTTCACACACAATTACGGTAATGACTTCATCAAATGGCATTTTGACGTGTTCATTTATATAACCAACATGTCAAAAGCGATCAAGGTCACCCACAACAGTTTGAATATTATGCACTTATATAGTTATGACTACCATTCAATTAATTCAGATGATGGATGAATATGGAAGTTAAAATGATTTGATTAATGAGGATCGACGTTAATATGCCAAGACCTTAATAGTGCAAAAGATAGAAACGCGTTGAAAGTGATAAAGTGCCGCATAGATAAGCATCCCGCACTTCGAACTCAAAGATAAGAGAAATCAATCAATAGCTGCAGGAACAAGAAGTCGGCTTGAAACAGATCAACATTGAGATGCCCCAAGAATTCATCAGCCTGCACAGTAGGAATCAGGCAGCAGCCCTGGAACAATGAAGTGACAGTCATAGTTATCCCCCATAAGTTATCCCCCATAGCAAGTTGATTGTTATGTGATATTCCACCTTAAATATGTGGATGCAGGAACATGGCAGGTGCAACCGTTCCAACTGATTAGAACGTTACCGCATAAGTGAAAAGGTCTTTAAGTAACCTCCTCTCATATTGATATAAACGTTCTCACACTTGAGGCGTTTTGGCTCCAATGCTTTATTCATCTTGAACATATCTTGCCGTCACGTATTACGGCTAAAATTAAAGGTTTTGGCTGCACTTACAATGCTTTCCTCAGTTTTGCCTCCATCTGAATGGTCTAATGCCTTGAGGTAGGATATGCTTCAAGCCGTTGTGCATTAATTAATTCAAAACCACTTTAAATTCTTGATTTGCTACGCTAATTGGACAATGATGAGCCCGTGATTGATTTGGATCACGCTAATGAGCCGCTATCACCATGCCGTCCTCTGCCACAATGCAAGCACAAAAGCTTCTTATCATCACCACCTTGAGAGCTTCGACAGATGGCAAAAGATAATCGATGTGAATGGCGCAAAATATCGGACGGAATTTACAAAAGACGTCTAGGCGGTACAGAAGAATTATACAAAAATCTTTGTGAAGACAATCCGGGTCGTATATGTGAGTGAGTGTTCATATCTTGAGCTGATGAGCAACTTCATGTATTCATTCCTTTGATTTTCCTCAGTATATACGGAGCAGCTGTCATACAGCTTGGTGAAGCAAGAGATCGACTTGATATCACAGACCACGTCCGCAAAGCCTGGATTAACGTACGAAGCCTTCACCCAGGCACATGTGTTTATCCAGACGATACCAACAGCCTGATGTTTCATCAAAACGATGTGCTAGAAAAAGCCAGTGAAACATGCAAATTTGTTCAACTAGAACAAGATGCAAATGAGCTAGACTCTTTATTCATCTGCAATTATCTTGAACAATGCAGTACTGCTAGGCCATTGACAAAGCCCAATTGTGATCTTACAGTTTTACTACCGAGTAATTTTACAACAAACAAGATCATCTTGTTGTTACGCATGGATCATATCATCTCTGATAGCGGAACGGTGGCCATCATTTTGAATGATCTGAACAGTTTACTGTATACGACAACAGATAGCGAAGAGGAAAGGTGTCTCGAGCTTCCGCCATTAAGTGCTGATCAAGTCGTTGATTCGAAACATGGAGAAAAGGTGTTTTTGAACCTATCAGTGGAAGAGAAGGTGCGAGGCTGGGTGAGTATCAATGTGATTTTTACTCTCGACTTTATCTCACATACAATATCCTTCTTTTTCAGGCACTTCCAACAATGCCTAAAGTTAAAATAATTGAGCCTATAGGAAGATCAGGTCACCTCTTACACACTTTAACAAAAGAGCAAAGTGATACGCTTCACTCTGCTGCACGACAATTAGTTGTTTCCGTTACTGCACTCCTGCATGCGATTGTTGTTTTGCGTTTTGGTGTAAAATTTATCGAAGAGGAAGAGAAGAATAAAGAAAGCGTATGGTTCGATAGTTATCCCATAGATACCAGACCTGCACTTTTGCAACAACAATATTCGGGTAATGCGTTTGTTCCGATGTTCATTTCCATGCAAAAGTATGGTCAAGCTTTAACTCTTTTCAGACAGGGCGGTCAAAAAAGAAATGGTATTGCCTTATTGGCAAAAGATGCTATGAATGAGTACGAAAAAGCTTCTAGCAACGCATACAGGTCAGCTTTGGCAAGATATTCACGGGCGATAATGTGCGTCCATCAAAATTACATTACGGAAGGCGGATATGCGTAAGTATACAAGATAGATCGCACGGCAACAAAACGAAAAACAGAAAGCTTATCCTATATTTCATTCATCTTTTCAGATACTTTAAACAATTGTGCCATTTTTACTCTGACTCTCGTTTGGATGATCGATATATGCCACAGAAAGGCACACAACAACAGATCAAGACGAAAATCATTTCGTATCAGACCCATCTCGATATGAATTCCGACTCTGCTTTGTGAGTCGATTTCTATTCAGATAGTATTAGAAGGTTTTTTTTTGCTTATTGAAAACCTCCTTTTCCCCTTCCTAGATTCTTCAGAGGTTATGCGTTTGCATCTAGAACCACAATCTCTCTTGATTGGTCAAAAGCATTTTGGAAAGACGACACCATTCATCCATTTTTCCAAGATGTAATCCAAGACGTTCTTTCGTATCTAAACAACACGGAATCGTAGATTTGGACCAACGTGAATTATCTTTCATTGATCTTCATAATGAATCTGTATTTTATCTGATGAGCAAGGTAGAGTACAGTATAGTAAATTTCATACATATCCAAAGAGCAGGTTTCTAATCCAAAAAGGGCAAAAGCAAGAGAGGTGTAAAATTAATTGTACAAAGTTAAAAAGCACTTTCTTAACGCCATGCTCCTCGGCTTCCACGACCACGAGTACGTGCTCTGCCTGCCCAAGGAACTCCGCCACGTCCATAACCTCCTCTTGAGCTTGAACCATACGGTGGAACGGGACGTGGACCTGACGAAAGATGAGCACTCGAAGGTGGGACACTGTCATATGCTGAAGGGCGATCATACGGTGACAAAGGCGGTCTTCCGGCATAAGATCGAGAACGATCATATCTGTCTTCATCGATTCGACGACTTCTTTCACGATCATAACTGCTGCCGTAGTCGTTCATGTAATCACGATCAGCACCATAGTCCCTCTCACGATCACGAATGTCTCGATCCCATTCTCCACTTCGAGATGATGGTCGACTGTCTCGATAATCTGAAGCACGAGCATGGGCAGGAGGACCCATAGAAGATGTTGCAAACAAATCGCGATCTCTTTCTCGATCACGCTCTCTGTCCATCCGTTCCATGCGGTCCATACGCTCCATTCTTTCCATCCGTTCAATTCGTTCCATACGATCGATTCTCTCCATACGATCCATGCGATCCCAATCACGATCGCGATCTCCGCGTTCTGCAAAACGCTCTGTTGGAGTTCTTTCTGCGCTACGTTCTGCACTTCGATCCCATTCGCGTTCACGTCCTGATTCTCTTTCGCGCATCCTTGCAGGGCCTTTGGGAACATTGGCAAAGTCGTTGAGAGTTGTGTTAGAAGGTGCAGCAGCGCTTGCTTCTGTTTTTACGGAGCCAGGTGAAGGTGGTGGCACAGATGCTTCCTTCGGACCCATACCTTGGCCAGACTCGGAGGGTGCAGAACTTGTAGATAATCGAGCTTCAATACCTGGAGGTGCAATAGCAGAAGATGCTGCTGGTATTGAAGGTGATTCTTGTTTTGTTACGGCGTTTTCATCCGATCCTCCTTCACGTGTTGCCGTCTCGACATTGGATGGATTGCTAATAGTAGCCACACTGGCCGCAACTGGTGGTGGTAAAGGAGCGGAATTGATGAGAGCTTTTGGTCCGCGAGGAGGGTTGAAGGTCGGATCAGCGGAAGAAGGCTGTTGCTGGCCTTCTGCAATGGGCTGACTTGCAAAACTTGCTCGTGGAGATGGCGGAGGGATAGATGCTCGTAAAGAAACGGGGCTAGATACCGTCGGACCTGAAACATGACGTAAAGCTGTTGCATTGCCATCATCTCTATTGAAAGATGAATTTGAATCCATTGATCCGTGTGAAAATGACCGTTGAGGTGCAGGAATGGAACCGAATTCTGTCGATGCAGTTTGTGCCGGTCGAGGCTGCGGGAAAGATGTTGAAGCAGATGCAGCTGAGACTTTCGTCTCCTGTGCAGGAGGTGGAAATCTTGCTGAGAATGGTGTGAGAGGATAATTCGAAGCGCCATCTCTTAATGCAGTATTGAGACCGAGCTTTGGTGGAGATGTAGCTCGGACCGAGGTGGAACGTGGTAAGCTGGCTGCATTTCCAGGCTCCTGCTTCACAACGACTGAAGAAGAAACAGTTGTCGAATCATTTGAAGTATTGGCTACCGAAGTAGCTGCGATACTTGAAGAAGCCATACTAGCAGCAGGCAAAGGCGCAGGTGGCATAGGAAAGTTGAAACCTCCGTACAAAGCACTTGCTGAGCCAGGCGTTGGGGTATCCAAAGGTGTGCCTGGCAAAGAAGGCTTTTCGGGAGAAGCATTCACACCATAAGTAGGTGTGATAAGTGGAGTCATCTGACCTGATTGATTAGATGTCCTTCTTTCCGCAAGTCGCTTCTTATAATCTGCCAATGATAATTTCGCTTTTGGCACTTCGACAGGCGGAAGTGGCGGTGGTGCGATTGATTGAGGGGTCGGATCAAACTGCATCGATGTTGGGCTATCCTGTACGCTGCTTTGGTCGCCAATGAGCGGGTCAATAGTTGGTGTTGGAGTAATTGAGCCTGTACGTTCCACTTCCACTTTGCTTTCGTCTCCAGAAGCATTTTCTGTTTCGTCCTCTATGATTGTCATCTTTCTTCTCGATTCGGCCTTGACAGAGCTCTTTGCGACCTCATCGGAGGTGCCTTTTCCTACTTCCTCATCCTCAGACGACTCACTGTCATCCAAAAAGTCGCCAAGCAATTCTCTTCTCCTTGCAAGACGATCTTTAGAGGATTTAGAAGACGATTTCTTCTTTGCTACAGGTTTACTGTCTGATTGTTTCGAATCACCATCCACGCTCACATCTTGCGAATCCTCTCTGCGCTTGTTGAGTCTTTTGTTACTAGCTTTTTGTCTCAATGCAATTGTATCATCCCTTGTGATGGCAACATTCTCCTCATCATCCGAGTCTGCATCTTCATCAATGTCAGATGGCACCGTGCTGAGAGGGGAAGATGGATCGATTATCTTGTTCTTTCGCTTCGAGCTAGAGCTTCTGCGACGCACAGCCGCTTCATCTTGCTCATCTTCATCGTCATCATCGCTGTAGATTTGCTCCAGTGGTCGCGAGCGTTTTTGTTGATGACCTACTCTGTGTCTCTTGGATGATCTTGATGTTTCACTTAGACTTGGGCGACGTTTCTTCTTTCCACGATATTCGACACCCTTCTCCTCTACTCCAGGCGACACAGCTTTGAGTCGGGTGCCAGAAATCCGCTTCTTCGGTGGTAGAGCAGTGTGCACTAAAAATGTTCCATGATCATCTCTAGCAATCATCACGTGCTCGCCGTCTATTCTCATAGAAGTGTCAACCTCTCCTTCATCATCACTAGCGCCTTCCAACGCTTCTGTGGCTGAAGATGCGTCCGAAGCAGCATCGTCCATCTCAAGGTCTTCGATGCCTGTCTGGGCCCTTTCTTCAAAGCGATCCCTATCTAGTCCTTCAATGCCATCCATGATCTTTTCAGGAGCTTGTCGAACACGTTCCAAATCATCTTCTTGGATTCTGGCTACTTTACCTCCATGACCCAAAACGTATGGCACAGGAAACTGGGATAGAATCCTTTCCTCTTCATCCCTTTCGATCTCGGGTGGTGTCAAAGGCATTACATCGGGTCTCCACCAACGACGTTTGCCGACAAGGGGATCAAAATCTGGCGGTCTACTCTTCCGATTGGATTTATGAATGGGCAAATGCACATTCAACAAAGCCATACCTTGTGATAGGCGTAACATTTGAACGATTGCGCAATCTTGACGTTTAACATTGTTTGAACTTGCAGAACCACCACTGCTAGGAGCAGATGCACTTCCAATACATGCACAAAGACAACTGCTCAACAAAACTGTCATGATACTGTTCATCTTTGCGCTGAAATCAGTGTCTGCATATGGGAAATCTCCCTTCTCCACCAAAGTTGAAATGGCAGCATTGCGTGTTTCTCTATCCCAACTTTTCGGATTTGTGGTGGATAAGCTGACCGCATCTTGTACATCCAATACGCCCAACATAGGATTCCGAGCCAATTGCGGTAAAAGATGCACGATATGATGGTCATCCCATTCCCAGCCTAGAGTGATTTCGTGGGTTTTTGCAATATCAGTAATCGCGAAAATTCCAAATGCGATTTCAACGTCTCCATTTTGAGAAAGTTCGGGTGACTTTGTCGTGCGTGATTTGTCCGAAAGGGGAGGTGTGGCATGCTGATTGTGTACACTGCCATTCTTCTTGCGCAAAATGATTGGTCTTAGTACAGCATTAGGATGACAGCTAAAACGAGCGAATCTTGCCGTATTTCCATAACGCCGCCCGTCAATACAAACGTTCAAAGGAGGTGGAAACAGATGTGCACAAGGTTTAGTAGCTCCAATCATCCTGTACTGATTGATGGGATCATCTCGGTAATTATCCGCATTATATACCTCTCCCCGGAATTCCATCACGAAGCAGCCTGCAGGAATACTTGCATCTGCAAACAGTCCATGCATTATTGGCTTACTGAACATTCGACTGGCGGAGGTAGATCGTTGTGGTGCATTCGACAGGACGTTCATTTGCAACAATGCGTTGAAGATACTTGCCGAAGCCATCTCTGATATTTGTCGAACATAAGTTTTCTGTGTACAGCTGGATAGAGAAGGTGCGACAATTTCGACAGGAACACACTCATTGCCAATTGCAGATAGAGCAGCAATTTCTGGGGCTTGCGATTGTTCGCGCGATGCAACCTCACTCTCTGCTTCTTCCGGTTCTTCTGTCGTCTGTCGAGCAAGATTTCTCAACTTCTTTCCGGCAACAGGGACCAACATTTTGTTGCCATTGCCGGGTATTGCTCGTAGAGGACTTTCTGTCGAGAAATTGGTCGAAACTTGATTGAGAACGTTTGTCGTCTTTTGTCCGCTTATCATGTTCTCCTTAATTGGTGTGTATTCGACATGCCATGCTTCAATGCGGTCGATGTTATCATCATCTGTTGTGTCGACCCTTTCTCCTCTACCTCCCGGAAGTTGAATGCCAGGCATAGCGGCTTCTCTCAAAGCTGTGATCGATCGTGGCGTCATTGCATTTTCGTTGTTTCGCCTTGTGGTTGTCTTTGGATTCAAACGTTTCCTTCCAGACTTTGCACTTCCAGGAGTTGAGGCAGCAGACGTTTCGTCGACGTTGAACTTTGCATTGCTAAGATCTAATTGCTGGCTCGGTTTGCGTGATCGAGAAATGCTTCCTGGCTTACTGGGATAGCCGGCTCTACTGTTCACATCTGCTTGCATTTGTTCGACATCCATAGACGATGCTTCCATTTGTTCATCTCCATTTTCTTGGTTGATAGAGTTGTTATGTGAGGTTCTGCGTACATTACGTTGTGCTAGGTTTTTGCGGATCTCTGCATCTTTGCGACGCTGCTGATGAGCTTTTGCGAATGCCACATCAACTGGTCTTGGATCGCATTGTTCGCATTTATACACTTCAGGGACGCTGGCTTGCGACATTCCAAAACATGCACAATGCTGCCAAACAAGACAGCCGTCGCATTGAATAGTGAATCCATCATCATCGTCACATTCGCATATACAGCGAATAATGCCGCCATCTTCATCTGCGTATTCCTCTGCACCGGCTTCTATACCATTTAGGCCGTCTTCTGCGCCATCAAATGCTTGCTCCTGACGTGACTGATCTCCGTTGGCGGGGATGTATGCTGATGCATCCGATGAATTGTTCATCTCTGCAGTATTTTGTGATGCCTCTTGCAATGACTTTGAGCTGATTGCTGAATCAATCGACCCTAGAGCATCGGATGAAGATGGTAGAGTTTCGCCTTTGAGCTCGGTCATCCCTTCAGCTTGGGCGGAAGGAGCGGAAGGCATGATTGTATCGACAGGTGTTTCAGTTTCTATCCTTGAGTCATTCTGTAAGGTTGAGCTGGATTCTGGAACGTCTTTTGGATCGATTTCTCCGAGAATCTCCTTCTCTTTTTCGATTGGCGTCATGTGTGTATTTATAGATTTATCTGTTTCTGAGTTTGAGTTTGCATGTTGAATACCATCATGCTCTTGGTCGGATGAGGAGATCGCAACCATGCGGATTTGAAGCGTAAAGCTATCCTGAGCTTTATCGTCTTTTTTTCCTCAAAAGGGTGAGAAGGTTGAAATGAAGGATTGAGGAGGTAAATGGTGAGAAAGTGAAAAAGATGAGATCGACTCAAAGCCGCATTTCCTTTACGCCCATTTGAAGGGCGTAACTGTAACTTCGAGCAAGACCACTGGGTGTGGATGGATTTTGGTTTACGCTGAGAAGTGAAATTTTAGCGCGTCAAAGCTGAGCCTGCACAAGAATTTTGAATATCACAACTTCTTCTCATTTATGTCATCACTCCAACATCCGCCACTCTCGAATGCATCAACCTCAGATCTGATTCTGCTATAATCTTCAAAGTGTTTGGAGAAGTTTGGAAGGAATTGGATTTGAATAAGATCTTGTGGCGGTGGACAAAAGTTGCTCAAGATGCCACCAAAAAATCCTGATTTATCAGGATACCAGTATTCTGCCATCTCATCTCTCGTCACTCAAACCGATCGAAGGTATCTAAATAGAACAGAAAATGAAGGCACAGGCGAAGCGGAAAGTTTGGTGGGACGGATCGATCCAAAAGCAATGGGATCTCGTGCTGGAAGAGAGCAAGTGAAAGATTTAGAAAAGAAGAAAAGAAGAGCTGACCAAGATGAAAGCGGACGGATACGAAAACCTGCTCGACAAAATGGGCTGGCATCATCATCGGGTGCAAAGTATGCTGACATCTTACAAGCAACAGCGGATCTGGAAGGATTGTCGTATATGCCAAGAACAGCTGAAACGCGAGAGGCATATGAATTCATTTTAAGTATCATAGCAACCGCTTTAGGAGATCAATCTGGCGATGTGGTTCGCTCTGCTGCAGATGTTGTCATACAAGCACTAAAGGATGACGAGATGAAAGATCCTGATCGAAAGAAAGAGATTGAATCTATCATTGGCTCCATCACTCCAGACACATTCAGTCAATTGGTTAATCTTGGAAAGCGTCTAACAGACTTTGAGCGTGACAATAGGCTAGAAGAGGATGATCCAGATGCAGACAGAAGGGCTGGTGCCGTGGCAGATGAAGAAGGAGTAGCGGTGCTATTCGACGATGATGAAGATCAAAGTGAAGAGGAACAAGAAACATTTGTCGTTAGAGAAGAGGATGATGATGAGGAAGAAGGCGATGGTCAGGCTGTAAAGGAGGAAGGATCTGACAGTGATGATGGAGATCAAGCGTCAGAAAGCGATGCGGATCAGGAAGCCATCAAAATTGGACAATCATCGTCCAATAAGCTGAAGAAAGCGTCACTAACAGTGCATGACATTGATGCATTCTGGCTGCAAAGACATCTTGCTACAATCTACTCCGATGAGCATGAAGCCAACCAAAAAGCCGAAGCTGCGATGGAAATTATGGCATCGGATGCAAACATACGTGATTGTGAGAATAGCTTAATGGAGCTTTTTGATTACGAACACTTTGAAGTTGTGGAGCTCCTGGTCAAGAATCGAGATATCATTGTCTGGTGCACAAAGCTTGGCCGTGCTGATGAGGATGAAAAAGTGAACATTCAGGTCAATATGCGCGAGAATGAATTGGGCTGGATCTTGAAAAAGTTGCAAGGAGACACAAGCAAACAGGGTCAAAATACCAACCTGGTGCCCATGGATCTGGACGAGAAGAGTAAAGAGAGAGCCTACAAAATCACAAGAAAGGTCACTCTTGCGCCAGGCACCACAGTTCAGCCACGCAAAGTCGTCGATCTAGAAGCGATGTCATTCAGTCAAGGTGCGCATTTGAACACCAATGCAAAAGTCCGATTGCCAGAGGGATCATTCAAGCGAACGAAGAAAGGATACGAAGAGATTCATGTTCCCGCGCCTGTCAATAGAACTGTGCCTGAAAGTGAGATAGTTCCTATCTCAAGTCTTCCTGTTTGGGCTCAGGCGGCTTTCCCCGGTGCAACTTCTCTCAATCCTGTTCAATCTAGGTGTTATCCTGTCGCATTCGGAGAGGATGATCCTATGCTACTTTGTGCGCCAACAGGAGCCGGAAAGACGAACGTTGCCATGTTGACAATCTTGCACGAATTGTCAAAATGGCGTGACGAAAGAAGTGGGAAGTTTGATTTGGATGCATTCAAGATTGTCTATGTTGCTCCAATGAAAGCATTGGTTGCTGAACAAGCGTCCAACTTCCGCGAACGGCTTGCTGTTTTCGATGTTGTGGTGAATGAACTTACAGGGGATAGTCAACTGACAAAAGAACGAATTGCACAAACGCAAATCATTGTCACCACTCCAGAGAAATGGGACGTTATTAGCCGCAAAAGTTCTGATACTTCCTACACTAACTTGGTCAGGCTAATGATCATTGATGAGATCCATCTTTTGCACGACGATAGAGGACCTGTACTGGAAAGTATTGTCGCCCGAACAATTCGTCGTATGGAACAATTGAATGATCCCGTTCGATTGGTTGGATTGAGTGCCACTTTGCCAAACTACAAAGATGTGGCAACATTCTTGCGCGTCAATCCCAAGAAAGGCTTGTTCTACTTTGAGGCATCCTACCGACCTTGTCCATTACAGCAAGAGTTTATCGGCATCACAGAGAAGAAAGCAATCAAACGATTACAGGTAATGAATGAAGTAACGTACGAGAAAACCCTTGATCAAGCAGGAAAGAATCAAGTCTTGATCTTTACGCACAGCAGAAAAGAAACTGCAAAGACGGCCAAATTCATTCGTGATCAAGCAATGGAGCAAGACACCCTCTCCCGATTCTTGCCACAATCAAGTGCAAGTCGCGAAGTGCTACAGTCGGAATTGGAACATGTCAAAGACGCAAACCTGCGCGATCTTTTGCCGTATGGGTTCGGTATCCATCATGCGGGTATGACCAGACCTGACCGACAATTGGTAGAAGATTTATTCCAAGATGGGCATTTGCAGGTCCTTGTTTCGACGGCAACTCTTGCTTGGGGTGTCAATTTACCCGCACATACAGTAATCATCAAAGGTACTCAAATTTATAATCCAGAGAAAGGACAATGGGTAGAATTATCTCCACAAGATATGTTGCAAATGCTCGGTCGTGCAGGAAGGCCGCAATTTGACTCGTACGGTGAAGGTATAATCATTACCAATCACAATGAATTGCAATACTACTTGAGTCTCTTGAATCAACAATTGCCGATCGAATCTCAACTGGTGTCCAAATTGGCAGACAATCTCAACGCAGAGATTGTTCTCGGTACTATTCGTAATCGTGATGAAGCGGTTGCTTGGTTGGGCTATACGTATCTGTACGTGCGCATGCTCAGAACGCCTTCTTTGTACAGCGTCACTGCCGACTACGCAGACGACGATCCGTATCTCGAACAAAAGCGTGCAGACATCATTCACTCAGCTGCAGTTGTTTTGGAGAAATGTGGATTGCTAAAATATGATCGAAAGAGCGGAATCTTTCAATCTAACGATCTCGGAAAGATTGCTTCGCATTACTACATCACTCACCGTAGTATGAGCACCTACAATCAACATTTACGTCCTTATTTGAGTATGGTCGATCTCTTTCGTGTTTTCGCTCTATCGGAAGAATTCAAGCATCAAGTCATTCGACAAGACGAAAAATTGGAAGTTGCCAAATTGTTGGAGCGCGTACCAGTACCCGTAAAGGAAGCAATTCCAGATCCATCAGCTAAAGTAAATGTGCTTTTGCAGACTTGGATCTCTCAATTGAGCTTGGAAGGGTATGTGTTGGCAGCGGATATGGTGTACATCACTCAATCTGCTGGTCGTATCTTGCGTGCAATTTTTGAAATCTGCATCAAACGTGGCTATGCTCGTTTAGCACATTCGGCCTTGGATCTTTGCAAAATGGTGGAAATGCGTCAATGGAACAGTATGACGCCTTTACGTCAATTCAAAGGTGTTCCGCACGATTTGATCAGGAGATTGGAAAGGAAGGAATATCCTTGGAATCGATTGCGTGATTTAGAGCCAAATGAGATTGGTGAACTGATTGGATTACCAAAAGCCGGTCGACCGATTCACAGATTGGTGAATCAGTTTCCTAGATTGGACCTGCAAGCATTCTTCCAACCTATCACGACCAGTCTACTAAGTGTTCAACTGACCATCACTCCTGATTTCCAATGGGATGAAAAAGTACATGGACACGCTCAAGCTTTCCATATTTTGGTTGAGGATGTTGATGGAGAAGTGATTCTACATCATGAGGTTTTTGTGCTCAAGCAACGATTTGCCGAAGAGGAACATACAGTATCTTTCACAGTGAACATGACCTCACCTGTGCCACCAAATTACTACATCAGTGTGGTCAGTGATCGTTGGCTTCAGTCAGAAGTGCGTTTGCCAATCTCTTTCATGAATTTGATCTTGCCAGAGAAATTCCCGCCCCACACACCATTGCTCGATCTGCAAAACCAACCAATTAGTGCTTTGGAGGATGAAGAAGCTCAACAGCTGTATGTGAATCGATTCAAATATTTCAACAAGATTCAATCTCAAACTTTCCATGCATTGTATGCTTCTGATGCATCTGTCTTTATTGCCGCGCCAACGGGAAGTGGCAAAACGGTCTGTGCCGAGCTGGCCATGATACGGTTCTGGACACGCAAAGAAGATCAAGGAACAGATCGAATCGTTTGCTTGGTGCCGTATGAATCCATGGTAAGCTCTAGGGTTGCAGAATGGAAGGCACGCTTTGGCAATTATCGTGGAGGAAAAGAGATTTGCTCTCTATCTGGCGAGACTAGCTCTGACTTGCGACAGTTGGAGATGGGAGACGTAATCGTTGCCACTCCTGAACAATGGGATGTGATCTCACGTCGTTGGAGACAGAGGAAGAATGTGCAGAAGATTGGATTGTACATTGCCGATGATGTACAATTGCTCGGAGATTGGAAGGTAGGACCAACGTACGAAGTAGTCTTGTCTCGTGCTCGATTCATTGCCGCTCAAACTTCTAATTCGACTCGATTCTTAGCTCTAAGTGTGCCTCTTGGAAATGCAAGAGACGTTGGAGAATGGCTTGGTGTAAAGAGTGGAAACATGTTCAACTTTAGCCCTGCTTCAAGACCTACGCCATTGGAAGTCCATCTTCAAAGCTTTGACATTCCACATTTCCCCAGCTTGATGATCGCTATGGCCAAGCCTGCCTATCTTGCCATTGTTGAAAGAAGTCCAGAATCTCCCGTATTGGCCTTTGTGCCAAGTCGTAAGCAAGCAATTTTGACGGCAAATGACCTGTTGGCATACGTTATAGCGGATAGTGAACGAGAAGGTCAAGAAGATACAAGTAGATTTTTGAATATCGAAGAGAATGAGTTGAGACCTCATTTGGATCGCGTGGAGGATGAGGAACTACGCGAAGTGTTGCAATACGGAATCGGTTTCTATCACGAAGGGTTAAGTCGAGGCGATGCTAGGATCGTGCAAAGGTTATACAACGCTGGCGCAATTCAAGTGGTTGTCGTGAGCAAGGAGATGGCATGGGATTGTCCAATGCGTGCCCATTTGGTCCTGCTGATGAGCTGTCAAACGTACGAAGGAAGGGAACATAGATACGTCGACTACACAATGACTGATGTCTTACAAATGGTCGGACATGCAACTCTCATTGAATCGAATGACGACGAAGACCAGGATGCAGACGAAGGTGCAGCAAAATGCGTCGTCTTCGTGCAAGCAAACAGGAAGGAATACTTTAAGAAATTCTTGACCGAAGGATTGCCAATCGAATCAAGACTCAATGCAGTCTGCCAAGATTTCTTCAATGCCGAAATTGTTGCCAAGACGATCGATGATAAACAGAGCGCAGTTGATATCTTGACATGGACGCTACTATACAGGCGACTGATGATGAATCCACAAGTGTACAACTGTCAAGGCAAGGATATGCAACATATTGGAGATTGGTTGAGTGAGCTGGTAGAAACCACTCTGAACGATTTGGAAGGCTCAAAATGCATCGCAATCGAAGATGAGATGGATGTCAGCCCGTTGAACTTGGGCATGGTTGCTAGCTTCTACAACGTATCTTACGTCACAATTGACGTCTTTAATATGTCCCTGAAAGGCCGAACAAAGCTCAAAGGCTTGCTGGAAATTGTTTCTTCCGCAGCCGAATTTGAAGATCTGCCAATCAGACAACATGAAGAAACAACTTTGCGTCGAATCTATGACCGCGTGCCGTTCAAATTGGACAACATCAACTTCTATACACCTTACCACAAGGTCTTTGTCCTTTTGCAAGCACATTTTGCACGTATCAATCTTCCAGTCGATCTGGCACACGATCAAGAGTGGATTCTCAAACGCATCTTGAACTTATTGAGCGCTTGTGTGGACGTGATGTCAAGCAATGCTCAACTGAACGCCTTGACTGCGATGGAATTAAGTCAAATGATCGTTCAAGCAATGTGGGACAAAGATTCTCCTTTGAAGCAGGTGCCTCATTTCACTTCTGAAACAATTGCACGCTGTCGAGAAAGGGGAATTAAAGAGAGCGTTTACGATTTGGCTGATACCCTACCGGATCTTTCGCCCGAAGAACAGAAGGATTTGTTACGCATGAGCGATCGTGATATGATGGACGTAGCAAATTTCACCAACAACTACCCGTACGTTGAAGTTGCATTCGAGTTTGAAGAAACGGAAGGATTACGCGCATCAGATTCAATTACTCTTGATGTCAAGTTGAGTCAAAATGATGATGACGAAGACGAGGAGGAGGAGCCTGACCAAGATCAGCATATCATCGCACCCTTTTATCCTTTGCGCAAAAAGTATTGTAGTTGGTGGGTGATTGTGGGAGATAGTGGAAGCCGTAATTTGTTGAGCATCAAAAAGGTCATCTTGGACAGCGTAAAAGGCAAAAAGAGTTCGTTCAAACTCGAATTCACCTTGCCAAAAGGAAAGTTCGAGCATCTCAAATTGTACGTTTTGGCCGATAGTTACATCGGTGCAGATCGTGAATTGGATTTGCCACCTCTTGATATTGCCGAAGGTGTTGATAGCGATGACGAGGAGGAGGAGGAAGAAGATGAAGATGAGGAAATGGATCAATCGTAAAAATATTGGATTTTTGTATTCTAGAAAAAGTTAACCGTTTTGTACAACCAATTTATTTTTGCTACATTATGAGACAATTATTGTACATGAAAGATACTGGAAATGGGAGTACATGAGACTAGTGTACATTGTGGAAATGAGCGTAAATTTTTCATTTCTTCGCTTTAGCTTCTCTCTTCTGACGACGACGTTCATTGCGTGATCGCTTCTCTTGTCGAAGTTTGCGACGGTTACGTACACCACGACCTGCTTCTGCTTCATCTTCTGTGGTCTCAACTTCTTCATCTGCACTGATTTCAGAAGATGGATCGTCGTCCTCTTCTTCCTCCTCTTCATCATCAGATGATTCCTCGTCATTGAGACGACGTTTTCTGGGTTGAACTTTTTCTTTGGCAGTTTTCGCCTTTTTGGGCGTTCGATTCGTTTGCTTCTCAATCTGGGCAGATACTTTGCGTTTTGCTTGACCAGGACGTGCAAGCCGGATTGGATGTGAGAAGGCTTCAACGATTTCATTGCTCAGATAGGTCTTTTTGAGTACCTTCACTTGCTCTTCTCTACTAATGTATGTCGTGTAAAGCTCTTTGGGCAAGCCGACCTGACCTTGCCAATCACCAACAATCGTGCCCATAGATTCCGCTCTACGCTTGATGAGACAAGTGCAAACATCGCTTAAAATATGAAGTCCAATCGTTCTCGGACCATCCTCTTCCATCACGCCTCTACGTTCTCCTTCTTCGACATGATCACGCATGCCTTTGCAGCGACTTGCGATATAGTTGAGGCAAGCGAGATTGTCCTGCGTTAAGCAACAATAGAAGTAAAATTCAAAGTAATCGGCCGATTCTTCAAGATTATACATCAAAGCGTCACCTTCTGCCGTTGCGAGATTTTCAAAATCGGGATGATGGTTGATCATGTAAATCAAACGAGCCAATGCAATATCGAAATATCGCAACCTTGTTTCGGGTTTCATGACCGATAAAAGGCCATTACAAGTCTCTTTGACCAATCGTTTGATTTCATCTTCAGGATCTTTTGCCACAAGGAACATGAATGCATAATACCGAGGAGGAAGATGGGCCGCTTTGGAGATGGCATATTTGCATAACTTGCGGATGAAATTCTCGCGTACCTTGAAATGGTCACTTTGCAGCATCAATGCTAATTGTTGATTATCTGATACGCCGATCATACGTTCCAGCGCAGAATGGCGAGCCATCTTGAGAAGTTGCAACGAAGCTTCCAATTTGATGTGCGAATGCGCAGCAGAATGCCTGTAGATACCTTTTGCCGGTTCTCCATGCAACAAGGAGAAACATATCAATCGAAGAATTGGTGCAGCGATCTCTCCAATGTCTTCGTGATCTGCAAAAGCAATGCATTTGGCCGTCAAGAAGCGTAAGGCTAACAGCTTTGTCTTCAGTGAGCTATCCATCTCCTCTGGCTCGAACCAATCTTGTGATTCGTCGATTGAGTCGGGAGGTGTATACTCTTGCACCAAGACATTCAACACCGACGCGGTCATTTCATCACTGATAGCAGCTGTAGCATCTCTTGCATGTTTTGTGATTTGTCGTAAGATGATCAAAGCACAAACGAGAGAGTCTGCCTCATTGACCGGTAGTGTACTTCCAAATTTCTCGCTCAGTTCCTCTGCAATACGATAAGCCGTCTCATAGCCACTTGACGCTGTGTTGGATGCAATCAAAGCAAGAAGCTTCGAACCGAACTTTGCACAATCTGGATCTGTGGTTGTTTTGAGAATGTCTCCTAGAGACTCGATATCACTGTCGGAGAATTGAATCGGTTCCTGATCACGGAGGTGTGATTGTGCATTGCTGAGCACCAACATGGAGAAGACACGCTTCCTCTGCCCAACTTCATCTTCATGTAAAGTGGCACGTAATTGATCAAAGTGTGGCGCAAACATCTCTGTACGTGCTTCTGACATGGTCTTGAGCATTTGCAGAGTGCAGTGTTGGTAACTTGTCTGCTTCGACGGCAACAAGAGGTGGGAAGCGTCTTGATCTAACGTGTTGAGGATTGGCAAAATCGAGCTGGTATTCACAAAGGGGAAGCCTGCCAGACGGACAAAGGCAATAAGTGTTGCAGCATAACGCTCCGATTGTGAACGCTTCACAAGCTCTTTGTACACTTTCACGTATTGTTCAATGGTGGTCCCTTGATCCATTATGATAGCAATAAGCTTGTAAGCGCGAGCATCATTTTGCTTAGCAAATGCATGTAGATCTTGACCAGCTTTGAGTGGATCGGGAAATTGGGTGCTCAGCACATCGATCCATCTGAGCATGGACTTGCGAACATGATCAACCTGTGAATTCTCCACGACTCCGCCGTTGTAACGCTTACAAGCGTCAATGAATCCAAAGAAGTGCTTTCTAGGAGCCTTCAAATTGAATACTTGAATGAAGCAATGCACCAGATCTGGATCGATCAGTTGAATGACAATTTGGAGGCGCTTGGTCCATTCTGTCAAATTGGCATCTGCAGGTAGCGGTAATATGAATCGCTCGAAGCTGGCTTGGATGTCTGTGATCATTCGCTGACCATCTTGAGCAGTGAGTGCTGAAACCATGTCATTTGGGATAGATCCAAAACGTTTAATTGTGGCCGCATCTCCAGATGCAATTCCCTCGTATGCCAAGGCAAAGATGCGTCCCAACACCTGCAAAGCAGCTATACGCACGTTAACTTTCTTGTCTTTGACTCTTTCTGCCAGGGTATCATAGAGTTGTCGGGTCAGAATTGAGCGAAGAACCGAATATTCCAGAGTAAGGAACACCTTCACCATGGCCAATCGAACCTTTTCATCAGAGTCAAGTAGCTTCTGCTCGACGCTTTGCATCACATCAGCATCCATGTTGCTGTCTTTTCCGATGATGGATACGAGCGAGCTTACCCAAGCCACCCGTACGGAGTTATTCTTGTCCCAACTTCTCGTAAGCCAAACCTTCCATGGATTTTCGTACATCTTTGCCAATGTTGTTTGATGATTTCCGGGTTGCAGTGCACGATGGGCAAAGATTTGACCAAATGTCTGAACTGCGATAAGTCGCAGTTTTGGGTCTTCTGCGCGAATTTCTTCTTCCAATTGTGGTAAAACGTTGTACATCAATTTGGGAACCATTTTGTGCACATGTGCAATGAGGATATGGCATGCTTGAAGATCTGACTCTCGCTCCTGCTCATCGGTCACCTGGACTGCTTGCTCTAGCACTTCCACGAAATATTGAGCAATGTAGGTTTGCAGTTCATCTGCAGCATTTTGGCCAATCAATTCAGCCAAATGTGATGCAGCAGGATTTGACTTTTTCACTTTTGGTTGAAAGCTGGCGATCAACTGCTTGACTACGCCTTTTGGAACGGTGGTGCTATGTTGGATGAACAAGCTCAGTGCTTCTGCGATCGAAATTTCGACGTTCTTGGGCAAATCCGGATGCACGAGATCAAAGAACTTTCTGAAGTATTCCTGCATCGATTGTTCGGCATTACAGTACTCGCACAAGAGTGCAAATGCTCTCATGCGTACGAGACTGTCGAGCAAGGCAATACAGTCCTGAAATTGAGCTCCATTCTGCTTCCCTAATCCATTTGTCGGTGAAGTGAGAACGGCAAGGAACAAATCGAAAACAAGCTTCAATTGATCTTCCTCCAGGGGTGATTCAGGCGCATATAGTCGCAATACTTGCGCAATTGACAATGCCAATGCCGTCCGGATTTCCTTGTTCTTGTGAAACATCAAATCTTTTTGATTGATCTGACTCATCACATTGTCCAGGATCTCTGTGGATACATCTCCTGGTTGCTCCTTCTCCAATGTATGCCATAACCCATTCAGCTTTTTCTGAATTGAATCTGCTGATTGACCTTTCAAAGCCAAACGAGCCCATCCTGGCGTACTTGAAGAGGATGCTGTAGCTGTGGATTGCCTCACCATCTTGTCGCCATGTGATGCTTATTGAAAGGAATGGAGAATGAACATATGATTACTAGTTTATGCTTATGTATCTTTTTGAGGAAGCAATACGTGTTGCTCTTTATGCATGCATTTCTACGCGTCGCGTGTTACTTACGCGTGCATTTGTCAACTTTTGTCCACCCGCACCCACTTGCCGCTTAAGCCTTTTCTCGGTTCCATTGTGCATTTTCCAGAAAAGATTTTAGCGCATGTCATGACGTTTGCAAGCATACCGCTAATGTACGTTTAGGACTACTAAGATGATATCCTCCGAAAAGGCTATGTAAGCAGTGTTGAACAAGACCCTACACTATTCATCAACATCGTCAAGGGAAGATCAGATGCATTGCATTGTGGATAATCTTTTCATCGTCCTTGATCTTGTGTGGGATTGAATGCTAATTGGTCAAAAGGCGTTTAATTCATTCACCGACTAATTAAAAAAAAAAGTCTGTTCCAGCCTTAACACGCGCAATTCCAAGGTCAATGACGTATGTATTCAATAGGAGGAGTCTTGTTCCCCAAAAAGTCTGAGCTTGAATTGAATAAATACTCCGCTTTTTAATTGAAATTTGTGTGGTAGTGCACAGCAGCAGAGAGTGTGATTTTGTGGAATCATTTCGCAGCCTAACCCTTACCCTTCTTTCGCTTTTGGGTTGTGCTGGAATGCAGTGTAAACAAGTTTACTAATTGACCCTGCAGGTCTAGCTTCTGTGGAAAAAGAACAAGGCTCCTTTTTTGGCTCAAGGGCACAAACACACAAGCACAGAAAACTCATTTTGGTTAGCTTGTTTATTTTTTTGTGGCTAAATGAGGAGCCAGACTGGTGTTGTGCACTATTTTGTTATTTTATCTGCAGCATCGTTACGTAGTCTTCCTTTTTTTTATTGATCGTAAAATTGAGGCACAAAACGATTAAATGCAGGTGGGTCTTTGCGCTAGTTGCCTTTGCAATTGTCCAGCTCCTGTCAAGTATAATTGTTATTTGCCGACATGAGACTGAAAATAGATGATGAACCACACACACACGCACACATGCTGATGATCATATGAGCCAACCCTTTCCTTAGTATAGACTTTAATTCTCTTTCTTTCGCCACCTACCATCACATAGCCCTCTCTCGGGTGAGGCGAACAGGGGGTTACAAACAAGTCCGCTTTCGTCATCGCATAAAGTATTGTTCAAAAAAGAGGGGCTCATATTTGATCCGATTAGGAGAAAGAACGGAAGCTTACTTGCACAAAAAAGGGGGACTATCTGACATTAACAAAGATTTATTTTTCGGACCGCCGTCTTTTTCTTTTTTATTCAAATCAAATACCATCCTACATTGTACTACAAAAACGGGATTGAACTTGATCGTATATATTGATTACAAGTATCGCCCGTCAAATTCTTGGACCTGAACGGAGGCCGTACCTTTTTCTACAAAGAAGCAACACTTTTTTACACCGGGCACGATCTCAACCAAACTCCGCATTTGTTTGGAGGAAAACATTCTTCATTTCGGCTTTTACGTCATCCATTTGCAGTGCGCCAATTACGATTGTTAAGAAAAGAGAGCAAGCAAGCAAGCTTTATTGTCTTTACGCCTACTTGCAGTTTCAAATTCCATCAGAAAAAGCTGTGGGGCAAAACCCTGACGGTGAGATCCCTTTATTATCCAACCGAACACGGTCTCTCAATTCTCGCAACTTGTTTCATGCAAATCTCGCTTAAACGACATCATAGTGACGACTACTACTGATGATTACTGGCTTGATCGACAATTAAAAGCCTGCGCCACAACAAATCAAAAAGGCAAGCAAAACGTCCTTCGTCCTAACTGCCGATACAAGGAGGACATCAATTGCTTTTGGTCCATTTACAGGTTCGGCCTTATTTAATGCGCAAATAGAAAGAGATTTCGCAATCCTTCCTTCGGATTCAGGAGGTTTTCAATTCGGCTTTTCTTCGTCAGACATCATGAGCTCGCATAGACCAATCAAGAGCAATCCCTCATCGCCTCAAAGGCGTCCTTCAGGCAGCATACGAAGGTTTATTGCCCGTCATGGGTCAAATTTACCTTCTTCTTCTTCTTCAATGCCTTCTTCCAGTAATGCGGCACAACCAAAAAATGAATCAACTCTAGTGCCCATTCGACCAGAAGCATTGAGACCGTACATGAACACAGTAAACAATAAGAACGATGAAGGTACTTATACCCCGTCGAATGTCGCTTCATCTTCACGTTCTTCCAACATTGCAATCGATCACGATCAAAATACCCAATACCTTGCCCAAGCTGCAAATTACGCCTCTCTCGCTAATCTTGTCAAACCTTCCGCAGAATACCCCACGATTCCACAAGTTGGAACGACTCAATCAAATCAATCCGGCATACAAGGAACCAGACATCGCTTAGTTCGCACAAAAAGCGGCAGAAAAGTGATTCAAACAATCCGTTCGATCGGTCAGCCATCACCTAATAACGTTGGACTTGCGCCACAAAGCTCACCTCATTCTTTCCAAGAGATTGATCATCAAAGTTTCGAAGCTGCTCCCCGATTGTCTATGTCATCCGTTGAAAGTAGCGGAGGAAGTGAAGTAAAGACGCCCGAATCAATGAACGCAAATCTTTCATGGCAGTGTGCTAACGGCGAGAAGAGCACGATGCAATCTGCTTTTGCAGCCCCGGAAATGGATGGCCCGATGAGCGTTAGTCCTCGTTTGACGCCTTCATCGCCTGCACTTGTTGATATGAGCGATGCTTTTCATCATATTCGAGGTTTGGCAGCCGTTGGCTTTTCAACTGCTGAAGATGTTGTACAGTCATCCATGGATCCACAACTTCTTCATGCAGCTAGAAATATGGATGACGAGAACGATTATCAAATGAATATGACGCCTGTCAGTACAAGTCCAGCTGGTCGTTCATCAACGATTAAGATCAGAAGACCTGATGCTTTACACAGATTACCTGGCACAAGCTTTCACACTGATCGTACCGTGACACCAACGACATCAGATCATAGTTCTTTGGAACAATTATTTGATGAATTGCAAATGCATGAAAAGCCAGAATCATCTGTCATCACAAAGGTCAGTCAAACGGTGGAGGAAGCTCAGCATCCTCGATTCATGACTCCTTTCCCTGCCGCGGGCAGCTTGAGCCCGGCGATCGAATGTGCTGCCAGTCCAGACAGTTGGCGTACGCTGCTACCTGAACATGATCGGTTTTATATCCCATCTGAAGCTTTGTCAAGCCGATCATCGAGTATGGTAGGTTCGGATATCTTGCAGCGCAATACGGTTCACAGCAGCAATACGGATTACGATAGTGCAGGTGATCGTCGTCGTTGGTCGAATGAGAGCAATAGTGGCGGCAATAGCCATGACAATTCTCGCAATACTCTTTACGATTTAGATGGTAGCTTTGGCGGTGCAAGAGCCGCTTTTGCGCCGTTGAAGTACAGTTACGATCAAAACAGTCGCAGCTTGACCTCACCACTGTTACCTGATCAAGAATCGATCGCAGGCTACAGTGAACCAATGCGAAAGCAAGCAACTGATTCGGGTGAACGGACTAGCACGCCCGAATTGCAAAAGAGACATGCCAGCTTTTCAGCTTTTGACAAGGGTAATTCCAAACAGCGTTCAAGTTTCCGGCAGTCTGCATGTATGCCTTCAGACTTTACTGCGTACAAATTCAAACGTTCGACGGCCATGTCCATGTCTTCAAGCGCTGCTTCCTTTGGTGCAATTTCGCCTGGTTTGATCAGCGTTGTGACGGAAGCACAAGAAGGCACAGATGACGATAAGCCACATTATACCGTGACGCCTTTCCCTGATGGACAGAGACACGATATTCATATCCGTCATGCAGACAGAGTTGATGCTCCCCTTGGTGAAGTTCTGCAAGGTGACCCTTCCCTATCGCGTGAGATCTTGGTGGAAGCGTTCAATAATGGTTTGAAAGATAGAAACGCTCAAGAAGGTGATAGTGTTACCAAGCGCGTCGTCAGCACAACCACAACAACCACGACCAAGACTGTTGTGAAGGAAGAAGATGATTTGATGGTTGAACAATACGTGAATCGATATGAACTGCGAACATGTTTACCCGGTTTCCGATTAGACCGTATGATTTTGGAAACTAAACGTGATCATCAATTAAAGATTACTGCCGAAACCAAGAATGAAATTGAAGAAGGAGTTGATCAAAGATTTGAACGTAAGATTAAATTTGGACCTGATGCAGACCTCAAAGCTACAAGGGCACATTTTGATGGTCTAACACTTCATATCAACGTTCCACGAATTCAACCGAGCGAAACGTAATTTTTTTGCGCTTAACGAACAATGAGAAGCCAAACTTTTTGACTTTGGATCTTTGGAATCGTTCGTCGTTTTACTTGTACAATTTTTTTTTCTTTTGTGTTTCGTTGTTGTTTTGTCAGCCTCTATTATTTATATATACTGTACATGCGTAAATAATATAAATCTCTTCAATTACAGTGGTGATCGAGTAAGAGAAGATATGGTTTGATGAGAAAAAGGGTACAGATAGGCCAGCAGTGGCAGGGCTTTTATTTAAATCATTGTACCCCTTATAGTGCTTCCTATCGGTTGGTCCCTTGCGTGGCAGTATATTTCGAAAGTAGTTTCTCTCCTAGCATAATGAGAATTAACCAATGGCATCTCAGATATATCTCATCTAGACATCGCTATCGTTGATAAAGATATAGATTTATAGATTGAGATGAATACAACAATCGATCGTGGGAATGTAGGGTTGATTACGTAAATTGAATGGATCACTCGGGAAAATGTTGATATTCTCTCTTCCGAGGATCATTAGAGAGCTTCAATCTACAATCTATCAAGCAATCTTGCTTATCACATGTGATACCGCTGAAAGTCAATATTGTTCCATACCTCTTTGATGATGATGAAATAAAAGTAAAAAATAATGCTAAAATACTGACGTGTACAATTGTATGTTAAATGGCGCACCAATTTAAACAGCGCGTTTGCCCTGAGACTCGGAAATGGCGTGTGCTGCTGCTGTTAAACTTGGGCGGGGCGTAGACACAGGAGCGGGCGGATAAGCGGGTAGAGATTGTGTCAAGATTGAAGTCACGGTCTCGAAATGTTGACGGAAAAGATATGAGCTCTCGATCGCGACGACTAAAGAACATCTATCAATGAGATCGGACTCAATATCTATATCTCTGTCGTTAGTAGTAGAGTATATTCACAACAGAAGATAGTACCATAAGGTTATAACTTTTATATTTCAAAGAATAAAGATCATTTATTGTTTTGAAAATGTATATCTTACATTTTAAAGCCATTAAAATTAGTTTTTAAACAACACAGAAGGCTATAAGGCAGAAGGATGGACGGGGAAATCGGCATAGTAAGACAAGATCTCTGTAACTTTTTAAATTCAACTTTATATTATTGGTGATTTTAATTATATTTATCAATAAAAATAAACTCGATATTCGATTTCAATGCGATCAAAATGATATAGAATTTGAGTAATATAAACAACATCATCTATCCTAAGTCTGATAGCGATCAATTGTCCAACAAGGGGGAACGTACGAATTGAAATCATATAATGGGGCCATACCATAACACGATACCATCTAATTTGCGATGACTTGTGCCGAGATTTAGGTGTTATTGTTGTAGACTGATTTGATGCCAGTGTTGGACTTTTTGCTATCTTCGGTGGAGTTTGTGCACTTTAAGAGAGGAATTCCAACCAACACCGATGAACTGCAAAACCGCACGCAATTTTGTACAGAGGGCAGATCAAGGTTGCATGCATAAACAAATAATTGGTAGGCAGTTTATCACTCTTTTCATTCACGCTAAAGACGCGCCTTTTTACACGATTTTTGTGTACATACAAGCACAACTAAGATACATACACCACCACTTTATATTAACTTCACTTTCAATCCCACCCCCAATCCATTCTTACTTCCACCATAATCATTTTCATTCTCTCTTTTCTCTTTTTGATCGCCATCAAATCAACTCTCTAACAATGTCTAAGCCAGCTTCAAAGACAGCCTCAGCCGCCAAGAAGGCATCTTCCACCGGTCCATCTTACGAGGTAAGTTTGAAACAATTGTACACTTTTTTCGCCATTGCTATCCGTCCCGTTGACAAGGTAAACGGAAAGGCATACATAGGAGCGAAAAGAAACGATAGATACATCTTTCAAGCTGGTCAATGGATGGATGGTAGCATGTACTTCATCCATTCAAAGCCGTTTGGCTCTATCTCCTCTATTCGCTTCACGCCATCGTCATTCGTTCGTTCTCAATTCGCGCGCGCGTTCCGATTGACGCGCCGGGATTGGAGCGCGTGGATGGTTTACAGTTCTGCTCGTTCAAGATTTTTGCACGGTTGATTCATCGTCCATTGAAAAGGCTCAAAGCAAAACATGCTTCTTGGCACACACTATGGCAAAACGGCAGCTTTCCACCGTGCCTGTAGCCACCGCTATCAAGCTTTTCGTTACCACCTTGTCAACGGAACGCTGCCACGTACGAACAGATTATTCCTGCGCGAATAATTTCATGCACGCGAAATGAAGCTTGGCTTATCTCTATTGGTGGTAGACTATCTTACTGACAACATTCATCCTTTCCTCACACTCTTTTCCATTACAGGCCATGATCAAGGATGCCATCATCTCTCACCCCGACGAATCCCGCGCTGGTCTCAGTCGCCCAACCATCAAGAAGTACATCTTGCAAAAGTACACTGCAACCAGCAAGGTTTCTGAAGCCACCTTCAACAACCACATCTCCAAGGCCATCGTCAAGGGTGCTGAAAAGAAGGTCTTCACTTTGCCCAAGGGACCAAGCGGTAAAGTTAAGTTGGCTCCAAGCGTCAAGGCAAAGACCGCCACCAAGAAGCCCGCATCAGCAGCAAAGAAGACAACGGCCAAGCCAGCTAGCAAGAAGGTCTCAACCACAACCAAGAAAGCCAGCACAACAAAGAAAGTAAGTTTTAGACTCCATCAAACGAGATTTCACGGTGATCACATCCATACTAACATATCCCCACCATCATTTTTCCACTCGTAGCCCGCTGCAAAGAAGACAAAATCTTCCACAGCATCAAAGGCAAAGAAGCCTGTTTCGAAAAAGGTCTCTAGCAAGAAGGTACGTAAGATTGCATGAGCGGAAAGCCATACTGTTTGACCGTGAAATTTCTGACATTTTATTTTTCTTGCTTACAGGCACCCGCATCAAAGAAGAAAGTTGCTTCCAAGAAAGCTTAAATAGTCTTCCCAATCTCTTTGACTAGCGTTCCCTGTGCTTCTATGGAGGTAAGGACGGAAGGGGAAGAAGGATGATATAACCATCTTTCTTCTCCATGCCATCTTTACACATCCCTTTCTTTTCTTCTTTCCCGCTTGTGTACTAGTACGGCTTTGATATGTGTATGTATTGATGTGATACTACTTGAATCAGTCATTCTTTATTATGTTTTGTCTTTATTTATTGTTGTATCACGAATCAATTCATCTTTTTTTATTTCTGATTATTGAACGATTGACTGGAAAAGACAGAATGGATGAAATGAAGGTGGTATGTTGTTTGTTTACTCAAAACAATTCCAACACGCGCGCGCGTAGAATATCAGCGCAAGGGGGGGAAAATAGAATCGCCCGCTTCCGCTCAACAACTTCTATCCGAGATTGTTCCCAGGAAATCGGTAAAGGACGAAGTCTAGCCATACACAAGGATGAGTAATATGCATTTTCTGTGCCATGCTTTTGTCATCGAAAAAAAAATCATTAAATCGCAATCGGGATACCAAAAGGATATCCTAAGGAGCATGCTTTTATTGAATAGCACGCCTGCGGATCGATAAAGTGCAATCTCGGCGCTAAAAATCACGGGGGGGGGGGTGTCACTGCACTGCACTGCACTTGCACCGCCTGGTCACTGTGCTACAGGCTTGCATCGGACGCGGGTGAATTGGTCCGATCATTGGAAATTTGGGTAGGCGCGACGCCCTTGAGAATGCATAAACAAACACAGCGGGGGATTTTGTGCACAATGGCCTCCCGGTCTTCTTTTGATCGTGAGAGAAAGCGCAGCACAGAACAATGCATTGATTATAAAGAATAGTGTACATGATCAAGATTCCAAAGAAAGGGATCTGATGAGCTCATCAACTATCGGTTGAAGCTCACTGATGCTAGCCTGTGCCCATTCGGTGGACAAAAGCGTATCTTCGGCTTCTTGCGTAAAGTTGTCCAAATGATTTTGTCCTTGAACATAAATCAATTCGGCAGACGTGGACCGAATGATTGGGAAAGGATGCAAGAGAAAGTTTTTGAGCTTGTTGGTTATGACACCGGATTGTAGACTTGTGATACACAGCAGATTCGTCGTGAATTGAACGGATGCTAATAAGCGGGGTATACTCTTCACGACGTTCACGCTGCGGGTTGCCATGTCTAGCATTCGTGTGATGCTGTAAGGGGGAAAGGGGAACAATTGTCAGCTTCAGAAGGTAAGGATCAATGTGTTCTTGTTGTTCACTCACCATTTAAGTTCTTTTCCAGATTCCGATATCCGGTCGTCGATGATGCCTTCCTCTATAAGCACATTGAATGCCTGGATACACGGGACAAACAGCCTATTACTGCGAACGTTTGCTAATGCCAATGCAGTCAAATCCTTAACAATGTCGGATGTGTCATATTGATCTGCCTCCGACTGACTCAAGAATGCTGTCAAGCTCTTCACTAAATCACGATTAACCGTCTCCCGCTGTGGCCCGATACCTAGCACGATTCCCTTCAACAGCTCTGCACGCAGTGGAACGATCGAGAGAAGGGGAACGATCTTGCCATACAGATAGCTCAGATCGCTCAATTGTTCGTCTTGCTCTGGCGGGAACAGTGCGTTGAGCTTTTCCTTGTATGGGACAGCAATATGAGTGGACGTACCTGCAACGCTCCGAGTAACAAACAAGAAATCCTTTCGAGCTTCTGTCCTGACCGAATCGATCCTTTCCGTCATCTGTTTTGCTAGAGCGGCACAAATGGCATCGCAAATCGATTGTGAAAGGTAAACCCTCTCGGGACAAGGATACTTCGTCAAGGTCTCAATGATTCTCTGAAAGCTTTGCATGCACGCTATGCGGATCCAAGAGCCAACGTCTCCTCTGGCATCATTTGAATAATCTTCCATACCACCCAAGAGGCACTTCCAAATTTGCTGCACAGTCTCCACGTCAAGGGAGTGTGACCACCTGTCCGATAAATTAACAAAGATGTCTGCCAAGCTCTGATAAGCGTTTCGTCTTGTTTCCACATTTGCGCTCTTTGTCGGAGAAGAACCTTCAACGAGCGAGATTAGGAATGTGATAGTCTCTTGTAATGCTTCTCCATACTGCAAAAAGCTGTAGGATCCCAGCACTTTGGCGTTGCTCTGAGATTGAGCAATATTTAGTCTCTTCCATCCTTGTATGGTTGACCGTATCCGCTTCGTTTGATCTTGCAATTGACTGACAGCCACAATTGCTTTCGCAGCCGCGAAATGGCATTCCTCTTCCTGTCTATCCAACGTCAGATCAACAAACGTTTTCCAAGAATTACTCCCTGTCGCAAGCGAATCCGCTGAAGAGCAGCTTGCAATCAATTGACAAGCAGCACGCAAGACCAAGTTCGTTCCAGAAGCACGCGGGCCTGGTTTGACGACCGATTTGAGTGTCCCGAAGGCTTTTTGCCGGAACAAAGCTGCTTCAGGGGACAAAGAATGACGACAATCCTCACCAATTTCCGCCAAGGATAGCAGAGCCCCGTGGACTGTGAATGGGTCACGGATGGACGACATCGCAATCAAACGTTCACTTACATGCTTGATAAGCATACTGAAGTCCAATCTCACCACTCTAGCCAGGGCTTGGGCACCCAATTCACGCATCGAAGCATCCCAATGTACAATTGTCGTGTTCAGCAAATGCTCGACGATAGCATGACGATATTCGATATGTTCAGCAACTTGAGGTAAACAATGTAAGAATGCATTCCTTCTCACGCCAACTGCGTAAAAGTCCGTCTTGCGAATAACATCGATTCCGTGTGCGAACAAATTCAGGCGACCTACACATTCTTGATAAGCAGCGCTTGCTGCTCTTCGAAGAGAAATTTCTCTATCGAGTAAAGCCACGCAAACCAACTTTTCCGAAATTGACTTGGCAAACGGTCTGATTGCTTCTGCATCATGAGCCCTAGCCAGAGCCCATAGTACATAACAGGCTGCATCTCGTACACCCGATCCTACCGAATGCGCCCCACGACGGATATCGAAAAGCAGAGATCTTTCGATCCACGGCATCTTCTCTCCTAGTGTCTCAGCTGAGAGCAAGCCTCTCCTTGCCAGCTCTGCCAAGGCTATACAGCATCCTTGCCATGTGAATTCGCTCACATTGGATAAATCTTCCTTTGCACTCATAATATTGGCAACGTTGATTGCGAATAAGCCGGTTATCTCATCGCCAATTTGCTCGATGAACGTGTTCGGAAGTCTGCTGCATATCCTTGATATCCCTTTGGCGGCTGAATAGCGAACAATGGTATCTTTATCTTGCAAAGCATCAATCAATAAAGCAATGTATCGGTCAACCTCTTCGGGTACGTCCTCTTCTCCAAAGTCTTTCTCAACTGCTCTTTCTTGGCTTTCGGTGCCAAACATAAGCATAGCAGGAGGAAGCACATTTGCACGTTTCCGTGGCTTGAGAATTTTTAGGCCCAATCGACATGCCATCTTTGCTTTAAACTTGTTGACGATACTATTGTCTCTAAGAGAAGTTGCCATCACGAATTCCGACCCACCAGATGCATCTGCTGCCTCTTCTTCATCGGACGAATAAAGCGTCAGAAGCGATCGGATTGCTTCAATGAGCGGGAGCAGAGCTTCAACAGAGGCTATCTTGACAATTGTACACCACGTCTGCAAGATTCCAGTCACAAGGAAAGTTGAAGGGGAGGAAGGCGGTAAGATTGAAGTACGCGACCATCGCAAAAAGTTTCGCAGATGCTCTTCATCTACATCTCTTCTCTGATATAGCTTTCCAAGCATGATCGAAGCTGCATCACGTTCTTTCCCAGGACTGTTAAGGTAGTGCTTCCCTACGTGTTCTATTCGAGCCATTGTCGTGTTGGAAGATGTAGAAGATCCTTTATCAAATTTTGCCAAATCGAACGGGATCATGCAGATGAGCGAAAGCCATAATAGCAAAACATATCGGACTTTCCATGTCGATTTAATTTGGCCATCGATTGTACTTTCAAGCAATCCAAGCGTAGGTACTAGGTCATCGACAGTGTGTGGAAAAAAGTGTAGAATGGTCTTGTATCCTCTGACTTTGGTATAGTGGTATAGCAGCCTCGCAAGCCTTTGAACATCATCGAAGATTTGAGAGGAGGCTTCCCCACCCTTAAGCGATTGGAATGTACATTGTTGTAAGGCACGTACAGGCGGTCCGACGATTGCTTCCAGATAAGGATCCAGAAGATAGTTTTGCTCTTGATATCTGTCTAGAATCGCAGTAAGCTTTCTTAGAGCAGCTTCAGCGTTTGCTGTCCTGTTCCTCTCATCATCATCTCTGGTTGCAGCAAATTTACCCGCTGTGAGATTCTCTAGTCCACCAGGAAAGAATGTTGATCCGAGTAGCAGAGCCTTGTATTCAGTAATCTCCTCGAATGTTGTCAGATCTTTCTCTTGAACGACATTCAACGCTTCATCACTACTGTCTCTTTCCATCTTTATTGTTGCTTTGAGTCATGGTTTATACGAGCATATAGTGGAAGACGTCAATCAGGAAATCTTCTTAAATTTATCAATGGCTTAGCGCGGGGGATTGTACACGCTTGAAGCCTTGTTGAATACAATTGTGTTAATGTGTTGGTCTGAGCCAATATAAGCATTCGGGCCGCGTTTGACGTCAGAGACACAGCATCAGTGCATCATACCATACCATTCACATTCAATACCATCACCATCACCATCACAAATAAATAGAAACATGGCAGAAACAGAAGATACAAACGAATACGTTGGTGCATCAGCAAATCAAGTATTATTTCATGCAATCACTTCAGGTAACGTTGACCTTTTACAAGAAGTACTTCAAGGCGGTAAAGCAAGTGGTGGTAAAAAACCAGATTTAGAAGCAAGAAATGCATTAGGAGATACACCTGTTTTGGCAAGTCTAAGGGCTGGACAATTGGATATCCTTGCTGTGCTGTTGGATGAAGAAGTTGATGTAGACGAAGCAGAGACGAAGCATGATGGTGATCGACCACTTCATCTGGCTGTAAGATTAGAGGATGACGAACAGAGAGAATGGACTGGTAAGTGTTGAAAGCGTACTCAAACGATCACAATACTGACTTTTATGCGCAATACAGTCTCTCAACTTCTTGAAGCAGGATCTGATCCAAGACTAACGAACAATGATGGATTCAAGCCAGTCGATATCCTGACAGCCGGCGAACAGAACGAGAAAGTACGAAGGCTATTGCGTGATGCAGAAGCAATCTCTGGATTCAACAAAGCAGACGTTGTTGGTGAGTACCGAGAGAGATGCGACATTCATTTTCTGGTAATTTACACATTCCCATTCTACTAGATGAGGACGAGGAATCAGACGAAGGACCACCATCAGATGAAGATTAATAGACACGCGATTGGACTGAAAGAAGTTCAAAGATTGCATTGGGTATCGTTGTATGCAAGTATGTAGAAAAGGGGGTATAATGAAGGTATACATGTCTAATTTTTGATGTTAGTTGGTGCGATGCTGTGGTCGTCTTGGTGAAGCCGCCTCGTATCGGCCATCAACGATGCGCAAATAGATGAACAATTGTTGAATATCATCGTGAAGCTTGTACGGCCGAATGGATAACCATTCCAGGATACGCCCTTTGAAACGCTTGAATGCATTTTGCGATGGACGTCCGCTAAGTCTTTGTTCTGTCCATGGCCATGCATATCGTTCAACGATTGAAGAAACATCATGATCTGTTCCTCCGCCCGTATGACGTGAAGTGGCAGCAAATGGATCAGAGTAAAGAGGATAATGGTGTGCTGCTTTGGAACTGGTTGGTATGGAAATTGTTTCGATTGAACGTACGCCAATGCTACCGTCTGTTCTTACAGTGCCAACCACTAATGGCTCACCTCTGCCTGCTCCTGATTGCGCCTCTCCTGGCCTACGCAAAGAACGATTGAAGGCTAATTCATCAATCATAAAGTATATTCTGTTAATTAAACCTTGATCGACGATACCTTTCTTAGCATTTGTTGCTCTCCAGATGCCCGTCTTGGATTTGAGAAGCTCTTCCAGCTTCTTGCGTGGCATTGGAGTATAGGCGATGCTCGTGGGGTATTGTGGGCTGAAGAGTTGTGCATTTGATTGTAAGGCGGCATAATCTCCATTATTCTGACGCCAAAAGTCATCCCAAAAGATATACCACCATTGATGTACCTGTGTCTTTCGAACGTGTGCCATACGTTGAACCAACATCGTAGAAGCAGCTTTATAACGAACAGGCAATTGTCGAACTACAGCATTGCCTTTACTACACCCGAAATCTTTTTCCATTTCCTTGATACTGTATGATGGTGTATCAAAGATCTCGGTCAAGAAAGCATATTGCATCGTCTTTCGCTTTTCCAGCGCTTCACGGTAGAAGCAAACCCTATAATTTTGCAAAAGTTGAGCCATTTGTGGATATCGTAATGTGATTATGGAATAGTTATCGTTGAAAAATTGCTCGAGAGAGGGCGAATATTCGAAATCGTCACGAAGACCGAATGCAGCAGCGGCATCAACGGTCAACGATTTTCGTACTACACTCAATCCACCCTCATCTCTTCTTTGTCCTTGCGCATATGTCACAAAGACATCAAATCCTGACTCGAAGCTATAACCTCCCGCGTTAGGTCCAATCTTTCTTTGAATCGTCAGAATGCCTTCATCGTAGTAAATCGGCTTTGCCATCGTATAGCGATCTTTACGATTTTCTAATCCGGCAAGCCAAGTCAGCATACGTCCTTGGGGTGTGATATTTTCCGTTTCAACATGAGGACAATAGACTTTTTGACCTTCTAGTGCTCTCAAGCTCAAACGAACCCATTTCCGATTCCTGATCGTCTCACTTTCATTCTGCCAAATGAATGCTTCTAATTCTTGCAAAGTAGTTAATTGAACGGTTGCACCGCATACTCCTTGTTGCGTTTGATCGTACGAAATGACTAACGTTGGCGGAAAAGGAACCAAAAAGGCCTTTCCAAAGTAGGAGGACACGCCTTCGAATGCACGTTTGTTTGCCGGAGTGATTTCCAAAGGCTGCCAATAAGCATCAGGTCCGGCAAATTCAGTTTGAATACGTTTGATGACGGATTTCCATCTTTCCGAATATCCTTCAGCATCTAGCATATTCAAAGCATCCTGATAGGAAGTCATCCCAACAGACTTGACAATCTTCAGATTTTCAATATGCCTCTCTGCAATTGTGCCACGGAATTGCAACAAATATGGTGGCCAATGATCGTCAACAGAAAATGTTACCATTTGTCCAATTGGCATTCGATATTCGGGACCACTGAGCAAAATTGTAGAAAGAGTTTCTTGCCAGATCCTTCGTTTGATATGCTTTTCGAGTTGCAAAACAGGCGAAAAGATATCTATGCTAAAATCTATTCGGACTTGAAGACGTTTGATCCAATGACTCATCCAAGAAGTTCCGGCTATACTGAAGTAAATGTTACCTGAATAGGTCAACGCTTGAACGACGTAGAGTAATGCTGATTGATATACGGTACTGCCTTTGACCTGTAAAGCCACCAAGAGACCAATCACGGCTGTCATCACATACCCGAACCGACTGCACAGCTCTGATCGATTGCTGAGCATATCCACAAAAGGCTGTATGGACAGATGTGCACAAAGCAAGACCGATTGCATACAAATCAAAGCCGATTGTTGTATGACCAACATCTTTCGAACGTCCGCTTTGTGGAATATGCAATTTTGCTGAGTAAAGATGCTGATGATGAGCAAATTTGAAAGCTTGAAACATAGGATGTAAAGAGGTTTGTATGTTCCCCACTTACGACGATAGTCGATGTACATGAAGTTAAGAGGGGATTTGTCCCTACCCAACAGTCGCATGTATTCCGTCTCCATTTCTCCGCCTGTACGTTTGTTTCCCAGTTCATTGTATTCGTCAACACGAGGAAGGAGCTTTTTGATTGTTCTCATCATCAAGTACGGGAACCAAAGTGTGTAAAAGATGACTGTGAGAGCGGCGACAGGAATGATGACAAATGCCCAATTAAATTGATCGGGATCGGTGTTGGTTTTGTAGCACATTCCTTCTATATTGGGTGTTGTAGTTGATGCTCGATTATGCGTTGGCCAATAATCTGAACTCCAAACGAGAGCATCCACAGAAAGTTTGCTGAGTGGAATATACAGTACTGTCAATGACATCACCACGCTCACGTTTGCGAACTTTGTCCAAACTGTACTACGCCAAGGGATGGCTTTTTGACCTTCTTCAACACGGATTTCAGCAGTATGCGTTCCATCGGCAGGTTTTAAGGTTCTGAAAATCCATGGTTGAGAGGCAAACCCTTGTAGCGTTCTATTTGGGTTGTATCTCTTTGTCATTCTCCAAAACGAAATGAGCAAAAGAGCTGCAATACCCGTGAATATTAGAAGCAGAATGACAGCAGCTCCAAAGACGCTGACAAAGTTTAGAGCCACGAATGAAGGAACCACATGTAAAAGCATGTAATCCGCCGATAAGCTGTTATTATTTATTGTGCGGAAAGAACGATAGTCGGATGTAGATTGCACATTCATATTCATTATCTGAATAAAGTCCATGAATAGTGAAAGTCTGAATATCCCTGCTGCCAAAGTGGATCCTTCCACACCGATAACGAAATCCACAATCGTACCCAAAAGTGTACCAATGCCAGGCATGGAGCCCAAAAATCCTCCTGGAGGTTTACGTGGTCCAACAGCGTTTGATTTGAGTTCGTCCAGGGTATTATCTCTCAACAACATCAAAGGTGGGAACATTTTCAGCTTTTCATTCTGACTGTTTTCTGAGGATGATTTCTCTAGCGTTGGAACAGTTGCGTCTAATGACGGAACAAATTTTTCATCTTCGGCCGCCTGGCTTTGCTGCTCATCCTTTGTCAACAAGCCCGCTTCCATCTGACCTTCATCTTCGTCCATTCGTCTTGGCATCACCGTAGACTTTTTGGCGGTTTTGCGCTTCCTCATCCCTTTATAATCCATTGTCTGGCTAGGCAGGGATATTTGATTACCGCACACTTCAAAATCTGAATCAAAAGATGAGTTTTTTGATCGGAAGCCGTATAGACGTCTCTCTTCTTCCGTGTATTGAGGTTGCTCGTTGACAAAGATTGGTGGCGCAAAGATTCTTTGATCGTCCAAGTAGGCATCCAGATCTGGCAAATGCAATGGTAGCGCATCATGATCGAATACCTGGGAAGCGGGTATGGCTTGTACTGCGGACGACACTGGATCATCTCTTCCAGAGTTACCTCCTCTTGTCAATAGCGGGACATGATCTGTCTGTGTCGTATCCGAATCAACAATGCCAACCTTGCCCGGTTCATGGCTGTTCTCGCTGGTTGGAGATGGTAGTACGATAGGAGAGGATAATCTAGATGAACTCGGTTGACCCTCTTCTGGAAACGTCGGCAGCAGGCTTCCGCTATGAGAAGGTAGACCATCATAGCGCTTCTCCTTTCCTTTCAATTTCTCTAGCTCGATCGACATATTCTTCGGCTGGGTATGATGTGCTTCCGTTTTCCTGATCGAAGGTGGATGTGCGATCGCAGGTGATGCGGAAAGAAGGGAATGTGCACGAGGTTGATTTTCTTTATGCTGACCAGTCCGAACGACAGATTGTGTGGATGTCTTTGGATTTATCGAGGACCTCTTCTTGTCTTGCAATTTAGATGCAGCAGACGAAGAGGGTGGATTGATAGGATCCCAATTCATTCCACCCAACGAAGCTCGAATCGTTGGACCCGCTCGTGGCCGTTCCATTCGCTCATTCTGTACTGGTGGCATAGAAGTGGATCTTGCTTGTCGTGGCGGTCGGATATGGGCTTGTTGAGGTGCAGCATTTTGAGTTGAGCTGATGCTTGAGCGTCTGTTCTGCGGGGATGAGGTTGAAGCTTGAATTCTGGATGAACTTGCTTCGAATTGCTGTACCAATGCCTGTACTCGTGTTGACGACTTCCTCTGCTGATCAGGAGCACGAGAGCTATTTGCCTGCTCTTGACTAGAAGGTGGCATTTTTTTGAATCGTCCACGGAAGGGGTTCGGGTTCCTTCACTTTTTCGTGATGTTTTCAGCAGATTACTGTGGACATTTCGAGGGTATCTAGGACTTTAGGTTGCGAATAGGATGGTGGATGTACTGATCAAAACTTTCATGAGCATCTTCCGTCAAGCTAAACGTGACGTAAAGAATGATGTACGGAAATAAGAAGCTCCACTCCTACATCATGCATTGCATGTATGTACATCTCACGATCAATGCTTTCTTGGATATGAATTGCATGCTTACCCTTTAACGCTCAAGCCCTCGATGATCTGTACCTCGTACGAGTTGAAGTCGTACTACTTTCTCCACGGACAATTGCACAACAAGACTTTCCTTGACAATGTACGGTACCGTGCTCCCCCCTGAATAAGAGTATGCATGCTGCTGATCCAATTGGTGTTGTTGTTTGTAGTCCTGAGAGCTGCAGTACCCCTATCCTATGCGCCACCAAAAGTGTTAGCGTCATGGTGTGTGTAAGAAAGTGTTACTTTATAGAGAAACGCGTTTCAACGTGTAGAGTGGTGGTGATGGATGACATAAGCGTCGAATAAGATTGTTACTCAGAACGTTCTTCTCCACAATCATCAAAACTATCATGACTAGAAATGCTGCAAAGGAAGGCAAAAGTCCTCCACTACCTTTTCGATCACAGAAAAAGGTAGTCAGGAGTACACCAGGTGGATTGAAACAGCCATCAATGCCAAGCTTGGTAAAGAGAGAAGATGAAACCAATTCACAAATATCGCCTTTGTTCTCGGAATCATTCTGTGATTCATTTCGATTTGTCGATACGTCTGAGGCACCTTCCAGAAACCTTCGCTCATCTATAAAGCGAGGAATACCTCTGGAAAATGCGCATAATGGAAAGAAGGACGACAAAAAGAGAGTGAAGCCAGAACAGGCAACCCTCCCCGACACAAACTGGAAAACGGCAAAGTTCCTTCCCGAAGTCCCCGACCACGTAAAGGACGGGATGGACGTATTGATGATCGGTTCAAATCCTGGTCGAATGTCAAGTATAAAATGTCAACATTTTGGTCATCCAAGTAATCATTTCTATCGGGCTTTGTTTCGTTCAGGTTTCACCTCAAAACTTTTTCATCCTAGTGAAGATTTCACAATGTTGAGTCAGAAGCCTCCTTTTTTGTCCATTGGACTGACAAATCTAGCGGCTAGACCGACTCGAATGGCACAGGAAGTTGACAAGACGGAAAACGAGTTGGGCGCTTTGATCTTGACAGATCTGATTCGAAAGCATAAACCGAGGGTAGGCGTATTCATCGGAATTGGTGTGGGAAAGGCATACGAGCAGGCCATAACCAAGACCAAAAGGAAGAAAGAAGGTGAAAACGAGGGAACCTTTGTCAATGTAGATGTACCGGCTGAAGTACCTTTAGTTACTGATAAAGAACTAGGGATGGGAGTGGGGCTGATGCTATTGGCTATTAAACATGTTAAGCAGGAGGATGAGGAGAGTGATCGGCCAGCATACACTCTATTGTTCGCTTGTCCTTCTACAAGTGGCAGGGTAACGTCACATCAATTACCGGAGAAATCAGAGTGCATGAAGAGGGCTCGTATCCTGGCCGAATCAACGCTTCCACTCGAGCAAAAACAGACTCGATCAACATCCACAAAGAGCGTTCGGATTGAGTTGATTTAGAGCGGCCACAATGTATCGATATATTCACTGTATTTTATATTGCATTATATGAAAGATCTATTGAGCGGTGAGAGCATTTGGTATTTTACACAGATGAGTGGTGAGAATTATGGTATAAAAATGATCTTAAAAATGCTACAATTTGTTTTCGTTCGCAAAGGTTTTACTCGCTTTCCTCAGCGCTAGGTTTGCCATTGCCGTTGGTGTTTGATGATTTGAGTTCATCATGTTGTTCAACAATCTGCAAACCTTCTCCATTCTCCGCAAGAATGACTGGTACTTTATCGCCCGATCGAACAGTACCGCCAATAATACTCCTTGCCAATGGGTTCAACAGTGATTTCGTGATCAACCTATTCAAGGGTCTAGCACCATAACGAGGATCGAAACCGTTACGTGCAAGCCAGTCCTTTGCTTCTTCACTTACGTCAAGCGTGATACGTTGAGGTGTCAATCTCTTACCGGCTTCTGCCAAACGAATATCGACAATATCGCGAATGGCCGAAGCGGAAAGTCGATTGAAAATGAGTTGATCATCGATACGATTGATCAATTCAGGCGGTAAAGCAGCTTGAATTGCTTGCAAAACTTCAGTTTTGGCTTTTTGCGTTAAGCTTCCGGTACGTTCATCAACTGCACCATTTGCATACAACGCTTCCGCACCCAAATTGCTCGTCATGACGATGATTGCATTGCGGAAGTCAACAACTCTTCCTTGACTGTCTGTCAATTTTCCTTCTTCCAAGATTTGTAATAAAATGTTTCTTACTTGTGGATGACTTTTTTCGATCTCATCGAACAAAACAATACTGTATGGTTTCCTTCTGACTTGCTCTGTCAATTGTCCAGCATCTTCATGTCCGACGTATCCGGGAGGAGCGCCGATCAAACGTGAAACGCTGTGTGATTCGGAATATTCACTCATGTTCAATTGAATCAAAGCATCTTCTGAATCAAACAAAAAGTTTGCCAGCGCTTTGCATGTTTCCGTCTTTCCTGTACCCGTACTTCCTGCCATCAAGAAGCTTGCCAAAGGTCTACGCTCAGATTGCAATCCTGCCCGGGTTAAGCGTACAGCTTCTCCGATAGCGCTCAAAGCTTCATCTTGTCCAACGATACGTTGACGTAGTGCATCTTCAACATGCAAAAGACGTTCACGCTCTCCACGCAAAAGGTTTCGAAGTGGAATACCGGTTTGACGACTAACGACAGCCGCAATGTCATCACTCGTTACACGATCATGCACTAAGATTGTCTCTTCTCCTTCCTTTGTTGCTTGCTCTTGTGTTTGTCTTACTTTTTCTTCTTCTGCCGGCAGCTTTTGCTCTAAATCGGGAATACGGCCATATTGTAATTCCGCCACACGTTGGAAATCACCATTTCGGGTAGCTTGCTCAAGCTCTATTCTAGCTTGTTCCAATTGTTCTTTCAACGCTTTCACTCTGTCTAAGCGTTCCCTCTCCGATTTCCAAAGAGCTGTTAATCTTTGACTTTCTTGTCGAACTTTGTCTAATTTCGAATTAATCTCGGCCTGCCTTTCTTGTGAAGGTACATCATCCTCGTGCCGTAGAGATTCGAGCTCGATTTGATATCTCAGAATCTCGCGATCCAGTTGCTCGAGTCGCTCTGGCTTACTCTCCTGCTGTAGACGTAATGCACTGGCAGCCTCGTCCACCAAGTCCAACGGTCCATCCGGCATCCTCCTCTCGTTCAAGTACCTGTGTGCCAGCTGTACTGCGCTTACTAATGCTGCATCACTTATACTGACAGCATGATGCAGCTCATATCGACTCCTCAATCCACGAAGAATACTGATCGTATCCTCCACAGATGGTTCAAGAACGTGAACAGGCTGGAATCGACGTGAGAGAGCGCTGTCTTTCTCGATACTACGTCTGTATTCATCGAAGGTGGTCGCTCCCACAATTGTTAATCCTCGAGCAAGTGCAGGCTTGAGCATATTGCCTGCGTCCATTGAACCTTCTGCTTTTCCAAGGTTGAGAAGCATGTGTAGTTCATCTATGAACAAAACCACACGTCCTTCTTCTGCTTCTACATCATTCATGATTGCTTTGAATCGTTCTTCAAACGCTCCTCTGAATGCTGCACCGCTAATGATCCCAGCCAAATCCAACGAAAGAATCCTTTTATCTCGCATACTTTCGGGTACTTCTTTATTGACAATCCTTTGTGCAAGTCCTTCCATAATTGCCGTTTTTCCCACACCTGCCGGACCTACCAAAGCAGGATTTGCTTTTGTTCTTCTTGATAAAATTTGAATCGTTCGTCTTATTTCTGCATCTCTTCCAATCACAGGATCAAGTTTTCCATCTTTTGCCATTTGTGTTAGATCAGTAGTATATTGTGCTAATGCAGCTCCTTTTTCTGCTGCTTGTTGTCCTCCCATTCTCATTCCTGGAAATCCACCCATTCCGCCGCCGCCACCGGGTGGGACTCCTCCGCCCATACCATTTGCATTGTTGGGTATGGAGGAGTGGAAAGATCCTATTTGTATATATGGAAGATGTGATCTCTTTGCTGTGATTGCATGTGGCGCCAAAGACGTTGCGAGTAATGCTGATTGGCGTATATTATGTTGTTTTGCTAATATATTGATGATTGTAGGCCTTACCTGCCTAAGCGAGGTAGAAGATATCATCCTGGCCGCAAGTGATGATTGTGCAAGAAGGTAAAACGGAAATCAAGAAGAATGACAATTAGACAATCGGGGCTATTTTATAAGTTGCAAATTAAAGACCCGAGCCTTTCTTTGTAAGTTACGCGTTTACTCCACTACCTTCTAGTAAGTTCTGGATTCAGATCTTAATATTGCTTATGTAATCAGAAAGTCAAAAGTCATCAAGAAATCTTCACATGAACCTCTCTTCGTTATATACCATCAGCCTAATTGGCAATACGGGTAGGATAATGAATAGGCCAATTGAGCTGATCAAACATAGAACACATACATATAGCATCAGTGCTCGATAATTTCTCATTATTTGGTCGTGAGGCATGCCGGCTAAGCTACTTGCCGTTCTATTTGAATATTCCGAATCAGTACAGACTATCAAAATAGTCGCCTGAGCGTGATGGGAACAGATCACACGACATTATCTGCCGCTTCCATCTGTAACATAAGCTAGAATGTCTCATTAACTTGACCTGAGTCTTTCTTATAGCGTATCACAATTTGATCCCTTTTTTCTCGTCTACTTAAGATGGAACCCTCCGATAATAGTCAGAATTTCGACCGAATATTCAATCACTCGCTTACAAGAAATCTTCCAAGCAGCGAATTAGAAGCAGGTATTCCTCCTCCAGTGCTTCTTGCCTGTAAGGATGATGATTTGTTTGCGGGGTAGGTACGATAAAAAAGAGATAACCGATATCGAAAAAAAGTTTCATCGATCTGCATGTACATAAATTAAAATTTGTGTGAATGTCGGTAGCAAAAGTGAGAGAGAGAGAGAGGTACTGACAACTTCGGATTTTTGTTCTTATTTCCGAGTCTAGACATGTATGCGTGTGTGTATGCATCGAATTGAAAAATGAAAGCGTTGCATTACACTACACTAAAATGTTCAAATGCAGTTCAGTCTGTGTTGAAGTGCATAAACCTCCGAATGACGTTAGACTGAAGAATAGTGCTGCTGCATTTTGACACGCAGGCACGTCAACCCAATCGACGGTATCACTCCTATTTCCATTCATTCATTCATACAAAACACGCCTGGAATGCTTTATACATTTTATAGTCTGCAGATCCATGCCAAGTCAAAAAATAACAACGGGAGAGTGCCCAGAACGGGAGAAGGAACGGTTTAGTTTTAATCAGAAGCGTTTTTAAATAAAACAAAGATAAAATCAATTCAAAATTATAAAGCATTTGAACAGTGTGTGGCCTTATTACTCTTTTGATAACAGAGATAATATAGCTTTTACCAGGAGAAGATTTTCATATTACAGAAACCTGTCAATCCTTCCATCACTTTTGTCACAATTCATGACCAACAAAATACACGAATTAAGGTCTTGAATCTCGAGTGTTTCCTTTTACTAAATCATACCATCATCCACCAAAAGCACATAGCATGGACTCAAAATCACTTCATCTACCTAACGAACATGGCGATCAATCATTCAACGAAGAGGCACTAGATCAACTCCCTTCACTTCCTTCAACATCAAGCAGCCTATTCATCGCATCACATTATCGATCTCCTCAATCAAAGTCACAACATGGCTCTTCTTCAAGCGGCAAGAGGACACTGTATGGCAATCCAACTATCGCAAAGAGTGATGCAATCTCCATAGAAGGATGTTCAACATTTGAATACGATATCAACTCTAATATTCACAAACAACAGATAAGAAGAAGGAGGGGCGGTTCAAACGCTTCCATCTCTACTGTTGCTTCCGTCTTATCCCGTAATGCATCGATAGCAGATAGCATGCAAAGCTATAATCATGCAAGCACAAGCAGGAATGCATACGATAATGATGACGATCGGCAATCAGTGATAGCGCATGGTCAATTCATATCCAATCAAAGTGCAACTCTATCCATCAGAAGAGGTGGAGCGGGAAGTGGTCTTGATGGAAATACAAAAAGTGCAGCCGCAAGTTTGCGTAAAATTGGAGTAGCCAGTGGAATTGACGCCCAATTTCTCGATTCCTTACGCCGCGAAGAAGGAGGAGAAGGAGAGCAGCCAACTACCGCTGGTGCTCATTTGACAGATAAGCTTGAACAATTGATAGCAAATTCGGCCAGCTATCGATCGGCCAATTCACGCTTTGCTTCATCAACCTCCTCCCCACAACGACGACAACAACAACAAGATACATCATTCACACAAAGACAAAGAAAGATTAGTTATGCTTCAATGCGTAGCCTGATCGGATTCACTTCATCAACGCAAAGACAGACGGGAGATTATCGTGCTACTGGCGGTACTCCATCAAGAACGGCAAGCTTGTTTGGCTTGTTCATCGGGGGAGGAAGTACTGGCAAAGATGATACAGTACGATCGCCAGCATGGTCAAAACCTCCAACTTCAATGGCACCAATTGTGACTTCAACAAATAGTGGATCGACTGCCATTCCTACTTCGCCAACTTTGACACAATCTCCTCGAGATGCAATGGGAAGCTTGCGAGGCTTAAGAGGACTTTTTGATGATCCAAATAATGGTACCACTCCACGCACACGTACAATGTCCGCTATGTCAAGACCTCCAATTGGAACAATGTCAAAACCAAATTCACATGCAGAAGGCAAGAGACCAGAACGTAAGAGAAATGTGTCTTTCCAACCAACTGTAGAATCTCGATCCAACATTCCAGGCAGCGCAAGTTCTTCTGGTCGTAGAGCATTTGCCGCAATTGATCCTACTTCTGGCGTTCATGCTTCAGGCACAAGCACTCCACGAACATCCGGATCAATCTCCCCGGATTTGATCAACAGTCGTGCGAACAGTCAATTAGACTTACCCAGCTTGACAGCATCTACAACAAGCTCTAATAGCGGCCTTCAGGCTTCAGAAAGTGGTGCAATGCCTACATTGGATGCAGCACTTGCTCGTGTAGAAGAAAGGAGTGGTTTGAAAACCTCTTCCAAATGCTCAAGTTGTGGATTGAAAGTCGTCAATGCTCCAATAACAAAGAGTGGCGAAGTTTTTTGCAGTCGTGATTGTCGTATTTTGGCAAAACAAAAGCGAAAGCAAGCAGCCACCGGAGCAGCTACAGCAGCTGTTCCAAGTGTCAAACCAACAGAAAAGGCTGCCCAGACAAAAGCTGCTGAGCCTGCCAAGCAACCCATCAAACCAGCAGAAGTAGTAGCACCCGCCTCAGAAGCCGCCACAAAGAAAAGCAACACAGACAGCTCTTCCGTTCATGAATCAACAACATTTTCGCCTGCCCTTCGATCTTCTCAAACGTTGCATTCTTCCAGACCTGCTTCAATCGCTACGACACGATCAGCTTCTTCTGCAAAGTATATCAACACAGACGTTGATGATCTTAGGGCAGTTCGAGCGCAAACTTCCAAACCTTTGATGCAGGCAGTTTCATAATTGGTCACCTTTCCCGTTTTGATTTTCTTCGAGATACCTTTTTCTTCATGTCATTTATTGTGTGGAAAATAAATATTGTGAAAAAAAGCACAGAAAAAATGCATTTAATAAGCGATGAGGTATAATGAAATGATATGTACAGTGTATGTTCGTTAAAAAATGTTTGGTCAGAAAGGGGTATAGATGATGATAAAAATTTGCAAACTGAATTGAAATGTTGCATGCAAAAAATAAGCAGCTGCAATCAATTGAAACGATTTTTATGTCACTTTTCTTCCTTCTTTTGTTCGAAAGATTCCACCTTTGCTGATGGCAATCGTATCTCTTGCATCTGCATGTCATCAGTGGTGTGTCTTTGAACGATGGCTTCAGGTGACTCGGTAGGCAGAGGTGGGTGAGAAGATGTGCTTGCCTCGCTTGTAATAGGAATCAAAGGAGGTCCCGAAAATCCTCTACCAGATCCGATCGTATTTCCACTCATAGATCTCATCATTTCGAAATTTGATTCACGATTACTTGCCGTTCGTCTAGGCGATCGTATCGTACTACCTCTATGCATCTTTTGTTCATGTCGGCTCATGATCGCACTCTTTGTCGTTTGATTTCCTTCGTTCGGACTAAGATCATCCGTATTGCCACTTGTATCGCCTACATCAGACGCATTACCTGATTTGCGTGCTTGGTGCTGGGCTTGTAAACGATCCTTTTGTGCTCGCAGATACTCTTCTTCCAATACTTCAGCTTTGAGAGCATCGCGCATGGACACTCTATGTGGTTTCGCGCGAGGAACAGTATCACTCGTTCCAACACGACCTGTAGAACGCATAGAAGCAGCAGACGCATTCGTCGCCCTTCTTTGCACACCCTTCTTTCCTTCTGCTTTATCAGTAGATAACTCGGCAACTGCTGAATCACCTTCTTCATCTTCAGCAATCGAAGCAGAGGCCTGCCGGGTCGATAACCTCCTAATCATACCCACTCCACCATCGCTTGACTCACTATTGACGCTAGACCTGCGCATACTTGAACGTCTAGGTGATAAGTGGAATCGACGTCTTGAAGGCAAAGATCCCGCTTCATCATCGAGTTGTTCCTCTTCTTCATTTTCATCTAAAGCGCGTTTATAGTCACCCAACAAATTGCGAGGAATAGATGCTGCTGGATCAGCAGTATCATCAAGATCTTCCGCTTCTTGAATACGTTGTGCCAATGTGCCCGTGATCTCAATATGCTCATTTCCATGAATCTGGTTAGAATGAATACTGCGCACACTTGCACCATCTTCAAGCTCATAGCCGCCTTCTTCATCCACACATTCACTTTCTTCATCTTCATCTTCTTCCCATTCGCCCATACGACCAAGACCGCCTTGAGAGCTTACAAGAGCAGGTCCATGCCATTCGATCGTATCGCAAAGGTCGACAGGCGCCATAGGATCGCGCGGCAACCAAAGGAAAGGATCCAATTCGACGCTATAGAATGGATTATTGTAACGAGCATGGTTGTTCGGCGTATCATCCCATTGCACTTTTGTGTGAGGCTTAACAAGAGGTCCGCCATCCATCGAATCTTCATAGTCGTCTTCATCATCCTTTTCATAAACTTCATCGCTTCCCAGCTTAGTCTTTCCAGCTAGATCATCGCTTTGCGTTACAGCGGAGTTGGGCTCTGATTCCAGATGATCAGTTTGTTCTTGTTCATCTAACGTATGCGCTCCAAGAGGATCTCTCAAGTCACCAGCTTGAAGGTTGAGTCTTTGTGAAAATGTTCTGCTAGGTTTGCCATGCGAGGCAGATCTGCGTGCATGAGATCGTCTGCGTCTATGCTCAGCAGCATACTCACGCCTTTGTAGACTGAGCATTTCTTCATATTCTCCATCTCCATAGCTAGAAATACTGCCGTTGTCGCTACCAATGATAGGAGCATGCGTTGCAATTGTTTCATAGCCAGACAAGAAAGGAGCTTCATCAGATCTCTGCCTTCGATGGTGATGAGAGCTGATCCTTCCGTGTTTCTTAGATGCAGCTCGCATCTTGGCCACCGTTGTCATGGGCTCTTCAGTTCCATCGAGGGTATTCTTCAGTTCACGGGCTGAAGCACCTATCAACGGACCACCTTGCAATGGCATATCACTTGGAGAAATTGGTATTTCTTCATCGCTTTTACCGGCTGGAAAGGTGGAAGAGACTGCAAGTTGTTTGCGTAATTTGAATCCGCTTGCCGGAACGGCTGCAACATTCTTTGTTGCTTCGGCCAAATGACGAGACTTTTTCATATTCTTCTTGGCTGCATTCACCGGTGCACTTGCAACAGCCTGAGTAACCGTCTTTGCACTCAATCCTCTACCGTGCATCCTTTGCGTGGCCAAATAGCTTGGTCGATCATATCCATTAGCATTGAAGCTATCGTGCAATCGATTCCACAGATTGGCAAATCGCGACTTACTTTCTGGCATAGTAATGATAGCTGGATAACGACCACTTGCACGGGCATCCAGTGGATTGGCATATGTCGAATGATCTTCTGCTTGCCCATACATGGAGCTTTGACCGACATAGTCTCGTTGCACACCTGCACTCATTGGTTCTGAGGATCCGATTCCGCATAAAGCATTCGCTTCTTCATCTTCAAGGGCACGGCATTGCGATTTCCATAGGCGGGTTCCCAACAATTTTACTCCGACGTTGATAGGCAACAAAACGGCAGTAAGAGCGATGTAGGCTGCCTCTTGCTTGGTAACACTGAAGAAGATCAAAAGCACAACTTGAGCAATCAAGAGACCATCCAACGTGAATCTGAACAGACGGATGTAATAGATGACACCTTCTTTCTCGTTGAATCGTCGGAAATATTGGTAAGCAAAGTTCTTTTTGAATACCGTCAAAGCTACCCAGCTGTAGACCAAAGCGAAAGGAATAACCAAAGGATTGAGAAGGGCGAACAAAAAGACGATTGACATAATCAGAATGTGAAGTGGTAACCAGTAGTATCGATTGAAATTTCTCGGTAACGTCTTGATTGCCCTTGAACGTGGTGTTGATGCATTCCTTGCTCCCATATGTTGAATGAGAGGGACCATAAAACCGAGCAATTCGAACCCGGTGTGAACACCCAATCCTAGAATCAAATACGAAATGTAAAAGGGTGCAGCAGTTGGGAAAGAGAAAGCCACAGCGTTTAAAACGTTGTTATCCGTACCCAATTGGAAGATGATACTTTGCACGGTAGTTGCACCAATGCAGAAAAAGATGACAACATTGCAAATGATAAACTTCCAGTACCGACAAAGACATTGGTCGTACAATGCACTGAAGGTTACAAATCCTTGTGCTCGTTTGCTGATCTGGAAAATTAATTCAGGGATAAGCAATGTCAAGAGTGTGACGATCATTGTTGGCAATGTAACACTGACGAAACCTTCAAATTTGGGATTGTCCTTGAAAAAGGTGTTCAAGACGGGGAAAATGGCTTCTAGCTTATCCACCGAGAAAAGTGAGGTGGTAAGTAAACTGACGGGAATAACCCAAACGATTGTGAAAACCCAGAAGAAAACATTCACACCAACTCCACGAACGATATCTCCCGTAAAGCTTGTTCTCATCAATCGTTCCCAATCCAAATCTTTCACTTCTGGTGCAAGACGAACTTTGACAACGATTTGCGTTTTCAACTCACGCCAAACCATACGTGCTTGACGTGGATCACGAAAGGTAACAAAAGCGGTTGATGTAGCTTCATAGCTGGTTGGTGGACGAGCTCGCATTTCGGTTACGAGAGCGGTTAGAAGGTTGAGCTTTGTCAAAAGATAGTCGATCGTCGGCACCTTTTGACCGCGGAAAAGTGAGGAAAGACGTGTGACCGGTTGGAAAGGATCCAAAAGCTCACGAGGAACTTGTGAGAGTGCTTCCCATACCGTTTCTGCCATCTCATTACCACCAACTTCATCATCACCCCTCGTTTGTGCTTCGCGCTTATGTAATCCTTGGTTGTTGGGTGAGAATCGTGCCAACTTTCTAGTGAGCTCGTTGACTTTCACTTTGGTCTCGCTGAGCTTGACACCTGCTTCATTCTCAACATCGCCGTTTGTTTTGCCCTTTTCGTCTTCGAATTCGCTTGCTTCTTGTTGCCGTTTTCTTCCCAATCTTGAACGGTTCAAATATCCACGTCCAAGTCCGTTCAAACCGCCCTGTCCCCCATTCTTTGCATTCTTGGAGCGCATACTTTGAGCATTTCTGCCCACCTTGAGCATCACAGTCTGCGCAAGTTTGATATGTGCAGCTTCCAGTTTTGCCAACACTTCCTGTCTTCTGCTCAACATGGAAGAGAGCTCATTCATTTTTCGCACCAAGACTACCGTTTGTACCGGGCTTCGAAGATGACGATCAGGATGTACGTCAGGCTCTGGACCTTGAGGACCCTCAGCAGCTGGCTCTATAGGACTTTCGCCTTTGTCTGGATTGGAAGACGAAGTCTGTACCGCAGTATCACCTGTGCTCGCCTCATTGGACTCAGCATTCTGCTGCTCTCTATCATCGGTACTTGCTTTCCTGCGTGTCGAACTCCTCTCTAAACCTTCGTCCTCTTCAGAACTCAATATCGAGCTTGCATCGTCTGGTCGTAGAAACTCCTCGAAGTATCGTCGGATACTGGCTTCATCTCGCATCGTGGGAGGAAGATTGGTGACCAAGAGAGTTCTTTGTCTCCAACCATCATGATCGTCACCTCGTACAAGACTGCCAAATCCATGCTTTTCCTCCAAAACATGTCTAGGAGCAAAATTCTCATCATTTTGGTGTTCATCAGGTGCATACCTCGCATCTACTACAGCTTCAGGTTGATCAGCATCGTCAGCGATCGCACTTCGTTTCGCATTTGCTTCGACAGCCTCTTGACGCTTGATGCGAATCTCATTGATCCATCTACGCCGTATCCGAATACTTCCTTTAGCGATCCACCAAAGTGCATAGAACCATGTAAATGTGATATACCACAGCAAGATCAAATGTATCCAAAGCAACTTTCTACCATCTTCATTCGGTACATGATCGCAATTTCGATATGCCTCAATTTGACTTCTACGATCTCCATCGGATGAATCTGTTGAATCCTCACATGGTGTACGTTGTACCCTTCCATCAGGACATTTGCATAATGTTGTGGTGACGAGGTAAGATAGTGATGCTTGGGACATATCGTTTAGCGATGTTGATTGACCGGCAGCCTTGTTGGATTCAACAGCGAAATGGAAATGGACAGCCAGCAAAAGAGGTGCAGTCGTAAGGGTTTGCAATAGAATCCAAAACATACAAGCCCGAAGAAATCGGACGTATACCACTGTATCCATTCCTGTATGGGTTGCATAGAACCAATCATCAAATTTGAGCGCTTGATAAGCCCAAGAGAAAGGCCATCTCCACATCGGTGGTGAAGGAGTGGTATGATGAAACTGTCTTGCAAGGTACAAATGACCCATTTCCCAATCTTCACAAGTAAGTTTTTCGCGAGAGGCAATACTATTGCCACCTTTATCATCACCTTTTGGGTCCACGCCTCCCCTTCCACCTTGTCTTTCAAGTTTATCTTCCTTCCATATATGCGCTATTCTAGTTTTTGGTAATCTACGCATTTGACGTAAAGTTTCAAAACCAACGATTGCCAATCCTCCTACAACACCAAAAAGAGCAACCGTTGTCGTTAATCCGGAAAATTTTGTATTAACATTTCGTGAATAAAGATCAGCCATCTTGAGATTGTGTCAAGATTGATCAGATGTTGTTTGCTGCCTGGTGATTGTACTTCCTTATCCGGCAGGAAGTACTGCGATGATGAAACGATTCGATGGGTCTACTTTTAGATCCTCAATGAGTCAAACTCCGTCAAGGACATTGTGGATCCGGATCGAGATTCAGGGACGATTGACGAGAAAGGTAAGATTGAGTGGGTATATCAAATGGGCTGTTGCACACCGCCACAAAGGAATATCTTTGTAAAGGCGTCAAAGTGATTTAGAATTGATGATTTGGAGGTATATTTGGCGTAATGGCTATGTTGAAGTAAAGCACGTTTGATAAGAAGAAGGCGTTTAGGTGATGCCGAAAGAGAGAAACAAAAGGATGATCGGACAAATAAGCTGACAAAAAGAGAAACAAACAAAAAAAAAGTCAGAAGAGGACCCGCATTCACCGGCAGGAGGATTAGTTAGTTGATTGGCGCGTAGGGTGCTAATTTAGGGGAAAACCCGATTGTTGTACGCAGGCAATCTCCCTTTCTTTTGAGGAGTGTTATAAACTTAATTTATAATTCTAGCACACAAATGTCTACAATCTTTAAAGTCCAACTCTTCTTTCCCCACTCCAAGCTTGCCAGAATAAGGATTTAATTGGTATAATATTGAGATTCTAGCCTCTTTTGTGTCGCGCATACTACAGTGCACACTATTTCAATTAGCTGCATAATGACGTGAAGAAATAAGTGATCGAATACAAGGCCCCTGCATGTCTCCTTTCTCTCTTGACAGCGACGCTGAAAATTTGCCAAGGCCATCAATGGATAAAAGAAAAGATGAACAACTAGCTCATGATCATTGAAGGGAACGGAAAAAAGATTACTATCAATCAATGAATGCATCTTTTGTATCGGTCCGTCATACGCGTGATACAGTTTTATCGGCACAATTTCAGAGACCCTTAAAAGTGCGGAGTGACTATATATTCTCCCGTTATGGTGCGAGTGGTAATGATGAAAGTTTATTAGCTTGACATGTTCATCATTGATAAAGATCATTGCCATCTGCACAATAATGCTTCAATCAATTGTGTGTATTCAAATCATCTTCCCTCGAATGAATGCTGGTCGTTGCAATGATGAAACATGTAAACGAGAGAATCTTCTGAAGGAACAGAGGTACTGCAACAGTAAACACGTAGTTGAATTGACTGATAAAGTGCTTCACTCGATCAAATACACAGCCCTGACACTCAATTTAAAGGCTAATAATAAAAGGTAGAAAACACAAAACATCGCCGCGCTAGTGCATTTATGCCTCATCCAGTCAAACATAATAAAAACACGCCTTTCTACTACGCCGAGAGAAAGAGAGAGAGAGCAAGAGCAAGCAAGCATCCATTCATTGGCTACACCTTGCCGTCATCGTCGCTTCATCTTCTCTCTTTCTTGTTTTCTTTTTTGGGTTTTTGTTCCGTAAGTAAAAGCGGATAACAAATAATATACCGCATTTAACTTGGATCTCAACCTAAGACGAGAAACGTGACCGCAGAAAACAATTCACTTCAAAAGGGCGCGCGCAGAGACAATCATTGATTCAACATCACCTTCAAACAACACTCATCTCTCTCTCACACTTCATTCCGCCACGACAGCAAATGCTTTTCGTTCTTTAATCAAATCAACCTATTGCTCTCTTTTCTGCTTACCGATTCGCCAAACATTCCAATTGCGTTTTATCGTCACAATCGTTTCCTTTTTTCATTTTTTGAATCCGGTAGCATACAATGTCAAATCCAATCACTTCAGTTTCCGATCCATCGGAAAAGAATCCTCTTTCAGGAATCATCACTCAAGTTTCACAAACAAGTGCTGGAGCGCCTTCAAGAGGTGGACCTGCAAGACCAAAACGTGTTACCAAATCTACAGGAGGCGATAAAAAGAAAAAGAAACAATCAGAGCAACCTTCAGCAGAAGCAGGAACGTCAAAGAGTGCAACCACAGCCGAAGGTGAAAGCGAAGCAGCAGATGCGGCAGCAGGACAGTTGACCACAGATGATCCAAATGATCAAACTCATTCTCAAAAGCCATCTTCTACACTAGTGGGAACGACGACGACAAAAGGAAGTAATATCATCAATGAAGCCGAAAGCAGTTCAGGTTTGAGCAAGGACAAGCCAAGCAATCCAGCAGCCACTCCGACGGAACCCGATCCTACCGCCTCTACCGGCATCAAGACAGAAGCGCAGCAGGAACTCACAGCTGCTGCGGATAAAATCAATGAAGAAAGAACAAAGTCTAAACGTCTGTCTGCAAACGCTCATCGTACGCCAGCCAGTATCACAAAGCCTGAACGAACGTCCAGTAAGAGAGGTGGTGCAGGGAGAGCGGCAGAAAAGTTGTCATCTCAAGAACAGAAGAAGAAGGATAAAAAGAAGGGAGGATTCGTGGCAGCTTTAATTGCTTTCTTAACATGTTCTGCCGGTAGTGCAGCAGCGGTAAGAGAAGAACAGGAAATGACAGAAAAGGTGGGAAAATCTCGCGAAAAAGGAACTGAACCTGCTGCCCGGAATGGAAAGAATTCATTGTTCCCAAACAAAAGCAATAGAAATTCACTCGAAAAGACGCCAGGAGGTGGTACAAAGTTACCCAGAGAAGAAACTGGAGATGTGATGAGCGGTGCTGTGGTTCCACCGGGAAGCAGCTTTGTCGTTCAAGACCCTGATGGAAAAAAGAGTAGTGGATCATCGCAGAAAGGAGGTGAAGAGGAAGATGACGAAAACGACGAAGGTCATGGAGACGAGGAATGGCTTGGAGATGATCAAATCGATGAAGATGAAGAACAAACCGAAGAACAAAGGCTGATCATGCAAGGAGGTGCTGGCATTCCGCGTGACGAGCATGGTGAATTGCATCCACTCTTGGGACCCATCCACGAACAAGATCGAGGAAGGAAATGCTTGGTGTTGGATTTAGATGAAACATTGGTTCACAGTAGTTTCAAGATGATCTCAAATGCCGACTTTACCGTTCCAGTAGAAATTGAAGGATCCGTTCACAACGTATATGTTATCAAGAGACCCGGTGTGGATGAATTCATGCGACGGATGGGCGAAATATACGAGGTTGTGGTCTTTACTGCATCTCTATCGAAGTATGCAGATCCAGTATTGGACATTCTCGACATTCATCAAGTCGTACGTCATAGACTATTCCGGGAAAGCTGTTATAACCATAGAGGAAATTACGTAAAGGATTTAAGTCAACTTGGACGGGATATCGAAACATCGATCATTATTGACAATTCACCTGCAAGTTATATCTTCCATCCAAATAATGCCGTTCCAATTTCAAGTTGGTTCAACGATCCACATGATACCGAATTAACCGATTTGTGCCCTTTCTTGGCCGAATTGGCAGAGGTGGAAGATGTTCGCGCGGTCTTAGACGGTGGGTTGTAGACTAGACGTCTGTACATCAGCAATAGCAGGATCATCGGATGCATTTGCCATACGAGTCGACTGCTACGATACCCAATATACTCAGATTGGTTCTTCATGTCGTGCAAATGCATACGTCATCATACACCTTTTCACGACCACACAAAAACTCATCACATCACCACTACAAGGCAATCGCGGCTGTCGCTTTCATTCATCAGCATTGCTTCTCTCATTAACACGGACAATAATAGGTCTTCTTTGGACCATCTATACCGCCACTGCCATTACTCTTCAATGCAGTGTGTTTTCTTTACTCTCTTACATGCAATCCACCATTCGACCGCAACTGCATCCCTCTTTTTCTCCTTTCGATTCTCGCTGAATGGCATTCTTTGATTGTCTGATTGCTGTTCACACAGACAAACCCCTATTCCATATATACATACATACATGTGTATGATTCGAATTTACGTTGATTGTCAAATCGAATTATACTCTTGCAAACAATCATTCATATCAACTATCATATATATCATATATTGTTTTTTTGCGTGCTTCAGCAAAAAGATAAACATGCAAAATTACAAATTTCTTATTTTTATTCGTAACTGTTTGATTTTTGTGTTGCTTGAGCTTGACCTAATAATGCTTTTGGTGCATCACCTCTTGCCATTATGATTTCAACTAAACGTAAAGTTGATCGACCTTCTTCTGCAACGCCTTTTGCCATTTCATCAGTTTTGAGTAATGCGTCCAATTCATCTTTTGTTCGTACACAGTCATAGCGGACTTTACTCTGTTTAACATCTTTCACATGAGATTCTTTCATTTCAGTTTTCTGTTTGGAAGATTGAATGTCGGAAGTTTTGTTGACATCTGAAAACGTTTCAACGAATGCCTTGAGATCCCAACGAGCGGTATTGTTATACCTTCTTTCAGGACCATGAATTTGTCTTTCAATTTCATATCCATCATTACTTAAAACGAAAATGATCGGTCCTAATCCTTCACGTACCATCGTTGAAATTTCTTGTGCGGTTAATTGGAAACTACCATCTCCAATGAACAACACAACTCTTGACTTTTTGTTTTCTTCACTCGTGGCTAATGAAACTCCCAAACATGCCGGCAGAGCCCAGCCAATTGAACCCCACAAAATTTGAGAATGAAAGCATGGAAGTGAATTTGAGGGTAATCGGATAGACAATGAACCAAACGAACTCGTTCCCGTTTCGGCCAAAAGTTGATCGCCTGATTTCAAGAATTGACCAACCCTTGGCCAAAGGTATGCTTGAGAGATTCCATCAGGAGATCCTGCACCCAATTGAACTTCTTCTTCGCGTGTTGGCAGGATGTTGTCGACTTTAGGCAAATGTTTCTCCGTAAAAGTCAATCTGGCATCCTTTTTTGATTTCAAAGCAGCACTAAGTTTAGGCATCAATTGTTTCATTCGAACGCCTTCAAATGTTGCAAATCCAGTTTCAACTCGATTGGAATGCAATGCAATCGTTGCACTTCTGGGTGTACGATAACTGAAATTGGCCGTATTGAAATCGCTCAACAAGCTACCAACTTGAATCAAAAGATCAGCAGACTCTACACGATCTTTCACTTCTTTCACCGTATTGCTTCCGACGTAAATTCCACCAAATTGAGGGTGGGTTTCGTTGATGGCACTCTTACCCATCGGTGTGGAGAAAACGGAATATCCGCTTGCGTTTACCAATTCTAGTGTTTCTTCGATCACCCCGTGTCGGATTGCGCATGCGTCAACAATGATGATCGGATCTTTGGCTTTGTTGATTTGTTCCAAGATTACATCCAAGCAATTCTTCTCTGCATCTTGATCGTTCCTGGGTAGTTGCAAGGAGAGAGGTTTCTCCAGGGCTTCTTTGGGTACCTGCAAGTGAACCAAGTCTGTTGGCAAAGACACATAAACCGGTCTTGCTTGTTTGACTCCTTCTGCTAGCACCTTATCAAGAGCCCGAACGGCACCCGATCCATCTGAAGCATAGTCACCCAATTTCACTAGAGAGATTGAAATCTTTCTTGACATTTCTTCAAAAGCGTCAAAGCGACCATCTCCTAAAGTGTGATGCAATAAAGCACGATTGCCCTGTGCTTCCGTTGAAGGTACACCGACGATATGTACCAAAGGAATACGTTCTGAGAAACAACCTGCAACGCCATTCAGTGCGCTCAATTCTCCCACACCAAAAGTTGTAACCACGACACCAACTCTATTCATATGAGAATGCAAATCACTTTTATCTTGTTGTTTTGTTGTTGTGGTCTTTGCTGTACGTGCATAACCATCTGCCGAATAAGCAGCATTTAATTCATTACAATTTCCTACCCACTTCAACACTTTATGATCTTCAATCAAATCCAAGAAACCCATATTAAAATCTCCCGGAACACCTTGAATCTTTTGTGCTCCGATTTGTACTAATCGGGTTAGCAGGTATTCACCCAATGTTGTCGTTTTGTTTGCATCTGTCATCTTGCTTTGGTGGAGAGGGAGGTGTGAGTGATGGTGTGTAAGAGGATTTCATATTTTCTCTCGGAGCATCATTCCCATGTGGAGCTGCAGAACCAAAAAATAGTCAGGGCCCTAAACAGCGCGTACTAAACACAAACCCTAACAATGTCGTAAGCTGGCATACGGTGAATAAATGTTCGGAGAATTCCACATCATAAAGACAATAAGGTAAGAAGACAAAAGGGCGATGAGCACAATCAAAGATTTATATATGAGGTAGTACTGATTTATCCTTCTAAGTCTAACCAAGTGTCTGTGAGAATTACGTAAGTCTTATGTTAATGGAAACCTTGGCAAGCAATGATATCTTCCGACGGCCTGAAATGCCGATAGTGCCGGAGTAGATGGATCTTGATGCCCCACACTATATAGTAAACAGAAATAGAATTGCGAATTGAATGTCAGCATGACCATGTGGTGTATGACACACATCATTGAATAGGAACCAATTTAACTTCTTTTAGAATCATTCTAGCGTTTTATATCCCACACAATTCTTTTGTTATCGCGGGAACATATGCCGCTTTCTAATTGTACTGCCTCTCCTATTTAGGCTATTCTTTTCCTTTCCTTTACAAGCGCCTTTAACCGTCGGCGTAGAATCTCACTCCCCCACTTTTACGGCGACTTGGCCGAAGAACAGCGCAGCGCGAGAGTAACCCTTCCCGCAAATGGGAAGTTATTGAGTGCTTAGCGTATTTTTTTTCTAGCCTTTGTGCATTGCCTTGGCAAAAGGGGGGAAATGATGAAATGTCATTTATAGCAGGTTCCTCTTTCTTTTGCGGTTCAAGAGCAGAAGGATACATGCATACATCCAACGTCAAACAAAAGAAAGCTTATCATAATTGTACAACGAAAGACGCTAAACGATGTACCATATGCATCAAAAAAGAATATCCATGCAATCAGATCACCGAACCGCGTGGTATACTGAATAAATGCTATCGATAAGGCACAACTAACGGACATAAACCCGATCGAGGGATGTATATAATCACCCATTTCCCCATTGCCATCTTCTATTCTCTCTCCGTTTCAACCCCCCTCTCATCCATCCGACATTCATTATACATTATCTCCCTTTTATAGTAATAACGATGAAGCTTACCGTTTTGGTCACTTTGGCATTGGTCAGTCTTGCTTCTGCAAAAGATGCAACTTCATTCATCTTGAAAGAACGGGTTCCAGAACCAACAGAATGGATCAAACGTGGTCCTGCACCTGATTCACATGTTATGCGACTCAACTTTGGATTGAAACAACGTGGTATCGATCAATTGGAAACTCAATTGCTAGACGTTTCAACTCCTTCTTCTCAAAATTACGGTAAATACTTAACCCAAGCTCAAGCCGATCAATTCTTACAACCAGCCGAACAAGCAACTTCTTCCGTTCGTCGTTGGTTAGCAGAACATGGTGTCGAAGAAGATTTGGCAAAACGTAGTCCTTCGGGTGATTGGTTAAGTGCAACTTTAACAGTAGCAAAAGCACGTTCTCTTTTGGGCGATGCTCAATTTAACATTTACGAACATCGTTCAACAGGTGAACAATTGGTTCGTACAACAGAGTACAGCGTTCCTCGTGATGTTACTGAACATTTGGATTTGGTCAGTCCAACAACTTATTTCCGTCAAATTCGCGCTCATGGTTCAGGTGCCATCTTTGAACCTTTGGAAAAAGACTTTAAGCCAGTGACAGGTTTACAACGTATTTCTGCAAACCAACAAGCATCTACCAACGCTCAAGTTGCAGCCGGTCAACCAACTTCTTGCAACGCAACCCGTGTTACCGCTCAATGCTTGCGTGACTTTTATCAAACTTCTGATTACAAAGTTCAAAGTACATCAAATCAAATCATCGGTATCTCTGGTTTCTTGGACGAATTTGCAAATTATGCAGATTTACAACATTATCTTGTTAACGAAAGACCAGAAGCTGCAAAGGCAAATTACAAATTTGATTTGGTCAAACTTGCAGGCTCAAACAACTCACAAGCAGATCCAGGTGTTGAAGCTAACTTGGACGTTCAAACTGTTGCTGGTATTGGATTCCCAATCCCATCAACCTATTACTCCACCGCAGGCAGTCCACCATTCAAGCCTGATGAACTCACTCCAACAAACACCAACGAACCTTACACAACCGAATTTGAATACTTGATCCGTCAACCTGATGACAAATTACCTGCAATCTTGTCCACATCATACGGTGATGATGAACAAACCGTTCCTCTTTCTTATCAACGTCGTGTTTGTTATGAAGCAGCAATTTTGGGCTTGCGTGGTACAACCGTTCTTTTCTCTTCCGGTGATAACGGTGTTGGTCCTGACGGTAAATGTGTTTCAAACAATGGCAAAAACACACGTATGTTCTTGCCTGCTTTCCCTGCTTCTTGCCCTTACGTTACCACCGTTGGAGGAACGCAAAACTTTGCACCTGAACGTGCCGTTGGACCTTCGTTCTACGGAGGAGGTGGTTTCTCAAACACATGGCCTCAACCCGTTTGGCAACGTGAAGCAGTTGATGCATACATTGCATCTTTGAACGGAGAATACGATGGATTGTACAACAAAAAAGGTCGTGCTTATCCAGATCTTTCTGCACAAAGTTTAGACTTTATCATTTCGATTAACGGTACTTTTGGACGTGTGAGCGGTACTTCTGCTTCTACTCCTTTGACTTCAGGTATCCTTGCTCTTTTGAACGATAAACGTTTGGCTGAAGGAAAGCCAAAGCTTGGTTTCTTGGCTCCTGCTTTGTACCTTGGTGCAGGCGCAAATGGTCTTAACGATATTACCGAAGGAAGCAACAAAGGATGCGACACTGATGGTTTCCCAGCAAAGAAAGGATGGGATGCTGCTACTGGTTGGGGTACGCCCAACTTTAAGAAATTGAGTGCCGTTTTGGGTTAAACGGGCTGGTGCTCTTTCTTTATTCTTATCACACTTTTCTTACTCAATACTCTTTTACTATAATTTACTCCTCTCGCGGAATAGCAAAATGATAATGAATGGACCATTTTTGAACTATTGACTGCGGAATGATACATCTTCTACTTTGACTCATATTCAACAATCTTCTTTGCAATATCGTCCAAGTCTTTAGCGACAATATCTGGGGTTCCATAAATATCTGAACACATTTCGAATTCTTCATAGGTAACCCAAGCAGTTTTGAAACCTGCTTTTTTTGCAGCGAACAAATCCCACGTATGACTTGCCACGAACCACATTCGAACATCTTCATTAGGCTTAATTTGAATGCGTTTTATGATTTCTTCATATACTCGAGGATCTGGTTTGGCAATTTTGTTTTCATCACAACTGAAAACGCCCACTCCATTTCCCAGCTTATGCTCTGTGCCCGAGACAGATTTCTCTTGCTCATTTACAGCTTGTGTGCCTGTATACAAAGGTGTCTGTTCGCCTAAAGCTCCAACAAACAACTTTTGTGCTAACGGTAAACCACCATTCGTTGCACCCCACAAATCCACTCTGTCAATATGTTTTGCAACTTTTGTTTGATCACGATACGTTTTTGTAAATGCGTTTACCATTCCAGGTCTTGGTCTAAGGGTTGAGAGGGTGGACATGATCTTTTGCGTTACTTCTTCACCAAATGGACTTCCTTTTCCATCACCTGTCGTTTGTGAAAAGTGTTGATCGGCAGGTAAGCCTGATCCCCCACCCCTGTCCGTTTGTGTTTGCGCAGCACCATCCGCATCTCTCTTTATCAATCCGGCTTGAAGTAATACCCTTGGCAAGCCAGCTTTGAAACAAGCAGATATTGGTTTATAATCTCCATTTATGCTCAAAGTAGTAAAATCTCTTTGTCCGGCATGATACCAATCCATAATGATTAATTCGGCCAATCGATCATCTTTTACTTGATCGCCAAAGATTGATTTTAATGCTTCGATAGGTTTTGTTAAATCGAAACATGTTCCTAAGACATCGTGTACCACCACTAAACGAGTAGACATTTTGTGTATTTTGTGGGGATGATGATGGAGGAGAGACAGCAAACAACCTTCGGCGAATGCTTCTTCCAATACACTCACTCTTTTCGGCAGGGTGGAGGCCACCTGCAGGTAAAACGCGGGGAAATGGAAAATTCGATCGGAAATCAAGAAGCCTGACCCCACGCACGCACAGGTATTCTATATCCGAAAGGAAATGAAATTTGGTATGCTTGCAGAATAAACATTTTCATACAGATTATTTTCGAAAAAAGGGGGATATCATTCAAAGGCAAAAAAGAAACAGAAGAGAGGAGCAAAATGAAGAAGAAAAGAAGAAATTTGTCGATTAATTACTGTTGCGGCGGAGGGACACGATAACCCGTTGCTGATCCCGGCCTACTATTAGGTCTAGAACCATTCCAAGGTTGATGAGGAGGCTGTAAAGGTACTGCATACTCCATATCACTCGGGTCTAAACCTCCATAGACAGACTGATGGGAATCATATGGCGGTGCAGGTGGATGATCTTCCCCTTGATAGCTTCCTTCTACAAGTTGTCCTGGCACGGCAGAAAAGCGTTTACGAATCGCCAAAGGTGCTGTGCTATCGCTCGTATCTCCAGCCGGTTGTGCTAAGCCAAGACTTGTTGTACTTCCGCCTGCATATTGCGAAGATGGTCCACGTCCAAATCCTTTACGGAATGCAGCAGCTGTCATCTTGCGTCCTTCCGTCGGTGGCTCATACGGACTTGAAGGAATATGCGATCCGATCGAAGGAGCAGGCATTCCGCTTATACCGCTAACGGGAGACATTGGACGACGAACAGATTGTTGTAAAGCACGGGTAGAGCCGACAGATTGGAAGTAGTTGTCGTCATTCGTCGCTTCCTCAGCAGGTGTTGCATACTGTTGAGAAGCTGGCGGAGTAGACATACCCGGACCGTATGCGTTATGCTGACCTCCATTTGGAGAAGTGTACATGGCTGCAGAGGAGATCGAAGGTGGAATTGCATTTGCAGATCCGGCTCGATCGAGAGATTCATTGGACTCATTACCACCAACGATTCTCAAATTCGATGCGCCTACTTGTACGTTATCGGGTGACCTTGATGCGAATTGATCAGCAATTGGTGTTCCTGACGTTCCTGATGTTCTGGATGCCTTGCTGATCGGTTGAGGTGCAGAGAAAGATTGATGTTCCATATTTGATTGTCTCCATTGATCTGTTGCAGAAACTTGCGACATTGCCGGATCATTGGTTGGGTGATTCAAGGTAGACGAATGTTGCGCGTAGATTGGAGTCGTTTGACGGTCCTCTGAATAACGGTTCATATTAGCTTCATCGTACGATTCTTGTGCTGGATCTTGCTCATGTTCTTGCTCTTGCCATCCTGCACGGCTAATCTCCCCTGTATCATCCATTCCATTGCCTGTCACACTGTTGTAGAAGTCACCATTTGAATCATCAATCTCGCTTGGCCTCATTTGATGACCGTAGTCGTGTCTCTGTACTCCAGCAGAGGATCCGGAAGGAGTGAAGCCGACGTCTGCCAAGCCTCGAGTTGCTTCTTGTAGCAATTGATCCGTTCGCATTGCTCCAACATAGTCTGTACGAGGCATACCTGGATGCGTCTGTTCCATAGGAATCTCTTCGATAATCATCTTTCCAACTTCGGCAATGATTGTCAACTTTTCAGCAAGCTCCAATAAGCCACCGCATTTGATTCCCATTGCTTCTTTTACAGTTCTTCTTTTGTAATCTCCAATAGCTGCTTCTTCTGATTGTACTTCCACTCGCAAAGATTCCATCTCTCCTCTTAATTCTTTCAATTGTGCAGTTGTTTTCATCAATTCTTTATTTTCTGGTCCCATTTTTGCCAATTTTTTCTCTACGCCTTCAATCTTTGAACCTAAAGATCTCTTTCTTGCTCTCATATCTGCCAAAGCCTCTTCCCTTGTTCTGACAGATTTGAAATGTTGTCTGATAGTAGAAAGGTGAGCGTTGAGTCTGGTTTGCGAAGTGGCATAAGAATCAAACAGCAAAGATAATTTTCCCAAAACATCGTTTAAATCTTCACCTTCGGATGTTGACCAATTCTTGATTGCTTCTGCAGTCTTATGAAAATCTTGTGCTGATCTAGCATTGGATTTGATGAAATCCTTTTCTGAATTAATGATTTCTTGTAGAGATCTGATGGGGAGAAACTCTTTTGTCAGTATGAGTCCAGTGTGGAGGTACCACTTTCCACTTACCTTAAATCACGATTACCCAACGGATTGAATCCTGAAGGTAATGTACTCTGATGAGCTACTGATTGTTGTGCTTTTCTAAACATGGTTATATGATTGATGGATGTGATAGTGAAGTAAAAGAAGTGATGATAACTTGCAATACACTCTTTTAATGACCCCGGTGCTCCGAAACATCCTTTTTTCTGCGAGGCAGTGTCTCACGTGTGGCGATACGGCAGTCATATGCAAGTTTATAATATTGTTTTACAGTAGCCTTCTTTAAAGCACAACTCTTTAATGACGGCGCCGAGTGTATGACGACAGGCCCAGGAATTGTATTGCATGCGTGTATGCGTGCGTGCGTGTAGGCTGGGAGAGTCTCCCTTTAAGCACAAAGGAATTGTTGCCTGCCTGTTTGTTTGGTGTTGGTTTAGAAGTGCTACTTACTTTGGATCTACAATCTTCTCATCCTTTTACACCAAAAGGGGCAGCACCCGATAGCCATGGCGTCATTCTTTAGCCAAGCAAGTTCATACTTTGGCAGAACAAACATATCGGCAAATTATACAATAACAGATTCATCCACAACACCAACAGCACATGCAGGTTTATGGAAAATACAAAGGGCAATTCGCTCAGCCGGTGGTTTGGCTTCGTTAGCAAGACCATCAACTCCAAATGTGGCCGCAAATGGTGAAGGAAGTAGTGATGGTACAGGACAAGCTAGTACGTCCTCAAACAACGAAAAAGCATCAGTCAGCGTTTGGTCTCATGTAGTCACCACAAGGGGGAAAAGTAGAGAATTAGTGGTGGAAGTATTGAAAAAGGAAGCATCGTCTCTTACACGTCTGAGGCATCCATGCATTCTAGAAGTTGCTGAACCCCTGGAAGAGGTACGATCAGAACTCACTTTTGCAACAGAACCAGTCATGGCTTCTCTATCACAAGCTCTGCTGGCAAGTGAATCATCGGGGAGGGCAAGCGATAGTCTCCAATTAGACGAAATTGAAATACAAAAGGGGCTACTGCAGGTTGCGAGGGGATTGGAGTTCTTGCATGGCGCCGGATTAGTACATGGGAATCTAACACCTGATGCAATTCTAGTCAATGTCAAAGGCGATTGGAAATTGTCAGGATTCGGGTTTCTGACGCCTTTGAAGCAACCCGATGGCACACCAACACCTTTTGAATATCCGGATTACGATCCGAGCTTACCAACAGCTTTGAGTAGAAATTTCGACTACTTGGCACCAGAGTATGCACTAGATGAGAAGCGTGAACCGGCAAACGATATCTACTCGCTAGGATGTGTTATGTTTGCAGCTCACAACAAGGGAGAGCCACCATTCCGAAACCGAAACAGTTTACAGAACATCCGACAAAATGTTGATCATCTCGGAACAGTTGCCTCGTCAAGCACATGGCAAAGAATGGGAAGAGATTTAATCGCTGTGCTCTCCACACTTCTAACACGATACCCCGGAGCAAGGCCAGATGCTTCTGCTTTTCAACGATCAGAATATTTCAATAATATGCTCACACAAACACTCAAATTCATGGAACGGGACAATTTTGCGGGAAAGACAAAGGAAGAAAGAGTTTCTTTCTTGAAGGGCCTATTGAGGATTTTGGATCAATTCTCCGATCGTCTTTTGCGTAGAAAGGTCTTGCCCGCTTTGCTAGAGTTAATGAACGATCGTACTCTACTACCCTTCATCCTTCCCAATGTTTTCGTCATCTCCAAGAATCTCTCTTCGATTGAGTTCACAACAAACGTCTTACCAAAGCTCAAGCCTCTTTTCGGTGTACAGGACCCTCCGCAAAATCAGCTGATCTTACTGGAACAGATTGAACTTTTTGTATCCAAGACATCTCCGCCAGTGTTTAGGGAACAGGTAACTCCGCTCTTGTATTCGGCCTTGGAAGCAGAAAGCGTTCCATCACAAGAGAAAGCCTTGCAGACTGTACCTCGATTGTGCGAAGTCCTAGAATACTCGCATGTGAAAGAAGTCTTGTTTCCCAAGATTGCTGCTTTGTTCACGAAGACTAGGGTGCTATCGGTCAAGTGCAATACCTTGATTTGTTTCCATTCGATGATTAGTGTTTTGGACAAGTATACCCTTACGGAGAAGCTGGTACCTATCCTTGCGAGAATCAAAACTCGCGAACCATCCGTGATGATAGCCACGCTTGCTGTCCATGATGCTATGGCCAAGAAAGTTGATCGTGAAACGCTTGCAACGTCCATCATTCCACAGCTTTGGACAATGTCAATGGGACCCCAATTAACCGCAGAGCAATTTCAACGTTTTATGAGAGCGATTGACGAAATGGGTGAAAGGGTAAAGAAAGAACATCTGCAACATTTACAAGAACAAAAGAGAATGCAAGATCATACGGAGAGTTATGTGGCAGGGTCTTCTGCTGGAGATGGCGGTAGTATATCAGCTCTCACGCCTTCGGGTGACGTTGATTTCGCCAAACTTGTTGGGTCTGCCAAAGCGGGCGGTCAGCAAGTTGCAAGGGATATGCCTGTTGGTGGTAATGTGTTGGATGTTATGTCATGGGATGATCTGGATACAACTTCTGTTTCAACGCCTGCTCAAAGTATGACGCCCACCACGATCACACCTTCACATACCGGATCCACAAAGGCGGCCAACAATGGATTCAGTGCATCTAGTACAAATGCCTTTACATCCTCATCCCTCAGCGGTAATCGCACAATTGCTCCACCGCCGATTAACAATCCGGTTAGCAGACCATCTTTCACTTCGAATTTGTCGTCGTCTTCCATCGGAAGCAAACCTAGTGTTGCTCCGCCTCCTGGTTGGTCGGGCAACACTCTATCGCCCTCTTCTTCTTCTACGAACATGAGTGGATTCGGAGGTAGTAGCTCTTCGGGACCTAATTATAATATCTCCTTGACTTCCGCCAGCAACAACAACAACAATTCTTCTTCGCCTTTGACCAATATCTTACAAAAAATAAAATGTACAGTAATATCCGAAGAGAGAGAGAGAGTTAACGAGTTCTTTCTACTGAGATTGCCAAGAGGAAAGTGCCAAAGATCGTTTGACGAACCATTTTTTGTCTCCATGACGATGCTTTTTGCCTTCATCTTTATCACCATGATGATGATGCCAGCCTGGCGGTCCACCTTTTGGAGGAGGATGAGGGTGTCTGGGGTGATCGATATGATTTCCGTCCAAGCCGACATAAATGCTAACGATGCACATGTACAAAATCACAGCCCAAAAGAAAGCAGCGCAAAACCTTCTTCCTGCACGAGGACCACGTCTTGATTGTGAAGCAGGAAATGGTAACATTGGATCTCCCGCCGATCCATTGACGGATGTTGAACCGATCGGGATTCGTAACGTTCCATCGGACTGATAAGGTGATTGACCGTATCCGTCACGTTCTGTTCCTAGGCTTGGGAATGGATATAGTCTTTGTGTTTCATTTGCGGCTGATGTGTTTGCCTGATGCGAAGGAATGCTTTGGGCAGGACCTTTTGCCATACCATTATCTTGTACGCTACTTGGCTGTGGAGGTCTTGAACTGGTGGCCTCTTCGTACGTTGGCACTTGTTCAGCAACGGCAGCAACACCTGCACTGGATCCACTTGAAGACACGTTTGACTTTGAATCTACAACAGCCATAGTGAGTAATGATGGGATAGGTGGGATCTGGTGATGACAATGCAAGATTAAAATTTCACCGCCACCTCTTGCATACAGTCGCATCTCCGTACTCCTACAATAATAAATGCTCAGCAGAATCAGCTTAAATAAGCACACGTTCCTTGCAAAAGTTAGAGCGCGGCAGAAAGAGGGGTATTGTGCACGTGACAGCTGTCAGTGATGCGAGCGCGTACGTGTTACTAGCGCTTATGTAAACCAAATCGGGTCAAATAAAAACTAAGCTAACCTCTTTGAGCATGAAAGTACGCTTGTTCAACTCCATCCGGCTTTTTCTTGGTTCAATGGTTGTTGGTTTCAGATTGATGCAGGTGTACAGTGTTGTTCCTGAGAATGCAATTCAAAGTCATCCGGACGGTGTTCCTGATAAGATAATAAGGGCCATGATAAGAGATTAGAATGGATGGATGTAATTTCATTGGAGATGGATGGACTTTTCATTGTCTCATCACTTCCATCACCTCCTCCAACAATTTCCTATCACCATTCACCAATTAATCAAGGCAGGCCATTGATCATCATAGCAAATGTCATCTTTGCTTTTCAAAAACTTTTTGTCGGTTTGGTTGCTATGGTCGATCGTTTTTCAAATTCAAGTACAATCTGCTCCAATCTCAGCAAATAATAAAGCACCTTCCTTCTTGGCAATCAGCGAAGCGGACAAATATGCTTCTATAGCGACTTTTGCAGCGGATGCGTGAGTATTCTGACCATGAAGGATATATTTATGTCTCAAATACTAACCATTACTTTCCCCCCCGTGAACAGCTACTGTACAGGATTACAGATAGGATCCAAAGTGGGAAATGACGGAAAAGTGTTTTGGAAAGCTGGCGATGGAACATCTTCACAAATGGTCTTTATCGCACATAGTCCAACAGCAGGAATCGTGGTAGCACATCAAGGCACAAATACATCCGCTGCTGCTAGTGTTGAACATGATATTCGAATCAATCAAGTAAGCATGCATACATCCTTGACAAAAGTTGAGAAAAAAGTCACAGGTGGACAACAAGAAAAAGATTCTCAACCGATTTCTGTTGCGGCTGGATTCCAGAACGCATGGTTACAAACATCTGATGAAGTGCTCAAACAGGTTGAAAGCGCTAGACAAAAATATCCAAATGCAACAATCACAATCACAGGTCATAGTTTGGGAGCTGCAATTGCACTTTTTGATGCATTGGCAATTCAAAATCAATTCAAGAATGCCACACTGGATACAGTCGTTTTCGGAATGCCAAGAGTTGGCAATCAACAATTCGCAAATATGGTTGATGAAATTTTACCCAACCAAAAGCACATTATCAACAAACGTGATCCTGTTCCACACCTTCCATTTCAAGCCCTTGGCTTTCGACAAGCTTCGGGAGAAATTTGGATTCAACCAAGCAATTTGACAAAACGTGACGCACAAAATGCACTGTCAACAAATACGGTTTCTTGTCCAGGACAAGAGAATCCGGATTGTTCAGATACCATTCATTTTGGTCAATTTGATCTTGATGATCATGATGGACCGTACTTTGGTGTTGAAATGCAATGTAGCGTACAAGAGCAGGCCTGAATTGCTTTTACTGTATTTTTATTATCCATCCGTCTTACTGTATCATACTTTGCTTTCACATAGAATTGACGAGATGAGACTTTTCAATATCATACTCTCCTAGTGACATTTCTTAATCATCTGACATATCATCATGGACAATACACACTATCAACGGGCACTTTTCTAAATCCGCGGATGGCATCTAAAATGAACAGATCAATTCGCCGTGCCGAAAGAGATTAAATTAAATTGTTTTTTTGGCCATCACGAACCGCAAGCGGCTTTTGTGATTGATGAGAAAGTGATGATTCATAGTGAATTGAGCGGGGGGTCCTGCGTGAATGCATATATTAATTTCATAAAGAGAGTTCGGACTTTCAAGTCCAAGCATCGAGAGCGGCACGAGTGGGTCTAACGCAATCGAGGTCAGAAACGGGATCAAGAGTATGAATATGAACTAGAATTATCCTAAATTGAATTGTTTGCAGATTCTTAAGCCCATTCTTTGGGTTTAAGTTTTGTATGTGCCTAACTATAAAAAGCTAAACAAGCATGCAAGTACATCAACGGGCGGGATGCCTTACAACGGGTTAGCGTAGGGCTTAAGCTGCATTGGCGATTCCAAGTATGTGTGCATGTATGCAGTAATTAAAAGAAAGAACTTGAATGCATCATTTAAAGATGCTGGCTGGCTGATTGAGGCTAAATTAATCATAAGGAACATAAAAATAACTTCTGCCGCATACCATCAGATGATCTCCGATGCAGTAGTAGAATAATACATACAAATTATATTCCCCGCTTATCTGTCAATCACATCCAACGGCAAAGCAGTCAATATATCTCATCTATACGCCTTCTTTATTTCTAATAAAAGAAGCATAGATCCTCTCTAGTCTAATCTTTTGAGTACAATAGAGTTTGCTGTCTGTCGAAGTTGCATAACAAACATATACTCCCAAGAAATCAGATCTTACCCCTGATTCATATTTGTATAAAACTCTACCCTTTAATCATCATTATCACCATCATCATAAAGATCAAACATCAATCACACGACTTGTTCAAATCTTTAGCCCAGTGAGTATTGTCGCCCGTCTATTTTATTGCCAAGGTTCCCGTTGAATAGCCACACACAGAGGCTTGCCGTTCTCACCGCCACTTTCTGACGCCAACGCAAACAACATACCAAACCCCCTAGCATAAGGCAGGCTGATTGTTTCACTTTTTAAAAGTGCGGGCGCGCTGTACTGTGCTGTGAAGAGAGACGCGTAAAAAGAGCAGTTTACGCGTCTCTTGTGTGTGTGTGTGAACCAACACCTTGGGTTTTAATTGATTGTGATTGATGGTCATCTTTGGATCTTCATTGCATACATTCAGTAAAAAGATACTGACTGACCCTTAATGAATCCTTTTCTTTTTTGTCTCAGATCGGGACGTACTTTAGAAGTATCATTCTTTTTGCCGCCGGCATACTGGGAATGCAGTCTGATTTACACTAATAGATTCAATTGATATCCCCATTCTCCAAGGACTTCTTGGCGAGAGACGTATGCAAGAAGGCTATACTTTCCTTTTGCATCCAAATTTCGGTAACCCTTCTATTTTCCGGGTAATCTGCAGTATTGTTTAAAGGGTCTACATGCTATTCTTAGATCAAAAGGTAAACGCGATCGTCATTCAAAACTCTCAATCATTCAATCAATTCATTTCCATCAACGCGGAATGATCTTTCTTTCTTACTTCATTTCAACATTCACTCAGCAGTAAACCGTCCCCGCTCCGCCCAATCAAGCACTGGATTAAAAAGATAAGCGGAGTAAAAAATAAAAGGCAACCACTTTTGGCATTCATTCGGCAATTTTTCAAGAGGCACGTAACAATTCATCTTTTCGCGCTCGACCAGGTTCATTTATTCATTCTCAAAACGGTACCGTCCTTTCGAAGAATAAAAAAGCAAAAGCGGAGAAATAATTACCACTTTCTTTCTTTCAACAACATCACATTTCGCTCGTTCAGGAGGTCACCATTCTTCGGTACTCCTTTTTTTCTTGTTTTTTTATGCGTCATATCCACCTTTCGTCAATCGAAAAATAAAACCATTCAACGAGGTACAAAGGGGCTCTTCTCTTGCGTCATCAGACCATTTCCCGCCCCATTGAAAATCATCCTCTTTGACGACCTGAATTGCGCCTATAAACAGTGCCCCTCTCGGCGTTTTTATGGCCCTAGGATCTTCAATGGCAACTCGGTCACGCATTCATTCAATTATTCACATTCCATTGATGCAATCTTAACAAATACAAAAAAAGAGCCCAAAGGTTGATCAATCATGGCTTATCAATACCATCACCAGCAATACTTTTCAGGAAATAGTTTTAACAATTATATTAACGGATACAGTATGTTTGAACCGTCATATCAACATATTCACAGCCCATACGACTACAATCAAGCAGCACATAATGCAATTGATGTAGGAGAAGGAGATGAAGGGCCAGGGATGGCAGGAGTTGGGGCAAGAAGGCTAGCCCAAAGGATGGCAGCTAAAAAGGCTGCACAAGAGAGAAGATGGCAAGCGGAACAGGATAGCCAGATTAGCGGACCAGATCCAATTCAAAAAGAATACGAAAATTCAATCAGAGCGACCGAATATCAACAACAGCGACAACAGAATCAGCATGACTATTCTTCTGCTGATTTCGGTCATCAATCGTATGAATCACAAGGTAGATCTCAATGGCAAGATCACCAACAGCATGATAATCATTCGCATATGCAACAGAGGTCATCCGATGAAGAAATACGAATGGGCGGAGGGTCGAGAAACGCAAACACAGCATCTCGAAGTTACAGTTCAGACGAATATGCAAATCGCTCGCAAGAGCAACTGTCTTTCAGGAGGCAAAATACAGATTCACAAAGTACGGCAAGACCGCAAGATTACAAAAAGCAAGAAGAGCCTAATCAAATGATATCTGATGGATTTGGTGGATTGATGCTACAGGTGAATGAAGTGAGAGGACCTATGCAGCAACGGGCTTCTACTGCAACAAATGCAAGAGCGACAGTATACGAAGATGATTATGAGGAATCAGAACATTTTCGTTCAACTGATGATACTGCTTTCCGACGTCAATCAGAAGCAGCAGTCGAATCACCTGCTGATCTAACCGTTCCATTGAGCGGCGACGCGAAAGGAATGGTGGCTCGTGAAACAATCTTGGAGCCTCTTCCAAAAGCAAGTTGTGCAGATTGCGGTGATCGAATACCGTTTGAAGAATTGGTGCAACATGAATGCGTAAAGAATGCTTGTCGTTCACCGCTCTTGCAAAAAGGAGCAGGTTCAATTTCGAGTCGATCTTGTTCACCGATGCCCGATCAAGGTGCACCTCTCAGCACATCAAACCTTTCAACTCGATCGCCTTTCTTTGATCGATATGAGAAAGCACAAGATGAAGTTGTGAATCGCAACTTCTTATCGTCAGCCTTGACGGCTTCAACTATAAGCGCATCTCCTTCGCCACTTTTGAAGACGAAGAAGTTGCCATCGGATACGAGTTGTTCACCGAGATCGAATTTGTCGCCTTTGGTTGGCTCTCATGATGAGGAAGAAGATCGACAAAGGTCAGAACGTAAAAAGCAAATCGAAGCACAAAGAGCGGCAAAAAAGCAAGCTTTGATAGATAGAGCAGCGGCAAAACTAACCGCAGAAGCGAGAGCGAAAAATATTTCACCTATTGAACAATTTTCGCAAAATCGATCACATCGACGCGGCGCTGAATCTGAATCATCTACAGTTTCAACGACGAGCACTAAATCTACTGCTTCTTCATTATTTGTCAAGCATATTCCTGAAACCTTGACACCAAGTTCGAGTAATGAGATGGTGAGCAGTACCAAGTCTAATTCACCATCAAAGAAGGAGATCAATTTGGACGACATCGAAGGATTGATGAATGATATCACCAACGGATCTTCTCCCAAGTCTAAATCAAAGAAGAGAAGCGTGAAAGAAAAACATTCTCATCAGCAGCATTCCGGTCGTGTTCCTCATCATGTCAGACAACCATCTGAAACTTCATTGAAGCAGAGAAATTTAGCAGTGACAAGAGCATCTGAACTCGTTCTCAAAGCACAAGATGATGTATCACCCATAAAGATTGCTCGACCGACAGTTTCACGAACACGAACAACAGATACGAGAGAACACAAACTTTGTAGCGTGTGTTTGGCCACATTCAAGAAAGGTCAACCGATCGTTGAACGTGACGGAAAATTGTTCTGCGTAGATGATTATGCAGAATTATATTTGGAAAAATGCAGGAAATGCAAACAAGCCATTAAAACTGTTGGCGTTCGCAGTAAAGATGGCGCTTTGACAGGACTTTTCCACCGTGAATGCTTTTCATGTTTACAGTGCGATGCCACTTTTGATGATGGTACATTTTATGTCTTTGAAAATGCTGCATATTGCTCGCAACATTATCATATGCTCAATGGCACAACTTGTCAAGGTTGCAATTCAGGAATCGAAGGTCAATGTCGTCAATTGACCGAAACAGGTGAAAGATTTCATCAACATTGTTTCACTTGTCAATTTGATAATGGTAAAGAATTCTGTAAAGATCTTTTACACGATTATTTCGTTTACGAAGGAAAAAGGTTATGCGAATGGCATTTCGAAAAAGTCCTTCGTTCGGTCAAACGAAGAGAAAGAAGAGGAAAAAAGGAAGAACAACAATCGGACGCAATCGCCGCTGCCGAAATACGAGCAGCCCGTCGAACGACGATGTTACAAACAGTGGCGGCCAAGAAAGGAAGAGCTTGATTATGGAAGTTATTTTTGTACTGTTACTATACCCACTTTTTATACCCAATCAATCTTTCTTTTCATCATATACTTTTGGATTGAATTGATTGTCAAGATATGTACGTAAGAATTACAAAATGCAGCGGAAAGGGAACAGATAGATGCGCAGAGATATCGGTATAAGATTGAGAAAAAAAGATATTGTAGGTATCTCACTAGGAGAATAACGCTGAAAAGATAAAAAGCAAAAGAAGAGAAGTAGAGTAATAAGTGCAATTATGCTTTTTGTTGTTCTTGCTCTTGTGGAGCTTGTTGAAGTGCTTGCTCTTGTTCTGAAGAAACGGCAGTCGAATCTACAAATACAACAGGATGTTGCTTTGACGTACTTGCAAGCTGAGAATGTTGTCGTTGAGTTTGTGCTTTTCGTTGATGATGCGAAGCGGCCATATGTTCATAGTGAGATCGATAAACTTGCAAGTGGAATGATTTGACTTTCTTGATTCTTTCCGCCAATAACTCCATCTCTGCTACGAACGGTTCCAAATCTCCGGCATCAGGGATAACACTTGCAATTGGCTCGCGTGGCGACATGGGAGGTGGACAAAGTCGGACACGCTTAGCAGAGGGCAAAGCAGTCTCAACAGCAGATCGTTTGCGGCTCAAACGAGAGGGTGTATGAGGTGACTCAAGAGGCGAAGGAATGGCCATTCCAGGAGGTGGCGTGACGGTCAGTTTGGCCAACAGATTACGAACACGTGTACGACACAGTTTGAACATCGCACTGGATGAATGAATGTTTGTCTCCAACCATCTTGTCAAAAGGTCAATTGTCGCCTGCGAAGGCGCCAATTCTCCGACAGAGACGTCCATGTCCACTTCCAAGGTTTTGTTTTGCTTTTGCATCTGCTGCTTGCGTGCATCGACTTGAACTTGAATTGCTCGTGCAGCAATTTGCAAAACAATATCACCGACAACCTTTCGCCATGAGGTCAATCTGCTGTCCAGTACTCTACTTGCCACGCCACCTGGTGTGGGAGGAACAGCAGCTGTACTTGTACTCGTTGTGATACGGTCTTGAGCCGACCTCTCCACCTCGGCTTCTCGTAATAAAGTCCAAATCTCACCCTTGATACTACCTTGTTGAGCATACGCCAGTGCACTTAGAGCAGAAGCGCTGGGCTTGCAAGATTCATCATCGAATGGCAACTTGGTAGAAGCGAGATTTTGCGGCGAGCATGCCAATTGACGGTAGAGTAACAACAGCATACTAACGACTGTAATGTCAGTCACTTCTCCGTGGAACGTCAACAAACGGAAAGCATCAAATTGGAAAGATTCCGGATAAGTCATTGAAGCAACAGCTTGAGCACCGACTGGATGCAAAGAGGAGAGTCGTGATGGTGCAGAGAAATTACCGAAAGTGGCCTTAGGCGAGGTAGTGCTTGGAGGGTCGAAGATCAAATCCAACACACCTCCATCGAATGCTTTTGAGATACGTTCCGTCTTGCTGATCGAAGCATCAAGATCTTCAGCATACTTCGACATAGCATTGGTGAACCAAGTCACCGTTCTTTGCACCGAAAGCTTTCCACGACAAACTTGATCACGGAACCATCTTGATTCAAACTCGGCAGCTGTTTCGACCAAATAAATACGACTGGTGCTCAATTGATGATTTGCCACGTCCAATTTCATCAATTCCAAAATTTCAAAACATTGTCGTAGGCTTCGTGTCACATCGCCTTGATTGGTCACTGTTTCGATCATGTTATCAATCAATGAATCCCGCATTGGCGCGCAATGTTGCTTCAGGATTGAACCGACTGTAGTGATCAAACCGGTGATATCCAAACCGCCATAGTACAGCTGTTGCATGATCAAGCCTGGATCGAGACATTGTACGATGATAGCTTGTTCATCACTAGCATGAGTGATGGGTGATGCAAAAAGCGAAGAATTTACAAACGCTGAAGATGGCGTCAATGGAGTTGCGGCGGATTTGTTAGTTGGCTTTTGCGGCTGTGCTGTCTGAGGTTCATTTCGGAGACCTTTACGATGTAACAAAAGAGCATCACGTTGACGATTGGCGAATGAGTTGCCATTACTTATTGCAGGTGCAGAAGCAATTGGATCATTTGTGAATGATCGACCGGAAGATGTCGGTAGGATAGAAAGGCAAATACAACGTAATTCTGCAATCAAGTTTGGTATGCGCGCAAAGAAGCGCGGATCAGCGATCGGTTGCATTCCTAGCCCGCTTCCACGACGGCGATTAGAAGCGCATACACATGGCAATTCCAAACCGCCATAGAAAGAAGTACAAGCACATCGGCTTTGTATCTCTCTTTGAACAGCTCGCCAGTACTTGTTGCAAACATCCCTCTTCCGTTTCCCTCTCTCACCGTCGAAATTAGGTCGGAATTGCAGATCGGCGTCAAACACCAAGTCGTGACGCAATTGCGGATTTTTCAAAATCTCATGGAGGTCGAGTTCCTTTAATGTTTGCGAATTGATGGGTGGAAAGACCGAAGGAGTGAAAACGGTTGGGCTCTGATGAGGTACTGCAGGACTTGCGACGGTCACATGATTGGTATTGGCATAGTGCACTTGTTCAGGCAACGCTGAAGGACCTGCAATGTTGGAAGAGCCAGAGGATGACAGACCACCTGCCATTAATGTATGATTTGGTTGTGATTGTTGGGTTGATGCAATCTTCCACCCTCTTGCCGGATTCCAAGCTTGAGCCAACCTTGGTGGAACTGCGATGCTATGTTGCGCTTTGGTGGAAAGATCCAAGGAATACTTTGCTTTCATATTTGGAACACTTTGTGACCTTCGCATACGTACTGGCTTGTTTGAAGGTACTATATGTCTCGTTGGCTGTTGAACAGCTGTTGACCATATCCTTGGCTTTTCATTGTTGGCTGTACTACGCTTTCGCTTTGAGGCAGGCACAGGTTGCAATTGGAACTCTGCCCCACGTTGTGATAAACCTTCGCCGCTCATTGTGGTGGGATTGTAATGTTGCTGAAGGAAATTGGAATGGAAAAAGATGGTGGCGCAAAGAACGAAATTGAGATGACGGCCAACTCTTTACACAATCATCCAACAAGACTCAGTCGAAAAAAGACGCAAATAGTACTTGAGCAGCGAAGCAAGAGACAGTTTGACGTTGGAAAGCACTCAATGACGTTATGAGGCTTGCATAAAACGGTCAGGAGAGAAAAGGAATTCTAATGCGGGGGGCGTTCGTCTTCCAATGTGATTCAACCACGCCCACTTTGATGCTCCTTTTTTGTCCGCTTTACCGTCAGAAGTGGCGCGTAAAATGAATGCCCCTCTACAGAAGTTGGGAGAGGGGTCACAATGACGACACTCTTTATAGCTTTTCTTTTTCCACTTCAGAAGCCGAATATAGCGGATCCCTGAAATTTCGAAGAAAATTGTCAATCGTTTATTGACAAGCAAGGTATGATCGAAGGAACCGTTTATTGTGTTTGTTTGGACTGATTACCAAAGGCTGCACAGCGCTTTTCGGAAACGCTATACTCCGTCCTGTTTGATTTAACGCTGCCAATCACAAGATTGCAGTTAAAGGACGAATGAAGTGAAATTGTTTATTATTTCGGATCACGAAACGCCGTTAATAAATAAAGCGTTTTAAACCTTATCCCCCGTGAAAGAGAGGGGGAGAAAGCCGAGTTGTGCCTTTATTCAATTGCTATGTACCGTGGCTGTGACGCGAAAAAGACGGATTGGCAATGAATCCAAATATTCAAACCGGCGCCGAAGGTACAGCTCCAGGATGAGAGCTGTAAGAGTGGGGTCAGAAAGATTGGTGAGAAAAACGCTGTACAACGGTACACTGTAGTGACGTAGAACTGATTCTCCGAACCAAATCGTTTATCCGACAGTTTGTTCTTTTCTTCGATGATATCACCAAATCCGTACGGTCCGAGTGCGGTATACGATGGTCGATCAGCTTCTATCGGAAGACTTGTTCCTGCTTTTCAGAGTTTGCGGATAGCCGCCAAGATTTGTCAATTGTCGATCAAAAAGACTTAGTCACTTCTGACGTTTGGCGTGAATGGGTGAAGTGACTTGGATGTGGATAAATGCGTTCAAATGATTGACTAAACGGTATTGCTGAAGTGAGGCTGTATGCAATGAATAAACGATGGCAGTGTCCACTCAAATTTGCGTTCCTGAATAGAAGACGACGAGAGGGAGAAATGATGGCTGTGTGTCGTTATAAGTTGGGGCTCCTGACGATGGAAATCAATCGTACACAACCTTGTCCTTACGGGCCCACTTATGTTTATGAAGATTGTTTGGCTGTGCAACAATAGTTTTGGAAGAGGCGGTGAAGTTTGAAAAGTCGTTTATCGAATTCTGAACGTGGGGGAGAGATGTGAATCGATGAAGTTGATGAATGAATGCTATGAGTCAATCACCCTTGACCTCCTGTTCGCCCTTCAGAAAGGAGAAGGCTTATGTGATGCTTTGTTGCTAGGTATTCGAAGCCGACTGCCAGTGCCGCCCTTGATAGGAAGAAGTGATGAAGATGACGGAGGGCGATTGCCAGTTGCCGCGACTATGATGGTAACGATCAGAATAGGTTGTATGCCCTGTAAAGGCCATATGAAAAAAGGTTCCGGTGAATCTATGTGTGCTACTTTTGATAACAATTCACACTGCACTTCCTCACACTTAACCTGTCCAAATAAAAAGTCTCACCCAATTGTTACATTTCTTTAGGGACATATACATGAAACAATCAAAATTACTCTTTTCTTTTTCCCGAATGACCGACAAAAGATGATGCATTAGAATGTGTGAATCCCCCCTTTGTATGCCCCTTCCTCCCTCCTTTTGCTCGAGTTGCTTTGCTTCCCTCTTCTCCATGGATTTCACATTATGCATAATATGCAAGCAAACGCCCAAATTGTCTCGTTCATTCTTGTGTGTGCCAAGATGGCTGGCTACTCAAGGCGGGACAAAGAGAAAAGTTTTTTTTTGCATATGTGTACAATGTGGTTTTGTGCCGGATAAAAATTCAATCGGCGTTTTAAATAATAAATCATTCGATACATATAGCCCGTATGAACAGTGTTTTTGTGCACAACGCATAGATGGGCGTGGGCGCGATTCTAGCCCTTTTGTAAAAATTCAAACAATGGATCGTCCGCCGGGTTTTGTGTCTCTTTTTGTTTAAGACAATGAATGCATCAAAAAAAGAGCAATAAAGCAATGATCAACAGACAGAGCGGGTAAAAATACATACATACATACAATCACTTTAAACCTATTTTAGGCAACACGGGCGGAAATCTCTCGTTAAATTACATATTTTGTGATCAATAATTGTCTTGACCCTTTTTTTGTATTGTAATTAATTGTTTTATATTCAAAGCGCTCCCTATTCGATCATAGCTTTGGTCTCCGATTGAATGTACATACATATTTTGCATTGTTAGCAAACAGTTTTTATTAAATTGAACGCCTCCTTTTTTATTGCTAGCATTCTCCGCTTAAATCTTTTAGCCAAATTCATCTTTCAATCCAAACTCAGCTAAAAAACGATCGAGCCTCTCTTGCTGTTTTGATTGCGGATAGTAGTAAACACGGGAAGGGCAAACAAAAAGGTGAATTTTGCCAAGTTTAGTTTAAAAAAACGGATAAAACCTTAGCTCTTTCAAATCGGCTTCTTGGGAGAAAATAAAAAAGCAGGGGGATGGGTTAACAGGCAGCATGATCGGATAATTTATTACATGAGCTCACAGGTCTTAGCGTTTTCCCATGTACGCTAAACTGTAAATGAGGGAAAGACCCCACTCCTATTCGGCTTGTAATTGGTTGTACTAGTTTACACATTGGTCATGGGAAATGGTGATCGTTGCAATCTCGAGAGATCCGAAATATCTCCAGATTAATGGTAAGCCCGTTCAAGACCACGTGAGTCAAAAAAGGTCAATCAAACATCACACTCTCTCTGCTATTTCTAAGATCGTTTATTGATTGCTCATGAGATATATGAAATAATTAATGCCGACCAACACTGATGAATGAGAATGGAGGAAACCAAGGATAAAAAGAAATAATGAATGCTGTTAACTACTCATCATCAACCAACTTGGAATCACCATCACGGGTTCCTTTATCCTTCTTCTTGTTTGCGTCCACTTTAGCACCCTGATCAGCCTCTTCCGCTGCCTTTTTCAAACTTCCTTGTGCACGACGACCATAGAATTCCTTCAAAATCTTGGGATTAACACGTGTCAACATCTCTTTGGGCAACATTCTCATCAATGTCCAGGCGATATCAAGTGATTCAACGATCGTTCGGTTCTCGTACCTTCCTTGAGCAATGAATCTCTTTTCAAATGCGTCCAAGAATTCCAGACTCAATTTATCTTCTGCACTCAATGCGTCCTCACCAACGACTGCTTTCATACTTGCACAATCACGTCCTGTAGCATATAATGCATATAACGAATTAGATGCATCACCGTGATCCTTACGTGTCATCCCTTCTCCGATAGCACTCTTCATCAATCGACTCAAAGATCCCAAAACTTGAATGGGTGGGTAAATTTGACGGTTGTGTAATTGACGATCGATATAAATTTGTCCTTCGGTAATGTATCCTGTCAAATCGGGAATTGGGTGGGTCATATCATCGTTAGGCATAGTCAAAATAGGAATTTGAGTAATCGATCCATTACGGCCTTGCACACGTCCTGCACGTTCGTAAATGGTTGACAAATCTGTGTACATGTAACCAGGGTAACCACGTCTACCTGGAACTTCTTCACGAGCAGCGGAAACCTCACGAAGAGCATCAGCATAAGATGTCATATCTGTCAGAACGACCAACACATGCTTCTCCAATTGATAAGCAAAGTATTCTGCAGTCGTAAGTGCAAGACGAGGTGTGATAATACGTTCGATAGTAGGATCGTTTGCCAAATTGAGGAAAAGAGTAACTCTGTCCAAACTTCCGTTCTCTTCGAAATCTTGTCGGAAGAATCTTGCTGTTGCAATATTCACACCCATAGCAGCAAACACGATGCTGAAATTGTCTTCGTGATCATCGTGAATACCTTTGCTTGGCTTAGATCCGTGTGCACCGTCTTGATCGCCCTTTTTGACCAAACCTGCTTGACGACAAATTTGAGCAGCGATTTCGTTGTGGGGTAAACCGGCAGCACTGAAGATAGGAATCTTTTGACCACGAGCGATACTGTTCATTGTATCGATTGTACTAATACCAGTTTGAATCATTTCTTCAGGATAGACACGTGCGTATGGGTTGATGGGAGATCCATTGATATCCAGGTAATCTTCAGCAAACACTTTAGGTCCTTTATCGATTGGCTTACCGGATCCGTTGAAGATACGACCCAACATGTCTTCACTGACGGGCAATTTCATACTTGAACCTGTGAATTCGATGTGTGTATCCCGAACATCGATACCTGAAGTACCTTCGAACACTTGTACGACAGCTTTATTTCCCGAAACTTCCAACACTTGACCTCCACGTTGTGAGCCATCAGGCAAAGTTAGAGAAACGATTTCGTTGTATGAAGGGAATTTGACATTATCCAAGATGACCAAAGGACCATTAATGGCAGAAACAGTACGATAATCCAATCTAGGCTCAACGTCGTAATTTTGCACAGCTGCTTTTGAGTTAAGCTCAAACAGCTCCCGATCAGACATGCGTGCTTCAGCCATTTTGACAGCAAGGCTTTCTTAAACAATGGCCAAGGAAGTATAATGTAGATAGGTGAAAGTCTGCCTGTCAGCCTGATCAATGCCGCCTTCTCGTACTCTTCCGTGTCAAGCAAAAGAGAGCGAAATTGTAAAGCCCAAACGTTAATGGCGATGATGGTGAAGGATGGGGCTGATTTGGCTTTTGCTTCCCAGGCATTTATTGGATAGGAGAAATTGTGGATGGAACCTCCATTGACAGATAGACTGGATTTGTGCCTCCTGGTCAAGGCGCGTGCGCACTACACACGCAAGCCTCTTCCTAACTAAAAGCGTATGATGCTCTTTACAAGCTGTAGCACTGAAGATTAGGAATCGGCCGACAAGGCACGGGCCAAGCTACATTAAATTCTCCCTTTCACTCTTCCATGATAAGAAGAAGGTCATTGATGGCCATAAGCAGGCCTCATTGAGGACAAAGAGAGCAACTTAAAGCACATTCAGAAGCGACAATCATGGGAATACGGATATAGAGCATTAAATTTGCACGGCTTTGTTCAATCCTATCACAGCAATGAATTCGCATATACCCAGTGGCTCTTCCATGCCACCCCACAATTCTCGATTAGATCAATTTTCTCTCAATTTGCCAAATTCTCATTCCCGATCTCCGTACAGAAACAGCATCGCCGAAAGAAGGAGATCTTCATCGCGAAGAACTGATACCTCAAGCTCTTCGCTAAATCGACCTGTTCTCACCTCAAGACCGGTTTTGCTATGGACACATGAGCCGCCAAACTTTAGTACACATGAATTGGTACTGAATCCAGATTTGATCGCAGCGTTCGGAGGAGTGAGCGATGGATCAGAATTGCTGGAAGTGAGGCTACCAGAGACGTCCAGCATGGGCAATCCTGTGATTGATGAACAGAGTACTACCGGCACCGGACATCTGCACCAATCCCATGGTCGACGTAGCAGTAATCGGCATGGGAGCAATCATCGTCAACTCAGTAAGAGACGGATGGCAGGACTGTCGAAAAGAACATTTCTCTTTAAAGCCAGTCAAGCAGTCGGAGATTTGGATTGCATAGATCGTAGCGGATCTCAGTTACAGCTCAGTATTGCAAAAAATATCGCCAATATCTTCCACTTGCATAATCGATGCGAGGTTATACTATCGAAAGTCTCTCGATCTGAACATACCATCTCTCACATAGAGCTGTACTTTCGTGATCAATATGTCGGGCGAGCAGATATGTGGCGCTTAGTGACACTTTTGGAGGATACATGCGTTTACGTTGGTCAAAGGGTGACTCTTGCAGGATGTGTTCGTGCGACGATTGGAAGAATATTCATTAATGAAAGAAAAGTCATGTCAGGTTATGTCGGCCCGCAAACAAGAGCAATCTTTCGATCAGAATCAGCAAAGTACAACGTCTTTATCCAGATGGCCTCCGAGATGTGGGATTTCGATGAAGATGGAGAATTGTATTACGAGAAAGCGTTGTCAGGATTTCTGCCAGATCTGATAAGGCGCTGGCAGACGGGCAATACTACCCATGTGATCAGTATCATCCTCTTCGCAAGAGTCCACTACGATGAATCCGAATTACACATGCTTCAAGAAGTCGAATTGCCATTGCGTAAAGAAGAGGGAGGAAAAGGACGTTGGTATATAGATTATTACAAGGTTATGGTCGATCTTGAATCGGATTGTGACTGGCAAACTGCTTTGACGATGTTGAAAGAGGAATTCTTCCGTTTCAGACACGATATCCTCCTCTTACGTCAGCCCGTATCTGGTCCTGCAGTTGCACCGTGGCTGGAAGAGAGACATGCGGATTTATTACGAACAGATCACGCTCTCTTGGCAGGCTCTTTATCTGCTTCTCATGAAGGAAATATACTTGAAGCGATCAATTTGGCACTCAATCCTTTCGATGAGCATTATGTCGACCGAGATTTAAACAGAACAGGACTGGATTTGGTAGTGTTGACGGCAGGAACAGGGCACTTTGACGTCGACAAAAATCTCTTGCGTTTGACAACTGAGAGACTGATCGACAATGGAATCGGATTTGATCTTGTATGCTTGACAAAGATGCCTTTACACTCCGTGCCTCTCTTTCACTTTCAAAGTCCAGTGCCTATGCCTGATCTGAGCAACACACAAGCTACCTTTGCATCTGCTTCGGGTTCCACTTCAACGAAAAGACGGTCTATGCGGAACTCAACAGCAAATGGATCCATTGGTAGAAGTCATAATGCAACCACAGGCGCACAAGCAAGTTACCCGGACCCATTATATTTTGATCCAAAACATGGTTCTCCAAGCAAACAACAGACTCAGCCTCAGCAGGTTTCTGCCAGCTATACTTCTGCTACAGGTGTCATTAGACCGTCACCACTTACTGATTTCTATAGTATTCCTCATTGGGTTGATTGTTCCTTCTATAATTTGCAGCAGGACAAGCCATTCAGAGGAGATCGGTTCGTGCCACGATGCAAGATGCATGAAGTCCAAATGCTTGGACTGATGGAGAACGAAATTAGCGATATCTCGTTGCCCTACATTGACTTTGGCCGCTTACCAGGTGTGGTAGCGATGAGCACGAGCTTAGGAAGATCTGGAAGCATGTCAAGTAGCCAAGCAGCGCTTACACCTTTCTCGTCAAGTGCAAGTGCAAGACATAATCGGCTATATGCCTTTTTGCCGGACACATTTGGAGACACTACTGGAATGAATCCGCGTGAGCAACATAGATTATTACGAGAACAATTTGACAAAGAGACATTCCGAGATTTGGAACTGGTTCCATCAACATTCCGATCTCTGATGGTGCAGGGCGTATCGGAGAAGAATCTTGCCGGGCAGATACAATCCAGTTCTCCGCCACTTGTGCGACAAACACTACCATCGGCCAATTCTTCGAGTATTCGACCTGGATCTTCTCAGCAACCTATTGGCAGGAAGGAAAACCTTACTGGTTCATCGCCTATATCGCAACAACAAACTCCATCTAAGCAGCAGCGATCTGCTCGCTCTCTTCGTGACTCTAGATTTACGTTGCGCTCCTTAGAGTCTCGTGATGAAAGGTTGGACACACATGAAGAGGAGGAGAATTCTTCAACAGCCCAAACGAAAGATGCATGGAATCGACAAAACGAGCCTGCCTCACCTCGACAGAAGCGCATCAGTATTCTACCAAACATATCTCGTAGTGGAACAATGAACTCTTCCACTTCCGGTTCCACGCTCATGACTGATTCATATGGACATGAAAATGGATTAGCCGAAAAGATGGAGAGAAGGAAATCCAGCGCCGGATCAGTGTACAGTGTCAGCACTATCAACCGCGGCTTAAGGCCACTGTCCGATATGGGTAAAGCCAAAGCGTTGGTAGGATCGACAGAAGTAACATTCAAGGTTGAGCCTGGCCGCAGTAATGTCAAAGCAGGTAAAGCAGCTGAAAGCGCTCAACGGGCGGTAGGTGCAGAACAAGGTGGAAGTCGCACGCCAAACTCTCCTTCAAGCCCAAATTCACCATCAAAAACTAAGGGAGGATATTCATGGCTTTGGTCAGCTTTCAAGGGTAAGCTAGGTGTACCATTAGGTCAAGAAGGAGATGAAGACAACGAAAAGGTGTATGATGATAAAAGTGAAGAACAGCAATCGTCCAAGAATGCATCAAAGAAAATTCAAGCTCTACTCAAAGAACAGTCTTCAGCCCGAGTGTCATCTACATCAAGGCCAGCCTCAGTAGTCTCAGATGATGTTGACGATCCGAAGCAGTCTGAAAGAAATACCATTGACGATGAAGCAGGACCAGCGCCGATTTCCATTCCTTCGCACCATGGCGCTACCGAGGGCCTTAAGAGCAAGACGAGCTTTCCTGACATTGTTACTACGACGAGAATTATCGATGCAGATGGTCAGCCTATTGTCGATGATCAAGATGCAGCACTTGAACAAGCATTAGAGGAAGAGGAGGCAAGACTGCGATACGTCAGCCAAGCACAGGTCGAAAAGCAAACCTTGGTAAATCCTTGCAACCCACGGAAAAGCCTGCAAGCGACCTCGAACAACCAGATTATGCGTTGGCAGCATGCGTTCCCCAGAAGACTGAACCAACATGTGGTGAAATGGCGAAGTATGACAACGCCTGCATGTTTACCGTTGACTACGTTTTATCTTCCCAGCGAGGCGGACTTCAAGGAACATTGGCAAGAGTATCCTTACCAGATGAGCATCTCGTCTGACATGACCAGCTTCCTTGTCAAGCGATCTACGAGCACGCCACCTGCTCTTGCAGTGATGCGAGAAATGGCCTCTCAGCGTTTGGCTCAAGGATATCAGTTCATTGTCCCAATAAAACATACTGGTAATACACACACCTCTGCCTCAGCAATGCCCGACAATCTACGACTTCGTGAACCATGGGAGCTATTTCAACCAGGCAGCTTGGCGTCAGGCAATCCGATTTTCCTGAGCATGACAAATCAAATTCATAGGATTCACTACGATCGATCTTCGAATTGTATCCACGTAAAGAGGTATGTACGAAGGGTTGAGTACAAGACGGATCCTTTGACATACTCTTGTTGTGTGTGGGCACGAAATTTGGCCGGATATCAAACGGTGAATTCAGTCTTCCGCTATCCGGACTTTGGTGCATACAATTGGACCCACTTGGATGCAGTCATTGCAGGTCATAGTGACGAAGAATCGTTCACTGAATCAACAAGGTATTGGCGTACTAGATTTGTTGTCGTGCCTAGCGAAGGTAGTCCTCAGACATTGCGTGGTCCCAGTGGGGAAGAATTGAGCGATGAAGAGGTGCGATTGGCGGGAATGGATAGATTGGCCGATTTGTTCAATCGAGCTCGTTGGCGGCCAAGAAACAACAATTTGAATGGAAAGCGTACCGGACAGAGAGAGCAGGCACGTCCACAGAGCAATTCTACACTGTTACGATTCATACCTACTTCTTTGGATCCTGCCGTCAGTCTAAAGGACGTTGACTTCATGAATCAGATCAGAGCAGTTCATGATGCAGAGAAAAAGGAGTACGAATCGCGAAAGCAAGGTCAAGGAACAAAAGGGCGTATAAGACGACCTCTAGCTGAGACAGATAAGGCAACATTGGTGCATGACATGTACTCAGACAATGAGTTCGGTCTCAAGATCAATGATCGTTTGTGGAACAAGATTCTCTACCGCAATGCATTTTCAGGTCATGATTTCGTGACGTGGCTATGCCAAGAGTATATTGATATTCCTTCAAGAGATGCAGCGGTAGAATGGGGTCAACGATTGTTGAAAGAAGGCTTCTTACAGCACGTTCACGATTACCACGGCTTCTTGGACGGCCATTATTTCTACCGGATCGCTACAGAATATGCAAAAATGGCAAAAGCGGAAGAAGGAACGACAGCTAGGGACAATCAGCATTGGCTCACTCCCGGCAAAGAAAGCGAAGATGAAAATGGTGACGATGAAAAAGCAAGACGCGATCGTTCTAAACGTGTATTGATGAGCCGTAGCATCATCATTGATGTTGATCCGAGCCGAAGAAGTGATCGAGCAGAGGTTGCATTTTTACATTTTGATCTGACCCATAATCCCGCAAATGGATTCAACTTTCAAATTCATTGGCTTGGTTCTACTGCGCGATTCATCGAGGATTTGGTGCAAGGATGGACACGAGCGGTTGAGAGATATGGTCTTCGTTTGATCGAAGCGCCAATCAATCAAATCAAGGATGTGTCAATGCACAATCCTTTCCAAGCTCCATTGCCGATCAGTCTTGCTTTGCATCCACCTCCCACGAGTGTTTACGCTGGCTGGCTTCCGCAACATCTTTCTGCCACTTATTTGTTCGAATATGCACTCTTGCGTAAGTTCGGTTTCATCTTAGATCAAGAAGCTTCGGATCGATATCGCAATGTGAACAAAGATGTGACGATCGAGTATAGATCACGTCCAAATCATTTCGATTTCAGTCAATTTGTTCATCGATCAGGAGTGGCCTTCGTGCAAGTGTTGCCAAACAATGAAGGATTTTTATGGTTGGATAATCGATTGTTCAACTCCCACTTGCCAGCGGATAGACCACAACATGTGCAGCAACACAAAGGTGGCATCCCACCCTCGCCAAACCTTGGCGCAGGTCCTTCACACACACACCGTACAAACGGTTCACATGCAGCCAATTCACCTTCTCTTCCTTCTGCAGATCGTGTTCGCAAAGAATTTATCGAATTCTGTTTAGATGTCGAAAGATTAGAGTTATTTTACAAAGAAGTATTGGAGCAAATTCAAGCAGAAGCAATTGCGGCAAAAGGTACAAAAGAAGCTGTAGGAAATGCACCAGGTATAGATAAAGCAAAGAAAGAATCTTCTTGATCTTCTTTGAACGAATTTTCCTCTTCGTTGTTTGAAAGGTCTAGTAGGGATTCGAATAAAGCATGATGGAGATCGAATGCGCATTTTGCTTCTTCGATCATCCTTTGAGTGGATAGTTGATCCGCTTCAATATTGTTGATAGAATCACGGAGGGATTTTTTCAATTTAGCAGGTTCGTCAAAAATGTAAAATGCAAATCCATGTTGTACATCATCATCCAGTGGCGGGGTAGTGTGTTGAATTGCGAATTGTTTCGAAAGTCTCTTGAGCATATGTTGACCTCCTGACAGATCACCCATGTATCGCACGTAAGCATGTGCTAGAACAGGATGAATCTTAGAAGCTGTGGATGACGTCTGCTTCATCGGACTGCATCCTTCTGTTGGGGTGAATGAGATTCCTTCATCGCCGTAATTTGTTTTGGATAGCGTCTTTAGCCGACGAATGTAGACCACGACAGCATCTACTTGACGAGGAGACAAGAGATTGATATAATCCATATTCAGTCGAGCTGTATCATCAGGGAGTATTCCATCCTGTATTAGATTGACTTGTGCATCTTGCACGGCAAAGGCGAGGAAAGTCTTTGAATCGATACCAGACTCGGAAGTAGAAGGCTCTTGGTGCTCATCTTGTAGTTCAAGAAGATCCATTATATCTGCATTTGAGGTACACAACAATTCATCCAAATGAGCTTGAATATCGTGTAAAAGTGATTCGGTTCGTAAGACTGACAGACAGGCCTGTTTGATCGTTGGACCGGCATTGATGATGATCGATTCCATTTGAGCATAAATGCAAGTCAACATAATCAAGAATTTCAAATAATCTTTTCGGTCAAATGCTGGCATTCCATCCGTACCTCTTCCCATCAATGCTGCTACACCAACCGATCTCTCTAATTGACGATGAACGGCCCAAGTTGCTTCTTTCATCTTTTCGGTTAGTGTATCTTTTTCAGTTTCATCGATCATCATCATTGCAGAAGTGGATGCCATACTTGAATGTCCATGTTTGGCGTGATAAGAACTGTGATGGGCTGGATTTATGCCGGTAATGCTGGCAAACATGGCGAATGGGCAACCCATCTTTGCAGCAAAGTGGGATAGGAGTTGGCCGTAGCTAGAGTTTGTCGTAGAATCACCGTCGCCTTTTATATGCTTCAATTTTACGTATTAAAGGATTGCCTCACGTTGAAAGCGTGGAGAGAAATGCAATGGAAGGAAATGGCGTTGGATGTGAGGAGACTGTCGATCCGCTGAGAAGATGTTTCCAAATCTATGTACAAGAATGTTGCAAGGAATGATGCTATTGGGGTTTGATCAAATGGTCGTTGCTGTAGGGAAATTACCGTGATTGGGATGGGGTATGCGGGAATCTTTTGTGTTGTGGTTTATCTCCATTCAGATCTCATCTTGCTATTCCCGTGAGCAGCAATATTTCAGAGAATGATGGAAATTGATAAGAGAGAAGAGAGGTATGTACAAATGACCCTTACCTCTTTCTTTTTTCCCACTTGGCGTCAGGCTGTAAACGGCCAAGCACTGTTTTATTTAATGTATTTTTTCTCCGATCTGTATGCACGAGTATATTGTAAGCAGATCAGATCGGATTGTGGCTTTGATCAAACATTAAATCCGAAAAATACGCGTCGTCGTAGAGGAAAAAGATCAAAAATCCGATAAAGAATGGATAAAGCTAAAAAGCTTGATCAAGATCTTAATTGGAATGGTATTAAGAATGGTTATATAATACCATACTAGACTTGCTTTTCATGTCCCTTCATATCATAAGGAAGATGCATTATCACGTGAAGAATAAGCAAGTCCTCAGCTTTAAAGAAAGGTTCAAGCTAACTTTCCATGCAACTAATAAGCCAACGGTTAATTTTACCATCGACGCTTCTAGAATGGCTGGGACAATTTGTACCGTTACGCCTTCTCTGCGCTTCTAACGCTTTCGAGCTTAATTCTTAGGCAGGGCGTTTGTTTGCCGTGTTAAATTATTTATGCAAGCTGCAAAATAAGCCTCCACCGCATACACTAATTGTCCCCCACGGAATTGCAATCCATAGAATACTATTCAATAATACATGTCACGAGAGAGGGGGCGTTATTATTCTATTCTTCGCTTTGACCACGATCATCGATCATCTATTTATTCAAAGGGGAAACATGGCAGATCGACCTGATTCTAACTCAGATGAGCCAAACGAAAACCGCTCTCACACACCTACTCAGCAATCATCAGTGCAAAATGACGAACCACCGGTGACCAATAATGAACAATCTTCATCACACCCCTCTGCACGGTCAGCACTGAGCGGTGTCGAAGCTCAGACAGCTGAAGCCCAACCACAAACGACATCATCGAACAGCTCAGGAACTAATCAAAATGCAGCACCAGCACCACCATTCCCAGTTGATCCAGGTGCTCATTTGAGAAGTGGCGCAGGCGGATTTGCTGCCTTGGTGGACGCTTTCATGGCAGGATTTCGTCAAGCTGCCGTAGATGCAAGAGGCGAACGCACACCTTCTTCACAGCCTCAAACGACTACAGCCGCTTCCTCTGGTGTCAGTGAGACAAACACTACAACGGTACCTGCATCATCTGCGCAGAATGAAAATACTACAGAGACCACTGCTGTCCCATCGAATGCCAACAATAATGCTACTGCTGATAGCACTTCGAACGACGCAACATCCGCTGCAAACAATAATGCAAGTCAGACGACAGACGATGCCACAGATCGTCCTCGCACTCTGTTTTTCCGCATGCCAGTTGGTCCAGACGGAAGGGATGCCTTGCTTGCTTTCACGCCAGGTCCAATTCCAATTCCACCACCAGAAGCAGGAATGCCTACAGCTGCAGGTCTATCTGGTGATCGTGGTAATGGGCTGGCATCAGGCTTCCATCTGCCACATTCACCAATCTTTGTTCCTTTCGGCGCTTCCCCTTTGCATTTCAGTTTTTTGTTTGATGCTCAAACGAATACTGCTTGGCCGATTGCCAACATCACAAACGGACCACCAGGTGCAATGCCTATTGAACAGCCAATTCCACCCAATATGCCACAATTTGTCACTGGACCGCCATTCCGAATCGCCTTGAATGTCTCGTACGGTCCACCTCCTGAAGTACCACGACCAGATCCTGAGCGTGCTTCCCGTTTTGTTGGATCTCTCGAGAGAGCAGATGCCGAATTGCGTGGTCGAATGGCCAGATTGGGTATGGGTGATATTGGAGATTATGGAGGTTCACAAAACAACGAAGGCGGAAATGGGGCAGCGCTGGGATGCGGTATTTGTTTGGATGAATATGCTAGCGAAGATAGACCAGAATGGATCGGAGGTCAAAGTAGTATTGATGAAGAAGTCGTTGCTGTGCCTTGTGCAGGTCATCATACATTGCATCACAGATGCTTGTATGAATGGTTGGTCAATACGCCACCAAGTCAATGGACTTGTCCGTTCTGTCGTGCGCCTTTAGATAAAGAAAAGGTTGATCAAAGTGCAAGTGAACAAGAACAACAAAGACAACAAGAAACACGACAGCGACGTCAAGATACGAACGAGAATGAGGATAACCTGAAAAAGAAAGCAGAGTTAGAAGCAAGAGCTCGTTCATTACGTGAAGAAGTTCGTTTACGTGAACGTGCTCGAGGATGGAGATGCGATTCACCTGCTTGTTTGCCAAGATATCCTGATTCGCCCAATGACGAGAAAGATTGCGCTCATCAAGGCGAAGAATCGACGGTATCTGATTGGCCTTCCGATGTCACATCTCTGATCAGCCTGCTGCCTTGTCGTCATAAATTACACCTTGACTGTCTCTGCACGAGCATGAAATTGGAACAAGCAGATCTCGGAAGTGAAGATGATTCAGACGAAGAGGAGGAAGAAGAGACAGAAGAAATTGTAGGAGAGGCAAAAGCTGAAGAAGGATCAAATGACTCTAATACGCTCATTAATGAACCGGAAGCAAAAGTTGATTCACCTCTTGTTTCTAAACAACAGACTGTCGGCAAGTGGGTAACTTGTCCAACATGTCGACATGAAGCATGGGCAGAATTGCCAGTGCGTAGAAAGCCAAAGCGAGTTGAAAGCTTTGCTTGAGAAATAGTTGTAAACATACAATGATTATATACCCTCATCTTTGTACATTATCACAAGTTTTGCTCTGTTTTTTACATTTGTATCATATTTATCATCTTTGTGATCGTTTTAATATCATATCGTCATCAAAAGCTGAAAATGAATGAGAGTCGAGCAGTACGCGTTTCAGCCAGTTGATGTTGTGTGTTGGACTTTTGAGAAAGTACACTAACTAAACCACTTTCTCCACCCTCCATATGCATTTCCGATAACCATCACAATCAGAAGGATGCGTTTGAACTTGTTGATCGATTTATCAGGGACGCTGCATATAGGTGATCAAGCATGTCCCGGTGCAATTACGGCTCTGAACAGGTTATTCTCTTCCAAGCCAGTCAAGGGCAAATGTTCGGATATAAAAGTCCGATTTTGCAGTAACACAACCAAAGAATCTAAACAAGATTTACAAAAACGGCTTGTTCGGATTGGATTCGATGAAAAGATTGTTACGACAGATCGTATCATGACGAGCTTACAGGCTTGTACACAATTGTGCTTGAAGCAGCAATGGAAACCTCTCTTACTGCTCACGTCATCGGCGCAAAACAGCTTTAGGGATCGATTGGCAAAGGACGACAAAGGAGATCAGCAATCTGAGGCAAAGAATAGCATACAACATGCTTTCTTCCCACATCCCGATTCTCCACCTTCAAAGTTATCATCACAGGAAAAGGATCAACTTAAAAAGTGTGATAGCGTCATCGTTGGTCTGGCACCAAATCTATTCAACGCAGAATGGCTAGATGAAGCATTTCGAATACTGTCAAATGAATACAGCCAAGGTCAAAAGCATTTGGTTGCCACACATAGAGCTTTATACTTTCGTCCAGGAACGGATGATCCATTATCCATGGGTCCTGGTGCATATATTGCAGCTTTGGAAGCCGCAACAAGACGTTCTCCCGATCAAACGATCGTTTGTGGAAAGCCAAGCAAAACATTCTTGCAATTGTGTATAGATGATATACATGAAGAACGTCAAGCAGAAGGACTTGGACAGGATTCAGAAAAGACGATCATCGTTGGAGATGATATTGAAGCGGATTTAGGAGGTGACTCGATCGAATTAGGACTGGATCGTGTTCTTGGTAAGTGGAAACAGATGTTTAGACGGGGGTTTTGGGGGACTGATTTATTCTTTTTCACGCATTCAAACAGTCCAAACTGGCAAATATCGTCAAGGTGATGAAAAGCGTAGTGCTGATAATCCTGTCAAGGTGTTCGAGTCTTTTGCTGATTTCGTTCAGAAGGAACTTTTCGATGCTGGGATAATGCAAAATTGACTGTCTCAGATACAATCCAGCTAATCGTACTGATGGTGTGCGACACAAATTGTCGGGAGTACCTAGTCTATAGTCGCAATCGGGTTGACAGGAAGGTTCACAAAGCAACCTGCTTATTATGTCATCTACTTCAATTCAAAAGATTGACAAGTGAACATCCTTTGATTACGCAATCATTCTGAAAGGTAATGGGAAAATTCCCATGGTACGTGGTAGTCCTACCTCCGGGACCCGACTTCTCTTACTGGACAGACGGGACCGCGACAGGACTGATACAATTTTCCCACAAACCTGGATCTGGTCGGAGTTTTTGCGTGGAAGTTTTCGAACAAAGGAGTCAATACATGCAGCATATTCATTAATGAATGCACCTCTTCACCCCACGGACAAACAATCATGTCAATAGATGTTGACTGGTTTCATGTTCCTTAGGAAGGATGTATAGTATAAAAGAATCTTTGGAACAATGGAAAGACCCACGGGAAGGATTAGTGTGTTTCGACGTATAGAATGACTGCTGTGCATGTGCAGTCTATCTATTTTCCGAGAGCCATCGATTTTAATTATTTTGTTTTTAATGCTTTCACAATTGTGTCCCACAAAATATTGATGGTAATAATTACGTTATGTTTTAAGCTGTATGATTTAGAAAGTGCGCAAATAACTATAGTATGCATGTATGTAGTATCGGCCAATAAAAGGTACATGCACTAGTCTTCGATCGATCTGTTTGCATTTGCAATTATTGTGACACTTCCGAACAAAGGTGAATTTCGGGATGAATTCGCTGTCAGTCGATTGTGTGCTTTTTGATTGTATGGTATCAATCAATGCCGTGCGGGTACTTTAACAAAAGGGTTATTTTTAAGCTTCTTTCATCTATGCACGAATGCTAAGACGCACACGATATATTGTGCAAAGCAAGATGAATTGAATTGAATGTTGGCACGGTTGTTTGGGTCAAAAGGATCAATGTGAGAGTATGCATACATCGATCTCAGTGCACTTTGACGACAAGCAACCCTTACTACTGCAGAGTACAGTACCATGCAGATTCAATCAGAGCCTAAAAAGTACAAGGTATATGATCAGTCTAAATGTTAATTTGTTATACGCCAAGGGTAAGCTAATGGATAAACAGCAACAGCCGCATCACTGCCTCTTCAACAAATCAATTGCATCGCGCTGCCCTGCGCAGCGCCTGACCGAATTGAAAACTTCTTTTTTTTTCGTCTAAATTTACGGCACCATCTTGCTTGCGCTAAAGAAACAAAAAACATCCTTGCAAAAAAAGGTTCTAATTTCACCTTTGTGAATGCATTTCATCAGCTTTTCATTCAGGCAAATCATGAGAAATGCAGATGCGATCGTTAAGTTCATTAAAGGGCTTTATCAGTCTAGACTGCAACGCTTTGATCCCTTTTTTTGATCAACAAATACCAGCCACAAAATTGATAGTTATTTTGACTGACTGCCTTAAACGCGGAGATGCAAGGCAAAGAGATGGTGGAAATGGGGTGCTTGTGCTTTGCCGAGGCAAATTACCTGTCAAATTCTTAAACGAATTTAAAGTCCTGACTGCACCTAGCCTTAAAAAAAGGGGGGACACATTCACACACATTGTACACACACACAAAGGCAAACAAACGCGCTACTTGCACGCGCCTCTCTTTGAACATTCTTGAGTGTATGTTGGATTTCGATTGCTGCTGTACATAATCCTGCTTTTCTCAAAGGCTCTTCTTCTTTTCATTCTCTGATTTGATCACCATAATCAAAAGGATTGATTCATTTCATCTTTATTCGATTTGAAATCCTCTTAAACGCGCTGGTACGATCGCGTTTGATTGCCATTACTCATTCTCAACTCTTTGCAACATTGCTGGACATAGGCGGAGTCTCAAAAAAGAAACAAAGCACATCATCATTTACAAAACACAGATCAAAACATCATTGAAATCCCGGCTGTAAAAGATCCCACGCAATCACTCTGGACCTGAACAACTGCTTGCCCTCTGACGATCATTATTGCGCCCGTCACCTCATTTAACGCCTGGTTCACTTCATTGCAGAAAGGGGGCACAAGTGTCAAGGAAAATTATAAATAAACGGTCCATGCGTCGATACTTTTCGATCTCAACCTCATCTCATTTATAACTTGGTGGTGCTGCATGAAAAGTCACATTGCTTTGAACCTCATCAACATTCATTCTCCAATCATCATCTAAAGAATTCATATCATACGTTATCAGAAGGACGACAATCAATTCATTCCAAAACGGCATACATTCGCACGTCTTCTTACTCTTCACAGGCGCATCTTACAATCTCAAACCAAATAAAGTACATCCTCATTTTACATTTCGGCGCCGCTATTCTTTCAATCGGTATTTGTATTCCGTTGCTGGTATTCTTTTGTTCTACAAACCCGCTCGGCTTGGCGTATCAATTTGACTTCTTGCTGTGTTCTGGAAGCATTTCGGACTCTATCGGACAATACGGCAAAAAAAGATAGGGGATTTCCATGAATTAGGGACCCTTATCCGATCATACAACAGTCCCCCGATTGAAAAGGTCAAGATACTTGTGGAGATTGTAGTGTCGGATCTGATTTGTTCGTCACTTTCTTCATAACTTTAACGTCTGAACAACGTCGATCAATCTCGCTATGACAACATTGCCACAACAAAGAAGTATCGGAACTCGCACAATGTCATCCTTTTCCAAGGAGCCTAGATCGAACGGAAGTGGGGAATCGTCTACCACGCCGAGTATTTTATACTCACAATCACGTCTAAAACCAGTGCAAAGTCGACCAGAGATGAAAGAACGGAGTGTTTCACAGAATTCCCAAACGTTTGGTTTTCAGAGAAAGGCAAACGAAGCACGCACGATGAAGCCAACCTATTCCAACGAAGGAAGCATATTCGACGAACAGGAGCCAGATTCTACTTTGTTTACCCAGAAGCTAGAAGGTTTGCCCATCACACCTCGATCTTCACAGGATGAGAATGGAAGTCGATCGAGTATGATGTACACAGATCAGGAAACAACTTCAATAAGAGCGGAAAGTGTATCAGAGAATGATTCTGATGACGACGGAGACGAGGAATCAAGTGAAGATGGAATTGAAGAATATGTGGTGGCTTTGCATGATTTTGCATCCAACAACGAAACATGCCTATCCTTCGTTTCCGGACAAGTGATTCGCGTGTTTAACAGAGACGAATCCGGTTGGTGGGATGGGGAGTTGGATGGTCAGAGAGGATGGTTCCCGAGCAATTACGTAGATGAAAGTGGACTAACATCTGACAGCAACGCATTCGGATTCTCAGAGCGAGACGAAGTGCCGGAAGCCTTCAATCCTGATCGGACTGTAGATGGATTCGACCAAGTTAGCAGCGAGAGCGCAAGAGAGACTCTAGGTTCTTCCGGTAGCAGTCATCATACCGCCACATATGCAAACGTATACAATGGCGTTCCAACGACGGGATCACTATCTTCCCGATCACCTACTCCAACAGCAAATACCTTGATGCAGGCAAGTTTAAGCAACCAAAGCGGGAATGGTGTTAATGGTGTCGCGGCAAAGAATAGACATCTTCGCAGGCCAAACGGAGCAGTGGAGCTTCATGCTCCCATGCCAAGTATTGTGGAGCCAATTCAACACGCCATCTCATTATTGCACAACGCTGTTCGAGCAAATCGGATAGCCCATTTTCAGCCTTCTACTGCATGTGTGATTTCATCTGTTCGATCTGTGCTGTCTTCTACAGATTGTTTGACACGCGAATCATCAGTATTGAAAGCACATCCTGTCTTGGCCAAGGAGCGGAAGCAAATATTGGCTGAATTGAGCAGATTGGTAACGCAGGCAAGAAGGGCATCTGACCCTACATTCGATAATGCATCACTGGCACAAGAAATGGAAATCATGCTACGTATGGCAGATCAAGTGATCTTTAATGTGAAACGATTTTTGGACGTAGCAGTGGAATGTGGCGTTCATATCCCTGACAAGCATTCTAGCGTATACGATGATATGTACGATGATGGAAGGTTGTCTGCAACAACTTCCCGTCAAGGCGGTAACTTCCCAAACCGATTCGATCAAGATAAAACCCCAACGCCCGATTCGCCACGCAGTTCAACCTATAGAACAGCATTTACCTCTGATCATGTATCACCGAGAAGTTCGCGAAGCTATGTTGACCTTCGTGGCTCAAATCCACCGTTGTCAACTTTTAGAGGTGAAGGAAATGCTTTAACAGTAGCTGCTCGCATCAAAGCACAAGCTTTGAACCAAAATGGAAGCACTCCCAATCTTTTCAGTACAAATACATCAGCTACAGACGCAAGAGCTCATGCTGAGGCTTATGCGCAAGACGGCAATAGTGCCTCACACGGTTCTCATTCTCCCGAAGGCTCTGGCGATTCAGAGACTCATTCGGACGAACGTCGCGCTGAATCGTCGGAAGGATCGGATGAAGGACCTATTCCATCAGTCCCAAAAGAATGCGCACCTGCTGAAGTAATGGAGCGAATTCAGCATGCCAACGATCATCTATTGTCAATTATTGCTGCTTTCATTGGTCACATTCATGGACACACACGTGAAAGTCATGCTTCTAGCTATGCATTCTTGATCGACATGACTCGTGCGACTGTGGACGGAGTAAGAAACTTGCTCGTCATTGTTGAAGCTGTTCATGGATGTCAAGAATTGGCTTCCAAATTGCCAAAACAGATGCAAATCTTATGGGAAACACGTGAAAGCGTGTACGAGGCAACTGCTTCTCTCGTTACTGCAGCAAGGGTGATTACATCTTCAGCCAAAGCAGAAAAGTCTCCTTCTTTGGGCGATGGCGAAGATGACGAAAAGCAAAAGTTGTTGCAAGCAGCTACGATTGTTTTACGAGCAGGCGGAGAATGCGTTGGAGCTGTAAAGTTGTGCTTGAATCGAGCTCCTGCTTCTTTGCGTATCACTCTTGCCATGCCGTCATCTTTGCACGCACAAAGCCAAAGAAGTCAAAGTAGCACTTCTAGAGAAGGTCACAATGCAAACGATCAAGGAGATGAGGAAGCAGAAGCGGGCGAACGTCATATTGAAGCCGCAGAAGTACGTCGCAATAAGCATACTTTATCATACCTCGGTCGTAAAGCAACGAGCTTGAGCTGTCTACGCGAGCGCTACGAGCAAGATGTCGAAGGGCCTGCAACTCCATCAAGTCGATTTGCAGATGTTGCGGAAGAGGCTAATGAAGATTCCAGTGACGTTTTCGTTTCTATAGATATGAACACATTGGATCCAAACGACGAGACGAAAAAGAATGCAAACAATACTCAGCAATCAGAAGCTGCCGAATCGAGCGATTCCAGTGAGCCCATGTCGCGTGACCATTCTAGAACGTCAGCATCTACTTTGCATTCCACTCATTCGATTACTACGCCAAGCACATCCGCTAGGCCTTCGATGGATAGAGGAGAGCATGCCGCATCAAACTCTTTAGGTCAGCATCAACAAATCAATGTTGCAGCGCCATTTGACGGCGCAAAGATTCCGGCCAATAATCGTGGTCCACCTTTATCTTCTATTCCACCACGAAGTGATAGGCATATGAGCAATAGGCCACCGCATGTGCGTGATCGATCGGCAAGCTTGCCGAAGTCGGAAATTGATGCACGTAATAGAAGCGGTAGCAGTGCAAGCGTTGGAAGGTTATCGCAAATGACAACAACCACATCGGAAGCTTCTTCGCCTGCTTCAATTTCATCTCCATCTTTCCCTTCACCGCCAAAACGTGTTGGTCGTAGCCTTTCCTCTGATGCACGTATCCTGGCTCCAGATTACGATTCATCAGAAATTTGTTTCAATTCTGAAGGTCAATTGACCGGAGCCACGTTGAAAGCTTTGGTGGAAAAGATGACGCCGCATAACACAACAATTGATGCAACTTTGAGCAATGCATTCTTCCTTTGCTTCCGTTTGTTCACAACGCCGATGGAGTTGTTTGAAGTGTTGGAAGCACGTTACAATATGCGAGCACCAGCTGAGATTGAATTGAATGCCGACGATTTCACACGATGGACCGAATTGAAAGTTGCTCCAGTGCGATTGAGAGTGTTCAATTTCTTCAAATTGTGGCTGGAAAATCATTGGAATGGCGCAACAGATCATTGCATTTTGGAAAAGTTGATCGAATTTACGCAGACTTCAATGATGCATTCTCTCAACAAGCCTGGTCAACGATTAGCAGAATTAGCGAATAGAAGATTATCCGCTGGACCAAGCGCAAAGATGCAGACAGTTGCTGTAACATCGCCCGGATCGGGAGGCTCAGGCACACGTGGACCCGGATCATTGAAAAGAATGGTGTCTGCCGATCGTGTTGTCAAAACTACTCCAGGATTGACGGAGATTGTGAGCATGTACACTCCCAATGCTACACCCAAGTCTTCTTCTGCACCTCAACCGATTGTATCGAAAACATTGATGACGCAATTGAAGCAATTGGCTCCAGCAAGAGTAAATGTGATGGATTTCGACCCTCTGGAACTTTCACGTCAATTGACAATTATGGAGAGCAGAATCTATTGTTCCATATTACCTGAAGAGCTTTTAGGTCAAGAGTTCAGCAAGAAGGTTGGCGTCAGCAATGCTATCAATGTGAAAAGGATGAGTGCACTCAGTACACACATCACCGGTTGGGTGAGCGAATGCATTCTGAACGAAGATGATGCACGCAAGCGAACTCAATTGGTCAAATTCTTTATCAAATTGGGAGATCGCTGTTTGATGTTGAACAACTTCAATGCTTTGTTCGCCGTTCAAAGCGCTTTGAATTCTTCCACGATTGCACGTTTGAAGAAGACATGGGACGGATTACCATCCAAATACCGCACTTTGATGGAACAACAAAGAAAAGCAGTTGAGCATACACGAAACTTTGCTGGCTATCGTCAAAGATTACGTTCGATCATGCCACCTGCTTTACCATTTGTGGGTTTGTTCTTGACCGATTTGACTTTCTGTCATGAAGGAAATGCATCAACACGTCCTTCCCCTGCTGATCCGAACAAGAGGTTGCTCAATTTTGATAAATATGTGAAGATGAGTAGAATCATTGGCGATTTACAAAGATTCCAAACGCCTTACAATTTATCGGAAGTGGCAGAAATTCAAGAATACTTGCAAACCATGCTGGAATCATCCTCTCAAAGTGGTAAGAATGCAGTCACGGCGGAAGAGCTGTACAGACGTAGTTTGCGATTGGAGCCACGCAACAACAGTAATGGTACAATCCAAACTGGTCATGGACTAGGCGTTGGAAGTACTGTACCGGATGGAATCTCTTCTTTAAATACAGTTTCCAATCGAACAGGTCTTGGTAGTGTGGGTGGATTGGACATCTTTAACTGGAAATGATGATAGCACTATTACGATTTAAAAAACTTTTCTCTCTTTGCCTCCCTTTTTTTCATTTTCGGAAGCACCACAAAGCATTTTACTGTATTTTAAATAATCATCCATCATGTCAGGATTAAATTAATGGATCATTTTATTTATCTCTCATCATGTTTGTTTTGTAGTGACATTTGCTTACGGCAGCCAATCCAATCCACACTCATAAGCGCGGGGATAAGGGGAAGCTGCTGCTGCCCAGGCGCATACGCTAATTAATATTAAAAGCCGAAATGGTCTGTGCTTGAATGGATTTTAGTAAGGGTGCATATGACTGCCGCACGAATGTTACAGTGATCATCATTCTCATCATCTTCATCATCATCTCTCAGGTACAACTCGTAGCTGAGCAAGATGTATTATATTCATCACGTTCATAATGCAACAGCAAGTGCGCAATCGTTACTCTTGTCAAATTTCTTGCCTAGCGGACCGTGTCTATGTGTGGTGAAGCATGCATCTTTATCATTCTTGACTCTTGCGGAGGAAGATGCAGATTCTGCACTGAAAGAAGTTCTCTCAGTTCCGATCAATGGAAGAATACTACGACTTGCAAGAATCAAAGCAACAGAAAAATCTTCCACAATAGCATCTGATCGTATAGCTGTATTAACCGATCATCATCAACCAAGGTTATTCGTATTGCACTATAATCAAACCAATCAAGGCATACGATCGGTCGATTTTGACGCCAATGCTTCCTCTTCTTCGGCATGGTCACCAATAGAAACGAAGGAATCAATTCTGTTGGAAGAGCTCGGAAGACCGGCCGCAGAGAGTGGGCTAACTTTGGAAGTGGAAGAAGGTATTGGTGCACTTTATGCTTATTGTCACACCCATGCCGGGAAGCTAAAGGTTGCAAGACTCAAAAGTGAAAGTGCAGGAACGACGCAAGGCGAAACACCATTCCTGTCCAAATTACCAGATCTTGCTCATGCTTTCAGCTTGCGATTGCCACACCCTCACCTCATCTCATCTACTTTTATGGCAAGAAGAGGAGGAGAGCCGTCTCCATCACAAATTGCATTGCTTTCCTTGTCAAGTACAGCATCACGTCTACCTGGCCTGGGTATGCAATGTCTCCCTGTCCTCTCGTTTCATGCGATAGATGAAGTAAATCAAGAATTACCGCCTGTAGTTTGGGGTCCGCCACGAAAGATTCCTTCAAAGGAAGTCAGTGAGAAATCTTTGGAGACAACAAACGAAGATGGAGAACCCAGCACTGCCGCAAAAGGCAGGAGAAAGTCATCTCAGAGTAATGATGTAGAGCCATCGTCAGGCGCAGGCAGCAAACCTGCAAAAGCTGGTCGACATGGACCTGCAGCGAAGGGTGCATCACGTACAGCTGAAGAAGAGGCTGCTCATGAAGAGCAATTGGCAAAAACACCTTTGACAAGAGCGCATGTTCCCTTGCCATTCTCGGATGCGTTGGGAGCTCATCTTTTACTCGCACTCCCTGCTCGAGCTGGAGGTGGTGTGCTGGTATTCAGCGAGACAAGCGTTATGCTTGTACCGCCGCCACCGTCAAGTACTGACGCAAAAGATAGCGGAGCTTTGCGCTCGCCCAAGAGCTCATCTTCTTCCAAAGTCGCAGGTAAGAGAAGGAAATCCAGTTCAGGTGAAATTGTCACCTCTGCCCGCCGGCAAAGCGCAAGTAGTTCACAAACAACAACAGCAGATTCCGCTTTGAGTGTGAGTCCTACAGCAACAATGACCACAGCGCCAAGATCAAACGAGAATGGAAAGAGACGCAGATCAACGGCAGGATCGTCTTCTACCATTAATCCTACGACAGATGGTACAACTCGCAGAAGATCGAGCTCTGCTGCCTCAGTCTCCTCTCAGCGCATCTTACGCATGGGCTTACCAGTGCCAGTCATTGTCGCTTCTGCTATTGTGATCAAAGAGCCCTTGGGTGAAGAAGATGATGGCGTTCGTATTGATTCTGAGACTGGCAAAGGAACATTGAATGTCATCTTTGCAACGCATTCAGGACGTTTAGAGCTTTTGACGATCACTTTGCAGAATATGGCAAGCGATCAAAGCGATGTTGAACAATTTGCACCTATCTCGCTTTCCACGCAAAAGCTTGGCGAAGCAAGTGCTGCGGGTGGTCCTGATGCATTGGCTTACCTTGGTGATAATTTCTTGCATATTTCAAGTACCAGTGGAGATTCTCTGTTGTTACGTATCAATGATCAGATTGGAGAGGAGACAGGCAATCAATTTTCTATCGTCAAAAGATGGTCAAACCTAGCGCCAATTCTGGACTTTGTTGCAGATGATGGTGCTGGTGGAAGCCCTTCGGCAGCTGGAAGTGCACAAGCAAGAATTATTACATGCAGCGGATCTGGTCCCACAGGTAGTCTGAGAGTCATTCGAGATGGCGTTGCTTTGGAAGACTTGGCCAGCATTGAGGAGGCAGGTATACGACGCATTTGGGATATAGAAGGCACTACATCGAAATCAACAGCCTTCCTCTTACTAGGACTGTCTCAAGGCGCTCGTGTGGTCTCTTTCGGTCAAGCTGGCATTGAGGATCATACATATCAGTTTACACAAGCTGGCCTGGATGCTAATCAAAGTATCCTTGATGCTGCCAGCCTTGGAGCAGGTTTGTTTGCTGTTGTGAATTCTTCTGGAGTTAAGGTACTTCAATCGGAGCAAGCAAGTATAAAAGCGCAATGGCAACCTTCAGACGCCAAGCAGCTTTCATTGGGCTCTGAGCCAATCACTCGAGCTGCAGTCAATTCTGCTGGACAAGTCCTTCTTGCTTTCCAAACAGGTGATATGATTCTTCTGCAGATTAGAGAGACTAGCATTGAGCTTATTGCTGCAACGAAACTACCAAGCGAGATATCTGCAATCGACATTAGTCCGTTGACGACCGAGAAAGGATCTTCAGCAACTTTGGCAACTGTCGCCCTTTGGAGACCTGCAATCGTGAAGATATTCACCATTCCAGATTTGCGTGACGCCACTCCTAGTGCTTTGATGGCATCGCATCCATCATTGATCAGATCTGTCAAGCTGCATACGTTCTCCATTAACGGAGCATCCACCTCCCTACCGCATCTCATGATCGGTCTAGGAAATGGTACATTGACAACGCACAGCCTGTCATTGCCCACAAAAGACAGTATTTCTCAAACGATTGGCGTTTTAGAGCGAAGAACTACATCATTAGGAACGCAACCGCTTCATTTGCGATCTTTCATCACTGCACAAGGATTACACGCCGTATTCGCTGCTAGCGACAAATCTACGGTTGTATTCTCACAAGGCACAGGTCTGACGTATAGTTCTGTTCGTCATCAAGACGTATCTGATATTTCTCAATTTGACTTTTCTGTCAATCCTGAGACAGGCGTGGATCGATTGATGATTTTTGCCACACCCGAACGTCTTCAAGTCGCAAAGATGGGAGAAATTTCGCAAGTTGATATTGAAACAATTGATTTGGGATACGATAATCCTCTGGCGATATCTATGTGTACGGATCAAAAGGTTGTCGGGGTTGTCACAACGAGATTCTTATCGCAAGGTAGAGGCAGTGAGCCTATTGAGGGTGGTAAAGTGATTCTTCGTGATGCAGAACAATTCACAGCTTTGGACGAATACGTTCTGGAAATGGAAGAAAGGCCGAATTGTATCGACACGTTCGAGAGAGGAGGTGCAAACTATTTCGTTGTTGGAACAGGCTACACGTTCCCTGACCGGACTGAGACCACTTCAGGACGATTACTGCTTTTGCGTATTTCTCCTCGCTCCAAGAAATTGCAATTGGTTACATCTCGTAATGTGGACGGCAATGTGTTTGATCTGAAAGCAATAGGTGGTAAGCGCATTATCGCTTGTGTTAACGCAAAGGTATTATCGTTTGAAATGGAGGATGATTATACAGCAATGGACGAAGAGAGCGACGGAGAGGAAGACAAGAAATTCTCGAACCAAAACATTTTACTAATTCAAGTGGGCCAATGGGCATGTGCGTTCACTGCTACATCTTTAAGTATCTCAGATTCCAATAAAGTTGTTGTTGGTGATGCTTTGAGATCGATTGTGATCCTGCGAATGGATGAGCAAAGTGGAAAATTGGTCGAACTTGCGCGTGATTGTGATCCTTATTGGACGGTTTCGTGCAATTGTATCGATGAAGAGGAAGAGGTGTACTGTGGTAGCGATATTGCATTCAATATTTGGACTTGTCGCAGATTAAAGTGGACGCAAAGTGCCAAAGATCGATTAGAACGATCTCGTTTGCGCGAGACAGAAACTGGCTCCGGTCGATCCGCTGCGGGAAGTGCGCAAAATGGAGTGGATTTGATCGATCAGACTTGGAGTCACATTATGCAAAGAGATGGTGCATTCCATTATGGTGATCTGATTAATAAAATGAAGAGAGGTTCACTGGTTTCGGATAGCGGTAATGTTGGTTCTGCAAATTCAAAGACTGGCTCAAACAAATCGCCCGTTGTGCAATCACGAATCATTTTTGGAACGGCAGCAGGTGCGATTGGATTGTTGGCAAAATTGGATGAACGTGCAGGTAGAATATTGAGTCAATTGGAAGTTAAAATTGCTGATTCATTTAAGCCAATCGGAGAAATTGCAACAGAAAGTTATCGAACTTTACGTACAGATCATCGAACGCAACCTTCTGCTGGCTTTATCGATGGAATTGCATTGTGTAATGCTTTTGATCCATTGAACAATGAGGCAAGAGTTGCACTCATTCGTAGAGGTCGCTTACCCATCGATGCTGATTTGGATGAAGTCAATAATCTTGTAGAATCACTTCAGAGACTATCATAAGCAGTAGCAGTAGCAGTAGGCTCGCTAGAATTGAATGAATTGATCCAAAGCTGGAGAACAACACTTGTGCATTTTAACGCGTAAGCGCACAGACTTGAGTTGGTGTCTGTGTGTTGTTTCTTCTGAATTGGAAGAATGTTTAGATGTACTTTACAACCATCAACCTCTGGGCACACAAAGAAAGAGGATGAATGAGACAGAAGTATCAAGCGATGAAGAGTTGGAGTATAGCTCTTTATCAAGTTTGAGCGAAGAGGATGTAGAAGATGAAGAAGAGGACGAGGAATTGGAGGATGAAGAAGAAGATGAGAACGGCGCTGGACCTAGCATCCGATATGCAAACAAAGTAGCCATCACGCCAAGAAAGAATAATGGAGAAAGCTCAAATGGCAGACCTATGCGAAGATCTGCGGCAGCTGCAAGTAATGCTTGGTTAGGATCAAGGGAAGCAGCTAGACGTCAAAGGGAAGAAAGCTCGATAGACGCAAACGAAGAGAGAGCAGAAGGAACGCCAAAGAAAAGAGGAAGGCCACCACTCTCATCCACTTCTACGCCAACAAAGAGAGCAGATGAAGCGGCTACTGATACACTAAGGAAGAGAGGCAAGCCACCTCTAATGTCCAGTCCAGCAAAAGGAGGGGTTGAGGTAGAAGTATCCACACCCAAGAAACGAGGAAGACCACCGCTAAACTCGACGCCCTCAAAGAAGGATTTAGTAGCTGAGGGCTCTGAAGGATTGGAACTAACACCCAGAAAACGAGGAAGGCCACCATTAGGCACAACAACGCCTCGCAAAGAAGTTGGAATTGAAGATACGCCAAGGAAGAGAGGAAGGCCACCTCTTTCATCAAAACATGATGAGGACGAATCGAGAAATCCATTCACAACTGGTACCGATGGTTCAATGATCAGACCTTCATCCTCTGATGCATATTTCGTGAACCATGCAACACGGGCTACATCATCTGCTCGTCTACGCACCTCAGATAATCTCATCAGCAGAGATATCTCAGCATTGGCGCCAAGGACAATCGTTAGTATGACAAAAAGATTAGCAAAAGTTGTTGAAAGCAACATGGATGACAAAGGTAAAGAAGGATCTTTGCAAGTCTCTTTCCCAACAATTGTACCGTTGAGCAAATTTGATGATTTTCATCAGCATTGGTGGTCTCTACTACAAAGCACTTCTCGACCGCTCTTGTTTTACGGTATTGGATCAAAAAGAGCACCTTTACAGCGCTTTGCTCATTCTATGGCCCAGACGGGCCGATGTAGCGTCATTGTCATTCGTGGAGATGCAGGCGGAAAGGTGGAGGAAGCCATACAAGAGATGGAAAGAACCTTATCGATTTCGCCCTATTCTGATATTTCTCGATTACAAAGGGCTATGTCGGCCAATGCAATGGAAGCGAGGGTGTTGTACTTACTCAAAGTTCTTGAGAGGACACAATCTGAAGCTTCATCAAAAACCCCTCCAGCTTTCATGTTGATGCTGCATACTATCGATTCACCGGCTTTGCTACAAGAGCGTTCGATGCGATTGTTGGGCCTTTTGTGTACATCTCCTTACATCCATGTATGTGCGGATACTATACATTTCAATGTTGCCTCTTTGGCCGGATTGGATGAGAATCTACCATGGCTATGGATCGATCTTACGACTTACATTCCAATCCTTGATGAGATCATCGGAGAAAGAGGTGCGGGAATCGGACGCACGATTGGTTTACCACCTGTATTGGATATCCGTAGAGCAGGTGCTGATAGTGATGTTGCTGTTTTAGCAATGGATCACAACAGAGTAGGACAATCACAGCTTACTGCCAGAAATGGGACAGGAGCAGATCAAGATACTCCTGCTGTTGGTCCGATCACCCTTTTGTCCGATCGTGCAGCGATTCATATTTTGAGAAGTGTTACGTTCAAGGCTCGCGGACTTTTTCTGCTTTTGGGCGGTAGATTGATCAATACATCAAAAAGCACAACACAACTTACCGCGGACACGGAAGAATTAAAAGCGATCACTTATGACGATTTATCCGAATTGGCGAGGAACAATTTTCTGGCAATGACGCCTGATGCTTTACGTGCCCTACTTGTTGAATTCACATCTCACGGGTTGGTATCGATTGTGGATAATCGAGTGCAAATCGCTTTGACAAAGTCCGATTTACAGCATGTGATCGATTCATTCTCGAAGCAGGCGGACTAAAGGGGGTAATGATTAAGATATAGGAGCTGACTTGTTTTGTATTATATTTGTAGCCATTTCCAAAGCATTTGTAATATCATCACTATTGATCTTTTTTGCCAGAGTCAAACCAAGCTACGATAAAGAGTATACACCAGAACGGTTGCTCCTAATTGAAGAATCATGATGCAGGGTGTAAATAGGTGATCTTCAAAATCACCTCATTTCACGCGTATTTGTGGGGGGTATAAGAAGAGAGCTAAAGTGTGTGTGTGTGTGTGTGTGTGTGGCATTTTGAAATTGAGCGGAGAAAACCCACCGCGACAACCTGTCTTATTAATCATGACTTCAAGCTGGTACATCAACGGCTTTTGGTTGCACACACGCACACACACACACACATTTACACACACTGCGCCTGACGTGCATAAACTACAAAAGTTGGATCATCAAGATTTCATTGTTTCCATTGTATTTCACATCCTTTTCTAACAATCTTCTATCATCCATGCTTACTATGCAAAAATGAATTTTGCACCAACGCCATTGGACTGGAGTCCAACAAAAATAGAATATGGTAAACGACAACAATCTGGCAGTAATCCACCGCCATCGGAATCAACAAATAATAATGGTACACAGCCAAGCACCAATCCAAATAGTCAAGGTGCACCGCCTTTGAGCGTTTTCACGTTTATCATTGCTATTGCATTGTTTGTCCTTGTGGTTTCGTTTGTTCTTTTACGAATCTTTGTTAGAAATCGTAGATTGAGAAGGTTGGGAATTTATCCTGAAAGTCCAATCGAACGTTTATTAGGTGGCGCGCCAAAAGAATATGAAGACAATTTACCACCTCCAAAACTCTGGGATGCAAAGATTGCCGATATCAGTGCACACAATCAAGGAGCTTTGGCAAAAGCAGAAAAGAGTTGGCTTGGTGGTGGTGTAGGAGCAGGAGAAGTTAAGGATCATGGCTGGGATGCTTTGATGCCTGTTGCGGCAGCTTTGCCTCCAAGTTTGTATCCTATCATTTATGCTCAAGATGCTGCAAATGCTGCCAACGCTGGAAATACCACTTTGGCTCCTACCGGTCCCAATTCTGCTGCTGCTTTGGGTGCTGGTCGATTTGGACGAAGGATGCCCAACTTTTTGCGTCGTTCTACCAATGAAGCCACAACAGAGGCAGATGCTGAAGCAGATAACGGAGCATCGGCAAACGCACAAGCTGATACAGGTGAAGCAGCTGGAAACACTCAAACGAACAACACTGCAGAGAAACAAAACACCGAAACAGGAAACAAAGATGAAAAGCTGTCTGCAAGTGTGAACATTACCGTTTTGATTGCAATGCCGTCACCCTCGACAGTATTTCCAACAGTGCACAAACCAAACAATAACTCTGTAGCATCTTTGCGACATTCACAATCTCGTCTTGGAAATGGAAGTGCGACAATGCTTCCCTCAACATCGAAGATTGACGAAGTACAAGAGGATGCAGATATGGATGCTCTATCAGACAAGGGAAAAGCTAAAAGAGCGCCCAGTCTGCGTAGTGTTCGAAGTGTTTCAACAATCAAGAGCTTGGCCGATGCAAGAAGAGAAGCATTCTTTGGAGGCGCCGCTCAAAGATCCAGCATTGACAATGAAGCAGCCCAGAAACCACAAGAGCAAGAGCCTGCACCAGCACCACAAAACGCTTACGATGATGACGAAGAGGAAGAATTGCCAGAATTAGTCTTTGGAACGGCAAGCGTGCCGCTGTACTCTAAAATCGTATCTGGTAAACAGTCACAAGGAGTTCCTTCTACACTCATCTCGCCAACAAAAGAAGAGATTCTGACGTTGATGAGTACGGTTGCAGAAGCAAGAACGCGAAAAGTACAACCAGCTGCAAAAGCAGATCAAAAGTCTGAAGAAGCGGAGAACAATCGACGATCAGTTGCAGGTACATCTCTCGATGGCGGAATGAGCAATCTCGAAGAACAGAATGGATTAGGAGATGTTGTTTCACGAATGATGCGTACTAATAATGGAATGCAAAGCAGTACAGAAGCATACGAGATGGATACGATGAGACGTGCAAACAATGCTGAGACATCAGTCAATGCAGGCACACCTGATGCACGACCATCTACATCCACACAAGAAGGTTTGATGATGCGAGCTGCACCTATGGGTCGGGATGATCAACTTACACCAATGGAAACCCCACTTTCAGCAAATGAAAGACAGCCACTTTATGCTGCAACTACGCCTTCCCTTCAAACACCAGGGATTGCATCTGATCAAGGACCTCTTGTGACTTCTGATAGTATGGCATCGGCAAATTTCGCAGATGCTCGTTCGCCAACGTATTCCTCTTCCCTTCATACGGCAGAAGGTAGCGTTCATTCATTCCATACGACCAATGGAGGAAGAGAACAACATGCTTGATTCCTTTGGTAGGCTTTGCCTTTCTTTCTTGTACTATACATTTCATATACCTTTATCGCTTGATTTCATCTGCTTCTTTCTCTGAAGACACAGATGATGAAATAATGCTAATGTCACGATTGCTAAATTATTGGAAAAACATCTTTTCATATTAATTCACTGAATAGGCGTACAAAGATCAAAGAAAAATAAATAAGGTTAAGCATGATGACTTTTTACAAGCCAAAAAGCACAAGGAAGAAGAGAATTTGCACACTTTTAAAGGTGCATTAAAGAAAAGACAGGACGAAAGAAGAAAATCACCAAGATATGATCTCCTGTATGAAAGATCAAAACTTGAGTGATGCGGTATCTTGGAATAGAGAAACGGATTGAGAATTAATCTCGTACAACTCTTGAGTCGTACGAGGAGAGAGTAGGCGTTGCAGACAGCAAAAGATTAAACGTTGATGAGTTTGTTATACACTGTTGAGTTCATGTAGGATATAAACTCTTCAGTAAACGTATGGAATGATACGCGAAGGTACCAATTTGGTATACTTTGTCCAATCTTTGCCATACTTGTGTTGACAAGCAGCATCATCTCTCAACTGACGATGAACCAATAAGACAACAAAGAAAGCAAAATAGAAATACGTAATCGGAGTTTCAAATCCAGTTGGCAAACTCCATGAGAAAGCCATGATCCAATCACCAAAGTAATTTGGATGACGACTTCTGCCCCACCAGCCGCTTGTTAACAATTTACGACCAGAAGATGTGGTCATGAATTGCAAGTTCTTCTTGTTGCTTCCATTACGGAAATCGTTCTTCTCTCCGTTTGCTGTTCTGAAAATGTAGTAGCCGGTAAAGTTGAGCGCCAAGATGGCCACTGTTGCGAGGATTCCCAGATCCTTAGGATGGAAGGCCAAGTAGCGTGCTTGTAAGCCATACACAAAGGGAACCCAAGTGAGATCACCAACGGACAACATGAACCCGAAGCCATCGGTAGTGATATCCATTTGTGTCAGGATTGAGCTCTCGTTGAAAAGGGCGTCAACAATGTACCAAGTGTGGAAAAGGACTACCAAAGCCATACTGTCGGTAATGCGACCGTTCAGTGAAACAAATTGATGGCAAGCACAGCTAATATCCAACAAATACCAAAGAATCATTCCTGGACGTAATTCATTGAAAGTTTTGATATCGAAAACGCCAATTCTTGGATTCAATTCACGACCGATGAACCAGTCAAACAAGTGGTTTCCGGTATTACCACCTTTTGCCAATAACTTGTCAGCCTTGAAGCTTTCAACATATACGTAAATTGATTGTACGACAGCCATTGTGATGGAAGCAGTGATCAAACCGGGCCAGTGACCGTAAAGCAAATCATCGAAAGCTTTGGCACCTTGAGTAAAGATGATTACAGCTGAAGAGATGGCAGCAGCCAAAAAGGTAGCAAAAGCATTAATCTTGTATTCTAGCTTTTTGCCAGTACGTAATTCAGTTCCTTGAACTTGTTGACCAGGTAGTACGGCCCATGCAACGATGCAGAACGCATACCAGCCAAAGTATACCGCCCATGCTTGCCAATCAAGGAAAGATTCTTTTACGCCTGCAACGAATTGATGAGCAATCACTTCGGGATAACGAGGTAAGATTGAGCAACCGACTTTTTCGTTGCATGCAAAGTACAGCAAATAAGCAAAGAATGGTGTCAAGATGGAGACACCAGCAGCACCAACTGGACCACCGAATTCGTATTCGGTCGTTTTAGGGTTCAGCATGGTATCCTTCTTTTTGATTGAACGAGTTGATGTTTTACGTTGAACAGTCTTTTTTGCTGGAGTGCTGGTGGTAGAAGCATTAGAAGCGGAATCATCAGCAACTTTCTTTGTCGATTTACGTCCGCGTGGCTTAGGCGTTGGTGTATCGGGATTGGAAGTTGTATTCTCGATTGCGGCTTTTGTTGCACTTCCGTTTGGCGTATCAGCTTGAGCAGCGGCTGATTTCAAACTGCTTGTACTCTTTTTACGTGAACGCGAACGCGAAGGAGTTGATTGTCCGCGGGTTTGAACCATTTTTGCAAGCAGATCTTGTGGAGGATTAGGCTATCGGGTTAGGATTGAATGAATGACAAGGCTGTGTGAAGAAGGAACAAAGCAAAGTTTAGAAATCAGTTCATACTTTCAAAATCTGCAATGTTTAAAAACAGAATGTTATGCAAGATGTACGTAACGCGTATTAAAAACAGCCCATCCTAAAGATACACGCGCGAATACGATGCGGCGCAAATTTGCATCCATTTTTGTCAACTGATTATAAATTGCATCCGTTCGCATGAATTGTTTTGTAATCCGCTATCTTTGCATTGCATTCAATAAAGATAAAAATACTCACAATTGTGGATCGTTAGCGAGCTATATTTTGCCTCACTTTGTGTTTGTAATGATCGACCGTTTTTCCGTGAAGATGGAGGTGACGTGATCGGATGTGATTGTGGATGTGTACGCGTTTTTGTTACATGTTGAATGTAAACACTTTTTCTTTTTAACTTTATCGGGGGCTATTTCCATTACGTCGATCGTCTGTGCAGAAACCTTTTTTGTTTTTGTTTTCTCAACTTTTGGACAGCGTTGCATCGGTTGTGCATCGGTGCGGTGCGCGGCGCAATTTGTCGTTTTGTTATAAATTAGGGTAATTTGCCGGGCGCGTCTTTGCTTGTCAGCGCTGTTGTGTTTTCATGGCGGGGCACAACATTGACACTAAACAGATTTCTCCGCATCAAGAAAACAAAACAACCATCCAAACAAAGAAGAAATTGAATTTTCATTTTTACGTTTCATACGACATTGGCATTTATATAATCTTGAAATCATGTACCTATAAAATGGAAGATAAAAAGAACGAAAAAAAGAAGTGGCTGCTTGCAAAAGAAGCATGGGGTTGGAAAGTATAGATACATGGATGATTTTGAAACCTTAAACCACATGAGGTGCTGTCCAAGAGAATGAACGGAATTCAGCTTGATCTTGAGCAGACAAGACGCTATGAACAGGTGTAAGAGTTGGCTTTTCACTTGTGAACTCGGTATCGAACCAACTTGTATCACTGGGATTCTTCAATGTAGGAATGAATGGCGGTGGAACACGTTTGTGGAACATATCATCCCAATTCACATCCCGGAAGAATGGATGTGCTTTGATCTCATCTGCATCCGTTGGTCCTGCACCTAGACGCTTGGTTGGATCCCTAGTAAGCAATCTGTGCAAGATTGAAACAGAATCTGGAGGCATATGAATAGGATAAAGTGGTTCATCTTCCAAAATTGCATCAAAGATTTCATCTTCATCATCTCCTCGGAAAGGTGCTTGACCCAATAGCATTTCGTAGATCAAAATTCCAAATGCCCACCAATCCACTGCTCTTCCGTATCTTTGTTCCAGCAAGATTTCAGGCGCCATGAATTCAGGCGTTCCACAGAATGTGCTCGTTGTACTGCCAAACCACATATCCTCTTTGCACAAACCATAATCTGCAACCTTGACGTGACCATCAAGGGTGAGCAAGATGTTGTCCAATTTCAAATCACGATAGATGATTCCTTGCTTGTGGAAGTACTCGAGAGCCAGAAGAACCTCCGCAGCATAGAATTTTGCCCTCCTTGGCGTGAATTGTTCACGTTGAATATGCAACATCAAATCACCACCGCTGATGTACTCCATAACAAAGTACACTCTCGTTTCAGTTTGGAAACAAGAATGCAAGCCCAATAAGAAAGGATGTCTTTCGCGTGCAGCTGCCAAAAAGACTCGCTTTTCTGACTTTGTACTTTCAACTTCATCATTCTCGATGATGAATTCTTTCTTTAGCACTTTGATGGCATAGAGATAACCTGATCTCTTTTCTTCTGCCAACATCACTTTACCAAAGTTACCCTTACCCAAGACTGCCAGGAAGTTGAAATCATTAAGACCAATCTTTCTTTTTGACGAAGGCGGGTTGCGTGGTGGTTGCATTTGAAGTGGCTGTTGTTGACTTGCTGGCGGCATAACAACTTGTTGTTGATTTGGTGGTGGCGGCTGTTGTCCATCAATAGTGATTGTCGAGCCACTTCTGATAGAAGCTCCATCCGTGCTTGTTTGACCGGGACCAGCAGAATGGAATGATTGCTTAGAAGGCGAAGCGGGAATGCCTTGCGTGAAGCCAGAGCCAGGTTTTTGACCGGGAGGACCATGCAGGTTGCCTTGAGATGCAGACTGAGACATTGGAGGACGTCCTTCATAGCTGCCGCCAAAGCCTTGTTGTGATGCTGGCTGTGGCAAAGGTCTTGGAGGTCGAATGCCTTGTTGAGAGTCATTATAAGCGCTTTCATCCATCGAGCGTGCACCGCCTGGCACAGGTCGACCGTATTGTGACGTCTGCGGTCCAACACTTTGTTGCGACATGGATAATTGCGGTGGTCCTCCTCCTGGGGATGAAGGTTGCTGTGGTCTGATTCCCATTTGCGCAGTTTGTTGTTCCAGCCCAGTAAATCCTGAGGGCGGCCTGCCTTGTTGAGAAGACAGATTATTGCTTGGTTGAGTGCGAGCTGAAGTTTTGTTACGATTAATGGCTTCCATGTCGGTCAATAATTGATTGGCCATCTCCATCGACATACCACACAAATCAGGCACTAAGTGCGCACAATCGGCATGACATGTCAAGTCACATTCTGTGCACTTTCTTGCATTCTTTCGTCCAAGAGGTAAGATGTAACCACAATGGCAACACCAATTTGCACCAATGTTTGTCAAAGGCACAAATCTATGTGGAATACGATGGTTGATCTTCACTTCATCACGATCAGCTTCAGCATTACTCTTACTGATACACTTCGTGACAACCTTTTGAGCGCATTTCTTGTGACAGGTGTATCGACAGTCGTCACATTGACTTCCAGCTGCGTTGAGTAACAATTCTCCGCAGAGTGCACATCGAATGATTTGGTAGAATTGACGTGAGATAAATTTGTGTCCATTGATTTCAGAGACATCTTCCTTGCGCTTACGAACAGCACCTTGACGGCCAAGACGGGCGTCGTATGGGCGTTTGCGGACATTTTGTTTGACAAAGTTGACACGCAAGAAGATTGCTCCTGCTGGTTCAACGGCAAACCAAGCCTCGATACCATCTGACGTTGGACCCATAGGAACGGGTGCACCTGCAGGGCCGTTGTTGAATGTTGCGTCCATCATACCAGGTTGGGCAGGAGAATTGAATGATGCTGGGCTTTGTTGCTCTTGCACATCTTGTGCGGTGACCCAACCACCGGGAGCAGCCGGACCAGCAGCATCAGGAACTTGACCAAACTTCTTTTTACGCAATTCTTCGACGATATCACTGATACGAATCCAAAGCATACCTACAGGCTCAGGATGGTTCGATCCGATACGGTCGTATACAGTCACTTCGATCTCATTTGCATTATCCACGGCAACTTCAAAATCTTCTTGCCATCGATCGGTACGACTAGGGTGGGTCCTTGCTCTTGGCGTATCCTCCACTTTGATAACCACAGTCGATTCCCTTGTTCCACGCTTTGGATTAGGAACGTGATCGATATCACGAGCACTTCTGACTGATACTTGCAGTGTACCAGAGAGCGGCTTACGCAAATTCTGACGTCTTCCGTCCAAGGAAGCAGGCATATTTTCGTCCTCGGCATCTTCGTCCATTACATGCAATTGCTTGTACCTCTTGATGCTCTGTTGCAATAATCGAATCTTGGCAGCACTTTCAACTCGTTTTGATTCGGCATCATTTTTGGACTTCCTGTCACCGTCAGCTTGATATAGCTTTGCCATCTTATCGATACCCATCTTGTATTGCTGTTCGATTTGCAGCTTGAATTCGAGCTGGTGTAGCATCTTGGAGATTTTTGCCGTAGTATGCGGCATGTCATACTTGATCAAATCGAGATTTGTGTAATTCTTTCTGGCGCTGGTACCCATCCTGTTGATGTCCTGTCCAGCAAGTGGTGCCATACCTTGTTGTTGCATTGGAGATTGCCCTACGGGTCTCCTTCCGTCACCTGGTGCCATTGGCAATGGTCTGTCATCGTACCTCTGAGGTAAACCACCTGGGCCTGGACTTCCTCTCCTGCCATCAGAAGGCGCAGAAGAGAGATAAGATGAAGAACTATCTCCCGGATAAGGACGAGAAGAACCTGAGAGACTTCCATTGAAGCTATTGCTAGAGGTGAAACTTGGCGGTCCAGAGCTTCCGATAGAGGATGGCATTCCTGCTCCTGGTGGTCGCATGCCAGATGGAGAACCAGTTCGACCTGGTGCTTGTACCATGCCGGGTGAATAGAATGCGTTTGGATTGCTTGGTGTTGCACCACCTGGTGGACGCATACCTGTTCCTCCGCTAGACCGTCTACCTTGGAGAGCTCGAAGAGATTCTTCCAGGTAAGAAATATTACGTTGAGCATCTCTAATTTGTGCTTCTGCAGATCTAATCACATCTTGATTTGGCGTTGCTCCGCGTAATGCTTGACTGCCTTCCATCAGCTTGCGCTGAGTTTGAATCCGCGCATGGATTTCAGCAATCTTGGCTTCGGTAGAATCCTGTGCAACGAGTGAAAGGAAAGGGGAGAAAGGATTTGAGTCATGTCAGTCTGAGATCAGGAGAAGTGTAGCATTCAAAGTAGAGTATACTCACCGCCATGTTGTCTTGCTCTCCCCACTCTCTTGGGCCAAATTATCGGACTGGCTGGAGAAGGTGAATTGACAAGAAAGAAGGAAACTGTTGATGATCTCCTTCTTTTGATGATGGTGATGAGCATGAGAAAGCAAAACACGACAGCACTTACTTGTGCTTAGTGCATGCGTGTGTGTGTGTGTGTGTGCTGCACATTAGCACAAAGACGACTGCCTGACTACATACGCACACACACACACACACTCCTTCTACGGGGCAATCGGACAAGATCCGCATACAAACCGTAACACTGCTTCTGTGCAGAGGCCGGCGCGCCTCCCTCTCCTGACGCGAAGGGTGCCTGACTAGGGTCACACGTGCTACTTTACAGGCAGTAATCTTGATGCTTCATTCTACATTTCACGGTATACAGATCTTTGCCTTCATCTCTACAAACTTACCAAGACGCCAAACGTACTTAATCATGGCGAAAGATTTGTCTGTTATAAGCACATTCTCAGATTTTGCTGTTAGCAGTCTTTCTAGTGCACAAGAATCAACTCAGGAAACACTGCCAAAGGAAATAAAAAGAACGCATACATTGTCATTCCAAAGGCATCGAGCATGCATGAACATCGAGACAGAATATATCATCAATGATCATGGCAAAGAATTTTTACAAAAGTACGAGAAGATCAAGGAGAAAGACATTCCAACAAAAAGTACTACCAACACTTTTCTTTTTGACAAATTGGTAAAAGCAGCTAATCAGCATGTCACTGCTGGAAAAGTTGCATTATGGCAAAACACCTTGCGCCTTCAAATAGCATTTTTGGTGTCGTACCCTAACAGGAAAGAAATGAAGACTCTGACCGCCAGTGATATCCATTCAAGTGGTCTGCCAATCATAGTCAGAGATTTCATCAATACAGTGCGTACTCATTAGTGCACAGGCTTAACAAAGCGCATACATTCTGACCATTTCTGCTTTTATAGAACGATCACAAACTTGGGATTAACAGTGTAAAGATAATGCAGTTCAAGCAGCATGAAGATCATGTAAAGAGTGAGTCGCAACACATCTTGCTTGCGATGGATGCGCTAACGTACATTTTGCCATTACGCAGTTTATTTGAACAGTTCATCGGGCGGCACTTCTCTACGCTCACAAGATTCTAACAACAAGTCAAACACAAATTTAGCAACTATCTTGAGAATGAAGGTATCGATCAGATTTATGAACTGCAACCAAAAGCACAGTAAAGATTTTCAAAATGGTGTGCGAGGTGTGTCTTGTGCTGCCTTACCTATTCATTTCGAAGAAAATGATGAGCTGACGTCTGAACAATTTACAGATCGCTTCTATACTGACCTTTGTTCGTCAAGCACAGCTCCTGTGATCAAAACCTTGCTGGAACGCTGTATGCGCCTGTTCTTGAACACATACCTTATCACGAAGTTCAAATCTTCTCTTTTCCAAACTCAAGCGAACGAAAAGACCAACACAATTCCGCAAATCGAGCAGCTTGTTGAAGCAATGACATCAATCACTTTGGAGAACAAGCAAAATGGAAGATTACAAAAGGCATTTTCGGTGAGATCCTCTTCAGAGAAATTTTGCAAGGTATCGGTACGCTGATCTATACCTAATCTAAAATTTCACAGCTTCTTTCAGACATCGTTAAGGTTAAAGAAGGCGCAATCCCAGATTTCAGCCATTCTGATTCGACAAAGTCGCATGCTGAACATCAGAATGCTAGATGGATTTATCAGACAGCTCTGATGCGAGGTGATTGGCAGATGAGAAAAGAAGATTCAGTAAGACTTCTGAGACTGCATTCGGAACGTTGTCACAATCTACTTACACATCTTGCCGCCTGTCACGCCAGAATAATCGTATTGCCAACAATCCCGGACAGGAAAAATCTCTTCACAATGCTCCGCATGTGATTATTAAAGAAAATGGCAAGTTCCCGAAGGCCAAAAAGGCAACAACGAGAAATGAGAATCAAGATGAGACCATGGAAGAAGTTCCATCTCAAGCACAGTCTCGAGATTCATCTCAAGTATCGTTTCAAATTCCACCTCAAGTATCGTCTCGAATTCCACCTCAAGTATCTTCTCAAGATTCATACCAAGATTCTTTACGGGCTTCATCTCAAGTATCGTTTCATTCTCAAATTCCGAATCAAATCCTATCTCAAGTTTCACACCAAAATGCATCTCAAATTCCATGCCAAAATGCATTTCAGGTTCCAAATCAAGATTCTGTTCAAAGTTTCCCGCGAGATGCAAACTACAGGGTACAGGCTTCTTCTTCGTCCTCAAGAAGAGTAAATACTTTCGCAATTGAGGAAAACTCTGAAACTTTCAATCGTGCGTCCCATTTCTGTACATCGGGCAATTCGTTCATTGCGGAAGAAGAGATTATAGACACCGGCTCGAATAGTGCTCCTTTGTATCCGCATGCTTCCCAGAGAATGATCCAATTCGGTAGTAGCAGCCTGGATGTAGAGGATGAAGAGGTTGTTGCTGCAACTGCAGCGGCCGAAATTCTTGCAAGTTTCAGATTGACGGCCAGTCACGGTAACAAAAGGTGCGCAAAGACAAAAAGTTCATCAAACAAGCAAAATACTAATTCAAACAATACTGCAAATTTACCTTCAAATCAGGATAAGAATCTAAAATCAAGCTTTTCAAAAGTGAAACAAATCCCTGACGGAGCAACAAGTGTGAATACCTCAAGTAAACCAACAACAAATAATACACAGAGATGGAAATCAAATAACAAACAAAAAGATGCATCAAAAAATCCACCAGTCGAGATCAATTCTTCCAAATCTACTGAAACGCATCAAACACGCAAGCAGTCCGACTCTCAAGAGACTGCAACAAAAGGAAAATCCTGGCAAAATGCCATTGACGTGGATAATTTTGTGGCAAAAGGATCTTGCTGGCAAAAAGCCATCGATGTGGATGAAATTAATGAGATTGAATTGACTGAAGAAGTTCGTCAAAGTCCAAAAAACCGAAGTTTTGCGCTCAAGGGTAAAGATGTGCGCGTCAAAAAGGAAGTAAAGCAAGAAAAATAAGTTCGATGCATCGCACAAACGATATTAATGAGGTTGAAAAGATACGATTGAGAGAGAATTGATGCGATAGATGCTGATGATTGATACAATGTAAAATAAAAGCGTTAAAGAATCAAGAAAAGAAAATAGTACATAAGCGACCATTATGGTATGGAGGAAACGGCTTCCATAGCTTGTTCCACGGACATGTTCAAGATTGACAGTCCCATCTGAACATCAGTGTTGCTCTCTGCAGACTCTTTATGTGTATCGTCTGCTTGAACAAAAGGTATTGCCTTCTCGAGCCATTCGTGCAAAGGATGCAAGAAGCTATCCTTGATCTTACTCACAATATCTGCATCACGTATTCCGGTGAGATTATTGTGGTCCTTTGTCAGCACTAGATAGATAAAAGATGTTGTCTCACTAATCTTAGGTGCATGATCGTCCAAGTAGGATTTGATGAGTCCGATCACCACACCTTTCGGCCTTGGTTCGCCTGCTTCTTCCACATTCGGAAGTACTTCAGCTCCGTCGCTTAGAGAGAAGACTTTAGTGGCGAATGAATGAATGAAGCTTTTCTGCGCAAAGATAATTGGTTGACCTGTATTGCCATCGCTATTTTTGATGCGATCGAGATCAGAAGAGATCAATTGACGTGCAAGACCAATTGCAGCTGCACTCAATTGAGGATAAGGCGATTCGCACATGAGATCACGAAGTAGCTCACGTCCAATTTCAGGCTCAACCAAGCTTTGCAAGACCGTTTGAACGATTCGAAGACTGATGTGACGGGCCATTGGTCTAGGTGATAAAGCTGAATGAGATGAAAGGACTTGAACGAAGATGATTGCCTCTTCAGAAGATAATAACCCCTCTTGTGTGCCTTCTGATCCTTGACTCATCGCTCGAATACACCAGATCGCCCACGTAAGCGCAATGTCAGGAAGATGGACAGTACCACCGAGAGATTGCGAGCCATCTTGACTAGTGGTAGCGGGTATATTCGAGCCCAGGCATGCGACCAGCATGCCCATGGATCTTTGCAAGCTCTTCAGTCCTTCTTTTGCAGTCCATTTGATCGGATCATTGCCTTCATTGCTGATGTCAGGGGCGCGGGCAAGGAGATTGACATGCAATATGAAAGCTCCCATCGTCTTTGCTGCAGCGGAGACCGAGCTGTTTGCACCTATCAATTCACTGTCTTCATTTGAGGTAGCAGTCTCTGACGGGTTCGTATCAACTTGACGTTTTTGGCGATCGAATGCTAAAGATTCATTATCGATCTTAAGGTCTCTTACCAATCCATCCAACTGTTTCCATGCTTGCGAAGACAATGCTTCAATAGTGGGCCTTATGCGTTTTGGCGGCGATTCTTTGCTCGATGGTTCGATCTTATATCTAGGGAACCATTGGTAAAAGTAATGATCGGAGAGATGGATCTCGTTGTGAGATTGCGGCATTTGTGGCAGAAGCACAATCATTGACGTCAAGAGTAAAGCTGATGACAATTCGAGTACTTTATCTTGCATTTCGCCTTCCATCCCTTTTGCCCAATTTGTAGTATCGCGCAAAAGAGCAACGAGACTGATTACGATTTCGCATGCCGCTCTCTCTGCTTGCCCAATCGACAACTCAGATGTAGAGCTTTTGCGATCTGACCTCAAGGAGAGAAGATCATCACTTGAAGACACGGGTGGATAAGGAGATGGACTTGCACCAGTGATACCCACAGATTGTGGCAGGTCAACTTGGAGAGCTCCTTTCACACATCGTGGGACAAGTTGAACGAGTGGCTGAATAAATTGAATCGGTTTTTTCGTCTTGATTCGTGGCATCACCTTTGCGATCACATGCAAGAGCCCGGCAAGCTCCAATGCGGCCGACCAGAGCGCAACCTGTTGTTTACTACTGCCACTTATACTGGTCATCTGAGGTAAAGCTATCCGAAGATCTTTTGTTTGACTTTGCTCTGAAGGTGATTCAGCCGAATCGCTATTCTTGTCAGGTGATGTCTCCATTTGTGACTGTTTACCTTGAAGCGGTCTTTCACCCAAAACTTCCATCCTTTCTTGTACGGCCATATAAATCTCTCTTGGGCTACAATGTTGAGCAAACAAGTCGAATGTAGCCATTGCCAATCCACGGAGTGTGATTGATTCTTCTGCTTCTTCTGAAGCAGTAAAAGGTGCCGGCAATCCAACTGTCTCGATTGGGATCAAACCCAAAGCTGGACTTAAAGCATTAAAGATTTCAAACGAAAGAGGCGTGACGAGCTCTTCAACGACATGTTTACCTTTTCTTGATGCACATTGCAAAGAGTTTGAAATGTCCAAAAGAAGCGTTCGCGTTTGTGCCAACAGCCCCTCATGCCTTCCATCATAAGTGGTCTGAATATCACTGAACCTTTTCTCCATCTGTGGTGAGGAAATTCCGGAGCGTGAAAGAGGTGAACTTGCAGCACTGGAGCGTTGAGAAGCTTTACTCAAATGAATAATATCATGCAATGTTCTTTGCAATGAATCAATCAATTGTTTGAGATTGTCATTATGAGGCGATTCTTCTTTTAATGCAACAGTAGAAAGGTTTGAGGGAGCACGAATCTCTGTCCCATGAGCGCCTTCAACAACCGTATCTTCGCTTGAATATCTCGCTCTATTCGTGACCAAAGTTCGTCCCCGTGGCTTTTCTTCCGCTTCTTCACCACTGGCTGGTACGTTCACCGTCGATGTCTTTGTATCCACGTTTTCCTCAACCTGACCTTCTACAAGTGTAGGGCTTTGCGGAACGCTGACGGAGTCTAAAGGCGAAGTGGGCCATGCTTTGATCTGCATAGAAGCAGAATCGCGAGTCCTTCTTCTTGCACGCCTCGAATTTTGTTGACTGCCATCTCCTCCTTTGCCATGCAGACCTTCAACATTAACATGTAGACCTTGTGATTGTTTTCTATCATCCAATTCATGACTTTCAAGCGTACCACCGACACTGAGTGCTTCACGTATGATTGGTACAGCTCTTTCATCTGTGACCTGTATGTATACTTTTGCCCTCTTTTGAATCCCACGAGAGCTTCTTGTACGTGTGCGTGAAGCAGGCCTAGAGGTAGAAGGAGATCTGTTGGGCATCCTTGGGAACGGTTGCTGCGATGGCGCACTTGATTCAACTGAGCTTGTCGATGAGCTGTGGCCTCCGTTTCCAGGCAAACCTGGACCATCTGATGGAAGTACGTCACTTGATTCATTTATCGGTTCTTCGATCACAGTGACATGTTTGCGACCATCAGATTGTCCAGAACGTGATGATCCGGTATGCCTGCGTCCTCTTTGATCTTCAGAGGCAGAAGGCCCTTCATTTTCGCTGACATCGTGTGACATTGCACCAGCCGATGAGTTTGCTCGCGATCTTGTTATGGATGCATGCGAATTTGAATGATTGGTATACGGCGATTGCAGATTGCCATAGTAGGAAGATGCTCGTGAGACTGCTTGACGAATCATTGATTGCGGTTGTCGAGGGAACCTGATGATCAAATGGAACGCAAGACAGCGCATCGAACCATCTTTGCTTGGCATTGTGGGTGCATGTGCTCGTTCTCGAGATTGCGCAGGTGAAGATGCGCTTCTTCTATATTGTGGTCGTGTATCAGGTGAATTTGTCTTGCCATATGTGGCATATTCACGATTGACAGGAGCAGCGGGAGATTGACTAGGCTTTCTTCCGAAAGCGGCCATGATACTTTGTACGAGCGATAATTGACCTGATCCACCTTTGCCGTCTTTGTCATCCTTTTCATCAGGTAACTCAATCACACATTGAAATACTTGAACGTGTGCATAACCATCACTGCGTTCGTCCGTATTGGAATAGGTATGTGCGAAAAGAGGCGTTGAAGGGGTTGTGATGGCATCCAAGGACGTTCCGACTGCTTCTGCAAAAGCGGCACTGACAGAGGTTGTGGGTATTGTAGGCGTTTGTGGACCAAAGAAGCTGGACTTGGGTGTTTTTGCCATACCAGAATAATCAGGCCAAGTGTGATACAAAATACCTGCACAACGCAAACAATACTTGATAAACGAAACCACACGTTCAGGTGGCTGATTAGTCGGATTTAAGGCCACTAATGTTGTACTGGATAAGACGCTATTGCCATTTGTTAAACCGCCATGCAAAGAGCGAGAAGGCGATGGTGCTCTGGAATTGCTCGGCGTGGATCGACGTGAAGCAGAAACGGGAGTTGCAGCACCACTTGGCGATCCTTTTGCGTGGGTATCTGTTGCACTTTCGACCAACGGTAATCGGATAGAATGAGTTGGCTTAGAGGGTATAAATGTCGTACTTTTGAATTTCTTTGCCGTTCTATCAATCTGTCCCAACGACTTCTCTTGTTCTTTCACCATTTCCTCAAAACGTGCCATTCTTCGTTTGCCGTCCATATCTAGCAATGCCCCAATTTTGTCACGCATAGATGCATCTCCTATACTGGCAACCGCTCTTTGAGCACGAATTGACATGCCTCGCAAACTTGAATGAGAAGCACCGAGAGGGAATCTTGCTCCTGTCAAACAACGCAACATAGTCACACCACATGTCCAAGCGTCCACTTCAGGACCCATATACATAACCGATCCGGGAGGACTTGATAATGCTTTGACAATTTCTGGACAATGAAATGCTGGACTACCACAGCATGTGCTTAATTTCGCTTCACTCTTGCTGAAATGCGTTGCCAACCCGAAATCGAGAAGCTTGAGTTGTAAGGTTTGCGGATGTACAAGAATATTCTCTGGCTTGATATCTCGATGACATATTTGCAACGGAACATGAATCGCATGAACAGCTGATAGAAGTTGAGCTAGAATTCGTTCAGCAGCAGCAAGAGGTAGGATGTGTGGTTGAACAGGACAAAGGATTGGTAGCAAGGCTTCCAACGTAACGTATCCATCCAAATATTCCTCCACCAAATAGAAATGGCCTGGCGTTCGTATAGTCTCTTTGACAGTGACTAGGTTAGGATGCGGGGGTAGCTCAGCCAGTAAGGTGGGCTCTCGTAGTAGTCGTGTAGCGATCAATTGATGATGCGGAAAAAGGGCGGTATGTTTGATAGCTGTCAATTCCCCACTCTTGCAAGCGACAAAGACTGTTGAAAACTTTCCTCTTCCTAATGTTTTGGGCAATAAAGTGTAATCACAAATACCTCTGCTTAGCAGCATATCAGCACTGGGTACGTCCACTGGCTCGTACAACTTTGACTCAACCTCTTCCAATGCGGGTAAGATGTCCTCTTCTGTCCATGAGTCCGGTCTTGGCTTCTTGGAACTGGATCTAGCCCTTGATGAGACAGACGAGCTTCTAGGAGTGATCTTGCCTGAAGTAGAAGCATCTTCGCGTTCTTGCGGGAGAGGAGAAGATGAAGCATTTCCTCCTGGTTTAATTCTTCCTGCATCTGCTAATTTGAATACGGCCGATCCAGCTCCACGAGTTCGTTCCCATAGATCTTTTTCTGCTTGTTTTGCTGCTGCTCTTGCCCTTTCCTCCTCAGCCGTTCGCTGTCTCGGTGGAGGAGCTTGCATGACAGCTGCTTATTATACAGCCTGATGCGAGATGGGGAGATGAAGTTGTCCTTACCAGATGATCATGGTTCGGAAAATAACCGAAACGCAAAGAAGAGTGAGCCTGTGATGGTATAAAGGTGAGGTCGATTTGCGTGCGTTTCAATGATGCAATCGGGGCTCATCCAAAGGTTCGATTGTGAATTATGCCTCGGCTTCTCGCGGAAGCCGTAGGGTGAATGTTCAATACCGGATAATTAATTTGATTGCTTTCAGAACAGTCTTTTCTCCACTAAATTGTCGATCTTTGTTCTTCTTCTAGTCTTAATTTGACTCTTTACCGTTCTTGTCCCGTTCATTCGATAGAAGATTGCGGACTTGGAATTTGACCTTTTGGCTTTGGTTGTTCGGCTATGAATTGTTGTTGTTGTTTGGGTGCATGTACGATGTACCTGAAACAAGATAATGCAATTGACAAGTTTCGATAATAGTTTAGCCCCGTTCTGTGTGTGTGTTGAAATCTATTGTGTCATGTTGTTTGTTTTGAGTGATCCAGTCTGTGAATGCCTGTGATATCAATGACGAAATGAATCAATTACATATGCACATTCGAAAGAACAACACCCTGCCAGGGTACGTATGCCTGCGCAAGGTAAGTAGTAAAGATAAGAAAGTTACATGCATCTCCAGAGTCAAAAAAGCTCAATTGCTTATGCCGGCGCACCCATGCACACGCGTAAAGATATCCATCCCCACGCAAAAAGATAAGGAATATTAAGCGAAACTTAAACTCAGCATTTTCATCTTAACGGGTTTCCCGAACTCTTCTGGATGTCATATAATTCTAATTGCTACCATTACTATATTATCTCACAAGCCAGCTTATCTGATTGACTGCGCACAAAGATGAATTGAGTAAAAAGAGGCGGCACAACAGATCACCAGAGAGACAAAGACGGTTAAAGATAATTGAAAAGAAAAGAGAAAAGAAGGCTTGTTGTTGAAATATGAAAAAGAACGAAGAGGAAAAAAGAGGGCGATCATGGCAATAGAGAAAAGTCAAAAGAAGAAACTATTGCTGTCGACAAAAGAAAATCGATGGGAGAGAAAAAGGTAATGACACAATTAAACAAGCGCATACAGAAGAAAGGAATGATTGCGGCCGTCTATGCGGATCTTTGAAGCCCTTTTTTTTGGGGTGATGCATGGTGATTTGGGAAAGTTACTTCCCATTCAAACGTATTCGTATCAAGCAGAAGTAGAGCTGGTATCCTCGGTTGCATTGCTTCCTTCTGTGCTTGATCGAACTTCGTGTTCGCCTGCTTTTGTTGTAGATGCAGCTGATAAAGGTGATTCAACAATTTCTGGCTGATGTTCTAAATCTGGCCTGCCCGTTTGATTGTTCTCTTGTCTTTTGCTTGCCTCCTTTTCACCTGCTTCTTCCAATTCAGACACTTGTGCAGTTTGCATTTCCTCATCGCTGTCTTCATCTTGATCTACAACATGGGCCTCATAAACAACATCTCCATTTTCATCAGTTTGACTTCCAGGGCGGAAAACAATTCCCGCTCCTCCTAAAGCTCCGGCAAGTCCGCCGGGTAATCGTAATGTTGTTTGTTGACCATCCCTTTCATCATCTTCAGCTCCTGCACCGAGATTACCAGCCAAAGCAGATAAGACGCTACCGCCTCCCATTCCACCCAATCCGCCAACTGAAAGACCACTGTTGTTACTCTGTCCACTGAATACGGGTGCAATATCTTCTGGTGTTTCCCATCCCACATTTTTCTCTACGCGATCCTTAACCCATGCATACCATTCCTCCTTTGTTTTGCCGTTCAATAGAGCAACGATACAAATTGTCATATTATCACATCCAACCCCACCGATCTGGGAATCAGGCGCCAGACAACGATCTATTGCTTCTTCACAGATTGCCTTTAGCTCTTTTCCATTTGCGATTTGACGACGAACGAAATCTACAACTTGTTGACTGCTCAAACAATCCCAAATACCATCACATGCAAGCACCAAGAATTCTTCTTCGCCGGTAATGTCGTGATTGATGATTTCCGGATCAGCTGTAACGATTTGCTGTTCTGGTTCCAAAGAAAAGTTTTGCTTGAATTCGAAATCACCAATTGCACGGGACAATGCCAAATTACCGTTCACTCGGCCAAATTCAACGAAACCTCCGGCAGAAACGATACGTGCGTTTTCGGTCTTGTTGCCTGGTTTGTGATCCTGACTCATGGCTTTTGCTTCACCGGCAAGACCTAAAACGGAACGTGAATCACCTGCATTTGCAACGAGAATGCGTCTGGCGGTCTTTTCTTGCTTTGATTGTGTGTCGTCTGTTGGACCTGCTACGAGTAAAGCGACGACTGAAGTACATCCTGATGGATCATTTGCGAATGATGGGTTGGCTCGTAGATCTTCATCTGTTGCCAAGAAGGCTCTCTTCAAGGCTTCCTCGTACTTTCCACTTTTGTATTCCTCTGTTGCTGCTAATCTGGTATGTAGAGTATCTCCTGTGAATTTTGCAACAGTTGAACCTCCGTGTCCGTCATAAACACCGAAGAAGCTTGCCTTTTCGTCTCCCTTCTTTTCGTCCAAGTTCAACACTGTTGCATGCGCATCCTCCATACCTAGAAAATGGTATGTTGTTAGCATGGTGATTAAAATCAGTCTCCAAATTATCATCCTACTACTCACTAATCCGCCATCCTTGCATCTCTGAGATCGCATATACAAGCGTATCATCTTCGCCAAACAGTGTATGCTAGAAGAGAGAGAAACAATGGGTCAGCATAAAGGAATGCAAAAGAGAAATCACGAATCATTTGCATGTCTATTCGATCCATGAACCGTCAGACCGATAGGGTTTGCAGACTGGGCTTCGCAATGAGGAAGTCCTTTTCTCCATGGAATACCGCTCTCACATCTCCCTCCGTACGCAAGCAAATGCCGTTTTCACATCCACAAAGGCACTGAAACAAATTGCTTACCTTGTCCTTCACCGGTTCCGATAGAGTTTGACCCATGTTGAATGAATGGGTATGGGAAAAGAAAAGAAAGTGAAAAGACTAATGAAAATAAAGCCCGAAAGAAGGGCTTTTGATGATGGAGGCTGTTAATTAGAAAGGATTGCCGGATATCCAAGTCATCTCTGATCCGAGACTGAATAATCAGCACTGGCTTCAACACAATCGGGCTGTAGAGAATATACGCACACACGCACAATGATCTTTTGTATGCACGCCCTTGTTATGCGTGCGCAGCGCAAGCCTACTTTCTGTATTGCACACAATGCACAGTCATCTGAACGCAGGCCTAGATTTTGCCAAATTGAATCGCGCCATAAGAATGTTCAATTGAATAGATCACGTGGCATTTCTTCCTTTCCATCAGAAGATATCCACGACCAGCATACCTCTATATTTGCGCGCGCTTTTCTACCATCATCGATTTAGAGATAATATGGTAAGTACCTTTGGAATGGGAAATGTTTTTGACAATGCAGAATTGTTGACATTGCTCTCCTCTCTTCTCTCCAGCGTCCAATTCTACTTTCGGGACACGAACGGTCCTTGAATCAAATCAAGTTCAATCGGGAGGGAGATTTGCTATTCTCATGTTCAAAGGATAACGTCGTTAATGCTTGGTTTGCACACAATGGAGAAAGATTAGGAACTTATGAGGGAAATGGAGGTACTGTTTGGAGTGTGGACCCTGATCAATCATCTACCCTTTTGGTCACGGGTAGCGCTGCCAATGAGATGCGTTTATACGAAATTTCTACCGGAAAATGTCTTTACATTTGGGAATTCCCAACAGCCGTAAAGCGTGTTCAATTCTCATCAGAAGGTAATCAAGTTTTAGTGATCACCGAAGAACGTATGGGTCATCGTGGTTCATTACAGGTATTTGCAATCAATCGTGATCCTGAATCATGGACACAACAATCCAAAACACCCACGCGTACCATCACATTCAGTGGACGAAAAGCAACAGTTGCTGCTTGGGCACCATTTGATCAATACATCATCACCGGTCATGAAGGAGGCAAAGTTGCGCTATATTACCACGACGAAAAAGAGCCTGAAAGCGGTGTTGATGCCGAATTAGAGGAGAAATCCGTCGATGCACACCCAGGCTTCAATGTGACAGATCTACAGACCAGCGTTGATAAAACATACTTTGTAACAAGTTCCAAAGATAAATCAGCCAAACTGATCGACACGAAGAATCTAAATATCATCAAAACATACGAAACACAAACGCCCCTCAACAGTGCTGCCTTGCACCCCACAAGACCGATCGTAATCTTGGGAGGAGGACAAGAAGCAATGAATGTCACAACAACAAGTGCCAGACAAGGTAAATTCGAAGCAAGATTCTGGCACAAGGTGTTTGAAGAGGAATTGGCAGCTTTGCCAGGTCACTTTGGTCCGTTGAACACAATTGCAATCTCACCCACAGGAAAGTGTTATGCAAGTGGTGGTGAAGATGGATACATTCGTGTGTACTGGTTTGACAACTCTTTCTTTAACAGCAAGCTTTATGGTCCAGAATTAGAGGTGGGACCAGAGGATCAGTAAAGTGTTCTCACACAAAAATTGAGCGAACTCGCACGCTATCTGTACTAATATTATTACAAAAATGATCATACATATCATAAGACTGGAATAGACAATCTTGGATATGCTTTTTCTATTGCGCTGTAGCTGTACGTAAGTCTATTAGATAGGGAAGAGAGATAAAGTCAGTAGACAATCATAGCAAACATGATTTTATGCGATACACACCTTTGGCAATCTCTTTATCCTTGTCTTTGGCTTCCTCTGCTCCTTCTGCAACGTCCAATCGTTCCATACCCAAACCTAATTCCTCTTCCTCTCCTTCTGCAGCATCATCAAATTCATCATCATCCTCGGCATCGCCTTCACCGGCCGCGGTGGGTTCATCAATGACGAAATGACTACGTTCCATATCTGTCAATCTTTGCGTTGCCATCTTTAAACTTTCTTCTGCATCTGTTAAATCGGCAGAAGGTGCTGAAGGTGCGGGCGTAGAGGGTTGAGCTCCTTTCGCTCGCATTTCTTCACCACGTAATATTTCTTCTCGTCCGAAAGCAGGTCTTGGTCCTGATCTTGTTTCTCGTCCGGTCACCTTTCCTGCTCTATCTGTCACCTCGCCCCACAATCCTCCAAGAAGACCTTTGACACGCTTCCTCGTTGCATCACCACCTCCACCACCAGTCACTGCAACGGCAGCCAGTGTTGCCAATGCATCCCTTGCGCTCTCTTGGGGCGGTGGAGGTGGAACGAGGTAGAAAGAGGATGGAAGATCTGTATCGAAGAATGTCTCCAGCAAAGGTGAAGAATGCACCAAAGCTTTAAACTTTTCCAACGTAAGAAAAGGTTCGTCAAAAGCTTCGTCTTCATCGATGAAAGGTGTCGTTCTTGGCGGTGCGGTATACTCTTCTTCGGTAATCTTGTTTGCACGATCTGCAGCAATCTCAAACAAAGCATCCAAGCCTCTGTTTAACTCACTCTGCCACTCTTCGTCTGTTGGTTTTAGTGGTTCGACATTCTTCTCTGCCCATTCTTGTGCTTCAGAACTAGGTGATTCAGGATCAACGCTGCTCGGGGGCTCCAATTTGGACAGCGATTCACCAAGCATATCCTCCAATTCTTTTGCGATTGCACTTCTGGGTCTTCCGGCAACGTAAGTGACATATCGCAGAGAGGGAAAGCGTCTTTCGTATATGAAATTCAATCGTGCCAATTTCGCATCAGCCTCTGTATCTGACGTATTTGCTTTTTGTTCTTTTTCACTTTCACTGCTCATTGTGCCCGTTTTTGCACCAATCCTTGGATGTCCTCCCAACAGGATTACTTTATCCTCATCTGGCCATCCTGGCTCTTCATCTATACAGAATCTTGCAACGTCCAACAAACCTTCATACGAATCCGGTCGATCAGATTCGGGTAAAGAGACGATTGCTTCTTGACATTCTATCGCTAATCGTTCTAATTGTTTCTTTGTTCGTAGTTCCAACAATCGTGTGAAAAGAGGAGAAAGAGATGTTGCTTGTGATTCAGGCAATGCTTGTGGTGATATTAGCGTTTGCATTGTGTGTGTCTGTCAAATGATGGCATATGGTCATGAGGAGGATGTATGCATTTATACGTGTACGGCACACAAGATGTTCAAGCTTTAATTCTAAACGCTCAGATCACTCTGCGTCTAGTTGGACAAGAATTATATCCTAAATCAAAAAGACAGAACAAAAAGAAGGAGAACTCCTCTTTGTACAAATGAGTGGGGTTCTTTGCTGCCGGGGAGTAGGTCATGAATGATGCAATACGTATCACATATATCGAAGCATTTATGCAAATCAATTGTTGTACAATTCCCCTCGACCTGTAACATTGATTGGGATGGCCAAGACGGTCCTCCGTCTCTTTGACGCGTTTATGCAATTCCCCCTTTTAAAGTCAGTCCTGTCCTTTGATTCCCTTGTGCGCTAAAGTGTCGCATTTGGCTCATTACAGGGGTTGTCATCTTTTTGTCTGCAGGAAGCGGGCTAAAGTGCCCCGTGTTAGAGTATATACTCCGAAACAATAACACAATCAATTATTCTCTTCCAAGTAAAGTCTTTTTCTCAAAACCATCATTAACAGCCATTGCTCAAATGGCAGATCAAAGTCCTGCTCAGCCCAAAAAGGGTGACAGCGTTCAATCACGCGAAGGAAGTGATGGTACAATTGGTCCAGGTTCAGCTTTGAGTAATAGAAGTTTGCCTACACCGCAAACAAGACAAAGCAGAAAGCCATCTTTAGGTCCAAGAGATCCATCTGCAACGATGTCTTTTGCTCCTTCTGAATTGGATGCAAGTGGTTTAAGTGCAACAGATTATAGTTCAGGAGAAGAACAAGAAACAAGACAACGTTCTTCTACTCTAAACACAAATGATGCCGCAAGTATATCGCACGGTATTCGAAGACCATCTATCGCTACAGGTGCACAAAGTCAAGCTTCTATCACTCCTTCTGCTGCCGGAAAAGGAAAACGTAGAGCTTCTAATTACACAAAAGGAGGCGAATCAAAGGAAAGAGGAAGCCGTAACGATCGTGATGTGAGCAGAAGTAGACGTAAAAGTCGTGATTATAACAGAAACGATGAGGACGAAGATGAGATCAGCGGTAGATATGGACCAATGGATGATGAAGATGATGAAGTACATCATATCGATCGTGGTGAACAACTTGTCCGTCGCAGAATGAAGGCTAGACAAAAGGAAAAAGCATTGAAGCTCAAAGCTGAAAAAGAGAAACAACAATTGGCACGTTTGCAAACTGCACAACAACAACAGCAAGGTGTTCCACAGCCGTTAAGTCCCAGGACACGACCAACGAGCAAACAACTGATTGCACCTATGCCAGCTTCACCTTCTCCGCAACTGGAAAGGGAAGGTAGGCCAACGCATATCAATTTACCTGCTCCAGATTTTGCAGCAAGTGCATCTGTACCTCCTTCTGCTGTATCTTCTCAAGGACCACTCAGTCCTGGAATGCGTGGTCCGATCAATTATCCATCGCCACATTCCCACATCCGACGTCCTGGCATTCGTGCATCCGTTGCAGAGCCTTCAGGTGCTGGTCGTAGAGTGAGTGGAGTGAGCACAGCAAACTACAGTAGCACGATCGGTGCTGCACGTAGTCCTTCCATTCCTCATCACGGTCAGACTGGCGATGTATTCTCAGAAGCTGCTGCAAGTGAAGCAGGCACGAGTTTACGGGAAGGTGAGAGTGTTTTTGCAGAAGAGCAGGATGAAATTCGTGATACAATTGGAGGTCTGCCGCAAAATATGGGCATTCCACGATCTGATGCTGGCCGTGGGGAAGAAGATTTGGGCGAAGAAGCTCAGCCTGCGGAAGAAGAAGATGAAGAAACGCCGAACGTTGATGGTGATGATGACGATGAAGGGGAGGATACATCGGGCGATGCAGGTGACACAGGAAGCGATGCTGATGTTGAGTACACCCTGAAAGATCGTCAAGATGCAATCAATATCGAACATCCTTTCGGTTTGCCGATCTGGAAGCCAGCTTTGTACAAGAAATCAAGAAGTGTAACGCGAAATGCCGAAAATGCTCTGCATTCCATACCCAGCGCAGCAGCTGAAAGACATTTGCTGCCAGCCAATCTTCTCTGGACAATATTTGCTGGCTTGTGGCTCAGTATCATCTGCTTCGTCTTGGCAATTCTGCTCAATCTTTTACCTCTTGGCGGTGGCAAGTATGCTCGAGTGATTTGGGAGTTGGGAGGATACCTATTCTGGCCATTCGGAAAGTATGTAGAGTGCGAAGTTGGTCCGGATAGCAAAGAACGTTTAATGGAATATGTAGCAGATGAAATTGGAAATGAGGAAACGAATGATACCGCAACAAATCAAGCACCTGAAGATTCTTACGAAAACAACTTCACGCCCGTAGCCGCACGCTTCCCACATGATCATACTCATACCGTGCCATTTAACTCACGTCCTGCTTCAAGTCTTGCGCTCACAACGCATGATACGATCAGGCCGGGTGATACAATCGCTGCTTACCGTGTACTGGAAGAACAGAAACAGAGTAGCGGATCTGGATCCTCGCGTGAAGAGCAACAAAATTTGAATAATGATGAAAGCACATCTACTGCAGCTGGAAAGAGCTATGGTGCAACAAAAGACTTGGAAGAAGGAATGATTGAATATAGCGAAACTGAACGTATACGACAAGAGTTGGACATCTATGGCTACGTACATGATGATCAAGGCAATGATGTTGGCCGAGCAAAGCGAATCTTAGGAACGATTGCATATGGTTTTGCATTTTGGCTCATCATCGGACCGTTGATGGGCTTGATCTGCTTGGCTTGCTGGGGTACTGTGTTCCCAATTCCTATGGCCAAGCTCAATTGGGTTTTATTGAAGGATCTAGCACGAAAGCCGCTCGCTCTACGTTTCAGAAGCGCTCCTCGTATTGATACTACAACGGTTGATCAAAGTAACAGAAACGGATCGGAATCAACACCTCTTCTAGGACACAAACGTAGCATTCTGCAACAGCTCAAAGCGGGCGAACCTGCGCCTCAAACGGCAAAATTGAGTCGTGATGGCCGTTTGGTACGACGCAGCAGAATTCTAGTTTGCACGTATAGAGCAATGGGTTTGCAATACTACAAGTATACCGTAGGAGGTGTCAATATTTTGTTCATCAACACTTTGCCGTTTGTCTTTTTCACAATCTTTGACTTCTTCTTCGTTGAGCCTTATGTGGAACACCATCATCTTCATACTGGCTTTTTGGCACTTATCGGAAGCAAAGGTGCAATGTTTATCTTTGCTTTGGGTAGTGTTATCCCTTTAAGTTATTTCATTGGGATGGCTGTTGCCTCGATCAGTGCGCAAAGTAGTATTGGAATGGGAGCGGTGATTAATGCAACTTTTGGTTCGATTGTTGAAATTATTCTTTATGCTATTGCATTGACGCAAGATAAGGCAAGGTTGGTCGAAGGAAGTATTGTTGGTTCTATTTTGGCGGGTGTCTTGCTCATGCCGGGTGTATCGATGTGCTCTGGGGCCATGCGTCGTAAAGAACAACGATTCAATGCGCGATCGGCAGGTGTTACAAGTACAATGTTGATCATGGCAATCATTGGTATTTTGACTCCTACGTTGTTCTATCAAATTTATGGAACTTTCCAACTTACTTGCAAAGGCTGTCCAGCGGATACTTTACCAGGAGAGGCATGGACGTGCAAGCGCTGTTTCTACGAGCATGTTCCTCCGGCAACAGATCCTTTCTACCAAGACAATGTCAAAGGTCTCATGTATACGTGTACAGTCGTTTTGGTTTTATCTTATGGTATTGGTTTATGGTTCTCCTTACGTACCCATGCGTCACAAATTTGGCAGAATCCTCAACCACAACCTGTTTTGGCCAATACAGCGACCTTGCAAAATGCACCAGGTGCATATCCTGTACCCAACTCAGCCTCCCAACACATGGCACCTGGACAACATATTTTGCATAGCCTTGCACAAAATGCAAATTTGACTCAAAACCAACGGATGAGTATGTACAAGCGTATTATTCCTTCAGGTGTTTTACAGCAAATCCTACCAACATCCAATAACAGGGCCACTTCAGGACAAAGTCAAACCGTTCGATCAAATCAGAGTAGAAATACGATCTTCAGTGAAGCTGCTCGCGATGAAAGTGAACATGGACATGGTAATCAAGCATTCGTTCCACCGCCATTGCAATTGCCCGATACGTTATCTGCTGAAGATTATGAACGTGCTGCTACAGCTGCAGTTGCAACAATTGCTGTTGGTCAACAGGCAAACAATCCCAATCAAGGTTCGATTCGATTCGCAGATGGTGCAACAGCACGCATGAATAGAAAAGCAAGCGGACAGGTCCATGATCATGGATCTAGACAAGGATCTCAGGCGCAACCGCTCCCTGTCAGTCATGCAGGACAAGGTCAAGAACCACCAATCCCACAAAATGAAGCTGCAAGTGGTGGTCATGGAGGACATGATGCACCTTCATGGACACGTGGAACATCTTTGTTTGTCTTATTATCATGCACTGTCCTCTACGCAATCATTGCTGAAATCTTGGTGGATGCAGTGGATGTGGTTCTAGACGGCTCAGGATTGGACATCAAGCTCTTGGGTGTGACCCTATTCGCTCTGGTACCAAACGCAACCGAATTCATGAATGCAATGTCATTCGCCATCAACGGTAATATTGCATTATCCATGGAAATCGGAAGTGCGTATGCATTGCAAGTTTGTCTTATTCAAATCCCTGCCATGGTGGCTTTCAGTGCATTCTATCAAGCGAGAGGAAGTCACGACAATGATATCAATAGCACATTCACACTCATTTTCCCACGCTGGGATGTGATTGCGATCATTTTTGCGATTTTCTTACTCACATATACATACATCGAGTCAAGATCAAATTATTTCCGTGGCTCTTTATGTCTTTTGAGTTATATCGTTCTCATTTCCGGTTTCGTCTTTGCGCCGAATACAGGGGATCCAGAATCGCCAGTAGAAGATCGTCCTGATCTATTTCGTGCATTAGGATTTGGTGGTTTGCAAAAACCAATTTTGGATTTACCTTGGCATACATACTTTGAAGCATTATACAACAGTCTTTGGACAAAGTAGACAATCTTCGCCCTTCACATTTATACCTTACCTCTTATTTTATGTACAATCAGCTCTCTTTCCTAGATCGCAAAATTTTGTGTGAGCATTTATGCCACACTTGCAGGCTACCTAATTCCTTTCAACGACTTTTAATGATTGATGATGTTTTACAAATTATGCTCAGCTTGGTGTGTATGTGTATAGGTACATTGTGTTTAGAGAAAAGGGGTATAATGTGATAGTGTCATTGTAAGGGATCCCGGAGATTATGCTGAAAAGAGGTTATCAAAGTTTGTTAGTTCTTGTTTGGCCATTTTGTAGGAAAGGCTCATTGGTTGTGTGGCTCTGGGCAGATCACGCCAGGAGATTGTGCTTGGGGCAAATTTACGAGTTGCAACTTTAGTTGAAGCTTTGGCTGTGGCAGATGTGTTTTGAGAGCGTGATTCTGAGATGCCGTACTGTTCCATAAGATGATAGCGTAAGAGGTAGGCAAAAGACAGAATCATAGACATTCGACCGAAAGCAATCACTCGATCAATTTCTTCTTCATCCAATTCGTCTTCGTCTCTTTCATCTTCTCCGTCCACTTCGATTTCTTCCATTGCAAACACGCGTACTTGTTCGCCAGACAGATTGAGTATTTCTTGAAGGTTGTCGAGGATAAGTTGTACCTCATCCATCATTTTGAAGTCCAGGACCGAGATTGCTTCAGCCATGAATCGAGCTCGTTGGACCTCACTTTGAGAGCATTCGCTCGTAGATGGTTGCACGTCAAACGCTTTGATGAATGCTGCCAAAATATCCATTCGGGCTTGCTTTGGTTGATGATCTAAAATGATGTCATACCATGGCTGAAGGACAGATCTGTGAGAGATTGCGCCGCGAGCCAGAACTGCATCTCCATTGCGTTGTCGAACATGCATCTCCCATGCTGATTTTGCACATTGAGCATAACGAAAACTGATATTTGAACCTGTCTTTTGGACCAAATTTTTGTGTAGCTGTTGCGCTTTCAGACTGATTGTCGGTACATCGATTTGAGTTTCCAACGATACGAGGCATGGTAGACATTGCATAGGATGACACATCCCTCGCATGATGATATGCTGAATGATCTCCAATATGCAGGCTTGCAGCTCTGGTTCATGGACCAGGGGTACTATCACGTCAAGATAAGTCTGAACGATTTCAAAGCTGATCGGGTTTGCTGACGATTCTGTATTGCCTACCAATTCACCGAATCCTGCTTGAACGGCTTTGGTGGTGTGCTTGCCCTCATCAACTACCAGAACGTCAGCCAATGCACGAACAACAATTGCTTTCTCGTTTACATTGCCGTCTGAAAGGATGTGTGAAAGCCTTTCTCGTACATTCTCCCTCGTGAGCAAATCCGGGAAGCCTCTAGCCATGAATCGGATACCGTTCAAAGCATGCGGCACGAAGCTTGAATTCTCGAATAAACGCAAGAATAGTGTGACGATCTCATCTTTGATTGATCGACGAGTCACGACATCTATGCTTGGGGCCATGTTGACTTCCCTGTTGCGTACGCGGTCGAAATCGACAGATTCAACCAACAAAGCCGTGAGCCGAATAATCACTGCGTCATTACGATCGGCTACAGCTACGACTTTTCGACTTCTCGCTTTGCTTACTAGACCACACAATAGTCTATGACACTGTTGTAGTGTTTTGACCAAGATTGCGTAATCATGAGTATGATGGCTGATCACAGCGCCATAGCATTGCATCAGTTCCGACAAGATTGGCAAATGTGGCGAAGGTTGACTGATCAAAGGTCGTAAAGCATCTTGCAATTGCTGAGCAAAAGACAAGGCAATTTTGGGCAACTTTGGCAATGATGTCGTGTAAACGCTGAGCAATGATGCCAAAAGAGACAATTCTGCCACGGTCGAACAAGGCCTGATGCATGGCAGAAGCAGTTTCGAATGCGACACGGTGATGGACTCGGGATGCACCCGCACTAGCAAAGTCAGTGTTCTTCCATATCGTGCCACTTCTTGCTCTGATGGTTGTGTCAAAGTGTTTCCAATCATGTTGCAAAGGGTATCTACGATATTGTAGAGTTGTGTCTTCGTTTGATGAGATGTTGATCCATCATCGAGCAATCGACGGATAGCAACTTCAAGGGGCGGTGCACGGCCAGTGTTTCCGTCCGCAACTGAAGAGAGTGACGCAATCTTGACAATCATTTCCTGATTCATGCCTTCCTCTGCTTCTTCTGTCATCATCGCATCATCTGTCGAAATCTTTCTGCCTTTCGTGGCCTCCGATTGATCCACAGAGGAGAACCAGAGTCCACTGATGATGGATATAGCAAGATCCTGAATAGATTGCTCTTCATCGTGTACGCAACGTACGATCTCAATGGCACAAGCAGATTTGACGGTTTCATTTTGTGTTTTGTGATAGATATCGCCCATCAGACGCAGAACTCTCTTGCGTACCAAGAGACCTGTATCCTCAATCTTTGCTTTGAGGCTGGGCAAAAGCGGCTCAATGTAATTCGGATTATTTAGAACAAATTTGCCCAACAAGCCCACTGCATTGTCACGAACATTGACGGATTCATCTAGCAAGCATCTTTGAATCGCCAGGCGTACTTCACCGTTCTGCAAGAAGTATTGGTCTGCATGACTGATATTGCCTAGAGCACGTAAAGCTTTACCACGATTACTTGCTACCGGTCCTCCAGAAGCGTCAAGTAGTACATCTACAAGAGATTCGCATGGAATCATGTAATTGAAGGTGTGTACCACAGACTCGAATAATTGCTGTACAGACTCTGCTTTGTCTTGCTCCATCTTTTGCTTGCCGTGCTTGTGCGAGATTGTATCGCTCGATATGTCTGAGCAGCGTTCAAAAGCATCATCCAATGCCGACACCATCCTGCCAAAACCTCCATTCTCTTCATGTTCATTGCTCAAGCCAGCTTGTGAAACTTCTAAGCGCTCAATAATTTTGCGATGCAGATATGCGAGCTCTACTCCCCACTGTGCCTCTAGGAAACGAGCTGGTCCATCAGAGCGATTACGCTTGCTATCACTCTGTTGTCGCAAATTGAGAATGAGCTTAGAATATGCTTCTTCCAACACAAGTAGAGGCTGATGATCTTGCGAGTCAATCGACATGTTCAACTTGTCAATCGCGCTCCTATTCGACTGTGCATTTGAATTGAGTTCTCTAAGTCGTGCCTGCGAAGCCTGCATATGGGCTGCAACCTGACCGAGAAATTCAATGGCAATCCCACGAAGCTCAGGCGAAGTTTGTTTCTCCTCGTAGCACGCCATGAACAGCCTACACATCTGACTCAAGATGAGAGAAGCACCTGGCCATTTGAGCAGGAACACTGTTTCCAGTAAGTCGTGCGATAGCCATTCTAGCATTGTACTCGAGCAAACCTCCGCTCCTGCGCCCGTCTTTACAGCTTTCTTCTGTTTGATACGTTGCAGAAGCCCTTCGGCTATCAGTCTGGCCAAATTTCTAGGACCATCCAATTGCTTCCGCATGGTTTCAGTGTCGTAAACCTTGGCATTTTCTTCTGCCTTTTCTTCACGGCTTGCGACACTCTCTTGACTCATTTCGAGTAGTTGATCGAAAGATTTCTCCGTTGTCTGGACGGGCTTATTGAATGATTGTACTAATCGAATCATGAGTGCACTTATTGAGTGAATGCTCTTTCCGTTTTCCAAGCCGTATTGTCGATGGGTGTTCTTGCTCATTTCCTGAATGCCGGTGATATGATCAAGTATGCTATTGACGATGAATGTATGCTGGCCAGGATCGCAACGTTGAAAGATACCATAAAGCGCATTGAAAGCAGGAGCTCTAACAATTGGAAGGAAAGATTTCTCGTTGCCTTTTCTCAACGATGCCCATGCTGCTTTGCCGATTTTCAAACTTTCTAAAGACGGATTCGCTTCTGGCTCAGGTACGGAAAAGATAGGCAAAATGCTGCCTGCCACGATAGCGAGACAAGGTTCTGAAATTTTCCAGGTTGAAGTGATGTTGGATAGTGCTTGAAGTTGGGATAAGGTATTTTGCAGAGTCTCCATCATTCGTGCAAGATTAATTCTACACTTTTCCGTTCCATCCATGCGAGCGATTGTTGCTGTATCTTTTGATGTTGCTTTTCCTCTTTTTTGATTGCGTCCGCTGGCGCCCAAAGTCTGTACGATTTCATTGAGTGTTAGAGAACTGTAACTGGAGGATGTACCGACGCATGCTTGTACAAATGGTAAAAAGCATCTCTGAATTACGAGCCGCAGTGTATGCATATATGGTAGCATGATCTCCTCACATCGTAAAGAATCGTCGACGATGTTGGATGAAAGAATCGTGAAAGCACAATGTGCCGCAGTACCTGCGTATACGAGTTGGGACAGCTTACCAGCTACGCTTGAAATATCATCATGAGCATGTTCATCTTCATCGTCGTCATACGTATTGCCGGATGTATGCGCTTCTTTTGTAGGTGATGATGATGTCAGACGAGCTCGCTTCTTCTTGTGATCTTTCGATACTTTGTTTGATCCTGCACGCTTCTTGCTAGATGCGAATGGGTCAATGCTTTCTTGATCAGCAATACTACGATGCAAGATCTTTAGCAATCTTGACATCACCTCTGGCTCGACCCGCAATTCGAAATCTGAGGTCGTACTAGATGGATTGGAGGATCCTGAAGCATCGTTCGATCTCCTTTCAGAGCTGGGTATATGCACCGCATATTGCCGTAAAAGAGCGTTGATCTTCAACAGAACGTCTGGTCGTAAGACAGCTACGTCAGAATTGAGGTAGTGAAAGAAGGTCTTTGATCCTTGTGGAATTTCTTTTTGGGTATTGCTTCCTTCTGTTTCCGGCAGCTCGTCATCTGCTTCGAGGATGTCCAAAATGCACTCCATCATTCGTTCGTATGGTGTCCTTCCCTGTGAGCTAGCTGCACTGCGGGATGATCGAGATAGGCCAGAAGTGCTTGATTTGGAAGGACTGAGACTTTGACTTCGGCGAGTTGGTAAAAGTGTGATTTCTTCCGAGCCTGCATCGTACTCATCCTCATCCTCGCTATCTGGAGCATCAACGTAAATATCGTCACTATCATCGCTTGGAGTATCAGCTGACAATGTATAATCTGAATCTACTGTTGGCTCGGCTGAACTGTCATGAACTTCAATTACCTCTACCCTCCTCTGAGCAGATTTTGACGTTGAAGGCATATTGGATCGTGAGTTTTGCTGTTTATGGCCGTTTTTAATGAACAACGATTTCATCCTTCAATTTCCGTCATTTGAAAGACAAGAACGGAAGAGTTGAATGAGCATATATGCTTGCTTCTGTATTGCATAGATGTGTATGATAGAAGTTGCAAGATAACTCCAAAAGGAAGCGGACAAATGGAGGCAAAAGTGTTAGTTTACGCGTACAAAACCACGCGTACTAACGCGTTTTAATGCGTGTGCCTGGGAATTGTATGCAACAGGCAAAGAACGGAAATCGGACCTGTGATACAATCTTCTTGACTTTAGCTTGAATTTTAGTGACGTACGCTTTTCCATACCAACAACCAAGATGGCTGAGGGTAGTAAGAAGAGGACGGAAGGCAGTATTGATGGGAGTGAAGATGAAGTTCGGCTAAAGAGAGCAAGGAAAGAGGATGTCAACGAAGATGGTGGAGCAAAGCCAACTCAACAACCACATTCATTCTTGGATGCTTTGCCAAGTGCAACGCGATACTATCGATCTTTGATGCATCGTGATGTGCTTACATTTGTGCTTCTTACGCCGCATACAGACTTTTTACTTACAGCATCAGCCGATGGACATGTGAAATTCTGGAAAAAGCAAGAGCAAGGAATCGAATTTGTCAAGAATTATAGAGCTCATCTTGCTCCTGTCACAGGTCTTTGCTGTAGCGCAGATGGTTCTTTAGCAGCTAGTATTAGCAGTGATGGAACAGCAAAGATATACGATGTTGTCAATTTCGATTTGATCAATATGATCAAGCTCAATCATACTCCGAGAGCATGTTGTTGGGTGCATAAGAGAGGCAGGGCCGATTCAATCTTGGCCATCTCAGAGGAAGGCTCAACGCGGATACGGATGTATGATGGTCGTGGAGATGGGCAGGTATTGCGGACAATTGAGGATATCCATCGAGCACCTTGTCATATCCTCGCATACAATGAGCCATATGATTGCATTGTCTCTGCTGATACGAGTGGAATGGTGGAATGTTGGTCAGCAAATGAGCCATTTGAAGTGCCAAAGGGGAAAGGAATATGGGATTACAAAAGCAAAACCGATCTCTTTGCGTTCAAGAAAGCGAAATGTACACCAACAAGCTTAACGTTCTCGCCAGATTTTGAGAAATTTGTGACAATGTCCGCAATTGACAGACAGATACGGATCTTTGACTTTCGAACAGGAAAGCTTATCAAGCAATATGATGAATCGATACAAGCTGCACAGGAATCGCAGAAGCAGGCAGAGCAGGCTATCAAAGAAACGGAAGAGCAAAAGAGTGATGAGGCTGAGATTGTCTTGCTTGATTCAATGGAATTTGGCCGTCGATTAGCGGGCGAGCGTGATATAGATGCCAGTTCTGCGGACGCTTCAGGAGACGGAGTGAGAGCAAGTATGGGAGGCTGCGCTGCGAATGTGGTGTTTGATGAAAGTTCAACGTACATCGTATATGGAAGCATGTTAGGAATCAAGGTTCGGAATATAATAAATGACAAGGTGGAAGCTATTTTAGGGAAAGACGAGACTATGCGATTTGTCAATGTGAGTCTGTTTCAAGGTGTAGTGAGAAAGAAGACAAAGAGAAGTTTGGCTTTGGTAGCCTCGGAAAACCCAATCATAGCCAACGCTCAGCCAGATATGCCCGATCCTACATTATTCTGTACGGCATTTAAACGGTCAAGATTTTACATGTTCACCCGTGAAGAGCCAGATAATGATCCTAAATCGAAATCAGGTGCAGAACGTGATATATTCAACGAGAAACCTACAAGAGAAGAACAAAGTTTGGCTGCAGCCGCTGCACAAACAGGAATTTCGAAACGGTCAAACGTTGCTTCCAGTGCAGTTTTGCATACAACAATGGGCGACATTCATTTACGGCTGTTTCCCGAACATGCTCCCAAAACTGTTGAGAATTTTGTCGGATTGGCCAAGAAAGGGTATTATGATAACATCATCTTTCACCGGATCATCAAAAAGTTTATGTTACAAACCGGAGATCCTTTAGGGGATGGAACGGGAGGTGAATCTTTATGGGGAAACGAATTTCAAGATGAATTCAGTCGACAATTACGTCATGATCGACCATACGTTTTGAGTATGGCAAACGCAGGTCCAAACACAAACGGAAGTCAATTTTTCATCACAACCGTTCCAACGCCTTGGTTAGATGATAAACATACAATCTTTGGTAGAGCATCAGGAGGATTTGATGTGATTCATTCGATCGAAAATGCGCCTACAAATCGTAATACTGATAAACCTTTGGAGGATATTTCTATTCTCAATATTACTTTGGATGTAGAATAGATGGCCACGTGCGTTGCTGTAGAGAGTTGTCTCCGTCCACTTGTTGATGGATATGCCTATGTATTATACTCATTGAATTCAATTTCGCTTTCAGCGATTGCACTAGAAAGACTTACACCCATGTCATCGAAGATTTGAATTACACAAATCTAGAATGTACAAGGCGTATGTCTATCCAATAAGCTATGTTCTCTAGCCCAATGCTGCTTCTCAATCAAAGCTATTCGTTGACCCAATTTCCGGCTCACATTGTCATTTACGCCGACTCAACACGGAGCTTGATCATCGGCGCATGATTCCAAAATACACACTCCGATAATTCAAACAAGGGTTGCTTTTGTTTCGGACCGTTATATATGTTTGCATCATGGGCAAATGAGGTAGACAGCACAATCAATCAATCAAACCAAGCGCGCGCGTGTGTGTAGAAGTGTTTTCAATGCAAACCCGAAAATTCTGATCAGGCACACACATGATTGTAATCAATTTACATTTTCACTTTCTTTTCTTCCTACTCTGCTTTAAAACTATCATGCTATTCGGCACAAGATGAAAGTCGAAATAAACAAAAAGATGGAAAGGCGACAAACACAAGCACAAGAAGATTGTTTTGTGGATTACGCCCAATTATCATGTTATCCAACTGCTGACACTCGTGTTTTGCAAGATCAATGGGGAAAGGTGAGTTGAATGATGGCAACTGAAGTGGGATCAGACTGTATGATACTGACATAATCACCATTGGGGTAGTTCATCTGGAATCGCAACTTTCCTGAATTCACAAATAGAGGGGATAGAGTCGACATTTACCTTTTCAATGCCGATAGTGATGCTCAAGTCCAACAATGGCTAGATATACCAAACGAACAAGGAAGAATCGCATTTTCACCTATTGATGAATGGTGGAAAAATAGAGTCGCTGCAGACAGTTACAACGGTACTCATATCCCTTGGCCATACTACTTCATCGTGACTTATGCAAATAAAGGATTAGATGGACCGCTGACCCGCCAGCCAACTTTTCATGCCATTCGTGAGTTACGAGCACGGTTTTTATTGACAGTACCACTGATAACACGGGATACAATCCTACCCTCTCAGAAACCGCTTTGCCAGCTTCAATATCAGCTTTGCGCTCATCTTCATCAGCTGCTGCCGCCGCTTCATCCTCAGCTTCTGCTGCATCGGCCAGTAGTCTATCAGCATCACATGCACCTACTAGCACATTGAATGCAAGCAGTAGCAATTATCCATCGCCAACACCTGTACCTTCGAGTGATTTACCACTTGCTTCAAGTTTCGCTGCAAGTTTAACTTCTGCACTCGTTTCAAGTTTAAGCGCAATCAATGCTACAGGCACACAATCATTGCAAACCGTTGCCACCACGACATTTCCTGATGGTGCGACTTTTACAGCATCAGCAACAGCAGTTGCAAATGGACAATTGAACGAGCTGGGAGAAAGTCATGGGATACCAGCTTATGCCATTGCTCTCATCGTGGTCTTTGGATTTTTGAGTTTGTTGGGAATGCTTATCGGTATCTATTTCTGCATCCGTGCAACAAGGAGACATGATGATCAGCATGGGGATCGTGTCGTCACAGACAAAGATAGTGGTGCAGGTAGTAATACGCCTCTCTTTGGCAACACCTCGAACGATCAACAATTGTTTAGTCATGATATCGGTGAAAGTCCTTTAAGGCGTGCCCATCGGCGGGTCAGTGATGCCAGCGTTGAGCATAGACATCAAGAAGCATTAACGGCAACCGAAGTATGGAGATTGGCAAATGCGTTCCGAAGTGCTCTGCGTAGGCCTAGGCATGGTACCCATACACGCACAAACAGTCTTGCAGGCATACGTGAAATTCCTTCAAATGGCTCTGGCTCACACCCTACTTCGAGCGGTGGTGATGGACCGATCATGTCGCCTGAGCTAGATGCGGGAGCAGATCGATCTCTGGAAGACGCATTTGATCCGGCAGAATCTTTACTGCGTGAAGAGCTTGCACGGGAAGGAAAAAGTATTCGATTGGTGCAAGATCGGAAAAAGCCCGAATTGCATGGTGAATACAATCATTGACAATATTATTACTCTCATTACACGCTCTAATACCCTCTATCATAAATTCCACAGACTTGTGCTGCCATCCAGGCAGGTGGAGCATCATCTCCTTGTCTATCCTGAAACACATTCTCATATTTTTGTCTCATATATCCAAAATTAATATATCCACTCGCTTTTACGACGAAGTCATGTATTGTTTTCGCATGATGATGATGAAAGAAATGCTTATAGTACAAATAAACATTGTTCGCAGAATTGTTTGTTGTCCACCCATGAAGAAAGAAGATTCTATGCACTTCGTTTATCCGTGCTTACCCGCCATGCAGCTGCGGGTAGCTTTTGTAGCTGTCTTGCTTTAGGCAAAATGAAGCCTACCATGACGATTGCGCCTAAAACGACACATATTCCAGATGTGATAAAGTACCCATCGCGTTCGATGATACAATGTCCGCCTGCAGCTTTACAAGCTGATTTACCTAAATCGCTCGTACATTCTCCACTATTGTTGACTAATTTTGGTAAGATTTCAACCATCTTATCTCCCAAAGTGACCGAGCATCTTGAATTGGTGAACAAGTCGACCGATTTCAAGACCAGAGGACGAGGCCATGTTCCACCCAAATTACTGACGGTATTCAATAAGGTCATATACGTACCACCGATCAACGGATCTGCAATTTGTGTATGGTAGGCGGAAATACCGACAAATTGAACCGTTGATGCAAAACTTGAAGTGACTGTCGTAACGGCGATCAGTAAGAAGTAGCTCAACGGAATGGCTACCTTACTGCCATCACTAGCGGTTGTACTGGGAAAGCCGGCCACGATCGCCATACTGGTAATAGCAAAGCCCAACCTTGCCACATAACCCACCAACCAAGGACGCAAAGCATTGTCACCTTTCGACCATCTGGCGGCCAAATAGCCCAAAATGATTTGAAAAGGGAAATCGATCAAAACCGTCAATGCTAAGTCCTCTTTTCCGAAACCTTTTTCCACCAATTTAAGACCGGTTACTGCATCGTTTGCCTGGAAACCAATCTTGGCGACCAAGTGAATGATGATAAACGTTTGCACATGCTTTAGCTTGCAGATTCGCATCATCGTGTCGTAAACGCTTCTCAGATCCATATCGGCCTTGCCAGAGCGTTCCGCATCTTCTTTCTTGAAGAATAACAACCAGGTTGTGACGAACAAGAAGCATAAGGCTGACAGCTTGAGATATGCACCTAGAGAGAGAATTGGATACTCCAAAGGTATAGTACGCATATATTTGTTGCAGAACTCCACGCTGTTGAAGGCCAAGAAAACGGTAAAACTTAGGAAGTATCCGGTATTGAGACCTACTGTTTGAGCCGTACTTGCATAGCTCAAATTTTCGTCTGATAGCAATGTCAAAGCCCAGCCGTCAACGGCAATATCTTGAGTGGCGGCAAATAGGACAAGGGTGAAGAAGAGTGCAGTGATGAGATATACGTTAGGCATCTCGACCAAAAGTAGCGCATCTGCATGTTCGGATAAAGCATACAACATTGCACCGACGATCAATTGAATAGGAACGATCCAAGATTTACGTCTTCCCAAGCTCAAATTGATGTTCAAAAAAGGAACTCGCCAGGAGTTCACGAAGCAACTGTCAACGATTGGACTCCATAGCAACTTGAGCGAGTAAGGATATGTTGCAAGGGAGAATATTCCTATATCACTATATGACAATCTTGCTTTTAATAAGAATGGCATTGTTCCGAAAGCCAAGCCGACGGGAATACCTTGTAAGAAATACAAAATGACCAGCAGAACGATTGCCTTTATATCGGCGGCGTGTAATTCTGTATGTCCCTTCTCATTTCCACCGTCCAAAGTTGATGATCCATTTTGCGTTGCCGCTTTAAGATCGTCAGCTGATTGAGTTGCGCTAAGATCAACGCTATGTGAATCTGGCTTCTTTGTTGATGCCCTTTTTGAAGGCATGATTGATGATCTTTTGAAGCACTGGCGAGAGGATGAAGAAGAAGAAGTGTAAAGTGGCTTCGTGTTCTTCTCTCTCTCTCTCCTTTCTTCTAGAATGCATATACACACACAGCGTACGTGGAACGGAGTGGTATGAATACAAAGCCTTAAGAAATAGCGCGTTACCGCTCCTAAGCAAGAAATACAATCGGTATCCGTGCATGCGCACTGCACCAGTATTGCATTGCCTTGTCCCAGGAAATTAAAGTATTGTTTGATGTCTTGACGAGAGACATCAATTTCGTTGGCGTTCAATTTTATCAGCTCTTTCTGTTCATCTCTTCAGCCAAATACAGAGTAATACGGCCAACAATTCAACTTTCATCTTTAGCTTCCTCCTTTCATCAAATTTCAAGACTCTGTTGAAACACAAGATCTTGCTCAATACACCACAGTAAATTGGACTCTTGTTGGTCATTGCAAAATTACTCCATTGTACCTTCCGTACGACAACTTACGATTTTCAGCCTCCTTTACTGTCGATCAACTACCACAAAGGAGCTAACTTTGCTCCTTTGATCATATCTCACAATGTCAAGCGTACGTAAGAAGCGCAATTTCAAGGACCTTCATCTGCCCAGCACAACATTATCCACTCCTGCACCAAACACTGCCTCAACAGCTGATGAGAAATCAACGGCTGCAACTTCAAAATCAGGATTGACTGCAGGAACACAGGGGAGCAAAAGCGGAAGTAGTAATGGAATACAAACAGCACAGAGTACTTCATCCAAACTGGCAAGCACGTCTGTTGATACGGAAAGTGGGGCGGATTATCATGATCGATTGAGTGAGAAGTTGGCAAATTTCGGATTAGGATATAAGCTCGTGCTGAAGAATGAAGATCTTAAGTTCTTGAGCGAACTTGGAAGTGGAAATGGAGGAACGGTTACAAAAGTTTTGCATACAAAGAGTGATACCATCATGGCCAAAAAAGTTGTCTTGATCGATGCAAAAACAGAGGTACGAAAACAAATCCTGCGAGAGCTTCAGATTCTGCACGAATGTAACAGTCCACACATTGTCAGCTTCTATGGTGCCTTTCTGGCTGAGCCACATATCTGTATGTGTATGGAATACATGGACGTTGGATCGCTCGATTCGATATACAAGAAGAACGGACCAATCAAGCCTGACATCTGCGGACAGGTCATCATCGCTGTCGTTCGTGGACTTACCTACCTATATGCCAATCACAAGATTATCCATCGTGATGTAAAGCCGAGCAATATTCTCGTCAATGGAGAAGGAAGGATCAAGATTATCGATTTCGGTGTTTCGGGAGAGCTTATCAATTCAATCGCGGATACGTTTGTCGGAACGAGTACATACATGAGTCCAGAACGAATCAAAGGAGATCAATATAGTGTCAAGTCTGACGTTTGGTCTTTGGGTGTCTCGATTATCGAATTGGCCCTTGGAAGATTCCCATTCGCAGAGAATGATGAAGAGGAAGATGAAGAAGTGCCGGAAGAGTTACAAGGAACGCTATCTCCCAATAAGCCTGGTAGTGGTTTGGCTGCAAAACAGAGGAAAGGAGATCGATCAGCCGAATCAAACGGAGGAGGGTTTAGTATGTTTGATCTTTTGCAAAGGATTGTCAATGAGCCACCTCTAGCGCTACCACGAGGAGATGGACGCTTTTCCAATGAATTCTGTGACTTTATCGATCTATGTCTACGAAAAGACCTAAGTGCAAGACCAAGTCCGAAGGAATTGAGTAACAACGCATATTTCAAGAAGATAGAAGGGCGAAAGGTAGATTTGTTGGATTGGGTTAAAAGCTTAAAAAAGTAATCTTGATCAAAAGCGATTCTTAAGCACCTTCATTCATGTCTTTTATAATCACATCATTTTCATCTTCAATCCTCATACTGTTTCATGATTCTGGCTGTGAGTTGGTGGGTGTATTATCGAAAGTTCGGAGTGGCGGTCTTTTCAAGGACTGGAGGGGAGTTCTTCCAGAATCATAATATCACGAGATATCCTCTCATTCTCTCACGCCACAAGAGATGTAATCGAAATTTATATGCATTTGTTGATATGGTAGATGCCTTAAGTCGAAACCATACGAAATATGTCGCATTTATCCTGACCTAATGAAGAGAAGAGATGACGTTAGTACGCATGAACATGACAAAAGAGAGTGCTCATATACTCACTTCTTAATTTGGAAGCGGGTAGCGATGAATGGCAAACTGTAACCCAAAGCGCAGAATGAGAAGACACCGACCATGAGACGTGTCTTGTGTTTTGTGCCGGTTTTGAAAGGAACTGTTTGGATGTGAGAAAGAGTATGAATCAGCAATTTGTTCAAATGTATTTGCTTCTTCTTGGCAAATACCTACCAGCTGTCTCGAATGTGTTTTCGACGTGAGCATAACGAACACCACGCATTGAGCGGGCTGCCATTGGGATTGCACGACTGGCAAGAACTGAAGAAACCATGATTGCTATGGTAAACCGAGTTGGACTGTTTATGGTAGACAAGAAGGGAGAAGATTCAAGGTAGCCGCAAAATACACCATTCTCAGCCCAGAGCGCGCGCCTACAGAAGCACTACAGTATCATAACCAATGATAGGCTTATGAAACAACGGCTTAGCTCACACCAAGCTGGGCGCCCGATATTGACCGTCAGAAGCGGCGCGTTGCTGCTTATCTAAGTCTGAAGGGCGGCGCGGGGGGTCGTTTCGGTGAATCGCAAGAAAGTCCGGCGGTGGCGGGGTGTGAGGATGAAATAAGACTCACTAGAGAAAAAAAAGCTAGAAGAATTGTTCAGTGTTACAAGCCATCATCAGATAGCATTCAAATGGCTTCCTCAAGTGATGCTGGTCAAAGACCTGCTTGGACTCCATCATCTTGGAGGAAGTATCCGATCTCACAACCGATAGAATATCCTTCACGAAAAGCATTGGAAGATGCTACCCAACAACTTCGTTCTTTGCCCGGATTGGTTACTTCGCATGAGATTCGATCTTTACGTGCACAACTAGCATCTGTGGCTCAAGGCAAGTCATTCTTACTTCAAGGTGGAGATTGTGCAGAGCTGTTCGCCGATTGTACACCTGACAAGATTGAAGGAAAGGTCAAATTGCTACTCTTGATGTCGTTGATCATCATTTGGGGAGCAAGAATACCGGTCGTGCGTGTTGGAAGAATTGCAGGACAATATGCAAAGCCAAGAAGTAAGGCTACAGAAGTGGTCGATGTGCCTTCTTCAAAGCCAGATGGAAGCATCACTACAGAAAAGAAGGAAGTATTGACATTTAGAGGTGATAACATCAATGGATTTGCAGCCGATCAGCGGATACCCGATCCACAAAGGCTTCTGACAGCATACTTTTACAGCTGTACAACATTGAACCACATTCGTGCATCTTTGGGTAGTGGACTGGCTGATTTGCATGCACCACTATCATGGACTACGTCTCATGTTCGATCAGAGTCTTTGGCAAAACAATTTTCGCATATCGTCTCCAGTTTGACCGATGCATTGGATTTCATGCGTGTCATTGGTGCTGAATCACAAAATGATACCGTATCCAAATTGGAAACTGTGGACTACTTTATCGCACATGAATGCTTGACTTTGGAGTTTGAGGAAGCAATGACTCGGCAAACGGTTAATGCAAAGAAGCAGGAGTCCGCTGCGTCCACTCCTGAAGCAGCATCACCTCCCTTCTACGATCTTTCCGCTCACTTTGTTTGGTTAGGAGATCGAACACGAGCTGTGAACGAGGCACATGCTGAATTCGTGAGAGGAATTGCGAATCCAATCGGAATTAAAGTGGGTCCAAGTATGAAACCTGATGAACTCATCTCGCTTCTATCTATCGTTGATCCAAGTCGGGGAGCCGACCTAGGAAAGGTGACTCTCATAGCAAGATTCGGACGTGGAAAGTCTCAAACCCATCTTCCTGCATTGATCAAAGCTATTCAAAGTTCACCATGGAGTAAGTCTGTAATTTGGTGTTGCGACCCAATGCACGGCAACACGATCTCCTCGCCTTCGGATCCTTCTTTGAAAACAAGAGCTTTCGGTGATGTCTTGACAGAATTGACTGAGCAATTGGCCATTCACGCCCAGAACAATAGTCATCTTGGCGGTATACACTTGGAGTTGACAGGAGAGGTGGACGAATACGGTGAAAGTGTTACAGAATGCACTGGAGGAGCAATGGGTTTGGAAGATTCTCATTTGAAGATGCGGTACAGGACTCATTGTGATCCTAGATTGAATTTGGAACAATCTTTAGATATCGCCTTTATGATCTCAAACGCACTCAAAAGTGAGAGACTGAATGCAGGGGCTTCATCCTCGGCGAAGTCTGCAACTGAAAAGTACGATCATGATGCACTCGTGAAGGAATTGTTGAACGGTACCAGCACTTTGTAAAGTAGGCTCTATAATACCATGTCATTCCTCTAATCTGTACCAGTTGTGAGCCCCGCTCTTGTCTAAGATAGACCATGAAAAGGGTAGAAGTTCCGCTCCGGCTATCATAACGTGCCAGCAAATAAGAGCAAAATTATTTGATACTTCCCCGAGTGAAATGGATAGTCATGCTCCGAAAACGAAATCCCCGAAGTTTCCCTCATCATGTCTACCCTCATTTAGCTCCGTGAGAAGGAACAAGAGAAGACCACGTTCTCGATCTTAACGGACTGCCCCGACGTCCAGGATGTCAACGCATAAGGGTTAAAAGAAGGAGGACGGATCTCCAAGTGGGATCGTCCAAACTCATTCTTAACCACCATTAGAATGGTAGAGATTCTAGATCGGCTTTATATATTTAGTATGATTTTTGCAACTTTTTCTGCCTTTGTACGTTCGCATCCGATCGTATTGAGCAAAACAGCTAAAGAAATTGCAAACGCAGGCGGTCAAATAGTTCAAGCAGTGATGGCTAATGATCACTGGAAAACCATGGAGGATATCAAGCATAAAGTAGTAGGAGTAGGAAATAGCCCACACTACGATAAACATCTCAAATCGCTCAAATCGACAACGGGAAAGATGCTGCACAATACACATATACACTGAAGTCAATTCTCCGTGTAATATGCAGCCTCTACCTACCCAAGATTTAGCAATGGACTTTCGCAAACTGGATTACTCAACCAACTCAATAATATCTTCCGTTGACACACCTCCCTCCTTGTAAGCTTAGAATAGATGTATTGTGCCGGAACATGCAATAGATGCTCTTTTAGAATGTTGATGGTGGTAGTAACATTTGGTGAGACTATTCCCGTAAAGAATGAGACTCGTATGCATACAAGATGGATCGGGTGGCGATCCAATCGAAGAAAGTAGCACGATCCATGTTCATCGAAGTAAATTTGTTGAGAAAGATATGCAGTCGAAAATGCCGAAAAGGAAGTCGAATGTTAACGCCCTCACAAATCCTTCATTGATGGTCAATCGTGTGTCGTATCATGATCATTTAATATCGAAGACGCTTTAAGCGGAGGCTGCGACAGCCTTACGTGTAGCAACACCAGTACGGAAACCATTCTTGGCACGACGTGGGACACCCTTCATGTGACGCATACGACCGGTACCAGTTGTTCTTCTCCTTTGAGCTTTTTGGCCCCATTCGAATGAACGAATCTTAGCAGCTGGGTATCCGCAAGAAGCACATTCCTTCTTTTGACGGTGCAAAGAGCGCTTGTTGCAACGACGGCAGATTGTGTGTGTCTTGGTATGTCTCTTACCGAATGCTTGAGTACCCTTCGTCACTGAGAAGTCGAAAAAGAAGGTGGAGAAATATGGCGTTAATGAATGTTCTTTTATTCAGATAGGTTTGAGGTTTTCCATCGTCGTCATCATATGGAAATGTCGAGTATATCTGTCCTTCTATGCTTCAGTCGCTCATAACCCCTCCCCCAACTCTCCTCCCGTATCTACTCTGCTGTGCTCCAATCTTTCCATGATGTTCTGATCGTCCTTTGTTTCATCTACTTACTCTTTACCTGATTTGTCCTGTAACGATGGGATGTTAGAAGAGAAGATGACGATGACCGATAGACTTTCCTATTGGCAATTTCCAGAAGCGCACTCACTAACCTTTTCGGCCGTGCTAGAAATTGACGCGCCAAAGCAGCACATGCGGCAGAAATGTTGATAAGTTTATCACGTGTATGTGAGACACGTGATCTTCTCTTAAGTTTTCAGGCCTTGATACTGCGCTGCGCAAACTGCTGCACTGAGGCTAGGACAGTTGGACATGTCATTATTCCATACAAACAATATTCTTCTTCTCGTCACCATCGACGTCGCCCAATACATCAATTTCGAAAGTAAGTATTCTACGACAGAAGGTACGACAGATCAGAATGCGGATTGATGGCAAGTGATTAGAAGCGTTGGATAGCGTCGGGGAATACGTTAACGACACAGCGAGAGAGATGATAAGAGTTGGGAAATTAGCATGAAAGACACAATCTCGACAATGGAAAAGGATTCAAATCATGATCTTTGCATAGACTCCTGCCGTCACTATTCGATTTTCTTTGACATTGGTTTCGACTTCGACTCTTTACACGATTTCTGCAATCCGCATTCTCTGCGTCTTTCTGGTGTATCTCGCCTCTATAGAACACAATACTTATCCCGCTATTTGATCTCTTTTTTCACAGATGGCACCCAAGGCAAAGAAGACCACAAGCGATAACATCAACAGCAAGCTACAACTTGTTATCAAGAGTGGAAAGGTCTCCCTTGGACTTAAATCCGCCTTGAAATCTATGCGTAGCGGAAAGGCAAAGTTGGTCCTCATTTCTGCCAACACACCTCCATTGCGCAAATCTGAATTGGAATACTACGCTATGTTGAGCAAGACTAGCGTCCACCACTACCAAGGCAGCAACGTTGCCCTCGGTACCGCTGCCGGAAAGTTGTTCCGTGTTGGGTATGTATTCATGGATATGAGGATGAATGCATAAATGTTTGACCTTACTGACCCAACCGCCTTTCCCTTCCTTTACAGTGTCATGACCGTTTTGGATGCTGGTGACTCTGACTTGTTGAGCACTGTTGCCGCATAAAGTGGATAAGGATCGATAATCCCAATCCGACATTATGCTTTTACACATCCTTCACAGTCTTTTGCCTCGCAATCTTATGTACACTTTCCATCACACCCTCTAGGCCAGAGGGCGCATCATACTACGGCCAATCAAAAGCATTTCTTACATGATCAATCAGTCTGGGCGGAATGTTTTTAAGGGGTTCACTTTCGAATGCCACGGCAGAGCTGCTGATTTTGCAGAAGAGCTTACATGCTTACATTTTAGAAGTTTTGGATACAGACGAGGCAGCATCATCGAGGGAAAGCGGGCTTCATCGTCTTCACCTTAGTTACTCATGAGTGGGAACGTTTTCTGCTATAGCATAAGTATGATGTGATTAGGGTTCTCACAAATAGGAGCCAGATATGTGACAAATTGCTCGTTTTAAATCAGACTGCCTCAGAGGCTTTATAGTGGAGATTAATAGGCTGAAGCTTGGTCATGTGTTAATTGTCATGTGTTCTACATGTTGTGCTTTGTGATCTTATAGGAGTTTCCACATTCTCATCGCGCTGTCTTAACGCATCCGTCTTTGCCATCAATCTCATCATAAGTACGTGCGATTGCGAGCTTTGGGATTATTTTGGCGGCAGAGCAGTAAAAAGTATTCCGCTTCCGTTTCAGCCAACTTGTGTGTGTGTGTGTGTGTGTGTGCCTAGACCGAAATACGCGTTAAGTTGATTAAAATTTAAAGCGCAAAAATGGAGGTCTTAAGGTTGAGAAACTCTGATGTTCACCAAAACGGTTATTCGATCTTGATGGTTTCATCTTAACTCCGAACATATATAATCATGCTTTGATCGGAACACAATCTGAACATTAACCTTCATCAACAATAATACCTTAATCAAGTTCAAGCAAAAACGAATTCCTAGAATGACCACTGCTGGTCTCACTCTCTTTACTTCGTAAGAAAGATCAGTATCAACGATTCGTCAAAATGAAGGCTGTCGATGGATCGATTGAATCGGGTGAGGATAAAAGGAGAAGTACTTCAGTCTCACCCAAAGGGAAGAAGCGTAAATTGGAAGAAGATGATCATGTCGAAGCATTGAGAACCAAACAATTCTCCGATAGTTCTAGACCGGAAAGTACTGGATCGCCACATCGACCTTCGTTCAGTAAAACGCCAGCATCGCAATCATCTTCTAGTCTCCTTCGTGCTGCCGCTACAGGAGGTCCGGCAGAAGGTAGAGGACTACGTGGTGTTGATGCAGAAGTCAATACTGAGGCTGATGAATGCGGCTCATTCAAATTGCCAACGATCAAAAGCCTAACCACACCAGGTGAACTTGGCTCAAACAATACACCAAATAAGATGTGCATTAGACATCAAAGTATGGCCGATGAGGGTAAGACGGCAAAGCTACAAAAGGTGAGTATTCCCGTTCGATATCATCCCACCCCACCCGCAATTCAAGCCAGACTTGGTATCCAACATGGACATGAAGTCGGCCCTTCGTAATGAAGGCAATTGCCATACCAAAATATACCCGCTCAGTTTGAGGCGTTGATTTGCTTCCTTCAAGGTTGCACGTAGGTCAACTGCTATAGAAGTAGCGAGACATCATTTCCTAGAATGTTTGCAAAGTTCATCTTACTGACATATTTCACCTTTTGATTCTCTACAGTCAATCGAATCGTTGCCTCTTGCTGATCAAACAGCAGTCAATACGGTCTGGTCTTTGTTCTCGTCTTCGCCACATCCACGACGAGCTCTGATCCTTCAAGGTCTTTTGACGATGTGCTGTTCCTCACAACTATCGCTTTTAAGTCAAGAGCTCTCGTTAGCAATTCGTTTGGATCCTTTCGCTCTTTTCCCACGTGAGATCAGTCTCAGGATACTCAAACATCTCGATGCAATGACTTTGGGCAGAGCAGCGCAAGTGTCTCGACAGTGGAAGAGCTTGGCAGACGATGATCTTTTATGGCGAAACATGTGCGAGCAACACATCGAGCGGAAGTGCGAAAAGTGTGGTTGGGGCTTACCATTGCTTAACGAAAGGAGAAAACGACTACAGGCACAGCCGACTCAAAGTGCTTCACAACAACGGACTTCACCACCGGACAACTCACAGAAAGAAGACGACGAGTTGAAACAATCACCAGAATCCCCGCAAGGTAATTCAGCTCAAGGTGGTTCCCTAAAGAGAGCCGTCACAGCAGCGGCTAATGCTGCTGCTTTGTCTAAGAATGCTGCTCATTCTCGTGGTAATTCTCGCGCTCCAAGCCCAAGTCCCACTTCAGCTTACGATCAGCCATCTGTTGCACCAGCTACTCGACCATGGAAGACAGTGTATTGTGAACGGTTGGCGATTGAACGTAATTGGCGAAGAGGACGATATACCACAAAGGTTCTGACTGGACATACAGATGGTATCATGTGCTTGCAATTTAGTGAATCGCTCACTCATCCTGCTTTCCCAATTGTGATTACTGGATCGTATGATCGTACGGCACGGGTCTGGAATATGGAAACAGGTGAAGAATTACGGGTATTGAAAGGGCACACACGTGGAGTACGTTGCTTACAATTCGATGAAGCTAAACTGATCACCGGCAGTATGGACCGAACGCTGAAGATTTGGAATTGGAGAACGGGAGAATTGATGCGAACGTTGGAAGGACATACGGAAGGAATCGTTTGTTTGAATTACAATAATCATATTCTAGCTAGTGGAAGTGCCGATAGCAATGTCAAGATCTGGAATTTCCGTAGCGGTGAATGCTTTACCCTTCGCGGTCATACAGATTGGGTCAATGCTGTATTACTATGGAGCGGAAATGGTCGTGCAGGTATCAAAAATACACGTTGGGACGATGACAATGACGACGGCACAAATTCAACATTCTTGTTCTCTGCTTCCGATGATGGAACGATTCGATTGTGGGATTTGCGCGCACGTGAAAGTCTGATGAGCTTTGATGGTCATGTTGGACAAGTTCAAAGCATCAAATTGGTCATGTTGGATGAGACTGCAGTCCATAAGCTTGTCATCAATGCAGCAGGCGGTGCAGGCGCAGATCAAGCTGAAGATATTCAACGTCGTCAAATGCAAGCTCAAAGAAGTCAAGGCAATGTAGAAGTGGAAAATCAGGCAAATCAAGCAGGTTCATACTTTGTCAATCCGTCAAACGGAGAAGCTGCTATTGAAGGTGCACCTGCTAACGCAAACAATGTCAGCTGTGGATACAATCCACCAGCTGTACCTGGGGGTAGAACAGCAGGCTCAGGCTCCGCACCAGCAATACCTGATCGTTTCCAAGATACGACCGCCTCATCCATCTTTCAACCAAGCAACATCAAAACTAAACCCATCAAGACTGGCGAAAAGATTGATGAGAGTTTGCTGTTGTTGCAAAAACGACTTTACGAGGCTGGCTTGGTGGAAGAATTGCCATTGGACGCAGATATGACTGATCTGGAAGGACCTCTGTCGCCATTCTGGAACGGAAACCAGCAAAAAGCCAACCCCAATTCTCATCATGCTCCTCAACGTCCAATCTTGATCTCTGCCTCTTTGGACAATACGATCAGATTATGGTGTGTTCGAACGGGTAGATGCATTCGTACCTTGTTCGGACATACAGAGGGAATTTGGAGTTTAAGTTTGGACAAATTACGTATCGCAAGCGCAAGTCATGATCGTTGTATCAAAACGTGGGATACGGACACGGGCATGTGTAAGCAAACATTTGTTGGACATAGAGGTGCAGTAACATGTGTCCAATTAGGAGATGATAAAATCGTCAGTGGAAGTGATGATGGCGATTGTCGGATTTGGAGTTTTGCCCCAGCGCCAATTTCGTGAGAAAAACAAAAAAGAGAAACACAAAAATCAATTTCGCCTTTTTCGTTGTACTACTACTCTATACTTGTGATCACTATTTCTTTTCGGTCGATCGGTTTTCTGTTTTTGGTCCATACCCCCTTCTAAAACATTACCTTTGAGAAGAAACAACGCTAATAATCATAAACCAAAATTTTACGCTTTTGTATTTGTATAGTCTCTGCTTCATCAATAGTATCTTGTGACATTCAAAAAAGTTGACATCTGCGTGTCTTACATCATCCGACATATCCCACCATCTTCTCGGCAACTTGGCCAATCGGTGTTTTTATTGAGAGCAAGAAATCTATCACTAAATCTTAGCGTAAATTGAAAGAACACATGGACTGAGATTAAATCTGGTCGCTAGGAAGGCAGGAGAAGTGAATTGCCACAAGTTGCTCGCTGGAGAAGGGCGTCCGGGGAGGCAAGAATTTGCCTCGTAAATGCGCTGCGCTAGTGCCGTGGTACACCGCCTCTTTGTTGCTGTATGTGTGTGTGTGTAGGAGTTTAAAATCAGCTGAGAACATATGCTGTCCCCCAAAAAATCCAAAAAGTTCGGGCTTGGCATGATCCACGCTATGAAGGGACATAATGTCCGATTCAACCGGTAAGAGCCAAGAACCGGATCATGTCTGATTGTCTGGACTGTGTTATTTGACCCTGATTTGAATAAAAACACTTTAATGGATTAGCGAATGACGGTTTGATGACGAGGCCTTTAGTCTAGCACAGCGCCTCCACAGAAGAGGCAAGACACACAGGTGTAGGCTATGCTGTGGTAGGCTGTGTGTGTGTGTATGTGTATGTTACGAATATAGAAATCCAAGGCGGTGTAAATGCGCTTCTAGCAAAGCAGGCAATTTACCGCGATGATTTTCCATACATTGAAATTAAGTTTAGACGCTTATTATTTTCCTTGTGTGTGTCTGTCTCTTAAGCTTGCTGCATAGCCCGGCCTAAAGGATTCTTCGGGCATAAGTGAGTTGAAAAAAATCAAATTATTACTCTCAAAAGGCAGTGCCGTGCCTGGCTCAAATTACCAATCGGCTTCGCAGGCTGATTGATGTATGCGTACTACTGAATGATTGCTTTATGAGACATATACTTCCAATATCAATTTCTCATCTTTCATTATCATCCTCAACAAGAAACAATCATTTTTAATCGTATCATCCGAATCACAATCGACTATCGGATCAAGATCACATCGTCAACAAATCAATAAACGGCGCTTATCCATTCACCGCATTCTACTTTTTATCGTGTACACTTTTTTAATCAGCTCCGGACTCTAAAATAATTTTGACTTTCATCTATTAACCAATCCGACTTCATCTGAACAATCATCATATTGCGCAGCTTCAACTTCCTATTCACCACCAATCCATTTGTACTTCAGGCCCACAACTAATCTGCAAATTCCACACAAAATGGCTGCGCCAATGGTCATCGACGATTCGACATCCGATCAACAGAATCCATCTCCCACAGAGTTGGCATTCGAGTTGAACCCATATTTGCATTCTATTGAACGTGTTGCTGCAGACCATGGCTTACAACATGATTCGGGTGTCTCATTCGGCGGATCGACAAGCAAATCACCTAAACCTGTTGAATCTACAGCAGGCACAGGCTCAAACGAACAACCCAGAACCAGTAGGTTCTTGATGACTCCAGCAGGCTCATCAGCCAGTCTCAAACGTCCAAGTGTTTCATCGGCAGAAGGATCACATTCTCGCGTAAAACGAATGATCGAAAGTCCAACATTGACGGGCGAATTTGATGCACAAGAAGATATATGGGCAGATGTGTCTAGAAGATTGAAACCTTTTGGTGATATATTACGACATGAAAGGCTAAGGACAGACCTAGGGAATACATCATTGGCAGAAGACTGTGTGGGCTTGCTAACAGAATCCACAAGACGTTACAAGTCCGACTCTATCGCCCTATCGGAAGCTCAAGTAGAAATGATGAGAATCTTGGCAAATCTCTGTATAGATCATGATGAAAATCGAGAAAAGCTGTTGACAAAGGGTGCACCTCAAGGGATATCTGTTTTGCTGCAAACTATACTATCTTTGGATGATCAATCTTTCAGATCGGGCATCACTACCGTTTTACGAACAGCAGCCGGAGCATTGCTAAATCTTCAATTGGATCACGCTTCTACACAAGCAGCTTTACGAGCTGACGAGAGATCGATCGGAATGCTGCTCAAGCTAGCGACCGATGTGCGAGTGTACGAACTAGGAGACTGGTATCGACCACCTCGGAATAAGAACGAAAATACAGAAGACTGGAAGAAGCATGTATCAACAGGATCAAGCGTTTCAACATGGGCTTGGCGCATCATTCAAGACGTATGCTCTGGCGACGAAGAAGAGGGAAACGCAAAGTCGGAGAATATGGAAAAGACGAGTTCTTCGGACGAAGGCGAAAAGCCAATCGAAAGCTTGGTCACAATCGATCAACCTGCTAAAGTGGCAAACCTTCTAATACATCCCCTTCAGAGGCTTTTACCGCCTTCTTCATCCGACATGACATTCCAAGGTAATTGGGATGCGGATGATGTTTCCGATATGATGGAATCTGATATGGATATCGTTCAAATTGCGACGGAACTGATCGAATCATGCTCTCTTGATTCTAAGCCATTCCGTGTCTCGGCTTTAGAAAAGGTTGATTTCGAAGGTCAACAAAGTACCATCTTGGAATTCTTGGTTCACTTCGCCGACTCTGCACAGAGCCCGGATGCTTGGTCTTTCGACAGAGAAGAGAGCAACAATCTACCACCCAAACCCAGCGATGAAGAAGCGGCCAAAGAGGTGATCACAAAGTTTTCTAGAGCCAAAGCAGCAATATCCCGGGCGATCGTATGCATTGTTGGAGAAGATGAGAATATGACGAAATTGTTCGAGGGCCAAGGCTCAGGTCAAGGAGGCTGGTTTACCGAAAAGATGAAGGAATGGATGGAACGAGATGCGAAAGATCGGGATGATTTGGTTAGCACGGCAATGTTGGCAGTGGGCAATCTGGCGCGCAAAGATGCTCATTGTATCGCTTTGGTACATGAACATCACATCGTCCCTACCTTGACACGGCTATTAGATCCCTCTGCTGATATCAAAGTAGCTCATGGCACTATGTGTCTGCTCAAAAATCTAGCCATCCCAAGTCAGAACAAGCGGATAATAGGTGCATCAAATGATCTCATCTCCCGCCTTGGTGCTTTCTTGGACAAGAGCAGAGACAATGTTCAACCTTTGCAATTTGCTACAGTTGGTTTATTGAAGCATTTATGTTCTGCTAATGTCGACAATTCGTTTGACTTTGTCCTTGGAGGTACACTACCTGCTCTGCTTGACCTGATTCGTCGAACAGATGATGTTCCAACACGAATGGAAGGAACAAGGGTCCTGGTGAATGCAGTAAAGTCACTTTGGTCATCAGCATTGACACCTGCCGCAAATTCAAGCAATCAAACGGTCGATCCAAATGCCCGTCAGAGAGCAAGACATGTTTTGACATGCGAGCCTGTAGTATCAGCATTATCAGAAATGGTGAAAAACAGTACGAAATACCCCGTTTTGGTAAACGAAGGTATTTTGGCTCTTACATTGATTGCTGCCAGTATAGATGATCAACTATCGAGTGGAGCACAAATGGTTGCCAGGGCTTTGCAAACGATTTCTTCGCCAAGGCGCAAATCAAGTGCTGCACCAGTAGGCGGAAACAACGAAAGCTCAACAACAAATGAAAGTAACGAGCAGCTTCCAAGGTTACCTCAAAGACAAACCACTTTGGACGCCTTGGCATCTGCTGCTCCAAACGCTTTACCCGTCTTACGATCAGGTGCAGATATGATTGCTACCGTTTTGGCTCGTCGTGATGCACGAATGCCGCCGCAATTTGCCAATAATGCATGTGCTTTGGTACAAGCATTAGTCGCACCACATCAATCGACAACAGCAGATGAAACCGTTTCAGCTCCTGAGACCAGTGATCCGGTTCAAACCACGCCCAATACTAATGAGGGCGTTGATGCAATTTCAAATTTGCTACAATCTTTACGTCCTGCTTTGGAACAATTGAGTACAGTAGGACCACAAGAATCTCTACCGATCGCTCAAAAAGCTTTGGATAGCGTCAGAGCTTTCTTGAAATAATACAAAGCAATCTCCCTTTTTTTATTATTCTCTCTATCTGTGCGACAAGAGCACCTTTGTATTCACACCTAGCAATTTACTAATATGACATGCTTTATATCTACAAAAAATCACAAACGTTTGATGAGATATATTGATTGATCAGTTGATGCTCTTGTCCATATATGTGTCAATTGTACAAATGCTTCTATTCAAGAGAGAGAAGAAAAAGGGAAATGAGAAAGAAAAAAAATTGCCCATCAAGCCTCTGTAGAAGAAGCATGACCTTCTCCGCCATTCTTAGACGTATCAATTGCTTGACGACGACAAAGCGGGCAGGAATTATTACTGCTGATCAACCATTGATCCAAACAGCCAGAATGGAACAAATGACCACAACCAAGTAAACGTCTTTGTTCACCTTCATCTTGCCAATCTTCTAAGCAAATCAAACATTTTTCACTGGTATTTTCCATGATTTGATGTAACTTTGTCAATGTTTCAATATCCGTCTTTGAACCATTCACTTTGCGTAAGTCACTCTTTTCGATTTGTTCAGACGTTACTGTTTCGTTCACTTTCATTCCTGCAGCTGCCATTGCGCCCAAGAATTCCATCAAAACCATCAAATCGCGAGATGCTTCATCATTCGATGCATGGAAGAGCGGATGTTGGGGTGGATAATGGCCACCCGAAACAAAGAGTAAAAAGCGTGAAAGAGGTGCTTGTCCCGGTTGTGATCGTGCAAAAGGATTTATGTTTTGCCCGTGTAAAGCATGTGCATTTTGCACATTGGCTGAAGCGGGATTGGCGGCCTGATCATTTTGTGCCTGTGTTTGAGGTTCAGTTCGGCTTCTTCGATTTGCACGAAGGAGATCAGCATTGGCACTGTGGAACTCATTATCGTCCAATTGCTCAATACTACGAACTCCGACAACGATGCACGGTAATAGACCGGAAGGCGTTGGTTGAGGAGCAGATTCAGTCTGGGTTGCTCTTTGCTCAGGAAAGGTGAAGAAGCGGAAGAAACATAATTGTCCATCTCGCGTATCACCTTCTCGTGAAGAAGCTTCAATGGATTCTGACGTAGCATTCGTACCGGCATCGGGATTGGCGTTTGTTTGGCTGTCCTCACCACTAGCTCCTTCTTCACGTCCTGGAGGAATAGCACGAACAGCACGATTCAAATCTCTTGAAAGGTCATAAAGGAACCTGTCAAAAGATCCTTCCTCGCCCCGATTCAAGTGCCCTTCCCGTGCAGCTTCCAATGTAGCACGAACTGATTGAATTCGTGATTCAGCATTATTAACAGAAGGTCTTGCATCGGAAGTGGGAGGTGGACTGACGTTTGATGTTCCTGTTTGCGTTGATGCTGTGTTCGTTTCATTACCACTAGATCCACGTCCAACGTGTGATAGACTGTCACGGATAGCATCACGCAGCATATTTGACAAAGATGCAAGTGACGGTGCACCATCTGAATCTGCTTCCCTATTATCTGCTTGGGCAGGCGCTGCTGCTACGGCTGAAGTACGATTTGTACTACTTCCTTGGTTTCGTGCATTGGCTTGTGCTGCAGCCAAGGCTCTGCGGATATTTGCAACTTGCAAAGAAGATTCATTCCCAGAACGAGTTCCAGAAGGATGAAAATCACCCATAGTGCCATTTCTACCGCGGAACCTGCTACCGAAAGAGGACAATCGCGAACGCAAAGATTGAAAAGTTTGCGTAGCCCATGCAGATGTTGTATTCTCTCTTCTGTTTGGGTCGCTCGTGTTCTGCGTCGAGGTTTGAGTCTCTGAAGAAGCATCATTACCCTGATCCTGTGCTGTAGATGAAAGTGATGGCGTTGCAGGTGCTTGTGTGACAGGTACCGTCTGAGAAGCAGCATCATTTGTCCGAGGCGATTCCGTGTCTGTTGCACTTTCGCTAGTAGTCGCATTGTTTGCTCTAGCCTGTGAGCCTGACAGCAAAGAAGCTGCTGTTGCTGCAGTGGCAATGCTCAACAAACGAACCAGCATAGATGCCTGCTCTTCTATCGTGGCTGCTTGCGCTTCTCCTGTTCCACGCGATTCTGTCGAACTTGCCGTATCTGTATCTGGTAGATTGCTCTCAGATTCAGAAGGCTGTGCTTCGTTGGACTGCGCAGTGGAAGTAGCCCCATCATTCTGTGAAGAACGTTCGCTGCTACGATCTGATGAAGTACGACTGGTAGGCACTGTTCTCGAAACCAAAGCACCCTGAACGATGACGGATGTACCACCATTGCGTGATGGAGTGGGCGCTGCTGCTGTTCCATTAGCAGTGGTATTCGCTTGACCTTCTTGGCCAGCTCGAGCTCCACGTAAACCAAGAATATCGGACAATAAAGCAGAAAGCATCGAGGGGCGAGTATTGCCCTCTCGAATGATCTGTTGGGCTATCTCCCTTTGATTGGTTCCAGCTGTTGCGAGTGACTGTTCAATCTCACGACGCATGCGATTATGTCTTTGATCTGATGATTCTGTCTGGGATGGTACTCCATCCACATTCGATGATGAGCTAGGTGTATCGAGGGACTGCATCGCATTTGGTGTCTGAGTGGCACTTGAAGGCATAGATTGAGCAGATGATGATTCACCATTCGACGGTTCCAAAGCTTTCGCGGGACTACAATCGGATAGATTTGTTTGACCCAAGTTGACCTCTGTACTGTTCACCACACTTTCTGAGCTGCTTTCATCTTTCATGATCACATCTTCTTTCTCCTTCTCTTTTCCCTTATTCACAGTACGGGTTTTGCCTCTGTCCCTTTGCTTACCAGATGTGACTTCTTCCACTTCATCTTCTGTTGTGTGCACTCGCCTACGAAGTCTTCTAAGCATGGATTGGCTACCCTTTACCTCTTCATGTTCTGCTGAATCTCCAGGACTGGTGTTTGACTGTGTTCTTCGTCTTTTGTTGTGAAGTCGACCTTCTTGGTTATTTTGCGTGGCTGATTGAGTGTGATGACTGTTACTTCCTCCACTTTGTGCAGAACTCATTGTCTCTGTGCCTCCTTCTTGGAGCTTGTTAGGACGAGAGAAGATCTTTTTCAGGGAGAGTCTTTTGCTGCTTGGATGTGAAAGTGCTTCTGGTTGATTTCTTACAGAGTTGTCTTGGTCATGAGAGTTGACAGATTTTCTGAAAATGTTTGCTCTCTTATTGTTTGATCGATCGGAGTATTTGCTCTGATTTGAGCCCATGCCAATAGGTGCAAGCGTGAATTTTAATGCTGAGCAATCTTGTATGGAACGGCAAGACAGGGATCAATAGAGGGGTGAAACTCCTGCCGCTGTAAGCTTTTGTCTTTCTCTTCAGATGAAATCACGTTCTCCTTTACTTCTGCTTTTGCATCTCCATAAAAAGGGAAGTGCTTTGTTTCATGGAACGGTGAAGATGATAGTTATGAATGATGTTTATGATCAGATGTTATTTGTCATTATATCATTCGGGCTTTAAGTTGTTGTCGGTAACTTTTTAATGCATTCAATTGTTGTACGCCCACATCGCCCCCCAATTGTTATGTCTTACAACACACACTCGCTTGGCTGATTTGCATAATTGTCGTCGTGCAGGGTGCTCCACTAAGTAAAAAAAAAGGCGCGCCTATTCGCGCGAAGCATTACAACATCACAATCATCATCACGGAGATAAGCAAAGCAAGTAAGAATAGCATATATTCATCATCTTATAGAATGGTAATAATTATATTATGTCTTGACAAACTTCCCATCAATTAAGGTGGAATTGGAATGTGATTCATCCAACGCTCACGCCACAAACAACAAAAACGGTAGTCGCTCGATCAAATCATCAGACGGAACTGCGCATCCTTTCTCCGTCACGAACTTCAGCCCGTCTTAGCCTTTTATGATGGTGTACCTCCTGACATCGACTGGACGGTGTCTTACGCAGCTGCACTAGAACTACATTAATAGGAGATGAAACCGACTCACTTCTCCTTGTTTACGGTGCTGTTATGTTCAAATGAACAAACAAGTTTGACGTTAAATTGTGCTTCATTACCAGCGAATGAAAGGTACGAGCACTTCGATCAAGAAAGGGGCCCAAGCGTTTAAAAGCTTCAGATCTTTTCTGGAAATGAAGGAGTGCCTATTATCACTATTGGTGACAACGCGGTTCAACGGTTCCGCTTTGACACGATTCAGAGGTTTTTCTTTCTGTCTGGCTTGGCACCCGATGTGAATGGATAAAACAAAACGGCCACCGTAGCGGTTACCAGACGACCGAATTTGAGGAATTCTTGTCTACCGGTCCGTCTTTTTTTTTGTTAATATTTGTGAACAGTTATAGAAACACTTTCCGGTATAAAAGCGGTTGATAATAAAACATACCTTTCAGCCTTCCCCCATGACTTCTTGCTTTGATATTCTCCTAATTTCAGCCCCTCCAGAATTAATCAATATTGACTCTAAACAACATTATCCCTAAACGATATTTACGCTCTTTACCTTCATCGTCTTCACACTGAACGTCACTACAGTCTTTTGGTAGTCATGCATTCTCTATACGATTTCAAATGGCGCCTTTTGGTGGCATCTCTGCTTCTCGTTCTAGCTATTTCTTCTGCATGTGCAGATGATAGGGACAGATTTGACCGTCGTGCGATGCGCAATTCAGTAAACAAGCCAACATTCTATGAAAAACGACAAAATGATGGATCAAATACTGGGTCGTCCACACCTCAAACCAATGGCACTGGCACTGGTACTGGCACTGGCACTGGCACTGGCACTGGCACTGGCACTGGCACTGGCACTGGCACTGGCACTGGCACTGGCACTGGCACTGGCACTGGTACTGGCACTGGCACTGGTACTGGCACTGGTACTGGCACTGGCACTGGTACAGGCTCAGGCTCAGGCTCAACTGATAAGCCTGCTGATAAACCTGCCGATACCGCTCCAACTTCAAATGCAACAACGTCGTCTGCTAATGTTACGGGACCAGTGATCGATTTCATGTTGAGTAATACATGGAACAGTAGTCAATATCTAGCCCAAACCAATCCAAACATTCAATTCGTATACAATGCAACATTTAACGAAGATGGTCAAAACAGTACAGATACTCAACCTACAATCGTTTCAATCAATGTCAAAGAAAGACGTCAATATCAAAAAATGGTTGGTCTAGGTGCAGGTGTTACGGATGCAACTGCAATCATTTTGCAAGCTCTAAAAGCGAATCGACCTGATGCTTATGAAGAAATTTTGAATTTATGTTTCAACGAATCACCCGAATGGATTGCAAAAGGTGGTGCAGGAATGAATATGATTCGTTTGCCAATCGGTGCTTCGGATTTCGGTTTTACCGAATATACCTATGATGATACAGTTGATGGCACACCCGATCCAACTTTATCTAATTTCGATATCAATAAATCACCAAAACGTTGGCAAACAGTCCAAGATATTCTGAAAATCAATCCAGGTCTCATCGTCATGGCAAGCCCATGGTCACCTCCTGCATGGACGAAAGGCAATACCAGAGGAAGCCTTCAAGGCGGTTCAATCTTACAACAATATGAAGGTGCATTTGGTGATTATCTTGTCAAGTTTGTCAAAACGTTGAAGGAAAGCAAAGGTATCACCGTAAAAGTGTTGAGTTTACAAAACGAGCCATTGTATGATGGAGCTAAATACCCGTGCTCAAAGATGTTACCGGATCAACAAGCTCGTATCGGTGCCCTTACTCGTCAAAAATTGGACGCTGCTGGATTTAACAGTGTTAAAATCTTAGCGTACGATCACAATTGGGACAATACCGAATATCCAATCGACGTTTTTGATGATGCGGCCGAAGATTTTGCTGGTGTAGCTTGGCATTGTTACGGAGGTGATCCATCAGGCCAAGAACCGTTCAATGAAGCATATCCTGATCGATGGGTTTGGTTTACCGAATGTACCCGAATCACGCAATACTACGAAGAACCATGGGAGAATATCAAAAAGCAATTCTCTCAAATTATAAAAGGTTCAATCTCTTACAACTCACAAGCTGTCATCCTTTGGAATCTGGCTTTGCAAATCGATAAAGAAGGTTTCACCGTTCCATCATTGCCTCAAACCTGCAGAAATTGCTTGGCTCCAATTGTCGTGTATGACAATTCTACAGGTCCCGAATTGGAGGGAATGAACCGTGCTGCAATCGATTCACAAAAGAACCGAAGAAGTTTGACTGGTCCAACTTTGAATAACGATAATGACCTCTTCCAAATGTTCTCCAAGAGAGATGATGCAAAAAATTTAGGTGTACTGATGAATGCAGCAAGTCTGAGCGATGCCTCAGCCATGAACCAAGGTGCTGATAATGAAGGTTCTGTCATCCCACCAACGCGCGATACCAATTATCGTACTTCGGATTACGTCACTCTGGCCCATTTAGGTGTGGCCATTCGTCCACAAAAGGATGGTGAACGATGGGCACAACGTGTTGGAGTGGTAACAAGTGAAGATGATCATAGTGGACCAGTGGTAAAAGCACAATTGTTCCGTAATAGCTTAGGCAATGGCTCTTCACGTTGGTCGGTCATCATTCTTCAACAATACGATCATTATGGTTATGACAGAGCAAAAGCTGAAGATATCACCTTCCAACTTAAATTCAGAAATTACGTTGCAACTTTTGTTTTACCGCCCGGTGCATTCACCCTTCAATGGACTGCTGAGGATACCGATTACGAACATCAAGGTGATCAAGTTAAAGCCTCTTCCTCCCTCACTTCGCCAAAAGGCACAACAAAGTAGATTGTATCTCCCATCCTTGTTTCCTTTTTACCTCAGATTTCATCATTTCCCTGCTTCTGGTTATGCTATTCGAAAATTTATTTATTCGTTCCTTTTACTGAAAATGTCGAGATTGTAGTTGGAAAAGAAAGAGTGTCAACAACTTATTGGCTTGTATGCAGTGCACTCCAAATGTTAAGTCCAAGCGCGCGTTGGATAGGCGGCGTTATTAATGCCTGTAAATTAGACTTCTTTTCATCCATCTCTTCTTCCCAAGCCATCACAAAGTGTTAATGATCGATCATGTCTTCCAATGAGGCTGGTCCCTCATCCGCTGGAGGAATGGCCACGCTATCAACAGAGCCTATTTCGATAGCGGAGAAGGAGGTCATTCGACCAATATCGTATCACTTTGATGAAAAGGCCAGTAGGATATCAGAGGAAGATGTAAATGAATTGATGAAAGGAGTGATTGCTTCTATCATCAAAAAGAAAGGATATGATGGCATAGAAGCAAGCGCAATGGATTACATCATGCATAATGTCGAACATGTCATGTCGGGCTTATTGGACCACACAGCAGAATTAGCAATGGTTGCAAGGAGAAGGAAACCCTCTGCTAGAGATGCATACATCGCTATTCGAAATGCAGGTCCACGACTACAGCCAGATGCATTGGAAGATTACGCAAAAGGGAGAGACATCAACCAATCTCCAGCATGGAGGGTAGAATGGGACAGAAAGCGAACAGATGTATCTGAATGGAAAGCACCAGAGGAAAAATGGTTGCCAAGCGATGAAGAGGTTGAAGAAGAGCCTGATTCATCCACTTCAAGATCTCAGAATCCAGTCAAGAAGAGGCGGCGAAAGCACTTCAAACCAAAAATGGATGAAGTCCCGGCTCACTTGCCACCTCTTCCTCCAAAACATACATGGTTATCAACCCCATCCTTCCCTATACGTTCGGAAGACACGATTGAGCCTCTTGCTCTTATTGATATCAAAGTTTCCTCAACAAGACTCACAGAAGCTTCTTTGCGTGGCTTGATCAGTGCAACGGATAATGCTGCAGCTTCTAGTCGTGAGCAGCAAAAGGCAAGAGATGGAATGAAGAACGATTCTGGCGTGCAACCTTCATTCAAGACAGACTTATTTGGAACAGCATCCAAGAGGGTCACCAGTCCACAGGCACAAGTTCAGCCACCCGTCACAACACCAGGTTCTGTCGACGAAGAAAATCGTAAAAGTCGCAGTCTCAAAGGCAGAACACTATCGTTGCGTTTGCGAACGAATACGGCGCCTCAGCAAACTGCTGAGCCGAATACATCCGTTGCAGATTCACCACCAGTAGAAAGGAACGAAATCAGCACTGCAGGCCCTGTCAGTACGCCGTCAAGATCTGTCTCATTCAAAAGACCCTCAACTTCTCATAGAGCTTCACTTTCTCTATCTATCGCTGGATCACGATCTGCAACACCGTTGGCATCACCTGCTCTTTCACGTCGCGGCATGGTTGCACCACCAGGCAGTGGGTCATGGACAGTTGCGCCGACACAGTCATACTTCACATGGGGTCCGCCTACGCCCGGTATTGGAAGTCCGGCAGATCTACCTCTTGCAACACCCCTTACGCCAGGAGCAGGTTTTGTTTACCCTCCAACGCCATCTGATCTTTATGCAAAGAATGACTTTGGTGCCAATCATGAGAGTGCAGGCCAGAATGCAGAGGATATAACACTCCCAGGTGTTGTGAATTATAAACGATCGTGGTATCGTAGAGGCAATGCGGTCAGAAAAGAGGCTGTCGATGACGATGGATAAGATTTCAAACTCATTGTATTATAAGACATTGCAATCCATATTGTGTAATTAAGGGTATCTGATACATGTTCGTGTATGGCAAATCAAGAGAACAAAACTATGAGAAGAAGCCTTTGCGATCCTCTGATCTCATTCTAGACATATATCCAAGCAATAGGTAAAGTCGGAAGAGTTGTGCACAATCGTCATTGTCCTTGAAAGGGTATTTAGCTCCTAGGTTGTATGCTGCAGAGAAACCTGAGACCATACCCACTTCGTGCATATTGACCAAACTCCAAGCACCTGCATAGCTTGTATGATTTTGACCGTTGATAGTCCACATCCAAGGTACCGTACCGCCATAATGTTGCCATCTATGACTTTGTTGTTTCCACCATTTTTCCAAAATGATCTTATCTTTTGCAACCTCTTCTTTTGTCCAACGTTGTCTTTGTTCGTAATCGAGGTAGATTGTTTGATAAACGTGATTCTCTTTGGGTGGTGATTGCTTGTTCTCATCAGCAATTGCACTGTCAGGTTGATCCATCACTTTTGGATCTTCATCTTTGGCTAATTTTTTTCCTTCTTCTCCAGTTTGACGTTGGATTGGAGGAGCATCTTTGAGAGTGATATCTGCATCTTTACCTACGGCAGGCATACCTTCAAATTGACCTTGATAATGTGTTAGATCGAAACTCATTTCGATCTGCGATGGATCTTCTTCGTACATCTTGATCAAGTACAACGGCTTCCAATTCTCTTCTGCGAATTTGAAAGCCTTTTTGCTTTCTTCGTCATCGCGCTTTGCGTTCAAGTCACTATTATAATTCATCTCGTAATGCTTCTTCATGTAATCGTAATCGTGATGGGTAACGGTGATATCCCATTTGTACAACACGTTACCCAGAATCTTGCGTTCTTTCCATGAAGGACCTGATCCATTGTTCAAGATTTTGAGGGCACTGTCTGCATCACATGCAAAGATGACATCATCAAACACTTCTGGGCCTTCGGACTCGTGGCCTTCATACGTTGCCAAGATGTTACCGCCCAATTGCTTTGCCTTCTTTGTTCCTCTTTCCAAACTTGCAACTCCGCAAGATAATGCGAATCGAACGTTACCTGCAGCTTCTAATCTTGTTCTCCATAATCCATACACACGGCCCAATTCTGGGAATGCTTTCATGTGTGGAACACTGGCCAAGAGAGATTCCTCGCTGAACTCAAACAAGCGCATATTTGGGTCCAAGAAAAGACGCTCAATGATTGCACTTGAGACATGCTTGGTTTGATTACCCGTTCCCATGAACAAAGCCACCAAAGGGAACACCATTCGTTCACCGAATGAGGGAGAGAAACGGAACATCTTTAACATTCTGTCAACTGGAATGAGTGCAAAGAATGGTTCAAACGTCTTGATAGTTGGGAGTACCTTACCAAACTTTTTAATATCATCTTTGAATTCATCCACCAATTGACTTGGGAATACGTTTGACCAAAAAGTTTCTTGACCTTTACCAAAACTGATTTGCATTCCCACATCACTTGCTCTGAACCCCAAGACTTTTTCAAACATAGTTAGTGTATTATGGAAAACCGGACTTGCACCTTGAACACCATCGTTGATATATTCAGCACCGAAATCCGGATGACCGTTTTGATTGTTTGGTAATTGATAAGAAGTTGCACTTCCACCTACATTTTGCGCTTTATCAACAATCTTTACGTCAAACTTTTCGGGGGATAGGGAGAACGCATAACCTGCTGCCATTCCTGAACATCCTGCTCCGATGATCAAAACTCGTTTCTTCTTTGTGGATGATGATGATGATGAAGCAGCAGCTGGCTTGGATGTGGAGGCGGGAAAAGTGGAATCATTCACTACGCCATAACTATTTTGTGCTAATGTTGGGCCTGTTTGATCTGATTTGACTGAGCCAGCCATTTCTACGATTTCTTTGTGAGGATGGTGTTGTGGGAAAAGGATAGAAGTGTCACCTTTGACCTACCACAATATATGTCAACCTCCATTTTTGAACATCTTAGCAAATCAATTCCCCAAATCGTATGCAGGTCATTGTCAGCAAAGAAAGTTGTTCACTTGAGCAGTGTGACAGTATTAACCAGGTTACGTGAAGGATTCTTTTGGTAATTGTACGCTAAATGCGTGTTCATGCCTTGATTCATGCTCCAGGGCGTGGGTGCGTGTGTGTGTGTGTACCTGATTGAACGCGTCTTTGTTCAAGCGTGTAGAGTATGCATGCTGAGAGGTGTTGTTCTTTCATGCATGCTTGATTAGAAGAAATGAAGTGTTGACCATCACCTCTCTTGTCAGCCTAGTCACATCCTATGCAAGCAACTCTGTAAGACAAAATGGCAAGGCCTGCCAGAAAAGGTGGAGAGGCAGGAAGAGACGGTCGTATGGCTCAACAGGATGCACCGCCGGAAAAGATCAGTCGATATGCAAGAGTAACAAGACTTGCAACTGATCAATCGGTCGATCAAGAAGCAACAAATAGCAAGTTAGAACAAGTCGATTCAGGTTTACTGGAACGTATTCGAAAGATGCTCAAATTGGCTCAACATCCAAACACGACTGAAGCAGAAGCTAAACAAGCTCTTCGTGCTAGTGCAAGGATGTTGTCTGCTGCCAATTTGACAGAGGCAGAAGTGATGTCGAAAGAAACTGCAGAAGAACAAGCACAAAGGGCGGGTCATAGCATCGTTACAATTCGACATAGGGATGGCAAACATGTATCATTGGAACAATGGTCAATCACCCTGGGACATACGATTAATAAGGCGTTCAATGTGAAATACTTCCATACCACTTGGAGTTCACACGATCGAATCGAGTTCACCTTCTATGGGCTGCGTCATAATACAGTCGCCGCTGTCATTTCATTCGAAGCAGTATTCAATCTTGCTCTTACTTGGGCTGCAGATCGAACAGATGTCAAAGGAAGGACAGGAAAGAATAGCTACTTGCTCGGACTCAGCTCCTCCCTATATCAAATGGCCAAAAAGGAGAAGAAAGCCGAGGAAGAACAGGCAGTAGAGGCTGAGAAGCACTCTTTGCTGAAAAGCGAGATTGAAGCCGTCAAGCTGGAAGAAAGGCAACAGTCACGTTTAGATGGAAATGTCACAAAGTCGGGCACGGTCGCTGATGAAGACGATGAGGACGATATCGTCTTTGTAAGTATCAAGCATGGACCAAAACGAGAATATGATGAAATCAAGGTGAAGAATGAAGGGAGCAGCTCAGAGAATGATCTTGGTGACATTGCCCCTGGAGCAATCACGGATGGAGATGAATCCGATGATGAATTTGTAGACGCAAGAGCGGACGACGATGAGGAAGGCGAAGAAGAGCTTGGCGATATCAAGGCTGAACAAGAACGATTTGATGCAGCATTTGACAGACGGGCAGAACCTTCAAACAACGGTACAGCTGTCAAGCAAGAAGATATTGTGAAGTCCGAGCCCCATGATGGAGTTCCGCCTGCAGTAAAAGAGGAAACAGAAGGTGTCAAAGTCAAATTCGAAGACGAAGCCGCAGTTCCCGCTTGGCAAAGTCATGCTCAATTGACCATCTTCAAAGAAACGGCTGCACGAATTGCGGATGATTATCTCAAAGAGATGAATACCAAAATTCGAAATCGAAAAGCGAAAAGAAACACAGCAATGCACGATTCTTCAGCATACAAGAAAGGACAGGAGGATGCTCGTAAAGTGGACCTCAAACGTCGCAGACTGGAAGCTGATTGATGGGATGCCGATGCGCATACATTCACGCGCGAATCTCTCATAGTGAACTTTCCTTGTACAATTATACCCCCCCATAATCAAGAATGATAAACGCATCCTGTACATTAATAGGCACCAACTCATGGCCACCAACTTACAGAACGTCGGCGATAATGTATGCCTAAGAATTTCTTCCATACTTTGCGTTTGTCTGAACAACCGCACGATAAAGTCTCGATGATCGTATAGGGTTCCACTTTCACCCCAATTTGTATATCATTATCTTTATGAATACCATAAATCGGTGATAAGCTTTCTCTTCCACTTTACAATCATCACTTAACGTCAATACGCTGAAAGCGGAATACAGTCATTCATACAAAACGGCCTTCGGACTACAAAATGTGCTCGCTTAGTTACCATTGCGTGGCCTTTTTCGATACACTTTCCTCATCGACTACAATCAAAAGCTGATGCACGGACTCTATTCTTGTTCTCTCTGTAGAGCATTGTCAAGTCTGTGCTTCGCTTTTCCCCTTCAGCTGAGTTTCTCTTCTGTGTACCTTCTCTTACTTGACTTGCGCGCGCGCATACATTCAACTCTTCCTCCAAGAACACAATCATCCTCTTTCTCTCCATCATCATCTGACTCTTTCTCATTCATACTGAAGTATAGTGCATACTACGCTATTACATCACATAGAATCTTCTCTGTTTGTGATCAAAAAGCATACTTCTAGTCATCATGCCACCTCGCCGTGGCAAACTCAAAAAGAAGGAAAGTAAGCGTGGCAAAGTTAAGACAGAGGCAAGAGAAGCCAATATCCAAGATACTGACAGTACGTTGGTCTTGCGTGCAAAAGTGACGAGACTTGCAACGGATCCTTCAGACAGCGATGACGCATCGCACAATTTACCACAAGGAGTCGATGTTGATTTGATTAAGCGCCTATCAAAGATTCTTGATATAGCTAAACAGCCAGACACAAGCGAAGATGAAGTAAAGCAAGCTCTCCAATTCATAGGAAAAATGTTGTCTTGCGCTCATTCTAGAGATAATGAAGCTATGTCGCTTGAATCTGCTGAATGTCAACTTCAAAAGGCAGGTCATAGTGAGGTGGCGATTCATTATAAAGATTCTTACGGCGGCCTCATAGATCAATGGGTCAACGAAATGGCATGGGCAAATATGATTGCATTCAATGTGAAGGCTTATCATAATAAGTGTCAGAAGAATACGGAGCACGTATTCTACGGATTGCGAGCTAATGCGGCTGCCGCTGCTCTATCGTTCGAAGCTATCATCAACCTTGCGCTCACATGGGCGACGAGTCATACGAAGCAGAACTGCTATTTGCTTGGATTAAGCTCATCCATACTTGAGATGGCTACAGAAGGCGAAAAGCTAGAGGAAGCCCAGACTCTTGAGGCTGAGAAGAGTCTCATTGAAAGAACGCACAGTAAAAACATAAAGGCGAAGAAAGAGCAAAATCGAAACCTGGAACCAGGTAGAAAACATACAAAGTCTGGCATTATTACAGATGAAGAGGAAGATGATGTCACCTTTGTGAGTATCAAGCAAATTTCTAAACAGTCTGGAGAGCATAAAAAGGTAAAAGGAGAAATGAAAACGGAATATGCTGATGAAGGATTTGGTGTCATCAAGCAAGAACAGGAAGACGATGAGAATAGTGTAGTCAGTGAAAGGCAAATTAAATTTCAACGGAAGCTTGAGGAAGAAGCTGAGACCTCCGGATGGCAAAATCATGCCAAATTAATGTCTTACAGACGGATGGCTGAACGCATAGCAGAAGAATACTGTGTAAAAGAATTGAAGATTACGAAGTGGACCGACCACTCATCCTATCGAGGAAAAGTTCGTGACTTCTCAGCTTACAAGAAAGGACAAGAGGATGCTCATAAGATGGACCTCAAACGTCGTAGACTCGGAGCAGATTGATGGGATGGCGATGCGCATACATTCACGCGCGAATCTTTCATGGTGAATCTTCCTTGTCCAATTATACCCCGAGAACCAAGACTGACAAACACATCATGTATATTACTAGACATTCTCCAATAATTTTCAACTCATAGAACGTCGGCGATAATGTATACCTTGTAATTTCTTCCATATCCTGTTTTTGCCTGAACAACCGCAAAATAAGATATCGATGATCATATCTGATTCCACTTCTATATCAATATGAAGGCTAAGCACCTATTAAAAGCCATTACTCAGCTTAGAACTCTTTGTCTCATACTCGATACAATCATCAATGGAGATCACTACAGTGAAAGTGGAAAACAGTCGCTCATACAATATAACCTTCGGACTACAATATGTGGTCGCCTAAGAAACAATAACAAGGTAACAATCGTGAAACATGAAAATGACGACGGCGAGTTTATAACATGTATAGGCATAAAACGTGCAACATCATCGTCTTCACATGAAAAGGTGAAAGGAAAAGTGAAATACGAACAAAAGGAAGAACCTTCTATCAATAGAAAACATTCTCGTCATGAAGAAGTAGAAGTGATCGGATGGCAAAGTCATGCACAATTGATACAATTCAGACGAATGACTGAACGTATAGCCGATGATTACCTCAGAGAACTAGGTCGTACACTCGTACCCGGGGTTACAGGAGAAAGAGCAACTGTCCACGATCACTCAATGCATAAAATTGGACAAAAAGAAGCACGCAATGTCGACCTCGAGCGTCGTAGATTGGAAGCTGCATAGAGCCTCGAATTCGTCTTTCCATTTTCACTTTCGCCTCCTCAATAACAAACCTTTGTATAAACGAATCTTTTCGTTTCATCTCTGTGTCTGCTTTAAGGACACACAAAGGGATCCTACTCTTCCATACCCATATCACCGGTCTACTGCCTACATGATTCTCAAGCAGTATCATACCCATAAAACAGTCCTGTGTCCGTCCACGTTCATGTATCTCTCTCTTTTTCTCTCTCTTTCCACCAAAATTCACACAAAATGTACACGGTAGTCATCAATTGATTGATATTTTCTTAAATACAGAAAGGGGAATATAACCTTGAATCGAGAATGGAGCCCAGAACATTAAAATAATTTGATGGTTTTTCTTTTATTTCGTATCAACAATTTAGACGGTCACACCAATCTTCTCACCAATGCGAGAAGCGATGTCAGGGTGAACACGTTGGAAGACCTTCAATTGACGTTGTTGGATTTCCTTGGACTTGCATCCACCCAAGTGACCGGAAATGTTGTTGATGAAGCGAGATTTGGCGCTGTCATCGAATACCTTCTCCCACAATGCACGTGGTTGCTCAAAGTCCTTGTCGTCAACTTGAGACAAGAAGTTGTTGATTTGAGCAGCAGCCAATTGCTCGTGTGTTGCGGAAACAGTGTTGCGCTTGGAGTATTGCAATGGCTTGATCAAACTTTGGTAGTTTGGTCGGTTGCCTTGGTTACCGTTAACAGTCATGAAGCCGTCGCGCTGATAGGAAAGTAAGTGATAGGTTTGGGGTGTTAGTATAAGAAATCATCATAACATGTGGTGAGTAAGGGACTTACTTGGAAGTTAGCAACTGGAACGAGTGGTGCGTTGACTGGAATTTGTTGGTAGTTGACACCCAAACGGTGACGGTGTGTATCAGGGTATGAGAACAAACGACTTTGCAAGACTGGGTCTGCAGAGGGTTCGATACCTGGAACCAAGTGGCTTGGTGAGAAAGCAACTTGTTCAATCTCAGCAAAGTAGTTTTCAGGGTTCTTGTTCAAAGTGATCTTTCCGACTGGGCGCAATGGGTATTCAGCGTGAGGCCAAACCTTGGTCAAGTCAAAGACTGAATGACGGAATTGCTCAGCTTGTTGTTGTGTCATGGTTTGAACGCTGACGGTCCAAGATGGGAACTTGCCTTGTTCGATTTGCTCGAACAATTCGGCGTTGTGGATATCAGGGTTTTCACCTGCCAACTTGACACCATCTTCTTGGGTGTAGAAGTCAACACCTTGGTCAGAGCGAACGTGGATTTGGACGTATTGCCACTCTCCCTTGTCGTTAACAAACTTGAAAGTGTGTCCTGAGTATCCATGTTGGAATGCATGTCCCTTTGGAATACCACGGTCACCCATCAAGATCATAACTTGATGGACAGATTCTGGGTTTTGGGACAAGTAGTCCCAGAACATGTCGTTGTCCTTCAAGTGAGTTTGAGGATCACGCTTTTGAGTATGAATGAAATGAGGGAACTTTGCTGGATCACGCAAGAAGAAGATTGGAGTGTTGTTGAAAACCCAGTCCAAGTTTCCTTCTTCAGTTCTCATCTTGATGGCAAAACCTCTTGGGTCGCGAGCGGTATCGGCAGAACCACTTTCACCACCAACGGTTGAGAATCGCAATGTCAAAGGAGTCTTTTTGCCAACTTCGAAAAGCTTGGCGCAACTCAAATCAGAGATATCATGAGTGGCCTCAAAGACACCATGGGCACCTCCACCCTTGGCGTGAACGACACGTTCAGGAATACGTTCCCGGTCAAAGTGTGCCAAAAGATCGATATGATGGAAATCTTGCAAGAGCAAAGCACTTCCGATTTGCTTGTTACCAACGTGAACTCGTTGAGCTTCGTATGGCTCAGGGTATGGAGCACCGTTTGATGTTGTGTAAACAACGGACTCAGGTCCAGAGTTGAAGACGTGAGCAGATGGCATTGTTGTACGAGTGTGTGTTTGTGTGGTGTGTATGTGATGAGTAGGTTGTGGTTAGCGAGGAAGAAGCAGCCACACAAGATTCTAGTTTATATACCAACCCCCTTGTATGAGCTTAATAGAGTTTATTCCAATGAGCAAAAGGCTCAATCGCCGATATGAATTGACTGTAAAGGTGCACAGAAGAAAGTAAATTGAGGCACATTGCCAGTCATCTTTTGACGGTGAATGACTTTTGTGTCCTTGGAATCATAGCGAATGTTTAAACTTACACTCTTCTATTGCCTCCACCGGCCTTTCGTCGGCCAATCACAATCAGGGCCGTGCACGCGGGGAAAGAGTTAATTTGTCATAAGCACATTGACAGTCTAAATTGCGACAAATACGATTGCGTTCATTGGTTGAAAACAAAGGCTGGCAAGATGCCCCTGCGCATATATGAATTACAGCGAGCGGCCTTCCAAACAAGGCGGAAGGCCGCCCGAAGGACCGTAAATTGAGTGTGACAAAATACAGCAGTAACGCGTTATTAAGTAAGCGGTCCGTGGCGCTTGTCGAATGTGCAAGAAACTAAGGTCATGTGACTGGGAGTGCTGCAAGTTTAAGCTATTCATATTTCTAAATTATGTAATCATATGTCTGAGATTTCAGTAATTTTGAAGTTCAGTTTGTCAGTTCATCCGCCGATGTGAAATAAGGCTTTGATAGGCAAGAAAGTTGAATTTGGCTAATAATCTCCTTCAGAAGAGACTGTAAACGAAGAACGCACGTTTCATGCTTCTATAATCACGTTAGTCACGTTTCTTCAAGTTGAGGAATGGCTAATTATGTGACCGGCATGTCAGACTAAGTGAATATGGAAAGGCTTGTCATTTCATACCTGACGCTAATGCTGATAGACCGGCGGCACATAGCGCGCTACTGTCACAAGAACGAATAAGCGTAACGCCTGTTGGTTTGGTTAATATCCCCCTATCCTCTTCACGCCCTCGGCAAAAGAAGCGCGCGGTAATTAATTTCGAAACGATAATTCAGCCAACTTATCGAAGGGTCAAGTATGAATACGCTACCTGCATCAACGGTGTTCAAAGTCATTCTTATTGGAATGAAGATATGTCATGTATTGAATAGGATTGATTGCAATGTATGTAATCATGCAATTCTACGCCACGACAGGGTCAGTTCGAAGGAAAGGCTTGATGTTTCCTTTGCAGAGGGGTCGATCAATTGCATTTTAACCATAAAAGTAGGGCCCCATTGATCGTTCTTTTAATTTGGTAATTGTTCCATTGAATAAATGCTTGTTTATGCATTGCGTACAGCCAGCCATCCTTTGAGCATGCTCGCCTATTGATGTCGCATAAAAGAGGCTCGCGCATGAAATAAATATAGAAAAATGATGCAAGGTTTGCATGTGTGATGCGCTATACATACAAGCCGGCTCCAGCCAAGAGACGGAAGCACATGGATTAAGGCATGTGCTCCGCCTACGTACGTATGTATGTTGTTGTCGGTGTTTGCGCCACTGGAAAAAAAAACTGTAAATTTTGCACTAATTTGTCCCTTTATTTCATCTGTCAACAACCCCAGGTGAATTCGGTCAAATTCTCCGTATAGAAGAGAGAATGTCAAAAGATCAATTTTGTATAAACGCTGAAGCCCTTCAATTGAGATCTTCCGAAAATGACAGGAAAAGAAAAAGAGGTTTGTTACTCGATTAGTGTGAAATTGAAATTAAAGAAGAGAAGCAGAGACCTCTTTGCGCCGCCGCTATTCATGCATTTAGCTCCCCTGTCAGCTAGAACAACACTCACTACACATCCGAGAGGAAGGGTACTCGTGTACCTCAAATCGGACAATTGATACCTTTTTTGATGCGCATGTATATTGTAACCACCTTTTCATCCTTTTAACCACCATCAGCATCATCTTGTAGGACGTCCATCATCCCATCAAAGTGGGATTCTAGAAGCACAAAGTACGTGCTGGACACGGTCAATTACGAGAACATCTCTTCATCACGCCGCCGCTCATTCCAATCACAGTCCTTACAATTTTCATAAAGCAACCTAGCCGAAACGGTACCGCGCCGCTGTTCTTTTCTTTAAACTGCCTCCGATCGAATATTCAATTTCCTCTTGATCGACGGCTCCTTTCTTGGATTATCGCTCAAGCTTTACTAATCGCAGAAGATTGATACGATCTTACAATACACATTCAACAAGATAGAGTTTTACCTCACTTTCATATCTATCCGAACAAAACATTCCAAAGTGAAGAATTGGAAGATTACACATTTACACTTCTTTTTGTGAAAATATAAGAAGCCCGGCATGGACGGATACGTTGATCTATCAGGCCATTCTGGTCAAGATCCAGTTCAAACACCAGGACAAACGCCAGATCGAAGAGCGCCATCATCTTACAACGTTTCATCATCGAATAATCCATATATGAACACATATAGCCCTATGAACTCAACACACCGCTTTGAAAGTCCAAATGGCTCCCTTTATCGTGAAGACGCGAGCGAATTCTCAACTCCCATTCCCGACGCTATGGACGATCCGCATGCACGTCTGGTGCGTTCTTCTTCTGGCTCAGGTAGCGATGGCAGCAGCTCGGGAAATGGTGGATACTACAGCAATCCTCAAAACCCCGGATTTGGAATGGCAAGAGCGATAAGCAATCGTCCACCTCCGCCAAATTGGCATGCAGGTTCACCAACAATCTTAAGCGATGAAGTGAATCCACGCAGCTTGGGCTCGGCTGAAACATTGGTTCAAAGTGGATTTAGGCACAGGAACAATGCCTCAAAAGATCTTTCCAAACCTTTCATTGTTGACACAAATCCTCTCGGTTGGGATACGATTGACAACGGAAGAGCCGAACCTGACGATTATCTACACGACCCCAAAAAGGAGGAACCTGTCCAAGATAATGGTTGGTCACCATCTCGTGGGATACTCAATTTGGGAACTATGATCATTTTGGCGGCAGGTATATTGACTCTTTTTGCCGGATATCCAATTATCTCATATTTCGATACTCGACGAGCTACCACAAAAGGAGCTTTTGGACTTGGAGGTACAAATGCTACCGGTCAAGTCGCCATGATGCCTAGCACTATGAGAGGTGATTTGATCGATGCAGATACACCGGAAGATGCAAAAACACGAATTGGAACTGACGGTACAACGAAATACAATCTAGTATTTTCTGACGAATTCAACGTTGACGGTAGAAGTTTTTATCCTGGTGATGATCCGTTTTGGGAAGCAGTGGATTTGCATTATTGGGGAACGAACAACTTTGAATGGTACGATCCTGCAGGTGTGACCACGAGCGATGGTGCATTGCACATCACTCTCAGTCAGACACCCGAACACAATCTCAACTTCCGCGGTGGTATGGTATCGACATGGAACAAGTTCTGTTTCACGGGAGGATACATTGAAGTATCTGTTCGTTTGCCAGGTAAGCACAATGTTCCAGGTTTGTGGCCAGCTGCATGGACGATGGGTAACTTGGGTAGAGCTGGATACGGTGCCTCTTTGGAAGGTACATGGCCATACTCTTACGAACAATGCGACGTTGGTACATTGCAAAACCAAACTGACGTTAATGGAAATCCTCAAGCATCGCAAACTGGAGGTGATGTGATGTTCAACAGAAAGCACCATACCAAAGCACTTTCCTTCATGTCCGGTCAACGTCTTTCTGCTTGCACATGCCCAGAAGATTATCCTCAATTGCATCCGGGCCCAGTAATGCCCGATGGAACTTTAAAGGGTAGAGCAGCACCTGAAATTGATATTTTTGAAGCACAAGTGACAAACGGTAAGAAATTGAGTGTTTCTCAATCATGTCAATTTGCGCCATTCAACTACAAGTATGAAGCAGCAAATACGACCGGACCAGCGTGGACGTTGTTTCAAGAAAGTAGTCAGCACAATACGTATACCGGTGAAATCACACAACAAAGTGCAAGTACTGTTACGGATGCCAGTCAAGTTGCTGTGCAATATGGTGGTGATGATAGTTTTGCAGCGTATGGATTCGAATATGAGCCAGGAGCGAATGGATATATTGAATGGGTTTCAGACGGAAAGCCTTCGTGGAAAATGAATCCCGCTTTCATGGAACCCGATCCGATTGCGCAAATCGGTGCTCGAGTTGTACCTCCAGAGCCGATGTATGTGATTATGAATTTGGGTATTTCGGAGAATTTCGCAACGCCCAATTGGGATCAATTGGCTGACCTTTGGCCGTTCATCATGAGTGTGGATTACGTTCGTGTTTATCAACCCGAGAATGCAATTAATGTTGGATGTGATCCACCGGATTTCCCAACTTTTGATTTCATCAATCGTCATATGGATGCTTATACCAATGCAAATTTGACCATTTGGGGTGGTACGGAAGCGCAAGGTGGATATCAAGAGAATTGGCCACGTAATAAATTGAATCCTAATGGATGCAGTGCACAATTGTACAATTATCCTGGATCGCCAACATCACCCAAACCACATGCACCAGCTTTCGCCGAAAGCCAGATTGGTAATGGCAACTGATAGGTGGCTTATTCGTTTATTTTTTGTTTATAGATAGATTTTCGTTTCTTCTTCATTTTTGACTTCGAATTTCTCCCCATTGTCTCATTTAATACCTTTTGAAGTTTTGTCTTCATCTTCATTATAACATTTGTATACTTTTTTCATTTTCAAATTCTCACCTCATGTTTATCTAGAAGAAGGAGGTGTGGTTTAAGTAGTGATTCTTTAAGCGGGAGGCGAGATCTATTAGCCCTTCATAACAATAGCACGCGTTCATTTAAGCTGCTTTCTCTGTGTTGCTCTGTTTCATGCACGCTAACGTTCTTCTCGAAGAAGTTTAAAGTACTTTCATTCTCAACTTCATCATCACATCAAGTAAGAGATATCCAGCATAATGTGGTAAGTAAGACAACAAGGTACGAATTGAACGTCTACTAACGGCATTCAATCTTAATCATCCAGCAAACATATCTTGAACGCACAAGTAAGCGTTCGAGCACCATGTTGTCGAAGATTTTTTGATTGTCCATTATGTCATTCAGAACAAACGGGTGACGAACATAAATTACGCAAAACGATTGAAATGCAATTCATTTGTAAAAAATGCAAACGTGCGTTTCGTAAAGACCTTACAAGGTTCGAAGAAGAAGATGAATATTGTCCACATTGCGATAATCATTTTGTACGTGTTGCCCATAGATGCACAAGACAGACAGATAGACAGATCGAGCTAACCTCTTCTTCTTCCCCCTTCTTCCCAGGTCATCGAGGCACAAACGCCCGGAATGCAGGACACGGCGGGACCATCGACTTCCCGAGGAGGAGAGAATGGAGAAGAAGACGATGAAAATGGGACCGCAGAACCACTACGACCCGATTTAGAACATAGCGCACGTATCCTTTTGGACGATCGAATGCGATACGATCCAAGACGTGATTGGGTTGCAACAGATTTAACAGCGGGCGAAAAAGGTGAACGTATTGATGAAGGTGGATTGATTGGTGTTTTTCAACAAAAAGAAGATTCTGAAAGACAGGCTTTACAGGCTACAAGGGATTACAAGAATATGATGAACGCAGTAGGAGCGGGAAACAATGGTGCACAGCACGCAATTAAAGATGACGATCTAGATTGGAGCTAAACAGACTTGCTCGGATACTAAAGGCTTTGTATTATATCAAGAATTATATTTCTGTTGCATCAGAGATATCATGTCCGATCAGACTCTAAAGTAGCGAAAGGTATAATGTACAAAAATGAAGACGAATGATCAACGAGTCAGAGCTTATTGTTCTGGCGATCCAACAAGTCGGGAAAAAGACAGAAGCAGTGCAGGGTGAAGGGGGTATAGTAGAACGCAGTCATGAAGACTAGGAAGACGAAACTTTGACATCGTGCAGCTTGTTAGAAATTCCATCAATTATACTTCTGGTTTTGGATGTCTCTTCTTTTGGTTCCTCTTTTGCCGGCTTTTCATCTTTGGAATCATCTTCTCCCGTCGCATAACCACTTGCAGCACTAGCATTACTGCTCCCACTTTCGTCACTGTATAGCTCTGGATGTTTTGACTTTTGCTTATCAGTTTGATCAGTCTTTTCCTGTTCACCATTCGCGGCCTTATTATCAGCTGCCAAAGCAGCAAATGTTCTGAATTTTGTCGAAGCACGAACGGCATTGATTGCCGTCTTCCAACGTTGTCTGTAATTCTCACGTAATCCAATAGAGATATCGTGAGAAACTTCCGTTTCTCCTTTCTTTTCGGCCAACCATGGATGTCTCATTGCATCATCAGCTGTGATCCGTTTGCTAGGGTCAACCATTAAGCATTGCTTGACGAAATCCTTTGCTTCTGCTGAAACATTCTTCCAATAACGATCATGGAATTCAATCTTGCCCCGCTGCGTTTCTGCTGCCAGAACATCTGGATCGTCTGACCGGAAGGGAGTATAACCACAAAGCATTGTGTATGTGATCACTCCCAAACTCCAAAGGTCTACTGCTTTTCCATGTCCCTTCTTGGACAAGATTTCGGGAGCACAGTATCCGAAAGATCCGCAAACGTTTGTCAACACTTCGTCATCGTTCGACAGATGTCTAGCGATACCAAAGTCGACCAAAACAACGTTTGCATCTTCTTCCTTCGTTCGGTATAGGATATTTTCTGGCTTCACGTCTCTGTGTACGATATGATGATGATGCAAATACTGAATTGCGCTCAAGACTGCTCTGATGGTATTGCATGCATCTGCTTCTGTGAATCTGCCGCGACTGATGATTCGGTCGAACAACTCTCCTCCCGTTGCCTCTTCGAAAACCAAATAAAATTTATCCTTTGATTCGAACCAATCCAAGAATTTGACGACATGTGGTTGATCAAGACCTTTCAAGACATCCATCTCACCTTGAACGATTTCATGATGTCCTTTCAAGCTCTTTTTGGCGATCACTTTTACTGCCACATTGATTGGTGGATCTGCTGCATTCCAAGTAGCTGCCCTAACGATACCGAAAGTACCTTCACCCAAAGTTTTTTTGAACGTGTATTCTTTCTTCTTTACGTATGAAGGCGGCTGTCTTGCCAACGGGTTATGCAATCCCATTTTATTGTAATGCGGTTCAAGCTTGGCAAGGATGTCGGCTTATTTGGATCGGCAAATGCGGAGTTGAAAGTATGGCTATACTTTGTTGTTTCGAGTAAGGTTCAAGAAGGGTATGGCGTTTGTTTGTAGTAGTGGGCGTTGAATGTTCAAGGTCTGCCGATGAGAAAGGGTTTATGACTGAAGCCCAATTTGCGGAAAGTAAGGGGTTAGGGGCAAATCAAACAAATAAAGCTCATCCAAAAATCTCTTCTCCGAGATGTGATGGATGTGTTAAAGGATAACTTGATAAAATTCCGAAAATTGGTTAAATTGATGCTGCCTCCATCATGCAAAAAGAGTATATCATATTAAAATGACGCTTGCTTAATCCCGTGCGTGCTTTCGTGCGTGCAAAAAGCTTATTCATGCAGATTGACAGTCTATTTTTTTGGCAGTGCTGTGCACTTCTGGTTGCATGCGGCCTCGGCAAGGATGCAGCATCGCACTGCTTAAAGCCAAATTTAAAAATAAAAAAGTATAGTACGCGATTACCCTCCCCGCTCGCTGCCTTTCAAACCTTTTACCAGCAACCCCCACTTGCAATGACAGCAAACCTATAGTACGGCGAATTCTTCTTCTATCCTATTCCTATGAACCCCATAAGTGATTGATATTATGACCATCAAGAGTTTCATAATACACCTTCCTTTCAGTTCATATGGGAATGATATGTTCACTTTAACCATTGGCAATTTATAACTTCTCTTGCGGACTTGTTGCTGCCTTTTAAAGTTACCCCGCTTTTTTTTCGTTTAATTCTTATATCCGAGTGAGCTTATTTTGAACGCCTTTATATGCATTACAAGCCCAGCGCCATCATCCTCAGTTGTGTAAAACGTATTATATAAAAACGGAAAAGAAGGATGAACTTTGTTGAATAGCCACGGATCATGTAAGCCTCTCAATACTTTCTTCCGCTATATTTATCTGAGATGAATCACATTACGTAATTGAGTTCACGCCCTTTAAGATTAATTACCGCATAACTACTCCTTTTTCTATTCTCCGTAGTTCCATTTAAAATAGGCATGGGAAAATTATTTGTTTGATGTTCTCCTAAGATTAATGTCTCATTTGGAATATAATACAACGTTTCCCTAAAGATCGCGATCTTGGTTGTCATTGCAATCAAAGTCAATTCATAATCCAATCATCATATCATAACCAAACGCAAACGCCCAACAAGAAAAGATCGGAGAAAACGCCTTGAGACATATATGATCTTGTCATTTGACTGTGATTTGATCGGGGAAGGTAGGGTTGAGATTGAAATGACGTATACATACGTACGTATATTTTCATAAAAAAACTCCGACTTTGTACGTCATCAAAATTCAATTACCGCTCGAACCCATCATCTTGTGCTTCTTTTTTGCAGCGTGGAAAAGTTCTAGTCTGCGAACAATTATTAAATTAGCCTTACTTTCTTTTTTTTCGATCTCAATCGTATTCTTTGATCTCAAATGTACATTTATAGGATCTTACACAGACTCAAAAGATCTACAGTGGATCTTCAATGCATAAATGACAAGATCTGATCAAAATGATCATTTGTGTTATGGCCCGTTTATTAAAATTGAGAGTAATGAAAAGAAAGTTCTTCTTTGTTGGTCTGTGCTGATTTCAAATTTCAATAAGCTTTACTGACCACGACGTCAATGGCGGCGGTGGCGGCGAACCTGTCACATTTGCCACGGATTTAGTATCCGCATTTTATGCAATTAATTGTGATGGCGTATAAAAACAAATTCAAACTGCGAAATATACATACAACAGCCAAGATTAGATTCATTGTGGCGTATTAAAGCGTGGCATCGGAGTTGAGACAACAACATCACAGAAATGTGTAAGCTGAATTGTTATGGTAAACTTGTCAGTGTAATTGACTAATTCTATCAAGCAAGAACATGATAATTTCTATTGAGCATAGATCGAATCAGCATTGATCTTTTTGAGAAAATTCTCCGATCTTGACAGCTCTATTCATTAGTGGCACAGACACTTTTGAAGTTCACACAAAGGAGAACACCTATCAAAATATGCGCGGTCAGACCGCAATGAAGAGAAAAGACGAAATTATTCTTATTTTACTCCAACGGTTTCTGTTTAAGCACTTTAGCCGCTGCTGTTCTTTTATTACCTTTCCGATATACATTACGTATTCTTCTCCGCAAACTTACGCAACAACAATTTCAATAAAGGAGGGAGGGGATACTTTTCCGGACCCTTAGTGAATGTATGTGGTAATAGCGCTCTTACTCCCTCTTTTCCTTCCTTTTCCTATTTCATTCACGGAGGTCAAAATTACGCCTTATCTTGTTTGTTGCAAGCGTCTGTTTTGCAAATGTACGAATGCTTTATCTTCATTTCCGGAACCGTTGTAGGGTTCACTCGCCTATAGTAGCGGCCAACCTGCAGTTGAACACAGTACTAATCTTGAAAAGCGCCTCGGTATGTAAGAAGAAGAAAAAGAGGAGATTCAATTGTGCATACACTCACACATACAACATTTATTCTCGGACAAACCTCTTACCCGTTCATTTCATATTCACACAGATGATCTTTACCCATTTCCACTTCCTAAAGAATACCCGCGGCCAAAATAAACGGAGCCTGGTGTGTTTGTGATTCATTACACCTTTATTTTATTTTTTCTGACGTTAATCATTGTTGCATAACTGTTATCGGCTGCTGTGCCCCTTTGCATTGAAAGGAATGATGATTGACAATGCTGTTCTTGTGCCCCTTTGAACCTTTTTTTTCTTCTGCCTCCTATCCGACGTTACTTTGATCCCCGGTATTTATTCCAATCTCACTTGACTAATAAAAACCTTCCCTTCACCCCTATCTCACCTTCCTTCATCTCATCAATCTTCCCTTTATTTTTCTCAAGGTATAGATATAAAGCACAAAACGTAATACAAAAAGGGTACTCCTAATCAAACGATAAATTTCGACGACAGGGATAAATCCTTTTTTTGATTGATTCCCATCATCCTTTTTTTGGAATCATCTCCTGGTCATTTGGAACAAGAGCAAAAACGATTCTTCAAAACCCCTTACTAGCAAAAAAGGAGTGAGAAGGTATTTTACTTCGGCATCTTGTTCTCCAAAAAAAATCATCCAATTTAGCAATTTTACCTGCAAAACAAAACACTTTTCATCCCTTCCAACTTTAAACGATTGCCCCCCTATCGGCATTCGTATAAAGTGAAGGCATCTTTATCAAATTGAATCACCCAAATTCTTTCTTTTCAAAACGTTTGCTTGCCTGAAGAATCGTCAACAGAGGCGACATTCATTCAACAGGTCCATTCATTCCACCAGAGAACCTATTCGTTCGAAAAAAGAGAACGGAAAAGATGCAAGTTCAACAACGGGAAAGGGATCACAATCCACAAGAGGTTCAAAAGGTGGCGGCGATCGTTGGTGCAAAAGAAGAACATAGAGAAGTTGATGAAATGCAAGGCGTTTCAATGGACGAAGCCAGTAGTCCGATCGAAGATAGAGATTGTGGATCATCAATCTCAACTGCTTCTTTATCCGAGCCAATGCCACACACATTGAATCATTCCTATTCATCCTCTCACATGTCACAGTACTCCCCAACATACAAACATCTTCATCCTGTCAACAATTTGGCTTATACCCATGATGAAGAAGGTATGCAATACGCTTCTCTCGAAGACCGCTTTCCATTCTTGAAGGATGATCGTAAACGAACGAGAAAGTTACTCTCTCCTGAACAAACGCGGATTTTGGAAGCAATTCTTGAAAGGGTGAGTTGATTCATTTGCAGTGTTGATAAATGTGACATGCTGACCTTCCTGTTTTCAGACCATATATCCTTCCACTCCTTTGCGTGAGGCAGTTGCACGTACTTTGGGTATCCCACCAAGAAAAGTGCAAATCTGGTTTCAGAACAAACGTCAAGGCAGACGCCGTATTCCCGGACAAAGTGAAGGAGAAGAAGAAACGGAAATGTCACGCACGAGTAGCGGAAACGAAACAAGGATGGCAAATGAAGAAAGTGAAGAAGTTGACGATAAACGTCAAATAACCAATACCGGAAATGCTCCTGCACCTCAAGCTCGTGAAAGATGCATGGAAGTTCAATCAGCCGCTGATGATATGCGTTTAGCAAGATTGAGGGATGAATTCGGACGTCAATTTGCCGAATTGAAAATTGCACCTGCTTATTGTGATGGTGATATGTATCCTGCTCCTCATTTGGGTCAATTTGAACGTTATGGCGGTGCTCAATCACAAAGTGGTGACAGTTATGAGCAAAGACACTTGAATTCCGCTTTGCCTTCTCCTGCAAGTGCACCACCTCACAGTGGAAACTATTCAGAGGATGACTATGCATCACAACGTAGACATACGATTCCAATGCAACACCATCATCAACATCAACAACAGGCAGCATACCCTCATCGAACGGAAGCAGAAATGCAACATCGTTCATGGCAAATGGGTCATGGATCGGGTAATTGGTATGGAAGTCATATGAGCAGATCACCTCTTTGGGATCGAGGAACGGATCATAGACAAAACCATGAAGGATTTCCGTTTGAAATGCGTCATCCATCGAATGATCCAAGAGATGCCCCTGTTCCACGCCATGAGCATGTTCAAATGGTTGGTGACCGTCATATTGCACAACACCACATGCACATGCAAAGAACTCCTTCTCATGGACCCCATCCAGGACAAGTACGCATTGCTGCTGCTGCTGCTTATCATCATAGATATGCAAACAGTCATGCTGATATGATGGCCTATCGATCGGAACACGATATGGCATACGAGGCTAGACGAAGAGGTTTAAGTACTGCTCCCCATTCAGCACCTTATCCTCTTCTTCGATCGTATAGCCACAATAATCCCTATGACCGTTCGCATGCCATCACTGCATCCGAGTCGATGCATCGATCATTCACTTCACTCCCGCAAGGCCTCTATCCTCCTCATGCAACATGGAATGCAACAAGAACAAATAGCTTTGGAAGTCATGGAATTCGTTATCAGATGCCACCACCCCTTTCTCCAGCAGAAAGACCGCATACCCCTGGTTCATCACGTAGCCTACGTTCTTTCTTCCCTGATAATGCAGGCAATCATCGTGATCATCCAAGCACTTCGCCACATAGACTACAATCGAAAGATCGATTTGGCAGTGGTGGTAGCATCCATCAAATCAGTCCAACGAAGGATAAACGTGCATCTTTGAACGAACAAAAAGTTGAAGCAAAGATTAACGAAGAAGCAAAGGAAGACGATGGACGTATCAATGATGCATATGAAAAAGCAAAAAAGATTGATTCGATGCCACCTGCTGAACAAGTAAGAAAGACGGACGTACCTGAAAGTACATGCAGGATTGCATCTTTGGCTGATGTTGCTCTACGTCATAAGTCTCGTTTGCCACCTTTGCGTATTCCTTCTTCGATGAACAACTTCAAAGATTCGATGAACGAAAAGAGCGATGGCAGCAGCGGTAGCAAGGATGACGAAAAGATGAGCATTGCCAAAGAAGATCGTCCAAGCCTTCGTCAACTTCCAAGAAGTCTATCGAGCGATGATATTCGTCCGGCAAAAATGGAAAAATCTTCACCGATGGCATTGGATCCAACACCATCTTCACCACAAAGTGCACGTGAAATGCGAATGGCTTCTCCTTCCAATTCTCATTCTCCCGTTACGCCAACCAATCGTCAAGCGGAAATCAATCCATTTGCAAAATCAACAAACGTTCTCGGAGGAAATGATCGTCAAGAAGTCTTGCCGAGTATTACCGAATTGATGCATTCATGATCCGCGTTTTTATCTCTTTCAAGTTTTATTTAGGGCCATTCTGTCATTTTTTAATTCCTTTCTCTTCTTTTTCCTTTTCTCATCCCTTTCCGTTTCTGGCAATCGACGGTAAATGTACTCGCACCCTTGTGAAATGCTGTTGTACCATACGATACTTTACGCCTGTTTTTAATCGAATGAATTTTTGACATTTTTACAGATACAGTCCGAGTCGTGTCCTATTGCTACATCTCTCCACATTCTGAGCAAGTAAAGAAAGGAAGTTGATCAGTAAAAATGACTCATCGTTCATTCGCATCATACTCACCTGTTATCCGCACTGTCATCTTTGGCCTATTATTCTGTCCAGTCGGTACGTTTTCGATCTTTCGAACGGTCAACATTCCATCAACGACTTTTCCAAAGACTACATGCTTATCATCCAAGAAGTCACACTTTTGCAACGTGATGAAGAATTGACAACCATTCGTATCTTTTCCCGAATTGGCCATGCTCAAAAGTCCTGCCGAGTCATGTTTGACTGTGAAGTTTTCATCTTCAAATGATTTGCCATAAATTGATTGTGATCCCGTTCCGTCTGCATTGATGAAATCACCACCTTGGATCATAAAATCCTTTATGACTCTATGAAAGATTGCATTTTTGTAACCTGTCGGTTGCAGGTTAATACGTTGTTCTCCTGTACAGTATTGTCGAAAGTTTTCTGTGGTCTTAGGAACGATGTCGGAAAACAGTTCAATCTTTATCCGACCGGCCGATTGATCTCCTATACTTATATCGAAGAACACAATCGGTCTTCCTTTCGTTCCTGCTCCTGGTATAGATGTACCCAATTGCTTTTGAGCAGCAGATGTCATGTTTGATTGTGGTCAAGAAGAAGAAGAGTGAGAAGGTGTTGTTCTCTTCTTCACGCGTTAACCTTCAGGCGCACGAGCCACGTGAGCTTAAATTCCCGGCTTTCAACCATCAGATTGTGATAGATGCTGCTTCTCCACACATATATCCTCACCCTTCTACTCCATCTCTGGGCTGAACATGACAACAAGCGAAGAAATGGCATCATTGATCAAGCAAATTCGTGCATTCGGAACATGCGAGGTGAGTATACATAAGCAAAAAATAGCGCTGATTTCCACTCGATGACACTGATAGAAATCCTCTCTACCCCACAGATTGCAGATGCACTCATCAAGCTAAAAGTATCATCAGGAGGGTATTTGGCGGGCATCGAGAGCCATTCACCAAAGAGTCCGGTAGATATATGCGGTCCTGCGTTCACAGTAGAGGTGAGTAAGAAAGAGAGAATTCTGCCAGCCATGCTGCTTACCACCTCTTACTCTTCCCTCTAATTCAGATGGTATCGCAGCAAGACACATCAGCACCTAAACCTGAAAAGCATTTCGTCGATGCAACCGAAGGTCATTCTGGCAGTATAATGGTCATCTCTGCTCCTCATGGTAAGTGATTGAAAGAGTGTGGTATGGTACGCATTCGACCTCACACAATCCTCCTCCCCTCTTCACACAGATTCCCGATCAGCTGTTTGGGGAGGATTGATGACTAATCGAGCACAATTTAATGGAATACAAGGAGCAATCATCAGCGGTCGTTGTCGTGATTTACAAGAACAATGGGATGCAGGATTTGCGATTTATTCAAGAGGTCATTCGATCTTAGGACAATCTCCTTTTACCAGACCGTCTAGGCTGCAAGTACCTCTAGAGATTAATGACCCGACTTCATCCACATTTCCATCCACAAAAGTATCACCGGGAGATATCGTTCGAGCAGATGTAGACGGGGTGGTCGTTTGTCCTGCGGGTTTAGCGGAGAAGGTGATCGAGCTTGCTACGAAAGGAAGGGAAGTGGATGAAAATTGCAAGCAAGATTTACTCAAAGGACATGCCGTCAAAGAAACATTTGCTAAATGGCGAGGAAAGTAGATGATGATGATATAAGCATTTGCAATGAAATCACACTTGATCATCAACAATGTTTGTTGTGACTGTCTTGATACACGCGCTTTCATGTCGTGTCGCGTCACGTCAATTAACGCGAACTTAATGGGAGACGCGTCTTATATTTTTTCTACCGTGTAAAGTGCTTGTGACACGATGGGTTGCATTGTTGCAGCCTTTAATAGGCGAGAGTATGCATGTTTTTGTTAAAGTCACGCAGCAGCAGCATCCCTTTTGTGTTAAGGAACAGAGAATAGTGAAATTATGCTTCGACAAATGTTTTTGTTATTCTTTTTCTACTGTGCGGCTGAATAGGATTACGGATGCTTTTGTTTGATCATAAAACAATCAGCACTTTCACCATCATCATCATTCAATATACCAATCCATACACATAAGCACGGAACGCTTTCCTTCCTCAAACATGAATACAGCGGTCCTAGCTTCGGACGTCAATATGCTGGGGGACCGAAACCTTTTCGCGAAAAAAAATCATGCTGCTGCTCATACGAGTCCACGTATATCTTCTCCTCTCACACCTCCCGCAACTGGAGAAACGAAGATCAATAATGGAGAAAGCAGTAGTAGCAGTAGCATAGAAGGAGGAATTGCAAAACGTAAACCAAAAGATCTTTCACAATCACCAACTGCAAGAATCTTGAACACGTTCCCGATAAGAGATTCCCCTGGTAATCCATTCTTACAAGGTGGACCAGCAGATGCAGGTCTTTCGGGACCAAGGATGTGGCAAGCAAGACAAAGACTGGCAAAGATTCCAAAACGTGAGAGAGGAAAGATGACGTATGTATTCAGAGGTCAAAGGGTTACCTATGCAGAACCTTTTGCAAGTGATTCGGAAGAAGAAGAGGAAGAACAGATGACTAGCACATACCTTGGTGATGGATATTGGAGGCATGAGAGGAACAACGATCGTTTGCAACCTCGTATCTTATTCCCACAGGCAATGTCTGCCTCTTCTAGCTCAACCGAATCATCGAGGAAACGACCAGCTCAACTTGACTATCTATCAGATCCTTCTTCGCATAACGCTTCCCGCTCAGGCGAATCTTATAGCGGCATCAACCATCCAAAGAGGCGCAAGATCGACGGCATACAAGAACAGAACCGAGATCTACTTGACCATCTCGATCGTGCAGGCTGGAATAGCGATGGAGAGATGGATGTTCAGGAAGAGGATGAAGTGAGCAAATCGATGTTAGGGCGGGAAGAACAACAGCAAGAAGAAACGTCAATGGACCCTTGCTTCACCGACAAGACCATAAGGCCACGTCAATTCGACAGCGATGATGAAAGCGAAGAAGAGGAGCTTGAGGTGGAAGATAATCCATTCTTGGATGCAGCACCGATGCAAAGGTCTAATTCACGCACGTACGAAGAAGAACGAGCTTCAATCTTTGGCTTACAATATGATTCAGAGCAAACACATAACATCTATACGACCAATCACTCCCATGCATCATTCTCATCTAACCCTTATGCCAGCCGACCACGAGGACATGCACATTCGCTCGCACATTCTATGCATGTGCCTGGACATTTACGTGGTCGTCGATATTGATTGTGGATTCGGATTCATATACTCTTTTTTTTTTCTCTCAGCACATTTCTTCCGCACATTCAGCAATTTACAAATCATACATTCATCAAAGGTCTATTTTACTTTCATACTACTTTACGAACATGCAATAATGACAATCACGTTCTTTTAAGGCTTCTTGGCTCTAATGCGCAAGCGGACGTCTGAAGGAGGGGGAGAAGTTTAGCTTCGATTCTATGACATGTTTTTGACTTCACTCACACATCAGCGTCCACTCATCTTCCTGTTCGTCGTACATGTCCACTTTGAGCATGTCTTCAAGTTCTTGCAGTGCGTCAATACGATCTTGTTCAGTAGGCAATGCATTGAGGAAGTGACCCGAGAATGTCTAAAGGGTAGAGCAGGACACTGTATCAGCTCTGCAGCATAACATTATGCCATGTATTCTTCACACTCACCTTTAGCCAACCTTTAATACCTGAACCCTTTGGTAAAGGAGTTGGTCGTGGAAAGAGATAAGCGGTATCTGGGCTTTGAAAACCTGCATTTTGCAAAATGATAGAATATTGCTTTGGCGTAGGAAAGTACCATGGATGAACGCTCTTTGCATCTACGCCTTTTTTGGCCAAGATGCTGTGCAAGCCAGAAACGACACCGATCGCATTCATATGACCACCAAATCTTGAATAGGGATGGGTGAGTAAGGGTCAGTAGTGATTCGTAAATGCACTGTGGAGAGAAACATCGTACTCACTCGACGGCCATTGTACCCCCGGGTTTCAAAGCATCGAACATGCCATGCACGACAGCAGCAGGATCACGACTCATCCAGTGTAAAGCCGCATTACTAAACACTTTATCAAATGTTCCTTGTTTGCCTGTTTTGACTAACCAAGGTTGCAATTCATGACCATCACAAAAGAAGTACTCAAGTGTTTCCGAAGAGTTTCCTTTTGATGCTGCTTTGATCATATCTTCACTTTTATCCACTCCAATCACTTTTCCAGTCTTGCCATTTGGACCGGGTTGTGAAACAATAGAATGAATCTTTGCGGTTATTTCACCTGAACCGCATCCTACGTCCAAGATCACTTCCCCGGGTTGTGGATCGAGTAAAGTGAGAACTGCTTTTGTATTCTCATCGCTGAATACCTTTACCAGTAAAGAATGATTATCTGTCAGGATTCGGGCTCTCTCGATTACCAAATCAACATAACTCACAAAAGAAGTATTGGTACGATACACTTCAGCGTTATCGCTCTGATGAAAGGTAGACGCAGACATACTGCTCCTCAAAATGAATAGATGATTCTTTGAGCTATTAAGGCGAAAGCTTTACAGCCCTCTTATATAGCATAGCTCAAGAGATGAACGAACGAGTCATGATCAAGAGTTAGGTTGATGTAAGTTGAGAATGCCTGACTGAACGGACCCGTCAATCGGGCTTTTCGGCGCGTGTTTCGGAGTTAGATCAACAACACCCCACCACACGACAAGAACAATTCTGCGAAGAAAGCCGATTGATCATGATCTTCATATTTGAGAAAACAAGTTATACAAGGATTTGATTGAGAAGTGAATAGATTATGATATATATAATGTGCGTATGACTGGAGCGTCTATCATAAAAACAATCTATGATTATGTCATCTAGCCAATTCTTTACTTTTGCATGGATCCTTCTGCTTGTTCTTTGGATGAATCAGGTTTCTGTTCCGCTTTTGGCTTTTTTGAGGATGATGGTCTGGATAATGCTCTATTTGCTGCAGCTTCTTGACTTGAAGGTGAATCTTTTACGAAATCACGCCAGCTATGATCGGCAGCATGATCTCTTTTATATAGAAGTTTATCACCTGCACTTGGAATTTGTGTGATTCCGGCCATGGCCACCAAACTTGCCAAAGTGATACCTTGAGCCCAAACACGGGTTTGCACGAGCTTTTGACTGAATGGCATTGGTTGATTGTGAATGTAAGCAAAAATACCTGCCATTGAAGCGATCCAAGATCCAGCAACAACACCGAATTTGTTATCCTTTGTCCATGTAAGTGCTTTATCTCTTGTTGATAACTCTGCCCATTCCTTTTCTTCTTCCGTTCTAAATTGACGAATCTTTTGTGCACCTTCATCAGTGAAATGTTCTTGATCAAATGCGATTCCTGCTTTGTCTGCTGCAATTACACCTGCTGAAACTGTTGCAAAAGTAACAAACATTGCTTTTAGGGGTAATGTTAATCGTTGAAATGGTTGCCATGTTCTATGTAAAAAATAAGCTGCCGGTCCTGCCACTGCTATTCCACCTCCTGCTCCTTTCATTCCTGCTTTTAATGCTGCATTATATTGAGCTTGTCTCTTTTCTGGATTTCCCACTTCTTTATGTGTACCGAATGAAGACATGATGGTGCTATTTGGTGAATATATGCTAGATGGAAGAGGAGGAGAAGAAGAAGAAGGAGTTGTATTCTTGAATTCCCTCCCAAACCGATTTCTTCCACCCTGCTTACATACACCCTTCCCTTCCTTCTTATCAAAAAGTGGAGTTTTTCCAGCGCCGCGTCTCTCTCTCATCTTTTGCCTCCCCTCGGTTTGGCCGATAAACCGAATTCCGCCAAACACACAAACAATGGCAATCAGACAATGAAACTGTGGCACAACGGCCTAGAACGGAATCAATTCGGCTACATTTGTTCCATCACACACAAACAATCGACTTAAAACTTTCATTCATTAATTGACATGACAAAGGATTTGGATGAGCGTACGGCTGGTATATCTCCGTCATAATAAAAAGGGGAAAAGGCAAAGGGTAAATAAAGATAATTGATGAGATGAAAAAAAAGAAGAGAAGTAATCTTATCCAAAAAAGGTATCTTTTTCCCCCTTTACAATTCAATGTGACCGGCAGCTTTGCTTGCTTCAGCAGCAGCAGCACTAGCAGCTGAACTTGCACTAATACTGGCAACCTTTGCATTCTGTTCAACTTTTCCACTTGCATCATGAACTGAATCAAAGATATGTTGAACGCCTTCTTTCAATTGATCCAATAATCCTTTCTTTGGTGCAAATCTTGCACGGGTTTCACGTAATAAACTATCACGAGATTTTGGTAAACGATCAGTTGTGATTCCATTTTGAACCAAGAAAGTACGTAAACGTTGATCACTCCATGAATAATATTCACGGGCTCCATCAACTAAATTGTTTCCGTGCTTTTGTACCAAATCGATATATTCATCACGTTTTGCCTCGAAATCAGATTTAATGTATCCGTTTGCGATCAAATAATTACGCAAATCAGAATCTGTCCATGTGGAAAAGATTTGATCGCTTGTCCATTTGTAGTTAGATGCAACCAAGGCGGCATACTTGTCTCTTGCTGCTTGAAAGTCGGATTTGATGTATCCGTTATCGATCAAATATTTACGCAAATCACTTTCTTTCCATGAGTTGAAAACGGAGTCAGAGCCGGAGTAATAGTAGTCCTTGGCCAAGTTCAACTGGTGGATGGGGAAAAAAACTTTGTCAGCTTCTCAATAATTATGCCAGTCACTCTATTCTCAACTCACGTATTCGTCACGGGTCTTTTGACCGGGGGTACGGATGATTCCGTGATCGACGAGCCAGTCGTGCTGTGAGGAGGATAAAATTAGTACATCTGGTCGAATTAGTACTGCTGCTTTGCCTACTCACCAAGTAGCTGTCAGAGTAAATCTCATAAGGTGCTTTTGTTGTGGCAGTGTATGCATCACGAACGGCTGCCAATAAATCATCTCGCTTGGCTTCATAGTCAGATTTAACGTAACCGTTCTCGATCAACCAACTTCTCAATTGAGAATCATTCCAAGTTGAAAATATGTAATCGGAAGCATCATTTGCGGCACGGTAACTTGCACCTGTTGCTTGAGCAGCAAAAGAAGATGCACTCTTGCTTACACCTGATGCGGCAGATTGAGCTTCAGATGAAAGACTTGAAGCATCTTTTGGTGCATTTTTGCTTGCTGAACTTGCAGCAGATTCAGCCGCGCTTGAAGCGCTACTTGCAGATTGAGAAGCCTGTTTAGATAAAGAAGAGCCAAAGGAAGAAGCAGAAGAAGAAGCCCAATAATATAAATCGGTCAACGAATAAGCTTGATCAATAGCCGCATCTTTATAATCACGAACCGCCGATTCAAACGATGCGGCCGCTGAATAGACCGTATCGGCTGCTTGAGAAGCAGACTTTTGTGCTGATCCAGTTGCATCGCTTACGCTTTTGCTTACTGCATCGTAATCTTGACGGGCCAAAGAGACCAATTGTTCACGAGTTGAAGTTGGTGCAATTACACCGCGGTCCAACAAGTAAGAACGAAGGTCAGATCTGTGAAGGAGGGGGAGGGAAGAAGAATGTTAAGAAAATCCCGGTTGTTGTCTTGATTGAAGCTGGAATACCTACTCAGTCCAAGCGTCAAAACCTGCTTTGAAAACACGTTGTCCTCCAATAGCAGAGTCCTGTGAAGAAGTAAAGATGGGGTCAGCATATCAAGAATCTTTCAGTGTTCCCGCTCAGCACTCACTTGAATCCAATCAGCTTGAGCAGGTTGAGCGGCCAAAGCCAAGCAAAGAGCCACCAAGCTGGCGGTGATGAATTGTTTGTTACGAATGATTTGCATAATTGTCAAATCAAATCAAAAGCAAAAGAGTGATGAAGTCGTAAAATAAGAAGAGAGACTCTTTCGTTTTTCGATGGTGGAGGAATAGGTAAAGAAGGTTTTGATTCCCTTTTTGTTGATTACTTCATTCGGCCAGCATGTAAGTGGTTGAATGGATTCCTTCTATCCAACTTCCCGATTTAATAATATAGAAGTGTTGCCGAATAGACACTATTTCAGTATTCAATCAATCAATCAAATGTTTTGCCTGCGTGGGGTTGAAGGTGTTGATCTTCAAAGGGTAACAAAAAGCATGCACGTTCTTTTGTTTTGCTTGAGAAGGGGCAATTCGAGCACTTTATCAGTCTTTTCCCTTTGTTAGATGTGGAGGAAAATTAGGCCAATTGTCCAGATTTGATTTGATGCTTAATCACGTCACTGGCTTTTATGCCTTTTTGTCTGCCTGTACACAAACATCTAGCGTGTCATTTTTGCCAATACAACAGGTGCGTGCATTCACTTTCATTCATTTTCACCATCATGCATCCTATTCAGGGTCATATTCCACGTATTCACATTGTGGCATTAGCATGACGTAATATGAATATGAATATTCTATTCTATTGCCACGTGCAAGACATTCATTCGTTCTCATAACCATGATTCATTAATTGTATACAAGATTGGATGCTGTGTGTCTACAAATGTGCAATTGGTGTTTGGATGCGATTCAATAAAGACTCAATGACAGGTGTACGTGATGCTTGAACATCCTTTGCGGTATCGATCAAGACAGAGTATAAATCACCGTTTCGTAAACTATGATAAATCACACTAACGTATGATCCAATCGTATCCGTCAATTTACCTTCTTCACCTGCGAATTCCAACATGTTCTCCTTTCCATGCATTGGAACACCAAGGGTACGACGAATGAATTCGTACAATTTGGATGTCTTGCCCAATAATGGCGATGCATGACATCCTTTTGGATCATCCAAAAATTGTTGTGTCATATTACGATAAAGCGTCCATGTCTCATTGGCAGAATAATCACGCCAAGCCATGATCGTTCTCAATGGATCAGCACCACCTCCGCTCGGCAAAGAGCTAAAGTAATGTACCAAAACACCTCCTGCAAACATGTATGCATCGGTCAAACGAGAATGCAAATCACGAGCACTCGTTTCGTCCATTCGTTTGTTCAAACGGACAAATACTTGACGTGCCAATTGTTTTTGATTGACGGCATCGATCCAAGTTGAGAAATATTTATTGATACTCTTTTCGATCTCACTTTCAAGTTTGATAGCAAGTTTAAGTTGAAGAGCACGCAAATCCAAAGCTTGACAAAGAAGGTATAAAGACCATGCCATCAAATGACTCAAAGTCTCCACAGCCTCAATCGTATAACGTGTTGAAACCAATGCCATACTGTTCACAGCTTGATTACCCATCTCGGCTGATTGAACATGACTGGTGACCGGGTTGGCCAAATAGCCTAATTCAGCAGTAGCAGCAGCCAAAGCAATATCAATTCCCTTTGCCATAAAGTTCAACGAAGGATCAGTAGCGGCCAAATTGGCAGGCAAGCCACGACTCATAGCAGGATTGATAAGTTCAGTCATTTGTTGGAATGTCAATTTACCAAAATGAGCCAAAGCCAAACGAGTACGTTCCATTGTGTTGCTGATTGCCATTGCTTGGAAATTACCACCGTGATGGATTGTTGAATTGACGCCGTCTTCGTGAACTTCGATGAGTGGATTATCAGTTGTGCTGTTCATTTCACGTTCGATCGTCTTCCAGCTATGTTGTAATTCTTCAATTTGTGGGCCGATCCATTGTGCAGCTGTACGTAAAGGATAACGATCTTGACGTAAACTTCCTTCATCTTCAGACATGTGGACATGCGTCTCTTCACGCCAATGGCTTGCCAATTTACTGCCTTCCAACATGGATTGAATAGTAGCAGCGCATTCCACTTGACCAGCATGTGGACGACAGACTTGATGAATGAAAGCGGCAAACGAACCATCTGTACCACGAGCAGCTTCAACTGCCATAGCAGTTGTGAATTGAGTCAATAAGCATAACATAGATGCATCATGAATCGTCAAGGCAGCAGTTGCAGTACTGAAAGCTGTACCGTTTAAAATACCAAGAGCCTCTTTTGGCTCAAAGACAGTCTTTGGAATGGATTTTGATTTTAATGCTTGATCGGCTGCCATTGGAACACGTCTGCCATCTTTTGTGTCAACCCAAGTTTGAATGCCAGATTGACCGGCAAGAGTACCTGCGACATAACTCAGAGGACTCAAATCACCACTGGCAGAAATTGTACCACGCAAAGGTACCATAGGAGTGATATTTTCTTTGAGCAGCTTTTGCATACGTTCCAATACCACGAATCGGACACCAGAATGACCTCTCATCAAGCTGTTCAAACGGACGACCATTGCACCGCGCACCCATGCTTCAGGTTGAGAGAGCATATGGGTGGAAAGGGGTAGGCTGCTATCGGGTCTAGAAGGTGTTGTAGTTTGAAAGTTGGCAGGGAGAGGTAAAAGACCGATTTGTTGATGTTGCAACAAGGCCAATTGTAAAGCACGCATGTTACCTGTTCTTGAATCTGCTGAACCACCAAAGCCTGTATTGATACCGTATAAACTTTCACCGCTTTCTAAACGTTTTGCCAATGTTTCTACTGCTGCTTCGATTCGTTTACGTACTTCTGGACTATCATCCAAAGCAGGTGTGACGCGATAACGTGCTGCTGCTACCAATGCTGCCACACTTAATGTTTGACCGTTGATCATTACACCGTATGCTTCACGTTCTTGTTTGATAACTTTTGCTTGTGCTGCTTGTGCTTCTTTGGATGATCCCATCTCGTTTGCTACGTTTCCAACATTTGCTTGCATGATTGGATTTGAACGTCTACGATGGGACGTCATTGCATCCCAAGATGATACAGTAGTATCGATGAGAGTATTCATACTGGACGTGATTGCTACAAGAGGTGGTGGGGGTAAGAGTGGGAAATGCAATGCATATATTCGAGGAAAGGGAAGAGAAGAGGGGCTTTTATATGATTATTATTTTGATCATCTCTCATTTCATTCAGCTGGAAGGCGTGCCGATCCGCGGTTTGATCGGAGAATGATCCATCTAAAGGACCATGTGTTGTTGTGATATGTCTTTGGATTACTCCTTTTCCCCGCATTCCATGCTTATCTTACGCCTTAACTCGTGCAACACATACTCAATCGCTTGACCATCTTTTGGGGGCTTTTTGGAACGCGCCTTTTCTTTGAACACGGAAACGGACGCGTCGGATTCAAATCCGTTTGGAGACTGAACGAGGAGGACCTAAAATGGAATGCCATTCAAATCATGTTACGTTTTGTAGTCTCCAGGCACTGCTTTCTGAATAATAATAATAAATTTGTGAGGTAGAGAAAAGTGGGTAAAATATACATGTGATATCTGACTATTTATAATTGACAAATGGGCTAATTATGGGCACCAAGACTGTGGTTCGTCAGCCTTTGTGGCGGAACAGGCGTTAAGGCGTGATACGGCGTGATACGGCAAGTGACGCCTGTACACGTGCCAGGCGTACCGTATACGTCATATCCCAACAAATCAATTATATAAGCTCGACTTGTTCTTCCTTTATCCGAATCAATGAGCTGCTTGCGGTCATAAAATACACATGTCTTGTAAAGTGATTCACTGCTTTATGAGCATTCAAAGAAAGAGGACATAACATCGGAGGCAGCATTTATCATCACTCGCTGGTAATTATCCACATTGTTGAGGGAAAGATTGATTCTGAGAATGTGAGAATGTCGGATAGCTGGATTATATAACTTTTGTTCGAGTAAGCGGTTGAAGTGGTAACCCTGGGTAAAGCCCTGATGATACCCCACACTGAATAGGCTTTTAATAGCGTGTAAAGCGTACGCTAGTGATAAGTAGGGCGCGTTGGAGTTGTGCTGTGTTGTGTTTGATAAGGAGGTCAAAGAGATAAGCAAGTTTTCCCTTGGCACACTTCATTTCATGCATGACGTACGCAGATAAGCTTCATAAGATTGCTACTCCGCTCTTCAATGGCTAAACAAAATGACACTAAACACGGCCAAAGGTCACTTGAGATTAATTGACCGGTGGGAAGCATTTATTCTTCCGATCCGAGGGAAAAGCTATTGCGAATGACGGTTCCTTACTTTCCGTACCTCATCATCCCTTCCGATTTCCGCCTCGATTAGGAAGATTGATTTAAAGGCTGTATTTTAAACAACTCTTTCTCATACCATCATCTAGCCTTCTTTTTTGAATAATCACAATGGAAAAGTCATCTTCAACGCCTTCTCAAGAGGTGGGAGGAGAGAAGCCACTCACACAAGTAGTTTCTTTCCATAATCAAGGCGATACAGAGAACGGTCGTATTTCTGGTGAAGATGCATTAGGATATAAACAAGAACTCAAGCGAAACTTATCAATGTTTACAGCTTTGGGATTAGGAGCAAGTATTATTGCCGCTCCTTTTGGATTATGTACAAGTGCTTCATTTGCTTTAGTGAACGGTGGAACGATCACATACATCTTTGGCTGGTTAATGTTATCGATCATCAGTGTTTGTATCGCTTCAAGTTTGGGTGAAATCGCTTCTGTTTATCCAACTTCCGGTGGTGTGTATGTATGGACAGCTCATTTGGCTCCCCGTAGATTTGCAGCCGTTGCTTCGTTTATTGTTGGTTGGGTTTCTTTGGTGGCCAATATCTTACTCTGTCTTTCGATCGCTTTTGGTGAAGCACAATTAATCATGGCTGCTATCAGCGTTTTCAGGAATAACGAATGGGCACCTTCTCCATGGCATGTTGTGCTTATGCATTTTGCAATCATGATCGTTGCCTGTCTCGTCAATGCATGGGGAGTTCGAGGAAACCTTTTGGAGCCGATCAATACGTTTTCCATCTACTGGACAGGAGCAACGGCAGTCATCATTTGCGTGGTCGTTTTGGCAATGTCAGACGACAAAAGAACGGCACATGAAGTGTTTGCTCAATGGCAAAATGCAAGTGGCTGGACAGATGGCTGGAGTTACTTTGTCGGTTTGTTGACGCCTGCTTATGTGCTGACAGGGTATGGTACTTTATGCTATCTTGCCGATGAAGTACGCAATCCACAACGTGCCGTTCCTCGTGCAATGGTAGGATGCGTTTTCGCTGCTTCATTGACCGGTTTCATCTTTATCATTCCACTCTCTTTCGTCTTTCCAAAAGATCTTTCACAAATTTTAGGCGCTGCAGCTGGTCAACCTTTACCGGTGGCTTTTTCCATTGCGACCCAAAGTGCAGGAGGTGCTTTTGGACTTTTGTTCCTCATTCTCGTAATTGGGTTGATGGCCTCCATCGGAAGTTTGACGGTAGCATCAAGATGTATTTGGGCATTCTCTCGTGATAATGGTGTTCCATTTGCACGTATTTGGGAAAAAGTGGACAAATATCATCAAATGCCACTCAATTCCTTGATTGTGACAACTGTCATCACTTCATTATTAGGATGCATTTATCTAGGTAACAGTGGCGCTTTCAATGCATTCACAGGAGCAGCAACGATTTTGTTAGGCATCTCTTACGTTACTTGTGTGGCCATGTCAATGTTTGATCGTAGAAGACAAATGGTTGGAGCGCCTTGGAGTTTAGGGAAAGCGGGCTTTGCGATCAACTCCGTTGCTCTGGCTTGGGTGTTGTTTAGCATCATCCTTTTCTGCTTCCCTACGACAAAAGAAGTTGATGCTTCTAGTATGAATTATGCTAGTGTCGTCGTAGTATTCTTTACACTCGTTGCAACGATTTGGTATTTCGTTGCCGCTAGGAGGCTATATAAGGTGAGTAGAAGGGTCTTATTTGATCGATATGAGTTCTTTCTAACCAACTTAATCATTATACACAACAGGGACCAGACTTGGACGCCGCTAAACCAGTACATGATGCAGCATCATAGATTTTCAGATATACTTTTAATAATGTAGAATGTACAAAACACTAATGCAGGATAACTTAAAGTTGTGTGAGCTGTCTTACTTGATCTCTACCAATTTGACATCAAAGACCAAGGTAGAATTGCCTGGAATGTCTGGTGGAGCACCACGAGCGCCATAAGCTTGCTTTGGTGGAATGATCAATCTACGTTCACCGCCAACTTGCATTCCACGTAAACCTTGATCCCATCCACCGATCACTTCACCTTTTCCCAATTTAAAGGTGAACGGTTTTCCTTTTGTGTTTGCGTCAAATTGTTTTCCATTTTGCAATCTACCAACGTAACGCATGCCCAAACGGTTACCTGCTTTGGCTTGAGGACCTGAACCAATCTTGACATCTTCAATGATTACGCCAGATGGTAATGTGGTTTTCTTGGCTGCTGGTTTGCCGTCTTTTTTGACGGTTTCCTTGGCTGCAACTTTGGCAGGCTTGCCGGCTTCTTTTGTCACAACGGCGGCTTTTTCTTGTGCGATAGAAGCAGTGCTTGTTTCAGCTGCGCTATCATCTGCACGTAAACGTTTATTAAGCTTTTTGCGTTGATTCTTTGTCAATTTGGAAATGTCTAATCCCATCTCTTTTGCGATAACAGCCAATTCAGCATCTGTAACGGGAGCAGTAGCATCTTCGTCCATGCTAACTTCTGCTTGTTCGGCTGTACGTTTCTTTCCGTTGGTTTTTGAGACGGCTTTTGCGGGAACATCTTCATCGACAACTTCAAGACGATCTTCTTCCATATCATCTTCGTCGTCAGAGTCTAATTCGAGCTCGATATCGCCTCCTTCTTCCAATTCTTCATCATCGTCCGATTCGCCTTCTAGCATTTCAAGTTCATCGCTATCGATCTCTTCATCATCCTCACTGTCGATAAGTTCGTCTGAATCAGGGTCGTCGTCGAATCTACCAGGAGACAAGTAGTTGCCCAGGATCTCAACTGCGTTATCACCGCTGATGGAGAAGCGAACGTCATCATCGACACTAAAATGCAAATCGACTGTGACTTGTTCTTGTTTTCCAGGGTAAAGACTGCAAAGGATGAAAGTTTCTTCTTCTTCCTCTTCTTCCTCGTCCTCGTCATCTTCTTCATCGTCTGCTTCTAATCCTTCGAGGGCTGCTTTGGCTCCATTAACCTTCTCGTTAACGTCTTCATCATCTTCCTCTTCATCGTCATCCTCTTCTTCATCACCTTCAGAGAATTCATCAAATTCATCTTCATCTTCGCTATCTTCATCAAAAGCTGGAACGGGTCTATGATGAACACGAACGATTGTTCTACCTGATCCTTTAACAACTTCTCCGAATGAGATATTTGTGATCCGAACATCTTCCATTGAATCCAATTGAGTTTCCTCTCCAGGCAAAACTTTTAAGCCGAAAAGGCCGATTGGTTGTTGTGCCATTTTGGATGTTGTCTGTTTATCAAGATGATGGGAAAGAGTAAGAAGAAAGTATCAAACCTTTCATGCAATAATTCTGGTTCATCGATTGTCTCTTTTTCCGTTCGCTTCTCGAGAAGAAAGTTGGTGGAGCTTTGAAAATTAAACATTTATTGCAATCTACGGCACTTCACCTGTCAAATTAAGGAAGTATTCTAGTAATGCACCTTTTTAAAAATCTGAAAATTTTAGTCGCACGTGCAAGAGAGCGTAAAAGCACTGCTCAAAAGGGAACGCGTTAGGCCCGTGCCAATAATCGGCAGTTAAAGCGTGGAGAAGAAGGGGAACACACACACACACAAGCACAAGCAGGCAGGCCGATTGGTGTTCACTCACTCATGACAGTTTATTAAACTTTTTGGAAATGGGATGAGGGGAAAATGGATGCGTGTTGAATATGCAGATCACTCATTCACCACCACCTAGGGAACCATTCAAATACACCAACAGCATACTATACAGGTCTCAAGGTACACCATAACAACTCGCAATCACGTCATGTCAAAAGTGATGTCTGGACATATGGATCAAATGGCTGGACCTTCATCATTACGTGGCGGATCAAGCAAACATGTCGGATCACATGGAGCAAGCGGTAGTGTGAATGGAGCATCAGTTTCAGGAAACTTACCGCCATGGACACAAGAACAACCAACTCCGGAAGAACTGACACTGTACACCACATTATCAGCATATGCAGATGCATTGGATGCTTTACCACTCGACCTAACCCGATCCTTTTCCGATTTACGAGAATTAGATGCAGTATTGGGCCCACATCTCAATTCACTCACACATCGTCTAGATCAACTCACTACAATCATCGAGGACAGCTCATTCACACCAGGCGAACGTCTATTAGCTCTCAAGGAAGTTGCAGAAGAAGCGCGTGCATACAAGATGGGAGGAGAGGATAAGATTCGAGTCGCTTTAAACACAGCAGAGACGATCATCTCACATACGACATACATTGACTCTCTATTGGCAAATTTAACTTCCGTTCCATCTCTAGCCTCGATTCTTTCACCTGCTAAGAATTCTCATTTGGCCGGTCATCTATCCGATGGAACTGCATTGGCACCCGGATCAGGCCCAGGAGGCAACAATCCGGCCAACATGGATACTTCTGTGGACAACACTTCACCAACAAAGAAAAAGAGAACAGGACCAGCAGCCGGACAAGCCCAAGGTGCCACATCATCGCTAAGTACAGCAGCAGAGAAACGTGCCAATGAGGCGGCAACACAAGCAACAGCCAATGCAGCGGCAAAGAAACGCAAACAAGCAGCACAAGCAGCAGCGGCAAAAGCAAGGGCAGCAAAAGAAGCAGCAGACGATACAGATGGAGAAATTTCCGCGCCATCAGCAAAGAGACCGGCTGTGAAACGATCCAATAAAGCGAATGGAGCCCATGATCGAGATGATGAAAAGGATAGCGAGAATGCTTATACTACTACCGGATCACGATCTAGAGGAGCAAGAGCAGCAAGAACGCAAATACGAGGAAGCGGATCGGATAACGAAGAAGATGGCTCGGATACCGGATCAACAGCTCCCAGATCTGCACGTGTTGCCCGAGCACCAAGACCGGTGCATGCTGCTGATAATGAGCCTGTTAATGCAGCTCTTTCGGTTGGAGATGATGCGGATGAAAGACGTTATTGCTTCTGTAATAATGTTAGTTATGGAGATATGATTGGATGTGACGGAGATGATTGTGAACGTGAATGGTTTCATTTGGGTTGTGTTGGATTACTTAAACCGCCACAAGGAACTTGGTATTGTGATGATTGTGCACAAAAACGATCTTCGAATGCAAGAAATAAAAAGCAAAAGACTACTAAATTGGCCAAGACCAGTGGTGCACATGGCGGAGGAGTTGTCGAATCCAAGACACGCACAGCAAGTGGGAAGCGGTAAAGGTTGTATTATTGATTCATACCTATTAGCATCGCAAGCAAGAATGGTTTAATTTAATAATTGATGACATTATCAGCCATATTGTAGATTTGAGCCAGGAGATGAGAATTACTCGTGATAAGATGCAGGTCCAAAGGCAAAAGCAGAGCAATGTATGTAGATCATTGGATTAGAAATCTCCATAAGAGATCTCCTATTCATAGATCGGAGTTTTATTATGGAAAGAGAACATTCTGCACACTTTAAATTGATTGCCAAGAGTAATGTATGCAGAAGAGCATAAATAGCTCTGATATTTTACATCTACTTGATCAACGGGCTTTTATGTGGCGCTTTGGATAAACAAAAATGGAATCTTTCTTTTGATTCTATTGCATTGCAACAACAATACCGCCCCTCAACCCCATTTTGAGCCAAGCAACACACACACACAGCGTCCCTGCAGGCACAGCAAAGATTAAAAGGGAGGGGGGCCCTAAGCATGCGCAAGGGACGGACGCGGTCTACCTCCAATTCCCGTCTTAATGTTTTTGTTTAGCTTCATTCCCCAAATCAACGCTAATCCTGCAGCTTAAGCAAAAAGCAAAGTAAAGGTAATCAACTTGAATGCGGCGAATAAAGTTTGTCATTCTCTCTCTTTGTGTTTTTGCCTTACTTTAAGAATTGATGCTTACAGTATTCCGTTTATGTGTTATTCTTCATCTTTGATTTTTAGGGAGAGAAGAGCGGGGACAATGGAATGAAAAGGAAAGGGAAAAAAGGGATCTACTCGTACGCATTCTAGAATGTAAACTCTGTCGTCCGCCGCTGGAGGGTATTGCGTATGCACCTAATGTTACTCTGATTGAATCGGGGTAGATTTCTTTTGTGTGTACCTGAAAGACTTTCCCGTTTGTTGTGATCAGATCTTGATCACAAACATCATCATCACTACTTCAACAAAAAGTCTCCCTACCTAGCACTAACAGCAAAACACATTCGCTTATTTATTCACATTACGACCGGATCGTTTCATTTTCATTTTCGACAAACAGGTCAGAGACAGACATCATATAGCATCACACCCTTTTCCACTTGATCGATAAACATGCGGAGGGTCGGCTTACCAAAATCATTACGGCTAATAAGTCTTTTGACAATACTCGCAATCACACTCATTATCACGGCAGATATCATCTCAGCAGAACAAAGGGTGCTAATCTATACCAAAACGGCTGGCTTTAGACATGCATCAATTCCAAACGGAATAAAAGCTTTTGAAAAGTTAGGCAAACAACATGGCATACATATGTTTAACACCGAAAACGAAAAACACTTCGAAGATGAAGATTGGGTAAACGGTTGGGATGCAATGGTTTTCTTAAGCGTAAGCGGAACGATGTTGAACGATAAAGGAGCGGTGAATATGATGAAATACATCGAAAATGGTGGTGGATATATGGGCGTTCATGAAGCATGCGATGCAATGTATAAATCACCTTGGTACGGTAGATTGGTTGGAGCATACTTTGATTATCATCCATACATTCAACATTTCACTCTCGATGTTGAAACTCACGATCATCCTTCAACTTCTTTCTTGAACAAGACATGGGAGGTGTACGATGAAGTTTATACCTTCAATTCCAACCCACGCGATCTAGGAAAGAAAGTCGTTTTGACAGCAGACTCCAAGTCTTTCAAAGATCCAACCGGACCAGGCCTTTCCATCCTACGTAAAACAGAAGGTGTCCATCCTATCGCATGGTACGCAGAAGGTGGTTTGTTGGACGAACCCAAACATAACCCAGGAGGTGGCGTGATGGATACCAGCAAAACCCCAAAGAACCAACGTGGTTCAGGCGGTCCCGGAAGATCGTTCTACACTGGTCTTGGCCATACCCATGCTTGCTGGGAAGAAAAGAACATGGTCGATCATGTTTGGGGAGGCTTGAAATGGGTTTTGGATTCTCCTACCATCAGAAGCAATAATGCCACCTTACCTGCTTCAGCACCTGGCACCAAATTTGTCGTCCACACACCAAGTTCATCCGCCAGTACTTCCAACGCCAGTCAAACTGCTGCTTCCACCAGCATGAAAAGTGTGCCGCAACCTGGTCTTTCCATTTCCGCCGCCTCAAAGACGGTAATGCCTTCCACGTTTGCATTACTGTTCACAAGTCTGCTGTTCATGGCAATAAGGACACTTTAATCGGATCAGCATCTGCACATGGACCTTTCCTTCCCTTTGTACAATAACCCATACCATCACTGAGCCGCCAATCATCTTCGCGCCAGTAGTTCCCTTTCTTTTCGTTTATTTACCACATCTTTCGTGAGGGAAACGATTGCCCTTGTCTCTTTGGACCCCGGAGGTCTTCATTCATTGTACAAATAGCCATCTTGAAAAGTTTGATCCGGATTGTCTCTAATGTATAAAGCAATGCACACACACACAAAGTCTGTTTTGATGAGATGAATAAGAATACATTGAGCATAACTCGCTAGCATCTAATAAGAAAAGACAACAATCACTCCCCTTGACCATCTTCATTTCGTGCTGTACTCGGTTTACGCCATCCAGCTTTCCTTCCAATAATTATTGCACTCAAGATTGTAGCAAGTACGGCCCCAATTGCTGTGAATCGGAAAACGCTTCGGAAGCATTCTTCTCCATCAGGACAGAAATGTGAATGACCATCTTTCGGAACGTGAGAATCATAAATTTTGCCAAACAAAAGGTTGAACGTATTTCCAGCGATCACAGGACTTAGCGAAATGATACCCCAATTTTGACTGAAATGACGTAATCCGAACCATTCAAACGTCAAAACGGGACACAATCCAAACAAAGTTCCATACATCAATCCCGTCACGATACTCATTCCAAACAACTTTTTCAAATCGCTGATAATGTTAGGCCAAGCTGCTGCTCCTTGTGATAGCAAAGCAAGCGTACAAACGACCAACAACAAGAAAACACGATATCTTGCATCACCCGTTCTGTTCACCACCAAATCAGACATCAATCCCATCAAAATGCGTCCCAAAGCATTGCCGATTGAAATGGCTGATACTTGATGAGCTTGTAATTGTTGTACATCACCTTCCCGCATTGCCGAAAGATCCATTGCAAGCACAACATCAAGCAATGAACCTTTTTGTCTTTTATTGTACTCGTATAATGTCCTTGTCATCGTACCGATATTGTTAATGACCAACAATCCTGTTCCTGAAATGATTGTCATGATGAAAAATAGAATGAGGAAATCGGGATCTTTGAGTAATTTTCTTCCCGTCTTGTCAATGGAGGCAGCGGTTGGCTCATCCTTTCGCGATCCAGAAGCCTCCCCTGCACTGCCCGAGCCATTTGCCTCTCTTCCTCCTTGCAATAAACCTTGTTGTTCTTGAGCTCTTACACTTCTTCTTGTGACACTGTCCACTCTATCGCCATATGCGTAAGGAGAATCTCCGCTTGCTTCTTCATCAGAGTTTGTATCTTGGGCAAATGCATATGCTCTTCCTCCGATATCACTAGATGTCCTTCTGCGCGAGTATGTAGAAGAAGGGCGAGCATAAAGACCATCTTCACTTCTTTCTGCATCTGTGATGACTTGACTTGGTACTCGTCTTCTTGTACCTGCTTGACCGGCATCAGAGGGAAGTAATGAATTGTCGAGATCTGGCGGTAAGATTCTGATGAAAGTCAAACCGATCAAAAACGAAAAGCTTGATCCGAATGCTAAGAGTAATAAATAATCACCTGTTTTGCCCGGGAAAAGGGTATGTGATAAAGTCGAATAAAAGAAAGCCGAAAGTCCAAAGCCGGACAAGACCAAAGCTGTACACAAGCCTCTCCTTTCTTCTTTCCAACTCTTTGCTTGTGCATTCATCGCAGCAGTGAAAGCGCCGCTATTTCCAAGACCCGAAAAGAGTGAAAACATACAAAGAGTCGGAAGTGAAGTGGAAGACCATATTGTTCCCCCGTACGAAACCGAAAGACCACCATATCCTACCGCAACGAGAATTGCACCCAACGCTAACGCAACCTTTGGACCTTTTTTATCCACAAGTCTTCCCCAAAAAGGACCTGAAAGATAAACGCCCATATTACCCATCACACCAACGATGTTGATTTGGGTAGATGTTAAATGTAATCTTTCTTGCAATTGAGGTGAATAAGATGAGAAGCCATAATTGGATCCTGCACTCAGAGCGACCAAGAAAGAACTGAATAAAGAAATATACCGTAATGTGGATACGGACATAGATTGTGTCATGTTTGACAGCGGTCCTGTCGTCTGTCTGCTCGCATTGTTGTGATCGGTTGAAACATTTCGCGTCATCTTTGTTGTTTTGTTATGAAGACATGTGCGGGAAGGTTGTTTTTCCAAAACTCAAAGATTGTTGGATGTTGTCAATCAGAACGGGAACGAATCTTGGATTATGAGTGAAAGAGAGTGTGGAGAACAAGGTGATGTTCAGGAGTGAGAAAGAGGAGAACGTGTGGTTAAAAATAGTGAAATGCTAATTGGCTTGTTTCTGTCAGTGTACGCCCTTTATCCAACCTAGCGCCGGTCTTGAGCCGATTGAAACGCATTTATCCGCGCAAAGGAATGCACCATAGGGCACTTCGGCCAATTAACCGTTAACGTTAAAAAGCGGAAGCCGCTCTCCCTGGCCATGGCATTACTCACGATTCACACAAATAACAAAAAATTTTGTCTGACAATTTATTTTTATTCGACAAGAAAAAATAGAGCTGTGAGAGAAACAAAGCAAAGAAAACGAAACGAAACGAAAGAAGAAAAAGGCAAAGGAAGAGTATTTGAGCAAAACAAACGAAAACACATCAAGACCGACAACAAATTAGCCTAGGCAAAAGCACGGTGGCCGCCAAAAGGTTGATTTTGTTGTTGTTGCTGTTGCTGTTGTTGCGATTGTTGTTGGTTTTGCTGTTGATAATTCGAACCAGGACCAAAAGAAGCGCTATTGAACATTTGACCTTCAAACGGATTAAATGCACCAAAAGCTGATGAATTAGCATTGGCCGATTGTTGTTGCTGTTGCTGTTGTTGAAGCTGTTGCTGCTGTTGACGCGTGAATGACATGATCGCCGGATCATTATATGGCATCGCATCAGCAGGCTTACGGTTCATCAATTGGGCCAACAAAATCGAATCAGCTCCAGGCGTACCGGGATTGACTGCATTCACACCGGCTTGATTGCCAAAGTAACTACGATCGGATGTGGTATAATTGTTTCCGCCAGTCGGATTTTGCATCGATAAGATAGACGAAAGTGGGTTCACATTGCGTTGTTGCATTTGTTGTCCACCAGAAAGACCTTGTAACCAGTCTCCTCCTGCATTACCGCTGAAGCCACTCATAGCAGATAGGATGTTCGATTGTGTGACGCTGTTCAAATTTTGATTCTGAGCATGCAAATAGCCATCCAAGCCCGTACTGTTGACGTTGTTCATGCTATTGCTGGATTCGTTGTTGCCTAATAGAGATCCTCCTTTCACAAATCCAATCAGATCATCAGATGTCTTGAACGAACCTTTACGCTTTGCAAATCCAAATCTTGATGCATTATTCTCTTCATCTTCCAACTCTTCCGCTGTTGGTTGTCTCTCCTCACTTAATGTTCTTCGCATTTCATCAATCGCTGCAAACGGAGACGAATCTTCTCGTAATCCCAATTTCCCATTCGATAATTTCTCATCGATACTCGAAGCAAAAGGATCAAATGTGCCCGAATATGCCTTGCTTGCAGATCTCATACCATTCTCTCCACCCAAACCTGGAGGTGGACCGGTTGAAGATGGTATCGACGCAAAAGCAGAGGCTGTCGAAAAGGGTGCAAACATATCGATCGCCGATCCTACATTACCGCCAACTTTTGATTCACCACCTGTATTACGCAGATGGGAAGGTAAAGAACTTTCTTCCAATGTGAAACAAAAGTCATCTCCATCTCTAAAAGTGCTCAGAGTAGCATCAAAAGCAGCAAACAAATTCTTGACAGGTTGAGATGCCTCTGCATCTCTACGTGCTCGCATATCATCCAAGATTGCCTGGGCATTGGAGGATAATTGATAGTTGCTCGTCTTTGGTTCAGAATGTGTCGATGCTGTATCTGCAGAAGGCGTTGCCGAACGAGAAGTTGTCAAACCAGGTGGTACACCATGTCTTGATAGACCGGGAGGGGCACCAGTTGCTGTTCTTGCATTTTCTTCGTTGCCCGTCTCTTTCATGCTGTTGGTACGTGAAAGAGTACCTGCACTTGCCTTTGTTGGCGTTGCCATCGCTTGCTGTGGTTTGCTCAGACCGGGAGGTGCTGTTGGAACGGGAGACGCAGTCGCACTTCTTGGAGGAGCTGGCGATTCAGCACGAACGCGATTCCTGCTGATCGAAGAGGCCTCAATGGTAGCTTTTGCCAATGAAGGTGATCCTTGCGCTCCAGGTACACGATTAAGACTACCTTTCCTGCTATTCGGTGTACTGACTAAAGCCGAAAGCGGTGGTAAATCAGCATCTCTGATTGCATTTCCATTTGTCGATTGTATTCCTGATGTTGGCGTACTCTGAACTGGCTTGCCAGATGCCCACGAAGCAGTCTTTGGCAAAGCCGAACCTTCTGCACCATCAGCAGCACTTGCAATTGTCGAAGTAATCCCAGGCGTTCCTACTGTTGTTCCTCCAGCAGTCGAACCAACCGCATTCGATGCAACGTCCTGCGTCGTGCGTGAAGCTGCGTGGAATGAAGAAGGTGTAGGAGTTGGTCGAATCCTGTTTTCTGCATCTTTGGCTGCGTGTCGAAGTGTAGTCAGATCCTCTTTTGTGAAGCTATCCGCTTCCTCTCCTGGCTCATGTAGGTATGTGCAAATCGGATTGGTACAAGGCAAATTACGTAGATATGTCGTACAATACTTTGTCGTTCCGTAACTTGCTCGAACCGTTCTACCATCATCTCCTTTGCTACCATCGATAGCAATGATCGCACGAGCTGCATCCTCTTTTCGCACATATGTCACATAGATTCCAATCGAAGATTCATGCGTGCCCATGATCAATTTTGATGCTGTCGTGCGCTTCGAAATGAGAATCTTTGAGATCCTTCCATACTGCCCAAAGTATTCGTTGGACCGCAGAGTAGGTATAAGTTCTTCTCTTGCCAATTTCGGATCCATCCCTACCACGTACACCAAATTTTTCTGAACAACGCGCATATTTGCAAGATGTTTTCGATTCATCTGCTCCAATTCGCGCTTTTCCCTTTCCTTCTGCTTCTTGGCAAGTGAAAGCTTCTTTATCTCATCTTGACTCATCGCTTTGAACTCTACCATCGTATCAGAATACTTTCTACGACAAGCAGGACATCTTCCGTTCAGATTCGACTTGATATGATGCCAACAAAATCGACAAATTTGATATCCACATGGACATGGCTTAAAGTTCGCATCAGAAATATCAATCTCTTCCAAACATAGTGGACACTCCATGTCCTCGTCTTCGTCACTCCAATAAGCATCTTGAAGCCTATACGTTTGTGCTTGATTGGCATCCAGCTTTGATGGAGCAGGTGGAAGTCCAGACGCTCCTCCTGCATGAGAACCTCCTCCGTTTGACCCTATGCCAGTCAATCCAACAGATGTGAATCCTATTCCAGGCATTGAATTTCCCATTCCATTCATCCCTCCCTGCCCTGCAGAATGGTGACCATGATGGTTGTGATGAGAATGATGATGCCTTGAAGGTGCCATCTTTTATGTCGAATGAACTCCACAGTAGCGCCACTGAATAGTGTTCACCAAGAGATTGTATTTTTCTCACTTCATTCAATGACGTTGAGAGTTGAAAGTCGTTTACCAGCTTACCAAGAATTGAGCTTTTGATTACTCAAATCTGTAATGAGTAATGTGAAGAGAATGAAGAAGATGGATTTTGTGCTTTTTGTAAGCCGATTTTTGAGATGGCGTAAGTGATGATGATGATGATCAGCCGGCGCAATCCGGTACAATGAGAACGCCTAGGCTGAATGAGTATGTGTGTTGTTGATGTTGATGTGGGTTGAATGTGATATGGCTGTGGTGGTGAATGAAATGAAAAAGAGAAAGTGAAAAAAAAGGTCCGTGTAAAGTGATTTTGTTCAACAAGGTAGATTAAATTTTTGATTGAGACCAAAGCAGTCAGTCGCACCTCTCTCTCTCTGTGTCTCCTTCTAGACTGTAAAAGAAAAAAAAAGATTGCTCTAGGCGGGTGCTTTAAGACCGAGCCGCGTGCAGGTTTACAATGCTCAGCCTTCACGCGTCTTCTATGGAAAAAAGAAGTATAATTGGCACATATAACTCTCCTACCTTCATCATTAATAGTGACAGAATATTGTCCAAATGACACACAGAATGACAGAAACACGTTCAATGCGATCAAATGAATTCATTCTGTTCCTTGCAATTTGGTGTGCTGGCATTGATATGATGTTTTCGCATTGTCTCCTAATTGCAGAAAATTGACTGGGTAAATGCGTCTCGGCTTGGTGGCTGGCAGCGAGAGTATAGGAGCTTTGTGCAATTGGAACATCAGCTTTGCACATCTTGCATACGTGGTGATCACTGGTGGTAGAGTGCGGGAGAGTAGGTTCCTATTGCTTGCTAGGAATATTTGATAACAATTCTCAAGTGCATCTCTGTCGTCAGACAGCATAGCTCAGCGTGAACACCACTATGCCAGACTTTAGACACGCATTACAATCTATCATACACTTCTTAATTGTGATGGTCAGATAGAAATCTGCAGAACTTCATAAGATCGACATCATCTTGAATGAGCCTCGAGCATGCCGAAATCATTCCTGCTTTGATCAAGTGTAACTTCAGCTTTGACCTTTCGGGCATGCAATTTTAAGCCGATGTCAACACGGTGTGTGTTATTTTTGTTTACGCGTTCAAATAGGAGCGAAAAGTCAATGTCGATCTTTGCAGCATGACTTGCAAGCGCACACAGATAAAGTGCACAAATTGTGAAAAAGTTAAAGTGTTGGTACATCCATAGCGCACATTTTTGGCAATTGAAAATGGAAGCCATCACTTCACCAATCACCATCAAATTCATAAGTTATGGAGATCAGGTAGTCTTGCTACACATGAACAGGATCTATGTAGACAAACAAAGGAGTGGTAATCATGTCATTCTTTGCTCCTTGGAAGGCAATAGGTGATGCCCCTACAGATCCTTCCTCCTCTTCTAATCAACAATCATCTTCCGGTCCAATCACTGCTCCTGGGGGTTGGTCAAGCTTATTAACTTGGCGTCCACAAAGACAAGGTCCAACCATTTCAGCATCATCTTCAAATGAAATGTTTATTGATGCCGATACAAGTCAAATGAATGCTTTCAATGACAGATATTATACCACCAGATCACCAAGTTCAAAGACAACAAAGGCAAAGTATAACTACGATATCGGCGAGAACGATGAAGGATACGAGAATGAGAATGAAATCGCCGCGTACACTGCCAGGACACGCCAAAAGGGAGGAGGAGGCGTAACAAAACTTCGAGCTCCTATCCCCTTTGAACTTGATAGGACTGTTGTATCACGTTCAAAAGCTCGAAGTGGTACAGTCAGCTCAACAGCTTCAAGTATCGCAAGTAGAGATCATTCGATGACATCTTGGTCGCCTTTTGCACCATCAGAAGAAAAGATCGACATGACTGAACCCAACGCCAAATCAAACAATTCGATACATACGCCACAATTAAAAGGTATGGATAGCGCCGACGTAAGTGCAGAATTGATCACGAGACCAACCACGAATGACGAAGAGGATGTAGAAACGATGTCCAATTTTGAGGGCGCAATAGGCGACATCAGCCTCGAGGCAGGCGCATTGGACTCGGCTTTCCAAACTCTTACACGCATTCAACGAAAAGATGTAGCGGCGACCGTAAATGCACATAATCGGATCTCTTCTTTATCATCCATCAGTCCATTACTTTCAACTACGAGTAAAACTACATTGACAGGTTCACCAGTTTCACCACCAAGAAGAAAGAGTACGTTTGATCATCAGACAAGAAAGATGTCTATCGGAGGTTGGTATACACCAAATGAATCGCCTACGCAAACCAATGATTCTTGGATGCAATGGGGCACGAATAAGATCAAGGCAACTATGCCTCGCGGAATAGCATCTGCTCTTTTCGCAGTCGTGGGTGATCCTGATGGAAGAGATGAGCAAGGCATATTGCGAAAGTCCACTACGATCGATGAGGATCCAAACGGTGCAGAATTCAGCGATGATGAAGGTCCAAATGAAGAATATGGAAAGATTCTCGTTCAAGATTGTGTTGATGTGATTTGTGAAGAGAGCAATGGTTTATTATCGCTGGAAGGGATCTTTCGCATCTCTCCCTCGAAAGCATTGTTGAGATCCACAAAAGCATCTTATCTCAAAGGTCAAAGGCCGGAACTAGCACAATTGTGCAAACGCGATCCACATTTACCTGCCGCGCTTCTGAAAGATTACCTTCGATCGCTTCGGCCACCAATCTTTCCTGAATCGATGTACGAATTCATCAGCGCATGTCCTTCAGATTCAAAGACACGCATCACATATATTCGTGATGAATTGCTGTCAAAGCTAGAGCCAAATCGAATATCTCTTTTGAAGGAAACCTTTAAATGTGCCAATATGGTCAGTCAGCATAGTTCGGAAAATCGAATGGATTCTTCTAATCTCACCGTCGTTCTTACGCCTAATTTGATACACGGTCAGAATATCTTGCAAGATATAGCGTTATGCTCTGTTGGTAAAATAGATCAGGCAGAGGAGGAAGATGGTGGTGATTCGGAGAAGAAAAATAGCGGAACTTTGGGTGGGATTGTGAAAGTGTGTATTGAGAATTACGATGAAATTTTCAAGCAAGACGAACAGGAAGAAGGGCATAATCAAGAGCAAAAAGGGAAAGATGCTGAATGATGGGAACCGTTTTTTACGAGAAGAATCAATCTGTTTACGTGTATACTGTACTTTACTTGCCTTTTTTTCGCTGTGTTAATATTATTTTGAGATTTCGCATATCCCACAAAGCAATCAACATCTCCACAAATAAAGATAGATTTCGTTTGATCTCTCGACAGATAGGTATATCGGCAAAAAAGGAACAGTGTAATAAAAGATGTAGCAAAAAATGAACGGGTATATCAAATGAAAGATATTATCTTCTGAATTATATATTAAGTAGGCCGTTGCTGAAAAATTTCGATCCTCAAGCAGCACCATTAGTTTGTTCTTCCTTCGTTGTACGAGCAGCTTGTGTTTCTTGGGCAGCTTTCAACTTTCTCTCCAGATCTCCTATAACCTGTTTGCTCTCCTGCAGACGGGCTTGCATTTTCTCGTTATGTGCAGAATGCATTTCCTCTAATTCGGAATTGAATGTCTGATTGCCGCTTCGGGAACTCTGTAAAACATTACTGCTCTACATTAGTTTATCGTTCTTTCAAACTCATACCTAAATCAACTCACCAAAACTCCTTCCGATCCAGGTACGCCAGATGGTGTAGCTTGATTCTTTGCACGTTCTTCGATTTCTGCCAATTGCGTCGCAAATGTCTTTTGAGTCTCTTGCAATGCAAATTGTGCATCAGCCAATTCTTGTTCAAGTTCCTTAACACGACTGGCTAGTACTTCAAGCTCTTTAATTCGAGCCGAAGTCTTCAAACGTTCTTCGTCATGCTCTTTCATCAATTTTGAGATATCTGTTGCATGTGATTCTTCCAGCTGATTCATCTTTTTCTGGATCGCTGCAACTTCAGCAGAAGAATCGCCATTACTCTTTGCGTTTTTCAATTGATTTTCGAGCTCATCAATCTTCTTCTGATGCTCTTCTGAGGGCTTGGCTTCTTTGGCGTTCTTCTCAGCTTCTGCTAATTTAGCTTTTAATGTCTCGTTATCGTTACGGAGGGTGGCAAACATTTCGGTCAGTTCCATTTGGGTTCTTTTGTTCGCTTCTTTTTGTTCCTTTGTATCCTCCTCAGCTTGACGCAGCTCAGATTCTAATTCTTTGACTTTGGCTTGAGATTCCTTCAAGGCTGTAGCTTGTTTGTCATTGCTGGAAGTGTTGCTCTCTTTCAATTTGGCAACCTCGGCTTCAAGTGTTTTGATAGTCGCTTGGGCTTTGGCTAGTTGTTCGCTTTGTGCGCTTCCCGCAGAGCTTTGCTCCTTCTTCAATGCTTCCAATTGACTTTCTGCTGCTTTGACCTTTTCTTGTACGGCACTGAGTTCTTTTGAATGTTTAGAAGATGCTTCTTCCGCTTCTGTCTTTTTCAGTCCCAATTCCTTGTCAAGTTTTTCGGCTTTAGCAGCTGCTTGTGAGACTGCGTCGTTATGCTCTTTCTCAGAAGCATCAAGACGTTGCTCCAACAATCGGATCTCTTCTTGTGCTGACTTTAACTCGGCTGCATTTTTGGATGCCTCACTGATCTTTGATGTCGCGGCCTTCAAATCGTTCTCAAGAGCTGCAACCTTGCTTTGAGCTGCAGTAAGAGCTTCTTTGTCTTTGGCTGCAGCTTCCTCTTGTGCCTTTTGCAATTTGCTTAACTTCTCCTCAGCGTCCTTGGCAGCCTTTTGAGCAGCGGCCAATTCGCTGGCTTGCTTTGCATCACCTTCACTTGATGTTTTCTTGGATGCGGTCAATTGCTCTTGCAGATCTTTGATCAAAGATTGGGCTTCTGCTAATTCTGTAGCGGTCTTGCCGCTAGCTGCTTCTGAGCTCTTTGCAGCATCTTCGAGCCCTTTGCGTGTTGTTGCATGTTCGGCTTTCAACTTCTCTAGTTCAGCTTTGAGAGCAGTGGCTTCGTCTGCTTTGCTTTGCAATGCTGCCGTCTTTGCATTTGCTTCTTCGATTGATGATCCTTGAGAAGCGTGTTGGGCTTTCAAGTTTTCGAATTCATCAGTCTTTGCCTTGATAGCCAGATCCTTCTGTTTGACATCCTCAAGAGCTTGCGCTAATTTGGCTTCCACCTCTTTCACGCTGTTTTGTAGATCGCCCAAAGCGGACGCATGTTTTGAGTCATCTTCTCCGTTTTGTTTTTGAGAGACTTCCAGCTGAGCTTTAAGGTCCTTAAGCTTAGCCTGCGTTTCTGCAAGGTCTTCTGAAACCTTGTTCGATGCATTTTGACCCTCCTTGAGACCGCTGATCTCATCTTCCAATTCAGCAATTCTTGCTTGTGCCTTTGAAAGATCTTCAGTAGAAGATGCATTATCACCTTCTGCAAGTTTGACGTTGGTCAATTGTTCTTCCAGCTCTTTGATCTTTTCTTGTGCTTCTGTCAATTTCTCTTCTGCTCCATTTTCGGTGGTGTCCTTTGGAGCAGCATCGCCGTTCTCGCCATTTGTTGCTGCTTCTCCGGCATTCTTGCTTTTTTCGATCTCTTCATCTTTCTCTTGATTCGCTTTTACTGCTTCTTCCAGCTTTTGCTTTGTTTCCTCCAATTCAGCTTTGAGCTTCTTATTACGTTCCTGCAATTCTGCTGTAGAGATTGGCTTCTTGATTCCACCTGCACTTGCGCCATTTGTACCCGTTGTCGAAGCTGAAGAAGGCGAGCGAACAGAAGATGCAGTAGCTGTACTTGTTCTTGGTGTTGCTGCAACTCCTGCACCAGTTCTGGCAGGAGTGCTTGCTGCAACGGAAGTACGTGGACGAGGAGTTGTGCCTGTAGCTGAAGAAATGGAAGAACGTAGATTGGATGTAGCGCTGGCGCCCGTTGGACTTCTTACGCCTGCCGTTGTTGGGCTTCTGACCGTTGCAGTTGTTGCCTTTGTAGGTGTTGTGCCAGGTCGAACGGTTGAAGCTGTACGAGTGGTGGCAGTCGCTCCGCTAGCAGGACGAACAGCAGGTCGGGTTGTAGTAGCTGTACCAGGAGCTGCAGTTCGAGCTGTTGCAGTTGTACCTGGTGTGACAGATGATCTGGCGGCAACAGGACGAGTAGCTGTTGTTCCCGTTGTCGATGTTCTGGCTGTTGTACCAGCTGTTGTTGTTCTAGCCGCAGTGCCAGGAGCTGGTCTTGCCGTTGTTGCAGTTGTGCCTGCAGCCGGACGTGGCCGAACTACGGGACGAGGGGAGGACGTTGATGACATTATAGAAACACAAAGTCAGTTTGGTATGAGGTTCGCGTGATAGAGCAACTCGACCTAAATAGATGTCTTTGATAAGAAATCTTTCTACGTCGGCTCAGATGATGGTGAAAGAGAGGATAAAGTTGATTGACAGCACGAACAAACGAAAGGCAAAAGCAGTGATAAAATGGCGCATAGTAAAATGAGTGTGCAATTGCGCCCAGCAAGTCTTAAATTTCAAACACATCTTCCAACTTTTTTGTGTTCAAGTGTGCTCAAGTGCCACATTACACGGTTATATTTTTAGCGCTTAATTAAGACCAACACTTTGGCATTACACACACACGCTGCCGTTTCTTTTCTCATTTTCGAAGAAGCTTTCTAGGCCGACCGCTAATATAACAAAAAGTCATGGGAAGCATTCATGGATGCATTGATTACCTTTTAGAGTCATATACATTGCTACCTGTCTTGTCTGCCATGGCTTTGAACTGGGAAGGGAAGAATGGTCAATCTCATAAGCATACATCCTCGCTCCTTCCTATACTCACCTCTAACAGATCCATATTGGCAATACGACAGTTGCATGAAACTTCAATAACATCCTTTGGTGCTACACGTAGCTCGTTTCTTTTTCCATCAGGTTTCACTTCAACGATCAAAACGCCATCCTTCTTCCCATCTGCAATTGCCAGCACACTAGGATTCCCTGCGTGTTTCAAAAGAGATTCGATTGATGTATCTTTTGGTACCTCTTTTGCCGGTACGATTTCATTGTACAGCGGTGATTCTTCTCTCGGTCCTTCTCCACTCTCGACTTCATCAATGTATGATGTACTTCTGATCTCCTTCATAAGATCTTCGAGGTCAGTTGAAGAGAGCCCTAAGTTGTACAACATCACAGGAGGATCCATTTTTGTGATGGTGATGATGTTTCCGTTCGGAGAATGAAAGAATGATGTATGCGAAGGTCTTTTGAGCAGGTGTGGAGTGTGAGAACGTGTTTTGAGGCTGTGCGCTGCTTTAGCTCTACTTCCTCCCGCACCGCTACCGCATCCGGTCTAGAAGGCATTCACGGAAGATTATGTAAAGTTGGATGGTATTCTCCACACCGTAAGCAAAGCTGACAATTCATTGCATCCGCTCAAAATGTACAACTCTCACCACCATCACAAAGCAATTATCAACATGGTGATCAGTGTGGGATTGATGAAAACCTTGGCTTTTGCCTTTGTTGGTCAATTGATTCCTGCATCCATATTTGTACCTTTGCAAACGGAGAGGTATTATGATTTGTGTGGTTCATTGGGATTTTTAACCACTACTTTATTCTCACTTTATCGGGCACCTTCTCGACCAACACTCACTAATCAATCAGGATCAGATGCAGCGAGCACCGCTTTTGGATTCATCAAGTCAAAATTGTCAAGCTTACTCATCAACGTTTCATCGGCGAACAGTGCACACGATTTATACCAACGTGTAGACACTTCATCCCTCTGGCTTCAACGACATCCACGTCAATGGATCGCATCAGCATGTGTCTTGTTTTGGGGCGTAAGGTTAGGTTCTTTCTTGTTCCAACGTATTCGTCAACAAGGACGTGATGCAAGATTTGATGAAATCAAAACCAATCCTATCACATTCTCATTTGCATGGTTCATGCAAGCCGTTTGGATTTCCTTGACTGCTTTGCCTGTTTATATGATCAACGCTTTACCTGCTAATTTACAACCTGAATTAGGTGCAACGGATGCACTGGCTCTTACGATTTGGACGTCTGGCTTATTGTTCGAAATCGTTGCTGATCGTCAAAAATCTCAATGGAGAAAAGAGAAAGAAGAAAAGAAACATGAAGAACAATTCATTTCATCCGGCGTTTGGAGTTGGAGTAGACATCCAAATTACTTCGGCGAGATTACACTTTGGACCGGATTGGCAACTTTGGCTTCTTTGACTTTTTCACATCAACCCGTACGTACTTATTTGGGTGGCACGTATGCAAACCTTGCCATCATTGCACCCATCTTGAGTCCTTTGTTCGAATATGCTCTCATTCGTTATCTATCAGGCGTGCCAATCTTGGAGAGAAATATGGACAAAAAGATGAAGGGCGACAAAAAGTATGCCAAATACAAGGCAAACGTGCCATGCTTCGTACCTTTTATCGGAAGTAAAGATTAGACAATGTACACTATATGTAGTATAATGCAATGCAAACGTCTTGATCATTCAGGTCACAGTCAATGGTTAGAATGAGAAATGTAGTGAATTGCAGATTATATGACATACGATGATTATGAGGACAGAAGTATGTATGAAAGAAAGGGGAAAAGAAGTATGTGCTTTGAATGATGATGAAAGTTCGTTAAAGAAAAGGAAAAGTGGATCGTAATCCATGTTTGAAATTATTGATGATGAAATCCATAGAGTACATTGATGAAAAAGAAAAAAAGAGACAACGAGATTGTGTGAATACAAACACGAAGAAAATGCTCCTCCAATTTTTGATGATTTTTTGCCTTCCAATGGTTAGCGGGTATGTGTGCTGAAAAAAAAAGTTTGCTTTTGTTGTTTTGCGAAATTTGAATCAAGCGAGCAACAATCGATTGTCTTGTTGACTTAATGATAATGCACGACGTTCATCGCGTGGCTGTAAATGTTGATCGGCAGTTTTGTTTGCATTTGAATTGTTCACTTTTGCATTTGCATTGTTCTCCTTTGCTTCTGTTGCAACCAAAGGGTCATGAAGAGAATTCAATGAAAGAGGTGTGACTGGCATGTCACTTTCTTCATCTTCTTCATCACGAGAATGATCTTCATCTTCGTCCTCATCATCATCATCTTCTCCGTCCGTAGACATTTGACTTGGTGTGGAGATCACAGATGATGGAGTGGTAGAACGAGATCGCATGGAGATATTATCATCATCAATGCGTTCTTCATCATCTTCATCATCGTCTTGCATGTCTTCTGCACTTCGACGAGGAGTGCTAAAGGATGAAGAAGAGGATGATTTTGTCATGCCAACAGAGCCGACAGATTGTGAAGATGTGGTGGCAGCTGCAGTTGCAACAGTTTGTGCGCTTGCTGTAAAGCAAACGGCTGGCAGCAAAGGTGAAACGTTTGCTTGTCCCAAGATGCTTCTTTGAGCATCGCGTTGAGCAACAAAGGTGATGTACCATTGAACGATGGCTGTTGATGCACATCCGAAATGGCTAAAGCTGTACTTCTTGACCAGAATCTCACTTAGCTGGTGAGCATGTTCGATCAAGTAAGCATCAACAATTTGAGCAGCTTGAATGGCTTTTGGAGAGGCAACGGAGGTGAGAGCGCGCTTGTTTTGACCATTGTTAGCAATGATACGTGCCAACAATAAACAGCCTGCAGTGAGGTTGCTTGGTGTCAATCCGATAAAGTCACGGGTGAACAAAGTCACTTCGAGCAAGAAACGTGCCATGTTGAGTGTTCTTGAGTCCAAGTTTGTTGAGTTGACCGTGAACAAAGCTTCTTCTTCTGCATTTTCTCTTGTCATGGCACATGATAACCGTAGCCATGCTTCTGGCGTTGGGAAACCAAGTGTCCATCCGATTGTGGATAAGACATGACCTTCCATCTGAACAAAGGCGGTTTCATCGTATGCGTTGCAGCACATTTGTGCCAATTCAGAAACGAGAGGAACTTTGTCCTTTGCATCTTCGAATTTAGCAGCGATCAAAAGTGCTGCACAACCGACCAATTGGTAATGACGCTTGTAGACGATTCTTTTTGACACGTAACGATCAACGATGTTCATTGTCAAGAACAAAGTCTCTGATCGAAGACGGAATGTTTGATGAATTTCAACAATGAAGTCAACCAAATAAGGGCGCATGTACCAACGTAGTTCTGGTTGAGCGTCCATCAAATCAACGCAAGCTGTAGTCTCTTCTTCCATAAAGTGCATATGTTTCAATACCTCATCATGGTATTCAGGTTCATCGAGGTATGAACGTCCGCCTTGTTGAGTCTCTGAGCGAAGAGATTCACTGTGTACCTTTTTGGCATTTGATTTGCTGTCGGAGGATGAAGCGGTGTTGTTGTTCATTCCTGAATTTGTGTTGACCAACAATCGCTTTGAAGCTGCATTTGCTGCTGCTGCGATTGCTGCTTGTTTCTTGGAAAGTGGTGAAGAGGAACGTTGTGCTGAAGAGGTAGTTTTGGAAGTGCTTGCGCTACCGGAAGAAGAGGATGTAGAGTGAAAGACGTTTTGACCGTGAGAGGAAGTTGAGGAAGAAGATCCAGAAGAACTTGCACGGTTGCGTCCATAAAAGGAGTTACGACGAGCGTTTGAGTTTGATGATGAAGGTACGGCTGGCATGATGAATGATTTTTGTAATGTATTCTCTGTTGGATTGAAATCGTTTCAGGTAATGTTAAGAAAGGGATGAATGAATGTGAATGAAAGTCGATTAAGCGTTGTTGGATTAGAAATGAATGTGATAACGTTGATGGTTGATGATCGGTAACGTGAGTGAAAACGAAAGTGGATTATATATCGATAAGATATAATGAAAGGGGAAAGGGGGAAGATGATAGAGAGGTCAAGTCGATGCAATGATGGTGATGGAGAAAGGAAAGAAAGAATCGTTAGCCAACAAGATCCGATTGGTTTATGTATAATATCTGGTTCAAATGTATGGAACGTTTAGCCCATACCTTCCAGCCGTACAAGATCACAGGAGTTTCAACCCTGTCGATCTTGACGTTTCGCCTAGTTGATTGATTGGCTTGCAAGCCTAACCGATGTATTCCATATATCCAACAGTAGGGATATGCAGGTTAGGCATAGTGGCACTGGTTCAGGTATGTGCGTTTGGTATGTGCTTGTATTTGTGTGAGTGGGCGTAATGGAAATGTGATATTCCATACGCACGCATATTCCGATGGCACGTACAGCTATCCATACGCCAAAGAACACATATGTCCATCCATTGATTGTATAAAGAATGTGAGCCAAAGTACGTACCTCTGCTATAGGAAAGAGTCCGGCGGTGAAATGGCGGTAAAGCAGTCTGTTGGTTTTGCCTTGATCACAACAGTGGTTCGCGGTTCCGCTTGTTCAAAAAGGGTAAATTAGCAGCACAAATTGCGAATGAACGGTATGTCAATGACGTTATGGCAACCCTTGTGTGTAAATTGCATGTACTAAAGTGATTGATCAAAAAGCCTTTTGATGCACAAGATCTGTCCGTTCTGCCAATGGAAGCTAGCTTTGATTTGTCCGAAGTTGTTGCAGCAAAGAAAGTGATCTTTTGCCTGTCTGTGTGGCTTCCTAATGACCGACTGTTGATCAATGTTGTGCAATGGATAGAGGCAAGGGGGATAAGATGCCTGCGGTGATCAAGGTATACTACTTGTGTGTGAAGATTGACTGTGAATTGGTGCAAGGTTAATACAGCGCCACACGTCCAGATCTGGAGGCATGCAGATCATTGCGTTAAGAGGTAGGAGGAGAAGGAGAAGTGTCAGTATTGTACTCGGTGATGTATCATCTGTACCTGCTTGCCTGCCTGCCACAACCCCTGAGAAATTGCAATCAAAACAAAAACATCCTTTTCTTAAAGTCACATACTCACAACTTTTTGTTATTGTTCTTTTTTTCGGCAATCCTTCTGTATGTCCAAAGGATATTTTGCATGCATGGCGATTGTGTTTGTATGCAGGCGAAGATGATAAATGCATGGTGAATGATATGACCGTACCATTGGTCCATTGCGGCGTATTATTTTCGGATAATCCAAATCGGTGGCAGTCAAGGGGGAGGCCAGAGAGGATCGATATACCCAAAAGAAGTAAACGCGCGGGGGTTTTGATTGAAATGCGCATGCCAATCGGGCAGAATTGCAGCAAGGTCATTTTAATAGAAATTCCAGGTACGCAGATGATATGCATGCCCGTGCCAGCCATAGTATGAATTGAAAGTGTTGCCAAGGCGCAGCGCAAGTCAACGCGTCAACGCGTAATGCAAAAAAGAAAAGTGTTGGAAGTGTTGGTTTGGTTTGTTTTTTGGAATGTGCAAAACATCAGTGTTTTCCGAAGGCGTGCGTGAGCAAGGGGTAAAGGAGAAACGCGGACATTACCATAAAAATGCACCCGTTCAATGATCAAACAGAAGAAACATCGTGCAGGGGGTTCCATTAGTGGCGCAAAGGAGAAATGATCGTCAAAGCAGGAAGGAGAGGAAAGAAGAGATAAAGAGAAAGCGTTAGTAAGCATTTCTAAGATGAAGTCGTGCGACAATGTCAAAAAGATGCACCAATACGCCGCGGTGTATTAGCGCCCTTTGATTTTCAGTTACCCGGCCGACGGATTCTGTAACACGAGCAGCGCGTACAGTTCAAAGCAGCAAATGCAAATGTTCTTCAAAGCTGATGCTATCGATTGAGATATCTCAAAGCTCTGAATAATGAAATGCAAGGGCCAAAGATGCTGAAGATCCTGTTTGGGTTGGCATTGAAAGCGCATTTCAAGCCATTAGGACATATGCATATGATATAGCCTGTGTATGCGATCGACAGCACGTGTTGATGGGGTGGGATCATTGAATGACTCTTGGTTTGACATCTGTTTCAATTCTACCTCTCAAACCTCCATCTGATTCGATTGAAGGAAGTGGAAGCTCAAAAAGAAGTCTTTGAAGAAGTACGGCGATCCCGTTGACCCAACATCTGATAATCTTGTTCGATTGGCTTCATTCTTCCTCTCCGGTAATCGATATATGCTTTCAACACAGCGACACTTACGGTATTGATGACAAACGGTAATCTGTCTAGTCGTAAATAGAAAATCGTTACTCGCGAAGAGATAGTCGTACGTCGAAGAAGATGAGTCGAATACTTTTGGTTGTTGGCGGTTGTATGCTGTCCTCGTCGGTTGAAAGTGTTGATTGTCCGTTTCGTAAAGTGATTGTCTTTTTGTCTTGAAAGAAAGAGAGATGAAGGTGTAAAGGATGAAAGATTGATGGTTGTGTCAATGTTGATGATTCAATGCCAACGAGTAACAGAAAGTATCCCTGCCGTCAATCTGTTTGCGGCTGATAATCTGTGCAAGCAAGCAAGAAATCTTCTTTTTCCGTTTGTGATCGACAGGGAAAGATGTGCTCTTCCTGTTTCTACGCCCTGCGAATTGCAAAGTCACACAAAAATGATTTCATGCAGCACACCTTTTTTCCACTCGTGCGGCCAGACAAAAAATGAAAGAAAGGTAGTAGTGGCTAATGCGCATGTCAATCACCCTCTCTCTCTCTCTTTAGTTCCATCATCATATGCACCTTATTCTATGCATCAGTGGTCCAAAATAAAACAATCTCAGCCGAAATACACCCAGATGCAACGCTATCCCGGTAATCCTGACTGTCTTTTTGTTTGGTGGAGTAGCGGGAATTAAGCCAGCCCGTATCATAAAAGCGGCAATTGCTGATAAAATGAAAGGCTTTTGATTCTTTGTCTGTGCGTGATTGCATCAAAAAATCCTCGGCATTTTCTTCTCAAGAAGAGTTTTTTGGCCAAAGTGATGTGCTTACAAGGTGCATACATACAGGATAATCTTCTTTTGCTTCTGCTTTTCCTCCTTTTTTAGTCTCCCGGGCGTACGTTGTCCTACATACATGTGCATGCGTCTCTAGATTGCATGGTGCATATATTCATCAGAAATAAGTTGGTTTTGTTTGTTTTTTGATCAAGATACATGGATTTTGAAAGTGAAAGAGACGTCATTGACTTCAAGAAAAGAAAGGAACCGATTATCGGAAATACAAGAATAAACGCTGTCAATGATCGATACTTTGTTTGATTGTGTTTGATGTTTATCACCACACGTCGCGTGCATATTACTTGCAGATTTGCACATGCAAGATGCAAACAACCTGCATTTCTTCCTCACTCTTTCCCATCCAATGTTCACACTATCAGAAGGATCGAATGCATACGATGATCAAAACAAATACAAATCTGGGGAGAACATAAAGTACAAAAGATGAGAGCAAGTAATGACGGCCGGCTGAAGTGGTCTTGGCTTTTGATATGATCTTTTACAAAGACTCTTCCAAAAGAGGTCTGTGTACCACATAATGCTCCGATCCCGTGCCAAGTCTGTGCGTTGACTTCGGCCTAGAATTGGAAATGATTTCCTTTCAATTTGACATGCTAAATTAGTTAAATTTCCGATCAAACACAATCATTAAAGAAAGCCACTTGGATAGGGATTTGAGGCGCTAAGCGCTCATTTCACAGCCATTCAATTCACCAATTGATGCTAAAAGATGCAATCGTAACAAAGGCAGGGTCGTATGTGATTTATGCAAAGAAAAAGAAAAAAACAAGACTGCTTTGCATCCCGATTACAATTGTGAGAGAGAGGTCTTGTTGCAGATCTTACCTGCATACAATCACAATCACATGCATGCAATCTCATCTTTTTGTTTATCCAGTCCTTTTGTTCAGTGTGCTTTTTGTATGAACATGCAAGGCTAGCTTGGGTACCTGACGCGCGGGTGTGCTTTTACACTTAGCGCGCGTCAAAAGTCTAGCGTAAGTGTTGAATCCTTTTGTTCAATCACATCAACAATTCTCGTTTTTGACGTTGGCATTTATTTTTAGAATGAATTTTTGTGTTCCCTTTCTTTTGGTTACATTGAAAGGAAATCTTATCAATTTCCGATAAATTTTAATTTCTTCGCATAAATTAAATTTATGATAAAAGTTTCAAACGAATTTCACTAGCAGTGATCTCTAGAGAATTCCCTTTGTGAGGAAGTTGTTCATCATGTGTCTTTACGAACGCTTCTGGAAGCATTGCAGACTAGAAAGTTCTCATAATACATTACTTGCCCCTTTACAAATCTTACCTCTAGCCTGCAGCTTGAGGATTATCCTCGGCCGCCGAAACATCCCGGACAACCGGGAGCGACGCTTTTGCGGGCCACTGGCATGGGTTGCTCTTTAGATGTGTTGTATTTCAATCATATCACATTAGAGCAAAATGTGATTTTATTAAGCTAAGATCTGCAATGCATACTAAACACGCTAAATCAAACACAACAAACATAACAATAAACGCACATTGCAGAATTTTCCGTGCTTCAAGCTAAGAGCACATTTGTTAAAATCACATTTGCTGTGCTGCGTGCTGCGCCATTGTGCACACGACATAGTCACACGCACACCCTCCCGGCAAAAACGGCGAATAAAAATAACCAAGAGAATGGTAGGAGCACTTTTTGAATACGGCATCTTCCTTATTTTAAATCACCGGCACATTCATCCCCATTACGCCGAAATGCAGGGACTACACAGCTTCGGCTTTCTTTTTGATCGTTTATAACCATCACAGCTCATGATCGATTGCCTATTGTCAAATCAACATAATTCCGATAAAGATTACGGAGAAAAAGATCGGGGCGCAATCAAACATGTGATCGAGAACTTCTTACATTCCCGAGACGCTGATAGGCAAGAAGAAAAGGGTCACATGTGCCAAACGGGATATTCTGATTGAATCCTTTCATTTATCGTACCTGCATTCAAGATGTGATAGCTTGTGTGATCTGAAGATAGCTCTCGAAGGAAAAGATGCTCTTTTGATCGAAATGTTGCACGCCCCTTCTCCGTACATAGCTTCATACTGTGTAGGCCGAAAATCATTTGAAATCAGCAATGTAGGTCCGTAATTATCAAGCTTAGCACAACTTTGGTCACTCACAAAGACTAATAACAGATTATGTAAGTAACTTCTTGTATGTTCTCCTTTGAATAGCATTCAGAAAAATGTGTCTGTGTGTGTGTGATTTGTGCGTGATGTGATTACACCCTACCGTACCTGCATCTTCGCGTGAGTGTGACTGAACTGTCAATGTTTTCAAGAGAGCACATGCAAGCAACGAAAATTTGTATTATGTCATCACTTTGCCTCTTTCCTTAGCCTCGGCTACGCACGAGATGTGATTTTAAAATTTGTTTGTGGCTTGTTTGAATGAAAAAAGGTGAGACAAAGGCACATTGTCTCCCAATCGGGTTTTCTCTCAATTAATTGGCGCTAAAAACTCTTTTTTTCTTCTTTTTTAAACTCGGTTCCGCCAAATTTAATTTCCATTCCCGTTTTCCAGTAGCAAGAAGCAATTTATGCAGGTTGTTTTTAATTACCATACTTTTGTCCGTTAAACAACCGAAATATTCCTTTTGTTGTTCGCCACTTAACTGATTTTATGCACCCTTACCTTTATCACTAAAACCTGACCACATGCATAAAAGTCTAGAACATGTATAGTGATAAAATAATTGTCAATCTGTTTCACTTTCTAGTACGGCAAAGTTAGGTTCGGGTAGGGCATATCAAATTCGGATAAAGCGAGAAGGTGACGTTCGTTTGTTCATTTCTGGATATTTGTCTTTATGCTTCCTTTGTTTAAATCTCAGACATACTGAATTTGAGAAATTTGAATTTTCTATTAGAGGTTGCAAATGCGTACGTACATGAGTAATGCGAATTAGCGAGACGGTTTGATAAAGTAAAATACTATGTATGAAGGTGAAGAGGCAAGGGCAGAAAAGATGAGGTGAAAGTTGTTAACGAAGAGGACGCATGTGATGATGCTGAATTATTGACTTTTGCACTGTTTATACTGTAGGAATCGATTTGATATACAAGTCTTGTTTTATATTCTTGCAATTATTGTGTGCTTTGCTTAAATGATACGAATAGTCCACGCCATTGGGTCATACGGACTGCGAGCAGGATTGCCCATATGTTGATTTGACCCAAACTCGGCCAAAAGCCAATGACCAGAAGGGAATGAAACACCTTGTGCAACACGTACAAAAACGATTGGTAATTTGATCAAAGATGTTCCTTCAGCTTTCAATTTTTGAATGAATCTTTCATCGTGTGGGTTTGCATGAAATTCAATATGCAAACTCATCAATTCTTCCATTCCTGGTAATTTGATCGTAACATCCGACATATGCGGTCCAGCAGAAGAAGCATGGGTTTGCAAAGGTTCCGAATGTCCTAACCAGACTTCATGAGCTGCCTTTTTGGAAAGTGCATGAACGGCGGAAACGGTATTGGGAATCGATCTTGCTGCATCCAAATCATCTGCATAGAGATAGTCGTGAATTGTTGCTGCCAGCGAATGAGAGCGTGAGTCGTACGATGGAAGAGCAGCAAAGCATGGGTACGGCGTGATTGGCAAAGGCGCCAGAGGTACGTGAGGACTTCTGGGTTCAGATTGTACTTTGGGCTTGATGTTTAATCGTCCTTTAACATCCGCAATCTCGGGAGAGACGGCATTTGCTTCGATGTAAGACACTTCCGTACACGAAATTGTTACAATTGTCCAACAGAATTGATCTTCCAACAGATCAATCTGATTTTGATTATTGACTTGTGATGAACTGTTCACAAGAGCTGGTGGTCGTGCAAATCCAACAGGGGCAGGTTGAGATTGCAAAGAATGGATGTAGTCGTGCATAGCACCGACTGATGCATTGGAAGCATTTGTCGGAGAAGAACCACTTTGCAAGCTTCGCGTTGGGCTGTTGCCCTTATAGTCTCCTTTTGGAACAGTAGGACTTGCTTGAGGTTCTAGCACTTCCATAGGCAAACCTAATTGACCTTGTCTCACAGCATGTGAGCGAGATCGTAGACGTGCTTGTGATCTTGCAATGGCTGCCAGGCTTGCTTCATTCTCCGCATTCTCATTCACCGTAGAACAAAGATAAGATCGAGCTGAAGATAGATTGCACTCCACGATATCAGGTGAATCACGACTGGGCAAAGGAGTGATGTGCATCAATGTGACCTTCTGCATCTGAATCACAGGACCGCCTGCGACGGTACTGATTTCAGGACTGGAGCTATCAAATTGACCGTCAAATGCCATACTGCCAGGATCTTGACCGCCTGAGCCGGTTAGAGACGAGAGACTGGGCATCCCCGATGCTTTCTCTCTTGTCGAGTGCTGTGAAGATGAAGATGTATCGTTCAAGGTCGAGATTTCACCACGAGAACCACCGAACAAAATCTGACGAGCTTCTTCTCGATGCTTTGATGTGATTTGAAATCTTGCCAATTGTCCTGTCTTGTTGCCAAAGATGCCTGACAATTCAACTTTCCCTTTATCCACTTTGCAAATCAACATTGGATCAGAACATAATTTCGTGTTCACATCACGCAAACAAACTATGCTACCGTACGTTATTCCCCAATCGTCAGTTTGATAGCCTTTTGAATTGGCTCTAGCAATCGCCGGATCATTTACGGGACGTGCCAATAATTCGATTGAAAATCCTTCCCAGCCATCTTGTCGAGCGACAAGCCTGCGAGCAACTTCAACTTGAGCAACATCTTCGATCGCACCTGTTTCCACACCTAGATACTTTGTTCGAACTGTTTGTGAGTTCAATCGATTGTAAAGACAGACCACTGAACCACTTGCAATTGCAGGAGAGGCGGCCCGAGTTCGAACCGACTTTCTGGCAGGTTTTGAGATCACATTGATTGGAGCCGAATGAAACGTTGACCATGCATTAAATGGCAATTGCAAAGGACTCGAGCCATCTTGCATATTACGTAAAGCTGCTTTACCTTCATCACCTGGCAAATCTGCTCTGAGAAGATTAACTTGCAATCGAAAAACTTTGTTTGTTGCATCTGAAACGCTTCCTACGTGCAATTTACCAAACTTTGCTTCTCCGTTCAGATCAAGAAGTGCCGCTTCTTCTCCGCCTCCAGTTGCTATAACAGCAGAACTTGCTGAGCCTGCCTTACCGTGTGAGCTTTGACTGCTGCCTGAATGAGCGCTTGCAGAAATCATTCCAACGCTCGGAGTGACTGAATCTCCCGAGATGACTCGCATGCTTATCCATTTGCAAGGACGAAGAGGGCCATTTATCTTCACCGAAGGAGGTGGACAAAGAAAACGCTTTTCACTGCCATAACTCTTTTGTGCGATATTGGCATACATGCATCGAATCGTGGTCACATTACTTGCCATAGGAGGCCAATAGGAAGAGGCTGTTCGAAGATGTATGCGAGCGTCCCATACGCTTTGTTTTACTTGTCTTCTTTTATCGGGCATAGCAGTGAAAGACCATCGCTTTTGCTCATTTATGGCTCTTGATTTCATTTCCGTACTCCATTGCATAGGATCGACAGCCTGTGCATTTTCGTTAGTCTTTCTCGGATACTGTAAACTGCTTCCTTCACTCGATTGTCTCTTTTCTACTGGCGATCGTGCGGAATATGATGCAATAGGCTCTGCTGAACGACTTCCATGGGAAGAATCAGTAAGGGATCGATGATGATCTATGCTTCGATGATAATTCTGCTGATCGAAAGAAGGTACTGGAGCGTAAGATCTCGAAATGTAAGAAATATTGCCACCTTGATCCGTGATTATTCGCTCACCCTCACTTTGCGACCCGCTCAAGTTATATGCCGACATAGGTGAAGCGGAAGATCGACCGGCACCAAGGTAGCGAAAGGTCGTATCAATTGGATGTGTGCGGTGGTCTGATTGGCTGTACCGTTGTGCTTCATCCGCATTTCTCTGAACAGCACCAGAGCTAGGATTGAATGTCACACCGGGCATACTTTGTCGTACACCCCTTCGATCGCCAAAAGTGTCATTTCTGAGCGTCTCAAAAGGTTGAAAAGATGGTCGAGAAGGGTCCGCTCTATTTTGGCTATATGACTCCGTATCGGAATGCATCGATCTTGAAATTGGCATAGAGCTTCTTTGTGGAAAATCTGACAAACGAGGAGAACTTCGCGCTCTAAAGGCAGACTCTAATGCTGATCCTTGCAAGGGCTCTTGAACAGATGAAGTCCTTCGTTTCCTTGTCCTTCGTTCGTTATTACTATTGACCGGGCTAGAAGAACGACCTCCAATGATTGAATGTATGCTCATCGGGCTATTGACAATAGTGGGCGTTTGTGGATCAGGGCTTCTTGCTGCACGCATGAGTGATGACATGAACGAAGCAGTTCGGCCTGAATGTTGTTGTTGACTAGTCTGATCTGCTGATGAAGACAATTTTGGCACGTTGATCGGCCTTGATTTGTTGACTTCGCTCTCATTGTTGCGCGTCAATTGATCACTTCGAAACTCGCTTAAGCTACTTGAAGAACCGAAAGAATTCCGCTGAATTTTTGTATTGTTTTGCTGTTGTACAGACGATGACGTTGAATCCTCTTCATCATTTTGATCCTCCTTTGTAGCCATATCACCAAACTTTGATGATCCTAAATTCCTTCCTACTTGATAGTCAAAAGGAGGAATTTGACGTCTTGCAAAGTTGGAAGCGGGTGAATGATGGACTTTAAATTGTGACAGTTCCGAACGATTTTCCCTATGAAGAAGCTTGAAGTCTTGCTGGCCTTGGCGTTCATACTGACTGTAAAACTGATGAGGCGGTGAGTGAAATCGAAATGAATCCGTCGCACGATCGTTTATATTGCGCACAGTCTCATTTCCACTACCAACGTCATTATTCACCGTTTCGTTATACCTGCTATTATGATCATCCCGGCTTTTGCTCTTGTATAATTTCGTTTCAATATGCGATCTCTTACTCTCCGGCCGTTCTGTAAACTGATCAACTGCCATGTCTTCTGGTAAATTATCGCTTTTGCTATAGCTAAATTGATATTTCTGTCGCCGTATTTGTTTGTGTGGATCCGCTTCATCGCGGTCACCGCTCATATTTCCGTCTTGGGGTCTGCCTTCATCCTGCGACTGTACTGTCGCTGTTTTTGAATCTTTTTCCCTATGAATGAACTCACTCGACTTATTCAGCCTTCCACTTTCGTATTGATCGGCAAAATTTGCATTTTTATGGTCTTTTGGCGGCTCCGAATATTTTTTCAGAAAAGAGGAGTCATTTGCATACATTCTCCGCTCATCATTTGGTCCGCTAATTTGACGCATATATTGACCTTGATGATGAAGAGAAGGTGAAAATGTTTGTTTGTCGGCTGATCGATTATATGGAGAAGGTGGCGTAAACGGATGATCATCGTCTTTTTCGGATTGTTGAATGAGAGGTGTATATGAATGTGATTGTGCCAAGGATGATGATGAAGCAACTGGCCCCGTCGAAGAACTTCCAAGATTCTGCTGTTTGTACGCCGTTGATTCACGATTAGAAAGCTGCTCGTCATATTTTCGATTTGACTGTTGTTGATTCATCTCAGCTGATGTATAATGTGCTTGGGCTGAATTGTTCGCTTCACTGACTTCGCTTGGCGGTGAGGCTTGCAACTTCATCATGCAAAGTTATACACATCCAAAGACAAGAGAGATCTTTTCCTTCTTTCTTTTCTTTGAAGTGGACGTATGCTCTTACTTGGCAGCATTCATCGTACCAATCCCGAACCAAATGAATGCTTTTCGTTCACTCTTGTGTGCATATACGATGGAGCTCCGATGCGATGCTCTAATGTGTGTGGTATTGCTACTTTGCCAACGTTATAACGGAGCTTAAGTCCGGGGTATTATTAATGTATGTCAAATGAAGCTTGGAGCGATCTGAGCCCGATCGCAATCAAAGTCGAAAGAGCCGTGCTTGAATAAATGATGATGAAAGATGAGATCCAAGCGTATGGGAAGGTAAAAAGAGTAAATGCAAATAGCAAGTAAAGTTGCTACTTTTGTTTGTCGTGCGAAAAGTTTTGTTTTCAATTACACTTCCTCAATCGAGATCATCGGAGACAAAAACAAAAAGAAAATGAAAAAAGGGACAACACACCTTATCTGAACCCCATCCGTGCCCGATGCTCAAGCCAGTCAACTAGCCAGCAAATCAGCGGCAATCAATTGAAGTGATTGATTGGGTGTGTATTACTTGCAGGCAGCAGGAGAATAAAAATAAACATCTTTTTGGCTTCTTTCTTAACTGGGACTCGGACATGAGTTAATTTCCCTTCCATTCGCCGATTAATCAATGACATTTCGGTGTAAAGTAAAGCACAAAGCCGCGTGGGCTTACATATGAGACATTGATGTGCATAATACGGGTTATCCAATGATCCTCTTTTTGAGAGAAGAAGTCTAGGCTAGTAGTACAATACTTCTCTTCTTTGTTCTTTCTCCTCCGTGTGAAAAAGGTGAAGGAAGGTTGCTTTTTTGTCTTTATGCAGGTGCAAGGCACTCTTTGGAAGCCTGTCATCACCGTAATTATCAAAAAGGCACACAAGCCGAGCGGGTGCTTGAAAAAACAATGAAACGCGCCACATACATTTTTAGTGTAATTTTGATAAACGGTTACCCCAGCTGTGTACTCCGTTTTCAAATTGATTAAATTTCTTGCATAGTCTCTTTTTTTTTCTCCGAACAAGTCTAATCCCCTCTGTGAATAAGTAGAGGCCGTGGATAGGCAGCAAATCATTCACTCTTTCCGCGCGTATATGCCTTAATTCTCCGTGGAGATCGGTGATTCAAATTCATGACAACTGAATGCGCGTGCAGATTAAGCACGAGACCACACTTGAAGGTCCTTGCTTGGCACTTCGGTAGAGGCATTTACCGGGTTTTGCATCAATTGCTTACAAGGGATTAAATTAAAGCTGAGGACGATAAGATTATGATAAAGAGCAAGTTATGACGAAGAGCAAGCCATTGCATGATATAAGCTGCAGATGTTATATAAGCACATATGCAAGTTTTCTTGTTTTATTCGTACGGCCAAGAAGATTTAAAGACGGCCAAACGGAAACGGAAATTTGCAAAATATACCCATCAGTTGCGTGCTTTCTATTTTTCCGAATTCTTATCTCTTGCATTTCCGTCTTTACTAATCAAAAGAGTGCAAATGTCAATCAACGTTTCCTGGGAAAGATTCTGTGAGAAAAGTATGCGAGATCTAAAACAATATTTCTCAGGCTAGATGAATGAATGAATGGAGGGAGATTGCCGGATTGATAAAATTTTTTCCCAGGTTGACCATGCGTGTGTTGGGATATGACGTATACGGTACGCCTGGCACGTGTACAGGCGTCACTTGCCGTATCACGCCGTATCACGCCGTATCACGCCTTAACGCCTGATTCGCCACAAAGGCTGACGAACCACAGTTTTGGTGCCCAAATTAGCCCATATGTCGGATATAAATAGTCTCATATCACATGTAAATTTTACCCACTTTTTCTCTACCTCACTAATTTATTATTATCAATCAGAAAGCAGTGCCTGGAGACTACAAAACGTAACAGCGTGATTATGTAATCATCTGTCTACTCACTTGTCTGATCCATTGTATCACCAAATCTCCTATTCGTCGATGAGTGTGAGAAAACAGACTCATAGTATCATTGCACGCTCGGGCTGTTTTGTTTGATATGATTTCCGTCAATGATGCGTATCTCTGTGTTTTTGATATTCTTTATTTCGGAGATTTATTTATTGTTGTTCATTTTGTACTTGTATGTAGTTATACCATCAATAAAACATTTTTATGATTTGCCTATCAATTATTCGATATATTGATCTGTATCCACTTACAAACCCTCGTCTTGAGGTCTTTGTGTGCCAGAAGACTGACACTTCAGATTAGACTATGATAAAACCAATTTTTTTCTGAAAGCATTGCTTATTTGACGACAAGAAATAGAGTAAGATTATAACAAATCTATAGCAAATCAGATCTCCTGCTTTAGAATACTCTCACACTGATTCTGAGATCTGATTCTGTAAAAGTGTTGCATAACAAAGTATCTCATTCTTGTTACGCCTCTCGTTCTTAGATTTTAAACGAGTAAAAAAGATATTTTATTCATTTTCGTACTTCAGGGCTTAATGAATTCCATCAAAAGATGCTAAAAGAGTCTACATCAAAGGATGGAGCTACTTTATAGAAGTGTTATCACGAACACACCGATCAAACGAATGAAAGAATATTCACCGACACCATGAATCTACATGGAGCAATCCGATCGGGAGACGGCCATGCTTGGATCGACGCTTTGACCTTCACGCGTAGACTAGGAGACGCGACTTTTGGCAGGCGGGCATCCTACCGCATCAACAGAACGTTTTCTTCAGAAGGAAGTCAATCATCTATCATAACGCTACACAGCATGGTCACAACGAGATGAGAAGTATGATATCGTTTTCAAGGCTGGCAGGATTGGCAGCATTCCTGATCTTGCTCTGCATCAGCATATGTGCATCACCAGCTGCATCTTCTCCGGCCAATTCGATATTCGATGAATCGCTCACAATTCGACCTCTACAAGATGGCCGAGTGCATACAGTATTCAAATTCGATCTGGAATCACCCTTGAACGGCGATAAACCGACAGACAAGGAGTACGAAGGCAATGTGCCGATCTATTCATTCGTTCCACGATCTCTGATCCATCTTGCACAGAGCAGCAATGCAGATGAGATTCACCTTGCTATAAATGCAGGCAAATGGGATTATACAAAATGGGGAATACCAAACGAAGAAGAAATGGTGGGCATCGGAGCAGAAGTGAAGGCAAAATTGAAGAATGATCATACTCTTGCATCCTCCGATTCATCACACTTCAACAATCAATCTGCCATACCCGAAGCAGCATTGCGGAACTGGCGAACGTTAACAGCAAACATGGCAGGTCTTTTCTGTGCTTCGTTGGACGCTCTGGATGAGAAACTAACAGTGATTCCATTCAAATCAGAAACAGGATCGGGAGAGTTTGTCAGTCTGCATGCAATGCTGTCTTCGGAAGCTATTTGTACGGAGAACTTATCGACTTTGCTCAAACTATTACCATGCAAAACAATGGCAGGCTTGGCAAGTTTACTCAAACCACATCGATTCTTTTACTCAGACTTTCATGGAATGACGCTACATCTCGTCCGCACACATGATCAATGGAAAGTTCGTATTAACGTTCAAGCCGTCTTTTCACCTGCTATTGCCGCAGGCGTAAAAGGCAAACGAGATTGGTCATTGGAAAAGCTTTTTGGCACAACACTTAAGCAATCCTGCCCTTTGATTCGCGATAGTTCGATCAAGGTGCTGACGCCAAAGCTACAAGCATCAGAGATCATTGACCAAAACGAAGATACAGAGTTTCGTGTATGGCCGATTGTCATGTCACCTGGTGAATCGCAAGATATCGATGATGATGAGAACTTGTCGGATATGGACAAACTTTTAGCCAAAGCGAAACGATTTGCTGTTCAATTACGCAAACGTGGATCGTATACATTTGATACTCGATCATCCAAAGATCTCAATGTCGAGATGACATGGCCCCTCGAACAATATTTCGCATATCCTACTGCCTATCCTGCACAAAAGCTTACCACTTCTCGCGTCTTTTCTGGATATGGACAAGAAAGTGGAATCGTTCAGCTTACCATTACAAATTTGGAACAAGCAAAGGAGAGGCGGATAAAGTACACAGAGATTTTGCCATGGTTCATCAAAGTATACCTTCATACGATACAAGAGCATATCTCAGAAGAGGTTGACGAGAAAGACGATCAGATCGTCTTGTTCTCGGATGATTTGAAGTTGCCTGCAGTTCAATCGTTCAATTATACGCCTTCGCTACCAAGAGCAAGACCAACGCATTTGGAGGTAGACTTACGCATTCCACCCTTGAGCACTGTGCGTCTCACGTTCGAATACGATAAAGCATTTTTACGATACGCAGAACATCCACCAGATGCACATCGTGGTTTCGATATTCCACCTGCGATTCTCACACTGGAAGACGGTACACAATTATACACCGACCCAGCTCTGGTCGAGGTAGCAGTTCCCGATTTTAGCATGCCGTACAATGTGATCATCTTCACATCAACACTGATCGCCCTTTGTGCAGGCTCAACGTTGAACAATTTGATTCGCAGGTATACCGATGTGATCGAAGTTACACCTGCAAGGAACGTTCAGACGAAAAAGGAGGTTCTATAACAATCTTTGATCTTATTATACATTTTGTAATTATAGCCAAACATACACAGTACAAATAATTAGAAACAGGCATGATTGCCGCGAAAGAAAATGCTGGTTGATTATGTCGACTTGAGATGCCATACTTTGATGCACGGATCTCGATCAAGACTTGCAGAAGCAATGATTGGCTTTGAAGGATGTGCCGCAATGCACAATACGACATCACGATGACTTTGAAGTGTATGTTCGACTTGCTTGCCTTGCAGATCCCACAGATAGACCTTTTGATCTTCACTTCCTGCAACTACGAAGCAAGGTAGATCTGAGTTTGAGTCAGACGTGTTCCAAGCTGTGAATGCAGATTTGAGAGCAAACTTTGCGTTTTGATGACCAACATAAGTTTTAAGAACACGACCGTTTGCCATGTCCCAAAGTCTGATAGAGTTATCCAAAGAAGTAGCAAGTAATTGAAAACCATTCGGCGAAAATACTACATGTCCTATCGGCATTGCTTCTCCGTGTACTAAAGTCTTCAAACATTGACCTGTGAATGCGTCCCATAACCTTATCAAACCATCATAACTGCAACTTGCCAAGATTGAACCATCTCGATTGAACGCAACTCCTGTAACGGCTTCTGAATGAGCGGCGATCGTACGATGACAACGTTTTTTCTGTAAATCCCACATTCGAACGCTTTCGTCAAAGCTTCCTGAAACTGCCAAAGTTGTATTTGGATTGAATGCAACACAAAAGATGAAAGATGTGTGACCTTCAAATTCACATAATAGTTCCAATCGTTTTGCATGCCATACCCTGACAAGCTTATCATCACCTCCGCATACGATGTACTTTCCATCAGAACTCCAGGCTACATCACTGATTCCTTGTCGTTGTGTGGAAGATGAAGGTTCGATTTGTTCTTGTGCATCTAGTGTTGCTCGTAATGATCCTGTTGCAAGAGACCAAATCTTTAACAATCCATCTGCACCGCTTGAAACGATTTCTGTTCCATCTGGAGAGATTGCAAGGGAGGAAACGCTCTTTTTATGACCTTGCAAGGTAAAGATTAAAGAACATGAAGTTGATTTTGTGTCTTGACTTGCTTGTCTTGAGTCAACTTCCTCTGGCGCCATGGACTGATTTCCGTTCTTGTGAAGATGCTCCGTCACCGAGGATGATGGATCTGCCTTTGTTGCATTGATGTCCACCTCTTCATCTACGTCCATGCTCATCTTGTCGTCATTTCGGCATGGAGGATGAGAAGTAACACACAAGTTGGCTCATTCATGAAACAAGAAGATATTCCATCATCTGCAACGCGACGCGAACATTACTCCGTTTTCCGTCAATTGACTTTGCATTCACACACACTAACACCCCACATTGGAGTATCGGCAACTTTTCGCTTATTCTATACCGGTGTTCATTACCATCATCACCTCTCGAACTCAAGAACAATGACAGTCAAAAAAGGAACACAATCACTTCCAGACGGAACAACGATTCGATATGAAATACATGGAAGTGAACATTCTTCTACCGTTCCTATTGTATTAATCAATGGTTGGACGAGTACAAAAGAAGATTTTCAACCACTAACAACAGAATTGGCAAAAAAGAGAACTGTTTTGGTATATGATAGACGTGGAATCGGAGAATCAAGATTAGCAAACAGAAAAGATGATGAAGAAGAACCAGATCATACACTTGATTTAGAGGCAAACGATGTATTGGACTTGCTGAAAGCACTTGGAGGTCAATTCCTCAAAGTAAACATCTTGGGATGGTCAATGGGAGGTCATATCTTACAAGCATTGATGCTGCTACCCGAAGCAAAACCCCAAAAAGAAGGGATCGAAATCAAAGGCATCCATGTCCAAAAAGCAATCTTAGCATCAACCATGCCAAAAGTACCAAAAGGAGATTTGAAACAAAGCGATTTACAACATTTTCTCTCACAAGCAGGAACGAATCCTAAATGGAAAGATGAATTAACGGAATTTTTGATGTCTTATCAATACGATGAAAATTGGATGAAACAAAGTGAAAATAAATCAACATTTGAAGAACGTGTTAAAGTTTCACTTACAACTAGAAGGCCACAAAGTATTATCGGTTCACAAATGTTGGCAATTCAAGGACGTGATACACGAGAAGAATTACACAAAATTTCGGAATCATTACCTGTTCTTATCATTCATGGCAAATTGGATAGAATGGTAAAATACAGCGAAAGTGATTATTTTACAAAGAGTATCAAAAGTGCAAAACGATTGGATATGCAACCAAAAACTGATCAATTCGGTCACTTTTGGTTCGATTATTTCGGAAAAGAATTTTGGGCGAACAAAATTGAAGATTACCTCCAAAACGGGCATTCATCTGCCAAAGCAAAGCTGTAAATTAGCTTTTTTTGTCATTCCTTGTATCTTTCTTGCATCCGAACCGATCTTTGATATGCTGCATCTCCTTGAATGAACTTTGTATGTCTGCTCGAATATTCTTCGACGGTAGGTGCAGATTTGTTGCTTCCTCCGCTACCAATTCCTGCACCGGGAGTGTATACATGCGTTACGATCGGGTCTATTCTCCCTTCTCCGTCTATTCCCAATCCTTTGCCTGATGTCCAGCCCATCTTGGCCAGTAATGCGCCACCAATACTTGTTTCGTCTAACTTAGCCGGAATAGCATCTTCGGAAGCGGGTGTCGTCTTGACCGTTGACTCGCCCGAGTAAGGACGCTTCTTCGCCATCGCTTTCGCTTTTGCGATTGCTTCGGTACCAAAAACAATTCGTCTTTCTGCAGCTCGATCACGATATTCCATACCGCTTTCTGCTGTTGGCTTGTCTTCAGAAGCTGCAGAATACCGATCGTTCGAGGTGACTCTCTGCACGGGAGCAAAGCCTGCTTTCTTCATACCTGTAGAAGAAGTGGATCCAACATCTTGGGCAGGAATGGAAGCAATCTTCCGCTTTCGACCTTCTGAACAACGATCTTGATCTTGTAGATTTTTCTTGTGTAGTTCCGATTCAATAGAATGCCTTTTTAGAACTTCCAACGTTTTGAATTGTCTTTGACAAAGTAAACATGCTTTCTTCTCTTCATCCAGATAGTTGAACTCTTTCGAGACCTGCACGTCATTTGAGGGATCGTTGCTGTCATGTTGAGGCTCTGGTATCGCACTACTCTCCACGACATCATTTCGCTGCATCTCTTCTTGTTGAGCGTTCCACCTGCTGATATGCGAAGCTGCTTTCTTTGCATAGGAGGAAGGATTCGCAGATGTGATCTTACGATGGTCTCTTGATACACTGCCGGGTAATTCAAATTGATGATCGATTTCTTTCCCTGGCAATGTTGCCGCTGCAGGCTTAACGGTTGCAGTTGAAGACCATTCGTCTATCAAGACACCCTCTTCTGAGAAGCGTTTTCGTAATCCCTCTGCAAGGGTCACTTTCTGTCCTTGAGCCACAGAATTGAAAACTTCATTGGTGACAAATTTGGCCTCGATATCTTTGGCGTGATCCTTGATCTCATTTGCCAGAGCTTTCGCCACATCTGCATCATGACACGCAACAAGTGCGAGCCATCTTCCATCCTTTGAAGCTGTGATTACACCTCGAATACGATTCTGAATAGCGGACAAATTCGGCAACGATTGTAAGAAAGAGAACATCTCTTTGCTAGCGCTCAACGGTCTGCAATAATCGTCCAAAAGGAGTAATGTATCCGTTCTTGAATTGCGAACAAATGCTTGGAATTCTTTGGAAAGATGCCAACGTGCTTGAGAAGCTTTTGAAGATGATGGCACAGATTTTGAAGATGACGGCACAGATCGACGAGGTGGTCCTTTAGTACCAGCACTTCCATCAGACTGCCTATTTCTACTTCGTTCTGAAGTACTTGAATGTCTGGAGTCGTCATTGTACGTGCTTGATTGTGCATTAGCTGCGCCATAATTCTGCTGATATTGCTCATACATCTGATCATCATAGCCGTACTGTGGCCAGTTCCGATACCCATGTGACGAGCTTTCCCGGTAATATGGTTCATACTGTCGAGATGGACCGCTGCTTTGATCTTGGTCGTACCATTCATAGGGTCTCTGTGCCGATCTCCTCTCTTGTTTATCTTGCCCATGTTCTGGATATGGACCATTGGACCATCTTTCATGATTGGACGACATATTCTACGGGTTGGGGATAAATTGCAATCAAGGTTAGTCAAAAGCGCCCTTCATCGGAGATTCAGTGATGAATTAGGACATATTCATAGCTTATACGGACATTTCAGCTAAGTCAAATGAGTGGATCAGACATTCGCCTTGAATGTGAGAAATAAAGGTGTTAGCGATCTGGTCATCTGCTATAAGTCCATTTTGTTCATTCCAAGGACAGCTTACGATGATCGTGTAAGGATGCAAGATTTGATGTATGCTTTTGCCTATTAAAGTTATCACCACCTTTCGTTTGACTATGCGAGAACAACAAAAAGACTAGATAAGCAAAACATATTCATTAAACAGCAATTTGATAAAAAGACGTCATAGGTATCTCGCTTTCATACTTGGATGGATAGTGGATCGCCAATGACGGTGTGATAGTAGGCAGCGGGCTGATGGTGGGGACAGGTTAGAATTGCCAAAAGTAACACTTGGGTGATTGTATGGAGTGTGCACGTGCAATATGCTGGCTCGGGATACGGGTAGAATGTTTTGGAAGGTATGGAAGGTGCTATTTTTGGGCTGGCAGGCGTCGTAGTTTTGCTAGAACTCTCTGGACCTCACGCCCGCTTTAACCGGTACAAAGAAAGTGGCAATACAAATTTTCTTTAGTGTCGTTCGAGTTGAGAGTTTTTCATGCAGAAGCCAATACAAAAAAAAAGTAATAGAGCTGGCGTGCCTGATTTTTAATTGAGTTGGAAATTACATTACGGATGTTGTAAATTTTAGGTATGGCTGGCTAACTTCAATCATCATATCAATCAAAAGAAGGTGATAAGTGAAATTGTCAAAGTAGGACAAATTGAAACAAAATAGACGTTGATCACCAACAACCAAAATCTTCACCATCCTTCCAAGAGGAATCAGCCCAAGTTAATAGCAAAAGGCAGACGCATATCAATTGATTGATACGCACGACATCGTCAGCTACAGACGATCCTTACGACATTCAAAAGTCTTAGCACTTATCTCTCAAAAGGCATCAGAAAGCCCAATTCATACCCATATAATTGCCCAAAATGGTCAAGGAAACCAAATTTTACGATTTGCTAGGTGTTTCAACCGAAGCATCGGAGAGCGAACTTAAAAAAGCTTACCGCAAGAAAGCTTTGGCTTTGCATCCTGACAAAGGTGGTGATCCAGAACAATTCAAAGAAGTTACATCTGCTTATGAAACTCTAGCCGATTCACAAAAGCGTGATATGTACGACCGATTCGGTGAAGCAGGTTTGAGCGAATCAGGTGGTATGGGTGGTGGAATGGATCCTCAAGATCTTTTCTCACAATTGTTCGGTGGTGGTGGAGGCGGCTTCTTTGGAGGCGGTGGTGGTGGCAGACCACGTGGACCTCGTAAAGGTAAAGATTTGCCTCATCGTGTCAAGGTCACTTTGGAAGAATTATACACTGGAAAGGTGACAAAATTGGCATTGCAAAAGCACGTCTTGTGCAGCAAGTGTGATGGTCGCGGTGGTAAAGAAGGTTCTGTTAAATCTTGTCAAGGATGCAATGGTCAAGGTATCAAGGTGATCTTGAGACAGTTAGGACCAATGGTGCAACAAATGCAACAAACATGTACCGACTGTCAAGGTACCGGAGAGCAAATTCCAGCAAAAGACCGCTGCAAGCAATGCAATGGTAAGAAGATCATTCAAGAACGTCAAGTCTTAGAAGCACGTATTGAGATTGGTATGACAGATGGTCAACAAATTGTCTTCAAAGAAGCAGCAGACCAGGCACCCAATACCATTCCTGGTGACGTGATTATTATCGTGGATGAACAACCTCATCCTCGTTTCAAGAGAAGAAAGAACGATTTGATCACAGATATTCACATCGATCTTTTGACCGCTCTTGGTGGTGGTAAGGTGAACATTGAACACGTTGGCAAGCACTTCTTGAGCATTGATATTCCTCAAGGTGAAGTCGTCAAGAATGGTGCAATCAAGGTTTTGCGCGGTCAAGGTATGCCTTCTTACCGTCATCACGAGATGGGAGACTTGTTCATCAACATCCATGTCGATTTCCCTGATGAGATCCCAATTGATAAGATTCCATTGCTCGAACAAGCTCTACCGCCACGCAAGAAGCCTTCTGCCATCACAAATGAAGAAGAAGTTGAAGATGTTCATATGGAAGATATCTCTGAACGTGAAGCTCATCAAGGAAGATCACAAGCAAACGGTGCTGGAGCTGGACAGATGGAGGAAGACGACGAGGATGAAGCTGGAGGCGGTCCTGGCGTGCAATGTGCACAAGCTTGATCGTATTAAAATACATACACATCATATTCCTATCATCAATGAGCACTTTTAGACGCATGCAATTCCATCATCATCTTTTTCATCTCTTTTCCATCATTCATCTTTAGACTCCATAGATTCCCAGAGTAGTATACTAGTTCGTTTAGGTTTAGCCTCTCTTTTCAATAAATGTACATCTCAGTTGTCACTCAGAAGTTTGCTTAGAAATCATCTAGTCAGTCTTTAAGCTGAGGTTCACAATGCAGCCAGAATCATCAATTAAAACAAGAAAATTTTACTATTTTGATCTTTATTCCACTGAACATGTTCAAGTACTGAAAAAGATCATATTTTGACGTCTCGAAGACCTTTTGCTTCGGTCTTATATACATCAACTCTAGAACACCTTTGCTACATGTTGACCTCAACGCCAAGAAGTCGATCCAAACAATTTAAATGTATTGAGATAGCCAACGGAAACCTTCACCGTATCCTTGACGCATGACGACGGAGCACATGAAGATTTCGATTGGTCGAATGTCTGTAAGAGGGGGTGTAGAAGAGTGTCAGAAGGAACAGTATAACAGGCAAGGGAGAACCAATCTTAATACACACCTTTCAATGGCACCTTTCCTTTTCCGGTTGTTTGGTAGAGACCAATAGCTCCACGCAAATCTTCTTCACTAACAGCACGGGGAGCGTCAATCTTGTTACCCAAGATCAAGAAAGGAACTTTGCTCAATTCTTCAATGCTCAAAAGACGGTCTAATTCTTCGCGAGATTCTGAGAAACGTTCATGATCTTGTGAATCAACCATAAAGATGATTCCGTCAACTTCAGGGAAGTAATCTTTCCACAATCTACGTGCTTGTGCGTGACCACCTAAATCATAGGTTGTAAATTTGACAGATCCGATTGCCAATTCTTCTGATGTAGGATGTAAAGTAGGTTGTAAAGTTGCCAAACGATCATTCTTCAACATGTGTAAAAGTGTCGTCTTTCCTGCATTATCTAGACCTAAAAATAAGATTTTTGCATTCTTGTGTGCTAGACCAAGAGAGGCTAGCACATCCCAGAACCAGTTGACCATCCACATATTGGCGGATGAGTAGAGTGGTGAAGAAGTCGTGAAAGTTGATGCGTAGAACGACGTCCCTTTTCAGTCAAAATAAAGGTCGTAAGTATGTCTTTGTGGTTGTCGTTAATATTCACCAATCACGTACGATCCTGATTAGCATGTGAAGTGTAGGTGATCGTAAGAGATGCGATTCTAAAAGTTTAAATTTCTACAAATCTCCTGTGCATCACCAGCAGGTTCATAATACAGATTACGCAGCTCAAAGGCGTGAATTGCCCCACGATAACTTCCTACTGCCTACGCGTAACAGATATCATTCGACTGCTTGCTTCTTAGTCTAAAAACTCTTTTTTCGCTTGCTTAGCCTTCCGAAAGGTGGCAACTGGCAGCAAACCTTTGAAAGGCCCATCAATGCACGTGGAATCTTTTGACGGAAATCGGAATTGAGCTGGGATGGACAGTGCGAATATTTGGAATATTTGGATTATGATGACCTCCACGATGATGAAGATGACATTCATGAACACCATCGCATTCAGAAGCATAGACGGCAATGTCAACAGCTCTCCATTTGAGCAACAGAATAATCAGAACATCATCTAGAAGTGTTTTTGCTTGCAATAAATTACCGCTTATCTCTAAACATTCAACAACACCGAGATCGATTGTGTCACACAATCACAACACATACCCTAGATCGTTTACTACGTCTACAATCAACAGAATGGCACCGACAAATCAAGGTTTCCAGCCTATGGAGTACACAAACGCTCTAATTCATTCTACGTCACCTTACCTTCTACAACACGCTCATAATCCAGTCGATTGGCAACCATGGTCACAAGCAGCTCTCGATCAGGCAAAGAAAGAAGGAAAGATGGTCTTTTTGAGTTCAGGATATAGTGCCTGTCATTGGTGTCACGTAATGGCACATGAATCATTTGAGAATGCAGGTATTGCAAAAATGTTGAACGAAAGTTTCGTTTGCGTCAAAGTGGACAGGGAAGAGAGACCGGACGTAGATGCAGCATATATGACTTTCGTTCAAGCAACTTCTGGTAGAGGTGGTTGGCCTATGAGTGTATTCCTGACAAACGATGGCGAGCCGCTATTTGGAGGAACATATTTCCCGCCTCCAATGTTCAAGGAATTGATTGATCGTTTGACAAATTTGTGGAACGAAGACCGTCAGAGATGCCTTTCAAGCGCAAGGGATATAAGCGAACAGCTGCGCCAAGTCGCTTCAGCCGGTGTTGCAGGAACAGGTTGGTCCGATTTGCCTTCATTAAACGTGACTGCCAAAACGCTAAAGCATTGGCTGCTATCCTTTGATCAAGAGAATGGAGGGTTCGGAAACGCCCCAAAGTTCCCATCGCCACCGAATACGTTCCACTTTCTACATCGCATTGCCGCTGAGATCATTGGGAAGGGCACGCCAAGCTCGGTTTTGTCAGAGATTGGAATTGGACCGGAGTCCGCCTCAAAGGCTATAGAATCTTCAGCTTTCACATTGGCAAGAATTGCAAGAGGCGGTATCTCTGATCCTTTGGCAGGAGGAATTGCACGTTATAGCGTAGATGAAGAATGGCGTGTTCCACATTTCGAAAAGATGCTATACGATCAAGGTCAGCTGCTAACTTCATTCTCAGAAGCGTTGCAGTTATGTATGGCTTCATCAAAGCCTGAGCTACAACAATATGCACAAGAATTTCGACAAACAATAACGGGTATTATTGAATACTTGGAGCGATACATGACAAGCAAAGATGGATCAATATATGCGGCCGAAGATGCAGATAGCTTGCCGACACCGGAATCCGAACATGCCAAAGAGGGTGCTTTCTATGTTTGGGATTCAGTTGAGATCGAAAATGTATTGGGCGGAAAAGAAAGCAAAGCGTATCAACTAGTCTCGTCACACTTTGGTATCAAGTTGGATGGTAACATCCCTGCCGAAAGTGATCCGCATGGCGAATTGGTAGGAAAGAATGTGCTTCATGCCAGCACAACGCTTTCTTCAACTGCTAGAAAATTGAATATTCCTGAAGAAGAAGCATTGTCGTTATGGAACGAGAGCAAAGCAAAGCTCTTGACGTATCGTGATCAGCGTCCTAGACCATTGTGTGACGATAAGATCATCACAGCTTGGAACGGTTTGGCAATCAGTGGATTGGCGAGAGCATCTCAGGCCCTTGGCACAAGTACGGAAGTAGGCCAGAAGGCTTTGAAGCTGGCAAATGACTCTTCTGCATTTTTGTGGAGTACAATGTGGAATAAGGACAAACACCAATTCTTGCGTAGCTATCGTGACGGCGTTCAAGGTCCTCTTGGCTTTGATGTGGATTATGCATTTGTGATTCAAGGATTCTTGGATCTGTATGAGGTGACATATGACACAAAATACATCGATCAAGCTTTACAAGTCCAAGCTGCACAAGATGCACTCTTTTGGGATGACGAAGGCGGTCCTGGTGGATACTTGATATCATCAAAAGAGAGCGATGGTAATATTCTCGGACGTCAAAGAGGAGATCAAGAGGGTGCAGAACCAACGAGTACAAGTGTTTCAGCACACAATTTGCTACGATTGCAATCTTTGATTTCCAATTTGGATGAAGAATTAGCCAAACGCAGCAAAGCGCAAGGTAGACAAGCTTCAACGTTGAGCAGTCACGATCGTATCGCACAATGCATCACTTCAGGAGGGGCGATTTTGGAACGAGCACCTCATGCTTTGGGCACACGAATCACAGCTCTGTTACGGGCAAAATTGGGTTCACAACAAATGATCATCGTCGGTCCAAGTGGGGACGCAAGAACGAGAGAATTATTGGATGTATTTTCAACCACATTCCTTCCTCGTGCGGCAGTAATCTTTATCGATACCACCAAAGGCAAAGAAGGTGCTCAAGAGCAACTTGGTCAATCATTTATTGCTGCCAATGATGCCGTTCGAGAAGTATTGGAAGATCCAAAATTACTCACCCGCGGTAGCTATGCAACCGTTTGTCAAGACTTTGCATGTGGACTGCCCATCACAGCCTCAGAGGAGTTGGTAAAACAATTGCAAAAATAACTACACAGCGTTTGCATCATACTGTATCATATCTTTTTTCTCACACTGGAATTCGCATGCTTTTATTTGAAATCGTTAAGGTCATAAATCATTGAAGTCGTGCGTAATTCTACATCTAGCAGAAGAACAATAAATGATGCAAGGAACAATGGGGTAATCATGATGGGAGGGTATAATAATAATAGTACATTCAGAGCAAAAAATAAACGAATCAATTATCTTCACCAACAACACGTTGGTGCAAGCTACTTGCAACAACCAAGACGGGCAAAGTGCATTTTCCAACACCACAAACAGCCAAAGCAGCTTGACCGACAATCTTGCTCATTTCACCATCAATCAAGCGAGATTCAGTAGTGTTTGAAGAGGAAGATGCATCTTTTGTAGATGCATCATGTTTTCGTAATAAAGCTCTTAATTCGTCACGATGAGTAATCGTTGGCAAACGACGATTACGACCTAACAAGATCAAACTTGCAGGTGGTAAGTCATCTGATTCGATTTCGCTTGGCGTTTCTTTCTGTTCGTCTGTAGCTTTCCTTTGACCGATTGTTTCGATCAGGTGTGCCAATGGAGTTGGAGTAATCTTTTCAAACATGCGTAAACGACGACCAAGATCTTGATCTGTTTGACATGCTTTCAAGATTTCTTCAATGGCGATATCATCTTGTAGTTGGGCTTGTAGAGGGTTCAAGTTTGAGCTGGGATACATAGTATCATGCACTGACAAATTTCCATAAACAGCACTTGCAGCTTGAGTTTTATGAACCGTATCCACATTTTGCATCGTCATCGGAGGAGAGTTGAGGTTAGCGCCAGCAAGATCAGCATCCGATTTACGATAACGATAAATGGTAGCATACACATCTTCATTCACTTTGCACCATTCTCGTAAAAGTTCAAGCGCACATCTATCATCCGGACCGCCCATGAAAGCGAAAACGACATGTTGACCCCATCCGACAGTAGAAGATTGCGCAGCAAATTGTCCGCCTGAAGAGCGTTCTAATAACATTCCTACATGGCATGGACTTGTTTGAATAACTTTACGAACGAATGCAGCTTGATAGTACCTTGCAACGCTAGAAACATCCGAAGAACCGGCGCCGAAGAATCTTTCAACGGGTCCACGCAATACACCAGTCGTTTCATTTTGACTACCTCCCAATAAACCAGTCGATGGCAAAGTCCAAGGAAGCACGACCAAATCTGATTTGGAATTCTGCGCCCGAGTGACGACCGTGCTACTGAATTCATCAATCGGAACAACCTGCATTGCTGCCTGAATGGGAAGTCTGTTCAATCTGACAAAGGCGCGGAAGACGTTGATGAGAGGATCTGCTTGAACTGTTTCATCGTGTTCAGCAACTTTCATCACTGCTGAAGTACGTTCTGTCAATTCCATCAATCGAAGAGCATCAACAGAAGCGGGTGCTTTGGGAATTATGGATCTCGAAGCTTGTCCATCTAGCAATACAGGAACGTTGACTTCGTGACTGCTTTCAGAAGAGATTCCACTTTCGTCGCCCTTCTCTGTGCTTGCATTGTTCCGTCTTCTGGCATTGCTGGTTGAGTGTGATTGTGGGTTACGCAAATGCAAATCGCTTGAAGGTCTCAACACTTGCACCACGTTCAAAAGACCTGGCAAATCATCAAATCGATCGAGAACGAATAGGTACTTCTTGGCCAATGATTTTGATTTGATCGGGTCTGCTTGATCTCCTTCTTCATCATCTCCTTGACGGCGTTTGTCATCCTTTTTCTTGAAATCATCTTCGGTGAAGAAGGTATGGAAGCGCTTGGGATATACCAGCATTGTCAAAGGAGTTGTAAGGCAAGTAGAAACGATTGCCATCACCACAAACATACTGAATACACGTGTGTCCAAGATGCCAGCACTTAAACCTAAATTCAAAACAATCAACTCGACAAGACCTTTGCAAGACATTAAAGTTCCAACGGCAGCCGATTCGCGATTGTTGAATCCTGTTACACGAGCAGCAGCAGCGCATGCGATGAATTTGGAAAGGAATGCAATCAAGCAAATGGCGATGACGTAACCCCAAATTAAACCGGTATCCAAAGTGCTCAAATTTGTACGTAGACCAGACAATGCGAAATAAAGTGGCAAAAAGACGATTGAAACCATATCTTCAAGCTTTTCGGTTAATGCGACTGCGAAACCACCTTCGTGAGGAATGATTAGACCGACCAAGAATGCTCCAAAGATTGCATGTACACCGATACAATCTGTCAAGAAAGATGAAGCAAAGACGAGCAAGATTGTGAGAGTCATCATTAAATGCGTCGGACCCCTTGACAGTGAGCCATCACGCCTTGCAAGCCAAACGAAGCATGGTCGGATAAGGAAGAACAGTAGTAAACACCAACCGACAACGACGAGGAAGATGTACAGAGCTGCAAGACCGGAAGATGCATTGACGAGAGCGATAGCCAGAGCCAATAGAATCCATCCAACAACATCATTTCCTACACCTGCCGCCAGTACCACAACACCGACTTTTGTCTTCATCAGCTTCATATCCAGCACGATTCTTGCCAAGACGGGCAAAGCAGTGATTGCCATTGCTACGCCTGTGAAAAGGATGAAGTGACCTAGAGAGACTTTTGAGCCGTCGATGAAGTCATTATAGATACCGACAGAAATGGCTGAACCGAGACCAAAGGGGATCAGTAGACCAGCCAAACTGATGCTTGTTGCAGCAACGCCACATTGTTTAATAATTCTTGTATCGATTTCCAAACCAACCAAAAAGAGGAATAAGACTAAACCAAGATTGGCGACCAAATTGAAATAAGGAATAGAAGCATCTGGGAAGATGTGATGTGTAAAGCCGGGAATACGACCAAAAACGGTAGGACCCAACAAAATACCACCAATTACTTCAGCAATAACGGAAGGTTGTTTGATCTTTGCCAAAAAGTATGCTAGAATACGTGTGAAGATGATTACGATTGAAGCTTGAATGATGAATAATCTGATTGGATCACTTGTACTGACTTTTGTCGGATCTGCACCTGAAATGATTGATCCATCTGGAGCCGCTCTGGCCACGAGAGAGATGATGTGAGACGTGTTGATCATTTTTGAAGAGGAAGGGATAGGATTAGGGACGACCTTCGAAGAGGAAGATGGTGAAAGACATGAATGCAAAATTGAATAAAGATGATTGCCTTTTAAAGGGAAGAGAAACCTTTTTGTTGAAATCTTGTTAGGGGTATTAGCGATAAGTGTTATGGTGAACCTGTCAAGAAATGCATGCAAAGTCGGGAAATGCTTAAAATGGCTGCTGTTTTACTTAAAAGACGCGACTTGCTAGAAAAGCAAGGAGAGATAGCCTGTCTTTCATTCAATGCCAAGAAATGGTCAAAGTCTTATTTTTTATTTTAAGGGGAGTGTGTGTGTGTAAGTGCAATTCAAAGGTGGCTTTTCTCTCTAGGCTCAGGAACATTGACTGTACAAGAGGAGATTTTAATATAAATTTGGACCCCTTCATACTAAAGTGCTTCTAGACTTCATGCAACTTTAGTCAGTTAGAATACCTTATCAATTAAAGCTCAGAATAGGGGTGTGTACATGGCCATTACTATCATAGTGTTAAACATCACTTGATCAATGTAAACTGCAATGCAAGGAACAAAAGCTAAGCAACTTATGTGTGGGGAACAGATTGCTTGGATCTCAGGATGATTCAGACTTATGAAATATCATCAACTGATTGCATAAGGAATAGTGTACAGAAATCGGATATGTTGTCATTATAAGATATCGTTCACAAGGCAGTCTTGACGGCTTTCTTGCCTCGATTAAAGATTCTCTTGTGTACAGGAGTCAAAACGGTTGTTTCTTTTTCACTATCGATTGCCAAAACAGCACGATTATACTCAAATGCCTTTAAAACTTCAAAGTATAATACTGCCAACATTGAACCAAATAAAGGAGCGATCCAAAAGATCCAATGAATACTTGGAAAATCACCAGAAACGACTGCAGGACCAAATGCTCTTGCTGGATTGACCGCACAACCTGTCCATGGTAAGAGGAAAAGATGAATAGCGAATAATGCCAATCCGATTCCGATTGGTGCCAAAAATGTTGCTCGATGCTTTTCGACTGCTAATAGCAGAACTGTGAATACTAAGATTGACGTACCAATAGCTTCTAAAAAGAATCCCTGTGCAATCGTAACTCCGGTAAGATTGTTATTTACCAGATCCACGCCGGAAGATGATCCTCCTCTGCTTGGAGTTAAAGCAAGTACCAAAGCAGCAGCAAGAATACCTCCAACGATTTGTGCAAAGAATAAAATGATTGCTCGAACTGCCGTCAAGACGCCTACTAACCATAAAGCAAAAGTGATTGCAGGATTGAACAGCCCACCCGTAATTCGGAAAAAGATCCAAGCAGTAACGATTAAGCTTAAACCGAAAGAAGTTGCAATTGTAAGAATTGTACTATTATCCAAAGATGCTTCTGCTCCTTGTTGGGCTGCTGTCCTACCGAGATTTGCAGTCTTTGCAGCTCCTTCTGCCAAAAACAAAAACATTGCCGTTCCGAGAAGTTCACCAACTGCCGTGGAAATGTGTAGCCCAATAGTGGATTTGCGCTCGTGCGTTGGTGATCCTTGAGCCTCTACATCGTTACTATCAGCGGGTTCCAACATGGCTTCCACAGAAAAGAAGGATAAAATTTGCAGGAAGAGGAATTCATTCTATCCCCACTTTTAAAAATTGGGCTCTATATATAGTCACCGTCACACATTTTTTTTCACGTCAACTAAAAGTATGATCTTGCATATCCTAGCAAAGTTCTCCCGTCAAACTCTTTGCAAGCCCCACACCTTTGTCATTTCTTTCAAAAGTCATCCTGACGTACTGGATCAAAATCGTTTGACAGAGGGTCTTGAGGAAAAGTTCTGCCCCTTATTCTGACAGGCCTAGAATTTGTAACCGTGATATGATTTTGTGTAAGCTCTTCTCGCGCGCCAGGGCTGTGTATTATTTGCAAGCCACTAAAGAGGAAAATGATATCATTTGACCCCTTCCGCTTACGCTTATCAAAGCGACACTCTATAGCACTTAAGTCTAGAATTTATGAACAGATTGGGAGCTTGAGAGCAAAGTTTAGGTATCTGATTACCATTGTTCCCTTGTGGAATGATATACAGCGTTTATTCTATTTGCTAAAGAGTTTTTATAAAAAGACAACACAAGAGTAGGGTCTTCTTTAATCAGAGTAGTTTGTATACGCACCTTTTCGCCCCTCCTCCAAGTGCTAGGCGTCTTACTCAAGTGGTTACGAGGTGAGTCTAGAAAATGATTCTACACCGATTACGGTGGGTCTTCAAACTCATGGGCTTTGCCCGCGTAGGTTCAAATCCTGCAGACGTCGAGAATCTTTCACGCCTTTATTTTTTTGTCTTTTGTTTGCCATCTTCCTACGCGTCGCGAAGTCAAGAACAACACCAAAGCAATTCATTTTTTGTGCACTGAATCACTCTCTGAAATAGTCATTTGGCAAACGCGTTTCTGACTAATCGCGTTAATTATTTGAGTTCATCATTGCGAAGAAGAGTGGAGTTTGAAAGAGCTGATGAATCAAAAGCTTTGCACTCTTCACCATCTCGCTTCATAAGTTTGTCTTTTAGAAGAAATGGCAATCAGTCCAAAAAGTCGCTCTAATGGGCATTCAAATGGAAAGAAAGAGGAAGAAAAACCCGAGGTAAAAGTGGAAGATAAAGTGAACGAGCAAGGATCAGAAGAGCAAGATGATCCGGCCGAAGCAGAAATGCATTCATCCAGAATGAGTAAGTTAAATTACCTCTTGCAAAGGTCACAAATTTACTCCAAGATCATGTCTGAAAAGATGCAAAAAGAGAAAGAACAAAGAGTGCAAAAAGAACGCAGACAACAAGAGGCAGCATCCAAAGAGGACACGAAGGGCGAAGAAGAGGAAGAACCAAAAGCAAAACGTTCAACACGATCTGGCGGTGCAGAATCACGATCATCCAAACAGAAAGCACAACCGAAATCACCACAAAAGGTGAAGAGAAAAAATGAAGATCAAAAGTATAACATCTCTGATTATCTTGAGCAAGATGACATCCAAAAGAATGGTACGGATAGCAAAGCTGCAACTGGTCAAAACGCTGATCTTGTTACCACATCATTCAAACAACCAAAAATGATCACAGGAGCCACTTTGCGAGACTATCAATTGTACGGTGTCGAATGGCTGATTGGATTGTACGAGAATGGATTGAATGGAATATTGGCAGATGAGATGGGATTGGGCAAGACGTTGCAGACAATCTCATTCATTGCTCATCTCAAAGAGAAGAAGCAATGGGGTCCATATCTAGTCGTCTGTCCTGCTTCAACACTTCAAAATTGGATGGACGAAATTGCTCGATTTGCACCCGAATTGAAAGCGTTGATGTACTACAATTCCGACAAGAAAGAAAGACGAAATTGGATCAATCAATATTCCCGAGATCCAAAAACTGATAAAGAAAAGATGGATTTTCCCATCTTTGTCACGAGTTACGAGATCGCAATTAATGATGCACGTTTACTCGGAGGTTTGCGTTGGAAGTTCATCATTGTTGATGAAGGACATCGATTGAAAAATCGTAACGCTCGTTTGACCAGGGAGCTGAAGACATACAACAGTGCCAACAGATTGATTCTTACCGGAACGCCTGTCCACAATAATCTCGCAGAACTTTGGTCTTTGCTCAATTTTGTCTTGCCGGACATTTTTGATAATCTGGAAGAGTTTGAGGGTTGGTTTGACTTTAGCGATTTACAATCAGAAGGAGGATCTGCTCGATTATTATCACGCGAACAATCACAAAAGATTATTTCAACTTTACGTGATATCTTGGATCCCTTTATCTTGCAACGTGAAAAGAAGAATGTCGAGAAAGATTTACCGCCAAAGAAAGAGTACATGCTTTATGCACCTCTTACACAACAGCAAAAAGAGTTGTACGAAGAAGTTCTCAACAACAGCATTCGTGCCAAATTGACGGAAATGATGACTGGCATGACCTGGGAGCAGATCAAAGAAACTGGAAAGTTGACAGCAGGAGAAGGATGGGATGAACCGTTGCGACATGTGGGTGGATCGGACAAAAAGCAAAAGCGCAGCCGAAAAAGCATACAGCAGAGCGACACACCTAACGGTAAAAGGAACAGAGAAGAATCTACCGAAGAAGAAGCGCAAAAGAAACCACGTAAAGCTCGTCGCAGTCGTCAAGATGGGAATGCGTACAATGAAGAAGATGAAACTGAGAAACAATTCATGGACAGGATGGAAAGAGGTGATGATCAAACACCCGTCAAATCACTCTCAAAGAGAAGCAGCCGTGGAGGAACACAAACACCGCAAGAGAACGGCGCAGGTTCATTCTCTGTGGGCGATATCGAACGTCAAAGCAAGGAACATCTAGTCAAACAGGCTCAAAAGGATATCTCAAACATGCACCTTCAAAATCCAATCATGCAATTACGTAAAGTGGCCGCCCATCCATTTTTGCTTTATTGGCCAAGAGATCCTACAAGCGGTGAATTGATTGCCAACGAAGATTTGATCTACGCAAGTGGAAAGATGATGATGCTGAACAGGCTGCTGGATGCATTATGGTCGAAGGGACATAAAGTCTTATTGTTCAGTCAATTCACTACGATGCTTGATATCTTGGAAGAGTGGTGTGTCGATTACAAGGGCGTGACACCTTTCCGAATCGATGGAACGGTAAGCGTTCAAGAACGTGCTAATTTGATGAAAGAGTTCAACACAAACAAAGGTCCAGATGCATGCAAGATCTTTTTGTTGAGTACACGTTCAGGTGGTTTAGGCGTGAACTTGGTAGCGGCAGACACAGTCATCTTTTACGATACCGATTGGAATCCCCAAGTGGATAGACAAGCACAAGATCGAGCACATCGAATTGGTCAAACGAAACCCGTTCTTGTATTCCGATTGATCACAAGAGATACAGCCGAAGAAAGGATTGTGAAAAGAGCGTTTGCAAAACAAGAATTGTCTACATTGGTCATGTCTGGTGATCAATTCAGTAAACAAACCAGTGCAGCAGCATCTGCATTTGCAAAAGGAAGAGTAGGAAAAGCGAATTCTTCAAGGGTAGAAGAATGGACAGCTTTGTTGGATGAGCTGAAAAGCGAATCTGTTCAATTTGAAATTGCCGACAAAAAGAGTCAAATGATATCTGATGAGCATCTAGACATGTTGTTGGATCGTAGACCTCACGTATTTGAGAAACGTAAAACAGGTTGGAACCAGAATGGCAGTGGAACAGCAACGCCATCGACTAGCGGCAGTAAGACACCGCAAAAGAGAAAGCATGCTTCAAATGGTGATTCAAAAGCAACATTTGAAGTCACAGATATGCTTGAATCTATGGAGAAAGACCAAGACGAAAGTGGGTTTATCGATAGATCTGCCACCGTAACAGATGAAGAATGATGAATTATTTGTACTTTATTAGATAGACCACATGCACCACACACTGTTGATATAGAAATGCACAATATACCAATGCTATACTTTTACAAAGATTCTATCAACACCCGCCCCCGCAACCGCCACGACAGCCCCAGCAAGTGAGTGGACCAAAGCCAGCTTGTTTGAGGAACAGAAGTATTATACTGGCAAAACCTTCACCGAGCACAAAGCCAGCGCTCCAAATGAGTAGCACGACAGGTGGTAGACTATTTGATGATTTTTTCACTTTTCTGCCTTGCTTCTTTCGTTCGGCAGCTCTTCGTTTTTGAACGTAAAGGACAATCATTCCGCCTACCAAACGTGCTATAGAATAATTTGGAGTATTCAATCCAAGTCCGACAGCAAAAGCGATCCCGTTGGGTATATAGACAGCATATCGAATCCATTTAGACTGTTTTGGTGGGTTTCTTTCATTTTCGGGTTGTTTGACAAGCTCTGCGATGCCTTTCACCAATGTTGTAAGTGCGAACAAGAGACCCGAGATAATCATTGCCTGTCCTGAATGTGGCGGTAAAGAACCATTATTGATCAATCGTGCAAAATTCAACCACAGTCTCGCAGCAGGAGCAGGCATTTCTGGACCGGGTAGGTCATAAGCACCTTCGTATAATTTATACGCAGTTGCCGAAACAAATATTCCCACCGTACTACCTACCATTTGACCGATAAATTGACTTCTTGGACTGGCACGTATCAAATGACCTGTTTTGTAATCTTGCATCAATTCTCCTGCTTGCATTGCTCCTGCTTCTGAGAGAGCACCTCCTACCATGTTGACAATGATGTTCCCGGGCTGCAGGAACGCAAAGGCTAATTGACTTAATTTCCCTAATGCATTGACTGGATTCAAGTCAGTTGCTCCCAACGCACGAACGGCCAAAATACTCAAAAGACCAGCCAAAAGTATACCAATTGCGGGAACCCAAAGTTCAAATTTACCAGCTTCATTGTTTTTGAACAACACATAGAGCAGAATCGCAGACAGCACAGTGGAGAACAAGAATCCGCCAATCACCCAGGAATTTGGTGTCAGACGACTTTCTTTTTCGCAATCTTGTGCTTTTGGTAGGCGGTGCTGGTGTACTTCTGTAGGTGCCGACCGTCCCTGTAGCCTCCTGATAATTTTTGTGACAGAGGTAGAATGACTTGTACTGTGAATAGCCAAACCCACGATAGATTCCGATGTCATGATTGCCAATGCGACCCATAAAATCCAAGCCTGTGAACCCTCTTCGGCATCTTTTGGTATTCCATTTGTCCATCCGAGATAATGAACGACGGGAGATAAGATTCCCCAACCGACCACTGCACCAGCAAAGAGGGAGATTGTCGTTTGCGGTCCCATGATAATACCTTGTCCAACATAACTCAAAGAAGGCGTTAGTTGCCAACCCCACTTTGAAGCTGCATCATGACCAGGTAGAAAAAGGTCAAAGATTGGGATAGCATACAACACCGGGACAAGAAAAGAAGCAATCGTGATTCCAACAGAAGCTGTAAATGTGATCAAAAGTCCTTTCCAGCCATTCTGTACTTCTTCTTCTTGTTCACGTTCAGTGATGCTCCTTTGCAACGGAGGTCTTTGTCGGGAAGTTTGTGCATGTGTGTTCACCCTCGTATCTACTTTGACTTCGTCATCATCTCTTAGCCTTTCGCCATGGAGTAAAGCGATCAATTGAGCCGTTGCACTTCCAGAAGGAAATCGTAATTTTTCTTGAATGATCATTGGATTTCGCATGGGAGAAGCGAAAAAGATGCCAAAGAATGCCATCGAGGCACACCATAGTATCAATGCTGAGAGTGAAAATGAAAATGGTTCAATATTCTTACCGTCCTTGTTTGGCGATAAAAGATTAAATGCTGGAACGATACCGATCAATCCTGCACATAAGGGCATCGCACCTAAAGAGACCGCCGTTGCTTGTAAGACGGTATTTTCCTGCGCTGAAAACGGTCTTGTCAGTCGACGGGAGATAGACTGAGTTTCTGTATCGTGGAAGGAAGTATCGTCTCTTTCATCATCATCGCTGTGTTCGTCATCTTGTAGTTCGTCATATGTTTGACCTTGATGTGTTCGTCCTGTGTTGCGATTCTTTCTTGGATTGACTGCTGTAATGCATCGTAATAGACCATATCCTACCAAAGCAGCTTGCATGGAAGCCATGGTTATGAATGCGCTCTGTAATCCCAAATACAAATTCGTGCAACATAATAGCGTTCCCACGATGATTCCTCCGACTAGGGACCGCAATGTCAAATCCTCGGGTATCAGACCTTCCCTTGCGCGACCTCTTCCATCACCATTTCCCAAACTTGCCATGATTACTTTTTTTGATGGTTTGGGTAACAAGTAAAGATGTACTTTAGATCAATCCATACTCCACAGGAGAGTTGTCAATCAATTGGAATTTCGAATAAAGCTTGTACAGTACAGTAGTACTATCGGATTTTGAGTCCGCGCCCTTTTTCCTTTACACGCTCCGCTACTCAAAGAAATGCACCGAGTATTACTGCCCTCACCGGCGCCTAGAGATCGCGTCATTAGATTCTTATCTCCACTCCCTTACGGCCGACGAGACGATCAATGATGGGAGGGGGCCAAGTTTCATTCAATGTTGATGGCCATCACGTTAAAATATACGATGTTGCGTCTTGAGTGATGCAGGTCTGACTGCTCACACTCTAAATGGTTGCGCAAAACACGAAAACATGGCGCAAATGTGCACTTGCTTCTTATAGCCACCTATGCCGCCATTTGACGTTTCCCTGCCCGTGTAGCTCAGTGGTTTAGAGTGGCTCCCTCCTATTGATTGTGAGTGATTGAATCATCAGTTGCTCACAGGCGGAGGACATTCACAACAGAGTCAAGGAGATGGTCCTGGGTTCGAATCCCAGCTCGGGCTAAAAAGTTTTTGTTATTTGACCATCTTTTTTTTGGTTTCTGTTCGAATCAGCGCTGAGCAAAGCAATTGATGAATGAAAGAAGTCGTTGAGGTCATTTTTAGCGCCACGCGTAAGACGGCGGAGTTTAGATTTACGCAGTGGAAGTAGCGAAGAGCTCTAGCGCAGACGCATATGATATCTCCACACTGCCGATATGCTTGAATTTCCACCCGCTAACATGCTGTTTGATATACCATTATCAACATGACGGGAAGATTGACAAAAGACAAAAAGGTATAAAATGGTGGGGTAAATTGTGACCAGTAGACATCCATTCCCCCATCCCCATCATCTGCACAACAATTAAAGCTTATCAAAATGCGCCTCGAAGAATTCAAAGCAAACCAACTTTTAGTCTTACCACCTAATCCCGATGTGGATTTCAGTGGAAAGACGATCATCATTACAGGTGCCAATGCTGGAATTGGATATGAATTGGTACGATATTACTTGAAACAAAATGCAAAACACATCGTAATGGTTTGTCGTTCAATGGAAAAAGCTCAAAAAGCTAAAGAAAAATTATTGGCCGAAGCAAATCGTAAAGATGATGGAGTGATTACGATCGAGTTGATGAATATGCTAAGCTTTACTTCTGTTAAAGCTTGTGCTGATAAATTGAACGCAACTTTGGATTCCGTTCATGTCATTCATCATAACGCAGGGATGGCTTGCGTTCCCAAACAATTAAGCGAAGATGGATATGAAACAGTGTAAGTTTATTAAAATACAATAGGCACTAAATATACAAAAGCTGACCTCTCTCCTCCTCCATTAGTGCCCAAACAAACGTTCTCTCTTCTTCTCAGTTTGCTTTACTGACCCATCCGTTGTTGAAAAAGACATCAGAGAAAGAAGGTGTACAAACACGTAGCGTGTTCACATGCACAGATGGTATATATTACATACCAGATGATGTTTCCCAAAAACACGAAGGTGTAGGTTACGTGAAGCATCTGGCAGTTGACAGGGAAATCACTAAAGAGCAAGAAATCTGGCATTATTGTGCAACGAAGAATTACTTGTGAGTGTATTCAATCATGATCACAGAGCAATACCGATCACTAACCTCCTTTCCAACCTATGTAGAGCCAATTTCGCCCGTGAATATGCAAAGCGTATCAGTCCACAGAACGTTTCCGTTTGGCTTGCCGCTCCTGGCTTGACCCAAACCGAATTTGCACAGAAATCACACGATGGTGTCCTGGACGAAAAGCAAAAGAAGAACGAAGACATGTACGAAACCAAACCGCGTACGCCTGAGGACGGTACAAAGACGGTAATCTTGGCAAGCGTTGATGATCCAAAAAAGTACAATTGGACACCACAAAAAGGTGATGCGATTCGTTTATCAAATTGCCGAGAAGAACCTGGACCAGAAAGTACGGCAGATCGTCAAGCTAGAACAGAAATTTACGAAGAAATTCAACAAATTCTTGCTAAGCACATTGCCGGTATCCCAACAGAACTCAAAGCTTGACCGTTTCTCTCATAATATTACAGTGTTGCCGTCTTCTTGTTGTTGGAATATTTGAATGCCATAATCGTTGAATAGATGTTCCATCGTAGAAAGATCTGCAAAGATGTTGTCCCATGAGAAAGAAGGTTCGATAATTGCTCCTTCAACACTAGATGAATCACCTGTTGGAGTTGTATTGCTCGTATTTGTTGAAGAATTATCCGATCCATCCGATAAGCCAGGGTTGGAGTGGGGTACTACTGATGAGACCACTTCAGCATGCTTCTCAACACCCTTGCGAATGGCTTTCATAAGTTTGTGATCGTCAACAATTGCGTTGCTGTCGGCTAAGCTGTTAGCAAGTCCATCCGTCAGAGCGTTCTGGTCATTGCAGATCTTTTTAATTGCATCGAGACATCGGTTACTGACCTCTTCATTGAATTTGTGAACTAGAGAAAGCTCACTCTTACGTGCGATTAGAACAAGGAAATTCCTGCCTTTGATAGCACTTTGCAAAGAATCAAGCAAAACGATCCGACGAGATCTCTCGACATCTTTATCAAGAATCGGTTTCTCTATCCATTGCTCCACAATTTCCATCGTTGAAAGAGCTTGCTCCCGTATCGAAGAAGCAAAGTAAGGCCAATTCGCATTGATTCCTAATACAGTACGCGAATAGGAAATTACACGTAAGATCAACGTTTTTGCCGCTTCTAACCGTCTTCTATGCAATTGCCAATCAATCACTTCTCTTGCAGCAGGTGAAAGTTTAGAAGCCACATCAGCTTGATTGTAAAGCGTAGCAGCAAAAGCTGTCGTCATTTGAAGAGAGAAGCTTGTCCGTAACATTTCTATGCAAAGCGAAAGAGTCAGTTGTTTTGCTTTTGCAAATCTGTCAGCAGGATCGTCTAGCATTGGAATGATGTACGAATCAAAGATTTTCATATCCCGCTCCAAGTCAGACACCAATCGTTCCGCGTCGGATGGCCAAGAGAAATTCAAAGTGTACATGGCCGCCAGCCTGTCGATAAAATGACCACAAACAGCAGAAAATCTGCATTTCGCTCCCGAATATGCTGACATGATTGGTTGGGTGACTGAAACACCCATACTGCACAAGACTTCATGTTGTTCTGCACTGTTGGGAATCACGTTGAGTTTTCTGATATGCGTATGACCGAAAACATCATTCAAACAAATGTTCGTATGTGCAGGTTGAATGTAATATGCAGATCCTCCCAGCATATTTGCTAATCGATCAAGAACATAGTAGGCCCAAAAGACGTTATGTGAAAGGACTTCATGTTGCTTTGGCCAATCTTGTGATGTTAATGAGAATCCTGCGGGAGCCCAATGTTGTTCCAGCAGGCATGGTCTACAGCCCTGACGAAACATTCCCGCATGTTGCATTCTTGTCAAATCCAAAACGACGCCTTCGCTTTGTTTGCGGTATTGTCCGTTATTCTTTTCAACGTTTCTCAAAAGATAAGAAGCCGCAAATACTTCTGCATTCCACATTTTATGATCGAGTGACCAATTGCTTGCTACCGGGGTAGAATCACCAATTTCATCGATGGAACGAACGCATTCGTTGTATGCTGCTAAGGCGATATGACCGGAATTTCGCTTGTCTTCTCCCGCATCAAGGCCTTCACAAAATAAAAGAATTGTTTCAGTTTCGGTAGGACACATTTGTGCAGTGATTGCTAAAATGGCAAGTGCAAAGATCTTTGTTTGCTTCCATATCAAAGCATTTTCGTTGATAGGGTCCGTACATGTCTTTAGCAATCGTTCTAGACGTGACCCATTATAAAGCTCAAAGATCCAATCAGCCTCTTTCACATACAGGTCCACTACCTGATGTAGGAATGTGGGTTCTTCGAGAAATTTCCATACCCAAGACGAATTATACGCATCTGTTCCGCTACATGAACAGACTCTAGAAGGATTCGTTGGACTTGTGCCATTATTTATTCCGTTGTTAGCCAGTCTTGATCGATTTGCTGGTGGCGTGATCTCATCACTAGCCTTCCGTTTCCCTCTTTTGATCTCTTCTGCTGCAGCCTGTATCTGTAAAGCACGATCATAAACGCATTCAATGTCATCCTTTAAACAACGATTACATGGATTTTGTCGATCGCACATTCGTTTAATCTTTCTACATCGATCGCATGATAATTGCGCCCTTATCCTTTTGAATTTCGTCTTTGACGTTTCAGCCTCGTTCGTCATATCGTCATCTTTTCAAGCACTTTTGATGGCAATGAAGTTAGGATGTAATACTGTTTAATTCTGTATGCATGCAAGATAAGCCCGTAAGCCAAGCCCGCGGACTTTGCGTGCGCTGCGCGACGGGCACTTTTGGGTCGAGCATATGTCAAGAGTAAAAATGGAGGAGTGATGATATTGACAGCTAAAGCTATATACAACAAATAATACTGTTTATGATTATACTACAATTACAAAGAAACAACTTTATTTATCCAAATTATACAATTTTCTCTTCAACGATTGACTTTTCTCCTCTTTGCCTTCTCCACCAATTCGTTTGACGTAAGATTGATTTATCGATCAAGAACCACCATTGACGGATGAAAGATTCACTGATTTCCCATGTCATTTCATTGGAAGGATCATCTCCCCATATTTTGAATGCTTGTTCTCCGCTTGAAGGATCGCCATACATTGCTGCAATACATAAATTTTCCGGTTCGAATAAAATTCCACTCAACAAGATAATTTTATCTCGCATAGATTTCCATGGAAATGCGACATCGATGTAAGGATGATGTTCGACACTCAATTGAATATCGGTTGGTTTCATATTCTCAGAAACGTTGTCCCATTTCCATTCATTTTCTGATCGTAACTGTAATGCTGTTGGCCCGTTTCGTAAACTTTTTCTGATTTTGTTTTCGATCAATTGAGAAATATCCGGTGCGTTGGCAGCATATGCAACAATGTCATATTGTGCTTTGGAAACTTGGAGTGCTTTCAATGGATCGATCTTGGCAATATCAAATCGTGATTGCTTGCGAAACCTTGACCATCCTTCACTGATTGTACTGATTGCATTACAGTTGTGCAGATAATCAAACGTCAGACCGAGTTTATCCGCATTCAGTTGAGCCGATTGCATGAAGTGTAATCGAGGTAAAAGAAGTTGATCTGCTCCTAATGGTGAAGGCAGTCGTGTTGATTGAGCAATGACAGTATCAACTTTTTTGGGAGAAGCCAAGACCATCGTTTGAGATTGAGGAAGAATTTCAATTTCTGGAATGGAAAAAGTATCTTGTTGCATTTCAACGGGTAATTGCAAAGAGGCTGGATCTACAATTTGTTCCATGAGTTGAGACCAATCTTCCGTGGTGAAATCGGTTACGCCTGTAAGATCGAGAGGATTTTCTTCATTAATAGTCAATCCAAGCCAATTGGAAGTAGAAGAGGAAGATTGATTGCTAGGTGAAGAATAAGTAGATTCAGAAGGAGAAGTTGAGTCCATGCTAATACTTGATCCACTAGTTGAGGATTCTCTCCTTTCACATTCTATACTTTGTGTTGCTGTATATTTCAGTATATCTTCTTTATCGCATCTATCCATCTCTTTGTTGAGTTGAGTCAAGCTTGCCATTAATGCATTCTGTAAAGAGTCATTCCCACCAACAGAATCCAAGGTGGCAGTCTGAAAAATGCTTTGAATGAATGTTGAAGTAGCGTTCAAATCATCCTTTTGCATATAGGCATTCGGAAATGATGAAGCGGTAGCTTGTGTATTTTCAGGTGATACACTTCCCTTTTCACTTGATTCTTCACTGCTTCTTTTTGTCGTTCCATTTCTCAATTTAGCCCTTTCTCTAAACCTTCTTTGAGCTTCACGATTTTGCAATTTCCTCTTTTCGTCTAATCTTCTTTTTGGTGCCATTTTGGTGATGATTTTGAGATATAAATGTTTGCTGCGTTGATGGTGATGATAAAGAACAAGATCTAACATAGAATGTCAATCAAACATTAACGGTGAAAGCTGGCATATATGCATCTTCATGCTTGTGTCTAAGCGTGATCCGAGATTCCGCAAGAAATCAATACACTAAGTATGTGCGGAATCAGATTAAGAATGACATTCAAATTGACGCCGAGAATGTGAAGAAAAGCGGAAATAGACAAGTGCTGAGCAAATGCATATTGTCAGTTTTGCAATTCATCACTTTTTTGATCCTTTTTCGGTGTAAAAAAAGTTATGCTGAGCATTCATTCATTCTAAGGAACGTAATGGATCCTTTCTTTACCTTGCATGAATGAAAATAGTGCGCGGGCACATCACTGTCTCTTAACACCGGACAACAATTCACACGCTTAAAGTGGCACAAACCTTTTATCGCCGATTTGAGAATCACTAGCTTCATCTCACATTACGGGCCTACACTCGGGCATAAGCAATACAAACGGGAATAAAACTTTTTCAGGCACAAAGCCACTTGCGTTGCGCTGCACAAAAACCGCGGAGAAAACATTTGCACATACACACTATCTCCGCCATTCTTACTTCTCGCACTTAAGAATTCCCCCGTTTATGTATTAGGCACCAAATCGACAATGCAAAAGCCACGGTTTTCGTTTTTACTTCGGAATGCGGAAGCATGAAAGGGTGATAACCAAGGCGGTCCCCTTGTAGAACGACGCCTATGACATAATGAATTTAAGCCGAGCATGTACAGCCATGAGTTACAAAGTACGCAACTTCAACCAGCTGGAGCTCTGATTCCTATAAGCATTCGCATACAAACCACTGCAATTGCGTTTGCAATCATACTTGGCACGAGCCAATCAGTCAACTGAGTTTTGACCCGCATACCTTGCTTTGTGTGAACGAGGAATACTTTCTTATCCTTTCCGATATAAATATTACGCTCTTCCAATCGTATATCTCTGATTTGTGCACGAGCATTTTCAACTTTACCGCTCAAAGCACGATTGACCGACATCTTTCAATAGGACCAGGCATAACGTTAAGATCATTCAGCCTATGCTTACTTTTTAAAAGCAGTGCTCTTCGCCCCTTTCTTCGGCATATATTCGGTCATGGCATGTAGGATACACATATTTTTTGTTTAAAGCAGTGAATCCTGTGTTTAAAGCAGTGAATCCTGTGTAAAGAGCGGTAAACGTTATCTTGATGGTAGCATACCGTATAGCAAGGTGCAATTGAGATCAGTATTTACCGCATACAGATGGTAAGGTAAGGAAGATTAAAAGGTATAAAAAAAGTAGTTTTACAATCTAAGTCTACCCTCTTTCATCACTTGCACATAAACAGAGTAATATACAAGTAAATCAAAAGAAATCAATCATGAACTTCTTTTCATTGAAAATTATCCCTATGTTCGCAATGGTATGTCACTCCATGCAGATAAGAGTAAGGGCTTTACTGACTAATTGCATCCTCTTGTTAATCAGGCCTTGCTTATCATGGTCCAAATGACCTTGCAAGCACCTGTACCGACAGGTAGTCTCAGCGTGGATGGTAGTACTGTACCAAATACTAAGAATGGTGCAATTACCACTCAAAGCTCTATCGTACGCATTCAAAACACCAATGGTACGGCTGTTGGCTCTCATGGTCGTAATGCTGCGATTAGTAGCGTTGGTGTTTGTCCAACTTGTAAACGTAATCCTTGCCGATGTAATGAATGAATAGGGAGCATATAGTTGTATCATAATCGGTGCTCAATATAATATACTGTTATGTCAAAATCTTTTACTTTTCTTTTCAATTAAACCTAAATCGTACCTCTTTAGAATAACGTTCGGCTACCGATATAAGGCTGAAAGTATACCAAACTCTGTAATTATTTTTAGAAGACCGTAGTCTTCAGAAATGCTGTATCTATCACGCTCAAGTAGCATGAGAAATACACAGCATTGATGTAAATCCTATTGTAATCAAAAGACTGGAAATCGCGGCTAATAGAAGAGGAAGTAGATGTAAAAATCCTTAATATGAGAGGGTCATTGGACGCGCTGATACCGATGCTTCCTGTTTACGAATAGGCGTTACTTCCTCTTTCATTCGGCAAACGTTTTGTCATATATAGAGAAAGCAGCAAATGTAAGTACTAGAAGCAGTCAATAAAAGCAGTGCTCAATTGCGCCATCTCTGTAGAATAGTGTGAATTGAAAGGTATAAAAGAGGCGATATATATCTTCTCGATCGATTACATTCTATGACAACTATTCAAATAATAAAACATCACTCACGTTTAAGCAACTTAAAAAACGATAAATATGAAAGTCTTTTCATTGAATGTCATCACTGTGGTAGTAATGGTAGGTCGTTCTAATACAATCAAAATGAAAAGCAATACTTATCAGTTTTTCTTATCAGACCTTACTCAGCGTGGTCCAAGTAACATTACAAATGCCTTTACCGACGGGTATCCTTACACCAAATAGCCCTAAATCACCTGATTTTTCTATGAAGAGTGTTTCTGTTTTGCCAAGTACACTTGTGCACACCTATCGTACGTACGATCATCGTCGTCCTGAACGCATTGCTTCAACAGGCAGTGTTAAAGTTTGCCCTACATGCAAGCAGGACCCTTGCCGATGTAATGACTGAATAGGGAGCATATATGTATACCATAATCGGTGCGCAATATAATACACTGGTATATTAAATCTACCATTTTTTGTTTCTATTTGACTTAAATCAAACCTCTTTAGAATAACGTTCGGTTACCTATATAAGTCTGAAAGCATACCAAGTTTTTTACGTACTTTCATAGCAGAGTAGTCTTCAGAAATACTGTACTTACCAAAAAAAGCGTGAAAAATGTACATCTTTGCTGAGCCCTCCTTTTCACAGCAATGAGAGTCAAGGCTAAAGGAAAATAGATGCCAAATGTTTAATCTAAGAGGGCAGGAAAAAAGAAAGCGATGCACCTTCTTCCTTCGGCAAGTATTTGAGCATGCTATACAAGAAGAAATAGATAAATGCAGTGCCAACTTGCGCCTTCTGGTAAGGATGATAGACACTTAAAGCTATAAAAAGAACGATAATCCATTTTTAGTTATCTAAATCTTCACACAATCATTTGAAGATTGAATTACCACATCATTTAGATACCCTCATCTAAACACTCTAGGATGAATATGAAATTCTTCTCATTGAACGTCATCCCTATGATGGTAATGGTAGGTCACTGTAGTATATGAAAACCAAAAAGTAATTCTTATCGATGATCTCTTAATAGACCTTACTCAGCATGGTCCAAATGACCTTGCAAGCACCTTTACCGACAAGTGCTCTCAATGCAAATGGCTCTCACACACCTGACTCTTCCATGAAAAACACACTTGGTTTGCCGAATAGCCTCATGGAAGCACATCACACGCATGATACTGGTCGCCCCGGTCGCATTACTTCAACAAACAGTATTAAATATTGCCCCAGATGCAAGAAACTTGTGTGCGGATGCTAATAGAGACCAATGAAGAGTGAGACAATGACCTCATTTAAATATGTGATCATGATGAATGATGTACATCGTGTTCAAGTACAAAAAACAAATTCAACGTTCTTTGATATCGAAGTGGTAGCAGCAATTCAACCGACAAGACTACAAACAAATACTTTAATCACGATGATGTACTGATGACTGTGAAATATGAATGATATTTTTTTGTATATTACCTTGCAGGTTGATATCATCCTCATTCTAGTGACCTCTGTGCTTCACCGGTGTTTGATCCCCTTTTTGGAATTCCAAGACCCAAAAAGATAAGGATTTGAATAGAAAGAGTAGCAACCAGAAGCGGAGGTAAAACTTTTGGACCAAATCTTTGAATCATCAAACCGAAGATCAAAGGGAACAAGGCCGAGCCTGCACTTCCAAAAGAAACGATATAAGCGATTGCAGAAGTTTGAACGGATCTTGGAATGATACGTAAGCTAATCAATTCGATCATGATTGGGAACAAAGGTCCCAAGAGCATTCCCATCATGGCAACTGCTACTGCGTTTGCGATCACATTTGGAACGAACCAGACCACTAGTTGTAAAGCAATGGAAAGTGAAAGATAAATCAGAGCAGCCAATTGAGCTCCGAAGAAGTCTGTAATGGGCAATAGCATCACCCTTCCGGCCGCCAATCCTGCCCAGAAACCTGAAACGATATGACCACTACTATCGATATCGTCACGAACTTGAATGATATATGTGGACGTCCAACCACCGATTGAAACTTCTGTGCCAACGTAGAACAAACAAAAGATGGCAAAAATGTGTGTATCCTTTTGACGAAGAACAATTTTCCATGGACCGGCAGATTCTTGTCTTTGAGCAGGAGCAGGAGCAGGATGAACAGAAACGGCAGAACTTCTACTCCTTTGTGATGCAACTTCACTATTCTTCTCGCTAACACATTCATCCACTTCTATTTCTGTTTGAGGTGTGATCGCATCATTTGTTGTTTGTTGTCTTGCCGAAAGTGTTTGTAGTTCAATTTGTTCTTCTGATCCCGTTCGAATAATTTCAGGTCTTTGTGGTACAGATTGGGAATCTTCCTTTTCTCCAGGATAACCTTCTTTGCGTAATTTGAAAGAAGCAGTTACGAATAAAGTGTTTAAAACACATAAACCCAAAGAAGCAAAATAAAAATGATGAAAGTCCAAATCTGCCACAACGAAAGGAGAACCTGCTAAAGGAGCACATAATGCACCAACGCCATAGGAAAAATGAAGACAGCTCAATCGAATACGTTTATTCGGTCTTGCAGCAATCCATGCATTTGCCAGAGCTTCCATCGTTCCGATCGAAAGACCAAAAAGCGCATACATAACAGCCATTGCAGGAAAGGGCGAACCTGCAGCAATAGCAGCCGCAGGAACGATGGCAACTGCTGTTGCGATAGTAAAACTTCTTCCAACTGTAAATCGTTTCACTACTTCAGGCGTAACGATTGCCGCTGCAATCCAACCGATCAAATTTGCAACGAACAACATACTGACCAAAGCAAAGCCTAAATTATACTGTTTTTGAATAGCCGGCAATAAAGATCCTGCCGTTGCATCATTCCATCCTGCAAATATGTATGCGAACATCAAGCTTGCCTCTTTTGAAAAGATAGCGAAGTCCTCATAATCTCTTCGTAAAGGACCATCTCGAGCAAAAAATGATTGAACCTTTTTGCGCAACAGATTGATCCTTTGTGTATGACTTTGTTGACCTACAGACATTATCTCTCGAAGGCTGTGCGTGTCTGCCATACTTGCTTGTACTGTGTGTGGTGCTGTCATCCTGATGGTGATGGAAAAGAGGAAGACGTTGGCCAACTTCAAAGCCTTTCCTTTTATATCCTTCTCTAATTAGAGAGGGTCGCAAGCTTCATTTTCCCCGGATAGTCACTGCCTTAGTGCAAGGAGAAGGCCCGGATTTTATGGTAGCTTACCAACGGATATAAAAGGCAGCGCTAAAAAAGACTTATGAAGTGGCTTTGAACATTAGACCGACTTGGCACCGAAATTAGCATATCTCGGTAGACCGATCAAGTTCGGGATACCGACTTGTATCACAATTCAATCAAGAAAGATAGAGAGAGATGATATCATATAAATTAAAAGGATATAAATAGATACAAAAATAGCCAAGATAAAGCAAAATCCGCATTTACATTTCAGTTTTGAGGTATTGCTCAAATGTCTTCAATTCTGGATGAGTTTGACGAAGTTGTGCAATATCTGCTTTATATCCATGATCGTTGAAGAATTTGAACATTGAGCCCATATCTTTGTTTAGGAATGTGATCAATTTGGGAAAGATTGAAAATGTTGTTGGTAATTTTGATCCTTTGACGGATTGATAAGTTTGTTGAATTTGTTCGGGTGTTAATTCATCTCCTGCTAGAGAGATCGTCTTGCCAATATATTCAGATGGATTTTCGAATGCAAGTGCAGCAAATTCACCAATATCTGTTGCAGAAATGAGTTGAATAGGTACCTTTGTCAATGTGACAAGAGCTGTGTTCATCACTTTGCCAAACATCGTTTCGCCCGTACTAAAGTTATCCATGAATGCAACCGGTCTTAAAATCGTTTTAGGTAATTGAGCGTGCTTTTCTGCCAAATATTCCTCTACAAATCGTTTTGCTTCAAAATGAGGAACTTCAGTTTTGGGTAATCCACCTTGATCGACGGAAGTATAGATGAAATGTTTGACGTCATACTTTGCCGCAACATCTGCAACTTCTTTTCCCAAAACAGTTTCACCTTCTACACCTTTTGGAACATGAGAAGGAAGTAACATAGCAGATTGAACGCTAAAAACTCCATAAATTGGACCATCTTTTGATGCTTTTTCAAAGATTTGTTCTGGAATATATTCTGATTCCAATAAACGTACTCCAGGTAATGCTTCTAATTTCTTGGCTTTGCCAGATTGTGCACTTCGAGTTACTGCCAAGATTTCAAAGGTATTGGGTGTTGATTGATTACGCTTTGCAAGTGCTCTGATCAAGCCGCTGCCTTGTGTGCCAGTGGCCATTGTAACGATGATTCGTTTTGCCGACATGACTGAGTGATGATTTAATGGTGTGAGATAGTAAGTCTTTGAAGTTGTTTGTGTTTTGTGTGGTTGATGATAAATGGGGTTGTGAAGTGAAGAAGTTGAGTTACTTATATACCTTTTCTTGATGAAGTGTTTTTAATTAAAAAGTTCTCTTTGACGCACTGATCATCATACTCTCACGTTAGTTTGAGCAAAGACGCAAATTGAAGCATAGATTGTGCTTAAGCCGCATGCTTCTATTATGTGACATGACCCTTTCTTCGCTTCGGATATAAACACCGCGCGGCGCTTTCCGTTGAATCTAAAGCCGGGGCAGTATCACAGGCGCAGCGCAAGGCGGGAATGCAGAGAAATTCTTACGCCCGTACCTGCTTCAAAACACTCCGCCAAACGTGCGCATACAAGTTCGACCGTACCATTAGATTCGTAAGCCCACAGGGTACACATTGATCGACATCAAACAGTACATGCTTGATAAGATAATGATTGATGTGGCTTAGCATTCCTCTGACACCTTGGCTTACTTTCCGCGGTTTGCTATTCTACAACCTTCTACCGAGGAGAATAGAAGAATTCCAACTTCAAAGTGTGCATCATATTGACCTGCTTTTATTCTTACTATACATATTGATGACCCTCTTCTTCAGAAATGTTCACGTGCTGGTCGCATATCCATCTCGAACGTCCAAGTAGATTCATTTTGCGATGCCAAGAATAACCAAGCTTTTGCCATTTCTTCAGGTCGTAAAACAGCATCATTTCCAAACCTTTGTCCTTTTTGCAATCCTAAAAAGTCACGAGCTTGCTGTGAATCAATCAAACCATCAACGATGATGTGGGCAACATGAATATGTTGTGGACCATATTCCCTTGCAACAGATTGACAAATTTGACGTAATCCTCCTTTACTCGCTGCAAATGCGGCAAATCCTTCTCTGCCACGAATACTACTCGTTGCGCCTGTGACTAAGATGCTTCCTCCTCTACCTTCGTTATTCTTTGTCATCGAGGCGACTGCTGCTTGCATGAATGTGAATCCTCCAGTGCTGATGAAGAAGGAGATGTTAGTGTCCGCATACATATATGTCAAAACCCTACCCTTCACTTACATGCTGGCCTGAATGCTATCTTGCAACTGCTCCGGCCTTTGTTCAAGGAAAGGTCCTCTTTTGCGTATACTTGCATTAAAGATTGCAGTTCCAACTCGCTTATTTGGCCAAGTATTTGCAATATCCTGAAATGTCTTTCGTATGGCTTCAGGTGATAGAACATCACATGCGAATGCAACACTTTGTGGTGAGCTGTCATTCACAGCAACATTTAACGCCTTCCTGGCCGATCTAATCTCCTGATCGAGCTGAAAATGGGATGATGTGCATATAGTCAGCCTCCATTAAAATAGAAGTTCTCAATTAGCTACTCACCTCTTTTGCCCATCCGTCGAGTCTTTGTTTATTGCGTGAAGCGATTGCGACTGTATATCCTTGTTTTGCAAAGATTTGTGCGATTGCCAAACCTAATCCAGGTCCAACGCCAAGAATGAATACGACATGTTGCTCGATCGAAGGACCATGTAAAGGTGCACGTCCTAATGCCTGTACAGTAGGATAAGGCTTATAGGTCACTGTTGTTAATACATCGCCTCTATTACGACGAGGAGAGGAAGAATCGTTTGAGCTCATCTTGTGGGAGAATAGACAAGATGGCAGTATGGGGAAGAAGAAGAAATGAAGAAGTATGACTTGAACCCGGAAAGTGAGCCGGTCAATAGCCGCCTTTGCATACAATTTTACTTAGCCGGTAGCTTTAAACGCACGAGCCTCTTTTCGTGGGGAACGCGTTCAATGAAATCTATTTCGCGTAAATTAAAGTTTAGAGTCTTCTTGCCTTTTTGTTTGTTTGCAGAGGATGATTGTTAGGGGCACTTTAAAGCGGGAAGAAAGCAAAACATGCAAGGGTAACCTTCAATTCGCCGAAAAGGTGCATCACTTAGCTCGTATGATTGAACCTCTTTAAAGCCAGCAAGGAGGGAATAAAGATGGGCATCCATAAAAAACTCATTTGGCTTCCACCATCATCTTATACCCCTCTCTCCGACATACTCTACACGTAATGAATTAAAATTAATCAACATATCCAGAATACGACATTTGACGACAACATATAACGATGAACCTAGCATTTCTTATCCTGCACCTTTTCACCTTTCTGCAATTCGTCATTTCAGCTCCTGCGACCAGCAAAACATCTCCTTTGGCACCAGCACCAACCTCATCCTCTCTTGCAACTTGTAACGGACATGCATCTCTTTGCAACGTATCTTATGCTAATGTAGTATATGCAGGCGCACATAATAGCTATGCATATGGTGATGGAATAAGCGATAATCAATACAGGTGAGTAGACAAGCAAAGGGAAGCGCTCGGGTTGCTCACACTCTCGACCCTTAGTAACATCTCTGATGGCTTGGTAAAAGGCATTCGACTTATGCAAGCCCAAGGACACGACTATCCCACTAATGAAACAACAAATCCAAGCGGAATATCTCTATGTCATACATCCTGTTATTTGGAAGATGGAGGATCATTAGAATCTTGGCTACTTCAAGCACGTAATTGGCTAAATGCAAATCCACGCGAAGTTCTTACAATCTTGGTAACCAATCCTGATTCTGTCAATGTCACCAGATGGCAAAAAGGTTTTGAATATGCAGGTTTCAATTCAACCAATGTTTTCTCACCTTCTTCACAGCATACATCAAGGAACGATTGGCCAACACTCGGTCAACTGATCGATTCGGGTAAACGTACGATTGCGATCATGGATTATGGTGCAAATTTCACTCAATTGCCTTGGTTGATTGAAGAATTCAGTAATATATGGGAGAACCCTTATGACCAACTAAGTGAGTGTGAATTCATTTTCAGAGCTGACATCCTGCTAACAGACATATCTCCACTTCTCGTAGCCCTGCCATTCAATTGCAGTGTGGATCGAGGAACCAAGAATGATAATCTTGCCTTTCATAATCACGTCAAAGATCTTTCTTACCTCGGCATTTCAACACCTGATAAAGATGATCTTACAATGGTCAACGCTGCCGTCAACAACTCCAATGCAATCGTCCCGACTGTGCAACGATGTACGATCGAGACGGGCGTCAGGCCAACGTATGTCATGGTAGAGTGAGTACTTTGGTATTAAGCTTCAATGCAATTCATGCTGACGAGACTGACTTTCTTGTGAATCAGCTTCTACGATATACCCAGTCAAAACAATATCTTCTCAGCTGTGGATATGCTAAACAATGTTAGTACGACCCCGCCGACAAAAGAAGGAAAAAGTGCTGCTCCTAGGTTGCAAAGCTCTTTAAGTTTTCAGCTTTCGCTTATAATTTGTATCATACTTTCAATCGCAGTAATGACGCTTTAATGAGAGAATGGAATCATGCTTTATTACGATACAGAATGACCAGAAATCGAGGATAATAGTGTCAAAGTGGCTCTTTTCGATGCATTGCCAGTTCGACCATCCCGGGATCGTCAGCTTTGATATCAGATTGGCCTTTCTCGCTTTCCGAGCTTGCACTAATTTCAACTTCTTCTCCTTCACCGACGATATGACCGTCACGGGTAGATGAGATTGGTTGCTCTTTGTGAGCTTTACCCCAAGCTGTTGATCGTGGGGCTGAAATTCGCTGTTCGAACAAAAGATCAAGGCTTTCCAAGCTTAGCCCTTTACATTCGGGTAAACAAAAGTAAACCCAAAGAGTTGCAAGGGTTGCAATAGGAGCAAAGATGAAGCAAACCTTCATTTCCAAATTTGCATAAGGAGCATAAAGAAGGTAAGGTAATGAAAATACCACGGCAAATTGTGTAATTACTGCAACAACGAAACCCATCCTTGAAGTTTTATCACGTAATGCTTGACTTGGCGTTTCTGCTGAGACTACGTATGAAAGTGGACCCCAACCGATACAATACCCGATCGCAAACAAAAACAAGAAGGCTAAAAGAACCTTATTTTGCGTTTCTGATCGTTTTTCAACCGTTCCCATTCCTGCGATGACGAAAAGTGATACTGCTTGCCAAGCTGCACTTGTGAGCAAGAAAGGTCTGCGGCCAAATTTGTCATTTAAGGTGATGTTGAAGAGATATGTGAATCCTGTAATACCAGTAAGAATCAAAGCGAAATTGAAAGGACTAAAGACTCCCAATCGTTGGACGACCACTGGTCCGTACAAGCCGGCAACAGCTTGACCGGTTGATTGTTGAAAAAAGTTGACTGCTAGCACAATCAAAGTTCTACGCAAATTTGTACGTGAACGAAAGCAGGCAACATATTCGTTTATTATCGTTGCTAATTTGCTCTTCTTACCTCCTCCGCTTGCGTGTAAAGCAGCCGTTTCTTGATTCCGTAATTGTTCCAATCGAACAGCTTCAATGATTTGTTGTAATTCATGCTCGATATCTGATCCTTTCCTACGAAATGCAATCAATGCCTGACGTGCTTGATCGTTTTTACCTTTCAAAACCAACCATCGTGGGGATTCAGGTTGGAAAAAGATAGAAGTTGCAACGATCGTAGGCGTGAATAAGAAACACAAAAATGGAATACGCCATGCCCAGTCATTGTTTATGGTTGACGTTCTATGACAGATTCCCGACATGATCAGACCTCCAAAAGCAAAAGAAAGTTGATAACTTGCAACTGCCAAGCCACGAACTTGTTTTGGTACAATTTCTGATTGAAAGATTGGAATGACTGACATTTCCATTCCAATATAAATCGAATTCAAGCAACGTCCCGCCAAGATTTGATTTCTATGTTGACTTGTCACGATTATGGGTGTACAAATGATACCCCAAATTGACATCACCATCACTGTAACCCTTCTACCGTACATTGATGAGAGTGTACTTCCGATCACGATACCTGATAAGAGGAGTTGTTAGACTTCTTTGGTTCATCTTTTCGTACTTCGTGACAACTCACCGCAACACAGCAAAAGGAGTGGAAATGAATTGGAAAATGACAGGAATTGTGGCGTGAGTGCATATTTGTTGGTACTCGGTGAATATTCTCCAAATCGTTTGAGAAACGGCTTCATTGCTTGCGTCTTGATAAAATGATACTAAATTAGTAAGTGATAACATTCTTGCAAATCAGCTATTCTTTTACATACCTGACTAAAACCTTGATTATCAAAGGCAAAATTTGCTGAACTTAATGTCAAGATTGAGCTCGTAGCCAAAAGCCGCCAAGTGTAATGACGTGAAATGACATTATCGAACAGAAGTGCTATAAGTGACCCTCTTCGTGACTTTCCGCTGGCCTGAAGTTCTGACATTATGGATGATTGTGAATTTAGGGAAGGTGTTAATGAGAGAAAGAGAAGAAAATCTACTCCAAATGATCTGAACTTAGAGGTGTATCCTACTTATGTTTCTCAAATTGTATCAGATCTTTTTTCAATCCGATAAAATCTGTTTTGTGATGCACACCAACACAGCATGCTCTCATGCATTATATCTCCCTTCAGCTTCTATTTTTCTAATCCGACTCCCGTAATAGAAGCAAAAGTGTGGGGAGGGTGAAATAATACTATGGCAGTCGCTGTTCTTCTGCGCTGGACACGTTGTGAATGGTTCTATGCAGCGTAGGAGAATTAAACTTAGATTCATCATTCCCGCATAAGAATCATTTTGTGCCAGAAGATGCACAAGAAGCTTACCAACTAAAAATACGCTAATCATCTGAACCAATCAACGGATAAACAAATTAAAGAGAAATCCTACAACATGGCAAAACACAAGTATCTGTTTCACCTTCAGATTTCACCTCTCCTCTACACCTTCGACTGAGCTGACTTTGATTTTGAAGCGAAGAAACATTGCACGTAGCAAGGAATGAAGTTATCTGATCAACAGTAAATACAAGGAACTTAATGTTTATGACCACCATGTTCGTAATATGCAGCTTTGATTTGATCATGATTAGAATGACGAGTTTGTCCACTTCTACTGCGAGAAACGTGCTCGCTACTTTGGTAGCCCAGACCTTGAACGTTCAAAGGTTGACTTCCACTTGTGCTATGTTTAGTTCCATACGAAATAGATTGGTTTGATTGACTTCCGTAACCATGGGCATTCCATTCTTGGGCACCATAATTACTTTCTTTGCTCAGAAATTTCTTTTCTTCTTCGGTCAACTTGCCGGCAGGCATGCAAGTCACCATCAAGGCACAAATAGCCACCATGAGAAGAAAGAGTTGAATGCTTTGAGACTTCATTTTGAATCAAGTGTTGTGAGGTGGAGGTTTGAGATGTTGATAGTGAATGGGGAAATAATCTTGATGAAGACAGGCTTTATATACCTTTCATAGATCTTCTCGGTGTATGTCATGCTATGCTGTTGACTACAGCTGGGCAGTGGGAAGTTGTTAGCAATTGAACTTTATCAAAGTGTGCTGCTTCGTAACAGCCATAAACTTCTTTAAACAATAGAAATTAATCGCATAAGCAGAGGAAGCGATGGGCTGTGCAATGTTACATAATTGTGTTCTTTCTCTTACCCTTGAGAATCGCAGTCGGTGATAAACTCTGCCTATTAACATATAAAAAGCACGGGGCAAAAGGAGATGCTGTGTATGGGTTTCAAGTGCTTTGCTTCAGAGCTTTTTAGTTCTATCGGTATATATGATGGTATGAATTTCACTGCTTATACGCTGAAATAAATTATTTCTGTCCATACACTTTTCCTCTTTAGCCACGATGCTATTGTCCTTTTTATTTTTGAACATATAAAGGAAAGCACCGAATATACACCGGGGATAAAGTAAAGTATGGATATATGCTGTGTAAGACGGTAAACACCTTCAGCCAAAGAAGAAGCTGTGATAATTATGCGAAAGTCAATCAACTCAATTGATGCTGTGAACTTGTGTAAGTATTGCTCACTCAGGATAGCAGAAGGCCAAGAATATCGCTAAGTTGATGATCTCACCTCATAAACTTGCTTCTGATAACATCAAAAGTGACTCTATATACCAATCTGAATTGATGTGAGAAAGGGCAATATTTGTTTTCTTGGTACTTTTTGAGGCAATTGAGGGCTCGAATGCGACAGAGCGTCTCAATTGTCAGTCGAGCGAGTCAGTTTCTTCACCAGGGAAAATGTCATGATTAATACAGAGAAGAAAGGAATATACAAGATAGGTATAGACTTGAAAGAGTTAAGTTATTTTCTGTACCTATATCTGGAAAACGAGAAAAGAAAAGAAAAAAAAGGTTGAAAGCAACAATGGGGGAGCTGAAGTCTTAGACTGTTGCTCAGACGAAGATTTATAGAACTTGTTATTAAGACCAGTCGTTTGGGGTTCAGAATCGGATTAAAAGTCATGAGGTAGCGAGATAGATACAAGATAAGTAAGGATAGAGGAGATAAAAGGAATTAGAACATAGATATCTTTTTTTCTTCACTTTGTTTTGGAATTTTAAAGATTTTTTCTGAGACTTGAAAAGCAGAAATAAAAAATTGCAAAGAAAATTTGAGTAGCTTGAATATCGCCTGGACGCAGCAAGCTGAGAGAGATTATTGACCAGCAATATCTCTGAGGAAGCTACATTGTGATCCTGATACTCTTAATTCTTGTTACGGCTGAAAAAGCTAAAACTTCTCTTACTGCCAGAGGAAGAGTCCGCATGACTACCACTGCTGCCACCAACGCTACCTTGACCACTATTGTAACCCGAACCATAAGCGCTTCCAGCATCATGATCACCACCTTTGATTTGATGATTACCTTTTGGTGAAGAAGTACGTACATTGTAACCATCTTTACCCCACTGGTCTTTCTCCCAATTTTCTCGATTTCCTAAACGTCTCTTTTCTTGTTCGGTCAAGCGTGGGGGTTGCTTGTTTTTATCAGCTGCATGTACACTCAGGGCACACAAGGCGACGAAGAGGATAATGAGTTGAATACTTTGAGACTTCATTTTCGAACCAGTCGATTTGTTTAGAATAAAGAAGAAGATTTGTAAGATTTACTGAAGAGTTGTTTGGATGAAGAAGAAAGGAGGGAAAGGAGTCAGAAATGCTTCTTTATATACCTTTCAATGTGCTGCTTGAGAATATTGAATAAGACAAACATTTGTCCTATAGCATACATACATGTACGTTGTGTATCGATGACACTTGAAGTGGCTGTAACGAAGAAGGATATACAGGCTATGCTACGCTGTACAAACTCGTTCGTACGAGAAGCTGTTGTGTTGTTTTCTTATAAATTGAAAGAGGTGCAACTTACAAGAGTAGAAGGGATGCGATGCATACGCACCGCGCAAAGTGACAGGCTGTGCTTCGCTTGTACCTGCAAATACTGCACTTCGGTTCATAACTTAATGTTAGTATATGGTTGCTGTGTCTCGGATTGTGGAATATAGAGAGCGCAGTGCTGATACACCGAGAGAAGGTGTCAGGCTGTGTATGTGATGTACAGGAGAGCATTTCATTCTGGTTAATACTTCCTTGTTGAACAGCATTGCTGTAAACTCGGGATGGCGAGAATGCAGTGTCAATGCAAAGGAGCTTTGTTACAAACCTTCTGCTTGTTGCTAGAGGGCAGATGAAACACTCTTACCGAGTGCGCACCGATCATGCTGAGCTGAGAGAATTTCATAAACAACACTTATCTGCGCTGTTCTTCTTCGTTGCGGTAAATGGCGATGGACACACTGCGGCGATTTCTTGGCAAATTAATCGAAGCTGTGCTGCACATTATGTGCGGAATGCTAGAATGCAATGGCAGACATTCGAATCGGTTTGATGATTATGGACCGTGAATGCTTAATTGGTTGCCATAAGAAGATGGTGGAAGAAGGATTACGTCAGCGCGTCGTATTCTTTTGACATTTGCTTAAGCGTATTATCTGTTAGTGGATGAAGATTAAACTTTTCACTCATGATCATCACAAATCGAAATGACATCCATTCCAGATCATTGCAAAGCAATCACTTACTCAAAGAGAGGAGATCCAAAAGATGTACTACAATATGAAGATAAGTTTCAAGTGCCAAAAGTATTACGAAAAGATACAGTATTGGTAAAGATTGAAGCAGCAGGGATCAATCCAGTCGATTGGAAAGCGATGAAAATGTTCCCTTCTTTATGGGGTAAGAAAGTTGCAGCAAAAGATTATTCCGGTACGATTGTTAAAGCACATGAATCTGTCACTCGGTTCAAAGTGGGCGATAAAGTGTATGGTCAAATTGAATTTACGGAAAAGATCAAAAGCGGAGCAGGTACATTGGTGCAATATGCTATTTGTCCTGTTGAAACGATTGCCAAACGACCAACTCAGTTATCAGCAATCGATCTTGCAGGAATCACAACTGTAGCACAAACTGCGTTTTCTATGATCGAAACAGCAGATAGCCTTTTCCAAAACAAAAACAAGAATCCTCGCGTGTTAGTCTGCGGTGGCAGTTCAACAGTTGGATTGATGGCAATCCCAATATTGAAACATAAAGGTGCTTTCGTTGCTTCTACATGCAGTAAAACGAAGTTTGATGTTGTGTCAAAAAGAGGTGCTGATGAGACATTTGACTGTGAGTAGTGAAGAAGAACTACTGAATGAAAGGTTGCTAATATACTCCTCCCGAATCGTACAGATCGAAGTAAAGACTTCCAAAAGAATCTCAAGGACGCAACAGAAAAGGACGGAAAGTTCGATCTAATTATTGACTGTGTCAACTCTCATGACGTCTGGCTCATCAGTCCAAAGATTTTACAGAAAGGTGCATCATACGTCAATGTTGGATTCGATGCAAGTCAAGGCACATTAACCGCAATTAGGAGAAATTTGTCTTACTCTTTGTTGCCTACTTGGCTTGGAGGAGTGCCTACAAAATATGTCCGACCGGCAGGCGTTGGAACGAGAAAGACGATGGACACTCTGGAAGATTTGGTAAACAAAGGAGTAGTTACACCAATCAACGATTCCGTATTTGAATGGGAGCAGGTCAAAGAAGCATTTGCACGATTACAAACGAATCAAACAATTGGAAAAGTTGTGATTAAAGTACCTTGATGTAATTAGTTAGCTTGCTCAGTTTCGCGTGCAGATGCAATAAGGATTATTTCTTGGAAGTCCGTTTAATCCGAATTGTGATGTGTGGTATCGTATGAGGGCATTGATATTCATCCGACATTCCAGATGATTCATTCGGCAAAACAGACCTTGATCCGAATTTCCCCCACTCCGATAACTTTGGCCGTTGTTGCGGGGAAAGCGTTTAGCCGATGTACCCACGCTTGCAACAACGGTTCATAGGGGGCTCATGCGTGCATAACCTTTTTCCGATACGCCTGAGTCGTGTGCTTGCATTAAATACTCGACCGAAATGTTCAAAGCTTTCTTCTTAACCTTTCTCATTGATCACCACAAAGACTAATCAAGATGCCATCTTCACTATCTGCAGAGAAGAACTTATCGTTAAAGATCTTGAAGGCTGCTTCAAAAGGCAAATATGCTATCCTTGCACAAAGCTGTTATGATGCTCAAAGCGTCATTGCTTTGATCAGGGCAGCCGAAGAAACAAATTCACCAGCGATTGCACAGCTATTTCCAATCACGATGAAGCAGTTTGGAATTTATTTCACACGTTTTGTAATTGAAGCATGTCATTCTGCCAAAGTGCCAATCTCGGTTCATGTTGATCATGCAGGAACAGAGGAAGATATCGAAAGAGTTCTTCAATTTGCCGAAAAAGGCGCTGCTGTCGATTCGATCATGATCGATTGTAGTCATCACGATTCAGATGAGGAAAACATTGCAATGGCAAAACCTTTTTGCCAACGTGCTGAGAAGCTAGGAATGGCAGTTGAAGTGGAACTTGGAAGATTGGCTGGAGGAGAAGCAGGCGTACGAACGATACCAGAAGGTGCATTGACAAAGCCCGAAAAAGCAGAAAAGTTTTTGAATGAACTTAATGTTGACTTGTTGGCGCCAAGTATTGGAAACATTCATGGTCAATATATCAACCCGCCAAATTTCCGTTTGGATCTCTTGGAAGAATTACAAAGCAAGATTGGAAATGGAACAAAGAGTGATGCAATCATTGTATTGCATGGAACAGATACTCTATCCGATCAGCTATTTAAAGATTGTGTTGAAAGAGGATGCACAAAGATCAATGTAAACTCTTGGGCTCGTGATCCTCAAGTGCAGTATTGGGAAAAGAATATGGAAAGGCAAGGGTTGCCAGACGCATACGAAGGCGGAATGCAAGAATTCGAAAAAGCTTGCAAGAGATTCTTCAAGTTGTTGGGAAGCGAAGGCAAAGCTTAGAGAGTCAGATAGAATAGCACACAATAAATATGATCCAATCAATCAATTGAAAATAGAAAGACATGATTACAGATAGATGATAGAATAATACACTACTTTTCGCTTCTATTCATTACGGGTACGGTTCCATCGGCATTTGCCTCATCATCAGGGTAGACTTGTGCGACTGGTGTTTGTTGAGATTCAGGATAAGGATATTTTGCCAAAAAGAAACGTAAGAAGAAAGCCATAACAAAAGCCAAGACCATGAAAGCCATTGTAACAGCGAAACCGGTTCGATTATGATCTTTTGCACCTGCTGGGAATAAGAAGGAACCATAAATTGAAGCACTATTTCCCAATGCATTGATCACGGCTAATGAAATTGCACGTTTTTCACTTGGCCATGGGATTGCATTGGCTGCATAAATACTGACCAAAGGACAAGCAGCATAAACACCTGCAACGCCAAAGCAAAGGAGAACATATCTTGCTGTATTGTTGAGTACACCAATCAAAATAGCAAAACAAACGACTGATAGTGCTGAGGCCGCTGCTAGATGGAGAGCACGTTCTTTGAAATAATCCGAAGAGAAACAAAAAGCGAGAATAGAAACGAAAGCGACCGTGTAAATGGGAGCAGTGAAATACTGAATATCGTAACCAGTATATCCCATACTTTTGACCAGTTCAGGGATAAAGTATTGAATGGTTTGAGCGCCGGTTGTACACATGTATGTGAGAACAAATGACCAAACACGCCAATCAGTAAATGTCATCTTTGCTGCTTCTTTGTGAGAAATTTTATCTCCGCCTTGGGTATCTCCAACCGAATCTTTGATCAAACGATTGCTAGCCAAAGCACGTTCCGCAGTTGTTAACCAACGAGTTGTAGAAGGAAAGTCTGGCAGTGTAAAAATTGAAATTATTGAAACAAAACAAGTAATTGCACCTTCAACGATGAATAGCCATTTCCAACCAGGAATACCCCGGGCACCATCCAATTCTTTGATTAATCCGCCAGCGATCAAACCACCGAATATACCTGAAAGCGCAACTGCTGTGTAGTATAAACTATATCGACGACCCATTTCGCCACGTTTATACCAAGCGGATAATAAAAACAAAACACCAGGAGCAAATGAACTTTCCAAGATACCCAAAATGAATCGTAGGCCCGCAATAGCTTGCCAGGATTGAGCGGCGGCAAAGCACATTGTAAGAATGCCCCATAAGATCATCAAAGAAGGTAGATAAATACTTGGTCTAACACGGGTAAGAATTGCGTTTGAAATCGGTTCGAATAAAACGTACGAGATAAAGAAGACCAATAGAACGATCGAATAGTCTTGACTTGTCATGTTGAATTCCTTTCCCATTCCTCCCGTATATGCATTTCCTATGTTACTTCTGTCAAGGTAAGAAACCAAATACATGAAGAAAACAGTAGGAATCAAGCGAGCATCGACCTTTTTAAGTAGCTTCTTCTCTTCATGTTCATCGATTTCTAGCGTGGATTGAACATCAGAAGTGGCTGTTTGAACTTGATTGCCATCAGTTAACTTGCTTTTGTGAAAGATGGACATCTTGGAGTTGACGAGGATGTGTGCGTGAGAGGAGATGTGATCCCAATGCTTGACTTTCATTGTAACTATATAGCCAAGCTGGATCGATCATTTAGCCGGGGCTGATATTTCCCATGATCTTGAGTTTACCTCTGCTCTGATACAGATTTAAGCCCCTCCTCCTCTTATTTCTCATGATGTTGAATTCGCTTCTGCTCAGGTACTGAAATCATTCCCATCCTCATCTTGTTTCGGACCCTCAACTACTCAAAGTGTATCATTGATCGAGTGTTTTGCCACTTTCTTATTGTTTCTAGTACTGTTGGCCGTTGCCGTTATTGCAACCCCGCATTCTCCGCGTGGGGGAAAAGAAGCTAATGCAATGCAAGCCCGTTGAACAAACGAAATCAATTGCATAACATTCCTCTCTTTTCAGGCTTATCTCGGTGTATTTGATCGGAGAATCGGAAGAAGGTTACTATAATGCAAGGAAACAGAAACTTTTATCCGATCACTTCCATCTTTCCTCCTTAACGACCTTTTCTCGGCCCTACCCACTCCGAACGGACTTCCGTACTCGGCTAATATTTTGACGCCCTCCTTGGCCCGAATAAGTCCAACGTCCATATCAAATCTTGTTCACCCCCCACTCTTATACTCTCTCACGTTGAAATATAAAGATCATCATCATATCAACAATCTATTGACAACACCATCTCGCTCCTTAGCACAACAACTTAAGATGGCAATCGATTCACAAACAATTCTAATCACCGGAGCAGGAGGCTGGCTCGGCTCATTGTTGCCAGGTAAATTGGTAGAATTGGAACCAGAAACATCGTTCAAATTTGTTCTAGCAGATATCGTAGAACCAAAAATACCATCAAGCTTAAAAGGTACAAAATCAGAATGCATCACAATCAAAGCGGATTTAAGTGATGATTCCAACATGCAAGCTTTATTCACGACAAAGTATGGTAAACCAGATGTGATTTATTCTATGCATGGAATCATGAGTTTAGGAAGTGAAGAGAATTGGGATTTGGGAATGCGTGTGAATGTGGACAGTACAAGAGCATTACTAGAGAAAGCACGTCATCAAAAAACAAAGCAAGATAAACCAATCACCTTCATCTTTACCTCAAGTGTAGCAACTTACGGTGGACAATTACCTGACGAAGTCTTACCTTCAACTTCATGTACACCTGAAGGCGCATATGGAACGGAAAAGCTAATTTGTGAATACTATGTTACGGAATACACTCGAAAAGGTTTCGTTAATGGAATTTCAATCAAGCTTCCTACAATCGTTCCTCGTCCGGGCCCACCTTCTCGTGCAACATCTGCATTTGTTTCGGGTATCGTTCGTGAGCCTTTGGCAGGACAAGAAGCAATTTGTCCTATCGGAAGTGGTCTTGAAGATGCAATTTTGCAGCAAACTGGCGTTTGGGTTGCTAAACCTTCTACGACACTCGCTAACTTTGTCAAAGCCAAGCAATTGCTCTCAAACACTGATCTAAGCAAGAACATCTTGCCATGGTCAAGAAGTGTTCAATTACCCGGTTTTACTGTTTCTGTGCATGATATCATTCAAGCTTTACGTAACGTTAAAGGAGATGATGCTGTTGCTTTGATCAAATTTGAACATGATGAGACATGCAAGAGAATTGTTTCAAGTTGGCCACGTGCATTTGATAATTCTTATGCTCTTTCTCTTGGCTTCATTGTTGATCAAGATGGATTTGAAGGTGCCATTAAAGAGTATAGGGCCAATCATATGTAAATCGTCGTCATAAAATGAGAATGATTAGCTGTACGCGTGTTGTATGTAGAGTGAGTGTATGCACCTTTCAACTTTTAAGCCTTAAATTTGAAACGTTTTCTCCACACCTTTCTTCTTTTCTACAAATATTGTCCCCAGGATGACATCTGCTAATACTCCCAAAAGGGAAGATGTCGAAATATTCATACGCCTGTTTGACGCTCATCTAGCACAGTCATCAACCACTACCTCTTCTCCCGAATCGATAATTCCGATCACTTATCGGGATGATACTAACAGCCCAAGTGATACAGTTGACCCAACAGCACAATTAGAGCTCTTCAAATCAAAGCTACCAAAAAGCGAGCAGGAATATTTTGGTCGACTAGCAGAACAGAGAAGGTCCGCCTTCCATGCCAATCAAGCACAAAGACGACAGGCATACTTGCATAGTCTATTGGTGCAACTACCTCCCTTTTCCCTCTCTCAACAAGACAAAGCCCACCTACGAAGTAATTCAGCTCGTCAAAGAAGACTACAGGATCTACAAACGTTCTGTAAACGATTCTGTACACCGTCCAACATTGGTGTTCGACCATTCTTTGCTGCTTTAAAGCGATTACTCGAAGCACAATCGAGCGATCGTTATGGGCGCAGATTACAATGGTTACTGGATGATGCAGTCTTGATGGAAACGGGTGGTGATGATTTTATGCAATCGGCAGTATACATTCTAAAAGCTGTCTTACATTTCGAAGAGAACAAGCCGTTGGATAGAGCAACATTAAATCCATTCTCAGATGAAATTTCTACAAAACCAAACGAACAGGATACGGAAGGCGTGGAAAATAGTGAGATTTTACGAATTTGGACCATTCCCGCTCATTTGGGTAATCTTGAATGTGCAAGCCTTGCACGTATAATACCATCGCATGTTCTACCAAAACGAGGCAAAGGATCATCACCAGCCTATGCAAATGGAGCTTTGGACAGGCTGGCCAGGGATGACGAAGAACAACAAAGTTTGTCGATAGTAGAATTGCCCACTGGATCCCTACGATATGCACCTTTGACAACCGCTTCTCGTGATGCAGACTATCGTGGAGGATGGATAGAATGGATCATCGATTGGGTTGTGTCATTCGTTCGCATACATTGAAATATTTATTGTATACAAGGACATTTCTTTTCATTGCAATAAATACATACATCTTCTATGACGGAGCAGAGATAAGGAAGGATGCCGAAGGACCTTTCTCGTTGTAAACAGCTTTAGATGTGACCAAGCGTCCATAAGGATCGGTGAATGCTAATTTAGCATATATTGTCGCTCCCAAAAATGGTGCTAAATCTGTTCGATCTTTGAATTCAGCAAAATAGTCTGGCGTTTTGATGCATCTTGCCGTTGTTGGTTGTGCACCACCTTCAATATCACCTCCCATACCCGGACTTTCACGCGAAGTAGGACCAGCAGAAGCCAAAGCAGAATTCAATCCTGTACTTCCACCACCACCAAAGCCTGCCAAAGCTGTCGTTCCAGGTGCATTATCAGCATTACTGGCCAAATATGCATGTGATGCTTTAACGATAGCAGTGTTGATGTTTGCAATCAATTTTGCCGGTGCTCCGGTAGGTAAAAGTGTTTCCCATAATTGCGGACGACGGTCTACGTCCACAACACTGTTGATTGCAGCAGAGATAGTCTCCGTTAGCGAACGCATGACTGTGAAATCTTCATGAACAGAACCATTGATGCCGAAGTCATACTGTCCCATCGATCTGGCTGAAGATTTAGCCAAACTTCCTCGCATGTTCAACAATACGCTTGGGTCCCAAAGAACTTCTGATGCTTGCAGTAATGGACCAGGAGATACACGAACACGTAGACCTTGGAAGACGATCGTTTCTGATCCTTCCTCGTCAGTCGCTCCTGCTTGTGCATCAGCCGATGTTCCGTCTGCGGCTGTCAATGCTTCTGCTTCTGCAGGAACGGCCACGCCCGTCTCTTCGCTTGCCTTATTTGCAGCTTCTAAAGCAGCTTTGTTTTTCCTTTCCTGTTCTTCAATTGCTGCTTTTTCACGTCCTGCTACTAATGCAGCTGCAACATCAAATTCTGCCTCATCCTCACGATGTCGCCCACGTGCATGAGCACCTTCTCCTTCACCTCCTTGACCTGCAGCTCGTACTTTTCCTTCTTTGATCAATTCAACAGCCAATTCAAACAATCTGATTGCAAGTAGATCGCCTGCACTTTCTTGATCCACATTAGCGGTACTTCTTGCTGAACGGGTTGCATCAAGTTTGATCAAAGCTTGTACTACACTTTCATCTCTGCTCAAAAGATGGGCAAGATAAAGAGCGATATGCCGTATTCCAACGCTTGAACGTTGAACGGCAGTATGAATTACACCAACGTTTTCCATCACTGGTGAAACTGTGCAATTTTCCCAACCAAAGTCGACAACAGTAGAAGTTAGAGCACCGGCAGCATAAGAACTCAAAATAGGTTCTTCTGCAATACTCAAGCTTGGAAGGTTGAAATTTTCGAACAAGAGTCTGGTAGCATATGCTTGATCATCTCGCGAAAGGTTTGGCGGTAAAGAGACAAGCAGAGGGCAATCATTTTGCGAAATTCGAAGGTGTAATTGATTGAGAAGGATGTGTCGCCAAATGGCCAAAAGAGCATCCCAATCTTTCACTTTTCCACCTCTGATTGGATAAACTACATCAATTCGCTCATGTCGTGCGATTAATTCATCCAATTCTGCTCCAACGATGTATTCGCTGGAATCGATTGTTGAGGATGTGGAAGTGTTATTCCTTCTTCCTACACGAGTTGGTATTTGAATTGTTGGACGTTGAAATAACTCATATATTCCATGAACAGCTCTTGTCCAACGTGCACCCGTTGTTAGGATTATGATACGATCTTCCCTTGGTGGCATGTTTGTTGTTGTATGATGAAGGAAGAAGAAAGTCTAAACGCGATTAATGGATGCATCTTCTTATTCAATCACAACGCGTCTATCATTCTTTTGGCGTATGGCCAAGAGCGTGGCACGTGTAAATGGGCGTTCAGGCATGGTAATCGGGATATGAATTGAATGGCAATGATGAGTAGATGGTCTTAATGTAAATTGAACAGTGACATTCTCAGTCAATCAAGTAAAATGCTGATTTAGTGTGATTGCCATAGAATTTGTCCATCCCATTGACACGTTTCTATTGCAGATTTTGATTGGTGTGGCTTGGTGCTAAATTTAAGGCGTACTTTCGCGGAGGCCGTGCGAGGATTAAACAAAATTGGACCCATTTATCATATACACTTCCTTTAACATTCACCATCATAGAGAGGATTCCACAATTCATCATGTCACAGCTATTGCTGTCCGAATTGACAGCATTATCCTCAGAATCAAAGAGGAAAAGTCCAGACGTTCGAATAGCAAGTGACGCAGCTTTAACATCTTTACGAACAAAAGGTGACGTTTTATTGGCAGCTAAAGGTGAAGAGGCAATTCAATTAAAGGATAATATACTCTTACAACCTATCATACTTGCATGTCAAGGAAAGACATCAACTCCAAAAGTAGTAGGAATTGCAGTTGGCTTGCTGCAGAGGGTCATTGGCCTACGAATCGTGCGAGATGAAGATTGTCCAGAATTGGTGAATTTGCTTGGACACGTTACAGAATCTCGCAACGATGTTGAGGTACATTTGAAGGTCTTACAAGCCGTATCAAGCTTATTGAGTGGATATGAGTCAATACATTATGACGTCTTGGCTCAAACCTTACGATTATGCTTCAATCTGCAAGAAAGTAGAATCGGAGTAGTAAGCTCAACAGCATCTGCCACTTTACGTCAAGCGGTAATGACGGTATTTGAAAAAGTGAAAGATGAAGATCAAATTCTGAATGCAATCAAATCTGGAGGAGAAGATGCGGCAGCTTCTGCACCATTGGCGACAATGACTGTACCCCTACCCGGCACTTCCGAATCTGTCACATTGTTCCCGTGCTCCCGGGATGCATATTTGATCATCTCAGATCTGAATGCACTTGCAAATAATGATCAAAGCACCTTCTTGGGTCTACAATCACTACCACGAACATTTACGTTGGAGTTGATTGAATCAGTCCTGACCAATCATGCACATCTATTCCGTCCAGATACCCATCCAGAACTTCTACTCTGTCTACGACAATCAACGTGCCCATTGCTTATCAAGGCGTTCAATGAACAGCCTTCATTTCCAACAACGCTACGACTTATACGATTACTGTTCGTCTTGCTACGCCAATTCAGCGCAGAACTGGTCGTTGAAGTAGAAATCTTGATGAGCATCCTACTACGGTTCATTTCAAATCCTTCCGATTCAAACAGACGAGTTTCTTCATCATCCGAGGCTATCCCTTCAGCTCAAGAGCATATACCGTCGTGGCAGCGTGTCTTGGCAATCGAAGCGACTAGAAGTCTATGCTCTGATGGTGTTCTGATGCGGAACTTGTGGAAATGGTTCGATAGCAAGCCCAATTCTACTGCTATATTCACTCAATTAGTCGATACATTGCATAATCTAGCAACAGAGAGACCAAATTTGATCGGAATCGCAGATGCTTCTCTTCAAATGGACGAATCAGCATCAAAGGGACACAAAGACGGCGCTAAAGGAGAAGGCAGACGAAGCTCTTCAGGTATCTATAACACTGCTGCAGAAGTGGCTAGTGTTGCAATTGGATTGAAGAGCAGCACAGATGTATCAGCAATGACCGCTGTTGGATTAAGTCAAACAAGTGTACCGAGTGTACAGTTGATCGATCAACTGGACAAATCAGATGCTCCGCAAGTACCCTCAACTTACATCTACCTTTTGGCTCTGCAAGCATTGGTACATGTAGCACAATCATTAGCAGCATTTGCGTTACCAGTCTATTCTCGATTCGTCAACACTCGACCACGCTCTGCACCTCGAGCACCTCCTTCTCTCGATTTCTCCTCGCTACCAGAACAAGACCACAAAGAGGTTGCAGTAGTGCGCGATATGGTACAGCAATGTTGGGCTCCTCTATTGGATAGCTTCACGTTCTTCCTTTCCGCCAAGTGTGACGACTTTCTCTTTGCTGAAGTTTTGATCGCATTAAGAAATTTCACCAACACGACAGGAGCTCTGGGTCTAGTCTCACCTCGGGATGCTTTGATTGCTTCATTGACCCGATTTGCTATTCCAAAAACAGTGATGGTACGATTGTTATCAATGCGTAGTCGTGCATCAGGGAATGAAGAAGTTGACGCTCATCTGAGCGAACGAAATGCAGCATGCTTAAAAGCTGTTACGCAAATCGCATACTACCTCTCAGGAAGTTTAGGAACTCATTGGCGGGATGTTTTGGAAACACTTTGTGATGCTGAATACATCTTGCGAAGGAGTATCAACAGGAGAAAGAGCTCTGAAGCAGGTGCTACTGGAGAAACGAATACATCGTCGATATCAAATGTTGATGCATACAAGCCAAAACCAAGTATGGCGTCCATTTCTGCTCTATCCACCATTCCGGCAGGGTTTTCATCCGCTGCTGGAATTGACTCAACGACTGGAAGACCGGTAGCGTTACAGGCGATTGACAATGCTACATTGCTAAACGATGTCGGCAAGGTATTTGAAAATACGACTTCCCTCGGCGATTCTGCGCTCCTCCCGTTCATGGAAGCTTTGTGTGAGCTTGATGCGGATCACGTAGGCTTAGCAGAACATGGTGAAAGACAAGCACCGGCATCTGTTCTGAATCGAAGTTCTCCGCTTTCTTCTCTGGCAACGGTGTCTATGTTGAACGTACGAAGATTGGCAGACTCGCCAGAATTAAAGCGAGCATGGGATTTGGTCACGCAGCACATGCTCACATTGGCATCCAAGTATGCCTTACGTCCAAGCCTTCGTATGCAAGCTGCCACTGCACTGGACAATTTCATTCTTTCTGCTTTGAACGAGCCTTCGAAAGAAGTAGTGGTGCAGGTACAAAATCAATCGATCGAAGTTCTAGCAAAGCAAAGTATTTTGGATGGGAGACGAAAATCACCTGTAGACATTGACGTTCGCAAGAATGGTATCGAAACTTTCTTGACCGTTCTGCAAACATACGGGCATAGCTTACAAACCGGATGGGAGACGCTGTTTTCTGTTTTTGCTGCCACCTGTAAACCAATCCAATCCGAAGAAGATCGCAGCAATATTCCGCTCATCAAAGTTGCATTCAATGCCATGCAAATCGTCTGCTCGGATTTGTTATCAAGACTTGATCAAAATCAGCTGAAGGTATGCGTTGAGACATTGACACGATTTAGTGAACAGGACGAAGATGTGAATATTTCCCTTACAGCAGGAGGTACCCTTTGGGGAATCACAGCAGAAGTCAGCTCCCGTGCAGGAAAAGGCGAAGGAGAGGAGAAGAGTACAGATATGAAAGATATGTGGATTCATATCTTGTCCAATGTGCGTACATTGACGGAGGATAGACGACTTCAAGTACGAAATGGTGCGATTTCAATTCTGTTCAATATCTTGGATCAGTATGGCAATGTATTATCGGAGGAGGTATGGAAGGTCAACGTGATGGGTGAAATCCTTTTGACGTTACTTGACAGTCTGCACACCAACTCTCAAAGCACGAAAGATGGTGGGTTGAAGAAAGAATGGGATGAAAGCCGCGTTCTGGCCTTTACCAATACAGGAAGGATAATCCGTCAAGTATTTGTCGAAAAGCTGATCACTGCTACAGAGGTTTGGCAACAGCTTCTCGTCAACATCAAGCAAGGTTTCCTAGCAGGGCCAAGCTCTGTCTCACAAGCTTCCATTCAAGCTCTTCATCATATCCTGCAGATCCACAGTGTACCTTCGTCTCAACAAGATTCCATAAAAGCAGCAATGCGTTCTGCTTGGAGCGTTTGGTGCGAGATCGGTAATAATATTCAAAGCATCCCTGCAACGTACACTCAAGCCAATCTGCTGGCATATGTGGAAACAGTGACACCATTGTACGCTGCCTTGATGACCGAACTAAGCTCTGATGAAGTCAACGTGATGTTATCTTGTCTCAAAACAGCGTTAATGTACGCAAAGGGGAAGGAACGTATTTCGGACAGTGAACGTTTGACTGCCTTGCAAGCCAGTATCACTACACGAATTGCCAGCTTGCAATTATCACCTGTGATCGTTTCGCGTGTTTTGATGGATTTGGCAGAATATTCTTCTTTGGCTTTCGTGCCAAGCAATGCAGGAGGTGCGACTTATCTTGCTTTGAACAGGTATGCTACCGATCATATTGTCACTTTGTTCGACCAGTGGTCAAAAGATAAGGAGGTATATCGCTCGAGCGCTCTACAACAGATCTACCTCGCCTTGGCAATCCCTTTGAAGCTTCGTTATGACTGTCCCAAAAAGCAAGCTTCATCTGCAGAAAAGGCGACGCCATTATGGAAAGGTAGTCTGATTGCATTGTGCAAGTTGGTGAGATCAACATGTGCAAATTTGGATGAAGTTGAAGTTGAAGAGAGCCTGAAGCAAGACATCTGGGCAAGTATGGTTTCTGCTTTGGCTGCTGCTCTGACCGCTGATTGTTCGCCTATATTGGAAATGAGTGTAGAAGAGCAAGATGCAGAAGAAGTGTTTGATTTGATTCTCTTGAGTACTATAGAACGGAATGTATGGCCGAAATTGGGAAATGAATACGTACCACAAGGTTGCATTGAAACACTCGTCAAAGCAATTCAAGATACTTCAAAGATGGAAGGTGTCGACAATCGTTCACAAATTCGTGCGCCTGCATCACCTACTCTTTCTAATCGAGGAAGACGTCATTCTACCAGCGTAGAAGAGGAGGATGACAAATCGGGCAAAGTAGCAGGCTTGGTGGCCGGATTAAAGGTGCCAAGAGAAGCATTTGCTTATTGGTGTTTGGATTTGTTGGTTTTGCTTTGTTCGAAGAAGGCAAGCGGATCAAGTCATAGACAATTCCGTCGAACTGCTGCGATCTCTTTACCTTTTCTCGTGGAACGGTTCTCATCGACTTTGGAAAGGTATATTGAAGACACTCGGCTGTATGGGTCTGCACCTCTTTCAAGAATACGGGATGAAGAGATTAATTATATTCTGATGAAGTTGTCCAAGATACAACTTTGGCCGGGATCGTTGCAGGTAGCACTGCAAGAGAGGAGAGACGACGGTGGTGCATTACAGTCTTATTTGGATGACGTATCTCAGAATTCTTCCATGCTTCATTCAGAGCAAGCACTTTTATACCATCTGTATCCATCCCTTTGTCAATTCGTCTTCTTTGTTCTTCCACGTCAAGGCGGAAGGAGTACATTGATGACGAAAGCAACTTGTGGCTGTGCGCGGTTATATGAACCAATACAAGGTTTACCCGATGGATTTGCATTATCCAGTGTGGGTATGCAACAAGGAGAAGAAGGAGGAGCGGCACCTTCCTCTGTTGAAGCGGAACAGGCCTTTGTGCCTCCTTTGTCAGATCCACGTTCGCTTGCTTTTGATCTATTACAAAAGATTGGCACATCATGGAAATGAAAACAAACATGTACAGTAAATCCATTCAATAGAATTTTGTACAGTAGCCTCCCCGTCCGTCGGTGATTGGAAATTGGGCGTTCATGCACGGTGACAATCAATCAATCAAAAGGGACCGCATGGGGAGATTGCCGTCGGAACAGCAGAGAGAGAGAGGCGCATGAATGTGGTTGAATATGTCAAGACATACATCAATCAATGCCCAGTAAAAGTTTATTTTTGGCCGTCTTCGCTTCCATACCCAATTACACAGCCCATCACTCTGTTCCGTTCCACATAGGCAAATTTCGGGGAATTTTATTTAGGGTTGTTCTCGCATAAAATCTGTTTTGACCGATGCAGAATGTTGGAAGCCGTTTGGCTAGATTATGCAATACAAAGATGATATAAATTGGTTTTCGTGACAACCTTCAAAGCCACGAGCCGCTGGATGGTCCCTTGTCGATCTTCGAAGCAATCGCCGTTCATTCGTCATCACAAAGCTGGCCCGTATGAGAAGGATCCGGGTCCGATAATTGAATCTACGAAAGGAGTGTTCAACGATGCTATATCTCTTCCTTTATCACGCCATCACTACCACATTTTCTTGAACGCACTTTCTAGTAGAATCCTTCAACAATCACAAACTACCCTCAAACGCATACATTGGAAACCTGCAAAAATGAGAAGGAAAGCAAACGAATCTCTGCCTCCTTTAAATATGACCAAAGCATCCTTTCAACGTAAAGAAGAAAGAGCTGAGGCTGACTCTGACTTAAGAACACCTACTTTACTCTTTCCGGCTTACCCTCAATCACCTTCTCTCATCGATCGCGCAATGGCAAGGCAAAGTGGATCTTACCGTACATCTGGCGGTATGCGTTCCTTTGATGCTTGCGATACCGTCAAATCATCACCAAAACGCAATCTTCGTCATGTTCGTTCTGCGATCACAACAAATGATATTTCAGAACCAACGCTAATCGAAAAGAAAAAGAATTCTGCTGATGATCCATTTTATGCTGCACATCAAACAAGAAATGTCTTTAATCCGATTTCAGCACCTCAATCACCTAAATTGACCAACTTTTATCCTCATTCTCTCGCAAAGGATGACGGAAAACGAAATCAAGAACCACATTTCACCAAAATCAAACTGCACCAACGCGGCAGGACAGATCCTTCTGTGCCTTTATCCACCATCAAAGCACGTAACGTATTGGATCCCAAACGGTGGTCAACTCTGTTCTCATCAAGAAACGTGACTGCTGTGCAAGCCAACCATGCTACACATCAGACGACTCAAACACACTTCAAGAGATTCGGCAAAACGAGCAGCCCAAGACTAGAAGAAGCTTGGCAACAACGATTGCCAGAAAGTCCTCGTAAAATCTCTCATCCCTTTTCCATTTCAGCTGCTCCTGGATCGGCTCTTGGCAAGGCAATCACATCATCAGGCAACTTTATATCAATGAGCCCAGCCGTTTCTTCGAATGGTACACTCGTTGAATCTACGGGACACGATGCAGAACGAATCTTGTTCAACCTTGATCTTCAGGCACGCATGCCCATTCTTCAATCTACACATTCTCCTCTGAATGATACGATACACCCAAATTCTTCATTCGACGAGCGCCAACAACAAAAGTCAAGCTTATACGGTCCTCAATTGCGCCGCAGCACGTTCGGTTCACGAAGCTCTGGGCGGTATACCGAGTATCATGAGCCGATCGAAGATGTGTTAGAAGAGTATTTATTGCAAGATGAAGAAGATGGACGAACAGGAAGACAGGAAGAAGAAGAGAGGATAACTGCTTCGTTCTCAGAGGGTAACTCACTATACTACACACCAGGAGAAGCAAGCATGATCAGCGAATCTCAAACATTCGCCACTTGTCACACCAGTCTTGAGGGTAGAACGATGAGTGCACGCAGTGCATCAACTCCCGCTTTCGTTCAAGATGGTGATCGAAGTGCAGCTTCGTCTGATTTGATGGACAGATCATTAATCCAAACAAATGGATCGGACGCATTCTTCACTACTCCTTCCCGTCGTACCCGAGATTTGAGCTTACAAGCACTTGGATCTGTCCGATCGAATGATTCCACAATTGAAGATTGGGGCAGTAGACCAGAAGGATTATGGATCGAAACAGGAGATGAGCTCTCGACGAAATTGAAAGCGATGCTCACGGATCAGGGTGAACGAAATCGACAGTCACGCTTACGTGCTTGGAGAGAACACGCCAGAAGCGGAAGTCATCGAGAAGCAGCTTTGCAAGCACTACTTGCTCAACAGAAGCAATACCACCAAGAATCATTTGATACAGACATCCAACCAGCGTATCACAGGGTCAGGGTATCAGATTTCCTTCATATCAGAGAGGAAGCGCCAGCGAAAACTGATTTGCAAAGGTATTTACAAGCAAGTGGTGCCGAAAAGAAGCAAGAGCATCACAATACCTCGGAGGCCAATGAAGATGACTATGGAAGCACATACCTGGACTCCACCATGGATGCAACTAGTGTTCTGGAGAACGATTCCGAATCCGTTGAAATCCGAACTGCTTGGAGAGGAAAAGTTGATCAATACCAGAGATTCGAAAATGGATCCCAACTTCGTTCGGCCTTTTCAACAGAGTCTTTCGATATGCCAAAAAGTGAAGGGAAGCTCATCCCATCAGATTCTTCATACAGTCCTGTCCTTCGCCCTAGCAACATTCCAAGACGCAAACACCCCAAGAAACCTTCTTTGCTGCAGCTCAGTGAAGCAGAAGAGAATCAAAACTATACCGGAGAAGTACCAGTACCTCGTCGGATCCCCAAAAATCCAAACAGAGCTGCAACTTGCGTGATGGGAGTACAAGACTCATTGGTGTCTCCGCCAAGGTCTTTACCGCAATCAACCAGTGAGACTGGATTGGCAGACGAAGCAATCGGATTTGACTTATGTGCACATCTTTTACAAAGGGCAAGGGAGAGCAGAAGTGAGGTCAATAGTCACCAATAGCAAAACTCTACTATTATATATTCTTGGGCCTATAATACATTTCAGCTTTCTTGGAAGAACCATGTTCGATGTTGATCATCCTGCCTTTGTGGTTCCATTCATACATTCTTTTGACTTTACCATCAGTTCCTCTAATGTCCACATTTTTACAAGACCTTCTTTCTCAGCTTGGCTAGCAGTCATTCCTGAATGCGGTACCTGTGACACCTGTAATTCATCTTTGCGTGAGCAAATCACCAGAATTGAACCTGAACCTGTCCCTCCACCTTTGATGGTCTCCTTTCCTAGATAGACGCTTCGATGAAACTCCCCTGGCGGTAAGTGGATTTCGTCAAAGTGGCAGTTTTGGGTATCTGAAATGTCGCTTGCATTTACATCACGATTGCCTTTGCTTTGTGCAGGTTGTATTGACAGTATTGAAGATTGAGGTGTGTGTCTATTCCACATGGCAAGTTCAAGACGAGAGAAATCAAATGAAAGTCCAACTCCATGCGCTTTCGTGAATGCTTCCTTGTACGTCCAAAGTGTGTATAGCCGTCGCAATCGTTCCGATTCCTGTGCATTTTGGTATTCAATCCCAGAGACACCCTGATGATTTACCAAAGCAATGCTATCTTCAGGTTGAGTATCGAGAATCCATTTCCGTTCAGATTCGGTCAGCGTAATTTCCATTGTTTCAACAAAAGATTCAGCATCCTGTTCGAATGAAGGCAGGTGGACTTCCATCACATCAATTCCGATCGAAGTGAAAAAAGGTGGAGATTGTTGAAGGGAAGGCCGTCTTGCAAACGCGATTGCTACCCAATCTCCATCATGCGTGATATTGTAGTCGAAAGCGTGTTGTGGTTTTGCAAGGTAAGGTCGACCTGACTGACCTACTTGAAATCGAATATCGCCCCAAATAGTATCTCCGAATGTAGAACAGACTGCATAATGTGCCAAAATCTTGCCTGTCAAAGATCGAATTTGATCAATTTCTCGCACATATCTCCTGACTTTATCTTGTTCTTCTTTGGTAGGCAAGAATGAATCGATTAAACCATCATCTTTGATATTGTCATTTTTCCATAATTTGAATTCTGATATGTCTACTGCCCATACTTGTACCTTGCAATCCATCGCCCCACCTTTCCGGCCAGTGTGGTTGTGGAACTCAAAGAGGAGGAGGAAGTTTATATTTAATGCATTTATTCTTCAATTGACATTTTCGTCCGTGCGCCGGCGATTTTTTGTCAAAATTATGCGTCGCTGCGTTAAGGATGTGGGTGCACACACACACGCGCAGAACGCCGCCCGATTAAGCGTCAAATTAATCAACCGAATTGACGCCAAACACGAGTGACGACCGTGTACCGTGAATCGATCAAAGTCCTAATCCATCTGTCAATTGTATTCTATTTCGCGGAGAATGAATAGCAATTCAGTCAACATACAATTGTATCCTACAAGATCTGAAGAGCGGCGATTGATGAGACGGAGAGGCATTCTACCTCAATTCACGTCGCGTGAAATGATGAAACCGTGTAAGTCGATGAAAGATTGTACGTATTCCTCGTTCACACATCTGTCTCCGTCTCCATCCCATCTTCCATCATCAGCTCACTCATCCACATCAAGATGTTCTACAATCAAGATTACCTCTTGAGCAAACAGGCTGCTGGCTTGCACCTTGCATGGTGAGTTTTCGTATTTTCAAACATTCTCTCATCACTGTTGCTCAGCATGCATCCGTGTCAAATTCACAGGCTTGCCAGTACGATGAGCAATACAACCGCAACTGCTTTCAAAAAGATCTCAAAACGCGAAATTGTCTCTTTTGACGTGCGCAAGACATGGTAAGTTGAAGGTTTGTTGAAGTTAGAACACAATACAACCAAGTCTATTCATGCGCTCTCTCTCTCATCAGCAATGAGGTCGCTCGACCTGCACAGCCATTGGCATTGCGCACATCAGGCATTCTGATGTACGGCGTAGTTCGTGTGTACAACAAACAAGTAAGTAGATGCCATCAACTGCGCATACATTCGCGATTGCTTAAGTGGTCCTCTCGAAAAATCCTTTCCGTAGACTGATTTCTGGGCTCATGACGTTCAAGGCGCATATAATGCAATTCGCAAAGCTATCTTACAGTCACCTCATGGTGTTGTTCAGACGATCGGAGGAATCGCTGTTGTGGGTCAAGATACAGGCGCAATCGATTTGCCTAATCGTGGAAAACATACACACGAAACCGTGACTGCGCCCTGCCTTTCAGAATTGCATCGTCACGGTTTTTCCATCAGTGTTGATTGGCTCGAATTGACGGAGGATCAAATCTCTTCACAAATTGGTGATTTTTCAAACACGATTAGTGATAGTTTGAGCATGTTTGGAAGTAGTCTCTATGAACAATCTTTGGGACGCGCTCGTGAAGGTAGTTTTGACCATGGTCTGGGCATCTTTACCCCTCAACATCAGCCATATACAGCAGAACCAAACACGATCATGCGTCCTGGTGAAATTACTCCTTTGGGTCATCAAACCGATCTCGGTATGCTGGGATTGGATGATCTGGACTTACCTCAAGCTCTTCAAGATGGCATTCAATTGGATTTAGGCCAGGACTTAGATATGACCACCACTGGTGCAGGTGGATTCGATCTCAATGCTCTTGGAGACGACACTGGGTGAGTAAAGCTCGAAGGTAGTATTGAATGTCTACTGACATTATTCTGAAAAAGATTTGACATTCCTATGGAAGATGGCTTCCCTCAGGCACAGGACCAAAATGCTCCTCAACACAACGAAGATGAACGTCCGGCCAAAAGACCTCGTCTTGCCGTTGCTGATCGTTCGTTAGAATTAAGTTTTGCTCGAATCGAAAATATTGGAGAAAATTATGCGGAGAAAATGGCAATTCTACGTGCAAAAGAACGTAAACGTCAACTGATCAAAGAAGCACAACAACTTGCACGAACAAACATTTTTGGTCCTGGTATTGTTTTCAGTGGCTCAAACGTTTTGACTCAGCTTTGGACTACATGCATGGATGCACGTTTAGCTCAACTTGGAAGCTTAGCATCTCCTACCGAGTACCAAGAAGGGTTGGATGGGAATTTAAACGATCACTTTGGTCAAGGCGAACAAGTTCCTTTCCAGGCTGACAATGGAGAGATGCCCTTCTTTGATGGTGATCAAAGTGGATTCCCAGACCAAACATTGGATAATAATGCCAATGACTGGGATGTTGAAATTGGTCGAGCTGGAATGGATAGTCAACCAATTGAAATGCCATGGGCACGTCGTTCAACAATCTTACCAGGTATCGATGATACAACATTAGCCGGCGAAACTACATTAGGGATAAATACTCGTTCATTTGATATCGAAACTCCAAGTGGCATTCGTAGAATCAGTCGTCGTAGTGATCTCAGTCATGGTACACCAGACCATCGTCGCACTACTCTTAATGCTGGAGATGCCGGAATTGCAGCAGCAGAAGGTTTTCAATTGGGTGGCGAGGAAGGTGAGGCACAAGAGCAACTGAGCAGTCAAGCAATGGCAGAACAAGAGAATGTGCAATTTCTCGATTACGTCTCTGCAATCCGAGCAGGATTAAAGGAAGACGATATGTTGATGTTTAGCGATTTGGCGCCTGTATCTGATGCCCAAGTGCGTATGCAAGGTGTGAGCTGTAGTCCAAGTGGCATACTGACAGATTTCTTCTTTTCCTCATCTTTAGCCTGCCATTGCTGCTCGTGCTTTTTATCAGGTTTTGTCGTTGGTGACCGCACGTAAATTATCGGCAAAGCAAGATGTGCCTTATGGTGAGATTGTGCTCAAGGTTGTCTGATTGGGTGTACGATGTGGCAAACCAAGGGTATTCAGATTAATGAAGCTTTTGTTGGTACAAATTTTCTGGAGAAGGTGAAGAGCTTTTGAGAAGTGTCAGCTAGAAGTTTTTGTCTTCGAAAAGAAGCTTGCGTGCTCACCTTTGTATCATAATTGTGTAATTGTTGAAGCAAAAATTGAATGATTTGAACAGGTAGAATACATCATGGCAAGGTGCTTGTGTGTTGACTTGCGAACGATCACGACTCGTCGTCATAGCAGCCTTTGGGCATATGAAGCGGCTACGGGTAAAGGATCTTGAACGAAATGTTGCATAGCTTCTGAAAGAGCTGGACCTGCAAAAGAGACCAATTGAGGCGCTGCATTGGAGATTGGTTCAGCACGAGCATACCTTGAAAGAACAACGATGATGCCTAATAAGAAGATCAAAGCATGAAAAGCAGGATGATTGACTGGGCAAGCCATGATTGTGATCAGTGTTTGAGGTGATATGATGGTCAACAAAGAAGAATCCGCGAGAATGAAGACCGAAGCTTTTTGTTTTCTTGAAAAGTGTCGTGATTAAAGTTAAATTTGATGAAATACAAGAGTGATGTACTTTAGCTGTGTGTTTTGTTCAAGGCCGGTGATTGGCAAGCAACCCTGGGGTTAAAGGGATTTAGCGCGTTTAAGCTAGTAGGGTTGTGCCGACTAACCAGAAAAGGAGCCGAACATGCGATCCAATAGTGAAATGTTTATTAAAAATCAGCTGAGAAAATCGTAATGCATTAAAATACACCTGCACCAATAGGGTCATCATCCAACAAGGGGAATGCTCATTCTCTATTGACTATTGAATGTATTCTTCCACGTGATCTTCATATTCTACTGATTTGAATTCAGGCAGGTCATGATGGAATGCCCCTTTCTGAAGTATGACAATGACGATGGCTTCCTCTTCGGTATCATGACACTTTAAACATCGTCGTTCCTTATCTGATAGTCCGTGGCTCACATTTTATACAGTCAACATGTGCTAGCTGCCACGCTCGTACGAGCATGTCGGAGGATGTCACATGCTTGCCATGTAAAACGTTGAATTTGGCACTAAAACATGCAAAAGGATGCAAGCGTATGCAAAAATAAGAGTTTGTGGCTCTTTGCTGTGCATGTGTATGTGCTTTAGTGCTTCAAGACTTATCCGTATGCACTCGCACCCCACGCACGCACGTCTTTTGATCGATAGGTGAGGTAATAACTTTTAAAAGGGAGATAATGAAATCAATATTTTGGTGAAGTGATCTGACCATAGAAGTGCACACAACTGTTGGCCGCACGGATAAAGGGCGTTCCCCTTTTTGTTGATCCGAATTGAACCGGAAATTAGTACACTTCTTATGAATGGGCTCGGCACCCACTTTCCTGTTTTGATCACACACACACACAATCATCATTGTTGTCACAAATAAACATTTCCAAGGGAAGAAGGAGCTACTAAGCTTTCTGTCTTGATGACGAACATGACATTCAACTCTTTGGCATTGTGACACAAAACAAAAAAGATGACCTCTCCTTCTCCTTCTTGGCCAAGTATGCCAATTCAAATGGCAAATTCACCAACTTCAGTTTTATCAACTTCTTCACAATCAACAAGTGAATCAGAAAGTCAATTCTCATTTAGCATTCAACAAAGATTTTCACCGCCGCCTACTCAACAACAACACCAAAAGCAGCATCCAATCAAATTACAACCTGCTGCTGAAATCAATCAAGGGTCCAATGAAGATGATGACGAAGAAAGCTTGATCTTGGAAGAAGATGAAGATGAAGGAAATGCAAGCGCTTTCACAAATCCTTCTTGGTATGGATCACCTTTCGCCAGAAGGGACAGTCAACTGGCCATGCCTAATTCACCATTAGGAGCAGCAGCAGCATGTATGCAAGGAAGCAAAGAAGAAAAGGCAACTCCAACAACACATGTAGACGAAGATACGAATCAAAAGCTTGAAGCATATCAAAAAGGACTAAACCTAGCTCGAAGAGCATTGTTTGATCTGGATAATGAATTAGATCAAAAGTACAGCAAATCAGTCCAAGAAGAAGACCTGCTGTATCAAAGAAGTACAAAAGCTTTGGGCAAACGTAGAGCAATTGATGATCGTTCCGCTCTTCCTGCAACGCCTTCATGTGGAACGGAAATCTTGACTTCTTTTGAAGAAAGTCCTTCTTACCTTTGTGCAAGTTGCGGTACAACATTAGCCTTGCAAGATGAACTAATCTCAAAAGCATTCTCAGGTCGGGATGGAAAGGCATACTTATTCTTTTCAATCTTGAACATTCGTTCAGGTCAAAAAGAAGACCGACAACTTTTGACTGGGTTACATACCGTTGCTGACCTTAGCTGTGCAACTTGTCAAAGAAGCGTTGGTTGGTCTTACCTTCGTGCATTCGAAGCAAGTCAAAGGTACAAAGAAGGAAAGTTTATCCTCGAACGTGCCAGTTTACACAAATCGAACAATTGGTCAGCATTAGCATTGGGTGAAGAGGAGATTGAGATGGTCTTCTGAGCGATCTCCATCCCTTCTTTTCATCCTCAATTCTGTCCGCCACTATGTATGTGTATTGTCCTTTCTCTTTCTGTAGCCTCTGTCTTTTTCTGTATTCTCAGCATATTGTTTTCAGCACAAATTATCACACTCGCTTCGCGATCAGGCTTGTATCGTTTGTATATCATCAATGAAACTAATTTAACATTTTCTTGTATTGTGTTGATGTGCATAGATAGTACAAATGAGGGTTAAAATGATGTGAAAAATCACTTTTAGCATCCCATATCTATTCAGCTGAAGATTTCTTTCCACGACGACGAGTGGATCCTTTCTTGTTTGAAATTTCCGATCCCGAAACAGTACCTTCTCCATCTACACCTTCCCATTCTTGTTCTTCTTCTCCGTCTTCAGCTTGATCTTTGATGGCTTTCTTCTTGTTAGCAGCAGATTTCTTCTTTTCATCTTCATCTTCTGTTTCCTCTTTCCACGACCAAACTTGTTGTAATTCACCTCTTTGCAAAGCACGCAAGGCGACCGACAAAATGCAAGCAGGTGAAAGGTAAAGCAAAGCAGGTTGAGCAGCTTTGGTGAAATGCATAACGCCCATTGTAGTAGCCAAGCCAGCAACATAACCAATCATAGTTGCATGGAAGTAAGGTTTGGGGAAACCGGTATCATTCTTGGTGATCAAGCTTTTAGGATGCTTTTTGACGTACAGATGTTGATCGAATCGTAGAGCGAGTGCAACAAAGATTCCCGGAATCACAATATCACCCAAACCCAACATTGTCATTTGCCATTTTGTGTTACTGTCAATCAAGCCAGCGAACAAGTTCTTTGGCCAAACGATCTTGATTGGTCCATCAAATCCACGAGCGACGGATACCATCACGTTTGTGCCGAAAACCCAAAAGATGTCGTACAAGAATAAACCCATAAGCATGATTCCTCCTGTTTGGAAAGAGTCGAGTGAAAGCATCGAGATGGAGGATAGCGAAAGTGAAAGAGCGATCACATTGCTTGCAATCCAATGACGAGTGAGCAAGTATGCAACAACCAATCCGGACGAAGCCAATACGATAGGAGGATGAAGAGCTGTTACGCGAAGGGCGAGAATATCGACAGTTTGCGATTTCTTTGTTTTTGCGTCAGGTTTGGTTTGAGTTAAGAGGAAACGAGAAGCAGTGAATTGTCGTAAAAGACCTGTTCCTCTGGCAATAAGTAAGAATACTTTTGTAACTGCAAATGTACCAACGAAACCAAAGTAGAATCCCAATACACGATCAACCCAAACTTTATCCAAATATTTGAATACCAAAAACATGCTGAACAAGACCACTGAACCGATTACTGGAAGCCAATATGCATCTTCAGCTGTTAATGTTTCGGGAAGGGTGACACTTTCATCATCATCTTCATCATCTTCACCTTTGCGTGACTTTTTCAATGCTTTTTGAGTGGACAAAGGTGTGCGTAAAGATGCGAATGAGCCATGATAGATTGGCAAAATTGCACCGCTCATCAAAGCTCCGTAAGCCAAAAAGAGATCACGATCGGATGACATCTTGACTGTTGGTCTCTATTTGCTGGATAGACTGATATGATGGCAAGGAGAGGGAAGGATTTACTGTCTCTTTTCCAATTTGACACACAAACAACGCTCAGATCGTTTTGGAACGCGTACTTCTGTCATTTCTTCTTGAATTTAAGGCGTACATGCATTCCAGCACATCAACCCAACCTCTTTGGCGGGCGGGGGGCGTTCTACCTTCTATAGGCGTTGTACGCGGCGTGGGCGCGTTTGTAATGGGAATGCTGCACTTCCTGGCTGTTGCTAATGAACAAGAAAGTGTTGGTTGTGTTGATCTGCTTATTGCATACCAAAGGATGGCTGATAGAAAGATGTCTTGACATTTTAAATTGGAGCGAGCCTGACTCAGTCTATTAATCTCAAAAAGAGAGAGATGCATCTGTGAAGTCTAATGGTGATGATGAATGTTGTGATGTTGTAGGATGAAATAAGAAGTAGAATCATTGATCCTCCTTTCTCTGTGTCAAAGATGCAAATCTTTATTGAATATGCTTATGTAACCACATATCCTTCCTTAGAACGGGCTTTATCCTCCTTAAATGGAATCATGCACAATACAACAATAACTCGAAGCACAATTTAAGTGGCGGGATTGCGGTGATCACTATACGAGAAGCTAAAGGGATTTTTGTACGCCAATGATGACCGCTACTGAAACTGTTGTAAGACTGAAATCTTTTGTATGGGCTGGGCCTGACTGAGCAGGGACTATTCATAGTAGTGGTCACTTATGTGCATGCATTAAATGTCAATTAACGGACGCCAAGATCCGATTGTCGTATCAAAATGTACACGCCTGATACGCCTGACATTCTGAGTGGCTGTACATTAGGCGGGAATGAAATTGACTGTCTGTATGCCCAAAAAGCAATGAAAATTTGCATGCATTTGGCTTATCATGCACAAAAGCTCAGGACTCCGGGTAAATGAAAGTCGAGATTCATTTCGGTGAAAAAGGCGATTATTTCGGGTTTTGAATTTTACACTGGCCTGGTGACTATTGAATATCAAGGGTTGACGCGCGCCTATACTCTGGAAGAAGTGATCAACAGTCTCTTTGCCCCCCAGAGACGGAAACTTCCGAATTCGAAAAGTAGGAAACACTGGTTAAACGCCTCAATCAAACTGTTTACTAACCTTGCAGATATTAAATTTTTAGGTTCCTGTTTGCGCCCCTATCAATACACGCATCTGTACACTGTTATGTATTTCATTCGTAATGGAGATTTCTGCGTGATTGGTCTTAATGGGAACAAAAGAAACGGAAAATGCTTGGCAGCAGAATGACAGTATGAAAATGTTGATCTGGAGAAAGATTCACTTGTAAAACATATGATATTGAACCCGTTTTCTTTTCTTGTCGTGTGTGCTTCAATTCAATTCTTCTCTTTCCACCATCAAGATAGATTTAGTTTACGAGATTCTCTCAGTTCACGTATCCTAATCCCAAACATACCCTCATCATGGTCCAAGTTAATGCTTTCTTGGGCTTAGCGGCCTCTTTTGTCGCTTTGTCATCCGCTTTACCAAATGTAGCACAACCCGGTAATGACGGTCAAGGATTACAAGCACGCAAGCCAAACCCAACGCCATCTCAATATTTTGCCGTGAAACGTCAACAAGGACGTCAAACGACAGGTGCATTCTCTGCTTTCAGTGGCACTCTTCCCGCTTCTGTTAGTTCAGTCATTGCCACAATCACAAGTGGAACAGATGCAAGCGTTTCCGAAGTGCCACCAAAGACAACTTACACCGGTGGAGCACAAAACCCTTCCATCTCAAACGCTCCTCCATTGCCAAGTCAAAGTGCAGTTGTTGTTTCTAGTTTCCCCGCTTTGGACAAGAGCCCTGATCCAAGTCTAGCTCTATCACAACAATTCATTGCTAAATACGATCTTTCAAGCGTTCCAGACATTCCCATCACTGATGGAACATGTAACGGTCAATTCGGCGCAAATGCTGCTGCAAACAGATATTGGACCTGTGGTGGACACACTGCACCTTCTGATATCACAGCTTGCCCGGAAAAGAACCACTGGGGATTGTCATACGATGATGGACCATCTCCTTACACTCCTCAATTGCTCGATTACCTTGAATCACAAAATTTGAAAACAACTTTCTTCATCGTTGGTTCTCGTGCTCTTTCTCGTCAAGATTTATTGCGTTATGAATACATGAACGGACATCAACTCAGTGTTCATACATGGTCTCACCCTGCTTTGACAACACAAACAAATCAACAAATTTTGTTAGAATTGGCTTGGACAATGGAGGTTATTCGTCAAGTTACCGGTGTTACACCTGTTACCATGCGTCCTCCTTACGGTGATATCGATGATCGTGTTCGTGCAATTTGCAAGATTTTGGGTCTAACACCAATCATGTGGACTAGCACAAGTGATACAATGACATACGACACAAACGATTGGCGTATCGGAGCAGGTCAGGTTAGCGCTGCTTCTGTTGTTGGTAACTTTACACAAATTTTGAACAATTCTGACACTTTGAGTACCGGTTATATTGTTTTGGAACACGATTTGTACAAACAAAGTGTCGAATTGGCAACTGAAGTCGTTCTACCTATGGCTTTAGCACATACTCCCAAACAAACACTTGAGCCTATCTACCAATGCTTGGGCTTGCAATTGGGTGACTCTTATGTGGAAACCAACCGTAATGTCTCAGGAAGTGGTGGTATTGCTTCTCCGGGAGATACAAACCCTACTTCAAACAGCTCCTCAAGCGGAAGCAGTAGCGGAAACAAAGCAGGTAACTTTGGTTCCTCCGGCAGCGGCTCTTCTGGCGCTTCGTCTATCCTCTCATCACAAAATATGCCATTAACACTCTCTGCTACATTGGGATTGGGCGCCATCCTTGCTTTCTTTGCACTTTAAGAGTTTGCTTATAGCTCTTGCTTTCATGCTTTAATTTACCACTTTCTTGCTCTTGTAGAGTGCCTCTTTCTTTCATTTGGCATTGCTTCAACTCATGCTTTTCATACCTCATGGACATTGTTTTGCATTTCAACTTATATACATGGATTTTCCAAACATTATAATTCTTACTTTCCAAAGTTTCATCGAGTGAGATAGCCAATAGTACAATTTAAGATGATAGAAAGTAGTTACAGAACATTAATGCAGTACATACTTTGTCCGTCTCTCAGCTCTGTTGTGGAGCAAAAGACCGAACAGATCTGTCCAAACTTGAAGTAAACAGAGCACCTTTATCCCAACTCCATTTACAGTCCGTAATTGGTGCAGAATGAGCATCATTGGAAGACCATAATAGCTGCCATGTCTTATTAGCATAAATGCGAACATCAGATCCGACAACGGCCAAAAATTGAGCACTAGGGTCAAATTGAACGGTGATTGGGAGAGGGTTTCCTTTCGCATCAGCTGCTTCCACTGCAATCGTTCCGGACTTTGACAGTTTACGTAGGTCCCATATTTCTACCATGGAAGATGTCGCGCTTGCTAATAGATAGCCATTTTCACTGAAATTTAGAGAAGAGACACTGGTTGATGACTCTGAGCTGAACGAAGCACTCTCTTGACCCGTCTTGACATCGTAAATCACAACGGAGCCAGACGAAGTGCCGGCAGCCAGAAGGGTTCCGTCAGGATGAATGTCTAGGCTGGTGTACTGGTGCGAGGCTTCGATCTGTAGAAGTCGCTCGCCAGATGATACATCGAAAAATCCAATCGTGCCATCTTCTGATGCTGCTGCAAAGTACAGTCCTGAAGGATGGACGGCCAGTCCTGTGATCGCTTTCTTGAACGATGTAATCGAATGGGCAAGTGAATATGCATTCTTTTCATTCCCATCCGCTTTCCATACGTGCACACTGTGATCAGCACTAGCACTGACCGCCCATTCAGGAACTTCTCCGTTCTCAGATATGTTGCCGAACTCTACACCGACCAAAGATCTGACAAATAGTACTTTATTGATGGCATCGCTATGTCCTTTTAGTGTTGCTATAGTCTTGCCGGTCGATCTCCTGTATACCTGTACCTGCTTATCCTTCCCACCTGTCAAGAGCAGATCTCCATCTAGTGAAACATCCAATGCAGTCACTCCGGGAGATCTTGTGGTGTGTAAGGAGGGCACGCTCTCGAGCTGTGCGAATTGCGATACGCTGGATGCTTGGGTATATCCTTCTGGTTTTCGTTTCATTTTAGCTTTTCTTGTAGAGGAAAGTGTTGCAGATGTTTCATCAATCGTGGCAATGTATGAGCCTGGCATTCCTCTTATTTCGGAAGTGGATGCATTGTTTGCATCTGTCATTTCCGCATCTCTTCCAGTAGCACCATTTTGTCCCATCGAATCTCGCAAACTTGCCAAAGCTGTACGTGCTTCATCACGTTCCCATAGTAATCGTGCAATCACACGATTTGCGCTATCGTTGGCATATAGTGCATGTGCAAGCTCTTGTCTGACACTGTCGTATGCTTTCTTGAGTGTGAATGTTTCCAAGACGGATGCATCGATCTCATTCTGTAGGGTCGAAAGTAGGGACGGAATGGATGAATGTGACGGTGGTCTCGGTGCAACGGTCTTTGGATCTATGGGAATGAGCAAGATAGTGTCAGTCAAAGCTCTAACAGCACGCATTCTTGATTCGCAATCGATCAGCTAGTGTAGAATAAGCATCGCATGTATGAAACATGCTCATCAACAGCCTTCTAGTTGATAATGTATTTTTAGGTCTCGTTTTCATCCTCTCGAAAGGTGACATGAATCAATACTCACTTGCTTTGATTTCTATTAGATCATCCTCTGTCAATGTATCTCCCGTTATCGGATCTTTTCCGTTCTCTTGTATGTACTTCAGGATCAATCGTTGTTCATACACCAATCCACTCTTTTTCGAAATCACCGGTGTTACTGGAGGCTCGCCCGAGACTGTTAAGGAAGAGAGGATGCGTCAGAATGGAGACGTGTGAGAATGTCTTCTTAGCATTACTCACTTGCACAGAACATGTTGCTCGATCACTGAGTTGTTAATAGTATAGAGTAAATGTATGCATTCTTCTTCTTGATGACCATCCAACGCGTTTAAGTTGAGAAGATTTGAGCTTTGTGTTGTCTACACGTGATTATACACGATAACAAAAGCGCGTTTATTCTTATAGAATATTAAGACGCATACATTCATGCAACCTTGTGGAGGCAATGGTAACACAATCTTCATCACTATCATCCATCTAGATATCTTACCATGGCCGACGATGAATACGAAAGAGAAAGACAAGAGAACATTCGAAAGAATAGGGAGCTTATGCTCAGTCTAGGTTTGAATGTGAGTCAAAAATGATGTAGAAATTGCATGGGATCCCTCTAACCTTCTTCACCCGTCACAGCCTGCTGAGCCATCACGAAACAAGCTACAGGTCAAAAAAACACCAAAGACGACTAGGAAGAATGAAGACTCTGACGAGGAGGATCAGGGAGGAGGCAGGGTCACACGTAGCAAACGACCAAGAAGCAATCCGGCCAAGAGAATGACATTCATAGAACCTTCAAGAAAGAGTGCACGATTGTCAGCCCAATCCTCCATATCCTACAATGAAGATGATGAGAACTCAGGAAGAAGAGGAAGGAGAAAGCTAGACGACGAAGATGAAGATAGCAAACAAGATCTATACGTAATGCCAAAGCTGAAAAAGCTTCGAAATCCTAGTCCACCACCTGAACCGGAAGATTACCAAACAGAAGTGTATGCAGATGCGCCTTCACCTCCAAAAAGACAGCCAAATGGAAACATCATTTTCGAGAACAACAACCGACATTTCATGCCAAACGTAACGCCAAAGGAAATGATCCAAGGTGGAATATTTGGAGGAACCGCTTTTCGACCATTTTATTCGCGAATTTCGAAACAACAGCTTAACCCACAAGAAGAGATGTACGAATTTCCAGATGATTGGTTTGAGGGTATTACGAACAAAGATGAACATCTTACGTCTACAATCTATGATCCAGAGGTGAACCGATTCGGCGTAAAAGCAGGTCAGACATTGGAAGAATGGGAAAGCAATAATTGGATTCGGGCACCCGACTACAGAGGCTGGTGGCAGTGGTATTTTCGTTTCTACCAAGGTAGACGAACGAGCGATGATGCACGTCAGATTGGAAGATGGCTTAAAGCATGTGGACCGGCAGGACGGTTCAAGAGGTCGTTAGTGGCTAAAATTCATCGAGCTGGCGCAACATGGGATGACGAAACAATCACACCGGTAGTACGACAAACGCTGTTTCATTGGGCATATCAATTGACTGAGCAAGATTATCATGCTTATTTGCCATAAACAGTAAACTTTTCCATTTCTGTACATTATACAAGCACATGTATCAGTATTGTACAATAAGCAAGAATTGCAGAGCATCGTGTGGGGCATTCACAGCAGAGAAAAAGGTATCAGACCACCACCCTAGAGATTAAAAACTTCCAATCCTGGCTCATTCTGCGTAGAAATTGCGGGATTGTTTTCAGTTTCCAAGCGATTCTCATCCACCAAAAAAGGTTCAGAGAGTAAATCAGCAACAACTTGAGTAGAATCAGTTCCTCCATCAGAATTGAATCCATTTGATGTGAATGCATTGAAATCAAATTTATCCGGTTCAGGCATTTGGTTTTGTTGATTTTGAGAAAACATTGTACTGGCACCTTGAGCTGGATCGGATAACATTGACATCATCATCGGAACACTCATTCCACCTGAAGGCATCGCATTGGATTGTAACATTGCATCAAAAGCCGGATTTTGTGTTAATGCGAGCATTGATGAATTATTCAGGCCTTCTCCATTAAAGCTATCCTCTTGTTCGACCGGAATGACACCGTCAAGGTACAGCAAATGACTCAAAAACATTTCATGTAAATGACCACTTCGAACTGAGCTTACCAATTCAGAGCATCTTCTCGCTTTGACGCTCTTTACACCTGCCCTACGAAGTGCACCAACGATCAAAGCCAAATTTTCCATCACCCTATGCAAAGCAGCACCTTCATCCGGCACGAGTGGTTTAGTAGAATTCGTCTTTTTCGATCCATTCGTTTTCGCTTTTGTTCCTTCTGCATTACCTTTGGCTGGGCTATCGGTCTGCACTTCTTGCGGTTGCATTCGCTTCTGCAATAAAATCATATCTTTCCCCATCATACGTGCACAAACGCTCCAAGTCAAAAACATTTGTGGATGTAGTAATGCAAAATCCAAAGATGAATTGACGAGTTGGTGGAGCATTTGCATCACTTTTTCAACGGCAAGTAGTATTCTTCCATTGGCTGATGTTGGTGCGGGTTCAGCTTCTTTGACGGTACACAAACTTGATCGAGAGAGATAGGGCTCATGAAGATAAATCATTGCCAGTGAAATATTAGAATACGCATTGAGTCCATCTGAGCTGCACTCGAACCAAGCCTTTGGCGGAAAAGTTGAGATGAATTCGTCGATTTGCTTGTCCATGATCGGAACGCCTGGTGGCTTGCTTCGTAGTCCCTGAGATCGGGAGCTCAAAGTGCAAACGCGACGAAGAAGGATGGCAGATTTGATGTGCAAGGTAAATTCATCCAAATGACCGGTCGTAAATAGATCTGCTGAACTTAAAGTTTGACTATTGGGCGCCACATCATTGCCTGCCAAGAAATCATTCACCGAACATGGCAAATGAGTCAAGACAGCCTGTTCGTGAATCATATTTTCGTAAAAGCCTGGCGGTCCACTTGTATATTGATCGGCCAAGAATGTATGCCACAACACCATTCTACGTTCATGTTCCTCCAAACCATGTGCATCACCAAACAAACCCGGAGTTGCACGTACTTTTCCTGCTGGGCTGAAATGTCGAGAAGGTAATTTGTCCAGCCCGGCAGGCGCAATTGCTCTTGCAAGGAATCCACTTAAAAAGTACGATTCAACAAATCTGCCTTCATTCCACAATACATACACGATAATCGTCCCTCCGGCCAGCCAATCCAACGGGTTCCGGAAATCTGTCATTAACGAACGTTCAATCTTTTGACGTCCTTTAGACAGATGGAATTCTTTGAAAGTTAATGTGTTCGGAGCATTTGATTGCTGTACATTTGGTCGGTGGGTAGGGTCGGCTAACATTGTAACGAATCGATCGCGCATTCCGTTGACCATTGTTGTATTGTCATGATAAGGTGAAATATCAGCAGCGGCGCATAAGATTGCATGAATGAGCGAATCATGCGGTCTGTGTGGATGATGAATCGGTAGCAAAAGACCAGACATAAACGTTGGCCTATACACCAACGTGCGTAATGGGTGCAAACGGAAAAAGATTTCGCACAATGTAGTAACGATTTCTGAGCTGGGCAAATCATTACTCCATCCGGGCCACAAAAGTTGCATGAACGATTCGTCACCTGCTCCCGTTCCACTTTCCAATTTGGTAGAATCAACCAGCATAGGATCGGTATCGACTTCTGTGGCTGAGTCTTTGCGATCACTATTACCCTCATTTGCATCAGAACGCCGAGGCATTGATGGGTATGCTTTGTTGGGATACTCGGCATCCATTCCTGTTCGCATGGATGATGTTGTGGACAAAGAACCAATATTCACACCAGCAGGTCTTTGGAAGTATCGCATTCGATGCTTTTCTTCCCGTCCCGATAAAGGTGAAAGCATTGACAAGATTGGCACTGCAGGTTTCAAGGCTTCCTCTGGCTCTGGCTCACGCGAAGAGGCACGACTTCTCCATCTGTACGGAGTTGAATTGGCATCCCAATAATGACTTGCACTTCCTGAAACGCCATATGCTCTTGCTTGACGTAATTTATCTTCCAAATCTGCCACCCTCGCTTCTAGACGTGTAGCCTTTTGTTCTGTCGTTTCATTCTTGTTCTCTTTGCTTTCCCTTCCTTCAGTAGCTCCTCTACTGAACGGTCTACTATCACGAACGGGCATTCCTGTCGCACTTCCGCTTGTTCGCTGTCTTTTTATCGAAGGACGATTTTGCGTGCCAAAGTTGGAATCGCTCGAGGTTGTATTTCCTCCACCACCACCACCTTGACCTGGACTGGCTGAAAGGGTCGAAGGCGAATAAGCACTTTCTTGTTGTTTACCAGAGGATGATGATGACGGCACGGGTGCTGGAGGAACGGGAACAGGATCATCGTATACACAATCTCCATCGGGAACTGGCGAAGCATGATTGGCAACAGCGGCCGCCTTTCTAGATTTTATACATGTTCCGCAAACAGGCCTTTGTGCGTCACATTTGAGTTTTCTCCTTCTACAGGATTGACAAGCTTGTCCTCGTCGTAGAGGTGTTACGCCTACATTGCGTTGCTGAGATTGTGTAGGTGTATCAGAAGAAGGCGAGTCTGACTGCTTGGTGTTTTGTGGGATGTCGGATTGTGCCAAAGGATGAGGTGTATGACGTAGATTTGCCGGTGGATAGGGTTGTATGTGATGCCCTTGGCTATTCGAATATGCCATCTGTTGATTAGACTGAAACGGCATCCCGGATCGAGGACTGGCAATTCCGCTTGCACTGGGGCCATAAGCGAATAGAGTGTCTGTCTCACCTCCTACAGAGCCACGATGAGTTGCCGAGTATCCGGGACTGTTGCCTTTGCTGGTGCTTTGACCGTATGCGGGTCCATAGCCACCTAATGTACCGGAAGAATTGGGTGAAGAAGTAAAGTATTGCCCCGAAGGTGGTGTACGAATATGTCCTGGTTTTGTATTATGAGATGCAGAAGAAGGGCGAGATATACCGTGGAATGATGATGAATTGAAGCTTTCATTTCCGTTTGCAAAAGGGTATTGTTGTGGATGCGAGCCTATTTGATCATGGTATTGACGCATTCCACCATTATCGCCTGCTGATTGATTGTTATAATTCATTTTGTCTGGTATAATGTTATATCAAGCCATGATCCATTTCAGGGAATGATGTTGATTGTTAGGTTCGACTATTTCTTCGATGGGCTACTCATGACTAGAGATGTAAGGATAACCATACGCTAAACTAAGAATTAAGCAATTGCATAGGATGCAGTTCCAACTGAATGAATCCATGCAGCATCTCACCATAAACCCACACAATTGGTGAGGCAATTCTCGGGTAAAAGACGAGTAACCAATTGCAACTTATAAGCCCGCGGGCGATACGCGTTAATCGGAAGCCCGCGTTGGCTACAGGAAAACTACCCGAATCAAATCCATTTCCGGGGGCGAGTGTGATAGAGTATTTCTTGCATGGAAGAGTTGATCACTCTTTTCGGGTATCTAGAGGCTGCTCTTATTGATAGACGCAATTACTATCATATTGATATGCAATCACGTTATACCGGTGTTTAAATTTGAGATATAGTTATAGTGTGCATATATTATCAATTGCGTCATACAAAAGAGGCCCTTGCTCGATTCTTACTACCATCACTTAAGACAAGATGATTGTATTTGAAAAGTTAGTCTCGCTCTTGCTAGCATTTCAAATGTTCTTGTTTGGTCACAATCAAATCTCTCAATCACAAGCAGATCGTATCGCAAAGAATGTTCTACGCCATCAACCATTAATCGATCTTCATGTGGATCTACCAGTCGTATTACGATATAGATATCATAATGATCTATTCAAAACAGATTATGATGGTCCACTAAGCGGACATGTAGATCTTGAGAGACTACAAAAAGGCGGCTCAGGTGGATTCTTCAGTATCGCATTTGCACCATGTCCAAAAGATTCTCCAAAAGGCGATGAAGATGAAGAGGAACGAAACAGACTTTTCTTGCAACCTTCGAATAGCGTTCGTGATACGCTTGAACAAATTGATATTACCCATCAACTTGTTGCACAATACTCGGATCAAATCGCATCAGCCACATCCCCAAAAGATATACTGCACAACTTCAAAAATGGAAAGATCAATCATCTTATCGGTGTTGAAGGTGCGCATCTACTCGGAAATTCGTTAGGTACTCTTCGCACATTCTATGATTTAGGAGCTCGATATCTCACTTTGACACACACTTGTCACAACGCCTTTGCCGATACTTCAGGCTCTAGTGAGAACGAAGCAGCAAAACCTTTGCATGGTGGATTGAGTGCATATGGAAAACGGCTTATTCGCGAAATGAATAGGTTAGGAATGATTGTTGATGTCTCTCATACATCTGACGATACGACGAAGCAAGCTATTGTACATTCAGAAGCACCTGTCGTTTTCACTCATAGTGGCGCACGCACAATCAACAATCATACCCGCAACGTTCCTGATGAAATCTTGGAACTTGTTTCAGAGAAAAGTGGTCGAGATGCTGTTATTGGAATACCGGCACTGCCTTCTTTTGTTGCCATTGAACCGGAACGTCAAACTGTTCAAACGGTTGCCGATCATGTCGAGCATATTGCAAAGGTAGCAGGCAAGAGCAGGGTGGCTATTGGGTCAGACTTTGATGGATTCCTTCAAGAACCGATCAGTGGACTGGAGGACGTATCAAAGTATTCAAACCTATTGTCTGAATTAGCAAGCAGAGGATGGACACAGGCCGAATTGAAAGGCTTGGTGAGCGGGAACTTCTTGCGAGTCTTTGGCAAGATTGAAAGTATCGGAAAAGCACACTCCCGCAAAGGAACAAAAGCAGACACAAAACCATGGAATGCTAGAACGGATCTAGGACTTACATAGAGCTTTTTGGAATTGTATTATTAGACACTTCATTACATGATCGATATTGCATTTATTTTGTTCACTCTTCTTTCTCAGCTGTTGTAGCAGTTGGATCTGCATCACTTTCCGTAGAAGTTGGCAATTTAGTTGCTTGCGTATTTTGAGCAGTACCAATACTAGATCCATTTGCTGCTGCTTTTGCTAATCGTTCACGAACATTTTCTCCCGTCTTCTTTTGTTGTAATTCTTCCACTTTTTCGTCATTTCTTCCGTTTGACCAAAAAGGTTGATTCTTTCCACAACTAATTTCCACACCAGCCAATTCATCTGGCGTTGGATGATAATCAGTTTGAACCAATTCCACCAAAATAGCTCTACGAACCCATCTCCTCCTACGTGTATAACGACCAAGGCCGGATTTCTTACTCATCTTATCCCAACCATTATCACCGTATTGCCATCCTTCAGGATCAACGTCTAACCAAGTTGAATCGGAAATCAAATCATTAGCATTTTGACCTTCTTCCGTTCTGCCACTCGTTGCACTGGCAGCAGATGCGATCGAAGCCCTACGAGCATTTGCTCCATTTCCGGCACCGGCCGATGAAGTTGCGTCAGATGGCCTTTGATCTCTGCCTGCTACTGTCCATTCGGGATCGATCCATTGCCATCGCACAACTCTTTTCGTGTACGCATTTGCATCTTTGGACGTAGGTGTATGCTTCAACGTTGACTTTGTCTGGGGTAGAGAGAAAGAAGCAGGTGGTGAAACTGGATTGTTACTCTCATCTGCCCAACTTGGTCTCTCTTGAGGTAACAAGGCTGCTGTCCAATCCAAACCCATCCACCAACGTTGGTTTTCAAATATTGTGAATTGATAAACAACATCTTCATGACGTCTGACCTTATCCGAATTCGTCTTGCTTTCTGCTCCCTTTTCACTTTTGATACCATCGATGCTGCCGTTTGCAATGTTTGCCTGAGTCAACGCTGCATCTGTCAGAGGGATGGGCTCACCATGAGGTCCGATTGTCAAACGACCACCTTGATGGAAAGGTGAAGTAGAGCTATGGCTAAAGAAGATTTGTCCGCTCAAGATAGACCAAGTCAAACGTGTTGATCTACGTACCAAAGCACTTCGCCATAAAGCATGACGGATCAATGCTAACCAAGGCGAACACCATGTCAATCCAATCGTACCACCCACCAAGAGCAAATGACGAACACGAAGTGCCAAAATTGGAAAGACGCCAATCCTTGGACCAGAAGCTTGTTGGAGGGAGTTTGGGATGTGATGAGCCAAAGTGGCTAAAGAAGCATGTACGTGAGGCACAACGTATCGATCGGCATAGCTATTGGTTTTTGACAGTAGAGCTAATGCTGGATCTAGGCGTGAAAACAGGCCTGGAAATTTGACAACAGCAGAAGACAAGATTGGACCGAATACTGCTCTGACATGCGGACTAGTGTATGCAACCACTCGCGAAGTGTTGACATAGAATGATCGAGTAACTGCATTCAGTCCCAAGACATCCCAAACTTGTGCCAATGTGCCGCTGAAGAGCAACAACCATGCTGGCCAGGACGAAATCAAGAAAACGGCCAAACCAAATGTCCGCGAAGAATCATGCCAGAAGAACAAGTCTCTGATCGGTTGAACGAGAGAAGTATAAAAAGTTGAAACAAAGTCGGCAAGGACGGTGATATTATCGATTGTCTTCTTCAATGTATCTGAAGATGCCAATGTAGCAGATGGATGTAATGTTTGTTTGGCAGGTTTGCCTTGAGTGATACCGACTGCTCTTGCAATCCCGGTGAATCCAAGAACGACCAATAAAGCCAATTGAGGGCAATAGCGAATGGTTTCATAGCCATACAAACATATAGCCCACCATGCTAACACAAGCATGAAGCTGTGCGAAGCTGTTCCCGGTCCACCTGTCCAAGTTGCCAAATGAACAAATCGAGCGGAAACATTGATGGCCGGACTCAACAAGACCAGCAAACGAAGAAGCGATGAAGGATATTGAGTGAGCACAGCACTATCGGATGCACTTGTGCCGCTTGCAATATCAGACACTGGCACACTTTGCCCTTGCGAAGAAGTTGTCTTTTGATCGGCTTTGCTAGACATTGTTAAACTTGGCAAAGTATCTGTTCCAAATATTCCGTCTTGATTTTCGTCGTATCGATATCGTTTAGCACGTTCCGTAACTTCAGCCAATTGAGCTTTCAAAGCGGCTTTGTTTGCGTTGCGGGTTTCGTGCAAAAAGGATAAATAGGTATCGTTAAACTGGATTGGAGGGAGGGTAGGATGGATGTCAGTACATATATAATGTTTTGAATGAGTGCTACACCCACTGGTAGGTCAAATGCTGCCATGCTCCGGTGCAAATGAAGCTTGACAAAAGTAAATGCAAATCAAGCAATCACAATTGCTTTCAGTGTTGTGATCTGCTCGATGTGATGTGGGGATGAAAGAGATGGAGAAGTAGCGCAAAATACAATCAATCATTAAAACATTTTGCGCCCGAGCCCGGAGTTGCTGTGAAAAAACAAAGAGACAGAGCTAAAGTGGCACAACACAGCGGCCAAGCAGCACTTAATCTTTCCCCGGATCTTCTAAAATTCCCTCCACCACTGCAATCCGTTAAAGTCGTTGTCTTTACGCGTGAAAAAAGAAGGAACTTTCTTCCAATACTCAAAGCTAAAAAGTGTTCATTCCAAAATAAAAAAGATAATATTACAAATGTCCTCTGAAATATTCGCATTCACCATGAAAACTTAGCTAACGGGGTATCCTTTCCATTAAATTTGCGTAATCGGGCAGCTGCCAAAGATCCCATAATTTCATCAACTTCGGCTGAATCTGGATTGATGATGGGCTGTTGACTTGATTTACCACATCTTGAAGTATCAAGGGTCCCATCAAAAAGTTGACTTAAAGCTCGAATGGCTACAGGTACTCCCAAAATGACTGTAGTAAGATGATCTTGCAAGGGTAAAACTTCATACTGAATCTTTGCACCTTCTTCACATTGTTGTTCGATAAATTGTTCATGATTGTTTCTTGGAACGATTTCGTCCAATTGGGCATGATATTGAAATGTTGGAAATTTGGGTATATTCACTGCTTTTGCACTGACATTTTTCAGTAAAGATTCACGTTGTAAAAACTTTTTGGGTATTTCATCATCTAGGGGTATAGTTTTGAGTGTTGTTTCTGATGAAAAATCTTTATAAGGAAATCCAAATACGATTTGCATCAAACAAACATTAGGAGCAGAAACTTGATCTAAATGCTTCTTTCCCTTCTCTGTCAGAAGGGACATCAAATATTCGTTGAAGTCTGGATATGCTTTTGCTAAACCGGATAAACCTGCTCCGGCTATTCCTGACCAGACGGAGCCCATGAGATTGTTATAAATTCCACGAGTGTCTACCGGTGTCCCTCCGTGTGCTGTGCCGATGATGTTAAGCTCAGTTGCATATTCGTTGGCCAGATTGGCAGCCCAAACAGTCGCATGTGCTCCACCGCTATAGCCAAACATGACCAATTCTGAATCCTTATCCAGTTTGTTAAAGTTCAATGTTGCACGTAGACCATCCAAGACCGCATAACCTTCTTGATAGCCTGCATTGAAAGCAGAGACAGAACCTAGATAATCGGGTGCAACAACGTAGTACCCTTTCCACAAAGCCCATTCTACGTAAAAGGGAGCGTCAACTGTTGTAGTTAATACATTTTGTGAAGCGGTTTCTTTGAGGAATGCCCAAGAAGGGTTGCAATTCAGCTGAGCGGAATCTGTGAATACGTGAAGAGAGAGAACTTTGGCGGGGTATACGGGCTCTTTCGGCCACCATAAAGTTGCTACCGTTGCATCAGGTTCTTGCGCTGTATTTTGTGTACGATATAATATCTGAAAACTTTTGTTGTAGTAGGATTTGTCGATATGTGTGATTACCTCTCTTGATGAGATGACTTCACCTGGTTGATACGATGCAATGGAAGATGGTACTTTATAGAATGGATCCACGTTTGGATCAGGTAGAGCGGTATTTGTTGCACCACCAAAAATGCCAAAGATGTACTTCTGTAACGCAGCAAGAGCAGAACCGATGGCAAAGACGACAAAGAATAGATTCATAAGTGCGATATTGAAGTCATCACTGCAATAAATGCGGGGCAATGGTGAGAAAGAGGGTCTGTGTACACGACAAGAGTGGGAATTCGGAGTGAAAAGCAAACAATGGGTGTAAATTTGATGTTGAAAGAAGGGGCCTGATCTTTTAAGCATACGGAAACCCACAACCCCGCATACACTCGCGCTAGAAACAAAGGCTAGCTTGAAATTGTGAAAGCAGCAGTCTGAATCTTAACTTGATACGTAACAATCACCATCATCAGCCTTTCATATATCTGGCAACGGAACCGGTCGATACTAATAGGAAGAAAGACAAAATTTTTAATATTCTGCCCCAGATGGCGTTATGATATGCAAAACACCGAAGGCAATGTCAACGCCGCACGCCGTCAAATTTGCCAACATTCATCCTCCGCGATTTTCATCAGAATTTTAACACAACGCTGAAAATTACATAAAAAGGTGAATTTCTCTCTTGATTTTGACCTGTCAATTTTTGAAAGGAGGCGGTGAACATATTGGCAGGTGCTCGAACTCCCGTTCACTTCGAGAGGTCAGACAGAAAGACATCTCTCGACATCACGAATCGACACTAGACACAGCCAAATTCAACCTTCTCAATGACTCGGACAGAGACAGACCCTTCCACCGTTCCAACAGGATGGAGGACGCATTATCCTGGTAAGATCGTATGGTCATTCTTGTGTGCCATATCTGCATTGATCTATCTTATCGCGATGCTGTTCATTAACATCATACCAAGTTGGCGCTCAAATCGACACTGGTCATATACACAAGCTTTTTTAGGTTCTATAATCAAATTTGTCTCAACCATCATCACTCACCTCAGGATCGTCGATTCGCTTGATCTGAATCCAGGTAAGCTTGGGGATAGATTCATCGTGATCCAGCCTGCTCCTTTGATGGTGTATACCGAGCACTTGAAAAGCGAAAGTGTCACGCCAAAGCCGATCGGTGCAACGTGGTACCCATCTGTCCCAAGCAAAGAAGAGTTAGAAGGGTCAAAGATTGTTCTATGGTTCCATTCTGGGTCTTTTATCTATTTGACAGGAAGACCTTCCGACAGTGACAAACCTGCTCGATCACTCAATTCTTGCCTTGGACCGAAAACTTTCTCTCTTTGGGTACAGTATCGTCTGGCTGAATGCAAGAATGACCCTACACCTTTTCCTGGTCCAATGCAAGATGCTTTGACATCCTATTTATACCTCACCCAAGAGCTCTCAATCGATCCATGCAAAATAATTGTTGGAGGTGACTCATCGGGTGCAACAATGGCCATTGGATTGGTACGTTATCTGCAAGTGTACCGTAACGACAAAGCAAAGATGGAGCTACCGTATCAGTTTCCCACTCTGCCACATGCCTGTATCATGCTCTCGCCCAGCGTTGATTATTGTACAGAAGCAGATGTCGAGGAGCTGTCTACACATAGGAACGTCAAGTTGGATTATCTGGTACCGCAGATGCTAGCTTGGGGATCACATGCTTTTGCACCACCTCCAATCGATCTTGATTCGCCTTATATCTCACCAGTACGATACCCATTCTCAACCACAGTGCCTATATATGTGCAATCGGGAGGAGCAGAAATCTTGTGTGATACGATCAGATCATTCGTTAAAATAATGCAAGATATCAAAGGAAACAAGTTGGAGTATTTTGAAATGCCTCATGCTCCACATGATGTTTTTGCTATTGGATACTATGCAGGATGGAAAAAGGAAGCGTTGATGATTTGCGAAGAAGTGGCTGGATTTATCTCACGTTTGAATGAACAACATCCTGTTCGTAGATCTATCACTTCGTTACCTGCCGATCCCATACCTGAAGATGATCGGGAGCAATTAATTGATCCCAAAGATGTCATTCTGGTTGATACATAAAGTTCCGACAATCTCATTGTACAATATATCGATATAGAAACTATCTTAGACATTCAAAGATTTGAGCCATTTTAGAACAGCCTCATTGAAAGCATCCGATTCGTGAAGCAATCCCCAATGTCCACCTGATAAGATTGTATTTGTATGATTTGGCAACAGACCAGCTTGTATGCTTGGCTGAATGTTTTCGGCACGACAGACTAGGTCACCGCTATAGCCTACGAAGAGAGTAGGTACGTCCACCTTTGGTCCAGCTTTGTTGTCGTGTGTGCCTTGACTGTTTATAAAGTTACGATAGTAATTAAATGGTGCATGGAAACCACCTTCTGTCAATTTTTCTATCCAATGCTTTTTGAATTGGGGTGTTATAGAAGGATGCGTTTCGGGTTTTATATCAGCTTGTATGAACTTTTTGATACCATCTGGAGTGGTGAACAAATTTCCTTTTGTAGGATCTTGATTTTCGTCCACTTTTGCATGACAAAGATGAAATAGAGATTCTACATGTGCGTCACAAATCGCATCTGATTCATCTGAAGCGAACCAAGACATATAGTTGAAACAACGATAACCATAAATCTTTTCAAATTGGTCATTCATTGCGACGATATCCCTCTTTTGTGTTGAAGGTGGGATATAGGCAACATTGCACATCCCCAAGGCTGAACAATGTTCAGGTTGAAAGAAATAAAATCCTTGGGCTAGCCCTGATCCCCAATCATGTCCAATCACGATAACTTTATCTATTCCTTCAGTTTTGATGATTTCTGCAAAATCGGTAGCCATCGCTTTTGAATCGTACTCTTTATAATCATCTGGTTTATCGCTAAGACTATAGCCCAAGCAATCAGGAACGATGACACCGTATCCGTTCGGAATCAAAGCATCGTTCGCAATCGTATACCAAAGCGAAGAATCATCTGGCCAACCATGTAAGAGTAACAAAGTGGGCTTTCCATCTTGAGCGGGAGAGGTATAATAGCCATACGTATAACCTCTTGCTGAAGTTTTGATTTGCTTTTGTTCAAGCTTGCCAGGTTCAGATTTGATCGTCATATTTGTTCTGAATGGATGTTAAAGAGGAACATCTTGGCATACGGCTTACAGTGTATGTTCACAGGTTAAACTTTAAAGCATTGCGCTAAAATCGGGAATCAAAACGTTTCTTTAACCGGTTAAACTTGTGGCGGGAAGCATGCATTCGAAACTAGAGTAAATACAAATGAGAACGAAAGGCATGTGCAGAGAAACAAAAAAAGTGTCCGTGTGTGTGTGCATGGTATTAACAACCATCAACTAGTGTATTCTTAGGCCACGCTTTGGGCCAAGTTGTGTAATTTGCATTCATATAAACTTCCTTATGACGTTCGATATATTCCGATGTAGGATAATCTGGTGGACTGCAAGATACTCTGTCTTCTGGTTCCGAGTCTAATTGATAGACACGAACATAATCAATTTTCATCGTTGCAGGAAATTGAAGGGTATCAAAATCCAAATCAGCTTGAAAACCACGTGAGATACCAAAGTTCATCACAATACTCAAAGCTTCTAATGGAATCAATCTTTGTCCCATATCAATCTCTGGTCTTGGACCGATGGATGATTCAGACATTGTCCATGTTGCCTTTCCATCAATATACCAAGTGATCGATCCTCTTCCCCGTTGGGAGAAATCGGGCGTATATTCCAACGCAAATGTTGTGAATCGGTTACCTGTTCGTAGGTAGGCAGTATCGGGAATAGTGGAAACACCACTGATCGTGGACTGATAAACATTTCCGGTAAAACTGTTGTAGGTGGTCACGCTGCTATCATAAATCTCGGAAAAGTTTGTTCTCCAATCGTGACCAGGATCGAATGGTGCTGCTTGCAAAGATTGTGATGCTTGTCCGACAGACTTCGCACGAATTTGTGCTTCAAGAATATCCAATTCAGGAGCTGATCTTCCTACGTTGTTATTTGGTCCAGGATGATCTTCACCTGAACATGTACAAGAAGGAGTACGCATACCGTTATTCCAATTCAATCCAACTTTACCATCGTTGTATTCGTATCCGGTCACAGTCGAATAACCTGGACGACCAGGAGCGGTTTGATTAGGCAAAATACCTGAATCGCAAGAATTATAAGAGTATGGCCACATTCCATCAGTCGTTCCCAAATAACCTGGTCTCGCCAAATTACCTTGAAGCCATAAACCTGGCCACCATCCTACCTCTGTTGGTGCGCCTGGTAAAATGGCAGAAAATTCAATGTATCCACCTGTGAAGCAAAATTTGTTCCATGATTGCAACATGCCCGAACGAAAATTTAGATTGTTCAACGGTTTGGCTTCCATTGTAAGTTGTAATGCTCCTCCGGTCGTATTGATTTGTTCAGGCGAATACCATTCATAATCCCCCGTTGCACCGTACCAAATATTTACGCCTTCCCAAAAAGGATCATCTCCTGGCCAAAACGTTCTTCCTTCTTCTTCAAATTCATCAGAGAAAACCAGATGGAATCTTTCACCACTGATTGGGCTTGTCCATCTTCTTGCATTTCGTGGTGTATCTTTGTCTACTAAAGAAAGACGGCTATGAATTACTGGAACTTGACCGGTACCATTTGTTCCTCCAAGATTATAAGCGCCTAATTTTGATGCTTCATGCTTTCTGTAATGCTCCAAAATTGGATAACCGGCAAATAACATCAAAAGACCACAAGAGATTATCAAGAGGGTTGTAAGGTTTAAACAGCCTCTGAGTGAAATTATCCCACTACTCCTTTCACGATAACCACGTGAATGTCCATAATCGTCAAAATCATCATCATCTTCTATTGCAAGATCATTTCTTGCAAAATCAGAGTACAAACTCCCGATTGAATCGGTCTTTCCTACTCCTTTATCACCCAAAAGCTTTGAACGTGAAGAAGATGCTGCCAATGTTTCATCATCTAAACTTGATTGAGCTCCAGGATATCGCTCACCAGAGATGATTGATTGTCTGTTTCTATTTAATGTTCTTTGACTGCTATTCAGACTTCCATTTGGTAATGATGGTCTTTGAGGAGGCGGAGAAAAGCCTGGAGAAGCTGGTTGAACGTATTGATATCGTTGCATCTTTGCTTTGATCAATCAAGATGATGGTGTTGATAACAAACATGATGATATTTAACCAACACAATAAACATGATATCTCTAATGGCTTATACAATCGAACCATTTCTCTTCTAATCTTTGTCTTGGCGATTTAGCATTGATGCTGATCTGATGTGCTTACCGTGAGCCAAGGAGAGAATGAAACGCAAAGAATTCTCTTGGCACCCAAGAAATCAAACAAACGGCACTATTCCTGTGTGACGCGCTTCTTATGCATGCAATTTAAACTGCCACACATCTTATACCGTGGAAATGCACACATTCAGTAAGGAACAACACTCACAATCAGGGTTCTATCGATTCCCGCACTTCCAACAGTCATTGAGTACTTGACATTTATTATTTATAGATCAGTCAATCAGATCTATTCTTCTTTTCATGGCACTCCAGAAATGTTTAAGCTTTTATTTGATACGCTAGCCTGATTTGCACTACCAATGACCACGGGTGCCCGCCAATCAAACTAAGAAGTGAAGTCCGTCAATTCATTAAAAGAAGATTTATTTTGCTTATATAATGCGAATCAATCTATACCTCAGACTTCCATCTTCTCGACCGGGAATGATACATCGAAATCTCGATTAGACTGTAATTCACAAAATTACTCACTATCTGTAAACATGTATTCACTCAATCACCAAAATGTATAGAATAGCTCGTAGAACCCGTTATCCGAAGAACAGCAGGTGACTAAGCTTCCTCTCCGATAATCATTATAATGTACTTCATCCGCTTTTTAAACTGAGCCGGTATTTTCATTTACACACAATACCCTTTCTTTGCCCACGCCTGGGCCTTGTGACAATTAAAGCTTAACGCTCCCCCGCATCCCGAAGCATGGCCGAGCAGTGATGGATTTGACTGGTAAAGTGCCAGTTTTATATTTTAATACTTCTAACACACGCGTATTGTGCACTTCATGTCCTCCTAATAATTGTGGGGAGAGTAAACTCAAAGGACTGATTAGGTTTTGATTGGCCTGCTGGCGTTTTACCTTTCATACAAAAGTCTTGCTGTCAACCATCATCCCTTCCTCCCTCAAACATACCCAAAACACACAAATCAAAAGATGGTATTCGGTTTAGGAAACAAATCATTCCTTACCAATCCTGCTCATTATGCTACTCCTAGCTTGGACAGAGGTCCACCAACAAGCAGAGGCACAGCCGAAAGAACAATCAAAAATTACGATTATGTTATCATCGGTGGTGGAACGGCAGGTTCAGTATTAGCAAGCAGATTGACAGAAGATCCAACGATTAATGTTTTAGTCTTGGAAGCAGGTCAAGATCATCGTGGAATTTTGGAAACTAGAATTCCAGCTGCTTTCGGTAAACTTTTCCATACAGACAATGATTGGAATTACCGTACAACCGCTCAACCAAACGTTGCAAATCGTGAATTATATTGGCCGCGTGGTAAGATGATCGGAGGTAGTTCTTCAATGAATGCAATGATGCATCATCATTGTGACGCTCATGATTTCAATGAATGGGCAAACGAATTCGGTTGCAAAGGTTGGGATTACAAGTCTATGCAACCTTATTTCCGTAGATCGGAAAAATTCACACCAAACCCAAACAGACGTCCAGTTGACGTTAGTCATCGTGGTAATGCAGGTTTGTGGGAAACAGGTTATTCTTACTTATCAGAAGTAGGCGACAAGGGATTCATTGAAGGATGCAAAGAAGTTGGCATTCCATACAACAGTGATATCAATACTCCTTCTGGTACTTTGGGTGTTACCACCTTCCAAACATTTATCTCACCTCGTGGAGCACGTTCTTCTGCTGCTACGGCTTATTTGCCTCAGCATGTAGTCAATCGTTCAAACTTGCACATTGCAACAGGTGTAATGGTCACAAAGATCTTGTTTGATGTTACTACTGGCAGTGAACCTACTGCAATCGGAGCAGAGCTGCAAACAAAACGTGATGGTCCCAAGTACCATGTAGGAGCACGCAAAGAAGTTTTGTTGTGTGGTGGTGCAATCAATACCCCTCAAACTTTGTTATTGAGTGGAATTGGACCAAGAGAACAATTGACGAAGCACAATATTCCGGTTATTGTGGAAAACAACAAAGTGGGAACAGAACTGAAAGATCACTTTTGCTCTTCAGGATTGATGGGTAAGACCAAGCCTGGTGTTAGTTTGGATTTCCTATACAACGATCTCAGATCTTTACCTCATCTTGCCCGTTGGCTCGTTACTGGTGGCGGTCCAATGACGACAAATGTCGGTGAAGCTGCTGCATTTATTCGTACGGTTGATCCGCCAGTTCGTATGCCTGCAACTTGCAAAGTACAACCGAAAGATTACGGTTCAGGCGAACATGGACCTGATGTAGAAATTATTGGAGCACCTTTGGCATTCATCGATCACGGTGAAAGTAGACCACCGGGTAATGCGGATGTGTTCAGTATGGTTCCGATCGGCTTACGACCACAATCAAAAGGAACGATCGAACTTGAAAGTCGTGATCCATTCCAACATCCGATCATCAATCCAAATTATCTTTCGGAAAAGAATGATCGTGATGTTTTGGTGGTGGGTGTTCGTGTCTGTTTGGAAATTTTACGTTCAAAAGCATTGGAGAAATATTTGGAACCTGTTGAAGTGAATGATGATCCTGATTCACCTTGGTGGCCATACAGTGCAAGTGATATTCATGCAATCACGGATGAACAAATTGTTTCTTGGATGCCACATACTGCTTTCACTTTGTATCATCCAATCGGAACAGCAAGAATGGGACCTAATTCGAACGATAGCGTTGTGGATTTGCAATGTAAGGTACACGGAACAAAAGGCTTGCGTGTGATTGATGCAAGTATTTTCCCTGAACAAGTTAGTGGTCATCCAACTGCACCAATTATTGCAATTGCCGAAAAAGCTGCAGAACAAATTCGAGGTATCGCCCTTAAGAAAGCTCAACTTTAATTTCTATTCTTTGATAGTTTTTTTCTTCTTCTATATTCAATATGTATCTATCTTTCATGACTATTATGATCTTCAGTTGCTATCTCGTAAAGTGACTGGCAAAAAAAGCCCGTATGAAGGAGAACGCGTATGCAGCGCTGCGCAAGTCCGGAGGAAGGGGAAGTAGGTCCAGCCGAGAAGTTGAGCTAAAGAGTAAAACTAAGCTACGGACCTGCTTTTTCTTTTGCGGATAAGTACCATGACCGCGGAATTCAGACGACCTATATGGAGGTCTCAACGGAATATAATGGCTTCTTCATGATGATACATGGTTCACACATTTAAGATAAATAGGATGATCGAGATCTGAAGTCTGCTTTTGATAAAAACACAAACCCACTCTTTCCTACTCCTCTTCGCTCAAAATGTTCTTCAAATCTATCCTTTCGCTTTTGTGTATCGCACAAGCTGTATACAGCTCACCTATCACTGCAAGAGATTCAACTGGCACGGTCTCATGCGACAATTCTTATCATTATGGAGCGCTAAGCTTAACACAAGCCCCTTATGGTGGTCTCTCATGGCCAGTAACGTTTGGCACTACCTCTTCAGGCGGTGGTGAAGAAAATGTACAAGTTGCTGTTACAAATGATGCCCAACAAGTAGATATCTATTATCAGCAATGCAATTCCACCTATCTTGGATTTCAGGATGGCCAAAACAACTATCCAGGCTATATTAAAATCTTTAATTCTCACAATTCTTCTCAATGCTTACAACGAGTTCCAGTTCGTAACAATCAAATTCTCATGACAGATTGTTCAAACGTTGATGATATCAATCAACAAGATCAATTTTGGAATTATTATCAACCTTATGGTTTGGTTTATCCGGTTTCTGTCACTGAAAAAAGGGAAACTAGTCTTGCTATCTCTCTTTCAGGAGGTACGAATGGCAATCTCATGGCCACTCTTCAAAATGATCAAGGTAATTATGATTATGCTCTGACTTTGTAGAGAAGAGAGTCAAAGATGATGTTGTATGTATGCACTCTCACTCAATCATATTGTCATTTATAGAAACGCATGCAGTCAAAGTACTGTTTCAGACTCTTGTTTGACTATACGCAATTAAGTACCGAATCTTTATCTCGTATCTGGCCTTTATGGAGAGGTCATATGATATCGCTCTTTCTTTGGTCGTGTCGACTTTGGACCCGGCCAGAAGAGGCCGTGAGAGAGATGCGCAGTACTGCGCACGCAAGTCCGAAGAAGGCATACACGGACACTTCCGGTCGTAAGCCAAAATTATGCAATATTCTACAAACAAGTGAGATTACTCACTTCGTCAATCAGAGCGGAATCAACATGGCTTGTCTGTGCCTCCGACCAAGATATGACGACAATATGTATAAGGGTATAAAAAGCAAGGTCTAGATTTAATCCTTGCTTTAAGAAATTCACCATCACCCACATCTTTTTTCTTGTTCATCCCCCAACATCATGTTTTTCAAACTCATCCTCCCGCTCTTATGTTTCGCGCAAGCTGTGCATAGTTCGCCGTCCCTCTCAAAGGATTCACCTTGCACGATTATGTTCAAGTAATGAAGAATACGGAATTTTGAGTTTAATATATGGTACATATGATGCCCTTTCATGGCCAATCACGTTTGGCACGTTCTCGCATGGCAGTGGTGAAGAGACAGTGCAAGTTGCAGTCACAGAGGATGCCCAACAAGTAGGAATCATCTACAAATAATGCAATTCCACATTTTTAGGATTGAAGTACGACGAGCAATATTATCCTGGATTGAATCCTATCAAGATCTACAATTCTCATAATATTTCTCAATGTTTGCAAAGAGTGCCAAGTCGAAACAACCAAATCATCATGACTGAATGCTCAGATGTTGATGACACTGACCAACAAAATCAATTTTGGGGTCAATATCTGCCTTATGGTTTCGTTGTACCGATTTCCGTTACCGATGAACAGGAGTCGGATTTAAGTATCGTTCTTTCGGGAGGCACAAGTGGTGATCTTTTAGCAGCACCTGGCAACGATGATCACTCTGTATTAGCTTTGAAGGTGTACTAGAGCAAGAAGAGCGAGTGATGTTGTTGGATGTATGCGCCTGCAATGAATACTGTAATCATTTTGAATTGCATACAGTCAGCGTGCTATTTAGCTTGACTCTGTTTGACTGCATAAACGCGCGCTAACATTTTTCGGGCCCGTTTTGGTGGTGTCGTTTGACATACGTACGTACGTCTTAAGAGGAAATCGACTCAGCATTCAATGCGGGGGGGGGGGATTAATCATGATTGAACAAGGTTACAATCCTATCCCTCTTCTCTCACATCAATATGTCATCCTCTTCACCAATCAAAGCAACATGTCATTGTGGCAACGTCGCAATCGAAGTACCACACAAACCAAAAGAAATTTGTGATTGTCAATGTACGCTTTGTCGAAGGTATGGTGCAGCATGGGGTTATTATAATCCAAAACAAGTCAAAGTTTCCCTCAAGCCTGAAGCAAGTACAAAAGCATACGTTTGGGGTGATAAAGAGTTGGAGTTTCATTTTTGTTCAAATTGTGGTTGTGTAACTCAATGGAAAACAATCAAAGAAAGTGAAAAGACTGGGATTAATACAAGATTGATGCATCCTGAACAAACAAAGTATATCAGTCGTAGGATAAGTTTTGATGTTTTGACTGTTCCTTTGAAGGACAAATCTTCTGCACATCCTGATGATCAGGCACAATATTGATATTGTATGCACTGTAAGCTTATCATCCAATTTATCTGTGAATGAAATGCCGAGATTCCAGATGATCGTCTATCCCTATCACATTCTCACGCTCGTCTTCAGATGCTAAAGTCTTCTTATTCCTCTCGGAAGGATTATTTTCCCATCGTGATCTCTTTTGTCATCGCTTTTGCCTTGGCATGACTTAAGAGGGCGTATCAAGCTGCTTGGCAGTCCGTCTTGGCGCCAGGGGTGACTGCACAGCACTTAAGAGATGTAATGCATTAAGCGTGAATTTATGCACTAAAAATATATATGACAGCCTTGACAAGGTTTATGACGCAAATTATCAGTCATGCAATGCTTTCTTTCAATGTCTTTTTCGGCAAATTCGCCTTGATTCTCTTCCTCTTCATTCATTCCGGGGTCTTTTGTTTTTCCCAAATCTTAAGCGAAGGGATTGATGATGCACTTACCAACAGGAAGGAACTTGCGGGGAAACAACGGGGGGAAAGATCTGAACAATGGGGCTCCATATAAATAAGAAGATAATGAAATGAATCCATTCTTCCCCCGTCCACCGGACAACGCAAAAATGGAAAACAAAGAAGAAAAAGATAAATCAACGTCTGATCCAAAGATCATGACGAATGATGTAGAATCAGATCAAGCACTCGAAACTTCATCTCCTAGCATTCAAGGTGACGAAGAAAAACAAGGTGAACCAAAAGCAGTAATTAATGCAGATTTAGAAAAACGTTTGGCAAATCCACTCAAACTACTCAGTAGAGAAGAAGTCCTGGAAAGAAGTAAACAATTTGCTCATTTGGTCGGTGAACCTGACAGTGTTGAGCTTTTCAACAAAGGTGCTCTTTTGGCAAGAGATCCGTTGTTGTATGAATCATTACCACTCTTGACCGATGCAGATCGTGCTGACATCAAAAGAGAAGAAACGCACAGATGGGATCATCCGAAGCAACTGTATGTCTTGGTTGTTTGTTGCTCTTTGGGAGCAGTAGTTCAAGGTATGGATCAATCGGTCATCAACGGGGCAAATTTATTCTTCCCTACAACATTTGGAATTCAAAATGAATCAACTTGGTTCTCGGGTATCATCAATAGTGCTCCTTATTTCAGTTGTGCACTCTTGGCATGCTTTGTTACCGAACCTCTCAATTATTACTTTGGTCGTCGTGGAACGGTTTTCATTACTTGTTTTGTCGCCTTTGCAACGTGTATCTGGTCAGCAGTTGCTCATACATACTGGAATCTGATCATATCCCGTGTAGCCTTGGGCTTTGGAATCGCTCCAAAAAGTGCAACTGTGCCAGTATATGCAAGTGAATGCGTTCCCTCTCAAATCCGAGGGGGTTTGGTGATGCAATGGCAATTATGGACAGCGTTTGGAATCATGTTGGGATACGTTGCTGATATTGCATTCTACAATGTTCCTGATCAATCGGGTATTGTTGGTTTGAATTGGCGTTTGATGTTGGGATCAGCCGCAATTCCTCCAATCGCAGTTATGGCTCTCGTCTTCTTTTCTCCTGAAAGTCCAAGATGGTATTTATCAAAAGATAAACATAGAGAAGCTTACCAAGCTATGTTGAAACTTCGCAAGACACCTTTGCGTGCAGCAAGGGATCTATACAGCGCCTATGAAGGTGTTTTGGCAGAGAGAATCCTGAACTCTTCACGGTCAAGAAATCGTCTGATAGAGATGGTTGTCTCTCCCCGCATAAGAAAGGGAGTCCAGTCCTCTGGATTTGTCATGTACATGCAACAGTTTTGCGTGGGTATCGATTCGTGCAATTGAGTAAATTCTCTGGTATACTGACATCTTCTTTCCCAACTTAACAGGGTATCAACGTTAATGCTTACTATTCCAGTACGATCTTCAAACTATCGGGAGCAACGGAGCTTGCAGCATTGGGTGCTTCGCTTGGATGGGGCTCTGTTAACTGGATAATGGGATTCCCAGCAATCTGGACAATCGACAAAATCGGTAGAAGAGGTCTTTTGCTGATCGGGTTCCCATTGATGAGTATCTTCTTATTCTGGACTGCATTTTCGTTCTATATCCAAGATCAGACTGCAAGAATTGCCATGGTCGCCTTAGGAACGTACTTGCATTGCTGCGCTTATTCACCCACGGAAGGACCAGTTCCCTTTACCTATTCATCTGAATCCTTTCCTCTTGCGCACCGAACATTGGGAATGACATGGGCAGTAAGCGTGTGCTGGTTCTTCAACGGAATTCTGTCGTTGACCTTCCCGGAATTGCTCGTCGCCTTTACGCCTACAGGAGCGTTCAGTTGGTATGCGGCATGGAACATCTTTGGATTCGTATACACCTACTTCCTATTACCTGAAACCAAGTCACTATCTCTTGAAGAGTTAGATGCCGTCTTCTCTGTTTCCAATCGCGATCATGCCAAATATTACTGGAAACGTTTACCCCACGATTTATCTTGGCTCGTCAAATTCGGAAAGAAGGAACCCTACAACGAATTCTTATACGAGCACGAAAAACTTACCCTAGAAGAACGTGAGGAACGTGGAGCCTTATTCGCGCAAGCAGCTGCTGGTCATTAGAACTGCAAAATCTATTAGATTGTACTGAGCTGTACATGTGATTTCTATATAACGAATTTATAAAGTATGATGAGATAATGATATAAAGAGGCTCTACTACCTTAGAACGATTTGAGAGGCTGGCCCTCCAATTTGGGATAACCTGCTTCGACGATGCCTTCTTTACCCTTTTCGCCCATGTTCTTCATCCAAGCTTGCATTGTTTGGTTAAAGTGTTCATGATCTTCTTCATTTGCTTGATCGAAAGGTTGAATCTTATTTCCGATTTGTTGCATTTGTGTGCCTGAAGCAACGTTTGTGATCATAAAGTTGTTCTCATCCAACAAAGTCTTTGTAGCAGCAACTGCTTCTCCACTGATCAACTTTTTGGGTAAATCAAACTCTTGTGTGACAGGTCTGCCCAAGCCGATACCATCAGTTGAGCCTGATTGAATAGCATCAATCATTCCTTTGGCAGTACGGAAACCACCGGTTGTCCAAATTGTGGATTTTTTAATTCCTTTACGAATGATTTCGCTGAATTCCAAGAAAAATGCTTCACGTTTGATTGTACTTTCACGTTTATGCGAGAATGCTAACTCTTCATACGTTCCACCCGAAAGTTCAATTACGTCAACGCCAAGCTTTTCCAAATGAGCGCAAACTTCTCTGCATTCTTCTGGTGTGAAACCGCCGGTTTGGAATTCGACTGAGTTGATCTTGATTCCCAAAATGAATGATGGGTCAGGAACTTGTTTACGGATCTCTTGAATGATCTCATAAATAATTCTTGCACGATTTTCCAATGAACCACCATACTCGTCTGTACGTTTGTTTGTTGTTTGTGCCAAGAATTGGGCTAGCAAATAACCATGGGCAGCATGCAATTGAACTCCATCACTTCCGTTATCATATGCATACTTTGCTGCAAATGCAAAGTTTTGAACAACTTCTTGGATACCTTCTTTGGACAGAGGAGTTGGTTTGCCGAACGAATGACCCATTCTGTCATCTAATTTGACATCCGAAGCAGAAACAGGGTTAGGGTTCAAGCCTTCTGCAACTTGACGTCCACCATGACTTAATTGAGTGAGGAACAAACTTCCTTCAGCTTTTGCGCCTGCGGCTAAACGTTGAAACGCTTTTGCACGTTCAGGTTGATCGGCAACACGTTTGTTCATGATTGGATTTCCTGGGCCTTCCAAATTGATTTCATCAACGATTGTATTTCCCGAAAGAACGATACCAAATCCACCCCTTCCCCATTCTTCATAAACACGGATCAAGCCTTCACTTGGAATTCCTCTCTTGCTCAAATCTTTTTGATCCCAACTTGATTGATATTCGGTCATTGCTCCTTTCATGAATCTACTCTTGGCAGTCTTGCCTGAGAAGGGTAGCTGGATCTTATCTCCCAAGATGGAAGGATCGCTTGGCTTTTCAGCCTGTCTTCTGATACTGATTGTAGACATATTTGAATGTAGAATGAATATTTGGGTTATAGATGGTAGCAAGAAGTGAAAGCAGATGACCTTTTATACCCATGTTGTCTTCTTCCTAAGGAGGGTTTCCCGTTCTTCGGTTGTAAGCTAAAATCCGAATTAGACCAAAACACTGGTACAGTGCAGCGCAACGCTTACGACCGTACCACAACGGCTTCACCGTACCGTATGAGTGGAGGTCTGACTGACTGACTAAATAGCGCGAAATAGAATTCCATCAAATTCTATCCGTAAATACACCTTGGAATGTTTTCATTCATTACTTGGTAAGGGTGATCCGAGATTCCACCGAGATTAGATGACAATAAGCCAGCTATACGATGAAGAATGCCAATTGACTGATACCTACAGTGTAAAGCTTATCTCTGGATTAATCTTACCTATCTTAAGGAATAGCCTATTCTATCTCCGACACCTCATCTATTTCCGAAAGTCACATGTCCTCCACATCAATGCCGATGATTCCCTCTTCTTCTCCATCACATTCTCAAACATGGCAAACGTAATCTTTATCACAGGTGGTGGGTCAGGAATCGGTAAAGCAACGGCAGAATTATTCTCCGAAAAAGGATATAGAGTCGTAATAGTTGGAAGAGATGGAGAAAAGTTAAAAAGAGCAGCAAAAGATGTTGAAGCAAAAGGTGGTGAATGTTGGCCAATCGCACTAGATATTGGAGATGCAAAAGCTGTTCATTCTTGTATTGAAGAAGTGGTGAAAAAATGGACAAAGATTGATGTTCTGGTCAATAATGCAGGTCTTGCACTTGGATCACCAAAACCTTTTCATGAGCAGACAATTGAGGATATTCAAACAGTGATCAATACAAACATTATGGGCACCCTAATGGTAACGCATGCTGTACTTCAACAAAGTATGATGAAGCAAGACAAAGGAGGACGAGGTACGATTATCAATATTAGTAGTATAACAGGATTAGAAGCTCCTCCGATGGGTGAAGCAACATATCATACCAGTAAAACAGCAATGGAAGGATTTTCCAATGTTTTACGTCAAGAAACGATTGGTTCGAATGTTCGTGTTTTGGTTGTTCGACCAGGCTTTGTTGGTGGAACGACAAACTTTCACGGTAATCGACTTAACGATAAAGAAGCTGAAAAGGACGTATTCGAAGGACTTGAACCTGTTTTAGAAACTGATGTGGCAAAAGCTGTTGAATATCTCGTTGATGCGCCCGAACGTGTTTCTGTTAAGGCTATTGATGTCGTCCCAACGGCACAAAGATCATTACCAACGGTTGATAGACAATGGAATGAACGTAATTCGGTTAAACAATGAAAGCAATCTTCTGACGGGGCGGGCGTTCATTGCGCCATAATACCGAATCGTTTAGTAAGGCACGAATGAAAGTAGGCACTGTGGCAGTGTGATTGTACCCGCATATGCGGCGCACAAGTTGGCGTTGGCGTGCAGATGAAGAGCGATCATTCACTTCAACGCGTAACAACACAGAGGTGCCATCCATACTAGACAACATCATATCAGTGATCTATCTCTTATACTCATGTCATGAACATGTCAAAAATTCAATGGCGTTCCCGATGGACTCTTTTCGCACCTTATCCGTGACATGTGTGACTCCAACGGTGTATTACGCCATCCGCAGCTGACAAATGTCAAAAGAAATACTTTTGCTTAGACTATAAAAAGGATATAACATTCCATCTTCACAGAACTTTACCCAATTCTACCTTCTTCCCTTTCATTAAATCTCTCTTCTTAAAGACCTGGGCTGGCCTCAGGCAAATAGCAATCGACTGGTCGAATTGCAACAACATAACGAATACACACTCTTTCAAAAACACAAAATGCTCTCTGCCCTTTTCAAAACGTTGATTGCCCTGGTGGCATTAACGTCTTTGTTAGCAATCATTCATGCTGCACCAGCTCCTTACCGAGTTCTACCTGGTGAAGAGCCACATCCTATCTACGGTCCAAATGGAATGGCCTTAAGTGAAAAGACCGTGATTCACAAACGTGAACCTTTCGTTTTGGAACCTGGAATGCATCCTTTGGAACATATGCCACCAGGAACAGTTGCAAAATTCACGGCACTCAAGCGTGATCCTTATGTCTTGGAACCTGGTATGCATCCTTTGGAACATATGCCACCAGGTACAGTCTCAAAAGTTACAGCACTTAAACGTGACCCTTACGTCTTACGCCCTGGAATGCGACCAATCGAACATCTTCCTATGGGTGCAACAGCTCTCAAACGTGAGCCTTCTCCACTCGTACTAACGGGTAATATGAAACCTATGGAGAACGTACCGAAAGGGATCCACATTCTGCGTCGAACACTATTCAAACCTGCTGATAATGCAACAAAGACGTTTGATGATGGTCAAAAGACTAAAGAAACCGATTTCAAGAACAAACAAAAGGATGATTCGACAAAAGCCACTGATCAATTCAAAAAGGATCAAGAAAAGAAGGATAATGATCAAATCCAAAAGTTACAAGATGATCAAAAGAAGAACAACACAAGTACAGCAGACGCACAAAAGCAAGTTGATGATTTGAAGAAGCAACAAGCGACTGATAACGCAAAGGATCTTGCTGATTTTAACATCCAACAAGATGAAGACAATAAGTCTGCTTTGGACACTTTTAACTTTGCACAGAAGCAGGATAAGCAATCATTTGACTTGAAGCACCAGCAAGAACTTGATGATCAAAAAGCACTTGACGAGCAAAAGAAGAAACAAGATGCTGCAAATAAGAAAGCCATCAGTGACCTTCAAGATAAGCTCAAGAAGGACAAAGTTAGTGATGCAGATGCTCAGAAGCAAGTTGACGATCTCAAAAAGCAACAAACGGATGCCAATGCCAAAGAAGTAGGTGATCTTAAGACCAAACAAAAAGACGCAAATGACAAAAAGGTAGACGACTTGAAGAAGCAGCAAACGGATGCAAAGAATAAGAAAGATGATGACGATTTAAAGACGTCCAATGATCGTAAGAAAACCACTGCTACCAAAAAGCTTAAAGATAAGCAAAGCGCACAGAACAAAAAAGCATCCGATGATTTACAAACGAAGCTCAAGAACGACAAAACGAGTGAGGCTGACATTAAGAAGCAACTGGATGATTTACGCAAAAAGCAAGAGGAAGATGACAAAAAGGCAAACGAAGATCTTCAAAAGAAGCTGGACGCTCAAGACAAGAAAGCCAGTGCTGATTTAGCATTCCGTCAAAAGCAGCAAAAAGCGATGTTCGATCTTAAATCATCCCAAAAAACTTCCGACGATAAAGCTTTGGACGATTTGAAGAAGAAACAACAAGATGCCAACCAAAAAGCCATTGACGCCCTCAAAGCCAAGCAAAAGTCTGGTAAGGTGAGCGATGCAGATGCTCAGAAACAATTGGACGACTTGAAAAAGAAGCAGGAAGATGATGACAAGAAAGCCAAAAGCGATTTGCAAAAAGATCAAGACACGAAAAATAAGAAAGCAGATGATGACCTTAAGCAAAAAAATGAGGATGCGTCAGGTAAGAAGGCAATCGATGATTGGAAATCCAAGCAAAGTGATGATGATAAAAAGGCACAGGAAGATTTGCAAACCAAGCAGCGTACCGATAATCAAAAAGCCGTTGATGATCTTAAAGCTAAGCAGAAGGCAGGTAAAGTCAGTGATGCCGATGCAAAGAAGCAGCTGGACGATTTAAAGAAACAGCAAGATCAAGCTGATAAAAAAGCTTCTGACGATTTAAAGAAACAACAGGATGATAAGAACAAAAAATCTGACGCTTTCCTTACGAATGCCCAAAAAGCAAAAGGCGATGCAAAGTCTGACGATCAAAAGAAGCAACAACAAGCTCAAGACTTTTTCAAAAATTTGTCTGGGATGAATCAAGATCAAAAAGATCAAGCTGCAAAATTCTTCAAAGCAAATGCCGATCAACAAAAACAACAACAGCAACAACAACAAACCTTCTTCAAGAATCTGTCACAAAACGATCAACAACGTAAACAACAACAAGATGATTTTTTCAAGAAGTTGGCCGATCAAAACAACAAGGACAAGGACCAAGACAAGGATAAAGATGGCAAGAGCAAAACAACTACCAGCACTTCCGCTACAAGCACCTCGTCTGCAAGTACTACATCTAAGAGCACTTTCGCCACTCCAAAGCCTACTGATCATAGAAACTGGCTCGCCGATATCTTCGACAAAGATGCCAAAGATGACAAGAAACCCTCTTCCACTTCATCGGATGACAAAAAGACTACTTCAACATCCACTTCTTCTTCCACCTCTTCTCCTACTGCTCATGTGAAAGCAAAGGCAACTACGGCTTCGCAAAAGACCACATCGACAAGCACAAAGGATTCTAACACGCATCATACACCTTCTCCGACCCCATCTCCAGCTTCGCATTCGAAAGACGATGACAAGGATTCAAAAACATCTGACGATAAGAGCACAGATGACAAAGACACATCGAGCAAAGGCGATGATGACAAAGATAAGCGATCATTAGTCTTCAAGAGAGATTTCTCATAAATTGATCATATTATAGGTCGTTCCCGAATTTGTACAGATGAAATAAATACGATTGCTATAAAACCTCGAACTGTGTGAGAACCCTTGCGTGATTACTCTTCTTCTTGAATGCCCTTGCGTAAGATGCGGACTTGATTTTGTATCTCTCTCCAAAGGACGTATTTGTTCAATTCCTCATCATCGTCGCTGTCATCATCATCAGCCAGACGCAACCAGTCCGAGTCGGTTTCTTCTACATTGAACTCTTTTCTTGCCTTACTTGTAGATTGTTCTGTAGTACTTTCTGGCTTTTGTCGTGCGATAGCCAAAAGAGAGGCAACAAAAGCTTCTTGCATGTACGCAAAGCTGAAATCGTTTGTGATTCGTGCAATTGCCGGACAAAGTTTATCCGGGAATTCAATGCTCTTGTTATCCTTCAACTTGCGTTGCCAAAAGTGTGCATACAACTCACGCTCCTTCTCGTTTGGATTATCAAAAAAGTACTTTCGATCAAAACGAGAAGGTCTTTGAGAGATACCGGGATCAAGTCTGTCAAGATGATTCGTACTGCCGAGCATCATGATTCCATCATTGTCCTTCAAGCCATCCACTTCGTTCAAAAAATAGCTTCGAATACCTTCTGTGATAATCGTATCCAAATCTTCAAGGATCAAATAACAGGGTGCCATTGCTCTAGCTTTCTTGAAAATTTGCTTGACAGAATACTCCGGTCCGGCGTATGAGACCAGAGAGCGCACATAAAGTGTTGGGATCGGGTCAGATAGCGTGTAGAGAGTGTGCATCATCGCTTTGATCGAGATGGTTTTACCATTGCCTGGAGGCCCATGATATATAATACCTCGCTTCCATGGAACTTGAAGACTTTTATACGTCTCACGAGATCGGAAGAAGGATAAATGATCATCAATAATCTCTTCTTTTCGTTTTTCATCCAAGATGACACTGTCCCAGGAGGCATGAATGAAGCTGTTGTACAGTTCACTGCTCTTGCTCCAATAGCCTTGATCGTATTCCCATACTTGACCATGCAGCTCATTTGACCAAGTACCAGCTGCTTGTACCAACTCTAATGCCGCTTGTTTATCCTTTGTCAAGACGAAAATCAGTTCTTGTTTCGGATAGGCGGATGTCCCGTCACGTCCGTCGATGTAGTAGACAATGAAATCGTTTGATTGCCATTGATATGCATACTTTGCTAATTGAAGTTCAACACCCAAAGAACCTGGCTCTGTTCGATGAGCAGGTGCGAGGTATCTGATCAAGCTTAAGGAAGTTGGCGTTAATTGTCTTCTTGAATGATCTTGTAAAAGTTGAAATTGTGCAAGACCGGTTTGTTGTGCAAAATTGATCAGGTTACAGTTATCCGCCGTTACGACAACTTGTTCCAATTTTGGATATTCTTCTTTGAGTGCAGCCGCGATCACTGCTTGCGTACTTACTCGTGATCCACTACAATGATCAAAGTATGCGTCAAATGCTTCATCAGTTTGACTGCGTATATTGTCTTGTGTTGTGCCCATCAATGGGAGCAAATTTTGATAGATGTTTGTCTCTGGCTTCATTACGATGTGTTTGCTATGAAAGGATTGCAATGATGGGTGTCATGAATGGACAAGTTGTTGCCCGTGCGAATGAATGACTATATGTGCTGTGCATGCTCAGCAGACAGGCGCAACGCCACGCTAAACAATGCCCTGCACTCCTCACGCCCTGCAGAATTAAGCTCACAATAAATGCAGCCACAACGGTTGGACCCCTAAAATTGGATAAATGCTTCATTGCTGCAAGCTTTGGATTGCATTTTGCAACTGTTCATCTTTTATATCCTTTTGCAAGCATTCAACAATAGCTTGCCATACTTGTGATGAGATATTATTGCCTTGTTCGTCTTTGATCTCATTTGGTGTGAAATCTTTCAATTCATCATGTTGCCAAAATTTACCATGTGAATCAGGGCCCTGTAATAAACCACTTACATAAGATCGACTTCCTTGTTCGGCAGATCGTTGAAACAACGTTGAAAAGATGGGCTTTGTTAGATATCCGAGTGGGATCTCAAGCTCTCTGGATAAATCTGTTGCTACCATACCAGGTGAGACAAAATTGACGATTACTTCATCTCGTGAGATAAGGCCTGCAAGATGGGAGATCGCATACATCATCAATAACTTGCTTCGACCATATTGCGCAAAGGTGCTGAAGCTCTCGTTTTTTGGATTGTACGACTGAAGAAGCCCTCCAGCTTCTTTTTGTTGTTCGTTTGTATTGAAGTGTTGTCGAAGATATAAGGCTGAGGTGATGAATTGCAGTACAGGTGTGTCTGTGTCTGCTACGGACGATGTTGCCCTAAGTTTTGGTAGCAAAAGAAGACCCAACAAAATGGTAGAAAGCGTATTGACCTGCAGTGTTTCTTCCCATCCATATTTTGACGAATTTGCCTGCTTTTTCATCACAGCAGCGTTCAAGATTGCAGCATCTAAACGAGGTAATTCATTGTTGATTTTTCGTGTGAATGCGATGATGCTGTCATAATCTGTCATATCTAGCATCCAAGTATCAATCCTAGATGTTATTTTGGTGTTGTGAATTGCCTCTTGTATGCGTTCCTTTGCTCTTTTCCCTCGATCTTCATCACGTACCGCTAAGATGAGATGAGAAGTGCCCAGCACAGCCAGCTTCTTTGCTGCCTCAAATCCTAATCCAGATGAAGCGCCTGTCACAATGATTGTCTTGCCTGCTAATGATCTAGTGGGGTCATGTAGATTTGTCAACCATTTTGATCTCAAAAGTGACAGCACCATCTTTTCCAATGATGTTGATGATGAGAAGAAGAAGATTAGTGGAGCAACAAACGCGTCTTTTTCTTCTTATCCCCGGGTAAACCATTAATCCTCTTAAACCCGCTTCACCATAACTTTGTCTTTTGTCCGACTTTTGAGTACGCCAGACTTTTACCATAACTTGCGGTAGACTTCGCATTACTCGCTGCTGCTTGCGCATGATTTCCCTTTTTTGCAGCTTGATTAGCATTGACTCTGTGAATTTCACCATGAATAAAATGTTTATCTGATTCACGATGAACAGTTGCTCTTAAACTATTTTTTATCTTGTTCGGTGCATCGTGTACCATATTGCTGATCTTTTTACCAAGACTTACTTTTGGTTTTGGCATCGTTTCCGGCATATTTATTGGCGTAGAAATAATTTCAAGAATATTTATGATTAGCAGAAAGACAAGGAAGGCTATCCTTATACGAATATAGTATAGATTGACCATTTGTATACTCTCTTGAAACTCTATTTCGCAGTCCAGCTGCAATCTGATTATTGGTCATGATGGTGGGGTGAAGATTTGCATTTTCCCGAGCGATTTGTGTCCCACAACTCATTCACGAAGTTGTATAAGACGGCGTTCAGCGGGGCTGGGGCGTGCAGAAAGAGAAAGCCGCACTTGATCACCCTAAGCCCTTTTCGCATGATGCCAAACTGTCTACTTTGCCACCGCCTCTCATCTAGGAAGTACTCAGCCACACGAACTCTGAAAGACAGTATTGCCACATCTTTCTATCTATGACCGCGTAAACCGGGTATACGAAAGGTTGTATCTCTTACTTTCTTGGCAGCAATAGCTGTATGACCTACTCCAATTGCCTTTGCATAGCTCACTTGAGATTTAGCATAATGCTTTTTATATTGAGCTTCATTCGCTTTTTGCTCTTGAGCAGTTTTCTTAACTACTCCACCTTGATCGACATAACTACGAGCAGTTGCTAAATGAAGATCACCTTTATAAAAGTGATCATCGGCTTTGTTCGCCAGTCGATCGATTCTTGGATTCCATTTTTCACTATGTTTCTGCGCTTGTTGTTGAGTTGCCGAGGTACGATAGTGTATCTCGTCTTTTCCCTTTTGCACCACTCCTTTTACATTATTCATCACCTTTTTAGCTCCTGTGTTCACGCTATGGGCTGCATTCTTCAACGGTTTCATAATTTGTGCTCCAATATTTTGTTGGCCTGCTATTGTGTTCGCTGGCCTCGATAAAAGGGCGGGCAAAGCAATTAAATGAAGAATGAGACATGGAAAAAGCAAACGTATAAAAGTTGCCATTTAAGATATCATGGCAGTCCAGCTGCTAAATATGGTATATTTGTTTGATTTGAGTTTTGAGGCTCGAATAAAACGAGATGACAGTGAAAAGAAAGGGGCAAGAAAAATACCAAGTCTGAATTTATACTTTCAAACAAATCGAGTGTAGTGCGGTGAAAAGCGGGGAAACAATAAACAGAGGATAAGATTTATTGTTCGGACTACATAATCAATGATTGGGCGCAGGTCACGGGGCTATCTCGCAACGAGGTCGAACTTTCGGAGCGCTCACGGTGTTAATAGCCATGTACGCCCCAGTCTAGTCGTTGAACATACTGCTAAAGCAACCGTACCAGCTAGAATCAGGCGCACTTGCACTGGGACAAACTTTTGTACCTAAGGAAACGAAGAGGAAGAAGTCAGTGAAATGACTAAGGAGAAATAAGACAATACATACCTTGACGAGCAATCAAGCTACCGCAATCCGGGTTACTGTAAGGACTGTTACCTTTGCTGTTTGAAGCACATCTGACAAGTCTAGAGATGAGGAGAGAAATTGATGTTAGTGATTACTCCAAACAGTCTTCACATCAGTGTGAGCTCTACTTACTTTCCACAGGGAGAAGGTGTATTGCTATCATACATGCACGGATTTGTGCCTGCCGGTGGGAAACATGTTGCACCTCCTCTTGCCGCACAAGTGGATTCATTAAAGCATCCTGGGGTGCGTTTCTTATTTTTTGTTTTTGGTGGCAATTGAAGTGGTTCGCTTGCTACATATGTTACCAAAAAGGTAAACAAGATGAAAAAAGCTGCAGTGTTTTTGTTAAAGAACATTGAATAATTATCAAAAATGAAAGATAGAATGGGAGGAGGGAGCCAGACGAATTTAGAGTTTTTGAGCGGTTTTATACCTTTGTCAAGATGCTTAAAGAGTTGAATCGAGGATTCTTAGCAGGTCAAGATATTTTTTCATTTTATGGTCATTAGCTAGCTCCTGGAATGTCATACCATTACCGCCAAGGGTAAGCTATCTCAAGTTGTTGTCGCGGTACAAATATGCTATTATGCTAGGGGTCTGAATGCTTTATTGATGGGTGGGTTACAATTGATCGAGAAAAGCAGTCAAAAGCCGTTCAGATCTTCAAAATCGAGACACGTGCAAAATTGAGAAAGTGATTGCAATCACTGAATAGTCGTAATGACATCCTATGCATGGTGATGTTGTGGCGCAGCGCTTTAAATGTTAATGGTGCCTGATTGTTTCTTGTGACAGTTGCAGTGCCTCCCGCGTATTCAGGCTCAATGCTTCCGAACAATAAAATAGGAAAAGGGTGTGGAGGGATGCATTGATGCTAAACGGGAACAATGGCTGTCCGTATAGCATACTTCCCTACCACCATCAAACAATCCATCATGGTCAATTCCAACTTGATCATATCTCGTTGGCCAGATGCATTGCTGGTTGCTTTAACGGCAAAGGCTTTCATCGGTCATTCATCTTGGGCTTATACTTGGATCGTTTCAGGTGCGGCTCCCTTAAGTTATATTCTCTTATCCGGAGAAGTACAACATCCAAAAGCAAGAATATTAGCTTGGGCTCCTATTTGGCTTTTATTGGTTTTGATTAACTTGGCAGAAGCTGCAGCTTCAACTTCTTGGTTATTCTTTGCAATCTTCACTTCCCTCTGTTGGCCTTTGGTCTTCCTTGCAAGTTTATTCCAATGGCATTTCGTTGCTGAATGGACGAGAATCGGTTTGAGAAAAGTATTGCACTTCGTTCATTTCGCTTCAGACACAATCGCTCTGTTCGATCTACCCGCTTTGGAGATCGATGTAGACGTGGCAGGATTGATGGTGATCAGAGGTGTAAAGTTATCCCTTTCAACTTTGACTTTGACCGCATACGGAATCGAAGTAGGCATCAAGCTTTCAGATGATCTAGAATTGGCATTACAAACAGACAAAGTTACCGTTGCTCTTTTCCGTCGAATCGAAATCGATCCCGTATATGGAAATGTGAAAGGAGGTGCATTTGAACAAACATTTGCTGAATTAGAGGGAGATACTCGCTCACCCGATGGTCAAGTGCTGATGGATGAAAACACACCTCTACTCAAAGCGGCAAGCAAGGCAGTAAGAGATACAAAAGATGATTCTCTTTCACCACCTCCATTGCCAGCTAGAAGCAATACAGTACAATCACCAGAGATTTCTTCAGTTCCTCCTCCTTTGCCAGCAAGAAGTAGTACAAGTGTGGTTCCTGTGCAGGATAACGATCCTTTAAGCTCTGGTACTGATGCAACATTGGTCAGTGGAACTGACAACGAACTTCACCGCACACCAACAACGCTTTCCGACACTTCCACCGTCCAAAGTGCACCTGATCGTGTTGCAGATTGGAGTGAAGATGATGAAAGTCATTGGTCAAATCCAGGAAAGACGACAATGGCAGACAAGATGACTGATGGATGTGCACCTGAAGATGCTGGAGTAAAAGAAAGTGTTGAACAAGCAACTTCTGTTTTGGTACATGAAGAGAATGACAGTGAAATGGCTAGATTGGAAAAGATTATCAAAGGTATTGAAGAATCAAGCGAGGTACGCAAAGCAGATGCAAGTGTTAGACGTTTGGTAGAACGTAAAAAAGACAGCGATCCAGAAAATAAAGTCAATTTGGAAAATGATAGACATGTTCGAGCAGCAATTTGTTCGCAATTACACAGAAAAGCGTCCATTCAACATGCTCCTAAACACTCGGTTCGGGTTACAACTTTGCAGCAATTAGCACCACCTTGGGTCTTACGTTTATTCCGTCGCTTGCCTCTTCTTTTACGTCTCTTACTCAACCCGATTGCATACTTTCATCCAATTCGCATCGAAGCAATCACTATGGGAGCATCTGGTCGTTGGATGCAGAGTATTTTAGGAACGGAAATGTTTAAAGGTTATGCAGATCGTAACACAGATATCGGAAAATTACGTGATCGAATGTTTGAGTGGTTGAGCGACGCAAACTTTGTTGTGGGTTTGAATGACTTCACTGGTCAAGGCTTGGTACCTGTCGATACGGATAATGACATCACTTGTCGTATGGCAGTTGAAGAAATCACACTGTATCGAACAGTGCCCCGTCAAGCCAATCTGAAAAAAGCAGTTCAATTAGGAGGAGCAGATTCGACCGTAATGGTGCCATCTATGCTACTGCCACATCATGATCACCTCTTACCATCGCAAGATGATCGCAGCAAAGCAGAAGAGAAACATCGTCAAAAGATTCGACGATCTGATTCAGCTCCAAAAGCTGCACAAGAAGAGAGGTTACTCAAAAAGAGTATGCGTGATGAAGTTAACTGTCAAATTTCCGTTCATGTTCGCTTGCCTGCTTGTTTCGATCAAGATTTACTCAACTTTATTTCTGCTCTGGTAAAAGCGAGCAAAATTATCGAATTTGAAAAAGCATACGAGGAAGTAACTGAAACCCAAGTGAGAAGCCTGAAAGATTTCAAGAATCTAGTCAATACCGGTTTACGTGAAAGTGTCAAAAAGGTTACCGTTAATGCGGCTGCCAATGATCGTTGGATTGCAAAAATGGTTGGAAAAATAACGAAAAAATTGGAAAGTGCACATGGAGATGTAGGATATGCTGGAGCGATTCCTGTTTCCCTTAAACCTTATCGTGAAGCAGCCGTTCCGGGAGAAACAAAATTATTACCTTAAAGAAAAAACAACATTTGGATACCCAACAAACTTTGTAGCATAGTTCACTTTATACGAACAATTTTATTCATTTGGCATGCTCATCTATAGCCTGTGAGAAATCATCGATGAATGTCCATCTGTACTTGTTCGCTAAATCGAGTTCTTTCCAATCATTAATCTTGTTTGGGAATTGCGGTAGATGACCTCGCAACGTTCGATCATGTGCTAAGATGATAAAGACATCTTCGGTGCTGTCTAACTTTCCTATTCCCCTCAATGTGGAGAGTGCGTCTTCTTTATTTTCACATAACCCTTCTGTTGGATCATAGAATGGTTTGCTTTTCCCCTTGTCTTCCGGTTGTAAGTTCTCCAAGATACTGCAAGGACATGATGTTTGACTGAAGTGCTTGCTGGATGGTACTTGTACCGTTTCTGGTAAGCTTCTGAATTCGTTTGGTCTAATTTCTCCACCATGATGAGCAGCATCACCGCCCATAAAGACAAATGTTGAAGGTGTAACACGAGCAAGGCCAGCAATATGACCGGGAGCATGACCTGGAGTGTAGAGTAAATAGAACGACTGATCGCCAAAATAATCAAAGCCATCGAAATCACCAATTTTTATATTTCCCCGTTTCGCATCTTTCATATCAATTTCAATCAATTCACGATCTTCCCACATTTCCGATGGGATCGGACTTTCTGCATCGGCTGGATAACCGGGTAAAATTCCTTTTTTGAATCCTGGCCCGACGACTAATGAAGTATGCTTTGGAAACTTTTGTGGATTGCCTGTATGATCGAAATGATGATGTGACCAAATGATCGATTCAATATCTTTTGGTTTGGGTAAAGAATCATCCTTTGATTCTTCCAAGATGTCAGCAACATCTTTTTCCACTTCAATTGTACAAATTTTACTCAATCTATCCGAGAGATGTTTCGGATAATTTGTCTTGTGATCTGTTCGAATCCCCAAGTCAAACAAGACATGTCTATCTCCAGTACTATTTGTGACCAAAAACGAGAATGCAGGACAATTTAAGTCTTCATGTCCCTTTATCGCAGGTTCCATAAACAGCTTAGTGGGTATATGAATGGTTGACGTTGAATCGATCAACCTCACCGTTGAGACTGCATCAGAAGGTGGAATATGAAGAGCATTCGTAGGTACGGAAGTCATCGTGATGGTGATTGATGGGAAGTCGTACGACAACCTAGCATTGCAATCAATAATGTGGAAATGTTCTCGGATTTAAGCTATGATTATGTAATCTGTCACCGGAGAAAAGAAAGCGCGGCAATTGGAACAAGAATACGTCAATGCGTTTGTGCATACATCTCCGACTTATTACCGCTACTGGTTTGATGCCTCAATGTCAACGACTTGTGTGCGGATTTAAGACCCAAGTGGAGTCCAGCTTAGAGCGGGCGGGGCTAAACAACCATCAACGGTTAATTGTGTGTACCATTAACAACAACACAGATGATAGAGCATCTTTGCCGAATCCAAAATAGAACACGGCACAGATGAAGGAAGAAGTGCCACCTTCCCGAGAGCGGATTTAGAGCTATAACGACTAGAAGGGTATGCTTCAAAGACAGGTGTATAACCTGCAAGGTTCATTCATTTTCTTCGTGGCGAAAAGTAGGTGGAGAAGGAAAGGGTATATATAATACAAGTCCACAAACAAGATTCCCTTCTTTTTGACAATAACAATTACTCAAAATGGCATCTACAAGTACAATCCCAACTCGCCAATTCGGCAAAACAAACGACAAAGTCGGATCGATCGGTTTCGGTGCAATGGGTTTAGCAGCCTTCTATGGTGCTCCAGCCGATCAATCGACCGTTGATGAATTATTGAACGAATGCTTGAAGCGTGGAGTAACGATGATCGATACAGCCGATATTTATTCTCCATTAAGTTCGGGTAAATTGGGTTATAATGAACAACAAATCGGTCAATACCTCGCCAAACATCCAGAACAAAGAAAAAATATGTTCTTGGCTACCAAGTTTGTCAACACTTTCACTCCTGAAGGTTTGAAGCAACGTGGTGATAGAGAATACGCTCACTCAGCTTGTGCTGACTCACTTAAACGTTTGGGCGTTGATCAAATCGATTTATACTACGCACATCGACCTGCTCCTGATACCGATGTCACAGAAACAGTCGGTGCAATGAAGGAGTTGAAAGACCAAGGCAAGATCAAATATATCGGTGTATCTGAATACAACTTGGATCAACTTGAACGTTCAAACAAAGTTGCACACATTGATGCTATTCAAATTGAAATTTCACCTTGGACACCAGAAGTTCTTACAAACGGAATTCTGGCATGGTGTGAAAAGAACGGCACAGCAGTCGTTGCTTACAGTCCTTTAGGCCGTGGTTTCTTGACCGGTCAATACAAATCCGTTGACGATTTCGAAGAAGGTGATTTCCGTCGTAACAACCCACGTTTCACCGGAGAAAACTTTGAAAAGAACTTGGAGCTCGTTCGCGATATTAAGAGTATTGCAGACAAGAAAGGTGCAACACCCGGTCAAATTGCTTTAGCTTGGGTTTTGTCCAAATCACCTTTGATTGTTCCAATCCCAGGTACAAAGAAGTCCAAATACTTAAAGGAAAACATTGATGCTGCTAACGTCAAATTGAGCACTGAAGATATCAAGGAGATCGACGGTGTCATCAACTCATTCAAGGTTAGCGGAAGCAGATACCCTGAAGCTATGGCAAAGGTTCTCGCATTCTGATTCCATTTGTAGAGAACGGAAAGAAATAAAATGTGATGCTTACTTCTTGAGAATTGATTGTGTTCTTATAATTTGCAAGTACCATTGTCCATTGTTTAAACACGGAGCCGTTTCGGTGTTGCTTTCGTTGCAACAGAAAATTGAAAAAAGGTACAGCGCTAGTACCTGAAAGCCACAATAATTCACCCTTCATACTAACGGATATGTCCGCTTGCTCAGCACATAGAACCGAACGTACCCCACTTATTCCCCATCCCTTCTTCTCACCATCATCTTTAATCTCGTACAGGATGGCTTCCACCGGAATCATCCCTACCCGCTCCTTCGGGAAGAGCAAAGAACAAGTAGGTTGCATCGGTTTTGGAGCAATGGGTTTGGCCGCATTTTATGGAGAGCCTGCCGATCAACTAACAGTTGATGAGCTATTGACACAATGTCTTAGTCGAGGCGTGACGATGATTGATACGGCAGATATGTATTCACCTTGGGAAACGGGAAAGTTGGGCTACAATGAAGAACAAATTGGACGATTCTTGAAAAAATACCCTGACCAGCGAAAGAAGATGTTTTTGGCTACAAAATTCGTTAACTACTTTACTCCAGATGGCGGAATGAAACAAAGAGGTGATCGTGAATATGCATTTTCTGCATGCAATGATTCCCTGAAGCGATTAGGTGTTGAACAAATCGATCTGTATTATGCTCATCGATCTGTACCTGGCACAGATGTGACAATCACTGTTGGAGCAATGAAAGAGTTACAAGAACAAGGCAAGATCAGGTACATCGGGGTATCGGAATATAACCTAGATCAACTTGAACGTGCAAACAAGGTTGCTCACATTGATGCAGTTCAGATTGAAATTTCACCTTGGACGCCGGAGGTACTTACGAATGGTATATTAGACTGGTGCGAAAAGAATGGAACGGCTGTGGTTGCCTATAGCCCACTTGGAAGAGGATTTTTGACAGGACAATATAAATCACCAGAAGACTTCAGTAAAGATGATTTTCGTGCAAGCCATCCTCGCTTCACAGGTGAGAATTTCGCCAAGAATCTAGAACTTGTTCGGGATATCGAAAAGATTGCAAAACGGAAGGGTTGCCAATCTGGTGAGATTGCATTGGCTTGGTGTTTATCGAAGTCGCAGCTCATCATTCCAATCCCAGGCACGAAGAAGCTCAAGTACTTGAACGAGAACATCAATGCTGCCAACATTCATTTGAAAGTAGAAGACGTCAAAGAGATCGACAGCATCATCAACTCTTTCAAAGTGAGTGGAGAAAGATATGCTAATCCTCAATCGCTAGCATTTTAATCAAGCTGAGTAGGTAAAGTCCATGGAATTCAAGAGAGATATACCGATATGCTACAGATTCAAAGGGATGCTACATTGTCTATCATGAAAAAATGTGCAATTGCGGCACAATCATGCCTCAGAGTAGCCGAACAATGCCAAATTGACAGGCACGGGCGTATCGAGCGGATGAACAAAGACCAAATCATTGCCTTGTGAAACGTTTTGCGAAACAGCAATGGGCTTATCATTGGTGTATTGGTAATCGTTTGGGTTTCCCGTTAATTCAAGTTCAATATATGCACCTAAATCTGAATCATAACCGGGAGAAGCTTTGAACCATTGATTGTACAAATTGCCGCCATTGTATGATTCACAATCTTGGATTTGCAACAAAGACCAATTATCGTCTGAAGGGATTGCAGTAACACATTTTGTGTTTGAAACATCCGTGATCTTCAATTGACCAAATAATTGACCATCAACATTCCAGCCATCAGTTTGACAAGTATCAAATTGGAATCTGCTTGGGGAGCTGTCCACTACATCTGGATTGGTTGTAAGGTAATTGTTTCCATCAGTCGTTTCGGTGATTGGGTCATTTGGATCACCTGCTTGTGATCCTTTTCCTCCGTGCAAGTTTGTGATGCGTAAATCACCACCTCCGTACGTCTTTGTACATGTGATACCTGAACGTTTGACTGGTGTGGCAGATGTGACAGAAGCCAAGGCAATTGCCATACCTACGATTGCGGTTGAGAATTGGAAAACAGATTTCATCTTGAATTTGGTGTTGTTGCTGAGAAGTGAGGAATTGTTTGGACAAGGGTTGATTTTGACCCGCTTTAAATACCTTTCATGTCAATCAAAAATCTTCCAACATCATCGCCTTAGCACCGCCTTGGTATTGTCAGGAACGACTAGTGACGGAGACAAGTACATAAAGTGACAGCATGGCTTATTCTTGGCAAAGATCGGATCACAGATATTTCATTGACAGAGATGGTATGCACCATGTCCGTTACAATCATACATCCAGCATAGCCATTGCATAAACACACACAGACATACCAACGCGGACCGCACGCACGCATGAAAGATCAAATTAGCGTATCGCTCTCTCGGACTTCCATGTCTTTGGGCGTAAAATAAGAAACATCAACACTTATGTCTAATAATCGTTTTATCATCATACAGGTGACCAAGAGCCAGATGATATTAATATAATCAAAGCTAAGACGGACTACGGGAATACAATGCGAGCGTGGAAAGAACATAAACGGGATACCGAGAGCAAGAGAAACTTTAAGCAGCAAGGACACCTTTGAAATTACTAAAGAACTTCTTTTTAGGTTTCTTGACAGTACCATTGGGCGTGTTTTCAGTTTTGTAATCGCTCACTTTGACGAAATCTGATCGACGATTATCTTTCTCCAATACGCGAGAGGATGGGGCAGTCTTTGCAACGTACGGTTGTTCATGGTTTACCTCTGTCTTGCTGCCAGTGCTGAGGTTTGGTGAAGGATTAGCTGGTGCTTCTGTGACGGTATCTACTTGTTGATAAGCAGGAGCGGTGGTATCGTAGATCAGCTTGTTATCCTTGAAACCTGTTGGCTTTGGTGGTAAATCATCCATGGTTGACCAATGACCCCAACTTCCGTGTGCAATCATTTCTTCCGTATGTTTTTCAGCAAAGTCGACCGATGCACCTGCTTCGATTTCTTGTAATTCACGAACCAAAGTCTTTTTACATTGACGTTGTCCAATGATTTGTCGTACTTTTGTACCATCTTTAAGATGATATCTCCATTGAATAATACCTGGGTTGGTCAAGACTAAATCACCATTACGATGATGAACAGTCTTTCCGCGCCAAAATGGCTCATAATCAAATTGAGAAATTCGTAAACGCTTAGCCAACGTTCTGCGTTTCTCGTTCAAATCATGTGTCACTTTTTTATCACCACCTTGAGTGGCAGAGATCCAATTACGGGTGACTTCTTCAAATGCTTCGGTCAATTTCATGTGTTGTGACCATCTTGCTTCACGATCACGGTCGTTCAAAGTTGAATCATTTTCACCTTCTTTCGGATCATTCCAAACGAACTTTTGATCAACGTCACCACCAACAAACTCCAACAAACGATCTTCGGGAATGTTTTCTTGCAAATCTTCAGTGGAAGAGGTGAACACAACCTTTGAACGTACTACTGGATCGAGTAATCCTTTGACCAATTGCCATGCTTGCTTCAAGATCCACGGTGCATTGTGCAGGTAGAGCACAGCCAAGCATTCTGGGAAGTAAGATTGCAAGCATTGCAGCACGTACAAGAAATTTGGCATGTCTAAACTTTGTGGACCAAAACCAGTGCAGTCGAACAAGATAACCATCTTGTCGTTTGGTGGAACAAACAACAAACGCCAAGATTCCATTTGACAGATGATGAACTTTTTCATCGAAGCTGAAGGTTGACCCCAGATCAAATGTTTCTTAAAGTGAACGTAACAGACTGGTTGCTCATGAACGTTGCAGCCCATAGCATACACCTTTCCGGTTGCTTGCTGATCGATATATTTGGGGATCTCTTTATCGTTGAAGAGGTCACCATTATGACTCATATGATCGACACCTGTATCCAAACGCCATTTCAACGTGCTTGCCATCATTGCAGTTGCACGATCAACATCCCATTTACGTGCACGCAAGAAACGCAACATTGTCGTATCAGGATGATCGGATTGACATAAAGACCAAAAAGTGTTTCGAAGAGCTTCAGGTCCGTAAGTTGATAAAAGTTTTTCCATATTACCTTCTTCCATTCGTTTTTGTGCTGAATCTTTTGCAGAATCATCACGATCGATTCCGCTATTCTTTACAGCATTTCTTGCTGCACTGAAACCGCCCATCTTCTTTTCGACTGCATCAGTATCTACTCCCCAATCTGTCACTTCACCAGCATTTCCTTTTGACTTTGTACCCGTTGCACGATCACAAACCGAAAAGAATGATTGCCATAATTGTTGAAGCTTTTCATGGTGGGAAGGCGTAAGGTTGCCAACGTAACCTTCTGGCATTCGTACATTTTGTGCGGCTAGAAGTTTGAAGATTGGTTAGTATAAGATACAAGAGTTTATGGAATTGCAACACTCACAAATCTCTTCGTAGCCATCGTTAGCTAGTGCGGACGTCATTGTGATATAATATGTGTTGGATCAATAGGGAGAAAGGATGGTTAGGTATTGACGAAATCCTCAGCTTCGTGAATCTAGTTAGCCTTATCTCGATCTTTTATACCTTTTTGCTTGAGCATATGATCATCTTTGGAAGTCACAATTATCGTTCCTTTCGCTAGACAAGTCAGCCGGTAAAAGATACACATCCTTAATCAATTCATCTTCTGTTCATTCTTCAACTGATACTAAAGCATTAGGAATCTCAAGGTCCTTCTCAAAACAGTGAACATCAAGGAATATGAGTGAATTGATCAAGACGGTAGCGTAGATTTTTAACTTAATTGAGGCAAGACCCATACTCTGTTCTTATGATGACGTAGAAGCAAAAGAATGCACTTTGACCGTATCCAACCAAACGCGGGGTAGGTATATAACGGGAAAAGAGAATCAACTCGGATCAAACAATCAATCGACGCTAAGGCCTTCTGCTAAAGCCAGGGACGCATACAAACCGTTGGCTCGGCATAAAGCATACGCTATAGAAAACAGGATGACTACCGGTAAGTACACTTTCCGGTAATCAGAAGGGGCTTAGCGCCAAAAGTGTATGAATGACAACTTTAAAGCTTTCTTCCCCAGAAAAAGGGTAACTCTGTACATGCGACTTATAGATCAATTTCCCCGCATACTTAATCTTCTCACCAGGTCCTCTTACTCCGGAATCTATTATGACCGACAATGAACATCTTTGCGATCGTTTCAATGCACGGTCCTTGGATGAAAGATGGAGAAGAATTAGGAGGATAGTATAAAAATGCTTTTGTTCTTCCTTTCAGACAACCGATCAATCCATTTGATTGTATAAATCATACAAGATGGTGATCGAACTAACACTCGATAATACTCCTTATAATCCAACAATCACCAAGATTGCTCCGATTGTGACAGCATTGACTGTCCACCTCTTGGTTCAATTCAAAGAACCTTATGCTCATCACGTAGTTGTCATTCTCGCAGCAAGCTGGTTTGCTTTAGCAAGATGGATTACAGATTCATGGCACATTACAGCTTATGAAGCAAATGGAGTGGTTTCAAATATGTTTGGTATCTTTTTGGCAACTCTGTTCACTTCAATGTCAATTTATCGTGTCTTTTTCCATCCATTACGAAACGTTCCTGGTCCTTTATCTTGCAAATTAAGCATGTGGTCTTGGGTCTTAACGGATTGGTTTGGATCAAGACAAGTCAAAATTCAAAAGCTTCACAAGAAATACGGAAATGTGGTCAGGATTGGACCAAGAGAAGTTTCAGTGGCAGATCCAAAAGGCGTTGCAACAATTTATGGACCTACAGGACCTGCGCCTAAATCACGCAGAGGACCATGGTATCAAGCTCAAAGTATGATCCCTCACGTTCACAGTTTGCAAAATGAACCAAAGATACCTGATCATAACAAGCGAAGACGTGATTGGGATCCTGCATTCTCCTTGAAAGCATTACAGTCTTATGAACCAAACATCACTCGAAATGCAGAAGCGTTCATTGAACAAGTTAGCAGGCTTTCAACAAAGAATGATGGTCGAGTGGACGTAAAAGAACCTTTGATGTGGTTCGGATTTGATGTAATGGGAGAATTGGGATTCGGACGATCTTTTGGAACACTCAAAGATGGAAAGACTTCACATGAAGTTGAATTGGTCGAATTGGGCGTTCGTGCAATCAACACGATCGGAAATGTACCTTATTTGGCAAATATTATGCGTTTCTTACCTTCACCTATTGCACAATTTGAGGCATGGCTAGCCGAAGCTGTCAAATGGAGAAAGAGCAAACAAGGTGACCGTGAATTTGTTGCAGCAGATGTGTTTGCTTATCTTTTGGGAGAAGAAGGTGAAAAGCATCATAAAGGCGATCCAAGGGAGATTCAACAAGATTGTATGTTACTCGTTGTTGCGGGAAGTGATACAACTTCAAACACCCTTGCTTTATGTTTATTCGAGCTGGCACGTCAACCTGCTTTGGTCGAACGCCTTCGTGATGAATTGGAAGAATTCATTCTGGAAGATTATGCTGCTTTACGGGATAATGCACCTTTGTTGAACGCTTGCTTGAATGAAACATTACGTTTATGGCCTGCCGTACCTTCAGGCTTACAACGTGAAACAACATTGGCCCATACATTACCGGGCGAGATCAATGTTCCAGCAAATACGGTTTTATCCACCCATACATGGACGATGCACCGTGATGCAGCAAACTTTTATAAACCTGAAAGATTCATTCCTGATCGTTGGATAACGAAAAAAGAACCACATAACGAAAAAGCATTTACACCTTTCGGCTTTGGTGCAACTTCGTGCATTGGTAAAAATTTAGCATTTATGGAAATGCGAATCGTATTAGCACAATTTGTACTTAAATTTAACTTTGATATCGAACCTGGAGATGTACAAGAATTCCGTCAATCGGTTCGTGATCAATTTGTTGTTTCGATGGGAGGACTTTATATGAATGTTACATCGCGTTAAGTTGTGCTAGTCTTATACAAGATCTGTATTTTTTCTATTGTTCTCTTCCGAAAAGGATCATTTTATACAAATGCACTTAAAATTGTGAGCTTTAAAATCAGCAGAGAATGTTCGATCAGTAGTCCACTTTCCCACGCCTTTGTACTTCAATCAGGTGTTAGATGCCGCTGCTTTCCGCTGATTGGACATTGTTGTAGTACTGGAACAAAAGAAGGCATACTATTATTTGCTCATTCGATCTTCATTTGTGGGTCTGTGTCCAGTGCCGGCTCCAGAGCAAAGTATGGACACAGACTGACAAACACTCTTTTCGCGCCAAAACACATAAGCGAATCTATTAACGGCCCGATCCGATTTGTATTTGACTGTTGTACCCCGCATTTTTATTTATACTTTTTAAACAAGCAAGGCAGTTCAAAAGCATGCGTGCGGTATGCATTTACACTACGCCAGAATTTAAGCTACACAATTGATAAACCGGTGCATACATTATACACCCTGAACTAGAACACACTCTTTGTATCCCGACTAAAACCATCAATACCCTCATCATCATCATCGCAATGTCAGCAAAAGTGTCTGAGTCATCATCCGTAACAAAAAGGCTAAGGCCAATGGCATCTTTACGTGAAGTGGAAAAAGAGAAATCCAAAGCGGAAAAAGCATCAAAAGAAGGTAGAATAAAACGTACTCGTCATGCATGCGTTTATTGTCAACATTTGAAGATGCGATGTAGTGGTCCAACGGAAGAAGGACCATGCGAACGTTGTAGAAGATCAGGTCATGAATGTTTAGTGGAAGAAAGAAGTCCGCATAGACCTTGGACTAAACGCAAAGACGCTCAAATACAACAACTTACCGAACGACTTGAAGAAATGGAAAATTTGCTGCGACTTAATTCTCAAACCAACGCATCTTATAATTCCACTATACCCATCAATGAATCAATACCGCCATCTTTCGATTTGCAATCATCTTCGTACCACAATGCACAGCCAATCTTGGATGAATCGCAGAACGGAAACGGATCAATAATGCACGAGAACAACAATGGTGTGCCAGCATACCCTGGAGAAGATAGCACAAGCTTAACCTTTCCAATGGCACATCCTGATACGCTAGATGTTCCATCAAGTATACACAACACAACAGGCTTGGATCACGTCTTTGGACAATTTGATGCATCTTCAGTTTCGCCTTCTTCTGCTTCCGTGACTCGGGACGTGAAGTTCATTCAAGATAACATTCAACAGTTTCCCTTTGTGTCAACTTATAAATTGACGCCAGAAGAGGCTGTTGATCTATTTCACATCTTCATGTACTCTTGCGCCATGCACACAGTCATTCTAGATCCTGATTGGCATACGGTCGAAAGTGTGGGAAATTCTTCGGCATTTTTATTCGGAGTTGTGGTATATATTGGGTCAACCTTTCATCGTACAAGAAGGACGATGCGAAAAGAATTAGAAGAAGAAATGGATTCTCTTATCGGACGCACCATCACATCCGGACATAAATCCGTTGAAGTCGTTCAGGGTTTCCTTTTATTATACCAATGGAACCTACCCGCAGATGATCCCGCCAACGATCGAGCATGGCTTCTGGCAGGAATAGGAATTCGTCTTGCAGCGGAATTACAATTGTACAAACCGAAGAAGGGCTTAATTTCATCACTCAAGGCCAGCACTGACGAGGTAAACTTCGAACGAATCAATCGTGAACGTTGCTGGCTCATGACATTTTGCGTGGATAGAAGCTTATCAATGGCCGCTGGACGACCTTGGTCAATGAGCGAAAATGTCAGACTTGTTCGTGATTCGGACGAATGGTATAGTGGCGCACAGACAAGAAGCTGGGATTTGGGAATATCTGCGCTTGTTTCATTGATGAAGTTGGTATCGAGGCAAACTGATATTTTGAATACATCATTTTTCAAATCGGACAAGATTGATGATCATCACAATGATTCCAACGGCCGGGATGAAGATTTTGACTGCGATTCGATGATGCGAATCATGAACGGTGAATTGGAACATTGGAGAAGACAATGGTATACCCGAGGCTTTTTTACTTCGCCCGTAGAGCGAAGAGATTCTACTGTCGTTGAATTGCCTGATAATGCTTCACCCGCTACGACATCCTCTGTTGATACCAGTACGTTGGACATACATACAAAAACACTCCATTACGTTACCAAACAGGCTTCACTTCGATACAACTTTGCCGTTCTGGTCCTCAATTCGTTCGGACTACAGTATTGTGCCGGAAAGCCATCTATGATTCATACAAGAACATCTTGTACCGCAAGAGCAATTCAAGCTGGACAAAGTCTTGCAAAAGCGGCAAAAGAAGGAATGGGAAAATCAATGATTTATTCACCACATACGCAATATTCAATTTTTGGTTTTGGTATTATTTCTTTGATCAAATTAGCACCTTTGGTTGTGGATAAAGTGGTTTGTGAACGTATTTTGAATATTGTTCAAACTTGTATCACTTTTTTGGAATCCGTTGCACTTACTTCTGATCATACACCCGCTCGTTTGGCTTCTCTTAGCAGGACAATGTTGCGGAAGTACGAAGAAAGAACGTTGATGGCAAATGCTGGTAAGAGAAAACATGATGGCTCTAACGAGAATGGCAAGGGTGGTAATAAAAAGGCGAAAGGATCTGCAGGACAGAAAGAGCCTACGCAAGACCAAAATGACAGTCAAGATCGACAAGATGATGAAAACGAAGGAACGCAATTTGCACCTAATTTGGATTCATTCAAACTTCCACAAAGATCATCAAGAATGGTTACGCCAGAAAGAGGTCATATGTTTGCAAACGATGGAAATCCAAACGCTGCACAAATTTTATCTTCTATAGGATCAAATTCTCATATCAACAGTATCGGTTCAAATGGTCACTCCCAACCTTTTTCTGATCCAGACATGATTCCTTCCAATTATTTGGCCAATGCAGAGACTGATTCAATTTTTCAAGGTATCGGTTTATTCGAAACGAACGATTATTCTAGCTTTCCTCAAATGACTGTTGAACAAATTTTGGATTCGGATTTCTGGTTACCCATCTCTGAAAGTTGAACAAGTGTACACTATCTCACGCTCAAAAATCCTAGGTGATATTGCTTTGAAAAAGGTGTTCATTATGTTAAAATTATGTTAATGTGATATTGTACAATTGAGCAGTATTAGAGCAGTCATATAAAGACTAAGCATGTGCCAAACCTTGAGGGAAGTCAAAGATGGTCTTTGGATCAGATGTTGATTTGATGGATTTCAATCTGTTTAGATTGTTTCCGTAATAGGCCGTTCCGAAATTCTTTAATTCAGGATCGATATAATTCTGATAAGCATGCCAATCACCGTTTGGCTTTGCATTTCGTGTGGCTTGCGTGATTGCGGAAATTTTCTGGAGTGCGTCTGATCGTGCGCTTGGATCGTTAAAGCCAGGGAAGGCGTACGAGTAAATTTGACTGAAAAAGAGACTGTTGCGATGGTTGAAAGACATGGCTCCATAAGCAGGGTTAGCATTGGTAGCAGAGAGAGGACCGTTTAGATCGAAAGAGATACTGTTCCCTGATCCTTCAACACCAACTGCGGCCTGCATTGCATCAGTGATGGCTTTTGCGCTACTTGCTGTATAGCCAGGTGTTCCGTCATCCATGATACTTTGAGCATAGTATGGTTCGTACACCTTTGGTTGATCTAGATTACCCATGATGTTTGTCAAAGCATCAACCCAATTGTTGAATTCTTGAGCGGAAACTTTTGTTGCTGTAACGCCTTGAGCAGAAAGTGCACTGTTAATCTTCTTCATCGTTCTTTGATAGCTTGTCTTGCTACCCAAGAATTGACCGGATAAACTGCATGCTCCATCATCTCCAGAATTTTCACCGTACATCAATAATTCTGCACCGAATTCGGAAGGCAGGCCGGAGTTAGCGTCCGTCTTACTGCCGAGATCTTGCAAAACCAACAAAACTTTTGCACAATCAGCATTGCTGCCATAGACGTGGTTATAGTTTGTGGTCAAAGGGGGTGCTTGTTCCATCGCATAAGTGAAGTGGGTCACAACGCCAAAGTTGTTGCTACCTGCACCACGTAATGCCCACCATAGATCTGCGTCTGAGCCGGTAGATTGTTGAGTGAGAGTTCTGATGTTACCATTTGCATCGACTAGTTCTAATGCAACGATGTGATCCATCATCCAGCCCCATTTTCGGGATGCGTAACCCCATCCACCGCCTAAGCCATGAGCAGAACCAACTTGTGGACATGTTCCGTGTGGTAGTGCAAATCCTTGTTGACCCATCGCTTTTGCCAATGGACCAAGAGTTGCTCCTGCACCGGTTACGACTTGCTTTGTGGATGAATTTACAACGATGTTTGTCATATTACTGAAATCCATCACCACATTTCCTGCTAGCGAATAGGCTGCATAACCATGACCGCCGCCACGAGGAGAGAATTTTGTATTTCCATTATCGGCAGCTACGCATTTAACAGTTGCGGCAACTTGTTGTGTTGAGCTTGGTGAAACGATTACATCCGGATGAAGGATGCCGTAATTTGTATTCTCTGCTTTTGCTAAGTTATCATAAGTTGAATTTGATGGATATGTTAACTTTGCTCCTGTTTTTGATAAGCAGGATTTTACCGAAGAAGAAAGACTACGTTTTGAACGTGAGAAAAAAGGAGAAGATGATGTTTGATCGATGGAGAAATCTGATCTTCCAACGACTGAATCTAGACTTTCCAATGGGTAGGCCACTGCCACTTGCTGAGTGACAAGAAGAGTGATTGCCAAAAAGATCAAACCTTGCGAGATGAAGTTGCGAGTCATTGTTGCAAAAGTCAAGCAAGAAGGGGGAAAGGGGTAGGGGGATGGAGTTAGGGGATGTGGTAGTGGGATAAATGCTTGTTGCGAGGATGTTACCGTCCCCTTTATATATCCATAACTGAGAGGTATGCAAGCTTAATATGTTTTTATCCGGTGCCTATATGCGTCATGATGAAAGTGATGTCTCTCTTCTTCTCAAACAAAGTGGGACATGTGCTTAACCTTAAAAAATGAATAAAATTGTCGTCGGAAGTCCGCTTGTGACGCGTGTGTGGAGTTATGCCTGCATTGTAACTCCGAAAGAGACAGCATTAGCGCAGTTTAGTCCAAGTTCTCTTTTTGCGGACAGAAGAAGGAAATCATCATTGAATCCGAGTTAACCGAATTGCAACATGAAGATCTCACTCTATCTATTCGGCGTTTTGAATGATGCACTACAAGTCTCCGTTCAAAGACGGACATCCGTGGCTAGTGCAAAAGGTACGCCAAGTGATGGCATAAATCACAATCGTGATGATAGCAGCTAATAGAATGTTATATACTTGATCAAAATGTGAGAGAAAAGGTATAAATATCGACCTGATAAAGATACTTTCTCTTTAACTAGATATCATCTTTGATAAACATTGTCTTATCATCACAATGCACTCTTTCCAAACAATTGTCAGATTAGCCTCTGTCGCTTTGATTGTATCAAGCAGTATTCAAGCAGCTCCAACTTCTAACACTGTACGATCAGCACCTCAATTATCTTGCCAGAATGATGCTCAAGAAGTTAATGGTCAACTCTATGCAGGTGATTACTATTACGGATCAGGTTCAACAAAGCTAGGCTATAAAAGCGTAACGGATGCAAGCGGGAAAGAAGAATTACAAGTTGTCAAATATGATGAGAATGATACAACAATTCGTTTGTTAGACAACGTGATCAGAAGACAATGCAATTCTACCGCTTTGAACATGTACTCCAATCAAGGTAAATTTGCTACAAATTCACCAGTCAAAATCTTGGCAGATGTTGGACGTGATGGAATCCCTTACTGTGTTGGTCTGTCAGACCCAGCCGGAAATCCATCCGATATCGCACTTGTTCCTTGCAGTTTCGTAGATGATGATTCTCAAGCAAATCAATTCTGGGTTTCTCAATGGAAGTATGCAAACTTGTACCCAGCAGTAGGAAAGTCAAACAAGACTGATGATGTTGATAATTATCAGCCTATCAAACCTCCAGCTGATGATGCAAACCCAGCCGTTTACACGACAGAGCCTGCTTGTGAAAGTTGTAATCCATATGCAACTTATAATAGCTTTTATATTCCATAAATCACCTTTTTTCATTTGTATAACATCATCAATGGTATCTTATCATCACCTTACCCCAAATTGTTCATCTCGTGGCCGAGCCTGCCGCTTTGCTCTACGCTAGGATATGGAAAACAGAATCAGGCCACAATGAAAAGTAACTCCTGGTTAGATAAACAACAACACGCGTACAGAACAGCTGATTCTCTCATATTTCAAATACAAAGCTAAGCTATGCATGCATCCATGCAGTCTATTCCCCCAAATTCAGATTTTCTATTTTTTGACATCTTACATTGAAACCGGCGGGATAAATGCATTCTTATTTTGATAACTATAAATTGAACGGAACAACTCTATCTCACTTTCTTTCTTTTCCCACCAACATCCTCCCTACAACCTCTTCTCAAAATGATGGACTACTCAGGAACAGCAATTACAGACAAATACCCAATGAGGGCTTTATGTGGAAAAAGATACGATAATGGATTCCCATTCGATTCTTCTTCAGGTGGTGTACCAAGAACATGCTTTGAAGATATCGTCTTGGTTCCATTGGCAAGTTGGATCTTTTTGGTCGGATTGGTAGGATTGATCGTTTTTGGTTTGAATACTATGCGTAATCAATCAAGCTCCGTCAAATCACCATTGCATCGTCTGGTCTACAGAAAGAAAGATGCCGCTACCTTACGTGATGATGGCTTATTGGAAAAGGATGGCGGCAATTCACCTTCCGTTGTTTCCCCTAACACTTGGGGTTTCCGACACACAAAGTTGGCCAGCTCACTCAGTATCTTGTATTCGCTCTTAGTGATCGCAACCTTGTTGATGAGTAAGTATCCACCAGCAGCCTGTTGTGAATTTATCTTTACCAAGAAGCTGACAATACCTCCCTCTTTCGTTCTGCAGACATCTTGGAAATTGTACGACTTTATCTCGCTGATCGTGGTGCAGGCTTGCTCCCATTCACCTTGGCATCTATAGTGATCATCTTGGTATTGATGCACGTTCCATTGCCCGATAGGATGTTATTGCCAACGAGTGCCTTAATCTTAACGTTCTGGACATTCGCTCTGGTTTTCACAAGCGTTCAATTAGCAACTCTGGGCAAATTGGCTAAGATCGAACCCAGAACAAATACCGAATATCTCAATTCCGATCAACAAATCGATGTTGGTGTGGCCGTTGGATTGTATGCCATCGAATTCTTGGTAGAAGGTCACAGATTACTCAAATTGATCAAACGAATCCGTCAATAAGCATCAGCCTGATCACTTGGCAATCTTATAATCTATGATACCCGTGCTTTTCTTTGTGATAAAATGAGATGAAAATGCTGATTAATGTAGTATAAAAATACACTTGAATGTGAAATGCTAAATATTTTGCATGCAATAAAGCAAAAGTTGTCAAACTCGTTAAACGATGCAAACCTTCCTTCCGCATCTTATCGTGATTGTTCACTTGTAGGTCTTGATGAATGATACGACTTTTGACGTGATAGGGATCGCATTTGATCCTCTACTGAATCATTATCTGATCCATGGGGATGTTCTTCCTCCTCCTCAATATCGTCAATTTGGCCGAATGAACTTGATTTTATGTTTTCTGCGTTCTTTTCGATATCATCGCTCGGATCAGATTCCATTTCTTGGACAGCCTCTTTTACCTCTTGTGCATCTTTTGATCCTGGATTGAGCATACTTTGTAATATTTTATCCGCTTCTGCCGCATATCGACAACGTTTACGAATTTTTGGGCCATATTTATAAAAATACCAAGGAGCAGGAACGAAAATCAATGCCAAGAATGCCGCAATTCCTGGACCGACATGGATTCCACATGATTCGGTTGGACATTTACCGTGCGGTCCGCCGGGATTGTACATGTATGGGGCCAAGATTGGAAAAGCGGCTCCTAAAACACTTCGAACGGTACATGAAGCAGCCAAAACGGCAGCTGCATATAACAAATAAGCGTCAATCAAATATGATTGTAAAGAAATAAAAATCAAAACCATTCCAAAACCTGCAGGAGCGGAAAAGATAATTGGAACGATCCAATGAATTGACGGGAAATCCGTTGCGGCAAATACGGCTAATCCAAAAACCAAAGCAACTGCTCCTACCATCGCTTGTGGCATCCTTTCTTCTGGTGGTGCCATTATTCCACCGTGTTCGTCCACTTTTTTGGAGTAAGTCGGATTTACCCAGACTAGTTGAAGTATAATTCCAAACATGAAACCGATCATGATGCCCAAAAATGCCAAACCTCCAATCCCTGGACTCCATCCGCGAACTTGCTCGAACACAATCGGAAATGCAGAAAAGAACGAATATAAAATTGCATAAACGACTGCTTGATAAAGGCTTAAAAGCAAAACGATTGGCTCATAAACGAGTAAAAGCCATGGTCTTACCAAAGCAACTTTGAATAGATGTGATAAACTGACATCTTTTCCAATATCCGGTTTGGATAAATAAAGTTTACCGGTAACTTTTGTCAGGAGTGTAGCTCGCTTTCGTAATAGAACGGGTGCATAGGTTTCCGGATTCATAAAGACCCCCATCACGGTTACTATGCCAGCAAAAATTGCAAATAATCCCATCAACCATTTCCAACCTGCGTCTTCTCCTAGGAAACCGCCTGCAATTGGTCCAATCGCTGGACCTAAAAATGGACATGAAGCGTACAAGGTGATGGCCAAACCTCTTTCTTTTGCACGAAATACGTCTGCAATACTTCCACCTGCGTTTGTTAAAGGACTTGAACCGAAAGCACCAGCTAGAAAACGAAAGACGACCAAAGCAGCGATATTCGGACTTGCGATTGCGACTGCGTTCCAAAGAGTAGAGAATACAAACGAAATTAAAAGGCAAAATCGTCTACCGTATACTTCCGAAATAGGAGACCAAAATAAAGGACCCAAAGCGAATCCTAAAACGTAAAGAGAAATACCAAGAGTGATTACGATCTCGCTTCCGCCTAACTCTTGTTTGATCGAATCAATGGCGCCGGAATAAGCAGAAGAAGTGAAAGAGATACATAAAGTACTAAAACTTGCATAAAAACATAAGATCCATTTCATCATCGTTGCCATTTCAAGTGGATTTTCCGGATCATCTTCAATCCATGTAACTTGATATGGATCTTCTTTTGTTCCTTTACCTTCATATTGATGTTTGACAATACGTTCGAATGGCGTCACTCTATATGCCCATGGCTTCTTGGCAAGTGTGAATTGATCATAATCAATCTCTTCTCCATGACTTTGCGATGTCGGATAAGATTCACAAGGCGTATTCGGACGATTTGTATTTTCCACCGTTATATCGCCATCATTGACAGTACTCTTGCCTCTATCAGCCATATCATATGGTTATAGTGGGGGTTTGGATGATGGTAAAAGTTATCGAAAGCCATTTAGCTTGTTCTTATATGATAGATCCTTTTGTGTGCAGATACCGGCAATTAAGTTGATATGAACGTATTCATGCCGGAGAAGATTATCCAAAAAAAATAAGCGTCGATTGCCGATGCATTGATCCCTTTTTGCATGCATGTACAGTATAGGAGAGGGCAATGCAACCACTAGAAATAGAAACGGATAAAACATGCTTCTTTTGCATTTGGTGGCTAACAAACTCCGCACAAGTCGGACAACTCTCTGGGGGCGCATAGAATTGAATGACCCTCTTTCCAAATGCTTACCAAAAATTGTAATGATTCTGTGATTTGAGAGAAAGGCATTTACCCCGGAGTTAGATACAGTCTGATTTCATTTAAAAGTCATCCTTTTTTTAACAACGGTTTTGGTACAGCATTGACCCCGCTCTATTTTATTTTTATGATTTTTGCGTGCGCGCTAAATTAGACTCGGCGCCTTGCTTCTTTTCGCTTTTATTCGGCCGTAATTGTATGGAATCATACTTTCCGTTTTATTTTGGTGGGGAAATAGACTTTTATATTGATTCTATCAGGCACCATGACATATGTATGAGTGTTCGTCATGGTTGCCATTCATTTCGGAAATGATGCATTGAATTTGGCGCATTGATTGACCGGTATCCGAGTAGTACGCCTTCCCCCCGCATTTCCTCGAGCAACATTGGCCTCAAACTCGAAATAAAACTTTCCGCGCGTACAAGACTCAGCATTTTGTACCCAAACGATCACGACAGAAATAGCAATTATGTTCCATCCTTCAAGCTTCTCACTCACTTGACCAAACAATGACTAGCCTTGACACAATCTCAGCAGATGTCATTTCGAGATTCATCCACGATGCATTGGAATCATCTTTCCATGAAAATGCATCATTGTCGAATGAATGCACTCTACAACAACTGAATCTTACGGCCACAAGTAGCAGCACCTGGTCAAACATCTTTGAGAATGGGTTAGGGGAAGCACCGCAAACATCCTCCTCATGCAGTCCGCAATCAATCGGCCAAGGTGAGGATATCCGCTGGCAAGCTGTACTAGACAAGAATCCTTTGGCTAGCGATTCATTTGTCTACTGTGTGAAAACGACAAAGATCTATTGTCGGACAACATGTGCTTCACGTAGACCAAAGAGGAATAATGTCGTTTTTGCCAATAATGCCAAAGAAGCACAACAATTGGGTTATCGTGCTTGTAAACGCTGTAATCCGGATGAGAAAAGAGACCCTTTTGCGGTAAAGAGACAAAAGATGGTCTTGGAAATTCAACATAAGTTGATCACGCCAACATCAAAGTCACCCTTACACAAACACCGCAAACGAAAAGGTGCAGAGACCAATATCAAGACGATTGCTTCAGAGATGGGTGTGAGCGTTTGGCATTTACACAAAGTATTCAAGCGAGAAACAGGTTTATCACCAGAACAATGGCTCTCCAAAGAGGCAAAATAAAACAGCAAGAATGTACTCTACTCTTTATTTGTATCATAGTTCTTCGCATCTCTATAATGAAAGATCTCCATCCCTAAAGCCACACGTCAGCTTATCCTCCTCTAATAGACTAATTGCGTTCCGTGGGGAAATTTAAGCGGGGCTGTTTATATATGCGTTCACCTCTTTTTTTGTGCCTGAAACTGCGCCGAAGCCTGCAGCATTCATTGGATTTGATTAAACCGATAGCGCGGAAAGAATTAAAGCGTGATCTTATACGATCATCTTTTTATAAGTAGTGGATGGATAACGATGAAGACTGTATAGATGGAAACTAAGAGATAATCAAAGATAACAACATGGTCGCACCTCAAAGACCGGCAAAAAGGGCTAAAATCGCAGTAGCTTGTCAAAGATGCAGAGTACGTAAAGTACGTTGTGACGGCACACGACCGACATGTTTACAATGTATGATCGGTCAAACGGATTGTTCATGGCCAAGCGAAGGAAGTACAAGCGCTGTGGATGCAACATCATACAACAAAACATCCATCAATCCTTCAGCTCATGATGACTTTGCAATACCAATACCCACTGCTCCACCAGCATTAGCCAATCAAACGCCTACAATGCCATCCGATTTCACACCCGGTAATGTGCCATTGACACCTTTTGGCTATGAAGCAGGACAGCAACACGCTCAATACAGTGGACCAGCTCAACCGCAGAACTTCAGCCCTTCGGATAACTCGCATGTAGAAGATTTCAATAGTCTACAATGGATGATGAATCAACTAAGCGGTTCAGCTGCCTATGAGTCAGAACAATCTGCCCTTCAACCAAGTCCGTCAAACTCAAACACAAGTGCAGACACAACTTCTCAATCTGCTCGTCGTCAACGTTCCTCCAGTACGCTACAGAAGCTAAGCAATCTTTCTTGGCAAGAGCTTTATTCAAGGGTATATGGAACATATGCCAGATATTTGGTGGATGTTAACACTACGCCAACCGCAAACGGTCACGAAGATCTGCGTGCATCTTCTATAGCAGGATCATTAAGTGAACTACACAGATCCAATAGTCCGGATCAGAAAGCTCTTTCCGATGCCGCCCATGCTCTGGCGATCCGCTTCCAAGGGCTAGAGGACGTAGACATTCACAACTCACAACGCCCTCAATTACAAAAATGCATCGATGATACTTTGCAACACGTTGGTGCAATATTACGCCATCCGACCCAACATGGCATTCTGGCTCTAGCGATGATATCCTGGCTACTGTACATGGAAAGTGAGGTTCAAACTTCGTTCTCTTTCTGTACGATTGCGGCATCACAGTGTGCTTTATTACCGGAATCGCTACAGACACAAGCGGGAATCAATTCGGGAGCCTGGGTATTGTACGACCTTATCGGGGAGATGATCCTTCGATCAGGAACGCATACCTCAGATCTGTGGTTGGACTTACATCAGAAAGCCTTTGTTACACAGGATGATTCGGATGATACATCCGCATTGATCTCTGCAGGCATTGCCGTTCAAAGCGCTGCGGTGGGTATCCATCAACTTGTTTCTTCGGCAACCAAAGACCACAATCCTAGCACACATCAATCTGAGCTTGATTTGAATCTCACATCCTCACAACTTGCCAAACCGATCTTGCAGGAGATTGCAAACGTTTATACAAGACTTGATCTGCCTTTCGCGACCCTGACGTCCGAACAACTCTCACGTCTTGATGATATCGAACAAGGAGCAAGTCAGGCGTACGAAGGATTGACAGCATCCGCACTTTTTAGTGTATCAAACTTCACTCAACACGATCAAACAGGTCATGGGGCAGTATTTTTAGCTTTGCACGTAAAGTATGAAGCAACGATGTGCTACATCTATCAACTTCGAGCATATTCTTTAACTGATGAACAAGAACGTAGGGATGCAATCGCTACGTCGGCAAGCGCGGCAAGATCTTTGGCAGATGATTTGGTTGTAGCAGAAGCGATGGCACCTTGGGCAATCGCAGCAAATCCATCTCTTGATCGATATATCTTTTTAGGAGCTTTAAGTATTCTTATCTCGTTTAAAATCACAACAGGATCTTTTAAAATTTCACAAAAATCATCCAAAACTGATGGACATACGCCAGGAAGCAATGCAACTTCCAAATCAGATTCATCAACGAGAACACGTTTGTTGTGCAACGTTTTACGACAGAATTTCACTGCTTGTCATCAAGCATTAAAATTGCTTTCTAGATTCTGTCTTGCATCAAATACGTTTTTGGATCTATTGGATGGAATAACAAAGGAAGAGCATGTTTGATCAATTTTTTGTATTTTAGGAATTGTACCAAAAACAAATGAATGAAATTTTGTACATCTATTAATGACCACCAGGAACAGCAGTGACGAAGCCACCATCGAGGTAAAGGATTTGACCGGTAACGAAGTTGTTTGTTGCCAAGAAAAGGATCGCACTTGCCATCTCCTCATCTGTTCCTGTTCTTCCGGCAGGGTTACCGGTTCCAGGAGCGGGAGCAGAAGTGTCGCTTTTTGCTTTCTCAAGCATATCAGCCGTCATCTCACTCGCATAGAGTCCTGGACCAATAGCATTCGCTCTGATGTTGAGATGAGAACGATAATTGAGTTCATGTGCTAACATTGAAGTTAATGCATTTGCTGCGGCTTTGGAGGCGTTGTATGCGTAATGGTCTTGGGACCATTTCACGTGTCCACTAATTGAAGTGATATTGATAATATTTGCACTTTTACTCTTTCCCAAAAGAGGTAAGAAGGACATCGTTGCAAAGAAAACGGCAGAAGTGTTGATTTGAAATAATTTTGACCAACTTTCGTATGATTCACTGTCCAAGTGAGCTTTTGAGAGTTCATCAGCGGTCATTTCACCTACTTTAGGTCCCAAAAGGGTAACTGGACCTTCAATACCTGCATTATTGACCAAGACATCCAAATATCCTTCACTGACTGATTTGGCAACATTGGCCAAAGACTCTTTGGAGGAAACGTCACCTTCGATTGGATGTAAGGAACCTGAAAACTTTCCTTTGTTTTCTTCTGCAACTTTTTCCAATAATTGTTTTCTACGTCCAACGATGTACACTTTTGCACCATTTGCAGCTAATCCTTTTGCTGCCATTAATCCGATTCCACTTCCTCCTCCTGTTACCAAAGCAATCTTGCCTTTGACAGAGAATAGATTCTCAGCTGAGAATGATGACATGATGAGTGATGGTGGTGAGAGAATGAGAGGAAAAAAGCGCTCTTTTGCGTAGACAATGTGTGGCGTACTATGTGATGAAGGTGAAAAGGATGATGTGAATGTGATCAACAGTTTGTCATTCTTCTGAACAGAGAAAGCCGTGCAAGTTAATATATGCAATCCCCCGCGTTTACTAATAAGGCTTTCGGTAATCTCTGTTCCTCGGTATTAAGAGACTCTCTTGTCGCGTTCCACGGGAGAAAGGATGCACTGCGCCTGTGGAGAATTGCTACTAAACAGACAGGCTGGAGGGATTCCGACTTTCCTTCTCACATCGATCACATAATCAGAGGTGATTGTGTCATATAATGACAATGAGCTCGACTTTTGCACATGCTTATCAGCATCACACGGTGGCTGTGACGCTGAGAGAACGCTCAGCCCCATTCCCTGTCTTGGCATGGGGGTGATTGATGATGTACACAAATCACGAATCGCGCGAAATTAAGGAGTTTGCCTAAAATAAGGGCGCATTCTGAGGGGTTAAAGACTACTTCTCGATCGCCTTGAACATGAGCAATGCCATCTTCTATGCTTGAAGATCCATACTTTGAGTAGATTTTGCTTAACAATGACATCGTGTAGTCATGGAAGATGACAAATCGGTCATCCATCGGTGCCGTATTGAATTCCCTTTCCGCAGGTCAATTTGCACGAAGCAACGTCAGGAGGACGGACCGTCGATCGCTAAACGGTACCCATCCCCTAAACAGTTTTGTTTCCCTTTTGCCTGTGTCTTTAATAAGGTCCAAATAAAACCCACTTGATCACTCTTTGCACACTACCGGGCCCCTTTTACCGAGTTCGAGCCGATAGAAGAACCGGAAGGAGATGTCTAAGGAGACGATCTTGCAATATTTCTTGCCCATGTCAAGCATACACCATATTCTCTTCCACATCACAGCAAATCAATGTCCCACCAAAAACGATGCCGTCATTACGTCGTTTGAGTAGAGTTCTTACAGGCAAAGATATTCCTTCTGCTTCGAATCAACAATGTCCGACATGCTCACAAATTCAGTCAGCCAAAGATTCCGATGATGTTGAACAAACGACTGGCAGTACAATCTCGGCCAAAAGCGCCAATGCTAGCACTGTAGCCTCAACCGGCAAATCTCGGTCATCCAGCCTTGATGCAATTCGCAGCGTTAATGAGCTTATGGATATACGATTTAAAGAGTGTGCAAACCAACCTTATATCTGTTTCCCGCATCGATCAAAAGCTCGTGGGAAGAATGAAACATTGGAGTTTGAAATGATCACATACGGTCAGCTGGGACGTATGGTTGCAAATGCGGCAAACAAGCTTAATGAACGTTTTCCCGCTCGTAAGAAAGGCAAAAGATTACGTACAGTTGGAATGTTTTGCACTTCAGAATTAAACTTTGTCATCAACGAAATGGCATTGATCCGACTTGGTCACACTGTCTTGATCATCTCTCCAAACAATTCTGCTCAAGCTGTTGTTCATCTTATGGAAACAACTTCATGCAAAGATTTGTTATACAGTCCAGCTCAGAGAACGGTTGCTGAAGAAGCAATAAAGACGTTGCAAAGTCGGGGAAACACCATTCAAAGCCAAGACTGGGTAACAAGCAAGGAAGCCAAAGATGAAGGAAATTCACCCAAAGGTACAGGAGCGCGCTCAGAGTGGTCATATATGGAAGAAAGTGAAGAATTATTCTCATTTACCCATTCAAGTGGATCAACCGGTCATCCCAAACCTATTGGGAGAAGACATTGTGACTTCACACGCAACGAATGGCAAATTGAAGTTCGCGGTCTAATTCTTGCGCCAATTTTTCATGCAATGTGTCACGGACTTGTGCTTACCGCGATGATGACAAAGGGAAATGTTGTCTTGTTACCAACTTCGCTTCCAATCTCTTCTGCTAACCTTGTCGAATTGACCAGCAAAAGCGTTCAAAAGGGATTCACACGCTTATACGCTGTACCTTTGATGTTGAAATTGCTCGTGGACGCCCCCGATGGATTTGATGCTCTTTCGAAATTCGAATTGGTCTATTTCGCAGGTGCAGCCGTTCCGAAAGCGTTAGGTGACCTGTTAACGGAAGCAGATGTCAATCTTGTATCAAATTATGGTAGTACGGAAACACGAGTTTTGTTAACTTCACAACGTGATTTTAGAGTAGATAAACACTGGGATGTCCTGCGACCAACGGAATCTTTCGAGCCATTCATGAAGATGGAAGAAGTTTGGAAAGAAGATGAAGAATCGGTTTATGAACTTGTTTGTGACAAAGCTTGGAGAAATCGTGCTTTGACAAATAGACCGGATGGGTCGTATGCTACAAGTGATTTGTTCAAAAAGAGTTCCACGGTAAAGAATGGATATCTTTACTGTGGACGCTTGGATGATACAATCGTTCATTTCAGTGGAGAAAAGACAAATCCACTTCCGATGGAACAAGAAATACGTTCATCACCATTCGTACGTGAAGTGCTTCTTTTCGGTTCAGGTCATTTGCAAGTTGGCTGTATGGTCATCCCATATGCAGATGATGACAAAATCGATCCAACAGACAAGGACAAAACAATGCTGATGTCACAGATTTGGCCCGCTATTCAGCGTGCTAATCACGAAGCTCCGACACATTCTCGAATCGTAAAAGAATTGGTTCACATCTTACCTGATACAACACGATTTCCATCGGCAGATAAGGGAACTGTCATTCGTGCAAGAACGTTGAAGCAGTATGATACTCTCATTGGCGAGATCTATAGATTATACGAAGACGGAAACAATAAGACTGCCGGAAATGGAGAGCAATCAACTACTCAAAACAAGTGCAAGGTCAACACAATCGAACGTGCACAAAAGCTGGTAAGGCATTGTGTATTGACAGCTTTGAAAGATCAAAAAGGCACGGAGGTTTCAATGCCAAGCGATGATGCAAACTTGTTTGATATCGGTTGTGATTCAATCACAGTTGTTCGTATCGGCAACTTGATTCGAACGAAAGCCGATTTACCCGATTCAAAAAGCTTTCGATCTTATGCACCTTTTGACAATCCTACAATCACTTTTATGAGTCAATTGCTGGTTCAATTAAGCAACGGCAATATTCGTGCTGCCGAACAAGCTTCGCAGAGTGAACTTAAAACAATCACAGATATGCTCAATCGATTCTCACAAAGAATCGAATCACGTCGGGAATCAGCCAGAAGAAGTAGAATTGCAAATCTTGAAGGAAACTGTTTTGTACTAACGGGTGCTACAGGCGCTCTTGGTGCTCATCTTTTGATTCAGATCTGTAACCTTCCTTCCGTGGAAAAGGTCATCTGTCTCTGCAGGGCAAAAAGTCTAGAAGAAGCTGAACAGCGAGTAGAAGAATCTTTGAGGAAGAGAAAGCTCGGTACAGAGAAATCTTTGGCGGATCTAGAAGTTTCTACAAATACCAAGATACTGTGTTTGGCTTCCGATTTGAATAAAACCGATTTAGGCTTAAACCCAAAGCAAGGTTTCCTCGATGAAATTCTTAATGAAGCAACTCACATTGTTCATAATGCATGGCCTGTCAATTTTAGCATGGGCATTGCTGCTTTTGAAACGAGTCTCAATGGATTGATCAATTTGCTCAATCTATGTGCCTTCTCTTATCGCCAATCTCCACCCACTTTTACCTTTTGCTCTTCAATCGCTTCCATTGCGAAGATTGAGCCCAATTCTGAAACTAACAAGATTATGGAACGCATCTCGAACGATCCTAGGCACGCATCACATATGGGCTATGGACGTAGCAAATGGATTGCAGAAACACTTTGTGAAAAAGCAAGCAAGCGAATCAAAGGACTTCGTTGTATGATTGCACGCATTGGTCAACTTGCATGTGATACAAATGCTGGAGTATGGAACGAAAAAGAAGCTTGGCCAGCTTTGCTTAAAACAGCACAAATTTTGGGATGTTTGCCCGATCTACGTTCTAAGCCGCTAAGATGGCTCCCGATCGATACAGCGGCATGTCTCATTGTAGCAGCAACGATGACTATCTCGGACAGGAATTATTCTTTGAAGGAAAACATTTTCAAGATAGTGCATGTTGTCAATCCGCATTCGACAGGTTGGATCAACGTAATCGAAGCGATGCGACAATCACGAATAACTTTCAGAATTGTTCCATTGGAAACGTGGGTGAAAATGCTTGCGAACGGTAAAGAGCAAGATCCTTTCGTTAATCCGGCTATCAAATTATTGTCCTTCTACAATAGCTGGACCGAAAATACAGGAAAAGAATCAGAAATGGATATACGACGATTGCAAGATGTTCTGAAGGAAAGACCTGATCTGATGGATCGATTAAGACCAATCAGTATTGTCGTACTGATGAAGACGATTGAAGCTTGGAGGGCGAGTGGCTTTTTTGCGGATCAAAGAGACTGAGAATATTGTTTATTTCACACTATTCTAGACGCTGTCAGTGTATGATTTAGTGAATTGATGAATGACATGCTTGTTACTAACAGTAAATCACATTGATAGCGTTATTGTGAGGTCTCAAATTGGTTGCAAGGATGGGGAAGATGATTCCAAAAGCATATCGGATGACTCTAAAGATGATTGTAGGCAAAGTCTGAAGACGGATTGGAAGGGATAGGGAAGGGTTAAAGTTCCCCCGTATGATTGCAATTATTGTATTCATAAAAGGATGTGAAGATTGCAATATACATTATTAATTAGGTCAATTCCTCCTCGGCTTCCGCATAAAACGCATGGCCCACCAAAATCCGCTCGATGCAATAATGGACATGACGCCGACCAGAGAATAAAACCAGAACAAATCACCCTGATCCTGTCCAGGAACGGTCACGTTCATCCCCCATAATCCTGTCACGACATTTAAAGGTAAGATGACGGTGCTCAAGATTGTCAATTTGGAGATAGCATCATTTGACTCTTGACTTGCATGCATCATTTGAATGTTCAACTGAGTCAAACAATGCCCTTCACTTTGTAATAAAGCCTCCTAAATAATCGGAGAATGAATTTGAGGGTCAGGAAAAGAAAGGTAGCGGTGTTCTTCTTACTTCACTCACCTCTAATCGGGTCAACGTATCAGTAAATGCAATCAAATGATCTTCCACATCGGAGTAATGAAGCGTGTACTCGTTCAATCCTGATGAGCTGCCATTTGCCTGTGAGTCGTTTTCTACCAATTTGTGCTGCTGTATCAACTTTTTGATTACGTCTTTTTTGCTGCCAATAAGCTCTCTAAGTTGAAGTACTCTTTGATGTGTTTCGCCAAATTTATGAAGAAGTGTACGACTGTCTTCGATACCTTTTATGCCTTGTGTTAGATTGGTGGTGAAATATCGAATTGAATCTTTGAGAGGTCGAGTTGCTTCATTAAATGCGTCTGTTGCTTCATCTAGAAGCGCATACAAGATCCATTCAGACGTAATCTTTCTTCGATTCTGTAATCGTACCAATCGGTCTTTCACCCTTTTTGTGACTGCTTGTGGCTTTGCATGCATAGATACAACCCCACCAGGAAATACAAAGATGTACATTGTGACCGGCTCTAGGAAAACTTCACTTTTTGGGTCCGAATCGAATGAGCCATAAACGACGAACGTATACTGGAGTTAAAAACGAGAACCGGTCAGCTCACAGAGTCGCTTTTGAGTATTAGGGCCATACTTACATTATCATACTCTTCCATCTTCTCTCTCATTTCTGCTTCCACCACATCTTCTACTGTTAATCTATGTAGACCGAATGCATGACTGATCTCTTTGATTTCATTAATGCTTGGATTTGTGACATCTAGCCAAATGAATGAGGATTTTTCATCTCCTTCATCACTTTTTGTATGTTGAGCTAAATCTTTCAACGATGGCCTCAATTCTTCAAATGATGGTATTGACTGACTATCCTCTTCTCCAGCACGGAATAAACTTATCCGATCCTTTTCACTTGCTGAAGGTACTATAGCAGGATTGCTCACAGATGACTCCGATCTGGTGTACTGTCGATAATCATGAAATGCTCTCGAAGATCCTAGTTGGCCCACAACTTCGCCGATAGGAATCGTTGGTTGTTTAAGTTTCTCTATCCTCTGTGAAGGTCGGGTATTGTTGGCTATGGTGTGAGATGACTTTATTATGGGATGATTGAAAATGAATTTGAATGTGTTGCGGGAAAGAGAGTATCTTATCGTTGCATTGTATCCAGAAAGCAAACTCATCTTGACCGGCAAGAGATCTTAGTGATTGTTATTCATTGTCAAGAGAAGAGCTTAAGCGGGGAAGATTATTCTCATGCAGTGCAGCACAATTCATTTTAGCCGCGAGTCAGATGCATTTAAGGTTGATTTTATGCGCGCGGGTAAATAAGATGAAAGAAATGATGGATAATTGCTTGTCTAATGCATCTCTTTTTTACCACCATATACCATGAATCGAGATTATGAATGAAGCAGCACAAGAGGCGCATAATTATACCAACACATCTCGAAAGACAAGAATTTCAAAAGCATGTCAAACATGTTCGATCAGAAGGAGAAAATGTGATGGTGATCAACCCAAATGTTCAATCTGTCAAAGGCTTGGGGTTGAATGCGTTTACGTCAACACAGGAAAGAGACGAGGTAGACCATCAACTTCTACAACTGATGAAAATCGTCAAAAAGGAGCATTTGCAGAAGGTCCAATGAGCACGAAAAGAAGGATCGATTATACATTGGATAATAGTGATGGTGCAAGTATTGATCATTCAGCGCAGGCGATCTATCAAACGCCATCCTCTTCGAAAGCAACGCCAATCAGCTCGGGAAATGATGTCTTGGAACACTTGACCGCTCTTCTCATCAGCTGGGAAGCAACAGATCGAAGAGAAAGCAATACGATCCCACTCAAGCTGTTATCGCCTTCTAAGGTACGCTTTCATTTTGACATCTTTTGGAGACACGTCCATACTCATTGGCAAATATTGTACAAGCCTGCATTTACTGCCATTCCAGAGACACGATTGGCAGATGAAGTGGAACAACCATTGTTGGAGGCAATCGTCTGTCTGACAGCAAGTATGGCCATTCATACAGAACGTGATCGTTCAACGGTCGAAGCAATCTGTCAAACAGCTACTGTGGATCTCTTGACAAAGTTGTTGACCCCTGATTTAAGCGTCGTTCAAGCTCTCTTTCTGCATTCGCTTCGCTTTTATGGCATTGGAGATCTGAAAAAAGCTTCTTTGTTCACCAGCTGTGCATGGCAGCTATGTGTTGATCTGGGAATGCACATCGATGATCGTTCTGGTCATAGGGATCCCGGCAAACATCAGGCCAGACTGCGAGCATTGTGGACATGTTACTGTCTGGACAAAGTCTTGGCAGCAGAGATGGAACGTGTACCTGCTTTTCGAAGTGACGGTGTGACGGCTGAGTTGCTGTCAGAGTATGAACCGGATGAATTCGAGATTGTGTATCAGAATTCTGATTTGATACCGGAATTTCATGGTGCACCTATGGTCAGTCTTGGGCGACTTCATGCCGCCTCTTCGCTCAATCTCACAGTACGCTTGTACAGAATCCTTGAACAAGCTCTTTTGAGTCCAGTGCATTTGCATCCCGATAAGACTGTATCAGAACAAGATCTGCTATCTTCCTGGACACGCACTCTTGCTTTGGATCGAGAATTGGACGCATTGGCAGGATCATGGCCGGATCAGTTTAGACTGCATACGCGTAATGAACTTGCTGTTCCTGGAGTTGCCTGTTTGGTTGTATGGTTCCACTTGATCAAAGTGATCAACTATCGACCTTATGTACTTTTGCAAGATCGCCTGTTTCGCACGCCTATTCGCAACGCAGATATGGCACCTAGCGCTCAAATTGCTGCAATGTGCTGCTTAACTTCTGCATCGGCAATCGTTCAACTGTTCAATGCGATCCCGCGAACATCATTAAGATATATTGCAGCAAACAACGCATTCTCCATCTTTACAGCTGCATCTATTCTGATGCCTTACAGTACGCACGAATCACTCTCCATTGCGAAAGAATGCCATCAAAGCGTTCATAAGTGCTTGGCATGGCTTGATGATTTGGGAGAAACATGGCCGATCGCTCGAAAACATCGAATGGCACTGGATGATATGGCTCAACTCTTGCAAATTTCACTGGATGATGATTTGGAAATGAGCACCACGATCGCCGCAAATCCGAATATGGATGGGAACGCTGTTCGACAACAAGAAACAGGTCCAGAATACATTCCTGCAGGAGGATCTGATTCGCATGAGAGTCAGACTTTAGGCTTATCATCTTTACACAGTAAGGCTACATCTCCGTTGGGATTCCGAGGACAACTTGCACTTCGTCCTTTCAGCGAAAGTGTTGGGGAGAATGTAGCATCGGTTGAACAATCCGCAAGCAGCTCTAGCTATGTGACCGATTCAGATGCAGGAAGAAGACATGGACGCAATGAAAGCTCTACATCCATGGCAGAATCACAGCCTGACCTTTTGAATTTTTTGCATGCAGATTCGGATGCGACATCCTTGTTGGATGAACTTTGCTTGGATCCTAGCATTCAAGCGCTTGTACGACAATCTCTCTCGCGTGATACTTCTTTATGGGAATCGACAGCTTTCAAGGCGATCTAGAGTGGGTTTCAAAATCGTGATTTTCTCACTCAACAATGTTCGATGTGTATTATAAGAAATTCCAAGCAATGTACAACGATGTAAGATGTATAAATACAAGTTCCGTGTAATCAAAAGCATAGCACTCTGTTAATTGTATTGCGCATTAACCATGTGTTTACCGTGACCTTCAGCAACGACTTGATGTGGGACGTAACTTGGATCACCATGTCTCAACTCGTGACCCAATTGTTTCGCGCCCGTTGCAAAACGTTTGGCACCCGATCGAATCGAATTACCAGCTTTTTGCATGATCGCTTTGGATTTGCTTACCGTTGAGCCAGACGGACGTGGCGAATGCGGCGAAACTGGCGAACTCGAACCAGATCTTGGTGGAAGTGGCGCGCAATTTGAAATGCTAAGAAATGGAAGAATATTTCTCATCAGTACTGCCTCCACAGGGTTTAAAAGAAGAATAAAGGTCTGTATACTTACCAGACCAGTTGCACAATCAGCAATAAGCAAAACAATGAATAGACTGCTTTCATCTTTGTAGTAGTATCCGATCTTTATTGTTGGATAAAGAGAGGGCTCGAGAAATTCCAATATTTCTAGCTTTTTATGCTTCACTGAAAGAATACAGTTGGCGTTGATTTGAATCTGGGGCAAAAGAAGCAAGGGGTGATGTTGAGAGAAAAAGCTAGATTGGAAAACGGAGATTAGCTGGAAGACCCGCATCTAACCCGCAGCTGTCAGATGTCTTGAGACTTCGCTTCATCTAGGTATTTCGCGGCTTGGAATACCTTTATTGGGTCAATCATTGATTGAACATCGTACATAAGGTACAATCAATGGGGCTGATTCAGCCCCCAGTGATGCGAAACAAACCATTCACCTTACAAATACTGAGCATTATTCATATATTCAGCGTCGGGACCAGTATACGAATGGGGCACATAATTACTGCGATGCTCTTTCTTTGCTGCCTCATATCTACTTCTGAGTTTTCGAAATCCGTTTGCGACCCAACGTGCAAATCTACGGCCCGTTGATCTGAGCGATGTGAAAAATCGATTACTTTCTCCTGGCCTATGGAACGTAGATGATGGAGTTCTCAGTGGAAGTGGCAAAGCGTATAAATCACTGGGAAGAAAAAAATGATGTCAATTTCATAAGATTCTTGTAATATGATGATTCTCAACGACTCACTTCATCAAAGTCATTAAGACCAAAAAAATGTAAAGCAAGTACAAAAGCCTCATTTTGAGAGTCTATCTTTTGGGGTGGAAGGACATATTTGACTATATAAGTTAGAGGGCTTTTATCCTTTTCACCGTGGTAATTTTGGTGCGTGCAAAACACAGCATGGCGACAGTGTACCTGCATCGGTGACGTAGTAAATTCGAGGCTGTCATCACAAAGGACGGATTTTGACGTTTCTTTTTTCATTTCTACAGTATACAAAAATACGTATCGTTTACAGTTCCGGGCAACATACAAAAAGCAGCAAATGTAAGAATCCTGATCCCGCGAAAATAAGGAGATAAAAACTTCTGCATAGAAAGGTATTGGGTTGTCTCTAGTTGTACTGCGCATGAACCATGTTTATTCCTTCACCTTCTCCAATGATTTGATGAGGGATATGGTTTGGATCACCATGTTTGAGCTCGTGGCCCAATTGCCTTGCGCCTTTTGCAAAACGTCTAGCGCCGGATCGAATCGAATTACCAGCTTTTTTCATAATCGCTCTGGTTTTGCCGATTGTTTTACTTGAACCTTTAAACGTAGACGTAGAAACAGGTGCACAGATTGAGATGCTGAAGTATGAATCATTGTCATCAGTACACGCTTCAGTGGCAACTAGAATGATGGGAGCTTTAAACTTACCAAACCAGTTGCATAAGCAATAACAAAACGAGTATCGCATGAACTGCCTTCATTTTTCGAGTTAGTCTGTTGAATGGAATGTGGGTGAAGAGGAGGAGACGAAGAAAAAAAAATATCAAAATCATTACTTTTATACCTTTCGTTCAAAAGATTGACCTGGGTGTGGGGCAAATAGCAAGGGGCTATGTTTTGCTTAACAAGTGTGAGAAACGGACGAATTCGATGGAATATCCTTCCCCGATCCGTGTCCGCTAACGTTCGCTTATGCTCGGTTTTATCTAGGTCTCGCGGCGTAAAAAGGATCTCGGAACGAATGTATTATTAATAGAACATTATAGAAAAAAAAATTTACAGGGCAGAATTTTGTTACAAACACTGCCTGGGGCTGAATTATAGATATTGTGCAGTACTCATAAATCTTGCATCAGGGCCTGAAAATGAATGAGGTGTATATCTACTGGCGGCATGCTCTCTTGATGCTGCTGCATATCTATCTCCAAATCTCTTGAAACTGCTTGTGACAGAATGTGCAAATGAACGACCTGCTGATTTGATTGCATGGAGAAATCCACCGCTTTCTCCTACCCTGTGAAAGGGAGATGAAGTTGTTCGCAACGGAAGTGGCGAAGCATTTGTATCGCTTAAGAGAAAGAATAGGAGTCAGATTCTGCACATCTGGCAACATGATATCAATGGATGACTCACTTTATCAAGATCATCAAGACCACGACGATTAAAAGTAAGAACACGAATCTCATCTTGCAAGGTAGTCAAGGCATCAAAGTGACGTACTTTCTGATGATGGCGTCCACCTAACAGACTAGAGATGAAAGAGATTTTATACCTTTGTACCGTGGTCATTTCTACATGTGAAGCACAGCTTGGCGACGATGTACCTGCATCGGTGACGTAGCGAATTTCGGGGCTATCACCTTAATCAAAGGCGTCAAGATCACAGCAAAGTGGATAATTGTCAAGATTGGTAATGTACAGCATGATAGAAAGCAATGAGAAAGCTGAATATAGACAGAGCATGATCATACAAAACACACAGCATTAGCCCAGCACCCTCCTTCGCATTTCTCGTCCAGCAGCAAGATATTCATGCACAGCCAGAGAACGCATTCCTAGATTTTCCGTGGCCCTTCTTTGTAGATAATTCATGACGACATCCAATGGTCCATAAGGAACGTACTTGTATACGTCAGGAGCAGTGTCATCTTCTTCCTCGCCTGATGACGCCTTTTGCGCAACTTTTTGACTTAATTCACGACCCATCCCATACAATTGCGCAAAGAATACTCGCTTCCGATCTTCTCTCGCTAAAAATGCTCGTTCCTGTAGTCCTAGCATTGCGCTTTGTTCGTTGTGTGTCGCCAACATGATCGAAACGGGTCCAGCGTTGGAACTTTGAGAAATAATGTTTGTTCTCATTCTTTCTATAAACGAAACGATTGCATGATTATAGCATCGATCCGTTTCCTCTTTGCTAGACCATAAAGGTGAGGATAAGCCGGAATCTACTGCCCGCTTTGTTTCTGCCTCAACGTACGCACCACGGACCAACTTCACTCCAAGAGGACAATCATTTGCCTCGGAGAATCGGATAGCTTGCTCTAGCCGTTCTGGACATGATTTGGTGTATGCTTGAAATGTTTGAAAGATTGTTGGGCGAGAGGAGCGACTTTGAGCATCTTTTGATGTTTCACGTAATACTTGTAAGAACATGTGATCGATCGCGACTTGTGTTTCCCATGTTTCAGCATCAAGCATGATATGAACTCCGCTCTTGGATGCCACTCGAACCAATTGACCAAGACAATCGATAGCTTGATGAACTGCTTCGATTTCCCACGGTGACAAATGTTCCTGTAAGAAGTGCTCATCCTCCATACACGTTTGTTCATGATTTATTTTAACTGAAAGACATGCTTGTGTTAAGTTCTTTAGCACATGATGCGGACAAAACGTTGTCATACGTAAAGCAACGAATGAGCCCGCTGCAATTTGCGAAGCGGCAAGGATACTTTCCGTGAATCTTGTCATGACTGCGCGTCTTTGTTGTTCCATATCTGTGTTTACATTGAATTCGATCTCCTCTTCTGCATAATCAACAATTGTTCCTAGTCCTTGTTGTTGCAACTGTTTTCCGGTAGAGATCATGCCATTCACATCTCCTCCTCCGCAAAAAGTGGCAAAGAACGTACTGCTGACCATAAAATTTCCAAGACCACCCAAGCCAAGCGATTTGAGAAGGTCGAGCATTTCTGGACCATGTTTGACAAGATAAGTGACTGTGCATAATCGATAAGTGAGATAGAGCGATATCAATTCACCCCAAGTTTTGTTTCGTAGTTGATTATCATTTTCAACTTCTTCACTTCCATTAGAAAGTGTAGTGTATGTCAAAGCTGCCAATCCAAACCCGGCCACAACAAGCGTCTGTTTTGGTATCTTTCTTGAGAAAGTGCTTTTATTTGAGTCACCTTCGCTCTTAGCCTCCCTTTTGATCGATATTGACGATGTTGATGAGCTAGATTGAGAAGCTGTCGTATGCAATAATCTCTTCACCCTTGAATCCTCGACGTGAAGATCGATTCGATTTATTATTCTTGATATTGATGGTCCCCTACACCGTAGACCATCTCCCAAGAAAGGTTGTGCTCGTCCGAGGTGTAATTTTTGCGAGATCAATGTACGAAACATGCTTGCAATATTGATAATTTCGATTTCAGCATGACGATGAGGGTATTAAATTTTAAAACTTAAGTTTATACTTTCTTATTTATCCATTTCGAGACACATGCCGATAAAGTAAGGACGCCCTAAACGGTCATGTTGACCCGGACCGTTGTGCAATGTTTGCCAGATAAAGAAAGACGACGGTTAAATGATTATAAAGCGGTAAATAGATTAAAGGATAAATTACGCGCCGTTGCATTGACAGTTCAGGGCATTCATGCTGTTTACGCGTATTTTATGCAACCGTGCATAATAATGCCAAGCGGGTAATTTCATGCAAAGGCGCTACCTGCAGAAAAGTGTTACTTAAGTGTTGCTTGTTGGTTGAGAGTGTTAAAGTGCCTTTACTGTTCCTTATCATTACCCTTTTCGATTATAACAGCGTGGAGAATGATTTGTACTGCTTATGCTGCTTATTCATAACTTCGGCTAAATATGATTCATTGCAATCGAAGTATAAAATATCATTCTTCTTCAACTTAACTTCTTCTTCTTGCACATCATCATCTCTTCTTATACTTTTGCTTTTAAAGATGGCTTCCATCACTGCACAACAAGGTGTATTTGCCTTGCCAAACATTGTGAACGAACCTTGTCGCAATTATGAGCCAGGATCTGCCGACAGAACAAAGTTGCAACAAGCCTTAAAAGAGATGCAACAAGAAGCAGCTCAAGGTAAAATTCACGTTCCATGTATCGTGAATGGCAAACCTATCAAAACATCTTCTCAAGCAAAACAAGTTAACCCAAGCAACTTTGAAGAAGTTTTATGCACTTATGATGAAGCTGATAAAGGATTGATCAACACTGCCATCAAAGGTGCATTGGAAGCACGCGCAAACTGGGAACGTATGCCTCTCAATGATCGTGCAGCAATCTTCCTTAAAGCTGCTGATCTTTTAGCCAACAAATACCGTTATAAGATCATGGCCGCAACTATGTTAGGTCAAGGAAAGAATATTTGGCAAGCAGAAATCGATGCTGCAGCTGAATCATGTGATTTCTTACGTTTTGGAATCAAGTATATGCATCAACTATACTCTATTCAACCTCCAGAGAACAGTGCAGGTGTTTGGAACAGAGTAGAATATCGTCCTTTGGAAGGTTTCGTTTTAGCCGTTAGCCCTTTCAACTTCACTGCGATTGGTATCAATCTGGCCGCTGCTCCTGCAATGGTTGGTAATGTGGTCATTTGGAAACCATCTCCAATGGCAGTATACTCCAACTACCTTATGCTACAAATCTTGCATGAAGCAGGTTTACCCGCTGGAGTGATTCAATTCTGCCCTGGTCCAGCAGGAGAAGTTGTTTCAACTGCTTTGGCACATCGTGAATTTGCCTCTCTTCATTTCACCGGTTCTACGACAATTTTCAAGAAGCTATGGAAACAAATTGCTGATAACATCGAAAATTACCGTTCATATCCCCGTATCGTTGGTGAAACGGGTGGAAAGAACTTCCACTTTGTTCATTCAAGCGCAAACGTTGAACATGCAGTTCATCAAACTATTCGTGCTGCGTTTGAATATCAAGGTCAAAAGTGTAGTGCTTTGAGCAGATTATACGTTCCTCAAAGTATGTGGACAAACGGCGGATTTAAGCAATTACTATCTGAACAAGTTTCAAAAATTTCCGTTGGACCAGTCGAAGAATTCCAACACTTCTGTGGACCAGTGATTGCCAAGACTGCATTTGAGAGAATCACTTCGATGATCAATGAAGCTAAACAAGCAGGCGGTAAGATTGTCTGCGGAGGTACATCTGATGGCACAAAAGGATTCTTTGTTCAACCTACAGTGATTGAAACAGATGATCCAAAGAGCGTAACTATGGTAAACGAAATCTTCGGACCCGTTTTAACGGTTTATCCTTACCCAGATGATCAGGTCGACCAAACATGCGCTTTAGTGGACGGAACAACAGACTATTCGTTGACTGGAGCAATTTTCGCACAAGACCGTAACGCATTGATTCACATCAGTAACCTCTTGCGTGATGCAAGCGGAATGATGTACTTTAACGATAAATGCACAGGTGCCGTTGTAGGACAACAACCATTTGGAGGCGCAAGAGGTTCAGGAACAAATGATCGTGCTGGAAGCATGGCATTACTCCTCCGTTTCACTTCTGCCCGTACTATCAAAGAATCATTCAACGAGATTCCTCATTATATCTATCCTTCCAATCTTTCTTGAGAACAAAATTGCTTTTATCAATGTACATTAAGTAGACAAATTATACAATGACGATCAACAAGATGCTAATAATACATAAAAGTGTGACTGAGGGTGGAATCATCTCGATCCACTGCCTGTGAACATTAGCTCATTTTCAAGAGCTGCAATCAGATCGATACCTCCGTCCATATAATTGGGAAAGAGGGCGTCTAAACTCCAAATAGAAGGATCATATACGTTAAGAGATGGTACGTCAAGATCACCATTCGTGGCGGCATCGATGACTTGACCTGAGCCGTTCATGTTTGTCAATGGCCAGCCTTGCTGATATTGCGATTGATTTGAATATGTTGGATCTGTTGATGGAGCTTGCCTTTCATTGTGCGGAACAGATGACGTCGGCATCGATGCGAGGATGTTTGCTGCATCAGAAGTATCATGATGCTCACCCCTTTGCCTTCTTATTCGTTCTTTTGCACCTTTCAAGAAAGACTTTAATCCAGGCACATATTCCCTCAACGATGGCAGCTCAGAAGACGGGTTCAAGAGCTCCAAACATTCTTCAAGGATTACAATCGTTTTGTCAATATCGATCAATCCAAAACCTGCTTCTGTTTCATTTGCGCGGTTCTTCCGACCGGATGATTGTTTGTCTTGATGTGGTCGATCGAGTTCATGCAAAAGAACAAGTTGAAAAACGAGAGAAGCGTGAATCAAGTGAGATTCAAGAAAGACTGAACGAACAAAAACGCATCCTGCTTTTTCCAACACTTTACGAGCTTCCAGAACACCATGTGCAGCCTTTAAGCATGAGAATATAGATCTTCGATATTTCTCATCTTTGAACCCTTTCCCCAGAAAAGCACGATGTATATGAATAAGCCGGAAATGTGATTGATCGTTCAAGAGGCCTCGTTGAAGCATCACCCTACGCTCTGCATCGTCGGGATTTTGGCTTACTGGCGCATTGATAGATAAGAAAGGAGGTAGACCTTCCATCAGATCAAAGAATCGTTTATCTAGTATTAACGTATCCTCATAGGGTAAGGGTGCCCCTTTCTCGTTTTCCCATTCAACCATTTGACGTAGAATTTTAGAGAATGCAACTGCATAGGCGGAATATACGTTCTCGTTGATTCGAGCGCCATCAGGCCTGCATTGAGACGCTAAAAGAGACAGATGCGGAGAGAACAAGTCTTCATCGGTCAAGGCTAACGGTGGTGCAGTTCGATCGACAGAATTATTGATATAATGATGTTGATTGATATGTCCCGAGAAAAGAGCGTCCATGCTTACTACGTTTGACCAAATTTTACGACCTAATTCACGATTGGGTATATTCCCTTCTTCGAAGATCGCAATCGAAGAACCGAATTTCATCGAAGAGGTCAGAAGTTGCTGTTTGTTTGGTAAAGAATTGCTTTGTGCTACGATATGTTCAGCAAAGATCGAACCCACTTCTGTTTCAGGCACCCTTTGCGAGGTAGAAACTGGTTCTGCTGCATCGTCATAGCCACTTCCCAGGCGATTCAAGCCCAGAGAGATACATATTTGCATCGCAACAACATTCGATTGCTGAAGATGCAGTGGGCCATTGATTTTGGCATGTTTTTCCAAGCTCGATCTGACCATTGTCGCTGTTCGGAAGTCGTTCAGCTTCAATAATTGTAATGTCCAAATTGTTGGAATTTCATCACTCTGCGAAGCCTTTGCATGCAAAGCCGATGCATCACCCATCGTATCATACCACTGAAAAGCAGCCTCTTCTTCTGCACCGATCGGTAAAATGCCTATTCGTACTTTCTCGTCCAAAGACATTACCCTTCCTCCTGCTTCCAGTAATCGGAACAAGACCGCAAGAAATCCTTGTCTGGGCAATGTACGTAGGTTGTTTCGTGTTTTGTCATCTTTATCAACAATGCTGGTGCGTAATTGCAAAGCTTGTGAATTACCCTCGGACGGAGAAAGTTGATTAGCCTGGATCAGCAAAAGATCATAATCCTGCCAGAATTCCTTCATTTGTTGCAGCAATGTTTGTGTATTGAACAGACATCGTGCTGGTTCCAGATCTTGTAAGTAAACATCCACCAAACGCTCTACAGCTATACGGGGTGGTAGCCTCTTGAGACTTGTGAGCAAATCAGAGGAATTGACCAAGGTGTTTGGATCAAGAACATAGGGAAAGAAAGGATTCGGTGCACGGAATCCACCAAAAGCAGAGAAATGTACCTTACGGGCAACTGCATTAGGCGCTATTTTGACATTGTAGTACAGCATCTCCATAAGATCATTTGAGCTCTTTTTCGCAGGGCTTGAAGATGTTAGAGCGTTTGTGGTAACGGAGCTTTTTCGTGTGCTATTCTCTCGATCTTCGCTTTCGTCCTGTTCTGAATCGGATGATGATTGAGAGGTGATAGAGCTTCGCCTTCGTTTGAGCCTTTTCAGTACTGCATTCACAATATGATCGACATCAGGTGAGCCATTTCGATCTGTGCTGGAGACTGATCGGCGTTTATGTCGATGTAGAGTTTGACTGTTTTTCCGACTGCTCTTACTGCTCTCTCTTTCTTCGGGTAAACTTCCATATTTGCATTCGCCACGAATTCCACGAGTGATACAGCTTTGACATTGTGGTTCACCTCGATCGCATTTAATCTTTCTTGTTTTGCATTGAATGCAACTTAATGCTTTGCGATTCCTCTTCTTTTTGTTCTCTTCATCGTATCCTGATGGACGTCTTGAAGTTGGAGAAGAGAAGACCATGAGATAAAGCGGGAAGTTTTGAATCGTGATGGAGTTGAAAAGGAGAAGAGCCGGAATTGATTTAAGCCACTTTATTGTTCATTATCAAAATCATGCAAGTCAGACTGTTGCACGCTTAAGCGCCGTTGCAAAAAGGCATGAGGCCAGAGGGAATTGCCCAAATGCACCGCACCATGCATACACCTTTAATTTAAAGCTTAGCGTACATTTGTTTGACACTTTCTTGATCATCATGATGAAATGGAAAAACAACAGCCTACCTTAGAAACTTCAAGGCTCATCTTACGTCCTATACGTCAAGATGATGCTTTCCATATTCTAGCCCTAGGAGGAGATCGTGATGTTGCTTCCACAACACAACTTCCCCATCCATACACCGAAGGAAATGCCAAGGATTTTGTCGAAAAACAAGCAAAAGTGTACAGAGATGGCGAATGCGTAAACTTTGCAATCTGTGCAAAAGACAAAAGATTTGCAGATGAAATAGGCTGGGAACCAGGCCGGTTGATGGGCGTCATTGGGTTTTATCTGAACCTTGCAAACAATAGAGCTGAACTCGGTTATTGGCTTGTAAAGCCATTCTGGGGCAAAGGGATCACGTTCGAGTCAGCAAAAGCTGTTGTAGAGTATGGCTTTACAGATGTGCAGCTGAACAGGATATATGCCAATCACGTTACCCGTAATGTTGCATCTGGTCAAATATTGAAAAAATTGGGCATGCGATTCGAAGGGACATCTCGTCAGCATATCTTCAGATGGGAGCATGCTGAAGATTCGGAGAATTATGCCATCTTGGCAAGTGAATGGCAACAGAATACAATTCAAGCGATGAAAAAGGCATAAAGAGCGCTAAACATGAGAGTTGTGCCGTATAAAGCAGTACGGAAACGATGTCTACTCAACCACTTTTGCAACAGATCCTTCGCATCTAACGTTTCCTCTGCTGTCAAGGACCCTATCTTTTGAGACAATGTCAAGAGAGAATTGCTGATCGGTCTGACTGTTGAGCAGGAGAGGTACGGAACAGGTCAGAAGCTTGCAGAAGAGACCAGTCTATCACTTATCATTCACTTACGTCTAATGAAAGTGTATGGGAACGGTAACATGGCAAAGACGGCAAGAATGCGAAGAAGTAAATCCACATCTGATGGTGGTGAACTCTGCTCTACCGCCCGTGCAGCGGTAACAGGTCGGAATGATGGAGTTTGAATTGCAACTCTTGGAATTGACGCCGGAATCAATTGGCAAAGTCTTGATGAAGCCTGCCAAAAGAAGAGCGAACACAATGGGCCAGCGAGTGAAAAGTAGGACTGAAGATGATCGAAGGTCGTCAATCAGTAGCAATTCACCAGGTAGAGGATTCTCTCCAGCACTTACCTCAGACTTGTTGAAATACCAGTTCCATTGTCGAATCGCCGATTGGACCGGGACACCGAATTCGTTCCGTAAGAAAGGGTTCGCAAGCAAAGGAACCAGTCCAAAACTGTTCGTTCCAAATCCTGTGAGAAAGGGAAATGCTGAAAGGCCAATACCCACTCCCGTCAAGAAACGATAAGTTGTCGCATTGGCGGTTGCTCGTTCTATGTAGAACTGTCTAGACATTTCCAGATTCTATAAAGGGATGGAATAAGGAAGGTTATCTGGGGGAGTCTAGAATCGCTAGAATCTATATTAAGCTATGTATACCACTATAATGATCTGATCTGTGCATCTATGCATGCTTCTTCTCGACGATCTGAAGGGTATTTCACTTCTGTATCTTCCTATCAACTGCTATCATGCTAATTTCAATTTCGATTCCGTATATTAAAAACATACTTGCGCTAAATATGCTGTCATGCTTAAATTAAAAATCCAATGAAACACGGTCATATTGCAGAAGTAGAATGAAACGATAGTGAAATAAGAAGTCTTGTACCAGCTTGACATGACCTATGACCTATTCTCCCCACTGTCCCCTCCTAGACGATCAAAGAAGAAAGAACACCCAATGCCAAAGTGACACCGTATAAACCCGTTCGGATCAAATGTCTGGCAAACCATTTCTGTAAAAGTTCTCCAGCTGTCGATGCTTCAAGAGCGGTAAAGCTTCCCGATTTTGCTGCTAATGCCATCAAAGCGTCATTTGTAGGTTTGACTATGTGAAATTTGAAAGGAATTGTGTTAGTAAATACGCTTCATGATACGCTCAAGGTCCTACTTACGCATGGTGATTGTATATGGCAAAGGTAATACGGCAAATGCAGTTGCGATGCGAAGGACTAGCTTTGCGTTTGATGATAATCTCTGATCCAACACTTTTGGAACTCTGAAAGAAGCCAACAAGAACGAAGCTGAAGCCAAAGAAGCACTAGCTGCGAACCAGGGCTGATTGAGTGATATCAGAGAAAAGTTAGCCAAATTGGTATAATCTTATTCCTCGTTATATGTACTCACCATAGCTTTAGCAAAGAACCAATCCCATTGACGAACGGCTGATTCGATTGGAATTCCATACTCTTTTCGAAGTGCAGGATTAGAGATTAGAGGCATCAATCCAAAAACATTTGCGCCAACATTTGCAAAGAAGAACAAGCTTGAAAATCCAATACCCGCCCCGGTCAAGAAACGGTATGGTGTCACATTTGACAAAGCATGATTGACAGCATGAGATAAATCCGACATTTTCAACGAGATGATTATAGAGAGAGGATGATTGAGATATTGATAGGATGAGTGGGGATTTAGGGTTTAGTGCAATTGTATTGATCTGAGCGTGCATACACTGGATGTTCGGGAACTGTTGCGGGAATTGCATTTGAACGCACAGTCCAAAAAAAGAGGCCCGTTAAAAGACGTTGCATGGAACATAGAACGGACACTTCCGTCAGTTACAGGCACAACGGGCGGGAACACTTTTGGATTCTTTTCTTGCTTTACTGATTTTCTGACGTGATTCCATCTGACATTTGCACTGCAATTTTAATACTCCGACAGTAATGAAATAATTTAGCACATGTCAAAAAAGAAGGCTGTACAGGAATGATAATGGTATAAATACGAAGAAAGATGCGATCTTATATGACAGGTAAAGCATGTCCATTCCATTTCAACAATGAGCGATATCGAAACACACAAAGCATCTTCTTTAGAGGAAGAAGGCAGAGTAAATTATGATCATATCGCAGGCAAGCAGAAGACAAGCAGACGGAAATATATCTTCGCTGGTCTTGGCTTATTGTTGCTTATTCTTATAGGATTAGGAATTGGACTGGGAGTTGGATTAACTCACAAAAATGATGATGCAGACGATAGTGGATCTAGCGAATCATCGTCAGACCCATCTGGACCAGTTCTGAGCAATAATTCGTCGACTAACTCTTCTATTTGGCAGCCCGCAGCAGGTATATCATGGAACTATTTATTATTAAGTCCACCCTTGACAAATGCCACAAACGGAACACAAGCTATAGGATTAGACCTGTTTGATGTTCAGACTGAAATTGTACAAGGCTTACAGCAAAATGGAGCAAAGGTGATTTGCTATTTCAGTGCAGGAAGTTATGAAAATTGGCGACCCGATCAAGCACAATTTCAGCCAGACGATTTAGGAAAATCACTCAAAGGATGGAAAGGCGAAAGGTGGCTCAATGTCAGCTCGCCGAATGTACACAAGATTATGGAAGCAAGAATGGATTTAGCTGTTCAAAAGCATTGTGATGCTATTGATCCAGACAATGTGGATGGGTATGATAATGATAATGGGTTAGGCTTAACAGAAACGGACGCAATTAATTACCTCAGCTTTTTATCCACTTCTGCTCATTCTCGTGGCTTGGCAATTGGTTTAAAGAATGCTGGTGGAATTGTGGATAATGTAGTAGACGTTTTCCAATTTAGCGTTCAAGAGCAATGCGAGCAAACAAAAGAGTGTGAACAATATACACCTTTTATCACACAGAACAAACCAGTCTTTCATGTCGAGTATCCAAAAGGGGACAAAACAAACAATAATGCGGATGTATCCGCTACTCAAAAGCAGATTATTTGCAATGATTCAACAGCCAAGGGATTTTCCACCATTATGAAGAATATGAATTTGGATAGTTGGATTGAATCTTGTTGATTTGTTTTCTATTGTTTTATACTAAATCGAGCTTTAATCTCTGCATGCGCAGCGCGTTCCTGCATTGAAATCTTAATAGAACAGATCCAGAATAAAGGTTAATGTACAAAACATTCCTGGCTTTCATTGTTAAGGGTACAATGTAATTTTATTGTTCAGATTTATTAATTTATAAATGTACTTCCTACTGGAGAAGATTATTTCCATGGCTCCCACTCAAGAAACAAAAATCTACAAAAATTGATTCTAAGTCGATGGAGAAAGGTTGCTCAACCGAGCTTGGTGACAGTCAGTCATCCATTAGACACGCTCAAAGAAGATTACGTAGAACTCTATTGGTCGTACTTGGTCTATTGGCTTTGGTGCTCTTGATTGCAAGAACAGACTTGAATCACTTCTCCACCACATAACAGCGCACACATTCTTACCAGGAGAGCACAAACGTCAAAGCAATGGAAGCCAAAAGCAGGTCTATCATGGAATCTTTTGCTGCTAAACCCGCTCACTTCAGGTCAAACAAACGGTACACAAGTATTGGATATTGATCTATTCGATAATGATGCAAAAGTGATAAAATCACTCAAACAGAACGGCGCAAGAGTTATTTGTTATTTCAGCGCTGGAAGTTATGAAGATTGGAGACCGGATGCTAAAAAGTTTCACAAAAAAGACTTGGGCGCTCCTCTTGAGGGTTGGCAGGGTGAATCATGGCTCAACGTGAGATCGGCAAATGTTCATAACATCATGAAAGCTCGCTTGGATTTAGCTGTAAAGAAAGGATGCAACGCTGTTGATCCGGATAATGTTGATGGATACAACAATAACAATGGCTTAAATCTCACAAAGAAGGATGCGATAAATTATGTGAACTTCCTTGCAAAAGAAGCACATAAACGAAAATTAGCCATCGGACTGAAGAATGCAGGCGAGATTGTTGCAAAGATGGTTGATGTAATGGACTTCAGTGTGAACGAACAATGCGAACAGTACAACGAATGCAAGACCTTTAGCCCTTTCATCAAAAAGAACAAGCCCGTTTTCCATGTCGAATATCCAAAAGGAGACGATACCAATAATCATCAAGACATCCCAGAAGCAAAGAAGCAAAACATCTGCAACGATCCAACGGCAAAAGGATTTTCTACCATTATCAAAAATATAAATTTGGACTCTTGGACGCAAACTTGCTGAAAGGTTTCTGTGTACCCTACTTGACCGGAACAGGACCGGAAGAACGACCGCTATCTGCACTCTCTACATGCTCTCCTCTGTTGACCTTTTCGGTCAAGCTTGTATGATGTGCATATGAGAATACCCTTTTTTGATGTTCGGTAAGCGGTTCAACTTCCGGTATCCCAAGCCTTGCTAGAATTAAACGTCCGATGATCGGTAAAAATTTGAACGCATGACCCGAATCACCTCCAACGACCAACAATCCCGACACTTCTGGATGTTCATCAATCAACCAATTTTCATCGTGCGTATCCGAATACCAACAGATACGTGAAGAAATGCGTTGTCTATCCACTTTTGCGATATGTGGATATAATCGAATTAATTCTGACATCATTTGATCAACTTTATCTTCTGGAATGAATGTTTTAGCAGATCCTTTCGATAGCTGTGAAGGCTGTCGGTCACCGTTGAAGCTCGCTTGCATGCCGTGATTAAAAGAAGGGTAAGGTCTGCCTTTGCAATCATCGTAAGTCGGGGCAGGGTTAGCAAACCCTTCATCTCCATGAATCGCACATTTGAGTATATTATCTGCATTTGGTTCAAAGATGTAGAATCCGTTGTCCAGGTTCACTACAACAGGTGTACCACGGAAAGGAGCACTCTCTACAGGCGTGAGTTGGATTGTCAAAACACATTGTGCAGATGGAAAAGCAGGAGAGATGATGTTTGTGTTTGATTGAGGTAAGAGTTTACTGATCAATAAGCGTGACCATGATCCGGCTGCTAGGACAATATGGTCAGCATGGAACGAGCGACCGTCATGTGTACGTACTCCAGTCACTATGTTCTTCCCTTGTCCGTCACTTCCTTCGAAGAGCAACTCTGTGACGGTTGCCTTGCTAACCACGTTAACACCACCTATCCGGACAGCTTCTCGTAAAGCTGCTCTTGTTGCATTATTCGCTTCTGCCCATCCTCCTCGTGGGTTTGCATATCCGTACTGGTGTTTCCCAAAACCTTGAAAGCCTTCTCCTAGTTGGTTGTGCATGGCCGTTGGAAAAGCGCTCAATAGATCGTCTTGATCGTTTAACAAGAATGCATTGCGTGGCATTTGTTTGCCCTCCAAAGTCTTTTCTACAGATGCATCTTGCGTCTTACTTGCTCTTTCTACTCCTCTCTGGCAATGTTTCTCGTACTTTTCACTGAATGCGTTCTCCCCATCACCACTTCTGAATACCACGCCTGTTTCGTGATAAAATGGTGAAAATACATCATCTGTACGCCAAGAAGATATTGCTTGTTTTCCTAGCCGACAATAAGATTCATCAGAGTAATCAGCTCTGATCACCTTGTTGAGATCATTCGATGCAGCATCAGAAGCAGCAAAACCATCTTCAGATCGATCTAAAACCACAACATCCTTGTAACCCAATCTTGCCAATGTTAGAGCTGTTGAAGATCCATATATTCCCGCTCCTACGATCAAGAAGCTTGTTTGTGAAGTTGAATCGGACGGCATTCCGCTTTCTCGAAAGATGACCCGATAGATGATGGTATGCTCTCGACTGTAATCTTATCGAACCGCTTTCCCCATCTTCTCAAAATTTAAGGTTATGCTTGGCCGATGCAAGTCTAAAACGCCAATAGAAAAGCCGCGGCCAATTTATGTACTGTGTGTGACATTTGATTACGTACGCATAAGAAAATGCGTTAACTGCCGATGCACATGTAAAGAGATCGGGAGGGAGGTACATTTCTCTCCTCATGCACGCGTTAAAAAAAAGCCGTTGGATGTTTTACACTGAACAAATGGCACCCCCTTTGAAATCGGAGGAAGATTGTTAAACGTACACGATGCCGAAAAGGGATTTTGTTTTTCCGTACCACAATGGATTCAACATTTTCCACAACTTCACTTTTGAAGTGATCGTTTCGATTATCACTTTACCATCCTGACCATAGCGAGACCTTTATGCCTATCGTTGTGTAAAAGGTCAAGATGGTAGTGGAAGTCACTCATCATATCGCTGATATTGAGGCAGGAAGGGGAAATCCTGTAACAGAAAAGAGTTCAAATCAAAGTAGCACGCGAGAAACACAAGATCAAAGCGTACAAGTTGATCGGATATCGGCCAAATCTCATACGATTTCCATATCAGAACGATTACTTCATTTCACATGGGCATGGTATCTGACAACAATGGCAACCGGATCAATCGGCGTACTGATAGCAAATCAACCACATAAATTTCGCGGCTTAGACACGATCGGAAAGATCTTTCTCATTTTTGAATTATGTTTGTTCGTCTTGATCACAATCGGTCTCGTTCAACGATTTTGGAGAAAGCCAGAGCTATTAGCAAGATCGTTAAGGAATCCATACGAATCATTATTCACCCCAACGCTCTTCTTGAGTATATCCAACATAATCTTAATGATTGAAGCTTACGGAACACCAGCAGCAGGACCTTGGCTTAAAACGGTAATTTTGATTTTGTTTTGGATTTATTCAGCATGTTCGCTTTTGTTGGCCGTTTTACTCTATCTCGATTTATTCACCGCAAGAAGAATGACGGATAAGGATATCATTCCCGCATGGCTTTTACCTGTTTTCCCGCTCATGCTCGCAGGTACGATCGCTGGAACGATTGCAGAAACACAACCGATCGATCGTAGGATGAGCATTTTGATCGCTGGTACTACATTTCAAGGTGTTGGCTTTTGGGTTGCGCTTTCGGTGTTTGGTCCTTTGATGAGTAGATTGATGAGGATTGGTTTGCCTGCTCCGGCATTACGACCTGGAATGTTTATTTCCGTTGGACCGCCTGCTTATACATCTCACGCTTTGATCAAATTATCAACTTCATTTTTCAACAGTCCGCAAATCTCATATATACAACGTTATCCAGATTCAGCAAATGTTATTCGATATGCAAGTTTAGCACTTTCAATATTCATTTGGTGTTTGGCTTTTTGGTGGCTTTGTATCTCTTTGGGTACAATTTTACTGGATATACGGGATATCGGATTCAGTTTAGTATGGTATTCAATGATCTTTCCCAACGTTGGGTTATGTTTAGCAACGATTGATCTCGGGAAGGCATTATCAAGTGATCCGATTGGCTGGATTGGATCAGGCGTGACGATCATTTTGGTGATTTTATATATCTACATCTTTTCTCGTCATATTTTAGCATTATTCAGAGGGGATATACTTTGGCCCGGGAAAGATGAAGACAAAGATAGCTAGTTGTAAATTAATGTAGATTACTCAATTCATCATTCATGTGAAAACATTTGATACTAAGCAGATATGCGGGGAAGAAAGGTGAAGTGCATCTCAGTCGACCGTTGATGCGCTAAAGACGTTGCAACGCACATTCAGGTACATTACCAGCATTCTCCACTTTATAGATGCATGCACATTGCTGCACGATTGGTTAAACGGGCATTTTCACAATCGATAAGAAATCAAGGGTACGTAATCAAGAAGACATGGTTCGATCATTTGAAAGACTATAATAAACCCCGCAAAGAGTAGATTACACCACTAGTGACCCTGTCAAAAAGTCATAAAGTGTTGAAAGCTGTTTAGGCTACTTATAGCCTTTATCTTTCCTGCCCCCACCATCGTCATCCTTTTATCGTTCATTCTTCATCATGTCTACTTCCAAAGAAGGATGGCTTCGAACATCCAGATATCTCAAAACTCGTCGTCCTGCACCTCGTGTTCTATTGATTGCAATCTCCAATCCACCCTACAATCTGTGAGTATCTTATACAGGACCTGTATGAATATTTTCTAATCCATCTCCCTCCCCATTTTCAGCCTCAATGGTGACATTCTTTACGATCTGAAGCGAGTTCTAGAAACTCTCAGTCCACGCGAAACAGGTGTAGTGATCATCACTTCTGCCGTTCATGATATCTTTTTAAGTCATTATGATTTACAAGAAATTTTGGATTTAACAAAAACCGTTCCGATGGGATCACACATTTCACCTGGAGTCGTTCGTGGTGCTTTGTACGTCGAAAGTTTTTTGGCTGCTTGTGGTTTACGTAGATTTGTTGAACGTAGCCCATTGGCAGGTTTGAGTTATTTGAACTCGTTTTATGAAGTCACTTCTTTGTTACGTAGCTTGCCTCAAGTCACAATCGCTGCAATCAATGGACGTGCTTTGGGAAGTGGTGCAGAACTGGCTTTGGCATGTGATTTCCGAATTATGGTAGACACACCTCCTCAAGGTATTCCGGGCGAATCTCGTGGAAGTGGATTCGGTCATCCCGAAATCACATTGGGTTTAATTCCCGGTGGTGGTGGTACGCAAGTCTTGACAAACTTGGTTGGACCTGCAAAAGCCTTGGAATTAAGTTTAATGAAACCTTTCCTTACTGCTGAAGAAGCACTTCAAGCTGGCTTGGTTACCCGTCTCGTTAAACGGAAGGATTTGATTCCTGAAACGGTTGATTTGGCTATTCAATTAGCCAAGAGGGCACCTTCTGCCGTTGCAGCTATCAAAGATTGCGTCTATATCGGTGCCAGCCGTGACTTCGCCGGCGGTATTCGAAATGAACAAGGCAATTTGGGTGCTTGGTGAGTATACATGAAGGAAATTGATAGACACTTTGTACTGACATCCCACCTCTTCACAGTGCCCTTGTTCCTGAATCTCGTGACGCACTTGCCAAATATACAGCCGATTTGGAAACCTTTTTGGGTGAAGAGAGTACTATGGATCAATTCAAAACCTTAGAAACGGGTGATTATGTTGACTTTATTCCAAACAGTTGGATAATGAAACAAGACGCTTTCGTTGCCGAACAACAAAGGGAACTCTTACGAAAGAATGCTAAAGATGCAAAAGCGGCAGGAACAGCAAATGCAATTCATCGTAAACAAAAAGCTGCTGGTAAAACTGCTTAATATTTTTATGTCATTAATTCGGGATCATGTATGTAGGTTTCTTTATATCTATTGCAGAACGTTTATGTCTGAAAGTTGAGGCATTCCAGGTCCTGGTGGACTGCTAAACTTGGTTTGAACAAATGTTTTCAATACACCGACTCCGGAGTTCTTGTCAGTCTTTTTCTGGTCGAAAGCGTGATATAATTGATCCATTTGTGAAAGATCGAATCTGTGTGTTAAGATCAGAGTTGGATCAAATTTGCCAGGAGCAATGTATTCTTCCAACAATTTTTTCATATATTTTTGAGCAGGTGCTTGACCGTTACCTTTAAGCATGATGCCTTTTTCCATCAATGCACCAATATTGAATCCGTTTGCCAAACCTGCATAATCTGCAGCGATTGAAATACGACCATGTTTACGGGTTGCAGTGATACATTCGTTAAGAGTTTCGGGTGTATCAGTTTCCAATGCCATTGCACGCATAGCTTTATGAGCGATACTTTGAGCGTAACGGAATCCGGCCGTATCGAAAGAGTATTGCCAGCCTAATTCTTCCATTTCATACAGCTTCTTAACGATTTCTTGCGAAGACATTCCATCACGGTTGAGCACTTCTACGCCAATCTTTTCTTTAGCAAATTCCAATCTGTTTTGGACAGCATCAATGATTACAACACGTTTGGCTCCAAAGCATCTTTTCAGCCATTGAGCAACATTTAAACCAATTGGACCTGCTCCCCAGATGGCGGCTGTTGAGCCGGGTTGAAAGTCAACATCAACGACTGAATGGAAACTCGTGCAAACAATATCGCTTAAGAACATCACTTTTTCATCAGGGATACCTTCGGGAATCTTGAGTAGGTTATAATCTGCGTAAGGTGAACGGAAATATTCTGCTTGGCAGCCGGCATAGCCACCTGCAAAGTGAGAGTAACCTAGCAAGCCACTGAAGTTTTGACCATACAAGGTTTTCATTACTGAACTTGAATTTGTCTTTTCGCACATTGAGCCTAACTGATCTTTACAAAAAGGACATTCACCACATCCAATTGAAAAGCTTGCAACGACACGATCTCCGACTTTGAGATTCTTGACACCTTTTCCTACAGATTCGACGATTCCCATGCCTTCATGACCGAGAATATCATCAGGTTGTAATTGTAAAATATCACCGTGCAAGAGGTGTAAATCACTTCCACAAACGGTTGAACCTGTCACTTTGATCACTGCATCATGATCTTCCATGACTTTAGGTTTGGGCATATCTTTTATGCGAACGTCAAATTTACCTTGCCATGTTAGAGCTTTCATCGTTTCGCCTGATTCGAGCGCCTCTTGACGACTTACATTGGTATGTGAGCTGGTTATAGATGTTGGCTGGTCACCCATCACCTTTTGGGCTAAATTCGAGACTGCATTTACTGCCATGTTGTGTACAATTGCTGATGGTGGTCAAATGGAGTGTTTTATCTTTTCTGTTTAGAGTGCTACTTACCATGCACACGACATCCAATACTCCACTTCACAGGGTCCAACACGATGGCGCGCGAAGGGTTGCTTTGGAAGGGTGCTTGAAGACAATGACTTTTAACATCATTTTATTGTCTTGATTGACGTTAATTAACAATAATTATTCACATTCTAAAGATCACTACCATCTTTAGCCTGCCGTTATTCAGGTACAAGGTGTGGATGACCGGTGACTGCTATGCTATGACCCCGGGCATGATTTTGTAAGCCCACTGAATGTACGCTAACGTATATCCTTTGTCAGGGTCTTCTCTTTATTTTATCCGATTCTCCATCATTACATACGCTGCATATGGTTATGTAATGAAGATCAATTGCGTAAGCATTATGGAAGTCTTTCCTGTTTGACAACCAGAACATGTCAAAAGTATTAGCAAATGCATATTGGTACAAACGATGAACAGTTTTAGTCGTGTGACATAGTGGAGTGATTCTTCAATATGCCAACTTCTTACCCCCATAATCCCATATCCAACAGCCAATTAATTAAATATGGCGCCAAAGAAGCAAACAAACGGCAAGAGGAAGAACGAAGTGACCCCTTCTGATCAAGATGATAAACGAAATAAATCAGACGACGGAAAAGTTCCACCTCCCGATACAGGATGGGAAGGACCATTACCGAATCACGAAGGAGGGTCAGAAAAAGGCTATCTATTCAAACCTCCGTATGCATGGCAAAGCACAAAATTCCACACAAAATATCATTCAGCATGCTGGTGCGGAAAAGTTGAATTTGAATATCATGGTGATCCGATTGATGCAAAACATTGTCATTGTACACAATGTCAACGTTTGCATGGCGCTTGCTTTCAATGGGCAGCTCTTTATTTCAAAACTTCTGTTAGACTTAAGCCAAGCTGTGATCCGATGTACTTGAAATTCTTTTCAACACAAGAAAGACATAGCGATCATCATGCACCATGCAAAGTTTCTTGTCGAAATTGCGGAAGTCATTTATTGGACGAAGGCAGAACAATGGTAATGGCTTATCCACCTTCTTTTGGTTTTAAGGATCAACAAATTCCAGACGCTTTTGCACCAAGTTGTCATATCTTTTATAAGAATAGAGTAATCAATGTCGACGATGGTGTACCAAAATGGAGCGGTCACAAAGATAAATCGGAATTAATGCCACATGATGCTGAGGGAGGACACAAGTTAGGTCTGGGGAATGAGCACAAATACAAGGATAGGCACAATGTCGAAAAGACATGATATTAATTGATGAGGGTATATGTACAACTTGAAGGGTATATGTACAGCTTGAATCGTATATGTACAAATGCTATAAGTGAAATAATGATTGGTACCTTGAAACTTGCTCTTCACTCTCAGGACACAACATTCAACTTTTCCAATTCGGAAAGAATCTTTTGTAGAGATATTTGACCACCTTTGGATAATGTGACATTATCGCACCATGAAGCTAGTTGCTTCCCATTGGCTCCAACGTTCTTCGTCAATCGATCATCGGTGATTGACTTTTGCATGTTCAGCTTAATTTCTTGCAGTTTGCTTTCATTGTAGATCGTCTTTACGTCTTTTTCTAATCCTGGAATGGGAAACTTGAGTGCATGCCAGATTGATCGACGAGCAAGAATATACGCTCTTTCCGAGTATTGCCGACTACTGAGATTGACCTCGTCTGTGCGTTCTTTCAGGTCAAATCCGGCTTCAGTGAAATAAGGCTCAGCTACCAACACCAAGGCTTGAATAGAGATAAAGACTTGTAGTAATGTGCTCTTGTTTGGATGCCATTTCTCAACACCTTCTCCTGTCCAAGTGTTGAGCAAGCTTAAACAAACCATCCCTTCCTCATACAAGTTCGGACTTAAACGACCATGACCGTCTGTCCAGCTGTGAAAGTGAGCTCGTGGCGGTTCGAACGGATACGATGGTTTTAGGTAGAAGTCGATCAAGATAGGCGCATCTTCATAAGGCGTACCTTTACTGCCAATAATAAGAACACGTAACAGATCCGCACGATCTTCGTACGCCTTGACAAAGATGGTGTCTGGTAAGCTTGATTGTAGGATCTGATACTCTTTGCGTAAATGAGACAAGAACATTTTCGAGTGACTGGTGGATTCGAAATTGGATTTTTTGAAGAAATGGTCGTTTGGTGCCTGCTCTAAAATCTCAAATATGGGCACGTCTGACTTGTTGTTGCGATAGTCCGCTGCCTTTTCCGGAGTATCAAGAGATTCTTCATCGGCAGCATCGGTCTTCTTTCCTCCCACTTCCGGTTCGTCATCCATTTGATCGTCATCTTCCCATTCATCCGCATTGGCATTCTCGACCGCAGCTCCATCTTCAGTCGTCCAGGGAATGTTGTCATCAAGGAAATCCATCATGATAGAGTCGTCGTCGTCGTCATCATCATCATCTGATAAGTCACCTATGTCACTGTCATCGTCGTCTGTCAGACTGACTAACAAGGACACCTTGTCCATCGTTACGGAGATGTTTCGTCCTGCTGGTAATTGAACGATGATCGTGCCATCTGGTTGCATATCCACCACAATTCCGAGCCAATCAATCTCATGAGCATCTGATGCTGTTCTCGGCTTCTTTTGTACATTCAATTCACCTTGCTTCTTTTTAGACATCATCTCACAACCAATGGAACTCATGGCGCCAATGCTTGCTTCAATCAAATGCCGTCCCCATTCCTCATCCGCATACGATGATATACCGATGATGTTGGTAAGAGGAGGTGCATAAGCTTGAACCGAATCTGTCAGCATCACCACGGAACCACGACGAAGAGTGCGACCAGAAGCGAGAGAACGTGTAGTTTTGATTTCAAAGGTTGAAGCTGTAATGGGATCATTTTCAGTTGAGGCTTTTCCCTTGGTTTGTTCGTCATCATTATACAAATATAAATTTGCGGTCCTTTCCGCAACATTTGCACTTTCCACAACGGCTCCGCGATCTTTCCCGTCGATAGAAGTATAGAGAACGTGACATCCTTTCCAGAGCTCCATTTCGCCGATATCAAGTATTTGAGGTATCAAATTGATGCTCGGATGCTTTGATGTACGACCATCTTGCCACATTACAGTCACCATTGAGTACATTGCTGTGACTCGCATCACATTGCACTGGGCCTTGTGTGTACCAAGATGAGAATGTTGTACATGACGTGAAGGTTGGAAATTGTACTCTTTTGCTGCTGATTGTGAAGCAAAGATGACTTGGCTATCCAATTCATATTTTGGCTTCAAAGAAGTCTTTAAGATGATCAATTCGTCCAATTCGGTCCAAATCGGTTTGGGCATTGGGCTTTGAGCACATTGTTGAAGCGTAAGCTTGCCATTCTTGGCTAGCCAGTCAACACAGATCGTTGTTTGACGTGCTTCCACGAATCTTGGATTATAACGAAATCGACAAAATGCCGGCCCAGACTCGCTTGCCTCTGTACCAATCCTTTCCGTATAGCCACATTTAAAACCGCCGACGCTGGAAGGCGTACCATATCTGATCAGACCTTTGACTTCATCTGTTTCACATAAGACCTCGTCAAACTTGTCTTTGACTACTCCAACCCAATTATTGTGCAAGACAATATCTCCAACTGAAACGTATTCTGCCGGTCTAACCTTATCTGCGGGAATCCTTTTGCCGACAAGTTCATCTGTGATCACATGTCGAAGTTCAAGCTCCGTTTCCACATTTGTGACGATACCAGACATTCCTTCACTGATTGGGCTTGAACCACCAATGTTGCTCGTTGCGTCCATCTTGCAAAGATCTCCAAACTCAAAATCTCTACCAAGAAGTTCTAAACATGAACCATCTACGATGATACGTTCTTTGATCGGAAAGACTTCGACACCGTATTCACCTTTGATTAAAGCTCTACCAACGCCTGTTTGATCCACAAATCCGAGTGATTCGATCGGTAAGGTTTCGAATTCATGATGCCAAACACGTGCCACTGTTCCGTACAGCTCACCGTTGTCTTCTTCCTTCGTGTTCCTCTTTGAATTGTTCTTTCCATCTTTCTTCTTAAGTACTCTGACAATATCGAAAGGTTCAAGAAGTTTCTCCGACATCTTGTCAGAAGGACGTAGAGTGTACCCTAGGGAGAGTGATGGAGGTAGAGAAGAGAAGAAGAGAGTAGACCTGACAGTCTTTTTTCTTCTTGAATACAACATCCCATAAAAAAAAACGCGCCTTACAGCACGCACTGCTTTTACAGGTCATCTGCACGTCAGCTTTAAATGTGTGACACCAGTTTTCGCGTCTCTTGCAATTTACGCGTAATGAAAAAGTGTTGGACTCACTCCTTTTAGCGCGTTCTTTCGAAAGCCACTTGCAGAAAGTTGCAGCGGAAACGACCCTATCCTTTGCTCACAACAACAATCTAATGGTCACCATGGAAAGGGGTTATATGTACTATAATATGACATAAAGATAACTCTACAAATAAATTCGTTAGAAGATTGATCAGAGTGCTGCTGTGCCTCTTGACTCGAACGGCAAAATGATGGCAATCAATCCGCTCGCAAGGAAAAGTGCACCACTAACATAAACAGGTGCACTCGTCTTCAAATCTGCATAGGTTGCAATAATAGGTGCCATGACTCCAAAGATTCGATTTGCCGATGCTGTTAGCGCATTACCCGTTCCACGATCTTTCGTTGGAAAGATTTCAGGTGTATAAGCATACAAGATTGCATACATGGTCGTACTCATGAAGTTGTATGCACATTGCCATCCCAATAAAGCGGCAGAGTTGGTAGCAGTTGTGGAGGCAAACAGAAAAACACCGGTCATAATTGTCGACAGGGCCAATGTTCCTTTTCGTCCGAATTTGGGCAGTTCAGACAATAAGGCTCCAGCAATACAGCCAGGAACCCCTAGAACGGAAATGATGAGCGAATTGCGGTACGTCAAATAAGTTGATCCTTCGTCAAATTGAGCATTGCGGGTGGCTTGAATGTAGGGAACGAATGCATTGTACAACGGAAATCCCAAACCGATGAATGCCCAAATAGCAACGATGAGGGAAGTGGATAAAGCCATCTTTTTTGTTACAAACAATGCTCGAATGTGGGAAAAGTTGATCTCCTTTAACGATCTTGCAATGATTTGTTTGGTCGTATAAGCCTCTTCTACATGCGAGCTGATTGTTGCACTTTCGTCAAATTTGGACAAGTCCTCTAGCGTCAAACTTGATGTCTTTCCATTTCGACGTGCAACTTCGTGTACGACTTTGACTGCATCTGCATCACGTCCTCTGCTCATCAAGTACTTTGGTGATTCATAGATGGTGAAGAACACGAAACGGATTGTGAACATGATGATTGAAATTCCACCAATCGTGATCAAGAAGTATCGCCATCCCATGTTCTCGCTTCTTGTGCAAGTCACAGCATCTTCCTGACAAGACAGGTTGCCCAACAGTGGCCAAGCAATCAAATTAGCCACGATTTGTGCTAAAGCCCATTTGATTGACAAGATCGTCAAGAGGTATTGATGGCTGGCAGGTAACCATTCGATAAAGATTGCACTATCGACAGGCAAATTTCCACCTACTCCCACAGACCATAAAGCGGCAAAGACACCGATTGCGGCAAAATTTGGAGCAGAGGCGGCCACCATTCCCCACAGGCCGGTGATACCGATTGTGAGATTGAATGCCCATCTACGGCCAAAGATATCTGCACCAAAGCCCCAGAAGCAGGCTCCAAAAAGCAAGCCAATATTCTGCGCAAGTGTCAAGAATGGACCATGATCTGGTTTGAATTCGTTTACGACGGAGGTGAAAATCAAAGAAGTCACAATCGGCCATAAATTATCACTTGCCCATCCAAATCCTACAACGACAAACAATTGCCATTGATAGCGTCCCATTCCAATCTCTTGGATGGCGCGGTTCAACACTTTTGCTTTTGCTTCATATACGGCATCATACGTTCCTTGAGGCAAAGCAGCAAGATCTTCTACGACTGTTGCATCTGCGAATTCTGTTGAGAACTGTTGATTTTTCTCCTTTTCATCTTCGCCAGCTTTGGAGGATACGGAGTGCACTTCAACGTTTGACATAATGGATATGCTATATGAGATACGGAGATGATCGCGTGAAGAAGAAAAAAAGCGGTACACAAGAATTCATGAGAAAATATCTTCTCGAACTTAATTCATGCTCCTATCCGCATTTCTTTTGATTGTTCCTGAGATGAATAGAGTGCGTCCAATGTGCATTTGTATTTTATCCCATGAAGATGGTATTCCCACTGTCCGCACAGCTGAAATGCTGGTATTGCGTGCTCTCATTGATAAACCATGCTTTGCGCCCAAAGAATGCGCTAATGAACGGGCTTACTTGATTGCGTGCTTTCATGGTTTGGACAGATCAGAAGAACTTAAGAGTTACTGCAAAGCATACAAGGCTCACACAAGATAGTTTGGGGTCACATAAAGGTAAACGAAACTTTTTGACACTTACGTATATGCACTTCATAAAATCTCATGGTTTGAAAACAGAATGTTCTTCAGCATCCGCCCCCACCGCCACCTCCTCCTCCTCCACCACAGCCACTACCACCACCACCTCCTCCTCCACAACTAGCACCAATTCCGCCACCTGTGAAAGAGACCCCACCCCCGTGACCGTGCCGTCTTCGATTGCCACTTGTAGACGATGTCTGAACAGTTGGCGTGGACTGTATCACATGCAAATGTTAGTACATCTAACCCAGAATAGCAGTGTGGATAAAAAAGACCGAGCCAGTATCCTACTACTCACCATCCTGGGTACATTTGTAGTACCTCCTGCTCCATAGTAACGTGTGTTCTTTTGTTCTCCTCCGACGTAATACCCTGAAGGTGCTATGCTCTGTGTTGTAATCACACCTACACATTGGCCTGGACCAACCCTATAAGTTTCCGGAAGCCCAATCATACAATTTCCAGGAATTCGTGACTCAGTTGTTGGAACGGCTTGAAACGGCTCAAGCGGGGTAAAACCATAGCCAAGGCTGCAGAAAGAAAAGAATGAATAGGTCAGTGAGAATGGTGGCTCCTTGTGAATAAAAAAAAAACACGTACATGAAAGCATCTTTGTGTTGTGTTTTACGTTGTTGTTCCATTGTCTTTCGCCATTTCATCGTTCTAAAAATTGACTTTGAGATTGCGCTTTTAGTATCTTTCGGTACCACCGCATTATGGGCAGATGGATGAGAAGAGCTCTGTACTTCTTCCATGCCGGAAGATGATTTGTCCTTCGTCAATTTCATTAAGAATTTGGTGAGCCCGGAAGGTTTTCGTACAGGACAGCCACATGTACTGTAAGGCTGCCCATAATAGTCATACCAAGTCTTTTGGGTATGATCAAATGCAGTAGCAAGTGTGGTAGCAGGCAATTTGTCATCATGATCAACAAACATGCCAACCGTGCGAAAGCAGTCCACATAGTAAGTTGACGATAGTTGATGTGTATGCCATGCCAGATCGATGTCAAGGGTCGGACACAAAAGATCTTTGCACCGTTCGAGAAGATTCAGCCAACGATGGTATCGAACAATAGAGAGTGCTAATCTTGATTTGAGCTTGTCCATTTCATCGTATTGGTTTAAGTCAAGCCATCCAATTATGTCCAATTCATTGATGAAATTAAATTGACGTTTGACTGCATCCACTACGTCAATACTTGAATTAGGGACTAATGGATCACCTTCCAGGTAGAACTTAAGCAGATTGCTGATTCTACGATCTAGATCAACAACTTTCTCTTCATCTTCCAACACAATGCGACTTTTACAGCTGGCATTGATTATTATTGACCATGCTTTTATACTGCCCTTTGCTTCTTTGTAGTGCGAGAACGGACTTTGATCATTCTTTGGAACATGGCTGTTGAGTCTTGCGATCAAGTTAGGATCTTCGTATCCATCCCTTTTGACGTGTGCTAACAATGCTTTCATTCTAACGTCTTCAATATTCACTTTTCGGTCAAAAGGATATAGGCGGCAAAGGACAGGAGCATGCGGATCCTTAACAAATGGACGGCCATTTCGCGCAGAAAGCAGGCCACCACGCATGTAAAACGGTTTGATCATCTGTTGAGGGCTGGTTTTCAACCATTCTTCTATATCTTTGAGAAAGATACCTCCACGAAGAACGTCTGCATTTATCGTGGCATCACAACAATCACACTTGCGTTCCCAATCGTGATCTGCAAGCTCTGTCCATGAGAGAATCGCGCCAGCTGATTCGAAATTAGAGCGAGCTTCTGGATTCATTTCGGCATTTCGAGCACAAAGAAGACATTCGATAAATAACCCTTCTTCAAATGGCGGTTTGAAATTGATCGCGGCGTTGGTTGTCAATGGTGGTGTAAGGTATGCTAGATGAAAATCTTGTCCCGTCATATAAGTCCAACGTGTTTCGCTTGAAGCAGCATCATCAATTAATGGTCCATTCGTTGGATCCCCTTTGAGACGTGTGCCAATAGATAGCAAAGGAAAGCGAACGTGATGAAGAATACGTCTAGAATCCACTCGTGCGGTATCTTCAGCATATCTACCTGGATTGAGCATATATGCGTGCCAAATCATCAAGACATCCAATGGCGGTATAGCATCCTCGGGAATGTCAAATAAGGTCCGGTGAGTATGACCTTGCACTTTAACGGGATTGATATGCAATAAGTCCTGTGGTTTTCGCTCTGAAAGTCGATCAGAAAGTAAAATCGCAGAAGATAAAACTTGTTCGACGTAAAGCGAGAAACGGTAATTTGCTCTACGGAGATAGATTGACCAGATTTTGTCTTGGGCCTCTTTGTCTGATGCGAACGAGTGACATGTTTTGCGAATATCTCGAAATGCCATCAAAAGGCTCAAATGTGCTCCTATCTCAGATAAAGAGACAAGCGGATCAAATTTTCGGTGTCCAATATTTAGCACAGTAGGATCTTTGCAAATTTTGTCGTCATCGCTTGTTATGTGAGAATTTGTTGCTGCCATGCTACTTTCAGTAGCAAAGGTATCTTGTTGATTCATCTTTGACGTTCGCGGTGAAAGGAGAAAAGATTATTCGGACAATAATTGCCAGCAAAATGATTCGTCATTTTGTCTCCCCTCCGTCCTTATGTGCCGTTTCTGCCTCCTCCGTCCGAGAATGGGGTGGGCGTTCGTCATTGATTTTCCACACTGAAGTATTACTGTTCACACGCTTTTCGATTAATTGACATATTTTTCATGCGCGCAAACATGAGATTAAAGTAACCGCAGACAATTCAACAACCCATACAGTTATGTAACATGGTCTCACAGGATTCCTTCTTTGAATATATACATTTGAAAAGAGACTGAAAGGTCCTTCCTCTGAATTAGCAGCCACCTCCACCACCACATCCTCCTCCGCCTCCGCCACAGGCACCCATTCCACCACCTCCAACGAAGCCAAATCCAGTACCACCAAATCCCAAATTGGAACCAGCGTACATGGCACGACTAGGATGATCGCTTCCTGAAGGTGGCTATTGGTTGAAAAGAATAGAGAACGTGTATTGTCAGTTTTCAACATGTCGTCAATCGCCAGCAATTTTCTGAAACTCACAAGAATCAGATAAGCAGATGCACCATAAGTGTTGTAGTGACCTGTGTCCACATTATCTCTCACTCGAAGTGAGGAAGGTACGGCATAATGACCTTTCTTGTTCGGTGCAATGACTGAGCTCACGCCTACACAGTTGCCCGGTCCAACTCCATAATTCATCTTCATTATATTATTTGTTCCAGTAACGCACTTGCCTGCGATCTGACAATCAGTGGTTGAGATAGCACGGAAAGGTTCCAAAGGCGTAAGACCATAACCGAGACTGTATGAGAAGGAGAGATTAATGTTAGCAATGTACGTGTTAAAGGTTTTGAATCACGACACACGTACATAAATGCATCTTTGTGTGTCTCTGGCCGTTTTCCAGACTTCATATCATTCTGTTCTTGCTTTCGACGAACTCTCATGGATAATGCATGTGAATCCTTCAAGTTTGTATTTGCTGGAGCGGTAATATTATGAACGGAAGGATGAGTGCCTGCTCCTTTTTGTCGGCCTTCTGCAGACACGTTTTCTTTTTCATCGTTATCCTTTGAACTGGATCCCAAATTAATCTTCAATTTGCGTAATGACTGTCGAAAATCTGATCCATTGTGAGCTGGACAGCCACAAGCACTATAAGGTTGACCATAAAGTTCATACCACGAACGAGCTGTTCGATCAAACGCTGTCGAGAGTGTCGAAGCAGGCAATTTGTCATCGTGGTCAACAAACATTCCAACCGTATCAAAGCAGTCAGCATAGTAGCTCGGCAGTAACTGATGGGTATGCCAAGCCAGATCGATATCCAGAGTAGGACACAAGAGCTCGTTCTTCACTGTCAATACGTTTAGCCAGCGATGATATCTAACGATAGAGCGGGCCAAATTAGGCCGGCGTTCTTCTGGCGTTAGTGAAGGTAATGCCATTTCTTCTTTTCCTTCTTTGAATGAGGTTGTGTCGAGCCAGCCCATTTGATCCATTTCATCAATAAAACTGAATTGGCGAAGAACAGCATTTACGAGATCGATACTAGTATTCGGAGCAAGTGGATCTCCTTCGATATAATACTTTGTCACTAGACTAATCCTTCTGTTCATATCAATTGCCCTTTCTTCCATTGCAAGCACGATTCTCGCCTGACAATCACGGTCGATCAAAGTTGACCACTTTTCAATGTCACCTTTTGCTTCCACAAAATGCAAAATCGGTTGAAGGTCATTCTTTGGTACATTTCTCAATTTTCCGTAAAGGCGCTCATCGTGAAAAACGTCTTTCTTCACATGCGATAACAAAGCCCACATACCCGTGTGATCAGGTTGAACGTTACGTTTAAAGGGATATATGCGGCACAGGATAGGTGCATGCGGATCATCCTCGAACAAACGCCCATTACGTGCCGAGATCAGCCCACCACGCAAATGGAAAGGTTTGATCTTTTGTGAAGGGCGACTTTTGAGCCATTGTTCGATGTCGTTGAGCAAAATACCTCCACGTATAACTTTTGAGTTGAGTTTTGCATCACATGAAGCACATTTTCCCTTCCAATCATCGCGTCCTGCTTCTTGCCAAGACAAGGTGAAACCCGAAGTTGATGCGGAGTTGCGCTGATGTTCATCGGGACGGTGAGATTCGTCAAATCGATTGCACATCGGACATTCAACGAAGACACCTTCATCAGGTAGAGGTTTGCCGGTTTCAGTCTCGGTAGATGAAAGAGGCGGAGCCATGTAGGAAAGATGGAAGGATTGTCCGGTCATCCTTGACCATCGTGCAGCCATCCTATCGGAATCTTCGATGAAGGGACCTTGTTGAGGACTGTTTCGGATACGACTGGCGATTGCAACAAAAGGGAAGCGAATAAAGTGTAAAATGCGTCTTGCATCTATCCGAGCAACATCTTCTGCGTATCGACCTGGGTTGAGCATATATGCATGCCATAACATCATGACATCTAGCGGTGGCAAAGCATCTTCGGGAATGTTCATGATTGCGCGTTTGGCTTGATTGCTAGCACCAGTGCGACCCAAGTGCAGCAATGATCTTGGTGGGGCTTTGAGATCCTGCTCCGAGATTTGTAGTGCAGATGGTAGAACGGTTTCGATGTAAGTCGACAAACGGTAATTTGCCCGTTTAAGATATGTCTTCCATATTTGGCCTTGCTCTTCTTTCGTCTTGGCAAGGGAAAGGCACTGTGTTCGGATATCACGAAATGCTGTCAATAGGGTCAAATGTGCTTCTTCTTGACTCAGTGTGACCAATGGCTCGACTTTGTGACCGTTGATGAAGAGGACGTCAGGGACACTGTCAAACTCTTCCTCTTCATCTGGGTATCCATCTTTTTCCTTTGCGTTTGGCCGTACTCTGGCAGGCATTGAGCTTGGTCCTTCGGTTTGATCTTGTGATTCATCATAAGTTGGCAAGGCTTGATTAGATTGCATGAATGATGGTTTTGATAATCCGCCCCATCTTTTCTTGCTCAATCTGCTACTGATTGTTGCCAAAGTTGACGTTGTACGAATAGATGCATTATCGTCATCATCACCATTAAGTGGATTGTTTTTGTTTGGTTTGACTTCTTTCATTTTGAATTGTGGTGGTAGGGATGGCAAAAGTGGGATTTGGTGATTGTGCCATTGATAAGGTTATCATCATTGTCGTACGATTCAACAATGACCAAGAATAAGGTACACGAGGTAAAACATCTGTACCTCTCAATCTGACTGACAGCCACTCACTCACCTCTCTCAGCCACTCATGCAGCATGCAAGTGTACACACACACACACACGCATACGCTAAAATTTAAACCACGCGGACAACTGCGCTGCGCCACACGGGCTTTTCGCCGGTAATCTTATGCTTCCGCAACTGTCCGCCGGGCAAAAGGGGCACTTTAGAAGTGTTCCCGTTTAATACTCTTTCCCCGGAGTTGGGCGTTCATCATACCTCAAGCAGTGGCTGCAGTGTTTGATAAATCATTAATTTCATAAATGCATGAAAAAGAAAAAGACAATACACACGGAGATGACATTTGATTATATAAAATCTTAAACCTTTTCTTCTTTAAGTTCATGATCGATGGAAGAATGCTCCTTCTCCGTTGTGGGTTCAATATCGGCAACATTCAACAAACCAACATCTCGTTGAGCTTGTAATAATTGTTCAGCTTCCCACTTTGAGCGTCCACTATTGTCGGCAAAGACTTCATCTAATTCTTCCAAAGAACGTCCTCTTGTTTCGGGTACATAGAAGTAAACCCAAAGAGCGAGAATAACACTGCATCCTCCCAAGAAGATATAAGCGCCCCAAGGAGCAACTTGAACAAATTTAGGTGTAGCAATGGCTACGGCGAAGTTGTTTAACCAATTCGAAGATGCACCAACACTGATTCCTTTTGCTCGTAAACCAAGTGGGAACACTTCTGATACAAGCACCCAAGGACCTCCTCCAAGACTGATTGAGAAAAAGATGGCGAATAACCAAACCATAACTGCGGCACCCCAACCTGCTGCATTAGTAGCTGGCGTACGGATGTCAGCATCCCATCTTGGCTTGAATTGAGCAATGATACCAGCAATTGAGAAGAGAGTTAAACTCATCAGAATGGCAGCGAGCATAAACATTGGTCTACGTCCCCATTTATCCAAATAAACCACTGAAGGAAGCGTAGCAAGGAATTGCACAACTCCTACCACACCTGAAGCCAAAAGAGAGGTTGCATTTCCGGCCAAGTTTAAGCTCTTGAAGATAAATGGTGCGTAGTACAGAACAAAATTGATACCCGACCATTGTTGTCCGACCATGATTCCGATAGCGACGAATGTACGTTTCCTGTTTGACGGATTGCTGACTAAACTGGCATATTGTGCAACTTGCAGCTTGAATTTACTCTTGAAGCTGTCATCTTGCAAGTCAGGATAATCATGTAGAGATAATCTGCGTTCGAATAACTTTTGGGCTTTTAATTCCAAGAATTCCAATTGAATCAAAGGGTTTTGTTTTTCTTTGCGTCTGATACTGGACAAAACTTCTAAACATTCTTCTTCGCGATCATGATCCATCAACCAACGGGGAGATTGAGGCATGAAGAGCATACCAACGGCAAGGATGAAAGCAGGAACAAGTTGAAGTGTGATTGGAAGAAGCCATGCAGCATTGCTTTGTGTATCACCAGTACCTCCGATGAAGTTTGTTCCATATGTAAGCCAATAAGAGATCATAATACCAAACGTAATTGCAACTTGTTGCAAGGCGACCAAAGCACCACGAATTTCTGGTGGTGCCAATTCAGCATTGTACAAAGGAACAAGGATACTAATTCCTCCAACACCGATACCGGTAACGAATCTGCCTGCGAGGATGTAATGATAATTTCCGTCTCTTGTACAAGCTTGAACAGCAACACCAACGCCAAAGATAAGACAAGATCCAATAACCGAAAGTTTACGACCAAGTTTATCGGCAAAATAACCGTTTGCCAAAACACCGATCCAAGCACCTAATTCCAAAATTGCCGTTACTAAACCACCCAAAGTTGCATTTGTGATTCCATCGGTTCCTGAAGCTTTACTAAAAGCATGCATGCTCAAAACTTGACCAAACATACCTTGATTATAACCATACACCAAACCACCTAAACTGGCAAAAACTGCGATTGATGTCGCACGAGCATTTTGAGCCAAACCTTTCAAGCCTGAAGGACCTGCTAAAGCGGCACGACGATGGAGCAATTCCGTATCAACGGCAACTGTTTGAGTCACCATTTCAAATTGTTATGAAGAGAAAAGATGAAGATGTGAGATGAGAATAGGGTCTTGCAGGATTGATTGAGATCAGGTCTTTTTATAATTGTCAATTTTTCATCTTTTATCTATTTTTATTTCGGAACAACTTAAAACACTGTTCCGGTGCTTTGGAATTGGCTTTTGTTTCACTTCCCCATAGAAATGCGGGGAAGTTAAGCAAGGTGCAGAGTATATCTTCAGGAACAAAAGGGGAGGGAGTGAGTGAATGAATGAGCTCAGTAAGTACGATTGCGCAAATGTACTTTACTTTTAATTTATTAAAAGTGTCTTAAGACATCATCCCATTCTGCCGTTGAGCGGCGTTGTATCGGGAATCTAGAAGTAATTTACCAATTTCAGCCATAGAATGCCTAGTTGCATGGCGCTAAGGGTTGTATACGCTATTTTTACTCTGCGTCGTTGGACAACCCACCACTGCCTCTTCACCACTCTATTCGGTAAACTTATGACCACTTTGCCGACCATAACCCGTGCATATGCCCCCCGATCTATGGCTTTTTCTTGCCCCACAAAAGGATACACTCTTCCGCGGTAGCTCACCTTTGACTTTATGCATCTATTATCACTTCTTGCATATGTCAATTGATCATCTCTGCTTTGACAGAATAAAGAAATAGCCCGTGGAAGCAGGGAGCCCTTTCCGTGGAAACAGATGGGTCTGTGACCATAATTATGGGAAGAAATGTTATCCCGCTACAATCATACCATTACTGGATGGTTTCAAAGCGTTTCATTTATTCAAGATCATCTCAATCATCAGCCATGCTAGGAAGCTAAATGATTAAATCTCCTTTTCTTTATTCAATGTACCTGCTTTTTGTGCCTTAATTAAAAGTTTAACCTCATTAAGAGCGTTGAGGAAAGTGGTTGTGATGTAAACCAGTCGAGTCCTATTTCTTGTATGTGCCAAGCTTAATGAGCTAAAGAAGCTTATAAAATAAGCCTCAAGTGTCATTCTACAGATCTGTACATGCTTACTAATCAGATCCTTATCATGAGTGCTGTCAATTGGGATAATTCACTTGAAAGCCATGTAAAGCCATCGCATTACCCCGGCTGTGCCAATGCATGATCGGACATTTCCGCACGCATGAAGTTACGCCAACAATGATGGTGATGATGTAATGGCCCGCCTATGATGGATTTTACACGCTAAAAATAAACTTTTCAGTGCGGAAATAATTCCGCTCCCGCACTCGATTGGATCTTTCAGCATTTCCGCAAAGACAAAGTGCCGATGAAAGCTGTTTTGATATTTGCATTTTAGCGCTGCATGTACCTGACCATCGGTGACTAACTTTCAAATCGGAATTGCGGATTCATGAACGAGGAAGAAAAGGTATATAAAGTCTTCTATCCGAACTGGATGTTGATCTCATCACCCACAAACAAACAAAGAAACAATCTTCATCATATAAAGAAACAGTAAAATGCTCTCACACCGAAACAAAACGGAAGAATACGCAATGACGAGCAGTAGCGCTCATAGTGTCAGCAAAATGACCCTGGATGATGGTACGAGCACTTTAATTGCGAATGAGGATGTGAAGTTTCCCGCGAAGAATGACGGCTTGCAAGCCGAATTAGAATCGGGACATCAAGTCCCGATTGGTTTAATTTCCGAATACTGTCAACACGATCACGTTATCCGCTTTGATCTTCAACCTCTTTTGATGTCGTGGTCTGGATTAGATATAGTCGTGTCAAAACCTGAACCTGACGGAAGCATGAAGAAAAAGGTTTCCCGCAAAGATCTACAGCCGTTCTACATTGCGGGAAAGAAGCTGATAAGCGCCACAATTTCAGACTCCGATCACAAACAAATCTATTCTTTGCATGCGAAGTGGACATCACTTCACACGCATTATTATGCGAAGGACAATCAAGGTGATAAAGTTCTCACGCTGAGGGGTGAGAAAATTTGCCGATTCAATCTTACCGCCACGTTCAAGAATGCAGCTTCCGGTCGCAACGAGGATAAAACCCTTTTACTGAAGACTGGCATGAGCACGAAGGTGAGCGAATTGCGGGAAGACTCGGGACGCTTACTCGCCCTTATCGAAAGACCCAGCAAAGCAAAGATGTGCTTGCCAAATGAACCATTCCGAGTTAGCATTGCGCCCAAAGTCGATACCTCTTTGGTCATGGCGATCTGTCTTGGCATGCATACGCAATTGCTCACATTCAAGATTGGAACGTATTATGCACCATCAAGTGCGGCTGCAGCTGTCAGTGCAGCATCATCATCTTGAAAAAGATATAGACCTTGATCGATTGGATACCTTTACATCATGTACATTTACCGAATAACAATATAATTTTAGCATCTTCTTTATGATCACTTGTGAATTGTTCTCCACACTTCTCCTGTAACACTTGCATTAAACGCGACAATTAAAGTCATGGTGCATAAATGCTTTCTTTCAGTCTTACTTCCTACAACCATCTTTGAGAGCATGCCTGCTCGAACAAGGTATACAGATCAAGCATGTGAACCATGTCGATCCTCGAAACGAAAGTGTATTCAGCATGATGGTCCAAGCAGCAGTTCAAATGGAATCAAATGCAGACGATGTACACGAATGGGATTGGATTGTACGGTTGACAGCCAAGGGAGGACAAGGCAAAGACGGGCTACACCTGCAGACAGAAATGGGATCACTCTACGAGATTCTGCTCCTGACGTGCGGGATGCTGTTCCTGACGTGCGGAGTTCTGTTCCTGTTTCTGTTCCTGATGGAAGCAATCTCGAATGCATTCCCGCTTCGTACAATTTCATCATTGTTGAAGCAGGAGGTTTACCAATCTCAAAACGTCGTACAGATGCGCTTAAAGCGACCGCAAATGATCGAGTAGGTTCACTGATACAATTGGACTGGCTCATAGACGATCGATTAAGTGCACTAATATCAACATGGTCGGAAAAAGAACTTGGCAGTCTGATGCCACTTTTGCCTCCGCCTCATATGCTTCGATCACAACGGAAAGAAGCAAATGTAACAGACGTGTCTGCCATGGATCCTGCATTGTTGATTTTGGAATTGGGTCAATACCTCTGTGCTGCTCGACATCTCTATCTCCCGCCCGAACAGCATGAGAGATACTTTCCAGGCGTACAGGTCGAGGTGATGGTCAGACCGATCTTGCATCGTTGTCTGTCACAGCTAATCATCTCCTCTGAATATACTCCTTCTATGAGTCTTGCATTTCAATTACTCTGTGTTTGCAGATTTGAACGATGCGAAAAGAGGATAGAGCCACCATACGCTCTACTTTCGTCAGCGGTACGAATGTCTCAAATTGCAAGATCGTCCTCCACGACAGAAAGACATAGGCTGGCTATGGACGTACTCTGTTGCTCTGCATATACTCTGGATTTGTCATACATTCTTGGAACAAGAGAAGGTCTAACGATGTATAGATCACGACAGTATGAAGGTATATCTCCCACACTGTCCGAAGTGGAAGGAATGATCGGAAATGTGGAGAAGATCTCCAGCGCAGGATACGTTGGGATTGAGGAACAAGTAGCTTTGAGTGAACAACGTGTCGATGCACTTCGAGTATTATTGAATCGAACAGTAGGCATTCTTACATTCTCGCAAGCTTGGCAAGACATTTGGATGAGCACGAAAGCATTGCGGGAAGATAAAAAGAAACATTCCATCAACGATGAAGAGCAATTGATTTGTCTGGCCCAAACGGGTCATGCGATGTCCAAATGGGATTTTGCATTGAAGCGTCTCGCAGAACGACGTGCATACTTCAAAGGAAAGATTTCACAATCAGTATCCGAATTAATGGAGGTAGAAGCCCAACTTTCCGGTACGATCTTGTTGGGACATTGTCTGAGAACGCAAATTGAATCAACAATCGATGTTGATGTTCCGACTGAATTTGACGGCATTGGACATGAGACAGCTTTGCTAGCATATGTTCGGATGATGTTAGCGGAAAATATGCAAGGGGCAAGAGAACTTTTTCCAATCACCCAGACTCGATTAGAAGCTGGCAAAGCGGTTCTTGTTGAGCAAACAGGCAGACTGGCGGATGACTCTAATAGACAAAGATCAAACAATGTGACCAAACTTGAAACTGGTTATCCTGCTCTGGTCTCTTTGGGTCATTTCTTCGAAGCTGCTGCGCTTGTGTTGGAAGCACATGCTCCTCATCTTGCCGTTTCACGTTCCACTTTGGCATCGCATGATTCATGGGCACTCTTAGCTTGGGCAGTCAAAGGATTAGTAACATCTTTGTTGCTTTGTGACACAACGGAATCTGAGACTACACCATCTACATCCAGTCATACCACTACACCGTCCATGTCTCCACCAACACCAATGGAAAAGGCTACTTTGATCGTCGAGAGGCATTGTCAGCATGTTGAAGCACGAATGGTCCTCGATCTTCCCTTTCCACTTCCATCCACACAGATTGCCATTTCCGACGAGAATCCTATCGAACTTGCATAGACGTTGGACGCAATCATCCTTTTCGTTCCTCACTGAAAATAGAAATGTATCGTAGAAATGATATAGACTGAGCAACTACTGCATGGGTATTCCCCACCTTTAGCTTTGTGACATGCAATTGAGCCTCATTCTTCGTTTTTTCGGCAAGTTCGATTGGTGTGTCTTCGATTAGAGCACCTTTTTCGATGTTTGAGATACGAGATATTTGACTTTTGCTCCAATCGGCTCGAATGTTTGACCAAGAAGTTGCCAAAATGCTGAAAGTGACGGTAACATTGACCAACAAAGTACCTGTTTCTCGGTAATAGGCATAATTATAAAAAGCTAGTAATTGAATTGGTGCAGCAACATTCAAAAAGATCGGAGGAACACAGCACATCAACAGCGCTTCAGCGAAGAAACGCATCTTTGCTTTCACTCCTGCTTTGTTGTTGAATGATATTCTTGATTTTGCCAATTGATATGCTTTGAATAGCAATAGCGATGATGCAGCAATGCAGTAGATAGAACCCAACGAAAACTCTAATACAGTCGTTGCAGAATACCCATCGTATGACCATACGGGAGGATCCCATAACAGCATTGCGTCGTAGGCGTAGGGTTGTAAGCCAGATAGCCATTGAACCAGAATAATGGCTGTAAGCAAAAAAGTCAAGATTGTACGACTTCCAAGCAAGAACCAAAAAGGTGAAAGGATGAGTAATCTTGCCTTTCCAGAAACAATTGGACTTGGATAGAAAGATGATATACGAAAGAGTAGAGCAGAATCTGATAAAATTGGAATAGCATGCTCTGCAAAAATACCAACACTTCTCCAAGCACAATACCCACGATAATTCATGTTTTGAGAAGCGAGGTAGGTGAGTGAATCAAGTCTATACAGTACACACCCAGTCTCTGAAGCATTGTAGAGAACGGTCAAGACCAGGCAAGTGCCTTGCAATCGAAATAACTTGGTGGCTCGTCGATCTTCTTTGGAAAGATAATAGTATGCTATAGCAACTACAGTCATTGCCCCTAGCCACGTAGAACAAAGTACCAAACGAAAGACGTTGAAGTATGCCATTTCTGAAGCCTTTTCATCGTACTCGAATGTAGAGAATTCTTCGTTCCAGTATGTGCCACCCATATTTAGATCTTTAAAAGGCTTGTGGTGATGGTAAAGATATTGTGGCCTTCTCCTTGTGGGGGAGGTATCTTTTGTGTATCATTCGGAAGGAAAGCCGCCTATGTCACCAGCTCATAAAAAGCGGCACCTTCATTCCATACATTCAGCCCTATCGATGTTCTTTCTTATGTTGCGAAGCCACGTCCCTTAATTTGTGAGAATATTATGAAAGCTTAATTACCATAAACGGATCCGTAAGAGGACGCTTACAGCTAAATGATGTGACTTACAGTCAATATAATACTACTTTTAAGTATTGTGTCTTCCCCAATTTAAGATCGCCACAGAATGGTGCCGCTTTCGTCAAAAGGCATTCCGATCCTCTCACGTGTGAAGTTGTGGTGAAAGGAGCCGAAATTGCATGGTCTATCATTTGATACTTTAAACGGAGCCTAACCAGCCGAATCACATCCAAAAAATTCTTCATGGCTTCAGAGATATTCACACATTATATTCATGAATTTTCGTTATGTGTGCTTACAAGATTGATCTACAATGTACCATCGATAGACTTTTGTTTTTCCGCATCGTATCCCAACTTTCCAACCTAATTTATTGTCATCTGATGCAATTGCTCAGCATCGACCGATGACTTTTGACCAGTATTAGAAACGTATGTTTGATCTTTTGTCCAATCTGCTCGAATACTTGACCATGAAGTAGCCAAGATACTGAAGATTACACTTGTGTTGGCGAGTAATGTTAAACTTTCTCTGTAGTAGGAGTACGTTGTAAATGCCAGAAGTTGAATTGGCGCAGCAATGCTGATAAAGATTGGTGGAATGCAACACATCAACAAAGCTTCAGCAAAGAAACGCATTCGAGCTTGTACTCTCTTTTTGTTGTTGACCGCTAAACGTGATTTGGCTAATTGATATGCTTTGAAAATCAAGATTGACGAGGCCATCGTGCAATAAAGAGAGCCCATTGCAAGTTCAACTGTTGCACCATAACTAAATCCCGATAAGGAGTACATTGGTGGAATATGATATGGTAGTGGGTCAACATTAACCCAAACGACTCCCGAGAAGTATTGAACGCTGTAGAAAGCTGCAACCAAGATGCTAACGATAGCACGAGAAATGAGCAAAAACCAGAAAGGAGCAAAGATGTAGAGTCTTTTACGTTTCGAATAGACTGGAAAAGGGAAGAACGATGAGATCCTAAACAATAACGCCGCATCGGCTAAGACTGGTATGAAATGCTCTGCAAAGTGACCTGCGCTTGTCCAATGAGTGTATGCATCATAATTGATCGTTTGGTTTGAACGGAAGGTGAGAGTCTTTAATCTGTATGACACGTTACCGACTTCTGATGCATCATATAAGATCGTCAAAAGAACACAAGTGCATTGTAGTCGAAACAAATTTGACTTTCTTGTTTCTTTGTTGGACAGAGCAACAAATGCCACCCCAACGGCAATCATTGTTCCAAGCCATGCCGAACAAAGAATCAACCGAAACATGAAAAAGTACGTCATCTGGGCAACTCTGACCGAAACAATGTACTTTGACGTACCCTCATCGTAATACGTACCACCCATGATGTCGTTGAAGGTGGGTGGGATGACGGTGTTAGAAAGATTAAGTCAGAATCGTGACCTTTATATAATATACAAGGAGGTATCTTCTCGGTCATGATTATTTGGCGTTTTCAGTACTTTGTCAGTCACAAAACGGAATCATTCATTGCACTTTCGCGGCAAATGCCGGAGCCGCTTTTTACATGAATCACTGTCAGTTCTCCCTCATTGACCGGAAGTGTTTGTGCTAGTCAGTCACTTTTTGTGGCGTTAAGCTTTTGAACGGAATCGTTCGCTTTTTTGTCTTTGAAGTAGCTTATAAGCTCTGAAAGGTAACGTGATTTTGTCGTTATTCAAAGTGCATTGTCATTCAGCCCAAGATGGCGTCGCTCGAATGCTCAAAGATGCTCATTTTAGGCTGGGAAGTCGCCTCTAATGAAGCCGAAATGATCTGAGAGCGAAATCTTCTCAAACAGGGGAAAATTAATCGTTGTCTTACCGTTTCTCCATATACTCCGACGCATTCAGGAGTTGAAGCGCTTCCCTCTCCTCTGCGCACGGTCTCGGATCGAATGGGATACGGATGGTTACGAGCCGATAAAGATGAAATTAAGTACTAGTATATGAGCTTTACAGTGTTGTTTGATGTGATTGTCCGACAGAGACGGGCATCATCGTTGTGCCTCCATGTATGTTAGGCACAGCAACGCACAAAGTTCCGGGAGAAAGCAAAACGTCTGAATAAACACTTGAAGGTGATTCAGAAACGGGAGAGTGAGGTAACGAAGTCGATGGCTTAGGAGGTATGGGAATCTTGTTCGGTGACGGTCGCCGCTGTCTTCTTTGGTTTGAAGATTTTTGTTGTTCTTTACCCGCATCAGTGATTGACCCGATCCATTCTTCTCGATCTTCATCATTTTCGTCATCGTTTTCTGCTTGATGCGAGAAATGGATGTCTTGATGACCTGCAGATGAAGGAGAAGGCAAAGAAGCAAGCATGTGACTTGGATAACTTGCATTGATATCCATTCCTGGCTGCGGCGGTGGTGTACCGATTGGAGGAGAGATGATATTGTCGCTTTGATGTGATCGATAATGTGAAGTATCTTGCAAGGCTGAAAGACGTCTGAGAGGCTGACCGACATATTGTGCCGAATTCATTCCGGGCTGGAAAGGGTGTGCAGGCACAAAAGGTTGATCGTAGCTTTCTGTCGGCTGTTGCGAATGTGCTATGTAGATCTGCTGATCGTGCATGTCTGATCGTTCTTCATCTTGTCTTTGCTCGATTTGTGTGGGAAGCTGGCCTTCATTCTTTCTGTCGCCTCCTTTTTGTTTCCCACTTCTTCTTGGAAACCGATCACGCGACCAACCTGGTGGAGTAGAGAAGCTTGACAAGCTTTTGATTGATGAGACAACAGAAGGTGCTCTCTCAAGATGTTTCATTCGTTGAGTATCGCCATTCATGAAAACGGCTCCATGTACTCCATCTGAAATGGTATACTGCTCTTCTTTTTTACTCCTCCTCAAATCGTAAAACATCGCAACACAGATCATTACCAAGAAGAAGAAAGTCAGAGCATCCAAAGCGATCGTAATGATTGTTAGGTTATCCTTTACCGTGAACCACATCCCAAGTAGAACAAACGAGGAAACGAAGAATGCCAGCAAGGATAGACATATAGCGCAAAAGAAGATCAAGTACGTCCGTATGTGCGTCGTCCGTTTTCTTGCCGCGACAAGTGCATCGTCACGACTGTGTGTATCTCTTGTTTCTGCTTGTCGACTAAGAATCGATCTGTACTCGGCATTAAAGTCAATTGTGTTGTAACGCCACAGATATGCCAAGCCTCCAGCTAGTAGGACACCCAACAATGCTTCTTGTATGGAAAAGAGAACAAGCAAGATGATCGAATGGTGCTTTGCTATGTCACCACCATTTGAAGAGGAAATCGTCTCGTTGGTGTCCGAGCTCAGCATCAACCGCCTCTGTAGACTAGATTGAGATGGTATTGCTGGAACAGGCATGATGCGCAGTACCGGAAAGCTGATAGCCGTAATCATTGGCTGATCGGACACTTGGTTGACCTGATACTCCTTCACGGCATTGATCCTGTAAGCGCTTGTATGCAAATTTTGCAGCGGAGCTTCGATATTGTTTTCCGTTTCCTGGTTTCCTGTTTCTATTCCATTTGATTTATCAGCTGAGACATCCTTCACACTAGGGACATCATCTTCATTTTGGTTCAGCTGAGAAACGAATGAAGTTGGTGCGGGATTTTGATTCGTAATTGCACTCGCGCCAGCGCTTGTGCTCGAAACGATACTAGAAGGGGTGATTAAATTGGAATTACTGCTGATCGGAGTCGCAAAACCATCAAATATACTCGAACTTCCCGTTGGTGTAGTACCTGTATAGCTGTCGATCGAACCGCTTCCGATTAGACCGTTACTAGAGGAAGACGTAGATTGCGCACCATTAGACGAAGAGGTTGGAGTTATTGTTGAGGCTAGATCTGCAATTGCTTTGGCAGTCAAGCCGATTGAAGCCAGAAAGAACAATGTCGATCCTACGATCAAGATAGCGGCTATACTTCTCATCCTCCCATCCGGTATATCGTTATTATTTGATGCGAAATCCTGATTTCACTAATGGTGACGATGATGGCACGACAACAAGGATTCATATTAAGATCGCAATCGGGACAAACTCGACCCAAGCACCCAAGTTCATATTTCACACGGACAATCGGTCAACTTGTCGCTATTTCACTTTATCACGGCCACTAGCTCTAACATTGTATCGATAAAAAGCCGTTGTAGTAAAGAGGAAGCGGGGACACTTCCGCAAAACAAAGCTTATGGCGTAAATGCGCTAAATGGTTTCCCACCCAATTCAGGTACGCGCCAGAAAATCAGTGTTTTTCTGAATGGGCGTAAAGCTGCAGATTGAATCGGCAGGCAAACGAAGCGAACGTACGGGTTTACGCCATTGCTGCTCAAGGGAAGGCGTCATATTCAACGATCTCCTACAGCGGCCAATCGGTCATCATTATTATTCCCCACTCCAACCCGAGAAGCCGAAACATGTCACACTTTTCCCTTTTTAAAATGATATGATTTCATTACACCTTTTAATGCCTGCTTATCTCACTGATTCGCCCTTTCTACAGCACATCTTGCCGCCTCTTTGAAATCATCATTGATGGTAAAATCAATATCCGATTCAGAAAGTAGTTGTTTTGCTCTTTCAGCTCCTGTGCCCAAAATGCGAACGACGATAGGTTTGGTGATATTGTTCTCCTTTACTGCTTCAATGACTCCTTCTGCTACTACATCAGTTTGTGTGATTCCCCCAAACGTGTTCACAAAGATTGCTTTCACATTGTCATCTCGATGCAATGTCTCAATGGCCAATCTGGCATTTTGCTTGTTGGCACCACCGCCTCCGTCTAAGAAGTTAGCCGGCCTTCCACCTGCCAAAGCCAATCCATCCATCGTTGCCATTGCATTTCCCGCTCCATATCCGAACGAACCAACATTGCCTCCTTGGGGTAATTTGATATAGAACAGTCCACCATCTTCTGCTTTGGCAGAATTTTCATCTCGTTTTCGATTAGCATACAAGTCTTGCAATTCAGGCACACGCTTCACTCCAAAGTCATCAAACTCTAAAAAGGGTGATCGAACGCTCACTTGACCTTTTCCATCAAAAGCTAGTTGGAATGTGAACCAAACGCCTTCAAAACGTGAATAAATGCTCCATAGGTTCTGAATGATTTCGGTAGCTTCCTTCTGTGCGGCTTCACTGATGGAAACGTTGGCTTTTGAAGCTAGTTTGGAAACAAACTTGAAAACATCTTCTGACTGCAATCCTTTGTCGATCGTAAAAGGCAGGTCTATAACACTTTGAGGGTCGTCCTGTTGTGCTTGAAGGATGCCTAGCTCACCTTCGCCGAATTTGCCCTGATCCAAGCTGTCCAAAAGAGAAGATGAACTTCCCAGTAGAGCGGGACCATAATGGATCTCATTTGATGATGAAACCTTACCTCTACGATCCGCATGCAACAGCAATTTGAGTGAAGATGAATCTGAGTTAGCTTCTTCTACTCTTTTTGTGTTTGTATGTTGTTTGATCAACTTGATTGCATCTTGCCCTGTAACGTTGAAATGTCGCACAGAGCTTGTAGAGAGGAAAGCGTTCCTCCTTTGAATGATCAACGATCTCGAAGCAGAACGAGCTGTAAGTGAAAGCAAAGCTGAAACCATCTTGACAGGATGACAATGATGGCAAGAGAGAGAAAGAGAAGATGTTAATCCAATGCCGGCTTTTGAATTATCCGTCAAACACTCCACAGAGACACTAGTGCGGGGTACGCGTTCAAGACCCGGCCTGTTTCGGCTTTAGCACTGCAACCAACGAAGCACAGGTAGGCACTGACACCTTAATACGCGTGCGAAGTAAGACGCATTGTCTCTTACCAATCACCTTTCCTACTACCATCCCGATTTATCACACTTTCGACTTTCGAATCTGGAATAAGATGGTATAATTGCAGAATCATATTACGTCCATGATGATCAGCACGTAAAGAAGGATGATGATACTGAAATGGAGAGAGGTATGGATATGTTTAATCGGAGCTCACAACAAGATCCCTTGGAAATAAGAAAAAAAAAATGGGTATTTTGATTCGAAAAATAAGAAAGGGCAAGTCTATGAGCTAATCAAGCCAATCCGATAAACACAGACACAAAAAAATAAGCAAGATGAAGGCGAAAGATACATTGATGATGATGATGATGATGATAAAGATCCTGATTGTCCGTGAATTCCGAGAGAAAGAGGAGGAGGAAGTACCCGAGGAAACGACCTCGCCTATTCGCACATCGCCCTATCGATCGATCTATTTGAGATCAGTTTCAATTGCTGCTGCTGCACTTGAGGATGACACCACAGATGAAGATGAGCTTGCACTTGGGTGAGGGTGAGGATGTGGGTGTGGGTGTGGGTGAGGGTGAGGGTGAGGGTGAGGATGTTCACGTTTTGCCAAAGCGCCAGTTGGTGCAACGACGGCTTCG